GGGGGGGGGGGGAGGGGAGGGACATCTGAGATGACCATTTCCCATTTCCCATTTCCCATCTCACATCTCACACTTCTTCAGACAGAGCCTCTCAACTACTCGTGGGACTGACCAGTGTCTCCCCATCCCGTCAAGAGTTGCAATTTCCAAGTCGCACGTCCCCCCTTCGAGTACTCCCTCCCCCGTTTCACCCTTCAAATCATCACAACCCTTGTCCTGCTATGACGAAGGACATCGGTTGCGATGTTTCGTAGCCATGTCATCAAGGGGAATACGGATAGAAGTGCAATCTCGTCCTCATGGCGGCTTCCTCAAGGGTAACAAGGAGTCAAGCTGTAGCTCCTCCGTACCTCGCGGGAGTACCATCTTACCTTGGGTATCTAGTCCGGGTAGCCCAAGTTCGCTTATTACAAGCCACCGGGGACGTTGCGGACACGGAAAGAGGATTTTGCTGGCTGAGGCGCATCCAAAAGGAGGTTCCACTCGGGCCACGCGCGGGGGGGCCACTGGGCTTACCTACTAAGACCTCTTAGGCATGTTAGGCATGTTAGGGCGATGGGAAATTCTACTTACCGGTACGAAGTACTCCGTACTGTACACGCTCTTACGGAGTTGGAGTACTACTGTATTACAGTAGAAAAACAACAGCTCGTTTCGCTCTCGCTTACCGGAACTATTGGGTTGTGCCTCGTGGAACCCCTTCCAAAAGCGCCAACAAGGCCGTTGAGGAATCGTTCCATCCTCGTTCCAAATGTCTCGAATCGAGATTACCGGAGTGCGGTTGGGCACACCCACTTTGCACTTTGACGAGTAAGCACTGCGTAGAATTTATTACTCTCGGGACGGAGTACGTGCTACATCTTGCGCCCGCGCATAGATCAAATCTGATCGCCATCCTCCGTCCCCTCGACGTGCAGACGCAATGTGTGTGTGCGTGTGTGCGTGTGCATGTGTGTGTGTACGGAGTAACTCGTAGAGAGCCCATGACCTCATTTTCGACTCGACTGCGACTGTCCGCTGTCACCCTTTTTCGGCGCTTGAGAGCCCAAGGCTGGGTAGTGCATCGGACGGACCTCTAGTCGATAGCGGACCCCGACATGGTCCAACCAGGAAGATTGAACGGGTGACAAGACTACGTGTTATCAGCATACAACCCTCCGATCGTTGGTTCGATGATCAAAAGGCAATGACGAAAATGGATGCGAGGACTCTCTGGACAGCACGGATGAGTGCAATGAAATCGCCCGTCTGGTAAAGTAGTTGAGATTACAAAGGGTCAGTTGACCACCCCGTGTTCATTTTGTTTTCGTGCACCCGACGTGTTTCATGTCTGCTGCATGTTGACAGCCACAGTGGTTGGGCAGATGCGAGAGAAGACAAGAAATCCATGATGTAATTTCGGCTGTTGCACCATGACGAATCTGGCGGTGTGTTTGGAGGCGCACCAACGGTGTCAGGTGGCTTCGTCCGTCTGTGTTGTACTCGTCCTCGAATAGTCGATTTTCTCACCGTCGTCTTGGGCCTTTTTCTTCGCTGTACCGTAACTCGTAGATAGAGCCGAGTTCCCGACACCGCCAACAGACACGGCGCCACACTTGAAGTATTCAATGGGGTCATTTCCTCGCAGCCAAGAGTCTGGTCCTTCTGGCGTTGCGTGTACCAAGAGGGTCTCGCGGGAAAGCTGCTCGAATCGAGGAGTGGCTGGAAGGACAACACCAACGGCCATTGGTGCAGACGGTTAGCCGGAAGAGCGACACAGTCAGTGATCGGCAGATAGGATGAGGCACTATGAGGAAAAAATAGCAGCATTATGACGACCGGCGCTTCACACGTGCGTGCCGATCAATCATGTCGATACGAGTAGGTGACTCTGATACAATGATACGCAGGACGATGGCTGTAAAGAGAGGTGATCGGAGGGTCGCCCATCAGTACGAGTACTGTGACGGTACGAAGTACGCCATGTCGGCTAGAGATGATGTGACGAACACCTGCCTGCGTGATCTCGATACCGCCCGTTCCTGTGGCTGGTGGTGGTCTGTGGGAACAGAGCAAAAAGTTTGTTTCTTCGCGTGTTTCATCAGCCCATCGGTAATCGAAGCAATCGAGTGCTGGAGCCCATGGGAAATTGAAAGAATGTGATGTGTGTGAGAGCGAGAGAGTTCGAGGGGAGGGTACACGGCGGAGGACGAGCGCACGCTGCAAAGGGCTAAGGGAGGGTCACCAGCCACATCCACTGGGCGTGATTAGGTTGCGTCTTCCGGGCACTGCGTAATAGTCTTTGCTACCGCCACAGTCTCGCCACCTGGTGAGCCACAACTGGCAGCGGCAGGAGAGACATGCAGAGGGGGACGCGTGGCTGTGCAGCCGTCGATCAAGTCGATCATTGTCTAGACTGGTCAGAGGAGGACGAATCGAGGGAAAATCCCAGCACGGCATGAGTAAGAAGAGCTACCGCTTCTGGTCACGGTCCGGGATCAACCTGGTATCGATGGCCGTCGACATTTTGTTTGGAGGGAAAGAGAGTGAAAGAGCGAGAGAGAGACGGGCGACGGGGGGACAGCGTCTCACCCAACGCAACAGCCACGTCGCCTGCAGTAAAATTGACGCCACGGTTATGGGCTCTTTGATCGCATGGCTCCGGGTGCTCGTCGCCAATGGATGGGGTCCCAGTGGGTGAGGAGCCACCGGTGCCACAGTGGCATGGTGGCCCATTCCATGCCTAACTAGCCCTAACCGGGGCCTAAGCCTATAGGGAGCTAGTAGACTTGGAATTAGGCTCCAGAGGCTAAAACCGGCCCCCTGCAACACTTTGACCACAGGCTGCTAGGCCGCTTCAACCCTTGTACGGCCAATTCCAGCATACAACACGGCGACGGAGTACACGATCTACTCGGTACCTGGTCATATCCTTCCGCTCTCGCTCCTACAAGTCCGTACCTCGATTCTCCTTCACCTCTAATCGAAAGCAAACCCACTTCCCTTGGTTCAAACCATCCTGGAATCTATCACCCCCAATCACAACACCTACTATTCCCTCCGACTCCGCTGAGGACAAAGGCCATCCAGGCCCATGGGAATATACAAGGACCAGGACTAGGACTAGCAGCATCCAGACACCCCCCGGTCGTTTGGACCTACTAGAAGACTTCACCTTCTCGGACCCGTACCTCATACACCTCACCTCACCTCACCTCGCCTCGACCGACCTTGCCCTACCTCGAGGAAAGCCAAAAACCTCTCGACTCTTTTTGTTCATTCGTGCTCCCCGGGACCTCTGTCGATCGTTCACTGTCGCTTCGTGATCATTGAAATACAGCCTCCCCCGTCCATTCCGTTGTGTTGCTCTCCTCCTACCACGAACTCCGTGCATTATTACGCGAGACACTTGCTATAATAAACATAGCCAACGCGCACGCAGCAAGGCGCAGCAACGCTCAACCACCTCACATATCCTGGTCTCGCCTCTCTTCTAGACTTCAACCTCCGGATCAGATCAGCTTCCCAATCCACGCCCCTACATGCCACTACGCCAAGTGGCATCACCACGTTCGACCATTAGACGTCCGGATGTCGTTGGTTTGACCCCAGTCACTCTGAGACTCGCAGCCTGAGACGCCACCTCCGCCGCAAATGTTTCGCAACCGGTTCGTCCTTGCGATCCCTTCGTTTCACTTGTTGCCGACTTGGCTCGCATACTGACCGTCATCTCTTTTGCACAGGCGCAATACCCAGAAACCCGATGAGCAGTTGTACGAGGCCTTCAAGCAGACCTTTCCCGACGTTGGCCCTGGATCAACCTCGTCAGCTGTTCAAGGGAAGGGGGGACCTATCCGCCGATCGTCCACTCTAAGCGAGGCGATTATCGACGAACCACCCACCACTCAACCGTAAGTCTCGATCTCTCTCTTCCTTTTCAGTTTCAACGTCTTCATCTATCTATCCTCCTGTCATGCTCGCGTTAGAATGTCTCCCAGCTCTCACCATGTCGCCCACACTTCTGTCTTCCGACCACGAAGACGACGTCGCTACAGACGCTGACTACTTCTCCAGAGGCTTCGACACTCAATCCGAAGCAAAAGAACAGGATGCTACACCCAAACCATTCACTGACACCTGGAGATTCACGCCCTCTATCATGGACCCCAACTCTTTCGCCTTTTCAGCCTTTGCCAACCAGCCGCCAGGGTATTACACACCCACGCCGGGTGGCTTTGGCACCCTCTACCATCCCCAAGCCGGTGACCTCCACACGCCGGGCATGGGAATGAATACGCCATTGTCAATGCCGCACTCGATTCATAGCCTCCATGCGCAGGATCCCATGATGCATCTCCAGCACTTCAACCCTCACCTCTTACAACAACATCAAATGTTTCACGACCCGTTCCAGCAGCAAGCACCCCTGAATGTGCCACCACCACCACCGCAACCACAGACCTTTGCACCTCAGCAGTTTCTTCAGCATCAGGATTCTGGCTACGTCGCAATGGACGACACCCCGCAGAAGACCACGCCAACACAGGCCGAGATAGGTCAGCAACAGTTGAGCAGGGGCCGCTCTATGCAGCAGTCTATGCCTGGCGTTGTTGGAATGACCAGTCTTCCAATGGGCGAGCAGTAAGTGCTTTTCTGGTTTGATCAAATAATTTTCTAATGCGTGATTTAGGTTTCGATTCCACACTACGTTGAATGCACCTACAGCGATGGTTCGACATGCAGACGAGATTCCCATCACATACCTCAACAAAGGCCAAGCTTATACGATGGCCATTTGGGACCAGACCCCACCCATGACACAGCTTCCTGGACAAACACCGTTCCAGTACCGCACCTATGTCCGAGTTTCTTTCGAGGATGAGCAACAGCGAGCACGGCCCGGGTCCTGTTGGCAATTATGGAAAGAAGGTCGCGGCTCAAACGAGGCTCATCAGCGCGGAGGAAGGCTCCTTGCAGTAGAATACGTCGAGCCCGATTCGGGCGACGACGAACTGCGGAGAGCTCAGGTCCAACTTGAAAAGGCGTCTTTCGACGGCTTTGCTGTGACTTGGTTTCCCAACTCTGTAAATGGTGGCCCCGACTGCACTTTGTCCCTTCGCTTCAATTTCCTTTCGACAGACTTTAGTCACTCCAAGGGCGTCAAAGGCATTCCGGTTCGACTGTGCGCGAAAACGGAGATCCTCACACCGGCAGGTCCCAGTCAAGAGCCAGAAGTGTGCTTCTCCAAAGTCAAGCTGTTCCGAGATCATGGCGCAGAGAGAAAGCTTTCGAATGACGTCGCACACGTGAAGAAGACAATCGAGAAATTGAAGCAACAAATCGCTCAAGCCGAGGCGGGTTTAGCAAATTCTGGAAAGAGGAGGAGAAGCGGATCCATAGCCAAACCTTCCGGGTCTCGACCAGGCAAAGTCATGAAGCACAAGCGCACTTGGTCAGTGGACTCTGAGAGCGAGGGCCTCAAATTCTCGGCTGAAGAAGACCTTCAAATCAAGCTGGTCAGCATGCAGGATATGTTCTCTTCGACGAAACCGATCAGCGTGCTCTTCCTCCGAGGAGATCCAGAGGACGACCCGGACCTGCATCCAGTCAAACTACCAGGGGACGATCCTGACATGAAGGAGATCGTGAGGACAACAACTTGGGAGTCACGCCCAAGTGTCTCAAATTCGCCCACATCCAATGCCGATTCTCCAAGCTCGAGCTCAGCATCCCAGGCTACTCCAAAGAGGAGATTCTCACAACTGCAACAGTCGGCGATCCAAGAAGAGGGTGAAAGCGAGGCTGAAAACAAGCCAAGCGCCTCGACGTCGAAGGCCATCAAGATACCAAAGACGGAGCCTGAATCGGCATCGAAGAAAGATTTGTTCGCCGTCGATGTGGACAGTGATTACCATCCACCAATCGAGAAACCAATTCGACCAGGTAGGTTGTCTATGTCTGTCTACAGAATTCTCACTGACGTGTTCACAGTGGCATGTTTCTACGTGCGCCAGAAAGATGCAGCCAAAGAATACTATCGGGCGGTCTATCTGATGCAAAGAACAGTCAAAGATTTAATTAATGGCATCTCGGAGAAATTCAACATAGATCCTCACCGGGTCACCCAAGTGACACACATCAACTCTCGAGGACTGCACATCATTGTCGACGAAGACGTGGTCCGAGAGCTTCCTGAAGGACAGGATATGATTGTCGAATTCGCCCCAACCCAAGCCGATCTATCACTGAAACAAGAATTCGTGGCACCGTCCAGCACCGAAGTCATGGTGGACGGTGAGATTGGGCCCACCGACACGTCCATTCTGGATCCTCTGGAGATGTGGTTGAATTATTGACCTATTGACCGACGAATGCGCGCAACTTTTACAATCAATCCCTCGAAGTTTGATTTTGCTATTTGTTAATTTACTTATTTTCCATCACGAACACGACGACTTTCCTACGGCATATTCCAATCTACTACAAGAAGATTCTGGCTTTGCTTTGTCAATAAGCCAGTGCTATACTATTTGATACCCCGAATGGCGCGAGGCCATACCAGTTGCAACACGGCAGCACAGCTGGGTTTTTTGTCATTTGTTTCACCTCGGACGGGTCTGTACATTGATTTCAGCGACAAAGAAGGTGGTGGAAAAGAGGAGGAGGTATCTTGCGAAGTTTTTTTTTGGTTGGGCTTCCCTTCAAAGGACACACTTCTTACTACAACCCCGAGGGGTTTTTTCTTTTCAGTACACACGACAGGACGACTGAATGACGGGATGATACACGGGTCCCTGAACCAAAGATCCGCCTTATTCATTTTGACGAGATACATGAACTTTCGAGATACCCACATTGTCAGAAAACTATCCTTTTTTTTCCTTCTCTATTTTGTGAAGAGGTGGCAACAAAGATCAATCAATGTGTCGACCATCTAATTTTGGCTCTTTTGAGTCCTTGTTTATTTTATTGGTGGGAGAGAGGCTTCTGTAGCCGAACGAGGGTCTTGTCGTACTCGCGAACGGGGGAAGCGAGGAAGGGGTGGGATGAAAACGGGGAGAAAGGGGAGACCGGGGGGGACCATTGGATTGAATTGACCACCCGAGAGACAAGACTGTGGCGATATTCACTAGATGGGTTTTTAAAGTCGTTGAACCCCCCGGTATTGTGGTGGGCAGACAAAGAACCACGGAGCCAAAAGACACGGCTCGTACGGGAAATATACGAGACGAGTACAAGATTTTTGTTGGTGATTAGGTTAGCAAATTCTAAGAAAAGATTTTGTGCAAAAGTAACAAAGTCATTGGTTTGTTCGAGTCACAAAAGTCCTCCCTTCTCCCCTCGCCCCCCCGGCCCTTGGGGATCGGCGGTGACAAGAGTATCGTACGAGTAGGAGAGTACGCGGCTCAAATATCCAGTGATTGTGAGTGGTTACAAAGGATTGGAGGACAGTGACAGCAACGAACATGAGAAGCATTGAGTAGGTGACGAGTACCTCGTATTTGCAGTGTAGATCAAAGTTTTGTGGAGAGATATGCAGGGACTGATGGAGAATGTGGCAAAAAGCAAAAAGAGGATTCAGGGTTTTGTGGCTGTGCAAAGAGACGAGTCTACGAGTTACGAAGTAAAGGGAGATACATTTCTCGTAGAGAATGATGGACAGTGATTGGTTTCCTTCAAAAGGATGTTTTTGAACTATTTAGTTTGTCCAGGTTCTGGAACATGCATGAAGCTAGAATTTTGATAAGTAAAAAAAGAAGAAAAAAAGGGTTTCTTTTGTCCTTGAAAGGCCGAGGTGGTTCGACCGTAAAGAAACTTACCCAGCCAAGGTAGATGATACTCCTGACCGTCGTGCACATAACGAGTATGTATGGAGTCCGGCGTTTAAAAAAAAAGAGATGTACAATACTGAGTATGTTGGTGAGACATGGGGAAAGGCTACTGGCAATAATACCCAAGTCTGCGAGTTTAGTAAAATGATTTACTCTGTATCCTATAGAATTATATTAATAGAATAGGGGTCTACTTACTGCAACGAGTGAGTAGTCTAGGGTACAGGTGATGATCTGGATCATCATTTCTAAATGATTTCATCTATGATTTCCCATCCTCGTTCGACTGGAAAGATACACTAACTGGTACTCGGTACTCATGATCAACAAGGGGAGGCCACGTCAGATAGAGTAGGTAAGTAATTGAAAGTAAAATATCCGAGACAATTCTACTCGTTACAGTTATGAAATGTTGATACTGTAGGTCGGAATTTGGGTTGGAATATTCTTGTTTGAATTACTCCGTATAGTATCCCAAACGTGAAGGAGAGGAAGTGAGAGGGAGTTTTTTTCTTCTTGGTGGCGCAGCAAAAAGTACCTGGGTACTTCTGTACTCTTACTCCAGTTTTACAGAGTGCAGAAACGACAAACAAACAAACTACAGACCACAAGTACTGGACCTCGTGAAGTAGTATAGCAATAATACTGCATGTACTGCACCGTAAGTGGTGAACGGAACCAGATGGTCTTCATCAGTCTACCTTGCTTGTTAAAATACTGTATGATATACTACGAGTAGAAACTGTGTCAACTTGAGACGGCATGTCTTTTTTGGATTCATAATCTCAAAAAGAAAACTGTACTCGAGCATGTTATGCATGATGGTCACCACATTCATCGAGGAGAGACTAAGATACGAATTGAATGGAGGAAATGTCTGATGATGAAGACAAAGGAAAAATGATCGATATCTGACCACCAGTGTGTTGAACGAGTCTGAAATACTCCAGTACCAAGAGGAACTCAGTATGTCTCTGCTTCAAAGGGTCAGACACCAACAAAATGTATGAGACGAGTAGATTGGAATTGTCAAGTAACCTAAAGACCAAAGGGGTTCAGTATATAATATCTCTTGTTCAAAAGGTCACTCACGTACACAAAGCATGAGACTAAAGCATTGAGACTGTTAGGCATCTCAATAGCAAGCTCATCAAGTGCATCTCTTGTATCGTGTCTTGACAGAAATACAGGACGGTAATATCATCCATTCCCTTCTCGCTCATCTGAACAGAGGTGACCACCTACACCACCCACTCCCAGGTATACCAATTACAGGTATCTTGGTGACAGTATTCACGTCTGTGTGACGTCGGCAACAATTGGTGAACAATGGAAAACCTCATTCATGGTAACTTACCGTGTATCAAAGAGTAGTACTCACAGTATTGACCGCCTCACGTGTCGACACGGTCGCGATTACCACCGCCAACCTTTCACCAAAGGCGTCGCGAGATCAATTTAAAACACACATTCACTTCCTCACACCGTTGTTGATTCTCTCGCTCAGGCACAATGAAATTATTCCTCGTCGCGACTTACTTCTCCTTCTTCTTCTTCTTCCATCGCCAAAACTCCTTCCTATCTTCCCACTCCTCTCGTCGCGACGATGCCCACCTACTATTCTGTCCTCGGAGTCGCGCAGACCGCAGACATTGCGGCAATCTCTTCCTCCTACAAGAAACTCGTCCTCAAAACCCACCCTGACAAAGGTGGAAAGGCCGAAGAGTTTATTCGCGTTCATGACGCCTATGAGGTCCTCTCCAACGTCGCGACGAGAGCAGCATATGACGAGGAACTGCAAAAACGGTGCCGTCCTCCTCCTCCTCCTCCTCCAAGAGCACCACCACCACCACCACCACCACCACCGTCAGACAGAGCCAATCGCTCTCCGTTCACCACACCACCACCAAGACCTGTTCCGAATGAGTACGCTTTCCGTAGGCCTCGTCCCGACGACAACGACAACTTCACCACCGGTTCACCGCCACCTCGGATGAGAAGGCCTCGAGCAAATGCCTTCTTCGCAAGAGACGGACCAGGAGCAGACACGCATGGAAATGGGCAGCGGCAAGCAGAACTCAATGATCCCGATAATATTGCAGCCATGAGGGCAGAGCTGGATGTTTTCAAGCGACTCTCAACACGAGCAACAAATTATCATTGGTTTGTAGAGAAGTGGATCAGGAACCTGACGAGTTGCGTTGGAGCCGACCGGCTGGGAGACATCATGGCGTATGTGGCTCATTTCGAGGTCAAGCTCAAGCAGAACATGGACATGCTGGCATTGAGACAAATGACCATGACCTTGATCATCGGAGGTGGCCCGGCCGCAAACATGTTTCCAGATCCTCCACCATTGGACGTGGGGGTGACCTGCCGCGCCATGGCCGACCTGGACAAGGCTGTCACCAGATTCCAGGATATTGCTTGGGGCGTGATCTGCATTGCGGTGCGGTTGAAGGAAGTACAAACGGGAGAAGCGGATGGTGCCGTGGACGGCAACAACCCTGACGTCTTGAATCGAAGATTGGGAATTGTACTCAATGGCATGAAGAAATTCTTGGAGACGGTGCTGTTCCAAAAGAATTGTTGGTTCGAAGAACGTAACAGAGCAAGAACATTTGGAGTCTGAACATGGGGCGGCCATTGACGAGATCGACGGTGTGTTTTTATGCGATTTTACAGCTGAAGAGACCTTTGGCACCTCTCACAGTACCCAGTTGGTGGAATTTGACTCGGCTGCGTTGAGACATTTGGTGGTCGCGTTGTCAAGAGCTGATTGATTTCTTCTAGTAGCAGTGTCAGATACGAATCGACACCCGAGTAATTAAACAACAACAGCAGGAAGTTGTTTTGTTTCCTTTAATAAAGACGCCTTGAACGAATATCACCTGCTTCCTACCGTTGATGAATCAGTCGTGGCGATAGAGATGAAAATTGAACGCATGTATCAGTCCACCGGTTAAAAGAGCCTTGAAGATAAACCGATGGCCGTAGAATCCGCAGCATGACACGGTCTGTACTCGTAAGCCCGTTGTGGTGGGTTGTATGGATATGGAGGAGGGAAAAAGGGGCGATGTATTCGGCACTCTAAGAGTGTCCAGATGCCACGCCAAGTCTGCGCTAAACCAAAAACAGCCACGTCGTCGCGGGCTGGAAAATGAGCATCGACCAACTTCAAACTGCTGTCAAAATCGCCTGTCAAACGCGTGAGCATTCAAAACACTCGAGACTGGTTCTGATCCAAGGGTCTGGAGGTGAAGATGCACGCACTGTCCCAAAATGACGATTTCCTCGCCATGAAACACCCTGCTGCACGAGTAGGTGACGCTGATACCACTACCGCCCGGACGCCCTTGACCACGCGAGACAAAAGATCCCATACGATTCGGATTTTGTCTGGTCGAGAAACAGAGTCGAAGAGCGGTCCTGCACACACTCTAGGACCCTGACAGATCTTCTGGACCTCCCAGACGCGACTCAAGCGAGGTAGGGTGAGTAGTTTGTCTTTTCCGAATTTGATTGACAAGTCACGACGTTTGTTAAACGACTTCCCTGGCTTGTGAAAGAGTTTTACATGTCCGACACACGACCAAGAACACCCTTCGCTTCCACTTTTGAAAGCTTCCATCACCTTTCATTGCCATTACGGGAAGACCAAATGACCGAAATCGAGATGGATGTGTCCCGGTCAGTGACCCTCGACCATTTTGCCCCTGCCGGTCACTGGTCGAATCGGGCAACTTGACGTCCAAGACGACATCCCTCAGACGTGGTGTCTATGCAACATCTGGGTGCCGCCTAGACCACCCTCTTCTCTTACCTCATCGTTGACATGGCCCTTTCACCTTGTCTTTCTGCCGTTTTTGTTATCAATGCACACCTGCCTGTGACGTGAGGCCTGTGGAGGTGCACGAATGGGGCTCTCCAGGCTCGAACTCGCCGTCCATGGCTCTCTACGGAGTCCCTTCATACGCGATTGCTCCCCCTTCCGGCTGGCCTTTTGCCAGTTCGCTCGCGTGTGCCCTGTGCTGAAACCTTTTTTTCTCTTTTTGCAGAGCCACGAACCCTCATATACCTCATGGGGTGGTCCGTTCTCGCGTATCTATCTACCCTCTTTCTCTCTACTCCCTCTTGTCGAAGTTGGGCTTTTTGCTGTACGCTCTTTCTTAAATGGTTTAACCAGGCACCAAGTCTGGAGAGGAGGTTGAACTTTATGGCGAGCGAGGTGCAGGCGAAAGGAGACGGACAACAGTATCATGGATCAGTCTTGGAAATTCTCACAATCGTTCTTGCTTGTGTTTCGGTCCTGGTGGTGACGGTGCGTGGAGTGGCGAGACACCGGATCAGTCGAATCGTTGAATCTACCGATATCTTGTTGCCCGTTGCTCTGGTGAGTGACACCCGTCTTTGCTCTCTGCCACCGTTGTATACACAACAACAGGACGCTCATCACAACAATATAAACAGGTGTTTGCACTGGCACAAACCGCGTTTGTACGCTTGGCGATCTCGAATGGCCTCGGCCGTCATGTCGACACGTTGGATGCAGATCAGGTATCAACATTCGAAAAGGTATGTTTTGTTGATCTTTCTTCGAAAACGACTAGGGATCCAGAGCTGGGGGCTGTAGTACTGGATATATGAATGAGAGTGCTGACTTGTATCTCCTCGGTAGCTCACCTACGGGGCGAACCTCCTTTTTCAACTTGTACTTGCTTTGGGCCAAGTCATTGTAGTACTGCTCATCAAGAATGTCGAGCCACCACGGCTGGTCCGGATTGGTTGCAATTGCTTGCTTGGAATCATTGTCGTATACTCGGCGCTTGCGCTGGCCATACTTGCATTCCAATGCTCTCTTCCTACGCCATGGTTGGTGGCGGCCGACAGATGTGTCGACCGAGTGAGTCTTGCCTTCTGATACTTGTTCGACCTACGACGTATACTGACCATTGCAACCCGCAGCAAACATTCCTTACGTCCTTCATCATCGCCAGCATCGCCATAGATGCCGCCACGCTCGTTATGCCCGTCATCATGATGTGCAAAGTATCAACCACCCGCGACAAAAAGATCTTTGCCTGCGTGCTGTTCGGCACGAGGTTCGTCTTGCCTCTGGTCACGGCTCCTCAAATCTACCATCTCCGACTCGTCATCGTCTCCAAGGACCCGACGTGGGACCTGGTCACCCTGCAGACCTGGGTTCAGGTCGTCATGAACCTCAGCATCGTCACCGCCTCGTTGCCTTCCCTCGGTAAGGTCATGTGGGATCTTTGGGCTTTCGGTTCGAGTGTGGGAGCCAATCGGTCCGTCAAGAGCACAAACACCTCCAAAGACTTTGGACACGAACTGGGGTTCGAGACGGGCCCGCCACGGTACGAGTACCGAGAAAAACAAGGTCTCAGTGAACCCGGTCCCGTCATCTACGCGCCCGAGAAGGACACCGACGACGACAACTGGAGTGAACAGGTCCTCGACAAGGTTCGGGAAATAGGCAGTGTCGAATCTTATGATGCAGTCATCGACCATTATGAAAAGTCACATCACAATGATGAGAAAAACCGACAACAACAAAAGCAGCAGCAGCAGCAGCAGCAACAGCAACAGCAACAATTTCGTCATGGTCCTCCACCATCTTCATCTTCCCTGTCTCGGGCCCCTGCACCCGCGTACACTCCATCCGGCAGGTACCGTAGCAACAATTACTACCGTCGCCCGAGCATATTGTCTCCGGTGATTGAACGATCTCCGTACATTGACGGTACGACACCTCGTGTGCCTTCTTCACCTTCTCAACATTGGGGGAATTTCAAACCACAACAACATCATCATCAACCGCAACCGCAACAACCACCACAACAATCACCATCGCAATATCAAAATGACGACGTCCTCCTCAGACCTCCACACTCTCCACACGTGGACTCCCCCAAGCCCCCCTCGTACGCCGCCAGTTCTCACTACGACGACGACCGTTGTTCGGAATTCGAGCAATCCGAGTTCGACGTCGACAGTTATTACTTTGGCAACACGAATTACCTCCGACAGTACGACCCGCGGAGGACCGACATGGTCCTCCAGAGTATGATTGACGACTTGCAAAGGGAGAATTCTCAAGTTGACCCTTCCAAACGGTGGGAGCACGGTTGGATATGATTTTTCACACTTTCGGGGGGGGGAAATGTTTACGAGGATGCCCGCGTGCGAGTGTCTAATGCTTGGGTGTGCATATATGTATATGTCTATATATGTGGCAGGTGGTTCTGACCAAAATGGAAAGTCATGTCACATCTTCAACGACTTTTTATCCATGTCTACCTACAAAGTAGAGTAAGAAACAATCTGCCACGGTACTTTTTCAATTGTACACTTTCTCCCCAGATACAGAACTATTCACATGTCCACATTTCAGTTCGTTCATGGGTAGTGACTGAGGAGTGACTCGATTGATGTTTCAACAGCGCACGGAAAATCACCAAAACAGCCCTGAAGATTCAGAGCATCATGTCAATAACTTATTCCCTTGTCGTCGACACCTTTCAAAGTCACATGACAGTTGTCTGTTTTTTCTATTCCAAAGTAGCGCTAGCACGAAACAACATCATCAATCTATGCTCGCTCCGATGACTGCAAAGATACTGTACAGCTGTACCCCCACGCTGAACGCTACAACATGCATCTCCGACACAACACTGCTGGTAATGGTGCCGCTGCCGTTGCGGCCGTTGATGCTGACGATATCATGTCCCATTCACTCATCTTCGACTCGGCTAGAGCGAGGAGGATATGTCAATGCTCGTCTCGGTTTCCTGGTTGGTGACCGGCCTGTCGATGGGGGATGGTATAATGGTGTGATTGGAATTTCCTTGGACTCGTCGAATTGATCTCCTTCACCCTGCAAGTCCGACTCTTCAGGTTCGACGGTGATCTCATCATGATTGGTGAGTGAGGATTTGCGTGCGGGATTGGGAGTAGGCGGTTGAGAGGTTTCTGCCGATCGAGTTGGGTCGGAACCCGTGATCAGGCTGGGGGCTTTATCACCACCGTGACTCGTCGCATGATTGAGCATGATGCTGTGGCGTCTCAAGGTCGATTGATGCGGACCCGAAGGGGTGTCGTAACCCAATTGGATGGTGAGGTCGACTCTAGCGACGTCTTCCAGGGACGACCCTTGAGGCAGGATGGACGCGATCTCTTCGGACAGAGTGCTCGACGGAGAAACGGGCTTGTTGTTACGACTGACATAGACATCCGCCAGTCTCCTCGCGGCAACCACGAGGCGCTCTCGAACTTCTGGCTTCTTGAGGTACGCGTTGGTCTTGCTTTCGATCTCGCTGGGACCGTCGGTGTCCTTGACGGCCCTCCAGTTGTCAAGCTTGATGTGATGGAGTCCGGTGTCGGCACTGAACCTATCAAAGAAGAACTGATCCGGAATGATGCTGGAAATGTACGACAAGTCAATCGCCCGCTGTTCGGATTCCGTCGCAATCTTGACCAGATCTGAGACAAGACCAAGTGCATTGACCACCCCGTTGGGGACCATCTTAGCCCACCATGGTCGTGTCGGTAATGGCTGCGCGAAGAATTCTTGTGGTAGGGTCCCTGTCCCGATATTGATCATAACCAGCTGTTCGTCCTCGTTAAGCCCGTGGTTCTTGTGGTAGTGAAGTTTGCCTTCCCAAGAAGGATTGTTGGTCTCGCCCAGACCGCCGTCAGTGAACGAGCGCCCTCTTATGATCATCGGTTCAAAGTACGACGGAGCTGCCGAAGTTGCTCGAGCTGCCTGCCGTAGTTCCAGGTCGCAGTCAAGGATCTGCTGTCGGTACGGCCCTTGGCACTCGTGGGTGCAGAAGAAGATGGGATGTGGATTGGGTCTTTCATGGCAAAGAACAGTTCCTTGCATGCTGTTTGGATGCGGACTGCGCATTTTCAGGTCAGGGGGGTGCCCTCGCGAAGCCAGCAGACTTTCAATCGACTTTTGCAGTTCTCTGCCGGAGAACTTTGACCAGTCGCCAAACACTCTCTTAATGGTTGGCCGTTCCTTGGCAAAGATCCGTCCAGAGAGAATCTTATATTGTTCGATGCACTCGTCGATGGACATGTTGAGTTTGACGAGCATGAGGACAATCAGACCACCAGTGCTAGTACCGACGGCGATGTCAAAAACATCTTGGGGGTTGAGGATGGTCCGATCTTTGGGAATTGTGTTGCGTTTGGCCAGCTCTTCGGTGACAAGGATGAGTAACAAGCGTAAAATGAGCAATGATGACAGTCCACGAACGCCCCCTCCATCTAGCGATACCATGGCAATTGGGCGAGAGGGCACCGTGTCGGCGACTGCTGCCTTAGGGCTCATGGCGATGGAGAGGACACTGATTGTACACCGTATTGGATATGTGTTTGTAGCCTGACGATAGGCGGTGTCCGGGAGCTTATTCCAAAGCTTTGTTCCACGAAGTTGAAGACCAATCCTATTCCTACTTGTTTGCTGCTGTGTCGTATTACAATGAGTTGACAGAACCAGGGACTCGCTGACCGCAAGATGGAGCAAATCGTTGATATAAAAGCATGTGCTCGTGACGACAAATTCCCTTGAACACGACGAAGACACCTTGATCAATTCTTAACATAACAGGAACTCGAAGGGTGCATTGGACTCAGTGCCTGTGGCCCCTAGGTCTGGGGTGCAAAGGTCCCAGAAAAATGCTTGACTCAAAGCGGGATCAGCCTTAAGCCGGCGCCAGATGATCAGGCGCAGTCATAGAGTCCCATCACATCCGCAGGTGATTTCAATCTCTTGGATAGCTAAGAGATTGATTGGTTCGAGGCGATGGTTTGTACAGGGGGGTGTGATTAGGCTGCAGCCATGGGGCTGAAACGACCAAAAGAGGCGATGCTCAGGTGGCCCCTTGAAACCCCGATCGGATGAGGGCGTCCATTGCCTTGCCAAAAGTGCCAGGCTGTGCACACGACAAAAACCGCGCAACCCATGATGGTACTCGTCAGATTTCAGAGGCAGTGATGGTGTCGTCACACATCATCAACTTGCTCGTACTCCGTCTTCAACGGTCATGGGGTGAATTGGGCCACACGTGACAAGGCTCGGCGCATCACGCCTCTTTGCCCACTGCCCACCAGCTGGTCATAAGTCCCCAGGTCGACATTGTTTGGAGAATCGCAAGTCATGAGTTCATCAGATTCGGTTCGAATAAAATCACAGTCAGTGGAGTTGTCAGTTGAAGGCATCGAGACACACGGAATGAGCGAACAACGCCCTCTCAAAGTTCTCACCTTAGGTAGGTTGCATTCTAGGCCCCAATGTCGATTGTTCTCAGTACTAATGACTGTAGATGGTGGCGGTCTGCAAGCTTTGGCAACACTGAGCAGTCTCAACACTGTATGTAAAGAGATTGCCAGACAGAACGAGGCCACTAGAACTCCAGCTCCTCACGAATTGTTTGACGTGATCTGTGGCGTTGGTACAGGAGGGTAGGTTCCTCTCAAACTAAACATTGCTTGATACTGACCAAAGGAATACAGATGGATTGCTTTGTTGTTGGGGCGGTATCGTCTCGATATTGCGACTTGTATGGCCGTATACATGGAAATCGCACGGAAGGTTGACTGCGCAGAGCGAACGAGTCGATGGCACAGACGCAATCGTTGCTTCAAACTCGATCAAGATCGATTGGTCAAGGTTATCGAGGAGACATTGCAACGGTATGATCTGGATGCGACATTACTCTCTGCAACTTCAATCAATCCTACCTTGAATGATGGTCGGAGTAGATGCAGATATGCGTGAGTCCGAGCTTGACCCTCAATCAACCCTCATGCCACCTTGACTGACAATCACAGATTTGCGGTGGGTGTGGTACAGCAGTCCAAGCCACAGGAGTCGAAGTACGAGCTATTCAGGTCATACCTATTACCTGCAAACACAAAGACCACACTGCCAGGGCCTCGGCCAGACAAATGTCGCATATCCCAAGCATTTGCGGCAACTGGAGCTGCCAAATTTTTTCTCAAGCCCTACAAGGTTGAACATACCTCTTTCTTCGATGAGACCTTTCCTCAATCACATCCGATTACCGCAATCGCCCTTGATGAAATTTTTGGTCTCTATGGATCCGACTCTGAGATATCGGTTCTGCTAAACATTGGCCCCGGAATACCTTCAGAGGAAGACTGCAGGGAACTCGATGAGATGTCGACGGGCCCAGTGGAGCGATTGACGAGGAAGTTCTCTTGGCCCAAACGCAAGCAAAACTCTCTGTCAGAGCAAGAGGGCGAGGATGTGAGTCGGGAAGAGCTAGAGGAGTCGACCTCGTCGCTTTCAAGCTCGAGTGAACGCGCCTTGAGGCTTGACCGTCAGACGCGTGTGGACGTCAAAGCAAGACTGAAGCAACTGTATGGAGATGCCGGTCCGGAGAAATATCATCATCTTGGGCCAGATTACTCGCTGGAGAAAGCATCACTGAATGATGTCCGTGCAATCCGGCTCTTCCGAACGCAGTCTAGCGAGTCGCAGGCAAGCAGTGAGGAGATTGAAGGCACTGTCAAGCAGTTCTGGGTCAACGCGAGGGCTTGAGGGTGGATGCATATACGAGATTTCTGCAGTCCGTAAGTAGAATAACTTGATCGTACAATACCAGTGCTATGCTGTGAAGAGAGGTGTGTGGTGATGGCGATGGATGATTCGTGCACGGAGGATCGAGTCCAGGAACAAGCGGCATAATTAGTGAGGGACACATGGGCGCCGCAGTTTGTGTTCTGTGGCGCCTCATGACGCCTACTGCGAATCCATACTGCATCGGTAGATGGCTAAGCAACAACAAGCTCACTAGAGGCCGCGTGTACCTAAGCAGGTGGGTTGACGAGGGCGCTGAGTCGGCACTTACAGGGATGTCCAGGCCTGTCTCTGGGTATCGCAGGGATATTCTAGGGATCACCGGTACCTCCAACTCCATTTTTCTCCAGGCACTACGCAGTAGCTGCACCATCACATTTCACCCCCGCCTATCGTCGTCATTCACACCACATGAAAAGTGCGCAGTCTCGCGTTGGGTTTCGCTCTCATCATCATCAACGCATGCATCACTCATCAAGCCAGCTCACAACCTACGTCGTCATTAACTTCCATAGTAAAACCAAGGTGGCAGAAGCTGCTCACGTCCAATCATATCCTGTCTGTGCGCAAGCTGCCCAGTTTCCTGGCAAAAAGCAGCTGTAGCTGGATTTCCTCCACCACTGTAAGTTGCTACGTGGAATGCTTCTACTTCCTTTGACCGCCTCTCCTTGCCACTGACTTTCACAGGCCTTCTGATCTTCTTCCCCTTGTGCCTTCTTATTCTTCATCTCACCCTCACCGTCTCTGACCTCCTTACCAATTCCATACCAGCAAAAATGGTGAATCTTCACAGTGTCAAGACCGACCCTCATCAGGGCAGAGACCTTCCCGCTAGAAGAGCCTCCCTCGTCCCTGGCCTCGAACACATCTCTCTGGCAGCCCCTGGAGATGATGAATTCTCTACCTCTGTCTATGGATCCAGCTTTGCTGCTCAGGACTTGCCTAGCCATGAAATGCCGGAGAAAGAGATGCCAAAAGAGATCGCATACCGCATGATCAAGGATGAACTCAGTCTGGACGGAAACCCAATGCTGAAGTGAGTCTGAAGTGTAACACTCTCCATAGATACTGACAACGTCTCTATAGTCTTGCAAGCTTTGTCACCACCTTTATGGTATGTCTTCATTGCCCGCTGTACCCAGCCCAAGCCGGACGTTTGCTAACCCCGCTTTCAGGAAGACGAAGCAGAGAAACTCATGACCGAAGCCTTTTCCAAGAACTTTATCGACTACGAAGAATACCCACAGACTGCCGAGATCCAGAATCGGTGTGTCAACATGATTGCTCGTCTCTTCAACGCACCGGATCAGGCAGATGGAGGCAATGCTATTGGTACATCCACAATTGGTTCCAGTGAGGCCATCATGCTGGCTGTCTTGGCCATGAAGAAGAAGTGGCAGAAGGCGAGACAAGCAGAAGGCAAAGATGCTTCAAAGCCCAACATCATCATGAATAGCGCAGTTCAAGTCTGTTGGGAAAAGGCTGCTCGCTACTTTGATGTCGAGGAACGATATGTCTACTGCACTGAGGATCGCTATGTCATTGACCCCGAGGAAGCAGTCAAATTGATTGATGAGAACACTATTGGCATCTGCGCCATCTTGGGCCTCACATACACTGGAGAGTATGAAGATGTCAAGAAGATCAATGACCTTCTAGTGGCGAACAAGATCGACTGCCCCATCCACGTTGATGCTGCGTCTGGTGGATTCGTGGCTCCCTTTGTCAACCCTAACTTGGTCTGGGATTTCCGTTTGGAGAAAGTGGTTAGTATCAATGTGTCTGGCCACAAGTATGGTCTGGTATATCCTGGTGTTGGTTGGACGGTTTGGAGATCGCCAGAGTACCTTCCCAAGGAACTCGTCTTCAACATCAACTACCTCGGTGCTGACCAAGCCTCTTTCACTCTGAACTTCAGCAAGGGCGCCAGCCACGTCATTGGCCAGTACTACCAGATGATCCGTCTGGGCAAGCGTGGATATCGCAGTATCATGCTCAACCTCACTCGCACATCTGACTACCTCGCGGCTCAATTGAGGGCTCTGGGTTTCCTTCTCATGTCTCCAGGAGGTGGCCGCTCTCTCCCAGTGGTTGCTTTCCGCTTGGACCCCGATGACGAGCACCAATTCGATGAGTTTGCCATTGCCCACCAGCTCCGTGAACGTGGCTGGGTTGTCCCTGCCTACACCATGGCTCCACACAGTAACAACCTCAAGATGATGCGTGTCGTTGTCCGTGAGGACTTCAGCAAGCAACGATGCGACAGTCTGGTCAACGACATCAAACTTGCACTGCAAGTCTTGGGCGAGATGGATCGTAAGACCATGGAAACCTTCCAACAGTATGTATGCAGACGGAAGGCCTCGTGTAGTGTACTAACCTCCCATACCAGACATATCAAGAACCATACCCGTCACGGCAGAGCAGGGACAAACATCCACACCTACAAGGACGAGAAACACTCTCTTCAAGGCAAACATGGCAAGAGTCATCCTGTGTGCTAGACCTTTGGTGATTGGTGAATGGTGAAAGGTGAAAGGGAAAACAAAATCAACATTCTTTGGAAAGAGCTATTCACTGAATTGTGGTGCTGGTTCTCACAATTGGGGGATGAAATTGCAAGAATAACTGATATGCAGATCACGCGTAGCTAGTTTGTCTGAATCAAATCACCTCCTCGAGTTGCTAGCAAATTAATTATGTCCTCGCGGGTATGTGTTTTTCAGTGATAGATGACCAGGCCTGTCGATTATGAGTATACTGTACCAAATTATGTACTCCATGTCCGCGTGTACGAGGTAATATTATGATGTAGATGGAGGTAGTTAACTATCAATGTCAAATCCCCAGATCTCGCCTCTTCAACCTCTTGTAACCTATAGTCTCTGCCATGGCATATGTGCCGTTCGGGTTTGGGACACCGCCGTGACCAGGACTAGGCGGGGGAGGTCCAGTCTCCCACACGACCGGGTTGGTTCCGAGGAAGAACTCGACAGTGCCACCTTGGACCATGACGTCGGTGTGCTGTAGCCAGTTCTGCGTCCAATTCCGACCGTTGACGACGACGGACTGGACGTAGTAACTGGCGCTGGCGTCGTCGAGCCCGTGAGCGACGATTCGCAACGTGGAATTGTTGTTGATGGTGACGTTGACGTCGCCGAACCACGGCGAACCCAGCAGGTAAACGGGCTGGGTGACTATCGGGTACAGACCCAGCATCTGCCACAGGAGCCAACTGTTGAGGGCGCCGGCGTCGCTGTTGCCCGGCACGCCGTAGTCGGAGTTGTGGAAAAACTCGTTGGCGAGGCTGCGCGACTGCTGCGCGGACTTGTGTTGTTTGTTGACGTAGTGGTAGAGGTACGGCGTGGCAAAGTCCGGCTCGTTGCCGATGTTCATGATGGTGGTGATGCCGGCGCCGTTGGCGCCCAGGTTCTGTTGCGACGTGTTGGGCCGGAAGATGTAGTCGAGGCGGGCCTCGAAGGAGGGGGCGCCGCCCATGAAAGCCACGAGCGTCTCGACGTCGTGAGGCACCACGAACGAGTACTCGAACGGAGTGGCCTCGTAGGTGATGGCGTCCCACTCGCACCCGCCGCAGAGAGCAGGGTTGTAGCCCGACAGGTTGAACTGGCCGTTTTGGAGCCGAGGGGCCAGAAACCCCGTGAAGACCTCGGGCGTCGTGTTAACGCTCACAGCGTCGTGAGACCAGTTGTTCTGCCACTGCGCCGACCGGTTGAGGTACTTTTGCGCGTCCTGCGGCGCCTCCCCGAGCGCCACCTGGTAAAGCGAAAAGTCGTTGAGGGAGTACTCGACGCTGCGCGAGAGGGAGCGAGCACTGCCGTCGACCGACAGGTAGCCCAGAGGGATCCAGTCGAACAAGGCCCCGCGGCCCTCCTTGACGCTGCCAGTCATGTCGAGCGGGCTGAACGTGTTGTAGGGCACCACTTCGGCGTCTTTGACCATCGCTTGGTAGCCTGCCGTCCAGTTGATGCCGCGACGTAGGCCCTTGACGTAGGCGTCGGCGAGGATGTTGTCGGCGTTGGAACCTCCTTGAGTCAAACCGTTGTAGTTTCCGCTTCTACCGTCTGGCATGTAGCCTTCGTGCCGCCAGATGTCGATCAACGATCGGATCATGCCTTCGTAGTAGTCCGGTTGGAGTAAATGGTACAACGACACCGTGCACCGGAAGATGTCCCAGGCGGTGTAAAAGTCGTCGAATGAAGGTTCGTCGGATTCCCACAGCGGGTTCTCACCCGTACGATCGGATGGCATGAGATGCATAAAATACAAGCTCGAGTACAGGAGGATGATGTTGGTCTCGTTCTGAGAGGCATCAAGAGGGACCTGAATCTTGCTAAACACATCGGTGTTCCACTCATCGACCGCGGCAGAGGCAGTGTCGTTGACCTCCCAGGACGAGATCTCATCGTCCTTGAACGTGCACGCCTTGTCGACGGATATGAACGAGATACCAATCTTTGAGACAACGCTCGAAGACGACGAATTCGTGCCAGTCCAGCTGAACACCGCTCCTACTCGGTCATTCAGGAATCCGGATTGCTGGCTCACATTGCCGGTGTACGTGGGCATTCCATATGGCTCGTTCGAGAAGACGTGCTGTCGAAGATATGGATCGGTGTTTCGGGCCCTCCACGTCTGCGCTTGGTCGGGAGCATTCTCAAACTCTCCGCAGAAGTAGACACGCATGGGCGCTCCTTCTCCGAAGCCGCCCCCATACTGGCCGTAGCCCGTGTACTGCTGGCCGCCGTCACGAAGTTCGATTTCTCCGCCGAGAAAGTCTTGAGAGTTGTACCCGTCGTATCCTGGTAGATAGTGCGAGACGTCAACCAGGACGTGGCCTTCTCCTGGAGGGTAGTCATATTGGACAATGCCACTGTGCCTCGCTGCCGAGAGGCGAATGGCGATGCCGTTCTCGAGCGTCGAACTGTAATACCCTATCTGTGCGGTCTCGTTACCGACACGCCTCTGCCAATATGTTGTGTTGTCCAGGATGTTGACAGGAGATGTTATTGTGGTGAGAGGCATTTGGTGCACAATTCCATACTTGGGTGCCCCTCCGGTGCCGCTCTCGTGCATAAGAGACACGCCCGTGACGAGTCCTTCGGGTGTGTAGCCGCCATTGATCGTTGATAAGGTCAGGTTGGTCTCGTATGTGTCGATGCCGAACTTGACCACTCCAAAGGGCACAGCACCGCCAACAAAGATGTCACCTCCACCAAAGGCTTGCCCTGGCATAGGTCCCTCGGACCCAATTAATGGGTTGACATATTGTGCGTAGTTGACACCGCTGAAGTTGTCTTGAGCTCTAGAGAGCGATATGAGACTTGTCAGGAGGACAATGGTGTTCTTCTTGAGAGACATGTTAGCATACACAGTCGTGACATAAAGTCAAGAAAGCTTACAGGGTCGCAACAGAAGGTACATGGCTACATATGTATGTACATATGCTTGTGCTTGCATTGGTAACGGATGCGGGAGTCTGAGCTGGGCTTCTCCGCTCCTTGATGCGCTCCAACGTCGTACTTATGGCGATCACTGTCGAAGATGACCTGGAAAGTCGTATCATCATATGGAGTAGAGAGTGTTGCTGCAGCCGGCTCTCCGCAGTTGTTACCAAGAAGGAGTAGATGAATCAGGGATGGTTAGCATGCTTAGGAGGTTCCTTAGGGCCAGTGCTGTAGTTAAGTAGATTAGTGGCTGGTTAACTACCTAGGTAGGTACTTAACTAAATACATAAATAAACAGTTAGGTCTCCCCCGCTCTCGGAATCGGAATAACAGGCACCGAGGAGACTCTTGATGATGAGATGAGGTTCGCCTCGAACCCAACTCTCGTCACTTAAGATTTGCCTTGTCCACGTCCTCTGTCATTGTCAAATCAAAGGAGTTGTCACTGATGAAAGCCTCATTGTAGTGACAGACACCATTTCCCCTTCTTATTCTCACATTGTTTGCGAGATGTTGTGTGCGATCTTTGTCCAATGCGTTCGTTTTCTTTGTCAGAGCCTCGCCGTTCCGCGCCGTCAATGCGTTGGTGCTTCTGTAGCAAACCTATATCTACCTCCCTGCATCTCCTTCGAGCTCGAAACTTACTTGAAAAACATCAAGCTAGCTTCTAGAAGACTCTGGATCCCAGCTATTTGGCACCACTCAAGCAAACATGGCCGACCACTATGCCGTCCTTGGTGTTTCGAGAACCGCGACAATCGAAGAGATTCGAGCTGCTTACAAGAAGCTTGCTATACAACATCACCCCGATAAAGGCGGAAAGACAAGTCGATTTGTCATGATTCAAGAGGCCATGGAAGTTTTGACCGACCCGATTAGGCGGACAGAGTTCGACGCAGGTCAGGACTATGACCAGCACCATGACACGGGACGCCACAGCGATCGCAAGCATAAGGAAAAATCAGGCAGATCCAGACAAACCCACCACGACTCTGACGATGAGATACCAAGACATCGTCAACCGAGAAATGCAGACGAGTTTTTCCGAGAGAGAGACGATGAAGAGGAGACACCACAGCCCAAATCCCCGCCGACTGACGAGTACAACAGATCCCGCAGTTCTCCTGCTAAGTCTCTCAAAGAACTCAAGTGGTTGCTCACTGATATATCTGATACCTACCTTGATCTGTACCTCAGATTGTGGAGCTGCAAATCTGCTCGTAGCTTCAGCGAGACCTGGTGCCATCTGCGCCACGTCAAAGAGAGACTATCCGCCCGATTTGAGACCCTAGCTCGAGAAACCCTTGAGTTACGCATCTCTGAGCTACAATCGGGCTACAAAGAAGGCAGCCTTCAGCCGCGAGACGCATTGCTGCAAATGTACACGCGTATGGTTGCGGCTGATGCTCGGCTTGCACTCGCACTCAACAAGCAGCTCCGACTTTTGATTCCAGCAGCGGATGACGTGGATCAACTTCTGAGGCGGAACCCATCACAACAAATCAAAGACTCGGATTCTATTCACGAGCTGCGAAGCCAGATGGACTGCCTGCGTGTATGGCTTGTTGACAATTTGCACCCGGGCTAATTGATTTTCGGTCAGACTGGGAGCGGGTAAGTATAAAGAATAGAAGCTGGTCTTCAGTTCCAACGAGGTGAGTTGCTTTCCTTCTATATATGCTCATTTTTGTGTGTACGTGTCGAGAAACATTGATTCGAAGAATGTGCGAATCCTGCAGGTAGGTCCGGTATAAAGTGTATGGCCTCTTTTCGTTCATTCTCTTAGCTTTTATCTCGTGTCTCCTTGTTTCTTATTGACCATTTAATGCAATTTGTATTTCCATGTTCGAAGGCTTCTTCGCATATCAACCTCTGATCCGCTGCTGAACACGTGGGTGTCATGTTGTCGCAACTTCCTACGGTTATACCTGTAGGAGCTCTTTATATTCTCCTTTCTCCTATACTTGAGAAACAATCCGTCACTTCGGTCACTCTTTTCATTTCTTTGTTTTGATATCAGATGAGTACCTCATATACCCTAGGATCCTGTTCAATCCCCGCCGAACATTTCAACATCGGCACTTATTCAGCCTCGGAATGAAGAGGCATGTTATGAGTGTAGATCTATGCACCAAGACCAACTGGTTGCAATCATGCTGTGCTGGGATCTTAGTTGTCGCCATCTGAGACATCACGGAACATTTTCTTCTTCCAAGGTACCAAGAAGTCGAGAACCGCACTGCCACTTATGTGGTCTCACTCAAGAAGTGTTTGATAGGCTATACTGCGGCTGAAATTCTTTAGGACCCAAATGTTCTTTAGCCAAAGGTCGCCATTTACGCTGAGGCTAAGGCCTTTTGGTCGACCAACCTATGCATGCCTGTAATACATTTCATGGTTACGCCCATGGGAATATATCAAAGCGGCTCTGCTTTCAATTCTCCTCTCGGCACTTTGCATTTCATGTCCGAGTGTAACCAAGAAAGAGCTCAACTCCTACAATCCGGGACTCTGGATCGAAGAATTTTGCATCTGACTGCTTCGAAGGCCTTTGTGTCACAGGTAATCGGCGCAGTCGAAGTCTTAGGTACTACAACATGGGACTGAAATATACCTCCAGGGCGGCACCCCCAATTGTGTTAATTCCGGCCAACACTGCCTCATGATCTACCAATATATGAAGAGACCTCCTGTGGCTCGTCTCCGGCATAGTGACAAACTTCACACAGTTTCTTCCCTGCTGAATATCATGTTTCAACAAGTTGACGGCGAGGAGAAGGGAAATACCATGGTTACCAGTGCGTTGCTTAGGCGTGCCTTGAGCCGTCCGGAACCAGCTTTAGATGTCGACAAGCATGCCACCAACTACTCGAAATTGCCCTTGACTTCGAATGAGCACCATTATAGGCCCCTTGCCACGCGATGGCAAATCCTCGCTGTGATTTTGTTTGGACTTCTTTCTTCTGTGGCTGTCCTCGAGGTCGGGCTGGAGAAAGGGGTAAAGTATGGAGCTAGTTTAAACCACCAACCTTCGACCAAGAGACATCATGTCGAAGACTTTGACACACTGAAAGCAGCTGCTGTACCTGATGGGATCAAAATGCCCGCTACATCAACCTACACAAGTCGACCAATGAGGCCACCACACCCATGGTCTTTACCTGGAACCGACAGTACTCCTCGGTCCTTGATTGGGTCTCGAAAGACTCTCACTTTCCTTCACTCAAACTCAACTGCCAATAGCTATGAATCCGAATCAACTTCCCCGTCAGTTGTAACGACGACAGCAACCGTGACTGTAACTCCGAGCATCGATTGTGGTATTACAGGGATCATAGCTACGTCAAGTACAACCACAGTTTTCCAAACGACCACGATTACACCGGGGTCTTCTCCGACATATAATTCCTCGCACTCTGACCGATCCTCTTCAGTCATGCTCGTGGAACGTGGTGCCAGCTGGGAGGATATTACCAAAAGCATGACTGCGATGGCGATAACAACGACGGCGCCTAGCTCCGCAGACCCAAGTACTGTAACAGTGGAAGAAACTATCACCCTAACAGGGGCCTGTGCTGCAGCTGCCGATGACTACATATTCACTACGACTGTATTGCAGACTATCATCGCCCGAGACCTTCCGCTGGAACCTTCGGATATGGCTGGAGACGACTGTGGCACTAGCAGTGTTGATTCGATAAGAAGTTCGGAATTGCCCATACCAACAACGTCTGAACTCACCACTGCGACCGTGCTCGTATACTGCGCAGGACCTCCAGTGATTACTACGAGAACAACCACGAAAACCGAACAAACTACTTTGGGGATGGTGGTCGCTTCTATCGACACTTCTGCTACAGCCTCCAATAGCGGACGTGCATCATCAATTAGTCCCAATGCAAACGCCACTACTCCTGAGATCCCCTTGACGGAATCATGCGATACCCTAGCTCCAAGTCCACTCTCGGCAGATGTCACTCTGACTACTACTGTCGCGGCCCAACCGCAATATGTGTACTATGTCACAAAGACCGAAATGCAGACAATTCTTGCTCCGGCTCTTGTGCGGAGATCGACTGATCATGCTAGCATCTCAAATTCACTATCGACTCCAGCGGGATCGAGTCTGCCCGCTTCGGAACTAGACTCATCGTTGTCGACGTCTACTTCGACCACAATGCCAATTGTAACAGTGAAACCGGATCGACAGAGACCTAACGAGGTAGATCTGGGTATCGCCATAACCCCTCTTCAACATTTCAGGGCCATATACATACCCACCTTGACTGCAGTCACATTCAAACTGCTCTGGAGTACAGTTTTTGCGTCTATACGAATGATGGAGCCTTTCTACCTGTTGGCCAGGAAAGGTGGTGCATCAGCCAAGATGACTTTGAACGCAGACTATCTGACCTCCAGTGTTTCGCCACACAAACTACGGACTTTGTTCAGGGAATCTCCTGTGGTGATACTGGCCAGTCTAGCGTACCTGGTCTTCAGTATATTACCTGCTTTGGCCACACAAGCATCGACCATCAGAGCCAGCAGCATCTGCTTGCGTCCTGATGGCATGCAGGTGCATTGTGGCCCCAAGTGGGAGCTCAATGTGACTTATGCAAAGGCACTTCAAGGTCTGTTGTCTGCCGTGGCTTTCATGATCGGGGTGATAATCTGGTTGTCCGCCCGACGCCCGAGTGGTGTCTTTTCAAACCCATCGTCAATCGCTGCCATGGCTTCACTTCTCAATAATGATGCCTTTGTTCAAGATCTAACGGCGAACCACTCGGACAAACAATCCACATTGGCATCAACTCTTTGTGAGAGACGATATGCTCTTTCATCTCATTTTACCCCGGACGGATCTATTCGGTATGGGATGGGGGAGGTGGTCGATGACTCTGTAGAACAACAACATCCTTCTCCCGAAGAAGAAACTACCGAACAATCATCGGTCGACAGGAAGAAGGTTGGTGGGCTGCTGTCTCGACTGAAGACTTTGAAACCATTTATCCTGGAAACAGCCTTGTTTTTGGCACAGATTGCCCTTCTCTGCGTCTTGTTCTCGTACTATTTCATCGACGCCAACGATGCCTTCAACCGTTTCTTTCTGAGCAACCCTCTCCGAAGATTCATCCTCACCTTCAGTGCGAGTCTTCTCGACGCTCGCTGGAAGCAGCTGGAGCGGGAAGTCCGGATCATGACTCCCTACCGACGCCTACACGCCGGATCCGCTTCGCCGTCCAACACGATCCTCGTGACCCAAAACGGTACGGCCATCACGAGTATCGCCCCGGCCCTGTGGCGTCGAAACCTTTTCCACGCCTTTGTCGCCACTGTCGCGACACTGTCCGATCTCCTGATCATCTTCATCGGTGGCGTTCCATTCTCTTCGGCACAGGTTCTCAAGGACTATTACATGTGTATACAAGTTAGTATCACGATTTTGTGCTTGATGGTGGCGACGGTGCCGGCGATAATCGTGTGGAGAGTTCAGAACTCGCGGATGAAGATGCCTCGTGGGCCCGACACTCTACTGGCCGTTTGGACGATGCTGTGCAATCAAGGCAATGGCATTTGTGAGGAGACGAGAGGTATGGAGAAGATGCCTGCGAGGGACAGAGATAGAATCATTGTCCAAAGAGGTTCTCGATATTGGGCCGGTTGGATCACCACACAGACGTCACACTCGTCGTCCAAGGTAGGTAGGATGTATGTGGTAGAGAAGACATCTGGGAGTATGTCGTCTCACGAGTGAGGGGCAAGGCACTACCGTGGGAAAGAGTAGACTTTTTGATTGAGCGCGACGGTATTGACTAATGTGGTGAGGTTGGAATTGTAGTTGGCTTTTTGAACGACTCATCGACCCTTGGATGGAAGGGAATAGAACTCCTAGATGGGATTGGTATGGATATTGTTTAGTGTCATTGGTGACGATGCGGGAGATATAGTAGAAGACCATTTCATTTACTCGTGATAAGACGATAACGAGACAATCACAACCACATCCGAACAAGTCTGTTTGGGGAGTATTTCTCTCCAGTCAAGGACACCGCCTAAGCAACTTCGACGACTCCCATCTTTTGAAAAACCTTGCCGCCCTCTGGAGTGTCGTCCTTGATCTTGTAATTGTTTGCCGTGTTCCAATTCCTCCACTCTCCCGCGTTGACCGGTTCGTACAATTTGACCTCACCTTCCGTCAGGGTGATTGGGTCGATGGTCGTTTCCGGGTCGGGGTGGACGAAGAAAGGGATACTGTATCTGGAGGGTAAGAGATCCCCCGCGAACTTGTCGTCGGCCGGCTTCACGACTCGATGTCTGGTGCTCCTGACTCTGCCGTTTGTGTATCTCTGTAGTAGGTCCGCAATGTTGACCAAGACGGTACCTTCAATGGGAGGGGCGGCGACGAATTTGTCGTCGTGCCCCGGATCGATCTCCAACCCTCCTGTGCCGTCTTGGAACAACAGAGTACACAAGCCGAAATCGGTGTGTGGCATTATCCGCGCGTGACCTTGAGAGTCGATCACTTCTCGGTGCAAAGGTGGGTAGTGGATCAGACGGAGTTGAGGGTCGGCGCGAGTGGTGATGTCCTCGAAGAAATCGTCCCCCAACCTCAAAACCATGGCCAGACATTTGAGTACCCTCAAAGCGAGTGTCAGGCATTCGGAATAAAACCCGTCGAGGGTCTCTTCGAATCCCGGCAAGACCGTGGACGGAGGACACAGAGGGTTGGCGAACCTTCGATGTTCGTAACATTCCTTGTGATCGTTGATCCCTTCGGCGCCGTCGGCCGTGTACCCTTGGTTGGTAGAGGCGGAAGACAGTTTGTACCCGAGTTTTTGGTCCAAGGGGAGAGCGAAAAATGTTTTGGCCTAAGGACACAAAACTGGTGAGATGTAAAGCTTTTGAGGGAGGGAGAGAGAGAGAGGCATCAGGATGAAGAGAATGGTGAGTGTAGATCGTATGGTGGTTGAACGTTGATTACGAGGCAAGGCTGGGAGAGAAAAGGGGGAAAAGTGCGACATCACTGTGTCTCCTGGTTGTGTGGTCCACACAACAAGAACCATTGTAGGGAAGGTGATGGAAAGATAGAATTACGCAGTGTAATGTCGGTAGGAATAGTGTGCAGTGTAGGAAATGATGCTAATTCATCCGGGTAGACCGTGTAGAGTAGTCAGTTCATATACCGTTACGTACCAGCTCAAAAATCTCGTCGACCCTGGCCTGTGAGATGCCAGTGTCCTTTAGGTATATGAACCCGACGGTCGAAAAGGCATCGTAGACTTGTTTCGCTACTTGTTCCTGGTCGGCTCGAGTTCCCGTGAGGAACTTTTCGAACGAAACGACGGGGATTGCGTCAGTCATTGTTCAGTCGTGTTGGACTTGTTGAAGAAGAAACTTGTTTAGATATGACGATGAAGTTGAAGTGGAAACTGGCTGACTGAGCCTCGAGGACGATTGTATTGACAAGAATAAGGAAAATGTGGATCAAGATAAAAGCGTATATCTCGTATGAGGTATATCATGGATCATGAGATCAAAGAGTATTATATCCTATCATTGACACTTTGAATAAACGTTGGGAAGGAAGAAGAAGTTTGAGAAGCGTACTTGGATAGGGAGACGTACGTATCTTGGACGTATCAAAAGAATATAAGCGTACGGTACCACCTATGACAGTTGTACCAGATATGGTAAAAGGAGTATGGAATGGGCAAGTCACCAAGACGTGGATTAGACGATGGACAGACGCCCTTCTCCGACTCTCTTACATATCTGAAGGTTTGACGATCAACTTCACCCACTTTTGATCAAACCATTTAATGACTGACCCTGGTCCTTGTCCAACAGCATGATACGGATGGTCAACAGGCTTCCGAGGGTCTTCTGGCCTGTGCAAGTACTGTACGAACTACGCGTCCTTTCCCAAATGGTGTTCTTCCGAGCCGTCTACCAAACGAGTTATCTGAGTCGATCTGTTACAGAGTTCGAGTTCCTCCAGCTTTGACATCCTAGGGACACCCCATTCATTGCGTATCCCAGGAATGGGCTTCTTCATGCACCCTTACCCACCCCACTCAACCATCGACTTTCTGAGAAACCACGACTTCTTCTTTGTCATCGACCTTTACGCCATCAACAACATACTTCTTGAGCACATCAGAGCCCAACTCGATCTCCCCATCAGCGACAGCCTTTAGGTCGGGTACATCAGAATGCTTGATTCCATCAAAGATCTTGTCCACTTCTTCAAGCGTAAGGCCTCTGGTCTCGACCCAGTACCAAAGAACCCCGGCGAGCATGAGGATATCAGCACTCGCATTGATAATGTACGTTTTCCAACCGATGGCGTCCAAGGCAAATGGAAATGCCATTGTGACGAGAAGCCCACAAAGTTTCGTAGTGAGCGTGTACAGACCCATGCCGGTGCCTATAGTATCACAAGGTTGATGTCAGTTCTGAGACTCGTTTTTGGGGGAAATATTGGAGGGTGTTTTTAACAAGGAAAATTACTCACCTCTCACTTCATAGGAAAGTACTTCTGGCGGGTACAGAACCGTCAAGGGCGTGATACCGTAGGCGTACGCCGCATTGTACAAGAAGATCAAGGCGATCGTTCCATAGATTCCAGACTTGTCGGTAGATGTGCCGTATACAGCCGTGAGACCTGCCAGAATATAAAAGGTCACAATCTGTCCAGCAAGACTGATCGCGCAAAGGGTCCTTCGTCCGATCGAGTCGGCGAACCAGGCGCCCAAGAGCGAAATCACCAGCGTCCAGGATGTCAAGATGATGTTGATTTCCAATTGGGTCGTTGGATCCTGGATGCCAGCTTGCTCGAGCATCGTGCCAAAGTAAAAGGTGATGATGTTCGTACCGGGAAGCATGACGATGATTGAAAAGGTGGCGGTGATGATCAATCGTTTACGATTCCCCTTTGACGTGAATGACTCGACAAAGGACAGTTCCTTGCTCTTTTCGTAGGCAATGGTGTCACTTATTTCGCGGAATTGCAAGAGGACAATCGGTGACTCCTTGTCTCCGTGAGCATTGACCGCCGCGAGCACCTCCAAGGCTTCGTCGTGGCGATCTTGGTCGATCAACCTAGAATGACATACATTAATCACCTCAAGTACCCAAGTTGCAACGCTTGTCTAATGGAATCGCTCACCAACGAGGCGACTCGGGTAGTAATGTGAGGACACAAAAGCATAGAATGCTAGGCACAATCTGTACGAGACTAGGTGTTCTCCAAGCCCAGTTGGTGCTATAGTGTTGGGTCTGAATTGCAATTAGAACAGACAGTGTATTAAAGATAATATTGTGCCGCCAGTAGTTCTTACAGAATAGCAGACTCCTGATGCTATCAGAGTCCCAACGCCCCAGCATGCATAGTACAATCCCAAAGCCAGTGGACGGTATTTCAAAGGAGCAGTCTCGGCCACATATGTCGGACATGAAGTTTGTGCGAAACCCATTCCGAAACCTGTTTGGCGATCAGTACTGTCTCATCGACAGGTGGATAGGATACGACAGGTGCGACTCACCAACGATGAAACGGCCTGCTATGAACATGCCAATATTCTGCGCAGCTGCTTGAATGACTGCACCGATCAAAGTAAGAACGGCGGACAAGAGAATGCTTTTCTTTCGTCCTGCCCAGTCGACAATAAAACCGGCAATTAACGAAGAGCATGAGCCACCAACATATGAGATGGCGGTGTTGAGAGACTTGGTGGCGGTTGTCAGTGTGAAGTAGTTGGAATACGTGGGCATCACATTCAAGCTTCCCATCAAGGAGCTATCGTATCCCAAGAGTACAGAGTCGACGACCGAGACGGCAATGATAGCCGCCAGCAACGCCGTTTGTGATCGAGGGACAAAGCGAGACAAGTGTCTCCTTGAGCTCGTCGTCGTCGTCGTCATTGCGCCGGTGTTGCCCAGAGGAAAAATCTACCAGCTTTGTTCAGACGTACCGGTGGGTGCTGTTGAGGTTTGGGATGAGCACCGATTTTGTATTGGGACAAGGATTCAAGTCAACGTTGAAGGACTCAAGACTCTGTCAAAAGCCTACTGTATCTTATCTGCCGAAGCAGGCCGGCATAGATGTAACGTCTCGAAGGACTCCCACCTTATCATCGGGCAATAACATGGTTCATCCTTGCCCGCGATCAAGCAGCGAGGTCTGCGTAAATAGCAAAAGGGCCAGTGCTCGCATCTCCGCGTGTTAACCATTTCGATAAGTGGGGGGGTTGGATGATCCTGGGTGAGGTGATACCTTGTACTGTATGGAAGAAAGGATCCCGGCTAAGGACGAGGTAGGAAGTATTTGTGAGTATCTCTCTGCATTGCCGAGTGACTAGATAACTTAGTCGTCCTCGGTATCGGTGGGATGAATTCGGGGTAATGATTAATCGGGTCTGGATGAGAGATAGGGATTTGTTAGTCCGACAACTTGTCGATCGCAAGTCCAGATGTTCTGGCGAAGTTCGCGCGAGTCCATCCCGTATGTTTAGTTAACAAACAAGAGACCAAAAGCAGCTCTACGGAAAAACATATGTCCGGATCCATATACGGGGCTGCTGCCAAACTAGTGCCCAGTGTGAGGATTGGGTCAGTCACGTTGCTGATAAAGAGCAGACGAAAGGGATACCAATATGACAAGATAGATACCATTTCCTATCTGCCGATTGATGATATAGTGAGGCTATAGCCTCAAAAACGGGGTATCTCTCGACGGGTCCTCTTTCTCCTCTCGCAGGTGGAAGCCCTCGACACTCGAAGGAGCGACGAAGTCCACATGAACAACGCCTGTTTCACAAACCGCAAGAGATTATTCCTCCCATCCGTTACACACAAATAGCACTCCTTTCCCACCGCCAAACCCTGATATCATGTTTGATGCTTTCTTTTCAAGCATGTTTGTGTACCACAGGGCAGACGGCGTCCTTGGAAGCCGCCTGAAGACTTGGATGTTCATGAACTTTTCCCTTGTGATGGCCGAGGGTGGCATTTGTGACTGGACAGACATCACCTTCCTTTGAGTTTGCCGTGGAAGGGTGATTCGGAGGAAGGACCGAGGAGACGGTCCCGACGACGGGGCAGATGGCCTCGTCCATGGCCTGTTGCTCCGGACGCGAGACGATCTTGGAGAGGGCAGGGCACGACTCGGCGTTCGAGAGATCTTCAGTGTTGTTGAAAATGCCAGGATGCTTGCTGAGATTGTGGTGGTGGTCGGTCGTAGCGTTGGTGACTGGGCAGACGAGTCCTGGTGCCGAGAGATCGAACTCGGGATGCTTGGGAGGAAGGACGGTGTTGGTGGTGCCAACAATGGGACAGACTTCAGCCATGATGAATGGTGTATAGTAGGGACTGAGGTCGACAAAAGACGGTGGTGAAGGTATAATAGCACAGTGGAAGTGCCGATGTTCTGATCAGGCTAGAGTTGTAGTAATTTTGAGAGCACGATGGGACGAGAAGGTTTGTGAGTTGAAGGGATGCAATAGGCAGCGCGTCAGGCAGTTGGGCAGGTCGGGAAGAGGCCGTCGACATCACATTGCACGGTCACGTTGCCTCCTCACAATGGCTGTTTACAGAACAATCAGCCTTGTCAATTTATGACGTAGCCGCATGAGCAAACAACCCCCTCACTGACATTGTCCAATCAGAAGCTCAATGTTGGTAATCAGAAAGTCGTGTTCTTTTATCACATGATCGTTGCCTTGTCAGGGACCAAAGTACTCGTACTCGTTCTCGTATTCGTACCCCGAACCTTGGATTTGTTTCCTACACCTCCGAAGGTCACAACAAGAGTAGAATCTATGATTTAAAATAATCTAATGCCGCTGAATACACTCCACTGAACGTCCTCAATCAGACTCAAGCTCAGGCTCTCGGTCGCTCTTTTGCCTAATGTCTCTCCAGCCCATTGCCCAACTGCAGATGAACGCTCCCCCCGCCGCTCCACATACAAGGTAGAAGACATGGTCAACGCTAACACTGAAGGCCTTGACAACACCAGCCACTTGGTCTGGGGTGACAACCTTTGCGAACTCGGTGGCTCCGGCCGCTAGTACCGCATCAACGTTGGCGCCTGGAGCATACTGTGGGATTTTTGTCTTCAGGCTGTTACTGAAAACGGTCTGCGCGATAGTAAGAAACACTGCCGCTCCAAAATTCTGAGAGAAGAGAAGTATCGCCATGGCGATTGGTGAGTCTGCCGCCGGAGTGAGTGCCTGAAGAGCGACGTAGACCTAGAAGGCGACCAGAAATTAGTCAATATACGTCAGGCTGCAGGATGGCCCAGCTTCCAACAAGGCACAGGGTATCACTCACGACCGGTGCTGCTGCTCCACATCCCACTCCGCCAATGATCTGGTATCCTACCCTCGGTCCAGTTGGGTATGTCGGCGTGAGCATCGAAAGTAGGCCGTACCCAATCGCAGCGAGGGAAGTGCCTACCAGAATGAAGGGGAGGAAGTACCCCAATATCGGAACTATTCAGGAGCGTGTCAGCCTAACGCACACGACAAGAGACCATCGCCTAAGTCGGGCAAAAGAAACACTCACCGCTAAGGCCTGTTACCATGGACATGGCAATCTGCGCGAGGACATTTGGCAGGATGTACACTCCACTCATCGTTGGCGTGGTGCCTTTGACGGCCTGAAACCAAATTGGGAGATAGTATCCTGCACAGATCAAGATTCCGACAATGAAGAACAATGTTAGACACGCCGACCATACAGTCCGCCGACGTAAGATTGGCAGGGGAATCATGGCGTCGTCGCCTTTATAGTACTCCCAAATGAGAAAGATGGCGAACATGGCGGCGCTTCCACAAAAAAGCCCTATAACCGTGGCACTGTCCCAGGCGTGCTGTCCGCCTCCATACTGAAGAGCGAGGAAGAACTGAATAGACGCAGGGGCAAAGATGGCGAATCCGACGAGATCTAATGTTTGGGTTAACATCTTCCGCAGTGTTTGCTCATCTGACTTCATGGATCCCCTGGGAATGCGGATGAAGAGAAGGATCCCAGCAACAACGGCGCCGATGGGAAGGTTGATGTAGAAGCCTGAGAAGTCAGCCTAAGTCCAAATCAAGAACTCGAGGGACCCTCCGCCGACATACATAAACGCCATGTCGCGTACTGAGTCAAAGCCCCGCCAATGAGAGGGCCACAGGCTTGACCGAGCTGGCCAACTATACCCTAGGTCAGAAAGCGGACGTGGTATTTCTGGGTTCCGTGCTACTCACTTGCCATCAAAACGCCAAACATGGCTGCAAATGACTGTCAGTACGATTTCAAGTTCAGCCTGGGGGTTTAGTACCTGGCTGTCTTTCTTTCGGCAGACAAGCAGCAAAAATCGCTAAGCCACCGTTAAGCAATCCGGAAGCACCCAGTCCCGAAATAGCCCTCGCAACTATCAACATTGTCGAAGACGTTGCCACTGCGCACAGCAGAGATCCCAGTTCAAAGACGAAGAAGAAAGATAAAAAGGCCCACTACAAGAGCCATTAGCAGAGATCTCTAAATGGTCAATTAGGGCTTCAGATGCTTACTTTGAGATTAAAATAGGTATAGATCTTTCCACTCAACGGTTGTAGAGATGCACTGTTTTGTAGGTTAGACTTCTCGATACATATGCAACGAATGGGTTGGCTGACCTTGCAAGCTGATAGGCACTCCCATACCAACCAACATCAAGAAGGGAGTGGAAATGATCTGTTATCTGAGGGATGGCCTGTGATTGATACCAGTAAGTTTGAGTTCGAACAGCCAAAGATGAACTTGTCGTCCCGTACAGTCACAATGACTGAGATATCGAGCATAATGACAAACTGGGTGAAAGTCATAGAGGCCAATATCAGGTAAAGCTTGAAGCCAGTCGGACGCTCCAATTTCTCAGGTTCGCTACTGAACTCGGCTCCTTTCCCAGAGTCCCTACGCGACCCTTGAGTTGCCCGTGGTTCTTCGTGTAGTCCGTCGGTATTGGCGTCCACCGCTGAGGGTGACGTCTCTTCAACACCCATGGTTTCGATTATTTCTCCGGCCCGTTGGTAGTAGACACGGCCCGGTACAACGACGATCTTCATGAAGGTAAACAATTTTATATCTTCCTAGGATCGGAGGTGGCATGGTGTGCTGTGATGTGCGTCTCTATGAACGGCGGAGTTCGGGTTTCTGAAATCCGGCGGAGACTTTCCCGTATGTGGACATGGACCATAATTAATCAGACCACGAAGAAAGTATTTCTCTCAACCACACGTCGTCCAATGCCTCGAAAGCAGACGAGTCCTCAAAAGCTCCATACTCACCACCGGGGTCCATATTTGGATCTAGCCCCAACCCTGCAGATGCTCCTAGCTTTGAACCGCACCACAGCCGAACGGCCGTGAAGATCTTTATCGTCCTGGTTGCAATGTTATCATCTGTTTCGTCAAAGCCGACATGTCGAGCTTGCTCCACGTTACTCAACAGCCGGTCCAGAATGCGATTTAGATCAACGGTCGAGCGAACCAGTCCAACATCCCAGCTCGGATGCTCTAGGACGCTGAGTTTGTACAACACAACAACTGAACGTGAAAACTGCGTGAAGATGGGGAATGATACGCCGACATATTCGGAGAATGGGATCTGAAAGAATTGATCAAAAGCCAACTTTACTGTGTTGAGGCAAGAGTAGAGAGCGTCGAGTGGCTGGAACCCTACATTGAAATGCGTCGAGGTTAATTGCGACAAAGCCATTTCGCAGATGCTCAATTGTGCGTAGTACTTGGCTGCAAGAACCACTCCTACATAAAAGTAAGCAAAAAAATTCCACTAAATGGGAACATTACTAGGGATGACTGACCGTCTTGCTGAGCTTGAGGAGGAATGGCGGCCATAGTTCGCTGCACGTTCGACTCAAGCGCTTTGAAGTAGAACGCCACGGGCACTTTTGAATCTAGTCTCGCAAGGTCCTCGTAACACCATGCGGCAGGTGGCAGACTTTGTGAAAGCTGTTGGAAGCGAACTTGAGCCAAGAACAGATCATCAAGCGGCCCTTCCTTGTTGTCATTCAGCACCTGGACGCATTGCTCCATATACTCGGTCCATTGCATTGCGTCGATGTTTGTGAGATAAGTCGCAACACTATTGTCCATCAGCAAAGACCGCAACAATGCCAGATGCCCTCAGCTTACGTCGAGCTCATAACGAAACAGCCTAGCACTGCGCGTCGCTCTTCTAATGTTGGACGTGCATCCGCTCGGCCCGTAAGTTGATGTGCTCGATCCGAGGCGTCGCCCTGTTTCGGTAGTAGGTTTGGATTCAGATGCAATGGTTTATTCAGGCGCAGATCAAACACTATCGTCATTGCCATATGTGTGAAACGTGACAGCAGCTTTGGAGATTTGCTCAGGAGCTGCTCGTTGCCCCTGGGAAATATGAGCTTGGAAACAACAACCAGAAGTCCTAGAGGAATGTTTACCATGCCAAATATGTCAGGAGGCCAAGGAGGAGGTCAATATTTGGTTCACTGGCATTGTCAATCATCATTCGCTGGGCCACTGTTCGCCGAATTTCTCTGAAGAGAGACATCTTCTTCGAAGTAGCCTTTATCGCGACGGCGACAATACATAAAGATAGGAAAGGTCTGTGTTGTCGTAGCCTTGACGCATTCATATCATTAGGTAAATGGATAAACGCAAAGGAGCCCAGCATCTGTTTTTTGAACATGTCGAAGCATTTTTCCGCTTCTTCGAAAGGAAGGTTGGGGTCCTCATCGACAGCCAACATCATCGATTCGGGAGTAAGGGTCGCTGCTGAGGTGACGACGAACCCTGAGACGTCGTTATCTCTTGACGCTGAGATAGACCCGACGGACTCTGGAGCCGAGGGTCCGAATGCGGAATCTCTGGTAAGAGGTCCATCACTCGAGGATTGAGTAACGGATCGTAGCAGGGAAGTCACCTCCTCTAGACGATCCTCCAAAAGAGTGATCCTAGATGCCGCATTTCGGTCTGCCCGGCGTTTCCGTGTCGAGTCAGACGCACGACACTGTTTGTGAAGTCGGTAACACCGTTCACATTCGGCACGTCCAGGACGTCGGAGACATTTGCATTTCGATTTGGCGCAATTCGTACATGATTGACCATATGCCGTTGGCTTGACTACACTTGATTGGGACGGTGGTGATGAGTTTATACTTGTCATTGCCCTGGTTTGGAAGGTAGAAAAGAAATCGGAGTTGGACATGCCGAAGTTTCAGAGCGCAATATCAGTGCGATCATATCATATCTCAAGCGTCTCCAAACTCCTCTGAGACTAGACTATGAGTTATGATATCGACGAAAGGGTGACATGCTGCATAGATGATCACGAAGATCAACAAGCTACCCTAGAACGAGGAAGGCTGCGAAGGTGCCGAAGCTGATCGGATTTCGATGTTCTCAATCCCGTTCGAAGTTGCAATCGCATGACCAGAGAGACCAGATCATGCCGCTTTACTGAGGCAAATTACGTAGCGTGCCAAAATACTCCTTGCCGCTTTTCCCGTCAATCTGTCCCAGTAGCCCTCCATATTCCTTTCTTTGCTCTTTGATATATCCCTTCGCATATTGCCAATGGCGGGAGATGGTGGTTGAAGCTACCCAACGATGATATTGGACATTTCGGCGCAAATAATGCTTCCCCAAAAATGATTTCCGACGCAGGCAGCTGATTGTTCAATCGACACATCTGATCAATTTGTCGATGACCTCAACCACAACGATTCACCTGGAGGATTGCCTACTGGCGATGGCTTTGATGTAAGTCAACCTCCTGTGAATCAGTCCGTAATGATGATTGCATGGTATACTTTCCTCATCCGACGGCAAAATCTGATCCTGCATCCCAGTTGCAGATATCTGACAAGGAGAATAATTCATCGAGCTGGTCAGAATCAACATCTTTCTCGTGAGTGTCTTCCGGTAGAGGCAGAAGCAGAGCCCAACGCGTTGTATTCCACGACCCTGAACTTTTCTCGGAACTGGCTAGATGGATAGGCCGTTCAATCACCTTTGCAGGCATAATATCGTCGTATGTCTCGGGAAAGCTCTCGAAGAACTTCGAGTCCATCCTCCACATTTGTATCTCGTACAGGTGATGATTGAACATGCCCGAAAACTCATATAGCCCAGTGTTCGAATCGAGGCTCACAATATCGTGGACAGTATATGGCCAGCAAAATCGGAAAGAGTAGATGACTTCGGTCCAGAATTTGTTCGTTTGCGTCAAGTTCTGGCAAAGCACGGCGCGTTCTCGTAACCCGGGCCTGCGGAAACCAAGATCAGCAACAGCAAATTCAGCTGCGCAGGGATGGCAGCCTTACCACGGTAGGACGTCTATTGCCAAAGCATGCGGGAGATAGTACTGTGAGGGACTGCAAATTACACATTAGTGGATGTCATCGTCCACGTGTCGAGGCTTCTTACCGTGGACGATACCATGGGGGTAAGCTCTCGTATGAAGCAGCTTTAACAAGACACTAGGAGTTGTTTGCGATTAGCAACGTCTTGCCGGGGCGATGTGGATGAGTATATGACTTACGAGCAGCAACGAATGAATCATCCGTAGTGTGCATAGTCGAGTGATGGTCCCGCTTAAGTGGAAGATGCGTTTGTCCAGGAGTTGTAATATCTGCCACAAAGGGCAACACCACTGGTTTGAGGATGTCGCGGTAGGAAGATCCCAGCCAAAAAGGACACCCCGAATCAAGGCGTCCTGGTTTAAACTGGGATCTCCGCATACAGTGGTCCCAGACAGCCCTCGTGCTGCGGTAACGGCATTGTTGAAGATGTTTTGGCAGTCATCACCGCCCGGTGCTATTTTTCGTTGCGGCATTTGAGAAGAAGCCTTGCTGACAGTCAGCTGCTTAGTGACCGTGGCACCATCTCCATTCTCGTCAAGCTGATTTAGCAGTAAATCTTCGTCGATCATTCCTAAGAGCGCTTCGTTGGCAGGAGTCGTCGTGCTAATATCTGAATGCACGGAGTGCAAACTTGGGACCTTGGGTTCAGTAGCATTGTACCGACCCGGCTGAGTCGCCGACATCCATCCTGGGGCAGGTAGGATGGAGAATGAAGTTGATGCATTACTCCAGGTGCCCACGGAGGCTGGATTTCCCAAGGCGCAGCTACGGTCCTGGGTCGGTAACGTTTCGCTGATAGGTTCGGGCCTCTCGTCTCGTTGGGACGAAATCACATAGGCTCTTTCAAGCTCGGCACTGAGTTCTTCCAGTCTGGATTCGAGACCAGCCACACGATCAGCGACTTGAGTCCTTCGCTTCTTTGCACGTAGGCGGTCGATGGCACGCTTTCTTTCGCGCTGAGCGGTGGTCAATTTTCGTCCTGAAGCCCATTGTTCTCCGTTGGAATTGTGGGATTTCAATTGTCGTGATGACATTACTTTGGCAAGAAAACCATCGAATTGAGGACCGCCAAACTCGCGGGTGTTGGTATCAGCTCTTGTGGTGCACAGAACATTATCCGTTTGCTCACTTTTCTCAGGAAGATATGAAGAATTGGAAAGTTGGAGGCGAGGCTGGGCGTTGGGAATGAATGCAAGGGCCCCAGACCAAACCCCGCGCATGCCGGGGTGGTCGTGGGGTGTCAAGCCCTAACCGGTATCGTCGAGACTTTAAGGCAGGGGATCAACTGTGTGCGACTCGCACATAAGTGGGTCCAAGCTTAAGACCAGACAAGCCACAAATCTTTCAAGCGACATATCTTTTCAAGGCTGTCCAATATCCGAACCGATTGCAATCGATCGGGGAGACGGGTCGGAGAAACATGTCCTTGGGAGACTTTGCTATCTCTTCCCTCATACTCAACCAAGATCTACATCTAAGTAAAGACACCCAACTGCCGAAAAGACCAGTGCCTTTGAAAAACTGGCAGCCAACCACTGTCACACTCTCCAGAACCTACGTCAATCCCATCTACCTATGGATAATCCAGTCTCACCGCTTCATGGCTATCCCCCATTTCACCTTTGGTATCTTCCGAACGATACTGCAATGTTGGCGGAATATCTACGCTTCGTGATCCGGTGTCCTCCTTCTCGCTCCCCTTTCCCAATAATGTGACAAGTCACCAACAGGAAGAAAGAAAGCATACTGCATCTCGGCAGCCATCATGACGATTGTCATATACCATGCCAAAACACCCGTGACGAAAATAAGAGCACCCCCAGCCTGGACGGAAGGTTAGTGTTGGTATAGATTTACCGAGGGGAATTCGACGTCTTTCTTGACGCTTACCTTTTGCAACTGTCCAGCAAGCTCTAGGTCGCCCGTGCTGAGCTTCCAGTATGCCCCACTGAGGACCCAGGCACCTGCAGTGATGCTAACAAACATCATGACGAAGACCATGTTTGTCCTGAGGGACAGGACGAGGAAAGTCAAAAGCGCAAACCCCCAGACAATCAGGTACAGAGCAATGACGGCATTGAACTCGCTCGAGAGTGCCCCAGAAGGGCCACCGTTGGTAGAAGCATAAGGTGCGTCGAGGTTCAAGGTAGGCAGCTGCAACATGCCAAAACTCAACCAGAACACGGCGAGCACGCCGAATGCCACCATAGGGAAAAAGTTGCCCATGATCCATTCAAAAACGCAGGCGAGTAGCAGAAGTATCGGACCAACGAAGAAGAAAATCCCGCTGAAAGACATTGGGAGTCAGTAATCGAACTTCCGTAGTTATCGACAAGTCCCGAGAAACGCTCACACTACTGGTGTGAGCCCACTTGCCCCACCCCAACCCATCAAGACCATGGCAAAGGTCATATCAGCGATGACGAAGCTGTGAGTGTGTTGTGTCAGAGAGGCTGAGTGCCACCAAAATGAATGTCGTTGGAAACTTACCCAGCGAACCCCAGTGGTGTTGGATTGGCGAAACGCTTGATATTGTCTCCGGCACGAGGGATTTTAGGAGTCAGGTATAGCTGCGCGCGTATCATTTCTCAGCGTGCGTCTGGCAATGTGGCGAAGGATACCAAGATACCTTCTCAAAGAGCTCAGGACTCATGGAAACAGCTCCGTTGGACATCGTCTGGGTCATTGACGGTTCTTTTTTGGCCATATCGGCCTCGATGAAATCAGAACGAATAGGTGAGCCCATTTTTGCGTAGATTGATCTTGTGATGGTGGTTACTGAATTGATTGTGTACTGCAAAGACGTGAAGGGTCATTTCTGTCTTCTTATATACAACATCCCCCATGGGGGAGCCTTGCTGTTTTCGATAGGCCAGCTGAACGTCGATCCCCTGAAGTGACCGATCCGGCCAGTTGATCGGTTCATCCGAGATCGACGACCAGTATAACTTTTGCATCGGACCGAGTATATTGGTCCCTCCATTATACGGTAATGACTGTGCTCATAGCTAGGCATCTACTCATTGACTAGATTAAATGGTCACTAGAGGATTATGCGTCCACATCCGGCCGGTCGGGAAAATTGGTTGGTTGCCTATGGGGAGAGGGAAAACCTTGCTCCACACCACTCCGTATTGCCCCGGGACTCAAACTATGGGGTTTCCTCCGACACCTGTTCCGCAAATGGGAGGAGTAGGCCTTTGTTTGTTGCGTACTAGGAAGAATGGCATACGGACTATTTGCTTAGCCTTCGGACCGACTGCTCAGGCACGAGGAGGGATAGAGATCAAACAGTGGATCTTGACCCCTTTTGGGAGTTTGTGCGACTCGCACGACCTAGATATACAATCGAATTAAGCAATCATCATCCCCGTGGGGTGCCATGCGACCTCGCACATAGTCCAAAGTCCCCAAGCTTTATTGCTTCAGTATGTAGACGATAAGGGTCTCGTCTTAGAGAGCGACTCGTACCGACATCCCATGACGAGGATCTGTCGAGTTTGAAGGTATATGAAGTTTCACAGGATGAAAGATGCTTGAAGATTATGCCTATAAAAGTACACGCGAGTCTATCTCAAAGTGAGTAACATGATATTCTAGTCCCGTACAAAATGGGTCTCTTTTCATTTCATGTTGCCACTGATCGCCCGAACATGATACCACTCTTCGAAGAGGTTCTGCAGCTCGCGCAGAACTATTGGCCAGGGCTCCTCGTCCTGTTCGTATTATCCCGTCTGGTTTTCAACAAGTATGGGAAGAGCTTGAACACCGTGCCTGGGCCGTTTCTCGCCGGTTTCACTGACCTATGGCGGTTTTTCGATGCACTTAACCGCAATCCCCATGACACACACATCAAGCTGCACGAACAGACAAGGTCACCCCTTGTACGCATCGGTCCCCGTACGGTGTCGGTGTCTGACCCGGCGTTGATCCCCAAGATCTATGGATTGAACTCTGGATTCACCAAGACAAACTTCTACACCCTGCACATGCTATCTTACAATGGGCAGTTCACCCCCAGCCTATTCACCACCCTGGATGAGGGTTACCATGCCAAATACAAGAGGCCGATCGCAAATGCCTACAGCATGTCCACCATGGTCGATTTCGAGCCCCTTATTGACTCCACGAGTGAACTCTTCATGTCAAGACTGGATGAGTTTGTCGAGTCCAAAGCCACGTTCGATCTGGGACAGTGGCTGCAGATGTATGCGTTTGATGTCATGTGAGTGATCCTTTTTTCCCAAAAACTTGTGCTTTTTTAGCTCTAGGGCTTGCTAATCTATCTTTCACAGTGGTGAGGTCGTCTTCAGCAAGAGGCTTGGCTTTTTAGAAACAAGGTCAGATGTGGATGGTATCATGGCGGATATTCGTACCAAGGTGTTCTATGGCGGGACTGTCTGTGATTTCCCTAAACCTATGAACCCATCCGTACATTGTATCATGCACTGACACTCTTAACCTGCTGCAGGTTGGTCAAATCCCCACTCTCGACAAATTCATAACCAAAAGCCCTCTCTTCTTAGCGCTCGCACCGACTCATCCCGTTGTCAAGTTCACCGTTGAAAGAATGAAGGAGAGGATCTCCGCTAGAGGGCAGGGAGTCGATGACAAGAGACGGGACTTCCTGACAAGGTGTTTCGAGGCTCAGTCGAAATACTCGGACTTGGTAACTGATCGGGTCATCCGTATGTGGAACATCGACAACGTCCTGGCTGGGAGTGACACCACTGGAATATCTTTGAGATCTGTGAGAAGTTCACCAAGCAACAAACGCATAGTCTGACTCCACTTTTGCTAATCATCAACAAAGATCTTCTACTACCTCATGAAATCGCCAGAGAGCATGAAAAAGGTCATCGAAGAGCTTGACCAAGCGGAGAAAGCCGGACAGCTGAGCGACTTTGTCACATGGAAAGAATCCAATAACCTGCCGTACTTACAGGCGTGTATCAAAGAAGCCCTTCGTAGGTCAACCGATGATCGGATCCTCTCTTGTAACTTGTCAGAGCCCTGGAAGCCAAGTACTGATACTGTATTCCGTAGGGATGCACCCTGCCGTTGGATTGCTCCTCGAGCGATACGTGCCAAAAGGGGGTGTAGAGCTTGCTGGAAAGTATATTCCTGAGGATACAATTGTGGGAGTGAATCCCTGGGTCGCAGCGTAAGTCTTCAAGTTCCAACCAGTCAACCTGGCATGAACGCTGACACGAAGTCCATTTAGGCGGAACAAAGACGTCTACGGCTCCGATGCTGATACCTTCAAACCCGAAAGATGGCTCGAAGCCTCGCCAGAAAAGCTAGCGGAGATGGATCGCGCGAGTCTAACGGTGAGTTGGCCGTTTTCTTATTTCATTTACATATGGCATATTGAGTCGAAGCTGACATTTCACATCCAGTTTGGCCATGGGGCACGTTCATGCATCGGAAAAAACATCTCAATGCTTGAAATAGCAAAGCTTGTTCCACAGCTCTTGCGTCACTACGAGGTATGGTTCTTTTGTGGATTACCATGGTCAAAGTCCTGTTTCGTGGAGTCTCTTGACTGACGATCATTTACGTTTCAAGTTCACCTTTCCAAATCCAGACCACCAGTGGAAAGTTCGTGGAGGCTGGTTTGTTGGACAAGACAACTTTTGTGTTCAAATCCGGAGGCGCACTTGAATGTATCCCTAGAAGCCAAAATTCTCGTAGGGTCTGTCTTGGGCAAGCCACGGCTGTATATATCCCAGTGTTGAGATCTGCCGAGGGATCCAGCGAGAGGATTTGTCGAGCTGTTACAACCGGAGTTGCATTTCATCAACACCATCCGCGATACCACTTCTTTGCTTCAATCAAGCTTTGCAATATATCTACTGAAGAGTGTCATCAGACGTGACTTTTGCTCTGCTCTGCTCTGATCATTCTGACAGGAAGAAGAAAGAACGCAAATTCCTCGTGTGGTTCGAGTGTCAAAATCAATCGGTCTAGCCGGAGCAGATGGTCAGGAGCAGGGCCATTGCGTGAACTTTAGATGCCCAAAGTGATATCTCATTGCCACCCTCTATTCGATATAGATCAAGTCACTACGAGGGAATATACAACAAGTTTAACTTGACTTTCGACAAGGTTGATGCTGATCTCTTTCGAACTGGCTCGACACGTTCTTTCTCCATCCAGTTCAGGGGAAAATTACCATGATGGGTAATTCTGACGGGTGCTCAGAGCACCATGAAACGGGAGCTTTACCATTCAAAAGCATATGTAGATATGATGGCCATTCGTTTGTCATAAGATTCAACGGACGGTTGCTAAGTCTTCTAGTGTTTGTCTAGTATTCTTGAAGAACATGCCACGTAATTTTATCTGATCTATTTTTGGTGCTTTGTTGTGTTTCTGGCAGTGGGGGCGGTTTGTTGTGTGCGGCAGGAAGAGCGCAGCCTTGTGAGCCTTGCGGATACGGAGCCTGAGAATTTCCCGTACGGAATACACATCACGTGCCCGCCTATCTTCGGACATAGTTGCTGGGCATCGCCGCTTTTATCGTCTTCAATACCTGTACTCCGTACGGATACGGAGTCCAATTCAACTCAGAATCAGCTCACCTGTAGTCCCTAGATGTTGCATTTTCCACTCGATATCTTTCTTGTTTCCCCCCTCCACCAATCATATACAATGGGATCTACTGTGACTGACACGACATCGCATAGAAACGGTCAAGCTACCTTGCCGCACCTTGGACCGCCACACGGACTACAGTCTCATCCCCACGTTCTCCACTAGCACCATCAAGTCTGCCTCACCTACTCCATACAGTATTGTATAGTGAAAAGCTTCGTCGCGGAATCCAATCTGCTTCCGACGATGTCGCTCTCGCGCTCGGCTTGACGAGTGGATATTCGTACGTCGTATCTCTTCCCTTGTACGATTATACGATGGCCCTTAGGGATATGGGGATTTTTCATAGCAAGCCCACCCCCGAACTACCTGACATCGGGAGATGGAGGACTCCAAAGAAAGGGACGTGTGCGGTGGCTGTGTATCTTGTGACAATGTTTCACATTGACGCGCTATCGCAACTAACAGCTTTTTACACTGTGACTTCTGCCATGATCTTCAATGAGACAACTACACAGCGACTGGTAAGTACTGTGGCATTGATCTGGCAAAATGTATCCCTGAGGCCTGTGCTTTCAACAAAAAGTACGCGATTCCGACACATGGCGATGCTTCTATAATTCCTACCTTGCCTGTATTCTACTCGCGACGAATTTACGACCGCTGTGATATCAAGTGTTTCACACGAGAGACATTATATGGCTTTGTTTGTCTTTTTTCGCCAGACTTGGGCGCTCTTCAAGAAGAATATCTTGATTGTTGTTCGGCGCAATTGGTTTTCCACCCTAATTCGAGCCCTGGTCCTCCCTCTGCTGTACATCTTACTCATCTCCTACATACGAAATTTTTTCCTTCCCCCTTCGAAATACGGGTTTGGTGAACTCGATGCCATACGCAGCCCCGCCAATGCCTTCGCAGCTCAATCAAGCCGAGATCGAATTGTCCTCATCAATAACAACTACACCGGTGGCCTCATCGAGGAGGCCATAGACCGCCTGTCATCCACCTATGTGGCTGCTGGCGCCGACGTTCAGCATGCCTCTTCCGAATCCGAACTGTCCGACCTGTGTCGCTCATCATTGACAGGCACCACTCGATGTTATGGGGCAGTGTCGTTCTGGGGTTCACCGGGCGACAATGGCAGCGATACGCATTGGGATTTTTCGGCATATATGGACTGGGCTCTTGGATCGCGTGTTCATGTCGACCAGGACAACAACGACGCGCAACTGTACGCCTTGCCATTTGTTCATGCAATTAATTCGGCAATCGCAAATGTATCTGGAAAGCATCTTACCCAGGACATGCTGCAATACCCGTTCACATCTCAAACATTCCAGCAGCGTGAAGACCAGGTGCAGGACAAATTCATGTCTGCGCTGCAGAACTACCTGGCCCTCGTCATTTTCATTGCCATGTGCGGCATCACATACCACCTCCCTGGTCATATCGCCACAGAGCGTGAACTTGGCATGTCTGCCTTGATCGATACTATGAACCCGCAGCCGGCTCAATGGCAATCCTCTGCTGCACGAATATTCGCAGCCAATTCTGCCTTCAGTCTGGTCTACATGCCCGCCAGTATCGGTGTCGGCGTCATCATTGGCACGCGGATCTTTCTTCGGACGTCGGTTGGCATGCTGGTTGTCTTTCATATCGTCACCTGTCTCTCTCTGGCTGCATTCGCCGCATTGTTAGCAAGCTTCTTCCGCAAAGCTCGACTCTCCGGGATCACAATTGTTGTCTTTTCCTGTATCTTGGCTGTCATTGCGCAGTGGGCGGTACCTGGATTCTACATCGCCGTTGTCATCTTGTCCCTACTTTTTCCACCTATCAACTATGTCCTGTTCATGATCTATGTTGCCGCGGCCGAAGGACTGAATGAGCCTGCCAATTTCAGCCAGGCTTCATTCACCGCAAGGAGTACTCTCCCTGGATATTTTTACTTGGCCGCCGCTGTGGTTCAAATTGTCATATTCCCTCCTTTGACGCTGTGGGCGGAACGCTCACGCTACGGTACAGCGACCTCGTCGCGTGTAGCTGGCAATCACCTCCAAAGCAAGCCATACGCCCTAAGACTGACAAATTTGTCAAAGCTCTACAAGCCCAGTCTATTGGCACGATGCACGAGGGGAAAGAATGCTGAGACTGTTCGCGCAGTCGTGGATGTCAGCTTTACAGCTTTGAGGGGTCAGCTTGTGGCATTGCTTGGTGAGAATGGATCCGGCAAAACTGTAGGTTTCTGTTGCTCCCCAAAATCTGCTTTTATTCATCGATCCGTCTCACCATCACCGCCGTGTAGCTAGCTAATTTGCATTCAATAGACGACGATTGCAGCCATCACGGCTCAAGAGAAGTTCACTTCGGGAACCATCGACCTCGATAATGCCGGAGGAATGGGCTTTTGTCCACAGAAAAATGTTCTCTGGGATGAGGTTACAGTACTCGAGCACATCAAAATCTTCAATGAGCTCAAATCTCTGTCTGGTCGGGATTCAAAGTCTATGCTCCAGGAGACTTTGGAGTCGTGCGATTTGACCGACAAGACAGACGCTCGCACCAAGACCCTTTCGGGTGGCCAGAAGCGTAAAGTTCAGTTGGCCATGGCGTTCACCGGTGGAAGCAAGATGTGCTGTATTGACGAAGCCTCCTCAGGTCTGGATCCCGTGTCTCGGAGGAAGATCTGGGATATCCTTTTGTCGGAACGCGGCCATCGGACTTTACTATTCACGACACACGCTCTCGACGAGGCTGACGCTCTGGCCGACCATATCGTCATTCTTCAGAAGGGCCATGTTAAATTGGAGGGCTCGCCGGTCGAACTCAAACAGCGATATGGTGGCGATTACAAGATTGACGTCGAATACAGTGGACCTCTTGACATCCGCGCCAGCCGTGCTCTCCGTCACGAGCAGACCGGGTCGACTCACACCTTTTACGCCTCTGGGCCACTTGATGCAGGAAGGCTGATGGAAACACTCGAGTCCAAGGGACTGCATACCTTTGAGATTCAAGGTCCCACACTGGAACAAGTGTTTCTGCACCAAGCAGAGAGCGAGCCGGAACCTGTATCTTGGGTTCCCAAACCTCCTCCTCGGCTACGACGAACGGGCACGACTCATTCTAGTGATACGGCCGAGATGGAGTTGCTCTCCATTCACCCCAAGAGCAATACGACCCAACCTGGTGATACCCGTGAAACCCCTTTTGTACTCCCAGACAGCCGAGCCATCGGATTTGCCGGTCAACTATGGGTTTTGGTACGCAAGAGACTGGCCGTCTTCCCTCACAACTGGGTTCCCTATTTATTCGCCTTGCTGATCCCTTCGATCACGGCGGGACTGTCGACTTCATTCTTGACGGGGTTTGGCGGCATCACCTGTTCGCCCAACGATCTGTCACTTACGCCTGTCACCGCATCGATATCGGACTACTCTGGCCATGCATTTCCTGTGGCGCCGGCCAGTAACGTCGATGCAAACCGCCTGCAGGATATGTATGGTCTCTCCGGAACCAACACAGCTCTCAGTCCGAATCTGTCTCCTGACATAGTCACCACAAACTCTTACACGGATTGGAACTCGTTCATTGAATCGCGGTATTCCGCCATCCAACCTGGTGGGTTTTATCTGGGTAACGATTCCTCTCCGGATCCTGTGGTGGCGTACCGCATCGACGGTGGATTGCAGTACGCGGCCATCATGATGGCCGCGACCGATGCGTACCTGATGGGCACGAGTATTTCTTCGACTTTCCTCAATTTTGCCTTGCCAATTGGTGCTGCGCCCGGAGATTCCTTGCAACTGATTATTTATTTTGGGATCGCCATGTCCGTCACACCGGGACTGTTTGCCCTGTATCCGAGTTTCGAAAGGACCAGGAACGTCAAGCAGCTGCAGTATAGCAACGGTGTAAGACCCGGTCCTCTGTGGCTGGGGCACCTCTTGTTCGACGCCATATTCGTGGTGATCATAAGCACCGTCTCGTTGATCGTTTTCACTCAGGCCAAAAGCTCTGTGTGGCACTTTGTTTCCTACCTGTGGCCAGTCTTGTTTTTCTACGGGTTGTCAGCCACGCTTCTGGCATACATCGTCTCATTATTCGTGTCGACTCAATTGGGCGCCTTTGCCTTTGCGGCCGGTTACCAAGCAATATCGTTACTGCTTTACCTCATTGTGTGGGTTCACCCCCTCGAGTCCTGTTGCTAATAATTATCAACCGGAATACTGACTTTTGCAATCAATAAACAGCTATCTAGTCATGGTTGCTTTCAGTGTGGCCGACGATCTGCAGAGCAATCTCAACACGATACAATATACATTGGGTTTGATCATGCCGTCGGGCAGTCTTCTCCGTTCCCTACTGCTGGGATTAAATCAATCTCAGCTGCTGTGCCAGGGAGCAACGTACCGTGCGCCCGGAAGTATGTCTGTCTACGGAGCACCAATCGTCTACCTTGCTCTGCAGTGCGTCGTGTTTTATACCATCTTGGTCACCTATGACAGTGGCCGTCTCGCCTGGCTGGGCTCTCGATTTACGGGACTTTTCAGCTGTTTGAGGAAGGTTCGTGGAGGACACCACAACGTCGAACAAACTCAGCAAGGTGCGGATGTTGTGTCAGAGATTCAAAGAGCGGAGAGCTCACCGGGAGATGCACTGCGTGTACTGCACGTTTCGAAATCATTTTCCTCCGCACAACACGGACCCGTAGTTTCCGATTTGACTTTCGGTGTCAAATCCTCAGAGTGTTTTGCCTTGCTGGTATGAGCCGTCCCATTTTTTTTCCGCAACGAGACCATAAAGCTGACACTGGAGTGTTGTAGGGCCCCAACGGTGCAGGCAAGACCACGACGATCAGTCTGATACGAGGTCAAGAACAACCGAGTCAGATCGTCACCCGCCCAGCCGGCGATGTACTCGTGGATGGTCATTCACTCTTGCGGCAGCGATCCGACGCTCTGCTGTCGCTGGGGGTTTGCCCTCAATTCGACGCCATCGACATGCTCACCGTGAGACAGCACCTGAAGTTCTACGCTCGGTCCGCCGGCATATCACCGCGGATGGTGGAGCCCACGGTCGCACACGTCACGGAGGTCGTGGGGCTCAAACAGTACTCTCGACGCTTGGCGACGACCTTGTCCGGCGGCAACAAGCGGAAGCTGTCGCTGGCGGTCGCGGTGATGGGGAACCCCAAGGTGCTGCTGCTCGACGAGCCGAGCAGCGGCCTGGACGCCGTCAGCAAGCGGGTCATGTGGAAGGCTCTCGACGCCGTCCGACACATGAGTAGGGACCGACAGATGGCCATCATGATCACCACCCACAGCATGGAAGAGGTGGTGGCGTTGGCCGATCGAGTGGGCATCATGAACAGACACATGCTCGCCGTGGGAGAAAGAAAAGATTTGAGCAGGCGATACGGAAGTGGTTTCCACGTCCATGTCATGCTCGAGCGAAACACTGCCGTCGCCGACAACGGGGCAGAAGCAGAAGAGACGACGGCAAAGAAAGACGTCAAAGACTGGATCGAACAAAACTTGCCCGGTGCAGTGGTGGAACGAGAAATGTTACACGGACAGCTCCGGTTCTGGCTCCCAAGGCGTTGTCCAGGAGGGCCTGAGGGATCCGCCCAAAAAGGAGAAGCGGCTGTGTTGGCCACGACCTTTAGGATCCTGGAGACGAACAAACAACGCTTGGGGATTGAATACTATACAGTCGTACAGACGGATTGGGAGGATGTCTTCTTAAATGTCATCAGACAAGACCAAATTTCACGACATCGATGAACCGGGTAGTACATACTGCTACAACCTCACGGGGCAAGAATCTACCGAATTTTTACTGTTGAAGGGATTACTGGCGAAAATATCAGATATTCAAAGACGCCTGCGTGATGATGATAGAAACCGTATGGGCGTGAACGATATAGACTTGGGCGAAACGGACAGGAATGATACACGAGCGTATTGGATATAGCGATTTTTCATAACAAGCCTTTTGACTCTTTATCTTGACATAACTTGGTGAGCAGTTGAGCGTTCTGGTCGTCCCCACCTTTCTTGAACCCGGGCATGAGCGCCAACCATTGATACACGCTCCCTCTGAGCTCTTTGGGTAATCTAGGCGGTTCGTTGAGGACCTTTTCAAACCCGTCAACCACCTTTTGGGCGACTTCATCGATCATACTGCTACCGGGATTCGTGGGCGTGGCATCGGCAACTTCGTGCATACTCCTCGCCAAGGCAGATTTGTACTCGACCATGGCGTCGACAGACACACCGACGGTGCGGGGCCAGTTAGAGCTCATCAGATTCCACGAATCTCCTCCGGTGCCACCGCCGCCCTGGTCGCCGGCCCCTCGAAAGTCCGACCGTAAGATGACGGCGGGGATGTCCGCCATCTTGGCGACCATGTACTCGACCACGGTGCCGGCGTCGAGCTCGGCGCCGTCGTAGGTGAACAGGGCCAGGTCACAGGTCACGAGGGCGCGGAGGTCCTCGTCGCGGATCGAGTGGGGGCTCAGATCGCGCTGTTCCAGATCCTGGGGCAGGACGGGGATGAACCTCCCTTGTGACTTTTGGTGGATGGCCTGAGAGAGGAGTCTGTTGGTGTGTAGTTCCGCGAGCGTGAACAGTGGGCCGGCGTGGTAGTACGTGTACGATTGGGGTGGGTGGGAGATGGACGGGTCGAGCGTGGTGTGTGTGTCCAAGATGGCCGTTGTATCTGACATTTTTCGTTGGAGGTTTGGTCTGCGAACTGTTCACCAAGTTGATCGGGTGTTTTCACAACAGGGAATTTAGTTGGAGACTTTTCCAGAGATCGATTGTGTTCCAGTTGTATGGAAGATGTAAATGTAGATGAAAGTATCACATATATGAGCAAGAGTGTCGAGCCTGGTGAGCCTTGGATCTGTGTAGTACGGAGTACATCTACTCTCAGTGCAATGAAGAATGCCAGCGTATTACTGTACATGCTTGGAAGCAATTGCTTGCACCTTATTTGTTCTGTTGGTTGCCACAATCTTCATACATGGAACAAGGTCGTACACACAGTACTTGCAACCACAGAGAGCATGCCACACTGCGACGGTAAGGAGTCTCTTACTTATTGGCTGTAGGAACAGGATGGAATTGCCAACTGAAACGATCAACGAGCCGGGCAGTCTGATTGAAAACTTGACCACCATATTACGTGAGGCCAGGCTTCATGTTCTTGACGCGACAGGACGAGTTCGGTCGAAGATCTAAAAAGCCAAAATTGGCCTCACACGAGTCGAGTCATCGAGCGTTTGTTACTGCTGGCGCCGTCCATGTACGGAAGTGATATCGTCTCAGGATGCCGCGCCAAAATCACAATACTGTATGAGGTGGTATTTCTTCACTAGGAGTGTGCATAATGTGGGGGCGCGCCTACAGCTGTAACCGCACCAGTCCACAGCCACCAGGTTGAAGCTAATCAACAGGCTCTGCAGGCCCGTCCCTCCGTCCGCGAGTTTACGAGCACCCCTGTCCGAGTACGAGTACTGCTACACGCCTTGTTTGATTGCTTCAGCTTGCTTCTGCCTCTGCCCCTGCTCCCGCGTTGTTTGCTTCCCCATACGTATCCGCCCAAAATTCTCGAAGGGACGACTTTGTCCCTCACATACCTGATTTACTGCCTAGGTAGACAAAAATCCGGACACTGACAGTTGAGCATGTGAATCTGGACTTGTGCTTTGGCCTGGGGATGGCGTCCCGTGAAGACTACTCGGTCGGATGGATTTGTGCACTGCCCATTGAGGTAGCAGCTGCCAAAGCTGCCTTCGATCGCATCCACGACCCTATCCTGTCACCGGGTCCAGACTTTGACGACATCAATAACTACATCCTGGGAAGTGTCCGAGGTCACAATGTCGTACTCGTGTATCCGAGGTTGGAAACGTGTGAGTATGGTCAAATGTCGACATCGTTGACGAAAATCGCCACGCAGTTGCACGCGACCTTCAAATCTGTCCGATTCAATCTGATGGTTGGAGTCGCAGGAGGAGTGCCAGGCACCAAGGAGGACATTCGTCTCGGCGATGTCGTTGTGAGCAAATCGAATGCTGGCAGGCATGGCGTTATTGAGTACGACACAAATGGAAAACAAGCGGAAGGTCAGGCCATTCACGACAAAGCTTTGTCCGCAGATCACCAGCCATCGCCGTTACTGCTCGCAGCTACAGGCAAGGCCGAGACGGCCGCCATCTTCGATGAAAGTCAGGTGGCCCAGTACATTTCCGACATCATTCGGAAAGACCCTACCACTTTTGCCTATCCAGGCCCAGAACAAGACATCCTCTTCGAGTCCGACTATGATCACACCACTGAGTCCGAAGGCAACGGATGTGACCATTGCAACCCGGACAGAATCCGGCCTAGGCAGCCGCGTGACGAGCCACAGGACGTTATGGTTCATTACGGCCTCGTTGCTTCCAGCCATATTTCGATGCGCCACGGAGTGACTCGGGACAAGATTGCGCACGAGCAAGGAGTTCTCTGTTTTGAGACCGAAGCTGCTGGTCTTGAAGATGCCTCAAAGTACTTGATCATCCGAGGAATCTGCGACTATGCCGATTCACACACGTCCAATCTATGGCATGCTTACGCTGCCGCAGCTGCGGCAGCATATGCCAAAGAGGTCCTCTCGTTCATTCCCACGGTTCCCAAGAGGATATTCCTGGCACCAAACACATATTCCGAAGCGGCACCAGAAGAGGGACTAGTAGAAGAAGAGGAACAACAATGGTCCAGAACAAACGGCTGATTTTCAAATCCATTCCCAAAGGCATGCCCATGCCAGGCAAAGATCTTGTCGTTGAATGTCATGAATTCGATTTCGAACAAAGCCCACCTCCAGGAGGATTCACCACGAAGAACTCTTACGCGTCGTTCGACCCGTACTAGCGTGGACGCATGCGGGATGCGTCCGTCGAAAGCTACACGCCTGCATATGAACTCGATGGGCCAGTCACCGCACTGATCGTCGCCAAGGTCTTGAAGTCCGACAATCCGCAATTCAGCGCCGGCGACCTGATCACTGCGCTGCTCCTGATAGAAGAATACAGCGTTGTTTCAACCGTCGAGCCACAGCTCACCACCAAGATCCGCAACCCGTACAATCTTGACCTTAAGCACTATCTCGGAGCCGTCGGCATGCCGGGCCTCACCGCTTACGCATCGCTTTACGGGCACGGCAAGCCAGTCAAGGGCGAGACGGTCTTCGTCTCGGCCGCGTCGGGCGCAGTTGGGCAAATCGTGGGACAACTCGTCAAACGGGAGGGGTGCACCGTGATTGGATCGGTCGGATCCGACGACAAGTTGAAATGCATACTCGGCGAGTTGGGCTTCGACGGTGGCTTCAACTACAACAAGGAATCCGCCTTCGAGGCTCTGCCACGGCTCGCGCCGCGTGGCATCAACTTGTACTACGATAACGTGGGCGGTGAGCAGCTGGATGCGGCGTTGGTGAACATGGCCAATTTCGGCCGCATCGTGGTCTGCGGCATGGTCTCGCAGTACTCGCTCTCGGAGTCGGAGCGTTATGGGGTCAAGAATCTCGTCGTGTTCAGGAGGAAAGACTGACTATGAAGGGGTTTCTCATCCTAGACGAGGACATGGGTTCGGCGTATAAGGAGGAGTTTGAGCAAAATATGACCAAGTGGTTACAGGATGGTTCCATCAAGGGAGTGATGAGTGTGACGGACGGCATGGATGCTGCGGCCACGGGCTTGGTGGGCATGTTGACCGGACAGAACTTTGGCAAAGCCATCTTGAAGATAGCGGATCTTAATTGTTAAGGCCGGGATGGAGGCGTAACCGGGTCTCAACCCTGACCCTCATATATCAGAATACCATGTCCGTCAACCAGGTGAGGAATCACCCACCTCGCCACCTCGCCCTGGCCGTCAAATTACCAGCTCGTGGCGGCATTTTCAGGGTGAGAAGCCTTCTGAGTCTAATCTATAATCTCCAGGAAAGAACGGAATTAGGAGAGACATCCGTTGCTGCTGCCCCTGCTTGCAACTACTGGTTCGCGAATGATGGCGCTGATTCAGTGCCTCTTGATTGAAATTCTCCGATCAGTCACCTGCTCTTTTGACCGCTCTACCATCAAGTCGGGGTTTCTCGCGAGCTGCACACTGTTGTGTCTTGCTCTTGAACTACCAACAGACTACCACCCTTGGCACAAGCATAATTTTGCTCGACAGAGCGGTCTAGAGCGCGATCAGTCTCAGAGGGATGTCTTCCGAGTTGAAAAACAATCTCCAGACAGCAAGGGCAAGGCTTGGTTCCTTTCGCGAACGAGCCAATTGTATTGGAGATGTCTGTATATACGGAAGACCTAACTCAGAGGATCATAGCGGACGACAACAGATGACAAAGCATAAAGTTTTGTACAGTGGTATTGGCATTTCTACCATTGGATCGAAGATCAGGCGACTTCGAGTCGTCCAATAGCACGATTGAAAGTGGGAATGCAGCAGGCAGCATCGTCCCCGTTGTCCTCGAAATCGATTCGGGCCTCAAAGGAGGCTAAGCACTGATAAAGAGACTGGCGCAGGCACCCTTTCCATCACAGAATGTAGTCCAGAGCCACGTCCTCATAATTCAGTCTTCAACGAGGAGTCACACGTCCCGGTAACTCCGCTGGTGTAGGTGGATGTTGTCACGGTCCACAGCCCAAGACGAAGCCGCAACGAAGACGCAGAAAGTGCCGGTCGTGAGCACGGCCGCTCAGACGTCAAAGGAGGTCGGCGTGCATTCGGCAGGTGCAGGACGGACGGAAAGTACGGACGAAAAGAGGAGAGGAAACAGGCCAGTGAGCTCATCGGGGATTGGGATCCGTTGGATTGGACTCGTAGAAGTTGTACAGCCGGGGTCGTCCTCTGCATCAGGTTAAGTCAGTTACTCAAGTGTCGAATCGTTGAGAGTTAAGCCCACGCTGCGAAAGATGAGAGAGAAGAGGGGGTAGAGCGACCGCGTTCGGGGCTCATGGGAGAGGATCGTAACTCGCGAAAACAGCGAGGGGGGTTCCTTTCGCAATATATCTCCTGGCCTCTTGTTGAGTGGGAGTTGCAGTCGTAGAATCACCCCAAAGCCGAGGAAAGTCACGTGACCTACTCAGTACTGCTCACTCCTATTGCTCTGAGCCTATTGAGGTACAGAAACCGCTTCATAGCTTCACTACATGGTCAACTTAGTTCTTGATCATACCCGCACGTTTGAGTATGGATCAGTTTCTGAACCAGTTACCCTTCGGCCTTTGCTACCTCTGCTGCTAATCCCTCATCAGCAAACCCGTGTCTCGTGACAGGTTAGCGCCTTAGCGATTCATGACACTGGGTGACTCAAAGACCCCTCCTTGGCGCGTAGACACTCGACCACTGTGGCGAGTGCCCCGGGTTCTCTTGTCCTCCACTGCGAAAGGAGGCTTCAACCTACAGTAGACCCCCGCGCCCCAGCCAGCCAAGCTTCCATCCTAGTTGCGCAGAACAATCCAACACATACGGAGTACGACTTCCTTGGATCCCACCCGCGCTGGATTAATGCGATTGCAAGCAGCTCATCATGGCCTCCCTGTCAGCGGACCGTCTACACAGCACTGGAAGGGTTGTCTTCCGACTGGCACCGCACCAAGCCACGAAAAAAGGGCCAGATTTGTCCGAGTCCGGAGCACGGCACGTGGGGATCAAGTCTCGCGCACGTAGCGGTTGCAACACGTGTCGCAAGAGAAAGATCAAGTGTGATGGTACTTGAACCTGTCTCGTAGTCTCACTGTGGATGTGTCGGTGGCCGTGGAGGTGTTTTTCTTCACAGGGCTGGCCGAACGTGCGCACAATTTGGCCCTTGATTACTGACCATGCATCACAGAAGGTCATCCCGCTTGCCGTCGGTGCATTCGCTCCCGGCTATCCTGCGGCTACCAACTTCATCTGCAGTGGGAGCAGGACATGGTGGCATCCGGCAAATGTCACGGCCGATCAGGAGTGTGGTCCAAGACCTCGAAGAAGGTGCCCCAAACCCCCCAAAGTGCGTCGACGACAGCCTCCGCGAAGGCGTCCATGCAAAGAAGTCACACACGATCGGTCACCCCCCTGCCCAGACATGGCCACTCGAAAAGTCACATCTTTGTGAACACGAGCACTTCCGATATGCAGTTCCTGTCTCGGCTACAGGACGGCTGCGCAAAGAGATATCGATCTCTGGCAGGGATTGCGATCACTGCGGCACTGGAGCCATCAGATACTTGCTTGTTGAGTCCCACACATGCCTTCGAGACCCTCTCCCCGCAATCTCTTCCATCAAGTTTTCCCTGGAAGCGAGCGGTGCCTGATTACGATCCTTTTCTTCTATCTTATTTTGAAACGGTCATTTGTGCAACCAGCACCTTGGTTGACGACATTCACTGCAACCCATTGCGGAGTCTGATCCTACCCACGGCGGCGGTCTCCAAATTGGCCTATTACGGCCTGCTGATGCTGGCTGCCCACTACCTGCAGCTGGTGGATCCGCGATACTATCAAGCAGAGATGGAGCTTCGTCAAAAGACGCTCACCAAAGTACGTCGCGCCATGACTGGTTCTCGCTGGTGTGACGATGATGTCTTCGTGACAGTCATGATCCTCTGTTCTCATGATGTAAGCTTTTCTTGACCTGCCAGTTGAATAAAGGGCAATATCCCTGCCAGTCACTTCCCTGGTGCCCTTTCAGGTATCGGGGTCGCATCTCTACCGAACTGACCTATCTGGCACTCTAGATCTCCCTTCACTGCGATTCAACATGGCTGGTCCATCTCAAATACTACCGCGAATATCTGGTGTGGAGGATCAGACATCCGGGCTTGGCCTCGGCCAGGTCGCCACTCGCGCACTACGCTGCCAGTTACTTCGCAGCTCATACCGTGCTGGCCAAGTCCCTTTTCAGCATTGCCGACTCGGCGTCACCGGCAGCGGTGAGCTCCATCAACATATTTCCTCGTGTCTCATTAACAGATGGGCAGCTCGCACTTTTGGACAGGACTTTCGACTCCTGCAATACTTGGACATCTACGGAATTCATCTCCTCATTCATGTCAACAGAGAGTCTTAACGAGATCGACCCCTGGAACGGCTACAGTAACTCCCTTCTCCTTCTCATCAACGAAATCGCTTGTCTCCGAGAGGACGCGGTGGCAATGCATCATCACCGTCTGAGCCAAGCGAGGATAGAAGCTAAAATTCGTTTGTTGGAGACAAGCCTCAGCCGCCTCTCTCAATCGAGCCCCGCGTCACTGCGTAACACTGACCAGCAGACACTGTCGCACCAACGCCGCCTGCTGGAGGGAAATGCCGAAGCATACCGACTCGCCGCGATCCTATTTCTGAACGAATCCTCGTCGCCGAGGTTTCTCGGATTGGCGACCACGAACGACGCAGGACCAGCGATCCCATTACTCGATGCGACGAAGCAGCAGCAGTACGTGAGCGGGGTGCTCGAACGCGTTCGAGACATTGTGATGCACACCGATTTACCGGTGTCATGGCCACTGTGGCCACTTTTCATCGCAGGATGCCGTACTGATGCCGAGGAAGACAGGATGACGGTGCTGTCATTGCTCCAATGCGCTCAGAGGAAGAAACAGTACGAGAACATCCCGCGGGCACAGAAGGTTATCGAGCTTGTTTGGCAGCATCAAGACACGCAACTGGATAACGACTTCGGCAAGAAGTACCAACGACCTGGAACAGTCGGGCGCTACGAGTGGGAGGTGATCATGGACCTGAAAGGTTGGAGACCAAGCTTGGCGTGATATCCTCATTCGGGAGGCGATTGCCCCAATGCAGAGATGGATTGGAGGGATACTGGAAATATTCATAGGCGCTCAGAGGATTGCAAGCAATGCTGGTTCCTGCGCAGCTTGTACATTCCCGCTTGCTGGCCTCCGTTGAGAAGGGTCCCCACCCCCACCCGCGTCCCTTTCTGATTCTTCGCGGTCACATTGTCCTCGATTCCACCATCAACTCTTCACAAGCAATATCTGAATCTCTCATTCGCCCAGTCTGAGACATCCAGGTCCATGTTCCCGCCGTCACTTCCCTCGGTTTCCCCTGCGAAGTTGACGGCCGATTCGATCTTGGGCTCGGGGTCAATCATGCATCCTTGGGCTCGGTCGCGACGCTTGTTCTCCCACGCCATGTAGAAGCGCAGACCGAGGACGGTGGCGAGGCCGATGCACATGCATGCAAGGATGGCGGCGTACGCGGACTAGCCACGATATGTCAGCATTCCTTCTTCCTTCTGTCTCTGGGGTCATCTTCAACATACTTGGTAATTTGGAGCCTCTTGAGCTTTGAAAACCATCGGCCCACCGATGTTTCCGGCGCAGTATCCTATGAACAAGATAGCTGTCACGGTGGTCTTCTTGGTGTACCCGGCGAAATTGCTCGCGACGATGCTCAGGCTGAGCGGGAACCCGCACGCAAAGACACAGGCCAGCCAGATCCCCACCAATCGTCCTATTTTGTTGGCGCGTGGGAGTTGACGCACGAGCAGGATGCCCACCAGGGCGATCACGAGCATGAACGCCATGGTGTAGCAACGCATCCGTCGGTATTTATTGGTGATGTACGCCGAGACGAGAAGTAAGCAGAAGCTGATCACCGGGGCGGGTATACCGAGGAGAAGAGTATGGAAGGTATCATATCCAAACCCCTGAATGACGAGGCTCGAAAACTGCACAGCCAGTTGGTCAGCATCCGTACAACGTCTTTGGAGGAGGTGAGGAGAGATCAAATGGGCTTGGATCAGGGAGATACCCAGGGGCTGGTACTAACGTTGGTCACACCTCCGTTGGGCAGAGCGACCATTACGGTGTAGACGAACACGAACCATGTTTTGGGATCGATCAAAGCTTCAATGAATTGATCTCTCCGCCACCGGGTGCTCTTGTAGGTTTTCTGGGCTGCCTGTGGTCTCCGCTGGGCGAACTTGCGTTCTTCTTCGGTCAAAAATCGAGCTGTCAGGGGAGAATCTGGCAGGAAGATGAGTAACACGACGCCCCAGATGAATGTGACAAGCCCGAAGATGATGAAAAGCCACTGTATCAGATGTGTCAGTCACTGGATCACCCCCCTTCAACCAGCGTCACCGAGAGGGACTCGACATACTCTCCACGCAGCGACCTTGCTTTCAATGTGCCCTATGGCGTAAGCGAGAAGCCCCCCGAAAATGCCGGCAAAAGCATTTCCGGAAAACCAGATGCAGGTTCTCATGGCGTGTTCGGAAGGTTTGTACCAGATGCCGACAAGTAAAGTGAAGCCGGGGCTGATGGTGCTTTCAAACACGCCGAGGAGGACACGGAGCACAGTCAATGAGGCGAAGTTGTGGGCGACAGCATGACAAGCCATGACGATGGACCAAATGATCCTAGAGAAGGTGTCGCGAGATGAGAAAAGATCAGCGTGTAAAGGGAAGGTTTCCGGGGAGTGCCTACATGGTGATAGAGAGATACTTTGCAAGTGGGAACTTGATGAATCCAAAGGACGCAGGATAGCAGGCCACCATATAGCCATAGTAAAAGGCACTAGAGGCCCACGAGTATTGGTCACCCACGAGACCCTGTTTCGACGCAACATTAGCAACATGACTGGGAGAGGCCCGACGAGACTTACGGTCCCCTCGGGAAGACCAAGAACGGCAGCGTATCCCAAGGTCGTCTTGTCCAGAAACTGCAAGGTGTATGAGACCCAGAGCAAGGGAAGAAGCCTGCCTGTTGATCAACAATCGCGGAAACCGTTGTCAATGATGGACTCTCACCAGAAGTCAATTCTTCGGACCAATGTCCTTTCCTGGCCCTCGTCCATACTGACGACGCCGATGGAGGCCTCAGGCTCCTCTTTCTTCATGTCGGCGCTCACCGTGAGGGAAGAGACCATTCCTGTATCAGAGACTCTACCCTTGGGATTCATCTGGAATGGAATGGGGGAAAGATGCGAGTCAAGGCAATAGTGACTCTTTACTCGTACTTGGTATGTGAAGAGTGAAACTATGGCAAAGAGTCGGAAGCAGTTGGTTAGGATGCTCTTTCAGTTGGACGTTGCAGCACTTATAAGCCTGGGCCAACCCCGTTTCGAGAGAATCTTGTCAAGACAGACATCCAGCCGGGGATCTTGACAAGTAGACGAGAAGCTCGAAGCGATTGTAGTCCGGGCATGCAAGTCATTGAATGTGCCATCTCAGACGAAGTTTCCGGTGGTTGGGACCAAGCATGAGACAGAATGATTTCTTGAACTTTGCCGATGAGCGGGATAAGAGAGGGGATCCACCAGCTTGCTTTGGGCGCCAGTCTTGATCGGGCAATTTGCACCTCGCCTAGACCTTCATTCAGGTGAGAAGGTTCACTAGGATACGATGTGTGGGGCTCCGAGCTCATTAGAGGAACCGGGGCAAGGGTGCTCTAACGTGTTTGGTATGTTGCTCTCGGCATCGTCGCTTCGAGCTTCTCATCGATATCAATCATTCCCGGTTCGATCGTGGCTTTAGGACTTGAAATTCCCGTCGGAGCCGAAGCCCAGGGGGTTTTGACGTATATAAGCAGCGACGGCACTGTCTGCGTCTTGGATACCTTTGCCTTGGTCATATCGGGGTGGAGAGTCGAACCAGAAAGCATGCAGATCGCCCAGAAACCGTCGTCACTGGCCAGGGCTCAGGCAGACATTCTGATTCCCGGGAAAGGGGGGCCCATTGCCAATGGCGTCGTGGTGTGGAAAGGCAACACCATCGTCTATGTAGGCGCCCAGGACAATCTGCCGGAAGAGTATTGCACGCTCCCTTACAGTGAACACAAGGTGATCATGCCCGGCATGTGGGATTGTCACATCCACTACCTGGGGGCTACTTCGGTGATGATGGAGACATTCACGACTACCTCGCAGTCGTTGGCGGGAGCGAGGAGTGTCCCGGACCTGCGCAATACGGTCATGGCCGGATTCACATCGGTGCGAGAAGTTGGCGGGTACGGGTGCGAGCTGGCAAAGGCAGTGAAGGAGGGAGCGATCATGGGGCCAACCATCTACAGCTCTCACAGTGCCATCAGTATGACCGCTGGTCATGGTGATATCCACAATGTTCACCTCGAAGGATTCAAAGACCTCTGCGCGCACGGGTTGCCGTTCACCATTGCGGACGGGGTGGACGAGTGCATCAAAGCCGTACGCTTGCAGCTTCGTCGGGGTGCCCGGGTCATCAAGGTCTGTGCTAGCGGTGGCGTGGTGAGCGAGCTAGACGATCCTCGTCATCAGGAATATTCTTTGGAGGAGTTGAAAGCCATTGTCGATGAAGCCAGGCGAGTTGAACGGGTGGTGGCGGCGCATTGTCACGGCAAGGCGGGAATCATGGCTGCTTTGGAAGCGGGATGTGCCACCATCGAGCATGGCAGCTATCTGGACGAAGAAGCCATCGACATCATGGTGAAGAAGGGGGTGCTCCTTGTAGCGACCAGGTCTATCCTGGAAGGGGGGTTGGAGTCGCCCGAGCTCTTCTCTCCTGGCTCGTACGCCAAACTCGTGCAAATTGCCGATTCTCATGCGCAAGCATATGCGTTGGCGGCCAAGAAGGGGGTCCGGATCGCCTTGGGCACCGACATGGCCCTCAGTGGGCGGTCGGGCGCTCTCTCGTACGGGAGCAACGGCCGTGAAGTCGTTTTTGCCGTCGATGCCGGCCTCAGCCCTCTACAAGCGATTGAAGCTGCCACTGCCAATGGACCGCTGACCATTGGGCCCCAAGCGCCACTCTCAGGTCAGTTGAGGGAAGGGTACGAGGCTGACATGATTGCCTTGACTCACAATCCATTAGACGATGTCAAGGTCCTGGCAGATGCGAACAACGTGTCACATGTCTGGCAGCAAGGGAAACTGATCAAGTCACCATAGCAGAGGAAGCCATCGATTTAGATATAGGAATTGTTTGAGAGACACGTGGCCAGGGAGATCTACAGAAGATGTGAGGCTTGGTTCTCATATTGATCTAGCATGTCAGCATGTCTTAAAGTACTCGGCTTACATCGTTCCATGCAATTCCGGCCGCTGGGTCGATAATGCCTCTGTCGTTTCCGTTCGTCTTCTATCTTCTTGAGCTTGGTAATGCTATCAAAAGAGAGGCTCAAACACAATTGACGAGGGGACTCCTACGCGCGAAGGGAGTGTACTTTCTGCCCCTGATGGGTATTCTACTGGGTACAACATGAAAATGCGCGTCAACTTTTTAACCGGCTGTGCCCATGTTAGACCATTCATTTGCTTCCTAGCGACACCTGATATGTCTAATGCTCAGGACAATCCAGCCAGATCATGATCGGCTGGTAGACCTATCCCGACCGCCAGTCACTCCCTCCTCTCTTCAAACAATCTAGCTTGCCGCTCACTCATCCAAGCGTTTCGGTTGTCGTGCAATGGTCGCTCGAAATCAACAATTTCCTTCGCTACGTACAATGTCCGGCCTTGCAAGAGGAGTTAATTGCAAATACTTCTTGTGGTGGTAAGAGAAATCAAAAAGACTCACCATGTAGAGATTCGTCGATACAAGCTAGGCAGAGCGCTTCCGCGACCTCTTGAGCAGAGTTGATCGGCATGCCCTTCTACATCTCGCTGAACTCAGAGCTGAATTCGGTCTCTGGGACTTCGGTCAGCTCCATCCGTCACTCCGTGTGCATCTGGTTTGGAGTGCCTGTCATCCATGGGGCCACTAGATTCACGCGAACATTTGCGGGCTTCGTCATCGCTGCAATGGCCCGCATGATTCCGAGTACCTTCGCCAGACAAGTCAGCAACGTCCTTTCCTGAGCCGTGCGGACAAGGCCTTACCATATGCTCTGCAGCGCCGTATCGCACAATCGGTGGTGCGGCAAAGTACCCAGGAAGTCAATGGGTGACCTTCAAGTATCACAATGGAGCCTTATGAGGTAGCAGAGCTTGTAATGGCGAGAGAACCCCCCCGGCGTAGGGTTCTTCGCAAAGTAATGCGAGGCGAGCTTTGTAGCTATGGTTGTTAGTTGCTTCTCCTAGAGGGGATAGGTCCAGGGTAATACTTCTCAGTACGCCGTTTACGTCAACATCGATGAGCTTGAGATTGGGCTCTTTCAAGAGTCCGCTCTTGTCTACTTCGTCGTCAAAAAGCATCGGAGGACGCTCCGGGACGCTTGCATTCACCAAAACGACGTCAAGCCGGCTATACTTTTCGAAAGTTGTTTGGAAGAGAGCCCTCAGCGACTCCCAATTGGTCACATCAGTCTGTTGGAAGAGACCAGTTCCGCATTACGAGTCAGCCTGTAAAGATCTACTCACCAATCTTAACAATGCCATCCATCTTTAGAAGGATGTTTAAGCAACAGAGACATCCGTGTTCAAATCCTTCCCTCATGAGGTATGCCACGCCGTTCAAAACCTGTCACAGTCTGGACATACTTTATCAGTATCAAGCGAACCTCATCTGTCACAGGATAGCAGCAAGCTATCCCCCATTCGAGAAGGCAGGTAACCTAACAACCTCTTTCAGAGAGATAAACATAGACTCCAGAACAATGTAGAGACCGTCATCGGTCATCAGAGCATCCTAAGTAACAACGATACTACAGTGTTAAAGGCCTCAAAACACGTAAAGCGCCTTCTCAACTCCTTTTTTTTAATTTCCTCACATAAATAAGCTCAATTAAAGACTCCCTCCAAACCACAACTTTAACAGACCTAGTAAGTTCGTAATCATAAATCTTCTCATACCGCTCCCACCGTGAAGCTCATATTGTCCTAAGACGCGATGTCATTATCAGAGATCTATCAAACCCTAACTTCGCCTTATCGGTTTCTAGCTCCGCGTCCCGTACGCTCTACTCTGCTAAGCGAGCTCTCTTCTGAGAGCGCACATTCATCTTAATAGTCCCCATGGGACTTTATCGGCGTCACAATACAGCACTTTTCCCAGAAGGCGGTAAAGATTTAGCTGCCGCCTTCAAAGCGTGCATATCTATTTACGTGCAACGATTACCCAGGGCACCCATTTTAACTCCGTGAATAAAATCGACGAGGGCAAATAGCCAAAGAGTTAAGGAAAAGAGAATGCAGCGTTTCAACAGAGGAGCAAAGATATCGACCAAGAGATAATGACCACAGTCTTAGAAATACTTTACTTTTCTTTATAGATTCAGAACGGGATGAAACAAACCCTAGCAACTATGCTATTTTTAGTAGATAATAATGAATAACGGAGAGTACCCGAATTTAAATCTCTAAAAACGTCGAACAGCTGCCTCCGCCCTTAACCGCGATATTCTATCTTCAAAAGCCACTATCAACCTTATCCTAGGACACATATTAATAGATTGAATTCATTCCTCTGTGCGTCACATAAAAAAAATAAGTCAGGCTCAACTTTCCGCGCTAGAATGGAAGCTCCACGCAGAACAATGCGTGCATTACAGAGGGACCGCACATGTCAGACTCAAGAACCTCTACTTCGAATGAAACAAGCCTAGAGAGGTCAGTCGAAAAAACGTCGACAGGATCAAAGAAATTTTTTCCTACAGAAACGATTCGTCGTCTGAAGCCCAGACATCATGTTCCCGCTGTGGTGCGAGAGTTCCACTGGCCTCAACAATAGCCAGCTGGCCAAACAGACTCCGAAAAGCTCATGAACTCGCCTGAGAGATCGTGGAGATGGAAAGCCACCTTCTGGAGAGTCTAAAGCTGGATGAGGAGAGGCTGAACCGCATGAAGTCGTTAGGTCGTGGCTTGTACTATGTCTCGAAGAATATAGCTGTTGAGTCCGCGTTTGACTGGAGTGAAGACCAGCCAGGAGACAAGTCTGAGGGCGAGTATGCGGATGGGTGACCAGACTGAGCGAGGATGCTCAGAGGTAGAGTTGCACCTCACAGGAAACGTAAATATGTTGCAATCAGGAGACGTCTCCATCGGTCACCGTTCACCGTTGCTACGATTCCGTGACCTAAATTCTCGTGATTGTACTGTAGTCCCATAAATGTGGTTACATGAGACATACATAGGTTGACACCCCTAGATAGTGGCAGACGCCCTAACCGCTGAACATAAGCAACGGTTATTTCTCTGCGTCAAAGTCGACCCACGAGTCTGCGTGACAGCTCCTTCACAGCCTTCGTTCCTTCACGTTATTCCCGAGGCCTCGCGGAGCCCGGATACCGCTTGCCCTGTAAGACGGCGACACACGCAGATCGACCTGCTCTTGTTCTCGCCGGACCTTTCGAAGGTCGGACACAATTTCGATGCCTCTGATCCTTATGGTTACGGCCTCTGTCCGTTTGAGCCTCATCCTAAACCGTGGCACTTTCGACAGTGAAAGATGTGCCCAAAAGATCTGTTCGGAGCCGCACATAGTGTGGGTAGTAACGGTGTGATACGATATGGTGTCCTCAAATTGCACGTTCTGTGGGGCGATGTGTTTTTCTTTGTTGTTTTGATTTCAAGATTCAAAGAATGTTGAATTTCCCTCGCACGCATCATCGCCACCGCCTCTTCAAATTGTTCTTTTATTGCCTCGCTTCAAGATAAGTGAAAAGTTCAAAACCCAAGCCCTCCTCTCACTTTGTTGCGAGTTTCGCATGTGATTCGATATTGCATCGCAACTCCTACAACACTCATCCGTCCATCTATCTTTCTTCCTGCGATCCTGCGCCACGTCCCCGTCATCTACAGCTCAAACGTCTCAGGAGAAGGATCATGTCGGGCGCAGAAGTCAAGAAGCGGCAAGTGCCGCAAGTCAACGGCAACATGAGCACTACCAATAATATCACAAAGAAGTCAAAGAACAAGGCAAAAACCAACGCAAACACCGTGACATGGCGGGAGATTTCTGAATGGCATCTTGACAACAAATATATCCTTAGTGGCTACCGACGAGAGAAAGCAAACTATCTGGAGATCCTCACCAGCCTGACTTTTCTACACAACGAGACTTGCAATACACTCATCTGATTGGGGCTGTCCTCCTACCGCTCGTCGCTACTGTCTTCCTGCGTTACCTGGGCCAGGCTCAGTTTCACAATGTCGTGTCCATGGATTATGCCATGTTTGGCATCTACTTCTGGTGTGCCGAAATCTGTTTGATCTTAAGCACAATGTACCACTTGATGCTGCCTCATTCGCATCAAGCAGAACAATTCTGGCATGGGATGGATCTGCTTGGTATCGTTGTTGTGACAGTCGGTACATTCACTTCTGGAATTTACTATGTCTTCTTCTGTGAACCGAGCTTGCAGAAATTGCACTGGGGTATTGTAAGTCTCTCTAAGCGAGAGACCATCGCGCCCTTCACATTACCTTTCTCTCCTAGTAGACCAGCAGACCAGCAGACCGTGTCACTAACCACGATTTCCAGATTCTATCCACCGGCACTGTCACCGGTGTCCTCATCTCGAATCCCTCGCTCCGAACACCGCGTTGGCGAAAAGTCAAAGTGAGCGCATTCATTACTTTTGGCGCGTCGTCCTTCATACCCCTATTACATGGAGTAGAGCGATATGGACTTAACTACATGCTCGAGCACTCGGGCATGAAATGGTATCTACTCGAGCTTGTATTCTATGGCACCGGAGTTAAGCTATACGCGGTATGTCTACACGCCCCCTGCGTTGTCATCCACCCTTCTCCCTCAGCAGACTCACATCATTCTACAGTTTCGAACCCCCGAGCGTTTAGCACCAGGTACATTTGATATCTGGGGAAGTTCACACCAGATCTTTCATGTTGCCATCTTGTGCGCCATGTACACACACGTGGCCGCTCTCCTGCAGGGTTTCACGACCTGCCATGCACTCGACGTGTGCCAGCTTCAGGGCGTTTCTCAAGCAAGTTGAAGCTATGCCGAAGGTTGGGTTACTATGAGTTGCTGTGGAAAAGATGAAAGTAGAAAGCAATCAGCGATGAAGGCGAAATAGATCAAGCTCCGGGACCCATTAGGCTGCACGTAGCTATTGCTCATGACCAAGGCTTTAATTACACATACTCTTACCGGACTTAACAGCATATTCACCTTCCATCGTGCAGCTCAATATGGGCCAGCGCTGCCTACAACGAGCCACTCACAAGGCGTAACGGCTCGTATATTTTCGTATCTCGGATCAACTATTCTTCCCTCTTTCCCTCCTTCCGGCCCCGGGATTGGTTTGTTCCGCTTCGGCAATTCCAATGTCCATAGCCCAACATCACCTCATTACAAATGTAACGAATAAAAATACTTTACTAGAGATGTAGATATAGATGGCGTTGTGGTATAAAAGCAAGGCGATAAACCTAAACACCACAAACTGCTTTTACAGAGTAAAGATCTACCTTAAAGCAAGGTCCCAACATCATCGTCACCATGCCACCACAAAGTCCAGAAGATCTCGACACTCGTGCGGTCATTGACCCAGAGATTGACGCTGTATGAGTCCACATCATACTCTCTCTCTCTCTATATCTATATATATATATGGTCGATCATGAGCAACTGACACGCCAATGTATATTTCTAGATCCTCAAATCGGGCAAATTCACCTTACCCAAACTCGACACATCATCAGTCGAAGCCGGGATCAAACAACTACGCAACCTGGAGACGCTCTTCCCTCCACCACCACCGACCCCCGAAGTCGCAGAGTCCATTCACGAATTCACTGCGCGTGACGGCTTCCGACTCGTTTACCACATCTTCCAACCCGCAACTTCTCCGACCCGAGGTGCCCGACGACCACTCCTGATCTACTGGCACGGCGGCGGCGGTTGCATGGGCGATCCGTACTCGGTCTGCACCGTGGCTCGAGACCTGGTGGTGGCGCACGACATGGTGGTCGTGAGTCCGCAGTACCGTTTGGCCCCCGAACACCCGTGGCCCACGGGGATGAACGACGCTTGGGACGCCTTTGTACACGTTTCCACCACGGCGTCTTCACTTACTCTCGGAGCCGACGTTTCCGCCGGCCTTCTCCTGGGTGGTGTCAGCCAGGGCACTCGCCTCTCAAGCCTCGTCGCCCTACAGGCCAAAGGTGCCATCGCCGCGACCACCCCGCAACCGCAACTCCCCAGGGTGACCGGTCTGTACTTTGACGCCCCTTCTTTCATGACACCGGACAATGTACCCGAGGAGTACAGGTCACAATACCGTTCTCGACACGACGAGAGATGTCTCACGGCGCCCGTCCTCGACGCCGACACAAAGGCACTCTTCGACAGGGCTTTCCAGGCCGACCAGACGTCACCCCTGTACGTGGCGTTGAACACGATGCCTCTGTCCAAGCACGCCGGGGTGGCCGACCGTGCATACTTTTCCGTCTGTGGGATGGACATTCTGAGGGATGACGGGTTGATCTACGCGGATATACTGGAGAAGACGGGGGTCGAGACCCGCGTGACAATGTACCCTGGCACGCCACACGTATTTTGGTCCATCTTTCGAATGACGACTCAGGCCCAGAAATGGAAACAAGACAAGACAGATGGTGTAAAATGGTTACTCGGGAGAGAGTGAGTGTATGTCCATGTGATTGAGCAATTCTGGACATTGGTATTGTGTAGAATGTACTTTCCCTACTCTTTCGATGTATATATGTATATATATATATATATATATATACCAAACTACAACAAAAATGCCCCTCCGTCAGACCTGATCACCGTCCCCGTACAATTCTTGTCCTTCATAGAGTAAAGGTAAGATTCGGCCACGTCCTCCACGTGCCCGACCTGACCCGTGGTCATTTTTTTGGCGTACTGTTGGAAGGCGGCGTCGCGGACCTTGGGGTCCTTGAAACTGCCGTCCCACAATTCGGTCCTGACCGCCCCCGGACTGACGATGTTGACCCTGATCGGGGCCAGTTCCAGAGCAAACTGCCTGCACATGCCGTGCAAACCCGTCATGTAAGGTGTGATGGCCGACCAGTTCGGGTTCGGTTTCTCGCTCACCCCTCCGGTGGTCAAGGTGACGCTGCTGGCGACCCCGGGCACCAGGTGGTCCCGGGCGTACTTGGTCACCAAGAACGGGGCGAAAAACCGTACCATGCCGGCTTGTTTGAAAAAGGCGAAGTCGACCTGGTCGAGTGGTTTGATCCCGAGTGTATCGCCGGCCGTGAAAACGACGTGGTCGAGTTTGTTCGGGATGGCGGCGTAGAGACCTTTGACGTTGGATTCCAGGTTGGCCTCGTCGGACAGGTCGCACGGTATACCCGTGACGCGGGTGGTGGTGTCGATGTCGTCGGGGTAAGTCTCTCTGAGACGGGCAATGGTGGAATCGATTTTCGATTGACGGGATGAAGAAATGTAGACGTTTGAGGCTCCGTGTTCGACGAGCCCCTTGACGACTCCGTAACCTATGCCGGATGTGCCTCCGATCACGAGGACGGACGTCCCTGACAGTTTGCGGGTGGCCATGGTTTGGGGGGGTTGGCAGTGGTACCAGGTAATCGAAAAGGGGGTATGAATGCCAGCTATAGGTACGTGAATATATGGGGTGGGCGAGTCAAAGTACGATAAGCAAAGTTGAGAGGAACGAGAAAAGACGTGATGATAAATCAAGGGGGGAGGGAGGGAGATTCTTGACATTTTTATATCTTTTGGCCTTGAAACCTGAAACCCTTCTCTGGTCCTCCTCATGTTACATCTTGGCTTTGGTTATTAATGTCTCTACTGCTCCAAAGTTAGCTTATACTCCGTACATGACTCCGTACCGCTCACATCGAATCACAGTCACTCAATCAATCATTTGCCCTCTCCCCTTGTCTACACAAGAGGAAATATCCGGACATAAACCAAACTTCCCCACCAGATGTTTGAACTTAACTCCGTCTCGAACCGTCAGATCTCGACCAATGAGAACGAAACAACCCTTTTGGGAAGACCGTCGAGGTCATACATACATTCATACAGCACACATCACACACCTTAAGAGACGAGTACTCGTATGGGTATGAGATTAAAGAAATCCCATCACCTTGACTGTGAATTAATAATTTAGTCTCCGACCGACCGGTGAAATATATTCTCACTGTCATCATTACCACCCAAAGACCACATCTCTGTCTGGAGACATTCTTCTTTCTCGCCCCAGAATAGTTTCGGTAAAAACATGCCCATTCATTCATTCACTATCCCAAGTAACTCCCTCAAGTTCTTCTACCTTGTCACTAAATCATATCCTCCACATCCTCCCAAAGTCCATCTACCACAAACCAAAAAAAAGGGCGTCACATGACAGCATGGATGGCAGCCATGACATCCAAAGCAGCCAGTTGACTATGACTGGTCACCACGTCCATCGGTCCCGCCCACCAAGGGCCATACTGACCGTGGCCGTTGGTGTCGCGATCCTGTAAACTCCAAAATTGTTGTTGGACGAATTCCACAATCTCGTCCTGCAACCCGACATCGATCCCGTCCCGCTTTAGTATCTTGTACAATTTCACCAGGTTCCGAAGCAAGATGGCTTTGAACCCGACGGCGTCGTCGTCCTGCCACGCCGACAACGGATCACCACCGAGACGAGGATAAGCGTCACGTTCAGTCAACGTTCCGTCTCGGTCAACCCAATTGGTCCTGTTCATCGAGTACATGGCCATCAGACACGCTTGATCCAGGTACATTTGCATCACGGCTGACGAGGAGGAAGAACCAGCCGTGTCATTCTTACCAACCGCGTCATATATCGCAATCGACGCCGCAATCGCCTGTCCCGTATTATAAGTGTAATTCGCGTCAAACGTCTCTCCGGTTTGGATGTCGATGTGGTCCAGAACGAGAAAATCGTCGGCCACGTACCGACAACGGTAGATCCAATCCATGCTCAGGATGGCGTATTCCAAGAGCAAGTTCCTCGCGTACGCATCTTCGGTTTGGGTCGACAGACGTGCCGAGAGTTCCGAAAACAACCCCGTCGTGATGGAATTGACTTGGGTCTCGTTGCTCAGGTCCGTCCACAAGACCCCTCCCGCCATGTCGACGCTGTTGATGATGATCTGTCCGGGAGAAATCATGTACGGCACGACGTGACTCCAGATGGCCTCGACGACGGTCAAGTGTTGTACGTCTTGCGTGACCTCGTACAGCTCCAAGAGACCCATGGCCCACCACATGCTGTCGTCGTTGTAGTCGTTGATACAGTCCTCTGTCCCGTTTTGTACCTTGGAGACCAACTCGTCCAGCTGCCCGGTGTTTGTGGATCTGTTGGACCAGGCATCGTGAAGGGCGATCGCGGTGTATCCGTTTGCCGTTTGCCACCAGGTGATTCCCGCAATCTGACCGTTGTCCTGCTTCGAACCGAAAAAGACATCGATGGCAGGTTGTGTGATGTTGAAAGGGAACGTCTGCAAGTACGAGAGAGCCATGGGAGGGAAAGAGACAGGAAGAGATGTAGCACCCAGATTTTGGCACCAAAAAAAGACTCACCATCTTGTTTAGTCCAGTACAGTCTGGGCGGCCAGTTTTTATCAATGCCTCGACACATGGACACACACAGCATGCACCAAAAAAAAAAACAAAGCAAACGGGCGTCGTTGACATTGCATACCTCATACGCTCGACTTGACGCCGAGGTGAGCCTTGCGTGTTACACTGCATGTCATTGGATGCGAGTTGTAGATTCACAACATCAAAGAAGAAGAAAAGTCGACCGACATTATCCGCTCGGAGTGACAAGAGGGAGTCGGGACAGAAAGGACGCTTGACATTGGTACCTATGAGCGGTGCTGTGGTGTCTTTTGTTCACCCTGCAACAATCACTGGCAACACGTCGCAAGAGTGACAGGGCCGCGCATGCTGTAGACCCGGTGGTTGTAGCAACCAACAAAACCTCGAGGTCGACAGTAGGCCGTGAGAAACGACGGTGCCTGCAGCCATTATGGAGCAATATATCTCGAAGCCACGTACGTCTGTCCTTTTTTGCCATTTCCTCTTGGACACTGAGACACTGAGGCCCCCAGGCTCAAGTCACGTCCGTCGAATGACGGATGACAACGAAAACCCAACCGGCAACGGATTTGGGACGCAACGCACGACCCGTAATGTCCGTGATGGGTACCATGTCGTTGACTCGAAAGGAAGCGCAGACTTTGATCGACTTGAAAGAGGCGGAGTGATATCGATGATACAATTGATTGCAAGGAAAACTCGAGAAAGATCTTCCCTCGCCGCATCCTCGTCGCCGTCCCAAAAAGGTCTAGTGCCGGGAAGCCACTGAACATGTCCCGAAAAGGGTTTAGACTTGATCTTTGCCCCTTGGGTACTTTCAACTCAGATATGCAAACAACGAAACAGAATCACAGTATCTCCAAACTCCGCGATAGTGTGGCCGATGTCTCCGTCGAACATGAATGGAGATGAGTAGAAAGAGGTAAGGTCTATATATAAGAGGCAAGAAAGCTGGACTTGATGTCTTTGCAATCTTCACTCCCTCTCACATCTTCCCCAGTATCCAGTCAAAGAAGTATTTGTTCCAACACCATTTTACCTCGTCCTTGAGCATTTCTTGTCACCATGACTTCTACCATGTCCAAGATTCTCATTTTCGGAGGCACCGGTGGCATAGGTGAATCTTTCGCCCGTGCCTTGCACAAAATGGGTAAAAAGGTCATCATTACCGGCCGACGTGAAGACCGACTTGGGTCGCTGGCCAAGGAACTTCCGGGTCTGGAGACGTACACCATGGACAACAGCGATTTGGGTGCTATCCCCAGACACGCCAATACCCTCATAGCCAAATACCCCGACGTCGACACCGTCTGGGTCAATTCGGGGGTTCAATACCAGGGGAGTTTCAAGTCACTCGACGGTTTTGGTGACGAAAAAATCATCAACGAAATCAACGTCAACCTGACCGCACCGATCATCCTCGCCAGGTACTTTGTACCTCACCTGATCTCGCTGGACCGTGACGAGGGCACGACCTTCATGGTCACCTCTTCCGGAATCGCCTTCGTCCCCGCCGGCTTGTTCCCGGTCTACTCCCCGACAAAAGCAGGGGTGCACTCTTTCATGGTCGGTCTGAGACAATCGATCAAAGGCGACGACGCCAATATCAACTTCATCGAGATCGTCCCACCTTACGTCAGGACCGACCTGGACGTCGCCAATCGTCTCTGGCACGCAATCACCCCCATGGAACTGGACGATTTCACCCGCGACACCCTGAAAGAGCTGGAAAAACCGGCCAAGGAACTCAAAGAGGTCGCGGCCGGCACCGCCATCCCACGTGTCCGGGCTTGGAGAGACGCTTTCAACCCGTTGTTGAGAATGGGTGGTTGAAGGGAAAAAGAGGGCTAACCGAAGCAAAACACGAGATTCGTACTCGTACCATGACAGTACGGGTTCAAGAAGACGCATGGCAGCTCAGTAGATACAACTTCATAGACTAAGGTATTTGGCAAAAGTAGATGTTAGATAACCTAAGCATATGCATTGGCATAGCATTTGCATAGTAGGGAATATTTAAACCCCCCCCCAAAAAACAATCATTCAGTCATTATCACCACTTGAAAGTCACACCATCTCAGACTTCTTTAATCCTTCTTCAAAGGTACATTCGGATCACTTGCTGGAGCCGCATCTGGATCATATGCCGCAGGAGCCTGAGCCTGAGTCGGAGGTGGAGGAGTTGGTGGTGGTGGTTGAGGTTGCGATGAGCTGCTCTCTTTGGCTGGGGATGGATCGGCACTTTCCGGAGCCGAAGGAGAAGACGAAGACGAAGATGATTCACCTTGTTTGTTATCACCATCTTTTTTGGGCGACTCCTTTCCTTTTTCTTCCTCCTTCTTCGTATCATCACCACCACCACCACCACCACCACCACCGTCACCATTCGCCTTTTCTTTCTTATCTTCGTCCTTTTTCACCTCGTCGTCCACCTTCTTGGGCTCCTCTTTCGGCTTAGGTGGGGCCGTCGCAGGACTCTCGTCCGGATCGGGAACATTTTGGACCGGTGGTGCAGGGGCAGGTTGTTGTTGTTGTGGTGGTGGTGGCAGGTTGGGTTGTTGAACCGCCGGAGCCGCGACGACTGGCTGCTGAGGTCCCGCGGCGATAGGTAGGGCAGGTAGCACGGTGGGTACGGCCGGTCTCGACCTCAACTGCGCGCCGTTGCCGTCGTAATACCCGCCCCCGTTACCCATGTACATGTCCGGGTTATTCATGGTGTTGTTCTTGACGGCGCGGTCGTACAGCCTGGTCAGCCTGGCGACCTCGCTACGGACGCTGACCTGACCGTCGTCGGTGTCGATCTCGTCGTACCCGTGGACGTGGCGGGATATGCCCAACCACATGACCTCGGAGTTTTCAATCTCGTCCACCACCCTTTCCAGGTCGTCTCGGTACATTCTAGCCCGCATCGGTTGACCCCTCGACTTGAGGTAGGCGACGAGCCCCGCGATCACGGTGTTCATGGCCCCGAAGATGGTGATGAGGACGTGCGAGGATTCCGAGGCCCCCAAGGCCGTCAGGGCCGCACCGAGAACGACCTGGGTGAGTAACATGGTGTTGGACAAGGAGGCCGTCGTGTAGTACGTCCACCGTTGGTGGGCGAGTTGACGGGTGACACGGCCGTACAGGGACTTTTTGGGCACGGATTGACGCTTCCGGTTTTGATTCTGTTCGTCGGCGTCGGGTGGTGCGGACGAAGGTACACCCACCATCATGCAAAACTGTTCGTGAGGGTCGACGACGACGACGGAGGTGGCAGGTGGTGGTGGATACTCGTCGCTGTCTCCATACGCATAAGATCCCAACAAGGGTGTTTGTTCGTTTGCCATTTTTTTCTTTGTTGGTGTACCGACTACCCTGACACGTACCACCACGACGACCTTTTTTGGTTGGTGGTGAAGAGCGCGTAAAATAAAGAACAAATGCCGTACAACAACGAGAACAAAATTCCCTTCTTGAACCCACAAGGAGAAAGGAAAATATAGCCGAATCGGGATGATACTGTACAGTGTAGACGTTCGTCCGTCCTCGATGGTTTGTTGGGTTTACCCTTCTGATGATGTCGATAAATGGGCGCGCAAAAACAGGCAAAACGCTGCACGCGAAAAAAGGAAAAAAGGGAAAAAGGTCGTCGACGCACGCAAAATGCCAAAAGAGAGTGTACTGTATATCGACACGGTATAAGTTGTAGAAATGATTCGAAGATGTGATAAGAAAATAGACAAAGGTGGGAAACTTCAGCTATTCAGCTCCAAGATTGTAGCTTATTCGGTACTGATGGATCGATAACCATCTTTCTTTGTTGATCCTCGCTACAGTACGGAGTACAATACAATTCGAAACTTGGCCCAAGAAACGCCCTTATCGATAGGCGCCCCCCGTAGGGTGTGTCGATGATCTTTACCCGAGGCAGGAAAAGACATACAATATAGGTACCTCACAGTAGATATTCTGCACAGAATGGCAATACAATAATGACGAATAATCTGTAGATATAATGATGATAATGATAATGATACTAATCATAACTCGAGCTATAAGGATGCCATCAAAACTGATTTCGTCAAAAACGTCTCAAAATCCCCTCAAAGTCAAGTCAATCCAAAATCAATTCTCAATTTGTGCTCATCATAATCGTAAAGTAGAAAAGTCAGTCGAGGTCGTCAAACAAACAAAGCTATCACCCGTCAACGCCTTGCAATATATGCCCCATCCTTCAATTCAAAGCAAGCCATGAGATGGCAAAAGAATCAGAATCCCCAAAAAAAATCGACTTGTCGGAAAAAGACCCCAAGTAGCTCGGCTGCTCGGCGTCGGTAACTGGCAGCAAATATGCAAAGAGATGGCCAGAGCGACGGCACCACCATCGTCGTCAGTCGTTTCTACCAACCGACACCAGGATTCCACACTCCCATGGCAGTAGGAGGCCACGATCTCTGTGGTTGACCGAGTCCGGGCAATCCACTTCCCAATCTCACACTCTGGCCCAGGGCGTCCTTGTTCCGGGCCAACGACGCCGCGGCCACTTTGGCCGGACACACGGTGGTAGCGTGAACATGGTAACAACACTTGTCCCAGGTGGCCGGGTCCTTCCACGGCTCTCCCTGAAACTGCCAGACCTTCTTGAAGACGTACGAGACCAGATCCGGGATCTTATAAATCTCCTCCAGATCGGACCGGTTGGGTTCATTGCGCTTCAATTCGTGATACCACTTCGGTTGTTTCATCATATGGTGCACGAGGTGTTCGACATAAAACCGTTTCAGGGGGGACTTGGGAGGGCCGAATTGGTGGGTGAGCACCAGAGCCGAAAAGTTGGGTGCTTTGAACCCTTCACCCTCACGTCGGGAGAAGCTCGCTCGGACAACGTCCATGATGCTGTTTTGCAACTCTTCCATGGCAAATTTGTCCGCCATGCAGTACGAAGCCGACAGATCGCAAAGGTCAAACGCCGGTTCTGTTCGTGCCGGCAATTTGTTCCGATAAATCCAGTCGACCACGATGGAAAATGCTTTGGGGTCGTCTTCCGGGAGGTAAAGTTCGTTCTTGTATCCTTCATCAAAGGCGTCCTTTTTCAGACATTTTTCCATAAAGGGTGATCGCTGGCAGATGAGTTCGCGATGAAGGAAGAATCGTTTGCGCTTGTGGCCGACAAAGACGGTGACGATTTCAGAGGTGGTGAAGCTATGAAGTTTTGTTAGATTCGAGATGGAAAGTGAAGAGAGTGGTGAGAGAAGGGGAGAGGCAGATCTAGGTTGCATAGAGACTTGTCTCACTTTTCAAAATCATCATCGTCATCTTCTTCCTCTTCATACTCTTCGTCCTCTTCTTCTTCTTCGTATTCCTCCCCATCTTGCAACTCATCTCCTTCGGCCTGGTCTATGAGGTGTTTGATGTCGGGTACATTGGAAGCTAATTTCTTTGCTGAAACGATGGGGAGAATTTCTCGATCCGACTTGATTTGAGATTGAGATTGAGACTGAGACTGCGACTGTTGCGGCTGCGATTGATGTGACTGCGACTGTTGCGCTTGTGGTTGCGGTTGTGGTTGTGACTGCGATTGCGATTGCGAGTGTGATTGTTGTTGCGACTGCGACTGCGACTGCGACTGCGATTGAGGGTGAGGATGAGAATGAACCGGCGATTGTTGTGTGGAGCGAGAAGCCTCCATCAGCGCTCGTAGACGTGTAGTAGCCATGGGGATACAAAGAGAGAGAGAGAGAGAGAGAGAGAGAGAGAGACAGGAGTTGGGTATGCGCAACTCAATCAAACTAGTTGGAAACAAGTGGGAAGTTACTAGCTAGTCGTAGTCAATTCATCTTTTTATTGCTTGGTATACTTTGGGAGAGTAGAGATAACGGAGTAGTGTTTCTCAGACCCAAAAAGTGCAGAAAGTGACAGAACAGACTGCAACGGAAGGGGATGGCGGCATTTGGGTGGTGGTGACAGTCCGGATTCCGCGCAGGTGAGAGAGAACAAGGCGAGAGATCAGACCATTGCCGAAGTCCGCAAGGAGGAAAAAACCCCCACCAAAGAGAACAAGTTTCGAGTTACCACCGGAAGTGAGTTTCTCAGTACGGATACCGAGTACATACTTCTTACGGAATACAATACCCATCCATGTTACGAGTACTCCGTACTGTAATCTGATGGAGCCGACCGAAACCTTAGAAGCTATCTATCATTGATACCGGAGTACAGTACTTCTACTTGTACAAACCCGAAAAGAAAAAAGAAGGCCGCCACCATTTGATCAGAAGAACACTTTCTTTCACTCTCTACTTGTATCTACGGATACTATTGTAGTTAGAGGCCACACATGATTCCAACGGGAAGCTTATAACCTATGTACAATAGGTATTTTCCTTATCCGCGGCTTCAGGTACCGATACAAAGACGGAACCCTTACCGAACAATACCTACTTATCCGCAAACAGTATTCCGTACCTAGTACGGAGTACTCGTACGGAAGCTATTAATATTTTAGCCCCGAAGGTTTATATCGTAGGGTTTATTGAGTCGTTGGCTGTCAAAGAGCCGGGCCGAACAATTTACTCGACTCATACTCCGTACATACCCAACGGCTTATTTGCCCCCGGACCGAACGGGGTTTTTCTTTGCCTATCCAGGTATCTGGTAATAATACCCTTCGGTTATTGAGCCGATACTTGTTTGTACCTTTAGAATCGATTGTATTACCTGACTCGTATACCTTCACTACATAAGGTCCGGAATACATTTACGGAAAGCCATCCTATACTTGTAGGTATGTACTTTCGGAATACTAGTCACCTACTCTCAAAAGGTACTCATCATTAGGAATTGTCACTCTGTATATCCTGGATATAGCCAACATGAATCTGGTTCTGCTCTGTTCTCTTTCTGTTTCTCTTTTTTTTGTTGGATTTATCAATACGGCTTCTGTCCTTGCCAATTCCCGGGTGCTTCATACCTCCCAACGACATAAACTCCCCCTTTACTGTCGGTAGCCATTGCCATTCCGATTTTTGTCGTCGAATGCCACATGCATTGGGTATAATGTCCCCAGTCACTGAGATTCCCTTGACCTATGGCTTCTCCGTGATATTTGGCGGCTTCATTCATCCAACTTTGGGCGGTGTGTGTATGAGGGTCCTTGTAAGGTCCCGGGCTGGCCCAACCCCAGAACAAATTTTCTCCTTGGTCGGGACGTTCTGCAGATGTAGAATGTTGCATGTGTCCCACATTGTTGGCCAAATGTGTTGCCCTATGGCGAGATGAGATGAGTTGGTATGATACTCCTCGACAGGGATTTCCCAAAAGAGGATCATATCATATGTCCCAGGAAAGTACTTCGCACCTACCATTGTTGTGCCTTGTCATGTAAATCTTGATCCCACTCCAAAGGTTTCAAACCTTTATTGTTACGACCTTTGTTTTGTATCTCCAAAGCTTGTTGTTGATCTGGTGTCATGATGAAAACTGTTTCTCGTGGTTACACCAAAACTATCTTGTTTCTTTACTTGTTCTCTCCTCTGCCTGGTGTTGTTGTGTCTTCAATCGACAAGTCAACAGAGTAGGTAAACCCTTCCGTCTTATATACTCCCTTTCCTAGGCATCGATCCTTTCAGCTACTACTCCGTACTTTTTCATGTGTCGGATATATATGCAATGTAATCATCATTTTCGTTTGGTACTTCCGGCTTACATTCCTCCTCCCTCACTCACTCATGCAGGAACGAGAAGACGTCTTGTACGAGTAGGATCCTGTCAGCAAATACACCCAAGTCATACAGTCAGATAGCCACAGCGCTTACAACTTTCATCGGCTGAAGCTGTAACTGTCGCGCTTGTGAGCATATTTCTTTTTACTCCGCAAAGACGGCCTTGCTAAGGTCAGCCTCGTTGGTGAGAAACTACTCCGGATTGCAACTTATAAATAGACCCGGGGTCGATTCATCAGCCCCTGGTATGCAAACACTACAACCCAAAAAAAAGGAAATCAATTCATTGATCAAAGTCAGGTATTCTCCCCTCCCAATCCCTTCTGACATGATATTTTGTACAAACGCACTCACAACTCTCACGTGTCATGCTAGAAAACTTCCCGTAGCAATGCCCAACTCGTGTGGACTGCCACGTTGATAATGATACAAACACACACAGACACAGACGCAGACTCCGATCATGGGCACTCCATATCCGCTGTACCCTGAACATCCTAATTCCCATATCCAAAAGAAAACCATTCAGGTCTGTCGCATTGAAACGCCCAAGACACCCTTCCCCCCATGACCAACTTCCAAACATACAAGAACCACAAAATCCCTCCCAACAAAAAAACAGCTGTGGATATCAAAAAATGTAATTCACACTGAGATTTCAATGTTTCTCTTCTTCATCTTCTTCTCGTCCTTCCTAATCAAGATCGAATTCGACCCAAGTTCCAAATCCTAGTCCACCCTTTCAAACGAACCTAACGCTTCCCTCGCCCCGCGTAGTCCCCGACCTGGCCCTCGCCTTCCAACAAGGGTGGCATCGTCGAAGTGCCCATAATGCCTGGAGCACCACTACCGTCACCGCCATCTCCACCAAAGCCGATGCTCTTCTTCACCCGCTCCCGCTCCAGCTCGCGCCTCAATTCTTCATTCACCGCATCTCGTTCTTCGAGTCTCTTTCTCGCACCGCTTCTGTCCAACAGTCGTGCTTCCCGTTCCGCCTTTAATCGTCTTTCCAATTCGCGAAGTCGGTGTATCCATTTCTCCTGCCCTCCTGGTCCTTGATGACCCTGACTGGCAATATCGCTGGTGCCACTCGCGCTCGCGGTCCCCGTACTTGGTGGCGCAGGTGGCGCCTCTCGTGGAGGAGGCAACGGGAAGTTGCCATTCGCCGGTGCATTGAATGGTCCGGCCGGGATCATCAAGCCCCGGTCTCGTTCTCGTTCTCGTTCTCGTTCCTTCTCGTGGTGCGACTGAGCGTACCCACTAGCACGGCTACTGATCGAGTTGCTGCGTAAACTCATCCCTGTACCATCGCCGTTGGAACCGACCAAATGCTCCACCACCCCAGTCGAATGATGTCGTTGCAACTCCATCTTATGGCGTCGCATGCTAGAACTGCGCGCCGGCACGCCGACGACTGCACCATCAAGCTGGCCCGGGCCGTCATGCGGGGACATGGGCCCCGAATACCCCGACGCACGCGACTCGTTACGTTCACGGCGTTGGTGCATGTTATGATGGGCCTGTTGCTGTTGAAGAAGTGCGAGTTCGGCCTTGAGAAGCCGGTTCTCGCCCTTGAGTTTGCTGATCTCTGGTGTCCGACTCGTCGTAGGTATTCGAGACCCATGGTCCGAATGTGAGTGTGTATGCACACGTACCTCCATCTCGGACATTTTGAGCTTCATCTTTTCCCAACTCTCCTCGATGCGCTCAAGTTTGCGTGTTCGAACTTCTAGAGTCTGTTCCAGAGCCTGATACTCCTTGAACAATTCCCGATCCACACGCTTGATTTTGTCTTTGAACGTGGTCAGGATACCCTCAACCTGCTTGGCCGCCAGGAGCAAATTTCTACTAAACCCGGGCCAGAAAAGGATATTCCCAATGACTTCTTGCGAGGGCAAGTTGCCGTTGATGAGGCTGTTGTTGTGGGCCCAGTCCGGTCCACACATTGCCGACAATCTCTTCCACAGATTGAGCAAGATCTGGTTTCGCTCCGTGAGTTGTTCCTTGAACTGATTCTCGGTCTGCAATGCTCTCTTCCGGTCGGTTTGACGCATGCCTTCAAGCTCGGCAATTCGCGCCGAAGCCGAAGAGAGTGCTCGCGTCGTTGAGTTGTGGCCTTTATTGGTACGTTCAAAGTCGAGCTTGTCTTGACGTCGACCGGACTTTTCGCGCTCAAACGCATCTGCCAGTCTCTTGCATTCATGACTTGTGGACTCGAGCAGAGCGTCACGATCGGCAAGCAAATTTTCAGTCTCCTCGAGACGTCTGCGTACAGACTCCAGGTCAATGGTAGTCTGATCAAGCTCCCGCTTCATTTTATTGACAGCGCTAATCATGCCAGATCGAGAGCTGTTCGGATCTCCAATGATATTCCGCAGGTTCTCCTCAAGTTCTCCAAGACGATCCTTGGAGGTGTTTGCCTCGATGTCCCGGGCTGACAAAGCCTTTCGCACCTTTCGGAGCTCGTCCTTAGCCCCGGACGCTTCACGATTGAGGTCATTGATAACACGTTGAACCTCCTGTTTCTCCTGATTGGCCACGGCGTCTCGCTGTGCTCTTTCGTCGTTGATACGACGCTCAAGTTCTCTGCTCTTGTCCCGTTCGGATTCCAGGTTGAGATGAACCTTCTTGAGCAACGATTCGAGATCGCCAATCTTGATCTTATCAGCGTCTTGCTCTTCGCGAAGGAAGGCAATCTCATTATGACTACTTTCTTGTTGGACCGTGAGCCGTTGCACTTTGCTTTCCGCTTCGGAACATGTCTTCTCAAGGCTTTCAAGCTCACGATTTGCGTCATCCAACTCTGCCTTGACAGACTGATAGCGGGCGAGATTCTGCTGTGCGTCTTCTTCGAGACGAACAAGTCCTTCTCCGGCAGATCGCATCTCAGCCTGTAGTGCCTTGACATTCTCCACTTGGGCTTTGAGCTCTTGTTCAAGCCGGGCACATTCCTCAACCTTGGCGTCGAGTTCGTCGCCCAAGCCATCAATTTCCTCTTGTGCTTCGTTCTTGAGTTGTTGAAAGGCGACATCTTGCTCTTCAGCATCGCGCAGAGCATTGTCCCGCTCTTGTGTTAGGAGTTGTAGCTCTTCATTAAATTGGTCGGCATCTGCCTGGGCCTGTGCGTCCACAGCATCCAACTCGGCAAGCGCCTCGTCAAACTGGCTTTGTATGTTCTGATTTTCCAGCTTCAGCTGTGACACTTCGTCCCGAAGTTCATTGATTCGCGTCTCCAGAGTTTCTCTTTCCTGATCGCTGAGTCGAGACATTCTCGTACCATTGCTCGCCCGGGAATGTGATCTTGCTCGTGAAGCTGAACGATCCAATATACTATCCCCAGCGACACTGCGAAGACCGCCCATTCGTCCCAGCTTTAGATCCTCAATCTCTTGGTACAATCGCTCCTTTTCTTTGTTTCGCGATGTCAACGTCGATGCTTGAGCGCCGATCATCTTCTGTAGTTCGGAGACCTCGTGTCTCAGTCGCTCGATCTCGGCGTTTTGAGCGTTTGCAGCGGCTTCCACACTGCTGGACCGTGAGACGACTGACCCTCCAATGCGGGCCTTACGCCCATTTGACCGTGCCGGCACAGAATTCTCGCTCCTCAGCTTGGCAACTTCGTCACGCAGTCGCTTGTTGTCTTCTTCAGATTGTTCGCGAGCAATGGTCTCTGCCTCGAGCATATCCTTCCACATATCACGCTCCTCCCTGGAACCGACATCGCTAGTGGCAGCTCGGGTATCCCCCAGTGATTTGACCATTTCAGCCAGTCTTCGCTTCTCGGTCTCCTTTGCCAGACTCTCTGAGCGTAGCTTTTCGATCTCAATCTCGTTAACCTCCACTCTTTCACGAAGATATATCACCTCTTCTTCCGCAGTGGGACTTCTCTCATCGTCCGTACCGTATCCCTGATCAGCATTCGGAGACTCCCTATTACCAGATTCCTCGAGTTTCTTCTGCAGCTCTCGAACCTGTTTTCTCAGATTATGATTATCTTTTTCTAGTCGTAACCGGTCCGACTTTAATTGTACATTTTCTGTGATCATTTCTTTTATGCCGTCTTCAGATCTCTTCTGTAGTGCTTGGTCCAGGAAGTGGATCTTCATCTTCAAATCAAAATTCTCCTTACCTAGCTTCTCGACCGTACTTCTGTGCTCTTTCAGAGTTAGGCCTCTCTTTGGGCCTGGTGTCAGTCCGAAGACGCCCGTGTTCTTATCAGGGGACATGCTTCGTTCTTGACGGTACTGACGGGCAAAAGTGCCTGGGACCTCTAGATCTCGGACGTTGTTGGCAATAACAGTGTCCGTAGGCATGTTGAAGTTGAAAGTTGAAGCCTTTGGAGTCGACAGACCACCGGCGTCCTTTGACTTGGGGCTTTCCTCTTCCAAAGTGCTTAGATCGGTCGCGCTGGCGTGCCGCTGTGTTCGAGGCTCATCATCGCTGATGCCCGACAACCCGGACATCATACTTCCAAGACTGGCTTGTCGTGAAAGCGTCGTTCTGGACTTGCGCTGCGTACTCGAATCCGGCAACGCACCACCGGACTGGAGTGCAAAATCGGCAGCCATAGTCGCCTCGCTGGTTTCGGTAGTCGAACTGGCTATGGAGTCAAATGAAAGTCGTGCATTAGATGATCGTTTGTGGAGGTATTGTGGACGTCTTGAAGTACGAGAAGAAGTCGCAGTACTGTCCTGCTGACCGTCACCTGCTCCAGGCACTTCGAGATATCGACCCTCTTGGTCGCTTTGTGCGCTGCTCTTTCGCGGGGTTGCATCATTGTCCGCTTGACCAGGGCCTAATCTTGTGCGAGGTCTGGGTTCTTCTTCCTGTTCTCGCGCTGTCTCGTAACCCCCCATCGTTGCCAGAGACTGAACCCTGGACAATGTTCGCGCAGCCGCTGCAGCTGTTGGCGACGAAGACATATTTTCCAGTGCAGAGGTACTCGGCGCCTCGGGCGTCAAATCCAAGTCCTCACTCGCATTGGAGAATTCCTGCTCGCCGGGCGCCGGGGTTTTGTATCCACCTGGAGGCGTCCGTGGGGATTGTACAGGCACTGCTTCGCCTTCCACATGGTGTTCTGGCTCGTCATGGTGTTGAGCGACCTTGATAGGGTGTGGCTTCTTACGCACTGCTATATTATCATTGGGCATTCCGAATTGGTAGGTATCGTCAGCGCCATTATTTGCAGAGTCCTGGCCAGTTATTTGCGATGGTTCGGGTAGAAAGCTGGACTCGACATCCAGCAACTTCTTGTTCATTTCACTTTCATCCAATGTACGGTTGGCGGGGAGGTCTAGATTTGTATTCTCATCCTGAGCCTGCAGGAGGCTGCTTGGGTCCCGTGGACCGGGAAGAAATGAATCAGTAAGCTGCGAGTCCATGTGTTCATCACCGTTCACACTGCCAGCCGACGAAAGCTCATCCTCCTCCTCGTCGAAACCCCCAGGGACCCTCGAAGACCGGCGCACCGTCGGAGGACGACTCGATAGGATGGATGAAGACATGGCTCAGGGTGAAAGGTGGACTGCGTCAAGGGACTATTCTACTAGGCCGATCTTGCGGCGTCGCAGGCCGGTGGTATTCGAGCCTTTGCGTATGAGTGTTGCGGACAACATGTGTGGAGATATCGTGAAATCTGGAGACTCTTGACGCGTGGGATGAATGTGGTGATGGAGGAGGATGAGGGAGTCGCGTCGTGACTCTTCACGCCTAGGAGAGCGATGAACCGGTCGCGGGATCGTTGCGGACAGGAGATATTCGCCTTGAACAGGACGAGTATGATAGAGGAGTCTTTTGATCAGGACAACAGGGGGTCTGGAGCGTGTGAACTAAGTCGACTAGGTCATCCTAGGGTGGTCTGGGGCCGTCCAACACTCAACCGTCAGCGGCCCTGTTCTCTCCTGAAACCCGGAACTCGAAATCGTGCCAAGCGCTTTGCCTAATTGGTGCCCTCCATCAACAAGCCCCAAAGTCCATAGTAACCACGAGGCTGACTACGGAGTACTGGATACCTGACATCTTCCCTACAGTACGGAGTACCAGATTAATTGATGCATGGCTCTATTATTACAGAATACACTATCTAAGCTTCATCGTCTTCATGTTTTCATGTCCATGTCCATATTCATATTCATATTCAAGTCATCCTACCAACAAAACAAAAACGGGGTATCTATAATTCACCACACGCAATCAATCACCAATATAGTGCACTCGTAACGCGCCACTCGTTCTACACCGCCAACGTCGCGATGCCACGATTGTTGGTTGGGTTGGCCATGACACAAAGCAAAAACCCACACGAATGGCCTTCACTCCACAATGTCATGAGCACTCAATGCCCTCGACTCGATCTCAGCGAGTTGGGCATCTTCCTCTTCCTTCCTCATCTTGTATACACGATCTTTGGTGGCCTGCGCGTTTTGCAGGGTGTCAATATATGTGCGGAATTTAACAATCTCCCGCAAAAGGTAACTGCTCTTCCTCTCCCAGTTGTTCATCGCCTTGGCCGAATTGGGATGCTTGGGCGAAAAGGCCGTCGACATCATGGCTCGGAGCTCGTTGTGCTTTTGTAGTTCATCTTCCACATTACTTACGTAGGTTTGTAACGCTTTTAGCTGATCCACCTCGAGCAGCTGAGAAGCAACCATAGATTGTTGTGGTGGTGACCAGTCGTTGATATGCACCTTGTCGCCAGGCAACTTGCTGCGTATACCGCCAGCATGATCCATCGAGCTTCTCATCGACATTTGAGTGCTAGGGCGGGGGACCATAGCGGCGTTTAACCCGGCTTGGGACTCGGAAGCCATGGCACTTCTGTTCACCACGACATCGCTCCAGCCAAATTCCATGTTGCTGATACCTCCCATCATGGGCTCCTTAGACAGTCGAGCACTCCAATAATTTGCGGTAGACACAAATTCTCTGACAATGTCTGGTGTCCCCACTGAAAAGAGATGTACCGCGCCCGTTGGGAGACTGAGCGCCCAAACATAGGGTCGCGCTTTAGAATATCCAGGAGGTGGAAGCGAGCTTGCAATGGTGTGCCGAAGCATAAACTTCCACACTTCCTCAGCATTATCTTGCCAATTCCCACCGCCAACGACAGCTCCAGGCTTCGTTGCCCGAGACTTGTTCCTTAAGGATTTTGCACTGGACGAGAATGAGAACAGCCTCATCCACCCCTTTTCGATAACTGCGAAGCAGTCATTCCAGTTTCGGTCCTTTGACCTCTTCTCTACCCCTTCGAGATGGCATTTATGTTTGACAATGCCTTCCTTTGCCCAGGGTGCTCCGCACAATTCAAGTGAATCGTCTTCCAGAAGCGAACCGGCTTTCAGTCCATCATCAGTTTGCAATTCAAGCTGATCTTCACGGATGATAGCTTGGCTCAACGCATTAGCGAACCCAATCGAGGACTGGTAGTCGCCGTGTATCATATCGGTGCCGAACGAGTCGACAGACATCGAGGTTAATGTCTTTCCAAGGCTGGCTTTGCTCCACGTGCTTGAGATAGAAGGACTCCATGTTGACGACTGCTCGTCGATGCTGGTTCTACTAGAACCAAATCCGGCGGCAGACGGCAGGCGAGGCCGAGATCTAGTCTTCGTCATAAACCGGGCTCCGAGGGATTTACTTTCTCCGAATCGACTACGGTTGGTGTCTGAGTGTGCTTTACTGAGAACACTAGGACTCCGACGTAGAACGTTTGTTCCAATAGTTAAGAAACTGTTGGACTGATTGCCGTTCGTATTTGCATCGATTTGAGCGCCATAAAGTGGTAGCGGTTCCTGAGAAATTGAGTTGTACAGTCCGCGTAAAATCGTCTCAATCTGTGTCTCCCAGGCTCTTTCTGATCCAGAGTAGATGACTGATCCACGTAGGCTGTTTGCCATCTCTTGATCGGTGTCCTCTTCGTGAATAGTCTTTTCTGTAGGTCTCCTTGGTCCTCGGACGGTAAGGTTGATATCTTCTACAGGCTTGACATTCAAATGCGTTTTAGAGGATGCTGCACGAGGGGTGTTGCTATTCTCTGACTCTTGAACAATACGTTTGATCGGTGGAAGTGCGTTGCGAACAAATTGTGCTTTTGTCATTTTCTGGCCAATGTCGGCTAAGTGGAGATCAGTGTTCAGAAGGAGAATAGAGTAGCATATCGTATGGACCACATCTAATGAAATCAGCTGAATGTCGTGTTGAAGACAGGAAAATAACCTTACCACTTGACCTGTATAGGTTAGAAGGATTGCAGTCACACCATCGTTGAGCGAAGGCCACCATGATTCGATCCATCTGCTGTGTCTCTCCTTTCAAAGCTATGCGGTCGCAAAGACCTCGGAGAGCATCAATAATGTCTTGATTTGACCAGTCGAATAGTTCCATGTATGCTTGTCTCACAAGCTGGCGCTCAGGGCCATCTTCTCCTAACCACGCTCCAGCATTTGTAGAGTCCATGTCATCATCCGCATTGTCAAAAACCTGCTTAGCTTTGATCTTGGCAGCATCGGTGGCAGATTGGCTTGGTTGCAACACCTGTAGCAATGGCAAAGCTACTTTCTCGGTGCGAGGGGTCTCAACAACGAGTGGAGTTGTTGGCGCCGACCTATAGTCGCTAACATCGGAGGTTGACGCGACTGGAGAACCGTTGGATGCTTTAATCAGAGCCAGAGCCCCAGGACTCTTCGATTCCGCAGCAGGTTTACTGTCATGGGCTGCGAGACTTCCCGTTGGTGGTGCAGTGATGGACGATGCAGGAGACACACCCTCAGACGTCCAAGAGCCTTTTCTCGTTGTCTGCCGTGGGCCAGAGACAGGGCTCGCCAACGAAGCCAACAGTGTCCCGGTCTCAGCTCCAGAGCCTGATTCATCAACGTCCTTTCCAGCTTGGAGTGTAGATCGATCGTTCTCAGAATGAGTGCTACCACCGAGAGGAGAGCGTCTAGTTATGTCTTCTGTGCTACTACTATCGGCAAGGAATGAGTCTTGATGAGGTATCCGTAGCGTCGAGGGCTTGTTGTGGGACTTTAGCGTCCGATTACTGCCATGTGATGCGGTCCGAGTGTGTCCAGCTGGTTTCGGGTAGTTGACAGACTCTGGCGGCAATCCAAACGAAGGAGGCGGGAGATTTGGCGTATAGAAACCCTGCATAGAATTGGTTCGGCCATGCCCCAATGTCGGAACAGGGTTCTCCATCAGATAAGGATCCATGAAAGCCCTCAGGCTACTAACCGGGCTTGCTCCATCTGTTTGTTCAGGCTCTGCTTTGAGTTCTGAATCAAGTGTCAGTGGAAGAGGAGGTGGTATAGAACTCGAAATAGACTTCTTCCTCCTACGGAAGAATGTAGAGGTTTTCTTGGCGACTATAGGTTGGTTTTCTTTGTTTGCAGACAGCTCAGTTGACGTTCTCCGGACCGGTCTTTGCACCAATCTGTTGGGCGGCGTGGTTGGGTACAGCGGTTCATCCTGCACCGGTGTTGCGCGGCCAGGATGTTGCTTTGCAAGAGAGGTTGGCGTAGAACTATGGCTTTCTGAATGCAGAGTCGGGTATTTCGAGGAACCAAAGACACGCCTGAAAAAACCAGGTCGAGGGGTTGTGACAGGCTCATGGGCCAATCCCTGGTTCACTTTGGGCTCCAGTGCAGCATTGCTCAGACTCGGCACGCTCTTCACTGTGGGTAACACCTGCAGAGGATCGTTCATGGACCGTCCACCACTCACACCTAGTGTACCTGATCGTCCCTTCTTCACGTAGGCGCTTTTGGAAGATTTGGCACTGTTCTTCCTCACTAGAGGCGTGTTGGTATTGTCCACTGTAGGCCCCTTTCGAGACTCGGGACCTGAAAAGATGACCGGGGTAGAAGCCATAACATCGGAAGTGGTCTTGAAAGGCTTGGGGCCGCGCGGGACACGGTCTCTCGTGCCAAAGTCGAAACTCCGGGATCGCCGACTCCCAGCTGCTCCCAGACGGCCCGAAAGACTGGCTAGATGACCAAGGTCAATACTGGACGAAGCACTGCTTGCCGTGCTTCTTCCTCCATTTGAAATGTTCTTTTGCCTCCTTGTATGGCCAGGCTGGGCCGCTCTCTGAGCTTCGTAGACTTTTGATCGAACAGAGTCTTCATCCTCGCCGCGTATGCTGGGGAGCTTCTGAACATTCTTCTGGTGTCGAGCAGTGTTTCGGAGAGGAATACGAGGGGTTGTATCTGACAGGTGTGGTATAGACCTCAGCTCCGGTACATCAGGCTCGGATGAAACTGAAGAACTGAACGTATGCCCTCTCTTTCGTATGCTGCTCTCCATATCGTAGCTGTTATTTCGCGATGTATGTGAAACGTCGCCAAAACCCGCAGCAGAAAATTGGTCAAGAGACATGACAAGGTTGTCGACCATGGAGGCACGGAGGATATGGTTGGAAGAGAAGGAGAGGTCATGAGGATCTTCAAAATCGTCATTTTCATGACTGTGAGCAGGCGAGGCTGATTCTGCCAGGAAGGTTCCAGAGTGCGCCATCGGGGATTGTTGTGATGTCCCATCCACCCGCTGGGCTGGATGTGATTGTAGAGATGGTGACGAGGGGATGGAATGAGAGGAATGTCTGTGAGGTTTTGGATTCGTAGGGTGTTTCGACGAACGGGGGCGTGGACTTTTTACTTTTGTTGGAGATGACAGCAACTGCGCAGTCGTCATGCTGAGAACAGGTTCCTGTCGACTGGCACACGAATGAATCTACCGAGGACATCAGAGTATTGCCAGAACAGTCTGAGACAACTAAGAGCGGAGAGTACGTGTCGATGTCGCACGACTTGGGGTCGGTCGGACAGCTTCGTTGCACATGTCGCGGAGAGACAAGGTGTCGAAAAGGTGCAGGACAACGAGATTGTCGAGTAGAGAAACTTCGATGTTCAGGATCAAGGATATGCAGGCAGATAGTGGATGCAAGGTTATTGTACTCCGGGGTGCAGTGAGGCTGCCCCTTCACAACTGACCTGGAGAGGGGAAGGAGATTCAAAAAGTTGTACATACGGGATTCCTGGTGCAACTCAACGCGGATGGTGGGTCGATGCTATCTAGCTGCAGTGCTAACTTGTTGTAGGTACATAGCAAGGATAGGGGTCGCCAGGGTCTTGTAGATGCAGGGGTTGCTTCTTCCCTGGCTCTACAGTAACACTGCGAGTAGAAGTTCGGAAGAGATAGTCCTATACCACCCAGGTACAGAGTCTACGTTCAGTATTTCGACAATCGATGTCTACAGCACAGAAACTCATGCGGTCAACATAGCCCTTCAGTCAACCAGTCAGTCATTCAGTGCGCCCTCCCTTCACCACCAAATCAAGTACCTCTTGACTGGAGACGCGGACGGATCGACCCATGCAAGCTGCTTAGGCCACTGGCCGGCCTGAGACTTGACAGGTCAAACGGGAAGAGATGGCTGGATCAACTGACTGATATTGTGGAGGGGGGTGTCTACAATTAATACAGTAGTTGTGCACCTCAAAGAACAATGTTCATAGACTAGCCTTTCCAGAACACAAATGTTGTCCTCGTCCACCTACAACTCCGTAGAGATATTCGAGTACAAGTACGGAGTACTATTCCTGCTTCTGGATGCTCAACAAGCACCGTTAATCCAGGGCACCACAGGCCGATTGCCCCAGCCAAGGATAGGGGTGGGACGGACCTGCATTAGCACCATTTGACGAACGCCACCACCATCAAACTAGGCTCAAATCGACTGAAGGCGCTTCGAAACGAGCCACGATTCGAGATGGAACCATACAGTAGGTACAGTACTATGGTGCCGTGTCACAAAGGTACCTGTCTACCACCAGTATGCGAGGTGCTCGTCCTTCATATGCGCAGATATTATGACACGTCTAGTAGTGCAAGAAGCAAACCCGGAACACCAACGTATGGTTGCGAAAATGTCAAGATGGGAAGCATGTGTTGGTTTAAGTATTTTTCAGGTACCAAGCTAGATTTGGCCTCAAGGCCTCTCGCAACCTTCCAGCACCAAAACCAGATATACAACCATACACGACACCACGATGAAGCGCTTGCTTTCTCGAAATGCTCAACCCTGCATCATTACATCGAATCAGACAGTAGATTGGAGGTATACACTCAGCTCCGTACTCCCAGAAACAACCATTGTGTTCCCACTGTGGTCAAATTGATGCCCAAGACTGTGCAGACAAGCCATATGACGATCCACGCTATCATAGGCGAGAGGAGAAATTGGGTATGGTGCAGGAAATGTAGCGCATTATATCCCAGGAATGTGATCAAACTCCAGTATATGCCGGCTGCTAGGTACAGCAAATTGGCAAAAAATGTCGACGCCCGATTTTGATGATTGATCACCGGCATGAGGATGTATTGGATGATGTAGAGCAGGACATATGGCGGGAAAAAGGCGCGGATCGAGACATCGAAACAGTATCCGAATTCCAACACTTCAGCTCCTCGTGATCCTCCAGGCGGACCAAACAATCCCGCTTGACGTCTTCGGCCTGGGAGTCCAGCGATGCCTGGACCCAAGAGACGCCCAATCAAATAATATGCCAGTGTCGACACCAGCAATGAGCCAGCCAGAAAATGCACAACGACAAACATTAATGCGAGCTTAACCACCGATGCCAAGGAGGGCGTGTATGCCAGGGACCAAGCGAAGGACGTGAGGAGGAGAAAGAAGGACAGGAGGTAGGTGAAGGAAGGATCCGGTCGATGCCAGGTATTTCTCGTCTCTGGAAGTCATTGTCAGTAAAGGACTGGTGGAGGGTGTCTTCCACTGACGCTTGTGGTAGTATATCGACTTGAACACCTTTTTTGGCGCGATGAGAAGATGCGTCATCTCCCAGACGGCCATTTCGAAGTCCATCTGTGGAAATTTGAAGAGCCTGTGATTTCGCTGTATCAGTCACTGATTCTTCAGCGTTTCCTGGTCTGCACCGCTAACCTCTTGAAGAAACGTGGCATCCGAATATCTCCACGCCTTCTGTCGGCCGTGGTGGCCCCAAAGTGACCCGGTCCATGTTGACGAGGCGTGGCAATGCGAGGATTGCTCATTCGGACACAAGGAGTGCGTAGCGGTCAAAATTTGGGCGGGTCAAGTGAGACAGACGCGAGGAGGATAAAGATGGTAATAGTTGCGTAGTAATAAACAAAATTGAATTTCATGACAACAAGTTGTCTTTGCTTAGACGCAGGCAGAATCGGCCTTAAGAGTCGGCCACCCCAACTTACCTAAGCTGGCACTCCGCATAGCCTCGCTACTTCAGCCTTATCATGCTCTCTACAACGGACTTGAAAATTGTACTCGTGAGAATCTTAATGATCGGATCTTACATAGACTATCAGTTCCTAACACACATACGCAACTCATTGCGCTCAGTCTCGTACACTCTATAGTCGCCACTAACGCATGACTCTAACAGTGAGTGCGTTCGAAAATGCTCCTCTGATAAACCATGTTCCAGGTGTCCCAGGTCGTCCCACTTGGCCATGGCCTCCTTTATCCGAGATCGAAGGTAAATTAGTGTCTCTTGAATATCTCGTATCTGATTGACACCACCTCCTAACTCGTTGGAGGGATCGGCAGGATCCTGTAGAGTCATACGATATCTCTTCCATTGGTGTTGGACAGACATTCGACGTTGACCTTTGATTTCATCGGCATAGAGCGCCGCCAATTGTGCATCCCTGAGAAGTGGTCTCTGCAGGAATTCTTTTTCCTTGATATGCTTCGGAAAGTACCCAAGAGGCCGGGTGGAGATACCTTGGGCATAGAAATCTATGTCGGTGTACATGTCCAGAAAGAAGAGGAATTGACTAGCAACATCTGTGGGCTCGAATCTTCCTTCGCAGAATTTGAGCGCTGCCACAATCATGATGATAAGAGGGTACGACGTTAGACCCCCTTGGCTGCCGAGATGAAGCGCTCGCATGACGAGGAGCTGTTTTAATACCTTGTAAAGACTCCGCAGAGTAGGATATTCATGAAGGAAAGCCTTCACGTACTCAGTATTGTCCAGCGCTCGTGGCGTGCTCTGTATCTGTACGGGAAGCCCAGTCTGTCTATGGTGACACACCAAAATAGGTACCCTGGCATGTCTGATGTTGATGACAACGTCAAGTGGTGGCTCTGGCAGTTGAGCTGACCGTCGGTGACTACTGAAAGCCCTTTCCAGCAGGGCTAATATTTCCACCGGCGTTCTAAATCGCCTCATTGTTGCCGGAGAAAGGATGTTCGTAACGTTCAAATCGAGATCCGAGAGAGGATCATCTACACCCGTTTTCCGTGAGCCAATAATGGCGACATCAAGATTCTCATCCGCTATGCGGATGGCTCGGACAATCTCATCGAGAGCTACGTTGGCAGCACGCTTCTCCTCTTCGGAAGGCGTCGCATACTTTCCGAAAGCTCGAATTTCATCTGCCAGCCGATCACAAGCTGAGGGCCTGGGAGCCGTCTGAGTATGGGTGATGTGAGCTAACCATGGCATCCGGGACCTCGTACTCAGTGTGCCATTGTCCTCCTCGACACGCCACAGACCACTGAGATCCCTATAAGTGCCTTTATTGCGGCTATCGGAAGAACCTTTCTTCCCTGGAATGTGTTTGATCTGGTATCCGTCCTTCTTCTTTCGCAAGTTGGGTACAGAATGTTCTGGTGTGTACACTCCTCGCGGGAGAAACTTGCCAACGTCCAGGGGAATGGAGCGACCTGATCTGTCTATCTTTCGAATGACTGAGGCCCGGTTCGCCGCACGATGGGCCTCGAGAGTATTTCGTAGGCTGTTGAGATCAACATTGGGTTCATGGCGGAAGATCGGAGTAGGGATGGCTGTCCTGGAAGGCTCGTCGTCGGATTTCGCTAGATCAGAGGCCAAGCAACAGGCATGATGGCTACGTGCAACCTTCACAGTACTGGCCCAAGGAACTGGTGCTATCTGCAGAGAGCGGACATCATAGTGAAAGCGTAAAGAAAGAGGGCGGGAGGGGACACAGGCCGCCAGCATGCAGCATGCGAGAGAGGGCAGGATTGTGGATCTCGAATAGGAATAGACGTTGCTGAATGAAGTCCTCTACAGAATGTCAAGGCGACGGATTCGTGAGAGAGTATGGACTTGATCAACAGTGACTGGCAGTGATTCCCCAAAGGACGTGCCGACAATTTTCAAGACTGGATGGAGCAACGGAGGAAAGTCAGTACAGGACTATCTTGGTAGGCATGTTAGCGGCGCAGGGAAGGAAGGTTGAGCGGGGGTGTTTGCAAGAAGTCGGCACCTAACCACTAACTAATTCTGTTTCCAGAAGCCTACAGTAAGTAACTTAGTGGCCCTTACAGATTTAGAGCTCTAAATGTAAGTTATTAGCAGTGAGGACCATCAGAATCTCTAGAATGAGCCCCTCCTAGAAATTCTGTAGGCTTTCTACAGCAGACTCCTGTCTACTAGATTCGGAAATGGCATTGTCTTCCGGAATCAATACTCTGTACAGTACTTTAATTGTACCTCCTCAGGTGATACATGCAGAGTTGGGTTGCGAGAACCACAGAGAGAGAAGCACAGGTCGGAGCATGTGCAAATGGAGGGCGAATTGGGTGGAAGAAGAGGGAAATGCTCCTCATTTCTCTTTCTGATTGCTGGTCATTTTCCCCTTGTGCTATATGCATGTGCATGTGCAATCACTGATGGCCGACAACTGTTCTCGTTATCCTGCTCTTCGTTCTCGTTGTATCACCCCGTTTTGATGCCTGATAGTCGCCAACTGTATCCGCAAAGTACAGTAAGAATGCCCCCACCAAACGTCTGGACCAGCGGCGGGCCTGCGTTGCCTGAGTCCGAACCAATACTATGACGAGAGGTTCCCATCCATGTGCGTTTGGTTTGGGATTCGTAAAAGAAAGTGGCATCGTTAAATTCGACTCGGTCATTCATCATTCGATTCCTTTCTTTTCCATGTTCTTTCTCCTTCCTCCCGGCCAACATGGAAATGCTGATCCGACAGCTATAAACATGCCACTCTCAGGACAACTGATTGTTTCCATGTCGCCGCGCTGTTAACACCTTTCACTGTCCTGTATCTTCTAGTCACCGGAAACGCACTCCGCCTGCAGGCTTGCATGCTAAACGTCCCCATCGTTCTTTCTGGTTCATGATATGAATCGTTTTGACGAAACTCGCACAATTTTTCCAGGGCATTTCAACACTCACTAGAACGGCCTCGACAGCTATTTCCACACCTGGACCCTGCTGTGTCACCCTCTATCGTGCTTCATCTTAGTCCCGACCTACCCCGCCAACACCCAGCGAGCAGCAGGTGTCTGGTCGACGCTAGCTCCACTCGTTCGGCGGCCAACAACAAATTCAACAAGATCTTATCGCACATCAGCCGTCCACCCGACATCAACCACCACCGTGATCTGTCTCAGCCAAGCAGCATGGTTGCTCGCTCTGAGAGTGACGAACAACAAGGGAATTCTCCTGCTGCGGAAATCATGCCTCCAGAAGAGCCGGGCATCTCGGAGCCAGCGGAGGTTTCGCGACCAACTACCTCGTATTTCTCGCTGCCTCACAAACAGAACACGGGAGAGGCGACCTCGGAACAGAAATCACCTATCGAGGCAGCGAGAAGTGCCGGCTCAGGGAAGGAGCTTCTCCGCCGACTCAGCCTTGTCAATCCTGAAGGTCCTGACACCTTCGACGTCGATCCTCGTACCGCTCATCCTGCTCTGCGGCTGAGCGGGAACATCATCAGCGCGACCTTTTGCATACCTTACCAACTTACCCACGGCGGTCAAGGTGAATGGGGTCTGTCCACTCGGCATGGTACATCTGCTTTGTTCGATTCGTTTGCTTATTTGTCTTCTGACAAATCACCGTGGAAGCATACCTTGGTTGGCTGGACCGGGGAGATTCAGAACAAACCACAGCAACATGCAATGAGTATATTGCAGTCCGAGGGTGCTTCTGCGACCACAAACGTGAATACTCACTCCCCAAATCCAATAAACAAATCCGCGGCGCCCTATCCGGTCAATGGCGCAATTCCGCACCAGCACGAATCCCACCCAGAGCATCTTTCCCTGACTCGTGCGGACAGAAATAGCCTAGAAAAGGTCCTCGCTAATCATCCCAACGGATGCACGTTGCCGGTCTGGCTCCCGGATTCTCGAGGGGATGGAGATGATGAATTTGTATTCAAAGATCAAAGTAGGTGGCGGAGATATGCAGAACACGAACTATATACGCTCTTCCACTACCGCCAGCATGGGCCGGATGATGGGCGAGCGGAGAAGGCCTCTTGGAATGACTACCTCCAAATGAATCAAGCCTTTGCCGACAGGATTCTACAAATTTACCAGCCGGGCGATATTGTTTGGATCCACGACTACCACCTAATGATGTTGCCCAACATGCTACGACAACGGATCCCGAATATCTACATCGGCTTCTTCCTGCATATTCCATTTCCCAGCAGCGAATATATGCGTTGCCTACCGCGCAGAAAAGAGGTCTTGACAGGAGCTCTGGGAGCCACCATGATCGGCTTCCAATCCTACAGTTTTTCGCGGCATTTCAATTCGTGTTGCAAACGCATCCTGGGATTTGAGTCGAGCTCTGCTGGAGTAGACGCCTATGGTGCACACGTTGCAGTGGATGTTTTCCCCATCGGCATTGATGTGGCCTCCGTGCAAGCAGCGGCGTTCAAGGATCCGGTGATCGAGCAGAACATGAAAGCATTGAAGCAAATGTATGCAGGAAAGAAGATCATTGTCGGTCGCGATAGACTCGATACCGTCAGAGGAGTGTCACAAAAACTGATGGCATTTGAGATCTTCTTGGAGAGGTACCCAGAGTGGCGCGACAAAGTTGTACTCATTCAAGTGACCAGTCCCACTAGTGTGATGGAGGATAAGGTTGACGGCGCTCACAAGTTCGAGCTCAAAATATCGAATCTTGTTTCCAGAATCAATGGCAAGTTTGGTTCGCTAAGCCATTCTCCCGTCCAACACTATCCACAGTATCTCTCCTCTCAAGAGTACTTCGCCCTACTTCGAATTGCCGACGTTGGACTTATCACAAGCGTCAGAGATGGCATGAATACAACCAGTCTTGAATATGTCATTTGCCAGAAAAATCATTTTGGACCTCTCATATTGTCCGAATTTTCTGGTACGGCCGCCAGCCTGGGCACTGCTATTCACATTAATCCCTGGGATCTGGGAAGGGTGGCGGATGCCCTCCAGGAGGCGCTTGAAATGCCCGAAGCTCAGAAGAGACATGACCACGAGAAACTATACAACTATGTCACGACGCATACCGTGTCAACATGGACGAAGAACTTCCTGACCCGATTGCTCATCAATCTCACCTCCTTTACACAAAGCGACCTCACACCTGCCTTGGACCGCAATCGTATGATTTCACAGTATCGCGCTGCCAGCAAGCGACTGTTTATGTTCGACTACGACGGAACATTGACACCAATTGTCAAGGACCCCAATGCCGCAATCCCTGCGGACAAGGTCTTACGGACTTTAAAGGCACTTGCTGCAGATCCTCGAAATAATGTCTGGATCATTTCAGGCCGCGATGCATCGTTCCTAGAGGAGTCGATGGGTCACATCAGTGAGCTTGGCCTGAGTGCTGAACACGGTTGTTTTTTGCGACGTCCTGGCTCCGAGACCTGGGAGAACCTTGCCTCCTCCATGGACATGGGATGGCAGAAGGAGGTTATGGAGATCTTCAGGTACTACACCGAGCGCACTCAGGGGTCGTGGATCGAGAAAAAGCGGGTGGCTTTGACCTGGCATTACAGACAAGCCGACCCAGACTTTGGGGCTTTTCAAGCTCGAGAATGCCGCAAAGCACTCGAGGATAATGTAATGAAGAACTGGGAGGTTGAAGTCATGTCCGGCAAAGCAAACTTGGAGGTGCGTCCCCAATTCGTAAACAAGGGCTTCATCGCATCCCGCTTGATCAACGAATACGGTTATGGCAGCGGCGATCCACCAGAATTTGTCCTTTGCTTGGGAGATGATCAGACAGATGAAGGTGAGTACAAAAATTTTCATGTTCGCTTTCATCATGAGAAGCCATATACTGACAGGTTTGCCTAGATATGTTCCGAGCCCTGCTGAAGACCGAATTGCCAAAAGACCATGTCTTTGCCTGTACCGTTGGCGCTAGTAGCAAAAGAACTCTTGCATCATGGCATTTGCTAGAACCAAGTGATGTTATCGCCAGTATTGCTGCCCTCAACAAACAGGAGAACCTATGAGAGAAGGGACACAGCATGACCAGCGAAGAAGCTAATGACACATCTCCCCTTGACAATGATTTTCGACGCACTGTTGAGGAAAGAGAGTTTTTGGATTGGTTTTGATTTTGATTTTGAAAAATAGACAACGAGCAGCAAAGGTGCTCGAGAAGGTATTGAGGCTGGCTTTATTGTTAAAGCTGACATTGGTTGAGCCCTCGAATGTGTACAGGATTGGGGCTCAGTGTCACGATGAAGTATTGAAACACTTGTTTTGACGAAAATCATTGATGCATGCACGACAGGATAGAATGTGCGGAGCGAGATAAAAATAAGACATCTTAATATATGTTTCGAAAACAACATTTGACTTGATCTTGAACAGCACCCTCTCTTTGTGTGTTTGTGGTCACGGTCGACCCGGATACATTTTGACCAACACACTTTTGTCCGTGTCTAGATGGCCGCTGGTCTTTCTAGGTCGGAGAAGCTCTCTCTTCGAACTCAAGATCGAAAAGCATTTTCGTTGCTTCGTTTGACGACTCATTGGACTGTGGCGAGGGTTCGAAAGTTGATTTTAGTTTAATCTCTCGAGATTCGACAGGTCCGACATTCCTTGGATCTCGACCATGCGAGCATCCACGATCTCGAGGATGGGTATCCTTGCGAGTCCGTCCACGACGTTGCAAAGCGTGGGTAGTTTCTGACTTCCCAGATTATGTATCGAGATTTTTGTTTCCGACGGGTCAGCGACGCTCGTCGTTTTGATGTCGGCGGCCCCTGGGTCGTTATGGATGAGTACGTCGTAATCTGCGTCTGGTTTGCCATTGACACCGCCCCCACTGGAAGGGATGTATTTGTGAACGAGTAGGCCTTCACAATGTGGTGGTGTTGTTTTTGTGGGAGTGTCAGTTTTGGCGCTTGTATCGAGAGATGGTCGGTGTTGTTGTCGGAGAGAAGGTACTCGGAGTTCCATCCACGTCGAACCTCGCCACGACACTGTCGCTTTGAGAGTCAGAGAAGAGGCGTTTTCTGTTTCGTCCACGGCGATGTCAATGTCGGAGAAGAGTTTGGGAACCCCTAGTTCCTCTCGGCCCGTCATGATGGGGTCGGCAAAGTTTTCAATCATGAGAGGGTTGTAGGTGCAGTGGCGTCGACGTCTGCTGTGTGAGTCCGTGTACATGACGTCCTCGACGTAAAGGGCCAGAAGGTCGTAACCGGACCCTGACAACCACGAGAGGTTACGGAGAGATTCGAGGGACCAGGTGGCGTACGCAAAGTCGTCGTCACCGGTGTCTGGAAGGGAGTATTGTTCATTCGGAAAGAGGGCGCGGATGGCGGATGCTTTCGTCTTGAACCGTACGGTCGTCTTGGTCTTGGTAGAGTCCTTGAGTGTGGATTTGTACGTGTCACCTTGTGAATTCTGGCGTGGGCCGGGCGATGGGCCGAAGACGACGGGTTGACGGTATCGAAGAGTTGGAGCAGTGGTCATTGTTGCGCTTTACTCTAGTAGGGTATTGGTGGTGAAGAATGGTCCAGACAAATATGGAAGTGGACTACCATATCCTACCTTGCGCTGCCCACGTATATAAAGACACACATACACAGACATATATATACATATACATATACGCGATTGGGGTCTTGGGCCCGTAAGAAAGAATTGAAAAAAACCCACCTCCGTTGGCATGGTTGCTGATGAGTCGGATCCACGCCATCGGATCTAGATTTCGCAAAGCACCATATCCCGTCCCAAGTCGTTGGGAATGCCGAGATGGTCTCGCAGGTTTGAATGATCATTGAAAGGTACACCGCGGTAATCTCATTCCAATGTAGGTACGCCTGTCTGCTCCGGTGGAAGGATTACTGAATTGGGTCGGCATAGGGGGGGTTCCGGAGGGCCGCCGTTCCGATATGGTACCAGTACCCCATATGTTGCCGAGAACCTGGCCTACAAATCTTGAGAAAAGACGGATCAAATAGCTGATGGTCATGTCATGTGCTCCCTGTACTAGAGAGATGGCGTCCGGTGGAATTAGAATATATTCGAGCCTCTCAGATCCGTTCGTGTTCCAATGACATATCTGGTCACTCGCTGTTGAAGTTGGAAGGGGATGACCTAATCAAGGGAACGCAGCCTCGTAGCCTTGTGCCTCGCAGGGCCCCTCCGAATCACCTCTTCTCTAATTGGTCGAGAATGGTGCAGGGACAACTCAGAGTCACAGGTTTTAATATTCAACGGGCCAAACAGAAACAAGACGGTTTTCTTGTCCAAGAATCTCTTTTTCGTTCTCTGCCTGTCTCTTCCTCTTGTTTCTCCTCCTCCTCTCTCTCTTGAGACGAAACCCGGCAGAACAGTTTCGTCTAGTACTGCAGCGTGCTTCTCTTCTATTTCGTCCTCGCTACAGTAAGTCACAAATCGACGTCATACGATCTGCGCTTGGACACAAAGATTCTTCGGCTGTAACCAAAAGCCACCGCTTCTTTGTTACCGTCACATGCACAGCCAAAATCCTTGCTCGACCACCCATCCCAGTGCAGATGAAGTAGTGCAGATCGATAACTTCAAGATCTAGGGCTACAACACCCACACACTGAGCGTTTTCTTCGCCGCCAACTGTTCATTTTCCCCTCAACAAAGTTTTAACGAACCCCCAAGGTCTACCCCTCCAAGAGCGCAGATAAGGACACAAGACGAGTCCCGGACCAAAACCTCGACAAGATGCCACCCAGAGGAAGAGGAGGCAAATTCTCCAAGCCCACCCGTGGAGGTGTGTATATAAACGCAATACAAACAAGCACCCTAACTGACACATTCATTCTCTAGGTGGCAAACATTTCTCCCGCGACCTACAGCCCCTCGACAGTGAAGGCAACCAGATGGGCATGTGGCGAGACCCCGCCGATGCTGCAGACTCATCTTCTGAAGAAGAGGAGGACGAGGACGAATCTTCCGAGGAAGAATCCTCAGATGAGGAGGGAGGAGCATCTTCCAAGGCGCCAGCAGCCTCTGGTGAACTGACGCGCGAGCAACGCAAGGAGGCCGCCCGACTGAAAAAACAGGCGGCGATCGCCAAAAAGAACAAAAAAGTCGCCGCCGTGGGAGACATGCCAAGCGAGTCTGAGGAAGAGGAGGAGGCGAGTGAGGACAACGACGACGACATGCCCGCGAACCCCAACCACACCCAAAAGGCCCGGTCCATGGCGCGCGCGGCCACCGGCCCCAGCGGAGAACAGCCCATCAAGAAGACGACGGACAAGGAGAACCTGAGCAGACGGGAGAGGGAGGCCATCGCCGCCCAGCAGGCCAAGGAACGGTACCAGAAACTCCACGCCGAGGGCAAGACGGACGAAGCAAGGGCAGACCTCGCCCGGCTCAAGTTGATCCGAGAACAACGAGAGGCGGCCGCGGCGCGGAAACAGGCCGAAAAGGAAGAACGGGATGCGCGTGAGAAGGATCGAGACGACCGTGAAGCAAAGAGGCGTGAGGCGGCGCTGGGTGCCGGAGGCGCAAAGAAGAGTGCCAAGGGTAAGAAATGAAGGGGAGAGATCCCTGCCCAAATGCCCCCGACCCCATCGTTGCGTTCCCGACTCGGTACTCGCCCGTCCATACGGTACGTTTTTCTTGGCCATGGTGGCAACGGCACGGCAAGACAATGCATTTGAAAACAATTCAAGACGAGAACATTGAGAATAGAGTCTACGACTGGAAGTGGTGATGTGGTGATTATTCAGCTGCCTCATGAAACGAAGACGATGGTGCTAGTCGTCAAGTCGAAGGGTGCATCAGCGAACGGTTTGGGAGTCTGCCTGACCTTGGTACCTCTCCTGCTCTCGTAGGTACATACGGACCAGAAATCTGGTTTCTGTCCCCAAGACACAATTCATCTTACGATATTGCATCTCCGTCCCTGCAATTCGTTTCTTTTCACTTGATTTGATAAGATGACGGGTATAAAAGTCGAAATTGTCAACAAGTTTGCATTCGCATTCGTATTTGTATGTACTCTGGGGGTATCATTGGAAAACTCGGACAAAAAAACACAATAAAACGACACCCATCCAGGCCACTTGGGCTTACGCCTCTCATATTCCGACATACCCACAAGGTCGTAACACCATGACTCGACAAGAGAAAACAATCCTGCCACTTGGACCGTTAGCCCCTGGATCTGCATGCCACCATCGGACTCCAGTAAACTTTTCCGGCCTCACAGTAAGTTCCAGACTTGCATGCACCGTCCGGTTTCATAGCTTCATCGGTCCTTTTTTCTTTTTCTTGAACTTTCAATGATCTTGTCCCGTCACTGTCGAGACCAACCACCGAGTATGTCTCGACTACTAAACATGCTCGCCTTGAGCTTGTACTCGTTCCCACTCGAGATGTCGAGATAAGTGTAGGCGTCGGATTTGTAGTAAATGGCCCTGGCCTCCGCGGCGTCGCCACCGCCACCGCCGTTCAACAGTCCAAGTTTCTTCAAGCCCAAAAGGACACGCTTGACGTCTTCCTTGTCTGCAAAGTCATGCGTGTAGACGCAGATCAACCTCGACCCCTCTTTGTCTTTGACGCCGGCACTTTCGGGGTCAGGGCTCGTGGCCACTTTCGCGCCGATACCCAGTGTCCCTTCCAAAGTGCCCTGCGCGACGAGTGACCACACTCGGTCGACATCCTCGGAAGACGGGAAGAGCATCCATTTGCCCGTGGTGATGTTGCTGTCTCGCGCGAGGTCGCGGACACCCGAGTCGAGACGTTCTCGCTCCGGTCGGAGGAGACGAGTGATGGTCCCGGCTGCTTTCCCCGGGTTTTGGGACTCGACCTGCTCTTTGGTCGAGAGGAAATCCTCGAGTAAGCGGGTTCCCAATTGGCGGAACGTCGCGACGTCGGCAGCTTCCGTGAAGACTTTGCCGGACGGGGTCTTTCCGAGTGGCGGATAAGGGTTCGCAATGTAGATCCAGTGGCCGCGGGACGACGGGGTCTGAGACGGCGGGAGGCGGTCGAGGAAGTCTGTGAGGGATTCCGAGAGTTGCTTGGCTAGTTCCATGCCTTCGTAGAAGTTGTGTGGTCTCGATGTGCTTGCCGAAGTTGCTTCACTTTCCATCTTTGTTTGCTCCGAGGCATCAGGCGCAGCGGTGGGTTCATCGATGTCCATTCGTCCACCATCGTCGAGCATTACGCGGTCGCCACCTTCTTGCTTGATCTTTGAATCACTTGCTGCGTCTTCAAGTTTCATGACGGGTAAGTTCGCGCTGGATTTTGGCTGTTGTTCTTCTTCCTTGACTCGAACTTCATCTGCTTCCTTCTGCTGAGCCTGTTTGGCCTTTTCGGCTTTGACTTGGATATTCCAATCTTGAACTTTCCAGTAATTTCGGGGATCGTACGATGCAGCAAGCTTGTTGTAGTATGCCTTGGTAGCCGCGTCACCTGTTTCGGATCTTAACAAACCATCGCAGGGAGTGAATGGCAGTTATCTTCTAATCTTGGCTGAACACGATGCAAAAAAAAAAAGAAAAACTTACCATGGAAATCTGATTCCTCGCTGAAAAGATCATCCGGTACTTGTATCCATTTCTCTTTTGGGGTGGTTAGGAAATCTGACAAGGTACCTGGAACAGGCATTTTTGCGTGTGCTCAGCAGAGACCTTTTGCAGATGAGATGGAAAGGTCGTCTACATGGCGGAAAACAAGACCAAAACCCGGATACCCTAAGGATACAAAACGATTTGCGTATGTTGGTGAGCTTTCTTTTCAGAAGCCGTTTGTGTAAGCGTGTTGGAAAGTGGAAGTGAGAGAGAGAAATTGGATGTTGTTGTTGGGCTTGATGACCGACCAGGATGATCGTGACGAGGCTGAAACACTAGATTCCGAACCAGTCTCAAGGCAGACAAACACCGATTCAAAGCCAAGGACCACAACACGACAACGAGGAGAGATAGAGAGATGGATCACAAAGAAAAGCCTGTTTCTTTTTTCTGTGCTCTTGTACTGTTGGCCATACAAATCTAGCTCTCAGAATTATAAGGAGCGATCATTTTCCAGTATTGATATCAACATTCGGCCCCATGATAGGCCTCAGGGTTCGGACCTTTCGTTAATTACTTTACTCGGTGTAATAAATCTAAACATATACAAAACAAAGCATGGGCGCCCGCATTCTCCTCTCTCCTCTCGTCTCTCAGGCATAATATGTACAGCTCAACTCCCCAACGACCAAGGTCTTGCCGGACCCGCAGGCCCAGAACTCCACGGTGTAGGTCTTGTCCTTGGTGACAAACAATGACAAGCTCGCCTCTTCGTAGTCTCCTTCGGCTTGAGGCCCCAACGCACGACTGTTGGTGATTGACGACGACCCATCCTCGGCCGTCAGACTCAGACCCGTAGACGCGTTCGGGTAGTTCCGAGAGTCAAAGTCCGGAGCCCGAGTCTTTGCGACACACTCGTAGACCGCCTTGGTGTAGAGCGGGGTCCACGATCCCTTCATGTGCACACACGTGTCTGGGGACGCATCCTTCAGATACACAATGGTCATGGATGGTGCATCATCGGCTCCGGAACTGGCATCGTGGGGGAAGGTCAAGGCCCCAGAGACCGCGGAAGTCGTCTCGTCGATGGTCAAATCACCCAGCGGGCTGAATATGTGTCGATCGACGAGCGAAGGTGACGGTGCTGGGACAACGTATCTGTCTGTCGACGTCGGTGCCTGGGTCGCCAGTGAAGATATCGAGGACTGATAGACGGTGCTCAACGTCGTCGTGAGGACGGAGGAAAATGGTACAAAAAAGGACGCAGGAGGAGCCATCGTAGAAAAGGGGCTCGCCGTGGGTGTCGTGAGGAAGCTCGACTGAGCCGCGTGGACCGGGTCAGGGATACTCCTATCCTTGTCCATGCCAATGGGTACTTGAGGTGGTGCGTACAGAGGAGACAGACGACCACTCGATGCAATCAGAGAGAGATCCGTCGGTTGTTGTCGTTGTCGTTGGGCTTGGGATTCCAAGGATACTGTCACCATCTTGACCGACGGTGTACATATGCCAGCACTTTTGCTGTTTGTGACTGTCTCGGTCACCGTCACCACCGCGGGGGGTTTCATCTGCGGCATGAATTGTGTCGTGGTAGTACCAAACAACGAGCAACCCATGCTAATCTCTGCTCGATAAGCCTCGCAGTTCGTGCCGAATTGATACAAAAAGTCCTTTGAGTTGGCATTGTGGTTTCTGAACTCTGTACAAAATGCGTCTGAAAGTGATACATCATCGAGAAGCCTGGTGTACAGGCTTCTGAGGTTGCTGAGCGAAAGTCAGCGAGGCCTACTCCCACTGAAAATGAAAAAAAGGGCCAGGAGCCGGAAAAAAGACTTACCAGGCGACCTGCGCCTGACCAAGGCTCAACAGAGCCAAAGAGAAACAGAGAGACAGATAGATGCTGTACATTTTGGACTTGCTATGAAGACACGAGAAGATACGAGTAAGACAGAAGAAGAGGATGGCGGTGACAAAGGCAAAGAAACGAAAAAAGTCACATCCTTACAGGAGGAGTTTGTCGAGTTCAAGTACTACTACTGTACCTCCTCCTGCATCCGCGTTCATTCACCAGCCTCTCGAGACTTTTGAGCCAGACTTTCAAAAAACCCGGTCTATGCGTTACCTACGGAGTAACAGGACCGTGTCTTGAGGAGTAGAACGCATCGCCATTGGTCTGAAGATGACGTTGAACGCGGATGTGGCTAACGTGGCCGGCTGTCGAAGCCCGTCCCTGCCAGAGACCAGAGCTTTCACAAGAAATTGGACACAGCTCTGACAGCAACCGAGACATGATGGATCAAAGACGCGGGCAGCGAACAACGGCTAGATCTGAAGAATCTCTAGTAGAATCTTCGCGCGTCTGTTCGAGGGGGAGAGCGCGACAGGTTGAAAGGTTGAAAGGATCTTGACAGACAAACTGACATCTTTGACACGCTCCTGTTTTTTAGAGCCCCAGCGGCTCCAAAGAGAGGACTTGCACGTGACGAGGCTGAAGATCTGGAACGTCAGCCCATGGACCGAGTAACCTACCAAGGAAGAGAATTGGGAATCTATCGAGGTCGAGAGTCGATGTGTATTGACTAGACTCATGTTTCTCAGTTTACGCTGTGGTTATAACAGGATGAAACAACCTTGACGCCGTTGTTTGCACCCTCAAAAGGTGATGCGAGTAGGCGAACCCAACATCAAAACTCAGCCTTGTCTCCATTGAAAATTTGTTCTGTATTCAACATAGCATTTCCAACGCCCATACACATATGTTGTAAGGGAACCTATTTGATTGCACCAAGCTGCCGTGCGTAGGTATGTCTCGGTAACCACGTGATATGAACGCTCATGCTGCATTGCAGTGAATCAATCATATTGCCGGCGAGCATTCACAGTATTCAATATGGCGTTCTGCCGCCTCCGGTTGAATTGAAATCCTCATGTGCCAGTAATCACCTCACTCTTTACAAGAACGGGGTGAGCGTTGTTGACACGCTCCCAAAATCTCAGTAAGTCCTGTAACGCGGCGATGAATGGAGATCTATCTACCTCTGCATCAGTCCTTCTCTTCTTGTCAATCTACACCATGCCTCCACGACGCTCTCTAAACGACCTTATGCAGGCCGCCCGGAGCAATCTTGAACGGCACCATCGCTCGCGACGAGATCAGCAGCAGTACACCCTCACTCGTTCGCATCTTCCCCGTACTGCTGCATTCCTCGACAAAATGTCATCGTCGTCACCAGAAATTCCCTACACGACCCGCACGGCCGACCAAGAAATCGACACTGTGGCCATCTGCCCTACCAACCCGGAGTACATGATCATAGGGACCTATTCGCTCCTCAAGCCCGACGCGCCACGGTCGTATCCTTCCCAGACACGACAAGGCAGCATTCAGGTTCTCATGGTGGCTTCCGACTTCCGTCCCAGATATGCCGGCATGCTTCCACCGCATCTCGATCGCATGGCGTTTCCAGAGGCAATAGTAGACATTCACTTCCATCCCTCCGATGGCACGCTCTTTGGCGCCGCAACCTCGACCGGCAAAGTTCACCTCTTCCGCTTCATCAAACACGGGGATGTTCTCGGTAGGCGTGTCATCACCAAACTGCTTCCACTTGGCAGCGTGATCGTATCTGACCTCGACGAGCACGGTCTGGCACCCCTGGTCACGCAGTTCACTTGGTTTCCCGGCGTCCACACAAAGGGCGTACTCGGCATAAGTGATGTTCAAGATATTTGCTTCGCGGCGGTGACATCGTTCGGCGAGACCAAATTGGTCCGCACTTCCGTTCCGCGCATCAAGGATCTATATGACCAGCGTGTGGGCCAGGATCTGGAGTTCCCCCCGGCTTCGATCACCGACATACACAAGCACGAACTCGAGGCCTGGACGGTGGCGAGTTTCGTGCTACCAAACTCACAAGACACGATCAAAGGCACCGTGACACACATGATCTTGAGTGGAGGGGATGATAGTGCGCTTATCGCATCGGCAATGAACTTGCCACCCGGTGTAATGCCCGAGCAGACGTCGGCATCAATCTCACCATCGGATACCGACGAACTCACTGCGATGCAGCTGTGGAAGGACAGACGGAATCACACGGCCGGCGTCGTGGCCATCCTCCCTCTTCCCCTTCTTACGACGTTGATCAGCAAGGCCGACCCTTCGTCGCAACACCGCGCCTTCATCCCCTTGGTCACGGGAAGCTACGACGAGCGCCTTCGAGTTTTCGAGATCGATCCTGCCACGCGTCGTGCCATGTTCGTCACGGAAACAAGTCTCGGAGGTGGCGTTTGGAGACTGAAGGTGCTAGACCAGTACACCACCCTCGCTAGGGGAAGCAACCAGCAGCAGCATCTACAGTACCATACCCTGATCCTGGTATCGTTGATGCATGGAGGCGCCGCCGTCCTCCGATTGACGTACACTCCAAACGCCTCTGAGACGTGGACGATAGAGGTTCTGACGACATTCCGAGCCGGACATGAGAGCATGGTCTACTGCTGCGATGCAATTCTCGAACCGATGACCGAGGACGACGGGCCAAGTTCAATCGCCGAACACACGGCACCTTCATATACGATCGTCAGCACCAGCTTCTATGACATGAAGATTTGCACCTGGAGGTTTGTCGACCATTTCAAGGCACAGCACTCCCAAGCTCGGGGATTGGCCAATGTTCAAAGTTGAGTAAACGTACCCGCCGTTACGGTCACAACGGGCATGATTGAAGATGTACATTCACAAGGGCGCAACATTCGCACGCTAGATAGACAGTTGTTGGAATCATCAACTCATAATTGTGGTAATAGAATGTTTTGGAGAAAAAGGCGATCGGACAGTCGGCCAAAAAAGTGCCATCAAAATGCCTTATTTGTGTATGCGCATGCTGTTTCGCCTTGTTCCTAGTAGCTTTCCGCGCGCTCTATGAGTACAAAATATTGCATGCCTTTTGATCGATGGCAAAACAACATTCCAGGTCTAGACAATCATCTCTAATTCGCGAGCATATCCAACCATGTGATTGATCACTTCCTTCTGGTCTCCATCTTCCTCCTTCTTTGCATCCTCCAACCCAGGGAAGTATATCCGACCTTCTTCCAGACTCCAGCCCTGTTCACTCGCAAAGTCCATGACCGCACCTTCGGAATCGAGGAAGAGGAGGTTCTTGGCCGAAGCAATAGGGAGCGAGGGATATGACCGAGCAGCACAGGAGGCAATCTCGAGTCGGATGGTGTTGATCAAGATCTATTTTCGGGGGGGGTTGTCAGATATATCACACAAGACGACATGCATGTGGCTTCTACTCACGTCAGAAAACAGGGCAAACTCCTCTCCGGGCACATCTCGGCCGTTTGTTTTCCTCCACACCTGATCATAGCTGCCCTCCATGAGACTTCGTTCCAGTTCGATTGGGTATTTGATGTATTGGTCTTCTTCCACCCTCGATGCATCGTTGGGGTCTTCCGCCACAATCAAGGACTCGAGGAGGGTATGGAACCCGGCATAGTCACCTTGACTTAACAGTAGAAGCAGGTAAAGTCCGGTGATTTTGGACCTGCTTTGGGAAGGGCTAGATTGAAGGCCGGGGAAGTCGTAGAACGGCTGGAGTTGTGAGTAGTATCGGATGAAGGAGTCAGGGTCTCGCGAGCGTATCGACAGGAGAGCACCGGCCTCGAGTATGGAGCGAGCTGTCGCTAGGGTCGAAACGGCCGTCTGCTGGGAGGGTATCAGTGCGTTCTGTTGCAGGAGAGCCAACTTCGCTTTCTGGAGTAGTGACTGGGCTTGTGAAGGGTCACCATGGCTTAACGACTGCTGGAGAGAGTGCAGGATCGGGTCAAGAGATGTGTTATGGCCTGGAGCTGCAGGCATGGTGAGGGTTGTTCTCTGGATGGCGTAAACGGGTAGATGATGGGGGCGTGAGAAGAGATGTCGACGAAAAAGGGTGTGTTTTCAACAGCGGATTTGATGAAGTACTGGCCAGCGCAAAGTCAATCTTCGACTGACAGGGTGACGATTTGTGGTTGACTGTGAATCGGAGTGTTCTTTGTAAACAACTTACACAATCGACCTACGCATTCGCCAGAGCCTCACGACATGATTGCGAATCAGAAGCCAGCCTGGCGCGCCAAGCATTACCCTGCCGCTTTACAGGTCCTGCGGGAAACCATTCAAGGCTGGCAAAGGCAAGGCTGACAAGGCTGAGCATAGAAACACTGGCACTTTAGGTACACTCATGTATTAGTAGCGATTGAGTAAAATAGCTAGTTCTGATGGTGGTGAGATCGTAATATGTACTCTATTCACAAAAATTTCCCTTTGTAGATCATCATCCCATACGGGGCACCTTATGCGACGGGTCTCGACCCTGTGTTACGGTTTCAGAGACCGTAAATCTCGAATCGAGGTCAGCAAACAGATTATCCCATTCTGGCATATCCATGTTTGGCCCCAGTTCGACGTAGTCCGTCCAAATAGCATCAAAATCAGACAAATAATTACGTCCTGTGTCCTGTGCTGGAAAGAAATTCTGTAGTAGCTCAACATCGGGAGCTGCTAACCCGGGTGCGTTCTGCGCATCGGGTTGTTTGATCTCGGTTTTTGAGGCTGCTTCTGGGGGTAAGTGGTGCAGATGAACCTTGTGCTTGCGCAAGATGTCCATGAGAGAGTTAAGAAACTCCCTTGCCAGACTCGACTGGCCTGCAGCCTCCTCCAGAATTGCGCAGGCTTCTCTGACCTCAGCTTTTCGTTTGTCATCGTCACCTTCATTTTTGTTGAAACACAGGTCCATGACCAATACAATAGTCGCCATGAAGACATGGTAGACTACTCCAGTCATCTTGACGTTAGCAAGCAAGACGGAGTCGAACTCCTTCTCGACCAGTCTTTTGAGATGAATGACACACCTCGCCGAGGAGAGTGATATCTCGCGCGAATATGTGTAGTGACTCTCGACTGAACGGCGTATGAGGAAAGGTTGATGTAATTTGCAACGTCGAGTCCGGGCTATCATCCCAAGGGCGTAGCGCTGGATATTGATGTTTGGATTGTCGCGCATGATTCCCTCTGTTTCACGTCGGCTTTTGTCGTCGATTTTGAAGAAAATGGGTAGGTCGTCCAAGAATGCTTCAAACTTGCCATCTAGTTCAATGATTTGCTGGTAATCCAGGCTCGTCAAAGACACATTGAACATGGGCATGACATCGACAACGCAACGGCATATGTCAGCAAGTTTTATACGCTGTATGTAGTATGACATGGTCGTTGGCTCCGATGAGGGTCGTTCAACTAGAGGACGGCGATACATAAGATCGCTGTCATTGATATTGAGCGGCATATTGACCCTAAAGTGCCTGGGCTGGATAAAATACGTGCCTTCTTGAGGCCCTCCACTGAGACCTAAAAGCCTATCACAACATTAAAATTCGGCGCTTCCAAACAAGTGGATATATGCACTTACCAATCAGTAGCGACAACATGCCACCAGACACGGCGCTGAATCTCAATGTCAACAGGATCAGCCGCTTTGGGCGAGTTTGACGACTGGCTAGGGGTAGCGTCGAGTTTATGCAGGCCCATGTCGCGCGCAGTCGAGATGGCACCTGCAAACAAACGACGTGATCTCGCAGAAAATCCCTCGACATGATAAAGCAGAAAGGCCATAAGAATAGCCGCTTGAATTTCTTCCAGCCCGCCAGCCGCCGTACGTCGAGAGAATTCCATGACCTCTAGAGCCGAGTTCGCCCATACTAATGAGGCATGGGCTGCGCTAGATGGTGGAAACTGAGCGATTCTGTCACAAGAGAAGTGGGAGAACATGGCTGCTGAGCTCGCGAAAACAGTCAGGAGAAGGGCAAGTTGTCCGTAGGCGATGGACAGCCGTTGATGCAGATTTGCATAGAGCTTCTCCATAACAGTGCGTAAATGAGGCACGAAGAGAACATGTTGAAGTTCGTCTACATGTTTGACATAATAGTCCAGGAGCATGCTAGCTTCATCCTTCGGGGGGAGCATGACCGACTTCAGGGGAGTTTGATAGTTGGGTCGCTTTGTAGTGACTCCTTGGGTAATACCAGGAGTATTCGCCATTTGTTTGGTCGTCAGAATCTGGAATTCGATATCGCTGGCTCCAGCCGTGGGCCAATGCACCTCCCTGGTGCCTGCCTCTTCTAAGTTGTGAAGTGCTTCCTCATACTCGGAAGCCGGAGAGAGACAGGCGAGAGTCGAACTTGGCCTCGAAGGAGGCCCGCTCGGAGCGTCTCTCGGAAGTGGTGGATCTTGTTTAGGGGTCCCCATGACAATGTCTTCGAGCCTTTTTAGCCTGGCCAGAACAGACAGATTGTTATCAGATTCAGCTGAGATCGACACATTCTCACGACGCGATTGAACCTGGCCATTGCAAGGCAACCCTCTGGTCGCGCAGTTGGAACAAGGCTGCTGACGATCGCATTTTAACTTTTTAGACCTGCAAAACTGGCAGGAGACTGGGTCTTGTCTGGGTCTTTTCAATGGGTTTGCCGTACGTGTCGGCACTTCTGGTGGCATTGTTCAGATCACTCGCTGAAGTCGCGAATATATCTCTGGATCTGACGGCTGAAGGCCTGCAATCCAAATTCTTCGGAACGTGGTCAGCTGATCATTGCGACGATAGAGGAGGATCAGATAATGATGATGGAGGGGATTGATCTCTTGAATTCGAGTAAGATTGCCAGAGGGAATACTGTATGATAGATGGCATTTTTCAACAGTGAATATATCCGTCTGTTGAAGTTATCAGTGACATTATGCCCTTGTCATTTCACTGTCTTCTGGTATTTTGGTAAACAATCGTGTAGACGGCGTTGTCATTTGAACTCGCAATTGCTAGGAATGGCTATCAAGGCCCAGACTACGAGATCAGGCAACGATTCAGCGGGATCCATTCACCATAATGACAAACCAGCAGCATTCAGTACTTCTCTACAGAACAAAGTTCCCTCTATTCTGATCAATCAGACTTTTGATAGCTATATGTTTTCCTCAAACCACGGAGAGAGCAATAAAGGAACCGTACAAGGGATTTACCTATCTCGAAAGTCTACTTACACGGGGAACCTCCATACCATAACACAATATGACCAGCGCGAGTGCTTGAAGTTGCAGCGAATTTATCTATCATGGGCGGCATTACGTTGATAGTATGTAGGTGACTGTCATTGTACGAAATTTCAGTATTTTGTCTTGCGCGACAGTATCAGGTGCACACAGCCTTGGAGAATGCTACACCTAAGATATATATTTGCCTCACACTCGCGGGACGACCAAGGTCACCAAGAAGAAATTTCCGTTTTCGTACCCATCTCCTACTCAAAGCAGAAGGGAGACTCCTTTTTGGTCGCTCAACATGGAAATTCAGGAGGTATACTTCCGTCAATATCAACAAACCAGCAAACGAGGAATGTTGCAGGTCCTAAGATGCCCTCCAGTTATGTTGACTCGCGTGGATGAGGAGCCAGACCACCTACAATGAATGACTTCACTTTGACGCCATTGCAAATGGAGGCGCTTAATCTCTGGCCAGAATCATGTAGGAAATGAATTTCCGGGGCACCGTGATCAACAGACCACCTGCCTATTTGACCGAATTGATCAAGAGAGGAACAAAATCATTCACTGCTCGTAGAAGTGAACTTCCGTCCTTCGGCCAAATATTCGTAAGTTGCATCTCCATGAACGCCTCGGGCTGGGTGAAATGTCCAAATGATGTGTTGACTTGTACTTGATGCAGGTTTGGGTTCTACACAGCTGCAAACTGCAGGTTTATGTCGAGAGTTTTCGGAATGGGTTGTCAGTGGCAAAGATATCCAGGAGGATTGGTTTGAGTTTTCCTGGCTACTTCCTCACTCTCCTCGCATGTCTGACGAGATTCTCAATGACTCCTTCGAAGGCTTCTTTCTCCTTCCGCAAGCCATCCCGCCGCTTGAGCCAATACTCCAGGAGTTCCGATGTCTTTTCAGTAACGTCCTGTAGCTCCTTTACGTGAGCCTTGATTTCATCGTCTGTGAAGCCGTCTAATTTCTCGTCGGTTGTTGCACATAGACGCTTCACGGCGATCAAGTCTAATTCAGGAGGCGGTGGCGGGCCTTTCGGTCTCCTAGGCCGTCGTTCCTTGGTCGTTCCAGATTGTGTACTATCCACTGAGCCCGTAGAGTCATTGGCTGCTTGAGCTTTTAGTCGAGCCACAGATCCTAGGGTTCTGTCTGATTCTGATTGTCGCGATGAGGGTTCGAGGTTAATATCGGGAAGAATGAGCTTCTTCTGCTTCGAGGGTGGAAGGATTTCGTCTAGGTCGACAGGAACACCAAGGCTGACTAAGAAGAGACGTCGTATCCTTGACTGTGTCCAATTGGGTGACTGAAGTGGAGGAGGTGTGATGAGTTGTTTCCAAAGGGAGCGTGACCTGTCGGAGGGGAAAATAGGTGAGTCGTCGGGAATAGGTTCTTGTCGGGTGATAAATGAGAGTTTTTCGGCTGTAGATGAGGGAAACATGGCATCCAAGTGCGCTTGGGTGACGGCGAATAGCTCTGGAACAGAGGAGAGCTTGTCGAAATCGATTAAGGGCTGTAGCATTGGGGCGTGTCATCAGCTAGGTTGTGAGCGCAATGTAGAAAGAACAAAACTCACAAAGGGTTGTGCAGGTATTTGATTGGGTTGAGAGGTAGATACAGGCGATGCCGTAGCATCTTCAGCTTCAACTTCAGGTTCCTGGAACTCATCATCGAAGTCCCCAAAGTCGTCATCAGCTCCTGCCTGTCCACCTTCTTCAAAGTCATCAAAGTCGTCTCCGAAATCATTACTATCATTACTGTTATTTTGAAGTGTAGATCTGCGTCTGGAGTGCTTCAAGGGGCTATCCTTTGATGGTGACCCTGAAACAGGTCAATGGCCCTTCTAAGCTACATTCAGACACTAGAAATTACCTGATTCATCACTCTTCTTTTCCATAAGATCGGGTGCAGCATCAAGGGCTCGCTTTTTGTATGCCTCTGTCCCAGGTACCTCGCCATGTACAGGCTCGGAATCTACCCTAGAGATGATAGTCTCAGGCACCGAAACATTGGAAGGAGGTCCTTCTCTGTTCGTATCATCTTCGGCCGGCCGTCTCTTGGTTGGGTCAGGTGTCTTCAGAATAATGTCTGGTGCAGCATCCATCTGCCTTTGTTGATATGCTGGAGTACCCGGGACCTCGCCATAACTAGCGGATTCGGGGTCGACCTTCTCAACCACGGTCCGTGGTATGAGAGTGCCCCCAGGTGTGGTGGGAGGCTCAATAGAAACACGCCGACTTCTTGCTGGTGAGAGTATCTCTACCTCATCAGGTACCGCATCTTTGGCTCGCTTGTCATACGCAGGAGTTCCTGGGACCTCGCCGTAACTTGGCTCGTCATCGACTTTCTCTATGCGAGTTCTCGGTATGGGCGAGGCAGGAGTTACTGGTCTTGATCGTTTTTGGCCTTCCGAGGCGTCAGAGAAGTGGTCTTCTTCCCCTTCGGAGGATACTGCGATTACCAGTCAGCCCGGGTTTAGAAGAGATTGTGGTGGCCTCGTCTTACGTTCATGTGCACCGGGATCGACTAATTCAATACTCTTTCTGGGTACCTCCAAACTTGTTCTTGACAGTGATCTTGAATGCGATCCAGACATTGTAGACGCACTGTGTGCAATGTTTGGATCGCTTTGAGGTCGAGGGCGTGGAGAGGCCGACAAGAGTGAGAAGATGAGTGAGCGGAGGTCGTTGGGCGAAGGGCAGTTGTGTCTCGCTTTCGCATTCCACGTTTGGGGCACTGCAGACTGCGCTACTCCGTACTCCGTATATTGTACCTGGCAGTTCGACTTTTTGTCTCCGCGCCCAAACGCGTCCACAGTATTTCCATTGACACTACAACTTCTACACTAGATAGCCTTCCTTTTGTCAAGCTGGAAGTCATTGCCAACAATTCACGGCTAATACTCAGACCATCAAAGCCTGGAATCTTCCCTACCATTCCTTTCCGACCGGCGATGATAACCTGCGAAACCTCTCATCGTCGTTGAAATACCTCCTCCATTGGCAACTTTCCGAAATGGCTTTCAACTTCAACCCTCCCGCCTCATCTGGGGGAGGAAGTGGTCAATCATTGTTTGGAACAGCAAATCAGCCTGCGAGTGGTGGTGGACTCTTTGGCAGTGGTACATCAGGCACCAATACAACAGGGTTCAATTTTGGTGGACAGCAACCTACGTCTGGTACAGCTGCGCCGAGTCTATTCGGAGCAGCTGGATCGACGGACAACAAGCCCGCCGCATCTGGTCTCTTTGGTGCTGGTTCTGGAAGTGCGCCACCATCTGGGGGTCTATTCGGCGCCAAAAAGCCTGACGACGCCCAAGGTGGTGACAGCGCAAAACCTACCTTTTCGTTCGGCACACCAGACAAGACATCAACACCCTCAACAAGCGCGCCTTCGCTATTTGGCTCGACAACCCCTGCGACCGGAGGCACAAATAATGCTTTCAGTTTCGGAAATCCATCAACGACTCCTGCTGGGCCTCCCCCTTCTGGGTCAACATTCGGAGCAAGCACTGGCGGTGGTGGTCTGTTTGGAGCGAAACCTGCTGATGGTGCAGCCAAAGCACCATTCAATTTCACAAAACCCGATGCTCTTACCTCTGTATCATCAGCACCAGCGCCAGCAGCACCTTCAGGTGGTCTATTTGGACCCAAGCCGGCCACTGGTGGCTTCAGCTTTGGCGCTCCAAATCCAGCAGAAACAACTCAATCTTCTACACCAGCGCCAATGACCACCGCCGAAGCGCCTAAACCTGCGTTCTCTTTCGGACCCTCCGCAGCAGCATCAACTGCAACTACACCTGCAACATCGCAGCCAGCCGCCCCGGGGACTACACCCTCATTGTTCGGCGCGGCTCCTGCCAAAGATAGCAGCACAAGCCTTTTCCCCAAGCCAGCAGCGCCAGCAGCAACAACTGAAACAGCGCCCGCAACAAAACCAGCATTTTCTTTCGGTCCATCTTCGACACAGGCTTCTGCTGCGCCAGCACAGGCGACTTCTGCTCCAACATCTAAACCACTGTTTGGTGGGCTCAACCTCGGCGCAGGTAACTCTACTCCAGCTGCTTCGACGGCTGCCGCAACTACGACTGGCACCACGGCGACATCTGCACCGGCTGCAAAAGGCTTTTCATTCGGGCCCGCCACAACTACGGCAACCTCTCAACCTACAACAACTGCTGCCCCGGCTGCGTCCCCATTCTCATTTGGCCCAGCTAGCACTACTTCAGCTGCTCAGCCTGCTCCTACCACGGCCACTGCTGCCCCGGGGGCTGGCACCACGCAAGCGCTCGGACAGAGCACCATTGGAGCTCAGACATCCACCACAGGTCCCCCTCCTCCAGCTCAGTCTCGGTTACGCAATAAAACAATGGACGAAGTGCTAACGCGATGGGCAACTGACATGTCTCGATATTCCAAAGAGTTCAAGGATCAGGCCGAGACTATTGCTCGTTGGGACCAGATCATTGTGGATAACTCTTCCAAGATCGACAAGCTCTATGTCCGGACAAGAACATGCGAGAGACAAACCATGAGCGTCGACATGCAACTTGCAGCGGTTGAGAATCAGCAGAGCGAACTCGAGAGCTGGCTGACCAAATACGAGACTGACATTGATGAGATGCTTGCAAAAGACAGTGCAACTCAGACCGAACTAGGAGGGCCAGATCAGGAGAGGGAGCGGACTTACAAGTTGGCAGAAAGACTCGGAGAGAAACTGGATGAAATGGAACGCGACTTGGGCAGTATGGTTGAGGAAGTCAATGCTGCTAATGCAAGTCTGAGTAAGAATGGCAAGGCAGACGAGCCAGTAAGCATATCTTATGGTAACTATCGTGCTACAAGACTGATTATTTGCAGATTACCCAGATCGTCAAAATCCTCAACTCGCATCTTATGCAACTACAGACCATTGATCAGGGCACAGCTGCTCTGCAACAAAAAGTGGCTGCAGCACAGAAGACGGCTGGTAATCTTGGGTACCTGAATGGTTCTATGGGTCAAGGTAGCGGCACGGCTGTGCAGGAATTTTATCGCAGCTACATGGGCAGAAGGTAGATTTTGGTTGTATGACTATGGGCAACGTTAATTGATGATACGGGAAAGCCTCACTTGAAGGAAGTGACAGCTATAGGTCTAGGTCAGACAGCTAGTCCAACACGAGTGAAGTTTTTGATTATTTTTCCATGAGAGCCCGGATCGTGACAGAATGATAGATGATTGGAAGGAGGCTTCTGCAAATGTGTATAGAAGAGCTCAATCTGGAACCTGAGCAAACAAAAGCGGAGTGGCAGGCGCCTCACGACTCATTGATTGGTATTTGAGCAGAGTCTGGGGGCATTCATATCTGTACAGAGCAGAACAGAGCAATTCCCAAGTCAATTCTGGTGGTGCATGTTTGATCCCGTCACTTATTTCTTTGATCTCTCGTCCAAATCAACGCCTGCCCACCTTTGTGTCAGTCCATCTCGTGGAGTCTTGGGCATATGAGGAATCTTCACGTACGCTCGCTCTCCAGGGTGTTGATGTGCTTCTCCAATTCTTCGAGGTGGGCTCTCTGGTCGGCAAGACGCTCCTTGAGTCTTTTCAAACTAGTATGGGCACCGATGTTAGAGTTCGTGCCTCGATCAACTTTTGTTGTGTGCTAATGGAGAAAAAAGGAGCCAGGTAGAGCTTACGCTTCCATCTCCTTGTCCCGGATGTACTTGGTTTCACTGGCCTGCTCACGCTTTTGCCACGAGTCCCTACCAGGGAGTTAGTGTTGGGGTTCCTTTGTCTTCCACCATTCCCAGCAAATGAGGTAGCATTACCCATGGGTCATGCTCGATCTTGGAGCACCGGTATCGCCTTCACTGGCACGGAAGGAGGCGACGGAGAAGGACCGACGGACAGCAGGAGTGGCTCTTGCGAGCTTGACAACTTGAGTTCGCAGCATTGTGAAAAAGATTGATCAAGGATTCGACGGTAGACTAGCAAGAGGACAACAAAGATTTGCAGATGGTTGATTGTTTGAAGTTCGGCCTGCGGGAGAAGCTCGCTTAGTGTTGCTGCAACAAGCTTGCGCAGACGCTATGACGAGATTGAACCCTGCAGATGAGGATCACGTGGCCACTACACACCAACACGAGGCTAGGTACTTCAGAGATACTGTACGCGCAGAAAATAAAGATAATAGGCAGGTTGAAACTATAAATATACTCTGTGTAGACGTCTATAGTACTTTATTTTGTCTAGAAGAATGCAAAGGATTGAAAGGTCTACAGAGTCACAGCGACAATTATCATGCTAGCGAGAGGGTGATCTCATTGTCATCCAACTATTCATAGATAAAAGGAGCCAAAAAAAATCCGTCTATATATGGAACATGTACTCCAGACGGTACGTATGTACTGTACAATGGTTTTGACATCTTTCAGCCTCTCGACGACATGAAACAGACACGTCGATGTGAAACTGGGGAGATTAATGTGAGAAAGACCTCAGTTTTGATAGCTGACGGTGGACAGATGACGCCATGCCGAATTGGGGATGGTGGGCTTTTCGCAGTTGTTGGCCCCCCCTTTGCGCTCCTTCCCTCTCTTGCTTTGCTCCCACCCTCCCAACTCTGTCACTGCCTGCGCACAAGTCTTAAGTTAGTCTCGTTTGAATTGAGATTCCCATCTTTGCCCTTTCTACCACAACACAACCTGAAACCACCACACCAACTTCCACACTTTTTCAATTCTCTGCGCCTCCAAAATCTTCCATCTCTCGAGTCCTCGCTCACAACGACTCTCGCTCATTCTTCCACTCTTTCGAGACGGTAAGCTCTTCTCCCTACTGTCCCCCTCGTGAGTCCAGGGGTACCTGTATACCCCACGTCTTCAGCCGCGACGACGGAACCCTCACTTGCGCTGTGATCCCTGCGAAATTTAGCTCAGGCCGACGATGCAAAGCACACCGTCGCTCAAGATCCCTCGTCATCTTTGCAGCATGTTTGCCTCGAATCGTAGATCGCGACTCCTTCAAATCTCAACACAGGCGTCTGATTGACGTCAATCCCGTCCGTCGACTTCCACAGCCTCAATCTCGAGCTTTGTGCAGCAACCATGACCATGGACCTTGAGGAAGCCGTCCTGCATCACGATCTGGCCCTCTTCCATGGCAGCAACATTTATTCGCCATTCTTTGGAACCGTCGCACATGTTCTTACTTGCCGTTGTGGACAGAGTTTCCGCTAATCATCAGTCTCACAGGTGTTTCTTAGTGTAAACCAATTCACCAAAAATTAACATCAAACATGGGTGTCGAGGAATCAGTCTACTTGGCAAAGCTTGCTGAGCAAGCCGAGCGCTATGAAGGTGAGCTTTTTTTCTGCCTCTGTTCGCGTCGCGTGTTGCTGATCTAGCGCAGAAATGGTCGAGAACATGAAGGTCGTTGCATCTGCAGACCAAGAACTCTCTGTCGAAGAGCGAAATCTCCTCTCTGTCGCCTACAAGAACGTCATCGGCGCTCGCCGAGCCTCGTGGAGAATCGTCACATCTATCGAGCAAAAGGAGGAATCCAAAGGCAATGAGGCGCAGGTCAAACTCATCAAGGAATACCGCCAGACAATCGAGAAGGAGCTCGGAAAGATCTGCGAAGACATCCTTGAGGTCCTCGATCAACATTTGATCCCCTCGGCCCAATCCGGCGAGTCCAAGGTCTTCTACCACAAGATGTAAGTTTTTTCTTCTTAATTCGACCAGGCACATCTGACCCCTCGACCAGGAAGGGTGATTACCACCGCTACCTCGCTGAATTCGCCACTGCCGATAAGCGAAAGGAGTCCGCCGACAAGTCTCTTGAAGCTTACAAGGCTGCCACCGAGGTTGCTCAGACTGATCTCGCTCCTACTCATCCCATCCGACTTGGTCTTGCCCTGAACTTCTCCGTCTTCTACTATGAGATTCTCAACTCTCCCGACCAGGCTTGCCACCTTGCAAAGCAGGCTTTTGATGATGCCATCGCTGAGCTTGACACCCTGAGCGAGGAAAGCTACAAGGACTCTACATTGATCATGCAGTTGCTGCGGGACAACCTGGTGAGTACACTTTAGTCGGTCGAATTGTTCGTGTCACTGACAGATTGCAGACCCTCTGGACTTCTTCTGAGGCTGAACCACAAGAGGCAGCTGGTCAATCAAGTGAAGCACCTAAGGAGACTGAGGCTGCCGCTGCCCCCGCCGCCGAGGCTGAGAAGACTGATGCTTAAATTTCAGATCGTGTCATGGTGATATTCCCAACTTGGCAATCGGAACACTGGACCGATGTGGTCTCTAAGGCTCTGCGACAATTGGGAGACAATGCTCAAATGCACTAAGCATTCAAAAAAACCAATCTTTCCTTCCCACCTAACCCCCAAATGATGTTTTTCCCCGTACGAATAGCTCAAATAGCAGATGATACAGCAGACATCTGTGTTGTGGTGCGAACCCGATTATGTCAGCTACTACTTTTAGACAAAAGACTGGAGAAATAGCAATATCAGGAATCGGTTCATCGTTCTGCAAATATTGAGGCTTGTTTCTTGTCTTGGAATTCGTAAAGAGTAGATGGATCTTTGGTTTATCAATTGTGACGCCTGAGCCTGATCAAGTTGTACCTGTAAGATTGACTGACTTGTGGTTTGTGATGAGGAACTTGCTACTGAGAGAGGTGCATGTGTCTTTCTCTTGTCTTGTCATCTACCGATGCCGACATGATGCTCGGAGACTTAGCTCGCTAGGTACCTAAACGTCGTGACTTGTTTTATGTAGAGTATACCTACCTGGCAGTGCCAACGGGAGACAAAAGATGACGACTTGATGAAATGTTGTGCCTGTTGACGACAACGACAACAACAGTTGATGAAGATGATGATAATGAAGATGATGGAGGATGCAAGTTTTCTTCATCATATTGATATGTAGCGTCCTCTACTGCCGCTTGGTCTGATATCTATCTATCTAGGTAACTGGGGGCAGTCTGTTCGACCTCACCGGTCGACTCTTTGATTGTCGATTGTGGTGATGATCTTTATCCGTAGAGTAAGTCTCACCGACGATGACTTTTTCTTCTCTTTTCTTTTCCCCTTTTTTTGCTGCTTCTTCGTTTTTGTACCCTTCGAAGCCCACCTGATGATCAATCCAATCTTCTCACCGACCACCGCACCAAGCTCCAAAAGGACTTTCAAGATCATAGCCGGGGGGGGCTCACTTTCTGCTCTCGTTTCTGCCTCTCCAAAAGCTGCTCTCTGTTTGAAAAAATTGCCCACTTGTCTTTTCTTTGGTCTCCTCTCTTCTCCTTTCTTCTGTCTCCTTGAAATCAATCCTCATGTCGTCTCGGGGGGAAAAGTGTCGATATGTTTTTTTGGCGGACATTTTTTGCATTCGTGCGCGCACACACTTCATTCCCGTGTAGCAGTTTTCATTCGTCTTTGAACTGAAGAAGAAGGAGAAGAAATCACCAACGACAACCCTTCCCTTTCTTCCTTTGCCCATTTCCACGGATTCAATCACTTTGTCGAAGCCGAAGGTGGGTGTGAAGACGGAGGAGGACGACGACGACGACGACGGGCACGACGTTCAAGATTGTTGAATGACCAACTCGCCTTTTCGAGGTTTCCGGCTTCGACCTTGCCGTCACGCACCAGGGCTTCACGACTCATGAGGACGGGAGTGATGAATTTGAAGATTTGTGGGTTGGCTCTGGCTCTTTCGATGGCGTCGTAAAAGGTGTCGTTGTCATCCTCGTCGTCTTCATCGTCATCATCACCGTCACTTTCGGTTGTCGAAGATGCCGGGAAGGTGTGGATGTTTTCTTGGTGTGCGAGTAGGGAGTAACCTGCCCCCGATAGTGTACATTCACCGGCGCCGGCACCGGCACCGGCACCGTCACTGACAGGAGGAATGGTCTTGGTCGTGGTCGTGACCATGTCCGTGGCGAGAGTTGTGGTGGTACTCTTTGAAGAGTCATTCTTGTTGACGTCAATAGACTCGATTCCTTTTCGGGCCGTAGACGTATCGACACCCGGAGCTGTTGAAGTGCAAGTCGAAGGTGACAAGGGCAACAACAATTCATCGTCCAGAGCATTTCTAAACATGCCATTGCATCGTTTGAAATACAATCCCTTGGCGAGGCCGCTGGTAGCCATGCACGCCTCGAGCCGAGCCTTTTCGTCGCGGATGCGTCGAGTGGTCTCTTCGGCGGCCAGGCGGGCAATGAGGGCCATTACTTCCGCCTCTTCTTTGGCCTCTTGAGCTTGACGTCTCTCGTAGTAGGTCTCGTGGCCGTAGTCACTTTCGCTGCCGATCTCCTCCTCCCACGACGTCGTGGTCACGGTGGTGTGTGACTTTTTGTTTGTTTTGGAGTCTTCTGTGCTACAGGTCGACAAGCCAGAACTCAAAGACACCGTAGCAGTAGTAGTAGCAGTATCTGAAGATAAAGACGCAGATGAAGTTGATCCGGCATGGGCTCTTCCACCACCAGCACAACCTTCTTTACCTGTGTCCGTGACTGGTGGTTGGTGTTCAGGTTGACTGACTCTTTCGTCGAGGATCTTGGTCAATTTGTCGTGTCTGGTCTTTGCAAGATCGTCAATTGCCTTGACAAACTCTGCGGGTTTGATGACAACGTCAGGACTATCCGAGAAGATGCAACCTTTGCCATGAACGTAGGTGATGATTGGAATCGGTAGAGGGTCGTCGTCGTCGTCGTCATGCTCGGCCTCCTTGTTGTTGTTGTTGATGATGATGGTAGTAGTATTATTGGGGATTGCGGGAGTTCGACGACGCCAAAATGGTGTGGGTCGGCTCACGGTGACGACTTTGAGGTTCTTCAAGATGGACTTTCTTTTTTCGTTGGATCCTGGCAGAGAAGAGTACAACGGGTAGATTTTGTCGCGGATGTCATCCAGGGTGGCAACATCGTAGGTCTCTTCGTCACTGCGTTGATGTGTGTTAGTCCATGCGCGGTCTGGTAATGAGCGCGATGAAACCCTGAGAAGGTTGTATAGTACATGTTCAAGTCCAGACAAGACAGACTATAGAGGTTTGAACATTATACGTTTCTGGACAATCTTGAAAATATCGACCAGTTGGTGGTGAGAAAACAGAGACAGAGCAATGAAGATATCGGTAAAGGACAGACTGAAACACAACGAAATGACAAGTAGTCAAAGCAGATCACTAGACTCACATGTCACGATGAACCTCGCACAACTTGAAGGTCGTCTTGGTCTCGCCATCACAAGTACGGCATTCACGAGCACGAACACAGTCAACACAAACTTCGTATTGATCGTGTCCCCACAGATACGATATTGGAGTGTCGAGTGCAGGGTTCAATAGAATCAAGGTAACCATCTTGATCAAATGCACCAGCTATGGTGTAAAGTCAAGCCAGGTGGTGAATCTCTCAGGTAGTTGAAGGAAGATAGTGATGGTTCTAGTAAAGTAGGAAGATAGTCTGTGTGAGAAGAAAAGGGAAAGATGAAAAGATTTATTGGAAGAGGCTGATGTGAGGAATCAAATGTTGGAAATTTTACTATGTGTGGAACTCGATTGAAGCATTCATCGCTGCCTGTCTGTCAGGACTGAATGGTGAAGGGCCGAAAGGATATCATCGGTCCAGCCACATGCGACACGGCTTGTGTGACTGCGCAGTTGATCCATGTCTGATATTCAACCGTGTTGACATTATCACGAGGTGGCTCTGGTCGCGTTGTCGTGTTGATCTCTCATGCGTCACTAATGAATGAACACCGCTACAAGTTGGTATCGGTGACTGTGAGGTAACGGCATCTGCTGAGAGTGGTGTCGCCGTCTGTGCTCTGGCAAGGACATTTTCAGGAAAGTGACATGTCTCAGAATGAACAAGATAGTTCCAGCAATCTGTCTCCAACTTGACAGCCAGAGACCACTAGCCAGAGAGTTGGCTTCTTTGATAAGTCGACGTTTGCTTTTCAGTTGCAGGGCATCTTCCAGCAACCAGAAATGCAACATAAAGCAGTTGTCGATACCAGTGTCATGGTATGATGACGGTGACAAAGGTCTTTATCCCTGAATCATGATCCTGCCGAATGCCTGGACCCAGTGGTAGCAAGTATATCAAGTAGCTTGTGTACAACCCGGACCCTCTGTGGATCGTTTTCATTTTGATTTCTTGTTTGCCTTGGGTGTATCAGAATTGAGCTTGTTCGTTGGTACCGATGTCGTTGCTATTGGCGCGGCCACGTGATTCGACTTAAGCTTGAGAACATGGGAAGACTGATGCTGGTCATGTTTACTTCCTGCAGGGAAGAATATGCGAGCAACAAGGTCGACCATCCATAGCGTAAAAACAGCAAGCGCAGTCAAATCGAGAACATGCACCGCCCACCACAATTTGACATTCAAGCCACACCTTGAAATATCGTACTTCCATCCTTTGCTCGAGAGATCATACCAGGCACTGAGGAGACCTGCGTTGCCATCATAGTCCCCCATCATGCTTCGCAAAGTGATCTCCCGCACACCAGTATGTGAATTTCTTCCGTCAACCTGATCCCAACGTACTGCCTCCCATGTCGTTTGTCGACCTTCTTCAACATTCCCTGTGGAGCTAGACCAAGTTGTGTTTGAAGGGACATAGTGCAAGACATCACATCCTTCATGATCATGTCCGGTCAAAATTAATCCATGTCTTCCCTTGCCTTGTGCTGGTGCATCGACGTTGCCAGTCATTCCGAAAAGAGCTTCAAGAGTACCATGCTGGCTTACTTCGGTACTGAGATGATTTTGCTCTCTGACTCCATGGGGTCTATACACACCGCCGCCGTCGTCATCTCCCCAATAGTCGAAAAATGGAGCATCTATACATACGCCCTCTTTTTTGTGTAGAGGAAGGTGCGTGAGAAGAAGGGTGAACGAGGAACGATCTTCGACAGGTCGCAAACGATCGGAGATCAGGCTATTGATAAAGTTGAATGTTTCGGCTTGAAGGTCGTCCGAGAAAGCTGGAGAATCAAGGATCAAGCTGTTCAGCACGATCAGGTGTATGGTTGGTATGGTCTCATTGCTTGAAATGCCGTGGTAAGGATATTGGAATCTGACATCCCAGTTGGCCTTTCCAAACGCCCGTTCAAAACGATCCATCCTGCTCTGAGAGATCTCTCCAGCATAGCCAACATCGTGGTTTCCGGCAATATTGATGATATTCGTCATCCAACTATCATCGTTTGCCTCAAAGATTTGTTCCTCCTTTTTGATATTCGAGCTCGTTATATCGTCGCTTATCCTGTGCCCAGAGGCAAAGACCCTGTTCCAATACCTCCAGCCTCTCCATGCAAACTCCTCATCAGTGACCCATTGGCTCCCGATCAGGTCTCCCAGCACCGTTACGTGGCTAGGCTTAGTCCACCAGTGTAGGGTTCGATAGATGTGGCCCAGATAGTAATCGTTGCCAAGCAGATCCAGTCGTTTTCGAAGAGCCTGCAAAGATGTCGGGATATCCTCGAGCAGGATGCCTCTCACATCCTCGAGTATTTGAGATTTGAAATCATGGCCTCCTGTTGCGCAGATCGTTGCCCATCGGCGTTCTATCTTTCGTAGAAACGCGTCTTCAGGCTTCGGTAGTGAGCTATCTCCCTCTAATTGAGGGTCAGCGAGCACAAGTAATCGGAAAGGAACCGAAGGCAGGGCCGGCGCGTCTAAAGCGTGCGTGAACGGCCAATGTTGTTGGAGAGTATAGGCGAAGGCCGTCGTCGTGGAAGCATCGCGGGCTGGAAACACACAACCGTGGAAGACAGGATATGAATACAAATAAAGCGTCAAAGAAACAGCAAAAGGGAGAAGGACGCGCAGCAACCCGCCTGCGACCCCAAGGATGTACATCGAAGCATGAAAAAAAGAAGGAAACTAGAGAAAGATGCGCCTGCACATCCAATAATAGCAATAACCATAAATACATGGAGTCATTGGAGAGACGTGTAGATCGTTCAGGGGAGACACTGCGGGTCATTTAGTTATGAGTGCAACCATTACACAGACTCTCACGGGCATTGAGTATTACTACATATGTAGGTATTGTCAGTATCAATCAATCATCTCTTGAAACCCCTGCTATAGACTTGAGAAAGGTCTTTCCACTTTCATAATTTGGTATATCAATAGTAGACGGTCATGGTACAGCATTAAGGTAGCTTTGTCTCCCCCCGGAATTTATTTACATATCCTATAAGGCTCTCTATCCAATCTATCCCTCATTAATTTCCTCAGTCAGCTCTCGTCATCCTCGTGGCTAGATTTGGTGGCACTCGAGAGGCCGGTCGTTAGCGACAGGTTGATCTGGGATTCGCTAAAGTTGAGACCTTGTATATTCAGGCCAGTCTCGTTGAGGTCTTTCTCCTCGAGAGGTGTTGGCTTCTCGGGCAATTCTGCCATTTCTTCTTCAACCTCTTCAGTCCCCTTGAGGGCAGGAGGTCGTTCTTTTCTTGCCCTTGCCTTTGCCAAACTGATCGTTTTCTGTCGGTTGGTGGTCTCAAAGCTCGTTAGGTCATGCTCAATGGTCGCCTTCAGGATTTCACCCATCCACTTCCTGCCTTCATTGATGTTGTCGACCTGGAAAACGTGAACGGCTGGTTTCGTAAATTGGACGGCCCTTGAGAGGCCGGCTTTGGGGGGAACAAGCTTGAAGAAGAAAGGGGCGCCACCACCAGATCCGCGAGACACATCTGGTGACTTCTCGGAGAGAGGAGTGGTAGAACCTATGGATGGTGTCGACCCGCTGATCGTCGCTTGAAGCGTAGTTATGGGGTCGGAGTTAGCAACCAGAACCTTGTGGCCTGAAATATCGATTATGCCCTTTTCCTCGGTGTCATCTTCCGAGTAATAATATGAAAGTCTTCGTCCACGGAGAATGAACAGTCGAGGTTTCCACTGCGCTATGAGACCTGCCGATCGTTTTTTCATCCAGCCAGAGTAGTCACAGAATTTACGAGCTTCTGCCGGTGAAATTTGTAGTAGACCTCTTGTGTATGCACTCGTCTGTCGTTTCGTCTTGGGGTTCGTCCGTACGGCGGTTTTGGTATGCAGGAGCGGACCCAAGTGTTCGGTGGTGCCTTTTGAAGAGGCATCCGTGTTATCCATGTCGAAGCTACGTGAGGTTGCAGAAGGCGTTTGAGAACCTGATGGCGAAGCCAGAGGGCTCTCCTTCAGCGGCTCGGAAGTAATATTTGTCATGTCTGCAGCTTCTTTCTCGCTTCCCGTTACCGCTTCTGAAGCAGCGCGCAGACCTAATAGCTTCCGGGCTTTCTGACTTGCTGTGAATGGGGCAGAAGCAGGCACAGCAGGTGATGCTGTCGCACTCATGCCTTGCGGAGAGGACACATTAGAGAGACTGTCATCCTCGAGATTGGTTACTGTCGGAGATGTGACCACTGGGGACCGCTGTGTAATGAGGTTGCGCGCGCTAGCTGATCGAAATCGTCCCTTATACGAACTGCTGTGATATGCTTTTGCCGCCGACGAGATTAATGATGGGTTGCGAATGGAGTCGACGCTACTGAGGCGTGAATGTCGTTTTGAATTTCGACTTTGTTGTTTTGACTCATCAATTGCGCTCGACTGACGAGAGTGGCCAACGCTCTCTCCGCCATCTCTCTTCCTCAGAATATTGCGTGTTTTCCTGTTCTCAACCTCGTTACCGCTAAAATAACCCCGGTCAAGATCGACTGTAGAGGTGTCACCCAGGAAAGGAGGCGTCAAGGTCAAATCCGTATTATCCGCCGCCGTGCTCACTTTGAGTGATGGCGTGCTTTCACCAGCGTTTGCAGTGGTCGCATTGCTCATTGACCAGTCTCTGTCCAGAGAAGCCTTCTTCTTGTGTGGATGGGGTAGAGTGTTTCGAGAAGACGCAGACGCGAATTCGGACACAATATTTTTAGCGAAATCTATAGACGAATGCCGACGAGAATGGTTCATTTCACGGATCGACGCTGCGGAAGGTCTGGTCGGACTCTCGGTAGCCATGGAAGATCTCCATGGAGACGGCGGAGTGCTGGATCCCAATTGTGGCCGTGCAAATGAAGGTGATACTGGCGGTTCTGGAGAAGGGCCGGCATGATGACTCTTTGGCTGAGATTGCTGTGACTGACGGAGTGTAAGCCCTCGTTCGTCCATGAGACTGGGGATCCTAGGCAAAATTGTGTTGCCCGACATAGCACGCGCGTGTATCCGAGGGGCATCCTCCGTTGAATTAGTCTGTCGAAGGCCACTCTTCTGCGAGGCTTTGGTGGCTCGAACCCGATTCTGGAAGTCCCTGATCTTATGCCACGTCTTCAGGCGGCGACCCATGACACCAAAGTCGTATTCCTTCATGTGGATAAATGACTGATCCATTTCCAGAAGCACATCGCCAGTGATTTCTTGTTCTTCGAAAATATCGCAGTGTTTGGGATCTACTCCCATCCCTCTTAAAAATTCCGCCGTTTCTTTGGCATCCCACTGGTTGACTTCTGCTTCAGTCAAGCGTGTGTTATCTTCACTGTCTGTCTCGGGCCCCGCGATGAAGGATGCGCGGTCAAAGTGGCTGCCATAATCGCTTTCAGAGTCCTCCGTAATGGGTTGGGGAGGGGCTAAACTTTGGCGAGGAGTACTCAGATCGGTTATATGTTCTTCTATGACGCTGAGAGTCTCATTCATAACCGGGCTTTCCTGGCCACCATTTGACTCCGAGAGTGCTTGACCGATGCTTCGCTGAATGTATGAGGGAGAGGGAGGTATTGAAGTTCTCGAAAGGAACGAGGGAGCCTGAGAACCTGTGCCGGTGAATTGCGCGTTGCTATCAGGGTCGACCGGTTTGTACGGCATTTGTTCTGCAGGCAAAGAAGGACTTCTTGTCGACTGGAAGCCAACAGGAGCGAAGTTGCGAGGGAGTTTGGCGGTATAGACTGCACATATATTAGTTCGCTGTGCCTTCTATTAAAGTGAACTAACCTACCGCCTGGAAACAAGCCCGTATTCCCATGTTGAAGGTGTCTTCCCAGAAACCAGCCATCCCCAAAGCCCTCATCCAATTCAACAAGCTCGATCTGATCTGACTTTCGCAGGGTCAATTCATCAGGACTTCGCGCATCGAAGTCATCTATTTACCAAGTTGAAATGTTAGCCGAAATTCTTAACAAGACCAGGAGATCTTGAACGCACGGATGACCACCAAAAGATCGCCTGGTTGCAAAGCGGCCAGGTGTCGCTGTTGAGCAGAGAGTGCCATTGTGGCTCAGTTGCGGTGTTTCAGCAAGTTGTCAAGCGCAACGAAACCCGAGTGATGTTCTTGATGAATTCATGGATGTTTTAACCCGTGTTTGCCTTTGATTGACGGAACAGAAGAACAGGGGTGGGCATTCGCATGGCCATCGATGGTGAACAGGTCGATATTGGCACTCGAAGGAAGGACAAGAGGTAACGTATGGAGCGTGATACAAGGAGATGGGTGAAGAGGACAGCGAGGTGGTCCGGTGTTGCGCTGCGCTGCGCGTAAATGAAACTGGTGGCTGCTGGTGGTGCAGCGTTGGGTGATACTGCAGACAAAGTTGAGGGTGACACACGTCCACTGTGCAGCAAAGACCACACGGGGATTAGAAAGAATGTAGAAGCAATCTAGAAGAATTCAAGTATAGATAGCAGGTTCCACAACGAACGTCCTCTTCATAGAGCACGGAGTAGGTGTCGCATCTATGTATACCTGGCATGCTTCAAGTCCACACTGCGCAGTTTGCACGTTTCTGGGCACGAGTTTGTTGGTGTGTGCTAGCGCCTAACAAGCCTATTTAATGAGTCTAGTGAGCCTATTTAGTGAGCCTCGATCGCACCATTATTGGGTGCTAAGGGTCTGTGCAGTCGTTCCCCTTCTGCCGAACTTGACGGAGCATCGCTCGCTGTCTCGTATCGTATCAGAACATCTGTTGATTCCTCGTCAGGGTCTTCCGCCTTTTACTTCCCCGTAATCTCAACGTCGGTGAAATAGGCGCCTAAACCAGCTCCAGCCAAGCCCGTCCCGATCAGGACAAATGCGGTCCTCGCCGCTTTAGTAACTACAACGATATATTCAAATAATTCTGTCTTCGCCTACTCCCAAATCCATACAATCATGTACGGTGTGGACAGGAAGGATCTTTGACGGATCAAGATAAACTATATCTATGAAGATTACTCACGTGCTGCTCCCGCGTACTTCCACTTCTTTTTCTCTGTGTGTCATTGCTCTCGAGATTGAGTCTGAGACCAGTTGGTACAGCGGAGCTTTAGGAAATCTTCACTTTGATACCTTGTCAAAGCTCGTGACTTCCTGACCTGAGGCCCTCCATAATGACCACTGCATATAAGGCATTCATATGCAACATCTATACATTCCCGTCGGCAAAGAATTTCATCTCATGAATCATCACCATAACCGCAACAACGACTATAACAGCAATATTAATACCAGAGGAGCATTTCCATCCATGGCGCTCGAATTGACATCCACTGTTCAGCAAGAATGCACCTCTACAAAATTCCGCCGCAGGGTCAAGGCTTTTGTGGATCTGTATGGGCAGCCGAAGGAGGTACCATGGCGATGAAACGAGAGGATGGTGGTCCAGGCCGGTCTCTTCGCAATGACTATAACATGCACAAACTCGTTCTTGAAACAGCTTCGCACTATACAGTATTCAATGTATGCGTGCCACGTTGGCCGAATTTTGTGAAAACCGACGAGAGATGGTGGGACATGAATCTCGCCAGATTTCCGGTCGACTATACTCCTTGCAATGTACTCTGCGCGGAACGCATACCACCACTATCACAGGAGGTGAGGTATCGTCTGATTGACCGATACTGTCCGCCCGCATCGGCTGCGACCATCAAGGCAAACGATGCTGACCGAGATTGTCTAGTTCGTCCCTACCTTGGCCGACGAAAGATTCAAAGCGAAGCCAGACGAGGACGAAATTTCTTCTCCTTGCGCAACTATCCCCTGCATCTTAACCAGGCAGAGGACCTCGGGCTTCCCATTGTGGAGTATGCTCATGCGATGGCCGAGATGCTTGCCGTGCTGCACCGGATTGCCAAAATCGACGCCAATGATATCGAGTTTGTGCTGGGAGGCGTCCAAGCCAAACCAGAAATCACCCACCGTGTACTCCGTACATAGTCACGATTTCATGGGAACTCATTCTCTATGGGTCCTGGACTTTGATTGCTGCAAGCCACTGACTATGGACGATGCCGGCATTGACCAGGCCGCTTCTGCATTATTGAGGAACGACCCGTACTATCCCCGCCCTAGTTCCAGCGCATCAACCTCGTCTCCAGACGGCACCCTATGGGCTGAGTTCCAAACCACATACCTCGAGTACAGTAAGAATATCATCACCGGGCAAGACGTGGCTTATCTCAACTTACCCGAAAGATTCATTGCACGAGTTTCCGATATGCACGAACATGGCGAAGGGCGAAAGCTACCAGGGTCTGAATCTTAAATGTCTTCCTCGATTCACCACTTTTGCCTTGCGCTCCACGGTCTCAAATGGTGACTACCGAAAGAAAGACATTCACTCCGTGGTTAACTTATTCCTAACCACAGAGTACGTGTACACACATTCTTTAAGAATACTACTAGATTCAGCCGCTTTGCCGTTGGGGCTTGTCCGAGTGCCACCGGGTGGGACCGTTAGGAAGTGAAAAGCCCGCGAATAGAGTGCGATTGATATATATGGATTCAAAGTGGTAGCAGTCTTATTAACATCGACTACTCTCATTGTTAAGGGAGAGCAGTCTTAAGTGCGACGGCTGGGAGTGCTGGACGTACGCGAAGGCGTTAGAACCCCCTGGGGTCTGGGCCGTTCTCTTCCTCCTCCTATGTCCTTGGCAGAACTAAACCATGTCACACTACGTCCATCATTTCCAGACGAAATTAATACTACCCTTTGAGTACTATCCTCGTGGGGCACTGCTACCATATTTGGGCTGGAAGTAGAGCCCAAACGGCCGAGGGGATTTCTTTCTAGCTGTCGGAGCACCCTGGCAGTACCGTGAACAGGTGATAGCCATATCATCAAGATTTGATGAAGTCGACCAAAGACAATTCTTGTGTGGAAAGGACTCACCTATAGGACACCCCTATAGGAGACGGCGGTGGCACATATGAGGAATATTAGAGCATTCTTATACCTCAAAACTATGCGCAAATAGGCTCGTTGCCAAGGCCGTAGCAGCGCCCCGAGCCTTCTTTTTCGGCACTCGTTTCATCGACATTTGTACTTGTACAAGTATTATGGAGGTTCTCCGCAGAATTCAATCCAGCTCCACCTATGCGCTGGTGCAGCTACTAGGCTCGCCTGTCTATGTACTTGTGTGCTCTAAATACGGAGTAGTGGTGCTCTGACTCTGGTTCGTGACAGCATCACTGAGTGAAAGTGCCCTCACTAGACATTCAATTCATCATCGCCAACCTCTTCCCACGAGCATACAGATCCACTGGCCAAGGTATTCGCACAAACTGTCAAAGCAGCACTATGAGATTGCCCAGTAGGCGTGACTTTTGATCGAATCTTTGCTTGCTAAAACCCTCAGCCTGATGCCGCCGCTCGCTTGACTCTGCGACCCTGGTCAACTGACGACACAATGCCACCTCACCGCATGAGCAGTACGTCTTTGTCTTCTGGCCTGCGCCCTTGTCCATGGCTGACCGATTGACAGGCAGAACATTCTGCGAAGTGCTCCTTCAGCATTTCTCCTACTTCTCCCACCCTCCTTCTCTTCCTCCACCTCAACCGCCGCGATTTCGAGGACAAGCATGCCGGATGCTGGTCACGCCTTCTTCAAAGATCCTGCCTCTTCTAATACTTCCTGCCGTTCTCACACTTCGGAGATCGCCAGATAATATTCTTTGAAGACCTCCAAAAGATCATGGATGGTGCCTATCCAATCTGCTCAGAGATCTCAGAATACTCTTTCCTTCCACCTGCACACCTCCAAAACGACTGTGCTGTGTGCAAGCAGAGCGAATTTGGTGCCAATAATTTGAGATTTCTTCAAACTTGAGCTCCTCAACGCTCACCAGACAAGACCAAAAGCAAGTACGGCCACTGTCCAGGAGACGAACCATGATGCCCGCAGCTAATCCGACATCATCAAGCCTAGCCGCTACAAGCGCCTCTCCTCCGATGCTTGCGCCAACCACCCCTGGTGTACATGCTAAAGACCAGCATTCTGTCCATAGACAGGGCAAGAAACGTGGAAATGATTTCGGGGTCCCAAATGGACAAAGGGCGGGACCAAGTCCTTCTTTCTCGGTCGGCATACCCGCGGCCTCCTCTCAACTCCCTACGCCTCAACATTCGCCCATCACGCCGGACACCAACGTCCTGACTAGACAGCTCGATCACGCACTTGCGGTGACCAATCCTCAAACCTATAGCATGGTCGATGAATTCAGAATTGCTAGGTTACTCGAGGCTTGCAAGGACAATGATGTTTTCTTCATCGTCACACATGTCATATTCTGTGCTTGGTCTTGTGACCAGCATCATACTGTTCTCTCACAACTTGGTCTAAATCAGAGCCATGTATTCGGGCTGATGACCTTACAGCACTTCCTGCATTCAAATCAGGGGCTAAGTCAGGAAGTAGCTGCCGTGTTGTCTCGATTCCCAATGTCTCTACATCTATACTTAGGAGGTACTAGTCCACAAGCTTTGGTTCTGGCTGGTCAAGTGAACCGGGTCAAGCGGTTTCTGTCTACACTGCAGCAGAATTGGACTACGATTTGGAGCTTGTTTTCTCAGCGAGAGTGGCCTCCTTGTCCAATTCAGATCAAGCATTCACTGCAGCTTCGATCCGTGACTCTGGAAAAGTGCGTGTACATGTACTTTGTCACTATGAGACCAACTGACCCACGTTGGTTCATGATAGCTATGAGGCTCTTCGACCAAGCTCTGAAAGACCCTGCGCAAACACCCCTTTCAGTTGACGAGCTCGGAACGGTAGATGAAAGCCAACTATCGAAATCTGCAAACGACTTCTACAAAAAATACTGTATTAACTTGGGAAATTTTCGTTCTGGGCAGTATCAACATCTTCCAGGTCAGCCATTACAGCTTCAAGGTCAGCCATTACAGCGTCCAGGTCAGCCATTACAGCGTCCAGGATATCCCTTACAGCTTTCAGGTCAGCCATTACAGCCTCAAGAACATCCATTGCAGCCTCAATTACAGCCTCCAGGACGTCCATTACAGCCTCCAGGTCAGTCATTACAGCTTCAAGGTGAGAATACTCAAGTCTCCGCCTTGGCTTCATCCAGGGTTGGACAGCAATCACCTGTGCATGTTATGCAGCAAGCAGGCCATCTGATCAATCAACAAGCTGGTGTCGGCTGGCCTCAGGTTAGAATACTGCCCAATGTTGCTAGGCCCATCCGTTCTAGCCATAGCCACGTGGCACAGCTTCCTTTGAGAGAACATCAAAATCAGGCTCCCAGTACGAATACTGTGACAACGACCGCCCATTCTATAGAGAACCCTTATCGTCTATCAGGACAGTTTCTTCCAGTCAATCAATATACCAACCATCAGCCTCATTTTTACACTTTCAGTCAGTCTCAAGAGGGACCTAACAGCTGTGTCCAGGCTCAAGTAGGGGCACAGATGCCTCAAACGACTTCCACGGGGATGACTCAAGAAGAGGTACCTCATGACCTCTTATTTTGGCGAGATGGGAACTTTACCCTACCGGTGTTTGCCGTCCCGGACCCTGATCGTTATGCGCTACATCAAGCCCATTTGCGCACACCAACTATGGACAAGGTCGACCCTGTGGCTCGTATTAACCAGACCAAGTGGTATCAATACGTGGAGACTATTATCAGTCGTTCTAAAACTCTCGATGTTGACTCACCTATGGCTCAATGGACCTTTGAAGTGCCGGAACAGTATTGGGCAAGAAAGACACAGGGTGAAGAAGTGATCGGCGATTCCTTTACGAAGCATCGGAAGATTGTCAATGGCAGCACGCAATTTAGGTTGAAGTCTATAGGATCAGATAAAAAGCAGACTGTACAGGAGATTTCCATGTCGGAGTACTCTACGCGACCAACCCAATGGCCACCTCATCTCTCAGCCTCCGTGAATGGCGACATGGGTATTGATTTCCGACGGAAAGTCCATTATAGTACTGACCTTCCAACTGATGTGACCGACGTTCTGCAAAAAGGCGTTAACGAGGTAGTAGTTTGCATCAATTTCGACCCAGGAGATCGTCCAATGTCCTATTTGATGGCAATAGAAGTCATCTCTGTGGCTCATAGGGAGGCAATCCGAGCAATGGTTGGACAGGCTGATGCAGCAGAGGTTGTGGCGTCAATAGTCGCAACACTCCGACCCACCCCTGGTGCCGGTGACGACGAGGACCTGGTCGTCGCACAAACAAGTATCAGCATTGATCTTGTGGACCCGTTTATGTCATGTATTTGGTCAACCCCAACTCGCAGCAAAGCGTGTCGACACCGTGAATGTTTCGATCTCGACGCATACCTGGACGGTCGTACAGACCAAGGGGGTGTAACAAATCCAGACCAATGGAAATGTCCCATCTGCAAGAAAGATGCCAGGCCCCAGATGCTGGTCGTTGATGGCTTTCTTAGCAATGTCCGGAAAGATTTGGAAGCCGTGGGCAAGCTGGATACTAGAGCGATTATCGTCTCTCGTGAGGGCACATGGGAAATCAAGCCTGAGTCATCAACTCAAGCCAAGAAAAGATTCAAGAACAGCACGCAGACACCCGATTCTCACACTCACAGGGCTGGAACGCCAGAAGAACTCTCCAGAGTGGCTGGTGAACCAAGTCCAACAACAAAACCTGAACCAGACATTTTGGTTATTCTTGACGATGACGACTGACGAATGAATGACTAACGTCGAGACGCTACGTTGCACGAACGTCATATCAACGGCGGAAAAGGAGTTGCATGAGCGATGTTGATCTCTGCTTTTTTTTTAAGGATGAAGGATGACAAGAAGCCAAGAGAGCACGTCGATGATATACTACCGTGACTCTGGTGTTTGGTGTTTTTTTTTTAGTTCCTGGAGTGAATGATGGATGAGAAGGTTACTGTATCTGGGGCTCATGGGTTTTGGATTTGGAAAACAGGGAAGGACAGGGACATCTTTTGGGACGATGCTGGATGATAATGGGACGACTTTTTTCGTGGTAGAAAACGGATATTCTAGATGAAGACGAGCTATCTTTTTCTTGCGAGCAGGATTGCTGCAATATGGGGGATTTTCGGAACACTATGTTTAGACACGTACTTGATTGCAATGAGAACATGACACATTTCGATTGGAGGGGAAGGGGGATTTGGACAATGAATGTAGTGCGATTTACGAAAGTTGGTTTTCTTTTCCCACCTTGCAATGACTACAATAGGTGCTGAAGACAAGACGAACCGTGCATGTACCTGATACGATGGCTGTGGTGGTAGAGGTGGTGGTGGTGCTGACACCCATCAATCACAATGTAAACGTGTCAAGATGTTGTTTGAGATTTGACAATGATTCTGGGGATAGGGTTTCGTGCTCACTTTTTGGGGGGAAACAGACAGATATGCATGCAATGTGAATTAAAAATGTAGACGTTTACGTTCCCATGGACACAGGCTCGGACGAGATTGGATTTTCCTCGGCTGGTGTACGGAATACGAGGTTTCAAATCCGAGAAGAGATTGAGTGTGTATATACGTAAAAGAATGCAAAGTACATGCATGTCCTCGGATGAAAAGAGTGCGGCGCAATGCGATCAAGATGTATCTGTGCTTTGAACAGAGAGGTTCTCATTTCGCGTTTCGCTCTCCCTCACATTGATTTCTTTTTTATCACATGCAAGTTTAATGACCCATCATCTACTCGTAAACGTGCAGCCCGGATGACAGGTTCCAATCACTCTCTCTCCACACACACACACACACACACACACACACACAGAGAGAGAGAGAGAGACGTCAAAACAAACCTGTCACTCCTCCTCCCCCCCCCCCGGCTTGTTCTTGATCAACAACTGACCTGGATCTACAGACTAGCTTATGTACATCGTACTCCCGTTCAAAGAGAGGTATATGTCATATGAACCGTGCCCTATATAATTTGATCAACGCTCGTTCATTTCTTTTCCACGTCAGTTCATTGGTTCGTCCAAAAGTGATCTAATTGTACGTAGGTGTGACATTTCTCGTACATACTCGCGGTCACACTCTGTAATTGACCCCGACTCTCTTTTCCAGGGCTCGAGCCCTGGCTCTAGTCATCGGACCTTGCTGGGCCTGCTGTGCTCGAGCTCTGGCTCTTGTCGTCGGTCCCGTGTACGGACTCTGTGTCCGGCGGACTCGAGGAGTGGGGCGAGGTCGCATCGGGCCTCCACTGTCCTCCTTGGTCACTCCATTCGGCTTCAAGGTGAGCTTGAGAGTGATCTTGACGGGTTTTGATCTTGCCGGCTTTGGTTCCGGACAAGGCGTGTCGTCGATGCTGCTCACAAGAGACGGACTTGCCCCGCTACTGATACTCATGGACCTCGAACAAGAAGAAGACGAAGACACGTGTGAGGCTTCGTCGTCGGCTTCAAAGCCGGTTCCGATCGAAGGGATGCCGGAGGACGTAGATCTGGCGCCCACAGTGCGGCGGCTGCTGCTGCTTCTGCTGCTGCTTTCATCAGTGGTAGTAATCGAGGAGACGGATGGTACGTCTGGAGATGATCTGGTGCCGACACCATCCCCGGGGCCCACTCGAACGTCGGTGCCCGGTACATATCCACTGGCTGGAAGTCCCTGGGGAAGCAATTGAATATTCCCCGTCGGAGCGGGAGGGATGAAGATACTCAAGCGTGGCAAGCCTGGTCTGAAGATACCCGTGTTGTTGTGTCTCGCGGCGTCAGAGATCTGACTTATCCGTGGCCAGTTTGTCACAATCAGTCTTATCTTGGCTACTTTGGGTGGTGACGGCTTTCTCGTCCCAGCATTAGGGTTTTGTAGTCTTAAAATGACCTTTGGCCGATGACCAGCGCCCCCGGAAGGCTGGGAAGTCGACGACTGAGGCTGACGGTGTGCATCGCCGGAGATGTTTGATTGCTGGTCCGTATTGCTGAGTTTTTGACGCTTGGATGATCTGGTGGCGTCAGTGTCCTCGCTTGGTTCACGGCTCCGTTTGCTGGGTGACTCCGGTTCCCAGCCTGGAACACTAGGCAGTCGGGTGGGTGTGAAAGCAAACCCGTTACCACCTGTGAATCTAGGTGGATGGGGTTGAATCGTCGTTGTCGGCGCAGGGGGTGCAATACCTGCCGTCGTCTGGGACGGACCGTGAGAAGAAACGGCTGGAACTGGTTGTAGCAATAGTTGACATAATGAATCAAATATTGGATCAAGCTCTGCACGTGGGTGAGCGTGTATTTGTATATTTGGTCGAGTTTGATTGTTAAAGGCTGGAGCAGCCCGACCTGATTGTTGACTAGATGAAGAGCCACTGGAGGAGGTATTAGCAGCGTCTCTAGGATGCCACTGCCGGCTCTGTTGCTGTGGCTGTTGTGGTCGTTGTGGCTGCTGCTGCTGTGTCTTCAGCTGGTTCTGGCGTTGTTGTTCCCGCTCCCAGGCTCTAAGTTCATCCGTTTTCTGACTTAGTTTCACCGGCCACTCTGTCATTCTATACTCCTTATCTTCGGACATATCGAGCAGGATGGCCACCCGACCGTCGGCCGATCGCCATCTACTGGGAGTGTCGTTTGGGTTGAGTATCCCAACATCTGGATGAACATAGTCTGTTCCATCCCTGGGACTGAAAAGGGGTTCGTCGAGAGGCACGGGTCTCTCGACCGGATTCCAATTGACCTCACGAAAGAAGGGATTCTGCCATGGCACATAAGCGACGTGCCAGGTAAAGTCGTGCTGTAGGTCAGGAATTAGGTTGTAAGCTTCTGCCCACGGGTCAGGTCTCCCAGCGCGGCGTTCGTGGTAGAGTCCTCTCTGGCATTGTGCACAGAGGTGATCAACTTCACGCACTTCACATACTATAGAGCAACGGGGGATCCCGAGAATGTCGTAATACTTGTCATTGGGGGGGTAGCCGACGACATGAGGCTGCTTATCTGGTATATTGCCCTTGGCATAATCACAGAGTTCATAGACGATGTCGTCTATAAGCCCATCGCCTTTCCAGCAAAAGCGGGCATGTTCAGGCAATTCGAGGCATTTGAGAAAGCGAAAGCGGATGGCTTTGCACATGTTGAGTTGGCACGATGGCAAGGGTTGAAGGGGTTTGTGTTAGGCTCAAAAACAGAGAGGAGATCAAGGCGACTTTGTTGAAGAACATTGAGGGCATGACTTTCCGGCTTCAACTTGCAATATACACTTACCTGGAAGTGAATGAACATGGTAGAGCTATTGTTTGCCCACCGAGGTCTTTGTGTGAAGTCGACTTCATTGTGAAGAGGGCCATCAAGTCATTGAGGTGCAAGCAGAGAATAGTAACACGGTACAATAGACCACAAAGAATAGTATATTCATGGGGTAAAGGAGTCAGTGTGTGAAGATAAAGACGCATTGACCGAAAGTAGCGGTCCGTGAGCCCAACACTACAAGATTGTTGACATGGCGCCGGACGGTCAGATGAGCCTTGCTGCGAGAGCATGGTGTGGTGGATGCCGGTGATTTGTGCGAGCAATGTACACATGTGATGGAGGTGCAGGGCAAGGTGAGGATCATGTCACGCTGCAAGGATCACGCTGTGTGGGCGTTTTTGAAGCTGTTTCATTGTCTAGTCCTGAAGGAGTAGAAGGGCCGTGGATTTAATAAATATAAGATGGAGCTGTTTCGGTGGGAGGAAATCAGCACACGTGATTGCGCGTTGGTGCACGAGGCTGCCAAGGATCTTGCAAGGCTAGCTTCGTCAATCGTCGTTCAGGCACTGCTGTAGGTACCAGGAACAGGGTACGAGTGGTACTGTACAGCACCTAAATTTAACAAGGCATTAGATCGCTCGGCTCTGGGCTAATTAATTCCAGGCCTCGGTAGAAACCATGATCCCTGCGTCAGGCGATGGACATGCTCTAAACTACTCGGTACTAAAGTTGATGACTTCGGGAAGAATCGAAAAATGACAGCTGCAACTGCGGGTGACGGAGGGTTCGTGCCCCCATTGAGCAAAACGTAAACACCCCGATTTTCTGTCCATCTTTCTTCTTCCTGCTTTGCTCACAACAACCACCGACGAGCAGCTTCGCTCTTGTTTTCCTCTTCTCTCGTATCGACCTTCGATTCTATCAACTTCACGCGTCTTCGTCGTCACTCCTTCGCCGTTTTTGATTATTCTCATCACATTCCTTTGCTTTCAGAGCTTGCATCAGTTGCATCATATTCGCAGCCCGAGTGTGGAATGCCAGTTAATTTCAAGTCCGACCACCGTCTGTTATCCTCGATCTTTGCCCGAACAACGCCAGTGGTATGCATTCCTGCTATCAGAGACTCATGACCGGATACCCAAGCCATGGATGATGCAGCCCATGCTCATCCTCACTCGCCCGCCGCCACTCTCGTACGCCCTCGGTCCACTACCGCTCTAGGCCTGTATGAGCAACAAACAAACCAAACAGCTCCTCTTTCTGTTCCTCATAATCGCCAGCAACGCCTGTTGAATACTCGCCATGCAAGATTTTCCGCTCAGACATTATCTGTAAATGGTATTACCATACCCTTCCCTCGCCTAGGAAAGCCCACCGAAAACGAAAACCTTCACTACACAACGCCACGAATGGTCAAGCGACAGGATTCTGGAGAGTCGACAGAAAGATCGCAAGATGTGAGCACCGTGTCACCGAGATCCTCTATTCTGAACGAGATCACGAATTCATCCAGTTACCGTGAACGAAGTTTGCAGAGAAGAGGTCCGATCCCCATCTTCCAAGACAACCCGGGCAAGAATAGCATGGATAGTGGAAAACAACACACCCCTTCCATATACCAGGATCCCTCTAGTGAATTTCAAACACCCTCTGTTACTGGTTCTGGGTCAACCCCGGAGTCTACCGCGATGGGCCTTAGAGAGGTCTCGGTTAATCTCCACAGGATGTCGCCTCGCAAGGATTCTCCATTTCGCTCTATTCGAAGTGGTTCTCGTCGTCGGACCTCTCATGCCAAACCTCGATTCAACTCGGAAGAGTATATCGATCACATTGAAAATGAGTTGCAGATGGTCAAAGATGCCATGTATTCTCCCACAACCAATACTTCGTGGAAGGAAAAACTCAAGAAGGCGACGGATGAGAATGTGCGACTCAGGAAGGAGATGGAAACCATGAGGACTTCGTTCGAATTGGAATTACAAAATACTGTCGAAAGGGCAGCGGCGACTGAACTGCACCTGAAGAGGAAGATTAAGGATCTCGAGGACGAGGTTGGGCTAAAGCAAACTCTTATCCAAGACCTAGAGATTGATAGGGAGGAAAAGAAGGTGGACCAGACCACTTTCGAAGTTCTCAGAGCGAGACTTGACCGACTGGAAGAAGAGAAAGCAAGCCTGGGGGCCACCAATCTTGACATGATGAAGCGGAATGAAGTCTTGACTCAATTACTGGCGCTCTCGCCTACGAAAACACAGCACACCTTTGAGCTTCCCACTCCTCGAAGACGAAGTGCACGGCCTATGTCTATGATCGTCCCACGAGCACCAACGTCTCCTCCGACTCGGACACCAATGAGTAGGCCACAATCAGTTCTGATCTCGCCCGCTCTTCCCATTGCCGACTACTTCCCCTTCAACACTGCTTCCTCACCTGATGTTGCATCTTCCTGCGGTATCACTCCAGCCTCTCCAAAAGTTCCCGATGATACGGACTCGGTTCGGTCTGGATCCAGCACTTCCTACTCCCGGCTCACAAATGCACATTCTCGACGCCCGACCAATATGTCCCAAGCCTCGAGTAGCCCAGATTCTGCGAATCCTTCGGACGCCAGACCCTCGCAACCAACACGCCAACCTTCAAAACGGAGACCACGGAGGTTCATGCCCGGTTCTACTCAGCTGAAGCCTTTGCTCTTATCGACTTTCACGGCTGACAATGGGAATATGCCTTCGACATCGCCAATGACTTCACCAAAGCGGACATTACCCACGCCACTGCCCTGCGGATCATCTCACATACCGCGAAGCCATCATACCACGATATCCCAGAGCACGACTGGAGACATCATGGGAAGTAGCGCTCCGATCAGCCCGATCAGTGAGGTAATTGGTCAACCGGGGCCTTCCTTTCAGAGATTGGACGAGGTTTTTGACCAGCACGAGGAACGTCTTCGCTCTGAGGCCATAAATGAGGCACTTGCGAAACTCACCCAAGGCCCTGACGAGGCTGAGTACAACACGCCAGTACAATCCAAAGACGTCGAGATGATTGTCAAGGCTTCAAGCTCTGGCACCCCAAAGTCTTGTCCACGGGTCGACTCTTGGCTACTACGAACCTCCATACCGACATCCGAAGGTGAAGAGTCTGCCTACGAGGCTGACATTGATGGCGGAGATAACATCATCACCAGTATTCTCGCAGGAGATTTGGACAGTCCAAAGCCTCCTTCACGACGACATCTGGAACACGATGTTGACATTCCACGACCCTTGTTTTCAATGGAGCAAGAAATCCCAATTGGGCCAATACGCTCCCCATCATATTACAATGAGTCACCTTTGAATCCTCGGCAGCGTCACAAAGCTATCTTGGGCAACAAGGACAGGACCTCGGGGAGTTTCAAGGCTCGTGAGAAGGCTTTGAAGAGAGCAAGCATGCCTGAGAGAACAAGACAGGCTCTACATACAGACTTCATTGTGGAGCGGGAAGTTGGTGACAACACAGATCAGCAACGACAGTTGCCAAAGCGAGGCCGCAATACCGCTCGCCCACGAAACCCTCTAGAGCTTCTTCAGCAGCGAAATATAGGCTCGCGGACATTGGCAGCCATAACCATTCGCACTGTCTACGCGACATTGACAAGGTACACCTCATATGTGCGGAGCTTCAGGAAAGACCCTCTTGCCCTCGCCCGTCGTGTTATTGCAAATGCATGGCGAGCCAACTGGGGAGCGTTTGGCAAACTCAGTTGGTGGGTTCTTGGATTATTCCTTGGGCATCGAAGTATTGGCTATGAGGAGTCTGAATGGAATTGGGAACAATATGATGGCGAGAGCATAGCCAATAGGTATTGCGAACATCCCTCTGCAACAATTGAGTCGGACACCAAGCCAGACGAACTGTCGACATCCTCCGACAAACAAAATGACGCTGTCTGTGGAAGTGACCCGACTTGTGAAACCAATAAATGTACGACGAAACCAAGCGGTCCTGGCTGGGGCCAATCTTTATATCTTTGGGGCAAATTCAGTGTTGCCATCATGCTTGCTGTTGGTGGAGCCATTGTCAAAGGACCCGCAGAGATGTTACGAGACACTGAAGACCAAAAGAGATCGCGGCAACATGGTACAGTCGACGAGGGTCGGTTACGTGGACCGGGTCAACAAACGTCACAAGACGACACATGTCTCAAATCCTCAGGGCAGGACAATCACGCACACTCTCGTGGATTTACATCTGGCCTTGAACCACCTCCATCCGATCATACCATTCGCCGACGCCGAAGCCATAGCTCACCTACACCTGCGCCGCGAGGCCTTCGAAACGACCCTTCGTGTATTGAACGCGAAGACACGATCAGTGTGACCCGACCGCATGAGCTAGCTACAGCTGATGAACCCTCAGCTCTCGACCATTGTCAACAAATTCACGACGAGACCTTGAAGCCAACAAGGAGCAATCGTATGACAGTATTTATGGATGCACTTATGGAGCAGGACAACAGTGACATGCAGTTACTGCAGCTGGCCGACCATGGTTGAGCTGATCAAACTTTTACACGAGAGTACGGCCACTTCACGATTTTGAGCAACCCCTGAAAGACGACCTTGATATAACGTCTGACGCTCGGGAAGGAGATCTATTTGTATGAGTAATGACTTTATGAATTGCGCTTTGTTATTACCCTGCAGGATGAGATAATATTGCACATGAACACATTTTGTATGATACGACGAGGCGAGGATGGGGCGTGGAACGTGGAACGTGGAACGTGGATGATGATATGTGTTAATGAAGGAGCATGCAGAAGATAGGCAGCGCATGATTACCTACTCGAATAAATCGTGCTCATAATTCTACCGATGAATCCAAATACGTGATTTCGAGCCATGGAGGAACAGAGGCCACGCTCTACCAACATGGGAATTGAACCTCATCACTAGGAGAAAGACCCCCCTAGTAGGCCGGTCACTTGTAGTCGTACTGGTCAGAATACCATGTCCCTCCCTGATGCTGCGTTTTCGACACTGATCTAGCCATGTGTTTGAAAACTTCATGGACCGCAGTCATCGTCTGTTGTTCTCTCATTGGGTTTGCAATGGGTGTAAGTTGACACAATTCGAGGTCTTTCTCATGAACTGTTGGACCGTTTTGTGCAAAGGTTGTCGAGGGGCAATGTCATCACCAGATTCATCCTCGACCGAATTCTTTTGGGTTCCGTTCCCCATTTTCTCAGGCCTTGCGGCATTTTTTGCAATTTTTTTCTCCTTTGTGTGTCTTGGGCGACCTGACAGGGGAGAGAGAGGGCGAGGGCAAGGACCGAGTTGGCCCGTCAAGAATACTCTTCTGTCCGAGTTTCGGGACATCGGGAAAGAGAAACGTGTCTGTCGTCTCTGTCGACGATTGTCAGGGAGGGGGGCAAAAGTGACGGCTTCGTCCACACTCGTACTTTTTGGCCGACCGACCGAGTGAGCGAGGGTTCGATCGCCGTCGAGGTTCGAAGAGGAGGTTGTTCGTGTCAGATCGGAACCCACCTCTCAATCCTCGTCCTTGTCCTTGTCGGTTTCGTCTTCGTCGCCACCCGACAACTTCCCTCGGCCGCGCAACTTCCTCTTCTCCCCCACGTCCCAATTGTGGACCCTGGCGATGGCGACCTCGAGGGTGGTGATTTGCACGCGCAGGAACTCCAGGTCCTCCTCGGCGGCCACCAACGACTCCTTGGCCTTTTCGAGTTTGCCGGCCAACAACCCTTCCGCCTCGTCCAGGGGGTAGGCCACCATGACGTTGGCCCCCAACCAGAGATAAACCTCGTCGACCTTGGACGGTTCGATCGTGGCTTTGGCGTACAGGGTATCCTGCAAGGAAAAGGTGGTTTCGACCTTGTCGCCCCTTCCGTGGCCGTCACCGTCCAGGTCCAACTCGTCCAGGTCCTCTTCGGCCGTCGTGGTAGTAGCAGTAGTAGTAGCACCACGTTTCTTCTTCAAGAATCTGACGACTTCCAATGTACGCTTCATCTCGGGTAATTTCTCCTTCAATCCCGCAGCTCTACGTTCGACGTTTTGTTGCATAAAGGTGTACTTTGACACCATCTCTTGGAACCTCGTGAGCGTGGACTCGACATCCTCCAAACTTTTGACATAATCGTTGACGTTTGTCATGAACGGGAAAGAGGGGATACCTCGAGGGTTCGTCGTCGTCGTCGTGGTTTCCATTCTTCTTCTTTTTTCTTGGTCCTTGTTCCTCGCTCGTGTCTTTTGTGTACTGTTCTTGTTTCTATGCTTGTATCTCGTTCCGCTCTCTTCTTTCTTTTTTGTCTTGTTCTTCTCCCAAACGGTGAGCTCGAAATATGAGGTGGCTTATCGATTTTCGAATGTTTGTGTAGACGAATATCTCGTGGCCTTGCAATGGTACTTGGTTAGGCTCGTCAGGAATCGGGCAACCAATCAAAACAAAATCAGAGGCTGCCTGATTGATCTGCAGAATGAGGAGGCTTTCAGAATTCGGGGTGAACGACTCAAACCAGGTAGTCTTTCCCTCGGTGAGTGTGTAGCAAGATACCTACCGGGAAAAGGTCGCAAATGTTCTCCAGCAGCTCCTACGGAATAAATACTCCTCAAATACAAAATTTGGCCCGTGACCCCGCAGCCTGCAGAGTACAGAGTACAAAGTACGGATACCATTAAACAAATACCAGGCACCTAGTACTTCTCCCTAGCTACGTATTGTACACTACATAACAAATAAGTGACTTACATACCGAGACAGTCGTTACTACAAAGAGAAACCAAACATATCAAAGTGGTAATGGTCACATTTAGATTCAACGCAATACTAATTTGTTTGTTGTGTTTCCTCCGTAAACGGGAGAAAACAACCAAGTACTATCAAGATACAACCGTTGGTTCAGTTCAACGCCAATTACTTTGCTCCTTATAGCAAAGCGAGCGAACCTCTTTCTCTCTTTTCGCTCGTGGGAGCCCGATGTTTTAGTTTTGTGGCACCAAATAACTTCCAACAGGTTGCCGCGAGGCTCAAAAACTCGAAACACATCTAAACGCATGTGCCCTTTTTGCCTTCGTCATTCTTCATGCCGTGTCATTAAACATTTCTCCAGAAAACTCCGGTTTCCTGTTCCAATAATGATTTCAATATGTGCGGTAGCAGTAGCCGCGACCCTTTGCGCCTATTCCCAATCCAAAACCGTGTTCGTGTCAACGTCCACACCCATTGACTGTTACAATGCTGCGTGTTCATGCTCTAGGTCTCGCATCGTTGAGGTCTGCCGTCACCGTGTCGTGTGACGAACAGACGTAGACTCCGATCCGACACCGGGAGTTCATACATTCATGTTCGCATTTGAGTTCTGACTCCTCATCGTCTGCTGGCTTTCCCAGTCTTGTCTTCTTCTTTTCATTTCATCCGCATCAAAGGCGGGTACTTCTTGAATAGTAGGCTCATTGTTGCGGCTAGTGGGGCGAGAGGTGACATTCTCGGAGAGACCGGTGTTCGACCTCATTCGCCTCAAGCTGCGTTTGAAGCTCAACCCACGATCTCTAGAGGGGGTCGTGGGAAATTGCTCCATTGTTGGGGATGTCGCCTCAACTGACTGTGCTGAGGCAGTGCGGGGTCGGGCATCATCTTTGATATCCTTGCGACTCTTGATCTTCCGAAGTTCACGAGCAATGCGCTCCATTGTGGATCCTGCTGGTCTCTGGGTCACTGTGGTGTCCTCATCCTTCGGCGGTGGCAATGGCTTTTCAGGTAGTTGCTTGTCCTTGGACACCTGGCGGCTATGATTGCGACTTCCTGTGCTGAAGCTGCTGCTTGTGCTAGGTCTGGTGACGTGACTCTGACCTGAATTGCGATTTGACGAGCTGTTCGAAGCAAATGAAATACCAGAGTCGACTTTACGTCGCCCATCATCCTCCATATCCGTCGAGGAGAAGGATGCGGCGGTAGGAGACTGACACCCACGTCCGGTTATGTCATAACACTCATCAATCACACTGTTCGCCATGCGAAGGTAGTTGTCCACAGTGGCCCGGAGATGAGTCCATCCGGTAGCATCTCCGGGTTGCTTGTTCTGGTCCATCAATGTTCCTAGCACTGATGTACCTTTTTGTTCGACGGCTGTGATGTATTTGAAGAACATAGCGCTCTGACTTGCCAGAACTTGGCGAGTCAATTGAGCTGTGGGTTGGACGAACTGTCTGGCTTGAAGTCCCACCGGTGGGTAGAGAGTGTTGAGCATGGCAATGCAGTTTGCTTTGTTGAAAGGAGTCAAGGAGAGCTCGTTGATGAGAGTCCACCGTCGCAGGCCGATATATACTTGGGTATACAGAGCTTCAACCTTGCGCTCCTTCTCCTCGATATCCATGACCCACCTCAGTACACCGGGATACTTGCGTGCCAATTTATCTCGATGGCTGATATCTTCTTGGTCAATGCCCAATTTATCAAATGCCGCAACCACTTCTCGCCTCCGTCGGACCTCTAGGTCCTTGAGGTAGTCCATGGCCGTCAGAGCTTGGGGAAAGTCGACTTGATCGAGTTCTGGTGGGAAGCATCGACGAACAAAACTGGTAATAAAGCTAGGAGGAAGAGAGGTAGGTTGGGAAGGCTGTTGGGAGATGTGAGCCATCAGGTTTGCCCGCAACTGCGCCGCAGCAGTCATGGTCGTCATGTTCTGTTGCTCTTCGGCAGCATCGGAAGATTTTCGAGGGAAGGCATTGCCAGGTACTGCGTTGGACGATAGCGTGGGTGATTGAGGCTGATTCTGAGTGGTGGCATTGAGGGTGTACATGGTTCTCAGGGGGATTTCGTATGTGCCTGGATAGGCCAACAGGTGCTCCAGGACCCATGGATAGGCAGCACCCTGCGAATTCCTTTCTGTCTCGGGCGAAGCCATGATTTATCAGGACTCCTTGATCGCCGGAAAATCTCTAGCAAAAGTGTTCTTCGCGTGGATGTGGGGTGGTGGAAATGTACTCGTAAAAGGATTTCGTGGTGACTTTCTTCAGGATGAGTTCGAAAAGGTTTGCAAGGGATTAAATTCCAGAAGACCGATAAGTCGGGTCAGTCCAGTCCTACTCTTGAAAGGAGTTGCCACCATTAGACTCCAGTAACACCTGAGACACGCCCAATTGTTTACCAACAAGTTGACAATTTGTCAACAAGACACGGACTCTGTATGACCTTGTGACTCGCGAGAGGGAAGGACAAGCAGTGAACCGTGCGTCTGGAGAGGAAACCTGGAGAAGTATTGACCGAGATGGAGCCGTGCAACAAGTTCCAAGGAGATCGAACCGTGATGTTGGGGGCTTGAGCAAAGGGTGAGCTAAGAACTGACGGCCGCTGTCAAAGCTGAGGCAGAATCGAGGACAATTGGAACGCTCTAAGTAGTGAGTGAGTCTTTGAAGGTGATGGAGTGTGAAAGAGAGACGGGATGCGACAAGACAAGGAACAGGGTACAGTGAGAGAGTGAGTGAAGACAGAGAATACTCGCAGAGGTAGTGTAGGTATGAGTAGGTAGGTGTTCGGGAGATAGAAGTTGGGGAGTCGATCAATCAAGAATTGTCGAGTAAAAGTACAAGTGCGTGCAGGAAGCTGTGGGTTCTCTAGCAAGGATCATTGACCAGGGTCGAGAGCATCATTCAGGTTTAACTAAGAGCTACGAGTAACTAACCAGATACAATACTCCGTATCCCGTACCATCAACTACGGCTGCGCTATTCGTACCTCTATCGATCTGACTAGTCATGTATGGGCTATCACCATGGGAATTTGGTCTTCCGAGTCTCAGAGTTGTTATGATTGTTACAGCATCTCGAAATGTGTTTGCTTCTTCCCGAGGTGCTGCAGTATCGCCATCAGAACTACGACGAGGGTCCCTTCATCCCCTTTCTCTGGGAGTATTCTCCGTCCCTCTCCAGAATAAAAAAAGTCAACGTATCGATATTTCCACATTAAACAGCCTCCCGCCTTTAGCTCCAGTATTCCTACGCGTTGCGAACCCTGTATTGTTGTTGTGATCGAATCCCCTCTACCCTCCTCCTCCTCGCCGCTGAGACCGAAGTTGGCCTGTACCCTCAGTACGGGGTATGCGAAGCGATCAATATCCGACCTTGTCTTCCGAAATCATCACCTCATCTCGTTCATTTGCTCAATGACACTTCCATGGGTGACGAGACTATTGCCTTGCTCTATGGGGACCCTGGGAACCCAGCACTAGGGGTACCAATATCCTTAGGCTAGCACTGGGCGTAGTACATAAGTCGCCTGGCCAGCAGCCCCCGAACCCTAACCGAACGCGTACGAGTTAGCAGCCGGTGACCCCCGTGGCTGGAAAACCGCAGCTTGTCACGCTACTCAGACTTGTTGACCATTCGGCTTGTTCCAAAACAACCCTTGTCCAACTCCACATTAGCCCTAGAGCCATTTCAACGGGTGCACTGGGCCCCGGTATGGGTGAATCAGCCGAATCAACATGTGAAGCACTTCAGCAACAACTCGCTCACGTCTGTCACATTTCCTGCGTCCGACAGCAGCGAGACTAAACCTCGTCTAGGACTGATTGCTTCATCATGGACGTCACTCGAGTTGTGCACACAGGCCAAAACACCTTCGAGCACATCTTGGCCGATGGCCTCATACTCCATACAAACGAATGTTTTGCCCTTGTTGCTATTTATGCTCCAGTGTTAATTCCGCGCACGCGGCAGGGCGGATTTCGTGGGCCGCAAGACACGCGTTATCGTGACTCGAGGCGGATCTTCTCCTTACTTCAGGGACCAGAAGTGTTTCTCCGAGCTGGCGATGTTTGTGTTTGTGTTTGTGTTTGTGTTTATGGTTATGACCAAATACCCCGTTCCTCTCCCACTATTGGGACTTTGACACGACACCAAAATAAATCAACACAAGTCAAGGGGATGTGGAGTGGCAGTGATGACCAACGCCGCGTTTGGCAAAAAAAACTCTGCAAAACTCCCCTGTAAAGCTTTTCCAGCACCTGCAGGGATGGTTTTTGTGTTCCTGCACCAGACCTTACCTGAAGAGGCTTTCGTCAGCAGGGGTTTTGTGCCTCTTCGACCCCTGGCTTGGACCTAAGCCATTCGGGAAAAGCTGGAGTTGACGCAGGGGATTCCGCGAATCGCAAGGTCGCGCGTAACATTGTCACCGCTAACCGACTACCGCGGATACGGTCACCTTGATGAACTTTTCTGTGAGTTTGCACTAGCCTGGTTGGAAGGTCCAGCTAATCCTCGAGGCGAGTCGCACCTTAAGGAACTAACACAGCCAAAGGAGTGATCATTCATGGACGATCAACAATAATGTGGCTACTCTGGAGGCTTGGAGCTGGACCGGTCTATACGTATGCCTACAAGTATGTATGTACAACATTATGGAGTACACACCAGTACTGTGTCACCACAGCAAGCAGTGGACTACCTCCCGACCATCCTAGGTTTGTTGTCTCTGATAAATTCAAGGTTTGCAACGATAGGAGATGGATTGCAAGCTATAGCCCCCACTGTGAAGAACATCAAAGGTCGTCGTCACATCGACGATGATTTTACAAATGATGGCTCGGAAAGACAGCGGACCCTTGCTTAGCGATACAGGGCATTTCGACTGTGTTGATGGAGGACAAGATGGCGACTCTCCGGCCTGAATTAATTTTGATTGGTGAAATTCGGAAATCTTCCTGTGACATGTTCCAACTCCAACGTTGCACAAATCAATTGAAGAATTTTCAACGGGACATGATGACAATCAAGTTTCTTCTCGTGATGGAGACGAAGGATTCGCCGCCCTGCTTCATGGCCTGGGGCTGCAAGAAGATGTGACATTGAAGCCAGGCAACCCGGCGCAGCCAGGACGTCAGACTGCTGCGGAAGACCCAAATGGTCTTCTCGCTTGTCCTAGACCTGCCGACCTGACGGATTACAGCCCACCAAGCTGATGTACAAAAAATCCCTGGGCTGGTGCCCTTTGGGGCAAGGAACGGAAGCAGCGCACTTCCCGTCACACTATCCTCAGCATAGATAGTCAGGGCTAATCATTTCGCTGAGGATGGTTATGTCGTCGCCGATCTCAAAATGGTTGGGGTGGAACATGGCTTCACCACCAGCCTCAGACCCCACTGTCGTCTGCCCAAAAGGATTCCTTAGGCCCGAATTAGACCATGAAAGGTCCGTAGATCACCTTCTGGGAGGGCTGGACAAGCGTCGCTGCCATATCGTCGGGACGGCAGCCCCGGTACGTACCTTTTCAAGGTACGGAGTAGCCTAGCGACCATACACAGATAGGGCAATTTCAATCAACTATGCTGTCTTGGAAAAGCACACTATCGTGCAGTGAAACTACCGTCAAGAACTACCAAGACTTCAGGTTTCACCTCCATCGACCCTAGAGGCAGAAGAATACTCGTACTCCGTACTGTTGTCTACTAATGTTATTTGCCTTCATTGCCGTCAAGGTCGTCCTGGTTTAGGCCAGACTTTCATTGCTATCTGCGTCCTCTGCGTCACTAACGCCAGACTCGTCGACATCACTCAAGGCCCATTCGCCCAAGAATCCTTCCTCACGAACAGGGCTTGTCAGGTTGACATTGTGCCGGGCGGCCCAGTCGACCACTTTGGACCTGTGAATACTCATGCTAGCCATCTCTTGCTCTGCCTCCACCTCACCCTGGGCGGTGTTTCCATTCGCTTCGCTACTCGAGATCCTATTTTTTCGTTTGGAGGGAACCACTTCGAGTATGCCCATTTCATTCAAGGCGGCGACGACATCTTCGCCCAACATTCCTGTCCGATCTCCGATCTCCTTGACCGTCATCTCCTCCTTCCTCGAATGGAGGGTTCTTTTTCTCTTGTAAAACACCGTTTTTGCGTCGGCGTCGGCGCTTTGCCCCATAAAAAAGCGCGCGATCCGCTCCGACCAGAACCTCAGGTAGCTCTTGCGGCCCATGGCACTCAGGGGCTTCTCGGGTCCTCCAATTACACCTCCTTCCCATTCCCATCCGCTCAACTTGTACGAGACGGCCATCAACAACTGTCCTAGTTGTCGGTGCTGGAAAGGTGGAAAGACCAGGATACACGCGAGGTTGTTAGCATCCCACGACAAATTCTCCTTGGAGAAGAAACCCAGCACTTGACTCTGGTACAAGACATCATCCTCGAGCACCGATGAACTTCGCTTCCGACCTCTGCCCTTTGTCGCCACAGGCACACTGGGCTCGAGTTTTGTGTAGGTCAAGACGTAATACTTGAAGCCGCTCGTGTCGAAAAACACGCTTTTCTGCTCCAGGAACAATTTCCCAAACAGTGAAAGATTCTGGCAGTACAATTTCTCCCGTTCGCCGTCGATTTCCCAGACGGCGTGGCCTTCCCACTCGTAGACTTTCACGGCGGACTCGGGCACCGGTTGCGTCTCGAGACCTTGTTCGCGTCGCGCTCGATGAATGGCCATGTGCTGCGCAAAATCGTGCTCCTTGGGGGTGTAGAGGAAGCAGCATGGGCATACATAGAGGCGCTCGCACTGTGGTTGCCCTGCACCGTGGGCATGTGCGGTGGCCTGGCGTAAGTCCGCGGCGGATCCAGGCGTGTATTTCGTTGTCGATGTCTCGGGCCCGAGGATTATGTTGTCAGGGTACGGAGAGTAATACCACGTATCGAAGGCGAGATTCCCCAAAACGACTCGACCTATATTTCGTGTCAAGACGCGTAAAGAGGCGCGCCGCGAACGGTGCGGTGAGCCTTCCTGTAAGACCGAAGTCGCATTTTCAATGGGAACTGCTACTGGAGGCATGGTCAATTACCAGCGGGATGAAGGATCGATCTCCGCAAGTCATGCCGACCCAACAAGGTCTACACCATTGCGTAGAAAAGCTATTTTGACTGATACAATAGGTCGTGTCCTTCTATCATATTGCTCGAATAAGGACAATATTCTGTTCTCTGGCGCCTGGTTTCTTTGACGTTGGCGTTGGTCACGTTTTAACTCGCCGCTCCCCAGGGCCCATTGTGAGGCTTGAAGAAGGTTCTGGTAAAGCGGCGGCAAAGATTTAAATTCCGGACAACCTCTCAATGAAATGCGCCGCCACCAACCAAAAGGCCAGATCGATTCAATTCGGCGACAACGACCTCTGGCACTTCACATTCCCTTCGTTTTGTATGTTGACGCTCTGTAATTATAGATTTTCTCTCGATTCTTGACGATAGATCCCCATTTTGTGACCTACAAACAGAACCCAGAATGCAACGATGATCCTCCGATTGCAGCGGCTTGCCCTCCTTACGGCCCTTGTCGGGCTCGCTCTTTCGTCTCTTTGTGCTGGTGAGGCGGTCGACATTCCATCCGACGCCACCGCAGCCTCTCTTGTGGCCTTGGGCAAGGCGGCACGAGCACGGGGCGCAAATGGCGAAGCCCTCGCCTACTTCGACGCAGCCGTATCAAAAGACCCCTCGGACTACATCACGATCTTCCAACGAGGCGCGACATACCTTTCCTTGGGTCGAAATGCACAAGCGAGTTCCGATTTCGATGCCGCGTTGAAACTGAGGCCGGGCTTCGAGGGGGCCCTGTTACAGAGGGGTAAGATCAGAGCAAGAAACGCGGATTGGGCCGCGGCGAAGGAAGATTATCTGGCGCTGGGTAGTAAAGGCGCCGAAGAGCTCTCACAGCTTGAAGAGGCAGAAGGAGCGGCATATCTGGCCGTGGAGGCGGAGAAGAAGCAGGATTGGGAGGCGTGTATAAACCAAGCAGGCATAGCCATCATGACTGCTGGAACCGCACTCTCTCTCCGACAACTTCGCGCGAGATGTCGCTTTGAAAGGGGCGAGGTGCAAGAAGGACTGAGCGACCTCGCACACGTCCTCCAGATTCACCCTGGTTTGGTTGAACCTCACCTCCAAATCTCCGCCATGATGTTCTACAGTCTAGGTGACACGGAGCGCGGTCTCACGCAAATCAAGAAATGTCTCCACTCAGATCCGGACTCGAAGCCGTGCAAGGCGCTCTTCCGCGAAGAGAAACGCCTCTTGAAAGACGTTGACCAGGTCAAAACTCTAATGGAGAAGCGGCAATTCAACTCGGCCGCCAAAATCCTGGTCGGCAAGGGTGGTGATGAAGAACCAGGCCTCCTGTCCGAAATTCAGTCAAACATCCACACCCACCGCACAGATGGCATCATCCATGCCAAAGCGCCTGCGGACCTGTACACGAGTCACGTCGAAAAGACGTGCGAAGCCTACCTTGCCATCAACAACCTTGCCAAGGCGGCGAAATACTGTGCGGAGGTTCCCGATTCACTCCACGGACTCTTGTTCCAAGCGTCGCGACACATGGAGTCCGAGGCCTACGAAGCTGCCATCTCGACCCTCAACACGGCGCGTGATAATTATCCCGACGCCGGCAACACCATCAATCAAAAACTCAATGATGCCCAGGTCGCCCTGAAACGGAGCAAGACGAAGGACTACTACAAGGTTCTCGGTGTCTCACGCGACGCCGACGAGCGAACCATAAAGAAGGCATACCGCACCGCGACGAAGAATTTCCACCCCGACAAGGCAGCGGCCAAGGGTCTGAGCAAGGAAGAAGCGGAGAAAAAAATGGCCGCCATCAACGAAGCGTACGAGGTTCTGGGAGATCCTGAACTGAAAGCTCGGTTCGATAGAGGTGACGACCCCAACGATCCACTTTCCAATCAGGGTGGAAATCCATTCCAAGGAAGCCCCTTTGGTGCAGGAGGACAACAACAATTCTTCTTCCAACAAGGGGGTGGCTTCCCTGGCGGTGGTGGTCAGAGACAATTCAAATTCTCGACTGGAGGGGGCGGTGCTGGAGGAGGCGGGGGATTCCCATTCGGGGCCTTCCCCGGCTTTGGTTAAGATCCGGTCTCCCGTCTACCTACCTAGAGGTTAGGTCTTTGAACTCAGAATCACACTTGCAGGGACGGAGTATGGACGGATTGGTCTCGACTGTGTCAAATGCGAGCGAGCCTTTTACCTGCCTGCCCTATTCGATTAGACTCATCATCCTTTGAGACAGCTCCTTACCTCTTTTGCTGCCGCGCCTGTCATCCTTGCCCTGACCATCTAGAGGTCCTTTATCAGTTCCTGCTCCTGGCGTTGTTTTTTTTTGGCTTTTTCCCTTTTTTTGGTGTTTGTCTCAAACAGCGACAAGGGCTTTTTGGGGGGGGGTGGGGGGTTCTAGGGCGAACTTGATTCTGTTTCTCAAGTATGATATCACTAGGTACCTAGGATCAAGGAGCAAGAGCAAGGGCGAGGACAAGGGTCAGTGTAGGGGCCAGAACAACGCTCACACTCTCTGCCAGATAGTGTTGGTACGGGAATACTCCGTGCTCTGTAGAAAGAAACGAAACGAAATGAAACCTTTTTTTTTTGATACCCCCATCTACGAGTTACAGATTCATCTTCCCAGTCACATTGCATTACACGGGACAAGATCGAGTCAGAGGAAATTCCCTCGAGGTGTGACCGGCCATGCATTCGTGGTGATTTACTGTCTGGTGTGCGTGTGTGCGTGTGTGTCAGTACCCGTCAAGGTATGGACATGGCAGCAGCCACACCTTCGGAGGGGGTTTTGGGGGGGGGGTTCGAGATCACATATGTACTCGCACTCCATATCATCACATTGTCACACATGTGGTTGATTTGACCCGTCGGGCGCGCTGTAAAAACACACACTCGCTTGTACATACATCAGGGTACCGAGTATGGTCGTCCGTACACTTCAATCCTCAAAAACAAGACTTGGAGGCCCGTCGTTTTTCGATGTATCAAATCGAGCCAGGTAAGGTCTCCCAAACCAATGCACCTCAACTGTGCCCCCCCTACGAGTCAGCGTGAAGAAAAAGAAAACGAAAACAAAAAAGGACCGCACATGGATCGACCGTGCATTACCCGCCAGGGGTGGATGGTGCAAAGTATTGAATTCTCCGCAAGTCTCGGACACACCTCGTACGCTCTACCTGGCCCTGATTCTGTAACGACCATATAGCTTCGTCACTCTTGTGGAGGTAGTCCGGATTTGCTCGAACCGTTCCTGGCGTGTTGGACCTCGCATGAACAGTTTTGGCCAAAAGACCTTCCCAGCGCTGCACTAATATTATCCCTACATGACAAGCGTTATGCACCAAGTGTTTCAACATAACAAACTTCCTCATCTTGTCTTACGCTCGTACAAATTCCGGAAAAAGGAGAACATGGACTGATTACTTGAGGATCATGTCAACAAAAGCTGCTTGATTTCTCACGAAAGCTGGTGCGTAGTTACACAGCCTCGTGACCTCATTGATAAAATGGGTTGATAGCGATCGTACAACAAACCCCCCATGGGCCAGCTTAGCAAAGTGATCAATGGCACATTACTCATGGAGAGATTCCACTCTCGAGACCGTCCGGAATGATGACCACCCATGACAAATAAAAGTGATTTCTCGTGTCCACCATGTTATTCTGACCAGACTCAGCGGCTCATGTATCAAGCATGGTTCCAACGCTTGCGAGATGAGATGCGCTTGAGCCCAGCTTCACAAGAGTTGTCATACCAGTCGAGTGCGAGACTGTCAAGCCAGAAAATACTGATCTTGCCTTCAACATTGGCATAGAATGACAGAGTAGTCATCTTGTAGAAAAGATAGTTGAAGCGGATCTCTGTGAGTTGACAGTTGACAAACCCGGGACAAGGTGGGATGTTAAAGTGCTGAGTTGCGACCACCACCTCATTCTGTGTCGTAATATCCCATTGGTATGCTGTAGCAACAAAATCACAGGTCGCATTGGCTGTGTCGCAACCCACCCAAGCAGTCGCTGCATTGAACCAGTATGTAGAGTCAGATACCCGAGGACCAGCACCAAAGGAGCTAGGAGGTATCAAGCCAGCATTGGGGGAACCTGTATCTTGGTTCGCCAGCGACGGAATGAACTGAGCTAGGCGAGTGCCATCATGTGGCGGGAAAGGCTCTGTTGGCGGAGGAACATATGTCCAGCCATCACCCCAGAAGAAATGCTCATACGGATTGAAAATTTCCGGAAATCCAGCAGTCTGATTGTTGAATACCGACAAGAATGGAAGGTCATCGAACTAGAAATAATGAGTCTTCGTCATCACGAGGGATATTGAGACTTACCGTTATAACGAACGGGCCAGTCTGTCCACAAGCAGCTGGGGTTGGTCCTGCCGAAGATGGTACTGCCGGAACAGGTATCACTGAAGCTGGCTTTGTTGACGAAGAGCTGGCCTGAGTATTGAGAGAACTGATGCTGCTCAGTGGCGTGGGTGCTGGCTGCGAGGGTGCTGACTGAGAGGACGCAGCTGGAGTGCCAACTGGGCCAATTCCTGGGACATAGGTTGGAAAAACTGCAATTCTAATCAGTATTGTTCTTGGAAATCATCATTCTATGTTACTCACTGGTCGTCTCCCAAGATGTGTAAGAGACAGTCGCAGTTCCATCCCAATTGTTGCACCAGCCCACCTGCCGACCACCAATAGTAGCACTTACCCACAAGCAGGTCTGTCTTTTCTCGACGGTGTTGGCTGCATCTGGTGGTGGATAGCCATATGGCTCTGGTCCATATCCGTATGACAGGACTGGAGAAGTAACACTACCGACACCACCAACCACCCGTGTGACCGTGGCCACAGTGTTTGTAACAGTGATAGTTGAAGCAGGTTCTTCAGAAGGAAGACTTCCACCATAACCAGTAGCAGCCGACCACAGCGTTGAGTTCGACTTTGTGCCATTCCAACCACTTGGAGAGGTTGTGAACGCCGTATGGAAGGTGAGGTTCGTGGCAGTTACGGCCTTGCCCTGAGCTGCTACGGTTGGAGGCTCAGATGGAAAGGTAGGAATGACAGTGAAGGTGGTGAGTTCGACCGTGGGCTTGGAAATCCCTCCGGTCTTGGATTGGTAGAAGACTGTACCAGGATTGGCAGGGTATGAGACCTCGGTGGCCTCGAATCCCGAAACAACGACCGTGTGAGTGACTACGGTAGGATTGGGGTCCGGATGATCAGAGATAGGCAGGAGTTGGCTTTGTTCATGAACGGATTCGGTGTCCTCTGAGGCCCATGAGCTCAGAACCGAGTTTGGGTCTTGCTGAAGGATCGTCACAGTTGGAGGCGTATCGGTAATGGTCTGGGTGATGGTGACAACATCATGGACGTAGACAGTCGCGAACACGGTGCCGTAGACGGTTGCAGCAGAACATTGTGCCAATCTATTGACATTAGCAACATCGACCACGTCGCAGATTCACCTCACTTACTGTCTTGCTGGTAGAACACCAGCTGCAGCGAAGGCCGCAAAGGCGCCAAAGAGAGCGAAAGCGATAGGGATCATCGTGACTACGATGCCACGATAGCGAGTGTGGGATGAATGAGACGAGACGAAACGAAGGGTGTTGGGAGAGAAAAAGAAAAGGAAGAGAGTGCGGTTGGAGGTAAGAGTGGAATGAGTGAAAAGGCAAAGATGTCGATTTGGAAGGAGTGAAAATTCAAGTCCAAGTCACAACATACAATTCTAAAGAAGTAACTTCTGTACTCAATCTCTTTTCGCCACCCTTTTTTGGTCGGAACTCACATTGTGCGACCGTAATACTGCTTACCACTGGAATCAACGGGACCTGGAATATGGAGAGGCTGTCAGCCTTGCTAGAGGGCGGTGAGTTCGTCAATACCAACAACGGTGAAGGTTGGTAGAGTATCTCTTCACTGCTGAAAACACCGACTCCTCTGTATAAGACTCGTCTTGCTTGACAACAGCATCATCTATTCCCTGGGGATAGCCTTACCTAGCCCACCCTTCCCACCCTTCCAACTTCACATATCAGAGATTTCTGGTCCGGTCATCTCAACGGGCTCTGGCCAGAAGCCACACCAGAGAACGACCAAATCCCGTTACTTTTGTCACTTGTGGGCTCCGACAAGCTCTTCCAAGTTGCCCTGGCCATGTGAGATTCTTGATCATTGTGTGATCAGGGAGCACTGACTCACTGGCTCTGAACTTGCACGTGGAGGAAGCTGCCCGGAATGAAGCATGACATTTGGCTGCACAACATGCCCAGTATAACTTGATCATCTCACTTGGACAGTTTCAGCCACAATAGTGACAAGAGCTCCGATCAGAATCCAGCAAGACAGTTATCGGAACCACTCGAAGTCAGGTTCCCAGGAAGACTGCGCCTGTTGCAAGAGGATGTTTGCTCTCCCGCATCTGTCACTGTCATCTCCACCATCCCGTCCAGATGACCAGCATGGAAGCATCCAAGTCCTTATAATCTGTTTCCAAATTGAATGGGTACCTGCATGAGAAGCTTCGGTGCAGCAAGATGTAACACAGGCCAAAAAGAGAAGGGTACTTTCATCGAACTGACTTCTCTTCCACTGCAGCATCTTTGTCATACCACGGAGGTCTTCCATGGCTCCTTTCTGGCCCTTCCCAAGTGGCGATGCGAGTATCGCTTTGACTCTTCCGCCCAGGCTTACAAACGCGCCGTCCCCGAGTCAGGTAGAACAGCTCAAGTCATGTCCGGGCTATGTTCCACACTGCTCAGGCTTAAGTTGCGATGAAAGTATCATACACCTAAGGTATCAGAGAAACCAAAACAAGGATCAAATAAACAAAACTAACGGTCTTGGCGCTGCGTGTTATCGTCTTTATTTAGTTGATGATCAGATTGCGGCCCCCTGATTAGCGATCGACATATTCTGTACAAAACGGCGTAGATTGACAAGCTGAGTGGAAGTATCCTCATTAAGTGCTGCTTTACTGCCCGTAATGCTATATGCGCAACGAATAAAAACTGTAATCGAATCGTTGCAGAATGAATTTCAAGAATCCCGTCATTGTCATCGTCATCATGGGCTAAGGATCGTTGCCTATGCCCAACAACCCCAAAGCGTCTCAATAAAACAATACTCTTGAATGAAAGAGGGGTATTAAACATCATCAGGAGCACCCGCAAAGGTCGAGCGAGAGCTGCCAGGCAGAACACACCATCTCTCCCTTTCCGAACGCCCGCTTGCAGAAATCAAAATCATAACCCGTATGCATGCATCCAAACATGAGTAGATCATAACACATCCATTAAAAAGGGCGATCAATACGAAGGAATTGGTCGTTAAGGGTATCTCTCTCGTTATGCCGTCGTGGTCTGTCAATATCGAATGACCAGAAGAACTGCGTCTCAATATTCGTCACAGTCAGGCGGTAGTGAGGCCATCGAGTCGACTGGTAGGAAAGCGATCGAGCAAATCAAGTTAGCAATGCACCACCTCAGGTCGAATACAACATTGCTTAACGTGCCCCGTTGTCGCCACTCGTCGCAACGGCGACAAGAGCTTCTAGTCTGTTCAAGTCGCCGCCTCGGCCGGTCCGATCGCCGAAAGACGAGCTTGTACGGTGGCGATTGTTCTCGATGTACGCAGCAGGCGCAAGACAAACCTGTATCAAGTCAGTAAAAGCTACAACAATCTGCGGATGAGAGCACATACATTCTGATGGCCATCTGCGGGTAAAGCCGCGTGTTGTGGCTCCATGTAGCCACTACTATGCATGATCATTGGATGAACCTCGACAGCGGTCATTCCAGGTGTAGGCACTCCGTCGCTACTGCTAGAGTCTTCTGGGGAAGTACGTGCTGCAGATACAGGTCCTTGATACCAGCCCTGTCTTTTAAATCGATTCGCAGATGCTTGTGCCTCTAGAGCATCCTGCGCCATTTGTTGTTGCTGCCTCAAAGTCATCGAGTTTGAGGGAGGGCCCATATCCACCTGTCTTGAAGTGTCGCTCCGTCGCACGCCTACACTTTGAATTTCGTTGATCGTTTGCTGGCCCCAAGAACTTGCAATCTGGTTCCTCGCAGGGCCTTCTTCAAGCTCCGGATACTGACTAGGACGAGGCCCTTCCCAGGATACATGACCGGGTCGGGGCTGCGATTCTTGTTGTGTCACCGAGGAAGATAAGTTGGGATCAGTCAGACTCGGGTCAACCAACATGGGGCTAGGATTGCGGCGTGGAGGCGTGTATGTCCGATGTTGCACATGATCGAAGCTTTCAATGCCAGGCAGGCGGGGTGCTTGGCCGGCAGCGGCAGTGGCATGTTGAGCATGTGCGGGTTGAGGTGCATCTGGAGTCTGGGAGTATGTCAACCCACTCGTGGCAGGACGGTTGTAATTGAGGTTGGCAGCCGGCATCGTAGAAGGATGCCAGGTACGCCGTCTCCAGTCTTCTCCCGACACCATATGATGTCCGGGAGACATGGGAAAAGAGCTTGAAGTAGGACTCGTGAACATGCTGGAATTTGACGACCCGTGCGAGCTCGCGTGTTCTATCTGATTCATATATGGCGTAGAATACCCTGGCGGGTATTGCTGCTGATAGGGGCTGGGTCCAGAAGGAACCGATAAACGTCGAGCATGGGGAGCAGACGAGAAGAATCCTCCAAGGCGGGCGCTCGACGACGTCGGTGACCCTAGAGAGGACATAAAACCAGGACTTCCGGGGGTGGCAGAGAATTGAGCGGATGTTGGTGTACTCAACCCGCCAGGAGAGTTCGGATTATATCCGCGATATTGGGCTGGAGGGGTTTGAGGAGGGTCAAGTCCCAGACTGAGTCGTCCACTACCATCGCCAGCCATGAGGAGAGGCGGTGGTCGTCGCTTTGCGTCTGTCACAATACTATAATTGGAAGAGGTTGAGCCGACACTGGATGTTGAAAGGTTTCGACTATGTCCACGACTGTGGCCACCAGCACTCCCTGCAGTTCCTGTCCGTGGGCGACCAGTGGGGCGAACGCGATCGGTTCGTATCTGACGCTGAAATCGAGTGCCTGTAGCAGCGAGTGAGTCGGTGGGGATCTCCTCATTAACATGCACCGTTTGTGCATGTTGGCGCAAGTTGTCCAATCTGGAGAATCTGCGGTTGCAATGGCACTGGAAGGGTCTCTCGCCAGTATGTTTCCTGATGTGACGAGCCAGATGCTCACTTCTGGTAAAGCTGAGGTTGCAAGGGGGGTAGCCCGTACAAAAGAACCTTTGGCCCTTTTTCTTTCTCCAGGCCGAATCGGCCTCCCCTTGCTCGCCTTCGTGGTCTGAACCATGTGGATCATTGTCCTCGTCATCGTCGTCGTCGTCAACATCCATGACACTTGTTGCAGCGCCCCCGCTGTCTCTCCGGGTAGTATCGCTGTGGCGATGCTCATGGGCACTGTTATTGTAGGCCTGACCCGAGGAATCATTTCCTGGGTGGGAGGAACGATTGTCAAGTACGACATGGTTCTCCTCCAATGTGGCCGACGTATATCGAGTCGGCCGAGGGGTTGTAGGTGTGTCCATCTCTTCCATTCGATCGTTCGGCGGCATCGTCTCGCTCAACACGAGACTCAGGGCCGCCATCTTAGAGTAGTGATGAGGATATGCGATGGGAGCAGGGTCAAGCAGTCGCGGCTCACGCCACAGTATTGGAACGCATCCGGATCGCTGCAGAAGAGATGGGTTTCGAGTGTCAGAATTCGAGTCGCTCGACCAAAGGAATTGTGGCAATGGACAGTCGGAAGATATTCGTGAATAGTGGCCAGAACTAGGCGTCGGAGGAAGGATATCTAGAGAGTTGCCTGCGCACGCCAACGATCCATGCGACTAACACTGTCAGGTACACTGATTCAGTCGATGAGAATGAGTTGGTATCGTCGGCGCTCGAGTTGCGACTCCTGTTCAAGGCTCGACGAAGTCTTGCCCAGATATCGACGGCCGCACCCAACGTCACGATGCCTGCGTGATTGATCCCAAATCTCAGAGCCGGTTGACACTATTGGCGGTAGTATAGAGTCTCGGACATGTGGAGCAAGACAGAGGCCAGATGACAGGGAGCGTGGGACAGGGCGGTGTGAACGTCAAAGGCAGAAGTCCGAGGGTCTGTGAAGTTGAACGAGGTTACGGATTCGGGAAGGCGGGATGAAGCAGGACTATACAATATGCCTCGACGAGTGAGGAGAGATGGTGAGATAGAGAACGAGAAGACCAGATGGGATAGATTGGATCCTTTGAGGCTAGAAGGAGTAGCAGACAATAGCGAGGTGCATGTGCGAAGAACGCAGTTTGCAGGCGATAGGCAAAAGGCGGTTTAGCAAGGAACGCCAGCCGTCATTGCCGTCACCACCAAGGAGGGATGTGCGAAGAGTGGCCAACAAATCGAGGGGAGGGAGGTTAAGCCCAGCCTCAGCGAGAGAGGGGCAGCTCGTCGGTGACTCGGCGGTTCCTGCGCGGGATGCCTGGAGCGGCTAATCAAGGAGCCACGCGGTGCATGTCGTCTCTGGCTGGGCTCACCATTCATTCTTCTACGCAGTGGTAACGGTTGTATCACAGTCGAGAGGATCCCTTGGCCACGGGGACCGAAATAATGGCTCCTATACGGAGTACGCAGTACCAGGACTCAACTCTGTCACCAAAGAACACCATGACCACCACCCAAGGCGGCTCGACAATTCAAACCCAAGCGAGTCATTCTCACCATCACCAACCAACCTCGAGTCTGATGTGCAGTGGCCACTCTCGCCCGAGCCTTGCTGTTAGCCTCATCTAGCCTAATTCCCAGCAGCGTCCAACCCTCGGAAGATCCATGATCAACCCCTGCGTGATCCGCTTTGCAGCCAGTCAGGGCGGCAAACTCAACATCTTTTAGCACCTCGAAAAAGAACCTCGCCATGGACCTCTTGTCAGTTATCGCCGACGAACTCGTGACGGACGCCACTGTCACCAGCACACCATGTTCCACCCCCCATGCTTTCTTGACCTGCATACATCTTGTTATGCATAGCCTGGTGGCCCTCGCCAGACGATGCCCTCTCTTGAGCCAAATCGTCCAGATGGCACATGCCGTGTCGATGCCTTCGAATATGTCATCGAGGCTGACGTTGCCGTCTTATCCTCGCCTTGCATACGCAGTACTCCGTACACACAAGACTGACTCACCCTCAAATATATTGCGCGTTCCGGTGCCTTTGAAAATATGCAACGAGTGCCCCGCAGTCGTATTCGCATTATTGGTGGCGAGAGGTTCATGCCCGTTATGCCCGTTCGTTCAACCGGGTTGTCTCGGAGTCAATGTTTTGACCCTCGCCCCTCCTTTTGCTGACGTCCAGGATTAAATAGTCCCAGGCACAGGCCTGAGAAAATGCGGAGGTATTGGCGTTGAACTCAGGCACAGCCAAACCCTCATCAGGCACGGACTTGGAGGCGTTCACGCTTGTGCCCTGAAATAGGGCAGGGGCGCCTTTTCGGGTGCCTGTGTCATTCTTCTTCCCTTGTCCGAACAGATAATAATTACCTAGAATGCTTTCATTAATCGCGGCCGGCAGTTCTCATGTTTCGCATTGTGCCTGTCCACGGTGCGTAGTATCTCTCATGATATTGTGAGGCCTTCTTGAGCGTCTACATAATGCTGTGGCTGGGATGACGGAATAGTGGGTTAGACGGAGTCAGGTGTGGCCCTGGTGCCTGGGCACGGCTCACCAGCCTCGCCTATGACTATTCTGATCACTCTTGTCGGTAGCGCCTATGGGCACCCATCGAGTCCAAGGCTTCAGCCTTGCCCAGCACCCAAACTTTTGTGGGGTATCTAAATCAGAAATTCATTGTGACATGCACGGCCTACTACTCCCTAATTCCACGTCCTCATAGTTGATCATTCCAAGTTCGTCTACCAATGAACGTGCGCATTGCCTTTCTACATTGATTCTCCAGTTGAACATTCCGCTCGCTGTCTACGAGTAGCATTAACCCGTTTGCTGCAGAATAAAGCTGATTAAGGCTGCACCCGGAAGACAGTATCTCAACCGCGATGGAATGATAACCGCGGCCAGCAGCACCATACAAGAGGTCTGTCTTGGTTCACCATGGCTGCACAAGGCCCTGGAGGAAGTGGAGGAACTACATCGACCTACATCGATCTCGACTACATCACCTCCAATGACTTTTCACCCCATCAACATGCCAACAATCTAGTCCTTGCCACGAACAATCCATCTGATCCAACCATCGACTTAACAACACCTTTGTCTCGAGTACTCTTCGATCTCCAGGAGATAGATTCCCATATTCACACTTTGACTTCGCGTTCCGCTCTCGATATTCTGACTTACACGTCTGCTCAAAACGCGGCTGCTCAGCGCATACTTGGTAGGGTCGAGGAAGAGCGAAAACGACTCAACGAGAGTTATGCCCGGCTCGAGAAGGAAATCCTTGTCCGCCATCAGAGAGCTGTTGATGCGAAAGTCACCGCTCAACGGAGTCTTGAAGCCATCCGATTAGGCCGCGTCGTACAACGCATCCTCGGACTTGCAAGACAATTCGAGATTATACTCGCTGATTCTGGACTGAATACTCATGGCAAGCAGGGCAAGGAAGACCACGGCAGCCTAGTCAGAGCCTCACTTTCAATTCTCGCATTCCGCGATGCAATGAGTGGAGCTGATGGCCCCGACCTGGCTCGAATCAACATAGTCAAGACGTTGCGTGGCAAGGTGTTTGAGGACGGAGAGGCAAAGATACTGGATTTTGCTCGACGTGTTGTCCGCGAATTTTCAATGAGCACGCTATCTTCAATACACGCGGCTGGGGGAGCCGCACCTGGTCCGACTTTTCGAGAAGCCGAGCACAGTCGCGCACGTTTCTCCAGTGCCACTCATATCCTATACTTGTTATCTCCTGCACCCAGGATTGACGGCGAGAAAATGACCAAGAAAGATTTCGAACCAGAATATCTACTGCGTGCTTTACAAAGCTACCTGCAGACGGCTATAACGTCGAGCTCAGCAGCCATCGGTCGAGCATTGGGGCAGCTGCCGATGCTGGACAGAGCATTGCTAGAAGCGAGCGCGCGATGCCAGAATGTGGTGGCTTTGGAGGTGTTATTACGGGGGATAGTGCCCCCTGAGCATCCGTTACTCCAAGTTGAAGAAAAAGCAAGTATCGAGGAAGACGACAGTGGTGATGATGATGAGGATGATTCTGCAACGCACAGCAACGCATCAGGTGAAGAAACATTCCTCGCCCTCCTTCTCAACGCTCTCGACACAGCCTCGCTACCGTCCTATTTCTGGAGATCCCTGGCTTCGTCGCTATCGTCTCGAGTGTCCGAGATCTTGAACCGAGGTGGGGTATCTGCTCGCACGCTCAAAAGTCAACGCGAGACTGTAAGGGCTGAGATACGCGAGTGTGTTCTCCGAGGATCTAGAATGCCAAAGTCTGTGGTTTTGGGAGATGCCAGGGCGACTGCTATAGGGGAGGAACCTGTTGGAAACTGGGAGCGAGAAGCTGCCGTCATGGTGCAAAGCGTGGTAGGACTTCTAGGACGTTGAATGGACCTCGCCGGCAGGGAGGCTTGGCCCAGAAAATTGGATTACCAGAGGCCAGAATGATTGCCCTCGAGTTTTATACATGAGTGAAGATTATGCAATAGCCACTCCCAACCGCAGGATCAACATTGATCAAGGTTTGCAAAGAAATCATTGCATCCCTTATGTCCCAAATATACAATCATATCCATTCACACACGCCATTACTTTTGTACATCCGCCACAGCTCATGTCACCCACGACGGCGGTAGACATCCTTTGGACACTGGATATTATAATAGTGTTTCGGAATCCTGGAACCTGAAAGGCATCTCTCCGGCAGATACAACCACTGTCTGGCCATCAATGCGCTTTTGTGTTCCTGTAGTACAGCGTAAGATCTTCATCCAAACCAGGAACCGCCTCTTCTTTCGGCTTTGGCTTTGGCAGCCATCTTAGCATCATCCTGTTGTATTTTTTCCAAGGTTCGATCTCGTGTATACTCCATTACTCTCTTTTCTTTGAAATATTTAATCTGAATGTCGACATTTTTGGTCAGCCTAGGCGGCATAGCCGACGAGCCACTGGGATATACTAACCCAAGTTCTTGCGCAGTCTCTTTCAAAGTCCGTCACTTCTTTGGCACACACTTTTCTCGCTTTGTCATCCTCCTTGATCGCGTCAAGTATATCATTCTTGTCTAAACAATTGAAGAAATTGTCCCTCGACTCGTAACATAACTCTCGTGAGTTTCGATCCGGGGCGACAAAGCCTCCGTCGCTTGACTTGGGTCGTGCTGGTGGCGGAGCTGCAGGGCTCCCACCAAGCCAGGTCGGCAGGCCCCAGCCCATTGTGTGTCCAGGAGGGGGGTGGAGAAAAGTCGAGGAGAGAAGATTGGTAGATGGTCTATGGTCAATCGAGGTGCTTCGAGTCGTCCTCAGGTCCAGCGTCTTCGTAGTGAAAATGGTCACTCCGTAAGTATGTTTGTGCTCGTCGATCCGTCAATAAGTTTGCGGGCTTTACAAAAGTTGGAGTGGGAATTCGAATTGGAGAATTGGCCGGAATCTCCGTATGGAACCTCTATTGATCTATTGACGAGGCGCAGGCTGAACTTCCTTCGCCTGTCAACTCATCTATCGACACCTATGTTTAAACGGGTACACTTTTTCACTCGACAAGTGTGGCTAGAAGACTTCATAGGACAATGCAATAGTCATGCTGCTAAAGTCTGCGCGCCCAGCATACGTATCCCAACTTCGCTCATAGCACCAGGCGAATGCCGCCTCGACGCAGAAAGCCACCTCGCGCCGGCGCGCTCACGGAACTTCCTCCTCTCAAGATCATACGCTCCATCCTCCTTTTACAACTGTTCTACTACAGCGTCGCGTTCGTTCTGGTACTGTTTACGACTCTCGTACTTGGTCAGAGGTTCTCCCCGGCCCTTCTCTTCGACTGGCACAGCATCAGGGGTGACAACACCGTTGGCTGGACTGTCGGATTTCTATGGGTGGTCGACGGCTTCATAATGTGAGTGCCCCCGGACAATAAGATTCGGGCTGATCTGGGGGGTTTTTTTTTCGCTGACGCTCGACAGAGTAATACCAATTCTCCTGCTGGTTGCTCGATCTAAACTCGTCCCTGACTTCGCGTTGACGATACATTTTATCCATCTCCTGATCACCTCATTTTACACGAGATCTCTACCGACAAACCTGCTTTGGTGGGGACTGGAGGCCGCCAGTGCCGCGCTCACAATCAGTCTGGGGGTGTGGGCTTGTCGGTATCGTGAGCTTCAGCCCATCTCTTTCGGAACGGTGCCAGCGAAGACGTCGACGGAGAACGCGGACGACAATGTGCGAGGTGCATCAGGCAGGGGCCGAAACATGGACTCTGGACCAAGTTATGAAATGGTCAGCGTGACCAGGGGAGATGAGAACGTGTGATATATGAAGCGGATTGTTGTTCGAAAAGCCATCCCGCTACGACGATGGTATGTGAATCCAGCGTCGCGTACCTATCGACTGTATACCGGTCAGAGGTCACGAAGGCACCGGATGCCTTTTCTGGTCTTACGGTTCGCCTTCCGTGTCTGGAGCGCCATGCCTATGTAAAGTCCAGGACGTCGCCATGGACCTTTCCTAGGAACATCCTGGGGGTTACGCTCTCGGCAGTTTACCGAAATCTTCTGGTTATCGTGACTAAACCATGTGTCAGCCAGGGGGATTCTGCTCTCGTATTTATGGGCAACAATATGTGACGATACACCGCGGACCCCCTGCTCGAGAAAGATGTGTCACATTGACTCGGATTGTCACGCCTCTCGTTCGCATCCTCGTTATGAAGGCACAAAACTAGCCAGTGTCGAGCAAGATCTTGCCACGAAAATCTGAATTCGCATTCAGGGAAGAGCTCATGCTGCTACGAAGAAAGTATGATTCACCTGATCATGGCAAGAACTTTGTCATCAGCCAAGTGCTGATAGTTGACAGCCTTGGATGTCATTGAGAAAGTCACAGTGACGTATCGAAAGGCATATCAGAGATGGCATATCTGAAGAATGCCCAAGTGTAGTCATATATGGATGACCTTCTGTGATGAGAGGACTATAGCGAATCTGTGGGCTTATCAGGCGACGTCGTCAGTTCTGTGACGTCTCGGAACATTACCAATATCAGTCGGGAACACAACATATCATGTTTTTCTCAGGAACAAATTTCTTCTCTATCAAATATCAAATCACAACATGTATCGATGACGTTTCCAGCACTCTCTAATTTCTGCAAAAGCCAATCATGCATTTTTTGAGCATCATTCCGTTTTCTCTCAGCATCTCTCTCCCCTTGAAGTGTTCAGCCTTGTCTCGTCGTCATTTGACGCACCACAACAATGATTCTCCTCGGGCATGTCTTCTTCACGACATTGGCTCTCCAAAAACGAAACCGATGTCCTCCATATCGAGTAGACCACCTCGCTCGTTGTTGTTGTCTTCTGGGGTATCCGTACCAGCATTGTCACAACCACCGCTGCCGCCGCCGCCACAACCACCTTTGTTTCCACCGAGGTCGAAACCAAGTTGATTCTTCAAGGCCATGAGCTGTTCATCTTTCGCTTTTGTTTTGATCTGATCCGCCTCCTCGACCTGATCTTGATTCCAAGCATAGACTCCACCGCGCTCTTTGAAACCGTCCTTGTCCCAGAACACGCTGGCCAGGGCAGCATCGACGCCCACGTCCAGGATACTCTTGCTCGGAGCCTTGCCCGTGCGGTCGAGGAAACGAAGATGCTCGTCGAGAATCAGATAACTCTTTGCCATGAGGGCGTTGCTCTCGGGCACAAAGGACGGGTTGTGTCTGTGCTTGTCACAGAAGTATCGGAACTGGTCGTCGGTGATGACAAAGTCTCGAGCGTCTCGCTTGGTGTCGTCACCGTCGTTTTCACCGGCGACGATGAGAACCTGAAAACATTTCCATCTATTCGAACGCTCGTCAGCAGTGAAATTTCATGATGTCGAGCAATTTGCAACGTTTACTCACCGCACAAGCAAGCATCGAGCAAAAGAGGAAGAAACCCACCGGTAAGGATTCAAGGTCGCGATGTGTTCGTTCATGTCCTCGTCCCAGTTGTACTGACAAATCACCGAATTCAACTTGAACATCACCCCGTAAGTCTTGCACCAACCCGCGATCCGACGAAGCTGGGCAATGTGTTGTCCACTGCCACGGCCGATCTTGGTGTTTGTGGATTCGTCGAAACTGTCGCAAGAGATGGCGAGGATGTCGAGGTTGCGAGCGTGTTTCTTGATCCAGTCTTCACGGATCAGGGAACCGTTGGACACGATGGACACGGATTCCAAACCGAGTTCTCGTTTGGTGTAGTCGACCATGGACCCAAGCTTCGGGGCGTACAGAAAAGGTTCACCACCGGCGAAGTTGACCTTTTTCATGCCCGCGTCGGCGAGGAGTTTGAGGGCCTTTTTCGCGTCACCCATGGAGGCAGTGTAGCTGTTTGTATCGGTGTGGAAACAGAAGCCACATTTGTCTAGAATGCAAGCCACGGGTTAGCTTTTGTTTTTTGTTTTTTGTTTCTGTTGGATTGCAGGCAGGGAGGAAGTGGGAATGGGAAGCGGAGCGGGATGGCAGTGTCTATGTAGACAAAAACGACCCTCTTTGTACGTTGAGGCCCCTTGAGAATAACGAGCTTACAGTTGCATTTGCGTGTGAAGTGGTAGTTGACCGACAGGGGGACGGTCTTGGGCTCCCGTCTCAGACCACCACCGATGAGCTTGAATAGCCAAAGCATGAGGTAGAAACACAAAATGCACGCCGAGACGTGGTAAATGGTGTAGTACATTGTGGTTTGGAGGAATTTGACAACGGCGAACAACATTTTGCAAGGCTGAGGACGTGTTCTGATCGCTGAGCCGGACGGGAGGGGACTCAACCTTGAAAGGAGATGAAGATGTGTAGAGTGGGAAACAGGAAAGAAAGTTAGCGATACCTTGGATGGCCTTTTATGCAAGTATACCGTATAGAGACCGGCAATGGCTCCATTGATGCTCAACGAGAAGGGAGGAGAAAGAGAGGGAATGTTTGTAGCAAGCAAGTGAGAAAGGACAATCATTTGTTCCTTCTTCACCTCCTTGTTATTGAGGCTCAATGCTTATTGAATACTAGCAAACTTTTTCTGGTTGATGCTGCTTTGGCAATTGTGGTCAAAGTGCATGAACAATTTGAAGTCGGACAACCAGCCTTTGTCCTTCCTCGTAGCGCAACCTATTCATTTTTGTCTAGCGAGGGGTGGCAGTAAAGTAATACAACACCGTAAGCATGCGCGTGAAAGAAACAAGGCAAGGTCCTGGCACTGGTAGTGACATTGTTTGCTGTGATCAGTATGCAAAAGAACCAGGCAGCAACGGCACGCACGGCCGAGATGTCATAGGCCCAAAGTGGAACTTTGCAAGTGTCAAGGTGTAGTATTGTTGTCGGTCAGAAGATATCACAGAGAGAGAGAGAACATTCTTCCGTGACAATGGCTGTATAGTCAAATGAATTTAACAGCTCGATGGACGATGTAGCGTTGCAGAAACGATCCCTGCCTTCTAGAACCAGAATGATAGTATAAACACAACCGTGGTATAAACCGTGATCATACTGTATTCCACCTCAAACGCATACGCAGCCCAGCTGATTTTCGTCTTTTTCGACTCCTCAGAGGGGTAAGCGACCCCTGTGACCGGATCTCGCACCAGCAACTCCTGTCTGTCCGGCTCCGACGGCGGGAAGAGTGCATAGCTTATAGGCACCCAGCACGACAAGACAGAGGTCAGCCAGATGAGCGGCGGCCAGAACGCATGGGTCAGGAGCGCGATGAGGACCTGTTTGGCCGTGCGGTTCTGTGAATCGGTGAAGTTCCAGTACATACTGAGACAGACCGCGGCCAGGGCGAATGCGATATAGACGAGATGCATGTAGCATTGACAGTCCCAAATCGTGACTTTGAGACGTCGCCAAACAGGCGCCCTCATTTGAGGATTCCTTTCGTTCAAGTCGGCCTTTTGTGATCCCGACGAGGTGAAGACGGCAACTTTCCCGCCGAGCCATTTTGGAAGGAGGAACGTTCGGATGACGGACATGGAATGAAACGGTGCCATCCACATCATGGCTCGCGCGTCTCTTTGGCCGGTGACGTATCCCGAGGGGAGGTACGAGATGAATTCGTTGATCCGATTCAACACGGTGGTCAAGAAGTTGGCCCGGACGAGCCACTTGAGCTGGTTGATGGTCTTGTAAGGTACTAGGTTGCCGTGTGACACGAGTACAATGGGTGTGGTAAAGATGGACATTACCAGGAAGACCGTGAAGAGCGACGAGACCGTGTACACGAAACCGCACAGCCGTTGAGGGAAGGTCATGTGCTTCACCAAAGGGCCGTAGATACTGAAGCGCAATTTCAAAGAAGTCTGTACCGTTCCGATCGTCTAAGAATCTATTAGTTTTGTTTGTGGAGTAGGGCTCCCGAGCAGAGGAAGAAGACATGCAACACTTACCCAACGAGTTCGTTGTTTCAGGTGGCTAGTGAGCGAGTCTGGAACGGTACCGAATTGTAATGGTTCATGCACAAATGCCGTGTTCCATCCGGAACCCAACAGCATACTGGAGCAGCAAACATCCTCGGCAAGGGAGCCGATTGAAACCGCCAATGGACTTTAGAGCAGCACGTCTGAGAACATATCCAGATCCAGTGCACCATGCGACGCCCAGGGAGTCTTTGATGGGTTCTGAAATATGGACGAAGGTGTCCAGACTTTGGCAGAGAGGGTCGTCCTTGGGAACGTTGTAAAACAACTGAATTCTTGGTTAGTACCCATTTGTAGGGATTTGATGCACCACTTACTTGCGGAGGGCAGGCCATGGAGCACTTTGGGTCTTGAAGCATATGGGGAAGCAGAGCTCGTAGCCAGTCCCTCATCGGGATCATGTCGGCATCAAGGGCAGCCAGGAAGTTGGCAGCGCCACCCGGCAATTTCGCGGTCTCTTCCAGAGCATCGTTTAGGTTTCCAGCCTTGAAATGATGGGGAACGCCAGGATACTTCGGTCTGGAACGGTAATAGAGGTTGTCGAATTGAGTCAGAGCTGTCTCTTCAACCAAGTCCTGCAGGCGCTTGGATTTCCCATCGTCACAAATGAGAACCCTGAATCGTTTAGGTGGGTAGTCAATGTTACATGCCGCCTTTGCCGTATCCAAGACCAAGTCGTCGTCCTCGCCACAACATGTAATCACCACGTCGACCGACGGAACCTCATCTCCGACGAGTCGAAGTCTCGGCCGTTTTCTCGATCCGACGGCATGCCATCCCCACAGACGGTGCAGCAACATGGGGATGGAAACGAACAATTCGACGAGAATGAACGCCCATGCCATCCAATATGTCTTGTGCGCCGCTCTCTGAGCATCCAGCGTAAACCTGACTCTGAGAGCAAAGTAGATCCAATACGCGGCAATTGTCGCAACCACAAGGAGAGGGCAAAGCCTGTACATGATGCGTTTGGTCGTGGTCAAGAGCTCGACATCGTCGTGTGCGGCCAGACGCTGAATGGTGTATTCTTCAACCTTCTCGCTCATGCCACCACGGGCAATCTCCTCGGGCGACTCTTCCAGCGACTCGGTCGTTATAGGTTTCTGAAGTCTTTCATACGAGGATGGTGCTCGCGAATACCGTCGAGCGTTGAAGTTCGGTTGAACAAAGCCTACCGACGAAACTCGGCGTATCTCATTGATTTCCAACCCTAAAGGATTTCCGGTCGTGACGGTGAGAGGGTCAATTTTCTGGATGGCCCCTGCTACCGCGGTGGACGTCCTTCGGAGGGTCTGAGACATCCGTCGCCGTGCCTCTGCCGCTTGGGACCCGCGGCGGCGTCCTAATGCGAGAAGACTTGGATCATGTGTAGTGACTCGACGGAAAGGGTCGTTCCAGTGAACACGGGGAGGACCTTGGCTCTGAGGCCACTGGTAAGTACGATTACGCTGTAGCACTTTGAGTGATGAAGTTTTCGTACCTCTGCAGTCGATTGCTTCTCGACATCCGGCCCAAACTGTGCTGATTCCTCGTCATCCTGGATAGGGAAGAGCTGCCTTGGCCTGTCTGTCGGTTCACCGCTGGGGCTAGGAGTCTCGGCCGTTGATGATGAGTCCTCTCTAGTGTTAGGAGGATCCATTTTATGTAGAGTTGTGTTGCTCGTGGCGAAGTACACTGGTGGTAAGGGTGGTGGCTAGCAAGAATGTTCGGCTTATATGGACTGCCCTGATAACAAAAGGCCCAAAGCAGAGCATCATAACGGGAGGTACGTCCAAGCTTTGATCAGTTGTTCAGAGGTCATTCAATGTAAAATTCAATATACCCAGTGTCGATGTGCCCCAAACGGCTCGAACTCCCACGTCAGAGGGCATACCATAGCTCACAGGCCGGGAGTATGCAAGACGACTACGCGCAATGGCCCACTGAAGGCTACAGCTAGCAGTCTTCCATAGAAGTCCTCCCAGTATACAGTGAGTCCACGTCGAAATAAAAGTAAAAATTGCTCCGCACAAGACGAGATCAGTGATCTTCGATGGTACACATTCGTGTGTTTTTAGATTTTCAGCAGCCGGGGTTCGACACACAAATGGGTCGACAGGCCAGTGCTTCAAAAGGACAGCACGGCGCTTTCCTATGCTCTATAACAAGGATAGTTCGTACGACAAGGTCTTCTTGAACATTCCTCCATTGATAAGAGAAAAGAATGGAGCAACGGTCAGCGGGCGACGGTAGCCAGGCATAACTGCTGATTTGTTGCCTGAAAATACACAATGGAGGTGATCTGGAGGTCAGCTTTGGTCTGATCTTGAAACTGCAGGGACTAATTACAGCAATCGCGACGTCGCCACTGCGTATCAAATACACGGGTGGAATATTGTAAATTTGTACTTTTTTGGCCCGTATATATAAGCTCATGACCTGCATAGAGTCAGTGCATCTGTCAAGCCTTGAGATCTCGCCAAATTACGGATGATGTGGTCCGGGAGATCCTTGCACTTCGGCGTCACCAACCATCACTTATTGACACATTGAGTCTGCGGCGACCACAAAATGCCCTTCCGCATTAAGCTTTCATCGATTGTAGACGTCACGTAAGTTGTGGTGGTTGCTAGCCCTTTACTGCATCGTCCACAATAAGCTGTCCTATTAGGATCTTCTTTCCGGCCAGAAACTCGACGGCTATGCGGGTGAAAGTCAAACAGGACGATATGAGGTCCCAGATCCTGCGCCGGACTTGCCTCGATGTTATCTCCCCACGAAATTGACGATGGGTGTAGATTGAGATAATGTTTGTGTGTCAGGCCCACGTTGCGTCACGCCTGATGTTCAGAACTGCGTGCGTTAATGAGTGGAGCAGCATGTCGCGGCTGACGGCCTTCAAGCTTTGCCAGATGATTCTCCGTGATATACGCCTGCTTCCGAGCTTTCTCTAGTTCCTCTGTCAATGTAGTGCGTCCAGAAGTATGACGGACACCTCGTGAGGCACCGCCGTCAGGAGCATACATCCAGGTTCCGATTCTCTTCCACGCCTGAACAGCTTCCTCATTCGAGCAAGCATTGCTGATTGAATACGAGAATTTGGTTCCGATTGCGTCCTCAAAAAAGTCTCCTTTGCGGAGTTTCGGAAACGTATCCAGTATCTCATAGTACTTGGTCACCGAAGCCAAATGCGGTCTGTCGTAGAAATGGAGATTGGCAATAAGATCTGAGTCGCATGCTGAACCATGCCTCATGGCTTTGGCAGCATCAAAGACAGCACGAAGCCGGACGTTTGAATTGCCCATCGTCAGCTCGTATCGCTTGAAATGCCTTGCCACAAAAGTGATGTAGTTTACGTCGGGCTCGTCTTGCAATATTGTGAGTAGTTGCTGAATTGGTGGTTCGATCTCAAAAACCCAATCGTGCTGTAGCACCAGGACAAAAGGCGTAGAACAACATTTGAGCGCACTCACAACACTCAATGCAAACCCTTGGCGAGTTTGATGCTGAATAAATGTCACACACCGCTCTCCTTCGATTCTGCTAGTCATGGCTTCAGATGCAGCTTCCTGGACCACTGGAACATCTGGGTGCGAGAAAAGTCGTTTGACATTTGCAATGTACGCAGGATAAGCTTCTGCCATTTGCAGGGGCACTTGGCCTTTCTTCAATCGTCCATCTCGGTATTTGTCGTTTTGGCATACCGTGAAGCCATCGAAGGTAATGATTATTGGCACAGTAGACAAGCTAGGAGGAAGAGACCGGAGAACGCCACTGATCAGTTCTGTAGATGGTATGGACGGAGTAGGAGATGTCGTTAGGATAATTGTCAGCTTTTCACCCAGTCCATGGGACATGGCTCGTCGCTCGAGTGCAGCCAGTCACTAGCCTCCGATCTCAGGTTCTGGCAAAGATGCATATGAATGTTCAATGGGTGAACGTCAGAAGTACTTTTTGGTGAATGTTGAATCGAGGTAGACAATGATGTTTGGAAGCTCAAAAATTGGTGGTGAGGCCAAATGTCACGTGAGGATTTTCGCATTTGGTTTTTCTATGGTGCGTCTCGAGACACCTTTATATATTGAGCTCAAATAACCGCAATCTCTTCCTTATCCCCGCCGTCAAATGTATTCGGTTCAACAGTCCTGTGGTTGAACCAATATCGTTGATGATATATACTCGAGCTCTTCTACACGCGCAACACTCTTTATGACTTTGACAGCTGAAGGGCGAAATGTCTTTCGTCACCACACTGTCGGGTGATCCGTCTCCTATGGTGACACCACGTAGAACGATCGTACCCCCACCAATCCAACAGTCATTCCCAATGGTCACTGCGTTGCCGAAAAGATGGACACAGATGGGCCAAGGAAGGCTCGATCTCCAGTGGTAACTAGTCCATAGTCCACTGACCAGACTGGGACCAGCACATCGATCTCAGTCTCGACCTTGTATTCGTAATGGTTGTGATACACTAGTGCACTTGAACCCGACAAACCAGGGCCCTCGACGGTGGTGCGTGTCCGGTCCAACCTTGCCAAAGGGCCACCTCGAGCATTTTTTGACAGTCCTCTGCCAGGTTCTGTGAGGTTGCTTCGTCTGGGAAGTAATCGGTATACTTTTTGGCCAGGCGCCGGCCCGGGCTCGTAGTCTAGCATCGCTCAATTCCGGTGCAAACTGATTGTATCTAAGTGCGTATTCTGGCAGATCGTCGCGTTCGAGAAGACTAACGCCATGCCGGATAATATTCGTTCGTAGTTAGTCTTCGCACCATAGAACATGAGGGAGGGATCTTGCGGCCTCAATTGCTCCAGGGTTCTGTGTCGTGCTTGCCATCTTCGACGATATTGGCAACGTTCTCGGGCGAATCTGGCTTCTTGACGCTCTCTGGACACCAGCAGCTGGATAGTTATGTATTCAAACGAACTGGCCCCCACCATTTTCATCACTTTCTTGGTGGATCCACTAACTTTTATAGGAAAGTTGATCTATATGGGGCAGTGATGGAATGGTAGTATGATAATCAACAGAGCTTGACGGCTCCATACTACTTTTAGCTTAAAAGAACGACAAGATATTGTAGAGAGAAAAGCAGGGGATCCTGCCAAGGATGCTAGCAGTTGGCTGATGAACAAGAAGTAAATAGAGAGACATCCAATGAATGAAGTTTTGCAAGAAGTGTGTAATGAAGTCCTAGTTACAGGGTTGATCTGACACCCTGTGAATGTCGGGCACGAGTGTCAGGCAGCAAGAGTAACTAAGCGGTGACTTTTAACAGGGAAAGAGTCTCTACGTGCAGAGTACCTCTGAGTTCGAGGTTGAATTACCTGAGTGCTTCCCCCCGTCTACTCCTGTTATAGAAACTCGAATCACTTTCAGCCAAGTTTAACAACCGCATTTGTGAGGTTCTTCGACTGGCCGAGGGAACTTTTGGTTCTAAAGTTAATATAGCAAGCAAATACAGTTGCAGGAGGACTACAGTGATCACACAAGATTCAACGACCAATTTTCAATCAACTGCTCACCGCGGAGAATGTCACTATGTGGCAATATGAAAGCTTTTTACGCTTTTAAAGCCTCGTCTTGAAATTATTTCTTGGAACTCAGCACTTGAAATATCATCATTATACCTTCTTGACTTCCTTAAACGTAATACCTAGTATTTTCAAGTCATCAATTCTAAGCAAAAATACAGTTCAACTGTCGGAAATCAATCACATTCACCATTGATCAAGACATTCCGAATCTAACATTAGAATACTACGAGAGCCAACAAATTTTACTTTGAATAATTATGAGCGCCGAATACTTTCATTGGATAATCCAGTTTTTCGCTTCGAGAGATAGCTTTTATTCCCATCTAAAAACGCAATACCATATTTGCCTAATGAGAACATAAGCGCTAGCATGCATTTTTGTAGTGCATTTGCCGACATAAATTTATGGCTTATTTACAGACTCCTCGAACTACAGTATTTCCGTGCCTCTTCCATACAGTCAATCAGTTAGGACCAGCTAGGAGGATTTTTTATTTGAGTATCGGTAAGTTTCAATGTGATTGTTCATTTTGCCATGCGGAAAAACTGCACTGCAACAACTCTTGAGAGTGCAAAGCAATCTTCGGGGAAGCATGATAAAGTCCCTTTAGTCGATGGCATCCCCTGGATTGTAGAAAGATTGAGGAGTAGACTAGGTCTCCTTTATTGTTTCTTGCCAAGTTTTCCCTTCACATTGACCATCTCGCGGAAATGAGGGTGTTCACAGGGGCAGGCCACCACTACTTGACGAGATTCGCGGGCCATGGGACGAGAAGGTTCCGTGAAGCAGGAGACTATGAGAAAGGAGATCACTGATCTCGGGGGAGGGATCCCACCTGATGAAGATCAATTACCAGTGTCGAGGTGTGGGACGCGAAACCAGGACAGGACTGGCTATTCACTAGGCTATATATACTATACCTCATTCACCTTCGCCGCCGACGTGATCTTGCTTTCCACACCAACCCCGAAACAGACAAAAGTATATATTGGGAGAGTATAGGTGAATATTCATTCCATTTTGTCCTCACTCTGCAATGGCTATCACTGGAAACTAAGAGCAGCAATATACGGCAGTCTTCATCACTACAATAAGGTGCGGAGTACTAGTCTAGTCTGCACTAAATTTTCTCAAATACAATCTTACAACACTGCCCTTTAGGTCGACTGGCAATGATCTGATCCTCCATTTCCATATCGCTGTCCATCCTGGATGAAACTGTCGTTCGATACTTGGAATATACTTCACGGAGAAGAATCTTCATCTCTGCAATCGCCAGGCTGTAAAAACCACGTGAGTCAGCTTCATGATTCTTAACGACCAAAGAGAAAAACTTACTGTCTTCCCAGGCAACCTCTCCCGCCGACACCAAAGGCAAAGAACCAACGGTTCCTTTCCGCGACGGCCTGGGCGTCATCGTCGTCGTTGAGCCAACGTTCCGGTCGGAATTGAAGCGGCTCAGGAAAGACATTGGGATCCTTGTGGATCGTATAAGGTTGGCAGCTCACGATCGTGCCTCCGGGCATGAAGAAGCCCTCTATGACGCTGCCCTCCTGTGGGACGTGGCGAGGGAACGACATTGGGATCGGCGGGAAGCACCGGAGACCCTCTTTGATGACCGCATCCAGATAGGGCAATTGGTCGAACGGGGTCGCGGGATTCTCAATCAACTCTTTGCGCAAGAGTGATTGTACGCGCTGCGATTCGGGATTCGGCAACGAAAGATGATGCATCAGAAAACACAACCCGTCGCCCGTGGTGTCGACCCCGGCAGCCAGGTGGTCTTTACATTCTGCAGGCACGGCGTATGATGGCATGTTGGTCGCTTTCGCCTGAGCTTGTAGTTTGGACAAGAGGCTGAACGGAGACGGGTTGGGAGTTGCACTCGCGCCCAGGACGTATTCGTTCGACAACGGTGCCGGTTTGGGTGGATTGAAATAATGAATAATGTCCGAAGCCCACGGCATGTAGTAGAGCGCGACGTTGCCTGTTCAGAAAAGTGTGATCAATCAGTATCGAGATTGGAAAATGTTTGTGCCCCGACGGCGATGGTTCGATCATACTCACTTTTCAGGCTGTCGTGGTAGGAAAGTTCCTTCATCAAGCGGTAATCCTTTTCATCTCTGTTTGCATGTGTACCGCGTGGATGGAAAAGCTGATGGGTCACGCCGTCAAGTGCGAAGCAATGAAGGTAGACCTTGTTATTTCATTCAGCATGTGAACATTCCAGAAAGCGATGAATCTCCCCCAAACTCACATATATATCGGCATAACCCTGTGTAATGCATGCCTTTGTACATTGGTTCAGAAAATCTTTGGCATGTTCCGAGATCCCACTCAGAATATCAGGTTTCATGACGTTGCTGTTGGCATATCGATCTGCTAGATATCTTTTCATATAGCTATGCTGTGGTTGATTTTGTCAGTTTTGTCATAAACCAACTTCCAGAGACATACATCTCCAGAGCAATCACGGTGGTAGTAGTACATACGTCACCTCGAATGAGGGTCGAGAACAAGGTCCTTGTGTTGAATTGGGTGAAGAGAGAGTAGAAAGGAGTCTTGTCGTACCCACTGCCTCCGGACATGTAAATTTCTTTGATGGCATCGACAGTGGCGAATGAGACTTCGTCTGGGGATAAGCGGACTACAGGGCCGTATCTCTGGTGTAAATCATGGATATACAGTCGTCGTCCGTGAGTGAATTCCTTGTACTTGAGAACCAATGAGGTGAAGTTTGTGTACCATTGACCGGGTACTTTGGCCAACGGCGACCGTATCTTGAGTGCGGTGTTGATCAGACCGGCAATAATGAGTAGATATGGCAGAAGCCACAATGCTCCGATGATGAGCATGATGATGATGGTGTTGACTTTGCTTCTTTAATGCTCAGTGTACGACTTCAGTCACTCGATTCAAAGGCACCCAGGAGCATCAGACCATTGACCACGCTGGACAATGTCGTTCCCACTGGACATGTACCATGGACCTCAAAATATATATAAGTTGGGACCATAGACTGGACTGTTACTTGAGACGAGTTTGAAATTCGTATGGATTCGTTGACAAGATTTGTCTCGTCAGAAGGGGAAGTTCAGAGCGACACAACTTGCTCGAAGCCTTGTCGGTGATACACTCACAATGCTGGAGCAACGGAATGGCTGAACAGAGAAAGATGAGGCGACAGACTATAGTCTCGACTTCGGCAAAGATCCCGGTCGAACAATGGTTTGAGAATAGTATTTCAACATTGATTTCATATCGTTGTGGTCGTTATCTCGTCCATCTCCTCGCCCTTCTCCGTTTGAACTAGTGCCAAAACAACCCCCAGGGATCCATCCAGAACAGACACCAATCAACACTTGGACTCAGCAGGCCCTTGATGGCATCTCCCCAAGTTTCCCTGTTGGGTTTGGCATCACGACGAATTGACCACCCTGTCTGTTCGTACTAGCGGAATAGACACCAGGAGGATCTAGTGGAAAGCGACATTGCTTATCTAGACTTCAAGCCGTGCTAGTGTCCACGCGAGAAGGTACATATAGAGGTCCATGGGAAGTGCCACGCGTCGCCGCAAAATGAGAACTTCCTGACCAAGGCCCTATTCAATTGCCTGCACTATGTCTTCTAAGATGACCATCGGCCATGGGGGGTTTGATCAAGACAACGGTATTGGCACCTCATCTCCTGGAGACAACACTCACGGATTGTCCGAAGAAGCAGCTGTGAAGCCACGGGTGCCAACCCCGACGAACGATGTTCTTGACCCTCTGAACTGGTCGACAATCATGAAGTACAACATCATTGCAATCGTTTGCTTCTTCTACTTCCTGTTGACATACTTGACAACGGCTCCTGTTCCATCATTTTCATTGTTGGAAAAGCAGTTCGATGCGTCCTACAACCAAGTGAACTGGTCGTTCGGCATATCCGCCTTTGGTCTCGCCTTCGGCCCTCTCGTGACGTCGTCGCTAGCTGAAACTTACGGACGTCGAGTTGTCACCATCGTTTCAACCTCAACTGCAGTGCTCGCAAGTGGCTGCACATCCATCAAAGGCCAATCAATTGGCCAATATATGGCAGCGAGGTTCTTCCAAGGCTTCGCCGCTGGCCCAGCAGCGAACGTTGGCTTGAGTATCATCAACGACATCTCTTGGGAGCACGAAAGAGGTTTCCGTATTGGCTTGTGGGCAATGTCGGCGAACATCGGGAGTGTACTTGGTGGACTCCGTACGTGTCTCGCATCTCGTTTATTGGTCTTTTTTGACTCTTCACAGTCGGCGGATTCATAGCCACTGTCAACCAATATTGGGTGGCTTATCATGTCACGATAGCATTCGCCTTTCTTCTCGTCTGGGAGGTGCTCTTCCTGCCAGAAACGCAATACCCCCGTACTGTTGTCGTCGAATATGAACGCCAACGTGGAGTATCCGAGGGAGACTCATCACTTGACATCCAAAGGACCAAAAAACTTCCTTGGCTGGTGAGATATTTCTGAATCTCTCCCACTACTTCAAATGCTGACCACAGCGCAGAATATTCGCAAAATCCCAGGTGTACCACATCCGAAGCCATGGGAGACGTTGATAACCTTTTGCAAGCTCTGGGCGTATCCCAGACTTGCTATAAGTGTTTGTGGTTACATTTTTCTCCATTATTGGTGGTATGTTCCTTTCACACTTCACCTGGCACACGAAGTGGATGCTAATTGCTTGGAGGATTGTCGCTCTCCTCACAATGATTCCGGCTGCGTACTCTGAGTACAGAATCCAGATCCAAGGTCTATTTTTTACTGGACCTCTGATCGGCGTTATATTTGCAGAACTTTTCTGCTCTGGACGGTTGAGCGACCACATTGTAACTCGTCTGTCACAGAGGAATGGTGGTATACGTACCCCAGAGATGCGACTTTGGCTTGGTTATCCTGGTGCCCTGTTGTCGGCCGTTGGCTTGGCCGTCTGGGGTGCTTCGGTGCAAATGGGTTGGCATTGGATCGTTGGCCAGGTCGCCCTTTTCCTTTTCGCTGTTGGACTTCAGGCCGGCAATACGACATTAACAACATATATCGTCGACAGCTACCCCGAACACGCCATCGAGGTCATCACATTTTACTCAGTGGTCATCAACGTAAGTGCAGTCCAGATCGTGTTCGGTCGAATTTTTGCCAATAACCGGGACAGATGTCGGCTTTTATTGTGCCATGGTACATTTACGACTGGACAGATGCTGTTGGTAAGTAAACCCATGTATCGCTTTCCGAGCTTGTTGACTGACTCGAATCTTCAATAGGATATGGCTGGTGCTTTGGCACACAGGCTATCGTTTGTGCGGTGTGTCTGCCAGTGACATATCTGATTCTCCAAGGTCGGCAATGGAATAAGCCAATTGTGCTAACGTCTGATGAGCCGAGAAACGGCTTACAAATGGAGAATATTGAGCCGGAGAAGACGTAAGGATCAGTGCAGATTTGTCCGCTGCGAGAACGCGTTCCTCCATGTGTGCCGCGGAGAGACTCATGAGAATCCCGCCGACCATGTAGGCATTATTAGTATGGCAGAAAGTCCCAGCCACGTGCAGCTAAGCATTTGTCAATACAAGAATTCAGAAAAAGACGTTGAACGTACTTGAAAAGCTTTCCCAGCTGGTTTTACCATCAGCTGATGCCCACCAAAAGTCCTCCAGCACCTCCAAGGCTCGTTTCATATTAGGAAGATGCAGGTGATTGTACATTTCTTTCAACAGCACTATAATTTTACCACGATCGGTGCCACGAGCTTCACATCCAGCAGTGAACAGTGGAGTGGTGAGTAACGTTAGTGGTGACAGTGTGGCGGCAGGTTTAATCCTGCTAACACAGTCGATAATCCTCTTGACGCAATCCTGAATCAGCGGAGAGTCGGAGGAAAGCAGCCGTATTTGTCGATGAATATGTATGAGTGCAGTGTGTTGGTAGGCCTCGTTACAAAGAAGAAATTCTTCGAACTCTTTAACAGATAGACCAGGTGGTCCTGAAACATTGTACACTGCTGTTCCTGATCTGTCACGGGTGATCATGCCTTGAATCAACATCTCGAGTCTATCAGCCATGCGCAGAAATTCTGCTTCGGAAAGCTGGGGACGAAGGCCAGGGCCTTTGGTCCGACGACGTCTTTCCCGTGCAAGTGCACCTATCTCTCTGAGAGCGCCCGCAAGGTCATCAGTACAGCCAGTATATGCGTCAATGCATGTCTGAGAATCGTTTGGACCACATAGGCTACGGGGCCCCGAGAAGTCCGGTGATTCTTCCGCTAGACCCTCGGGTGTGAGGGCTACAAGCGCTTCCGTAATATTGTACCATCGACGTAGAAAAGGAAGTGAGGGATCTTTCTTAATATCCTGGATACCCCTCTCCCATTCCATTGACGAGAAAAGCGCTTTTGCTCCTAAGAAATGGGATCTCCATGTTCTGAGGGTGGGTGAGCCAGAGATGGCCTCACACAAAAACAAAGTGCGGATAGTCGCTAGCTTCGGACCTAGCGAATCTCCTGCAGGCTTCTGAAGCTCTCTTCGTAAGTGTGCGATACTAGTGGTAGTGAAATGAGCCACATCGTCCTTTCCGTTGTCTCCCAGCGTATTGTGAGCGTTGAACATGAATGAATTTCGATGAATGGCTGCAAGTGCAAGTGTTGCATGAAGTAGAGCCTGATTTACGACAGCCATGGGGAGTATTACTTCGCAGACTTCTTGATGTACCAAGCTATGGGTTGCTAGTGCCCGAGAAGCATTGTACATGAAGTATTGGAGCAAATGACGGTCACTTGGGGCCATAAAGGACAATGGATCGACAGACATAGGAATAGCAAGATCGAAGTCACTGCTATTGAGATTCTGGGTTGACTGCATTGAGGAGGCTTGCTGCTGACTGGACGAGAAGGAGCTGTCTGATGTTGAGTCGAGTTCCGCGTCGGGTGGTGGAGCGGGTGCCACAGGTGTCAAGCGGTTTGAAGAGTAGACGAATCCCCCATCGAATATAGCTATCATCATGGTCAGTATACACAATATGAGCGGATGAAAGATGATAACGCAACATCCTCGGCCGAGAACATGGTCCACAATCAATATATCAAGTTACTTCCCGTATGACTCGTACCAGACATTGCGCCAGCATCACCATGCGGGAAGGTATGATGAATTGACCCAGGGCGATTGCAAACATACCAATTCTTCGAGCTCCATCTTCGGAACCCCGCTGTGATAGACAGGACCCAAATCGAGACCGGACGAAAGGCCGCCCGCCAAACCTGAGTCGTTTCTCGTATATACAATCTGTTCCGTCTCTCACACAGCGGGCACACTTAGGGGACGATTCGTCACACTTTTGCCTTCGCTTCTTGCACCGAGAGCATCCGTTCCAGGATCGAGGCGCGGGCGTCATTCTTCTGGCAGATGGCGCTGTTGGGCAGAAGTCGCGAGTGGACACCTCTTGGATCTGATCATCTTCAAAGGGTGCTGTCGTGCTCGCAACGGAGAAGGAGAGAAATGAGTGAACGTAAGAGGAATTGATGTATAACGTTGGTGACTAAAGGTCTATGTGAGTTCTGACCATCGTTATCCGACACTAAACCGCAAGGGGAATGATGAAGCGACGCTTTTACTTCGGAGATGCCCGTGACATGTGTGTGCAAATGCAACAGCTTCGACACGGTCCTAGACATGTGCAGCTGCCACGCCGTCAATGATTGTATCTACCCAAGGACTGCACTTTCTATCATCGTAGATCAAGACAACAGAGAATCAGCCGTTGCACGAAAACATTGACTTGGTAGACTTTGAGGGTTTGAATACGCTGCCAGAACATCACCAGCCATGTCGTCCCGACTCTCTACCCGTGTCAGTATACGCTGGGTGCCTGGAGAGCCGTCGGAGCCCACAGACACGTTGGTCATGAGTGTAGGCGGCTGGTATGTCGATCTTCGTATTACAAAGTCGGATGGATCTATCGACTGGGCGATGGCTGGAGAGAGACTCATCTTGTCTCAAGAGCCTCGTAAGTCCAAGTATCTTCCAGCAACTTGCAAAGGCCACAAAGCGGCATGCCCGATGTGAGAGCGAGCATCTGACTGATCTTCTCGCCAGTCACTTGCCAATGGACGCATTGGATCGATTCGAGGGGATACACGGAACCTGATGTAGGTAGCTTCAAGCCTGGGTCAGAAGCCACGGACAGCGTCGAGACGGGGAGCATGGTAAATCCCGAAACCAACCAGTTGACTCCATATGAAGAAGTCTGGAGGACCTTATCTGCATCATCTACCGACACCTTTGCCTTTGCATGGATACTTCGTAGCACGGACGGAAAGACATTTCTTGGGAGAGTGGGAGGTGACTTCTTGGGCTTGAAGGGAGGGGAAGAAGGGCCGGTAGGAGCGAAGGGATTCTGCGCGAGGAGAGAGAAATGGGATCAAGGACGAGCTTGCTGGAACACCGAGCATGAGGCCGGAAACATGACGAGAATTGATAGTCTACCCAAAATGGCGCAGGGCAAGGACTTCGAGTGGGAACCAAGCTGCAAGATAGGTGACACTGTCGACGCGTTCGGAGGCAAATATGTTGTCTGTGCGATCGAAAAGCTTGCTTGAAGGGTCCGACTACGAATCTTTCTTGTCGAAAATACAACAAGTAGTTGATAGTCCGTGGTCGTCACCGTTACAAAGGTGGGCAAGGTGTGTTTAGCAATGGTGCACGTGATCAAATTTGGTTGCCACGGAGATGCACTGTAAATACATCACCGGCTTTACATCGGGGCTGCAATTCAACAAGATACTCCCTACACAGCAAAGGATGAGTAGTTGAATGAATGGTGAACTCGGAAACACGTACAAGATGTCGCTATACCTGTCTGATGATGACTTACCCGACCTCACAGCCATTGTCGCTCCTCGACCACTCATGGCCACGAGCACCAACGCGTCGGTCAGAAGATCACCGCGAAAAAAAACTACCGCCGCGACGAATGGGGCAAAATCACCGCAAAAGAAGGACACTGCAGTGTGTAGCACCAATCAAGGACCACCAAGAAACTTAGGATCACATCAACTTCCCGGTCGGTCGCCCGCAAAACGGACCAAGTCTTCGAAAGCGATGTCGATTGTCGATGCGATTCCTGCTCTTCCCCGAAATTCGTCTACAACGGAGGTACTTCTCAGCTCCAACAATCGTCGATCAGGCGCAAGCCCCCAAGAAAGTCTTAGGTTAGCGCATATTGATTCTTTGCTGCTACCACTGAAATCTTTGGCGATGGAAGAAAAGGAGGACCAGGAGGATCCGCCGGTTTCAAGGCTGGTGTGGGCTACGGAACGTCTGCAGAGCGATAACGGACCGTCCAAGTCGAGAATGTCACGTATAACAGAGGCTGCCAGAAAATCGGCTTCAGAGAGATCTGGGAAGCATAAAGCAGGAGGCAATGTCGCAAGCAGATTTGTGCTCTCGGAGGCACGATGTAATGACGACGCTGAAAGCTCCATGGATGAAGAGGACGAAGATGACGATACCGATCTTAGTGGCTTCATCGTTGACGACGATGCAGACTTGAGTTATTATGAAAGCTCAGCATCTGAGGCAGATGACGATTGGAACGCTTCCCGCCCACAACCTTCACGAGCATCACCTCGAAGGAGGCTTCACCGAGGTCGTCGTAGCGTACGACGCACAGATCATGCTGATAATGAGGCGACGGGTTCTGAGAAAGAAAACCAAGTTGCTGGTGGACTAGTCGATGCCCTAAGAAAGATGCGTCTGTGTGAGGACACAGATGAGGCGAAACAGAGAACTTCAGAAGTAATTGATTTAACTACTTCACCTCTCAACTCACCTAACCTAACATCAACCACGATTCAGCGGATGAACTCACCTCAATTTCTCGGTCCCAAGGATCCCTTTGCGGTCACAAGCACGATTAATGTCTTCGATCCCCCGGTCAGGTTGACAGCACCATCTGAGAAGCCTAGTCTCAAAGATACTCCTCAGTTTGCTATTGGAAGCACGATGGATAACATGGAAGATCAGGGATCTGAAAAGATTCCAGCTGACAGTGAACTCAAAACACCACCCAAAACACCACCCAAGTCCCCAGTCAAACTGAAGTCACCTTCCAAGTTGTTGTCTCCATCCAAACGACAATTTATCCCCCGGTCACCTCATCGTCAAAGTACCGATGCTTTTTGGGACCATAACATGGTTAATGAGTGGAACGACGAGTACTCTCCAAAGAAAGCTCCGACAACATCTCCAAGGAAAATTGGTCTTGCTAGGTATCAGATCTGGTCCGACTCTAAAGACAACCAGGACCAAGATATGTCCAGTTCAGACTCTCTTCCAAGCCCTTGCACGTCGCCTCGAAAAGCAACAGGCAGAGGAAGGTCACCCATGAAGAGCCCCGAAAAGGAGGAAAAGAAGCGTCAAGCCGAGGAGAAACGAGCCGCGCTGGCCAAAAAGAGAGACTTCGACAGTCGTAAGGTCCAACTCGCCATTGACCTTCTGAGCGAACTCGACCTGGGTGTGGCTGATTCGAAACTCGGAAGGCTAGCTGCAAGCACCGGCGGAGTGAAAATCATATGGTCCAAGACGCTTCGATCGACAGCAGGCCGAGCAAACTGGAAGCGAAGTGTGACAAAGGTCTCCGGGTCACCAGTCAAGGGTGGAGAGGTCAACGGTCCCGGGGTGAAAGTTCAGCACTTTGCCAGCATCGAACTTGCCGAGAAGATCATCGACTGTGAGGATCGCCTCGTCAACACGGTTGCTCACGAGTTTTGTCACTTGACAAACTTCATGATCAGCAACGTCCGTGACCAGCCACATGGAGCCTCGTTCAAACAGTGGGCTGCGAAAGTCACGTCTCATTTGAGGAGGAGTGATGTCGAGATCTGGCGTCAAGCCGAGGTCACCACGAAGCACAGCTACGTCATCAACCACAAGTACCTGTGGGTGTGTGCCGGCAGAGACCTTTCGGCGGCAATGGCCTTTCTCAACATCGAAGAAGACGAGGGCTGCGGCGCTGAGTACGGCCGACACAGCAAGAGCATTGACCCGGAGAAGCATCGTTGTGGGAGGTGTAAAGGTCGTTTGGTTCAGGTACGACCGAAGCCCAGAGCCAGCCCACGGAAGAAGATGGCAAGTCCCTTGAAAAGAGAAGGCAGCACAGAGAGTACGAATTCCAGTTCGAGAATGAGTGCAGGGAGTGACAGTACCGGCACCGTGGGAAGAATGATTGACTATGTCGAGTTGAGTGATTAAGTTGACTACCGACCACCGAGGGTCAAGGATGGGGAATTGGAAATCGACAAGCTTGGATTTGTCCTGTACAACATACACACACCCACGCTGTGTAAACACACGATTCCATGATGACGGGGCGTTGGTCGATTTCTTGTTGTATGCTAATAATTGGTTTCATTGGGTTGGAGAATATCGGGAAACCAGACCAAGATCAAAATTGATGACAGCATCGCATTGCATTGCATCGGGGAAGATCATAACATTGTACATTGGTCCAGAAAAGATTGGATATGTCCAACTCGGAGAAACATGACATGAATTCTATGGACAGTTTTGTTTTGGAACAATGGGGACTTCTTATGGGACTAGTTGAATGTCGGTAGCCGTGGTCCCTAGATACTGAGAATTGAGAATGTCGAGTTTTTCTTCTTCGATACCTCAAGAGTTGCCTTGACCCCCGTCATAGAAGATTGTCTGATTCGCGAGCCGACATTGAAGCAAAGGAGAATGGTACCTCGTCTCTCGATGGTAACGTTTCAATGTTTGGTATTGCCTACATAACTACCTATCTAGGACGGTATGACCAGGAATGGACTCTTTTCGGAACAACAGATGTGTGGTCCTCTTTTCCAAGTTTGCCATTCTCGTCGGATCTCAATGGGCTATATCTTCCCGCCTTTACTCGACCATATATCATACCATGACCTCCTTCTTTGCGTAGCCCACCATGCCAGGCGCTAAGCACCGCTTCGGTCTGTGCGTGTCTCAATAATCTCAGTACTGTTCATTTTGGTTTTGGTTTATTTTGGGGGGAGTTTCCCTCTCCTCGCGCATTGCCATGTTCACCGGCTCGTTGTAAAAGGAGGTTGTCGTCTTTTTTCGAGTTGGTTTAGAACCGATACTGTAAATTCCCCGTCCACTATCCTCCGTTGCAATCCCTTTGTTTCGTATTTGCCTCCAATTTCCCCTCCTTGTGTTGTCGTCGCATTGAAGGATCGGCGTGCCACCGGGAAAGTTCCATCCATCTCATGCGGCAGCACCAAAGAGTCCAAAATCTCTCACTTCCAGAGTCGCCACCACCCTCTCGAGTAGCTCCCTGGCGAATCCCACCTCGGCCGCGACCTCGCCGTCATCCTGGGCAACCTCCTTCATCGGTACGTTGATCCGCACACAGAGGTCCGTGGCGTAATTCTTCATTCTCACCAGCAGTTGGAGTTGGTAGACTATACTCTGGGTCGGGTTCGAAGACGACGCCGCCAGCGCTTGACGGCCACCATCACCTGACGTGGACGGGGGCGGCCCTCGAGACCTCGACTCGACACTATTGATATTTCCCGCCACCACGAACGTCGGGAACCCAGACAGACTCGCGTGGCGCATGGAGATCTTCTGTGGGTTCTGGAGTGGCGACGCCAACGTGTCCGGTGGCGCGATCACGTCCGTGAAATGGTACTTTGCGGCGTCGACGTCGACGGAGTCTTGTTGTGTCAACGCTCCGTTTGTCTGCGGGGTTTGTTGTTGTTGGCCAGAGAGTGGGATCGGTTGGACGTAGTCGTTCAATTCGAAAATCACTGACATGAGTGTCGTGGGGGAGAGGAAGACTTCTTGGTGGTCAGGGATCTGACGGATATCACTGTTTTGGGGAGGGTGGGGTTGTCAGCGAATGTTCTGGGTTGTGGGACGTGTTGGAAATCCAGCGAGAGAGATGTCTGCAGAATCAGGGGAATACCAGTATGTTTGACATGGCCATACTGCGGGCGATGTGGACGAGAGCCCAGTGGTGACGAAGAGTGTCTCTTCTCGACCAAAAGACACAATGCCATGCCCACTCGGTGTAAAGCGGACAGACTCTTGACAGACGTACACGGTACCACATGTCCTTTTCGTCTTCTTCTTCTTCTTCTTCTTCAAGTCCTCCCGTGTACAGTACTCTTTGCAGCCGTTGCAGACTATGGTAGGTGGAAGTGGGGGAGAGAGTATCTTACCTTGAATCGATAAATTCCGTGGGCAGTTCCAATGCCACTGCACCTCCATAAAGCTCTCGGACGTTGTATGTGATCGACATGTCTGTTGTCCTGGTCGAGTTTCGGCGGGCTTCTGAAGTCTCACGGAAAAAGAGAACGAGTAATAATACACTGCACGCAATGAGAGTGCACAGGGAGTGGTGATACGTTGGGCTTGTATGTGTGTGAGAGCCACAGCCGGTTTTCGAACCCGAATATTTTTCAAGATGCGATTTCCCACAGAAAGATAATATATTTCACTTCAGGCACCCAATTTCAACAGGCAACACAGAAGCACCGATGCCTGTTCGAAACCATGTCCGATATTCAAAACGTAACTGGTCAACTGCTTCGAAAGGCACGATGCCTACATGGGCGAGTACCAGGATTCTTGTCTGGTTTTCACAAAGTGATGTTCCGTTGTGATGATCTGGATATCTTCAATCCCACCATGGCCTGATGTCAGCCGAGGTTTACCCGATCCCCCCCAAGGCTACGAGAAGCTCACGAGGCTCTCAAGTATCCAATGCAACTGCACGCATTGCAAAGCATCACTGCGACTACTGTCATAAAAACATGTAAAGTAAAAGTCTAGTCCAATGTATATCAAAGGGGATTCAATTTTCTTCAGCTACAAATCTAAACAATTCAATCGCAACGCTAGCCGGCTTCCAATGCCTCGAGATTACATGCCTGAATGGACAACTTGTGCATTGTGCCCAAGCCCACCCAGAGAGAAGTCGGGGACCCCCATGAACATGATTCAATAAAGAAACAACTCGATATTGTGACAACCCCATCTCACCTACAACAAGATCATGCCCGCACCGGACACGAATGCAACAGCGAGGAAGGACACGGCTTGCAGGAGACCAACATGGGCAGGTGTAGAAAAGCTAGGCATACCAGCACTGGAGCTTTTTGAGCTGCCACCGCTGCCGGAGCCGGAGCCAGATCCAGAGCTGCCGGTGCCGCTTGGTTGCGATGTGACGGTGCCAGTGCCTGCACTACCAGCCTGGCTGATCAGTTTACTGCAAGTGCCGGTTGGGTTGACAGGGGACTGCGTCTTCGCAGATCCCGAGAAGTCACAAGCCGATGCGCCGCTACCAGCAGACAGTTGTTGTTGGTAGTAGTTGTTTAGTGCGAATCCAAGTTGTTGAGAGGGGTTACACATGGCATAAGCCCCGTACACTCCCTCAGTTCCATTCGCCGTGATGCCAGCACAAGTTCCTTGACCTAGACCACATACCACGCCAAACAAATCACCAACACCGTCGTTAGAGACATTGTCTGGAACACAGCTAAGAGCCTTGAACATGCAGTCACAGAGCTGCTCGTTTGGCGTAGGAGGAAGATTCGACGAAGCCTGCCAGTCGCTGCCAACAGTTGGGCAAGCCGCGGCGGCAGTGTTGGTTGGGGTGTAGCTCGCGGAGTTGACTCCTGTGGGATCAATCGAGGCCAGTTGGGAGGACAGATAGTTGAAGTCGTCCAATGTGCTGACGGAGTTTCCGTCGACACTGACGAGACCTAATCAAAACATTAGCCGTAGAAGATTTTGGAGGAGCACGTTCTGCTGACCATAGTTGTTCGCTTCCTGGAAATACATATAGACGATTCCACCAGACCAGACTGGAGACATTTGGTCGCCATACAAGGCCTGAACCTCGGTGAACTTGCGAGGCTGGACCGTATTGCAACCGTACTCGGCAAAGAAGACAGGGACATTGTAGGTGGAGAACTCCTTGGTGCGCACATCGTAGCCGGATTCCGTGTAGCTAGAATCACCACACCAAGAGTAGATGTTGTAACCCCAGAAGTCAATTGACTGGGAAGACTGGCCGCAGTCGAAGTAGTTGGCCAAGTTTTCGCGGATGTCTGCATCGTCGTTCGTCGCATAGCCGACACCCAGAGGCCTGTAGTTCTTTTGTTTTATGTATGCCTTCATATCACGGACGGCAGCCTTGACAAAAGCGCTTGCATCGGTGTTGGTGCTGTTGTTTGAGACCTCGTTGCCCGCAAAGAAACCCAGGGTGTTTGTGTAGTTTGCCATTGCATCCACTACCGAAGTGTAACGGCCGTAGAGGTCGTCATTCCACGATGGGCTGTCTCGAATGATGGACTGGCCAGGAGCAGCCAGATCGGCAATGACATAGATGCCAGCGTCAGCCAGCGCGGTCATGCAGGCGTCATGGTTCTTCGTAGGATCGATCGCATAGACACGGACGGTGTTCGTTCTCAGCTGTTGGAGGTAGGGAATGTCTCTCTTGCAAGCGGCAGAGTCGGCGAGGGGGTCAACGTAACTGTTGCTACCACCAGATGATCCAGCGGTAGTGCCCTGAAGTGACTTGTCAGTGGAATGCGTGAAAGGAAATGCCAGGAAGTTTTACATTTCCAAGGTAATCCTGTTGATAGGCAATGCCTCGGATGTAGAACTGAGTTCCATTCGTTTGATAGAAGAATTTGGAGCCCTAAAAGTCGCAGGACAGTCAGTATATCGCAATGGTCGTCTCTAGGGAGGTCGGCGCAGTCGGACGCACCTTGATCACAATAGGATCGACGTCTGCTTTTGCCGTAAGGAAAAGCGCAGCTCCTGCCAAAGCAGCTGCGGTGAAGCCCTTCATTCTGACGAATGTGGTGAGGTATCGAAACGAAGGTTGAGAACAAGGGAGATAGTGACCCTGGCGGACAAAAAGGCGTTGAAAATGATCCGCCCTTGCCGAACAAAGGCAAGAACGAAGGACGATAAGGTAAAAGACTGAAAGAGTGCGAGAAACAAAACCACGCACCAGTCGGCAGCAAACGAAACCTGCGACTGGATTCTACAACTGTGAAGTGTTGTTTTTGTTGCTTGAAGAGAAAGGAAGCGAAACAAATTCAGGGATGGATGGGATTGCAAGACCCGGGGTTGAAGATCATAACGGGCGACAAACTACTGTACAAACGTGTGTCGACGCCACGCAGCCCTTCAGAGTCGCGGAGTTGACGGCGGTTCAAGCAAGTGTCTAGTCGAGGTCCAGGCAACGCCTAATCCGGATGGTCCAAACACCTTCTGCTCGTGTTCGCATCCCTTTGTGGCCATCGCAACGAGCGCTGGAAGCCCACGCGTCCACTCAATCACCCCCTACAACACAAGGTACTGTGTGAGTCCACGTACTCGTGTGCCATCAATGCTACCCGTAAAGAGTGCTCAGACTCTGCCGATGAATTGCCATTGGCCATCCCCCCTTTTCCACAGATCTGTTTCTCGTTCCGCTCCTTTTTTTTGGTCGGGCGACACGCGTCCTGATTTTCCACACCACGCATACAGTGTTGATGTGTTTTTGCTCGGGTCGAACTGTGTGAGAGTCTGATCTTCAGTAACGAACACTACATGAAGATGATGTCCTCATTTCAATACCTTGGTTTGAAGGGCCTATCACGTCCGCTCCTATATAGCAGCTATACAGCAGTATCGAGATCTCACTGTGCAAGTGTTACAAGTCAACGTTGGGAGGCATATGGGGTATCTAGTATGAACAAAGAGTCAGACGATAAAGAGTGACATGTTCATACCAGGAACCAGGGCTTTGGAGCAGTTGGATACCAGTTTCTCAGGCATTGGATCGGTTCTGATGTTAAGCAACCCATGAGCAGCAAAGAGATACAGACATTCGTCCGAGTACAGCATGAGGCTCTTCATTCTTCACACTCATTCCTGTACACTGCACAATAAATGTGTGGTGGGCAACGGACAACAAGCTCGGACTTATGAGCTGCATTTCAAGACTCACTACGGCAGTATACTGTACAGATCAGGAGTAACATGAACTACCTTCATTTGCCACGAGGTCGTCCAATCTGTAAATGATCGATGAGAAAATTCTATGTATGTCTCACCAAGCCAGATTATGGTTGCATGGTTGCATGATCTGCCGAATAGTTTGTCTCGCAGGCTCCAAGTAGTGTCTCGGCCTCAAGTTGCGTGGATGAGATCGTCTTGATCTCCATTTGTTCATCCTCGAAATTGCACTTGTCAGTGGATGCTGACGAGGTCCGAGCATGATTGGCAGTGGACCTCCTTATCCAGATACCCACAAGTCCTGAGGCCCGGCTATCACGCACCCGGAGACCATGGAAAGACAGACAGTAGGGCCGGTATTCCACCAAACAATGGACGATATGGGCCTCGTCAACTTTAAAATAGCTATTCGCCACACCGCGCCGTTCTTTGGGCTATTTAATTCCCATCAAAGCTTGTTTCACTTCTTGGAGGTGTTCCCTGCCGAGGGATGACCTTTTGTTGATAGTGTTTGTAGTCCACTGTACAAGTCTTCGTACAGAGTACAGTAGGCGCCATCAGCCTGGGAAGAACGCTTGCAGAAGACTTTCAAAGATCAGCATCTCTCGCCTCTGCCATATAAAGAATAAGGTAGCTAAAAGTAGATTTCACAACTGCTCCGACAAGTGATCATCGACAATCTATATGTACTGTACACAACAGATGCGGATTCCTCTCGCGTCAATGGCGTCTGCAGGTCCACAAAATAGATGATGCGAACTTTTCGGTCTTTGTAGCCACAGTGGAACGATGGAAGAAAAGAAGTGTACTTGGACGAAGCAACCGAAACTATCGAACCCGTACCCGTAGGATAGTTTTCAGTATGGCTGCACGCCGAACGGCCAACGCACGGGAAGTTGTTGGGGAGAATCCCAATGTGCAGTACTCTGTACAGTACATCTTACGAAGTGGAATGTCCGGATCGTGCCGGATGAGCAAGGCGTGCTGTCAGACCATTCCTTCAAATGAATAACGCGTGGCATCAGGCGTCGATGAGTGTTTGCATAGAATGCTCGACATATTGCAAACAAGGCGGGAGATTGCAACGAACCCTGGCTTACAAATGATGAAGATTCTCTGCAAAAGGTCACGGTTAACGGACAATTCAAGCACCGTTCCACAGTATACTGTCAGCCCGCTGAGCGGTGCCTTCACTCGTACGAAGTATGTATAGTAAAAACCAAATGTTAAGGAGTTCCGTCGGTCGGACTCGTTTCGAAGACGATTGGATGTGAGGTCCATGAACTCCGTTCGGATATACAGTACGATAGGTTGGCAAATTTTCCATGCTCTGTACGGAGTGTGGTAATATGGTACATCAACTTCTCCGTCGAACGGGCAAGCTGCATTTTTCCTAACCCATGAAATGTCCCAAACGCATTCGGGATCTGCAACGCAGCACCCCCCCTCTTTTGAAACACCACCCGTATGACCAGGTTCAGGTTGTGGTAAACCAGGTTTTGACGCCGGACTCGAATGATGCTGGGGTCGTGTTATCTCTCAATTCTGCAATCAGCGTGGTGTACGGAGGACAGAGGATCCTTTCTATCTCGGGCTTGTCAGTCGTCAGTTGTAGATACAGTGTGCTCGTGTAAAGGTTGGATGTGGCCGATGCAATCGGTTCGGTGCATAGCCACAGGATAAAGCTGATCCCAGCCACGCAATGAGCCTCTGATATGCGGCGGGCGCCAGAGATAGTAATGAGCAGCACCGGGGCGGAAAGTCAGTCCGTTGAAGCATAAGCGATGCAAGACAACGGTCGATGGGATGACGGCGAGATGGTGTCGCGATCAACTGTCCCAGAGCGAATTGCAAGGACTGGAGAAGTCAAGGCGTGGATCCTACTGCTCCATCGAAATTGAGTGAGAAGAGAATTATTTATCCGTACAAGGATTATGGCGTGTGAGATGTGCATGGGGAGTGTGGCGCGGCTTGTGCGTGTGTTGCAGATGTTTGGCCTCTTCAGCTCCCCGGTCGAATGCCCCTTGTTTGGTTTTGACCAGCTTCTGTCAAATCCTGGCCGGAACAGGTCAAGCCTTGATTTCGCCGGCTGCCCCTGCCTGTGCCCTGCCCACCCGAAATCAAAAGCCCACCCTCCAAAGCCTAGTGAGCCTCTCTGACTCGCTCGTAGCCATCCAAATTTCTGTCCTGCGCACTGGCACGCCCCTCTGCGGCCCCTAATCCCGAAACAAGCAGCAGCAAACCACCCCCAAGCTCCCTGCCCTGCTTCTCCCTCCTCCCAAAGCCTGCTTTTTTTCCCAGGCTCTCTTTGTCGTCGCCTTTTTCCCTCGATCAGCCTCATTTCTTTTTTACAACAATCACTCGTTGCCTTTTTCGTGTCTACCTTTACTCGCTTCTATCGCTGCGAGAGAGGCAAGTGCAAAGGGCAGTTTTCTTACAACGCCCAAGAAAGAGGCGCTGGTAAGATCGGGATCGTTAGCTTGCTAGCCACGCCTGCCGCGAACGCGCACCTGCATTGGCTGAGCAACCACCGCTCCTCCTTTCACTCGTTTCACAACAACCCTCACCTTACAACTCTTTTCACGCCGTTCTCACCTGCGTCCTTGACCACGTTTGTACCGGCTCGTCAAATTCCAGACTGTGTGTTCGTTCGATTACGCACGGCCATCAAAATTCTCTGGATTGACGATTTTGGACGGCCTGAACATTCGTCTACCAAGCCTACCCCTTAACAAGCCCCTCGCTCGTTCTTCAGTATCTCATAATAATTCAAGCAATCACACCGCGGAAAATCGCTCAAAACCGGAATATCTTAACTGCTGTGCGAGTTTTTAATGGGACTGTTTTAAGGTTGGTGAGATTCTGCCATTGCTTGAACAAGAGGCACGGAATGAATGAAAGTGGTATTGACCGTATGGCAGCAAATACATTCCACATCATGTCTGGTCATCCTCAGCAGGGCGGCTATGATGATGGCTACGGCCAACATCACGGCAATGATGCCTACTATCAGGACGACCATGGGTACCACGATCAATATGACTACGGTCATCAGCAGCAGGGAGGAGAAGGGTACTATGATGAATCGTAAGCACTGGACACAAACTGCAATGTGCTCCTCACTAATCGAAACCAGGGGCTACTACAACGCCGACGCTTCTAATCCCTATCACAACGACGGCGGATACTACGAAGGCCATCAGGGCTACCAAGATGATTACTACGATGGCCAATATTATGACCAGGGAGCTGCAGGCCAGCAACAGTACCAAGGTCAACGACCAAGACGCCGTGGTCATGATTCCGAAGAAGATTCGGAAACGTTCAGCGATTTCACCATGAGATCGGACATGGCTCGTGCCGCCGAAATGGACTATTATGGTCGAGGTGATGAAAGATACCACAGTGGCTACGACAACCAGGGAGGACGTGGGTATAGACCCCCATCCTCTCAAATCTCTTACGGTGGCAATCGTTCTTCCGGAGCATCGACGCCTATCTATGGGATGGACTATAACAACGCCTTGCCCGCCGGTCAACGATCCAGGGAACCATACCCAGCCTGGACTTCAGATGCCCAGATTCCTCTCTCGAAGGAGGAAATCGAAGATATCTTCTTGGACCTGACCGCCAAATTTGGGTTTCAACGGGATAGCATGCGTAATATGTACGACCATATGATGACTCTGTTAGATTCCAGAGCTTCTCGCATGACCCCGAATCAAGCATTGCTCTCGCTCCACGCCGATTACATTGGAGGCGACAATGCAAACTACCGCAGATGGTATTTCGCTGCTCATCTCGATTTGGATGATGCGGTTGGTTTCGCGAACATGAAACTTGGGAAAGCGAATCGTCGCACGCGCAAAGCGCGCAAAGCTGCCGCAAAAAAGGCTAAAGAAGACCCCCAAAACGAGGAACAGACTTTGGAAGCCTTGGAGGGTGACAACTCCCTGGAAGCAGCCGAATATCGTTGGAAAACACGAATGAACAAGATGTCTCAGCATGACCGAGCTCGTCAGATTGCTCTTTATCTTCTCTGTTGGGGTGAAGCCAACCAGGTGCGGTTCATGCCTGAGTGCCTGTGTTTCATCTTCAAGTGTGCAGACGACTATTTGCATTCTCCAGCCGCACAAAACCGCGTGGAGCCAGTGGAAGAATTCACTTACCTCAACAATGTCATAACACCACTGTATACGTACATCAGAGATCAGTGCTACGAGATTATTGACGGCAAGTACGTTCGACGAGAACGTGACCATAACAAAGTCATTGGTTACGATGATATAAACCAGCTTTTCTGGTACCCTGAGGGAATTGAAAGAATCGTGATGAACGATAAGTCGCGCATCGTCGATCTCCCTCCAGCTGAGCGATACTTGAAGCTTCAAGAGGTTAACTGGAAGAAGGTGTTCTTCAAGACCTACAAGGAAACCAGATCTTGGTTCCACCTGATGGTCAATTTCAATCGTATCTGGGTGATTCACTTGACTACTTTTTGGTTCTATACCGCATTCAACGCCCCGGCCTTGTACACCAAGAACTACCAGCAACAGCTGAACAACAAACCGCACGCTGCTGCTCAGTGGTCTGCGGTCGGTTTGGGTGGAACTGTCGCCTCTCTCATCCAGATCATGGCCACCCTCATCGAATGGTCCTACGTTCCACGCAGATGGGCGGGTGCTCAGCATCTTACTAAACGGCTACTCTTCTTGATTGGTGTTTTCGCCATCAACATCGCTCCAAGTGTTTACATCTTCGGCTTCTCACAAACCTCCCAAATTGCGTTGATTTTGGGTGTCGTTCAGTTCCTTGTGGCCTTGGCGACGTTCTTTTTCTTCTCGATCATGCCTCTGGGCGGTCTTTTCGGAAGCTATCTGACTCGGAACTCTCGCCAGTATGTTGCAAGCCAGACATTTACTGCCTCGTATCCTCGCCTCAAGGGTAATGACATGTGGATGTCCTACGGTCTCTGGATCATGGTGTTTGCTGCCAAATTGGCTGAATCATACTTCTTCTTGACACTCTCTTTCAGAGATCCGATCAAGATCCTGACATACACCAAGATCTCCCGGTGCGAAGGTGATGCAATCCTGAAGCAGTACCTCTGCAAGTACCAGCCAAAGATCTTGCTCGGAATCATGTTCTTTACCGATTTGATCCTGTTCTTCTTGGATACCTATCTTTGGTACATCATCTGGAATTGTGTCTTCTCAGTCGCACGATCTTTCTACCTCGGTGTGTCGATCTGGACACCATGGAGAAACATCTTTTCTCGACTTCCCAAGCGTATTTATTCGAAGATCCTAGCAACAACCGACATGGAAATCAAGTACAAGCCCAAAGTCTTGATATCCCAAGTCTGGAACGCAATTGTTATCTCCATGTACAGAGAACACCTGTTGGCCATTGATCATGTCCAAAAACTTCTCTACCACCAGGTTCCTTCCGAGCAAGAGGGCAAGCGCACCCTACGAGCCCCAACCTTCTTTGTGTCCCAAGAAGACCACTCCTTCAAGACGGAATTCTTTCCCTCGCAGAGTGAGGCTGAGCGTCGTATCTCTTTCTTTGCGCAGTCACTATCCACGCCAATCCCGGAGCCACTCCCAGTTGACAACATGCCTACTTTCACAGTCCTCATTCCCCACTACGGCGAGAAGATCTTGTTGTCTCTCCGCGAGATTATCCGTGAGGATGAGCCATACTCTCGTGTGACCCTTCTGGAGTATCTCAAGCAACTTCACCCTCACGAATGGGACTGCTTCGTCAAGGACACTAAGATTCTTGCCGACGAGACCTCCCAATTCAATGGCGACTATGAGAAATCCGAAAAAGACACAGCCAAGAGCAAGATTGATGACTTGCCTTTCTATTGCATTGGTTTCAAGTCTGCTGCTCCGGAATATACTCTGCGTACTCGTATTTGGGCATCTCTGCGCTCTCAGACACTCTACAGAACGGTTTCAGGTTTCATGAACTACAGTCGAGCCATCAAGCTCCTGTACCGTGTGGAGAACCCAGAGGTTGTCCAGATGTTTGGTGGTAACTCTGACAAGCTTGAGCGCGAGTTGGAACGCATGGCTCGTCGCAAGTTCAAGATTGTTGTGTCGATGCAGCGCTACGCAAAATTCAAGAAAGAAGAGCGTGAAAACACCGAATTCTTGCTTCGTGCGTATCCCGATCTGCAAATCGCTTATCTGGATGAAGAGCCGCCGCAAAATGAAGGCGAGGAACCTCGCCTGTACTCTGCCTTAATTGATGGTCACTCGGAACTTCTTGAAAATGGTATGCGTCGACCCAAGTTCAGGGTACAGCTTTCAGGCAATCCAATCCTGGGAGATGGTAAATCGGACAACCAGAACCACGCCATCATTTTCTATCGCGGTGAATACATTCAGCTCATCGATGCCAACCAGGACAACTACTTGGAAGAATGCCTCAAAATTCGAAGCGTCTTGGCCGAATTCGAGGAAATGACCACAGATAACGTCTCACCATACACTCCGGGAATTACCCCACCCAAGACCAACCCTGTTGCCATCCTAGGTGCTCGCGAGTACATCTTTTCTGAGAACATTGGTGTCCTGGGTGACGTCGCTGCTGGCAAGGAACAAACTTTCGGTACTCTGTTCGCTCGTACTTTGGCTCAAATCGGTGGCAAGCTTCATTATGGCCATCCGGATTTCCTCAACGGCATTTTCATGACTACCCGCGGTGGTGTCTCGAAGGCTCAGAAGGGTCTCCATCTCAACGAAGATATCTACGCCGGCATGAACGCTCTCATTCGAGGTGGTCGTATCAAGCATTGCGAATACTACCAGTGCGGTAAGGGTCGTGATCTTGGTTTTGGCTCCATTTTGAACTTTACGACGAAGATTGGTACTGGTATGGGTGAGCAGATGTTGTCCCGAGAGTACTACTATCTCGGTACCCAGCTACCCTTGGACCGTTTCCTCTCATTCTACTACGCTCATCCAGGTTTCCACATCAACAACATGTTCATCATGTTGTCAGTGCAGCTTTTTATGATTGTCTTGCTCAATCTTGGTGCGCTCCGACACGAAACAATTGTCTGCCACTATAACCGGAACACTCCCCCAACGGATCCTCTCAAACCTACCGGCTGTACCAACTTGATTCCTATCCAGGCGTGGGTTGAACGTTGCGTTCTCTCTATCTTCATCGTTTTCTTCATCGCTTTCGTGCCTTTGGTTGTACAGGAATTGACGGAGCGTGGATTCTGGCGTGCTGCAACCCGTCTGGCCAAGCACTTTGCTTCTGCATCCCCAATCTTTGAGGTATTTGTTTGTCAGATCTACGCCAGCTCCATCCAGCAAGATCTGTCCTTCGGCGGTGCTCGTTACATTGGTACCGGCCGTGGTTTTGCTACTGCTCGGATTCCCTTCGGTGTCCTGTACTCTCGGTTTGCTGGTCCATCAATCTACCTCGGTGCACGGTCCCTGATGATGTTGCTGTTTGGTACAATCACCGTCTGGAATGCGGCCCTCTTGTGGTTCTGGGTGTCGATCCTGGGTCTAGTTATCTCGCCATTTATCTTCAACCCGCACCAATTTGCCTGGACCGACTTCTTCATCGACTACAGGGACTACCTTCGATGGCTGTCTCGCGGAAACTCTCGTTCACACGCGTCTTCGTGGATCGCTTTCTGTCGCCTGTCTCGTACACGCCTGACTGGTTTTAAACGTAAGGCTTTGGGTGCGCCATCCGAGAAGTTGTCTGGCGACGTTCCTCGCGCACATTTCACCAGTATTTTCTTCAGCGAGATTATCGGTCCTTTGGTCCTGGTAACATTGACCTTGATCCCATATCTCTTCATCAACGCCCAGACAGGTGTGAAGGACCCTGCGAAGGCTACCAACTCTCTTGTCCGAGTGGCACTGGTGGCATTCGCTCCCATCGCCATCAACGCCGGAGTTCTAGGTGGTCTTTTTGCCATGGCCTGCTGTATGGGCCCTGTGCTGAGCATGTGCTGCAAGAAGTTCGGCTCTGTCCTTGCAGCTATTGCGCATGCTGTCGCTGTCATCTCTCTCTTCGCGTTCTGGGAAGTCATGTTCTTCCTCGAAGGATGGATTTTCGCAAAGGCATTGCTGGGAATGATTGCAGTCATTGCCCTCCAACGCTTCGTGTTCAAGCTCATCATCGCCCTCGCCTTGACCCGAGAATTCAAGAACGACACATCCAACATCGCTTGGTGGACCGGCAAATGGTACTCGATGGGTTGGCACTCAATGTCCCAGCCAGCACGTGAATACCTTTGCAAGATTACCGAGCTCGGTTTCTTTGCTGCTGACTTCATCCTTGGACATGCCATCATGTTCATCTTGTTGCCCGCTCTTTGCGTACCATACATCGACAAATTCCACTCGGTCATGCTCTTCTGGCTGCGACCTAGGTATGTTTGGTTGTCCCGTTTTAATGTTTCCACGCTAACAGCTTTGCAGTCGTCAAATCAGACCGCCCATCTACTCGATCAAACAGTCTCGCCTGCGAAAGCGTCGCGTTATTCGTTACGCCATCTTGTACTTCGCACTCTTGGTCCTATTCCTCGTTTTGATAATTGGTCCTGTCTTCGTCCGCAAATACATCAACAATCTGCCAAGTATTCCTCTTGAGCTTCTCCAACCTACTGGACAGGACAACAACGATACGAGGAACAACCTTTTCACCGGGTCTGCTCTCCATGATTTCGGCAATGGTGCAGCTGCAACCGGTGGAGGTGGAGGTGGCGGTGGTGGAGGCGGTTCCACCGCTGCAGCCACGAGTGCGAGTGGCAGCAATCCTTTCACCTTCGGCGGTGGTGGTCGATTTGTGAGATGGTAAATTTGGTTATATTAACATTGTTCAAGGGAGGAGAAGAGGAAGGTTCGGATCAAGGTTCATTTCCTACTCCGTCGCTCTTTGTTCAAACAAAATTAATGAATGAAATGGCAATAGACAAGCAGCTGCCAAGGGAAAAAGGAGCTCTACTGGCTGGCTTTTCTGGCGGCAAATCATTGGGGAACGGAGTTGTGACATTAAGGCATATCTTGTTTCTTTAGACATACTCGTACTGTACATGAGAATCAATGGAAGGTTTTACTTTTGATGCCGCAATGTTGTAAGCGCGACAATTGTGCATAGGTTGCTGCAGGTGACTGACTATCCGTACCTAGCTGCTCCCAACCTCTGCTGCGTAATCCGCTTGGAGGGGGTAGTCTGAGTGCCGCAAGGCAGAGGGAGAAGGTTGTTTCAATTCATCAGACTCGATGGAAAAATCGTTCCAAGTGCTTAAAAGGTGTAGACTCAACAACTACACGTCCTAATAGTATGATCCTTACAGTATGCGGATTTCGTTTAATAGATTAACCCAAGCACTTCCATTCCCAGTTCCCTTGCTATTTTAGATGCCAACCGGCAGCACCGGTCCCTCCGGAATTGGTCTCTATGACGAATTCTTTGTCAGACCAAGCTTTTTCCCAACGTTGTCCCAACTGAATCTTCGCTCGAGGTGCTGTCAGACCGTGGCGTTCTCCAGCCTTACCTAAAAGTTGTGGCTGCCCCTGACACTAAAAGTAGTTCGCGCACCTCACGGCCCTTGATGACATGCCGCGTTGAGACCGCAACGTTCAACTTTCTCGTGCAGACTTTTTTCTCGAATTCCTCATTTCCACGTTGACGTTGCATGTCTGGGCATCATGGACTCTCAAGAGCCTCAAGTATACCTTGCACAGCTGGCAAATGCAGCGTCTGAACAATTCCACAAGATCCCTGGGTCTGCAATCTTCCTACGCTACGTACAGTCCAGCTACCAGAACGATCCCGTTCGCTCCGCAGTCGAACTCTTCCTGGTGCTGTTTGCGATCCGATACCTCCTTGCGCCAAAGTACTCGACCAAGCCGAATTATGTCAAGTTGTCTGAAGAGGTGAGTGCGAGGCAGCTGGGCTGTAACACTGAATTGGCTCCTAAGTCGTGGCGCAGGAAATCGACGACCTCGTCGATGAATGGTCACCGGAACCTCTCGTCGCGAAGTCGACGCCATTTGAAGAGGCTGAGTTAGAGAAGAGACCCATAATAGTCGGGTGAGTTTGTCCATACACTTGATTTGTCTCGCAGTGTCTTAACCAAATTTCTGCACCAGTCCGAGTGGTCCACGAGCCAAACTCGCCAACGGGCGTACGGTGACCAACCTCGCTTCGTACAATTTCTACAACTTCCTCTCGAATGAAAACCTCAAAGAGCGGGCTATACAGACATTGAGAACCTACGGAGTTGGGCCGTGTGGACCACCCGGCTTTTACGGGACGCAAGATGTTCACATGAAGATCGAGGCCGACATTGCCGCTTTCCTGGGCACAACTGCATGTATCATTTACGCGCAAGCATTTTCGACGATATCCAGCGTCATTCCTGCGTTCTCGAAGCGAGGTGACATCATCGTTGCCGACAAGGCTGTCAACTATGCCATTCGTAAGGGCATTCAGATTTCTAGGAGTACGGTGAGATGGTATGAGCACAACGACATGGAGGATCTGCAACGAGTCCTGGCAAAGGTCACGAAAGAACAAGCAAAGAAGCCGTTGACACGCCGGTTCATCATCACTGAGGGTCTGTTTGAGAACGTTGGTGACATGGTTGATCTGCCGAAAATTGTAAGTGAGCAGGTGGATTCATCGATGGCGCCGTGATTGACGAGACCACAGATCGAGCTGAAGCTTAAATACAAGTTCCGTCTGATCTTGGACGAGACCTGGTCGTTCGGTGTTCTTGGCCGCACCGGACGAGGCGTCACGGAGCACCAACACGTTGACGCTGCTGAAGTAGATATGCTTGTTGGTTCGATGGCGGGCCCACTGTCCGCTGCTGGAGGCTTCTGTGCAGGCTCAGACGAGGTCGTTGAGCACCAGCGTCTTTCGGCTGCTTCGTACACCTTCTCCGCAGCATTACCTGCCATTTCTGCCGTGACGGCCAGTGAAACACTCATGATGCTGCAGACACAGCCTGACCTTTTCGCGCAACTTAAGGACAACATCAAGACTATGTGGGCGCAACTGCATCCCAGAAGTGACTGGGTGTACTGTACTAGCGCCGTGGAGAATCCTATAATGCTGTTGACCTTGAAGCCGGAGGTCATCACTGCCAGAAGATTGAGCCTTGAGGATCAGCAGCAGATCTTGCAGGACGTCGTTGACGAGGTGAGTGACTACTGTGCTTTGAACAAGAACATGCAGAAAACTAACCTTGACGTAGTGCCTCACTCAGAATGTTCTGATCACCCGCGTAAAGAGCCTTCCTGCTGGTCCATCGGGAGCGAAAACAGATATTTATGCGCAGGCGCCAGCTTTGAAGATCTGTGTTACGATAGGCCTGACAAAGAAAGAAATCGAAAAAGCTGGCATTACAATTCGGCATGCCATCACCAAGATCATGACTAGGAGGCGATAAGCTATGACGTCTATACTTTTGTGTACAGTATGTTTTTGGAACAAATTAAGAACTATTTTGATGGCATGAGAAATGGGCTTTCTGTCTCCAGACAAGCAATGGAGATAGATGTTCAGCGATGCAAAGCACTACGGAGTATACGAAGTAGTTAATGTGTAATAAATTCAGCCTTTTTATCACGTTGCATGGTATCACTTGCAACGATTCTCCCAAGGTTTCCCTTCCCTTCGCGTCGACGTTCCATTCAGCCCGTCACCAAGCGAAGGTTCGTGCTGATGGTCATGGAGAGCGCGAGGTAGGCGAATTGTGAAAGCAGAATTTGCTTCTTGATGAGCATCATGAGAGGGCAGGAAGAAAGCCATGAAAAACAAAATTGATCTATGGATAAACGCGCTGATCGGCTTCGGCTCATACGTTGGAAGCATCGTCCGCTTGTTCAGTCTGGCCCCCTTCATGAATTCCACAGTGGCAGCTCATCTTGAGTCTGAAATCTTCTTGCAAGCCAATCGCCGTTGAACACCTGGAAAAAGGGTGAGACTTTCTTTCACTGACTAATGGCCCCTCGTAAACGCAGGCAAGACCCTCAAGGTCGGAGATGGAGTACGATTGGATCAGCACTTGCCGACCTTCAAGCTGTATTACGGACCTTGACAATGCCTGTCCAGTGAAACTCGTCTCCTTGCTCTCATTTCTGACCTTTAGGAGTCGCCTCAGCCGGAGACTTGAATTCAGAACGCCTACGGAAAGTGGTTAGACGGTGAGTCGGACTGCGGGGGCCCCCCGTATCGACAGAGGCTAGATCTTCGAGGCTGGACCACCACGAATTCAATCTACGACATCATCAAATCAATTACACCATTGTTGCACCTGATACTGCCTAGAAAATCCTGGCCACCTGCCAGCCCCTCCATCGAGCTGAAAAATGATGGCTCAGCTGAACCTCGTGTTATTGTGGTGAGTTGTAGCTGGGTGCCGCTCCTAACCCAGGCCAATGCTCTTGTAGTGGGAGTACATAAGGGCTGGGTGAAGCTGGTTTCTGCTGGCTATTTTGCTGTCTAAGAAGAGTTCTTAGAGTGCCTCAACTTCCAATTTCTCTGACGATTCTAATCTCCTACAAAGGACGGGAACTCATTGATTTCCAGCCTCATGTCTTTCCCAACACAGCCTGCTTTCATCCACTCTGGGACCTGGGATGATGTGACTAGACGGCACCCTGCGATGAAATGGATGGAGGACTATACCCTGAACTTCAACAAGCGCGGTCGCTGGGAAGACAAGAGGAACGAATGGCATACTGAAGACTTTTCTCTCGTCAAGCCGGATGGCTCGGAATTCAAGGGCCACGAGGTTGCCTGGGAGCAGTCCAAGTCGATGTACAATTTCTTCACCAAAGAGTTTCATGAGCCTTATTTCCTCGTTTGCTGGGAGATCGACGACGGGTGGGAAATGCTAGGTCAGGCGTACTTCTACGCCAATTGTATCGGGGAGTCTGTCGCGGGCGAGAAGAAGGTCGCAGATTTGCAAGGACGCGAATGGGATGTGAAGATTCCCTCTGCTTTCCGATTCATATATGTCAAGAGGGATGGCGCGGCGCACGGAGGAATTGAGCTGAAGAGATGTGAAATCATGGGTGACTCGATGCCTGGTGTTCATATTTTGATGCAGAGGGGAGTGATCAAGCAGTGAAGGACTGGGCCATGATCGTTCTTCTGCACATGTGCTTGTAGTGGTTGTTATTACCTTGACTGGAATTTGTATTCTTGCAATTGGTACAAGTATTTTCTGTAATGGTGTGTTGTTTCCAAACAAAAACAATTTCTGATTCTGTTCTCCATGACACCAGCGTTCATCTTGAATACTGTCTGTATGTGACGTACGCGGCCACTCATCGACCTTCGCCCGTTCGGTGCTCGTGTTTGCTGTACTCTGACCCAATGTCGAACATCTGTAGCAGAGTAGCGCTTCTGACCTTCTGGGTCGTTGAGAAGTGGAAGGTCGCTGAGCCTGATATACCTCATTCATACGGATCTACTGGGAAGGCCAAGAAGGAGTTGACGTGTTTACAGTCCGACCGCAGCCTAAACGATCCCCGGCGCAGCCTTGGCCTTCCGACCAACATCTTCACAACCGTAAAACCCGATACTACTCCCTCGTCACAAGGCGACCCGGGTTACTGCTTGAAGGAACTTAGTTGTGATGCTCGAGACTCGTGCCGAACTTGAGCCATGGCGCACCTGTTTCGTGGCAAGCAGGCCGGCATCGCGACCGATCTCTCAGTAGGTGTGTCGTCCGAGGTATTCATGCTGGATGAGGTGAGTCGCCGGGGACTTGGGCTCTCCCTGCCTGAGCATGCCGCTGACCGTTTCCAGTTCGCTCGCTATGGCCCCAATTCTCAAATCTCCGTCCTTGCCTACGATCCCGTCCAGTCCCTCCTCGCCGTTGGCACGAATGAATCCCAGTTCGGCGCTGGCGTCGTCAATGTCTATGGACAGAAGCGTGTCGACGTGACCTTCCGACCTCCCCGGCCCGCTTCCATTCGAGCCATTCAGTTCTGTGCCGACAAGCTGATTGTCCTGGACTCCAAGAACGACGTCAGCGTCTTCAGCCTCGATAACAAGCACATGGTTGCGAACTACGCACCTCCCGGCCATGTAACCGCTCTGCTCACTGATCCAAGTTTAGACTATTGTCTGACGGGACTACAAAATGGTGGGTTGGAACCAAGAGGCTTAGAAACAACGATGGAAAACACACAACTGACCTGCGATGATTTAGGAGAGATTGTGGCGTATGACCTGGATAGGGAAGGGCTCACGCCGTTCAAGATCCCCAATCTCTGGCGCGAGCGCAATCCAAGAGCACGCATTCTGCCGGTGGTGTCCATTCAGTTTCACCCAAAGGACATCGGGACGTTACTCATCGGGTACTCCGAAGGGGCCGTGATCTACTCATTCAAGCAGAACAAGGCGCTCAAGTTCTTCCAGTACGAGGTGCCCAGAGGCGCTCCTGGTGGCGATGGAGACCCGGCGGGTGTCAATCAAGCGCGACATCCTCGACTCACTCACGCTGTATGGCATCCCACCGGCACGTTTGTGTTGACAGCCCACGAAGACTCGAGCATGATATTCTGGGACCCCCGTGACGGTAGAGCGATTCATGCAAGGAACCTAGACGAAACTGACGTCAATGTCCCTGGCCGTGGCTCGTCCAGGGCTGGTCCTGGCGCCGGTTCAGTTAAAGAGCCCTATTGCAATATCTACTGGTGCTCAAAGGAGAACGCCGACGATACGGGCCTTCTCATCGCTGGAGGCTCATCCACGACCAGTCCGAGCAAAGGATTGACCTTTATTGATCTCGGACTAACACCGAATTATCAGACATCAACCTGGGACTACTTGGCAGGCCATTTTAGAAACCCAAAGAGAGTACAAATCCTTCCCACACCGCCAAACACTCAGGTAACGACCTTTTTGCCAGTTCCACGAGTATCTCCGCACTTTGCAGGTTCTCATGATCCTATTGCGGTCCTGACTGTCTTATCCTCTGGCGAGCTTCTTACGATGAGTTTCCCTTCAGGACACCCAATTACTCCTACGAACCAGCTTCACGTGTCCTTGTCGTTTGTGCACCCTTTCGTCACAAAGACAGCTCTTTCCTACGTTGACCGAACAAGATGGCTTGGTATGAGAGAATTACGTCAACACGGGCCGAATATCTTGCTGGGAGGTGCGGCAGGGACGAAGCCGCTTAAAAGACACGAAACCCGCAATATTGTCCAAGCAGCACATGCCGACGCGACGATTCGAGTTTGGGATGCAGGACATGGGGATCTGATTGAGAATCCTGGTGTCATTCAAGTCGATCTCGGTAGAGCCGTCGGCCGCTGGGATCAGTTAGACGTTTCTCAATTGAGTATGTCTGGCGCAACTGGAGAATTATCCGTCGGACTTAGATCTGGCGAATTGGTTGTCTTCAGGCTGAATAGAAATCAGTTTGCTGGACAACCACCGGCCGATCCTGGCTCAAATGGTGGACCCGGCCAAATGACAGACATCAGCAGACGAGCTGATCCGAATCTGAGAGAAGGACTTTTACCATTGACGATGACAAATGACCAGCAAGGACCCGTCACGGCTCTCCGTCATTCTGATGTTGGGTTTGTGGCTGCCGGATATGCTGGAGGCGGAGTCACGATAGTTGATCTTCGTGGACCAGCCATCATTCATACTGCGCTGTTGAACGAGATTGTTGCGACCAAGCATAGACGGAATAGTGTTCGTCGGTCTGCCACAACCCCGCAATCTACTGAGTTCGCAACGGCAGTGGAATTTGGCATCATGACCCTTGATGGTGACGGTAAGTGCATCGCATTCCTGTATTGTTGTCCAAGTCTAACAAGTCGGTAGACTATTCTTCACTTGCCTTGTTCGTAGGCACATCTCGCGGCAGGATTGTGACTTTCAAGATCCTGCCTTCACAGTCAGGACGATACACGGCACAATTTGCCGGGGTTGCTCAAACTGCAGACGACAGAATCGTGTCAATATCGCCCATTGACGCTCACACGGGAGCTCTGGCTGCAGCGACGGGACAGGCAATGGCAGGGCTGCAGTCAGGTCGGAGAGTAGATGGTGTTTTGGTGGTGGCAGCCGTTTCATCTGTCCACATTTTCCGTCCGGCCTCGGCAAAAGGCGCCTCGAAAACGTTCGACCAATATCTTTGTGACGCGGCAAACGTGACACGCTTCGAAGACCGCGGCTACGCACTGGTCGGACTCTTTGGAGACGGAACCGCCCGAGCATTCTCCATCCCAGCTTTGAAGGAGATTGCGAGCACGCGGGTCAACCACATCCTGGACACGAAACGGTTCAGCGAGGCCATCGTCACCCCGACCGGTGATATTCTGGGTTGGGCGGGGCCGAGCGAGGTGTCCATGGTTAACGTCTTTGGCGCGGGCCTGCCCTTGGCCCCCAGCACCGACGCGCTCTACGATCCCACCAAGATGGTTCCCCCCCGGCCCACCATCAGCAACCTCCAGTGGATCGCGGGGACGCAGTACATTACTCCCTCGGATCTGGACATTCTGATCGGCGGGGCGGACAGGCCGCCTTCCAAGCGCATGGTCGCCGAGATGCGCGCCGCCCAGGAGGCAGAGTACGCGCGACAGAGGGAGGCCGCGCGGACGGGACGCGCGCCCAAACCCGACCCCAATCAGGAGTCCTACTGGGCCTACATGCAGCGACAGCTGGCCGAGAGGACCGAGAACCTGGGGCTGGCGGGTGACAGTATGGACCGGGCGGCGGACTCGAGCAACACGTGGAGTGACGACGTGAGTAAATTCGTCGCGAAGCAAAAGAGGCAAGCCGCCCTGGGGTTCGTGGCGTCCAAATTTGGTTTTTAGCCTCGCGTCTTTACGTTCTGACACTGACCAAGTATATGTTGAATATCTCGGAGCCGGGTTGGGCTGGCTTGGACTAGGTAGCTAGATGTGGTAGTTTATGCGTACGGATATAAGCAATGCCCGACTGAACAAAGTTTTGGCTGGGGAATCGAAATTCTCTTCCTGGCACTGTTCAAATGTATAGAACAAGTATAGAACAAGGTGGTTTCTGTGCTCGGGAACACCCAGGAATGATTCACCTACAGTGTACTATCGTAGCAAGCACACGCACGCACGCACACACACGCACACACACGCACACTCTCTGTCCCCAAAGAGCCTTCTTCATTCAGGGTTCCAAATGTACTCCGTACTCCCTTGGTATACTCCTCACCTCTGATTTCCCTACTACAGTAAAAGACCCTGGGCCCTGCGAGCACTCTGGCAGCTCCTGGTCCAAAGCAAGTATGCACGTACGTTGTACATGAGCCTCTCGCTCACTCCCCCTCACTCGTAGAATCGTCAAGTCGTACTCGTGAAACCAAAAAAAGGAGACAAAAAATTCTCCCACCAGACCGACTCGACAATTGTGTGTGTCGATGGCCGCCGCGATGATCAAGTCCGGGTATATACATACCATGTGGGAGCATTCCATCTGGACAATGAATCGCACAGGGTATGAGTGGTTCAAATGGAATGGCGCATATACTAGATATAGTATCAGTACTGTATCGGCCGAATTCAACCACCGAGGCCACCTCCGTCGGCATTCCTCAATTTCGCGGCGAGGGGGGTATCGTAAAAGTTGTAGTACGGATCTGGAACGCAAAACGAAGAGTGTCGAAGTAGTGTCTCGGGCGTTGGTCTGTCGCTCGGATTGCTGAAAACGGATCAAAGGTCAGTAAATCGAAACACGAGACAGAAAAAAATGGGCCGGATCAAAACTCACACTTGGAAACAGTCGTACATGAAGTTCAGGCCGTCCACCGTCGCAGTCGACTGCACATCTTCGGGAATCGGAGGCGCTTGACTGAGACTTCCCAACTTGAAGATTGCGCCGATGGCTTCTTCCCGGCTCCAGGGTCTCTTGCCCGCAAACATCTCCAAAACCACGCAGCCAAGGGACCATATGTCCACCTTGGCGCTGTACCCTTGCCCTTGCGATCTGACCACTTCTGGAGCCATCCAAAAGACGGACCCTTGCATGCTGTTGGTGATGTCGTTGCCATAAATGTTGTCTGACTTCTTGGAGATGCCAAAATCGGAGATCTTACAGGTGCCATCAAGATCAAGCAGGATATTATCGGCTTTCAGATCTCGGTGCAGGATTCCCTCGTGGTGAAGATAGGCCAATCCCTCAAGTGTTTGTCTTGTCAGTGATCGAACCACCGACTCTTCGAATTTCCCATGTTTGCGCAGACAGCTGCCAATGGACCCACCAGGAATGTATTCGAGGTAGATACTGACGGAAAACTCCTTTCGTTCAAACCCTAGGTATTGAACAATGTTGGGATGCTCTAGGTCTTTCATCGTCTCAATTTCTTGATCCAGAGCAGCGACCATTTCTTTGATACGTTCCTTGTCGTGGCCTGCAGCTTTCTGGTTGACTTCGACCTGCTTGACGGCCAAGAAATCACCAGTAGTAGCGTTCATACCCAGGTATACACGACCGTAGGTACCTTTGCCAATCAGCTGACCACGAATGATCTTGAAAGTCGCCTGTCTCTTAGGCATATCTTCGGAAGGGACCTCTTCTTGTGGTATCGGATCTAGGGTTGACAGTCGATTACCCGGCCTAGGCTTGATCTGTACAATGTTCGCTCCGAACATCTTTGTACTTTTGCGACGGACGATGCTGCTGGCATTGGCCTGTTCAACCCTTTGCGCCACAGACGGACCTCTCCTGATATCATTACGCTTTTGTGCCACTTCACGAATGGACTTCATACGCGAGATGCCACCTGCGGCCCGTCCGACTTGTCTTTGCGCAACATTAGCGACCTTGTCTCGGTCTCGGGCTTTGAGAGTGGATTCATCTGATCCTAGAGTGTCAGATTCGCTCTTGCGCTTGAAGTCTAGATCCAAGCCTGTGGTGCCATAGTGTGCGGAAGACACTGATGCATTTTGTCCGCTTTCAAGAAGATTTTGATCTATCGATTTCATGGGAGAGTTGTTGTCACCTTTTTCCTCTAAGTAGGGCTCGTCGAGATTGACGCCTGGGAAGAACTCATCCAGGTGATGCACCACATTCTCCACTGCAGGACGATTCGCCCATATGTCACTGATGAAGGAGTCTCTGCGACCCATTCTGGCATCGTCCGGGGATTGCGCGGAACCACTGAAACTACCCTCAGACAAACTGCGCTCATAACCGTCGCCACTGGCTGTGGCGCTGTCTTCGGCGCCATTATGGTGCATAGATAGACCACCTGATGAGGCTGGCGATTTGAAGCGAACATTTTTTCCTGCATGGTGGTCTGTGTCGACCGTCAGTGCCGGCCGCTGTTCCTTAGTTCCCATTGCCTGATCTATGTTCCTCGGTAATGACTTATTGGTCAGGGGAATAGCGAATAAGCCATCGTCCGAGTCATCATCCGAGTCATCCTGTTTGAGAGGATTAGGTGAAGGAGCAAATGACACGTTAGTCTCCCTGAACTCAAGGTCTGGTCCGTATGACTTTCTGGTCTGCAGGCGAGGTCTGGGTGCATCGTCAGAGGGGCTGATATCACGAGATGATGCTGAATGGCGCGTGCTGTCGATGGTAGGGGTGCGGTTCTGGTTGTCTTGGAAGCCTCCATAGGCTCGTTGGTCGAAATCGAATGGTTGCCTTTGTTGTAAACCCTGGCCTCCAACGGAAGCAGGAGCACCAGCCATTCTACCAACATTTGCCAGTGCAGCTCCGATACCCGCGGATGCCATGGCCGAGGAGCTCGATTTCTTCTTCAGCCTATTAGCTTCTTCCTCTGCGATAGGATCAGAAATACGTTTCAAGGCATCCAAAGAAGATCGGGTCCCAGATCCTCTTGCTCTGAGAGAGTTGACTTTAGTCAACGTGGTCGACTCAGACGGTGCCGTTGGGGGCTTTCGAACTGGAACTAGAGGTTCAACCTTCTTGTCTTCAAATGGTGACAGCCGCGGACTATCAAAGTCAATGACAGTACTTCCACGAATGCCACCACCACTGTAGGTAGAACTCGACTCCTTTTGGGCTCGGCGAGATTCCAGGTAAGCCTTATGCTTGGCCTCGGTCTGCCGTCGATACTCCTCAGCCTGCTTTTGAAGCAGCGCTGGGTCCGTCGAGGGCTGTTCGCCCACAGAGCTAGGAGCCGGTGGATAGCCGTTACGACTGATTCCGCCAGCAGAATTCGATTTCAACATCGGTAAGCCTTCTCTCTGACCAAATGAGACACCCAGCCCAGTAGAAGTTGCTCCTGACACAGCTGATAACGTTGGGCTCTGCACATATAACTTTAAGCTTCCTGTATAATCCGTCCGACTACGGATTGAAAGAAGGGCGCTGTCGGAAAGGGGAGTGTCGTGATCTGATTGTCCGGGTTCGGTCACGAATATATGTGCGTACTCAGCATCGGCAATTCCCAGCTCAATACAGATGAGGCTCCGCAAAGCTCCCGGTGATTCCACCTCCGTTACATCGACGAGCCGGTAATTCCAGCAGTCAGGAGTAATAAAAATATATTTTCGCGAGATATTGGCTGGTCGTTTTGACGTATAAGAAGATCTTTCATCTTCGCTGGCCACGCTAGTAGAAGCCGGTCGTTGCTGCAATGCTGAATCGCTCCCATTCGCACTGGGCTTGGAAAATAGACGAAGCCCTCCTGGACTTGTTGGTGACTCAAGAGCATGATCGTCTGCAGGAGGTTGACTATGGTCGTGTCTCTTTCTGATGAACTTACTCCATATACCTGGCTTTTGATCTTTCGCACTTGATCCCGTGGGGTAGTCATTACTCCAGGTGCGATGCGTTTCAAGAGGCGAAGGCCTCGACATCTCTTGAGCGTCTCGGCGATCAGCATAAAATCTCCCAGAATGTGCATTTTCTGTGCCACTCCTGCTGCTGTCGACGTGACTTCCCTGAGCATTAAGTCTCGAAGATCCATTCACTTTCAGCATGGAGTCAGTGCTGTTACTCTTGTTATGTTCGGGTCGATATGTCTGTGAGGACACACTTGTGGCTGAGGCAGGTACCGCATTACTGAGGCCGGGGCTCGCACTTGGGGATGCTCCAAGACCTTTTGGTAATAGACCAGTCGAGCCATCGCCGGATAGATTAGGACTGTGTCGCCCACGACTGGTAATGGTTGTGAGAACATTCCTTGTGTAATCTGCACGACTGGTGCCATGGAAGCTGTCCGGTGCCTTTGCATCACTGGGAGTAGAGGAGCTACTGCTGTGTTTGCTGAAGACAGGCATCGTGCTGCTCCGGTTCTGTGAATTGCGCGGACCGAGCCCTGTTGGAAAAAGAGCTGCTTGCTTTCCTGGGCTTCCTTCGGGGCCGGAAGCCCCAGAAGGATTGCTGAATTCGGCACGAGGAAGATGTGGAGAGTTTTCCACTGTACCATCTGTGGAGGCGCTTGGGATCCCCGATTCACGTCTTCGATGGCCTATGCCCGCACTCGCTGGTCCTTCACCTCCTTGCTCCACAAGCCTTGATATCAGTTTGCGCAGCCTTTTGCCTTCCTCACGTTCCCGGCCTTGGTCCCATCCGGTATTGCTACCAGAACAAACCTTTGCTAATTGAGGATAGATCGTCTGATGCATCATTCCAAAATTGCCACGGCCGTTGGGACCGCGTCCTAAGTCCAGGAAATCCGAGCCTTGAAGCTTTAGCAACTTGAAAGTCTCCTGCCAGTCCTTTGAGAAACCATTGGCGGTAAGCCAAACCAGAACTCTTTCCAACGGCCATTGCAGTGATAGTTCGCTAGTGCCACCAGTCGCAACAGCAGCGCTATAAGCTCGTTGACGGTTGTGATCGTTACCGGTCTGAGGATCACGTAGTGTTGCTGTAGGAGGGCCTGGAGAAATTGGCTCGTTTCCGTCGCGGAGTGGTAGGGTGAATGAAGGCCGCCCGGAAGAAGCGGACGATGCGCGAACCTCCCTGTTCGCAATGTCCGAATTCGACTGAGCCGGGTTGGGATAAGAATAGCTGTGTGAAGCGGTCGTGCCTTCGGAATGTCTTTTCTCCGATTGCGAAAGACTCGGTTCATTTGTAAACTGCATGTCATATCCAGAAAAAGAGGAAAAATCATCAAGAGGAGGGATACCGACCCCTGGGCCAAAAGAGTCTCCGGTTGGGATGAATGTTGCGGAAAGGATGGGCTTATCATTCTGCGGGGGTGGAGGAGGAATATTCAGGTGTGAAGGCTGTCGCATACCATATTGTAGATTTTGATTTTGCAACATAGGAGGAGGTGGTGGTGGTATATTTTGGCCCAGACCCGGTCTTCCCCATGGCTGTTGCTGCCATCCTCCGCCCGGTAGTCCATATACCGTGCCCAAGGGCAAAGAATTCGGGTGCGGCCCTGGAGGGGGAGGAGGCAACGTCGATTGCGGATGCGGTCGTGGTGGAGGTGGTGGCAGGTGGCTCAAGATGCCTTGACCTGGGGGTGGCGGCGGGCCTGGTATATATTGTTGACGTTGATTATCCATCATCTGGCTATTCGACACCATCGTCCGGTGCACCCAACTGTTCCTGACCTAACTCCTCTCCACCTGGTAGGGCCTATTGCACTTGCAGGTGTTGACCTCTTTACCGCGACGAGAGGCTGCTAGGCACCATTTTCTCCTTATCGGCGCAAAACCACCTTCAAACCTCCTCACGCTGACCCTGTCGGATGTCCGGGGCCTGTTGCAATAGTACTCGATTGGGCTAAAGTGATCGCAATCGCAACGAGCACGACGCTGAAGAAGAAACTTTCCGCGGAGAAGCACTCGACAGGTATCGTGGCTCGGCAGGTCAACTGCGACGGATCGTTGTAGGGCCTAGTATGCGGTTCGTAGGCGGAGGTTGGATTCGGTGCAAGAGGTCGCAAGGGCGTAACGATGCAAGTGTCGGGGAGATAATACGCAAGGCTCTATCCTCGCAGGCGGACGTGCTGCTTGCTGCGATGATTGGAGAATACACCTTGGAGTCGTTCAGGCGCACTCTTGAAGGAATGGAAGAACCTGCGATGAGCAGTGCATGACAAAGGTGAGAGTGTTGGAGGCCTGTGCTCGTACAGTGGCTGGTCTGCTGAAGGCGTCGTAAGAGCCAATGAATGCTGGAATAAGCCTGAAGCGAGAAATAGCATCAATAACCACAATGACTACCTTGATTAAGGATAGCGCATGAACGTCGCCCCTGGAGATGATCGGGTTAAGCCATCCGAAGCCTATCTCGCGCCCCTACGCCAACCTCTGGTACCTATAAACTTCCCTTTTCGCTTCCCTGCGCCCCTACAATGCCCCAACATCACTACCTAGACTACGAGTGCGGTGCAACAAGGGCGCTCCCAGACGCCAATGCAGCCTCGGAAGAATACTCAGGCGCACCCGTATCACCGTGCCAAAAGGAGCATCTGTATAACCAAAGTACAGACTGGCAGACCTGCGCTTTGTCGTAACATGTAGTTAGGCCCTGTGTCGACGGACTAGTGAAAAGAAAAAGCACATGGCCTTGGTCGGGCCTTTGTACAGTAGGAATTGGAAAAGTTTCTACGGCTTCTATGCTACATCACACCATGATCTGCGATTGATCTGAGTGCCATCGGCACGTTAGAGACAATTGTGGTGGTCGCAGAAACAGCTCTCGCCGGCCTCCACAATCAGACCACCTGCATAATCACCAAGCATGCATGGATACTACATCCTACGCCTGCGTCATCTGGCCAATTGCTTGTCATATTCAAGGTTGAGTTCACAGCATGCCCGCTCCGAGCCTGAGTAAATTGTCCAGGTGGCTCATGTCTAGACTCATGTCGATTACGTCGTTTCACAGGTATATATAGGTGGAGGAACTCATCCGAACGTTCCCAACTCTGGGCTTTCTTTCATGCAATACCTTTGATACCCAAACCATGGCTCCCAATACTGAAATTCGATCAATCGAGCTCAGAGAGCCTGTGGATGTTGCTACTTATCTTTTTACCAGACTCAAACAATTAGGTATCGATTCCTTACATGGACTCCCCGGTGACTTCAACCTAGTGGCTCTTGACTATGTCTCTCAATGTGGTCTCAAGTGGGTGGGCAATTGCAATGAGCTCAATGCAGGTTACGCCGCAGATGGATATGCCCGTGTCAAAGGCATATCGGCCGTCGTCACCACATTCGGTGTAGGAGAGCTGTCGCTTCCTAATGCAATTGCAGGAGCGTAAGTTCTGGTCATCCACGAAAGTGTCGTACCTGGAAACTGACTGTGAACCAGGTATGCAGAGTTTGTCCCTGTCGTCCACATAGTTGGGACACCGAGCACCATCTCTCAGGCCAATGGAATGCTTCTGCATCACACGTTGGGCAATGGAAATTTTCATGTTTTCGCGGATATGGCGGCCAGTCTGGCAGTGGACGTGGCCAAACTGACAGATCCTCGGGACATTCCAGCTCAAATCGACCATGCTTTGGCCGAGTGTTACCTTCGAAGCAGGCCAGTATACATCACTCTCCCTACCGACATGGTTCAGAGGAAGGTTGAAGGCGAGAGGCTGAAGACAAACATCGACCTCAGCCCTCATCAGAATGACCCTGAGAAGGAAGACTACGTGGTCGATGTCATCTTGAAGTATCTGGCCGCTGCCAAAAACCCCGTCATACTAGTGGACAGCTGTGCTATTCGGCATCGAGTGTTGGAAGAGACACGCCAGTTCATCTTGAAATCGGGCCTTCCAGTGTTCGTAGCGCCTATGGGCAAAGGGGCCGTGGATGAGACGTTGCCTACATTCGGAGGTGTTTATGCAGGGGATGCCTCACAGCCTGGAATTCGGGAGCGAGTTGAAGGTTCTGACCTTCTTGTGAGCATTGGAGGTGTCAAATCAGATTTCAACACTGCCGGATTCTCATATCGGACTTCACAATTACGCACTATCGACTTGCACAGCACCTGGACCACTGTTCGTTATTCCGAATACCCAGGTGTGGGCATGAAAGGGGTTCTTCGCAAACTCACCGCCCAATTGCCGAAGCTCAATATTGTGCCCGGCCCAACACCTCCAGAGAACCTCGTTCCTGCAGGTGAAAGCACGGAAGATCCGACCATTACTCACGACTGGCTGTGGCCAACTGTCGGCCAGTGGCTACAGGAAGGTGACATGGTGGTAACCGAAACTGGTACTTCGAGCTGGGGATTCTGGGGTGCGAGATTACCAAAGAACGTCATAAACATCAGTCAGATCTTGTGGGGAAGTATTGGTTATGCCACTGGTGCTACTCAGGGAGTAGCACTCGCTGCAAAGGAACTCGGGGGCAAACATCGAACAATCCTGTTCACCGGAGATGGTTCGTTTCAACTCACTGCCCAGGAAGTCAGCACCATGATCCGGCATAACCTAAACCCCATCATTTTCATTATCTGCAATGATGGATACACGGTCGAACGATTTATACACGGCATGGACGCTGACTACAACGACATCCAGAATTGGAGGTACAAGGAATTGCCCTCGGCCTTTGGTGCCAAAGAAGGCACATACAAGACATACCAGGTAAAGACAAAGGCCGACGTGTCTGCTCTGTTCGCGGACGAGAGGTTCTCCAGCGCACCCTACCTGCAACTGGTAGAAGTATACATGCCGAAGAAGGATGGTCCAGAGGCCCTCAAGTTGACTGCGGCCGCCAGTGCTCGGGTCAATGCTGCAATGAAATGAGTCGGGCGAAGCGAGAAGATTCCGGGCAATCTTCAGGACGGATGGGTACACACGTTGTCGGTAATAGTTTTCTATGATGATAAATCGAATGATAATTGATGATCCTAGATTCCCAGAGAACATTTTGACCTGTGAGCATCCTAGTCCTAAAGATATGGGCTCTTAAATAAAAAACGCCCCCAAGTGACCGGTGACATGGTGTCGTGGGGGAGAGGAATGTGCAGCCGGATGCTCGCCTAAAACTTCCCTTCATGTGTCTCAGCCTAGCGATGTCAGGATTCCACATGCCGTTGTCCTTGTGGTCGCTTCACGCATCTCGAGTCAAGTCACCATGAGCCACGAAGACACCAATCCACTATACTTATCCCTATAGAGGTGACGATGTTGGGCACCATAGGAGTCATTTGTAGTCTCCTATCACGACCAATTGTTACTCTGTGAAGTTCATGATGTCCGGATCACCACGGCTACATCTCATTGTGCATCAGTCACTGCCTTCTCGATAAATGGTCGTTTGTCAGGTGAGCCGTAAGGTGCTGCACCTGTGACTCTGGCATCAGACCAAACGAAGCCCTTGCTCCGTGTTTGCTTCCAGATGTTGCGCCTAGTCCTCACAGGCTACAGTGGTCCGTTGGCCCACGCCCGCAGCGTGTAAACGAGCAGCCTTGTCCCCAAACCTCACGCCGAGCCCGCAAGTTTCACAGATCCTCAATCCATCATGGCAAGCCTCGAGGGCGCCTCCAAATGGAGAGACACCTCCAAACGCACCGACAGTCACAAGGCTCAGAAGCGCAGCCCGCGTTTCACTCGACTATCTTCCCCCGGTATGCCTTCTCGACTGAGCCTAGGTGCAGATGCCCACGACGATGTGACAGCGCCCTCAAGGGGAAGAAATGCACCGGCACAATACATGAATCAGTCTATCTTCTCTATGATTGCGGCGGCAGGGTCACGGACAGATTTCAATGCAAGATTTGACGAGTCTAGCGACAGTGAAGAGGAGGCAGCCCAAACAAAGTCGTCATTTGTTGACAGCAAAGGAACATCTGTGAATGAGAGGCATGTAGCACGAGCTGCCGTGACAAAAGATGATGCCCTGTCTTCTACAAAGAGCAGCACATATTCTTCGTTAGTTCATCCGTCGGAAAATCTCCCGCCCTCTGCAAGCGCATCAAGACTTAAAGACAAAGCACCAGCTATACGTCAAGACTTCGGCCCAGGGAGCGACTCTGCATCAGACTCGGGGAAAAGCAATCCAAGAGACGCGCCTCTTCTGAGCAAACTCTTGACTGCCGAGGCCGAGTTCACAGAAAGTGGTGGCCATCCCCCAAGTATGCCACTGATCGACGCCGTACCCGAAGCAGTCCTCGCTACACGTTTGATGGAGATTTTTGGATTTGACGAACCAGAAAAGGTGTTGGCAGAATATCCATGCTGGCTACTCCAAAGTGTACTTCTCCAGGGTTATCTCTACATCACAACAAACCATATCTGCTTCTATGCCTACCTGCAGAGAAAATCCCATCAAGTCTCCAAAACCGGCTATCTAGCGAAGAAAGGTCGGACAAACTCGAAGTACAAGAGATACTGGTTCTCACTGAAGGGAGACGTGCTTTCATACTATTCTAATCCTTCCAACCTTTACTTTCCCTCGGGCAATATCGATCTGAGATACGGCATATCAGCGCACGTGTCTTCAGACAAAGGCAAACAGAAAGAATGCAAAGATTTCTGTTTGACAACTGATCATCGCACATATCACTTCCGCGCAGACAGTGCCTCAAGTGCCAAAGAATGGGTGCAAACCCTACAAAAGACTATTTTCCGTTCTCACAATGATGGAGATAGTGTCAAAATATCGTTGCCGGTGCAAAACATCATCGACTTTGAGGAGAGTCCTGTCGTCGAATTCGCTGAGACAATCAAATTCAGGGTCCTGGAAAGCGAAGATTCGTATGCCGTTGGGGCTGTGGACGAGGTAGGCCACCCCAATATCTATGTCAATGTGCTACCTTTCTAATCGTGCATAGTATTTCTTTTCCTTCTTCAGCTTTGGGCAGGACGCGCTACAGAACTTTCGCACTCTGCTCCCTGAAGCAGACGGCGCGAGGACTTCTGACGACGGACTGTTGTCCGCAGCACGGAAGGATATGAGCACATTTAGTCCACAGGACAAAGCGGATGTCCACGACCTACCTCGACGCGGTGGTCCACCGGCACAGTCTCCTCCTGCCCTCAAAGAGAGTGTGCGAGCAACTCTCTTACCACACCCCCTCCCTGAAAGCAGGAATATCTCTCCGAGGGTGAGTGGCGAGTTTTCTCATGGTGATAGTCCATCGCGGTCAAGTGGTGAGTATGGCCGAGGCAGCTTCAAGCGAGGCCGTAGAAGCGGAAGCACCAGTCGACTTGAAACAAACATCCCCAGAAGACCCCATTCACCTTTTGCTCAGCATCATGACTCGGAGGACTCGTATGTTCATTCCATTGACAAAGAGACCGATTCATCTACAGCACCACTATCGCCTCGAGCCGAAGCACAGATGTCAGCCAGCCAGATTCTCGACCGCAGCGATCTATTCCATCCACCTGTTGTCCATCGAATGACAACACTTGCATCTATGTCCTCCGAAGGCCACTCTGAGGGCGGAACGGTCCTGTCCACGTCGCACCCCAACGACGCCACCTCGCCCGTTCCCATGCGGGGGGCTGGTACGTACGGGAAGAATAAGCAATCCGGTTCGAAAGAAGAGGGCATTGTGAAAACCGATTCACCAACACTACAAGAGTTCGTCCGGGCTGGCTCGTACCGCCTTCCACGAGCAGGGCAGCTCGCCGGGTTTCTCAAGAATCCGTCCAAATCAGTGCTGAAGTATTTGCCGACAGAGCCAATGTCATATATCGAGAAAGTCTCGGACATGTGGTCGGGTGACAGGAAACATTATGGTGACAACGAAGGTGTCGTGCCCGGCGACAAGGGCATCGATCCGGAGGACGAAGAAACGAACGTCGGCCACGGAGATCGGTTTCGTGCTCATTTCGCCCTCCCGTCTACGGAAAAGCTGCGTGCCACATATTTTGCCTTCCTGCACCGAGTGCTCCCACTTTACGGAAAGATCTACATCAGCAATCGCAAATTCTGCTTTCGAAGCTTACTTCCCGGCACTCGGACAAAGTTGGTTCTCCCTCTGAGAGACATTGAGAATGCTGCGAAGGAGAAGGGCTTTCGTTTCGGGTATCATGGGCTGGTGCTGGTCATTCGAGGCCACGAAGAACTATTCTTCGAGTTCAGTTCGAGTGACCATCGAGATGACTGCACAGTGACTCTGTTGCACAGCCTCGAGAGTGTGCGAGATATGGCAGAGTCCGGCATGCTTGCAAAAGAAGAGGAAGACGATGCAGAGGCTGCCAAGGAAGAGCATCGTATGCTACAAGAGGCACGGCGGAGTTCGACTGGAGATCACCAACTTGTGTTGCCTGATACAGCTGAAGCCATCTACAGCCACGAAGACACCCGGCCTATACTGTTTGAAGGACCACGAGCTTCGATCTCTAGCATCAAACCTACAACGCCATTAAAAATTACGTGTCTAACGATCGGCTCTCGGGGAGATGTGCAACCATACATTGCCTTGTGCAAAGCGCTATTGGCTGAGGGTCATAAGCCCAGAATTGCCACACACGCAGAGTTTGGCCCCTGGGTGTTGAAGCATGGCATTGACTTTGCCCCTGTCGAGGGTGATCCGGCAGAGCTCATGAGAATCTGTGTCGAAAATGGCATGTTCACCTACTCTTTCCTACGGGAGGCATCCGCGAAATTTCGCAGCTGGATTGACGAATTACTCAGCTCGGCATGGCAAGCCTGTCAGGATAGCGATCTCTTGATCGAGTCGCCCAGTGCCATGGCCGGGATACACATAGCGGAAGCGCTCAAGATACCGTATTTTCGGGCCTTTACTATGCCATGGACTCGCACCCGCGCTTATCCCCATGCATTTGCGGTACCTGAACACAAGATCGGTGGCGCGTACAACTATTACTCGTACGTCATGTTTGACAATGTGTTTTGGAAAGCCATTTCCGGACAGGTCAACCGATGGCGTAAGAAGGAGTTGGGGCTGCGGAGTACCAACATGGACAAGATGCAACCCAATAAGGTGCCATTTCTGTACAACTTCTCGCCTCATGTGGTTGTACCGCCTCTAGACTACCCTGACTGGGTACGAGTTACGGGTTACTGGTTCCTCGACGAGGCACAGGATTGGACACCACCGGCCGAGCTCCAGAAATTCATCGAAAAGGCTCGCAAGGATGGCAAGAAGCTGGTGTACATTGGTTTCGGGTCCATTGTGGTCTCGGACCCTGCGGCGTTGACTAAAACGGTGGTGGAATCGGTGCTCAAAGCCGACGTGAGATGCATTCTGTCTAAGGGATGGAGTGACCGTCTTGGAGATCCGACGGCAGTCAAAACAGAGGTACCTCTGCCAGCGGACATTCTTCAAATCAAATCTGCCCCACACGACTGGCTATTCCGACAGATTGATGCTGCGGTTCATCACGGAGGAGCAGGTACTACCGGAGCAAGTCTACGGGCTGGGGTGCCGACCGTCATCAAGCCATTTTTCGGGGATCAGTTCTTTTTTGGTTCGCGAGTTGAAGATCTCGGCGTGGGCATTTGCATGAAGAAGGTCAATGTGAGTTTGTTCTCTCGCGCACTCTGGGAAGCGACCCACTCGGAACGGATGATTGTAAAGGCGCGGCTCCTCGGAGAACAAATCCGCAAGGTAAGTTTCAAGTCGTCCAGGGTATACTCCGAGATGAGGAACGAGCTAACTTTCCCACCAGGAGAACGGAGTGCAGACCGCTATCCAAGCCATCTACCGGGATTTGGAATATGCCAAATCCATCGTGGAGGAAAGAGCAAGCAAACAAGGAGTTCCTGCTGATGACAGCGTGCCTTTGGACGAGGGCGATATCGAAGAAAGCTGGACTTTTATTGGAGACGAGAGCGACCCTGAGCTTCAAAGACAGGTGCAGGGCTGGGAGTCCCCGACTCGAGTGAACGTGGACCGGGCGGGGCTGCGAAGTATGCAAGGAGTCGAGCCGGTCAGGAAGAGCAGCGTGAGATTCTGAGAGGCATTCGAGGATGAGACACTAAAGAGCCGCTCCGAGTCGGAATGCCCTTGCGGTCATTTCCGAGGATTGTGGATTGGGGCGAGCGCAGGCTCAGGTGTGTGTGCATGTGCAGGCGTTTGAGCCTCCAGCCAGCGGGGATCTGAACAAAGGCGTTTGGATTTCTCTTGATATCTTTCCTAACGGTTGATTGTTGAGCAAGAGCACTGAGGAAGCAGGGATTCTCGAGTTTGATGAAGATGGTGAAGGTTTCACGATGACTTTTTTGTGAAGCGAGCTACGATACAAGATTCAGAATTGACGATGTCACGTACGATAATGGAAGGCGCGAGGTGATCTGGTTTATACATGGTACTCTCAAGTAGACCTAATCAAGACGAACTAATACTCTGTAATGTTGAAGGAGACCTGTCTTGCCGAGAAGACCTGGCTTCTCTACCTGAAGCGCTACCTAGAGCAAGCAGATCCTGTAGAGGTCCAGTCATACGGGGTTGTCGGAACCAATAATGAAGCACAATCGGGCTTTTTGTAGGGGGTGGCGGCATAGGCAGTCGGAAGCGAAGAATGGAGCCTCCTTCGAGTATCAGAGAAGGAATTAGATCACCAGTCTCAACGTGTTAGGGTGTGAGGAGGAGGGATGCAAAGTGGGCAAATCTGGCCAGCCGAGGTATCTCGGGTGGGCAGCGGGAAGGGTCCTTCCATCGTACTCGCGACAGAGTATGCAAGTGACCAGAAAAGGGACTTGTTGTTGTCAATGATGGGCGACGAGTGTTTACCATTTCCGCAGCAAAGGGCCAGGCAGGGGGGGAGGCGTCGATAGACGGCACAAAAGCTTGGTTGGTGTTGATGTTTGGCCCGGATGTGGGTTTCCGTGACGGGTGTTTGGACGACAACCCCTGGAAGGTGGTATTTCGGATGACCACCAAAAAGGTGCATGTGCATGAAGAAGTGGGTGCAAGACTGGGCGTTTGTGTGTTTGGGTCCCTACCTGAGGCAACAAGGGATAAGGGATGAGTAGAGAGGTAAGAACTGTAAGCCTACCTTGGTGTAAGCTCGCAGGCATTATTACCTAGGTAGTAGTGACTGTACGGATACATCTCTGGCCTGTTTTCCTCGGTGGTGGTCGGTGGCGCCCCCAACGGAGGGAGTCGTTTGTCCGTAAAAGAGAAAGCTTAGCTGGAGGGCTTTGTAACCTGCCAACGAGCCACTACAGGTAGGTAAGTCCGGACATGAAGCCTCGGTTACTCCATAACTCGTAGAACGAATGCTGGTGGGTATGGAAATGGTATCCAGGATCGGGTACGGAGGCGTAGTGAGGTTTAGGAAAGTTGTAGAGAAGCGGCAAGGGTTGTGATCTGCTTCCTTGCTCCGTAAATAGCCGCCCGGGGGGCGTTTACTGTAATTCTCAACCCGGGCTTTTTGGCTAGAAGGCTTTTCAGGGTGGCACTTTTGCTCCGTAATGGCATTGTCATTTGCCGTCGGCGTGTTTTTTTAGTTAACTTCACGGAGAGCAAGGAACATGGGGAAAAAATTTCCAGAACAAAGTTTATAAATAAGAAAATAGAAAAAGGATGCCTGCACATCCAGGCCGATGTTACGGAGTAAGGTATGTACGGATAGGGTACTGGGTACTTATTAGGTGCTCGATACTGGGTTTAGTACCTACGTACCCCTTACGTCCTCCATGTAAGCACTCTAAAGAGTCACAAACCGGGGGATGTTACCTACTGAGGTAGACTTGGGCAACTCGCACGGGGCTCAATTGCTTTGCCTAAGTTAGATACGAGGACCTTTCGGTCCATATCAAGGCTGATTAGGGTCTTCTGTAACCCCAGATGTCGCTTTTGTTTCATTCCATCTCGACCTATTTCATTCTGAATTATAGAATTGGAATCGAGACCATTGCAGTCGCATTTCCGGTGCCGAATGACTGAACGACTTGGTACATAACAGTACATTCTCGTCCAAGGCATAAATCCGGAATACACTCGCACAATTATCGCTTAAGCAGCAAGCGAGGGCTTGGGGGGGACCTACCTTACCTAGGTAACGAGTACGCAGAGGTGCCTGGTACACATGTATTCTATACTCCGTACCGAGACTTGTACTCCGTAGGTAATAATGCTCCATCCATCACGGTTACATTTCCGGCTTCCCAACAACGATGGCTCACCCTTATCACCTTGACTCGCCGCACTGCTCGTGCATTCATTCATTCGATTCCCTTTTAGGCGAGGAGCAGCAGTCTCATGGTGAGTTTCGTCTTGGCCTTCGTTTAGAAAAGTAGTACCTCAGGTGATCCGCTAGGGGTGCTGGTTCCGTCTATTCACACACACAAGTCCTTCACTCTCTTTCACTCTCCTCTGTCCTCGAATTTCCTACTCGTACTCGTACTGAGTAGCTTTCTCACGTCTCAGTCTACGTTCTCCTCCTCTCTCTATCTCTCTCTCTCCCACGTCGTCGTCGTCAGCAACAATGCAAGTCAGATTTTGGCGACTTTTCTTCGCATTCGGCAAGACGGCAAGAGCCACTAAAAGATCATCCGCCGCCATCTCCGATTCCCGTTAATTTCCAGGCGGTTTTTCAGTGCTCCGAACACTGTAGGTCTGTATGAGATTGTTTTCCTTTCCCAAGCCCACCAGCCCCCGTCTTCGCCGGACATGATCTTCCAGAGCTCCATTATTCCCCTTCTGCCTGCCTTGTACGGAAAGGAAGTTCGGCCACATCCTGATCCAGTCATCGCCCTTTTACGGAGTACGGAACAAATGCATACGAGGACCCGTACTGAGGTCTCGTATGATCCTGCGGATACGCAGGAACAGCCTTTCCGACCCCTTCCTTGACTTGGGTTCAATATTTGGGGGGATCGTCCCCCAGCACCCTATGGATACAGTATCTTTACACGCATACCTAGGTAGGTACTCCGTAACATACCTGAAGGTGTCCGTGCTCGTTCATGACCGTGCGCACATAGCCACGTTGAACCCTTCTGCCGGCGTCGGCCCTTGTACAGAACCACGAGACACACTACTACTCACAACCCTCGTAATCGTCCAAGGTAACCCGTAGCCAATTCTCATCGGTAGATCCCCCTTGCCTACAAACGAATCCTCGTCGGGGTTCTGAGGGGCTGATGGTTCGTTGAACCAGTCATGACCTGCATATACTACCTTATGGTTACGCTTGGTTCGCCGCCACCACCAAATCAAATACCACCTGCCTACGGATACTTGTTGTATTACTCCCGATCCCTAAGTGTAGTTACTACCCAAGATACCAACCAACCATGATTGCATTAATCACTTTTTTTTCTTTCTCGCTCTCACGACTCTTCTTCCCATGACTCGCCCATCCTCGTAACAGACGGTGGATCATTTATTCCCAACCTTTCCCCAAACTACTCGTAGTCCTCCATTACTACTCGTCGTGCGTACTACTCGTACTTAGCGAGGACGAGTACCACACACACCTGGGCTGGCTCTGGCCTTTTCCCCATCATTCCACCGCTTCACGGCACACAGTTACTCCACCACTTTTCATCCGAAACTTCTGCCACACGACACACCACTCAACCAACCAGCCCGTCGAAAAACTTTCCCTCTCCAAAGCTGGTCCCCCGGTTCGATACCTGTATCGCGCGCGTCCTTCCCCCTTCGCCTGGTCCCGAGATCCTGCCTTACTGTATTCCCATTTGCCAAGTCGACCTGAAAAAAAAGTGCCTTCTACCGGAGGTCACGTCTTTCGTTTCTCTCGAAATTTCTTGATGCGTTTTCTGACATATCCCATTCCTGCCCTCTGAAGTTCCTTCAGCAACGAAGGCCAGCTCTCCTCGTCGGCATGAGGCCCGCCAACACCACCAGTCTCTCTCCGCCAACCACTCCATCGAACAGTCTTCTTGTTACCAACAACACCAACCCCATCCCCAACAACGGTATTGCCTCGGTCCCCATATCGCGTCACAATCATCCGACATGGGACAAACCAGAAAGGGCCCGCACCAGCCATGCCTGTGAGCCCTGTCGCGAGCGCAAAACGAAATGCGACGGCTCTCGCCCAGCATGTCGTCGATGCCTTCATACCGGCACCACCTGCTACTACGGCTACGGGAAAGGATGGCGAAAACGAAAGTGAGTGCATTTCTTGAACTGTCGCTGGGAAGCAACGAGGCAGTATTCTGACTTTTTCGTGGCGCTCTGCAGGACGGCCGAGGATCTGACTGCCACCAGTCGGCGACTGGCACGGTATGAAACTCTCCTGAACGAGATCATGCCCATGGTGTCTCCCGAGGTTCGGGCTTTGATTGATGAGGCACGTGAAAACGTAAGTCGCTCACATCGGCTCGTTCGACGCCTTCATCTATGGCGGCTCACAATCATCAGGATACGTCGAATGGATCGGAAACGAACGACAATGACTACGGCCTTGGTCCTCCGCGGCTGGACGGGACCCTCTCGGGAGCTCCTGGTAGTCGCATCATACTACCACTCCCCGTCCCCAGTCCTCACGTGCCAGGCGCGTCGCGATCATCGACATCCTCGAGCACTTTCGAGCCTGCCGGGCCGCCAGCAACGCTTTCCACCGCAAGCTCGCAAACATCTCAGCGCCTCTCGCCCGACTCTAATCAGCTGACACGCTTGCCGTCCATTACTGCTGGTGGCATCTTGATCGAAGAGGAACGAGTTGCCGGCTTCTCACCTCCCAAGGCGCCAGGCGCGGACGTGACTGTAATGCCTGGGCTCGAGCGCCTGGCAGCCCTGCCTACCTCTCCGAGTCAATCGTCCCATGGAGGTTGGTCTACCGAGCCACCCCTAGGACATTTCCCTGCTGACAATCGGAGAAGACATTACGAGACCCCATCAGTTCTCCCCTGGTTAAAGAGCAACGAAGCTACCGTCGTGCCCAATTGAAACAGACAGGGGATAGATACGTTTGTACACTACACCCCATGACGAAGACGACTACAATCATCATGCATGGCACGGACGTCACATCCGACGGCTGCACCTCCGGGTGGTTCTCTGACGCTCTCCTCAAGATCCTCGAGGAGCCCTCCCAGAGAGGAGCAAGGAACCACTCCAATATTACTTTGCATATATTAGATCCGACGACGAAGATCCCAGCCTTCGCAAGCAACCGAAACACTCTCCATCAGAGAGTCAGGAGAGGAAAAAGGCAAGATCAGCAACCATGGCAAGGGTCTTGGGCATGACATGGCGCAGGCCATGCATGGTCTTGACTGCTGAGCTGCTGCAACGTACCCTCCCTCGGCCCACAGCACGGGGAGGCGAAGCTGTATTATTGGCGAGATTTACAGGAGAAATGCCATTTTCCCCAACTGCATGTTTTGGCCGCGGTTATTCGATTGTCTCAACCATGGGAATTCTCTGGAATTCTTGCGCAGGAGCAGGACCCTTGAAAATCTCGATCTGGACCCTGGATAATCACAACGAGCACTTTGCAACACCAACGGGGAGAAATGTTACTCCGTAGCACTAGGGATGAGGGCGCAGCCACGACTGGACGGAATTGCTGGGGAGTTCTGCGGACTAGCGGTATTTGGCCAACTGGGATGGAGTAGGCTTTGCCCTGTCTTCGGAACAACCGCGCCGCCGCTATTCAGAAAAACACCCGTCGGCAATGTCTGGGGGGCTACGATTGGTCGGATCGGTGAAAATTGCCCTTCCATGGTTTCCGGCGTGGCGGATTCTTCTTCCGTCTTCGAGTTAGCAGTAATCCCACGTCAATTCTCCTTGTGGTTTGGCCCGGGTTTTTTCTTGTTGCTGGAGTATTATTGTACCCCATCACCCGTACGGCTCAATCACCGACTATTGCGAAACCCCATGGAATACTACGAGCTGGATTACCGACCATTGTGAAAAACTGGAATAGCTCGAGTACGGTTACTGCATACAGATAGTGGTTGACGAAATGCGGAATGTGGTCCTGTGCACACAGTCTTGAGTCAAGTTGTCAAATACAACATTTGTACGAGGACTCGTACTGACACCCAACGTCGGGCGACTCCGGGGCCTCTCTGGTGATAGTTGTGACCTGTCATTCTGGTCAAGGCCCTGTCAAGACACGAACCGAAAACCACTTGATACCTAGGTAGGCCATTGCAAAGAGAGACTTCTACAAGCACAGGTATTGACAATAACACCTTACTGTACATGAGTTCCCACTGTGTCCTCGGCATATCGTTGTCACTGTACGATACCTACACCATCCCATCCAAGGCACCTTACTCCAACTGGCTCAAACCAACGTTGATTCCTTCTGATATCTACGTCGGGCATCTCGTGTGATCGCTTCCATCTCGTGTTTGAAATGCCCATTCGATTGTCATTGTCTTGTCGGTACCTGTTGCTACACCCCTCACGGTGAATGCCGATGTGGACATTTTCCTCTCTTGACAGTCAATTGCCGATCATGAAATCAGAAGCCCATCCGGCGCACCTTGAGCTCCTCGACACTGGATCCTCCCTCGTAGTAGTCATCCTCCGGCCGTTCTCGCTTGCGCGAGCGCAGATCAACGCGACTATCAGCTGAATTATTGTGTCAAAACTTTGTAGGTGTGTACTTTGTTACCCATCCCTCGACTCCTCGCCAAACAATACGAGCATCAGACACATTCTCTTTGGACGGATTATCGTTGCGCGCGTGGCTTGACTGTGAGTCTACGATAAAATTAAAGCATTCCATCCCCCGAGCCAGGACTGACCTGGACGTTAGTTTTCTTCCCCACTACTACACGGAATGACTTTTTTATCGGCTACTTTGCACCGCATACCATAATCTTACGATGACTATCATCTCCCAACGATCAGGTTCTCTGACTTGCGTGAAATACTTACCTTGGGTCACCTGTCTAGTACATCTTGTATACGAGTACGCCCGCGCAAAATGGCATGATTCGCGTGCATCACTCCATTGACAGTTGGCGGGCTCTGTACGAGTCATGAGTCTTCTGCATATTCCAGTTAGGTCCTTCTTTACCAAGCGTACACCGGGTATGTACTTGGAGAAGGTAAGTCGTGCTACTCTCATGGCGATCACAACAATAGCGGTACTGGAGCAACACACACTACGGCCGTTGTTGAATCACTGTATTATGGCACAGTCCAGCCAGCCAAGGCGGTATCATGCTATATCATCGCTGGTTACATGGCGCACCTCTTCCTCCGCACGTTGCTTATCACGCCTAGAGTCAAAGTACCCAAGAGATTGATCACACTCATATCTTCTCGATCTTGTGCAAGTCTTCATCATACGGATTGCAAAGTCCGTATGTACTGTATGGTACACATTCATCTTCGTACAAAGACGATCTTACGGATTAGAAACTCGTTCAAGCTGTCTCGTAAATCAATTCGCTTCAACACCTTTCCACCCAGCGTCAACTCTAAACATCCACCGTCACGAGTCTCGATCTTTTGGTTAGCAACAAAAACACCTCAAAGTTCCATGCTTTTTTGATGGGCACTTGTACTCCCCGGAATTGCATTCTCAGGGGGTCAACAAACAACACGAAATACAAAAGATTGCGCGTTGTTTTCAGCATCTAACTGACACCGCCGGTCGCAATCCTTCCATGCACAGTTCCCGTAACTAAAAGACCTAGCTTGAACCTTGAGCGACTAGCCATGGCCAAAGAACACGAGAAATAAAAACTCTACACGCGACGAGTTGTGAACAACTGCATTAGGCAAGGAACTTGGTTCAAAAAGAAAAGTATGGGTCACCTGGACCCAGGTCAAAAAGTCATCTCCGGTCGGATCTCGCGACGATGGTCAGCACAGGTACATAGAGTAACCTGTACGGAGGACGGAAGTACTTTGCGGTACGTATGGTATCTGTCATGTCACGATTTCGTTCCCCTTGGCCTGGCCAGGAAACTAAACCTCGTCCTTCGGTTTCGGGGTTTACCTTTTGGTACGGAAGTACTAAGCCCAGGCTGGTTGGTATTTCCTTCAGGAGGCCAGACCAAATCAGCATACTTTTATTCGGTAAGCGGTCTTGGGTGTCCGAAATTGGGTGCAATGCCTTTTCCCGTACAGTATGTTTTCGAGACGGACAAGAAAACTCAAAGGAGCTTGCCACTACTACACAATCTTACCTTGGAGAAACTTGCCGGAACGACTGTGTTTGTGTGGTATGCCTGGTGTCTGTCGGGAGAACCGTCATGATCGGCAGCATTCAACCGGGATCCTTCATGTATGGGCACGTTCTTCCCTACTCAGACGAGTACGTACGTCTTAAATGGCCCCCGAGCAGAGATACTGGACGCGCAGAGTACGCGGATGATGATCCGTTACAAAATTTGATCGTTGAGCTTCCCCCCCCCCCCAAGCCTTGACTAATTAACGTATCAAGACAGTCCAAACATTACATCTCCTCAGAAGACTCCTGGGTATCCTTTCGAAAGATCAAAAGAGGACAACCAAAACTTTGATACCGCATGTATTAATGCCATCCCTGCTTCAAACCCTTGCGACCAACTTTTGGGCAAAGGCAAGTTGATGCCACCAGAGGCGCAATCTCTTTCCAAAGATGTACAGAGGGATGGTGAAAAGACAGAGACCAAGTTGGATACCTCCGACGCTGTTGTTGTTACTGTCAGTTCACGGGTCGTCGGGCAATAGAGACAGGCAAGACTTACGTGTAGAAGAAATTCCTAGGTCCCTGAACTGTCACCCATTCATTGATGAACTCTGACGGTTGGGAATCAAGGTTAGTCGACTCTCATGATTACGTGGATTTACAGCGAAAATACTTACGGGAGAAGCCGTAAAACAAGAAATTCTTGATGACCATGATGATGATAAAGACTTCAACGCTGATGGCTTGATAGGCATCGTTGACGTAGCTGCCGACACAGACGGCTGAGAATTGGGCTCCTCCCTGCAAGTTATCATTAGTCCATGACATTTTGCCTCGAGTGGCGTGGCAGGTGACAATGGCCAGGAAAAGGCCGGCAAGGCCTATACTTACCAAGGTGAGACCAAAGACAATGCTGATACTAACAACACCGACGCCCTTGGAGATGAGATATCCAAACAAGTAATAGCCCAGGCCGCAGAAAACCGCGATACCAAAGACGAGGTAGAGACGGAACTCGGGTTCGTATCTACCAGCATTGCGACGACTGAGCCATTTCGCGCTCCAGTCGGACAGCGGCCCGGCGACGGCGCTGGTGATGAGACCGACAACGATTGCTAGACATTGACAAGTCTGTTAGGATTTTTCAGGACTTACAACCAGAGAACTCAAAGATCAAGTGACTCACGTCCGGCCCACATATAACCAAGTTCCGTGGGTGTCAAAAAGTAAGGCGGCGCAGCAAAGATCTGGGCGATGACCAGGGAGAGACCGACGAGCCACAGCACCGGGAAAGCCAGCGTTATCAAAGCCCAGATGACGGCTGGGTTGAGCAAAGTGAGGAAAGGAGTGACGACCAGCTTCAGGAGCGAATCTTTGCTGTACACGCCACTCACGGGCGACAATTTGGCGACGAACGATCGGCGAGGTGGTTGGGCAGGTCCTGAATTTTCCTCCATTTCCACCGAGGCAGCCCCGGCCTTGAACTCTTCGGCTCTTTGCAGGTCCTGTATCGAGACACAGAGGTCAGCATTTGCCGGTCAGGTCGGTAATGACTTCTTACCTCTTCGGTCGTGATTTCACTCGTTTCGATACTGTGACGGTTGTACGAGACTTCCCAACCAAAGAAGATGGCGAGGAGCATGCCGATACCGACAAAGATGGTCAACAACCAAAAAACCCAACGCCACCCCAGATTCTGGGACAACTTCCCCGCGACAAGGGCAGGGATGTTGGAAAGCGACTGGTACATGATGACGAAGATGGCGGTACGTGTTCCTCGTTCGTGCACAAAGTACAAGTCGCCGATGAAGGCGTAGACGACGCTCTCAAAGTACGCCATGCTCAAGCCCTGGACCATGCGAGCACCCAGCATCGAACTGTAAGACGTGGCCGCGGCGGCCCAGATGGACCCGGCGAAAGCGCAGATCATGGAAAACAAAAGGCCAGGACGTTTGCCGTATTTCCGGGTCCCGGCGGCCATAAAGGGGCCTATGGCGCCCGTGATCAAGAGGCAGTATCCGGCCAGGTAGGAGAATTGGGTGAAATTGATCTTGAGGTCCGTGATGAGTGGCACAGCTATTGGGGAAAGGGTGGGACCGAATCTGAGGGCAGAGAGGTGTCAGAAGAAGCATTCATTCACCATTCACCATTTTTGATTGTGAGTCGAGTGTTCTGCTTGTGCTAGTGCTGGTGTTGGTACCACTAGTTGTGGTCGTTGGAGGGAGATGGAAGGAATGAAGGAAGGAATACTGACCCCCCAATAGCTATATGCTCGTCAGTCGTGGGTAAAACACGAGGTACGTCGAGGGAAAGGATCACGCTACTTACTGACAATGACACACCACATCATTATGACGAGAAGACAGTCGCGCATCCAGAGTGGCCAGTTCTACGATGAAAGTCAGTCACTAGACCAGTGTTGGGTGCGCGTCGATTGGCAGAAGCGGTGAGAGAAACCGAGAGGTTTGTCGACGACCATGTTCTCTTTTGATGGAACTTACCAATGGATCGTTCGGATCATCCGAAGGTTGAGGGACGAGAACGACATGACTGTTTCGACCTGTTCCCTTTTTGAGGATGCGAGAGTTGTCGGCGACGGTTTGTGTGTGGACATCCAACAACGACGTGCCTGGGACGTGAGCGTTGCGGTCCTTGGGTTCGAGGATACCAAAGGCCATTGCTCTGTTTTTGTTTTTTGTGGGATATGGGGGAGAAAAAGGGTCGAACGAATGGGGAGTACTGTAATATTCTCAGTAAAACAAGTGACGATCCTGGCTTGGTGAGATCCCCTAGCGATGCAAGAGTCTTGAGTAGATCTAAGGAGGAAGTCCGAGTCCCGGGTCAGGATCCGATCTTATACTTGTACTGGATAAGTACTCTTGTCAAGTTTTCATACTAGTCTGCTCAATCTAGAGGTCCGTGAATCTCGGACTCTTTTTTTATTTCTCCAACGGGCCCAAGAAGAACCTACGAAACATTCGGGCAAAAGAAGAAGGGGGAGAAACGTGGAAGTGGTCGTGGTCGATAAAATGGACGGCTCAGGCTCAACCTTGCAAAAAAACTGGGGTGGGGCTTCAGTATTTTGCTGATTACGGAGTACAGTAAACACTTTTGGAAGAACTCTTTGACCACAACTGGTCTATTTTGTCGGTGTCCAACCTCGCCATATTGTGGGATCCTTCTCCACCTGCAGGAAGGGGAGGGGCTGCAAGTTTCGAGGAGAGACTTGTTTCCCTGCTCGAAGTATGGGCGAGGCAACCCCGCGATTGATCACTAACCCTTGTGGATGGTAGAGTACAAGTACAAAGTACAAGAGTACGCTCGAGATGTATCAGGATCTCGGGTGTGGAAAAGGAGGAGTAAAAGAGATAAAGGTGTGAGCACTCGTATGTACTCTTCGACTCTGACTGCTCTGCCCACGGTAAGTGTCTCGGACCTTCTATACTCTTGTACCATTGCAGAACAACATCAATAGCCAACAGGAGGGATTCTCTGTATTGCGAGTCGTGGTACGGAGTGACAACCCTAAGCAATAATGAATAATCTGGGACGATTGGCGTTTTCGAGCAGCTCGCTTAAAACCATTGACTATTGTTTCTTGGGATTTCCTGGGCGGGTTTTTTTGGGCTTAAGATGAATCATTATTACCAAGAAGTAACGGATACTTCTATAGTACTACTCCACGACTTCGGGTTCCTCTCTCATGATGGTTTCGTGCTTCACGGAATTTTCCCCCAACCGCCAACCGCCAAACCCCCCCCCCTCCCCTCCCCCCGGTCCCCAAAACCCCATTCTCTCCAGACTCAAAAGAGAAACCAAGGCTGAAAAGTTACTCCATACACCCTTTACAGTACCTCCCAAGTAGTAATTCCATGTGGGATTGTTTTGTTACTGTCTGGAACTTTTGGGTTTTTTTTTGGTATTTTTGTAAATAACCATAGACACAACACTGAACACATCATCATTCTCGGCCGAAGTCTAGAACCTTAAAATCTTTTTCGGACATAAAAAGGACCTGACTTTCAGACTGATTGGACGGAACCCAAAAAGAGAGAGAAAAGAATGGGCTCGATATCTGAACGTCAAGGCCCTCAAGTCGTCGTCGCCGGTGGAGGTCCGGTTGGGTTGTTTGCGGCCTTGACTCTGGCTCGCAAGGGAGTCAGTGTCGTGGTCCTCGACAAGGCCGATGGCGTCGACACGTCACCTCGAGGGATGGCTTTTCAACCTTGTGCCATTGCCGAGATGATCGAGTCGGGGATCTACGAGGACGACGTCAAGAAGCAATGTATCTCCGACGCCGTCATTTCATGGTGGAGGGCAAGGACGGACGAGTCAATCGGAACTGATGCGGACCCGAAACATCTGGCCACAATCTCGACGAGGGACATCTTGGAAAAGAACCCGGAGAATGCACTTGCCGGGTTGAACATTGGACAAGACGTCTTGTCACACATTTTGTTGAAACATCTCGCCACGTACCCTCACGCGGCGGTACATTGGGGCCATGAAGTTGTTGGGATCAAGCAACAAAACACCGACAATGGCGGCGTCGAGGTGACTTACAAGGTCGTTGATGGGTCGTCGTCGTCGTCGTCGACAACTCAAACAATATCTACGCAATGGGTCATCGCCGCCGACGGCGGAAGGAGTACGGTTCGAAAACTTCTAGACGTCCCCTTCGAGGGCTTCTCTTGGACCCGGGAACAGTTCGTCGCCTCCAACGTTTATGACCCCTTTGAAAAGTACGGTTTCACCACCCGGAATTTCGTCATCGACGGCGTCAACTGGGCCATCATCGCCAAGATCCGGGACGACGACCTGTGGAGGATCGCTTTCGGCGCCGACCCTGACCAGTCGGACGAAGAGATCAAAGCCCACTTGCAGGACCACTACAGGTATCTCTTCCCGGGTCCCGCCACCGGTTGGAAACTCGAGAGACTCAACAAGTACCGACCTCACCAGAGGTGCGTGACGTCGATGAAGGTGGGGAGGGTCATGTTCGCCGGTGACGCGGCGCACCTCAACAACCCCATCGGTGGGCTGGGGTTGACGACGGGGATTTTGGACGTCGGTCCTTTGGGCAGGGCCCTCGCCGCGGTGATCCAAAAGGGAGCACCGACCGCCTTGCTGGACAAGTGGGCCCGGGCGCGGAGGGACACTTGGTGGCAGGCGACCAACAGGCAGTCGATCGAGTTCAAGAGGATCGCCCAACAAGGAGGGTACGGCAACGACCCTCGGGGAGTGTGGGACAAGGGTCAAATCTCAGAGGAGCAGAAGGACATGCTGGAACACTTTCACAACGCAACCCCGGAGGCAAAGGCCAAAGACGAGGCGCTGTACCAGGCCTTGAAGGATCCCAAGAAACAGGCGGCTGCCAGGGCCGGGGTCTGGAAACTGGCCCTCCCGGCGGATTGGATGGCCGAGTTCGAGGATGAGGACGTCGTGAGGTGGAGGCAGTCCTTCAGACCTGTCGTGGACAATTAAACACACACACACACAAACGAACAACTAAACGAACTCGATGGTATATCTATACGATTTTAGAATTTGTACTAGACAGATTGAACCCGTGTTCTACTTGCCATTGCACTGTCAAAATCCACTGACAGGTCACTCGTTGCCTTCTGGTTGTAGATCTATGAGCCAGCAACTGGAGATCTTAGAAGTTACCTACTCGTATGTTTTGTGTCGATCAGAGTTCAAGCATGACAAGGCTGATCACCACCATTTCGCTCTCGATGCTTCCTTGACTCTAACCCAGACCCGGATTGACTCTAACCCAGACCCGGATACCAAAGTGTTGATATGGGAGTTTGAGATGTCTCTATCGGGAAATTCTTGAAGTGGGGGGGGTGTGTACGGAGTACAAGGATCTTGGTATCTACCTGTTTTGCGGAGTTACTTACGGTACAATCTCTTTTCCCCCACAACACACCCCGAGTACCTGTAGGGGAGGGACGCACTCCGTACCATTTGGAATGTTTCGTTACGGGGAATACGAGGGCCTACAAACTCACACCCCAATGCGATACTTAGATGTCCAAGAACAAAGCCATTGGTACTCCACGCCATTCTTCACTTTTCCCGATCCACCCTTTTTATCCTTGCAGTACTTTCAGAGAAAAAAAGCCATGACTTCATACGAGGTCAAAGATTCAGACCTCGATGCCCTTGGAGGAAAGACTGTCCTCATAGTCGGAGCCGCGACGGGTATAGGTCGTTCAACCGTCTTGCTCGCCCATCGTAAGTACACCACGATATTTCCTTTCTTGGTCTCAGGCCTAGATACAAGGGACACCGTGACACCATAAACTGTGACCTTGATGACAGTGCTGACGTTTTGAGGAAAGAACATGGTGCGAATGTGGCCATAGGAGATTGGAATGAAGGGGAAGGAGAAGCACTCGCCACCAGCCTCAAAGAGTAAGATCCCCTCCACCCCTTGTATCCCTGCAGGCGTATCGAGAACCGAAACCTTTTTTCCTCACACCGTCCTGTTCCTCACCAGACGAGTCTTGTTTCAAAAATGTGACATGTCGAATTGGGAAAGTGTGGTCGATTTCTTCAAGAAAACATGGGAAGCGTTTGGGGCGATCGATGTTGTCCTCGCCAACGCGGGAATTCATAGCGAAAAGACATGGCTAGCCGACGCCTTGAGAGTCTCCGAGGAACTCGTCCATCCTGACATGAATACGATGAGGGTCAATCTGGATGGAATGGTTTACATGACACAGTGTGCGATACATTATTTTGCAAGACGACCAGAAGTGAAGACTCAACTCGTCTTTACTGGATCCGCAGCAAGGTGAGTGGTTCCTTCTGTTCTGTCGAACGAAGCCATTTTCCTGTCCAGAATCACTGACAAATTCGCTTCTTTTGTTGGTTCATGCAGTTTTCTCGACACTCCACCTCTATATCAATATTGTGCTTCGAAAGCCGGTGTGTTGGGATTGATGAGATCACTCAGAACCGATATTCCTCGAGTCACGAAGGGCCAAACTACGGTCAACATGGTGGCACCGTGGCAGACATGTAAGTACTTTTGGCGAGCACTCCTGAAACTTGTTTGGTCCACGAGAGAGAACTATTGATTACTATCTGATTTTGTCATGGCTGACTTTTTTTGTTTACCAACAAAAGACACAGCGATGACATCGGAAAAGTTTTTGGAGATATGGGGTGATTTACCTAGTAACAGCACCCAAGGAGTTGGCAAGGCGTTGTTGTTGCCCGCTCTACGTCCGGGGTTGAATGGATTGTCACTGTTGGTGCATGGTGATCAGATTACGGACTTGGAAGAAAGTCTGGCTGCTACGATGCCGCAGTGGATGGGCCAGGAGTTGTCCGAGGAAGTGAGAGAAGGTCAACGACGAATATTGGGGGTAGAGAAATGGTAATAAACCATCGATGAAATTTGGTACTGCCATTCGAATGAAGTATTTCGAAGGCCAAGTTGAAAGGAGCTGTGAGCCACAGACTCCATAAAACTGGTTCGCTATACCGGAGAGCTTCTTCACATCTCACAACGTAGATGTATGGGTGATCATTCTCATTGCCCAACTGTTGTGTCTCTTTGATAGGATAGGCAAAAAGGTACCGCCATCTTTTCACCACCCGTACCAAATACAGAGTACCTAGGACCACAACGGGCAGTTAGAACGGTCGCTCCCCCAATGCCTAAAATGCTTGTTCACTTGGGGATCGAAACGTGGGCCCCCCGAAGATGTTGTGCCGAATCCGGGTGGGGTTTGACCGACCAAATAGGGAAACCCTTTCACCTACGAAGCCGGGCGGTTTCCATTGTCGTGCTATATCTCGAAACAACACAACGACCTCCATTACTTTGACGGCGGTCCAGTCTCGATACTAGTAATATTGGTTTCTGTGTGGAGCGTACAACCAAAAAGTCCAAATTGACGACAACAAGGACAACAACATGGCCCCCGATCAAACAGTCAAGATCAATGCCTCTCTGGGCGACCAGCTGGATTGCGCATTTATTGGTGACCCGCGTCGAAACAAGGACCTCGGCGCCCGTCTGAAGGACAAGAACGTCTTGATCGCCGGTGCCGGGCGAGGTGTCGGTCGGGCCACTTCGGAGTTTTTCGCGCACACCCAAGCACGATCACTCAGTCTCATGGCCCTCGAGCTCGACGAGGTCGAAGAGACTGCGGCACTGTGCAAGAAAATCAACCCGGACCTCAAAGTCAGGACCGCCGGGTTCAACGTCATGGACTACTCCGCGGTGGACGAGTTCGTCCGGGCGACGACCGAAGAGTTCGGCAAGATCGACGTCATGTTCTTCAACGCCGGACGACCTCCTCAGTGGCTGGCGACCCACGAGTCCGACCCCGGGGTCTGGTGGGAGACCCTGGCCGTGTCCATGCAAGGGTCGTTCAATTTCGTGAGGGCCGTGCTGCCGTCGATGAGGGAGCAGGACGGGGGCCGGATCATCATCACCTCCAGCAACGGCGCCCACGCGTCCCAGGGGATGGGAGGGTACGTGGTCGGGAAACTGGGGCAGGTCCGGCTGGTCGAGATCGTCCACAACGAGAACAAGGACGCGGGGGTCAAGGCGTTTTGTTTCCACCCCGGCACCATCCAGACGAGGTTCTTTTCGGACTTCAAGGACGCCGCCGAGGGCAAGATCAAGGACCGGAGCTACGTCACCAGGCACTTGCCCGGAGAGCAGAAGTCGGCCGAGATAGCGGTCAGGGCCTTGGAGTCCAAGGGCTTCCACACGCCTCAGATGCCGGCCGGTTTGGTGACGGTCTTGGCGAGTGGACAGTTGGATTTCATGTCCGGGAGGTACCTGGACGCCTCGAAGAGGATCGAAGATTACCTGGCCGACGCGGACCGGATCGTCAAGGACGACCTGCACAGGGTAAGACTGATCGTCGACAAGGAAAATGGTGTCTTTGTGCCAGAGGGGCAGGATTGAACTCGACAAAAAGAAAAGCGTATAGTCCATGTGCTGTATGCAGATATCTATCAGATGAGGTTTCTCTATCCGAATGAGACGGTGAAAATGTTCGAATACATAGTGAACCAATACGAATTGTGCACGACGAATTTGCTAGAAACGAGATCGTACGCCCAAAAAAAAACCAATAACTAAAATATGCCGAGTCTGTCCTGATTATTGCAACGACACTTTTTTCCCCGACGAGGCTGTGTTCATGTCTTGGTAACTAACTGTACGAGGTTGTTGGTCATGGAGAAACCCCCAGTCGACCTCGTGCGTCCGTCCCTGAGAACCCTGGGGAAACTTCCCAAAAGAGTATGGTCCAGAGTGGGGTTCTTCTTCTTCCCCCAGTCTCGGTTTTCGGCTTCTACCTAGGTAGATATCCGAAGGTCGAGTGGACTGACACGACTCTGGTCCAGGTCATGGGGGGTAAAGAAAAATATTGGGTGAATCCGAAAGTCAATATCAGGTTGTACAAATAAATCATTTGTACAAGGCCTGTTCTCGTAGGGGCTTGTTCTAGCAAATCTACGTGTAACTCTCCGGAACCACGACAGGAGAAGAAGGAATCCGCCCCGACATCTTTTTTGTTTTTGTTTTTTCAATATAAAATAAGTACTTGACCAGTTGATCTGTCAACATTTGTTGTCCATATCCAAGATGACTGAAACAAAAACTTCAAAGATACAAAAGGTACGTTTTGGTATTATAGATGCTTCAATTGTGGCACATGGAATGACTGGAGAGAGAGAGAAAAAAAGAAAACTGACACCCCTTTGTTGTGTTGAAGATTGTCATCGTGGGAGCAGGTCCTTCTGGATTGATCCTCGCTTTGCTTTTGGGGCAGAAAGGGATCTCCGTGGACGTCTTGGACGCGTCTACGAAACTGGACGAACAACCTAGAGCGACCCATTACAATTCCCCAGCCACCCACGTCCTACAACGTGCCGGTGTGCTGGACGAGATCCGAGCGAGGGGTGTCATCTCGGACCGCATCACCTGGAGGAAACCAGATGGAGAACTCTTGGCGGCGTTGGACCTCAACTCCATTCCGGAGGAGAGCCCTCAAAGAATGGTGGCGTTGCCACTGAACCAAGTCAGCACGATCGTGGTTCGACACCTCGAGTCGATCCCGTCGGTCAAAATCAAGTGGTCTCACAACGTCGTGGACGTCGGGCAGGATGACAAAACCGCCTGGGTCGATGTCGAAACCGCAGACGGCAAAAAGAGGGTGGAAGCCGATTACATTGTTGGGTGCGACGGTGCCAACAGCAAGGTTCGCCGCGCCTCGCAGGGTGACATGAACTTCCCTGGCAGGACGTGGGATGAACAGATCGTGGCGACCAACGTAAGTGCCCTCCCCTCATCTTCCTGACCGATGGGTCGTATTGAAGCGAGCACTCACTGCTACAACGAGCACGCTGAACGCCGCAATGCTCATTGACGTTGACTGACCCTTATCCTGGTTGTTAGGTATATTACGACTTTCATCAATTTGGCTGGGACGATGCAAACTTCATCATCCATCCGGAACACTGGTTCATGGCTTCCAGGATCAGCACAGACGGACTCTGGAGGGTCTCTTACGGAGAAGTACCCGGGCTCACTCGAGAAGAATATCTCGAGCGTCAGCCGTGGAAGTATGAAACCATGCTCCCCGGACATCCGAAACCAGACCAATACAAGATTACCAACATCAGCCCTTACAAGATCCACCAACGGTGCGCCGAGAAGATGAGAGTGGGAAGGTTCCTCCTCGCTGCAGATGCCGCACATTTATGTAATCCCTTGTACGACGCGACCCTGTGGCCTTTTTATCTTTTTGGATGGGTAAAACTTGCTGACCCAACGTTCACAGCGGCGGACTCGGCTTGACAGGTGGATTGGCCGATGTCGACAGTCTCTTCGACTGCTTGATGGGAATCCACACGGGCCAAGCGGATGACTCGATACTGGATAAATACGACGAAGTGAGACGTGATATGTGGCATAAATTCATTGATGTCGTCTCTAGCGACAACCTTCGCCGTCTCAACGGTCAGAACCCAGACAAGGCTTTGGAGAATGACACTGTTCTTCAGAAACTCAAGGAGTCTGAGAAAAATCCCGAGATCGCTGCACAAATACAGCTGGTAAGTTCGGCCCCAAAAAGAAAGTGATTTCTCATGAGACTTACTTACTGTGTTCATCAGAGTGGAAACATGATACTGCGCGACTTCACACAGGATTATACTGTCCCTAATGTGTCGGTTTAAACCACATTTAGAAGATGTGAAGCAGGGCCTCTTTTTGGGGAGTTGTAGTCTACAGGTTTGGAAGGAGAGCGAGTGAAGTCGGCAGGTAGGGAAGGGCATCACGCAGTGCTTATTTGGGTACAAGGAAGGTAGTTTAAAGCCTGTTTCTATCATTCGAATCATTTATTCTCGTGTTCGATAACTGCGACAGCAGTGCCACCGTCATTGGGCAAGCCACCTAAGAAGTCGACCTTCAACTCGTACAATCCCTTCAGACCCTCTTCACCCGCCGCGACGACTGTGCCAATATCTTGTTCACAATCAAAGTATTTACCCCTCAGCGCCTTTCCTCGACCAGCGGCTAGGAAGGCGCATGTCTGAGCACACTGGGCCGGTGGACACTTGAACAGCTTGTGGAATTGAGCCCATTTCGCAGCCTCTTGAGGGTATGCTTCTGCGACGTCTGGGTGGAACGACACTATATTCAATCAGACGACTGACTTGGGAAGTAAAAACACGTCAAAAGGATACTTACGTGAAGGTTGACTCAGTGTGGCACCTGGATGCAGAGCATAAACGTGGATGTTGTCGCCGAATCCATCCATTTCCAGCTCCTTTTGTATACACGACACTGCTCGAATGATGGCGCCCTTGCCGGTGCAGTACGCGCCTCCAAAAGGCATGGGGACGGTACCTGCTCGAGAAGCGATGTTGATGATACATCCTCGACGACGTTGTCTCATACCAGGCAGCACCTGGAAAATACATGCCATGGCCTTGAGTGAAAGATTAGCAATGTTCAGAAGAGAGGGGACGCGACTCTTTCGATGTTGTCATGACGAGGAAGGACATACTGGTTTTAAATTCATCTCGACACCGCTCCAGAAGGATTCAAAAGTTTCCATACAGAAAGGACGACGTGCATTGGCACCGACGTTGTTTACCAAGATACTGGACAAGGTCAATCAGTAGGCATGAAGAATGTCGACGTAGATCACAACTCACTCCACAGGACCCAGGTCCTCTTGAATGCTAGCAAAGGTGCGTTCACAAGACTTGAGATCCAACACGTTGCAGGCATAGGGTCGAGCCCGTACACCATGCTTCTCACATGCTGCTTTTGTTTCGGCCTGACGTTCTTCGTCCAAATCCAAGAGGGCAACATCTGCTCCAGATTTTGCCAATGCCTCTGCGATTGCAGCTCCAATACCTACAAGGTCACATTAGGAAATGCTTCATGGGGACATACAACCAAGGAGTATACCAAGGTCTGTGTGACCTCTTTGCGCTAGAGGGTCACAAAGACCAGGTACAGGGGTCATGTTTGGGACAGAAACTCACCACGTGCAGCACCCGTGACCACGGCCACCTGTCCCTTGTTCGCCTGACCTATGGTCTCGGGGGCAATGGCAGGATAGACGCTAGTATGAAGTTGAGGTCGAGACATGGTTGACTAACAGGGAAAATAATGATTGTCTTCCGGTGACTGTTTTTTCTCGGCTTGCCAGGGCCCTGTAATTAGGTACCTAATTGCTGGGAAGTTTGGTGAGTACTCAAGCGAACAACGGGGGCCGGGGCTTGGGAAGGGCATTAACCACCTAAGCAGCACCGGGAACTCCCCAGGGCTACCCACGCAATCCAGCATTATCCGATACCTGGACCTGGGGATTTTGGAGAAAGGGCTTAGTGATCTTTAGCGACGGCTTTTGGGGCATTGGTTGGGGAATGATACCACACCTACGGAGATAATGCTGGGCATTCGTACGCCGGCACGTCGCTTATACCAACCAGACGCTGGATCCAACTTCCCGTGTATTGTATCCCGCTTCCCAAGTCCTAGTGAGGTGCCTTGGGCAACTATCGGACCCAGGCTATGCAACTCAAGGCCCGCGAGGTTTGGTTCGAGGCCATATGACTGTCTCCGCTTCCCCATGCGTCATATCCATTCAACTGCACAGTACGTTGTACGGAGTACCCTGTTGTTAGGGGTTTAGCCGGGGACCCCTTTTGCGCCGCGAAGTCCAAGCACACAGGTCCCACGGTGACCAGTGGATCAGAAAAAAGACAGAAGACTCTAGCTAGTTGGTTTCCAAACATCCATCGCTTATATTAGAGGCAAGGTAGGTCGTCTTTTCGGTTTTGATCGATTTCTCGAATCCATAAACAACAACCCCCAGGCACGTCCTTTTTCCGCAGAGTAAAAAAAATATGGATACAGACAAGGAAGACTTTTCCACCGCCATGAGCGACCTCAAGGATGACGGTAATAAGGTCGAACATGCCGATGGCATCGATGGACAGCCTGCTCCTACTCCAGAAGAACTTCGAGCCGTACGTCGCAAGATCGATTGGCGTCTCATGCCCATCATGGTGGGTACATACGGCCTACAGTTCTATGGTATGTCTTGTGCTTTTGCTCGTCAAAAGGGGCTGGAGTACTGACGGTTGTTTTTTCTTTCCACAGACAAAACGGCTCTCAATCAAGCTGCCCTCTTTGGTATCCTTCAAGACCTCGACCTCGTCAAGGTCACCAAGATTGGCGCAACGACGGTTAGCAACACGGAAAGATACTCTTATGGTCAGTATTCAAGTGGTCGCGACGCCGTGTTTCGCAGTTCACGATGATCTAACTATTAATGTAGTCGGCATGGCGTTCTATTGCGGTTATATCTTGGGTGTCTATCCCATTACCTTCCTGGCTCAGAAGTATCGTCCTGGCAAAGTCTGTGCGGCCATTGTCTTCTTCTGGGGTATCGTTGAACTCCTGTAAGTTGTACCGTTCGAGGATATTTATGCCCTGACTGCAGTCGCTAACTCAACCCAACAGTACTATTGCCTGCAAGGATTTCTCCGGTTACTTTGCTCAGCGTTTCTTCCTTGGTTTCCTCGAGGTGAGTTGTGACGTCTAGAGCCTTTGGGTTTCAACCTCTGTTTTCTCGTTGGCCTTTTTACTGACCTGGGGTTCTGGTACAGTCTGGTGTTGGTCCTGCCTTCGTCATCGCTTCCAGCCAGTGGTACACACAAGCCGAAAGTGCTCTGCGTATCGGTATCTGGTTCACCGCTTCCAACGGTGCGGCTTCCATGATCGGACCCATCATCAACTACGGTTTTGGCTCGATCCACGGCTCCCTCGACGGGTGGCAAAACATTTTCCTCTTCGCCGGTCTCTTGACCCTCTTCTGGTCGCTCGTCGTCCTGTGGCTCATGCCGGACGACCCGAAGAGGGCCAAATTCTTGACCGAACGAGAGCGCTTCGTCGCGCTCGAGCGGGTCCGGGACAACAACAGCGGCCTGGTCGACCAACACATCAAGCCCAGCCAGATTTTCGAAATCGTCCGTGACCCGGCGGCGTTGATGCTCATCACGCTCATGTTCTGCGCCTGCGTGTCCAACTCGATCGTCGGCCTGTTCGCCAGCATCATCATCAAGAACCTCGGGTTCAACAACCTCCAGTCCATCTGCCTCCAGATCCCTGCTGGCTTCTTCGGTATCCTGTGCGGTGTCCTGCCCATGCTCATCGTGCTCAAGACCAACAAGTGGCGCACCACCGTCATCAGTGTCCTGACCACCGTATCCATCGCGGGTACCGCCATCCTCTACGCCGTCCCTCGTCACCTGGTCGGCGTCGTCCTGCTGGGTTACTACCTCAACAACTGCTACACGGGGACCCCCGTGCAGGTGCTCGCCCTGGCCGCGGCCAACATCGCGGGACACACCAAGAAGTCGACCCTGAACAGTTGCATCTTTATTGCCTTCTGCGCCTCTTCCATCATGAGCCCCCTCATCATGAACGCCAAGGACAACTACAAGTCCGGGTTCTTGGGCATTCTCATCTGCCAGGCCTACAATATCGTCGCCGCCCAGGTCCTGCGGTACATCTACCATGTCCGCAACAAGAGCAGGGACGAGAAGTACGGTCCTCAGGCTCCTGGTCACGCCTTTACCGACGAGACGGACCTTCAAAACAACAACTTCCGTTATGCTTGGTGATCGTACCGAAGTACGGATTACAGATCACGGGCACTTGTTCATTGGCATCAAATATTGGGATGGTCTCTTTCGAAATTTGACACGCTACCCTTTGAAAGTCTTACACCCTTCAAGTGTTGATCAAAGTTTGCAACTCACTGCATGCACGCTTTTTGGGGTTTCTTTTCGGGGCGGGCCAACATCAGCATGGACATTTCTTGTGTGTTGAGAGAATGAGTAGATTTACGATTGCCCTCGAATTCATGAGATTGGATACCATGTGACGCATATCAAGTTACTACTTACCCTACATAAGCATGACTAGCAAGTCTGTCCACAACAATAGATTCATTATTATTTTTACAAGGAAAGATTCAATCATATTGGGGTAATTTTGCCACAAAGTCCCTGTCCGAGTAGAGCTTTCTTGGAGCTTGACTTGTTTTGAAGTGGTGAGTCCGTGCTGGTGGTGGTTCACGTCCGCGTGTGGTACGGCCGGGAACGTACAGTATGTACAGCGACAATACCTAGGTAGCTATGAACGAGTAATGCCCCCGAGAGCCATGTGGCCCAAAAAAAACGACTCGAACCAACAAGCCCAAGGCCTAATAGATGGAAACGAAACGCGTGGGTCATTGACTTCAAACATCCCAAAACTCGGTTACCCCTTACGGTATACAAACCCAAAGGGGTTCCTTGTCGCCCAACGAGCAAAAGTTGGTGCCCTGAGGGTGTGGTCCATTATCTTGTACTTATTACACACTGTACATAAGAAGTAATCCATTTATGCGAGTACGGAGGAACTCGATTTGTATTGAAGATCTGTACCGTATAAGGGAGCACTGTAGTACGGGAAGGCGGGAGATGGGGAGGTACAAGGATTGGGGGGGACACACTGTGTTTAAAAACGAAAGGAGCTCAATCTGATGAAGTTGGAGGGTGAAAGATGAGTGATTCTGCACAGCTACTTTACCATAACAGTAGGTACTGTACCAGCGTTGCACACTCGGTGAATGATATATATCTACACATGTATTGCCTTGGTGGACTTTTAGACAGATTTTCTTCATGTAACCTTTGTACGTGGAATAGAATAGGTCTACTGATAATGTCATGCAATCAATGTATACTTTGGCCCTGAAACAAACAGCCTCCTTTGGAACAAGGAGGAGTAAAAAACACGCACACAAAATCTAGATACCCAATGTCGTAGTAGCAACAGGAGGTACAGGTTTAGCATCCACATTCGGTGTTTTTGAGCTCCCTTTCGAGGGGGTCTGTCCCGTCGTGGGCCAGTATTGTTTGAAATCGTGTCTGCAAGGAGAAATCGAGAACGTCAGCCAAATACGAATGATCCCCAAGGGGATATGTGCCTGGGAACTAGTTCTTCGCTTCTTCCAACTCACCCAAGTGTATAAGCATTCATCAACATCTTTCTTCTCGCCTCGGGGGAACTGTTCAAAGTCTTGAAGAATTCCACCTCCGAAGCCTTCTCTGGGTCGGTGTCTCTCAACAGGCAGGTGTTGTTATAGCTGACTTTGTGAGTGACATCGTGGTACTTTTCTCTTCGGACGTCGGCGTATTTGGTCAATAAGGAATCGTCACATCCTCTTCGAAGCACGCCGACGAGAGAATCTGCGAGGCCAGCAGCGTCGCAGATACCCGTGGTCAAACCCATACCTGTCCAGACGCCCCTGTCAGAATGATCGTCACAACCTCCATGTCCCCTTTCGGGTCATGATTTTGGGTTTTGGGGGGGTTTTTATTCTCGTGCTTACCTCCAAACGGTGCGCACGCGTGTGCCGCGTCACCGGCCAAAAGAGATCTTCCTTTCCGATACGAAGGTGCAGAACGTTGGTGAATTCGATAAGGGCTGACCATTTCAATCTGGTACGAATCCTTCTTCAACGGTTTAGGACCGGGGAAAAGAGCCTCGAACTTGTCGTGTACGTTGGCCAAGACTTCTTCCCTCGTCAGCTCGTCCTTTTCGGCGTACGAGACTCGCCATAGTCCCGTAGGGTCGATTTTGGCGATCAGACAAAAGTGGTCCGGGTGGACGACGAACTGGCTCCGTGCGAAGCCGTGGTCCTTGAAAGGGTAACGGACATTACAGGCTACCAGCCATTGTGGGAGGGTGAAGCCGTCGTACGTGAGGTCCAGGAGTTTCCGGACTGTCGACCGCCCACCGTCGCAGGCAGCCAAGTACTTTGCTGATATTTCCTTCTTGCCTCCGGGCGTTTCGACCGTCGCGATTATAGATTCCGACGTCTCCTTGATCTCGGCGAGTTTATGGTCGAAAAGCATCTAGAGGAGAGGGTCAGTGGAAGGTGCCTGGGGGAACTCGAGATCTCATATCTCGACTCGAACTGACCTTTGCCCCCTGGCACTTTTCCACGTGGCTTTTCAAGATCTTGGCCAGTTGATACTGTCCGCAGATGACCGTGTCAAAGGACCCCGGTATTCTATCCTCTGGCTGGAATTCCGCAATCAATCTGTTGTCGATGGTGATCCACCTGAGGCGGAAGTCGTAGTCTGATTTCTCCATACCGACCGCACGTGCTTCAGCGGCGACACCGGCTCTCTCAAGTTCGATGACCGCCGCCGGGCCATATGTCATGGCTCGAGGAGACTCGTCGACGTCTGGTAAGGACTCGATCAGGGTCACGTCGACCCCTTCCCTGGCGAGGAGGAGGGTGGTGAGAAGCCCGACTGGGCCTGCACCCACGACGAGCACTTCGCAATCCGTCGAGCCGGCCATTTGATGCTGGGTCTTGACTGGGATTTGATACGGGTGTGGGTTCTGTTCGTATTTTGTCGCAATGTGGTCGACTCGTGGTAGAATGTCAAGGATATAGAGGGGCCGAGGTTTGTCGGATTGGGGCTTGTATACACGCCGATCAACGTATCATCTCAAACACGCAGTGGCCTGAGGCTCTCGTCCAAGTTCGTAACCAATGCGCCTCGAGGCCTCTACAGTGGAATGAGCGTGTTGATTTTGGAGAAACTCTTTTTTTTACAGGGATATATGAAGAGGGGGTACTCCCGTACTCCGTACAACAACGCGGATAATTGGGGTAATTCGGCGACGAATGGGCGCCACTCTCCAGGGGTCCGAAGGCTTTATTAGGGTTACGGCCCCTAGATGGCCTAGTGAAGCCTTCCCAGTGACCACCTTTAAAGCCTTGAAATGGGTCAAGCACCTACATGCACGCAGGAATTCATTCGAACAAAGAGGGGTGTTATCCCTTCTCTCATCTAACATACCATACTCATGCTTGAACTTCAGAAGGTAGCCTATATCGAGACTAGTAGGAAAAAATCGGCCAAGTAATGAGGGTCACTAGGGACCTGTGCGAGGATACTCTAGTTTCCATGGGCACTCAGGAAGACTAAGATTCGTCTGGCATTCACCGGATTGTTGGCTCCTCCGGCCTCGATGCTATAAAGTCAAGCATGATGAAGTTGGCACTCGGGCTGTGGTACAGGGAGTACGAGGGCCAAGGAAATCAAATTTGGTTATGGTTTCAGAGGCTTTGAGATCCCTCCTGAAGGTTCAACACAAAACGCCTCATCTCACAGCCTGAAGGCCTTGAACGAGGCCACCGACATCATGCACAGAGCCTAGTAAACCGTGCCTCTAGCCATGTAGTCTAGCAAAAGCCAAACAGGACGTCCGTCGGATTCATCAGATCTTAATTTCACCGGGAGGTGTGATGTCTCCCGATCAATCCTCAAGCAAGTGTCTGGCAATGTCTACATCGTACTCTTGAAGTCGGAGTTTTGCCGTACGCCAGCTCCACGGTTCTTGCCGCCCAGCGAGATCCAGTGCATCGCAGTTTCTGTCAGATATCCGAGTTGACCCAGTTGTGCTCCATGTATTCAGCCACATGGCAGACCTGCATTGTCGCCCCATGATCTGAGATCATGAGAATGATTAGTTCATTCTTATTACTCCGTATGCCCATCGGGGCACGAATCTGGAACTGCATCTTTTGCTCCAACAAATAAATGTCTTTCCCACGTTGACCGTTTGATGTTGGGGACAGATTGACCATCGTCCAGTGCAATGCGGGTCTGTTTCTGCCCACCTTGCAAGACACGGTTCTTTTCTTTGTTTTCTGATATAGCTCCGGATAAACCCCCAGGGTTTTCCGTCTTCACACCATCAAAATGCATTCATTAACAGGATCATTTCAATGATACAACGTTCGGAAATGTTCTTTTTGTGGCATACTGTACTCTGTGAGGAGTAAGTATCAGTATTCCCCCAATAATTGGAGAAAGCGTACACTATGCCTAGAATAATGGGATTCGCAGTACGGAGTACAGATAGTAGGATTGATACAGTACTGGGATCTCTCGGACTATCCCTTGCGGTTAAACCCCATGAGTGCCGACGGGAAGCCATTGAATAAAAAGAGAAGCGGTATGCGTATTGCACACACCAGTCTTGCCGTATAGCCGGACTTGACGTTTCTCAATCGTGACCCTACGTCTGCCAGACAATACTCTGCACCTACCCTTCCGGATGTTCGGAACGTGAAATAGTTCACTTGTGTTTGGGGGAATTCGTGGGGAGAGGTCTAATCGCCAATCTGGTTTATACACATATCGGCGGAGACTTTAAAATATGTCCTAGTAAGACAGAGGTGGAAGTTCAATCCTGGCGTGGGGCCCGAAGAGTCGGGGCAGTATGCGTTCTGCTGGCACGGGTTTCTCCAGAGCGTTCGTAGTGGTAGTGGTACTACGATGAGTCTCTACGATTGCTGGTCCTAGGCCGAGTCTCTTCAAGAAGAGTCCCTAACTGTGTAAGACAAGCTTCCAAGACTGGTAGCTTGAACATGCTCACGAGCATCGTCGCTCTCGGTGCGGTACTTGGGGCTGGAGCATAACTCGGATTCAGCCACCAGTGTACTGGTATATCAACAACGTGGGATAGAAAGTGGTCACAGCGAGGTCCACGCAAACAGGTGAAACTCATACGGCGAATAGGGAATGGAGAAATCAAGGATGAAATATATCTTGTAATTTCCTTTCATTTGATACACAGTAACAGTGTTACATTAGAGATTGTATGTCCGTCCTGGCCACCTCTTTCGCCGAGTAGGTCCGAGGTCAACATCCTATTCCCACCTTCGTCAACGCCTGAGAGTCCGCAATGACCCTTGATGGGTAATCTAGTTGCTGAACTGTGTTGGAAAGCCGCAGTCAGTATGTTGACGCAGATGTCATGATGGTCTGATTCTAGACCAACCTTTTCCGGGACATTCTTGCCCGTAGCCTTCTCAAACATCCCTCGAGCTGAGTCGGTGATCTTTTCGTTCATGCCGCGGGACTTTTGAGGGTCGATCTTGCCTGGAGTGAAAGTGTCACTAACGAGTGCAGACGACCAGGGAACATCTATCACCCGGTGGTGCTACATACCTTGTCCGAACTTCTTCTCAGCGGCATCGAGACCTACAACAACAATAATCAATCGCTGCGTCAGGGACGGGGCGACGGCATAGACACCGAAACATACCCTTGTCGAGGTAGTCCTCTTTCTGTTCAACGCCTTGTCCTTGTCCTTGGTTGTTCATGGCGTCTGGATGTCTTGGGATTGATTTGAGGTGATGATGTTTGGAAAGGTCTGTGAGAGGTTGTTAATAAGTCGATTGGAGTGAGAGAAAAGGAGGGGGGAGGGAAGCTGGATGCTATATACCCTAAGATACTCGCAAGCTATCTCGATAAATCGATAGCTATGGCATCATATTCAGCTCCTAAATGGCCCAACCAAAGGGTGCGATGGGGTTTAGCCCATGCTGGAATGTACATCATAGCGATCATCGCTCCATTTATGTGGGTTATGCTACGATAAATCCGGAATTAGGCGAAGGGCTTCCGCGTAGTAAAGGGCAGTTGATTGGAAGGTTCGTGTCGCAGAACAAGGGACAAAGCTTGCTGGAGTTGAGCGAAGCCATGGTAACTGTTGTACCGGTTGGGCGATGCACATGCTCGGAGCGAGAGACAACGACGTCATCGAGTCTGCCGATCAAGGAAACTCTGACATCCTGACGCTAAGTCATATCTGGTATAGTTGAATATCATGTGACCTGAGATTTGGCCCATGCGGCGACTATTCTCTACATACAAGCAGGTAAGTTGTTGAGGAAAAGGAATCTTCACGTACATGATCAACACAACTATGTTCAAGTTACCATGAATTATACTCGTACGCTCTGCATGCATAGCTAGTGAGTTTCTCAAACCCTTTCTGGAAAAATTGCCCAGATCTTGTATGAAATCATCACGAACTGGCCCGTACCATGAGTTATCCCGCTCGTCCTGATCGCTCGATCTGGAACAAGCGTTCACTTAGAGCCACCAATGTTGCTGTACAGTGGACTGTGCCTGGGTCACCCAAGACTTCTCGTAAATCTTGAAAACATAGCAATGAGATGATGCCTGGTATAAACACATGTACCCGTCGAGACGACAACATCAAGTGATTAGCATTCCCAATTTCCAGAGCACTGTCGGCGCTGGTATTTCCTCAAAGTTGGTACAATATCCCGACATCAAAAACTGGAAGCGATACTCAGCCTGAATACCACTCGTTGTACCTTAAGGTCCTCTCGAGAGGTAAAGGTCTCTCAACTGCAACACTCATACCGTTCGCTGTTTCTCAGGGAGAAAACGATGGAGTCCGGATGTGAAAGCGCGAGTTCAAGTGCGGACTTACACCACAGAGGATCTCGCACCGACTCCGTACATTCAACTTCGATCTCTGATCCGCAAGCCCAATGAGGAATGCGAAGACGGATACCCCGGAGCCGTACAAGCAAACGCGCATTGAAGAGCCTCGGTGGTTCCCACCGCTGATCGATGTGACAGAGAGTTGCCGCAGACTCGACAATTGATACCAGCTTGTTTGGTAGTAGAGGAGGTGGCTTGCCCCCTGTGCTAAATAAGGAAGTCCTGGGCAATCCCTCACCAAGTCGAGAAGTCAGCCCCGTTTGTTCCTGACAACCGAGGAAGCGACGATTCTGCAGACCTAAATGGGAACAGCTTCACACATTTTTCACGCTTCCGGTAAGTTATAGATGAAAGGGGGATTTATTCAGCCACAGATGCGGGAAGCTGAGACGCTGTTTACGGAACTGCAAAAACCCGAAGCTTCGCCAAGCATTAGATCCACGTGATGCGAGCCTTGGCCTGGTCAGCCTTTCGATCCCTGAAACACTGAATCAGCCTCACCATCTTTCGGTTGCTCACGTTTCCGGGGGGAAACACCTCTTTCTGAAGTCATCGAGAGACGCTCGGATGTCTCATGCAGTTCCAACCCCGTGCTCAGTATCCTAATCGAGCCTGAATCCTCCTGTTTGGGTTAGGCGACAACACTTTGCCTTAAAACCGGCGTCTTCCCTTTTCTCAGAATCACTCCCCCGGCCTCGTTGCTCGTCGCTTGCAAATTGCAGTGGTCAGAAGCAGAGACCCTCTTCTGCCACTCTCGGTCAATTCACAGATCCAAACTCTTTGCCCGGAGACTGTTAGATCCATCTGATCAGGCGCTGAATACTCGTTTACTAGGTGAATCTAACTTTCTACCGCCTAGTGCACGTCTATCTGCTCCGGATATCTCATCAGCCGCACATTTTGAGGCTCCTGGCCTTTCTTGGTGTTCTTCTCTGACACCTTACTATATTGAAGACTGAAACGAAAAGCTCTCGCCTTCTGTATCATGATTTGTAGTAAGTCAGCATTTGCTAGCGGCCCGATTGACTTGGGAGACTTCGGATCTTAGCACTTCCATGATCGTGGACTTTGCTCGACGAGTATATATTCACCTTCGGTTCGATCTCAATCAATCTCCATTTCCACAGCACGAGCAGCTTCATTCCTTTTCACAGACTTTTGACAAGTCTTCTCCAATCTTTCCCTTTCAGGCTTTTGATAAGTCTTTTCAGTTCTTTTTTGCCTTGTGCCGGACACTCTCATTTCACCATTTGACTGGATCATATTTTCTACTTCCGTTCAGAAGCCAAAAGTTCAGCATCAAAATGAAGTTTTTCACAATCTCTGCATTGATCGCCCTTACCGGCTTGACGCTGGCGGCTCCTATTGACCCCCCGAAGGGTGCTCCTCAGGGGGCTCCCACTAAGGGTGCTCCTCCTAGAGGTCCCCCCGGGGGAAAAGGTTCTCAATTCTCCCAGAGTGATATCACCATTCTGCAATTTGCCCTGACTGTACGTTTTAAGATTTCGATTTACTTGTGGCTGTACCTTCTAACTCGCCACCCTTTTTAGCTTGAACATCTTGAGAATACCTTCTATCAGGAAGCTTTCAACACTTTCAAGTTGCAGGACTTTATCAACGCTGGTTTCAGTGAGGAGTTCTTTGTCAATATGCAATTCATCGCTTTCGACGAATCCACCCATGTCTCGCTTCTGCAAGCTGCAATTTCTTCTGCCGGTGTCGTGCCTGTCCTGCCTTGCACGTACAGCTTCCCAGTCACAGATGTGGCCAGCTTCGTGACCCTCTCCGCGGTTCTGGAGAGCATCGGCACCAGTGCCTACCTGGGGGCGGCTGGCTTTGTCGGGTCCAAAGATATCCTCACCATCGCTGCGAGCATCATGGCTACCGAAGGCTTACACACCGCCCTCCAAAGAAGCTCGCTCGGTGCCATCGGTGCTCCCGATCCATTCTTTACTGTGAGTCTTGCTTGATTATAGCTTTGCTACAAACACTTATTTACTGACAATGCGATACATAGCCTCTTGACCCCAACTCTGTCTTCACGCTTGCAGCACAATTTATTACCGCGTGCCCACCTTCCAACCCACCGTTGCCATTCACGGCATTCCCAAGCCTCAAGGTTGATGCCCAACAATGCTTCGATGAGGTAGGAAGCTTCGGTGCCTCCCAAGCAGTGGCAGCCGTGTCTGCGACCGAAACCACTACTGCAAACTATGCCACCATGACCTGGGCTGACAGCACCGACACTTCCGTCTCTGACATCGCCGCCGCTGTTTCCACCACTGTTGATGTTGCAAGCGAGAGTGGTGCAGCCAGCGCGACCGAAACAGCTGCTGCCTCCGCCGCCACCACAACCACAGAAGTGGCTGCTGCAGGAACGATGCCTCCGATGCCGTCAATGCCCATGAGAATCCGAGCGCGCCAGGACGAAGCCAACGCCTCTACCGATTCTGTGGCTGCTGCTGTTTCTACAACTACTGCTACCGCCGACGCGGCTGCCGCCACTACGGTCGATGCTGCGGCTGTCAACTCCTCCTCCACCACCACTACCAGCGATGTCGCAGTCGCCTCCGCCACCGCGGTTTCTGCTGGTGTCGGCTCCGCTGGTGCTAGCTGCTCGGTCCTGACCGCTGGCAGCATGCTCAATCTGGCTCCTGACTTCAAGTCCGCCAAGAAGGACTTCAGCCGCGTCAAAGAGGTCTTTGTCACTTTCGTTGAAGGTTTGAACGTCATTTCCGTCGGGGTTGGCCTCAATGCCGGCATCATTGGCGGCGGCGGTGGCTTTGGCGCCCGCGTTCCTGCTGGCATTGGCGGTCAAGTCTTTGTTTTCATCACCGCCGTCGACATCTCCGGCCGGAGGCTCGGCGATTCCGACGTTCTCTTCGGCCCTGGTATCGTGGAGAGTAAGTTACTGGCCAAACTACAGGTTTATGATCCTACGCTAATTGTGTGTCACTACCAGTCGCTCCCTCGCTACCACAACTTGGATTTTAAAATGTTCGAGACCGGTTTTGCACGCCGATTATATGCATATGCTCGGCACCATCTTGTTTGCTTCATCAGGCGCTTTTTGTGGTCGTCCATGACTGACTACGAGAACAATTTGCACCAAAGTTTTTGTGTTGAGCGGAAAGGGATTTTCCGCTGGAGAAAAGGGGACGAAAGGGTTTCCGCGCACGAATCGGAATAAATCATGTGCGACCTCATTTAACTATTTTTGGATTCATCTGTGCAAGATCTGAGCAAGAGGAGATCATGCAAGGACTTTTTCCCTCTATCTTTCAGGACTCTCATTCACGAAATTATGGTTAACTTTTTTGTGTTTTTGTCTATTTGTATATGGCGCGAAAACGGGGGGAAAGCCCTAGAGCTCAAGGAGAGAGCTCAAGATACCCAACAATCCACAGAGAGAGGAAAGATCATTGGCCGTCTCGAGGGACAAGGCTAGAACAAAGAAAGATTGTGATGGAGAAGGGGAAGGGGAAGAAGGTTCAGAAGACGAGAGCGATGTTTGTCCATAGAGTCGAAAAGGTCTTTCGTCCAGAAAGGTCAATGAGAGATGTTGAACATCGGTCTTTTGCTAGTCGACTTGCGTACTCGTAAAATGTATTGGGGAGTGAAGAGAGGGAAAAAGCCATGAAGCAGCACCTGTCGTTTTCGTGCTCTCAGACGACCTCGTGAGGCAAAGAGAGACACTTTGTCATAGGTGTGCGTGTCTTACTTTCTCGAGTTTCGAGATTTGTTTTCTGAAGGCCATCGTCGTTACATCATCTGTCGAATGAGACGAGGTCGGTTTCACGAGGGAGAATCTCGCTTGCCTTCTTTTGTTTTTTCTTAGCGCGGAAGATGGGCTTTTGACAAGCATCTCTCTGCTCTCTCTCCGTACAGACCAACATTCTCGAGGGCGGCTGGAGAATTTCTTTCGCTAGCCCGAAAAAAAGAAAGAGAGAACAGATCTCGAGTGCATTTTAGAATCAGGCGACCCACGGAACCGGCGATTGTACCTTCGAAGCTCGAGATATGGAAAAAAGGACGTCAAGCTGCCTTACAGAGAAGACATTTTTGTTCCAATTCGTCAGGGTCATCGCAGCTTCGACATGGTTACTCTTGTAGAGCTACGGTCGCTCTCGTATTGGAGATGTGCAATGGGCGGCCAGTAGTGACACATGCAGGCCAACTCGCAGGTGAGTGATCGGGGAGTAAAGCGTTCTTCCGATTCTGGTCTTTGTGTTGGCATTGGAATCATGTAACTTTTCATTGGCTCTTCGGTGCGAGATCCCCCTATCTCCCTAGGTACAATACCTACTGTAGGTGGTCACTAAAATGTAACTAAATACCCCTCGTCAGGCATCGGCATCGACTCCGATCCAAAGTCCATGCAAAGATGCGGGGGAACAAACCGAGTGAAGTCTACAGATCATAGCTTTGCGCCCTCGAAAAGAAACACCTTCTGTTGATATGTGACACGAGTCTTTAGATTTCCCGTTTCCTACTCTGTATAATCTCTTTTCAACTGATTGACTCTTTTTCAAAAAAAGAAAAGACAGAAACACCCGATAATTCCACCAACTTACCACCTCCTGTCGGGGAGTGCGATTTCTCAACTGTCAAACAGATTTGATTTCATTGTCGACTTGTTCATAAAACGAAGGGTCATCAGACATTCGGAGCAGTGGGCGCCTCTGAACACTTTCACCGCATCACCCCGGTATAGCTAGCTAGCCACCATGGACAAAAAAGGAGGCTTCCAGGAAGCCCGGTATCTTGAGTTTGTACGCTCGTCCGAAACCACCGGCGTCGATGGGAAACCCATGTTGAACCGCTACTCGACCCATCTCACCCGCGAACATGACTTCCCTGGCGCCCAAGCCATGCTCTTTGGTGCCGGCGTGCCCGATCGACAAACCATGCAGACGGCGCCTCACGTCGGCATCGCCAGCGTCTGGTGGGAAGGGAACCCGTGCAACATGCATCTCTACGACCTCGGCAGGGAGGTCAAGAAGGCCGTCACCTCGCGCGGCATGTTGGCCTGGCAGTACAACACCATCGGGGTCAGCGATGCCATCACGATGGGCAACCAGGGGATGCGGTTCAGCCTGCAGACCCGCGAGATCATCGCCGACTCGGTCGAGACGGTGACGTGCGCGCAGGCACACGACGCCAACATCACCATCCCCGGCTGCGACAAGAACATGCCCGGCTGTATCATGGGCATGGCGCGCCACAACAGACCGAGTCTGATGATCTACGGCGGCACCATCGACAAGGGCTACTCCAAAACCCTCCGCAAGCCCGTGAATGTCGCAACTTGCTACGAGGCCTTCGGCGCCTACCAGTACAACACACTCAGACAGCCCGACGACGGCGGCGACACGTCCAAGACGAAAGACGACATCATGGACGATTTGGAGAAGCACGCTTGTCCCGGAGCCGGTGCCTGCGGAGGCATGTACACCGCCAACACGATGGCGACGGCCATTGAAACCATGGGCCTCTCCCTGCCCGGGTCGAGTTCGACCCCGGCGACGTCACCTGCGAAGATGCGAGAATGCGCCAAAGCCGCCGACGCCATCAAGGTGTGCCTCGAGAAGGAAATCACGCCCAAGCAGCTGTTGACCAAGAAATCGTTCGAGAATGCCCTCGTCATCACGATGGCGCTCGGGGGGAGTACGAATGCGGTGCTACATTTTCTGGCCATGGCCGTGACTGCAGGAGTGGAACTGACGCTCGATGACTTTCAAAGAGTCAGCAACAAGATTCCATTCATCGCCGACCTGGCCCCGTCTGGCAAATATTTGATGGCCGATCTGTACGAGATCGGCGGCGTTCCCAGCGTACAGAAGCTCCTCATCGCGGCGGGGTTGCTGGACGGCTCGATACCGACCGTGACGGGCAAGACCTTGGCCGAGAACGTTGCGAGTTGGCCCAGCCTGCCCAGTGACCAGGTCATGATCCGCAGCCTCAGCGACCCGATCAAGAAGAGCGGCCACATCCAAATCTTGAAGGGCAACTTTGCGCCGTCGGGTGCCGTGGCGAAGATCACGGGGAAGGAAGGGTTGAAGTTCACGGGCAAGGCGCGCTGCTTCGACAAGGAGGTGCAGCTCAACGAGGCCCTGAACCGTGGTGAGATTCCTCGAGGCGAGAATCTCGTCCTCATCGTGCGTTACGAAGGGCCCAAGGGCGGTCCTGGCATGCCGGAACAACTGAAGGCCAGCGCGGCCATCATGGGTGCGGGGCTCACGAACATCGCCCTGGTGACGGACGGCAGGTACTCTGGGGCGTCGCACGGGTTCATCGTGGGGCACGTGTGTCCTGAAGCCGCCGTGGGGGGACCGATCGCTCTGGTCAAGGATGGAGACGAGGTGACGATCGATGCAGAGACGAATTCCATCTCCGTGGACGTGAGCGTCGATGAAATGGAAAAGAGAAAAGCTGCCTGGACCCCGCCTAGGATGGTGGTTACCAGGGGTGCATTGGCGAAATATGCGGCCTTGGTCAGTGATGCTAGTCATGGAGCCGTGACCGATCTATTTTGATTGCCTTTTTTTTTGTACGGCAAACGAGACTCACCTAGTCTACCCGTGTTGTATCGAAGCGCGAGTTGGGGATCACCGGATGTAGTACTCTGCAGATACTTGTAACCATTCATGATAATTCCTCGTGCCCGTACACAGACCGTATATTCTCGTTTGATGTAATATTGGGACATTGGGATAGGAAGGATCCGGTGCTGAAGATGGGGGAAAAGTCTGCCAGGAGATTCAATCAGGGGTGACGAAGAATGGTGACTGCCTGGAGTTCAATGACGATGGAAATGCATGATGATAGTAGACTGGGTTGAGCATAGGGAAATCATCTTCACGCAGTCAATCCATGGGGATGTCTACGACATTCGATGCTGCCTGCACAGGGTAACCCTGTACCAGTGTCATCTCCTTCTTTTTCTCTCATTCTACGTTCTCCACGGCAATCTTTGCACAGTCGGGTATCCCGTCCATGGAAAATTCAGTACAGTCCTTCCCTGATCTTGATTGATACTTGACAAACAATTGTATGTACGAGTATCTCCATCCGTATCATGAAGTGAATATTCCAGTTACCAAAAGAAGCATCTGGACCGTTTTTACTTTTCACTTTCTCCCCGTGCGGCGGTTGAAGTTGAAGCGTCTGAAACTATTACGAGTCGGTAGATCCCAAAAAGATGTCAATACGCATTTGGTCCATACCTGATGTAGACATGTGTGACTCAGGCAGACAAGATATGATCAAGACCCTTGCTATTTGGCCGCTCCATACCGGGTATTAGCTCAAGGCTCCCTCGTGGTCGGTTCACTAGCCCGCCGGTCATTTCCAACGCCATACTCCGCAATATGCGCTGCGACGACAGTCATTGGTTATGAGTCTTGGTAATCAATACAAGCCACCAAAAGAAAAAGCTTGAATGAGTCTTTAATTATTACGGGGTTACTCTTATGACTCTTTTACCCTTTCCATGTCCTGTAAGGTACGAGTACCGTACTTCTGAAGGATAATGTCGCGTATTTGTAATATGGCCATTGCGAAGAGATGGGTACTGTCCAGATGTGTGTCATGCTGTACGGAGTACCGGTATTTTTCATACCCATACGCGAGTCTTTTTTCTATTCGCCCACAAAGCGACCCTGGACGAACCACTTTTACCGAACTCTTTGCTTACTCTTTCTCACTCAACTCTCACCACATTACATGGCAAATGTAGCGAATAGATCTCTTTTGGTACCGTGATTCGGCCTGTGATGGTGTGTGGTGATCTCATCCTCATCTCCACAGAACCCTATCCCAGCACGGCCATGGCAAGTGACGACCGTTCCCAGAATGAGTCAGATTTCATTCCCTAAGCCTTGTCCCTCAATACTCCGTATGACTACATCGTATGGAGTATCAACCCAAACCACCGCCTTCCTCTTTGGATACTAGATGAGTAGGGCCATCACAAGAGGGGCCTTATCGTTCAAACCAGTCGGTCCCCTTTTTCACCCATTCTCAAAAAGTTATGGACCCCCCTTTACAGACGACTGCCCCCAATAGGCAATCAGTATGAGAGAGAGAGAGAAAAGGCTATCCCGGAACTATGTATTGTACTACCTATGAATGTGTCACGGACCCGGTCACCACCAATGCTCGCGCGCCCTGTCATTCCGTTTTCTCGTTCGTATTCGGTTATGGTTTCTTTGGGTACGAGTACGAAACGACTACTCCGTAACCCAGCCGAAACGATACGTCCATACACCATCCCGTACGTTTCCATGACCTTGCAGGGTTCTTTAGGCCGAGACGCGGAATTGATGATCGCCTGGATACATGTCGTGGTAAGTTGAAAAAAAATGTGGAATTGGAATACCTAGTGATGGTTGTTGCCTGGTTCAAGAGTTCTTGCCAGTGGAGTCCGAAATTCGGCACCTACTCGTACTGTTCTATAGGTATAAAGGTGTGGAAGGATGCCTGAGAAGGAACTCGTGAGGCTCTACTCTTCTCTGTTCGATTGTTAATCTCAACATACTGAACATTCCCAGACAAAAACATCACAACACTTTTGGTATCATTCCACTCTTCCTTGGATCAACCATGAAGCTACACGGCGACCATTCAGAGTCTTACGTCTCGCAACACCGCGCCGCATTGACAGCGAGGTCTTCGGCAACGACGGCAACAACAAACGACAAGTCCACGGCGTCAACGACAATGTCTTCAACAAACGACAAAAACCCCAAGGAGTCGGCCTCCTGGGACGCCGCTTCCATCTCCACGTCATCCATTGCCAGTGAGAAAGAAAGGGCTCAAGCGGAGGCGAACAAGAAGCCGTCGTTGCTCAAAAGGGCCGTCACAGGTATGAAAGATACACTGTAACTCACCCCTCGAAAGATTCATTTCTCTTATCGCCGACACTGTTCGCTGACCGTGTAATATTATCACGTATAGCCATTAAAAACATTGAACCACCTGAGCCAAGGATCCCACCTGGACGTCGATACGATTTACCCGCTTGGTCACGATAGAGTCTTCTAAACGGTACTTGACATGTAACGAGTCATTCCATGTCAATTTGTCACCATGTCACGGGAGGATCTTGCATCAACAGTCAGGAAGGGTTTTCTTTTTCTTTTAGCAATGTTGTTTTGAAAATGCTTGATGATTTGGAAAGGAAAATTTTCATGTCCGACAGATTGAAACAATGATGGGATGATTTGAATGTACACCGGGAAAAGAACTACAAGGACAGACCAGAGCAGACCAAGGGCCGTAATTGTCATTGTCATGTTGACATGAAACAACATTGACAACTGGTCTTGATGCTCTGGTCTGGTAGAGGTTTCACTTGTCGACATCCGGAAGTTTTGTCTTTTTATCTTTCGACATTCGACATACCACACACACAGACACCACACAAAGGGGGAAAAAAGAACTGGGAGACTGTTTCTTTCTGTATAGGTCAATCATCTATAACGACTTTGTCATTTTCACAAATGGTCTGATTTTGCACAACACCAAGGGGGAAAAACTATGAGACAATACGGGATACAACATACACTCCGTCACTGATGCAGTCTATCAGATGGTCATCCAGAGTCCAACCATACTATCTCTACTATGGGTTATCACTTCTCAATGATGTGTGACACGGAGGAGGGGGAGTAGATAGTACTTCCTGTTGACTCCTTGAAGAAACTCATGTTTACAACATAATCCAATTGATTGTTGTACCGCGGCGGCGCCATCGATACCAAACACTATTTCTTTACCTTCATCTTTGTCTCAAGGTCCTCTCCATTCTCATTCATGTTTTGGCGCTCTTGTCACAGTTTGTTGTTTTCGTTCACGTTCAGGTTGCTGCCGCTTCGGTCACAACGCTCCTCTCTATTCACGACCTCACCTGCTCTCTCTCTCGCTCTCCTGTGAATCGTTCATTCCATTACCACGTTTTGTTGGCTCGGCACACATATTCCTATAAATATGTCCTCATTGTTTCTTGTTCCCCTTTCTCTTTTCTTTTTTTTCTCTTTTCAGCGAGGAGAAACAACAGCAACAACAGCAACACCACCACCATCATCAACAACAACAACGACAACAGCAACAGCAACCTCCTCCTCCTCCAACAACGAAAACAACAACGATAGCGACAATGACAAAGATCGTTGCGATTCTTCTCTGGACGGTCTTCGCCGTCCCCACCGCCCCCTACCTCCCTTTTGCCGTCTTGTCCGTCGCCTTCGTGATCGGAATGTTTCTCGCCACGGCGGCCTGTCTCGTCGGTCTCTGGATGGTGCTCTACGGCTTGGGCTGGGCATACAAGTGGCTGGACGAGCACTGGGACGGGTTCCAGAGCTGGGTCAACCTGGTGAAGTTTTTGCTCTGGGCCTTTGTGTTGGTGGGTGGTTCTCTCTGGGTGGTGGTCGGTTCCATTTGGTTGCTCGTTGCGGTGGTGGCGACCATTTGGAACATGTTCCGGTGATGGGGAGGGAGAGGTCTCTTTTTTTTGTGCCTTGGGGGGGTGGTGTTTGTGTTGTCGTGGTGTCTTTGTGGAGGGAGTGAGCAAGTTTAGAGATTTGAACATGGGGAGGGTTGACTCAATGAGAGAATAACTTGCTTGCTCCTAAAGGAACTGATCCTGTTTCATTTGACTCGACTCGTCCTTTTTTGATATTTGATCGCACGTCATTGCCATTTGTGAAATGTCGTGTGGACCGAGAACAGTCTCCCTCTCGTAAATCCCCATGCTGTCCTCCCTTCATCGACAATACATTGTCGATATCAATTTCCCATGTTCTTCATGACTGTTGTATTCCTAAACCTAATACCGTTGAGATGAGATGGGTCGACGACAACCACACAATAGTACAACTCAATAGACATTGACATTGGACATCGATCTCAGTGGTCATGGTGACGGTGACGATTATGGTGAAAAGTGAATCATCATAGTGATCTGATCCGAATGGCTCGGAACTTCACAGTTGAGAGATGGGATACGTTGTCTCAGTGTGTGTGTGTGTATACCTCGCCTACAAAAACATCTACAGAATCTCTTCAAAAGTCCCTTGTCGGTGCACGCGACTCTTTTTTCTTTTCGAAAATGATCCTCATCAGGCAAAGTTCTTTACTCTATTATCTATGCAAAGGAAAGTCCTATACGAACAGGGACCTCCTGTTCGGGGATGATCCCGCCGGGCGCCTGGCACGCCTTGTCACTAATAAGGAGAGAAATAATCCGTGGCTTTTCCTTTGCTGTACATGCCACTGTGACAAATATTCTTTGAATGGGAGAGAACTTTTTGTATTGTCGTTTTTATTTCACTTTCGTTTTGTCACTGTAATCCATGTGAAGGAAACATGGATTGGAAACTCTGGTTGATGATCGACCACCACCACCACCACCACCAGAAAGAAGCTTTTGGAGGGCAGCCTTGACGTTCTGGAAAGCTCCCAGGGAGCCGGGGGCAAGTAAGCAGAATGGTTTTGCGAGAACCTGTTGGCATTAAACAACGGCGTGATCTCTTTCGTCAACACCCTATAATATAGGTTCCGACCTTACTCATAATCTTTGCTGTGAGCAGTATATCATTCTCTCTCATGATTTCATGAAGTTCTGGCAAGACCAAAAAAATCTATTTGTCACCATAGGTAAAGCGCCTTGTAGCCCAAGCACTACCATGTTCCCAATACTCCTCTTTGGTGATGCCGTATTCTCGTACCACGGAAGGTAATCGGCTGGCCATTCTCGCACCACCAAGCCAGGTCGAGGTGACAGGATCTTTCATCTTTCGTACACGAACTTCCCATTCCGTCTTGACCTTCGCCCTCAGTTCCGCCTCGATACGTTCGACGAAACCCGGGATTTTGGCACATCCTCCCACGACAAGAACATTGCTCAGCATGGTGGCTTGCACGAGTGGAGGCAACACCGAGAGTGACTGCATGACAATATCCGGAATCCCAGGCTGCTTGGATCCGATATCACTCGGGGACATCAAAATCTCGGGAACGGCAAATCTCTCATTGCCCAGGGTCATCGTGATCTCCGAGTCGATACTGGCTCCAGCAAGAGCGGCTCGTTTGCGTTTCTTCGCCGCAGGGGTAGGATCGTGAGGACGGCTGAAGCCCTTGAGTAAATGTGTGCCATCCGGTAGGACATAATCGACCCGGACTTCTTCGTCTTGTTCATCAACATCCATCGAGTCGACATCATCACCATCCCGTACTTTCACGGGAGCCGGTGTTGAACGACCTTTGTTGCCCTTCCAGGTCTTCTCGAGGTCACCCCGGAAGTCTTTGCTCACGTAGCATACCTCCTCTTTGATATCGTTGACAATCTTCGTGTCTTGATGTAGATCAAAATGTCGCACCGAGATCATCTCTTTCAGTAAATTCGTCAAGTGCTTGCCGCCGAAGTCCAGACGTCGTATCGCTCGATGTAGAGGTCGACCTTTGTATAGAGGGGTGATGATGGTGTGACTGTAGCCGGCATCGATGACCATCAAACACTCCATGGGTGGCGGTGCGAGTGTGTCAGGGGTGGGCGCGGGCGCCTCTTCAAACAGAGAATGGAGATCATTGTAGGCGTTCAGCGACGGTCCTATCGCAAAACCTTAGTCTACCGGTCGAAGAGCGCACGCATAAAACTCAGCCGTACCTACCGATCATTCTAGAGTAGCCACCAAACCCCCATTCTTCCATGATGATTTCATCCGCATTCTTCTCGAGTGCTGGCATACTATTCGGTGGTTCCGTGACGATCAGCGTAGTTTCTTCGGGTCTTTTGACCAGAACATCCTTCCCAGCCGTCTTCTCGTCAAAGATTGATCGATCCCAGATCTCCTTCTGTGCTTCCCAACTCACGACCTGGCCATTCTCTACAGGTCGGCGAAACAAGGCTTCGCTCCATTGTGTTATTTCTGCACTCTCCGAGCCAACGTAGGTCTTTCTGTCTCGAGTTCTTACAATTGCGTTGGGTATTGTGTGACATCGAGAAAGGGTCGCGTCGTCGGTGCCTGGATCCGTGGGAGCGAAGCCTGCTTTTATTGTAAACCCTCCATTGTCGAGGACGAAAGTCGTAGAGGGGAGGCCTGGAACGTGACGTGCAGAAGCCTTAGGTGGGCGTGGCATGGTCTCTACTGTCAATCATGTTGCAACTCATCGATTCAACAAGTCGGTAGTGAGGCGCATAGCATTGCACGGAAACGGACCAAGGTGTGTTGATTCAGTTCAATAAATCACGAAAGATGAAGGGAGCGCGCCGCCACCAAAAATCCGCCAATGAACAGACGTAGAAGTTGACGTCTTTCCGCGACCGCAGCCTTGCGCAGCCTCGCGATGTTACAAAACCTCTCAAAGGTCGCAGCTCTCCTTATTTGAAGAAAGACGCAATCTGAGCCCTAGGACGTGAATGGCATGAGTCATGATCAAGTTCAGAATATGCCATCTATCTTGTTATCTCCACGAGGAGCAAAATATATATACAGTCTATTCGCCTACAACATGTTTATTTCCACCGAAGCTGGTTCGGGTAGCTTCGCTAGCTTGTGACTCGTTTACTGCTGGCTTCAAGTCTTCGGTGATGTTTCTCTCGTCTTTCCATGCCAGAGCAACGAATTTGGTGTGGCTGCCCCGAGCCACTATCTCATCCTTACTGTTCATGAACTTGACCGAGGTATAAGCAAGTGTCTTTCCAACTGTTTGAATTTCAGTATATCATTCCTCAACGCCGTGACGGACTGGATGCATTACACTTATCGCAGATGACCTCGCCCTTGATCAAGTCGCCTATCTTCCCGCCAGCGTTGAGATAGGTGACGTTCAGATCTGTTGACACGCCCGTCGAATAAAGGCCTCTGGATGCGAGTGCTAAAGAACCACTTGTGTCAACCATCGTAGCGAGCGTCGCGCCATGTAAAATCCCCAGTCGGTTCGTATGTTGTTTCTCAATCGGTAATTCGAAGTTGACTTTGCCTGGTTCGGCCGCCGTTATTCGCATCTGATCAAAATAACGTCAGACAGATCCTCGTTGCACGAACAGATCATTATCGCCTCGTCGTCGCGTAATGCTGCGCGTGGCTTGTTCAGAAAAGGAATAACCAGTTCAACCTACAGCATCGATCAATCTATATTATCTCAGCGAGCGGTTCATAGAAAGGAGAAAGGAGACCTACCGTGGCTCAACCCCAGAAGTCGTTCGAAACGACTCCCATACCTGGTGATGTTAGAGCCAAAGGAGCAGTGCAATAGTGTCATTTTGGGAGACGTACAGAACGAACGAACTTTAGAGCCGACATAGTTGGCTTTTGTATTCGTATTATAGCTCGTTACACCTTCGAACGAGTTCAGCTAAAGAAGTATGAAGTATTCCGTAAATGGGCTTGGAGGTGGTCAAGTCCGGATCCGGAGAAACTATGCCCCGGGTAAAAATGACGTTTGGCAGACTGAGGCTACTGAGGCTGCTGATAAACACTCCGTACTCGTGCAGCGCCCTACACTTAATGGCTACCACAGCATCGCTTTCCATAGCTGGAGAAAAGGGTGTTGTGGGAGTTGAGTATCATTATCATCATCGTAAACCTGTCTTGGAAGATTCTGATCAAACCGCGCCTGCCGGCTTGACATGCTGTACATATTCGGGCCCAAAATACAAGACATCTTCAATTCCTCCCCAACCTTCTTTCTGGGCTGTTTCCAGCTCCTTCTTTACGAGAGGGATAGCTTTCTGTAGATCTTGATCGTCAGAATGGTAACGCTCCAAATATAGACATATCGCTTGTCCTTGAACCACGGCTCGTGTCGACGCCCACCAGGCCCCTCGACATATCTTCATGAACCAGTATGCAAGTATCATCAATGCCCAAGGGTCTTTCACTTCAAGCAGTCTCTTGAAAGGAGGATCAACATGACAGATAAAGGCTAGAAATCTGATCCAAGTGGAATCGTTCATTTCCAGTCCCAGCAATGAAATGAGAAACTTTGCTGTTTTGTGATATGGGTTGATGAGAGCTTCTATCGAATCGTCTTTCTCACTGCAGAGATGGTCGAAAGGCGACAGAACATGCTCTGGAGTAACGCTCTGTGCAGACATCAAGTCGCGCTCGTATATTTCGGCAATCGGCCGCCATATGCTGTCAGTACGCAGAGGGTTGGTCGCCCTCCAAATCGCTTTCTTGCCGTCACTGAGACTCACCCATGACAGGTCACTGTCGACAAGTGGCCAGACATCATGCATTGAGTCAGCTTCGATGTAGAAGAAGGTAATAACGCCGATCAGAGATGCCGATACGAACAAGGCATCCCTATCTTCGGCTCTTAGAGGATTATTGAGCTTAGTCTGAAGACCCCTCAGGCCTTGGGCCATGTGATAGTTTTCGTCCGGCGTCTGTTTCGCAATAGCCTTGCCAGCCAAGAAGCGATCATGTAACGCGGTCATGTATTGGACCAGATGCATGAGGTATCGATGGTTGAAGGCCAGGTGTATCATCTCTTTGCGGTAGAGGCGAGCAGTCGACTTGGTCCCCATGGTTGTGATGGTCCTTGCTTGAAATCTGTGTAGACGGTCCATGTCGTTCCTAGTCAAGTCTTTTTGGAGCGCACCATCACCGTCCAGATCTATGTTCAGGTAGATGTTCACCATATTCAGCACCTGTTCATTGGCCGAGAAACATGTTGAGATGAGGCGCTCATCACTTGTTTGATCGCTGCCGGACTTATCTGCGGTACCTGCAATGGGTTGAAGATCCGGGATGAGCGAGTTATAGTTACAAGTCACACCGAAGCTGATGCATTTCTCACACATAGGCCTCTGCTCGTCGCACTTGATCCGGCGAAGTTTGCAATTTCGACACCCTAGCCGCGATTTCCTGTGAATCTTTCTCTTCCTCGAGATAGTCGTGTCGCCAACAGAAGACCGTGGACAAGTCGTGGGAGAAGTGCTCATGGTGAGACACTTAGCATCAAGTCGAACTTTTCGGAATTTTCTGAGCAGCTCCTTGCTATTCCTAGGACAAGATGAATGAACGGATCGGACATGAAGCTACTTAATGCGACGTCTGTCTGGTGCGACGCTGTGCCTTTAAGCGGAGGAAGAGACTCACTTGAGGCACCCGGAGTTAACAAGGCTTTAGGTGGTGTTTAGTGGCCTCAGCCGGTGGAAATAAGCATGAAGCTACGCCCATGATGCCTGTACTTTGTCGCGTATTGGCCTTGATTGGCCTGAGCCGACCTCTCTAACACGTGACTGGGATGTCGGAGTAAAGTGAGGCCGACAGCAACCAGCTCTATTTATGTTGGACTGGGTGTCTATGTGGAATACCCTGGGTGAGTATGTCAAGAGTCAACTACAAGCACTCAGAGGGATAGATGAAGGAGGTAAAGGTCATTGATCGTAGACAATATTCTGGGTGGAAAATGGGACAGGATCAGACATCGACCGAAAATAGTTTAGCGTCTCTTGGCCTCGAGGCTCTTTGATATTGCGGCTGTTTCATTGTGTTGCCTGTTTCACCAAGACCTCATCCATCTTCAATTCACTCTCAAATTCTCTGTCTTTGCGGGGTCTGATAGCCATCCTATTCAGGCAATGTGCATAATCAACCTTGAATACGGCATGATTTGATCGTGTTCGACATATTCTAACACCTATCGTCGAGGCCCTGCAGGATGGCGGACACAACTCTACAATCATGGGAATACCTGGAAACGCTGCCTGGAACCCAGTTTTATCGGCTGTACAGGAGCCCAGCATCTGCTCTTGCAATCTTCAGGAAACGACTCTCAAACCTCGCGAAGACATTCGTGATGATGCTTCTTTACATGCCGCAGCCTATGGCTGTCAAACAGCTGGAGATGTTTGTCAAGGATGGCAGCCGCGGCGAACGAGAACATGCCCTGGATCTACTACATCGCTATCACATCTTCAGAGATGTCACCCTCAACTCGGGAAAGGCCTACAGCCTCACTTCAGACTTTGCTAGATCTCTTCGGAGTGCATTGACAGGTGCCGGCGAGAGCAAGTCATTTGGACAAGTTGCGAAAATTCCCGACAAAGACAGGGCGTCGATACCAGAACTGGACGAATATTCACGCCAGCGATGGGAAGGAATCTTGGGATACATGGTGGGATCGTCAGCCACACCGCTCGACACAAAGCAGACCGCAATTGAGCCTTCGCCTGGAGTCATCGAGCTACTCAAAGCGGGTCACCTCATCGAAGTCTCAGGAACGTACAGCCGTGGGCAAGCCGCAAAGATCACAAAGGAAGGATTCGCCTTCGTACTCCAGGACATCAACACGCAAATCTGGGCGTTGCTGTTTCTGTATGTTGACAATGCCGAAGTTTTTGAAATGGACAAGGTCGATGTCTTGTCGTTCCTCTTCCTGGTGTCGTCTCTAGAGCTTGGACAGGCATATTCGACGTCAACGCTAGACGAGACTCAGCAGCGATGTCTTTCCGACCTCGTATCTTTCGGAATCGTGTATCAGCCGACTATCGAGGATGGTACACCCGTGGACTACTTCTACCCAACTCGCCTGGCTACAACTCTCACATCCGACTCTGCCACGGCACTGTCGGCAACCAATACCACCATAGGCTCTTCCCTGTCTCCTTCTTCTTCTTCAGGTGCTTCCAAGGGTTTCATCATCGTGGAGACCAATTATCGCGTCTACGCTTACACCTCGTCACCACTGCAGATTGCTTTGCTGTCACTCTTTGTCAATCTTCGCTCTCGCCATCCAAATCTTGTCGCCGGGAAAATGAGCAAGTCATCGGTCCAGCGTGCAGTACAAGCTGGAATCACCGCCGAACAAATCATCTCGTACCTGACGGCACATGCCCATCCGCAGATGCGCCGGCACGCACAAGCCGAGCAAGCTCAGCTGCAGGCCCGCAACACCGACCAGGGACGCGTTGTTCCCATCCTCCCCGCCACCATATTGGATCAGATCCATCTCTGGCAGCTGGAACGCGACAGAATGACGACCACGCATGGTTTTTTACTCAAGGACTTCTCCAACAACGCCGACTATGAGGCTCCGTGCCGCTATGCCGACGAGACCGGTGTGTTGGTTTGGAAGAGCGACAAGAAGCGCATGTTTTTCGTGAACCGCATTGAAGGTGTACGGCAGTTCATGGCGGATAGGAAAGCCAGTGCCCAAGGATGAAATTAGGTTCTTTGAAAAATTGAACTCAAATATGCCTCAAGTGATGCATCGAGTCGGAAAACTGAAGGCCTGCGGCCGGACCAGCGCCGTGACTCGATCAACTTCGGTCGCGTTTTATGACTAGAGGCGAGAGTCCCTTCAACATCAAAGTCACACGGACGCGCGAACGCTCTTGGTGCAACATGAAGGCTGACAATACAACGCTGTCTCACACCGCGCCCCCCTGTCCATCCTCCACATGTATTCAGGGGATTCGTGGCCACGGCAAGAAAGCAAGACAACATTACGATCGCCGCATCTCTCCCTATCTATCTCCAAAAATCTCCCGTCGACTGGACCGCTCTAGCAATACCACCTTGGATCAGTGATCCATGATCTCCCGAGGCACATTATTAACCTGTGGCATCTAGCTCTTCCTCGAGTATGCCTCTACATGAAGCATTGTGTTGATCGCCACCAGGGCGCAAGCGAAACACAGGTGGCAGGCAGGCAGGTCACGATCGCCGCTATTCTCCGGGTGCCATGACACTCGTCTTGGACGGCTTCATCGTTGCTTCTTGATGGATGGTAATGGCACAAGAACCCCGACACGTGCAAAGTCGATATGGGTTGACTTGCGTCCGCCATTCATTCCGGATCGACTCTTTCAAGGGTGTCACAAGGACTGAGTTCCCGTTAGCATCATGGATATCATGAACCGCCATGGAGAAACGAATACCTAGCTAGTACAACGACAATGATACTGGGGGTTTTGTTCGTTCATGGACAACCTCTTACGCACTATATAGACACCGCTCGGTTGCTTTCATGTCGTTCACTTGTTTCACCTCGCATGATATGCCCAGTATGTATATAACCATCTTCTCATCAACATCTTTGGGACAGATCTTGCGGTCAATTCATGTTTCTCTGTTCCTTTTGCCTATGTTTTACAAATTCTACACCCACCCACCGCCTGAATCTTGTCCTTTAAAAGCCGCGCGTTTGTGACCTTTGGCCCGACGCTCCTCGAGAACCTGAAATCGTCCAGCGCTCCTTCGCTGTCACGGTCCCTCCTCGTGGCGGAATCCGGTAAAGGAGCTTCGTCCCCCTCCGCCTCCGGTCCGTGTAACAAGTGCGAAACGTGATATACATGACCACACGCAAACCCCACCAGTGTCTCCTTCTCATCTTGAATAAAGACCCTATGACAGCTTGCACAGCGACCTGGTTCAACCTCGAGTTTCTGTACAGCCTCTTCAGGGATTGTCCCCTTTTCAGCGTCATCTGCGACATGCTCCGCATCGTGTACGGGCTTTCGGTGATGATGTGGCATCACCTCAAACTTGATGCCCTTCCGTCGACCCCGTCTGAGAGTCTCCATGCCAACGGCAACCTCGCTGCTCAGCACTCTTGCCACGCCCGAGCTGATGCTATCCTGCAAATCATATTCACGAAGCATCTTCCTCAATCCATCCTTCAGACCCTCTACCTCGAGGCCGCTCGGGATACGTTTGACCAGGGTTATTGGGTCGATCGCCGTTCCGACCTCAGCGAGGAGTTCTGAGATGAATCGTGGTCGAGACATGCTATACTCCAACAGGTCATCCCATAGGCCTTTATCGTCCTGTTCCTTTGCAAACGCTATCGCCTTTTTCGCATCTTTGAGATCATCGATGATCAAAAACAGAGCTTTCTTCATCTGACCGGTCTTGCTGAGTAAAAACACTAGCTCCTCGATATAGTGTTTCTTCTCACACAGCTTCACTGCCTTTTCGAAAGTATACGCTGTCGATGTCTGGAGGAAGTCCATGAGTAATGATCGATCGTATTCCGAGAACAGTTCGACAGCAGTATCTGCAAATTGTTCCACTAGCTGCTTGCCGGTGTCGGCAATCAAGGCCGTTGCAACTGCTGAATGGCCGACCCGTGGGCCTTTAGCCACGCTATTTGAACCTTCTCCTCGCCACAAAGCGCGGAAATAAAAGTACAAAAATGGCCTTAGCTTGGAAGTACTCAATTGGGAGACAACTTCGTCAGCTTCAACAACGCCGGCAGTAGCTTCGTCCACAAGCAGTTGGATAGAGTCCACAGAAAGTTCGTCTAGTTCGCCTGTAGATGCGGATTTAAACTGATCTGGGGTTACTCTGAGGGTGACAAAGCTGGGGATATCATCAGCTATTGCCTCGACCAAATGGTGTTCTTTGATGAGTGATAGAGCAGTGTCTGCATCCTGAAGGTGGATATAACATTTCAAGGCATCATTGTAACGTCCGTCGGCCAGGAACAATTTAGCCAGGCCTTCTTGTAAGAGTCTCCAATCATCCGAAGCCTTCAGCGCACCCCCGGAACGAAGTTGATCCTCGATAGCCGTGGTAATGCTGCTGATTTCAAAGAGATCAGACGGCCACTGATCAAGTAGTTCTTTGAACCGGGCTTTGTCTGTCTCAACATAGAATCCGAGGATGATCTCATAAATAGATGACGGTAGAGGGGGTGTCAGTTCTAAGGTGGGCACATATGGCGATATCTCATCAAACTTCTGCCTTTTGATGAAACGCCAGATCCAATGCTCCCACCGTGTAGTTGTGTTGAGAACTTTTGCAGCCACTTCCCCAGCTTCCTGCCAATTGTTTGCATCAGTCAGCTGTTTCAACCAGAGTTCGCCTATCCTTCGCTTTTCTTTCTCTGCGGCCGAAAACTTGCCCTTAGACTTCGCTTGTGCTGAGCTCGTCATGGAATTTGAATCATTGAAGAATTCAGCCAACGTCGCATGCTGACGGCTTTTGTCGGGGCTTGAGAGTGTCCCTGTGGCAGATCTTGCTGTCGAGCTTGCTTTGGATGGAGTTGGAGGACTTTCTGTTTCGGGGCTTTCGAGAGAGCTTCCTGCAGCTTCAGGATGATCATCGACTAGCTCCCATGCTTGCTGATAACGCTTAACACTTATCAGCCACTGCATCCTGTCATTGAGATTGCGCTTGACCGCCACTATACAGTCATAGGGGCTGAGAATGAAGATCTTCATGCTTTGTGCCGTAGTCAGTGGTGTTTCTTCCTCCGTCGTAGCGTCAGCCGACCCCAATCCAGGAATCCAGCCAGCTAGATATTTCCGATCCCTAGTACTTCCACGTTCCGGCCCAGTCGTGCCACTCTTGATGCTATCAGCACCACTGAAAATCCGATTCGCACCCAACATTCGTGGTCCAAACATGGTGGCATCCCAGACGCCTTGCCCTACAGTTTCCACTCCGGTGTAGAGACTTGAACCGACGGTACTCATGCCTGAGCCAAGTGCACCAAGATAGCCCTTTTGTACCATGAAGGATGGCACCCTGACTGGAGGGAGAACGCCTAGATGATAATCTGAGGCTGACAATGTCTCATATCTACTCACGGTTAGAGTATCCGTGTCAATCTCCTCTTTGGTATGAATATCGACGAGACGCAGCTCCGGTTCTAATGCATTGTGACGCGTCCGACGGCCCTTTTTCCCTTCTCCATTACCTTGAGAGGCCAGGCTGGGCCCTTTCTTCTCCATATATGCAAGTACCAAAAGCAGATTTGGGGTATAAAGCGAAATTCCAGATATAGTACAGTCATCAAATCGTATACTGTCGAAAGTTAGCAAATGCTCCTCCCGGAAATGAGTGTACTTGCATCGTAGCGACCTCTGCGCGTCCAGTTTTGTGCCCCGAGCCCTCTGCGGTCCCAGGATACACCTTGATGATCCAGGCTGAGTCTCCCCAGCCAACTAGAACCTCCTCCACTTTGACCTTGTTAAGGCCTGACTTCGATGGAGTTCCGTTGGCGGCGTTTGTAGGCGACTCATCAACGATCTCCAAGTTATCTCTGTCGATCCATTCAGCTCGAGCCTTCCATACGCTCGCCATGTCTTCCCATCCTGGTCGAGCTGGTCTGTCGATGTGGCTCATCGTCTTCCATTCAGTTCCTGATTCGCTAGTATCTAGCTTCAATTGCGATCTCTTGATCTTGATGCCATGTTCATTGACCCAGAGAACGTATTTCCCGGAGAGGGACCACTTGACTGTGCTAATGATGCCTTCTCCACTGTGCAGGACCTTGTCTGTACCCGTATTGGCACCCAGTCCTAGTGAGCCCAACCAGCCCGAGGCGGCCGCCGCCGTACCAGTTGTAGTCGCATTTGCGCTTTTCCCAGCCTGCCCTCCAGTTGTTAATACCAAACTACCAGCCTGGCCGCCAGACAAGTAGCTCCGGTCTGACTTGTATTCAGGCGAGAGTGCAACGCTCTGCACCGGCCGGCCGAAGTTGCGTAGTTGGACATCTCGAGCATCCACCAGCGAAGCGATACAGACATTACCGTCGATGGAGGACGTGGCTATGTAGATCTGGTTCGAAGGAGTATTCGGCACGGGTGGTAATTGTTGCTGCTGTTTCCCTTTCCCTGCAGGAGAGCCTGTGGGCGATCTACTCCTTGAGAGTGGATGATCAGCCGTCGGCTTGGGAGGAGGGTCTGGTCGAAGGATCGAGATAGGAGGAATGGGAGGGGATATTGAGATCGCAGATACGCTGGCGGTGTGCGCATGATATACTCTCAACGGACTGAAGGTGGGCAAGGAGAAGACGTGCTGTTCCCTATGTCAGCCAGCATTTACAATAATGGAAAGAGGCTGGCTTACGATGTTCCCATTATGAGTTCCAACGATCTAGCGAGTATGTATATTAGGAGGAGTCTAGCATTTAGAGGGGCTGAGTTTTCTACTTGCCATTTTATCCCCTGCTACCAGGAAAGTACTTGTCGCATCTCCATTGCGATATATTGGGCTCACAGTTTTTGTCAAGGTGGCATATTTCAGCTGTGGCTCTTCCTCTTCTTCGTCTTCCTCGTCGTCTTGGGACTCGTCCGCAGTCGACTCTGCTTTTGTGGGCTTCCCAGGCGTTTCGGTCTCATTTTGAGGCTTCTCCTCGTTGCCCGGCTCAGACGAGCCATCTCCAGCGGCCATCAAGGGGACAAGGTCAGGCGCTATCGCGTCATCTGTTCAAGAACTGCTAGAACGTGCTCATGCGGAGCAGTGCTGGCAGTCGAGACTCCAATACAGAATGACGAGCGCCGAGGGAAGTCCAAATGGCCACAAGATCCACCGTAGCACCTGCAAGACTTGTACTGCGAAACATTAGAATCATCAAGTGTGGTCGGGAAAGTTTTAAGATGCATGTATGCATTTCCGGGAAAATGCTTCGTTGCTCGGGTAGGTATGCATACGTGAAACATGCGCCCGACTTCGGTGCGGCCAACTTTGGCTTTGGGTAGTCAGTATGTCTGCTTAAGCTGTCGAAGGTCTGGCTACGACGCCGTCCGCCAGCCTGGCTTGCGCCCGCTCCATGCATCTCCCATATTCCAGCGTCCCCGGCGCCGGGAGTTCTTCTCCTCGAACCCTGCCCTTCTCAGCCAGTTTGCTCAGTTGAAAGATGATGCAAAAGAAGACACGGCATCCATACAAGCGCAGAAGAGGAAAACAGCACGATCTGCCGGCACCAAAACCTCCCTGCGCAGGATCGGCCTCGAGGCACAACGTTCAAAAGCAGGCAATCTTGTCCGCTCGGGCGGAAAGCCCCAAGAGGATATTGGCACGCCCAAGTTGGTCACAGCATACGCCGTTGCCGATACATTCGACCTAAATAAAGTCGTCGATATCCTACGCAGCAAGGGCTACGAGCCCGACCCTCTCGGCACCGGCCTCTTCCCCCAGATCGTCCACGTTCAGATCCCTATATCTTCGATCTACCGCTCGACGAACCCAGCTGCCGTTGACCTTTCATCTACCGAGGTCGGAGATGCCTTCATATTCCCTTCCGGCACACTCGTCACCTGGGCACTTCCAGAAGGTTTCACATCGTACTTTGCGACGCGGACGCTTCTGCCCGCGGCAGAAAATCCTCACAAAGAGCCTATCGAAACCGAAGATCTAGACTATATTGAAGATGCAACACGTAAAGACAGCCTCATCCGGGGCGAGACAATCATACTAGGTACGAAGCACAACAACTCCGGCTCTGACCTGCCGGGTGAAGAGTTTCAGTACCAATCGGTGGACACGGTGCTCACCAAGATCGCCTTCTCGTCTGGCTTCGCACGTAGCACGAAACTGGCAGTTCTCGAGACAAACTTGTCCACATATCTCACTTCGACCGCCGACATTCCCGCTCTTCTTTCCAAAGGCTCGCGCCTCCCCTTCAAATTGTCCCGTGGTTTCATCCTGCGCAAGACAGGCCAACTTCTTCTCCTCCGCGCCCAACTGAACCTCTACTCCGAGCTCACGGACTCGTTGCCGGACATATTCTGGGATTCTCGCCACGATTTGAATCTGGAAAACTATTACGACCAAGTTGGCCGGGCTTTGGACGTCGGGATCCGAATCAAGGTGTTGAACGAGAAGATGGACTATGCCGCGGAGATCGCCACCGTTCTTCGGGAGAGATTGAGCGAGAAGCACGGCTTGTTCCTCGAGTGGATGATCATCGTGCTCATCGCAGTCGAGGTCGGCTTTGAGGTTTTGCGATTATGGAAAGAAGGGTTCTGGGAGGAGGTTTGGGAAGACGGCAGGAGAAGAGGCCGCCACTCCTCTAAGAAACAAGAGACAGATAGAATTTTGGAGGAGGGCGATGAATAGTCATGTAGATGTGTATAGAAACGTATCTAGATACCCAACTCACAATATTGATGTCACTCCCGACACAGAACAAGACTGACAGGTCTGCTCTACCTAAACCTTTGACTCTCTGCTAGTGGCATTCACACGCTGTAACATTTGACGTGAGAGGGAAGTGAGACTTTTGTGTTGTGATCGCCACGCTTTGCCTGTCGCTTTCTTGTCTCCATCGTCGCAGGACTACAACAGAGTATGTCATACTCCCCAAAGGAAGCCGGGCTGAGTCCACGACGGGAAAAATTTCAGACTAATATCAACCGAGAATTAACCGACAGCCTCGTGCAGAGACAAGGCGGAACACTTCAGGAGTAAAGGGCTTGTTGTTTGTCGTCAGGCTAGAGCATGAATAAGGGTCACAGAAGCAAGCATGGCCAACAACAACAGCAACAGCAACAGCAACAGCAACAGCAACAGCAACAGCAGCAGTAGCACAACATAACTTGATTGTGTTGTTTTTCTGTCGAGTCTTCAAACCATCGAGTCCATATACAATAAGCATCGGTTGGCAAGATCGTCAAAGACGGAGCAAAGTTCAGCATGCACGAACGAATAGATCTCTCAAAGGAGTAGAAGATGTTTGTGTGGAATAGAATTTGTTTTTGTTATTATGGAAGTCAAGGTACCTTTTGTTATGGAAACACGTTGTGATGCGAACCGTATTAGGTTGCAATAGCAATTAGACCGATCCTTCATCCAACTTGCAGAGGCGCTTTACACCCATGACCACGAATGTCCACCAAACCAATTGGCCGAGCTTGAAAACATAGTGAAGAATGTGGCAACCCAAGTGCAATTGTGGTGAACCACCCCTTTGGAAAACATTTGTAAAAGCTCTTTTGTGACCTTGACTCCAGTGAAAATCTCATTTGATGAGATCTATTACTGACTCCACTTGCAGATGCGTATGTAGCATGTTGATTACATGGCAGACATAGCTGCAAAGAGTGTCAGAGTATCATGTGCACACTTAGGCCATGACCAAGACAGCAAGAAGACCAAAGAGGCCCAAGCCGACATGGATACCTGCAGTGCCAGCAACATTAGCAGTGGGCGCAGGCGGAGTAGTGACAGTGGCATGGGTGTTGCTTCCGGTGGGAGTATTGGTGGTCATCGGAGTGGTCTCGGAGGATGTTGTCTCGATGCCAGTGCTGGGTCCAGGTGTGGTGACGACATTGGTGGTCTCAGCAGTTGGAGTGGTCGCGACAGTGTTCACCTCAGGAGTGGTGACTGCAGGGGTGGTGACCTCAGTGGCTGGAACACTTGCAGTGGCAACCGAAGTCTCTGAAGTGACAACGGTGTTAGTGAACACAGGAGTGGTCAGAGGGGTAGTCGCAGCAGTAGCCGAGGTTCCAGTGGTTCCGACTGCAGGTGGCATGTAGGTAGAGAAGACAGTCGACATGATGGTAGTAGATGGTTCGCCATAGGGAGCAAAGGTAGGACCACAGTCGGCAGTAGTGGTGACAGTGACGGTATCTGAGAAAGAATTGAAATCAGTCAAGAAACTTTCATGAAGAGGCAACGCAATTTGGCTTACCACGAGGAACGAGTTTGACAAGGTCTTTGATCTCTCCCAATGGGACACCACGTGCTGCAAAAATCAGTCAGTTTTTTTTGAAAGATTTCAGGAAAGGATCTCAATCATTGCTTCTCACCTTGAAGAGCAGCAATGACTTTGTCATTGGCATTCGGAACTCCATCATTGGGGCCCTCTTTGAGAGCGGCAGCTAATTTTCAGTCAGTGAGGGAAGGTTCAAAGTGAATTTGGACGCGAATCTTACCAGAACCGAAGACATTCATGTCAAAGGCGGCAAGAGCGATGAAGTGTTCGGCCTTCATGTTGAAGATGCGAACGGGATGAGATTGGATGATGGTAGAAGGTATTGAGTAAGAGTTGATGATGATGATGGATATCCAAGGCTGATGGAGTCTGGATCCAAAAGAGACAGAGAAGATTGAGGTGATGGGTAGAATAGAAGGGTAAGTTCAAATTTTGGCGGGAGAAGAACGTGGGAGGTTTATGTAGTTCCAAAACAGTGCCTCAGATCGACCCAGGATGGATCTAACCTCGTTCGGCGGCGTAAATCGATCCTGTGCTCTGATTTGCCGCAAGTCGATGAGAGGCAGGAGCGACAGTGATCTTGGCGACGCTTTTTGTGATCTGAAGAGGCCTTGATTGATCAGAGGCAGAGAGTTGATTGATCTCGCAGTGTGACGAGGTGCGTTGGGCTGATCAGTTTCATCCAGTATGCATGCACCCGGTGGCAGTAAATCGACAATTACAAACAGCAAAAGCCCAGATCAGAGTGTGTCTGTAATATTCACTTACTGCTGCTCATTTCGTCCAACGTAATTAGCAGGCTCACCTTTGTGATATGTCTGATAGATGGTCTGCTGGCTAGTCAATCTATGGAACCTGATCGCCAGACCCAAAGAGGCTGGAGTGCCTCGCTTCGGCTACCTGCACAGGCTCATCTCGACCTTCCCACCTTTTTCACAGATCTGACACACTCCTCCACGGTAAGAGAGGCTTCTTGTACCACAGATTCACACGGCCCCTGTGTTGCTTTGTCGGATTACAGTTATCATTGTGATACGAAAGAAAGAGAAGTCTAGATATGAGGTGGTCAAAGAAGAAATGGCGATCTGCTTAGCGCCGGCTATAGCCGAAGGCGCTAAGCCTATATAATCGATAGCGCCTCGCCTGGCATATCTTATCCTCAACGAGGCTATGACAGAGGAGGAGACACGATGAGGACCTGTGCACGTGTTGCTGGACAAGAGATTGTGTTCATGGATATGTAGAGAGCGCAGATTACTGCAAATCATTCTTGTATCTCGTATTGGCTTCATGTATAGGTAATCTTGCTGAGAACAAGGCTTTGTTCAGAGCCCGAGAACTTGCCACACTGTCGCTCATGAGTAGAAAACTATGCTTAATGCTTTGAGATATTCGCTACCACCTGTGCTCGTGAATAAAGGTATCGCTCTTGTCACCTCCCGCATCTCTTGATAGAATGCATACATCACGAAAGCTACTTCAGAGGACAACTAAGCTAGCAAGACAGTCAACTTTATCTGAAAGAGCATGTGTTGAGTATGGTGAATGAAATCTCTAGAGCTGGTTTGGTAGGCTACCTGTGATGGCAACGACGTGTATATCTATGTACGGACCGAGTCTGAAGTAGCAGTATGCAGGAACGCCGTGCAACGACTCACTGGGAGTAATACGAGTATGGCGCCGGCTTTACGAGGTGCATCCGGCTAAACCGCGGGTGAAATTGCGGGAAGATTGCCAATGTCCTTGCTGTCGTGGCCGTAATTTGGGACAGGGTCTTCCAAGGTTAATATAGCCATTGCCCAGTGCTGTATCGCCGAATGCAAACATTCAACATAATCTAGTACCAAAGTCGCCCAAAGCCAGGTTGCGTGGATGCACCCTTTCTCCTCCTTGACTATCGCCATCTTCGTTGCTGGGTACATTACAGCGCGTTGGGATCTTGTCACAAGACTCTACGAACTCTCCGTATTTGCTTGGGACCACGGCGTTGTGGTAAGTGTGATCTCAGTGTTCCTGTGACCAAGCTGATATGAATGCGCAGGCTCGAGCCACGCGAGGCTTTGCCATCCTTACCTTAATTTTCATCGCCCTCGCAATCCCCCTAGATCGCCTTGCTGCGCACGAAGGAACAGTTGTGAGTCCGAGGTATTGTTGGAGCATAAGATTACAAAGAAACTGAATGGTATGCAGCATCCGCGAATGCCTGCGCATGGAATATCAGCGCGAGAACAACTACGCCGACGGGGTTCTTTTTGAGCCTTGACACAATGCTATCATGGTTGAGAGCAACGATGGCATGCTACGAGTATTCTGGCCAAACAGCCTTACTCGGACAACTACACCTGGTGTAATTGTAGGATGGAGGAATTCAGAACTGGATTTGTTTGTCATCACGGTTCTTGAAGATGTCGAGGTATTCTTTTCCGAGAAGAACTTTTGCGCACACGTCTAATTGGCACAGGTACGCAGCGTGGAGAGCGCTCTTCGAATGGGCACTCTATTTCGTGACAGCCCATACCCGGTGGTACGAATATTCCAGTTATGTGACCGCACGAATATGTACGTCTTGGGCACTCTGAATTATCCGGATCTGCCAGATTGCTTCGAACCCAGCAAGATCTGCGCTTTTACCGTTCCTGGCGCGAAACGGCCTTACATCTATTGCCCGCCCGATTCAGGATTATCTGTGCAAATAGTTCTTTTCGACCCGCCGAACCCAACCCAGATGCAATACATGTCTCTTGAGCCTATGTCACTGGCCCTCGGTCGTACAGCTCAGAGGCCTCGGTGGCTCGCAGATGAAGTCGAGATGCAGGAAGAGAAAGAGAAGGATAGAGTGAATCATTTGGTTGCTAAATTGCGGTTTCACACCGTCGTCAGACATGCGCCAACAAGAAAAGAAATGGCCCTCACATCGATTCTCCGTCAAATTAATTGTGCGCAAGAGGTGGCAGACCTGCTGCAAAAGAATACTCCCCTGGTAGGCCCACGGAGGAAAAGAAGCCTGTCAGTCAGTGAGAGAGTCGTCGAATCCGCCCAGTCACTCTACACCTTTGCAGCATGGTCACTTTGGACTCTCTTCATGACTTACGCCTTCCCGACCGTGTTATACCTCTTCAAAATTGCCATCATTGGTCACCGCATGCTTGCCGAGGGTGTCTTGCAAGTTCTTGAGTGGCCATTGCCTCTGAAACGACTACACTTGCCAGAAACTCGTCAACCTATCAATGGTGTATTCGCCCTGAAAGACATCTCAGCATGCTGCCAGCAAGTCCACTTACGACTACAACAATTTTCATATTATCCAACGCAATACTCCCTGCTCCGACGACGTCATGCAACGTGGTCATCCTTTCCTACTACCAACAGCGACTACATCCGTTTCTACAACTCTCTCTGGCTAGTTGCTAACGATGTCATCATCGGGATCGCTCTCGGAAGCTTTTTGAGTGATAATGCAGCAGCCACTGCGCAGTTTATTGGGACCGTTCTCAATGAATATACAGTTGAAGGACTAAAACGCGTCATACGATGGCTCATGTCGTATCCTGGTGGCCTGAAATTGAACACCGAACTCGCCGCGTTCATGGGCGATTTGTTCTTGTGGGTCATTGAGTATTGGTCCTCGACCACAGTGATGTTGATCCTGCCAAGATTGCCTATGATTGTCTACTTCATCGCCTTCTCCTCTTTTGCTGGAGCCAGCATGCCTATCGCCATTCTCTCGGATCTCCTTAGTCTGACGACAATCCACATCTATTCCTTCTACGTCGCCAGTGCGCGTATCTTCAATTGGCAACTGACCATCATTGTCAGTTTGTTTCACCTTTTTCGTGGAAAGAAACGAAACGTCCTCCGCAACAGAATTGATAATTGCGACTACGACCTCGACCAACTTCTACTCGGGACAATCTTGTTCACGTTGTTGTTCTTCCTGCTGCCCACTGTTGTGGTGTTTTATCTTACGTTTGCACTTGCGCGGATGGCGATAATTTCTCTGAAAGCGACATTAGATACATGTTTGGCCTGTCTGAATCACTTCCCCCTGTTTGCTCTGATGCTCAGAATCAAGGACAGTAAAAGACTTCCAGGTGGTGTTCATTTTCAACTTCTGGACACAGAGCAGTCCCAACTACCGCGCCAAAGTGGTACAGAGCACTCCGACAGCGCATCTAGGGACAACGGCGAAGACGAAGATGACGAAGCGTTGGCCACAAGTGTAGCCTACATCAGACTGTCGTCTACGCCACTGTCTCTTCGCCAAATTTTCGAGCAATATTTCCAGCTTGGGTCTCGCATTCGCCAACACTATCTTTCCCCAAAGGTCATCTTCCGGCTCTGCTCCGGTCGCTTTGTGCCGCCTCTTGGTAGAAGTGAGATGTACGGACTGCAATACTCTGTCCTCCCCCGAGAACGAGCAACAATTTCTGAGGTGTGGAAAAACCTGAGTGAGTCGCAAACGACTCCAGTCAATGGGGTGGTAGCAAAGCCTCTGGATCGACACTCCTCATTAGAAACGCTCGGAAGGGCAACGAGTAGACGGTGGTAGTAGGTTTGTGATCAATGTAAATTCATTCTCAAGGCACAGATTAGCCACAGCGCTTGATTTAAAGGAAGTAGCAGCATTTTCGTAGCGTTCTTCCCCATTTCCGACTTCTTGCTTACGTCATTCAATGGCATCTGTTGATACGATACTCGGACCCTCCTTGATGTTGCTCCTCCGTCTTCTTCTTCGTCTCCATCTTCATTTTTGAAGCGTATATTACCCGCAGGCACTCGTCACATAAAAGTAATTACTGTCTGCTCCTCACGGGTCCGCTTCCGACCGTGAGTCCCTCCCGAGGCGTTGAAACCATGGCCAAATGTCCGAATTGTGGTGGACGCGTCGACGTAACGAAGGATGGAGACTGGGGTCATTGCGCTGACTGTATGTGTTATCCTGCCGGTTGCGCACTCGAATGCATAGGAGCAAATACTGACGAAGGTAAACAGGCAACAACGTGAGGGGTTTAAATGTCCAGGTGATGCTTTCGGAGACTGATTCATTCGACAGATAATTGAAATCAAGGAAGAAGATAAGGAACAAGAAGCAGCTAAAGGATCAACCTCAACGTCCGAAGTGAAGAAATAATACGTGATCCGACAGAGCATGAGGTCAAGAAAGATCCTCCTTCATTTGGGTTGGATAGACGACAAGGCCGTCGACGGCGTCATGCCTCAGTAACTCGATCGATATCCTTGCAGCCCGACAAAACGATCTTTACAGCACTCGTATATTCAAAGCTCGAGGGTGACAATCTCCACAATTTTTGATCTCTCCTCTATCTTCCGAGACGGCACCGTGCATTCTGTTTTTTTGATGCTGCTCGAATTTTGAAGATCTTCATAGACACGATTCAGAGCCATTCGCTGAAAGACATATCTACTGTACATGGAAATTGATAGCCTGTTCCGAGGACCAGGGGGGGACTTCACATAAAGGACCGCTGTCAGGCTATACCCTGCGGCTATTATCTTTTTGAGAGGCGATGGCCGATTCGGACAGCGCCTCGCAGCGATACAGATCCACAGTCATGATTGCATGATTGATACTCGTAGGGCTGAAGCGCGCCTTTACTGTAGCAGTGCTGACGTTCACCATACCCGTCGGGGTGCTGCTTGGATGGAAGCGGCAATTGCAATTCCATCCTGACAGGCTGACGAATGCGTCGACTGTGACCAGTGTCGACGCGTCTACAGTTGCACCCCTTGAGTTGGTGCTATGGCTCACCGGCTCCGTCATGCAGGAACAGTCTGAGGCGAGGTGTTGGCGATGATCATCGTCACGAAAAGCGAACAGGCTGAATCCCTGGTGCCCGAAGTGACCTCTCACACTTCGACTACTACTTGCGTCGAGGCTTCGCACCCTAGCTCGACCTCGGAATGTTCGTAGAGCTGTAAAGTACGAGTACTCGTACTTGGTCCACCGTCAGCGTGAGCCATGTGTTTCGGCCGAGGAGGGAAACAGAAAGCATGGTTGGCGGATGAGCAGAAGGGCGGAAAAAAGGCGCCTCAAGTCCCGCGGCTTGATCTCGCTTGATGGATACGACCCAATCAAGGCCACCAGTGCATGTCTTAGCAGGACGGACGATGAGCTTGGTCAACAACCGCCTTTGCCAGTTCAGTCCATTACATGACCCCGCGTTGTATGATTCCTACCCGAACAAGCGGATGTCAGCACTGTCTGGATATCACGGAGATAGTTCTTTATGTGGATTGGTGCTTAAAGCCCTTGCTCATCTATATCCACCGGCGGGTTCGACCACTCACTGCTCTGGTGTCAAGGCTATTTCACCCCTAAAGCAGAGTTCAACTTCGAGCCTGATGGACCACCGCCCACTTCGTCTCCATCTCACCTTCGAGAACACGACGAGTTTCCCATCGGCTTACGAGCCAATCATCCTCGAGTATCAGCACAATTCCTTCCCACGAAAGGGCATTATTTTATGCCACAATCTGGTCAGAACAGGTCTACGCATGTCGCTCCTTCGGCGGGACGAAGTCAAGCAGAGAATTGTTTGTGAAAATCAACTAGCTGACCAAGCGTAAGCGGCCTCTTGGCCTCTGACCGTGATCTCGTGCATTGAACTGTTAACCCAATCCGGTATTCAGGCGTCTCATGAGCGATACGGTTTCAGATTTACTGTCCTGATATCCTGTTGAGCCTCAAGATACCACCCAGCCGCACCATGTTTCTCGAGCTACCACGACGGAATGGCAAAGTCGATCAGGATACAGGAATTAGTCGAGGTCGATAACCAGACTGGTACTACTCAGGGTGTCTCTGCTCATACAAGTTCTCATCTGAAACATGACACCGAGGAACTTCAGCCAACCTTTCGTCCGCAACTCATGGTCCAGACATCAAACAGCACAGCTCAGACATCATTATCTGCAATTGAGCGCTTTTCCTGGGAGTTTGATAAAAAAGAACTGGCATCCATCCGACATCCTCGAAAACGCAAATCTCCTGTTGATAGCCACCAGGCGGTAGAACTGAGAAGGGCAGCCCGGCCACCCAGATTCTCGGTCAACATCTTCCATACGGAACCGATCAACAATTTCCCAATTCCTTCGGAAGGATGTGTGCCTCGCATGGTTAAGCATTGTAACTCTCGCTCTTCAATTTTCCGCATATCTTCACCACACTAACACGATCTGCAGACCTTCAGGTTTGGGCTCCGCAACATGGGAGAGCATTTGCATTCGAAGGTCATCCAAAGCCATACCAATCTTTGGTGTTCCCCTTTGCACTCGAGCGCGCAGTCGTGTTTGAAGCCATAGTAGCTCTGAGTCGTGCATCCTGGCTGTTACAAGAGAGACTCCCTTGGTCCAAAGACAACGCATTAGCTCTTCACCGTGCCAACGCTTTCGCCCAGCTTCGACTCCGGCTATTGTCAGAGGAGACATGCGCGGATGATGCCACGATTGTAACGATTGCTGCGCTCACAACGATAGATGTGAGTTGTCTTTCTTACTGTCGTATTCCATCACACACGTACTAACGCCCTTACAGTACATGCTTGGTATTCATGAAGGCGCAGAAAACCACATTAATGCCATGCAACGGATACGAGCAATTCGGGCCGACTTGAAGGGTGATACACCTTGGCAGCATTTTGTGAACGCCTCGCTGGATGCGTATGAGATCCCTGACCAGAATGCCTGAATAAGCTGACCAGCATAGGTATTTCTCGCTCTGGAATTTTGTCAAGGAGCGGAATGCAGCAATGACAAGCATGTCTCAACTTACCATGGAGTCGCCATTGCGGAACGATCTACCCCTCTACCCTTCCTTACCCTTTAGCACCAGAGTATGCGAATCATTATCGAAGGTCTCCTCTGCGTTCAACGACATGGCATTAGCAGGGCAATTGTCGATTCAGATCATCGGCATCATCGCCACCTTGTCTGCCATGACAAGGAATGAAAGCAGCGGTAGCCCTAGCCCGGGCAGTCCGAGTACCAGTAGTGCTGCGAGCTCAGCACCGAGTTCGCCGGGTGAGCGGAATCTCCTCAACATCATTGCCGACCTCCGATGCCTATCTATGTTGGGGACTGTGCCAATAGAACACCTACTGTGTCACGGCCTCATCGGCTGCTGTTTGAGGCTGCATTTTGGGGAAGAGAAGCTAGGAGATGACTTCAATGAGACTTTACAAGAACTAGAAGATACACTAGTGGGCGGTGGGAAACCCAGGCCTCAGCAAGACCTGGACAAGTTCCACAAAGAGCACAAGGATTGTCTCCTTTGGATTGCCTTTGCTGCCGCAGATGCCCTCGACATGTCGGCACCATTCTCGGACAAATTTCTGGTACTTCAACAGACGCTCGACAGATATCCAGCCGAGACTAGCAGATGGGAAACACTCGAGAAAATCCTTCGACGGTTCTTGTGGAATGACTTTCTGGCACAATATTGGAAGAGACGTTGGCAGGTTGCGATACAAAGACAACCAAAGCCACATTAGTTCTACGCCTCTTGCAGGACTACAGCTTATTCGATGAAGAATATATTGCACCCTCCTGAGATGGGTCTGTGTACTGTGTGGTGAGTACTCAATTTCACAACGAACGGCGAGCTTGGGGAGCTGCCTGGAATGCTCACATCAGCGTGTTGCCCAAGTACAAACGAGCCTGGCGCATTGCGCGCACTCCAAGGCGGCTTGGAACGAGACGTGGGTGGCTCTTGTTTCTGTTTCCGTGATTACCAAGCGGCCAAATACTTTCAGCTTTAACACCCACACCATCAAAGACGCATCACCATCATTCGAGAGGCAAACCAAAGGATTCGAGAAACATAGTCAGGCTGAAGACGGTCTTCTTAGCGATGCCGAGGCTGACTATGGCTTAATACGGTGCAGCGTCTCGCAGCAACTTTTTCGGATCACCAAACATGGCAGCATCCCTCGCTTAGACTTGACTCTCATTGAATGCCACAAAGCCTCGAGACCATGCTCGCACACAAAGGCTCAGATTCGCTACGAGTACAAATTCAGCTGCCTAGATATCCCAATCCTCGCCTGAGGCATGACCACATTCATCAACCTGAGATATATCAACATCGCCCGCAATCGCAATGGCGTTCCACTTCCGACCAAGCTGAGAACCAACTCCCTGCCCTCTATCACAGCTGTCTGAAGCCCATTCACTATTCCAATGGCTGCCGGTTGGATAGATCTCCCTCAAGCATGGAGGCTTCAAGATGTACAAGCGGTATTGAACGTCGTCATCGCCACACTTAGCGCCGTTGCAATATTCGCCTGTGCTCGTTGGTGCTGGCAGTCCAGTCTTTCCGAGACAGATCAGCGCAGTATACCACTTAAAGATTTGTTGACAATCAGCACACTCGGCGAAGCTCTTGATGTGGTCTTGCTCCTCAGATGGAGATCCCTTTCTGTTCGCCACTTGAAGTTGTTGGCACAATGTATTGTTGTGGTCTTCTTTTCCGTCGTCGCACTTGTGTCTGGTCCCATTGCACGGTTCTCAAGCCGACGCAGCCATGAGATCAACCTCTTGAGATCTCAGGATCCGTTGCATGGCGGTTTCACGATTGTATCATCAGCACGCCGGTGACCTGGAACGCTACCTTCACGAGCCTCGACCGCGCAAGGTTTCCCCATGATCAACTCCTAGACTACGTACCCGACTCGACAGTCGACTGGCGATACCGGGCTGAAGAATGGAACTCGTCTTGGTCCTTCAACTGCTTACCGACATACGAGACGGCTGTCAGCCTAGAAGACGTCAGCAACTGCACCGGTGTCATGCCTGATGAGATTCCGGGTCTGCAGAAAATCATCTCTACGGACAAGTTCAACACCAGTAATGAAGAGATGGGCTGGTGGCACGGCGACTATCACGAGGATGAAGTGTTAAAAGATGTGCTGATGCTTGTCGCGGCAATGAAGAATACAGAGGTCGACGAGACAGGCGTCCAGGTCCGCGAGATGGCTTTGGAGCTCGCTGCCGTGCACATGCATCACATGACCGGAAAGCCGAATGACGAGGACAATGCTTGCGACTTCGGGAAAGGTCCGATCCAATCGGTGAGCTACACGAAGATCGAGTGCACCATCAGCCGAGTTTCGGGCCGCGTGGACAACGAGTACGCCGCCTTCCCCGACGGCATGGTACGCAGCTGCTTGGCCCAGGCCGCCGTGCAGAATTACCAGGCGAGGTTCATCAGCGAGAGTGTCAACGGGAGGCGACCTGGTATTGTGGCACCAGAGGACCTTGTGAGATTCACGCAGGTCTGGATGCGAAAGACACGCAGAACCTCATTAGCGTACCGAGGAGCATCAGCGTGCGGGTCGACATTGTGCAACTTTCGGCCGTGTTTTTGGCCTTTGCGCTGTCTGCCTTTGTGTTGATTGGCCTGGGATTGGCAGGGTATGCCTACAGGCACACCAGGCACAAAGGTGTGCTTGAGAACATGCCGCAGTCGAAACTCGATTGGATGATTGAGACAATTCAAGTGGGAAGACGTACTTCTGAGGATGGTGGTCGTCATACTTTTGCGTCTAGTCTCGTGAACAATGCGATGAAGACAGGAGGAAATGGTATGACGAAGAAGAGGAGGCGTCTGTTTGACAATGCCATGTACCACGTCGATCATAGGGAGGTATGCGGCCAGAGAGATCCAGAGGCTCGAAGAGGAGGAGGAGGAGGAGGAGGAGGAGGAGGAGGAGGAGGAGGAGGAGAAACACTCACTACCGTTCATCGTCGTAATGAGGTCAATGGCCAAGGTGCTATCAGTAGGTCCGCCCCTCGACTGGCCCCCTGATTGTCTGGTCGAATAACCACCTTGGCCCATGGACGGAAGAACAAGCAGGGCATGATGTGGGATGAAACCTTTACAAGAGGTTGGCACTGTCGGAGAGCCTGGAGGAACACCCAATGATACTCTCCACCCCTCTCCCTCCACGTTGGTCTCGAGGATGAGGAATGTGAAAGGATTCGGACAGCGCTATTGAAAAAAAAGCCAGGGCGACGGAACAATCAATTCGCTTTTCTTGAAAATTTGAAAAAAAGCCCTTTGTTCATCCTATAACTAAATTCTTTTGTCTACCAATATGGTGAATGTTGGGTATCTCTTCGTGGTTGTTGTTTGTTGTTGAAAATCGTTACAAATCATCCCTATTACATGTGGTGAAATTTCCAAAACCGCCGACCGTAACACATGAAACTTAGAACAGTCCGTCGATTTCGCCGGTTTCAGAGTCCACATCTACATTCAAGTATCCCGGTGCGGCTGCGAGTGTGTCAGAGAGACGTGCGGACCAGGAAAGGAAAGCAGACTTACTTGGAAGACCTGGGATCGTTTGAATATCGGCAGCAAGAGCATCTGATTGAGAAGGAAAAAAAGGAGTCAGTGGGCTGCACACGGTCGGAGCACCAGGGGAAGCAAAAAAGACTCACATAGATAAGAAGCTCCGGCAGCGAGTCTGACGTCCCGAATGGGGACAGTAAAGCCAGACGGAGCGCCCTTCAGGGCCGGATCGTGGCTGAGACTGTATTGTGTCTTTGCAATGCAAATGGGCAGGTTTCCAAACCCAGTCTGGTTGTACATGTCGACCTTTTTCTGGGCCACTTCGCTAAACTCGACCGCCGCGGCACCGTACATTTCCTTGCCAATCTTCTCGATGCGCTCCTGTACACTGCCGTCGAGAGAGTACAGGAGCTTGAAGTCCTTTGGCCTGGATGATGCGTCGATGACGGCTCTGGCCAGGTCCACGGCGCCGGCGCCACCTTCTGCCCAGTGGTTGGCAGGGACCGCCGCTTCGGCCCCGGCAGAGAGGGCTTCTTCCTCAATGACCTTCAGTTCCGCCTCGGTGTCTGTCTCGAATTTGTTGATGGCAACGACTACGGGTACACCGTACGATTTGGCGTTGGCAATATGTTTCTTGAGGTTCACACAGCCGGCCCTGAGCATGTCAATGTTCTCGGTGCGGTACGCCTCAGGAAGTGGTGCGCCTGCTGAGATCTCGGGACCACCACCGTGGACCTTGAGAGCTCGAATCGTGGCAACCACCACAACGACATCGGGCACGAGGCCAGAAGATCTGCACTTGATGTTGAAGAATCTCTCACCACCCATGGTGAAGTCGAAGCCAGCCTCGGTCACGACGAATCCGGCCTTGGCTTCATGGTCTTCGTCTGGCTCAGTTCCGGCCAGCTTCAACGCCAACTTGTCAGCTAGCACGGAGCTGTTTCCGATACTGATATTGGCGAATGGACCAGCATGCACGAAGACTGGAGTGCCTTCGAGACTTTGCATGAGGTTGGGTTTGATGGCATCTCTCATGAGCGCGGTAAGTGCGCCACCTGCACCAATATCATCGCAAGTGACCGGATCGCCAGCCTTGGAAAATCCAATGACCATTCTGCCAAGACGCTCCCGGAGATCGTTGAGGTCGTTACTGAGCGCGAGAATAGCCATACACTCGCTGGCAACAGAAATGTCGAACGCAGTCTGTCGAGTATGCCCCTTTTCTGTGGGAGCTTGACCAATCGTGATGCCTCTCAAATGTCTGTCGTTAACATCAAGGACTCTTCTCCAGGTGATCGTTTCAGGATCAATGTCCAATCGCGCAAAGCGACGAATTTCATCTTCGGTCAAATCATCTGGGTTTGTCTTATCAATCCCAAGCTTCTTCAATCTTCGGAACATGACCGGAGCAAATTCTCGCTTCCCTTTCTTGCTTGGCACTAAGCGCTTGTAGAGTGGCCCGTCCTTTTGCGTTGACTCGTGAAACATGCGAGTATCAATTGCGGCAGCTAGGAGGTTGTTTGCAGCGGTGATAGCGTGAATGTCACCAGTAAGATGAAGGTTGAACTCATCCATTGGAATGACTTGACTGTAGCCACCTCCTGCTGCACCTCCCTTGATTCCAAAAGTTGGTCCCATACTAGGTTGTCGGACATTCGCAAATGTCACTTTGCCTAGATGTGCACCCAAAGCCTGCGTCAAGCCCATAGTGGTTGTCGATTTTCCTTCTCCCAACGGAGTAGGAGTGATACCACTGACAAGGATATACTTTCCATTCTTACGGTGTTGCAATCTGGAGAGGAGAGAAAGGTCGACCTTTGCTTTGTACGCACCGTAAGGCTCCAATTCATTAGGAGAGATGCCAATGTCAGAAGCAATGTGTGTGATGTGTCGGGGGTGCTGTGACCTGGAGATGGCGATATCGGATGGAACGGGTGACTGCAATTTGATGGGCAGCGGGGTAATGTGTCGACCTTTCAGACGATCAAAGTACGCAGAGGCCGACTCAACCACGTTTTGCATTAGCATTGCAACCGTCATCGGGCCAACACCGCCGGGAACTGGAGTGATCTGGGAAGCCACCTCGACTGCAGCCTCAAAGTCAACGTCGCCAACTAGACGCTGGCCCGACGACTTCGAAGAGTCCGGGATATAGTTTGTACCAACATCAATTACCACCACGCCAGGCTTCAGCCAGTCTCCCTTGACAAAATGGGCTTGACCAATTGCAGCCACCAAAATATCAGCTTGCTTGACCACCTCTTTAAGATTCTGTGTCTTGGAATGGCAGACCGTGACAGTAGCATCTGCATTCTTCAGAAGATAGCTCACCGGACTGCCTACAATATCACTCCGACCGAGAACCACAGCTGTTTTGCCTTTGATCTCGACGCCGCTTTCTTCCAAGAGCACCATGACTCCCTTCGGTGTGCAAGGGACGAAGAACGGCTTTCCACCTCTTTTTGCAAGCTCACCAATATTGTAAGTACCAAAACCATCCACATCTTTCTCGTCCAGAACGGCAGAAGTGATAGCATGTTCCGAGATGTGCTTGGGAAGGGGTAGTTGGACAAGGATACCGTGGACAGAGGGGTCATTGTTATATTCGGTGATTTGTTGCAACAGTTCAGGCTCAGAGATTTCGGAAGGAAGGTGTGACAGTGCACAGTCAATACCAGCCTCCTCGGCTGCCTTCAACTTCATGCGCACATAGGTGGTCGAGTCTGGTCGGTCTCCCACCTGTATGATCTTCAAGCATGGCTTGTAACGCGGATTAGACTTTTGCTTCTCCTTGATCTCGTTGGCCAGACGCTCTCTGATCTTCTGAGCGATCGCCTTTCCATCTATCTTGGTGGCACCCATGGTTCTCGTGCTTGACAAGTGTCTCGTTCGACTCGTCACTGAGGAACAAGAAGAGAGGGCTCGGTGGATAGCAGAGAGAGGGTGCTGTGTGTCCCTAGAGGAGAGGCCGGAAGTGACAACAGTCCTTTTCGTGGATCGGGATGTCAGGACAGGAGGAAAGGAAGCACGACAGGGTGATACCGGGACGTGGAGAGAGTTTTTGGAGTAAAAATGTGCGGTACCTGCAGGAGTAGTAGACGTGATGCGTGTACCAAGAGCTCGACTGGCCATTAGGTCGTAGGACTCAACGGCTACAAGGCAAACCGACCGAGAGGACTCGCTGAAGTCGGTCTTGTCAGCTTGAAGTCAGTGACGAGCTCTACAAGTCCTTGCTGCGGACTTTTGTTCAATTCGTGTGTCATAACAATTTTTGTCGCGCGAGTCAACCGTCGGGAGAAATCATTGCCGAGAGAAAGTCTCGCGACTCATGCAAGTCTTGGCCAACCTGCCCACATCGCCGCTCACTCTAAAGCGCATCTACGGGCAAATTAATTCAGGACAACGAACAGCACACCAGACTTCCCACCATTGCAGACTCTCGAGGATATAGATTTCTCGATTTGTTTCAGAATACTCCGTACCGTCATTCAGAGCAACATAATTTTCAACCACAATGAGGCCAACCCTTCTCCAGGGACATGTGTGTTCTGCTCAAAACAAAATTTCAATCTAGAAATCTTGCTAACGGGAAACGCAGGAACGGTCCCTCAATCAGATCAGATACAATCCAGATGGCGATTTATTGTTTTCAGTCTCGAAAGACAAGGTCATCTGTGCTTGGTTTACGAGTAACGGCGAGCGACTAGGAACATACACCGGACACCAGGGTGCCATCTGGACAGTCGATGTGTCTCCCAACTGCGAACTTCTTGCCTCCGGATCTGCCGATAACACCATCCGCTTATGGAACGTCCGAACGGGTGAAAATGTCAAGACGTGGGAATTCCCCACGGCCGTCAAGAGAGTCGAGTTTAGTGAGGACGGAAAACAACTTTTGGGAGTCACAGAAAAGCGAATGGGTTACCTGGGAACGATCGTAGTCTACGACGTTCGATATGGAGACGACTTGACGGACCAGACGAATGAGCACAGTTTGAGAATCACCTGCGAAGACAGCAAAGCCACCGTTGCAGGCTGGAGCTACCTCGACAAATACATTATCTCCGGTCATGAAGATGGAACTGTCACTCAGTGGGATGCAAAGGTATGCGGGTCATCTAGAAGGGAAATATTCCAAAACTAATCCTCACCACAGACTGGAGAAAACCTCATGAGCGTGGAAGCCCATGAATACGACACTGCCATCAACGACCTACAATTCTCCCCTGACCGGACGTACTTTATCACTGCGGGTAAAGACAAAACTGCCAGGGTTTGTACTCGCCTGCCATCTGCTTTGACCATCACTAATCCACTTCAGATCTTATCGACAAGAGACTTGAGCGTTTTAAAAACATATGTTGCTGACACACCTCTCAACACGGCCGCCATCACATCCAAGAAGGACTTTGTGATCCTCGGAGGTGGTCAAGCGGCAATGGATGTCACGACAACCTCTGCTCGGCAAGGCAAGTTCGAGGCTCGATTCTACCACAAGATTTTCGAAGACGAAATCGGTCGTGTCAGAGGTCACTTCGGTCCCCTGAACACTATTGCTGTTCATCCTCATGGCACTGCATACGCAAGTGGTGGTGAGGACGGATACGTACGGATGCACGTCTTCGATAAATCCTACTTTGACTTTATGTATGAGGTGGAACGAGAACAAGCGCGAAAGTAGAGTGTTCTTGACTTGTCTATGATACCCATGGTTATTCGATGAATGACGACGTTTCCATATCAACAAGGAGTCCCATGACCTTTCAAATCACAATATTACCGACTTACAACCTTTCGAGCTCTGGTCTGCACCGCTCAGCGAAGCATTGAGGCTGCTCGTGACAGCTTTGTTTGATTCTCAAAGACGCGCGAAATTCGAAGCGAATCCCTCCAATGGACTTTCTTCCAAAAAATGGATAGAGGCATTCCAAAAGTTAAAAGACCTATCGACAAGATGCCCATTGCTCCGCTCCTCTCTGTGTTGCTCGGTCTTCGCTGAGGTTGGGTTGTGTGCGCAGTTGCGACATACGTATGGCCGCTGTGTGGCTTTCTCTTCAACAGCCTCGGCCCAACGCACCAATACAAAGTGCGGAAGGAAAGGGGAAGGGCGCTCTGCGCTCGAGAGCAGAATGTCCACAGGAATGCCGTGATGGACATGAACATGGGAGATTGCGGTTTGTGTGAGGGTCATGGAGCAGCAGGAGTCATAGGGTGGCGCGGATGATACCTGCCTTGTCGACAGGCACCAGGAAGTAAACGGAAACGATTAGTCCTGGTCAGAGGGGTTACCTTGGACTTCCGATAGACAATGAAGAAGTCCTCCGAGTTCATTCCCCAGAGAGATAAAAAGATACGTCTCCCATTACACTATTTTCACACCGGAGCACACTCGAGACAGTATAATCCCACTGAAAGGATGTAATTAAAAAAGCAGACTTTGCCAGATGAAATAGCGAACGACAACACTGACCGATATTGTGATGGATTGCGCAAGGTTATTTTTGATACACTGGCATCTCGGCAGGAATTGCCTCTCTTTTTTGGTAAATAAAAATATGTATTGTAGGTATTTGGTTACCTAAGAATGGTTGAGGCCTCCATCCCGAATACATCATTGTGTGTGTTTTTTGACGAAGCATCATCCCCCACATTTTTCCCGCACTTTTTTTTTCGAGATCTCCGTTCTTTTTTCTCCTCGCTGACTACTCGTTACTCATAAACTCGTTAACACTCATTACTGTCTCGTCATTCTTCAATCAATTCTTTTACGACGACTTCTCTCCTACAAATACATATCACCAGCATCATTCAGTCTCTTGCTCTTCAATCGCCTGTGGCCCTGTCAGTCAAGGGCACCGTCTCCGTCTTTTCACATTGTGTCCACACCGGCAATACCACCCTATCGCCTGGAACGCGTATGGCTCGCATGAGCCGGTGCATCAGACTAAATAACTTAGGTAACGAATCGATCTGAGTCATGTGCTAGACTTGAATTTCGTTCATTTCATTGCAGGGGGAGGGACACAAAAAAAGCGAAAAGCTGCTTCCAGCCTATCACGTTTGGTTTCTCTCTGCCCTTGGAAGACTACTACACTGTAGCCTACTACCGAGATTTTTTTTTGCCTCTCCAGCCGCATACAAATTTTCACTCTGCTCAACAACCCTGTCATTCATACAGGAGTGGCCACTGAAATTGGACGGTGTCGTTGAATGGCCAGATCCGTGGACGATCTGATGTGTCTGACCTCTGACGCAAACAAGACCCTGGACACGTGCAGTACTGGAACATCGAGCTGCCTCTTCAAGGATTTCAGCATAGTCTCCACCGGAGCGCGACCATAGTAAGACGCCTTTTGATTGCATGCACTTGCAAAACTACCTAGGTATATATACCTCAAACATCGGGCCATAATTATACAACCGTCGCACCGATCCATCACGGAACAAAACGAAACGGCGTCGCACAACCCAACACAAAGCAAGATGACTACCAAAACCGACTTTTCGACCCCAGACATCCCCATGTCAGAGGCGACGTTTTACTGTTCAGCGTGTACGCGTATCAATGCACCTGCGTCGCTGGTGTTTCGGACTCTACGCAACACCGAAACGTGGAAGGACTGGAACCGCTGGGTTCCCCGTGTGACGATAATCTCCCAACCCGACGACGAGGACGACGCTACCCTCGCCGAGATCGAGGAACTGGTGCGCAACACCTCCATCGCCGTCAGCTACGACTCTGAAATTACAGACGGTGCGGCTGCCATGACTCCTCAACAACAGGCCTCCCGACGCGGCAGCCTGGCCCGCGAAGTGATCGAGTCTCAGGAAGAAGGCATTGGGAGGAGGAGCTCCGACGGCCACCTATTCCCCCCCGTCATACGCCAGCGCCTCGCGAGCAACGCCGGCCGCCTGTCGGGGCAATCCAATCGACAGAGTTTCGAAGCGACCTCGTCACCATTAGCCCAACCAGACACCACCACCACCACGACAACGGCTACAACGACAAATGGTCTCTCGGGGGCCCAAAAATACCAAGCGGCTCAAGAAGCCCGCAAGGCGTCCCTGGCGGCCGGCGAAAACCCCAATAACAGCAACAACAACGCCGCCGTCATGGTCGAATCGCCCAACAACCCTGCCGTACTGATGCCCGCGCCACGCAACACGGCCTCGACGGCGCTCGCGGTGTCGCACAACACCAAGGACGCCGCGGCCCGCCGCAAGAGCTCTTCGTCCCGGCGTCAACTCAACATCAACGCCCTGTACGGCGAGCCCAGCGTCCGCATCCAACTCGGCACCAAGATGACCTTTTGCGTCAAGATGAAGCTCCCCAGGAGCCCCGAGGTTCGCCAGACCAACATGGTCGTGACCGAGGTGTCTCGGCCCGACGACCCCACCACCGACGACAACAGTGCCTTGGGTAACGACATCACGCGGATCCAGACCCACACCGTCTCCAAGTCGGGGGTGTACCGGTTGGTCTGGGCCATGGAGAACGCCTACAACCCTCCCAAGGCCTTCCCCCGGTTCCTGCTCCAGGCCCAGCGGGTACACGAGATCCGGCCCATCATCAGTGGCGACGGCACCGAACAGTGCGAGTATTGGGACTGGGAGGCCCAGAGGGGTCTGTTGGCGAAAAAGGTGAAGAAGGACTTTGCGAAATACATCGAGGAACGAATGGTCGAGTGGGGTCAGAGGTTGGGCGAGTTTTGTGAGAGCATGGGAGGTGCGGTGGAGAGGAGGGATTTTGTGGGATAATACGGAGGAGTAACAAACAACAGTAATGGTAATAATGATACCCCGGTGGTGCTGCAGTACCGAAGAATTCAACCAATATCTCTCGCAGACAACAAAACCCAAAAAAAAAGAGTAATGCGCGCGGTTGTGGGATGATGGTGATGATACCCAAGGGGTCAGTACTGAAGAAATGTTGATTTCACACACAGAATTGAGAAAAAGGAATACGGGATGCACGGGTCAACGTTCAATTTTTGGAATGTATGCGGTTGGATACCCCAAGGTAGCAATCATATGTTTAGTTCTGAATGCTCAATCATCAGGTAACTACCTAGTAGATTACTCACTCAACCAGTATGGGGTCTCGGGGGTTGTACTACCAAAATGCGGTCTCGACACAGTCCTCATTCACGACGGTGTCATGGGCCACTGGAATACGGTTGGGTTCGTTTGCAGCCTCGTCCAGACTAAAATACTCCCTTGGGTCTTGCAAGACGCCATCAAGGTCGTATGGCGTTGCGCAAAGATTGCGCAAAGAGTACGAGAAAGTAAATCACCCGAGAAATTCTGAACGGAGCGATGAACTAGTAATGGAAAGAAAAACAGCCAACAAAAAAGGCGCGATGCTGACTTGCCTTCCAAACCAAATTCTTCCATTGGGCATCATGAAAGGGAACACGCAGCATGAAGGCCGCTGTCTGGCTCTGTGGCAGGTCCAATCATATATTTACCTGTACTCGTACCCTGCCAACCTGCAGGTCACTACTGTGATGTTCTCAGGCTGTGTCGGGAGTTCTGGCGTCTACAAAACTACTTAATATCCAAGCCTCACCAGCAGGGGCGAAGGCGGTGTCACAATGTGACTAACTGGAAATAGAATAAGGGTACAAAACTACTATTTACCTGGCTGCGTCACTCGTATTGATTGATATTGACCGTGTCGCTTTTTCAAAACTACTATCATTATGCATTGCCCCCAACCTGATATCCTTGGAAGAAACAACGTTGAGATGGTCATGCTATGCTATCCTGTATCCATTAAGAGAACCAAATTTGAACTCACCATGTTCTCTCAGAACTACTATACATCTCATTACATCCCAACATCCATGTTGATTTGATCGATATGATGTTCCTCAAAACTACCATCATGTTATATACCAGAGTCTGTGTATATACACAAACCACTCTCCCTAGGTACGAATATCTACGACTGTGAAAACACTTTTCCTGGTATGATCAAAATCTCGCACTCCTTTTCCGATCCCAGCTCTTTGAACATGACCATGAACAACACCGCCCTTCAATGCCTCGATGCCAACCCGAGTCCTTCTTTTGGGGTTGCCGACGCCATAGCCACCATCCTCGCCTTGTTGTCGCTGGCAGTTGGTATTTTTGGTTCATATTTCGATTACAAGAGTTACAAGGTTACCAGACAACGCAAACAAGGTATCCGACCCTTCTTGTCATTACTGAATAACTGCTGCAATGGGTCAGAACTCACCAAAGTGTCAACCCACCCGGTTTATACTAGTTATGGACTCCCCCAACGTCATAGTTGCTGTTCGGAGTGAAGAACAACGTCCTACCATCTCGGACCCCAGTAGCCGGCCTGTTCTTCAAAAAGCACATGTTCCTACAGGCGCGGCCCCCCCACCACGCCCCGGAAGGGTTGTCTCCCTACATGCACAGCCTTTAGCCAGACAGAGTATTGCAGCAGGTGACGAATGGAAACTTGACGGCTTTCAAGCTTCGAAAGGGGGGTTTCTTGCTCATCACGTCGAGTTGAGAGAGTATGAATGGGCACCATCGCAAACTTGGGACACGAAACCAGCACACACACCACTACACAGCGACCGAGAAGCCAAGATGGTCAGGACACGATAGAACTAGACGAGACCATCGAGGGACTTCAAGACAATGGAGATAAGACAACTTGGTTGCTACGTGTCCATATGTGTTCATCGTGTTGTTTCATGTCCGAAATTCATTCCCACTGATACCCGTGTTTCCATACACAACTACCATAAGTAGTACCATTGATTCCCGACCATACCCTGTTCTTTGCTAATTGAATCATGGGTGTTTCGCCCCGGCTATCGAATTATCCAGAACCCCCCAAAAACAGACACTTGAAGCAAACTCTCAAGAGGAAAAAAAAGAAAAGAAGAGAAAATTCGTCGCTCGTTTCGTGTTCGTGCCATTGAGCGCAATCAAAGAAAACAAAAGAACCATAAAGGAACAGGCACCTCGCTAATTGGTCATACACACTTCCATTTCCACTTCCGCTCACTCCGTACGGGGAGCAAAGTAAAATCTCATCGAAAGTCATGCTTCTTCTTCGTCGTTTTCGTCTTCGTCTTGGTCTGCTCCACGATTTCCAACCACTCCAAAGCATTCACTCTCTCGAGGTCGTCCTTGAGGACCGCGCGTTCCAGGACCTTTTCCACCACGCCGCCCATGGGTACCCTACTCCCCTGCTCGCCGTTGCGCACGTGGCTCAGCACGAGCCAACCCTGTGTCGCCATCAGTTGACGCTGGAACACGCTCCCGCCGTACACGTGCAGTTCGCCCGTCACCGCCACGAGGAGCGTCACGGCGAGACTGAAGACGTCGCTGCTCGTCGTGGCGCAGCTGTTCGGGTCGCGAAGGACCTTGGACGACAGGAGTTCGGGCGCGGTGTATTCGCGCGTCACGGCGGCGAGGGTGTTCGGAGTGATGGTGTCGTCGTCGAGACGGGTCGACGAGCTGAAATCCGCATACACCGGCTCGTACCCTTCGATCGCCTGTGTTCCGGACCCGACAGAGTCGCCCGCGCGAGGTCGTAGGAGGACGTTTCCGGGCTTGACGTCACCGTGGACCACGCATGCGATGTTGTGCAGCCAAGCGAGGCCCGAGACGAGGCTGTTGGCGAGGTCCAGCCACTGGGACACGCTGCCGAGGATGGGTTCGTGCATGGTGCTCAGGCTGGACTTGAGCTCTTCCCGGGCCTCGTACGCGTATTTGCGGATGTGGTCTTCGAGACTATAGGGAATGGCGTCGAGGACAAGAGTTGACCCGTCGGGTCCCGTCGTGCCGTAGAAGGGCACGACGTATTTGTTCGAACACGGTACCGTATGGAGGTAAGAGAGAATCTGGGCCTCAGTGCGGAGGATGGCATTGGCGTCGCGCCGGCAGGGTTTCTTGACCGCGACGACCGCAGGGAGAGATTTGGTCGGTGAAGTGGGTGGTGTAACGAGAGATGTCGACGTTCTGGGATGCGTGCTGGCTTTAAACACAATGGACCAGGCGCCACTTCCAAAAGTCGCGTCACGGCCACGCTCGTTCTTGAGGATCTCAAAGTCGAACGGGCATTGCGGAGTGGAAGTTTCCTGTGATAAGTCTTCATTTGTGGTACTTCGGCTCAGTTGGCTCGATGGACGTCGTGTTTCGTGTGTCGGGGTGATGAGAGAGGGTGGAGCTGATGATTTGCTTAGCCACGGCGACGAAGGAGGAGTCATCGCCGAAGCTGGGACTGATCCATGGCTGAACTGAGATTTGGAGTTTTCTTTCCACGCCGTTGTTGGTGTGGTGGGAGGGGTGCTCAAGCCCTGATCGAAGAGCATCGGATTACGAGGACTGGAATCCATGTCGACCATGAATACCATTGTCAAGGTTATTCGAGTCGAGAGTTTTGGTTCCTCTGAAGTCGTGTATCAAACGTGGTCTGGGCTGGTGTGGCGGTCGTATGATGTTCGATTTATCGCTTGATTTCAGTGTCATAAGATGGGGACGATGGCTGTTGATGTTGATCGGGTGTAGAAGAGAATTTTCACCAAAGACATGCTGCAGAAGAAGAAGAAACTGTAAAAATGACTCAAGTTACGACGATGGTTCGGTTCGTCAAGGTTGTACCATGGATCTGAGCCTCGCCGGATCGGTGCCTTAATGATGGACTTGGCAAAACTGGGGGACTTCGCTCCTGTTCGATGACCTCGGACTCGATCTGATACCCGTAAATGGCTCTGCGGTTGTGGCGAGAGCTTTGCTTGAAGAGTTTGTGAGGTCTTGAGCAGAAATTGAAAAACGTGGTTGCTCGGGCCAGATGGCAGACAGTGCACGATAATCGAGCTGGCGGGCAGAAAGAGCGCACAGAGATGAGATTCAGTGTGGTGGACCTGGAAATACGTGAATTCGCAGATATGGTACTAGTAGTTCGGGAAGTGTATATGTCTAGGTAGCAGGGAGGATATGGAAATGTGAGCAGAGGGTCAGTTCGGACGTAGAGATGGTTTCGAAGTATTATGTGATCCAGGAGGAGCGATCTCGGTAATGAGTTTGCGCCTGTCAGATAGAAGTGAAGGTGACCTACTCGTACATAGTTTGACGGGGCCGTCGCGAAAGGATCCAGGGCGAATTGATTTGGTCTCGTTGATGAACCATTCATGACATCAACGGCAGTTCCGCATCAAGAAGAAAAAACCTGTGGTCGCTTATTTTAACAAGATCGAATCTAACGGTAACGTTGAGCCGGGCTGAATGGAGAGTGTCCGGCCCGGTGAATTAAAGTGATTGGATGGTGATGTAGGTAACGGAGACGAAGAAGTCGACTTTAACTCATATTGTACAAGTTACAATCAGAGCGGAACGTGGACTGGAGGCTCTTTCAATTGGAGCAGTCACCTTTTCGGTGGGCAGCTTCAGACTACCAGCCATGAGCTCCACAGAAAAGCACCTGTCAATACTCGGTATGATATCCCAAGTACTCGTAGGGGTCAAGGAGACAGATGCAGGGACAGTGATAGACATGCGCCCAATTTAAACATGAATACGGGGTATCTTCTCCAGAGTCCGGTCCAGATGTTGGGCATGCATCCATCTCCTCACACCTCTCCTCTAATCGCTCTGTACTCCGTAGTGTTGTTCTAAAATAGTGCATTAGTAGCGCTTGGAAGAGATGATATGGATGTTCACACAGTCCCAGCCCCCGTACTCCGTACATGACATCTGCATTCGCGGACATAGATCACTGGGAACACATGGAAGTATAATATTCTACAGAGTATCCGTACTAACAAGTTCAAAAAAAAATACAGCCCAAATTCATACGAGGATATTCGCTCCCATCAAGTCTCGTCCTCATCGTCCTACTTCGAGCACCGGTGTCACTCCAGTCCACTCATCCCGCGCTCGCTCTTCCCAGTAGCCTTCTTTGCCAGTCTTCAATTTCCAAACAACTTCGTCTCCAAGTTCTACTTTGGAAAACCATCGCGCTTCCCAGGATTCACCGTTGCCCTCCATCTCTCTGCGCCGGGCCCTTTGTGCCTCCTCAAGTTGATTTTTCAAACTCTCCGCACTATCATGGTCCCCTTGTTCCAGGGCTTGTTGATCAGGTCGGAGTCGACTATCCGTTGGCGGTAGCTTTCCATGTTCGAGTTTAGTTATCTCGTTGAGTTGGGCCGCAAACAGTGTCATTCCGTAATGCTTTGGTGCATTGTCAACTAATGGCCCAACGGACCAAATCGTAGACCGAGCGACCTTGCCGGGCTCCTTGAGTTGGAGCGCGTTGGTCCAGGTCCCGCTGAGTCCGATGGCCAAGTCCTGGCCATGTTCGTCAAAGGTCTGCACCTCAACATCCTCACTGCGACCAGAAAACATGCCTTTAGCTTTGAAGGATACCACCGCCTTGTGTCCTGAGCTTTCGTTGACGATGGTCATACTTCCAACCGGCTCGACGTACTTTTCTCCAGCAATGATGTTGCGCAGGAAACATGTGGCTGCAGACCAGCTATAAGTGTCGCCGCTACTATGAAGCACTAGCCGCGCTTTGCCCTCGGTGATAATCTCCGACGACTTGCCCCAGAATTTTTGTGATGGCAGAGGGGACTGGGTAAATGTCCATTGACTTGACTCGGCGTGGAATGCAAGTTGCACCGGGCGGTGTGAAACCTTCTCTCCAAGAAACCGGAAGCCTCGATCTTCTCGGATCAATTCGTAAGTCTCGCCCAACATAGGATTAAAAGGCTTTCGTATTGATCTCTCCTTGACGCGAGAATTCGACAAGGATGATACGGCAAAAGCCGTGACGTACATCAATCGTTCGAAGACATCGTGCGTCTTGTCGGCAGTATCTAGAAGCTGAGAGTATTCTAGCTGCTCCGCCGCCCTCTGAAGCAGTGATAAAGGCTCATTTGCAGACACTGGCATCGATATCGTCGACAAATCTTTCCCAACATTTTTCCGGAGAAAGCCGATCAAACTGGGCGGCATGATAGTTGGCGGTGCTATCTGACTTCGACGCGGTACCGGCGGCAACGGCAAAGGAGCCAAGGTCTTCGACTGGGGAGGGAGAAATGTCGAAACACTTCCAGACTTCCAATTTACGACTCCTAACAAATCTTCACCAATGTCGCTACTCGTGGCTGAATCCTCATCCTCGCCAGTACCCTCATCCGTAGCCTCGTGGTCAGTATCGGAATGAACATTGAGGACGCGAGAAGTGTCCTCGGCGTCGAAATATTCCTGAGATTCCACGGATTGAAGACTCAGTCGAGACACGGCAGACTTAGGTGGTGTTGTTCTCCGGATCTTGGTCTCTGTGATGAGGGTAGAAAATTCGCTCACAACCGAATCCAGGTCGTGCAACACCGCCTTGCAATGGTCATGCATGCTTTCTTCGTGGGGCAGTTGGGGTCTGCCGTGACCATTGGGAAGTGCTTGCGGAGATGGTAAGCCACTTCGCAAGACTGGTTCGATGCCGGGAGCGGGCACGGCGAGCTGGGCAGAAACACTGCGTTTGAATATGTTTGTTTGGCTGTTAGCCGCGCTAGGCTTCCTCTTCCAGAATGGCTTTCGGTCATCTTGCTTGAAATAGTCGTCGAGTGGTGGCCCATCCGTCGGAGTAGAACCTGCAGAAGTCGACCCTAATCGAGGTGAAGGGGGAGGCAAGCTTTGCGCCAATGTGTCCAGACAAAGTCTCCGAACAGCATCTCTCGTACCCGAGATACGGCTCAGCAACGTCTCTAATCGAATCCATTCCCGGTCATCAAGGTTGCTTGCGCCTTCACCAGAGCCTTCCTTGCCGGTGTCAATCTGCAGTCTATCACCCGGAGTGTGAGTCTGCAGCATAATTCGAGCGGCCGTCTCCAAGGCCCGCTTCCAAGCCTCAAAGTCTGCTTCATTATTGGCCTTGAGATGCCATATTTCAGCTCCGGAATCAATGGTTATTTCGCGCGACTTCGAGTTCGCCGATATGGCAGCCAATGATAAGGGTATAGCACCTCTTAGAGCAGAAGAGCTTCTATCGCGATAGTATGATAGTGTAGAAGAGGTATAGTCCAAACAAAAGAACCGCCGCGCATAGCCCTGGTGTTTCTTACGCCTGCGCTTCTGGAGTACACCTGTATGAATAGAAGAAGAATCCAGCCTCAACCCTTCTGCGACAGGCGGAATACTTCCATTGGCTGACTGGTTCGTCGACGTCTGTCGAAGAGAGTCTACCGACTCTTTGTCCTTGGCCCTCAACTTTGGGCTTCTCCTGAACAAAGGTCCCGAAGCGGAAGCAATGGCCATGGCGGAGGCCATAGATTGGCCCTGCTGTGGTTGCGCGCCAAATTGGATCTGAGTCTGGCATGCGGTGGGATAGGTGAGCAAAAAGACGGTCGCTGTCTTTGATATGCTCTTCGAGAAGGTGTTGTCGAATACAAGCGCGTAATTGCCACCTTCTCCGAGGCGTACTTCATGTTTGCCATGGGTGACCCTGTCAGCTTCACATTTTCCCACCCACTTGATTTGTTTGAGGCCAATCCCAGTGAGCTTCTCTATCGCGGTGGAATTGATTTCTGGCTTGTCCTCGTCAACAGCGGAGGGGTTAGGAGAAGGAGGAGCGAGGGAAGTTGAGGAGGAATGTAGATTTGACAGAGGCCCGGGGTGTTTGAACAAGCCAAAGTTGATAGACTTTTTCTGAGGAAGGATGGTCCAGCCGATTGTATATTCTTGTTTGACGTTGATCCAACGTACAAGATAGTTCTATGTGAACATGGTCAGCAACAAGGCTTCAGAATGCTAGCAACACAGCAGAGGCAGCGCACCCGCGAGTGAACTTCAATCTGTTCAAGTCCGGCCATCCCGACCTGTGACGACCTCGTGTCATTCAGGACATGATAGAAAAGAAGTGATCAAAGGCGCGTCACGGTAAGGAAGAGGGGTAGCGTATCAAGAGAAGTTGGATTGGAAGCAGGTGTGCAGGGTTCTGAATGCTGCAAGTCATAAAGGGATATGCATTCGTCGGTCGGAGGAGAGACACTAAACATGCCGAGAAGGGTGAGGAAAACGCGAAGGTCCGGATGTTTTTATGAAACCGGCGAGCGAGCGAAAACCACAGACACCGCAGGCTGGTCCTGGCAGCAGGGAGTTGGCATTTCTGGCATCTGACATAATCTTTCTCATCTCGTTACATTACGCATATGAAGTCAGAGACTGTTATGAAATTAATTCTCCTGTATTTTCTCGCGCCGGTCATGATACTGTTTGCTCATGTCTTCGGATCACAAGGGGAACTCCATGAGGCGTTGGCTCTCCCGGCGCCACATGATAATTCCATCCGCCCGCTACCTTTCCGTATGCTCCTTGATATAATAATACATGTGCAAAATACCTCAAACAATTCATCCTTGGCTCTCGTCTATCTCGCGTCTGTTGAAAGCTTCTTGACTCGTTTATTTCGACCACTAGAATCTTCCTTGGGGTCCTTTCTGCGTTTGGTGCCGCGTGAGTTGCCTCCCTTTGGACGATAGCCCCCATCGTCATCTCTCTTGCGTTTTCCTCGCGCCGAAGAGGCCACTTCTGAGGCAATCCCATCTTCGTCATACAGATCTTGCTCCTGCTTGACTACATCTTTGCTTGTTGACTTGCGGGCAGAGCTTCTTGATCCTGCAGGACGGGCTGCTTTTTCAGTAGCAGGTTCATTGTCTTGAAGAAATACCTGTGGCTGATGCTTGCGAAGCCAATTGTATACCGAAACAGGATTCTTTAATTGCATCTCCCGTTCCCGTTCTGTAGTTTTCTCTGCATTTCGGTTTCCTAGACCGTTGGCTGCGTGCGATCGAGGATTTGTAGTAGTGTTGTCCAGAAACGCGTCTAGAGAGTCTAGGTACTGCTCTTCTTGCGCGACGGACAGGAATCCTGGTGCGGCGGCTTCTGGTCCAGGCTTCGCCTTATCCCTGGGCTGAGGCAGAGTCGTCTCTGCAACTAGTCCCAGGTATGATCGCTTTGGAGCGAATGCCTCTGATTTGAGTAACGACTTTTCCACCTTTCGATAATGCTCAAGGTCGATTTCCCCAGCTTGCAATTGACTCCTCGCTTTTCGCAGGGTGAGATGACCTTCATCTTCGGTCGTTGCACCAAGTACTGGTGCTTCGGCAGGATCATGCTTGGACGACGATTCGAGGTTATAGCGCAGCCGTGGAGGCACTTGAGGGCAAGAATTTAGCTCTGTCAACAACTGAAGGAGTTGACTGTGATTAACTGTTAGCTCCTAGATCACGACTTGCTCAAAGCATCTTACTCGGTCTGCTCTGTCAAACGCTGCGAGATGTCCTGCAGTCGTTGTTCCTCTTTGAACAAAGATGTGCTCTCCCTCATCTTCTCTTCGAATGTGACCATGATCTTGCGGTACTTGCGCCTGTCTCATTGTGTTAGCAGCTAGCAAATTACTACACGAAATTTCGTTTCACCGGTAAGATTTCCTGGAGGCGACAGTAGTGTCAGGAAGACTGGCTTGCTCGGTCACAGGGAGGGCCTCCGGAGGACCTGTTGTAGACATCTTTGTAATGTCGTGAGAATGGCTGTGGCGTTGCTGAACTGGAACGAATTCTCTGCGACGCGATTGTGTCAAGGCTTTCGTAGCGGCTTGTGAGATAGATTGTGTTCAAAGGATGTTCACAGTAGATGGTACGAGACTCAGAGTGAGGGTGAGCGCAGTGCCGGCTATTCTTCGGTATAATCAATGTCGATTCAACTTCCCGTGAATAAATTCTAGACTTTTCTCATATATCTGCCGGTCGATCATCAATTCTCTTTGACAAAAATAAGCAAGAGATATTGCAGCAGTGTACAATAACAATGAGCACTACTGATGTTGAGACCGTACTATCCCAGGAAGAGATTCAAAGTCGCAAGAGAAATGCTGAGGCAGCAGAAATTGAGATTGATGTCGATGCCCCGGAGCCACCATCAAAGAAGGCTCTGCGAAGAGCCAAAAGAGTCAAATCGGCGACAAAGGACGACTTAAAAGGGGTAGAGTCTAGTTCACAAACAACTTCGACGCCAGCACCCTCGTCTCAAGATCCGCCAAAAAGGTCGCCTTACGGAATTTGGATTGGAAACTTGACATTCACCACGACCAAGGATGATCTTATCAGATTCTTGACCGAGAAGTCCAAAGGCCTTGTTCATCAGGACCATATCACAAGAGTTCACCTTCCTCAGGGACCACCGAAGCACGGCAAAGCAATGAATAAAGGCTTCAGCTACGTGGATTTCTCAACTGAAGACTCACTCGGTGCAGCACTCCAGTTGAGTGAAGGTCTCCTAGGAGGACGGCGAGTGCTGATCAAGAATGCAAAAGATTTCGGAGGCAGGCCTGATCGTAAAAAGGATCAGGAAGAAGTACAGACCAAGGCAGCCAGCAAACGGATCTTTGTCGGCAACCTGGATTTCGATACGACAGTGGAAGATCTCGAGAGCCATTTCGAAGCATGTGGGCCTATTTCTCATACTCATATGGCTACATTCGAGGACAGTGGGAAATGTAAAGGCTTCGCGTGGATAGAATTTGAGCAATTGGCATCCGCCGAGGCAGCCATGCGAGGGTGGGTAGAGGCTGGAGAGACCTCGACGAGCTCGTCGTCGGGGACAAGATTAGACAAACATAGAATATGGCTCGGAAAGATCAACGGTCGGAAGCTAAGAATGGAGTTTGCTGAAGACAAAGCAACACGGTACCAGAAGAGGTTTGGAAAGAACGCGAAGGGTACTCGTGCTGCAGATGACGATGGCCAGCAAGACGAGGCAATAAGAGAAGTCGACGACGAGGGAGTCTCGACGCCAAAGTCTTCTGAGGAGAAGAGGGCCAACAGGAAAAGAGCCGGCGGAAAATACGCAGAGGAGACGGTGCAGAGATTGACCGGCGCCATCATCGAGAGTAAGGGCCAAAAGATGGTGTTTGACTGAGGTCGTGGTGTGCTCAATGGTCCATGAAATGTCTCATATAGATTTCCTAGTTCGCGATTGTCATCGGAAATACAAGATAATGAATTAAGAAGGCATATAATGCAACAAAAAAACACGAGATACGAGGTGCAGGTGTCATCAGAGTGGTGCTATCGTGGTACGGTACTTTTGGCTGCTGGTAGAAATCGCTTAGCTTGGCCGCGTGACGCAAAATCTGGGGCAATTGTAGTAGACTGTTTGGAAATCCTTCGAGATTCGACTCAACCAAAATCGACTTCGAAAAGCCCGCTATTGCTGCACGCGAGGGCATCATCTACCTACACCTCTTGATCGATAATTAATGCCCCTTTACTCGTGATTTACCATCCAATCTGTTTCTGTTCCTCCTCTTGCTGACAAAATATGTTGTTAGCTTGAATCCGCCCACAGCACACAGCCTCACCTCACCTTTTCGACGGGAGTTTTCGGTCCTAGATCATCAACGATGAACGAAGCTCGTCTTTCTTGAACATTTCATGCGCCTCTGCTCTCAACTATTTCTCTTGATATTTCCAGCCTTCGCCTCATCAAGACATGCCTGCGCTTCGGAGAAAAGATCTGCTATCTAGCAGACGGCGCCGCCCGGACGAAGGAGAAGACGATGGATCAATCGCTGGAGACTATGTCGATTCCTCAAGTGAAGGCTCTGCTGTCAGCGATGGTGACGATGAAGCGGAAGCTGAGGGCAGTGAGTCCAGTGGTGATGAGCACGAATCGCCCAAAGCCACAGTTGGGAAGAAGACAACCATCACTGAACATGCGAATCAACGGTCAGACCTCAACGAACCTCAAGAACCTCATCCCAAGACGAACGGAGCTTTCACGACGACTGCCGAAACTCAAGCCATCTTATACGGATTAGGTCAAGTGCAGGACCAGCAAGAGATGGAACAAGTCCACTTCGACGATCTACATGCTAGGGACGAAGCGATATCTGAGGCATCAGTCACTGCCCCTCGAGCACCACGCAGCGAGACAGCAGCTCAGCGGAGTTTTAGAGAACATCAAGAATACATTCGACAGCGTAATACCAACCCTGCGTTTGTACCGAACAGAGGGAAATTCTTCCTGCATGATGACCGTACTTCCGCATCGAATGGGGCGCTTTCCAGGCCGTTTGTCCGAGGAAGAGGTCGAGGTTACGGCCCAATGAATGCCGGGTAAGTATACGACCTTTCTGTAATTGCAGCATCTAACATCTCACAGCAGGGGCTTTGGTATCAATGAGCCGACAGACCGGCCCTGGGCTCATGATTTACACGAGGGCCACGAGTTGGGCCCGAGCTCGGTGCCATCACAAACTCAACCAGTTCCTGGAGCACGGACGAGCCGAGCTAGAAACTCACCAGCTACAGCACCACCAAACAGGTCTTTTTCGTTCACCAATGTGCTGGGCAACGTTAGCGTTCAGATATCCTTTCCAGGTATGCAACAAAAGAAGATTGTCTCGAATGTTGTCAAGAAGCATCACACGCTGCTTCCGCAACACCGTCCGCCTCTAAGACGTGACAAACCGGTTCGAGTTTCCATACCAGATGAGCCAGCCAAATATGTCTTTCCAAGCACCGAAAGATCATTTATCTTCATCCCTCGTGCGATGCGACCGAATCAGCAGGGCTACTATCGGGGTCGTGGTAGGGGAAGCTTCCATGGTAGTCGACGGCCCAGCATATATGGCAGTGTATATACTCCCAGCATCGCGATGAGTCGGAAGTCTTCGATCGGGGCCTCGACAATGAGGGATGGAATCAGGTCCCCTGCAGACTCTGTTATATCCCGTATGGGTGCGTCTAGCATGGATTTTGCTCGACCCATCGTCCGAATGCCTTCAGGCGTTCCAACTCCATCAATCTCGAGGACAGGAATGCCGGTTGTCAATGGACCTATGGGGGTCAGTGTCATGCCGTCAAATGTCCCACCTCCGGCTTTCTATGGCAGCCATAGCACTGCTATACCTATGCATCAGCCTCGACCACAAAAAGCTGTCTCTGTTGCGGATATCGAATCGCCCGCCTCGTTTTCCGTGAAGGCTCCTCAACAACAACAGGAATACCCGTTTCATCAGCAAGTGCCGGCCCACATGGCTGCGTCTCACGCTGAAGAGAGGATCCCTCCGGCGCAACAACCTGTACCAGGAATGGCCGGCACGACGCCTCTTTCCCAGATACCAGAGGGTGCTGTATTTGCGCAAGGTTTCCACCCATATCCCGTTATGGGAGGGCAAGGGTATTTCACTACACCTTATGCCAATGGGCTTATCTACTATCCAGGGATGGGCAATAACGGCTCGTTCAATATTCCCATTGCAGGTCCAGCTATGGCCCCTAGCTTCATACCAGGCTCGCAAGCACATCCCGTCAATTACATGCATGCTCCAGGTCCAGCCGATGGTGGCACAGGCAATAATTTGATGGCTCATGAGTCGAATGGCATGGTCTACTACTATAATAATCCACCTGCCTATACTCCAGACTCTCAAGGCGGCTTTCAACCTTATCCGCCTGCCACTGGACATGTGATGCCAATGGCGAACGGACTACCGTCTCAACCTCTTTATTATTCTGGGGTGTCCAATGGTATGTTCTATCCGGCGCAAATGGGTTGAATAATCGTGCGTGTTTGCTCTCCTTTGATAAATTTCAGTTTGGTTTGATTAGCGGGTTGTGGAGTTGCTTTTGCATCTGGCATTTTGCAGGATGAGCGGGTTTGCCTGAGGTTGACCGGTTTTCAAAAGCGTTGACCTGTTTCCATCTGTGGCTGCTCACTGTGGAGTCGAGAAATAACTTCCATTGTCATTCATGTATAGTATTCGGGTTTTGAGTCGAACGAGACGTGAAGATGGCGGGACAAAGCGGGCTGAGCGTGACTACAGGGAGTTTGAGACAACCAGCGCGAGTACAAGGCTGATCTGATGCCTTCACATAATGATTGGCGTATCCGGCATGTTACAATATTTGGTCAGCAATTGCATTGGCCATCTTGCTACAGTAATAAAGCTTCTGTGGGAGTACTTTAGGCGAACCACCACCATCTGCACGTCCTCATGTAGTACCTCATCGTACACGTACAGGAGCATCTACAGGTTTGACGCCCTATCTGTATGGTCACCCCCAGTGACCGGTGAGCGACACGAGCGAAAAAGTGCGGAAGAGAGCCACCCTTATCCGTACGGAGCCGCTCTTGATTCGTGTGGCCGGGGGAGGGTCAAAGTGAATTGGAGGTTGCCTGCTCACGTGCAGGTGGCTACCATTGGTTTCAATGCTTTCCCCGCCCTGGCCTTCTTCACTGCGTTAGGCTGCATCCTGCCGTCATCTAACCTCGTCTTCGTCCTCTCTCTCCCTCTCACCCTCACCAGCCTTTCCATCTGTCTGCCTGTGCTTGAATCACTCTTCATCCTCTTGAAAGTAGGCAGAGGCATTGCCGGTGTCTCAAGTATCCATGCTTTTCCTCTCTTGAGATCTTTGATCGATCTTGACCGAGTCTTTGCATTCTCCCCGCAGACCGATCAGCCTAGTCCGCTCGACACCGCCTCACCAAGGGCTCTTATCTCCAGCATGGCCGCACCTCATCCTCACACCACGCCTGTTGGCCCAGATACTTTGATTACTGTCAAAGTCATCATTGAAGGCACCAACCGACGCTTCAAGCTTGCTCTGCGTGATCTCGGGGCGAATACTCTTCCTCAGAAGGTAAGTCATTCCAATGTTTGTCAGCCTCGGCTTGGTTCGCCATGGCCCAAATCATCCGGAAACGAAGTCTTGTTGATACTCTGCGCTGACATGGTCTTTCACAGCTTCGTTTCCTGCTTGCCATTCCTGAAGACCACGAGGTCAAGTTTGACCGCTTTTCCGATTCGGCCGGAGCATACGTTACACTAGATAGCAACAATCCCGGCGTCTACAAACAGTTGTACCGAGCGGCCAAAGCCAAGCTCAAGCTGCGTTTGAAGGCTACTGTCGTCAAACCTGCAAAGATGGAAGTCAACGAAACATCCACACCTGATATCAAGTTGCCCAAGGCCGCACCTTCAATCGCTTCAGCAGAGCCTCGAAACAATTTCCTCGATACCGTCCTGTCTCAGGCCCCTGTCCAGTCCTTCAAGTCGTTCCAGAAGAACTGCCCCTACTCCCCGACTTGCACTATCCCAGGAGCTTTTGACATAAATGCCTCCGGCATGGAGCCGGTCGCCCAGGCTCCTCGAGATTGTCACTCGGAACTCTTCAGTCTTCCGACCTTGCCGTCCCTCAACGACTTCCCATCAACCTCGTACTCGATCGACTGTAACTATTGCGGCAAGTCTGTGCCTGATGAACACTACCATTGTGGTATTTGCGAGAATGGCGACTTCGATCTGTGTAAGAGCTGCGTCGGCGCCGGCGTCACCTGCGATGGTGACCAACACTGGTTGGTCAAGAGACACATTCGTAATGGAGTCGTGATCCCGAGTGAGACAACCACCTTGCCTCCCAAGAAGACTATTGAGATTACAGCAACTGAGTCTGAAGAAGTGGTCACACCTGTTAGTCCTCTTCATGAAGATGGCGAACGTACATGCAACTCATGCATCCATCGTAAGTTCTCAGGAAGTTTCCACTTGAACTGCACTGACAACCATTCAGAATTGCCGAGGCGTGACTTCGTGACCTGCCAGGATTGCCCTGACTTCGATCTGTGCCTCCGCTGCTTCCAGGACGGTGAACATGGCCATGATCCATCTCACGCCTTTGAGCCACAAGACAACACGGAGAGCAACACTGAGATCAAGACCCTCTGTGCACCCGGCCGTGGCATTCGTCACGATGCCCTTTGCGACGGCTGTGACAAGGTGGGTTGATTTTGAGTCCCGTTGTGGTTCTACAACTGACTTTCCATATAGAGCATTTACGGTGTCCGTCACAAGTGCTTGTCTTGTCCCGATTTTGATTTCTGCATGACATGTGTCGCTTCTGCTGCCGAGAAGCACCCTGGTCATCGATTCGCCGCTCTCTATACTCCTCTTGCGTACGTACGTACTGCAAGACAGCTCCACCGTGCTATCTACTGTGATGGACCTCTCTGCACCAACTTCAAAGGATACATCGAGGGTGATCGATACAAGTGCGCCGTATGCGATGACACTGACTTTTGTGCCAATTGCGAGGCCCTGCCCAACAATGGACACAATCGAACACATCCATTGATCAAATTCAAGACTCCCGTCAACCGTGTCTCCATTTCCACGGCACATGAGAATGAATCAGGCGAGAAGCTCGCGCAATTGGGCGACCGACCATTGGCCAAGCACGCTGCCACAGAGACTACACGGGCCGCGTCCACTAATGCTGCTACGCAAGTCCAGACAGTCGCCGAAGTCGAGCCAGCCGAAAATGCGCCTGCCACTCCGGAAAAGCCTGCGATGCCGAGCGACCTCAGTGGCAAGACAGCCCAGAGCGACCTTCAAGCTTGGTATGTCAACGACTTGACACCTGATGGGACGCGAATTGCCCCGGGTCGTATGGTCATGCAATCCTGGACCGTTCGCAATCCAGGACCTGAGACATGGCCCGCTGGCTGCGCAGTGTGTTATGTTGGTGGAGATGACATGCGAAACCTCGATTTGCTTCATCCCTCGAGTGTCAGCACTCTGAATGCAGCAAACTCAAGCAACACGCTCGAGACCAGCTTGGAGCCAGGCAAGAATGCTGTCTTTACTGTGCTACTAAAAGCCCCTACTCGTGAAGGACGAGCCATTTCATACTGGCGCTTGAAGACACCTGAAGGACTGCCATTCGGCCACAAACTCTGGGTCGATATCGAGGTCAAATCTACTCCTGTGGAATTGCCAATTCGCCCCGCACCTTTGCCTACTGTGTCCGACACCGTGGAGACTGAGGCCGAGCCAAAGGAAGAAGCCAAATCGCAAAGCAGTTCCACCATGATCTTTCCCAAGCTCGAGAAAGAGTCTCCCGTGTCCAGCATTCACGATGTGAGCGAGACCCATGTTGAAGCACCAGCTGCCACGATGGAACCAACGACCAAGACTGAAGGACAAGACTTGTTGGACGATGTTGAGAGCCTCGAGCTCGAAGACTCTGACAGCGACGAAGCAGGTTTCTTGACTGACGAAGAATACGACATCTTGGATGCCAGCGACGAAGACTTTTTGGAGGCACAGACGGAGACCAGCAAGTAAAGGTGCAATTCAAACAAAGACTTCCAAAAATGGCAATGTAGCAGTATTGATGACGCTGCAATTCGAAAACAAGGGCGAAGGTCAGCCCATGAAGCCTGGACCATCAGAATGAGAGCGAGGCAAACGACCATGATCTGGCCAGGCGAATGGGCTTTAAGCATTGGAATAGGTTGGAACGGTGGCGTCACGGGCAATGGGAGTGCTTTGTAGTTGTTGACTGTTGAACTTGAATATGGCAAATGACCCAATATCTCGCTCCTTTGAATGAGCCACGTGAATCTGTACGATTGAAAACAATGGCAAAGTTATTCCCTTCTTGTAATTTGGTTTGTGATCAAGCCTAGTGATTGGCGCGTTTTGTTGTGGAAGGAGGGAGATGGTGGCCTTGGTGACAGATGCCATTTATCTGGCGGTGGTGGTGGTGGTGTTGGTGGTATGATGGGGATGTGCTCAACAGGATCAGCAGGCTGCAATGTCGTCATAGAAAGCGGCATTATTATCTGGGGAAGAATCCGCTGTTTACTGGTGTTCCTCGGGTGGCGCCCTCCAGGTTTGCCCAGTCCTTGACTCGCTAGTGACGAATAGGCGGCAATTCTTTACAGTGCATGTGCTGGCAGGCCTCTTAGAGTCCACGGAACCTGACGAATATAATCCTTTCGTGCCCTCACCGCCCGTTCCCTTTTAATTCCGTACCATTCAAATCTCTATTCATCTCGAGTACCTGTTGAGAAACTTCACTCTTATTGTCTGTCTGCCTGTTTGCCAGACAGCATTTACAAAGCGAGTCGAGCCCTCTTCCTTATGGAAATTCCACGCCTTCCACCACATCACTTGTCCTACCGAGCCTCCCTACCCAAAGGGTGACAGAAAACCACCGTCAGCTTTACGCTTTCATCGTTTACTCTATTCCTCGACTATACCCATCATTATTCGCACCTTTCGCCTCGACCTGCCGCAAGGTCAAGGTCTCTCATCATGCATGAAGATCTACGCAGACGCGCTCTGGAGAGCGGCAAGACGGTATCGAGCAAAGCCAGATCCAAACAGTCCTCTAGGGGAAGTTCCAAGGCGAATTCCGCCACAAATTCAAGAGCCGTGTCTCGCATCCAAAGCCGTGATGTGTCGGATGACGAAGACTATGGAAATGGCAACCTCAGCGATGATACCACCCAAAGGTAAGTTGTCTCGATCTCTTTCAGCAAGTTCCACCCACTGACGGTGGCAATCCGAACAGCATCAATTCCATCGATGCTCTACTCGACAGCGATGATTTTAATGAACAAACCACCGATGTCATGCGAACACAGTTGACCAGTGCCATTGATAATCTGTTGGAGCGCAAAGGTAGTAGTGTTGCCGGCCGCGAAACCAACCTGACGACCTATGTTCGTTGCTTGACCTCCCACTATCTTGCCGAAGTGCTTTACCGCCGCGTACCGGATCTCCTCGACTCATTTGAAAGAAGCATCAAAGCGGAGGCCAGCGAAAAAGAAGTCACGCTGGCCCTTCGCGCAGTTGCCCTGACAGCCATCACCTTTGAGGATGGTGGCGTGTATGAGAGCATGGCGCCGGTGTTGAAACGAAGTATCTCTGACTCACAGTCTTTGGCAATCAAGACGGCTGCCATTTACTCTCTGGGCCTTTGCCTGTCGTTTGGCGGAGCTGGGGAGGAAGAAATGGAACAGGTCATGACCTTCCTCCTTGAGGTCGCCTCTAGTGACGGATCGTTCATCGACGCTCATGACAGCTCCGACGTCGTGGCTGCGGCAATAAATACATACGCTTTCCTTGCCACGTATGTGGAAGACCTCGAGCATGAGTCGGAAGACGCGGTGGCGGCATTCCTCGACCAGCTTGATTCCAGCGACGCCAGAGTGCAGATTGCAGCCGGAGAGGCCATCGCTCTACTGTACGAGAAGAGCTACACACCTCGTGAAGATGATGACTCATCTTCGGATGAAGGCGAGGAGAGCTCTGGATCAGACGCAGAGCCTGACCGATCGGGCCTTGTCAAACGATACAATGCCTATCACAATTCACACGAGGTGCTAGAGCGCGTTAAGGCTCTGTCGTCTCTGAGCACGAAATCAATGAATCGACGAGACAAGAGAGACCTACATCAAGCTTTTGCTTGCGTGGCGACCACGGTGGAAAATCCGAAGCTAGGACTCCAGTCCAACAATGCCTCGAAGATGACGGTTCGGGTCCACCGGGAAGGGGAGATGAAGGTAGACAAATGGTGGAAATTGATGCGCCTGAATGCGATCCGAAGACTTTTGGCGAGCGGTTTCGTCAATCACTATTACGAAGGAAACAAGCAAGTGTTGGACGCTTTGCCAATGATCATGCGGTCCACGGGAGACGAGGGTATGCGCAGTCCCCGAAAAGGATTGGGAACCAAGGTGACCAAGGGACGATACCGCGACAATCGACGCTTCATCTCTGGAGATCTGTTGGAACCTTGACGACGATGATCCGTGGACAGACGTGCGTCCACGAGTATAGCATTCCTGGGGTGCATTTGAGCAGACGAAATATTCGCTTTACTTCTTTGTCTCAGGGTGGTATGATGATGGAGAATTTATTGATACATCCAGATCATTTCTCGGCAGCATCGGAGGAGACATTGCGAGTTATAGATAGAGGGAGGGAAGCGCCGAAGACAGATGCTATTATCCATACACAAGAATAGTACAGAATATTCGTACGGAGAACATTACCTAGGTCACTAACCTGCTCGTACTGTAACTATGGAGTATTTAATGTGATTTCGGATATGGGAATTCATGCTTTCCGGTGGTCATTATTGTCGTGTCAGATTAGCAGAGGGGATTGCACTATGCGTGGAAAATTTCATCAGTGGCTTGTTGAGCATTGGCCTTGAGGCGGCTCTTTGGCTTTTGTAGTTCCCGTGGTCTGTACTGTACAACAAGGTCCAAGCATCAACGAGGCGGGCGGGATCTGTCCAGGCTAGTAGAGGTAATAACTCTTGGTTCTCGTAGCTTTTGGGCTATGATGAAATGCCGCGATTAGCACGTTTAGCCACAATCCCACAGTCCGCGTGCGCTTTGTCGCTCTTCGCTACCCCGTACAAAGTTGCTCTGTAAAGGGTGAGAGTTGCGAGGAATACCTGAACTAGACGTTTGTCCACAGAGAGCACAAACAGGGTTGCGAATTCGGTGGATTGATCATTAGCAGAGGGTCAGTACAGAGTTCTCGGAGCAGGTAAACAAGTTGACTTGTGTAGATAGGTATGCACATTGTGATGAGATGTCAGTCCAGTACTCCGTACTGTACAACTTTTTAATGTACTCCGGACAAAGTCATACACTGTGGTCTGCAGTCTGTCATATTCCGCACTTCATTGGTTAGCCGTATTTCGTATGTACAGTCGAGTCGAGTTGTCGTTGCATGTTGCAATACAGCTGCATGACAATCTGAGACCAGCAACGAGTACGGAGCAAAGTGAAAGGTGACAGACTGCTTACTGTGCAGATGTTGTAAGAAGTGATTACTCCGTATCTGTAAATAGGGGAGGGAGGGCGCTACCAAGGGGGGCCCAGGATTTGGTCCAACGGCCTTTGTGATGACGCCTGGTAGCGCCGCTGCCATGGGACAAATGGGCTCCTCCGATGGGGTCCTTGGTGAGCCTTACTGTACATTGGTACGCACGGAGTAGATACCCTAGTTAAAAAAAAAGCCACAGCCGCAGAGGATAGGAACAAATAATTGTGCTTTGCTGACATTGAGGCCCTCTACTGTGCGAGTACTCTACAGCATTTACATACCTACATACGACCTCAGGTTAGTAGGTAGTATATAAGTGAGGGAGGACGAGTTGTGAGCATTGTTTCATGTACTATGTATGCCATACCGTTCCGTTGCAGCATTCTTTAGGTACCCGGAGAGTCCCCTTAGCACCTACTCATACGGAGTACCTAACGCGTATGTAACACGGCCCTACGGAGACTGATCTTCCTCTCCTTTTCACCTGGCTGGCTTGTTGTTTTTTCCAGACTCCGTCGCCCCATTTTAATCTGCATTACAGCGCACATACAAGTAATTCATGACTTATGCGTCTCCCTGGGTACCTGTACTGTAGTGTCGTAACTCGCACAACAGGTACTCCGTTCGGTACCTTCAAAAGTCATAAAAATTACGTCTCCTCATACTCATCGTTACGAATTCTTCAACCCTTGTAATGCTACTAGGCTCTTCATAGGGACAACTCGTTGGGTTTTTTGCTGCTCCGCCTCGTTTCGTTTCTCGGGGGCTAAACTTCAGGTGGCTTAATTTTGCCCGCACCTCTAATCCTCAATCATCAATTCCACATCCCTTCGACGCCGTCACGCCTTGATTTCTCTACAACCATTCTTCCTTCCCTCCAACTTAACATCTTCCACCCAATTCAACCGTCCATTCTCTTTTGGCATCATCATATACCTTCTTTTAATCCTCCTCTTTTTCTGAATCCTGGTAGCTGGCGACTCGTTCTCTCCCAACCCCGGCCTCTTGTCGACACGTGGTGGTGCGCCCTTTTTCTTCCGCCGCGAATCTCGTCCAGAAACGACACGCGTCACGAGTAATTCGCCATTTACGCTCCGGGACGACCTCGATAACCACTCGATCGAATTTGTTGAAGAGATTCCCTCGATAGCGTTGGAACTTCTCATCACATTCTTTGCCGTCAGATTCCACTGTTCCAATCTCGAGCTGAAACCGACTTGTCATCTTCGAAATTACGCCACCTCACGTGACCGGTCAGCTCGACACAGCACACGTGTGAAAACCCGCCGAGGAACACCAATCTTTTTGTTGAATCGCCTTCCGACTCATGATATCGATTATTCATTCATAATACCAGACCCCTATAGACCATGGCAACTGCTGCTGTCAATGTCACCGAGGCCGCGGTGGCCGCACAGCCCAACATGGGCGGCGCTCAGTTCGCCTCTCATGCTTGGGTTGAGCCCATTGTAGGTGGAAAGCTTTGCCTCGTGTCAAACCCCAGTTCCTAACTGAATAGATTGTCGTTTCGATCATGATCACTTCATTGACGGTCAATCGAAAACGAAACTTTCGCATTCTAGATTCCAGTCGAGGTCGATCACCGACACGGTCTCTCCTACCACACGAAAGCCAGGAATTCTCACCCGACAGCCTGGCCGATTCAGATTCCTATCTGACTGGTGAATCTGATGTCCTGAACTCGTCCAAATTCCCGCCAAAGAAACGCGACTGCTGTGGGATGGTCGTCCGTACTCCCAACTCGTCCCGATTTTCCGACCACGTCCACAGTCGGATCCTACAGAAATTCCCCTTTCTCATCGAGATGTTTTATTGGGTTCTAAACCTGTTGTTCTACGTGCTCACCAAGGCCATCGCTCAACTTACTTTGTCTACAAATGACGGTCTCCGCGAGCTCGCCCAAGAACACGGTATTCTAATTTTGGACATCGAACATAAATCTTGGTTAAGCTTTTTGTTCCCGATCCAAGAAGCCGCATTCCAAGGGTGGTTCTTACACGGACATCTCACAGCCATTACATTTCTCAACCGGATTTATTCTCTTGTACACATACCTGGCACCGTCGCGTACGTTACCTCTCCCGAAGAGTGCTTCATTGTTGCTGACTTGACCAACTAGCTTCCTCTCCTGGTACTATTACGCAGCCCCCAACCACGCCACCTTTGCAACAGTCCGTCGTACCATGACTTTGGGGAATTTCGCCGCCTTTTCCATCTTTACGGTTTTCCCGACCATGCCTCCTCGATTACTGCCTGAAGAATTCGGTTTCCACGATACTGTCCGACAGGCCAACGCCGAATCGGTCTGGGTGGGTGGAAACTATGTCAATCAACTGGCGGCCATGCCCAGCCTACACTTCACCTACGCCTTTGTCATCGGGTGCACCTTCTTATACCACTCCGGACTGTTCCGACGCGCGCAACGTAACGAGCCACGAAAATCCATGTTTACGCAAATCTTCTACTTGGTCATGGGTATCTTTTACCCCTTGTTGGTGCTGACGGTGATTGTGGCGACGGCCAACCACTATTGGCTCGATGCCGTGGTGGCCATGTTGACCACCACTTTGTCTCTGTTATGCAACAAAATTTGGATGTTCCTACTCCCGGCCGAGGATGTGTTGTGTTGGATATTGAGGGTCGAGAAGCCCGTGCCTACTACCGGAGATAGATTGAAGGGAGGAAGATACTTGCCTGTCAAGGATGAGGAAGAAGTATGAAAATCCCGGCCAGGCTAGTAAACTTGGGGATGCGGATGACCCTTGGAGCAGCAACGAAACAAGAACAAGAACGAGAACAACAGGCATCTTGGATATAAATCTAAATTTTGGGCTGTTGGGGTGGAGTTGGAAGATAAAGGAGGGTAACAAAAGGACCAGGGCGAAGCGTTGACTTGTGTGTCGATTGCATTTGGATTGTATGATTGCATCACACAACAGATCCAAAGGCGAAGAGGGGAGATATCTCAACCTTTGTATAAAAAAGGCAACCTTCCAGGGTTGGTAGGGCAAAGGAGTATTTGGGAACCTAGGTGCTTACCCACAAACCTAAGGTACAGGATACCATCATGAGCAAGCTTCTTTTGGGGAAGCATTAATGATTCCTTTTTTTGAAATGAAAATGAAAATGAAAAAAACAAATGATCAAGAAATTTTTTTTTTTCATGTTTGTCCTTCTTTTTGCTTCAAAACAAAAGAAAAGAAAAGAAGAGCAGCAGATGAGAGTAGAATAATAAGTCAACGACGATGACGACGACGACGACGACGTCTTATGGTCTAAATTATTTTAAGCAGTCTTTATTCCTGTGCAACCGAGTAAAAAAAAAATCTAGACGATGGTGTTGTCGTATCATTGAATAAAATAGGTATAAAAGTATGGTAGGTAACGTATCACTCCGCACGGGGAAAATACGAATCTCAACGTCCTTGACAAAGTCGATGCGTCAAACACCCCAAGTACTCAACGGTGTACCTTTCACGGTACTTTGCAGACAAGAGGCCGTGGTTGGACACGGTGGAGTTGGCCAATCCGAGAAGGAAATGTCGGTGTTGTTGTCGTTGGCGTTCGGTGGTAATGTCTCGTGAAGATGCTAGGAAGAGAGAGGCGGCGAGCAAAGAGTTTGGGTCGTGAATTGTAATCGTATCGGGAAGGTCATTTTCGTCTTCGTTTTGGCGGTCGTCGTCGTCATCATCGGTGTCGATGTTGGTGTCGGTGCCTCCTTGGTTGTATCCTACATTCGTAATACCTTCTGGTTCCACCTCGCGAAATGGTGGTGGTGGAGGTGATTCTTGCTCCGAGTCTAATTCTGGTTCTGACCCTGACTGTATGGTTCGTGTCCAAGGTGGAAATGGTGGAGGTGGGGGCGTTGATGATGATGAGGAGGAGGAGGAGGAGGGAGAGGAAGAGGAGGGCGATGACTCCTGTCCTTGATGAGATATTGACCCAGGTCGACATGGTCTCGATGTGGGCTCGACTCTCGATTCAATTGTAAAAGATACATCAGACAAAAGTATTCTTTTTGCCCATTTTTGTTCTTCACTACCGGGTGGTGATGACGATGAACCAGACAACGACGACAACGACAACGACGTGGTGAGGTTGAGAAAGAATGTTTCGACCAGATTCAATTTTGTGAGAATCCCAAAAGTAACCGATGGCGATGACGCAGGATTAATTATCGTTGTAGTAGTAGTAGTGGTTGTTGTTGTTGTTGCTGTACTTGTGTTGTCCAATGTCGTGGTTCTTCTTTTCGTGGTTTTTGACGTTTGCTTTTTGGCAAATTCAAAACTTTTCCTCATCACCACAACTTCATTCAATTCTTTCAACAACACTTGCTCATTCATGTTGGTCATCATACGATCAATGACTGTCGCCGCCGCCGCCGTTGTAGATGCCTGTTGTTGTTCCTCATCGTCCCCAAAATTAGCGGGAAACTGTACAATAGGTCTCGTGTAACCGATCTCTTTTCGATACAAAGTGTTACAGACCCAAGAGAGCACGATGCAAGGTGCCAACATGGTATAACCCCACCACATGGTGGCTGTGACCAAAGATGCAGCACCGGCCACCAAACTCGTCGGACCCGCAAGAAAGGCATAAAACTTGAGTCGCGTGTATCGTTGACGTAGAGCCTGGGTGATTTCGGGTGTGGTGAGGGTGGTCGTGACGGATTTCCGTACCGCACGTTCATGTCTCGTGGTTCTAATGTAGACGTACATCGACCAGACTGCACGTATCAGACCATACAGAGCTGCAGGTCCGTTGCCGATGTACCCAGACAATAAATTGGAAGCTAAGAAAATTTTGTGGTTGGCACCGGCAATGGCCATGAGTGTGCCGACACCGACGAGGAGGGCACCAAAACCCATGGTGATGTCCATCAATAATCGATCGACCAGTTCGGTTCTGGTTTCAAAAGTGTTGACATCCAGGTAGACCGACAAGGCGAGGTGGTGGTGGTGATGGAAAAGGTTCAATGGTTGCGTCGGAGAGGAGGATTTTTCGGTGTTGATATCAAAATTTTGTGATGACGGAGCAAAGTCGACGTTGGTGGTGGTCTTCTGCTGCCGCTCGATATGGCGACGAAGAGATAGTAATGTCTGTCGTTCTCTTCTCAGAATCTTGACGTTTTCAAAACTTAAACGTGCATCCCAGATTGCGACGGTACAAAAACATAGAGCGACACAACCTCCGATTCCCATCAAAACCGCGGCGAATGTGGGTACTGGAATCGTGTTGAAGACGTTGGCGGCAAAGTCACCTGCATTTGCCAATTCGAGGAAGCCGACCAAGGGCAAAAGACTGTTGCGGAGGTTGTTGTGTGAGACGGACACGTAGTGTTGTCGACCCGTTGTGCGCTTTGATTTTCGTCGGATGAATTTCAGTGGAGCGTTGGTGGTCATGAATGATACATCGTCGACGGCGAGATTGGCGTTGATATCATCGGTGGTGGTGGTAACAAGGCATGGCGACGATGAAGATACTGTTCTTTCGTCCTTTTCGATCATCATATCTTCGAGTGAAGGCTTATTATTACAGGTGTCTAGTGGCACGTCCTTGGAATATAAGTCGGTTTCTGGGTTTATCGGCACCGTCTTCTCCTCCAGGCCTGTGTCCTGGTTGTTGTTGCCTTGGGCGTCATCATCCTCAACGACTCTGGTACCTTCATCACCGGAACGTCGCGGCTCATGTTGAGAGGATCCATTGTATGTTGTCATGGAAAATCCACCAAAAGGTATCGAAAGTGAAGAACTCGGAATTGAAATTGCGTTCAAGTCAGAGTATCTAGGAGGTTGTTGTTGGTGGTGGTGGTGGTGTTACCCGAAAATCGAAAGGGGGAAACATGAGAGATTGGTGTAGATTGTCAATGGCAACATCAACCAGGCATAATTTCTTCTAGATACTAGAAATCAATAATGAATGATTCAAGGAACAAAGGGGAAAATAAAACTTCAACCACGACTTTTGTTTCAGTTTGTTACCAAAAAAGATGGTCATTGCGTCAATATCTGGCAAAGTCCTAATTTGGTATGCAAAGTGAGAGGTTTTTTTGCGGCTCAAAGTTGTTGTTGTTTGACGTTTCGCGTGGTGGCGGTCGCGGCCTATAATTAGAATCATCGTTTACGAAGTACCTTGTGACAAGCAACTCTTCCTTGTCAGCCAGTCCGCGACAATACTTTTTATATTTATAATGTAGACAGAAGTACATCTCATCGACATGTGAGAATGTATTCCTAGTGGACTAACATTGTGGTGCACCAAGAAAACCACAACACCGCATCTCAATTTATCCTTCAATTACGGGGTAGTCCTTAGGCATCCTAGGTCCAGGTAAATCAATAGCCCGACACGATGGACCCTGAGGCTTATCATCGCTTTTGTCGTCTTACAGGGCACTCGTCACCAACCAAGTCCGGCAACAGATCGATCTACAGATCCAAACGAGTTTCCTGAGAGCAAATCCGGGTATCTCGAGCATCAGACTACCTCTCACGTGTCTCACAAATGCCATCTTAAAACAGAAACTTGCTGCTAAAGTCGACTGTCCTCGAGTACCATTTACCCGCCTTTGCAAACCAGCCGGAAAACTATCATGTCGTCAGCCCAAAATGTGTCCCCAAATCGAACTCTGTAACAGAAAACTTCCTACCTGATAACCAACCCTTCGTCTCGATCCATCAAGCCGCGATTGAACGATGGCCTCTTCCATATTCGGAGGCACCACTTCGTCGGATTCATTGTATATCTTAACCTGAAATCCAATGACCTCTCCAATTGTCGTGTCTTTGCCCCGATGGTCTATTCGGAGTTGCGTCGCGACCATGCAGGCCCAGTAAATCGCACCGCCAAATATGATGAGGAGGAATATCACGGGCCACCAAAATCGAGGAATCTTTCCCGGACTACGCGGCTTTGCTCCCCAAATCAAGATTATGAGATTGCCTGCCGTGAAGACCAGAGGCAAGATGCAGAGGACGAACTTGTTTGTGAATATCATCGGTCGCCATCCCGGCCACGTCTGCTGCATTCGCGAAGTGAGACGATAAAGCCCAAGAGTTACCAATGCTAATTGCCGTCGAGAAAAAGCTGCATGGATTCTCCAGTGTCCGTGTCACAACTGCCGCCGTCATTACGAGATCTTTGGTAGAAATCATGCTCGCACCGAGTTCATTGATCGAATCGTCGGCCCAGAGAACGACGCAAGCGCCAGCCACAATCCTGCCAAAACGGCGTTCTCTCTGTTTGGCCTTCTTATATATATTGAGTATCCACTTCTCATCATTGAGTTCATGATGAAGGAATGTTACGACGTGAATATCTCGGGGGAGTCGTTCTCGGCTGGGTCACTCAGACAAGTCTGTGATGCTTTTCTACACAAAGATGGACCAGCCGCCTTCAAGGAATTCGAACACCAATTCAGTATATTCTTGCGGCATTTTGCAATCCCGACAATGGATTCAGGTACCTATTCTGTTTATGCCAAGGACAGGATTCTGCCTTTCTTCAACCAGCGTAAACTGAGCTCGCAAGGAGCGAACAGCCATGTGTATGCGTTCGAGATACATGACGAGTATCGAGACTTCCCTGTATGTGACCTTCGATCCCTGGTCTCTCGGGCATGACAGTTAACATGAAGTAGCACGCACAGGAAGTGACGTTATACGCGAGAAAGGAACTCGACAAGGACAGCGAGTTTGCCTTTCATATGGAGAACAGGAATCTAAACCTAGCAAAGACGTTACAGGACGCCCACATTGTAAAAATGATCAAGCCTTACAAGCACGGCGATACCTTCAACCTTATCTTCGCTTACGCCAAAACCAACCTCGATGATATGCTTCGGAGGCCAGGTTCAGATCTTCTCGAGGCCGTACCTGGCCCTATCGAGTCTCGCCATGTATAGAAACAACTTTTGGGAGTAGCAAGAGCGCTTAGCAAAATCGGAGGACCACGTGGAAGCCGGTATCTTTTTGGGCAGCCTTCCCGTCCAGAACACCTTGGTGTTCATTTCGACCTTAAACCGGCAAATATATTGATTGACAACAACGACATCTGGATGATATCGGATTTCGGTCAAGCCGTTTTCAAACCAACCGGGGACACAACTTCTCGTATGGTCAACCAAGGGGGAACATTAGCTTATGCACCCCCAGAGATAAATATTGATGCAAAATCTAGTCGTCGTTACGACATCTGGTCTCTTGGTTGCATCGCCTTGGAAGTCCTTGCCTTTGCTCTTCTTGGCCCCCGTGGTTTGAACGGCTGCGAAGCGTACCGAGGCTTAGATCAAGTACGGCGTACTAGCAATTCGGCCAATGGGCAAGAGGACAGTGCTTTGTGGTATGAGGAAGGCGATAGAAAATACAGAGTCAAGCCGGCAATATTCGAATTCATGCGGTTCCTGGAAAGTACCGAGTCTTTACAACATCGTCCAAGCAGTCTCTCGTTTGTCACCAACATTATTGATCTTATCAAGAAAATGCTGGAGCCAGTAGCTGATGACCGCATTGATATCGGAGAGGTTATCCGGCTGTTGACAGCTGCCATAGACGAATCGAATGATGAGACACCGCCGCTTCAGATGACTTCTATGGAAGGTGAGACTTCCATTGGAGAGTCGGAGCTCCGATCCATTCGGTAAAAAGCGTCATGTCTATATATGAGCAGTCCACTTGCTAACAAAACCCTAGTTTGTGGAACTTGCGCGATCAAGAATGGAAACTGGTAAAACTTGTTGTATTTGAGGACTATAAGTCAAATCTCAGAATATGTACCGTGGCACAGCGGCGCGACGCAGTGCAAGAATATCGTATAGGCTTTCTCTGGATTCCAACCTTCTGCTCATGCTGATAAAGGACAGTTAATCGGATGAGGGATCAACTGATCCCTGCGTATGCATTTGAAGACCCTTTCGCCTCGTCTACTGCCGACGAAGCTATTTACTTTTCCAACATTGAACCCTCTGGTACATCGAAATATCCTGGTTCTATATTCTCTTCCGAAGCAAAACGTTGTAGATCAATCCCACACTTGCACCTTTCGATGCTAATGACTTTCCAGACGTTGCAACCATGCAAGAGATATTTACCATGCAGAAGATTGAAGCAATGTATAGCCCGATACTGACTATTTGCATCGAGGCTGACAGATCCTAGCTTCGCTTTCAGGAACATCAAATATCGAAAACACAAGTCCTTCACTAAGCACCTGGCGCATTCGATACAGAGACATGAAGACAATGAGGACGGTATAGATCTTGGTCCTGGATGGGCCCAAATTTGGGTTGAACAAACGGACTCGGCACGCAAGGTTGGTAGAAACCTCCATTATCCACATGCGGAAGAGTTGATCTTCAGACAAGGCCAGAGAAGACAACCTTGATGTCACCACGAGTCCCACACGTCCTGTAAGGATACAGCCGCATCAGCGAGCCGACTATAGAGTCGTCCCACCTCGACGCCTAGTCATCTTTATCCACAAACTGAAAGCATATATGACTATCCAAGGTAAGAGTCTTGGTTGCGGTCATTTTCGGATTTTCCTGACAGGGAAATATAGTGGATAAGAACTGGTGGGAAGATCCAGACCTTGCAGATGCTTCTACGAGTACGATCCATTTCACCCCGCGAAAAGCCAATCGTGATCCTTCCTTCCCAGCCTCCATCCTTCGACACGCGCACATTCAAGGTCAAAACCACTTCCCGGGTATACCTCTTTGTCCTCAAAATCTCCTCCAGCGGGAACAACGTCCAGAAGTGATGTTCGAATGTACGTTCCTTCGATTGACATTCGACAATGAGGAGACGAAAAAGCTCCTATCACAAAAATTCACCGGTGTCAAGAATCAATAGAAAGCAAAGACCAGAGAACTGGAGCGGCAACCAGGATATACCCCAGTACCCCCTCCAGTACCACCTCCAGAGAATCATCCCATATCATCACCAATACCACATGTTGGTCACGAACACAGGCATCGTGCAAAATCACCTTGGTCGAGGTTTCGAAAAGCCAAAAGCGGATTAAACGATAGGCCTTCTCCTCTTGGGAATGTTGGGCAAGGAGTAGCAGGATCCACGAACCCCAGCGCGTCAGTACCGAGTTCCTGGAGACCCGACCCGTATAGAGGTGGTGGGAGAGGCGGAGCACAGTCTCGGAAGAAGTCTCGGGAAACAAGATCCGCTGTAGAGCTTGAATCCCCTGGGAGAGAAGAAAGTTGAAAGACTGCAAGATATGCTCCGATCCACTTGACGCGACGTGCAGATTCTCTCATCCAGCGGTATCTTGATCTAGTCAAAGTGAGAAGGGAACTGTTTACCAGGCGAGTGGACATTATGGAACTCTTCTAGATGCCCGTGGAGCGATCTAATGCGGTTCTGGGGCCGGCTTGTCAAACCGACCTTTTCTTTGCCTCTATCCTGAACCTCCATCACTGGGTTTCCCCGACAGCATTCTGCCACTGGCCTTTCAGCGAGAGAAGGTCGGGAGTCAGCTGCGATCTGTGTGCCACCAAATTGTGTCAGCGCAGGCATCCCAACGCTTTGGTATCGAACAAGAGATCCTCGGTAAAGACCGGCCCCTATCAATTAAGGAGGACGATTTATTCGACAGGCTATCAAGCTTCTGCGTTGGGGAACCGGGTTCCAGATTGCCACGTGCCGGCTGTGTACTTGATGAGGCGCGAGATTCTCGCGCCAGAAACCGGTAACAAAGGGCAAAACAGCTATTCAGCCTCAAACCTATTGTCATGCCTTCGTTGGGATTGACGATTGAATTTGCACTTATCAATCTCTCAATGGTTATTCGCTGGCATTTCAAAAGACTAGCCCTGAATCGCTCTCGGAACTTGGCACGGAATACGACCAGTTTTCCCTTTCGGTTTGCCTTAACGAACCAGTCCCTTCTAGATTGTGTATTACCTGGGTAGTTGGAGAACACTGGAGCGCTTTGGCCTTCCCCAGATTCTCAGGTCTCCAGCCCGCTGGGGTTGTCAGCATCCTGCCAAGTCGGTCGCTTACCCCAGCATCCCGGAAGAGTATGGATACTGGAAACTCTTGTGATGTGAGCATATAAGATATCATGGTATCCATGGCTATACTTCACAAGTCGTCGATCTTGATAAGCAAAGAAGTGCTCCCTTCGTCGATTCACCTCCGCTCACAGTCAGCCACCTGCACTACGTCAACATGGGTGAGAGCTCGGAAACCAATGTTGATATTCAACAACAACAACCCCTTGAAGATGACGGTCCTACCTCATGGAACCCCGTCAAGGTCTTCTTTTTGATGCTGGTACGTGTGATCTCGGACGGCATCGTTGGTCTGTAAGAACGGCGCTAATCAAGTCAAACGCAGGCTCTTGGAAGCCAGTACATCTGCCAAATGCTGTTCATCGTTGGCGCGGGCGTCTACTCCCGATCTATCGCAGCTGTTGTTGGGGGTGCCGCGATTTCCTCATGGCCTTCAGCGTGTGTGGTCATCGTACCAGCAGCATTCGTGCTTCCGGTAGCCCAGGCAGCCGACTAGTGAGTTACTATGCATTGGTTGGCAAAGTGACGGAACTGATTCGTTATAGCTTTGGTCGAAAATGGCTCCTTGTGGTTCCTACTTTTGTAGGTTTCATTGGTTCCATCGTTGTTGCAAAAGCGAGCACAATGCAGATGGCCATCGTTGGTTTCGCCTTGGGGGGTGTCGCCTTTGGTCCTCAGCCCTTGCTCCACGCCGTCGCCTCCGAGGTTATGCCACGAAAATACCGTTCCTATGCTCAGGCAGCCCTCAACACCTCGATCTCTATCGGTTCAATGCTCAGTCTGGTCATCGGAGGAGCTTTGACTGAGAACAACCCGGCGGGCTTTCGAACGTACTGGTATATTTGTGCCGGTATCTTTGTCGTCTCGACCGTACTTTTGGCCACACTCTACAATCCAGCGCCCAGAGATCTACAGGTCCTCTTGACACTGTCACAAAAACTGAAGTCATTGGACTGGATGGGGTACTTCCTGTTTGATGCAGGTCTGGTGCTTTTTTGTCTGGGTCTCTCATATTCTCAAAACCCATTCTCATGGCAGAACGCCCATGTTGTTGCCCCTTTCGCCATTGGCTGCGCCATCCTCGTTGCACTGTTCGTTTACGAATGGAAGATCAAGAAGGACGGCCTGTTCCACCACAATCTGTTCAAGCATCGAAACTTTGTCATCACCCTCGTCGGTGTGTGGATCGAGGGATTTGCTTTCATGGCAGCCAATGTCTATTTCCCCTACTCCATGGAGATTATCGAGGCCGGCAAAGTTAGCTCTTTCAGAGTTCTACTCTGTTATACTGTCGCGTTTGCATTCTTGCTGGTCGCCGCCTTCGGAATGGGAGCTTGGATTTACTACACGAGAAGGGTACGGATACAAGCCATGGTATCATTTATCGGGTTTTTGATATTCTTCGTTCTCATGGCCACTATGCACGCCGACGAGCCAGAGTCTCATTTCTGGGGCTTCATCTGTTTCTACGGTCTCGGCCTCGGATCGTGCGTCATCACGCTCTACACGACGGCGCAGTTGTCGACTCCTCCGGAATTGATCTCTCTCACTTCGGGTCTTTTGGGCTCCATCCGAAGCGTCGGTGGCTCTGTGGGAGTGGCCGTACATACCGCCATCTTCACCAACGGACTCACTGCCAACCTGTTCCCCAAGGTGACAGCTGCTGTCGTACCCCTAGGAGTATCGCAGGAGACAGTTGCACCGCTCATTGCTGCTTTACAGGCAGGCAACGCTGCCGCATTAGCAAAACTACCGGGCGTGACCGGTCAGGTCATTGCGGCTGCCGGGTTGGTTTTGAAAAAGGCTTACCTCGTTGGTTTCCGCAATGTCTTTATCTGTGGAGCAGCTTTTGCATTTTTGGGTATAATACGTGAGTTCTCTCTTTTTTTTGGTTTCAAACCATGAGCAGAACCCCTTCATACTGACTTTTTATTTACATAGTGGCATTCTTCCTCATCGACCCCAAGGATCAATTCAACGCCAGAATCGACGCACCCCTCGAAGGTACGGATTTTGTACGAGACATTGAAGAAAAGAGAGCAAATGAGGGAGAACATGTTGAGACTATTGAGCCAAGGGAGGTCACAGGTTGATGAAACAGAAGTTTGAGGACCGCGGTTCAGTGGTTCACTTGGTCTTGCTGCTATTGTTCACAGGGTGTTACTGAAGAGGTCCCAAATACAATGGACGAGACAGAGATAGAATACGGAGCACACACTCGCCGTGAGGCACTCCGAGAAATTCATCCAAGTTTCTATTGTTTCTTTCCCAATGAAAGAGACTCCCAATGTTGACATTGATCAACTGATATTCCACGTGGTACCCCCTTGAGCATACTGTACAACTTGTACTCACCGTACTACGTAAAGATAAGGCACCTGGGGAGGAGGGTTGTGGAGGCAACCCACTTATTTTTCTTACACTGGGGCCCTTGGAACGTGGTTCTCCTTAGGCGTGCTCCGTACCAAGAGATTCACCTCCAGGTTGCCCTCCCCAGGCACGTCTCTTGACCTGATGCTTTCATGGGGCATAACATGGAAAATGTGTCCACAAGAGTACGGAGTATTGTAGTATCCACCTTTTACCTCTCTTGACCACACTTCCCTTCTCTTCGTAGGAGAAGTAACAAGTAAAGCCATATATCCGCAGGAGACACTGGATGTACCACAGTTGATTGATCGTTGATCTGTCTAGTTTTGTGTCTTCCAAGGCATCCCATTCTTTTGTGTTCTTTGTTCTCGCTTCTCCGTCGAACAATCCTATCCGTTCGGAAGTATGCGCGGGACTCGTTAGCGAAGTGTTGCCCTCCATGCTCGTGCCCATATGGGATGTCTCGCTGGGATCTTGGTTCTCTTTCCCCCGACCTGGGGTACCGGACGAAGCACAGAAAGTACCAGGTCACACAACACAGTACGGTACACGCGTCCGCACTGGGTCTTATTTTTTATCTGTCTGTCTGTCTGTCTACGGGAATATGAAAAAGCACAGGGATATACACTGTACCTAAAGTCAACGTCTGGGTTTTTCCCTTTTGAGTTTTTTTATTGCGGGTAACCATATTCCGAAGCTCCAGTCAAAGGAAAAATGGCTATTTACTCCATACCCCCGTATGGTTTTTAACATTGCTCCGTGTCAACGGAACGAGGCAGACAACACTTCATCTGTACTCCGACTGCTTGCCTCTTTCCGAAGAATCACAACCACCAGTCTACAGCACAATGTACGAACGGACGTGTGATTGTGCAACCCGCCAATTGACGGGACAAGTGCTCCTATGTACATCCCACAGGCTGGCTACAGGGTTACAGGTTACGAGCTAGATACTCCGTACGGGGAGAATCGCTCCAATTCCAACCATATCAATCGACCGCTGTTGTAGGTAGGTTACGACGACTACTACTACTACTCCTCCTCCGTGTGTGGTTCACCAGACTTCCTCGTATTGTTCGACCACTCACTCAACTCCCCTTGATCACAACGCGGCATCACTCTGAGTATCCAACTCTTCCACTCACTCCATACTCGTGATTCATTTCGGGGGCCGAACCAATATTGTACTTTTCAATTCCCATACCGACATCAGCAGAAGCATTCAAAAGGTAACAAGAAGCGACAATGATCACGACAAACATACTCGCCCTGGGGCTTCTAGGCGTATCCATCACTTTTGTCGTTGTTTCTTTCCTTCGTTCGGCCTTCACCGAAGGTCTTCGAGACATCCCTGGTCCATTGGGTTCTCGATTTTTGGGTATTCAAAGGGTCCGTATGACTCGGAGTGGCGATGCTCCAAGACACCATCGAGCATTGCACGAAAAGTATGGGAGTGTCGTCAGGATAGCACCGGGTCATGTTTCGATATCGGATCCGGCCATGGTCCCGGTCATATATGGCATCAATTCGAAATTCACAAAGGTGCGTCCCTGAATGCCCAGTTGTTGTTGTTGTTGTTGTATGAATACTCCAACTCCCAAGAAAGGGAAGTCCCAACGTGCTGTGACGACAAAAACGAGGGTCGAGCTTGTTGCTTACTTGTTTTACAATGTCAAAAAGTCAATGTTTTATTCCCTATCAGACGCCTACTTTGACGGTCGACGCATGGAAACAATCTTTTCGACCCGTAGTGCAGAGTGGCATCGATTCCTCCGGGGCCGGGTGTCACAATTATATTCCATGTCGAACCTGAGAGGTTACGAACCATACGCGGACGAATGTACGGCCATTTTTACCCGTGCCATGTACGAGTTACAAGGTCAAAGGATTGATTTTTCCGAATGGTTACAATGGTATGTTTGTGTCATACTACCCTTCCTCTCACTTCCCTTCCCACTTGACGGTGTACCCTCAAAAGTGTGACGTGTAGAATGTATGAATTGTTGTGGTTATTATGTCGGCTCTTCTCAGCTAACCCCCCACTTTGAAAAAAAAACAGGTACGCTTTCGATGTCATAGCATGTATCACTTTCCAAAGAAGATTCGGTTTCATGGAAGAGAAGAAGGATATTGGAGGAATGATCGAGGCCATTGGTGCTGCTTTCCCCTACATGGCGACCGTGGGACAATTGCCGTTTCTTCACCCTTGGCTCAGGGGCAACAAGAAACTCATGTCTCTTTTGAAGAAGATGAGACCCAACACACCAAATCCAATGGCAGATATCCTCAAGGTGCCTTGACCTTTCCTGGTTTTCCCTCTTCACTTTCCTGATGTGAGTGTTCGCCTTTTGCTGATTAGTTGAGTGGTTAGATCACCGAAGACGAAATCGCCAGGTATGATCGTCAACTCTATGACAAGGAGAGTACGAGAACAGACTTTCTCGCCCAGTTACGTGCAAAGGAGGAAAAGACGGGGAGAATGCCACATGCTGATCTTGTCATGCACCTGTCAAGTAATCTGTAAGTTTATATCGAGCAGGACCCGGCACACCCCCGTACAGCTGTGATACGGTACACATGCGTGCTGACAGATCTCGTGTCTTGTAGTCTCGCAGGAAGTGACACGACGGCCATCGTATTGAGAGCATGCTTTTATTACCTCCTCAAAAACCCCAGATGTTACACCAAACTCGTGGCCGAGATTGACGAGGCCGACGCTTCGGGTCGTTTGTCGAGATTCGTATCTCATGAAGAATCATTGAGACTCAGATACTTGTACGTTTTTTTGTTTTTCGGTGCTTGTATCGATTTGTCGACATGTTTTTCGCCTCCCCTTTTTGGGTTTTTTTTTCTCTCTTCCTATTTTATCTTTCCAAATGACGAGGACAAAAATCTCACCATTCTGATTTGCTTTCTCTGCTTCTAGCCAAGCTGCACTCAAAGAAGTGATGCGTCTACACCCAGGTGTGGCGTTGATCCTCGAACGGATCGTACCCGAAGGTGGAATGAGTGTGAACAACTATTACATCCCGGCCGGAACCAACGTCGGGGTCAACCCTGCCGTGATACATCACGACAAGACCATCTACGGAGTGGACGCCGACGACTTCAGACCGGAGCGTTGGCTCGAGGCTGGTGAAGATCAGATCAAGGCGATGGACAGGAACCTCCTTACAGTATGTCCTTTCCTTTGCCCAACGCTTTTTTGGCTTTTTTCTTTGTGTACACTGTTTTCTTCTTCTCTCTTTTTTTGGGCTTCTCGCCACCTACCTTTTTCGCGGACCTGGCTCCATCTGACCTTTCACTAACCAATTTTTTTTTGTTCAAGTTTGGTCATGGTTCTCGTACCTGCGTCGGGAAAAACATATCACTCATGGAAATGGGAAAGTTCGTGCCGCAGATTCTACGATACTTTGACGTGGAATGGGCCTCGGATAAATCGGAATGGACCGCAAAGGCAGAATGGTTGTGGAGACAGTCTGATGTGTTTGTGAGAGTGTACCCGAGGAAAGGCAAGGAACAGTTTCGATAGAAGTGCGGATAGTCATACGGAGTTGTCAGTATCCATCCCTAGAATACAAGTAGATACTCCGTACTCCTCACCCAGCAACGGTAGCAGCGTAACCCGGTTATTACATAATCAGTCTAAACGATTCACCGACTACTGTACGGATTACTCCCTACGTAGAGATTTGCAGACCGACTCGAGGGTTTGGTTGATTGAATCCATTCTCGCTATGCTATCGTATTGATGTCTAGACCTATTGTAGAATGAGCAAAAAGGGAAAAACTTTCTGTATCATGCAACTTTGCTTTTTTTTTCTTGGTGGTAATATCTTGAGAAAAGCAAGCTCATTGTCGTTCGTTCACTTCGTCAGCCAGGACCAACACCCCAGTCTTTTGTTGCTGTCCATGTTGGCGAGCAAAAAAGGACTTCCTGGCACTTTCTCTCAACAAATATTGCCCCAACCCCAAACTGCTTCATCTTTGGTGGGAAATCACTACGACCTTCTGATTTATCGTCTCGCTAACCCAAATTCCTAACCTCGCCGTGATTCCATTGAACAAGAGAGACAGAGGCGTGACTTCCGACACCATTTGGAAGGGTGCGTGCCGTTTACAAGTCTGGGTCCTCCTCGTCAGGCAGAGGCATGGCAGCCGCTTCGGTCATTTCCTTCTGGTATTGATCGAGCAATTCTTGGTTGACCTGGACCTCAGGAGGAGCGAGAGCGGGCGCGGCGACGAACTCCAGTTGAGGGTTGCCGACCAGTTTACGGGCCAACCAGAGGAAAGGCTTCTCAAAGTTGTAGTTGGACTTGGCCGAAATATCGTAGTACTGGAGGTTCTTCTTGCGGTGGAAAGTGATTGTCTTGGCCTTGACTTTTCGTTCCTTGACATCGACTTTGTTACCGCAGAGGACGATGGGGATGCTTTCGCAGACGCGGACGAGATCACCTGCATAGATTTGTCAATGCCTGATCTTGAAAAGGAATCGGAGAAAAACTTACGGTGCCAGTTGGGTACATTCTTGTAGGTGATTCTGGATGTGACGTCGAACTAGAAAAAACGATCAGAATACTGCACTCTCTCCATTGAATCTCTGGTTGGAATGGGGTGTGTGTACCATGATGATGCCACATTGGCCGTTGATATAGTAGCCATCTCTCAGACCACCGAACTTTTCTTGACCGGCGGTATCCCAGACATCGAATTGGATTTGACCCAAGTTCTGTATTGATATTAGATTGTGCCTGCAAATCTTTTGTCCATGACAAACATACGGTTGAGAAACCTAGAGGGTGAACTTCTACACCGAGGGTGGCGATGTACTTCTTTTCGAATTCACCCGTGAGATGTCGCTTGACGAAGGTGGTCTATATCAAACGATAAGTTAGCAGGCTGATCGCAAAATGATGTGACCCTTGGGCCCGATGCGATAACGGGCGGAAGGAAGTCAGTGAGGAAGACCTTACCTTGCCAGTACCGCCGTCACCGACCAAGACGAGCTTGAAGGTAGGAACGCCTGATTGTGCTTCCGCCATGGTGATTGTTGTGGTGGTAGGTCAGGAGAATGTCGAGGAAAGGCTAGAGGACAAAGATCTAGCTAAATGGGGAGATCAGGGCGATGCCAAAAGATCTCGAGGACGAGAGGGTCTGCGCGAAAGCAATGGGATGAGAGAAAAAAAAAGAAGTGGTGGATGAGATCTGAAAAGGTTCGTTGTAAAGAAGGCGGCGCAGGATGAAGAGGCGGAACTGGACTGAATGTTTTCACTTGAAGGCCTTGGCACTCTGTCGTCAATTTGCTGGGGATGTTCAGGCGTCATTTGTGCCTGACTTTTGCCCGGCTCTCCAGCTTGGGTCTGACCGGGATCTTGATTGCAAAGATTGCTGCCACAGTGACAAGATCACGTGTGCTTCCTGGCCCATTGTTTGGAATTTGATCCCATGTTACGGGTACCTAGTGTGAGGTGTCATCGACCTGCAAACAACATGTACCTGGTACTCGTACTTGCGCGCCCGGCTCTCACCATCAACCAGCTACAAATACCAGAAGTCAATCATTATTTCCTAGGTCGTTATCATTATACGACTATGCGTGGTACCTAATTCATACTCAGGGTTTTGGATGTTTTACAGCACAATCTCACCACTCCGTCGATTGTGAAGATCTCCTGCTCCAGATTTGGTTCGGATAGGCTGCCTTGATGACTGCAGCTGCCCAAAGCCAACAGTGTACCTGCTGACCTTCCATCACCCTCATGAGGTTTCGAAGGTCCATTTTGTAGACTGACATACATGAACCTAGCCGTTGGTGCGTGAATAACCAAGCCTGTTCGCTGTTGATGCTCTGAACTCAGCACACAGCCAGTCTGCCCTCTCCCCGACTCATGATTTCGCTCGTCATCTGCACTCATTCCGGATCTTCCACATAACATGTGTGGTCAGATAGGGACAATATGACATCCAAGAGTACCTCTGCCTCCCCAGTTTTGTCTTGGTGTTAACCTCAGTTCCAGCTCTTGTGTATCGGCTCCGACACCTCTCGATACATTGACTGGTATAGGTCTATTGAGATTCTGACCGACTACCTCTCCAACTTTGCGCAATCTCTCGTGATTCGACCAAACTGCAGAACCAAACCTTCTGATAAGGTCACCGGCTTTTAGACCTGCCTCATTCGCAGGACTGCCGGGTTCGACGCTATTTACTTTTGCAAAAGGCGTTTCTGGGGCGGAAGATGTCTGTTGAGGACGGGTTGAGGTAGCCGGCGGTGGCTGTTGCTGCTGGTTTTGTTGAAGCAATGAATTCTTGTACTCATCGGAAGCTTGATATTCGGCATGGTGTTTGTGCAAACCCATTTCTATTCTATCCATAAGATCTTTCCAATCATTACGCAGTGTGATAATCCTAGCTCTTGTCACTCGGACTTGTGCCACGTCGATGTCTGAACGAGGATACCCGTCGAAGGTTGTTAGGCTCGTTTGCATGGTGACTCCATGGCTATCCAAGACTGCACCGAGTGCCTTCAACTCAGCTTCAAGGTCGTCTTTCCGCGCAACAAGTTGCTGAAGCGACAGGCCCTCGAAGGATTGTCCTTGTTGAACCGACGTCGGTCCACTTGGTACGTGGATTTCTGCAAGATTTGAATCCATCGGTAATCCCATGATCTTTTGTAATGATGAATATGAGGGTAGGAGGTTATTGTATGGAGGTTTTTCGACGTTGATTCATCATCCCCGTTGTTGTACTTGTGTTAGGCTCCTAATAAAACACGCTGTGCAAGGTGACGCAGCCTAAACACGCGGGGGTTTGATGTGTTTATCCGAGGTTAATCCGCCCTCAGATACAAATCAAAGCGGCCTCTGATCAAACTCGGTGTTCCTGGCATTGTTCATTCGACTTTGCGGCTGAACCCTACCAACAACCGTCATCTTGATTGTCAGAGCCGGTGAGTGCGATGGACAAAAAGACAGACGCTAAATGGCAACTTCCGGGCTCTGGCGCACCTATCTATGTTCTCGTCATTCATCTGATGGCTTCGACGCCCACGTTTCACAAAGAATTCAATGGTCTATTTTGACAGAAGACAACCTTTTTATTGCCTGTTGAAATTCATGTGTGATGAACTACAGGTTACACTACCTCGAAAACCCTGTTGCTCCCTGCCTTCTACGATAGCCTTGTTCCTTCCTCGGACCTTACTTTGCGGATACCATCCTTCCTTCATTAGACCAGTTGAGAATGTGTCTGTTTACAGTTCTCTCACTTGAGCTGCTTCTCCCTTCTTTTCTATTCTTTCCATGCTCTATTTCGCAGCTTTTGGACTTTGTCAACTTTGGTTGTTTGGTCTTACCAATGAGACATTGGACCATTGGGTTTCATTTTGTTTTTCATGATTCTAGCTCTATTGTTTTGTTGATTACAATATATCTTCTATCACTACACAATGACTGCACATATTCTACCGCCGATCGTCCCAAGCCCCTTCGGTAGACATTTTCAAACAGAAACTGGAATGTTCAATGGCGCCGAGTCTCCTTATACTGGTCTTTCGGCAGCTTCATCGGTATCTGTGGCTCCTTTCCTCATCCACCAAGATCGTCAGGCCTCATCCAGTTCGGCACCTTCAGCTCTATCGACACCAATACCAACGAATGATGAAAATGAAGAGCCTTTCTTTCCGGACCTCCGTTCTGCCTATTCCGCTCGATCTGTATCTGCCAGGATGCCAATCGAAGCGAAGAAAACAATTTCCCCTGGCAATGTATGCGGCCGACCATATGCGTTTCCGAATCGGAAGGTCGCTCAAACTTCGTCTCCGCAGTCCTCCCTTGCGTCAAGACGTCTTCATCCGTTGACCGAGCTAAAGAATGGAAGGAAACGAGCAGCTGAATTGTCAGCGAGGACTCCGCAAAGGACACGCTCCTCCAACAGAGTTGTTTCATCGTCACCTCGTATGCCCTTGACACCCGCAAATCGACAACTACTTCCGGATAATGGGTTTGTCGAGGCAAAACAACCTCTGCCTGCTTCTGTAGATGTGTCGGAAAATTCCATGCAGGCTTCCGCAGATCTGTCAATGCAGGAACAGACAGTATTTACCGTGCCATCTGCGAGCACGCACCGGGCTCATCGGAAGCGGCTTTCTGGAGCGTCATCTGCATTTGTGCACACTATGAAGACGGCGAGTGTCAGCAACGCGAGTTTCAGTATCCTGCCTCGCTCATTGAGGCTCGGCAGGTCTACAGACAGCTATGGCCTTTTCGGGTCGCATATAAGACAATCTACGGACAGCGAGCGGCCAGCAACAAGTGCATCTGTGGACGAAGCAGCATTTCGCAGAGGCATGAGAAGAAGGCAAACCCTGGCTGAGCTCATGACCACTGAAGAGAGCTATATTTCGGATCTGAAGGCCCTCATCTATCTCTACTCTACTTTGTTGGCGTCTACCAGCACAATATCAAACAAGCTCAGGTCGTCGATCTTGAGGAATGTTCAAGACCTCCTGCATATGCATGAGAGACTCCTAGATCGTCTCCATCAAGTTGCTTACGAAGCCGCAGTACGCAAGTGGGCAGACACCACTTCACCACGGCATCTCGGCTCGCCACAGCGACACCGGCGCTGGCGTAGTATGGAATCAAATGCACCCTTCAAACCCAGTCGAGGTCACAGGCACACTCGCAGCTCATTGGATTCTTCTGAGCTCAGCCGTGGTCGACCTTATTTAGGGTGTGCCGATCCGAGGGACGTTTCTGACGTCGCGACGGTGTTCAGAGATTTTCTCCACGACTTTTCTGTCTATGAAGAATATTGTGCTAATCACAGCTTGATCGCGCACGAGTTGCAACGACACGCACCGACTTTGTGGTCCACGTATGAGTCTGGGATCGAGTCATTGTCCAGGTCCCTCTTGGCACTGGAGTATAGGCACAAGCACGACAAGAAAGGTCTTACAGTTGGTGACCTTCTCATCAAACCCATTCAAAGAGTGACGAAATATCCATTACTGTTCGATGATCTCTTGAAACATACTCCTGTTGCTGATTGTCCCATTACTCATATCGAAGTTGAGGATACGCTGAAATACTTGAAGGCGCTCGTTCAGTCTGTCAATCAAGCCACGGATAATCACGAGACTCGTGCACAAGTGCAACGACGATGGGCACTTCAATCGAAGCTCAGTTACGGAAAAGTGTTGATGGGCCCTGAGCATTTCCGGTTCCTGGGTGACATCCGACTCTGTGGTGTTTTACATGTTACCTGGCAGACAAAGACTCGAGTCGATGGCTGTTACGCTCTTTGCGTATTGTTCGAAAACAGTCTGATGATTGCTCAACCCACCACTGCAAGCCCGACTTTCGAGGTAGTTGCCGTATTGCCTCTTTCTGTTTTGACAGTTTGCTCCGCAAGTGATGGTCGAGGTGAGTAATTCTAATTCTACATGAGTTGCAGGACACAATTGATCAACGATAGGACTCCAATGCCATTCAGCTTTACATACCTGGAAAATCTGCTATGAAGCCAACAGTTACCTCCACGAATTCGTTTTCAGTGCCTGCTCTATGACGGAGGAGCAAGTTTGGAAGGATGGCATGTCAAGCAAAGAACATCAGAGTAGAAAGACAAAGGAGCGCCTGAACGAAGTCCCTTCTTCTGTCGGACTCGACTTGAAGTCTATTGGCATGATCTATGGTCAGCAAAGTTCTACCCTAGCTAGGCAGCCCTCAGTTCAACGAGCAGGGACCGTGGGGAATCGTGCCAATATCTGCCAGGTCATTATACAGAACACACACAATCCTCAAGACTTGCACGATTTTCGACAGCCAACAACAACCACAGCAATCAATAGATCCCAGTCACACATGTCGTCACACCGTCCAATTGTGCTGACGCCCAAAAGATCGGTCCGTGCCAGGCTCGAGACAAGTCTCAGCGATGTGTGGACAAAAGACAAATTGCCGTTTCCTGGCATGAGTGGATCGCTGGGTGGCCAGATCATTCGAGCTTCGGCAGGATCACTGGTTCGCAAGCTGAGTTTAGCATCGATTCACGCTCCGTTCTCAAGACGCTCTGGTAGCCTGTCGCTGACCAGCCGAAAATCATACGAAGCATTTACGGAGAGCAGGAGAAGCAAGTCCAAGCAGTCTGTACCAATCTTCGAGGTGCGCAAAGATAGTGTGGATGATGCTGCGCCCACCAGAAAGAAGTCGCATGAATTACCCGAGCTCGACACCATGGAAAGTGTGGTCAGTCGGATGATAGGCAGCGGAGCCAAGAAGCTCTCCTTCTCACAGGGCGAGGGCAGTTTGTTGAACAAAGGCTCAAGACAGAAGCGATCAATGCAACGTTCAACACCTGAATTAGGACCTGAAGATCCCGCGGAAATGTTCTATGCGGATGACAAAGAACGACCTGGACAGTATGAAAGCGCGGAACAAGTATTGGGCAGTAAGAAGAAACGATGGAGTAATCCTTTTGGGTTACTGAAGGGGTTGTCTGCTGAAGGGTTTCGCAACATTTTGTATTCAACAAAGTGAAGGACTAGTTTTTAAAGGTTGAAAGATTCGACTACTGATAGGTTTTAGTAGAGCAATGAATACCTGGAGTAGCGTTATACTCATCAAGAATTTTGATCCCCGAGTTGCCACATCCGTTTTGGAGGATGGTCATTCTATTTCAGGATTTGTCACGGGAGGATCTTTGTCTAAGAAATGAAATACTCCGGAAGGATATAGACCAGCTTTTGTAATTGATATTAGGCACGGGTTTGAGGAGGAGATGATCTCAAAACAGCATACAACAAGACTTGACGGGATGCTTTCTATGGCAGTGCGGAGAATGAGCGTCTTGACTGTATTCCGTCCTGCATACGGATACTCCTGTACGGAGGGGACTCACTGTGTCGTATTGTAGGTACGTCTCGTCATGTCGCTGGATTTGTTACGAGCATCACAAAACGCCAACGGGCCGGGAAGCGAGGAGCGTTTGATTAAGCTTCAACTTGGCGATTGTCTGACTCCATAATGGTACTGTACGGGTACAAATTTCGGCTTCTTTACAGTAGATTTCAGGGGACGCGACCAATCATGCAAGCATAAGTCTAGGACCAGGCACGGGAAGTACGGAGCAGTAATAAAAATGGTGCAATGTTGCTAATTTCCCACTTGGCCGTACATACTATGGAGGTTTTGTTGCACTGTAAAGTTGTGACTGGGAAATGCGCACTGCAGTTTATTACGCCAAAGGGTTCGGCCGATTCGGGCATGGTCGTATTCAACGGACGATAACTCCGCAAGAAGTGACACACTCTGCTTCTGGTCCGTCTCGCTTCAACAAACGTCGCACAGTCCTCGCCCTCAGCTTTCCGTAGGCCAGGTCGCTCACGGTTGACTGTGTGTCCTAGCGGTATCGGTGATCTGTTCAGGAACAAGATGGTATTCCTTTTTTCTTTTCCCCCCATTGAAATAGGCTCCAACGGCACACAGTTTCATCCTCCAAATGAGCTTGAGAGCCCCGACTCCCTCTTCACAGTGGGAAAACCATCCACTGCTACCATACCGTCAGTCCGCTGACTTCGCTGCACAAATAACCGCGAGTGCCTCATCTTTGCTGACGGCGCTTGCCTTGGGAATGGCACCGACCAAGCAAGGGCCGGTTGCGCGTTCGTCTTCCGCCCTGGCACCACGACCTCGCCAGCCGGGCATTCGTCTTTCAGACTAGAGCTCAACGGCCCACGAGGGACGCGTGAGCCGCAAACGAGCAATCGTGCCGAGCTGCGAGCCGCCATTGCAATTCTCCAGTTTCGTGCCTGGTCTGGCGAGGGCATCCAGAGACTTGTCATTGCGACCGACTCTTCATACGTGGTTGACTGCGCTACGCAGAGGATTCATTCTTGGCAGAACAACGGATGGAGGACATCGAGGGGTGAACCAGTCAAGAACCGAGATCTTTGGGAGTTGTACCTGGCAGAGCTACAGCGGGCTGGTGACCGGGGATTACAAGTTCTCTTCTGGAAAATCCCAAGAGAGTGGAACAGCACAGCTGATGCACTGGCAAAGCAAGCTGCCACTATGGCTGATCAAGAAGAATTTTCGAAAGTCTTGGGCGTTGCTTGTTGAGCAACCTCGTGGCCAGACGGTTACTTGAAGGCTGGAGACGATGTCGTATCATGGAAGCTGGGCCGCTTACCTCAGCATCGAAAGGAACCTGGACAAGGCTTCACGCACACGTCCCTTGACGGATTATGGTTATGATGATGATTGAACGAGATGAAGACAGCGGCGTGTGGCCCCTAGAACTTCTCAAGTTCCTGTGAGGCAGATGGTCCTGCACTTTAAGAAATGGATCAGACAGACATCGGACGCGGTTCAGTTGCACCCCTGCCATAACCGGCCTTGGACCCGTCCCGATTCAATGATAGGAACGATGCATGCATCGATGCTGGCTGGAGAGTGAGACGTCACGTGGCGTCAGCTACCAACTCGACAGAGTGCCAGGACCCATGTCAGAGCGCAGACACCAGTCAATATCACCCACGCAGTTGGAAGGGCAGCTTTGAGTGCATGCGCTCACACACTCTGTCTGCGTTGCCAACAGGCCAACAGTCCAAGCCAAGATTATCATAATAGCAAACCGGAAAGCCATTATGTAGTCACCAAGCTTGTTGAGCAGCAAGACCTGCGAGACTCACCATAATTAATCTCAAAGTTATCCACAACAGGATAATCTTCCTCAACCCTCAGACCTCCTTCACCCTGACCGTCGAGGAAAAAAATAACAGTTTCCCCTGCAACCTTCGTTTTGACTTGTAGTGTACCGTACTCACATACCGAGGGACCTCAGTTTGTTTTTGGATCTTGGTGTGGCTTGAATTACTTACTGTGATGGACAGAAGTACGGAATACGAAGGGTCTTTCGGAGTTCACGGGGACTGATGACTTTGCTGTTTAGGTAAAGTACAGAACAACAACAGAAGTGAAACAAGTACACAATACAGAGTAAAACAACAATGTATTGACACGACGACAAAAGTTTGGTATTGGTCGGGATTAAAACAAAAACAACAACAACAACAACAGCAATTGGTACAGTACTCCTTAGGAGGTAGTTCCTTCAGGTATGAATGATATCGAGCTGGTAGGATGATGATTGCCCAGGTTCCACCCCTCCTCGATTCCGCAACCGACATCGACAACCTTCCGGCCACTCCCAATCACATCGCTCCCTGCCCTTTCTCAGGAGGTCGGGTATATATAAAATCTATAGATGGGTGTGTTTGACGACCTGATGATTGACTTGGGGTGGATTTCGTTCTCGGGGACTTTTGCAAAGAGCACGGACAAGTTGGTTCTTTTTTGCTTGTTGCCAACAACGTGTGAGGCGGGATCCTCTCACAGTTTTGCTTCGTCGTTGACATTTTGTCCTCCCCATGCCTACAAGGCCAGAGCGAGACCGGCCAGAGCCAGGGCGGCACCACCTGCCACCTTGTTGTGGCTGGCAGCGCCGGTGAAGGTCGAAGCCGGGGCGACCTGGGTGGTGGAGGCGGGGGCACTCTTGGTGGCCACGGCCGGGGTGGTGGCACCGCCGCCGGCGCTGCTGGACGGGGGGGTGACGGTGGCGGCGAGCATGCTGGTTTGGGTCTGACCGACGCTGTAGGAGATGGTCTGGGGGACGGCCCAGGTGCTGGTTCCGGAGCTGTAGGTCGCGTTGTAGCTGGTGGTGGAGATCCAGTCCGAGGGATGGTTCCAGGCGCTGGAGGTCGGCACGGCCGTGGTCGCGTTGGGGGCGGCCGTGGCGACGGTGCAAGACGTCCAGGTGCTGTGGGCGTCGGAGAAGGTGAAGGTGAATGACCAGCTGGGGTCTGCGACTGCGGCTGCCGCAAAGAGCGCGGGGACAGCGAAGAATGCCTTCATTTTTGTCGTCGTCGGTTGGTTGTTGTAAGTTGTTTGGTGGTGGTGGTGGTGGTGGTAAACGAGTGGATGTGTTCGACGAGGAAACACTGATGGAGTAGGATATTCCTTACGGAGGGGATAAAAAAGAGTGTGTGAGTTCAAGAAGGAACGGACGTACTTTTGTTTTGTATTCAAAAAGAAAAAAGGGAAAAAGAGAGGAAACAAACCAAAAGGAAATGAACCATGGGACGGATATAGGGGAGGGAAAGGGAAAACACACACCACAGGTTACTAAACATCTCGTGGTGGGTACAAGTTTTATCTTGTACAGCACTCCGTACAGTACCAGTACTGTACATGGACACTCAAAAGACTGGGGGAGGAGCGTCGCTAACGAATCGTTCATTCTAAAACTGGGACAGCCTCGTGCGCCGGTTGAGACGGGAGGGTCCCCACTGAGCAGGGGTCTCTGGAAATTGGACGACCAACCCACCACCACCCAAAAATACTTGTTCACCACACCAGAAGAAAAAAGCAGCCCGGTGGCGCGAAGAAGGGGAGGGGCGCAATTAAACTTGGGTTTGTGCAAGAGGCTTGTCCAAGTAGCTTGCTTTGCTTTGCTCGTTGAGCTTTGGAGATCGACGAGGGGTTTGAGACCAGGTCTTTGATGAAAGTTGACCGGAGTATCATCCGTACTGTAATTAACTGTATGATTGTAATTGGGACTGGGGTGGTGCGCCTGTCCAAGTTTCAAGCGAGAATGGACAGATTGAGATTGTCAGGGAGTATCTCCATCGTTTTCATGATGACGAACTTTTTCACTGTTACCGTACTCGATATTGTGTTGTTTGTTGTTTGTTGTTGTTGTTGTTGTTGTCGTCGTCGAAAGCTTTGATCCGACTGCAGAAGTTGGAGACTTGACTGGGTCAGGTACGAGTACCTGACGTACAGTAATCCTCCGTATATCTTACCCAAGTTCTTTAGTACCCAAGTAGCAACGGAGAATTTGACGGGTTGTCAAATGTCACTTTTGTAGTACAGTGGCGGAGCGTTAGGAAGCTTGAACTACACAAGCTATGTACTGCGTCCTCGTGCTGTTGTTGTATGTCCAGTAGGAACAACAGTTGCGAGAATGGTACGTGACACGACAATAAAATATTACCGTTGTCAAAAATATGGAAAGTCATACTCCGTACCTAGAGTGATGTACTGTGTAGGAGATGTCCAAAGTAAAACTCATCCTTTGCTATCTCTCTAATTACTTCGAGCTCGTAATCTCGTGATACGATAACGCCCTGTTTTATCAAAGACAAAAATGACGCCGCCGCATTGGATCACTTGTCACTTATTAATCCTCAACTCTGCCGCACATTCTTTTTTTTACGCGACTCTTATTTCCTCTCAGTGTCTTTTTCTCCCATCTCAAGCACGAGAGCGAGCCAGACTTGGATCGGGACATGGATCATGACAGTGTTGTCATTCAGCGTCGTCGATTGTGAAGCGCGCGCAACCGTGATCCTCGACTTTGGTAATGTTCGATGGTGTCGATCACGAATAACCCCATACACGTGTGTGTATACTCTGTCATCCCCCAACAAAAAGAGTATGGAGATTCGATCTCTGCTTACTCTCCCGTACTCCGTACGGAGTACACGATCCCAAGAAAGATCAGATTCCAGCGTGGGAATGAAAAACGTTGCGGGCCAAATAATATGCACGACATCCATCCAGGCGAGACTAGTAGGTTGGGACGCCTGAATTGAAAACCATCTCATCAATCACGGTCTTGTTGATCTTCGGCTATTTCATCATGCCTGGGTACTCCGCATACAAAACAAATTCCTAGCCTTGCCGACCAAAAAGCATATGGCCCCCATCTATCTTAACTTCAACCATCATCATCATCATCATCATCCCACACAGTATCAAACGAACAATACTCTACGAACTTTGATTGATCACTATCACACTAGGAAAAATTGGTCCAGCTTGGGAAATATTTATTCTTGTGCCATACAAGGGCATCAAGTCCTTAATCTGTACACGCTTGCTACTAATGACAATCATAACACTGCTTTGAGATTCCTGACTCATTGTGACGTGACCCGTCCATTGGACGGTCAGAAAACATTTCCATACTATTGATGCTGTCTTGACTCATTTGCTCATCACAGACCAAATTTCAAGCTCATACTTTGCCGGGTTGTCGACCGCCTCGCTTAGGTACCGTCCAGGGTTCCGCACATATCATCTGGAGAATGTGAGATCAGTAAGATGTACAGCAACAGTGAGCATGACGAGTCGGCTTACCTCTCCTTCTGAAAAGGCCCAGAAATATACAATCACACCGATAAGATAGTAAAGGGCGGCATTGGTGGCTTGGTATTGCAAAACTCCACTCAAAGCACAGAGAGGGTACAACACCAGCCTTGCTTCCATGCTTCTGTGCAAGCCTGGAGCCGTCCTGACAATGAATTTAAGTGGCCATTCCCACGCCAATGTCAAGATGCCCAGCACCAAGTTTATAATTGGCAAGACGGGGAATGGCTTGACACCGCCATCGAGGTCCTTGGTAAGGAAGTCGAAGAAGATCTTGGGCCAGAAGAACCCTTCGAGGGCGGCGGCAATCTGATAGGCGGAAGCCGTGAGGACGATGAGGCGCGCCCAGTGGTTCTTGATGAGTTTACCCATGGTAAAGATGATGGCGAAGATATGATTTATAAGAATAAGGTAAGGTCGAGAAGGTCGAAGTGAATTGAAGTCTGTGAATGCTTGAAGCAAAGCAAAAAATTGGCAATCCAAGAAACGAAGGTCGGTGTGAATGTAATGACTGGGTTCAGGAGCACGCAGAAATTGACGGCCTGCGTCTGAAGGTCACGAACAGGACATCGAGGCTGTGAGGGTATTTGAGGAAGCCCAAGAGCCCACCCCTTTGTCAAGGAGGCTCTGCTGATCTCGGTCCAAGGCCGAACCGGTCACAGCACAGACTGGGGTCCCAGGTGTAAGTCGAGGGAGCAACAGTCAGAGAATGCAGGCTAGAGTGGTGATCTGAGACTGTCTCTATTCTCAAATTCGGATGACAGTGTGTTGGCGCGTAGCAGGTTGGTCGCGAATGTGGTCTTGTTGCAGAATGGTGGTTGAAGCGCTTTGGAGACAGTAAGTGTCACAGGTGTGGAGCGACTTGCGAGATCTTGCCACGAGTATGGATATTGCGAGATCTACTCACAGAATTTTTCACAAAGTCAAGGTGAAGAATTTCGAGGTTGAGCAAGATGAAAAGAACAAGAGTAGATGTGTCGTTCAAAAGTGAGATATTGCATAGTCTTGTGGTCGAATGTTGGCCATTGCCAACCATGCAAGATAGCACCGAGTGACCTACGATGAGAATGCGGCCGGCGACTAGAACTGCAACGGCCATTGGTTACGAGTGACATTGGCAAGGGCCTTGCACTCCACATGTCAATAGTCTTGCTACTGGACTCACCAGATCTGGCATTTCTTTTCGCAGGCGAAGGTGATGATTCGTGGTGGTGGGATGATGAGGGCGGGGATTGGGCATGGAGAGGCAGGCTCGCAAGGGACCAGGCGGAATGGATAAGCGCTGAAAATAGATGGCTCGGCAGGTAAATGCAGGTTCGTGATCCATCTCGAGGTAACTGGACGACACGATGAGGCCGTCAAACGAATGAAGACACCGAGACTGGGATGTGATACAAACAGCCCAGCGGAAACTAAAAATGGCAGGCGAGTGATTCGAGAAGAGCGCAGTTCCGGGCAGGAAAAAGCAGCCACTGAGAGGCTGTTGGGGGCTCGGGGCCTTAACCAGACTCAGCCTAGACTCGCTTCTTCCCCTCTTGGTGCCTCTTTTGCTGGCGGTTGCAGACACGATCTGATACGTTACCGCCTTCATCTTCGCCATCATTTGTTGAACCGGTGCACGCCGTCTCATCAATCACCATCACCCATCATGCCACGATCTTGACGTGCCATCAACGACCTCTTGTTGTTGCTGTTGCGGCTAATCGTTGTCGACGAGAATGATAGGGAATCCATCAACCACCTCCGCTTCCTCTCTACCCGACACCACCACCAGCACCACCATCAGACTGGTAACTACAATCTATCTCCCGCAGACCGACGAGCCGAGGGGAGTACCCGTATTCCTCCCGATTACTCCGTACCTCTACGAGCAATAACCCCCCTGCGAGCCGTTTCCATCACCCTCGCCAACCCTGTGGCTTGCAACAAGCTCGATCGTGTATTCGTCTCATCCAGCCTCTCGATTCTCCTCCACCATCCAATAGCCGCCGGTGTGTCCGCAAACGGTCAAACACGGTCATCTTGCGACCAGGGTCTTCTCCACAATCACCACCGAGACCCTGGCTCGCCCTGCTGGTTGGCCTTTACCGCCACGGCCTCATGCATTTCGCTGCACCCTCGTCCTGCAGAGATACTATACTTCGTTAAAACCATGGCTCAATCACTTTCACAATCGTTTTTGTTGCCTCTTGTTATCACACTCTAGTGCCGTCGTCTACATTATCTATTGAATTTGCATTCAAGACATTTTTTCAAAACGGGAAAATCCCCTCCTTTCCTCAGCGAACAAGTGCCAAACCTCCCCTGTTACATCTACTGTCCCAGGTTCCACCGCAAGTCTGTTTCGACCTCGACCATTTTCCATACTAGCAGAGCCTCACCGGGCAACTGTCTTGTTTGACCCATTGCCTCATCCCTTGACTCTCACCACTCCAATCTACCATTGATACCATTCTCCTGGTATGTTGAGGCTTGTGATCGACTGATCGGACTCATATCTCGGGTCTCCATTCTCCGGAGATCCAACATTTGCCCAGCCCTTTATCTCAAAAGCTCCCGCGTGCGGCTCTTTTCCAGTTAAGCTTGTCTTCGTCCATCGCACATCCCAGTTGAAGCGACACCGCCTCTCCTTCAGTTCTTTGTTCGCTGGTCGACTTCTTCCGTTCCTTTTTTTTCCAATTCAACCAAGCCACGCCGCGTGTGCAAATGCAATATATCACGACCTTAAGACCAGGACAACTTTCAATCGTTACGCCTCCAAGGAAGTCACTTTCAGACGTACGACTTTCGATCGATCCGCAGCCATGGCGACCCTACAGTCTCACTTCTCTCCGAGCAAGATCATCTTCTATCTTCTCTGGTGGCCGCTCCATTGGGGCTTGTTCGCGTTTGGCTGGTAAGCAAGATTCGCTCGACCAAAGGAGGAATTGTCAGTGTTGACGATTGGGACAGGTACAAACAGGCAGCAGATCCTAGACTAGCAGGCCTCAACACCCTCACGTTCTCCGTGTGGATTTCTCGAGGTGCTGGTTTAGTCCTTTCTTTCGATTGCTTGTTCATCCTCCTGCCCATGTGTCGTAACATCATGCGCTTTCTCCGACCAAAGTTCAAGTTCCTTCCTCTCGACGAAACGATATGGTTCCACAGACAGTGTGCCTATGCGATGCTCCTTTTCACTATTGTCCACGTAACTGCCCACTACGTCAACTTTTTCAATGTCGAAAAGACTCAGATTCGACCAGTTTCGGCTATCCAAATTCACTACACCGAAGCTGGCGGCATCACAGGCCACATCATGCTCTTGTGTATGCTCCTGATGTACACCACTGCACACCATAGGATCCGACAACAGTCTTTCGAAACCTTCTGGTATACTCATCACCTCTTTATCCCTTTTTTCCTGGGCTTGTATACCCACGCCACCGGATGCTTCGTCCGAGATACAGCTCAACCATTCTCTCCCTTTGCAGGGAAAAACTTCTGGGGCCACTGCCTCGGCTACGAAGGATGGCGATGGGAACTCTGGGGAGGTGGCTTATACCTCGGCGAACGTCTCTACAGAGAGATCCGAGCAAGGCGAGACACCAAGATCTACAAGGTCATTCGTCATCCGTACGACGCTATGGAAATTCAGTTCCAAAAGCCAAGCATGAAATACAAGGCCGGCCAGTGGCTCTTCATCAACATCCCAGCCGTTTCAAGCCAGCAGTGGCATCCATTCACCATCACATCGTGCCCATTTGATCCATACATCTCCATCCATGTCCGCCAAGTTGGTGACTGGACCAAAGCAGTGGGCGATGCCCTGGGTTGTGGACCTGCGCAGGCGAAGCAATTCGATGGCGAGGAAAATAACGGAATCTACGAAATTGCCCTGTCAGCCGGCCAGGAGATGCCTGCCATCCGAATTGATGGACCTTACGGTGCTCCTGCCGAGGATGTCTTCGACAACGAAATCGCCGTCCTCATCGGTACAGGGATTGGAGTTACCCCCTGGGCCTCTGTGCTCAAGCACATCTACAACATTCGAGCTGGGCCTAACCCACCCCGTCGTCTTAAGCGAGTCGAATTCCTTTGGGTGACCCGAAGCATCGAATCTTTCGAGTGGTTCCAGACGCTTCTCTCATCTCTTGAGCAGCAATCTGCCCAAGCCGCCCAGTCTGTGGGTGGACCTGAATTCCTTCGCATCCACACATACCTCACACAGAAGGTCGACCAGAACACCGCGGCCAACATCTACCTCAACACGGTGGGCAATGCTGTTGATCCTCTCACTGAACTTCGTACCAAGACGCAGTACGGTCGACCAGACTTTAAACGTTTGTTTGGTGCAATGCGGGATGGCCTCATGGACCAGACGTACCTAGACGTCAAAGAAGCGAGCATCACCGCACAGATGAAGGCTTCGGTCGGTGTGTACTTTTGCGGTCCTGGCGCGGCAGCCCGTGAGATCAAGGACGCCTGCAAGTACACCAGCAATGACCTTGTCAAGTTCAGATTCTGGAAGGAACATTTCTAAGAGTCGTCTGTACCATTACGATGGGGATGGTCTGTGTTATGGCTGGTCTCTCACTCTTAAGACTTCCTCCCACCATTCCTATCTACGAAACTCGACTTTGTCGCATCACGTCTCACGGTTTTTGTCATGTTTCAGAAGTCGCTCGTACATGGCTACCAAGATTACTTCTTTTGTGGAAGTGAAGTTTTTGATTATACCATTGGAAGGTGTTTTGTGCCTCTCTGCCTCTGCTTCTTTTTTGCCTCGTGGGTCGTCCCCCAACCCACCACCACCAATGTTTTGAGATTTTCTTTGAGCAAGCGATGCGAAAAAGAAAGATACCACTCATACCCTCCCATTTTAACAATTTGCCCCTTTCCTGTTTTGGGACGAGACGAAAGAGTCCAGGCTGCACGCGGACGGCGCCGGAAAACGGAGCCTCTTACCCTTTGCAAATGGGCTCTCAATCATGTACGATTAGAAATCCAGTATTCCTACGATTCGATTTTTTGGAGCATGAGAAGAAGAAGAACAGCAAGGTTTGGGAGAACAGTCTGGAAAGTTGACTTGTGACGGGTCGAAAGAGAAAGAAGAGAAGCGGTTTTTCTTTCTGAAGAAAAGGGATCGAGCCCCCTCCCCCTGATACACATCAAGTATGTAGCGGTGAGAGAAGAATAAAAGGGCACGGAAAAAAGCCCACACGAGATCTCGTTCTAGTTCTTTTCCCTATCTCGTAAAATTTGTCCCTGTCCCAACTCATTTTCAAACCCCAGCGAACACATCTCTAGACTGTACAGATCAGAACGAGGCGCAAATTAGGTCGAGTAAGTCTCAAGAACCACACTACTGTTACTGATCAAGAGGGATAGAAACCTTCAATCACGATACAACTGAACTATACGACAGGGTCAAAGTGGCTTCATGATTGAGTACGTAATGGATATTGGAATATGCCCCTCCAGTATCATGGCCATGTAGCAACAGTGTATGAAAACTGCTTTAAACGCCTTTGCCCTTTCCTTTCCTTCTCGCCACCAAATAATGCATCTAGCCTCAATGTCATGCCTGAGTTCAAGGTCTTTCGGCATTTCGGCATTTCACGAGTGGTATCATCAATATTGCGCCTCCCTTCCGGGGCATGAGTGCTTTGATGTTTCCGCCTAGCAACCCTGCGCAAATGGAGGAGTAAGCCATTTGAGACATTGTTCAGCACCTAGGGCGGCCTTTGCTTTTGGAGCACAAGCTGTCCTATGCGGTAGGATGTCCTTGTCTGGGACCCATGGTCTCGTTACGATCCCCGCCACGTTCAGGATTCTAAAGAGTGGAAGTAACAATCAGCTCAACGTCCACACCACTTTGCCACTCATCAGAGGTTGCGGGTTTTTACCGAAGCAACTTACCTGGATAATCTGCGGCTGGCCTTGTTCGAGAATCTTCTTGATCACCTCGTCCTCGTTGGACGTGCCGAATTCATTCTCCAAGCTCGCGTTTGACGCACCGTCCAATTGACCTTGAGCACCGTGTTTGTGTGTGACCATGATCTTGAACGAGTTCACCACCTCGGCGAGCGGGATCGACTTGTCCTCCTTCCACTTGGCGAGCTCTTCGGGGGACTCGATGAAGACGATGAAGTCATCGGTTGAGCCTTTGTAGAAGACCTTGGTGACCGGTCCATTTCCGCGAGGCATTTTCGAGTTCGGGGTTTTGGGTGGGAGATTGGTGAGTTGGAAAGGTAGAGTTGTTTCTGTTTGAGGAGGGAAAGTCTGGTCACGCGAGGTTAGATTGAAGTGAGGTCTTCTGTGAGATGGTCAGTGGTGTCGAAAGGTGCCATTGGTTGTTGTTCGAAGTGAGCTTACGTTTGGAGGGTAGGATGAAGAGTATGTTGTTTGGGTTTTTTGATAGTGTATCGACGTTATTGTGTTTGAGCTTCAAAATGTAAAGAGTACAGGGGGACGTCTGATGGAAAAGGTCGCAGCTTTGAATGAGGGCAAAGAGTGTTCTCAAGACGATGGAAATGACGTCAGTGGAAAGTGCGCCCTCTCAGAAAAGCTTGAGATCATCAGGGCAGCTTCACCCCACCAGGGGGGCCCAGCATCACCAGGCATCATTTCTATCTTCGTCTTGACGCGTGCTTTTGTCTCGCCGAGCTTCAAAAGCTGGCCCAGCAGTCCCACTGTCTACGTAACAACTCCTCCACGGTCTCTCTTTTTGTTGATGCCGCAGCTCCTGATCATCGTGCCACCTACATACGACTTTCGGGGCCTTCTTTGCGCACACGAGTCGATTTCGGTATCTACCGCAGAGCCTCGCGTTCTAGTATATTCTAGCAATCCTCCTCCTAGGATGGCAGGTCTCCTTCTACGAATACTCCATCCTACGAGCGGAGGGAATTTGCACTGAGAGTTGGGTAAACAAATGCTGTACCGCTCTCGCTCATGCTCAATCTCTCCTCATCCTCACTCCTGGTCGTGTTTCCTCCAGACTTCAAGGTCTTTTCGAGAAGCTATGACATCGTACCCTATCGATAACCCAGGAACATGTCGAGGAGGACAGATGGTTAGTCAGATACATCACAACTCATTGCGCTGTCATGTACACAATGACTCGGGTATGGCCACCTCAACCGCTACGGCTTTTAGTTTGGTAGCAGGAGATCATGCGCGAGCACGCTCTAAATACACCCATCTCGTTTCCAGGTAGGGTCCAGGTAATACAGGAGATACAGGTTTCGGGAAGAGCAGGACAGATGCACTTGTCAAATTGCAAGGCACGGGACCTGAGATAATGTTTCTCATCCATGATGATATGACTGGGTACACGCCTTTCGGTTCGTTGCTGTCGAAAAGGGCCTCAAACACTCAACCAAGGTTCAAATTTGTGATGCCGGTTTGTTCAGGTACATGGTTGCTCGGGCTCATCTTGAGGGTGTGAATATGTTGCAGAGGTTTCTTTGATAGGAAATGTAATCGGCAGTAAAATATATCTCACACCAGCCTCGGGTTTCAGTACCAGATTATAATACATATGCCATGGTGAACGGACAGCCCAATAGGACAACACCATACTCTATACGAGTATGCTGCCTGTTGTGGTAACCGCTGTCAGCACTCGTCTCACCTGTTCGAATATATTCATGGTTATCGCACCTTCAAATCGGTATATACATACGCTGCCGGGTCTGCGCTAGAAGCGGGAAATATCCGAGGAAAGGTCGCGCAATAGTCCAGTGTCGATGTCAATGTCGGTAGTTTGCAATAAGCAGATCACTTCGGATATGCTCTGCAATGACCCGTTCTCGGCATTTGGGCCATCACACGGTGGGTTACAGGATGAACTTGGACAGTGATGCTGCTTACCTACATATAATGGGTCAAAGCAGGTCATTTCTACGGCTTCGAATCTCACCTCCATCCCCAGGTTCGTTCAAATACAGTACGGAGTAGTTCAATAGCCGCTGTCGAGAATCTCCGAGGCTCTGAGCTAAAAGACATATCAACTCCTCCTCCACCCTTCCCCGACACCCGCATTTGGCAGATCGACAAGACATCTTCTCCCCCGGGTTGGCCCAGAACTCTTTAATTCCGACTGATGCTCTCTAACGGAATTCATTCCTCCCTGCTATACGACTCTTCTCTAGGAGACCTCTAGGAGGCACAAGGCTCGTCGGTCTTGTAAACCCGTTGCTTTGTGCCGTCTTGTCAAACTCGCTCCCGGCAATTATACCACGAGGGTTCTCGGGTCTCGTGCCCCAACATGTCCAGTTCAAGTTACGAGAACCTCCTGCGGTACACGATCTGGGCCGTCGGGATCGTCCTTACAACCCAGGTCGTCGTCTTCCTGTACAAGAGCGTCACGTCCTCACTACGCTCTGTGCCTGGTCCGTTCCTCGCCCGCTTCGGACGCATATACTACTTTGTTCGTCTATCTCTGGGCCACTGGGAACATGATGATATCGAACTGCACCGACAGTATGGGCCTGTGGTTCGCGTGGGCGCCGACCTGTATAGCATCGACTCCCCGGAGATCGTGAAGAAGGTGTACGGCATTGGTTCCAAGTTCCCCAAGTCGGACTGGTACGATGCCTGGAGACATCCAGACCCAAATCGGTGGACCTTGTTCCCCGACCGTGACATGAAGCGTCACGCCGAGACGCGCAAGCGATTCCAGGCGATGTACTCAATGTCCAGCCTGGTCAGCTACGAAGGGTACGTAGACGAGTGTGCCGCCATCTTCCGCAAGAGGTTGACCGAGTTCGCGGCGCGCGGCGAGACCATCGACATGGCACATTGGCTCCAGTGCTACGCGTTCGACGTCATTGGGAACATCACATATTCGCAACGGTTCGGCTTTTTGGACCAGGGGGAGGACATTGCTGGCTTGCTACAGGCCTTGCATGGCGTGCTGAGGTACGGGACGCTCATGGGCGTGTACGCCTCCTGGCACCCCCTCGTGTTTGCCCTCTCGAGTCGCCTGGGTATGGGCGGCGCCTCTGGCAGAACTTACCTGATGAAGTACGTGCAGCAACGCATAGAGCAGAGGAAGGCGAAGGATCGGGCGGCTCCAATGCCAGAGGACGTCGAGGAGAAGTCTGCCGCAGAAAGGGACGAGAATGCCCCGATGGATTTTTTGGAGAAGCTGATGAACGCGAATCGAGAAGACCCCGAGAGGGTGACGCCGTATCATGTCTTCATGATGGGACTGTCGAACATCATTGCGGGATCGGATACGACGGCTGTGAGCCTGTCGTCAATCCTGTACAATTTGCTCAAATATCCGAGGACGCTGGAAAAGTTGAGGAGGGAGATCAGGGAATATGAGGAACAGGGCCGTTGCGGTAACCCGGACGTCTCGTTCAAGGAGAGTCAAGAAATGCCGTACCTTCAGGCCGTCATGAAGGAAGCCCTGAGGATGCATGCCGCGACGGGTCTGCCGCTGTGGAGGGTGGTTCCCGAAGGTGGTGTCGAGATTTGTGGTTATTACTTTCCCGAGGGTACTAACATTGGCATCAATACCTGGTGCGCACACTACAATGAGGATGTCTTTGGGCCGGACGCGGCGGAGTTTCGCCCCGAAAGGTGGCTCGAAGCTGAGAAAGAAGAAGGGGAGAGGTTGAAGAGTATGGACGCCTATTACATGCCGGTACGTTGTTGGACATTCACCGAGTTTGATTCCCATGTTGAATAAGGCTGACCCGTATTTTCGTTCCAGTTTGGTCTGGGATCACGAACGTGTATAGGTCGCCACATTTCCTTCTTGGAAATGTCGAAGTTGATACCTCAGATCGTGAGGATGTTTGACTTTGAACTTGTACATCCCGATCGCCCTTGGAATACGGAGAACAACTGGTTCATCAAACCCACCGACTTTCAGGTGAAGGTCAAAATTCGGCGTGAAAAATGGGCTGAGATGTGATGGCTCTCTTCTGTAAGACGCGTCCATAGCTTGATACCTACTATTAGTAGCAATACAGAATTCCTAACATGTGTTGCTACGGACTATCGAAACGGGGATGGATTACGTGAGTGACCAGCATGTGATAATTGGAAAAGAGGTTAGCAAAATACCTTAGCAATGCCTATTGTGTACCATTCTTCACATGATCAGCAGCACATTTGCACGGATTTGATTTGGCATCACATCATCCGGAATATCAGAGTTGTGGCGGTTGAGGATGTGCACACATTCTGGGGGTTGTGGCGCCATGGTCACAGACGTGACAGCATGTGGTTGACATGAATACCCGACTATTCAACTAGCGTCTACGTTGGACCTCATCATTCTCACTACTGGAGGCAATAACCGCAACCGTCGGCGAGAGAAGGTCGTACTGTATTGTTCTCCCGGAGTGGAAATCATCAGTGATCAGTGAGTCCACCAGAAAGGTCGATTGAAACGTTTCCAAGCGGAGAGTGCGTCTATTGATCAGTAACGATGAGATGAAGTGAGTGCAAGCTGGAGATTGGCGGCTAGAAGAACGCCAGAGGCGGATCTATCACAAACTAGCACTGCAAGTTATTGTGGGGAGTGGTCCTCGCCTCAGACCGGGGGTGTGGTGAATGGCAGCTGTGTATGTACAGTAGACAAACCTATCAACCTTGAGTCGAGTCGACTGAAGAGGGGGGGCAAATTACGGAGTATGCGCCAGACGATCTCCTCGATGACACAGTTGCCGTAGCCTGACAGCGCAGTCCCCGAAGTTGTCCAAAGCCATCCACACATTATCATCGAGCCTGACCTCGCCCACCTTCGAGATTCGTAGAGTTACCTCTCCAAGTGGGCAAGCTGTACCCGTACTGTAGCTTCCATGGCCCAATTTCCTTCCGGAGGCTTGCCCTGGAGCTAAGGGGGGTAGTGTCTACAATGAGAGCCTAAAGCTGTTCGGCTGTCCGGTGGCAAGTGGAGATCTAGAGTGGCCAGACTTAACTAAGTTGATACGAAGTGAAGATTTGATTGTACTCCGTACGAAAGAGGTGAATGGGGCAAAGCAGCTGAGAACTGAGATGGTCACAGCGAGTGGCTGAGGGGGAAGAGACAATGGGCGCATCTATCACAAACAAGGACGGGAATCAAGGAAACGAAGCTCGTGATGGTGGATAATGAATCATCCAAGGACGGAGGAGGAAGTCCAGTAGCAATTCGCCTCCAAAGGAATTCCAGGTTGCAGGTTCCGCAGCGTATGGTTGGGACAGTGAATGACGGGGGAGACATGTATCAGTCGGCGGCTACTGCAAAGCTTGAGCAGCGAAAGACACGCAGGCTTTACGGGCGTGATGGTAACGGAGTACTGACTGACTGCCCTTGAAGTAGAGACCAAAGGGAGGAGAATGAAGATGGAGAAAGCTACCAGCCATCTCCATTACTTGTCTCGCTGGTGCTGCTGAGGCGGAAATGCCGCCTGGACCGATAGGCCAGGTTGGCTCTACTTGAGTAAGCCTGGACGCCCTGGTGTTTAGTGTCTGGGGCCTCTAGCAGTATTTTTTACAGTAGTACGGAGTACCTAGGACGAGTGAGTTAGGCATTATTTAGCCTACCGAGAACGACTTGCCTAGGTACCCAAGGCATACAGTAGCTGCCCACCCTCTCATTTCTCCTCAAAACGGCACCTTCTCCTCTGCGCCGCTCTTGCTTTGCTGATCTCGAATCCTGGGCGGCTTCCCGACAGGCTCATCTAACCTGGTCACTGCTGACCCGGTCACCACCACCACCAACCCAAGCGACCTTTTGCCAACTTCGACACTTTCGTTTCCATCGCATCTGCGCCCTCGAGAGAAACACCCGTATCGACTGTACTTCGTCTTCGAGTATCTTCTTCAATCAATCAATCGATCGATCCCTTCCATCTTTACACCATCTACGGAGTACAACGCCCGATTTGCCTGCTCGTTAACCCGATCTCCTCCCAACCAGCCACATCCTTCCTGTACCTCGTCAGATCACCTCCCCATTTGGCCCCGTCGTCAATCTCGAGGTCCTCCTCAGCCGCATCGTCGCTGGCCGCTTGTTCGACCTCTGGCCCCTTTGCGACCACTTCGGACGTCCCTTCTTCAATACCCTACCTCCTGATCCAAGGTTCGGCGCATGGTGCTCCTATCTGTTCGCCACATTCGTCTGCGCGCACGCCAAACGATCAGGTCTTCGTCGGCCACCGCTCGCCCCACATGAGCGGCAGCGCTGCCACTCAGCCTTCATCAGGTACGATGGTCCGATCATTGTGATAAGCAGTGGTCTTTTAACAGCTTGACCGCATCGGCGCAGCCACGTTCTAACATTTTGTGATTAGGCGCTTCGGTGCAAGACCCCAATCCGACTGACAGCTCGACTCCTCCTGCCGCCGAAACCTCACAGCAAACTCAAGGCAATGAAACAATGACCGATAAGACCAAACAGCAGCCGCCTTTGGTCACCATACCTTCTCGCACGTCGTCCCATCAGAAATCGGCAGAAAAAAATCCCATTGTTCCTGCTCCGTCGGCCGCAGCAAATGACACATCCTCAGTTCCGAGGCGAGCTTCCAAGCGGAGTCTACTGAGTCGTAGTAGGAACAACAGCAGAAGCAGTAGACGGTCAGCGAAAGCTTCTCGAGCTGGAGATGCCTCCAAAGAGTCAGTTCCACCTCTACCTCAAAGCCCTGCCTCGAAAACGAGCCAGAAACCTCGGAGCGGTTTCCTTGCTATCTTGAATTGTTGTATCCCACACGAACCGCCGGGCGACAACAAGTCGGATGATCCCGAGGTCGCAGCGAAGAAGATCAAGATTCAGCCCCCACCACAGAAAACGGCCTCTCGGCCCCAAGATGGGACGGAATTGGTCGAGAATGAGAAGCCCGATACAGACAAACCCACCGCCGAAGAGTCAGTATCACCTGGACGAGCTGTGCAGGATGAGAAGTCATCGATACCCGAGAAACAAATAGCCGAAGACTCACGGCCCAGGTTATCGCGGGAGTTGGCTTACCACGAGAAAGCTACTCTTCCCAATGAGACCACCGCTACAGCGACGCGAGCATCAGGGAGCAAGGGCGGATTAGTGACAGATGTTGCCGATGGTCAGCAGAATATCAAGACTTCCACTATATCTGCTGCCGAGAAGACAGCCAATCCTGATGTCAACATCATCGCGGCAACACCGATAGAACCGGAACATCCCAAGAAAGGTCATGAGGTCGACAGCGTCGACGTGGGTGACGTCGATATGTATGAGGCTCCTCCTGCTGTCCCAGAACTCGACCCGGAGCCTGTAGATGAGCCGATACAACCCGCGGAACTCCAACCTCAAGTTCCCCTACCTCCTCCGCCTCCGCTGTCCAAGCGGCAAGAGCAGGTCACCACCAACGAAGTTCCCCCAGTGCCAGATGCCGCTTTAGAAAAGCAGACGTGGCTTTTGCCTCCAGTCAACGCCCATCTAAAGGGCCGAAAATGCCTGATACTTGATCTGGATGAAACCCTGGTGCACAGCAGTTTCAAGATTCTCAACCAGGCTGATTTCACTATTCCCGTCGAGATTGAAGGGCAATATCACAATGTATATGTGATCAAACGCCCTGGAGTGGATCAGTTCATGAAAAGGGTAGGCGAGTTGTACGAAGTCGTCGTCTTCACAGCATCCGTCTCGAAATATGGTGATCCGTTGTTGGATCAGCTCGACATCCACAAAGTCGTTCATCACAGGTTATTCAGAGAAAGTTGTTACAATCACCAAGGGAACTACGTCAAGGTAAGCTATTTCGGCCACATTTTCGGCTCTTACTAACACATCACAGGACCTTTCACAAGTAGGACGAGAATTAAAGGACACAATTATTATCGACAATTCACCAACGTCATACATTTTCCATCCTCAACATGCTGTCCCAATCAGTTCCTGGTTTTCCGACGCCCATGATAACGAGCTGTTGGATTTAATTCCGGTCCTTGAAGATCTTGCAGGCCCTCAAGTACAGGATGTGAGTCTGGTACTGGACGTGGCTCTGTAAGCTCCGCGAGCTCTAGGTGGCCAGTCAAACGGTGCCTTGATCTACACCTTTTCTTCTTTTGTTCGTATTAGAACGGCATTCTATCAAAAGTCTATTGGCATTGTTCCAGCGAGCCATCCCACGGCTTGATGCTAAGTATATCTCAAGCTCAAGCCCGTCAGGATCTCTATGCATGAGGTGCCAGGCCGGGACTTTTGGGAAAGTCCACCAAAAGAATCCAAAACACAAAATTTAACCAATCTAATGGCATTGGGATGGGACAGCATGTTTTCATCTTACAAGACTTTTGACAGTCTCTTCGAAGCCTTGGAGTGGGCAAGTTGTGTCAACGAGTCACTCACAGGGTTTTTGTTTCGTTTGTTTTATTTTTTGAACGTTGATTTGCATATTGCAGGCGTGCATCCGACTTTGCTGGCTCTGTGGATGAGGAGGGAAAATACCCGGAGTGATAGGCGTGGAAAATGGGCTTGTTTCATTGGGAGACATACACTTGTACAGTCTATTGGCTCGTACCTGAATTCAGCAATGCAATTAGATTGAAGTCTTGAGAAGACGGGCAGACATTCCGGCTGCGACAGGGATGATTTGATCCTTCTGCCGCGAAAGGCTTTTGTGCTACACCATGGAGAGAGAGTATCCAGGTAGAGAGTGAAAGGGGAAAAGTGAGCAGGAGAATTCAATATCGGCGGATATCATTTCCAGACTCATGTATTTCGTACACAACTGGGGATATTTCTAGCGATTAGCAAGAATGCAGACAGACATGCATGCATTGTATACGGAATATAGAGATAAAGTAACTCGATATTGAGGGCAACGTTTGTGCTCGGGCCGGGTTCCTGCATTTGACATGCGTTTGACTTGAATCCAAGGCTTATGTTTATTTCGGCGCTTCCGAAACTGACCCGAAAGCCCCCGTCAAGAGCACATTGGGCCGTTCTCTCGCTCCCCCAAGTCGTAACAATTCATCTTGCTTGTCGATTGATGTTCCGTAGCTGATAAATGTCTACCTAGAAGGTACGGGAGGACTATACTCATCCAAGACCTGATCACCCAGAGAAAAAGAGCAAAGGGCGGCCAATCATCATGCCATTTGCCACCATCAACTCTCATGAGTTGCATTACACGGACATTGCTCCATCCAGCAGCAGCGGCGGTAGAGAGGTATCAACAGTGACGTTGCTATTCGTCCACGGGCTCGGGTCTACACAAAACTACTATTTCCCCATCTTCCCTTACCTGACCTCCTTTCGCTGCGTCATCTTCGACAACTACGGGGCGGGTCGATCCAAGTACGTCCCAGGGACCGAGACGTCGGTCTCGGCCATGGCCAAAGACGTGACCGGTCTCATGGACCATCTCAAAGTCGAAAAGGCCGTCGTGATTGGTTATTCCATGGGTGGCATGGTGCCGTCGTACCTGGCGGCGACGTGTCCGGAGCGTGTCGCCGCGGGGATATGTATAGGTCCCGTCCACCCGAACGAGACGGTTGCCAACGTCTTCAAGCAACGCATCCCGGTTGTACAAAAGGGTAAGTCGCTTCATGTTCTCCTTGTCATGCCCGTCATCATCACCTTGAATCATCACACACAACAAACCCCCTCCCGAACAGAAGAGACCTTTGTCAAAGATGTACAAGATCGTTACTCACCAGTTTCTGAAAAAGACGGCATGGAAGCCATGGCCAACACGATTCCAAATACAGCCACGGGTCCCAATGCGACAGCGACACAAAAGGGATTCATTCGGGAGATGTTGATGGCTCAGGATCCCGAGGGTTATTGTGCGAATTGCAAGGCCATCGAACTTGCCACACCGCCCAATTATGCTGCGGTCAAATGTCCCATGCTCATCGTCGCCGGCGAGGTCGACAAGAGTGCGCCGTTGGCTTGGTGCCAGACGATATTTGAACGCTTGGGGACGGACAACAAGGGAAAACGGTTAGAGGTCTTGAAGGGGGTTGGTCATTGGCATTGCGTCGAAGCTCCTGATGAAGTCGGGCCTCTTGTGCGTGGATTTGTCGAAGAACTACCATAGACGAAGAAGGAGGGAAAGGGAAGTTTGTTAAAAGGGAGATAGATGCTCTGACAGTACATATGAAAAATCACTCGCTCGCTCGCTCGATCTCGCTTTTGCTTTCTACTTTCGGTGTTGCACGGAATGCTCGTGGTCTATTTTTTTTCTGCTCCTCTCTACATACTGTACGCGTTTCGATACAATGCCCCTATATCGCACTTCTTACATACTCATTTGCTGTCCTCGGTCGTATGTACTGTAGTTAGAACAAAGCTCGGCCCACCTCCTGACTGACGTCTCCTGGTCTCTGTCTCTGTGGTAGGTGTGTAGTGTTCCCTGTTTCGGCCGAGGAAACACCATGTCGACGAATTAGATACCGTTCTGCTGAATGAGGTTCCCTGAAGGTGGACCACGATCCTCGCCTATGTCGCTTATTTCTCGGACTCCCGCAGACAATGGCTAGAATAGCGAACGTAGCGACACTTGGCTCTCTTGCTGATTACTTCGTTTTATCTGACACAGCTGCAGCAATGACCTCAATCCGATCAACACCTCCACATATCTTTTGGTCGAGGGAATGCTTCGGAGAGGCTAACCCTGCTTCATATTACAAACATCCCCGTGTTGTTCGTCAAGTGAATGAAGCTCTTACTGCTGACCTAATTCTACTGCTTTGTCACCAGCAGTAGCCCCGACACCAAACGTACGTGCACGCAGACACTCTCGTCGTTCCCGCGCTGCGATTCGCGAGGCATGGACTTCAGGCCCAAGATTCGTCTCCCGGAGGAGGCAGTCCGAGGCGGAAGGATTGCCAAAGTCGGAACCTCACCATGAACCGTACTCGAAGCTCCTTGGTGCTAGCGACGCAAGGATAGCTCTCGGAAAGCTCTTGGTCACTCTGACATATCCATGAACCACATTTGTCATCTCTCGAAACGGTGGACATGACGTCCACGTTGTCTGTATGTCTTTGTACAGAAGTACTTATACCCGGGCGTTGTCGACGTTGATGGGAAGGAATGTTCATACTCAGACACACAAACTCCCAAACCATCGCCTGCATCTTCAGACACAAACACAAACACAACACTACAGAAACCAACCACTATCCTCGAAACGAAATGGCCGCCGCACAAACTGTCCAAATCAACGGAAAGCCCGTCTCCATCCCGACGGGCCTCTTCATCAACAATGAATTCGTCCCCGCAAAGGCCGGTGGCCTGCTCCCCGTCGAAGACCCTGCTATCGGAAAGACCGTCATTTCAGTTGCCGAAGGCATGGCCGAGGACGTCGACATCGCAGTCAAGGCAGCACGTACCTGCTTCAACAGCCCAGAATACCGAGATTTGAAGGCCGAGCAGCGTGGTGCTCTCCTTGCTCGCCTTGCTGATATCATGGAGGCCCGCGCCGAAGAGATCATTGCCGTCGAACAGCTTGACAGCGGCAAGACCCGCATGCAAGTCGCCAACATTGATCTGCCAGCCTCGTTAGGCAACCTGCGCTACTATGCTGGTTGGGCAGACAAGGTCCACGGAGATGCCAACTTCAACATCCCCAAGACCTTTGCCTACACCAAGAGAGAGCCCATCGGTGTTTGTGGGCAAATCATTCCATGGAAGTATGTTCTATCGCTTACCATTCCCGGAATCTCAAGTTGTTCCGGACCAGACTGACGAGTAACCCAGCTTTCCCCTGTTGATGTTCATCTGGAAGATTGCCCCAGCCCTCGTGACTGGCAACACTGTCGTTGTCAAGACCGCCGAATCCACGCCTTTGACTGCCTTGAAGATCTGCGAGTTCATCAAGGAAGCAGGCTTCCCTGCCGGTGCCGTCAACGTCATCTCCGGATATGGGAAGTCCGCTGGTGCTGCGCTTGCTGAGCACATGGGCGTCGACAAGGTTGCCTTCACCGGATCAACTGCCACTGGTCGAACCATCATGAGGGCCGCGGCCAACTCCAACCTTAAGAAGGTCACCCTGGAACTCGGCGGAAAGAGCCCGGTGAGTTGTCCCAGATTCATGTTGTTGATTCTCGCTTGTTGCAAGGCTAACACTTTACCTCGAACAGAACATCGTCTTCGCTGACGCCGACCTCGAGCAATCCGTCGAGTGGTCCGTCTTCGGTCTTGATATGAACCAAGCTCAGACTTGCCACGCCGGCACTCGTATCTACGTCCAGGAAGAGATCTACGACGCCTTCATGGAGAAGTTCACAGCCCGCCTGAAGTCTCTCAAAGTCGGCGGTAACTTCGCCGCCGGCACTCAGCAAGGTCCCCAGGCTTCCAAGATCCAGTACGACCGAATCCTCAACTACATCGACATTGGCAAGAAGGAAGGCGCCACTCTCGCCCTCGGTGGTAACGCCATCAAGGGCTCGGAAGGATACTTCATCGAGCCCACCGTCTTCACCGACGTCCGTCCGGACATGCGCATTGTGCGCGAAGAGATCTTCGGACCTGTCGTCGCCGTTGCCAAGTTCAAGACTGAGGAGGAAGCTTTGGCTTTGGCCAACGACTCCAACTACGGCCTTGCGGCTGGCGTCCACACCAAGGACTTTGAGCGCGCCATGAGAGTCACCGGTGGCCTGAGAGCTGGTACCGTCTGGCACAACATGTTCAACTTCCTCCACTGGTCGCTACCCTTCGGTGGATACAAGGAGAGCGGTATCGGTCGTGAATGTGGCGAGGCTGCGCTCCAAAACTACACGGAACTCAAGGCGGTGTTGCACAACATGGGTGTGCAAGCACCAACCTTGTAAGAAACAGGTCATGTTTTGGCCCTGAGAAAGAATTTTGTTGGTTTGCGAGAGATGTTGGGCGATGGGAGGGCAACTATCTTCTTGTCATAAGTAGCACTGTCTCTCCTTCCAACTTGGCCCCCAAGATGTACTAGTAGAAGCTGTTTTCTTTTAGCCCAAGGTAATGTCATTTGCATCTTTTTATTGTAAAATTAAGTAGGCGTCTTTCTTTACTTTCATGATACGCAGTAGGAATTGGAACATTGTACTCGTACAGAAAAGTGTGTAGACCATATCCTTTTCCTGCAGTTTTGTTTCAATCACACGGTGGACTATGTGGTTGATAATTCAAGGGTCTCGGATCAGTCGGCGAGCGGAACATGCAAAGCTGGTACCAGGTGTCTGTGTCACGCCATATCAGTAGTACATTGTACCATGTCTCAACTGAGGTAATACCGATGTCGAATTTCACTGGCCAGGAGGACTTATGTAGTAACGCGTAATTCGAACCGACAAAGACCCTGCATCGACTTTTTGTCTATTCAGCAGAGATAATGCAGCCAAGGGACGATATCAAGAATTGGACGCGTCTCTAGGTTGGTAAGTGGGTGTTGACTTGTTTGATGAAGTAAAGAGGACGTTCATTTTAGGGGCACTTACGGAGTAGATGCAGCCGGAACGGCCCCTGCTGGATTGACATGTTCCGGGTGTCTCCCTATCACCAAAATACGAGCACTGTAAATGAGCATCCTATCTAAGCGGGCAGTTCAATCTCAGACAAGCGCCTGAGCTTTGCACTTTTGGGAGGCCTCGACATTCTGAATCCCTACCTAGGAGATATAGTATACAAAGTATCCGTATTTCACGTCGTACTTATTAATATCACAACAATGATAGAGTAACATTACTATACCCATTGCAACTGACAGAAGTGCTTGACAGTGGCACGCGTCGCAATCCACTCGACGCATTTTCCGGGCCTAAAGGAGCCTAAAGGACGCCCCGGCGGCCTATGATGAGGCTCCTGAAAGCCACTAGAAAGCTTGAGATTCATCGATCCTGGGCTGGTGGGAACGACAGGAAGCGTACGGAGCACCTTTAGGTATTATTATGGAGTAACAACTCCTCTCATCACACCTGCAGCTTGCTCAAAAGACATTCTGGACTGTTCGTAGCAGGCAGTAATCTACTCCCGTATGTACTCCGTACAGCGTGCAAGTCCTCCGCCCATCAGCCAGAGTCAGCGCAGTCTGGCCTGTTCTTGTTCCCCAGATAGATTGTCCGATAGTCGTTTTCTTCGCTTACTCAATTCCACGCTTCATCTCCATTGAACTCGTACTCTCGTACACCCATCATTGTCTTCTTTTCTCTTCTCATTGCTCTCTTCTCTTCCCTTTTGAATTTTGAACTTTTTGATTGCTTCATTGTACCGTACACGCGGCCGGTGTATGCCGGGTTCCATTCGCTACCAGACCCCCCCTCTTGATCGCTTGTCCATAATGTCTCCTGACGTCCGACTCGGCGCCTTCTCCTGGCTGAGCCGGATCGTCGTGCTGTTCACTTGCTTATCTCACGCATTCTACATCCCAGGTACGGAGCCTAGATCAGACTCCGAGTGGAAGAAGGAAAATTGGTTTTCGCTGACCATGGCCCAGGCTACTTAATACGAAGTTATCGGGACGATGACAATATTCCTCTCCTCGTGAACAAGGTCTACTCGGACAACACTCAGCTGCAGTACGCCTACTTCGACCTACCTTTCGTTTGCCCTCCCACTGGCCACAAGCTCCATGGCTCGTCACACGCGAGTGGACACAGCGTCCCCCTCAACCTCGGCGAAGTCCTACGCGGCGACAGGATCAAGACCTCGGACATCGAGGTGGACATGGGACAAGATGTGGACTGTCAATATTTGTGCGATCGGGTCGTCGATCGGAGGGGCATGGAATGGGCTCAACAGCTGATCGAAGAGGAGTATGTCACGGAATGGATCCTCGACAACCTCCCCGGCGCCACGTCCTTCGTTACGGTCGATCGGAGTCGAAAATACTACGCGGCTGGCTTCAAGATGGGTTACAAGGATTTCGACCTCGCGACAGGGAGGCCAAGGTACTTTTACTACAACCACTATACCCTCGTCGTTCGTTGGCGCCCAGCTCCCGGGAGAGCAGGCGACAACGGCGGCAAGGTGATTGTCGGCTTCGAGGTCTATCCCAAGAGCATCTCGGCGGGACACCGGAACGAAACCGGCTGTCCTCTCGACGTGACGGGAGAACAAGAGCCCTTGGCTCTTTACGTCCCCAGCAACACTAGCAGCCTACAAGAGCAGTTCCCCGACTCCTCTTACGTACCTGAAGAGGTGATCGACACGGCAGACGGTGCTACTCTGACCATCCCGTACACCTACTCGGTTTATTTCCGCGAAGACAAAGAGGTGGAGTGGGCCAACAGATGGGATTTGTACTTCAGTGACCAGGCTGATAGCAAATTCACCCACTGGCTTGCAATCATCAACTCCCTCATCATCTCCGGTATCTTGGGCGCCGTATGCGTCGTCATCTGGTCACGAACGATGCAAGGCGACATCAAGGGACGTGGAGATGGGGTGCTCGAGGAAGCTAGATTGCGTATTGGCAAGAGAAGTGACAAGAAGAAGTCCACCAGTGGTCTGCTCGAGAAGATCTCCGAAGCCGGTCCAGACGAAGATTTGTCTTCCGATGAAGAGCCTCTCGAGGAGATCAGTGGCTGGAAACTACTGCATGGCGACGTGTTTCGACCCCCTCCGTATGGCGGGCTCCTTGCGCCTGTGGTAGGCTCAGGCATGCAGCTTGTCTTCGTGGTGGTTGGACTTTTGTCGCTGAGCTGTGCTGGAGTGATCAATCCGAGCTGGCGCGGCGGCTTCTGGAGCGTCGGCATTGGTCTGTTCGTGATTGCCGGCGTCCTCTCGGGCTACTTTTCGGGACGAGTATACAAGACTTTTGGAGGCCAGAACTGGCGCAAGAATACAATGATGGTAAGCATGATGTGTTTGTGTGCGGGTGCGATTGCTTCAGCTAACCTGATGGACTAGACTGCGCTGCTCTTCCCTGGCCTTGTGTTCAGTCTCGTCTTTATGCTCAACCTGTTCTGCTGGGCACAAGCCTCTTCCACGGCACTTCCATTCTCAACACTGCTTGGTCTGGCTTGTCTGTGGCTTCTTATTCAGCTTCCTCTGGTCCATCTCGGTTCGTACTATGGTTATTATCGGTCCTCGGCGTGGGAACACCCAACACGGACCAATGCTATACCTCGACAAATTCCTGCTCAAGCATGGTATGCTAGACACCAAATCGGACTTATCCTGGGAGCTGGTCTCGTGTCCTTTGCGGTGCTCTTCATCGAACTCATCTTTGTCTTCAAGTCTCTATACCTCGACAAATCATCCTACTATTATGTTTTTGGCTTTCTGAGCATCATCTCGGCACTTCTTTCCGTCACCATTGCCGAGACGGTCATCATCACCACTTATATACAACTTTGTGCGGAGAATTACCAATGGTGGTGGCAGTCCTTTTTCGTGGGCGGGTCGTCTGGAGTTTGGATTTTTGTTTACTCGGTGTGGTACTATGCCACCAGGCTGCACATTGATGGATTTGTGAGCAGCCTCCTGTTTTTCAGCTACAGCGGTCTGGCGTGCGCTGTTTATTCCTTGGCAACGGGAACGATAGGGTTCCTGACGGCGTACATGTTTATTCGAAGGATATACAGCGATGTCAAGGTGGATTAAAAAAGCACACCTGTCTTTCCCAGAGGTTTTCTTGGGTCGTCCATGAGCAAGAAAATAAGAAACAGGCAACGAGCAAGGTCTAGAGATTGTATAGCATGACGAAAACAACAATGATTTTCACTCGGAGACACACAAAGTACTCCAGTCCAGGCATATACCTACCTAAGTGTGGTCCAGCAGGACGATTACGAGGGTCTAGGCGAGAACAAGATGGGATGATCTCAAGTCAGTAGTTCGTATCCATGCCGAAGAATAAATGAGCAGGATTAATAATAATGATGCCCAAATAGTCAACCGTGATCATCATGTCCGGGCGTGCATCGGATATGACATGAACCCAGAGCGCCAGGGCAAGTCTGATACTCCTCCTCGGTCCTCGTACTATTAGTATTCTACGGAGTAAGGTAGGCAACTACTGTAGCAATACGGAGTTACGGAGGGACAGGAGAGTAGTACAAGTAAGGTCTGGCCAGCCTTTTGACATGGGGGTTCTCCGTACTTGGTCAGAGTCAGCGAGCACATGGGTGATTATCAGGTCGTTCAGATTGGCTCTTTGTAATCGATTTCACTGACAAAGAGAAACTTGAGGGGGGGAGTGGGTGAAGAAGATTACCGATGATGTGGGAGTCGATGCTGGAGGAATTGAGGACTGTGAGCCAGACAGAAGCAAGGCTGTACTCCGTACGGAGTACAATGACATTGAAGGGCGCGTACAAAGTGGAGATACTTGATCGATTACATGGGCCGGGAGTTTGTCTTTGACCACCACCACATGGACTCGGAAAGCCACAGCCTTGGATCAAACAAAACTCTGATGGGTGTTGTAAGTGCCCGGAGTCGACTGCTGTATGCTGTAATACTATACGCGCTCATCCACAAGGGACCAGCTTTAGTCTCCCCGTGCTTTCTTCTTGGTCGGCCTCGTGTCCCCAGTATTTTATTTTTTCTTACGAGTGCTATATCGTGTATGTAGGTACGTAGCCTTTTCTTACCTTACACGGTCAGCAGTACGAATACGGCGCCCTTGTCATGTCTTTAACCATGTCTACCTTTTACCTACTCTAGGCGATCCGTGCGATACAAGTTTTTTCTTCTCATCCACCGGGGCATTGGCGCGCGGCATGACTCACTTCCTCTAGCAAGCCAGGCCTTTGTGTCCCTGGCGGGACCCCAGAGTAGGTACTCGCACTTGCTCCCACGCCCTTCTGACGACCTTGTTTGTTCTTGACAGGGGCCAATCCACACCGAGTCAATGGACACATATGATTTGACTGCCCGCGTATTTTGTGGGAGTCACAATTGTCAGCTTTTTTGTTTGGAGATGGGTATGTCCCTTGCATGTATTGTGGTCACTCCGTACTCCGTACCCACGCCGAGTAGTATGGTAAGACTGTATGGAGTATATATATATATATATATACATACACATATCGGTGCCCACCTCAATTGCTAGAAGACAGAAACACTTACTCTCAGTTACCGTCCACTGTACTACTGTACAAACCCATACACACAAAAAGACACAAAGCGAGTGCTAACCTACAGGCTCGTACTCACAAGCTATACCTCCCTCCTACGTATCTCACACCAATCGAGTCAACTCACTAGAAGGTCTTTCCGACTTTCCGTTCAATTGCATCTTGGGTCGTTATCTCCTTTCCAATCAACACCCTCCTCGGCCGCCTCTGCCAACCTCAAGCCCAGTCCATCCCAGCCCATCCCAATCACAAATCCCCGCAGAATCCTGGTTTGGATCGCAAACTCGGCGTCAATCAACCCCTCTTTGGTCCATCACGACGCCCAATCCTGACGCCATCACCAGACCGACTAGCTTTATCAATCCCGCTCTAACCTTACACATCAACCCAAATAGAAGAGAGGGGAGGTTTCCTTCCCTTTCCCTTCTCTCTTCGTCATGACAGCTGCTCGACAGATCATCTCTGGCGAGATGCCTTCTTTTCTTTCATCGACAATTCCGGTCCCATCATACACGGCGCGCTCTCGGTCACTGCCTACCAACAACACACGGGAAGGAAGAAAAGGCTCGGCCATAGCCAATGCGATCGGACTTCGCAAAAAGAACGAAATCGACATCATACTGGACGGAGATGATGAATTCGTCCATTCATACTCTACCCACGACGAAATACAAGGACATGTCGAGGTCAAGTTCGAAAAGGACACCCAGTTTGATGAACTCGCCATCACGTTTGAAGGCCAAAGTTCAACCTATGTCGAAAAGATAGCTACCACGGCGCCGACCACCGGTCGCACGACAGGAAGACATACATTTCTCAAGGTCCAGCAACCCATTGCCGAGTATTTACTTCCTGGAGACAGCGTCTTTCAGGCCAACGTGACGTACAGGATCCCATTCACATTCGTCGTACCCGATCGATTGCTTCCGTTCATCTGTTCGCACAAGGTCGACCATGAAGAGATCCGCCACGAACATATCCAATTACCCCCCAGTATCGGAGACGCCAGCATTTCCGGCGACGGACACACGCTCATGGACGATCTGGCCCCGGACATGGCGAGGATATGCTACACGGTGCGTGCGCGCGTGACCAAGGCCAACGCCGTCGGCCGACTCCTCGAACTCGGCAACCGGATCGAATGCATCAGAATCGTACCTGCGCGCGACGAAGCACCGCCGCTGATTCTTGGTGACGACTCTCACAGCGACCACGTCATGCGCAAGGAGAAATCCGTCAGGAAAGGGCTGTTGAAGTTCGGCAAGACAGGTTATCTGGCCGCCGAGACCACGCAACCAAAAAGCCTACGGTTGCCGCATCCACGACGGACACGGCAGACCGAACCTGTTGCTTCCATGGCCACGATCAATCTACGATTCGACCCGTGTACGCCGGATGATGTCCCTCCACAACTGGACTCGATCACGTCGAAACTCAAGGTTTACACATTCTTCGGCGCAGCGCCGTTCAAGCTCCTCCCTGAAATCCGCAAGCACGACAACTGGTCGACCTTGCACGGTGTGTACCCTGAGAACATTCCTCTGAGTTCGCGCAACCTCTCTACCGTCTCGTGGACGCGGCACGAGCCCTGTGTATCCAATCAATACCGACCATCCTGTAGTTCGTCGTCTTCATCGGGATCGTCGTCATCATTCACGGACTCTGCGGACCTCTCGCGGCGACCCAGCACGTACTCCACGTCGAGCGCGTCGTCCATCATCCCCGAACCCAGTGGCGCCTATCGGGGGGATTTGCCTTTTTACACCGCCAGCGTCCTCGTCCCCATCGCCCTCCCGCACGCGACGGGCTTGAGCAGACCCAAGGTGTTTGTGCCGACCTTCCACACCTGCATCGTCTCTCGCACGTACAGTGTCGAATTGAACCTCGGCTTCCGATCCCCGGGCGCCAACATTCCTGCCAGCAGCCACGTCGTGCTCAAGACCCCGATTCAGGTGTCGGCGGAAGGTGGCGTCCCGCCGGCCCGTTTGCACGAGTCGGATGCCGCCATCGCCGCCGAGATCGAGGCTCAATTCGGTCTGTACGAAGCTCGAGCTCTACGTGGTGAGATTGGTGATGTGGTGGACGGTGAGAGTCCCAGATACGAAGAGGCCACTGCTGCTGTTGGTGCTGCTACGGCCACCACTCCCGCCATGTTACGAAGTGGAACGAGACACATGAGTCTGGAGGATTCGGTCTCAATGGCTCGATTGGTCCTAGAAGAAGAGACGAGTGATGAAGTCGGAACCGGAATCGGAGTCGGCGTCGTCGGGCCGCGTCGTGGCGGCGGCGGCGGCGGTGGTGGTGATGACTCTTCACAACGAGATGCCCCTCCTCCAGAGTATCGGGCCGAATACAGCTCTGGGAATAGGCCTGGTGGACCTAGGACCCATAGCGTGAGTCCATTTACTTGATTTTTTTGCTTTGCTTTGCTTTTCATTTTACATATGATTTCCGGCGTTTTATTTGACATGTGCTTTACCTATGATACCACACAAAGAAAGTTTTTGCGTTTTGGATCGGCTGCCGAGTGTTGGGACAGTGGGTTATCAGCTGTGATTTCTATCTTACGATTATATTTGTCTATGTGACAACCAGATGAGATGAAACATGAATTCTACTTATACATGAAGAGTGATAAACCGGCGAGGGTATCTTTCTCTTCTTTTCTCAGGGATACCTTTTGTCCTTTGATGAAAGGAATTTCAAATTAGAACCGCGCGCCAATCGAGGCAATAACGATAGAATGGAAAAAAGGAGTCGAGAGACAGGTTATGTTGGGATCTCTTCTGGCCGTCTGGGTTTGGATTTTTAAACAAAACACGACGAGGATCGATTTTTTTTTTGATTTTTTCCACGTTTCCCGTTTTCATCTTGGTGATGTTGATTGATTGCCCTCTTGATCTGGGGGCGGGATTTCTGTCTTTCTGCCTTGTACTTTTCTCTTTTAATTTCTCTCTCATGTTCGATACCTGCTTGTCTTCCTGCCCCTCTGTACCCACGACGTTTCATGGTGGTCGATACGGGGGAGGCGAGGGAGGAGGAGGTGGTGGTGGTGGTGGCCTACGAACAAGTTTGTGAGTCATGGGCGCGTGGTTTGTCAAACGTCTCATCATCTGGACGTATTTACGCCTTTGACGCCTTTTTTTTGGTTTGGTTTCTACCACACACACACACACACGAGTCTTTTTTTTGTGTTTTGAAATGGGGGACATTTGACTTACCCAGTCCTTCTGATCAACAGGAATATTACATCTTGGGACAGAGACACCGAGGTCGTATCGTGGTCAGGTCGACGGCCTTTCCATTGGCCAGTGTCTCGGTACTTCCACTGTGAGTTTTTTTTTGTTGTTCTCTTTTCGATCTTTTCTTTTTTCCCCCCAAACGTCGGATCGAGGGGGAAACAACGTGTCCTACGTGATGCTGTGATGGGTTGAGACTGATGTGGTAGATGTCTTTAGTTGAGGATGATCCACCTGCGATGGAGACCCGAGAAACGTTTCGGGATACCCGGTTGGATCATACAAACCGAGACGGAGAGAGAGAGAGAGAGGGAAAAAAACCCGGAGGCGGGGGGGAGGTTCGAGTCTCAAACCGTCCGGAGGTAAAATGGAAGTGAAATGAAAAAGTACAGAGGGGGGCGTTTCGGGACACGGAGAGAGAGAGAGACGGAGGGAAGGAAGAGTTGGGTCGAGTTTTACACACACTCACACACACACACACACACTCTCTCTCTCTCTCTCATATCATCCATGTCGACATCAATCGACGTCGATACCTTGTCAATTAAAGGGTCAACTATTTGTCATCCTAGCACCTTTTCTTCATGAATCATCATCGTCACCACCAGTGTCATCGAATGTCCTACGACCTTTCCGGAAGTTCTTCGTCCAGAACGCGTCACAGGGGAACCTTCTCGATACAGAGGATTGACGGTCGGACTGTCTCGTTATGGTGATGGCATTTGATCATCGTGACCCGGTGGACCTATTTACGAGAGTACCTCAAAGCTTACCTACCTTTTCCGAAACCTTTCTTCGACGGCATGATATGACACGGACCGATACGACACGACACGACACGACGACACCTCCTTGCGAATTTCCATGGCTGGATCGATTGGATCGACTTGACTCGTCGACGACACTTGTGCTATGTTGATCTTGACCTGTTGATCCCGTCGAGAATTTATTCACATATTTGGTTCACTCACGGACCGTTTCACGATACCATATTTTTGAGAGACAGAGAGAGAGAGACAGAGAGAGAGAGAGAGAAAGAGAAAGAGAAAGAGAGAGCTGGATGATGAGTTGAGAAACCGACGGATTGAATAGTAACGGGTATGATGAACATTATGAGATATGAAATTCCCAGGAAACGTATTTACTACCTCGTACCGAGTGTACAAGTAATTAATCACCTAATGATGACAAGTTGATATCAAAAAAAAACAATGAACAATGATACATACTATGCTTCTCGAAAGGAAAAAAATAACAGAACGGTAACGATATGGTGTGGTACGATATGAAATTGGGAAATGAACCAGTATTAACTATGTTATAGATATCTACTAGTCTTCAGAGAGCTTCGTATCTGCTCGGAGTCTCTCGAAGAGTCGAGTTTCCTTGGTTAGGGTTGGGTTGACACGTTGTCGACGCGCTCGCTTTTCACCTCTCTTTCAGCTGTCACTCTCATATGAGAATCAGCCATCCTGCCTCCCCTCGTCGTCTAGAAACGACTTCTGATGTATCTGATCCCTTCCGGATCTTTCGTGACCGTGCGTAACTCTTTGCGATAGTTTTTGAAAAAAAGGTTTTCTTTATTGATTGTCCTTCCGAACACCTACATATGTTGATATGCATTCTTCCACTTTTCCTTTTTGTCCTTGTCGATCAAACCAAACACCTCTTGTGCTCACACATGAGATCAGTTTGTAACAAGGAGTGCCCCTCTCTCCGTCGACGGTCAATTTGACAACTGACAACCCCGGGACGTGAGATTGGCAGCCGATGACGACGAAGTTGACTTAGAGTCAAATACTTGCTCTGTATACTTAGACGGTGGTAGCCCAACAATGAAGTCCATAGATATGCTCTGCCATGGTTCCTTTGGTGGTTGAAGAGGTATCAACTCTCCATAGGGTTTATGCCGAGGGACTTTCATCCTTTGACATATATCACAAGTATCCATATACTCATGAACATCCCTTCACATCCCTGGCCACCAGTAACAACGCTAAATCACTTCAAACGTCCTGGTGCGCCCGAAATGTCCGCCAACCTAGGGATCATCATGATTGACCCTAAGGATTTCTGCCTTGATCGCCGGGTCATTAGGAATATAAACTAGTCCCTAACGTTAGATAATTCCCTATAGATTTATTAACCATTGTCCATTCATAGGGGCCGAACCTAAGACCTTTCCGTCCAAAGACGCCATCCAAGGTTAAGCCTTTACGAATGGATCCAAGCTTTGTAGGTCCTTACTCTGTTGTTCTAGATTCTCCTTCTGTCTTAACTCTGGTGGGGAAGAAAGGATCTTTCCATCTGTCACAGGACTATCCCCTGCCTCAGATGCCTGTGGACCTTGGATTGCATTCCATCCACTGGTCCCCGGGTTGGACTTACCACCTCGCCCCCGGGGTTTGGAGTCGACGCGTTGGTGTCTCGGACGGTCATTTGGACCATGAGACCCGTGAGGAGTAGGAGGGCTCGGCTACAATCTCGGAGCAACCAACTTTGGGCGATGAAGTAGACCACATTATGGGCATGAAGACGAGCTCGGCCTTCTCTTTCGGCGCCTGCAGAAGGGTTCGATGGGCAATTGTGTCGTAGGCGTGAATGACGACGCCGAATGCGCTCATCGGGTCGGTCGGCGGGAAGGCCTTTTCGATCTCCTCGCGGGCGGCCAAAGGATTCGACGGCAGGAGGCGAGACTTGAGATTGAGACGACCAGCTCCTTTTTGTCTGTCTGGATATACCCATATCGTGTATTTGCTTTCTCGCAGATATTCGCTAGTTGTCGCACGGGCCCAACGTAGTAACTGCGCAGTCTCTCGTTATTGATTTCGAGGTCGTTCTGTAGTGCACTCCCACACCACAATCTATATGTGTAAACCCACATAAGAGAAGAACCTGCTTTTCAAGGACGCATTCACAGTCCACCTCTTCGACGGTCTTGCTCTGTAAGATTTGAGCCCATTCGATGTTCATGGCAATGATCCGTTTGTCCATGGAGAACCAAAAAGCCCCGGTTGAGGGTTGTATCAACCGCGTAGACATGTAATCGATCGTCCGTCCTTCCAGAACGTGCCAGACTATTGGTATATAGAGCGGACGGTGTCAAAAGAGCAATAAAATAACGAATTTGCTTTGATTCATCATCAGAATCTGTCAGCCGGGATTAGTACCTGGATCAATATCTGTCTTGGTATGTTGGATCGATACTGACCTGAGTCGACGTCGGTGTGGGCATCTGATTCATCATCTGATTCACCACCTGAATCATCATCCATGTCGGGGCCACGTTCGACCTCAGAACCTTGAGGGGTCTCGATGGCGACATCAGAATCTCGGGGAGCTTCTATCTCGGCATCAGTATCTGCACCAAATATCTAACATGGTGTTTGGTTTGTTTACTTACCTGGCTCGGCGCCTGACTTTGATTGTGGTTCCCTGATCGGAGAATGAGAACAGTTCGGCAATCGCGGAGTCCTTCCCAGATTTCTCAGACTCAAGGAAGGTGACCACGTCTTCCATGAGTTCGTCAATACGAACAAGCATTCGGTACGTGCTCTTCCATCTGGTGGACACGTCGTGAATAAAACACAAACAACGAGACCGAGTTTGGGCTCGTTGAAATCGCAGTCGACGTTGTGGACTCACATTAATCCACATAGCGAGCTGCCCTACCTACTTCTCGAGGTATATATATATATAATTCTCTACTCTGGCCAGAGATAGCCAGGATGGTTGGCATCTCTGCGTAAGGATCTAGCAACCTTTGCACTGAGGTCTACCGCGCGTTCCGCAGGGCCATTCTGGGCAGAAGCATAGGGTGCCGAGTATTCTAGGGTGATACCTAGGCGGCGAATGTCGATCTGAAATCCCAAGGACGTTTCATTGTCTAGTCTGAGCAAGGACGGCGTGCTTTGATATCGGTTCTTGACGAGGCTCAACCAGTCTAGAATGATGTTTCCGGCTTCGTTCTTGCTGACATGAGTATAATCATAGTTCATATGGGTTTTGAAGTCCCATATATGACTCATGTAAGCGTCGTTAGCCCATCCTTTCGAGAAGTGGGCGATATCGAAGGAGACGCGGCCAAAAACAGCGTCGATCCATTCCTCACTGTTGTGCGTGCGGCGAGATATTTGTTGTTGTGATTTTGAAAGTATACAGGTCTCACATCCACCCGTTGATGGATCATCCTTGTCTGACACCTTTACGCCTTCGGTTGCAGTCAAAAGATGTGATATAGCATCCGGGCTTGGATGTCCTAATGTCCTATGCCATGTTGACGCGGATAGGGCTTGATCTTTGCGAGGTAGGTGGCTCGAGATGAAAGAGGCGTGAACGTGAGGTGGTTATTGTAATTATAGGAATAGCCAAGCGTTACGCCGTTCCGGGCAAGGGGATCTCTGATCGCGCATGTCTTTTGTGTATAGAAAAGCTCGCATCCGGAGGTTAACAAGCTCAAACGGTACCGGCTTTTGAGAAGAACGTATTGGATGGGCCTGCCGTTGCAAGACCGGAAACCATAGTCTGCGACGAAAAGATACGGTCCCTTACATAGGACTCGATGAAGTAGAGAAGGATAAGCGAATGCCTGATATATGTTGTATAGTTGAGCGCGTTGTATATCGACCAGGGATCCATTATGTAGGCTTGCTATTATTGTTGGAGCTTACTAATTGGATGGTCAAAAAGCATAAGACCATAGTAATGTTATGATAAAGGAGACGAGAAGATAAGAAACAGGAAATTTTCCATGAGAGCAAGGTTGTGAAGCGCCTGTTTGAGGAGACTGGTGCCCAAGAGAGGTAATTCCATGAGCAACCAAGAAGCACGACAAATCAGAGAAAATATGCGTTACCGAGAGTGTCCCAAGTCCCAAGGTCTCAAAGCAGTTTATATCAGTATGACTGAGTAGTTAAATCGGGACACGAAGTGTTCTGCTGACCATTGGAAGAGAATCTGGCACAACCAAAAGGCGTCTCCATGGCGTCCTCATTCCAAGTCTGCCTTCCGATGACCCTATACCTTGTCATTAGAAAGTCGGTAAGGGTGTCATTTTCGCTGACGAGGGGCGCTTTGGCGGTGGACCTCTTTGCCTTTGTTTGCTCCGTAACAATGGTTCGAAGAAACTGAGATCGACAGACCTTGACTAGGTAGCCGCAAAGGAAGTCCAACGTCAACACCGTAGCTGGTATTTGTATATAAAAACAGGATTTGGTTTCACCCGTCGCACAGGGTTACTCACACCCGGCACCGCGAGAAGGTACCTGTCCATTGCAGGGCATAATATGTGATGGAGGGAGATATGGGGGGATCTGACAACCTTTTTTCCGACTGGATAGATGAGAGATAAAGTGCAAATCCTGGCGTCTTGCTGATGACCTCATGCAGCAACCAATTGATACTTCAGGCATGATGTATGAGCTTAAGAGGATCCATGAACGCAGCATGTTTGGCGATCAAACAACTCAGCGCCTGCAGTTTTGATGTAATGGAAGGATTGTGAAGTTGTAGAGTGAATGAGGTTTCAATGTTTTGAATCCACGTATCATGTGGTAAATTATTGTTCACCCTGGTAGGAATCATTCACGAGTCGATTGATGTGGTTTTGATATGGTTGCCGTCGTTTGGTTCTCTCCGTTGTTGGAATGTTGTGCCTGTTCGTGAGGCTGCCGATATATGGTCATAAGATCAGGGGGAGGTTCGACGAGATGTGCCGTATCGAGAATTTCCAGTTTACCGGCATGCAATACCCCAAGCCCTCGAGCAATGGTTGGAAGCGCTTCCACGTCAAGAAGGCTTTGATGCAGCCTGGTTTGTACATTTGGAGCAAACCCCTTCGACAGGGCGTTCTGTCCATTGAACTCTTGCATATTATATGGCTCAACACGACATTTCATCGTTCGAGGCTGAGGTGTGCTCCTTGACCTTAGGCCACGCAAGTTGAAGGGATCTTCGACCTTGGAGTTGGGCAGATCATACGCAAGCTCGACGGTGAAGGGGCTCGCATCCGAGGCTATTTGTGTAGTTCCAGGGTCTGAGAAGATAACCTCAATCTCTTGTTCTTCTTCACTTCTGAACGAGCGTTTCATGTGTCTTCTTATCAGGTTCGACCCGTTGAAAGAGGCTACAGGACCGAACGCTTGCAATCGTCGGAGGATGGCAGTCGAATGGGCTAAGGTGACAGCTGGAGGCGAAATGATAACTCGTGCAATTGAAGTAGGGCTTGGTACTTTCTTCACTGGCATGATGTCGAGAGATGAACGCGGACTTTGAACAAATGTGAAGGTGGACGAGGCCACGAGGTAGATTCTTGTCCTTCAAGGGAGAAACAAAGCCCAAGTTAATTATTTACAACAAGGCTGGATCCCCGCAGTTTCGCAAGTGGACGCCGCTTCAGATGACTCAGCTGCACGCCCCTTGGATGGCTTCTGAGACACCAACACAGATACACTGCACCTGGGAGACAGTTTCTTCAGTGGTATACGTGAAGGTAGGTGTCCGTACTTGTCATGGGTGTTTTACATACTCTCTCCTTTTTCTTGAAGCTGGACGGATTCCAAGTGAAAATGCAAGATTGAATTCTCTACCTGAACACTGGAGATGAGAGCGTAAGGCTGGATACTACAAATGCTTCAATTTGCCGTATCGAAGACCGTCATTCTCCTGATGGTTGTATGTTGTCAAACTTATACCTATGGGACATGAAGGTAGTCGGCATACCACAACCTATATCCACAACATTGTGGAAGAGAGGTGGTTGCTATTTGAGTGCAGTGTAGTCTTTACCTTGGCAGTCTCCCCAACTTCATACCTGAGACCCCGTGTCAGTTTGACGTAGAAAGAGCGGTCATCTTCGAGTCCGTAGCAAAATGAACAAGTTCGATAGCTTCTGCAGTGACAAAGTGAACGGTGCCGATTGAATTCGAAGTGTGAGAATGAAAACGGAGGCTCGAGCAGGAATTTCCCCTTGTCACATGGGACCTTCACTGTGAGGCGCAGCCTGAGAGCCGAAAACCGGGACGGTGCTTAACAGTGAGGCGCAGGGAGAATTGTGGCACAAGCGTAGTAAGTAACATTGGCAGATGAAAACGAGGAAAAGGACCAAAGTGCACAGGTACTCGTACTGGGGAACATGATGTTACGGCCCCCGAAGCATCAAACACATTTCGTTACATGAATCGAAGCACGGAGGCAGATAATGGTGGAAGTGAGGGATGGAAAACATGCAGCAACCATTCTGTTGGGACCTTTTGACTCGTCCAATACTCGTATACGCGAGCCACGATCGTGCAGTACACAGCCCGATGGGCTCACAGGGCTGGCTTCATGGCTGGCTTCATGGCTGAAAGTACTCTCCCTCTTTTACTGGGGGTCCGTATTGAATGCCAGCTAAACATGGCCCCCATATTCGTATTCTCGTCGATCAAGAAAAGGCCGCAGTAGAGCATAAAGAAATATGGGGGAAAACACGGATTCCCGGGCCCTGTTCTCCTATACAGGGTCTCTTCCTCTCGGATGTTCCACTGCTGACATTGGCTACCTATCCAACCTTACGCACACGGAGTACCTCTTCTACGACACTACCTACTCTTCATCTTTCTCGTCATATTTTCTTGCACATTCTCTCGCTCACAAATTCCATCTCGCGACACCCACTTCTGCCAACAGTCAAAACTTCGAATCGTTCGATCATTCCCTCGCTTAGCCTGACCTGTCACCCGAAGAGCGTAGACCACCACCCTCATAGGCGCACTTCCCCCTCCCTGAGTGTTTCAGCCGCCGGTGCCAAAATCCATTCGCGCCTTACCAAGACCTCCCCTCGTTCTTGAGTCGGACGGAAATTCTCGAAGCCATCCTGCGTTGAAACTTCACTCTTCTTCACGACTGACCCTCGACGGACACCCGTCACTGCATCGAACCACCACTCGAGGACTGCGGTGGATCTGATAGAGCACCGGGCCTTACCTTTTAGTCGCGCCAAAAAGTCGCCAAAATTCGTTCCCACGAAGCTCGTTCTTCCCTCCTCGGAGGCCAGCCTGAGTCTTATCAACCTTTGGCTGGAGGTTATCACCAACGTGAAGGCTATGCTGTGAAAGATTTCGAGAGGAGGAAGTCCCGATCAATCATGTACACACCAAATTCAAAGTGGACTTGGGCTTTCAGCCTGATAGCCTTGACGCAGGCCGGCATCGTCCTCGCGTTCGAATGGTAAGAGACTCTGGCCTTTGTAGAGACATGTTGGATCTTTGACTAACGCGTCATGTAGCTACGCTTTCGCTCATTTCCAGATTCATCTCGAGTCCAGCAGCACCAATTTAACGGCCTCAAGGACGATTCCTACATTCCTGACCCTCTACATTTTTGGCTTCCTCTACCAACTACTCCTCGTCTGGGATGCCCTACGGATGAAGAACACCATTCAGGTCATCGGCTTGGTCATGTATAATGTTGGCCTGCTTATCTATGGAGCAGTCCAGATTTCGCAAATCAAGGACGCGGTCTTTCAGTTGTCTGAAGATGGTTCGATACAAATGGAGGTTTGGAAAGACACCAAACCATTTTTGATCGCGATCCCAGCCATAATTGCTGTTGGGACGGCCCTCCTGGCCGGCTGCGCCTGGAAGCTGTACGACGAATTCGCCTGGACCATCTATAAGCGCATCTCAGCCGACTTGAGGATGAAGCGACGCTACCTCCAGTACCAGATCTATATCGCTCTACTGAAATTCGACTTTTTCTTCTTCCTCGGATTCACTGTCCAGTTTGTCGTCATCGTCACTCAGCGCCGAGCTGAATTCGCCTTGACTATAGCCGCCATACCGGTGACTATCATCATTCTCCTGGCAGCTGCATGGTTTGTGCGGAGGGAGAATCTTACGGGAACCATCGGAGTCATTGTAAGTCCATTCCCACCGTACGCAATATTGCCTGGGTGCTAACTTGTGATCTCAGATCCTGTACTTCGGTGGTCTCGCTTACTTCATCTTCAAGATGATTCGCATGTACTCACCATCGCACGAAGGTCCATACCTTCCAGCACGCAAAGAACTCACCAGTTTTGCCGTCTTGACCATCATCTCCATCCTCCTCACCATCACAAACGCATGTCTATGCGCGAGCAATTATAACAAGGGCCTCAAGCCCTACATCTACAAATCTGCAAATGTCGATGAGGAAGAAAAGCCAATCGGAAGCGCATATGCACCATATGCCACTGAGATGTCAAGTGGTTCGAAATACCCACCGGCAAGACCAACAGCAAACAGAATGGAGATTGATTAGGTCGTCGATCCTTAACCTTTCTTCTTTTTTGAAGGGGACTTCTTAGCGGGCGTTTCTATCTTCGGGGGTCGTCATGTTTTCCGGCCATGTACAACTTTTTCTGTCACGAGGAGTCAGTCATATTTTGAGAGGAATCGTCTAATGAGAAGCAGGTTAAAGTCCAGGTTGTGTCAAGTGTGATGGAATCTCTTGATGAGCCACTTGGCTCTATATCACTCATTTTTTTGGACCAGTAACGCCATCTCTGATCGTAAAGCCTTTGGTGTCCTGTGGTATATATTGCGGAAACAAAAATGCGAATCCAATTTCCCAATTGCTCTCTAAGCACACACAGGTCGAGCCATATTGTGAGCAAAGTTTCGTCGTTGTGGTTCCAATTTCTAGATTCCAAAACTCCGTAGGACTGGTTATACTGGAAACGGCCTGGGACACAAAGCTCAAAACCCGAGGTAGGTAAATTGAACTTGCACTTGAATCATTCATATAGACTGGGACAAAGTCCACTCGGTGATCCGGTATACCCAACGTCTAGTGAGGGAACTTGAGTGTGTTTCTGAATACTCCAATTACTGTGTCCCTACCTACTTATTGCCCTAAGAACCAACCGCATACGTGGACCATAAATTCAATAGATCATACTCAGCATATCCTTATCGTTACTTCTTTTGCGTCACATTTCACTCTCACTCAGAGAATCTCTGCGTTCTCTGCGCTTTCTCCTTGCCTTGCTATGATCACTCCCTCTTACCTCCACGCCGAGGAAGAAGTATCCCAACATTTCCAGAATACATCAACATCGACGGGCCACCACCTTCATTCAGACAAAATGCCGGAAGCCCCTTGTCTGACTTGAGTACGACCAGATTGAACGAGGACGAAACAGGCGGTTGTTGAGCGTACGTCTGTCCCTCCCCTCCTCTCCTCAGGAGGGACTGAAAGGCCTGCGTGTCATCAATTAATCGTTGCCAGAGAGGTGGTTCAACAATGCTTGAAGCATGGCAAATTGATTCCCCGGCGGCTGGCTCTCTTCGATCAAGTCGTCGCTGATTTTCCAAAAGGCCGTCGGACCCGCGGGACCGTGGTCATCATAGTCCTTGTCGAACCAGTTACCTAGAATTCCGCGGGCGGAACGGAGGCCGCCAATCTGTACGCCTTCGGACCGCCATCGCTCCTTTTTTTGGCCACACGTAAAAAAGTCAGTGAGTTGAAAAGACGGGTCAAAACGAAGGAAAAGGAACAAACGAAACAGGATGGGCAAGGATCATGATGGCTGCGGCGACGAGGACAACGACAACGACGGTAATACTCACCTCTCCATGGAAAAGACTAAACGTGGTCCAACGTATCGCACCACTCGCCGTCTTCCTCGCGGTGCCTCGGATTTGACTGTTCGCGTTGGGATCCCAAGCCATGGAGGTGCTCCGGCTCGTGCCCTGGAAGTGCACGACGGGCATGTCGCCATCGCCGTCTTCTGGGTTGGGATCCTCGACCGACGTCACGTTCAGCTGGAGTCGAAGGAGACGGAAAGCTTCACGCGTGGTCAGGGGTTCGCGGTCTTGGGTAGACTCGGGTGGATCGGATTTGAAGTTGAAGGCGTAGAGGTCGTTGTAGTCCAGGAAGCAGACGACGCGCATCCAGGATCCCGTCACGCCGTACGGGTCAAGGGCGTCGAGATCAGGACGAATACTGGGCCTGACTTGGCCGGGCATCCGACAGGAGACGTAGCTGTCGGTGGCGATGCCGGAGAAGACCCCGTCCCAGGGTTCGTTCCCGCTGGACTGGCGGATGCGGGCTGGGCGCGCCGAGCTGCGCCGGAGACGATCCGAGTACAAGTTGTAGTTGAACCCTATGATGATCATGATGGCTTGGACCTTTTCCCAGTCGACACATCCGGAGCCGTCGTCCGTCTAGAATATAGCTATGGTGTTAGTACCAAGAAAAACTTGGAAAGTTCACAAATCTCTGGCAGTGACCAGAGTCCAAAACTTACAAAAGGCCCCCACATGTTGGCCGCTGTATAACGGCGCAGGTCGTAGACTTTGGATCGAGCGAAAGGATGGGTATAGCGAATCGGTTGCGGTGAAAAAGTCGTCGACGTGCTTGCCGAGGATGTAGATGTCTCTTCAGGTGCATCAGCTGAGGGTAAGCCAAGTCCTGGGGATTCATGACCATCGGTATCTTCGTCGTTGTCGCCATCATCTTCATCATCGTCGTCATCTTCATCGTCGTAGTCATCGTCGTCGTCGTTGGCGCTGACATAGCCAATCTCGTCAAGATGGGCAAAAAGGTCGTAGTGGCCGTCGTCGCGGTTTGCAGTACGGTGATTTGGGTGATTCCGGTCGTCCCATTTGGGCCATGGTTCGCCAATATTGATTCCACCGAGCACATGGAGTCGGGCGGAAAGCTGCCGGAGCGATGCATTGGGTGAAGCAGTCCATTTTCCACGCGCGGCGCGAGAGAACAGGCCGGATTTACAGAGGAAGGTGCTGATATTCAAGTCCTTTTTGAAAAGCGTCGCGAGGAAGTCGGTGTTCTTTGGTGATTCGGAAGGTGAATTCTCGATCAACTCGAGAGTCGTTTCCAAAACTTCTTGAAGAGCAGCGTCCTGGGAGAAGGGTTAGTCGTGAACATTCTCGCTCTTACGGGAAGCAGCGATCTTGCATGCCTTGACGCTCTCGTTGTCCGATTCTAAAATCTTCTGGGTCTTGATGAGACGAGTTGTTCGGGCCATCCATAAAGTTGCACCGTCTTGCTGAGGAGGATCCTAGAGAAGCGGTCAATATAAGACGAATCCCAGCAGCGGAAATGGTGGATCACAAAGTGGGAGAGATAGTGGTGTCTCCATAGACGTTCGTCGTTGCGAATGACCTGGTTGAGATACTGACATGTCATAGATAGCGATCCCAGGTCTGTAGGCTGAACATCTATGAATATTTGATGCAGGATCTCCGGGGCGAGATCTAGTACTGGAGACATTGGAAGAGGTGATGGTATCAGTATGAGGGGGAGGAGGGGGTGTGGTGGTCCGTATCTCTGTCTTGACGATGGGGATTGTAGTACAGACACTAGCCGGTAGTTCTCTGACGAGCAATTGACTCACGATACTTGATTGAAGGCATGCGAAGAATTCACAAATGAAGACTCCTTCTCGAGATGTCTACACCTTCTGGTTCAGTGATGGATGGTGATTCATGGTTATGTCCGTACTCCGTACTCCGTACTCCATGCTGCGGTAGGAGCATTGGACTAGCGAATGATGCGCTAGCTGTTTACAGGTTAGACACCTCGGCTTGGTGAGGCAGCATCTACCTTGGAGACTGGACTACAGTACTTGTACTTGTAGGCACTTGATGTCAGTTTGGTGTCAGATTCCCTTCAGAAGTTCTCGAATGGTCAAGCAGTCTCAGTCGCCGGCCTCAACTGTCTATAGAAATACAGACCAAACCCGGCGATTCTGGAACAACCAGATCCGTCGGCTCTTTCTGGAGTGGCAGATTTTTTGAGGTAAATGGTGGAGAGTTGAATAGAGAGCCACAGACAACGCACGCAAGAGAGACTGCTGAAGCTCTTTGGACGCGTTCGTCGTCTGGTGCCAGATAGACATGTTAACAAGTAAACAAGGGAAAGCTGAGTACCTTGATGCATTCAGCGCGGTTTGATGGAGCGAGTCATTTTACCTTAACAAACTTATTAGGGACTTTAGGTACAATAGTACTCCGTACTGTCACAGCGATATAGGCCTTCCCCACGCTAATCTAAGGACTAATATGGGTAAGGTAAGCAATGTACTCTCTAGGTAGGTAAGCTCACGAGGTGATCGATCTCAAGTGCTACCTACATACATATCCATCTGCGTTGTGAAATACCATGGCCCAACTACGCATCAACTACATGACATTCTAATTCGCGTCACTGACTTTTCCGCCGTAAATGATGGTTGTAGCCAGTGTTGGCGCTAGGTCATGGGGTCAGCTAGGCGAGGTGAATGTCCGGAGTGGCACGATCTAAACACAGAAATTTGTTGCTCATGCTTCACCAGCCTGCGTTCAGCCAACACCAATCTCTTCACACGTATCAGACTCACTTATTCATTCTAGACTTGCCAGGTGTCACTATCTCTTTCTGCGAACCGTCTGAAGTAGCCACTCCTCTTGGAAACATTCCCCCCTTACCTCTCTCTTCCTTGACATTCATCCGAGTCTCCTCCCCAGATTGGCGACCAGTAGCAAATCACCTAGACAAACATTCAAGGATACGAAATACAATACCCAAACACCCAGAACACGAGCCCTGACCTGCCGTCATGAACTTCTTCAAGAGAACAGCGCAGCCTCCGCCTGAGCCAGTCAAAGTGCTGCAGCCTCTCCATCCCTTCTATCCTGCCGGTGTCGAGATCGCGAACTTTGTTGCCAACGACAAAACAGTTGCTCAACTTCTCGCTGTCTTTGCTGCTGGGTGTGCTGTCATCTTGGGTGCGACATGGCTGCTCACTGGAAGATTGGCGCCGCGTCTGAAGACCATGGACAAAGTCATAGTACTGTGGTTCTGCTTGAGTAAGGACCACTATCGCATGTTGTCGATATAGAGGACTGACATTTACAAGCTGGTTCAATACATCTCTTCTTCGAAGGCTACTTTGCCTATAATCACACTCAAATGGGGGGAGCACAAGATATCTTTGGCCAGCTGTGGAAAGAGTATTCATTGTCTGATTCGAGATACCTGACATCTGATCCTTTTGTCCTATGCATGGAGAGTATCACTGCTGTAAGGGCATTGAACGATCCTCGGCGCAAGATTGGAATCACTAACCCAGCGACAGATTTTCTGGGGTCCTCTTTCTTTCTTGATGATTTACTTCATCATTACCTCTCATCCTATGCGCTATCCACTACAAGCCATCGTTTCCCTAGGCCAGGTCTACGGCGACGTACTGTATTACGCTACTAGCTTATTCGACCACTACTACAAGGAGCTGTCTTATTGTCGACCAGAGGCATATTACTTTTGGTTCTACTTCGTTTTCATGAACTTCATCTGGATTGTGATACCAGGCAGTGAGTACAAAATCCAATCTCTGCAAAGTTCGGAATTGCATCTGACAAAATTCAGGTCTTCTAGCAGACAGTGTGATCACCACAACACGAGCATTCAAGGCGCTGAATCGAATGTCCAAGACCCTACAGGGCAATGGAGTTGCAAAGAAGCCAAAGCAGAACGGCCACGTCAAGCGTGCATAGATTGGGTAGCACAAAACACATGTTGGCTGTTTAGCGAATGGAGTAACAATGCACCAGGCGACACCACGAGTCGTCTTGGTTTGGCTAGGGAAACGCACTGCCGGACCAACTCACATAGATTGTACCGACCATACAATAGATTTTGGCATTGTAGATCTCAAGATACAAGCTGATCACTCGCATGGTCTTTAGTGGGAGTTTCTTGCGACCTAATTCTTGACCAATAGCAGCTACAGCTGTACGCGTCAACGGCGTTTTCGGCTGATTGTTTATGGTATTGATGGCCGTTGCCGGGCCAAAGCTGCGATAAGCGAATCGCCCACATAACGATCCATGCATTACACCGCCAGGCTTGGGTGCGCCAGATGCAAGCTGCGTGACATGTTGGCCTTTCCACAATTCTCAAGTTGCTGATCTGTGCAGTCTTGGGTCAATTTGGCTGTACTTGCTATCGAAGACAAGCAGAACTCTGTGTCGGGCTCTGGTCGCTAGCCATGCAAATATTAGTGCAGCAAAACAACAACAGAGCCAGGACTCGAATATTCGTAAACAGGACTCGTTCTTGACGACGAGTAGAGCTCGATCAGGTGGCTCGATGCGACCAGCACTCCCTCCGAAAGCCTCACAAAAGGTCTACAGAAATCAGCGTACCGAAGTGCTCGGCTCTCCCAAAAGTCCCAATGTAGCCTCCGACCGAGCCTCCAGTCAATTCGATTCCGGCTCTGTTCAGGATCGCATTCGGCAATGGCAAGTTCAAGGCGCAGCGAATGCTGTCGATCCGGACGTTCTCAGCGTTCGATCGATTCCCCGATCCGAATGTCCTTCCATCACGTCGAGGCCGAGGTCGGAGTATGAAGATGAAGACACCTCGAGGTTAGGAGGACGCATAAAAGAGAAGACAGAGGATGATCAACCCGCAGAGAGGAGCAGCAGTGCCCCACGGAAGCGAATCATTAGTGATGGTCACTGGAGAGCTAAGAGAGAGGCAAAAGATTCTAAGAGCCCTAGGTCAAACGGTCGAGGACGGGCAGAAACCACGAGATATGACTTGTCATATACCTCAAACCAAGAGCAGAAGAATGGGAAACAGCGGTCGTGTCGCAAATATAGCTTTGAGAAGAGTCCGGACCTTCAGCAGAAATCGCCTCCGAATGATGGCAGCCGAACCATCCCAAGCCAACGTGACCAATTGAACCCTTCGCATGAGAGCATTCCTATGAATTACGATTCTGTCAGTTACATTCATGCCGAATCAGCTCATGATTTGCCGATACAGTCGACTTTCTCTGGGCAGTTGGATGCAAGATCCGAGGCATTAGTTGATGCTGATGAAGCAAGAGAAAGGCCTCGACCACAGAGCAAATATGTGGCCACCTTGGGCAGAGCTGCCGCGGAGTCTTCGGAAGGCTTGCGTTCGAAGAAGGGGGGGTTGCTAGGGAAGACCAGAGACATATTTTTGAAGGTCGATTCGACAACGCCTGTAAGCAATAGAATTCCCAGTATCGAAGCCTGGCTCGACGAACAGCCTGATCCTTTCGTGGATGAAGCGCCTACAGACGAACTTCCGCCAGTGGAGATGCCTGCGCCTTTAAGGAAACGGACCAGAAAGAAAAGATCATCGGTAGAGAGGCCTAAAGTGCCAGATCCAAATCATATCTGGGACTCTGTGCAATCTCCAGAAGCACCTCCATCTCCGGATCCAAACAGCACGGTGGAAGCCGAGGATAATGGACCCAGAAACTCTACCCGGAGCGATCAAAATTCAACACCCAAGCGCAGTCGTCGTCATATTAAAGAACAAGACGATCTTGATGGCTCACCCACCTCGTTACGCAGGGCAGGCGCGAGAGTACGACGGCGGAGAGATACACCTGACAAAAGATCGATCTCTAGCCTTGAGTTACCAAAGGCTTCGGATACTCAGAACGAGCGTTTGCCAGACAAGGATCAGATACCACCAGCCACAGAACCTCTTCCACAAATTCCTTCGTCTGTCGTGCAGCATGTGCTTCCGCCCATACCTCCTGGGGAGCCCGAAAACGATGATCGACCAATCCCACCACAACCAGCGGCATCTTCCAAGCCCGAACCAGGTCTTAAACGCAGACTTACAACGCATGAAGACTTAATGTCTGTCCTGTCAATGCCCAGAGCTCGCAGAAGTCGACGATCGGCGCGAAGAGCAAGAAGTAAACGAACGGCTGAGGAATCTGCTTCAGCGCAGCAGGTCCTCGCAGGCTTAATCTCAGAGGAACAAAAGTACAGTCGAGAGCTGAGGACGCTAGTTGATGGAGTTATTCCAGTTCTGCTCCAAAGTGTCCTGTCGAAAACGGACTCGGCTGCTGCAGCAGGTTTGTTCTCATCGGTGTCCAATGCTCAACACGACATGAGCTACACTAAACCCATCATTGATATGGGCATTGCCCTTGAAAGGTTGAAGTCTCTGCACGGACGCATCCCTCTGCAAAGTGTCGACAGCTTTCTGAGTTGGGGACAAACTGCTCAAAAGGCATATCGAGAATATCTCCAAGCATGGCGACTTGGGTTTCAAGATGTTGTGGTTAATCTCGCTCCTCTCGATAATGCTCCAGTCGATCAAGACTTGACACGTGATGAGAACGGAGACTTGGTTGACAATGATGGCAAAAAAGTTGATGTCGCGTATCTCTTGAAGAGGCCGCTGTTGAGAGTAAAAGCATTAAGTAGGGTTTTCGCCCAGATACGGGACCAGAGCGACAGACCCCTTGCTGCACAAGTGGCCGACGCTTTTACTGGTTTGACGGCCTTCGCAAGACGACGCCACCAGGAAGAACAAGCACGCCTGGAGGACGAAGCAGCTGCAAACATCGACTCCATGAGGGCCAGGGACATCAGGACAATGGCACCAACTGCCAACGTTGTCGTGGACAAAACTCGTCGTGTCAAAGCGCGAGATTTCTTCAACCTCACGTTGTATCACTCTTCTGGGCAACGAATGGACAGTGGCATCGAATTGATCTTCCGAGATAATGCTCGAGGAGATGCTCCTAATGGTGATGTACTCATCTGCGAAGTCGACAATACTGGAAAATGGCTTCTGTTCCCACCAGTCCTATGGAGCGCAATATCTGCAAGACGTGGCGAAGATGACTTCGACCTTGTTCTAATGATACGCGGCCGCGCTGGCCTGGGGAAGGATTGGCAAGAGCTGCTAGCTCTGAAGACTGATGATAAAGGGGCGGTGACAGAGTGGATGAGTATGTTGGGTTCAAACCCCTTGCCACCAAGGCTCAACAGGACACCTAGTTTCATCAAACGCAGTCAGCCTCAGAAGGACTTGTCAGCGCACCAGGGCTCTAGTGAAATCTCGTCGGGAACCAGAACAGAAACCCAGTCCATCAGTCAAGGATCAGAGCCATCCAATGTGGAGGTACCAATTGGCGAGCCATCAGTATCTGGTGCACGAACTGAAGTGAGCCGATACGAAAACGACACAAAAATCTCGGCTGATCGGCCTTCCCAAAGGCTGAACCTTGGTGGAGGTTTGGCATCAAAACCACAAACAACACAATACCAGTCGCAATTTTCCGTTGCAAATAGGAAACCAGCTCCGTCAATCCTTTCTTCAGACAGATCAACAATTTCAGACCAATCCATCATGACTATGGATACCGCATCACTTCGCGAGCCCCCTACCCCCAAATCTGGTTCTGTACCTGAACGGAGACAGGTTGCTAGGATGGCAGAGCCTCTTATCCCAGAGCGCTCAGCCAGGGATGCTTTACCCGGCAATTCGCAGAAAGACGACATACGTAGGTCTCGTGCTGCGGAATATGATGGTAGTCGCATCCACGACCCTCCTTCACCTAGTTCAACTCTATTCTCAAGGGAACCCAAACCGCTGTCTCCTCCCACGGAACAGTCTTCATCGAATTCACCAAACCGAGACGCGACTTCAACAACAATGACGCAAGAAACGCAACCTCAAAGGCCAGTCTACGCTCGGGCTCCTTCTTCGACGCCTTCAAAAGATCTTCCCTCCGTTCCTAGGCTCAGACCGCAGTCACAAGCAGATATGGTCACGGCAAGCTCTCAGCCTGCGGATTCCGTGAGGATCGGTCAATCGTCTCCAGAAATCAGACCGAAGAATGGTCCTATCCAAAATAAGAGCTCACCCAGAAGCCAGATATTCACTGAGGATGTGCCAGTACCCCCACCAAGGACTCAAATTCGAGAAGGAAGACCTTCATCAACAATTCAAAGCCCTGAGCCCTCTCCTCCACCTACTCCTCCACACCGTACCATGGACAAGTCACAGCCTCAACTGAAGCAAAATCATCTGCCCGAGCTGAAAGCGACACCTGCCTCTTCGGAAAAAGGACCAAGGAGGAGGACATCATCTCCACTGAAGCATGAGTATGCGCCGTCTAGCAGCTCAGACAGTTCGTCCAATTACGATACGGAAAGCGTGAGTGACTCGTCTGATACCTCAGAAGACTTCAGTACCGAGCAACAAGACAAAGCAACTCCTCTGATTGCGATCAACGCTACTGAACGAAGGCCATCAAAACAGACATATCCTCCGACATCAATGCCACTAGCGATTCGCTCATACCCTCCGTCATCCATCCAATTGACGGGAACAAGAACATTAGCACCATCAGATTCAGCTTCTCAAGGACCATATCGAAGAGTTCCCTCCTCCAACGTTGTACCCGCTGACCAGAAGAAAAGAGCAGCCGCATTGATATGCGCATGGTCAGATACAGGTGCATGGGAATTGATCCACCCAGATGAATGCTCAATAGTCATAACACCAGGCCTCATCGAAGCATTTGAAATGTCTGCGGAGCACTCTAACCCCGGCGTATCAAGCCCAGATAAGTCAGGTCTGCGAGCATCGTCTCCCGCACAACGACCTCTCGTCGCGTTTGAACTTACACCTCTCGTGATGCTCCGCAAAGGCGCCGCACTTGACATCCAGATCCGCTCTCCCCCAACTCCGAATTCACGTATACGCACAAGCAGCAACATCATGTTTCGTTCTAGCAACCTTCAAGCGTGCGACGCACTGTACGGTATGATCAACTGGGCGCGCTGCAACAACCCTACATACATCGAACTTGAACGTGCACGACCCCGCCAGCCGACTGTGACCTTTAACGTCAATCCATCAGATCAGCCTCGATCGCGTGCATCATCATGGTTCAGCTTCGGCAGCGCCAAGAAGTCAAGCTATCGCGCCTCATCAGCACCTACCCCCGCGAGCGTCGACATGTCTGTAGAAAGCTCGGGCACAATGGCCAGCGCATTCTCAGCACTAAGGCGCTTCAGTGCAAAGCCTGCATTCAACATCAATCGGTCGTCCGTTGTGCGAAGGAATACAAGCACTACGGGCCCATCATTGTATTCGTCCAGCAGTGGCACTCGCACAGGCACAGGTTCCGGTTCGAGCACCCCGGCTCCCAGTCAAGTTGGCTTTATACCTGGAAAAGATGGACCGAACGTCCCAGCAACGAGTGCCGACGCTGCAAATGGCGGCGGCATGGTGAACAACATGAAGATACGCATATATATGCGCAAAGGCCAACACTGGGAGAATCTAGGTGGCGCGAGGTTAAGTGTATTGCCGGCTCCAGCATCTGTTCCTGCCGCTGGGCAAGAAGGCAGCAGAAGTACGAGTGTAGCGCCCTCGCCCCCGGCAACGCCCGCTCATGCACACTCACGGTCGCCGTCCATTGTCGAACCAGGATCGGCACAGCGAGGGCCGAGGCTTCCAAGTTCCAGCCACACCCCCCATCGTGTTCATGGCAATGGACGCGAGAAACGCATTCTCATCGTACGCAATAAAGCACCGGACGTGGTCCTTCTCGATGCTGTTCTTGGAGAATCTTGCTTCGAACGGATAATGCAAACAGGCATTGCGGTCAAGGTGTGGAAAGAGGACGAAGTCATTGGGCATACAGGCGGTGTCATGATGGGACGAGAGACAGTTTATATGTTGCAGTTCGCGAGTAACAAGGAGGCTGGGTGGGTGTTTGGGCTGTGTGGAACGTACAGATATGGATTTATGGGTGAATAATGATGCTGGGACGAGGATATGAAAATGATTTACGGCACGAAAAAGTCATGCTGAATGTATATACAAACGGCGTCGGGATGTGATACTCGGGACGATGTTTTTGTCCTCATCTTTCTAACTTTTCGCCGTTGTGTCTTGCGTTGATCGATCTTTTTAGATTTGATGAAACATATGATGGCCTTGAGTACGACCTCATATCCTTGAACTAGATACTGTACCCACAGAACATGGGAGGATAACTCGGTACGCAGTATGAACGTGCCAACTGTCGAAGCTGATCGTCAGGGCAAACACGACGTGCACGTGACATGACGTATGCCGATGGTGACGAATGATGGCGCTGGGTAAATCTCCTCCCATGATCCTTTCGCATCGAAAAACACAACATGGCGCTGTTTCCCGTGGTCCGTGTTATGCGTAAAAGGTATCCGTACAATGAACCAGGATGCGAGTGGCCTCATTCTCGCATTGCCAATCAGACAGGACGACTCACCTCTGTACGACCATCAACCCCATTCATTCTCTCCGAAACTACCCACGCCGAGTCCAAGGATCGATGATCAGCACATGTTCCTGGGAAAAGGGTGGATAAAAAAGGAAACCACGGCAAGACCAGATTTGCGGGGCGAAGCCAGTGTCAGCCATCCAGATCGTGCCATACAGGCCACTCGGACCGCCACTGACCACCATTGACCAGCTTCAGCATCAGTGGGCAGATGGAGCAATCATGACGAATTTTTCGCTCCTTCAAGGCCTCATCATTCGCCTCCGGGAAAGGTGTCCTGCTGGAGCGTTTCAGTTGATCGAACGTTAAGTCCTACCCAAGCATTTCGGGAGTTGCAGGCAGACTGAATTTTGCCCTCATATATTGCGCATCGTACTCCCAGCTGCCGGGTCCGAGTTCTTCTTTCCTCGCCAGACTGCCTAGAGTAGTCGTGACTTCCAACATAGCTGACCGAAAGGGGCTATATTTTCTGGGTTTCAAAACGAACCTTGACATTCTTTATCATCTTCTATTTGGCTTCAACACGGGTTCCATCTGTCCTCTCGACTGACTTGTAGAATTGTCGTTGAGGGGAGACATTCGTGGTCATGGCCAACTCGAAACCCATTTTCTGTGCTACGCACCCACGTGCTTGCAGCACAGCATTTGAACGTGTTCGGTCCACGGGCCATTTTCAAGTTTCTCTATGCTGACAAAGCACAAGGTCTTCATGACAAGAAAGGATCTCGCCTGCGTCCACGAGCCGTTTGGTGATGCCTTCTACTATGGGTAAGTCGATCGACTGGCCTGGACGTAATTTCTGACGCCTCTCCAGTCCGGAGAGGATGAGTGTGCGGTATGAGAACGATGGAGAGGCAAGGAAAGCCACTGGCTTCACCGACTCGACGTACAAGACAATTTTCGATCGTCTCGAGAGGGAGGGATCCGAGGTGTGATGGTCTCTCCCTGAAAGTCCTGCTGTTGTTGCAGGTGCTTGCCCGTTGCCTTTGAATGCCCCGCTCACCGCGAAACAGGGCAAACGTGTTTTCATCAAGGATATCACGTATTACCTAGTTCCACCTGAGCAGCAACCGGCAAGAATTGCGCCATCTCTAATGCCCAAGAGACGAGGAATTGGCACCAATGGCGTCACCAACGGAGTGAATGGTCATGCCAACGGCGAAAAGGCACCCTTTCCATATCCGACCGACGGCGAACCAGGGAATCCCACCATTGTGCCCAGAGCACTTTTGGAGCAGTTCCATTTTACTTTCTTGATCCGGGACCCTCACTCCAGCATTCCATCCTATTACCGGTGCTGCATTCCGCCCTTGGATAAGATGACCGGCTTCTATGACTTCTATCCCAATGAAGCAGGATACGATGAACTTCGTCGCTTCTTCGATTATGCCAAGGACAGCGGATTGGTCGGGAGCAAGCTCACTGGACATGCGAATGGTGTCGCCAACGGAGTCGCCAATGGCCATGCCGACAAGCCAGAGATATGCATGATCGATGCCGACGACCTTCTCGATGATCCAGAAGGCATTCTCCGGGCATACTGCAACAGTGTCGGACTCAAATTTGACCTGGGTATGCTAAATTGGGATAACGAAGAGGACCAGGAACGAGCAAAAGCAGCCTTTGAGAAATGGAAAGGATTTCATGAGGATGCGATTGACTCCAAAGATCTGAAACCGAGAGCTCATGTACGCCTTTTTTCCCTTCCCCGGCCCCGTCCCCTGTTCTTGACCCGACTTTGAGAATACAGCTAACCAAGGACAGAAGAAAGCTAAAAAGACGGAAGCCCAATGGGATGCTGAATGGAAAGAGAAGTATGGTGAAGAAGCTGCCAAAGTGATCCGGGACACCGTGGATGAGAACATGGCCGACTATCTCTACCTGAAGCAATTCGTCCTAAAGGCATGATGATCAATCGAAAGGAACATTTGGGAGGAGAACAAGAATGCCAGATATTATTCGTTATTCGTAAATGATTAGTTTAGCAAAAACAATGATTTCAGTTCCGACTCTTTTGCATACACTTCCATCGTTGGCCTACAGACTCATATGATTATTGTGAGTTCCCTCGACGGATGAACTTGCCGGCACAACCTTTGGCGTTGACAGACGCATATTCACTGTGGAATGAGTTGCCCGCATTGACGTTGTGTGGTATGATGGTGGATTGGACGGAGATGGAGGGAATTCTGGCCCAACGGGAATATGATCCTGTCTGACACAGTTGAATTACGACCTAAAGACACGCCTGTGGTGCCCATAAGTCACTCTTAGGCTGCGGACTTCCGGATTGGCCAAGGACAACAAGCGCCTAGCAGGGGACCTAGAGACTAACCACTAAAATGGTCGAGAATAAAAAAGAATCTGTCAGACGGTTCCAGCGCACACTAGTAGTTGGCAAGAAGTCAGTCGACGCTTCTCGAAGGTGCGTCACAACAATTGCTGTTCCGGTTGCGCTCCGGGCAGCCCAATATATCTGTTACCACTACCATGTCCCTACTTTCTTCTCTTTCCTGCAGACTACATTCCTGAAACACAATTAATCCAAAATCTAGACTTCCAGTTGACTAGACTATGGCTTCCGCCGGTCCTCAGTTTACGGACAAGGCCGCAAAGGCGCTGGGCGATGCTGCCAACCTTTGCGAGCAATACGCCCACACCCAAATCCTACCTATACATCTAGCAGTTTCCCTCTTTGATCCTCCCGCAGACGAGTCGAAAGACCAACAGACGACCGTCAATGCCTCCCAACAACACGCCTCCGCCCCTCTCTTCAGACAAGTTGTCGAAAGAGCACACGGCGATGTCCAACAACTCGACAGAGCGCTGAAGAAGGCTCTTGTACGGTTACCCAGTCAAGACCCCCCTCCAGAGCATGTCACCATGTCTCCCGCGCTCGCTAAAGTGATCAGATCGGCTTCGGAACTACAAAAGACCCAGAAAGACAGCTACGTCGCCGTCGACCATCTGATCACCGCTCTTGCGCAAGATCAGAAGATCCAAGACTGTCTGCGCGAGGCCAATATCCCAAACACTAAACTTGTCGATGCCGCCATCCAGCAGATACGCGGTACGCGGAGAGTCGACTCCAAGACGGCCGACGCAGAAGAGGAAAACGAAAACCTCAAGAAATTCACAATCGATATGACGCAATTGGCTCGAGAAGGCAAGATCGATCCTGTTATAGGACGAGAAGACGAAATCCGGCGTGTGATTCGGATTCTTTCAAGAAGAACGAAGAACAATCCCGTCCTGATCGGTGAGCCTGGTGTTGGAAAGACCACAATCATTGAAGGTCTCGCACAGCGGATCATCAACGCCGATGTGCCAGCCAATTTGGCCGCCTGCAAACTTCTCTCCCTTGACGTCGGATCCTTGGTAGCCGGTAGCAAGTACCGAGGTGAATTTGAAGAGAGAATGAAAGGTGTTCTGAAGGAGATCGAGAACTCCAACGAGATGATCGTGCTGTTTGTGGATGAAATTCACCTTCTCATGGGCGCAGGTTCTACTGGTGAAGGTGGTATGGACGCAGCAAATCTTCTCAAACCCATGTTGGCCCGGGGTCAGTTACACTGTATTGGTGCCACTACTCTGAGCGAATACAGAAAATACATTGAGAAGGATGCAGCTTTCGAACGACGTTTCCAGCAAGTTCTCGTCAAAGAACCTACTGTGCAGGAGACAGTCTCAATCTTGCGTGGTCTCAAGGAAAAATACGAAGTTCACCACGGTGTCACAATCCTCGATGGTGCCATTGTTGCCGCAGCTTCGCTGGCTGCCAGATATATCACCCAGCGAAGACTGCCTGATTCGGCCGTGGATCTCATCGATGAGGCTGCTGCTGACGTCCGCGTCATCAGAGAATCCCAGCCTGAAGTGCTCGACAACCTGGAAAGAAAATTGAGACAACTAGAGATTGAAATCCATGCCTTGCAGAAGGAAACCGATCCGACCTCAGTGGAACGTTTGGAAGAGGCCAAGCGCGAAGCAGCGAACTGTAAGGAAGAACTCGAACCTCTCAAGGAACATTACGAGCGTGAGAAGGCAAGATCAAGGGAAATTCAAGATATGAAGATCAAACTCGACCAGCTCAAGAACAAGAGAGACGAAGCCGAACGATCCAATGATCTTCAGACAGCTTCAGATTTGACCTACTATGCGATTCCCGACGTCACTGCCAAAATCAAGCAGATGGAGAACGCTCGAGCACAGGCCGACGCCGAGCAGCATGCCAGACTCGGGGCGATGGGCGAGGTCTCGCCAACCGACGCCGTTGGACCGGAACAAATCAACGCCATCGTCTCGAAGATGACTGGGATCCCTGTGACAAGATTGCGAGCTTCTGAGAAGGAGAAGATTCTCCACATGGAGCAACACCTCCAAAAAGTGGTCGTTGGACAAAAAGAAGCAGTCAAGGCGGTCTCCAATGCCATCAGACTTCAACGGTCTGGCCTCGCGAATCCCAACCAACCACCATCCTTCCTTTTCTGTGGTCCTTCGGGTACTGGTAAGACTCTCCTGACCAAGGCTCTTGCCGAATTCCTCTTCGACGATTCGAAGGCCATGATTAGGTTTGATATGTCGGAATATCAAGAACGCCATTCCCTATCGAGGATGATCGGTGCTCCACCGGGTTATGTTGGACATGACGCTGGTGGTCAGCTCACAGAGGCACTCCGACGACGACCATTCTCAATCTTGTTGTTTGATGAAGTTGAGAAGGCGGCTAAGGAAGTTCTTACTGTCTTGCTTCAGCTCATGGACGACGGGCGTATCACTGACGGCCAAGGTCGTGTCGTCGACGCCAGAAACTGCATTGTTGTTATGACCAGCAATCTTGGTGCCGAATACCTATCTCGCAGCAACGGCGCCGACGGCAAGATCGATCCTACCACTCAAGAACTGGTCATGAATGCTCTACGCAATTACTTTTTGCCCGAGTTCTTGAACAGAATCAGCTCGATCGTCATCTTCAACCGCTTGTCTAGGAGAGAAATCAGAAAGATTGTCGATCTGAGACTGAGCGAGATTCAGAAGCGTCTGGAAGCCAACGACAAGAAGATCTCTATCAACGCTACCGAGGAAGTCAAAGATTACCTTGGTGCCGCTGGATACTCACCGGCTTATGGTGCTCGTCCATTACAGCGACTCATTGAGAAAGAGATCCTCAACCGGTTGGCTGTGCTCATTCTCAGAGGAGCCATCAGGGACGGCGAAACTGCAAACGTTGTGCTGGAGGATGGCCGGATCGCGGTTCTACCAAATCACACTGACAGTGACATGGAGGACGCAGACATGTACGATGACGACGATGCTATGCTTGAACTCGAGGATGCTCCCAACGGGAACATGGACCTTTACGAATAAACGAAATGCATTTGGGATGATGAAATGATTAGTGGACAGCGCAAGCGGCGTTTAGCGAAATGGAATATAAACATTCTAGGAGCGTGTATTATCCTAGTAGGAAAATGCATGGGATGTTGTGATTAGATAGTTGGACTTGTCTTTTTCATAGAACAGTCCTACACTTTTAATTGATGTGATAACACATTGAACACTGATCTCTTGGTTCATAGACTGTTTCTTTGGCTTTTTGCTGTAATGTCCAGCTACCTCGCATATTGTAAAAATGGATCGTCTTATTGAGCCTCAACGCCATGTCCAAGAATGGTTAAGTGAATAACTGTCACTAAAGAGTAGTCATTTCGTAGACAATTACTCCGGATCTAAGGAGTATGTCACTTTCAACAATATTGGAACTCCCACGGAGGTCGTCATTGTCAGACTGAATCCTCCCGATCTTCAATGTCCGAAGGGCATGCGTGCTGATCTCTTCCTTAGCTACAGTGCTGATGATTTGTTGGTACGGTGTCGCACGTGTGTACATATCTGTGTGTGACCAAATTCCTTAACCTCGTCAAGTCAACGTCGCGTCAAAAAAAAATTGACCCAAAGGGGATGACCGACGGTCCTTCCGCATTTGCACAAGGGCCGAGATTTGTGACATCATGGACTGAAAATTTTCCTTACAAAACCAAGTCTTGAGCAGCTTTGCAGTGTCAAAGATGTCGGCCATGTGGTTAGTCAGGCCAGGCAGGTTCGATTGGAGGAAATGATTTGGAAATTGGAGGGGAAAGGGGAAGAGGTAAGATACTCGAGTGATGCGGTGCAGGAGAAAGCGAAGTGAGAAGAAGGAAAGAATTGGTGATAGTTACTGGTGAAGAGATCAACCACCTCCCTCCATCCAAGCCGCAAAGCAATAGTTCTCACAAGCACAAACGGACCGCCGACAACACCATGGACAAATCAACACCAAAAGCAACCCCTCCGAGCAATTGCACAAGGCAGTATACTCGATGGGGCCACAGTTAGAAACCGTGGTACCCCCCGGATGTCTTTGCAGACACCGAGTATTATGAAGAGGTGATTGATTGTAACCAGGGACATCATGACATCAAACATGAGCTCACAACACTCACGCCCTTTGTTCAGTCCACCAGCGGGATGGTTGTGTGTGTGGGTATTTGACGACCAGGGACTTCATACTCTGCCAATAGACCACCCATCTGGATTGACATTTCTGCTCTCGCCCCCAGCCGGAGAACTGTTACGCCGGCGTAAGGAAACAATTGTCAATGAGATGCGCTTCGTCACAACAGAACTAACACCAACAGCCAAGCCAATGGACAAGCCATTCAGACCTGAACCCCATCGGTCAGTGCAAGCAAGGCACCAATCACACAACGGAGCCGCAGCCCCTGCCACCGCCACCCTCCAACCCCCCTCCTCACACCCAAACCACTACCCCTTCACTGCAGATGGCAGGCGGCCGCGGATCTTCCTTCACTTGCTGTTGGAGCCCTCAGAGACAACCAATCGTTGTTCCCTAAAGCGGTACTGATCCGAATGGCACTCCTATCGAAACTCCAAGCAACGAAGCAAAGGAAACGCCGATATCATCAACTCAGTCATCCAACCTGCGAACCCACGCGATGCGATAGGCCTTGGGATCTTCAATGTAGTCGGCGAATGTACAGACCTTGGCGGGGTCCTTGGGATCCCGCTTCTTCGGAAAGTACACCGCGACTAGATTGTTGATGCCAGGGTCTTCGGCATCGCGCATGTTGGCAGGATATTGAGAGAGTTTCAATCGAGCATCCTGCCACTGCTTGATCTGCTCAGGTGGTAGGCGCAAACGCCTAGGCGCAGGATTCCTCGATCCCAATGAAGGGGGAGGGCTCCTGGGGGCCTTGACCTTTGCACGGATTGGGTCTGATTTGGAAAGTTGAAAGGTTTGAGTGACTGGGACTGGGCGAGGAGCCTGCGCAGTCTCATCGACAATGTTCTTACTAAAGAAGCAACCCATGGTGAAGAATTGAAAGTAGTCGAGTAGTTTCTTTTGGCTTAGTGTAACACTGTTCTGAGGAAAGAAAAAAAAAGAAGAGAGGAAGGATTGGAAGGGGGGGTCTCCCTTTTGTGGTTTCTGGGGTGGAGAAATGTGAGTGAATTGAGGGGATTTGCGTGAAGTATAACTTGGGCAAAAGTCTGTGATTGAGGTCCATCTACATATTGTGGATGTGTAGCCTGGAGGGGGGAGGAGGGATGATCGTACACCAGTGCGTGAGTATACTGACTTTGGAACCGTGGTGGCATGCAGGGCGATAGATCTCACGCAGACCCACCCCCGGCGTCACGCACGAAGCTTACCCAAAGGTACCATGCGTATATCACAGAAGTTACCCTCCGAATCTGTCCGTGTCATATTCTTGGTATCAATACCCCGGTGTAGGTGTTTCTACTTGGTAACCGACAAATACACAAGAGACATACTTACTTACCCTGGATGACATTGAGAATGACGAGCACCGAGAAACCAACAAGGGGGCAAGTGACGACGACTAAACTCCTAGGTGGATAGTTACTCAGTCGTGTGCCTCTCGCAAAAGGACAGCCTTGTGGGTAATACAGTGGTGGGTGTGCGTGATACCTATCGCCCCGGTGTCGTGTAGAATATACTTTCCCGATATGGAGTCATGTCGGGGTGCAGATCTATTTCTGCAAGGGAAAATGAACCAATCATAGTACGCCAGATGTACTACCTGCGTTGCTGGAAATGTCTATGGGGTTTTTCTTCCTGTCGAAACAAAATTCTAATTTGGGGGATATACAAATTGACATGGAAAAGTCTGTCTGGTACAGTGGATTACATCAAAACAGGCAGCAGCAGTTACAAGCAACTCATGTGTCCGTTTCCAGAGTGGGAAGAAAGAGGGAATTTGAGAAAGAGGAACGAAAAGAGAAGAGACAGTTATGGCTATAACTATACAAAATACCTATCATACGCATTGGTCTTGACATTGGCACTGAAATTGTACAGACAGTAAGTAGATACTGTTATCAGAGTGAAGAGGCTTGTGTTTTGGCGGCAAATGTGAAACCGTTGAAAAGAGTGGTTTCGACGACAAACCTCTCTCGAGGATCTACAAAGACCAGTTTCCAAGATCTACAAAATCTCTCACGATTCCAACGATCTATTGATTTTTCAAATCTGGTTTCCTAGGATTTACAATCTCTCACAGATCTCTACGGATCCATTGATCTACAAGAGGATCACCAAAAAACAGTCAGTACTCCGTACCAAAAGTTTGTTGGAGGTTCGAAACGAAGAACCCACCAGGCTATTTGGAACGGCTGCCTGTTCGCGAGGTCAAAATGCTCAAGTCAAGCATTTAGAAAAGGGGCCGTGTAAAGAAACTATTTGGGGAAAACGGATGGCTCAGAGGCTAGGATAAATGGAGTCTAAATGCTTGAGGATGGACACTAATGGCGGCGTTTCCAAAAGAGAGAGGAATTATTGAGGCGACGAGTGTGAGGGAAGATTGAGGGGAGAGCACTGGGTGCAGAGGAGGAGGAGGAGACTGTGTGTGTGTGTGTGTGTGTGTGAGTGTGTCTGTGTAAAGGATTCAGGAATTCGGGGGTTTATGAGAGACGCAACGTAAAGAAATGACATGGTTTACTGGACACGAATGAGTTGAAGCCATATTGATCTGGTCAAGCTCCTTTCGAGGCATGAAAAGCGAAACAACGATGAGGACAAATGAAACTCAAGAAATCACCGAATACAATCATTTGCTCAGTAGATACCAAGAGCAAGAATGAAATAGCATGACTAGATAGTTAAATCTGATCCAACTTACGGTCATCATCATCATCAACAACAACTTTGAGTAAACAATCACCTCAATATACAGGATAGACACCGTTCCAACTCCCATGTTTCCCAGGCGACGTCGGACCATTGATGTCTCCCTTGACGAAATGAGGAAGAATCTCACTGGCCAACACGGTCAAGACACTGATCGGACAGAATTTGGCCAACTCATCACCCAACGCTTTCCTCACGATCTCGGCGACGGCCACACTGGTCAAGTGCGTCGACGTGCCCTCTGGTCCCCAGCGGAACGGCCAGGAGACCCACGCCGGCTCGACGACGACGCCGCCGCCAATCCAACCTCCAGACACGAGCTCGTAGTGTTTTGCACAGTCCAAAATCTTTCCCGCACCGCCAACGGTCGTGTCGTTTCGGATGAAGAAATCCAACCCCACGGGAACACCACCTATCTTGCGGTACTCGGACTTGTTGGGCCCCACGGCCGCGTAGTTGGCGTGTCCGTTGCGGCTGGCGTAGATGACGGGGCGAGTGCCTTGGAACGTGAAGGAAGCCGGGATGGCGTCGTGGGTGAAGAATTGGCCCCGGCTGTGTTGGGAGAGCCAGATCGAATTCAGGCTGTGTGAAGCGTTGTCGACGCGGAGCATTGCCATCTCCCAATCACCGACGTGTTCGCCCATGGGGGCCAGGTCGATGTCTCCGGAGGTCGTGGGCGTGTCGAGGACGAGTCCGCCGACGTGCAAGGACCCGGGCCCATTGTAGGCGTAGAAGAACCAGAATTGGAGGTCCGTGTGGGGGCTGCCGGGCTGCCAGAGGGCGTGGACGTAGGTCTTTGCGAGTTCGAGGCGGCCCGGCTTGCCGTCCGGTGAGAGCTCGAGGTAGAATTGGTGGTCTTCACCTTTCGTGGGCAGTTGGGATACACTAGGAGACCGGACTTTGACGGCGGGTGACTTCTTGTCAACCAACGTGCAGTGCGAGAGAAAGTCTTCGATGGAGGTCGGGAGGAATTGTTCGTCCTGGTGGAGTTTGAGGATGGGAGCGTAACGTTCAATCAGGGTGTGAAGAGTCGGGAGGTCCAAGGGTTTGGCGTTGGTGGTGGTGTTGTTGCTGCTAGGCGTGACAATGCCTCGGACACTTGAGGGTATGACCTGCGGTTGGAACGAGAGCGAGTCTGCAGGGACATGGTCATCTGTGACAGTAGCCGCCATGTTTGGGGCAACGATGCTGAAGTAGAATACACTTACCGTTGAGGCTGCCATCATGAAGATGGAGGGCATCAGGCTGGGTTTTGTACTTTGTGAGATCTGGGCGTCCGTGGAGTGCAAGGGGTCTGTCTCGTCGAAGCGAGCTGAAGTGTCTGCCTCGTATTTGAGCCAGCCCCAAGAACAGCCTGCATGCTGGGCGCAGACTTGGCCACCTCAGCTGGACATGGTGGCTGTCACCGCAAAAGCTGGACTGAACATCCAGTCCAATTCGTTCTCGACAACCTAGAGTTATGTCGCCAGGGTATGATTGGGTTTTGTTACGATAACATGGCCGCATGCAACACGGTGAAGGGTTACACAGAGCAGTGCGATGGCCTCAGGATCGCATTTACCAACAAGGTATTGCGCAAGTGATTCAAGGATAAAAGGCACCGTAGCAGTGAAGCTATTTCCAAATGCCCTTGCGAGTAATTTGACATGAACATTGAATGACCACTGCATATCTATTCTACCAGCCGCAATATTTCAAAAGAACTGATGTTCAAGATAGAGCGGGCTATTAATCAGGCATGCTTATCTAAGCCTCCAGTCGCGTCTCCAACGCGTCTCTTGCCGACGTCATTCTAAACAATTCAATCCTCGGATGCGCTCAATGAAATTCATCCTGACAATCTTTTGCTCAATTGGAAACCTTTCTGACAACACTTGATAGCAATTGCAACACTCAAAAAATCGAGACCCACAATGGCCTCGGCATCAACCAAACGTTCTCGGCCTGCGTTTTCTCCTCCGAGACCCGGCAAGTCAAGGACTGCACATTCGCCAAAGGATGTAGGCACCAATGGGAGAAAGAAGACCAGCAGAACATCAAATGGCGGTCGGGTTCAGAAGCCCGCCTCCTCGAAGCAATCTAGACCCAAGAAAACATCGAGAAGGAGCGCAGGAGCCCGGAGAGCATTCCTCGACGACGAGGCCGATGAAGATGATGAGCCAGAATCAGATCGCGAGCCTGAAGCTATAGATCGAGATGAGACGGAGGATGAGGAAGATGACAATGAAGAGGAGGACGCAAGCGAAGAGAATGATGAACGCATTCAATCGTCGCCTGAACCAGATTTTATTCTTGCAGAAGTGACCCACGATAATCCTGCGTCAGATGTGTTTGGTCCAGAGCCAGCCATTACGTTACCGCTGATACATCGAATCATGCAGTCTCACTTCAACCACCCTGAGAAGACGAAAATTTCGGAAGACGCGAGGATACTAGTTGGAAAATACATCGAAATTTTTGTCAAGGAGGGTATACGGCGGTGCGTCGATGAAAAGAGAGATCGCGCGAAAAGCAGTGGTGGAGGCATAAGTGTGGATAGCGGATGGATGGAATTGGAAGATTTGGAACGTGTTGCGATACAATTATGCATGGATTTTTGAGTACTGAGGACTTGCTATTGTCGTGACAATAACAATTTTTACTAGTTGCTCCCGCCATTGGCTTGTGTTCTTGAGCCTCTACAGTAGAACGCAAGACTGCTTGAAACAGTGGTTCGACGTTGGGTCTTGTGCATTGGGGGCTTCATTTCAGCCGATGTGTTCCTTGGGCTTTTGATTCCACTCTACAGAGCAAGCATGTTGGCTAGGGATGGTGATGTTGGCGCATCATCCGTGGCTGAACACTCCCCCGGGAGCTTTCAGTAGAGCAATCAGTGATCATGCTCAGGTGCTCCTGCCCGGTGCACGGGATGCTTGCTGGAAGTATGGATGAGGTTATGACGGAATGACACAATGTAGACGGGACATGGGAGCAGATACGGTATGGGGATGCCACGCCCGTATGATATTTCCTATAAAAGGAGGCTGTTAATTCCCAGATTTGATGCCTCCCGACTGTCAAGACTGCTTCCTGTAGCCTAGCGATTTGCGAGTATCTCGCTATCTCAACAATCATGCGGCTCGGAATTCTCTCTGTATGGACTTTTGGGGTGTGTGTTGGGCGGGTTGTTGTGTTATGGCGGTATGGTGATCGAACATCAAGTCGGCTACGATAACTAGATGAATATATTTTGCCCGAACTTGAATACAGCCAACTACACAACCATTCATTTTCCATCAACTCCGCAATTCCCCAAACAAGACGATCTTTCAACCAATACATAGCAGCATTGCCTATAAAGAGCCCTCCACCATTTTTAAAACATCAAATACATGCAGCAAACAAGGCATAGGAACCGAAAGGATGATCACAGGCTTATGCAGCATTTCGAGCAGTCCAGAAATGGTGGTCTGTCTGACGGACCAATTATTGAGCAGATACTCGCACTAGAGGCGTCAGAAGCGCGACTAAACATTTGCCAGACAGAATATTTGCCATGTCGCGCTCTGTCGAAATAAACGGACTACCACAAATTACCAAGTATGGTAGCCGGACCGCCGATCACAGTCAACCTCTACGGGTCGAGAGTGCTATTGATGAAACTACACGCTCGGCACCTTTTCACCACTGACCTCCAATGCCGACAAGATCTCACCGATCCAGGTCCATCTGAGCTCCGTACCCAGCCCGCGACTCTTCCAATCGTTGATCGAGTCTGGAAACATGGGCACGCTAGGAGCTCTCAGGGACGCGTCGTGAGCGAGGATGACGAAGACGTTGTCGTCGCCATCACACTCCTGCATATGTCCAATCGTGGCCATGACTTCTTCCATGTTATGACCAAAACTGGGCTGCCATAGGGGGCCTTTAGGGTCCCGGTTTCGCGAGGTCTGCAAGTCGTCGTACCATGCTCCTGGACAGAACGCCACAAGACGGTCGTGTCGTTTGAGGGTGATGGTGTCTGGTAAGGGGACATATTGGGACGGGCGGAATTCTCCACAATGGTGTGCGGCATCGCCACCCATGAACACAAAAGTGTCGGGAGAGGTGCTGGTGCGGACCAGTGCACACAGATGCCCGACGCAATGGCCGGGGCTGTCGAGGAGATACATGGACCCGTCTTTGAAGTAGTCGTAGGCGGGAAACTGGCCGATCCTGACGACTTCGGATTCTTCAAAGGTAATCTCACGCACTTGGCGCCCTCTATATCCCAAGTCAGACACAGCCGTCCCCAACACTTCAATCACAAGGACGTCTGAACACAAGAATACTCACTCTACATCGCTCGGCAAGATTCCACCCAACGCAGAGTTTCCGTCCCCTCCCAAGAAATGATCCTTGAAACCACGACCGACGACTAGGTCCGTGTGGCCCGGGAACGTAGACATGTCACCAGTATGATCCCAGTGGGCGTGGCTAGGACTATGGTAAGCATCGATGCAAGCCCGACAAATGAAGGGGGATGACGAATGCTGCAAGAGCGTTGTCTCACCTCCAGATGACGGCGTTGATACTCTCCTTGCCCACGCCGTACTCATCCAACAGCTCGCATGCATTCTTCGCTACGACAGGCCGATGGCCTACCGTCCGCAAACGCTCGGTGATTGCTGGGGAGAGATTCTCCCAATCCTTGCGGATAGCGAGGTCGAACAATACCTGTTGGCCCGAGGGGTGTTCGATCAGGAAACAGAATGAAGGAGCATTATGCACATCTACACCCTTTACTGTGGGCGTGAAGAGCGCGTGTGAGGGCACGTTATTGACGCTGGCAATATCGATGATCTTGACGGTCACCGATGTCGAAGATGGGGGAATGTGGAGGTCAATTCTTGCGCCGTCTACGTTTTTGAATGTGCCATTTGCTTGGTCCTGGGCCATTGTTGTGACTTGTCTGTCGCGAGGATCGGTTATTTGATCTTACTGTATACCTGACACAACCACTGTTGATGGGTGGTATACAAAGGCTATGTTGAAGGGGAACCTGGCTCCTCGAGGCACTTCCAGCAATGATCCTTTAATGCAAAAAAGGTGCAACGGTCGAAGGTTGACATCCCACAGACTGATATGACCGAATAAGCGTTCACTCGAGACTGGACCTCCAGACCCTCTCATTTCATCGCCAATATTGTCGGAGGAGGGAGAACGACCAGAGCCGCTCTGACTCCAGTCTCGGCTCATTGCCCCAAGCTTTACTGCTTCGCGGGGTGTTCGTGAAGTGCACAGCGACCGTCCTGAACCCTTGAAGTGCCGCGGGTTGTCGGCACTATGGCAATTCGGCACTAGGAGCCAATCAGAAACCTCACGCACGTAATTTACTTTCTGGTCCACGACGTCTCCAAGTTCCGACTCCAAATGTTGCCGAGCACCAGTCTGGCTGACCGTGAAAGCTGATCATGTGCATGCAAAGTTCCAAGACTGTGGCTCTACCAACTACCAGGTCTACGGAGACTAGCAGAATGACATCCGCTGGCCTCAAGAAAAGAGGCTAATGCTATGGGCAGTGCTGAGGTGGGTTGCAGGAGGCTATTAATCGTTCATGGTTCACCAAAACATTCAATTACGATACTGTCACCATAGTACAGTCATGACCACAACAGCAACTCAAGATTCGCCGTCAGTGATCCCTAATGGCGCCCCAGACGCGCCTGATGGGAGGACGAAGATTTCTATAACGGATGCTACCGACCTTTGCGAAGAAGCTCTTCACAGGGCAGGATATACATCCGAACAGTCAGCCACCATCACCGACCATCTCATCGATGCAGAACTACGGGGACACCCTTTTGCAGGGATGGCGCGGGCGCTGAGCATCATCGACTATCTCAAGAGCAATCCGGAGATGAAACCCCAAGGACGAGAGATTGAATTGACCCGCGATGGACCGGCGTTTGCTCATGTCGACGGCCACGATTCCGTTGGGTACTTGGTGGCTCACCGTGCCACGCAGATGGCCATTGACAAGGCAAAAACCACTGGTGTTTCCGTCGTCGGCGCCAGCGGGCTCTGGTACACGGGAAATCTGGCGTATTTCAGTGAGATGGCATGCCGCGAGGGTCTGGTGACGTTCATCTCGTCCAACGGCACCCCTATCGTCGCGCCCCATGGCGGTGCCGAACCCAAGTTCTGCACAAATCCGTTCTGCATTGGCTTTCCTACCTCTGACCGTGATTCACCGGTGATCTGGGACATTGGCACGAGCAATATTATGTACGCGCAGGTGAAACTTGCCGAGCGGCTGGGCACGAGTCTGCCTCCAGGATCGGCGGTCGACAAGGAGGGAAACTTGACGACCGACCCTCTCCAGGTGGCACAGGGCGCCCTGACTGCCTGGGGTGGCCACAAGGGTAGTGGTCTCGCCATGATGGTGCAACTATTGGGCATCGCGGCAGGCAGTACTGAACCCACCCCTTTCCTCTCGGGCTTTGGGCTTTTGATCGTGGCTTTTGATCCGAGTGTGCTTCAGCCTCTCGACCGGGTGCAGCAGGATGCAGACCGATTCTGCGAAAACATTAGAGCCACCAAGATGCTCCATGGACATGAACCTGCTAGAATGCCATTTGAAAGGAGCGTACAAGCACGGCAGGAGGCCAAGGAGCGAGGCTGGTTCACCGTCCCAGAAGAGGTGGTTCGACAGCTTCAGTTATAACGGCGGAAGATCGCACAGTATCTATCATTTAGCTGTTCTGTAAACTTAACTCTTGTAAACGTGTATGTACATGTGAACTACATCCTGCGGACGAGAGTGATGAGGCCTTAATATCCCCCAAGCCACCTGTGCGGGGAATGCATGGTGCGTGTTTAGGTGCGCCCATCCGGATGACTCTTGACCCCGCGTTAGGCGTAGTAAGCCCCATAGCAAGCCCCCAAGTTCCAAGCGATTCGCAAGTTCAGCGATCCAAATCCTCGACTCCATCTTCCCATGCACAACGTATTTTCATATCCAGTCGGCATTGACTTCAGGTCCTGCGAGATGCATTCTTCGTCGGAATTTTGACCTTGGTAACTCAGCAATGGCTACTGCTGCCAGCCAGCAACAACCTCGCAGGGCCCGCGCGAGAGTTGTTTGCTTGCAGTGCCACGCCCGCAAACTGCGCTGTGACTACGAAACCCGATTCAGAGACGGCCATCAATGCTGCCACAACTGCCTCGAGTCGTCGACCTTGTGCAGGTAAGTCGCCATGCTGCTCCTCATCGACCATCCTCCAAGCCTCAGGCGCACGGCTCGACCTGTTCATTTTCATTTGCTTCCACTGCAACGGCCAGGAGAGATGCCGAAGTTGTAGAGGAGATACGTATTGTTGAACAAGTTTAACCCGCGACTCAGACCACGGCTCCCTAAACGGCGCAGAAAAGACGCCAGTAATGCTCGAGAAACAACAAGTGCTTATGCACCAATCCGCCCCGCGGTGAGCAATCAGGAGCACTCTCTCCAACCAACAACGTCCATCCATGACGACTCTGCATTGGTCGACGTCGATGTCGACATGAACGGCTCAACCTTCCAGCAAGAGCAATCAGGACAGCAGCCGCCGCAAGAATCACTGCCTCCACCAACGCAGCAGCTTGCGCCACGACAAGTGACATTCCCGCTTGGGCATGAAAGGTCATCATTATCAGATGTTCAAGGCCCTGGTGCTGAAGATGTCAGCCCCGATGTTCCCTCGACCGTCTCGCATGGTCGTTCACCAGCTGTAGGTTATCTAGGCGGCAGTGGGCTGTTGAGACTTTTCGAACCAGACTATCGAGGAATTGCAGCAGCTACGACTACTAACGCCGACAAGCACCAACATGGAGTGGGAAGTCATCGTACACGTCTGATGATCGACGATGATGACAGCCTGCCTCCAGCTGAACTCCAGGAAAGCTTTGCAGAGACATATTTCAGCTATTGCTGGCCTTGGTGCCCGGTCTTGGACAAGCAAACATTCAACGGCGAAAGCGATGGTATCACTTCCCCCCTTCTCATCAACGCGATGGCCCTGTTGGGCATGCAAGTGCGTCCACCCATCATGCAACACGCTAGAGCTAAAGACTATTATGACCGAGCGAAGATGCTCTTCTACATGGACGAGGAGAGTGACCCTCTTACATGCCTGCAATCTATCATGCTTTTTTACTGGTGGGCTCCGCGAGGGTATGTCTGGCAATCTCCCTTTTTCTGGAGGAATTCCATAGGCTGACCATCGTCGAAAGGCCCTCCCAGGTACACAAGGATGCGTCTTGGTGGTGGACAGGGATTGCCATCAAGTATGCCCAACAGATGGGTTTGCATCGCGAACCAAGGAACGTGGATGATGTTGGTGGAATTGAAGCACAAGGGTTGAGACGGAGAATCTGGTGGACGCTCTTCGTAAGTTGGTCAGGCACTGACACAAACTAAGGGGAAAGTACAAGTTGTCAAATCTAACGAGACATTGCTGCAGGCCAGGGAACGTTTGACAGCGATGTGTCAAGGGAGACCTCTCACTATCAGCCCAGAAGATTGTAACGTTAGAAAACCTTCGCTTGAGGATTTTGGATCATCCTCAGATGATCCTCGCGCAGAGATCTTCATCTACTGGGTTCGTCTGTGCGACATTATCGGACGCATCAGTCAACATCTATCACGTCCAACAGAGGGAGGACAGCCATTTTCATTCCCCACTGAGCTCGCTGAAGAACTCATCGCCTGGATCAACAGCCTACCTGTTCATCTACAATTGCCCGACATGTCGGATCGATCGCGTCGGTTCGACCGGGATGTCCTCAAACTTCACTTGCCGTATCTGACCACTGTCACCATCTTACACCTGAATTGGTCATCTCAACATCCTTCACAGCCCTTTCCCGAAGCTTATACCGCTGCTGTCCTCTCCGCTTCGTGCGTCACTCGTATTTTCAGGGACCTTCTCTCCAGGGGAAAGATTCGGTTCTTAGGTGCCATAGCGTGTTGGCATGTCGGTACGGCCATTGTTGCTCTCCTGCATACCCAACGCATAGACACTCTGGCGGGCCCTGGAGCGAACGATATCAGTATCCTCAGAGTCGCATTGAACGAGTTAGCTAACCTATGGCCATCGACGGCTATCTTTGTGAAGGGTTTCGATCGACTCGGTGCCTTCGAACATCTGGCAGATACCCCTGGCAGAGCAATTGGCAAACAAAAACAAAGTCGCCAAGACTCTCAACAGAAAGGCACAAGTGCTTCTCAGACGGCACAGAGGCAACAACAAGAGATGCATGGGAATCCTTCTCCAAGCGGTATGCATTTAGCACCGAACGAAAACCCACCACTCCCACATTCATCCCTGCAGGATGGCCAACTCCAGTGGCCCCACGGCATCGACTGGCAGAGTTATTTCCCACATGTTACTCCTCGCACATGTGGCCTCGCAGATGTGTTATTGGCTCAAGAGCATCAACCCCCGATGGACATTTGGGGCGGGTTATCTTCGCTGTCTTGGTTTGGCGCAGGAGATACTACGGCACCGGCACAATTCCAGAACCTGTTCGATCCTACAGATACGATGTTGGACCCCTTTCTAGAGAATCTGTCATCATTTTGCTGGATGGGGGAATCAGGTGGGACAATTTGAGATGTAAGGCTTAAGAGCATGCGTTGGGTGCTACTACAACTACTGTGTCTGCCGCCCTCGTCGGCATGAGTTGATACTGACCCAGGAGGGAGCTTGTGAGAAAAGAGGATCTACAACTTTAGAGTATCGAGAATTAACTCAACTTCCTCTTTGGCAGTCTCGAGGATGTGGTCTGCTCCATATTCGGGGATCCAGCCCAATTGCTCCCCATTTCGAGCCGTGAATGTACATCTTGAACAAGGGTCAGTATCAGCAGCTTCACATCACTAGACTCGGCAAGGTATGAACTTACGTTCCGCCTAATTGCAACGACACAGATTCCTTGGGACAGCCTAAACCTTTGGCCATCATTTCGAGCGCTTCGTCTGATGCAGGAACCACGGTTGCATCGTCAACCACATCATGGTCGACTAATGTTTGGGCCATTACGGAATACAGATCCTTCCAGGCGATACTTCCAGAAGCAGCGAGGTAGTATCCTTGCTTCCCATGGCTTGGGTTCTCCCCGGCCAGTATGGATCGGAGGATCTGGAGGTATAGCGATGAATTATCCCTGATGTGGCAGACGGGCCAGACCTGGTGGGACAAATAGAGTTAGCTTCGGACCTTGTGGTTAACTGATATTGTCGGGAACTATAGCTGATTGATGAACACGGACGAAAGGAGAGGGGCTACATACCGCTTGTCCAGTCGAGTTCACGTCGTACACTCGCCGCGCCGCTTGGGCTGCCTTGATGATGGCTACAGTTTGGATGGAGATCTTGTTGGCGAATCCCTCACCTTGACCGTCTGTTGGGGGTTTGCAGTGTTAGCTTGATGCGTTACGACATTTATGCAGTTCCGACAGAGAGGGTCAGTTGAATGTGGTATGATCAATGAAGTTTGGGGCCATTCAATGTCGATTAATTTGCAAAAGCAGAAACTCACAAACGATACAAGGCACAAAAACATAAGTGTGCACGCCCAGCTGACCATCAAGCTCGACTACCGTGTTGTTGGCGCCAATAGCCTTGTGGAAGAAGAACAATATGTCAGTGCCAAAGATCCACAATCGTTGCAGAAGAAGCTCATAATACACACCGGTTTCAACAGCTCAAGCAGTGGCTCTTGTGCTTTTTGTATCTCATACAAATCAGGCGTGGTGTCCGGAAGCGGTCGATCGTGTGGTGTCCCAGCGTGACTCGAGAAAAGTTTGGCACCACTTGTCTGTACGGTAACAAAGACGGTCAGAAAACGGTTAGCAACACTTTCATTGTGACTTTTGTCACTTCCTTTTCCGTCATCTGTGGGAGAAAGAGCCATTAGTTCGACATACATGTAAGAAATGGACATCTATGCCCGTCGAGTTTTTGACTTCTGCAAGAGCCTTGATGAAAAAGACCTGTGACTCGGCAGAAGTGGCGTCGACGAGGAAGAACACAATGGTGATTTTGTTCGAAACGATGGCGTCCCGGACTGCTGATTCGTTCTTGGTGTCGAATTTTAGAGGTGTCGCGCCGTATAGTTGTTTCACGGCGCTGGCTTGGTCGTCTGTCCTGACGAGGGTGAAGAGTTTGTCGTATTTCGGAGGCAAGTTGACTGTATTCCAGCGTGCGAGGAGAGAGCCCCCTAGATATCCTGATGCTCCGGTGATGAGGATTCGATGAGACATGGCGGTTGACTCGGCCACGACAAGACCACCAATCAACTATACTATTGATATTGCCTTGTCACTCTCGAAAATTTGATACCTTTACCGTGTTTTTGACGTCCAACTGTTTTCAGATCTTGGGCGTACGCACGGCAAGGCTCGGGAAGGACAGGGGGGCCCGGTTGAAACTCCCGTGATCAAAAGACTTTTAGCGTCTGGCTATCTTTTACACAATTTCGTTGGCATGCCACCTTGGGGGCTCTTGATTTCTAAGCTGTTGAATTTCGTCATCCCCAAAGATCAAAGAGATGATTCACGAGTTACGGATGATGCTAACAGTTTCAATCGACCGGGTTCATGGTGAACGGGGGGTGTGGAGGTGGTTCGTTTTGTCCTGATTTGTAGAAATTGCCGAAATGCCGAAGCGAGAAGCAAAGAATCCACCCACGATGACCCTGGATGATACAACCATCCAGCAGCCACTACTCGTACAGTCGCAGTACCCTCGACGGCTCATCAGCACCCTGGGAGAAATGGCTGCAGCCCCGTCTGCATGTGCCATCTCTTGATCGTAGGCCGGCCAGTACCTCGAAACTCAAAAAAACAAGAGACCCTATATACAGTAGCTGATGGATCGCGGAGTTCTTGCAATCTTCTCGGTAAGCGGTACATAGTCTGACGGAGCAACAGTGACGAGGGAGACCGAGATATCAGTATCGCTTTGGACATCGAGAGGGGTTACAAGTATGAAAATGCCACAACCACAAACAGGTGCGGTCGTGCCCCCCTCACTGACTCAACTAGCTGCACAACATTTGGAAAAGATCAGGAATGGGAAGTTGAGCTCCGAAGTACGAGACAAGACCATTTTGTGTTTGCTTGACTACTTTGGTGCTTTGGGTTCTGGATTATCAGCTCCCTGGGCAAAGAGTCTATTGAGATATGCCCAAGTCAGTACGAGTGGTAGTAGTGGATTGTCTACTTCATCATCATCATCATCACCACAGAGCGGTGGTGTGAGTGTCATGGGACTTCAAATGCTGTGTTCTGCTGAGACTGCAGCTTTTACAAACGCTTCTATCGCTCACGGTATCATAAGAGATGATATGCATCTTGCAGCCGGTGCCCATATTGGTGTCATGGTGATTCCAGCCGCGCTCGCCTTGGCTCAGAGGGACAGCTGGTCAGGCGAGCAACTCCTAAAGGCTGTAGTTGGTGGTTACGAAATGGCCGTCGCTCTGGGATCCGCGGTCCGCTCTTCAGGTACATGTAACCCTCATTTCCGACCCAGTGGGATCATAGGAGCTTTCGCCTCCGCGGCGACTGGCATCATGGCCGATCCTACCATCACTCAGTCCCAATCTGCCTGCGCGCTGGGTCTGGCTGCCAACATGGCCGCCGGATTAAACGAGTGGCCTTGGGCGGGTGGTCTGGAGATCACCACGCAGATGGGTACCGCCGCCCGCGCAGGGATCACCAGTTATGACCTCGCAAAGGCAGGTGTGAGTAGCAGTTTGACGATCCTAGAAGGGAAAGATGGTCTCTTTGAGGCGTACGGATGTGGTGATCGAAAGGTCGCCGCCACGGTATTTCGCAATCATTTGCTTACGGTCGACGACGAAGACGCGGCGTCAAGAACGGATGAAACGACAAAATACGGTGCAGGTGTCATGGGAGCCAAATTCAAACCTGTCGCCGGTTGTAATTTCATCCAGACTCCAGTGTGTGTTGCACTCCGGATTCATGACAGTCTCAACAGCCTCGACAAGAATACAAATTGTGCGACGACGACTACTTCGGGTATCGAAAACATTGACCGAATCACCATCACAACGACGTCCCCAGCCATCACTTACCCTGGCTGCGACAATACCGGACCTTTCCGAAAAGTCCAACAGACCAAAATGAGTCTCCAATACGCCGTGTCTTCGGCGTTGTTGTTCGGCCGAGTCGACGAGTGGACCTACAGGCACTTTTCCAACAAACAGCTTGATTATTTGATCGGGAAATGCGTGCTAGAGACCGATGCAGGGTTTGACGAGGACTTGTACAAGCGAGGGAAACAACCTTGTAAGATCGAGGTCAAAATGAAGAACGGACATGTCCATCGTGATTTCATGGGTGACGTTCCTTGGTTGGACGGTGAGGCTGTTGAAGAGAGGTTCAAAAGAGAAGCGAATACGATGTTTGTTGACCGTGCTGATGTGACGAAAGGTGACCCAGCTCGGGGGGTCGTGGACGAGATTATTCTCGAGTGTCGTCGTCTCGGGACCTCACAGAGTACCGAGAGGCTGTTCGAATTGTTGGCCTCGGGGGGACCTTTGATTGTGAAAGACAACGTACAGGATAGCGTCTTCGAATAAATCATTCCTTCTAGGTGTAGAACAGAATCAACGGGATTTTTCATGACATCAAATGATACAAGGTAGAGTTTTGCCCGTTAAATGGTATTCTTCTTCGTTTCTCAATGGCATGGACCACCTCCATAAGTTTCTGACAGCAAGCAGAGTGTTGCTATGTGAAAAAAGGACGTATACAGCAGAGTATGCCATGTAAGAAGCACCTTTCGTACATACAGCATCTACAAAAGAGTTTTCGCAATACCGTCACCTCCGTCCTTGAAAGAAGGAAAGACCAATCAGATCTTCTGCACCTCCGGATCCAATTTCGAGTCGACCTTGACAGTCTCATTCTCCAACAGCACCGCCTTGTCCAGGTTCTTTTTGGCCGGATCGATGTTGGAAACGAGTAGTGCACTGACGAGGGCCAGCACGGCGAATCCAAGTGCCGTGTAGAAAACGACCTGGAAGGCCTGGACGTAGGCCAATTTCACGGCGTGCTGGCTCGCAGCGATGACCTGCTTGGTGATGCCGGGTACCTTGGCGTAGGCTGCGGCAGTGTTGGCTGCGGCGGCCGCCATCAGGGCTTTTAGGTTCGCTTGGTCAAAGTTGAGGCCTGCTATCGCTTTGGTGAGCTGCGAAGGCAGCTTCGCCTTGAACTGATTGTCGACGATGGACGAGTAGATGGCTGTAGCGACAGCACCGCCCAGCAAACGGAAGGTGGAGAGAGCTCCCACGGCGACACCACTACATTCATACGTTCACTTTGTTAGTGCCTTGGCCTTCAGGTCAAACTTGAGAGGGAAGTCAATCAGGCAGGCAAGAACTTACATATCTGCTTGGTCTTCTAGATTGAGTGATACCATACTGAAGAGCATGTAGAGAGGCTGGTTGATGAAACAGGACATCAAAAACACCAACGCAATGGCTTTGGCCTTGTCATCGATCCCGACCGTAGAGAGAGCACCGACAAAGGCCGTCTGGCAGCAGATGAAGCCGAAGATTTGCCATTTCTCATGTCCGAAGCGGGCACAGAAGACCCAGACAGAGATCAGAGAGACTGTAACTCAAAAACCACCACATGTCAGTTTCTGGGTGGTGAGAGAAAAACAAAAAGGGCGGACGATATCTCACCCCAAGTTGCAAGCGTGGTTATGTTGGCGTAGATGCCACGAATGATGGGCTTGTCCGCAGGGACAAAGAGCAGAGCGGATTCTCGGGGCCAGATGACCTGCATACTGTAATAAAGCATGCCGCAGCAGAAACCGACCAAGACGAGAACGTTGTATCTGGACATATATCTCGTCAGCTGTGGTTGTCTTTCATCTGCAGATGGATTGAAGATGTTGTCAGACTCACCCTCTCCATTGCCGGAACAGTCGAGGAGGAAACAATGGATATTTCAAGTTGGCATTGAAATCCCACACGAACAGGAGGACAAGACTAAAAAAGCCGACAACGATGGGTGCGATGACTTGAGCACTTTTCCAAGGGAAGCGGCGGCCACCAAAGTTCAAACCGACCAGGAACAAGGTGCACCCGGCGACAAGGAGAAAGAGGCCGACGTAGTCCATCTCCTTCACGAGTGACAGGCGGGAGACGCGGTCGGTCTTGTGTTTGGTCTCAAAGGATGGTGGGCGGTAGAAGCAAAAGAGAAAAATGCCGGCAACCCCGTGGAAGGCACACATGTACCAGTATGCGCCTCGCCAGGTGATGGAAGTATGGGCGATGAAGACGTATGTGATGAGGGGGGCAAAAATGCACATGATGGCGCTCGTTCCATAGAGTCCTATAGATATAAAAACGCAGGGCCGTCAGTGAAAAAAGCGCGATATGCCTCGTTTTGGCTTCCTGAGTTCCATTGGGAAGAAGACTCACCAAGTGCAGTCAAGCGGTACTTGTTAGGGATGAATTCCATGATGCAGGCAAAACCCATTTCCTGAAACCCCGATCCAACACCGAACATGACACCGCTGGCGATCATTTGACCGATACTTTGGCCCGTGGCGCCCACAATGGTACCAAGGAACGAGATAAAGGCCCCGGCGAGCATGAAGTATCGTCGACCAAAGATGTCACTCAGACGACCGCCAACTGAGACGAGGATGGCCGCACCGAGGCCCCAAGTGACATTGATCCAAATGTAGTCTGGGTCAGGACCGAGTTCCGCGTTTATGTAGGGTGCCGCCACGGCGGGGATGAGCAAGGTGTACTCATAGGCACTCAGTTGACCGCAGATAGCCTGTCCGGGGTAGAGTCAGTCAATAGTCAAACGACAAGAACGGGAGACGAACAAGGAAAGCTAAGACGGTCTTCAAATTGATGCCGTCCCAAATCTCATGCTCGACGTGAACAGGTGCTTCGATCTGCCCGTCGGCATGGGGACGGGCAGAAGTATCCTCGATCTGGACATCTGTGGAAGTCTTGTGAAATGCCGTGGGGTGATGCTCCTCCATGATTGTGAAGGTTCTTCGCTCTTTCGTTGGCTATATGTCGTGGTGGTGGTGGTGGTGGTGGTGGTGGTGGTGGTGTGACCAAGTTGCTAGTCCTCCGTGAATCTAAAGAAAAGAGTTATGAAAAACCACGCTGGCATTGCCCGTATCTCGACAAAGATATTTTGGGCCAATGCGGAGTGAAATCCGGGGTACTTATATCTCTGATCATCATTTGCCGAAGGGGAGATAAAGGGGACACTGTGGAAGTTCTGTCGAGGTCTAGAATGGCTTGAAAATTGCTGTGGTTGTTGCTGTACACACTTCCTTCCACCTTGACTTCGGACGGCTCGCTAGGTACCCAGTGAATGGCTATGAATATCCAATAGGCATTTGAGAGACAGTCGGCAGTGGTTTATTCCGCGTGTGTCATTGGGTGAAACTGCCGGGTCAAAGGTGGCTGAGAAGTTGGACATAATTGTGGGAGAGTCCGGAATGCGGGTGTTTTGCCCAGATGCCCAGTATGGGACCGCACGACGCTCAAGGAACTACCAAGCTGACTTGCCGTCGCATGACACTTCTACAGAACAGCGTGCGGGAAATATACACATCTTGGTGAATTCATAGGGTCAGGGGGGTAGTGTAGACACGCGCTTTAGCGAATCCAAGATGGTGTATCGAGACGAATCTACATTCCAGTCAAGGACGAACAGTGAAGCCATATCATAAAAAATGGAAAAGCAAGTCGATATTCCGATACTCGTGGCATGAACGGGAACGATGTCTTCTCGGGACAATTTGTCTTTATTTAACAGCAGAAAGGAAGAAGCATGTACTCGGGTGCCCCTTTTTGCTGCACTACAGGTCCACAAGGTTGTTCACGGCCATGCGTCTCCCCTGGCTCTGAAAACAGTTCGTTGGATCTTTTGAAGCCAGTGGTTCTCATCCGTACGGTCGTCTTCCTCCGCATCTATGAAACCATGCTTACTCACCGACTCGGAGCAAATGACAAACGAGTGCCCTGTAAGGGAATGAACCAGGTCAGCTTTTGATGTCATCCACTTGTGTGTCCATGCCGACAGGGAGAGTTCTAGGATCTCTTCTTACCGTTAATGCTCTTGTCACATGAGACTCTCATTACACACTTGACAGCACTGTCGATGGTGGCGAACTCGACTCCATTCTTGGCCAGTCTGTCCAGGGTCTCCTGTGTTTGGATGGCAGTACGGATCCAGCTGAGGCAGTCACGTTAGTGACTCCATTCCCAAGTGGCAATGGATATCGGGGTGATCTACTTACGCCGGCGCAACATAGGCAACTCGGATGCCCTGATGGGGGGCGTTCCGTCGAGCAGTCCGCATCAGCCCACGAAGGCCCCATTTCGAAGTCGAGTACTCCCAGCTCCCCTTGCAAAACACGGTCAGCATATTGCAGATGAAAAGGTGCTTAGGAACGTACTAGATTATCACAGATACCAGCGATACTGCCGATGAAGATAAAACAGCGGTCTCGATCCGGAGTCTGCTCGCCACGTCGGAAATAGTGAATGGCAAGTTTGAACGTGTACATATTGCCGACCAGATTGATGTCGATGATGTGCATGCTAGGTTTTGTCGGTTTGGAAAAGGGATCTTCGGACATTGATATCAGAATGATGGACTGCCCTGATATCAAGACTGTTGTCGTACCTTCTAGGGCCATCATGGGATCGCCCGCCCCTCTGCCAACACCTGCATTGGAAATGACTATATCAACCGTCTTCGAAGGCGACTTCGTTACGGCTGCCTCAAACAGCCGAACTTGGTCATCCCACGAACTGATATCACACTTGACAAAGCAAGTTCTCTCCCTAGGAATACAGGTCAGAAACTCGACTGGCATAAGCGTCCATGGGGCACTACTGACGGACTCAATTCAGTCTCAATGGCTTTCCCTCTTTCTTCATTGACATCGCAAAATGTCACAAATGCTCTGGAGTGTGGCACAATCAGCAACTAGCTTTTGGTGGTCACTGGAGGACGAGTAGGAAGTACCCATTTTTGACGAATTCCCGAACATATGCCTCTCCCATGCCATTCGCACCTGACAGCAAGACTCATCTTAGCAACGACTCTTTACAATCTTGAAAGTCCTCATCTTGACAGCAGCAATGACATTGACCTACCTCCAGTTACAATCACACTCTTGCCTTTACATTGCGTCTTGTCTGGCACCACGCCGCAATCCACGGGGCCAGTGTACTCGTATACCGCTGACATCCTGAGAGTGCTGGAGACCTACTTCTTGACGTTCGATTTCGATGTTGACCAGTCCTGCTCTTGCTGAATAGATTTCTTTTATCCGCTGGGACAAGCCTGAAAGTCTTTGCTGCATTATCTTCTCGTTAAATGTCTCCACCTTCAGAAAGCCCTCGGCTGAAAGTTATAAACGCCAACACAAGGCTAAACCATGATCCCAAGAGCATAGCCGTGAATGGCCCGTGTTTCTCTGTCGTTGATGGTGGTTTGGGGAATGTCTGGAGTCGTGGCGAGAGATTTGTAGCAGCCACTCGGCACTGGCAATTGTGGCCAATCACGACCAAGTGGGCAAGATGTCAAGCCGAAACTGTCGTTTGTTCGTCTTCCCGCCCTCAAACATCGTGCCCTTAAGCCAGTGCTGCACCGAGCACAGATAAACCCACCACCACGTATCTCGGCAGCGCCACTGACCATCCATGACTACCGACAGAACGTCCCATGGGAAAGAGCTACATAGAAGCCACCGATTGGTGGCAGAGGCGGGAGTAGTCGACCCAGTTGGGAGAGACCCAAACATCCACAATCACCACTATGCCTTGGGGTTATCGATGGCTCGACAAGAAGCCGACTGGTGCCTTATGGAATCTTATACCGAGGCCCAGACCGCCATCACCTGAGCCAATATTGGTATCGATCGATTGAGACAACTTCGCAACCATAAGAGACGCAGGTAGGCTAAGGACTCAAGTAGTCAACAAAGTCCGAAAACCTTTGAACAGATTATCTCCGATTCCAAGGCAGTGCAAGGGTTTAACAAGTCTCTCATTGGTATCACCAGAGGACTCATTGACAGATATCATGGCGTTGACCGAAGAGCAACTTGTACCTCGAGTGGCCGGAGGGTCAGACGCAGAGGTACCGGCCATCAAGAAGGTCTTGGACCAGACTTCGACAACAGAGCCGCTGAAATCGACACTTCAGCATAACAACTCCGAGTCACTACAAGTTAATGGCTACTATGGTAGTCTTGCGCAGAATGACCCTTACTACATCCCCAGAGGCGATCAGCTGGCTTTCACCCCTCGGAAGATCCGAGTCATCACTGTTGGTGCAGGGTTTTCCGGTCTCCTGATGGCACACAAGTTCCAGCATCGCTTTCCAGACATGGATGCCATTGTGGACCACACCATATTCGAAAAACGTTCCGAGGTTGGCGGCACTTGGATCGCAAACACCTACCCTGGGGTCCAATGTGACGTTCCTTCGCATATTTATGTGAGTGTTCTTGAACGGCAAGGTTTTTTGCTGAGAAGTGGAACTGGACTAAGGAATAACAAACAAACTGACGTCCAACGTGATTGCAGGCGTTTCCCTTCGATCCCAACCCAGAATGGACTCGGTTCTATTCGAGCGGAGCCGAGATCGAGGAATACATTATCAAAACGACCAAGAAGTGGAATCTGGACCGGGATATTCAGTTCAACACCAGGGTCGTAGGAGCGTGGTGGAACGAAGAGCGTGGTCAGTGGAAGGTGACGATTCAGAAAGACGGCCAAAGCAGTAACGAATGGGCGGATGTTTTGATCAACGGACAAGGTGTTCTTGAGTGAGTCTCGGCGTCCGACTGGGAAGACCTCAGCGAACTAACATCTTACCACCATTCTAGCACCTACCAATGGCCCAACATCAAGGGTCTCGAAGACTTCAAGGGCCATCGCGTCCACTCGGCCAACTGGGACCACAAGTTTGACTACTCTCACAAGCGTATCGCCGTCATCGGGAACGGCTCTTCCGGGGTCCAGATCGTACCTCAGATGGCCAAACTGCCAGGGACCACGGTGACAAATTTCGTCAGGGGACCTTCGTGGATCTACTACCGCGTCCCGCCCTCTCAACACCTGGGTCGATCCAGCAAATCCGGCAACAATCCCATCTACACGGAAGAGGAGAAGAAGAGGTTCCGAGAGGATCCCGATGCCATGAGAGAGCACCGTAGAGCCATGATTGCCAGAACCAACAAAGCGTTCCGCATGGTAAGTGGGTGAACGACCTCAGAACGTAGTATAACCATCTACGTCGGCTAACGCATGGTGTGTTGGGGATCTAGTTTATCAAAGACTCCGACGCCAACAAGGAAGCCATGGCACTGGCTGAACAGCAGATGAGAGAACGTCTGAACCATGACCCTCGCCTGTGCGACATCCTCATCCCCAAATGGTCACTAGGTTGTCGAAGAATCACTCCTGGGGAAGGTTATCTCGAAGCATTTTCCTTGCCCAACTGTGACATTACCAACAGCAGCATCACACATGTTAGTGAGAATGCAATTCACACTGCCGACGGCGAGGTCCATGAGATTGACGTCTGTAAGTTTGCTCACACTAGCCTCTACTTACCTTTTTTCCCCTATTTTGCCCAGAAAAAGGAAAAGGGACGTACTGATTTCTGATTGTCAGTGGTCTGCGCGACCGGATTCGACGTCTCGTTTCGCCCCAACTACCCTACCGTCGGACGCAACGGGGTCGATTTGGTCGAATCCTGGACGCAGAAACCGGAGTCTTATTTTTCCGTGGCGGCCAAGGACATGCCCAACTACTTTACGGTGTTGGGACCCAATGCGCTCGCCGGCCACGGTTCCTTGCTGGAAGGGATGAACTGGAACGGCGACTACTTTGTCAGGTGGATCCGGAAGATGGCCGAGGAGGACATCAAAAGTTTCGTCCCCAACACGGCCGTCGTCGACCAGCACGTGCGGTACTCGGACGAGATCCACAAGTCTCTGGTGTGGACCGCCCCCTGCAAGAGTTGGTACAAGCAGGGGACCACCGACGGGAGGGTGGCGGCCCTCTTCGCGGGCAGTGGGATGTTGTACAAGCGCATCATCGGCGGCGGCGAGTTGCGCGTCGAAGACTTTGACCTCACCTACCGGTCCAACAACCGGTTCAAGTTCATGGGCAACGGCTTCACCGAGTTCGAGTTGGACCCCGAAAGTGACTTGGCTTGGTATATTGAAAAGTGACGACGACGACACCGTCAAGTCAGGAAAAGTGGCAAACAAAGTTGCTACACTGTGACAACAGTGCGTGTGTACACAGAATACAAGAGTAGTCGTTTTGGAAATCAAGGCAGTAACAGAGGTACCCCCAAGGTGGAAATGAGTAGTTGCTTGGGATGACATGAAACAATCAAGGAATGAAGAGAGATTAAATGATATCGATAAATCATTGCTTGTGTAGTCAGCTTTCAAGAAGAGGATCTGAGGTCTGCCCAGTACCAAGTTAAGGTCCATTCAATCATATTTGGTCATTGATTTACTGTATACCATCTATACATCCTTTTTTCCATATGGTGCTGCTGCATAGAATACTGCGCGCATTTGAGGGATATCAAAAAATAGAAGAGGTCAGAATACAAAAAAGGATGTCACATCTCCCAAAAAAAAACTTCTTGCACACAGGAACACGCACACCACATCCCAAAGACTCAATTGCTCATCCCTCAGGGAGCAACGAGACAAACTACGGTGTGACCTGATCGCCCACAGAAAACACAATCCCTCCCCAACTCCGGAATTCGATTGGCGACTCGACCTCGAAAAAAGTCTACCGAGGGAATCTTGCCTTTCTTCCTAGTCGTCCCCCTGTTGGGCAACCGGATAAGGTTCTCGACTCAATATTCCGAAGAGTCTAAACTCGATTACCACGCAGCCACCAGAGCACCGAGGACAAGCATGCCAGCTGATGCTTCTCTGGCCCGCACGGCGGCACCAGTGAATACTGCCGGAGCGGCAGGCACACTGCTTGACGGAGGTGTCGCGGCGGACTCAGCGGCCGGTGCGGGCGGGGGAGGAGCAGGAGCAGTGTTTGCGGGAGGTGGCGAGCCGCCGAAGGTGACTGTGTTAGCGGCAGGCGGAGGGGGAGCCGAGGCGGGAGGGGCAGGAGGAGTGTCAGCCAAAGGCAATTTCGCGGCATTCGCAATGTATGCGTCAATTGTGTTGGGCGTGCTGCTGTTTTGATTGATCACCATGGCCATACCCTTTTGACAGTGGTTGGTCTGGCCGCAGAAGATCCAGATAGGCTTGGTGTCGTTGACCAACACGTTGAAAACCGGTGTGGTGGACTCGTTGCCCTTGACTGGAACAAACCCTGACTTCAGTCCAGGACGCATTGGGGTCGTCAGGTTGGCGGAGATGGGCTTGCAAGGCTCCGCAAAGCTCGACTCTGTGACTGTGTGGTTCTGGAATTCGTCAATTTCGAGCCAACTATTGTCCTCTGCTGACATACCTTGGGATGGTACTGAAATTGCACTATCGAGCCAACCGGAGCTTCAATGTTGTTTGGGAAATATTTCAGCGAGCCGTTTGAATCTGACACCGAAACGACCTGCACGATGAGCTGGCCGTTGCCTCCAGCTGGGGGAGGAGTGATTGGTTGACAGCCTGCTGGACAAGAGGGAGCAGCGCCCCAAGATCCACCGCCGCCGCCACTACCACCACCCCAAGAGCTTTGACCCTGGCCACCACCATAAGTTGCGACGGCCCCAGTCGCCAGCAACGTTGAAAAGAGGAGACTCTTGAGAGACATTGTCGATTATTGTTGATAAGTGCGGTTGTTGATTGACTTTGCGAGTGCGAGTGCGAGTGCGTGTAGAGATGCGACAACGAGCGACCGGCGCAACCACGAATTGAAAACGAGCTGCAATGCGTCAAGCTGCAGAAAGAGTGAAAGGGGCCGGTACTAGGACACGGGGACCACAAAGGAAGAAGGATTGAATGAAGTAGAGAGGAGAACGATCTGAGAGTCAGTCGGCAACACACGAGACATATGTAGGCCGGAAAAAGCGGGCTATGCCAATGTTCGTTTCCAGCATCTAAGATTATGGATCTGGACTTCTAGGGATGTGGTACTCACCAAGTCTCGTAGCCTTGCTGATTGACCCCTGGGCAGGTCAAAGACATTGTCAGAGATGCGTCTCAGGTAGGGGTTCCTGGTGAAGAGGCGACAGGCCGAGGATCTAGCACGACCAAGGGTTACACAGTGCAAAAGCCACGGTTGAGCGGCGGGCTGGGGCGTCAAGCGCCATGAGTAGTAGACGGTGATGGGCGTCGCAGAGTGAGAGGCGACAGCAGGATTCGAAGCGCTGGCACGTTTGGGGTGGTGTTTGGAGGAGAAGAATCTGAAGCACCTCCTGTTTCCAATTGCCCACGCCTACCCAAATAGGAAGCTTGGCCTTGGCCATCAGGCTGCGAGGCGAGGCTAGCCAGACACTTTGTCTCTCTACAGCCTCGCTTGCTGGCCCCCAGACAGCGCTAGATGCGATCTGGCTCATCTTGCAACCTCGGGTTCTCTCGATCCTTGTTGTCGCTTCGAAAGCTTGTCTGTTGCTGGACCACTGGACAAAAGACCCAGCTTCGTCACTTGCCTGGATTCGCATTTCGGGTGTGCGATCTCCCGGGTTTCACACTTCCAAAATCTCTATTGGGCTAGCACTCAGCCACCGTGAGAGTCGACGAAAAGGGAGAATGCGGACTCGGAAACCCCTCTACCGAAAGTGGTGGGTGATCAAATGGAGGTCGGAGGCGTCTTGACAGGGACTACGAAGGACGCTGGACGTGGACACGAGAACCCGAAGGAGAAATGACCTTTGAGGGTGAATAACCGACATGAATTTGTAAACCTGTTGGCTAGCTATTTGCTAGACTGTTACAATCTGCTACCAGACTTTGTATTGTACACGCGTAATCTCATCTTTCGTGTCTTGTCCGGGGAGAGTCGTGAGCATGCAATCTCGATTACATAACAAGTCCGAGACCAATTTCTTAAGCTCTCATATCATCTTCAACGTCGTGAGGCGAACAAAAAACTGCATATTTCGCTGACCCCGGTGCTACTATCGACACCGTCCTGAACACCTTTAACGACACCTGGTTAATCAATCGACAACATTAACAGCTTCATGTTGGGGTCATGGATCCATTCGCACAGGACTCGATTGAGTCTGCTTTCTCCTGGCCAGTGTCGAGCTTGATCTGCTGTTGGTCTAAGATGACTCAGTATCTTCGTCATCAGAGCGATCTCCCTCTTGATCCTATGCGGCACCATCGACTTTCTAAGTCATAGTGTAGCCGGAGGGCGTACCAGCCATGAAGTCCCATTGCCCAGGAGGAAGGTTGGTTGTCTGTCTACCCGGCGTAAAAGCTTCAGTTGCTGGGGAAGTATCTGCCATGTCGGTCAGAGCAGGGTCAACATCTGCCTCATCTGTTGCCTTCCTCTTCTTGGGACGGCCGCGAGGACGAGAATGGTTAGGCGGGTCGAGCACATATTCCTCCTTGAGTTGCATAGAAACGGATGGGTCATAGCCACGGTCACGAGCAAGTTTTCTCAGGCCTGCTAATACTTTAGGGTCCATGCCCGTGATTTCCTGGATTCTTTCCGAAGATATACTGGCCTCGGCCAGAGCCAAAGCCTGGACGCGCACCGCTGTAGAGTGTTCATGCATCTTCAAGACCTTAGGTGTCTTTGATTCCGCCGCCTTTTGATTCCAGTCGGCAGTCCGGAAGAAAGCCGCTGGATCCGCTGCTTGACGCGTGATACTTGTTTCGATTCCTTGGTCTTTCATCGCATCAAGATAGCCCCGACAGCCAAGGAGGTGGACGCGCTGACGCGAGGTGTGCTGAGCCATTTCTCTGCCACAGTACTTGCATCGTACCTGGGCCAGCTTCTGTGGTGGCAGTCAGTGAGATGCGACACATGGAGGGATAAGGTGGAATGACATGTACCTGGCTCCCAGTGGGATCTTGAGGAATAATGTCCCATGCTGAATGGGTCTCGGTGTCTCCGGGTTTGTTCTTGTAACCCCCAGAGCCTGGCCCTCCCATCGTGAAGATCAAGACCGCACCTATGGAAAGCCTCGTGGAAGTGAATTGTAATGCGAAGGTCTTTTGACGAAGGAATAGGGAGATGACAAAAGATGGCGGCGGCGAAAGCGGTGAGAAGGTGTCATTACTCTTGATTGTTTTCTAAAGACGACTAGCGTGTCACTAGTACATTCTGGGGAACCATAACATGCTTGGCGCTCATTGACGCGTGCTGAGTGTTGTTCTGTGCACTTGCGGTAGTGATGGTTTCCTTGATGCGATCTGCTGTCTTGTGCTGCGATTGATGGCATTGCAGTCATGGCAGACTCATCGCAAGCAGCGACTTCGCTGCTGACGGAGCACCTACAGTATACGCCTCTGGTATGTTTGCCATCCAACCACGGGAAGTTCGCAACGCTGACAACTGCTAGTCACTAATCGACGACATCATCAATTCTGTAAATAACTTTGTCTATCAAGGCGTCGGGAGCTTGGAGACTGGATTGCTTTCGACTCCGCCTGAAAAATTGGGTTTCAAGGCGACAACAGCAACAGGCGCGGACGGCGCAGAGGAAAACGAGTTTCCAGAAGCAAAGCAAGAGATTGAAGAGGGCCTCCACAAGCTCGAGACACTGCTGAATTCAACCGTGGACAAGAATTTTGACAAATTTGAGATCTACGTACTGAGAAACATTCTATCGGTGCCTGCGGACCTCGTCAATTGGGTGCGCCTCAGCCACTACCAGGTGAGGACGATTGACCCGCGGTAATTTGTGTTTAAACTGACAACACAGAACATCACCTACCCTCCGCCTGAAGATGCTCCTACTGTCGAAGAAATACAACTCCTTCGGCGCAAACTGGCAGCCTCCCGGGCATTGTCCCACAACCTTCATGAGGAACACAATCACAATCAAGCACTGCTGAAACAACTTCGTGCGCTTGTTGGTGGTGTACAGGAAGAGGCAAACTCCGTGTCTTTCCTGACGCAGAGTCCAGCTGCTCAAGCATTGAACGTGGCCGGAAATCCTGATCAACAGTTGTTGACCACAAACACCAAATTCGCAGTCTCACAGTTACCAGCCCTCCGAGGACTGCTCGCTGAACTCAGACCGAAACTGAAGGCGCTGAAAGCTTTGCATGGAAATGCTGGACTGACCAGCGCAAAAGAGGAGATCAAAGAAGAGAGGCGTGGCTACATCGAACAACGCACGCGATTACATCTGGAGCGGAATGGCGTCAGCCCAGCCGGGGATTCTAGCCTGCTGTTCGCAAAACGAGTCGATGAGGAGGAGGTCCAGGCCCTCGAGAAGGTCGCCTCGATATTTGACCAGAATTGAAAGATGTGAAGACGGTGGCACGATACTAGCACCGAAGACAATGCTTACACGACATCTATGAAGCGAACAGATGTACCCCGCAACTGCCACGAGTTTCAACATTCGCTCTAGGAACGGATACAAGGCTGTTAGACGTGAAACTGACATTTCGCAGTTTCCTAAAACCGCTACGGGAGATACCTCTTTCGGAATTCACGAACAAGTTGATTCACCAACAACGCAATATGTCGTGCATAATGACCAGGTCATGGCCTTTTCAAGGGCGGGGACAGCATGCCCGTCGATGCCTATCTAATACACTTCAAGCCCAAGTGTGGTGAAGGTCGAATTACCTAGGGACTGATGCGGGACGATAGGATCCTCTATCGGCTACTGGCGTGACCGATTCGAGGATAGCTAGCGGGGATAGCTGCAGCAGCAGGGCAGCTTCTTGAAGGCACAAAGAGGTCCCCTCCGACTAAAGTTCCATTCCCATATGCCGGACCAGAGGAGAATGAGTTTAGTGTCTCTGCGTCGAGTCGCATGAGAGTATCATTGCGTCGAAGAATGTTACGGAAGCCTTGGGCGGGTTAGGGATCTGGCTTCCGATAAAGAGGCAGATGGGCCAATCACAGGTGGGAGCGATCGATTAGGATGGAGGATCTCCAATAGGCCCAACGGCAAAGCGAGATGAAATCTCTTCGGGCGACGATGGTGGTTGCTGGGCAGGCAGAATGGGTGCATCTAGGCTGATGCTAGCCTTGAACGAGGAGGTCGACTCGGCGAACCGAGGCGCTGATCGCCCACCAAGTGCGACACTTTGCTGGATTTTGCTGTGACTAAAGAATTGTGACTTGTTTGTTGTTCTTTTCTTGCTGCAGCCGATGCGTTGTGCACTAGATACAAATATGGAATACCGTGCAAACTACTGCTATAGTACCGTATACCAAAAATAGGGATCTACGGGAGTAATAAATAGTGAGTTCCAGGCTGCTCTGCTCATCCAATCAAGTGCCGTGTTGCTGCCAAGATGCGACCTCTTTAGCCGCTGGCATCTTCATCTCCTCTTTTGTCCATTCGCATTCTGTAAAATGATGACAGACCTCTCTTATCCCTTCTTTAAGCGCCATCAAATCCTACAAAACCCTTGCGTACCTATCATGATTCGTCATGACCTCGACTTGAAACAATCTATTCTTCAATGACCTCGAGCCCTGGAAAGAACCTGAGCGCTTCTGTGTCAATCGTTAGGCGCTCCTCAAGGTGCGATTGCGAACATGGTAAGCCCGCAATATCTACGAGATGATATTATGTCTTGTGGTCACTGTATCCATGGCCTTTCTTGACTTTTGATTTCTTCCCTTGACACATATATACATCTGGTTTCATTTTCCTCTCTGTGTCCATTGGCACGGGATCGTTGCTCCCTCTTTTTTCACATCGTTCACCTGCCCTGGCCTGGTTTGCCCTCTTTGCTCAAGCACTCGAAACATATTGTTCCCCTGGATAAAACACAGGTACCGTGCACCGATACACTCACTCTTTCGTGGACCTTGTTTTTGTTTTTGGAGCCTTTCACATTTCTCACATAATGGCGGCACTGTCCAACTCACGCTCTGCCTCTTCCGACCTTCGTCCCGGATCGGGCTCGAGCACGAGGAAACACCTCGAGCCTCCCACGCCGTACGAGACGACGGCGTTCATGGCCAATGCCTCGCCGCTCTTGACCTCGTCCCTGCACTCGCGCAACTCGGCGAGCTCCGTTCAAGAGTCGGCGTACCTTGCCAAAGCTCAAGTGCTCCAATGGTCCCGCTTGGGACTGGCGGTGGTCGTGGCCGCCAGTGCCACCGCGGCACTCGGCTGTGCAGGACACGTCTTAGATCGGTATGATGAGACAGGCTTGCACAAAGAGTACCACCTGCCTCAACTGTGGCCGGTCAATGTCGATGTCAGACCTACATTGGCGATCCTCATCCCGGCGGCGATAGTGATCGCGGTGAACGTGGGATACGTGGTCTTTTCGCTCATTCCAACTGTACGTACTGTATTCCGAGCCTTTGAGCAGCCTCGGTGTCGGGGCTGGTCGACTAGATGGATGGATATACTGACGTGTGTTTTTCTTGCAGCCTTATTCGCGTACCTTGATGTACAACTTTGTCTTCCTGGCGTCGTCCCTCGTCGGGTTGGTTCTATGCATCTTCGCAATACCCTTCAACACTTCCCTGACGGATCCTTCGGACCACCACGCTCGCGACTCTCTTCAGTCGTGGACGTGCAAGTTCTCGGACGGTGCGGCAAAGTTCAATTCGGACGCCAAGTCCCTCCAGATCCCCGTGTACTTGGCCAGCGGCATGCCGATCCCGGCAGGCTTCAAGAGGTTGTGCAAGGAGAGCCAGGTCGGAGTGGGCCTCTTGGTCGCAGTCATGGTTTTGGAAGCCGTGAGCTGTGTCGTCGGTGGTGTTGGTATCGTGCTCGAGAGGAGGATGGCCAAGGCGAGAAGCGCGAGGTATGCGGCGCACGAGAAGACTGAGGCCTTGTCTTGAAGCTTGCTCAACCGACTCGAGGATGGCTCTAGGGGAGGCTGATTTGGTTTTTTGGGGGGTCGGGATGACATACCAGCATTCGACGGCCGGGATCGCTTGAATGGTCGTCGTGGGCTCGTCGTGCAAAGACGCAACGTTGAATTTGTCTTTTAATGTTTCATTGTAAGATATCAATCGAACGGTGTTGATGGGCGGAGTGGATGAATTTACGGATTTAGTATTCCAAAGGCACTGCAAACGATTCATGTGCTTGCGTGTCCTCAAGGGAGATGCAGATAGAGAATGTTATTTTTATTGTCAACGGCTTGCGGACCTTCAACTTCGCATACTATACACCATTCGATACCCGTACATGTCTCACGGTCAAGGCAAAAAAAATGCAAGAAAGGTTTCTCTTCACAAGAAGCCAAACTTACTTCCAATACAAGCCTGTACGACGGTTGACTCCTTCATCGGTGTGTGTTCGAAGAGTCTACTCGCCGCTTGGATGCCCACCATCAATATCGGCATCAGCATCCATATCATACTTGTCAACGACAATAGCCCGCCCTCCGAGCGAGACAGAAAGGAGGTTGTTGTAGGGCTTTTGAAGTGGGCGCTGGCGACATGTACAATATTGTGTCGGCTACTTGTTGAAATTGTGACTGACGTACATATTAACTTGTAATATGGTGGCTTGCCCCCTTGTCACTTGACGGGGACGATCTTTGAGCAAGAAGCAATGATAAAAAGGTGAGCCGACGGACGGTGGGTTCGCTCTGATTGACAGGTTGACGTGTACAATGATATTCATCATTATTATTGCACATACGGAGTAGATGACGGACATTTTGGGAAAAGATGAGAGAGAAGAAAGTGATGCGGTTGGTGGTGGTGGTGGTCCCTGTCAATCATGAAATTACATGGCCATCGATGGATATCAAAAGTGACAACTGTGCGGTGATATGTTAGTTTGGCCAGCCGCGCGGTCGGGATCCCTGACATCTCTCACTTTTACTTTTTTTTTACCCTCATCATCTCCGATGATTTGGACGGGCGTTCAGTGACGTATCGTGTTGTCATTTCAGGAGAGGATATCGTTCTGGCTGTGTCCGGAGTCGACCTTGTAGTCCGTCGTCTATTCGGATGTGTCATGACCGGTCTCCGAAGCTGAAGGCTTTCCAGCCCGTGCGCTGTTCAAGCTCGTGCTTGGTGTTTCTGTCACTCTGATGACGTTGGACCTCAATCGAGGAGATGAGTTTGATATCATACCGTGGACCCCATACTCACAGGTCGTCAACGACATGTCCCACCGTCCTCATTTTCCGTCCCGAGGACAGTGGTGTAGGTAATGAAGCTATCACGGTTGAAGATATTCCTAAACAGCCTGGGGAGGTCGCAGGATCGAGTAGAATCGGGGAGTTGGGATCTCGAGCAACCTCGTCCTAGGCAATGTTTAGGAGGCTCAGCCCAGACAACCTACCTTCAGGTGATAGTGAGTGTGACTGTGTGCGTGTTTGATGACACCAAGAGACGTGGGACCGATCAATTCTCAACCCTGCCAACCATCCACAACCACTCACCATCCTTTACAGACATCCTCAGGATTCAGTTGTCATTGGGTTATGTGTCGGGAGAGATTGATCTGGAAATGAAGGCGAGTACAATTTTGGCAACCTCAATTGGTTCGAGTACAAGGTGAAAGAAAAGATGACAAGACCATACCCTTCGACCTACCACTTTGACAGCATGACTTTTCAATGGGCGATAAATGATCCTACCTTGCCAAGTATACTCGATGTGGCTTTTTGAGGCTCACAGGATTTGAGAAAACTCAATAAAGGCGTCCTCGGTGTGATAATGTCTCAAGACAACAACACCATCACAATCCTACCAGCTCCTCGAGACAGCCCACTCGAAAAATCAGGCTAACTTTGGGATGTATTTTAGTGGCCGCCTCCTTTTTTGTCTCCTCTCATGGCGTGGTGTGCCTAATCGATTGGTGTAAACCGTTATCCCCATATACCCTCAGTTTGGTAAGGTATCAATTTTCAGTCCCGTGATAACTCGGGACGAGAGAAGTAACAAATGTGGGATGGTGGGTGGTGTGTATGTCTCTTTTTTTACGTGAGCAAAGAGTTATTTTTGCACTTTCGAGGACCCGCGATAAGAGGCAAAATAGGAACACTTTGCTTTGGGGGCTCAGCCTCGTCCGGCGTATACTTATCGCGAGAAGACGGGCGTGTGGGCTCATGAGCTCGTGGGATCGTGTGCGGGCTGACACAATGGCACCTTACCTAAGTCAAAGCCGAATGGTACGTCCCATCGAATTATGCTGGAGTACTCCGTATACTACCGAACAATGATTGTGTGATTTCTTCTTACTCTGTACTCCGTAACAATGGGACTTTTGCTGCTGTCCTCCACATTTTTTTTATCCTTTTCCCCCTTGACTGTGCAGGTCGCATGCATGGCAGTACGGAGTAGATACGAGGTGTGGTGGGTGTTGAACTTGAAACTTGAAAGCCGTCTTGGCCAACAGGGATTTCTGAAGGGGAGGTGGGAAAAATGCGTTTGAGAGCCACATGTAGCTTTGTAACGGAGTCGCGACGGCTTGTTTGAGAAGCCCGGGAACTTGATGCAAGGGCAAGAAAAAAGGCGGCTTGAAGGGCCTCTAAACCATCTAGGAACAAGTACGGAGTACGGGACGAGTCCCACTACAATAGTAACATGTGCGACCATCCCTGCATGAATGACCCCCCCCCTCCCAGGGCAAGATCTCGCTTGAGGTTTCATCCAATAAAAATAGCCATGAGGCCTACCATGCATGGCATTTTTGTCGCCCCCTCCATCACTCTTTCTTACACATGCCGAACCCGGAGACAAGGGGGGGTTGAGTACGGAATCCGGAATAAGGATATGCAGTGTACAGGTAACATGCCCAACCTTCTTGGCCTTGTCGAGAGAGAATGAGTACTCCGTACAAGGTAACTGATACATTTCACATACCCGCATGTATGAGTAATAATTGGGATACGCAGTTCTTGCTAGTCCCACGGCGACCCTCTGCAAGCCACTGACTACATGTCATGGGCGGTGATTCCACCTCCATACTCCTTGCTTAAGCGATGAACAAGCGAGAGAGAGAGAGAGAGAGAGAGAGAGAGAGAGAGAGAGAGAGAGAGAGAGAGAGAGAGAGAGACAAACGTTTTTCCTTGTGTGGCTGTGCTGGCATCACTGATGATACTCGTACTCCGTACCAATAATGTATTCCCAGCCTTCCCCAGCATCCCACCCCAACAAGCATATTCTTGTACTCCGTACTACTACCTGTATATTGCCTATTCCTACACACGTACTCCGTAGTGCCAATGTGAAACGTGGTACAAGGCCAAAAATCCTGTAATACATCATCTTGCAGAAGATACATTTTGTTGTACATGAGGTGGTTGACAATCGATGTAAGGGACACACAGACCAACAATATTGTCTGACGGTGGCGCGAGGCTGGGGAACGGACTAGTTTCTTTGGGAACTTGTCGATCGAAGGTCCGAGCGCTACGATCATTTTTTGATAGTTGTCAACCTCTTGAAAATAATGTTGACCTTTGACGGTTGTTAAACTATGAGTTATTTGTACAGTGGGATCGTTCAGACTACTGTACGGAGTAAAAAGGGTGAGTAGTAAGAAGAGAGAGTTCCACGATTAGGAAGACAGGAAGGAAAGTGGGCCAACGTCGTTACCTTACGGGACGAGTATGCAGGTGGGTGTGGGTTTGCAAACAAAAAAGAACTTCGCAGTACGAAGCTGTAAGGAGTTACGAAGTACGGGTACTGTACATACAGTAGAGTATTGCTCGAAATGTCCATGGGTAGCCTGAACTCACCGCACAATGAAACTCAGGATGCCCTCTTCTACTTTCTACTGGTTACTGGTTCATGCTCGAACGGACTTTGGTGGTTTAGTGATCATCGAGTTTTCCCTCGGGAGGCGGAAATGTCAAAGTGTCTACCGGGAGCACAACAGTGTCGCTTCGACGATGGGGACGGATCTGCCACTTTGTTTCAACTAGTACCCCCACCAAATGTTGGACAAACTACCCTGCTTTGGAGGCCGTACAGTAGTCTGTAGATGGTACTCCGTACCTCGGCGCAAACATCCTGGCGATTCAGGCTTTCCGCATCAAATTAGCATTTGATCAATGTATGGTATTGTCACTTGCGGTCTACTCGGTATCATATCCATTACCGAGTCCTATGTGGAGCTGATACGGAGTAATAAAAGATGCAATTCTCCGGCGAACGTCTTTCGGCGAACAAGCTTATCGTATTGTAATGTAAGGAGCACTCCGTACGAGTAGGATTCGACATCAGCGACATCTCTCCGTCAGCGGAGTGAGGCAGACTCGTCGTTCGGCTGACCAATGGAAAATCTTGTGAGAAGCTATTTATGATGACGAAAATCACGCCAAAGGATCATGCCAACAGAAATCTGGCGCCTGGAAGTGAGATTTTTGAGTCTAGTCGCTAAAAGCAAGGAGTAAGCAGGTGCCGCGTGACAACCGCTCGTCTATACATGATGCAAGAATCGAAAAACAGGGCTTCAGTTGAGTCTGGTGACATGCAGACTCGATTGGGCAAAATCGATCTCAGCAGCGTACATGGCACGCACTCGAGGAACATTAGGCCGGCGATTCCTTTTGAACCATTCGAGGTTGATGTCGCCGTGGAAAACCACCTTGTGTTGACCAGGGCTGACATCCATGCTGCCCGGGGCGTGCAAGGTGAAACCGGAGATGGTGTCACCGGTGCGCAACAGCGTACGGTTGCGCCATGTCTGTTGCTCCTGCTTCAAGGCTTTCCAGTCGCACCCAAGAACGCCATTGTGCGTATCGACGCCAACAGTACAACTCACAAAGTCGATATGATATTCCAATTCGGCGTAACATTGCGCGTTGTAGAGGAGGTAGTAGGTCGAATCCTGGAACACCATGCAAGGTCGTTCGACGTTGGGCCCGTCCTCTCGGAAGGCGCCTATATTAGAAAATAAAAATACCGGCGGGCCGATAGGCGTGACGAGATCATTTGAATCCATCAATTGCAGGTTCAAAGGAGTTGGCGCGACAGGCTTGTTCGTGTTTGAGCAGGCTCCTCCATGGCCAATGGTATTCCCGTCAGTCTTGTAAACGAGATAGTTCTGGCCATCGACGGGGTCCCGGAAGAGGTTCGGGTCAATATTGCCCCCTGCAGGAAGGTCGCACACAAGCGTGACTTCCAAAGGAGTGTACGGACCGGTCACATTGGGGGATGTAGCAGCTCCCAGACAGTGCTTCTTCGGATGAGCCCGTCCGACAGCGGCAAAGTACATGACCCAGATGCCATCAGGTCGTTGATTCACGTCGGGCGCCCAGACGTGGGCGTGAGGATTTGGTCTCGCCCATGCCGGTAACGTGGGAAGGGCATCGTAGCCTTCATGGAGCTGCCAGTGCACGAAATCGGTCGATGAGGCGAGCTGGACGTTGACTTTCTCATTTTGAGTGCTAAAGGCATACCAATGACCGTCTTCAGTTTGCGCCAAGCCAGGATCTGGGAAATTTGTCGAGATTGCCGCCCCGTGACTGTCGAGTGCAATCGCTGATTGGAACAGCGCGGCAGTGGTCAGGCACAAGGCCAGCGAGGCTATACGAGGCATCCCCGACATGCCACTTGCAACCCAAAGCCGCCCACCGGTGAACAAGAAATGGCGTGAGAGAAATCAGGCGCTGGCGGTCGGCATTGTTATGGGTACTATAACAGGCCGGAAGGGCGGAAAATTAGGCTCATCACAGCGTAGTATGGTGTGGCATGCGCCTCAATCGGCTTCAGTGGTGCTGACGCCAAGTTTAGCTTGTACTGTACTGTACTGGGAGGTATCTGTGAGCGGGACGGAGACATCACTCTCACCCACAGACTGCCACGTGAAAAGCACCCCGAGCTTCAGCGCAGTAAGGCGAGGGCTGATGCTTGTCAGTGTCTGTACGGAAGACGCGGTTTCGGCTTGTCTTCACAAACAGAACCCGCACGTGATGTTAGTGGCCGGAGGAGTCATTAAGGGAGTGGGTCCAATAGGGGGGGCATCGTTGTCTCACTAAAATCCAGGACCCAAGCGAAAATGTTCCTCTACTTTTTCTCCCCCATCAAGTTTTTCTCGCGCATCTATTCTTAGTTGGGCAAACAGACCAGGCATGGAACCTTCGAAGCGAAACACTCGAATTATGGCTCCTCAATAGACCGGGGAAGTTGTTTCTGATGATTGCCGATTGGTGTCAATATTGGCGAGCTGATCTCAAATGATGTATGGTCATGGACAGCCTGGTGATCCGACCGCTCCAGCCTTCCTGCCACTGTTTGTTTACTTTGATGAAATGATTTCCCTCGTCGCACGAGGCAGGGCTATGACGGCAGGCGGTTGGCGGGAGGGAGGGTGTGCGCTGAGTGTGGCTGGATCACTAACAGCTGGAGTGCAAATGAGTTTGGGATTCGTTGCTTGACGGCACTAAGGCTTCTTGGTGAGTGTCAAGCTTCCTTGTTAACGAAACAGGGCACGAACCAGATCTCAGGGAATGGCCTAGGAGAAGCTGGGGGGTCCATGGATCAGCCACTGTAACGGCCAGGGCGTCGCTGGTGATTGATTGCGCCACCCCATCGATGCTCCTCGCACCTGCATTAGCGCGACCCAGCCATGGCTCTTTTCCTGTTTACAAAATTTCCTAATCAAAAGATCCTGCACGATCTGCTTATCCCAATCTCTGCGCCGCACAGGTCATCCATAACCTGACATCTGTCGAACCTGTCTATATTCGAGCGGGCTGTGTGTTCTTACTCGTTGAATCGACTCATCCGACACAAATGGCTCTGGATCGCTGACGTCTGACGCTAGCAGCTGATTCCCACGTCGCCACCAGGAGGCCACTCGTCCCATGGCCTTGAAGGGCTGGGTAATGGTTCGTATGGGGGTGTGATGTACTAGACTTCCCAGTGGAGCCAGAGGATCACACTACTTGAAACCTGGTAAAGCGTCTATTGCTAAAGGAGGCTCCTGCGGCCCCAAGCATTGAACCGTGTTGCTTCTAGGATGGCTGGTCCTCCAATCTGGAAGCCACTTTCCTACAGACAACCGATGCATTCATAAGGCTCTGGGACCGCTCTCGTCTGGTTCTCTCGCTTCCTCTTCTGTTCCCCCATTCATCAATCCAGTCCTTCGTTTGACTTATACAAGTACATAATAATGGCAGGCTCAAAACTGTCTGCAGCTCTTGCTGCCCTCACATTCGTTTCTTCTGTTTCTTCTGTCGCCGCCTGGTCATCCAACTCGACGAGCTCTGTCTGCGCGACCTCCTCCCAATGTGTTCCCTTCACCATTGACGTGACATGGGGTACCACCAGCTCAGACATCGGTGCGCCCAGAGAAGCCATCTTGACCAACGGCACCGTGCCAGGTCCTCCCCTGAAGCTCAAGGTCGGCGACTGTGTTGACTTCACCGTTATCAACAACCTCAACAACGTGACCGGCGTTCACTTCCACGGTATCAGACAGAATGGCACACCATGGGCCGACGGTGTTCCCGGTGTTTCCCAGTATGTCATCAAGCCAGGTACCAGCTACATGTACCAATGGACTGCGGAAGAGGCTGGTATCTACTTCTACCACGCACATTATAAGGGACAAATGGGTGACGGTCTGTATGGTGCTATCCAGATCGCTCCTGCGGACGATGCAGAGCTCCCTTACAGCCAGATCAGCAGCTCCTCGGATGATGTTGAGAAGATGACCCAGGCTGCTCTCGACACTGAGGTTCTGTTTGTCTCCGACTGGAGCCAGTTCACCTTTGAAGAACTGTTCAACATCGAGAAGAGCGCGAACATCGACGATGCTTGCACTGATTCCATCATTATCAACGGCAAGGGTTCGACCTACTGCCCAAGTGCTGATGTCCTTGCTGCCAACGCTGCCCCTCAAGTTCCTCAAATCTTGAACGGCACCTCTTTGACCGCAAAGGGCTGCATCCCACCAAACAACAAGCTGATCCAAGGTCCTCAGTTCACCCAGAACCTTGCAGCTCTTCCAGATGGAGCATACTACACTTGCACACCCCACACCGGTTCCAACTACACCGTCCAGGTTGACGCTGCGGATGGATGGAAATCCATTTCCCTGATCAACCCCTCTGCTTTCGCTCTCCTGAAGGTCACCATCGACAGCCACAAGTTGTACGTCTACGAGAACGACGGTAGCTTCATCATCCCTCAAATGGTTGACGAGATCGTTGTTGCCGGTGGCGACCGTGTCAGCTTCTTGATCAAGCTTGACCAGACCCCTGGTAACTATCAGATCCGTGTTGCCAACGATGGTATCAACCAGGTCATCTCTGGATTCGGTGTCCTGTCCTACAAGGGTGCGCAAGGTTTCCTCGGTACTGCTGCTATGAACTACGGAGGTGGCAACCTCACCACCATTGTTCCTTTCAACCCAGCTGCCGCTGCTCCTTTCCCAGCCTCCTCAGTTGCTGCTTCCGCCGACGTCAGCTACGTTCTCGACATCATGAAGAACCCTGCTCAGCCTCTGGATGCTTGGTCCTGGACCCTCAGCGGTGTTGAAGCCTACAACCAGAGCCGTGACGACGGCACCCCACCTCTGTTGTACCAGAACCCTGCCAGCATTCCCAAGTCTGATCTCATCATTGAGACCTACATGAACCAATGGGTCGATCTGATCATCAAGGTCGCTGGCCCAGTCGCTGAGCCTCACCCCATCCACAAGCACGCCAACAAGTTCTACGTCATCGGATCTGGTGTTGGTGACTTCAACTTCACCTCGGTCGCTGATGCGCAAGCTGCTGGATACCCATTCAACCTTGTCAACCCACCATACGTTGACGGCTACACCAGCACCCCCGCTGAGGGCAATGGCACCTGGATGGTCTTCCGATACCAAGTCAACACTCCCGGTGCTTGGCTTCTCCACTGCCACGTCCAGACTCACTTGTCTGGTGGTATGGCCGTCGCCATCCTTGACGGCATCGACAACTTCCCAGTTCCACCATCCGACGTTGGTGAGGTCTGCCCTGGCAATGGCCACAGCAACTTCCCCGGTGGAAACGGCAACGGTTCTGGTAACGGAAACGGCTCTGGATCCAACAACGGCAGTGGTTCCAACGGCGGTTCCGACTCTGGCAACGGCTCAGGATCAGGCTCCAACAACGGCAGTGGTTCCAACGGCGGTTCCAACTCTGGCAACGGCTCAGGATCAGGCTCCAACAACGGCGGCTCATCGACCGGCTACGGCTCTCAAGTCTCTGGCTCGCCAAACGGCACCACCAGCGGTGGTCAGGGATCTACCAGCACCGGCTCCGGCCCTGCCATCTACACTGGTGCTGCCTCATCTTTGGCACCGTCAGCGCTCTTTGGCGTTGTTGCCGTGGCCCTTGCCTTCTCGTTGTAAAAAAAGAAAAGAGTTGGGTGCAGCTTCTTCCTACTTTAATGAACCTTCTGGCTGGGGAACACATTTTTGTGTGTATTCAATTTTTTCATTTGTCGCGAAACTTTTCACTCTTGTCTGTACGTTCATGAAGCTTTTTTTGTGGATGGAAAATTTATTGGCCAGTTTTATACCGCCATGTACCCGGTTTGCAGCATATAACGGATTATATACCACTTGGGGAGCATTTGACCCTGACATATTCAGTCGTGTGGACTGAACAGGGAACAGCAGCACGCAGCATCTTTCATGGGTAGAAACCAAACCCGTCTATACTAGTCAATAAAACGATAAAAATCGGAAACTTCAATTCTTGTTCGCTTCTCATTTTTGCAGTATATTTGTCTACTACTCCATAACGCGAGCTTCTTTACTTGCTTGCCATGTGAATATTATTACCATGGTAAGTAGTAAGCTTTTTGAAAAGAAGCACCTCACCGTCGACACACAAGCTATACACAAGCTTCCCTTGTATCCTTGGTACCTAGAAAATCGTCATAGGCGTCGATTGGCACGCCGAGAAAGAGTGAGTGTAGTGTTTGTCCCAAGGCACCGGGGGCGCGGCCTGTCTGCCTGTCGCTGTTTGTTCCCGCACGGTCGCGGGGCCCCGAGTGTCTTGTTGTTGTGGTTGTTGTTCGTAGTGTCACAACACGCTCTGCCAATTTCCCTAAGCCTCACTTGGCTTTTCTTGGGAGAAGGAGGGGCGGGCCCATCGTGTTGTTGAAATTGCATGCACGTACTCCGTACAAAAGTCTGTGATCCAAACTGTCTCGCTGGAAATTAATTAGCGCCAAGCGCCGGGGTGGAAAACTTGTGACGCCGGTTCGTCTCGCGTCTTTTGAGATTAGAGATTACGGAGTACGGAGTACTTTCCACCTCTTTGACTCCGTCCTGTCCATCCAGATCAGTTGGCGGAGTGTTAGGTAATTGAAATTTCCCATGTTCAAGCCCCCTATCCGTACTGGACTCGAGTACGGAGTATGTACCTACCCATATTTACCCCGTACTTAACAATATGTGACTGCACTGTCTAGTACTCCTTACGGGCGCCTAACCATGCGATCGTCCAAAATCACGAGATTGCGTTGGGCAACCTACATCCCTGACTTGAAGGTCTCAAAACCCGAGTACGAGTACGGAGTTGAAAAGGACGGACGATTCGAGGCTTGGGCTATATGCCCATACAAGTACGGAGTACCTACCTAGCTATGATGAGACAAGCATGTCTAATAAGCCTTGTGACCTTCATATAAGCTTGGAGACTTGTTCCTCTCTGGGAAAGATCTTGGTACATGAGTATTTTATCTCGTACGGAAGAACGGAGTACTGACTGGTGCTCAATCTCAAAAAGTTGGATATCTGGTACGGCATGGAGTGGTACAAATTCCTTGGCGACGAGCAGCGACACGAGTGACCAGTACTAAAATTTTGAGGCCTCTACACTCTTCCGAGGAGGTAGTTATGGTTGTCCTGGTTTGGACTGGTGTTAGTCTACTAGCTACCTAGGTAGGTAGGTACCCTTGTACCGAAAGTAATGTTACAGCAAGCAAGGAGTTCACCTCGAAGAAACAAAAAGGACCGGTCGTCGGCCGACCTCGCTGAGTTGTCATCACTACTGAGCTCGCTGTTTGAGGACGTGGCCTGAATTTTATTAGTCTCAGTCTGAATGTCAAGAGCCGAGATGTATCGGCCTCGTACGAGTTACGAGTGACCTGGCGAGATATTTCTCTTCCCACATGAAGGATTTGCCTTACCTGGGCAATTCAAAGGCTATTGCGAATTGGTCTCGCTTCTTCTTGGAAAAAGATCGCGTGATTCGGCTGAGATATACCGTAGGGGACTGATGAGGACGTTGCTTGCTTGCAGCTCATTCGCCTCTTTACTTGTTACTTTGCTCGAAATGTAAGTGCGAGAGTACGGTTCGGCACATGAAGATGTTTAGCTCTTATCCCATGCCGGATCAGGACTGATTCTTCGAAGTTCTGTTGACATGGTAGAATCAACTTGGGACGCTCGTTTCTGAGATCTTTCATCGCCGGTTTTGGTAAGATTGACGGCAGTAACAGATGTGAGAAAGCTGTCTTCCCGCCGAGGGAGCATTTCCAGGTTATGGTGTTGTTGATCATGATTTCAAGCATCCGAGCTTCCAACACACTTGAGGGCAACGACATGCTGGTTTCCATACTAGCGACACTGCCAGTGGCTTTTGATCATGCCAAGTGCGCCATGGTTGCTATATCCCAGCAGCCATGTGTTACCTGCAGCTACATTCATCAAGTATTGTGACTGGGGAACTTGCCGTTGCAGCTTGGTCCTGTGAGAGAAGAACAATTGCCGACAAAAGAAGAATTCTAGCGTCTCGGCGCAAACTGTTCAAGGTACGATACGCCAACTACCTATCCTCGTCCTGGGTCGGCAATGGAGGCAGGGGCCAAAAATGCTTGACGACAACAGTGAAAAGCATGGCTGGCTTGGCCTCGGGAAGAGACTTATTAATTGAGGGTGGTTTACACGGGTCGAAGACCACTTGAGATGTTCATCGGACACACCATTTTCCTTGTATGTGGAATGCCTTTGTCAATGAACGTCGAAAAAACTACCTATCTTTCTTGCCGATCAAGGTCGACTTTTTGCAATGATGCAACGGAAGCGTAGTCTAAATCATCCAGAGAACTCACGGCAGAAGAGATAGGCGGACTCATCAGTGGTGCAGTATCCGTGCGAAAAAGCAAAAGGCACTTTCAGCCAGACCCTGCAGCAGTCCGGTAGATCCGGGGCAGGCGATCCGGGAGCATGGGTGTCACTTCCAGCAGGCAGCTTCGTCGGCTGTCATGCGCGGCATCAAGCAATAACAGGGGACACCAGCACCGAGGTGCTGGGTCATGGTCCATCGTCATCTACGGAACATTGAATAGTCCTTGCGCCCTGTACATCCCTGCAGCAGCATGTCGTCCTCCTGCGTGTACCGGTTCCCAGAAAGAGGGCGGGATCGTGTCTTGACACCTCGGCTAAATTAATAAGTCCTCAAATAATAGGTGCACACATGACCAGGCTGTCTGTGCCCTTGTTGGAATCGCTTAGAAGGTCAGACACATGGGCGAGCGGCGATGTGGTAGCTCCTTGGCTAATTCCCGGTGGCCCAGCAGAATAGACTGCTAAAGAACTCTTCCAGACTGCCGGCAAGACTCGTCGAGTCAGTAATCATCAATACCTAGGCAGTGACTTCTGAGTGAATCGTTTTGTGGAAGAGATAACTTTTTCAATGTTGCAGTGTTGAATCCACCCTGTGAGCTCGAGCCGCGATCTAGATCGCCACCCATTGTATGTGTTGTAGCACATGGCAGGAGAAATGCCGAGTGTTGATGCCGAAAGTTCAAGCTCTTTTTGCATCGGAACCAGCACTAAGATCCACATGGCGGCGGCACTTGGCCATATTCGATACCACAGACCTCCGGGGGCCACGCGGGGTCCCCAGCGTCACTATCTTTCCCAATGGTGGAAAGCCCTGTAACCTCGCAACGAACGCGTTCGATGATGGTTGGAACTCGACTTTTTGTGGAGGTTCAGACTATACCACCGGCAGTTCGGCGATTGAATTCAGTCATTGAGGTATATATCATCGTCACAGGCCCTGGGGCTGAATTTCATCCGTCTTGCCTCTCGCCATCTCCAGCATTTCGCTCTCCCTACACTGCACCGCTGACACTTGAAACTCATCAAAATCGCCCATCATGGAGATGTCATTCGACGACAGGGTAAGAGCCAACACCATGCCTTGTACAAAACAATTGCTGACCACGCCTTTCCTCACAGGAGCTCCATCAAATCGAGGAGGAGCTCCATATCGAGTAAGTTGTCTTCACTTGATTACCACTGCAATGCGGCACGGTTCTGACCTCTTCTCGCAGAATCCTTCCAGGAACGGAGATCATGGCAGATGTCGGAAGCCATCACTTTGTCAAGAGCAGCGGAAAGGATCACAGAGTCTTAGTTCCTCAGCCTTCCGATAATCCAAACGATCCTCTGAACTGGTCGGTCCGTTGGAAAATCGCAGCCATTATCGCCTCGAGCATGGCTTCCTTCGTGCAAGGTTTCGGCCCTTTGTCCCTCGCCCCCATGTTCGGCGACTATATCGAAGCTTTCAACTGCTCCCTGGCGGACGCTGTCCAGTTTACCGGTGTTGCCATTCTTGTTCTGGGGTTCAGCAACTTCATCTGGTACGTACGCAAGTTTGCGCCAATGGAAACTTCTGCTGAAGCAATGATAGGGTGCCATTGAGCACTTCATTCGGTCGGCGACCGGTGTATATCGTGTCGAACCTGATCTGCCTTGGTTCCTCAATCTGGCGTGCTCGAGCTCAGACTTATGGCAGTTTTATGGGTGCTTGTGTGTAAGTTTTGATCATTCGTGGCGTCCAAAAGGTATGTTCTAACAATTACTCCAGCCTTAATGGCATCGGCGCAGGACCTGCAGAAACTATTCAGCCAGCTGTCATTGCAGACATTTTCTTCCTTCACGATCGTGGAAAGTGGAACACTTTATACTGGGTGGTCTACATGGGCTCATTGATGATCGCACCCATCATTTCCGGAGCCATGGCTGAAAACGTCGGCTGGCGGAGCTTTTGGTGGTTCAACACTGGTTTGATCGGACTCTCGACCATAATGATCTTCTTCATGTTCCCCGAGACCAAGTGGCACCGACAACATCCCGGCGAAATCCACCACGACCTCATCACGGGCGGAAAGAAGCAGCCTAGCAGTGCTGAGACGAAAGAAAACATGAAGGCCGAAGAAGCTTCGTCTGTCGAGAACGCAGACTCCGTGGCCATTGCCCCAGTTCCTCTGACTGCGGTTGAGACTGCCGAACGAGACCCATGGCTTGGAAAGGGCAAGCCCAGCAAATCACAATGGGGATTTTACACACCGAACCCACACCCGCTCAAGAGCATCTTCCTCGACCTGTGGATCCCATGGAAACTGTTCACATTCCCAATTGTCGAATTCGCCAGTTTTGTTGTCTCCTGGAGCTGCTCGTCATTCTTGACGCTCAACTTGACACAGACACAGGCTTTCGCTGCGCCACCTTACAACTGGAGCAGTCAGACTATTGGGTTCACAAACTTTGCCATCTTCGCTGGAGCCATGATTGGTCTTGTTACCGCCGGACCATTCTCAGATTGGGTCGCCGCGAGACTGACGGCAAGGAACCGCGGCATTCGTGAACCGGAAATGCGTCTGGTCGCAATGATCCCCTACGTCATCATCATGTATCTGGGCAACATCATCGTCAGCGTTGGCTATGAGAACAAATGGCCCTGGGAGGCTATCGTGATCATCGGCTACACGTGCGCCGGTATCCAAGTCGCGGCCATTCCCGGTATTGCATCCACATATGCAGTCGACAGCTACAAGCCTGTTGCTGGTAGTCTGTTCGTCTCGATCACAGTCAACAAGAATGTTTGGGGCTATGGCTTTAGCAAGTTCATTACTGACTGGATCGTTGACGACGGATATATTCCTCCCATCATGACCAACGCGTCGTTGATTCTGTTGTGGTGCCTGTTCGGCATCTTGTTCTACTATAAGGGAAAGACTTTCCGACGCTGGTCGAGAAAGAGTTCAGTGCACAGAATGTAAGCATAGGTTTAGTGAGCCAGGTATTGCGATGGGTCAATATGCGGGAAGGAAAGGCGGCGTTGAGCATCCAGACTGGAATTGCACGTCATGAAGTCATCCTGTAAAGTGCCAGATGCTAGATATGATGAGTAGTGAAGAAACTCTACATATTACTTCACCATGCGAGATCGTTGTTGTGGTCGTGAGATCATAATCCCAAACCGCAACGAATGCCCGCTTATGTCAGCGATATGTAATTGTAATGGTGTGGAGAGAATTAGATTGACTAACTACAAGTGACAAAGATAAACTCAGTCCTATTAACGTTCACCTTTCTCGATCTTCCTTATCAAGCTCCTCGATATCTATGTGCTCTAGTGTAGAATCTTCGGCTTCTGGGCTTGTCTGAATACCGAGTTTCTGAGCTTCTTCTGGCGTGAAAGTGCCAAACTAATCGAGGGCGTTAGTATCACCTGCCCGGGGGGTAGTGCAAATCGAACTTACCGTATCATACTGATCGACCTCCCCTAGTCCGGCCGGGGGAAAGAGCACACTCAATCCCCACTGAGTGAGGAAAGAAATGATGTAGCCGGCGATGAAACCAAGGTAGAATGTTCGCGTCAGCCCAACCGGAATACTGTTGCTCGGGTTCACCGATGCCATCCCACCGATGAAAGGGGCGATTCCCACCGCCGCCGAGACATAGGCACGAACGTTGATGCCTCGCCAAAAGTAGTATAACCCTTTGGGGTCGCAGTGATACAAGTCGCTAAGCTTGACTCTTCGCTTGCGGACCATATAGTACTCGGACGTGAAGACGCCCATCATTGGACCCAGGATGACTGTTCAAGTTGTTTTCAGTTAGCAAACAACACCCTACAGTGGACAATACTTCAGAGCGATGTATATAGCCTTACCTCCGAAACTGCTGAGTGCCGCAGTGAAAGTAGAGGCTTTTGCCAAGATCTGCCACGGGTTCAACAGTATCGAGATGATGGCGATGAGGTAGGATCCACGACGAATGTTGATATATTTGGGACAAAGGCCGGCAAAGTCCATGCCACCAGAGACACCGTTCTCGACTGAGTTTAGGGCCAGGATGTTTGCCAAAAGCCCGAGGGCGGTGAAGAATGCCGCCGCACGCAACTTCGGGTTATGGTAGTCGGTGTCCAGCCACAGCTGCACAATGTTGGGCGGATTCCACAAGCCCAGCTCGTTGACGTCTCCGTACATCTTGCCGGCGGCAGACGTGCCGAGCACGCCAAATACGGGCACCACGATGCCAAAGAACAGTTCTCCGAACGACTGACCTAGCACCTGGTCTCTCGGTCGCCGAGCGAACCTTGAGAAGTCGGTCTGGCTGGTCATCCCCACCGCGTTCCCGCCCACAAGAGCAGTGATGCCGTGGACAAATGCCCAACCCAGCTCGGAGCCTGCCCTGGCTGTGGACTTGGTCGATACGTAGTCGCCCACTCCGTGCGCGGCGGCCATTAAGCCGATGAACAGCCCAAAAATCGTGCAAGCACTCACCCCAAGTGAGATCTTGAGGGGTACGCGTAGCCTGTCAGGTGGGAAGTACAACATGGGAATAGCAACTGAATCTTGTGGTCAGGTCGCTTCACGTACAGCAGGGATAAAAGGGGAAGCTTTTCGCACTGATGTTGTACAGAACAAACCCGACGAATTGCTTCGTCGTCATCGACGCTGATGCTGGAAGCGTATTCTTCATGTGCTGGTAGGACGGAAATATGGTTGAGAGGATTGTGCTGACAAGCAGGCCGCCGGTAAAGCTTTGGATACCATACCAGACTTCGACGGCATCGACGTTAGTTGTACTAGATCCATCGAGGGGTGGCACCAAAACCCACCACAAGTCACTCCCACGCGGATCAATATGGGCACATATGACCCCCAGACACCGAACGCGAATCTCGATTGAACGGTATAACCAATGTGCCATACACCGCCCATCCTATATGTTGTGGTTAGCCCGGGAAAGCACCGGTACGCTACCTAGGGAATTTGCACGTACCAGCCCAGGCTGAGGACAACAGCAAGCTGAATTATCCGCGCGATAATCGTGCAGATTATGGACTGCCAGACATTCAGGCCAAAGGAGAGCACAGAAGCAGTTGCTTGCCACCCATAGATGGTCAGAAAGACCGTGCTCCAGAGTCCAATAAAGTCAAGATCTTTCCACTGTCGCCGGGCTAGTCGTCGTACAATTAGCGGCAGATCGACACAACCAAAATCTCCGAACTTCAAGTAAGGTTCTTACAAGGTGGAAGTGGAATCAGATCTCGATTTTGCCATCGATTGGGCGGAATGTCATCGCTTCCTTGGTGCAACTCGACCTTGCGCTGGATCTTCCGAAGAAGGCTCATGTTTCTTTTGCTCGATCGTTGCCGTTCTCCGATATGACCAACTTAAATCTGCTCATAACGATTCAACCGTTCGCCAATGACATTCCCGTATATATCAATATATCAAGTCGATCGCACCATCAATAGAAGCGATGTCGTGATCCTTGGATCTCGGATTTTCCACCACATGCTTCACGACAAAACCCACCCTCTGCGTTTACCAAGCTCGCTCGGACTCCATATCCAACCTCTTTAAGACCTTAGTGTCGACTGGGAAGCGTTCGGCACATGGCAAAGGCTCCACCCAGCAGCCCAGGCTTTCGGAAATCTGCTCACCGAAATGCTGCATTTGGAAGATATAATTACAACTGTATGTCGATGATGGCTTCTGGCTTGAGTTGGCCCATCCAGAAACGCAATAATGGACCAAGTGATTCCATGCAGCGGTCTAGATCTATCTTAGCACATTTTCCCTTTTCCTCAGCACCTTCGACCAATAGTCTTTGCCAGTTCGATTTACCTTCGGCTGTTTCTGTTGGTGGTTAAGACCTCTTCCAAAGTCCTAACGCAATAACAAAAACCATGGCCAGCAGAATGAGAATCGGCGTCGATGTCGGAGGTGAGATCGTCTGCTGTCCCTCAACTTCCCTTCCACGATAAACACTAACATTCTCAGCTGACATGGAGATGGAACAGGTACAAATACAGACGCCGTGCTTCTAGATCCAAGGCGTCATGCTGAACAAAGCCGTGGCGTTCTCGCTACGCACAAAACTCCCACCACGCCTGACACCACCTCAGGTGTCGAGTCTGCCATCCACGCAGTCTTGAAGGCATCTGCTGTCCCACTTGACCAGCTTGCTTCCGTCACGATCGGAACCACGGCTTTTCTCAATGCCGTCATACAGAGGGAAAGCCGCCATCTGAGCCGCGTTGCAGTTTTGCGCTTGTCTAAAAGTTTTTTGCGTGACGTGAAGCCCTTTTCGGAATGGCCTCCTGACCTTGCGGCAATTATCCAAAGCTACGTGGGTTACGTCGACGGTGGTCTGAACATCGACGGTACTGAGGAGGCCCCTATCAGTGCGGATGAGGTTGTGCAGGCCTTGTCTGATATCCGTGCCCGAGGAGTCACAGCAGTAGTCGTGGCTGGCGTCTATTCACCCATAGACACCCAGTTTCAGCAAGAGGAAAGGGTCAAAGATATCATTCTTCGTGAAAACCCAGGTATTGACGTGGTGTGCTCCCACGAGGTTGCAAATATTGGTATGCTCTCAACCCGTTCAACCATGAAGTTCCACTAAACAAAGGGACAGGATTTCTAGAACGAGAGAATGCAGCAATCCTCAACGCAGCTATTTTGCGATATGCCAGAAGAACTGTTCGACGTTTTCAATCGGCCATGGCCCGGCTAGGCTTGTCCAAATGCCCCTTGTACCTAACCCAAAACGACGGAACTCTACTCGATGCAGTAACAGCTGCTCGTATCCCCATACGCACATTTGCTTCCGGAGTTACAAATTCAATGCGTGGAGCTGCCTATCTATCAGACCGTACGTTTGGTAAAGACAGGTCAGCCTCTGCCGTTGTCGTCGATATTGGTGGGACAACGACCGACGTAGGCGTTTTGCTTCCATCTGGTCTTCCTCGACAAGCTTCAACATACGCTTCTATTGCAGGAGTGAAGGTGAATTACTCTTTGCCACACCTTCATTCGGTCGGGCTAGGAGGAGGTTCCATGCTGAGGTCTACATCTGGCGGAAAGATTAGAGTCGGTCCACAATCTGTTGGCAACGACATCCTGACGAAAGCCTTAGTGTTCGGCGGCGATACTACAACCGCGACCGACATTGCAGTTGCAGCTGGTAAGATAAACATCGGCTCGAGGAGCCTGGTCTCGCATATCGATCACGATGTTGTCCGGCAGACGCAACTTCATATCAAAAGTCTTCTTGAAGAAGCGATAGATACAGTCAAGACTTCTCCAGAACCGCTACCCGTATTCCTTGTCGGGGGAGGCTCGATATTAGCACCAGAGACTCTATCCGGAGCTTCGAGTCTGACAATACCCCCTTATCACGATGTTGCCAATGCGGTTGGTGCCGCATGCTCCAAAGTCGGTGCTCAGCTCGATGAAATCGAAGATACATCGCGACAATCTCACGATCAGGTTGTGCAGAAAGCTAAGGACCGCGCGCTCCGTAAAGCTGTGTCATTGGGTGCGATCGAAGAGAGCGTCTACATTGCCGAGGTCGAGGTAATGCCAATACCCTACCTGAGCAACCAAACCCGCATCATTGTCAAAGCCATTGGCGACGTTGATCTTGACAGCGGCCGCACTCAGCAAGACGTGCAAGGAGACGATGTGAACCACCTTGACGAGCTAGCAGACCCGCCGGCACAAAGTGAAACGACCAACATGAATGAAAGCAAAAGCAGAAGCATCGATCACGATACCTACCGGCCCAGGATAAGACCAAACTCGAGCAACGGTGTTCTGGAATGGAATCTCACTACAGTAGATCTGGACTACATCGCGAATGGCTGTTACCTACTCGGCTGTGGTGGTGGAGGGCCACCCGATGCCGGCAGGATCCAACTGCAAGCCATGCTCTCGGCCGGACATACCATACGCGTGGTCGACCCTTCCTCGCTCTCCAAAACCTCAGTCGTTTACTGGGGAGGCCGCATGGGCTCGCCGTCTGCCATCTCGGAACGCCTGCAAGCCCACGAGACTGTGCTGGCAATCCGGGAACTCATGGCGTACCTACGTCAGGACACCTTTGACGCCGTCATGGGACTGGAAATCGGCGGCTCCAATGGCCTTGAACCTTGCCTTTGGGGTTCGTCTCGCTTCTTCGATCGACCTGTCGTAGACGCAGACTTGATGGGCCGTGCAAACCCCATGTGCTGGCAGATCACGTTGACGGTGCGTCGACCAGGCGAATTTGTACCGTGCGCGATCGATTCGGGTACCGGACGCAGCATGCTTATGACACGGGCTCCGCGTGACGAAGATGTCGACAGGCCACTGCGAGGCGCCATCTCGGAATTAGGTTCCCTGGTAGGGCTGGCAGGACGGCCGACAACGGGCGAGATTGTTCAAGATCATGCCGTTCCGAACACGGTGTCATTGGCCTGGCGCATAGGGAGAGCCATGGCGCTTGCCGACTCGACTAATACCATCTCCCGTGTTGCCGAGCGGATTATTGAAGAGGTTGGAGGCCAGGGAAGTGCCAAAGTCCTATATCGGGGCAAAATCACATCTATCGAACGCAAAACGCACAAAGGCCTTTCCGTAGGTGTGTTGCACATTACGGGAGTTGGACACACCGAAGCTGAAGGAGATGAGCACACCTTGCAAGGCAGCACGGACGGCACCTTGCGCATCCCGTTCATCAACGAGAACATCTACGCCGAGCATACCGCCACAGATGGCCGCACGGAGATCCTAGCCAGCGTGCCTGATTTGATCGCCGTGATTGACAAGCAAAGTGGACGCGCCGTGGGCGTTCCCGAGTATCGGTATGGCTGTCAGGTCGTTGTGCTAGCCATGGCTTGTTCGCCACGATGGACAGAAACACCGCGAGGTCTCGAGGTTGGTGGACCGAAGTCATATGGATATGATGACATAAAGTATCGCCCGGTTGGTAAATATGTTCAACCGAGAAGTGTCATCGAAGAATACGGCCCCTTGGGTTAATGGTCAGAGAGGCCTGTACCATCCTGATCCGGAGCATAATACGGTACAACCTGGCTCTTGATGAACAATGCCTTCTACACCGGAATGACCATCCTGTATAAACGTCTCGATTCAGGAAACCTTCTCCTCTAGCATTGGAGACCCTATTAACAGGCCAAATCACATCATTTTAGATATCTCTGCTTGTTTCGTATATACATATACATGACTCTTTTTGCTTCAGTCTTATATTTTCCTTTTCCGGATTCAACATGAACAAGAACAAGAACACCAGCAGGGCCTGCAGACGCTTTTACACGCAAAGCACGCCATCGCGGAATGCCGTTGCGCCTTCGACGAGCAAGTGGAGTGGGGATTTGGCTTTCCCATACTTTCGGATTCAGCAAGCTGTACTAGTTCTGCTCGGTGACTCCACCAGGGTCTAGCTCGCCACGCCTCTAGAAAGGGCGAGAGGGCCTTTTATTGTTGTTGAGGTATCAAAGACCACTTTCCTATAACCGAGCTGCACAAACCAATACCGAAGCGCTACCAACCAAGTATACTCATACAAATCACACACAACGATCTGCACACGAGGCTGATGCAATTATTCATCTATTTAGCGACATCAGGAGGTTGATAGCACTATATACTTCCACGTACAGACGCATTTTCAGCAATGGCCGTCCAAGAACTTACGATCCTCGACTCATACCGTGCCGAACTTGACAAACCTGGTCTTGTTGTGATCGACTTTTATTCAACGCAGTGTCCGCCTTGTAAGGTAAGCAATTGTCATGTCACTTACTTATCCAAGTAGTTCCAAGGACACGACTACGATGTAACGTCTGGCTGAAGCCATTGGAGTTCAGCCAGACAATTCTGACATCGCTTTTCCACAGTCTCCTGTGACGTGAAGGGAGAACCTTTGATATCCGGCGCCGACTAATACATTCCAGGTCATCGCACCGCTCTACGACGCAATTGCCAACAAGTACTCGAATAAAGACACTCGCTTCTTCAAGGTCAGCATAACTTTTCAGGAACATTTGCTTTAGAACATGATCACATGATGCTAATATTCCGGTTTCGAACTAGGTCAATGGTCTCGTAGAACCAGGCGGTACGATCCAACGCGAGGCGGAAGTGGTCTGGTGGCCGACCTTGGTCGTGTATAGGGACGGCCGCGAAGCGTGGAGGGCCAAGGTTCCCAACCCGCCTTCGATAGAACCTGTACGTGAGCTGGAACGGTTGCTGGATGAGCAAAGTCTGTAAAGAAACACGTATTGAGCAGTACTATCTAAGGTATACCTTGATCACCCGAGGTCGAAAGGAGGCCACTGTAAGCATCTCATGAGTCGCCTCTAAGCACAATTACCTCGCAATCTTCCACACGTGAGGACAATGGGAAACAATGATGCAGTTCTCTTAACACCTACTCCGAGGCAGCCGTTCGTGTCAGAGATACCACGTGTTTCTCCGCCTCCGGCGAAAAGTTGAACAGCAACACGAGAGGCAAGCAAGAAATATTGATTGTCGACCATTTGACCGAATGTATGGCCTTCAATCCACCGGCTGCAGTCCAGTCAGGAAATTTAGAGGGAATTGACTACAAAGTGAAGAACGGGCTAGTCGCTATATATACGTAAAAGCATATCGCCACTATAGCAGCCGGAAATAAGTATCTCCGATCCGTTACCAGGATCACATCGCTGTACGGAATATGATACAGACAAGACACGAACAATTCACTTGTACAAATCAGAGCGTAAGGCCTGGCCTGTCGTTTCTGACGTTTTGTCTCGCTCTGTGGGTAAGAGATGTGTAAATGGGTTGAAATCCAGGCTCTTCGCCACCCTGTTGCCCATGATGCGGCTTCACTTTTCACCTAGCGCAGTGTTCTTGTTCAACATTTGATCCTCCGGCAGCTGGCACCTTGAGGACTCTGAAGTTATGCCCTCGGTTCAAAACGAAGATGATGCTCAGAGCAGGCGATATTCGAGCTCACCAGAGCCAGATAAATGTAAGACTCACCCTTATTTGTGCGAGACTGCCACTGACCCCAGGAAGCAGCCTTCAAGGCTCGAATGCAACAATTTCAGTATTCTCCCACGGTAGAAACTCACAGCCCACGGCGATCGAATCGATTCCTGAACAGATCCTCGCCCGGCAACACTTCCAGTCCCGCGGGCAGTCCACGAAAGAAACGATCTCGGCCAACAGAATCGTTTGCGGACGGCATCATTGACCGGGGAGATGCTTTGTGTTTTGATTCGTCGGTTGTGAACCGAGATAGCACTACGTCGAGACAAAAAAAGAGGAGGAGTACAACGAAACAGCGTTCTGCAAAGGACCCTTATAGCCCAGCCAACCGCCTGGTGGACAGCCTGCGGCCTGGGTTGACGTTGGTTTGCATAGGCCTCAATCCGGGGTTGATGACCGCCGCCACAGGACACGCCTATGCACATCCTTCCAATCGATTCTGGCATCTGCTCCATAACAGCGGAATAACCCCTAGGAAGCATATTCCGGCTGACACTCGAGACCTGATGGATCTGTATCAGATTGGCAACACGAATATATGCGAGCGGCCCACGAGGAGCGGAGATGGTCTAAGCAAACAAGAGTTGGAAGAAGGCGCTTTCATCCTCGATCAAAAGATTTCAAAGTTCAAGCCAGAAGCTGTCGTTATCGTAGGCAAAGGCATCTGGGAAGCGATCTGGATGGCGAAAAAGGGGAAAAAGAAATTCCATGACCCAGACTTTCATTGGGGATGGCAAGACGAGGAAATGCAGCTTGGTAGAGAAGTAGAGCATGATGGGAAAGTTGTTTGGTCTGGAGCAAAGACGTTTGTGGCCACGTCTACCAGCGGGCTTGCGGCGACCCTCAGGCCAGCTGAGAAGCTTGCTATATGGAAACCCTTGGGTGACTGGATGACTATGATGAGAGAAAAGCCCTGAGCTTGTGACATGTTGGGCTGAGGCATGTAGAACATTGGGTATAGCATACGAGTATGTGGAAAAACTCCAACGAACGTTCAGCCTCGCCCGAATGCCAAGACTTGATATAGACTGTCTTGCTTCAATTGCATCCCCTTCCCACTTTGCATATGCGCCAGGATGAGTGACCTGAAGACGGCGTCAGAGTTGCTGCAACGTTCCTGACGCATCGACTGCCTTTCGTGATAGGCACAAGCTGTTTGTGAAACATGCCAAGGATACCAAGACTGTCTTACTGCGAAATGGTGGAGGGGCTAATTCACAATACTGGATGCGTTGGAGGGGCATCAGCGTATCGAAGCAGGGGCTCCCTCTACAGTACTCGTACTGTTTGTGGCGGGCTTCTGACCATCATCCACACCAAAGGCCACGTCGTTTGGTATGACATCAACTTCACTTCTGCCTCACGTACACCGTACTCTGAACAATATTTTGATCATTGTCTTTGCTCTCGATTCTCTATCCCACCACCTCACGCAATCCTTTCTTCGTCCTTGCTAGCATAATTCGTTATTTCAAAATCCAGGAGACGACCTCTCCTCATACCACACCCCTGGTCAGAAAACAGATCAGTTCCGCCAACCGGTGTCAGGGGCTGCAATCAGCCAGTGCATCAACATGGCATTGTCATCTTCCCACATCATCTTGCTGTGTGCCATCGGTTTTGTCTTGCTGGCAAGACCTGCTCACGCGTTTGGTGCAGGCAACATTGGTTCAACGTCCAAGATCGAAGGACAGAACTGGCGTCATGGTGATCTCGAAGACACTCTGCTGACCATCGTTGCTGCGCGTGCCATGGGAGGTAAGAAGTTCGGGAAACTCGATGTCAAGAGAGTAAGTGACTCGATCTTTGGCTTGTTGTTCTGAACTGAACTGACATCTACAGGTCTACTTCGGCAACTGGCTCCGAGACTACAGTCAAGCGGTTGATGTTGGCACTGTCAAATATGTCAGTGCGGAAGCGATTCGTATCTTGCTCTGGATTTTGGGCTTCATGTCATTTGGCTATGGTTCAGGCGAATTCGAAGTGACTACACAGAGACTCGGATGTTACAGACCTGAGGAACACATTGAGTAAGTCGTCTTACATACCAGACATTCGTTGAATATTGACCACCATAGCAACCCCAAAGATTACGCAGACAACGAAGATGCGAGACAATATGACCGCCGCCTGCGAGGTCCGGTTGACGAGCGTCGTGAATTGGCTATCAATCCCCAGACAGGTCTGAAGAACTACATTGCTTCGGAAGGAATGGGCATCGACACTTCTGCAGGCCTGGTCAGACATCTCTTTGGTCGATCTATTGAGCTCGGCCGCCAGTATGCTCGAACCAAGAACAAGAAGGATCTCTACGAAGCGCTTCGCCTTTTGGGTACCGGTAGTCACTGTCTCGAAGATTATGCTGCTCACTCGAACTATGTCGAGCTTGCCTTGATTGAACTCGGAGAACGTGATGTCTTTCCTCACGTCGGACGCCGAACGCAGATACAACTCCGGGAGGCAAGACATCCGGTCTTCCCAGTCGTCACGGGAACATTTGGAGGGGTCGACTTTCTGCATTCGGTTTGTGGTGAATTCGATGACAAGACAACTCAAAGCGAAATTCAAGAGCTGGAAGGGACCATGCAACAATATCAGGGCATGAGCAACGATAGTAGTATCCTTCAAGACCTCCTGAACAAAGTCCCCTCGGGCATTTTTGGAGGCAAAGACGAAGCTGGCAAAGCGAACGAGCTCAAGCAGAACTCGGTCAACCATCAGATGCAGAACACTCGCATCTCTCCAAGGCAACCGGAAGAGTGGACACGATATCTTGCTGATGTTCAAAAGCAAATCTATCCAATCATCGAATGGCACGACGAGATCATGCAATCTATCACCGAAACGATTGAAAAGATCCCCATCCTGCCAGACTTGATCGAAAATATTCAGGACGAGATCAACAAATTTGTCTTCAGTCTCCTTGCACCATATGTTGTCCCAATCATTAACCAGGTCAAGAACGAGCTCAACACTGGCTCAAACGAGATCATTCAATCTAGCGTGGACAAACAGCATATCGTCTTCAATGACGATCACTCCAGTGATCCCACCCACTCAATGCTGTCCAAGGATCACTTCTCCAACATTCTCAATGAGCCTGCTGGAAAGGTCGCCAGACAGACCATCCAATGGGTTGTTCCCCAGATCATCGCAGCCTGGGACGATGACCGTGTGGACGTTGAGCGAATTCTGGACCGCATCATCAATGGTATCCTCCACCACCCTGCTCTTCGAGATTACGGTCAAGATGGAGCAGGTGATGGTCGCCGCTTGATGTTTCGAGTTGTCCAAGAATGGTGGCAGAGCAAGGACGAGCGCGAGAAGGACGGCTTTCGAGATAAGCTCAGCCGACAAGGTGTCCAGTCTGGCAGAAACCACAAAGAAGGTGTGCAAGACCATGGCCACGGTAGCAATCGTCCTCTGGGCATGGCCAATCTGAACTCCCACCAGCAATCGTCCGGGCTTGCAGGTGGTGCGCTAGGTGCATTGGGTTCTGCAATGGGAGGAAACGACTCATACAACAGTCGTCCTTCGAATAACGATGCAGATAGCTTCGGAAAGATGGCTGGCGAAGCAGTGGGCGGTGGAGTGCTTGGCTCGCTGGTTGGTGGACTTGCCAGCAATATCGGAGGCGACATCCTTGGTGGAGGTCTCAACAAGGATGAACAGACATACCAGAGCGAATCGTATGGACGAGACGGTTCTTACACTCAAACCACGACCCAAGCTGGCCATTCGCAGTCTGGAGACCGATATGGACAGGCTCAATACTCGCACACTACGGAGCCTCACGGCCAGCGCGAGGAGTACAGTCGTTTTGAGCAACGTCAAACCGGAGGAGGTCACTATCAAACGGAGGTTCGCCACGAGGAACATACAAGTAGCGGGGGTCATCGCGAGGAAACTAGGTGTGTGAGAATTCGTTCAGAGTATGAAAAATCCGCACTGACATTTAGCAGGCGATACGACAATTATAGCGAACGTCCATCACATGGTGGCCATCATGAGCGGAAACACAGCCACGGCAAACATCATCATGACGATGATAATGATCACGAAGAGCGATTCTCAAGTAGCGGGTATGGCGGCAGTACCGGGAGAGACACGTACGGCCAGCAGGAGCGACGTCAAGAATACGGACGACGTGATGATGACAATGAGCATGGCGGCAGTCGACGACACGGCGACAACGAATACAACAGTCGACGAACTGAAAATGAGTATGGTTCGAACACCGGTTATGGCCGCCAAGAACGCCAGTCCGAGTACTCCTCCAGCGGTTATGGTCGACAGGAAGAGACTAGCTACGGTGATCGACGTGAAGAATACGGTATGCCAGGTGGCTTTGGCGGCGGTCGCGCTGAAGAGCCATCCTATGGCTCTGGAGAGTATGGAGGCCGACGTCAAGAGCAGTCGTACGGCGGCTCGAGTGGCTATGGCCGTCAGACCGGCGAGTATGGCGAGTCGGGAGGCTATGGCGGCGGTGGTAGCAGACGCGAAGACAACTACGGTTCAAGCGACATGCCAGGCGGTTTCGGTCGACAGGCAGAATCAGGATATGGTGGTGGTAGTCGACTGTACGAGTCTGAGAATCGCGGGTACGGCGGTGGCGGTGGTGATGAATACGAAGGCGAAGGCTATCGTCAACGACGAAATAGGGAAAATGAGGGTCAGGGTGGAGATGGATATGGTGGTGGCTACGGCTCGAGATACTGAGCTGAGCTGGGGCAATCTGTATCCATAACATCTGACCCCCAAAGTGAATGAGTCCCAATCACGAATACCGAGAGTACGATGGGTGCGTGATACACGAGGAGAGATGCGTGGACAATGTGAAAACGAGAAAACGAGAAGAGGAAGCTGTGATGGTCCTGCAAAGAACGACGACGCCTCTCAAACAGAGTAGTGAGGGAGGTGTGCAAAGGCGAGCTGGGGTTGTATTGCTATCACAATTGCCCGTGCGGTCGTTAACCCAAGAAGGATAATTGGGTTTCCTCGAGGAGTCGAGGTAAATAGACACCAAAACCCCCAAAGATTGAATGATATGATTCAGAGAACTATTTCCTTCCCCATCTAGCTCCTGTCCCTGCTCAACGACGATACCATCCCCGCCTTGTCCAACGACCTTTTCTGTGATCGGCATGCCGTCGAGGTGTTCTAGGAATGTGTGACTCAATGACAAGTATGATGGCTTATGATCCGAGGAGGTTTGATCTTGATCTGCTTGGGACGGAAGGGGTTGAGGAGTCACTATTTAAACGCAGCCCGAAGTGTAATGGTCAGTGGAACCGGCGAGATTCTCACAAACTTCTAGGTACGTGACTGGAATTGAAAATTGCATCTTCGTGCGAGTTATGGATGATCAGGGATTCGTCGGCTTTGGCTTTGCCGATTGAGTCCTGACTGCACTTGTTCTCGATCCCCGAAGGCTCTTGAGACACAAGAAAAGGGGAAGCCAATGAATCAGGCTTGTCCTCAGAACTGTGAAACGCCTCAGGCCTCGATGAGAATCGCACAGCCACAGACCGAAGTGGCTTGGTCATGGCTCATGTCATCCATCGCGGAATGCTCCGCCGGGTATTGTTTTATATACACCTATTTGATGATTCGATATATCATGTGTATCACGTTCAGGATAGCTCTAGCATCGACTTGTACGTATTGCAACCGACTCTCACAAGAAGCGGCATGACAATCAAGAGGCAAACCACAACTCGGACTCGCACATTTCAGCGGAAGGGAGACAATGCAGTGACATATGACCTTTCTCGGCCAGGAAGTGTCACCATCACCATCCCCGTGGGTTCTCGATGGAGCTCAGAGGCACATTGGCACGAGACACACACCGAATTCCTCCAGATCCTTCAGGGGCGAGCATTTGTGAGACTCGGGAATGATATACGAGTGTCGGCCGGAAAGGAAGGTGGAGTGATTGAGGTACCGAGGTACACCGTTCATGAATGGCATCGAGTCTGGCAGGATGATGAGGATGACGAGGATGACCTGGTCGTGCGAGAATGGACGGTGCCAGAAGACGGTCAGAAGGAGGCGTTTTTCCGCATGTTGAATTCATTCCTGACGGAGGACGAACCGGAGTCTCTGTACGAGGTGCCTGTGCCTGTGCCTCGAATGGCACGCAATTGGATCGAGCGGTGGATCATCAACGTTCAATTAAACTGCATCTTCTGGGCTTGTGATAATTGGCCCCTACTGGTGGGAAATGATGGCAGGCCTGGGATGGTCAGTTGGGCGGCCACGCATCTCGTCCTGGGAGGAAGCGTGGCACTTGGGTATTTACTTGGTCTGAGGGGGAGATATAGTGAGTACGTTGGTAAGGAGCCAGGCTTAACGGGCAGGGAAGATGGAGGAAAGATCGGCAAGAAGAAGGTCGGATGATGATGGTCCTGATGGTGACTGTGACCGAAGCTAGGTGCGATAGAGGGCTGGATCCAGACGCTGAAGGGGAGGCTTTGTTTCCGTCACAGGACTTCTACAGCATATTTGACAGTATCAGATTCATTTGCTGTTGGAATGACTTGTGTCGCTTGCGACTCCCTTCTCGTCTTTATTCGTATTCATGCCACTTCTACTCACTTTGTACCTACTGCGGAAATCCCTTCTTTAAGGTTAACGAACTTTCATTCCTCACTCTCTACTATGCGTACCTCTCAAGTCAAGGAGTAAAAGGCAGAAATGTTTCAAAGGCTAGAGCACAATCACTTCTGGCTACACTGTTATCTCCTCCCACCAACACAGAAAGTCCCAGTACACATGTTGAACTTCTCCATCAATTGATCCCCGTGGTTTATTCGGCCTTCGGTTCGTTCTTGGATGTCTCGACCCAGTCTTCTTCTCCATCAGGGGCCTTTGACAAGCCAGCCATAATTCCACCAGTCGTGAACAAACCATCGACCTGTTCCAGGGTCTTTCCACCAGTTTCGGGGCACAGGAAGAATACAAACACAACCGCGACCAGATTTCCGCTCAACACCCAGAACCAGAAATGCCATCCGCAGTTGTCGAAGCCAATGGGCCCCACAAAGACCGTCAGGAAAGTACCCAGCCATTCACCGGCAGACGTCGCGGCACCACCTATATGGCGATATTCCAACGGAGAGATTTCGGCACAATACAGCCAGACCGCTCCCTCATAGGCGTAGCCCATGATGAAGAGGAAGAGCCATAATATCGCAATGGACGCCCACCGAATAGATGATGTCTGGGGCACGGCAACTAAAGCAATGAAGATGACAAGAAGAAGGGTCATTGCGATAGCCCCGTGGAGGAGCGTGCTCCGGCGACCAGTACGTTCGATTGTGAAATAGAGAGGTACACAGCCCAGGGCAAAAATAATGTTCTGCACGCCTGCAAGTGCCGATATCAAGGTGGGGGTGGCCCCGGTGTTGGACAAAATGATGGAACCTGCAAACAAAATCAACACCAGAGCGTTTTTACCAGCATATCATCAAAGACTCACTGTAATAGGCCATCAAACTTGAGCCCATCCATTCCCTAATAAAAGGCAGCCAGAAGCAGATACACAATCTTCTGGCAATTTTTAGAGGTGAGTGGTCGATGATACCCGAGGTGATAAATTGCTGCCAATGCAGGCTGGCACTGGCCTCCAATTCGGACTCAATGGCCAACAAGATCTCCTGCCTCGTCCTTTGGACCAGAGGATCATCAGGAGAAGGGACGTCATGGAGACGAGCGAGGATGGCATCGCCCTCAGGAATGCGATTCTGAGCATAGTACCATCTGGGGGTATCGGGAAGGAAGAGCATTGATCCGCCGCCAATTATGGCAAAAACGATCTGAAAGATAACAGGCACTCGCCAAGAGACCTGGTTGTCCATCTTGGTGAAGCCATAGTCGATCCAGTAGGCTAGAGGAACACCGGATATCAACATGATGGCGTTCAGGGCATTGGCAGGACCACGATCTCCAGAATCGACTCCCGTCTCTGATAAGTAAATTGGAACGGATGATGAGATGCAACCGATGGCGAAGCCAGTGCAGCATCTTCCGACTATGAGTTGAGCGATACTGTATGACGAGGCCTGGATGATGGAACCGATGATTGCGGCGACGTTGCCCAAGATGATGGTGCCGCGACGACCCAGCCTGAAGGAGAAGAACCCGACGACTACCGATGTGACAAAAGCCGCCAAGCTGTAGGAACTCGAGATCATGGGAATGGTGTATTGCCCGGTGTTTTCTAGCCCAATGGCCTCGATGAAGGGCTTGTGAAGGAGGACGCCGCCCAGGACCCCAGCATCGTACTATGCACACGTCAGTCTCTTCCCACCATCAAAGAGAGTCTCCTAATGTTACGTACGCCGTACATCATGAACGAGGTACCGCAAACAAGCTTCATAAGCAGGTAAAGGCTTCTGCCCTGAAGGCCTTGGAACAACTTCATGGTTGCAGCAGAGGACACACACAATAAGACCGTGTTCAGCTACTGCGATGGACTGAGATTCTGTCTGTTGAATGCGGAGTCATGGCAAGGGAGGCTGCGCTTGATATGCTTCCCACCACCATCCTCCACATCGAATCTGACTGGAGACTCCCGAAATGGTCGACTCAGACACGGATTGATCAGACACGGCAGACTAGACTCGTTTGGGGCTCCAGCGTCCAGGGGCGGCACATTTACGGAGACCCCAGGAAACTCCGCGCGAGCAAATGACCCACCGGCAGCCCAGCCTTACCGTCCGTACCAAGGGTTTGCTGTCAAGCTTTGCCAGGTCGCAAGCATGAGGCGAACGACCGTTATCATACCACAGTAATCTAATATCAGTACACCTTTACAGTAAACTACGAGTATCAAATCTGGATCAGCGGAAACAACCCCGAGTGTGAGCAGCACGGACTCCTGAGGGCTCCAACTCCAAGGAAGCCACTTACCTCGGTCTACTCAGTCTACTCCTCCTCCTACCTAGAGCTTGTGTCTCCAACTCCGCCGCCAAACCCACCGCACACCCGACTCTTTCGTGGACAAGTCAGAACCGACTGTCATCGCCTGCGTATCAAGCGTCTCATACAGATCGCCAAGTTAATCTTGCCCGGTGGGTACCAAACACATGGCAGATTCTACGGCGGAGAACAACTACAACAATGATGCTGAAGGGAAGAAAAAGCCCCGGCAGAGAACCGAGAGGAAGAAAATTCAGGATCGGCTTGCCCAAAGAGCCAACCGCGAGAGGACCAAACAGCGGATTGCTGCGCTCGAAGAGGCTTTGAACAGCCTACAGTCCGGCGACGACCCCAGCTGTACCGCATCACTCACGCGCACCATTGCCAACTTACGAAATAACAACCACCAGCTGCGATACACACTTGATAGAATACGAAGCTTGGTTGACCAAGTCCCTCTTGTCCCTGAAGGCGACGCCGGCGGCACCGACCCAGACTTCGCCCCTTGGGCCAGCAGCCCGGACGCAAAATTCTCTGAATCCAAACAGCCCGTGGCTTTCATTCCCGAGGTCCAACCCACCGGCGCTGCCCTCGCCCAAGGTAACGCCTTTGAACTCGATCATCCTATAACTATATCGACGCCGACAAAGCCCTCGCCTCCCCGTGTGACCGTGACTGTACCGCCCGGTACAGCGTGTGCGGCGCCCGAGGAGGGCGTCCTTGAGAACGGTACTTGTGGAGAAGACATTTTGACAACAAAGGGAACCTTCGCAGACAACGTCCTCGTAACGACTGCCGACACCATGTCTGACCATGACACCACGGCCGATAAGGTGGAAGTGGACCACTTCGACTTGGACCTCCTCGACGTGTTCGATCAGACAGACATGGGCATTTGGAATACGTACGAGCCAGCTGCGCTGTTCAAATCGCCATCTTCCAATCTCGAAATCGCCGGAGGGATCGTTCCAGACACGGAAAAATGGCACCTTGGGAACTCGGCCTACTTTGGAGCCTTAGATTCAGTCAAGAGACGGGTCAAGTCGGCATCGACAATGGACTTTCAGGTGGCTTTTCAAGCCATGCTGTGGGGGTGGCAGAACGTCGGCCACGCAGCCGAGCACCCCGTGTGGTACGCTTTGCGCGAAGTTGACCAGCGCATCTTTGGCACGTGGACGTCGGTAGCTCAAAGGATCGCCATGGTGTTTGTCTGCCAGACCTTGATCCAATACCGGGAGGATCCCACGCCAGAGAACCTCAGTCGAGTTCCTGGCTTTCTACGACCTAGGTGAGATTTCAGCTGCCCCTCCCAGGCAGGCTGTTTGCCATTTTTCTGACTTTAGTGATCCAACAGACCTTCGCAAGAACGATTGGCTCACCCCGTGGTCATTGATTTTCTGATCTGGTAAGTATTAGTAGTCTTCCGGTCCTTTAGGTCTGTCAAACAGTGCTCATTTTTTTTCTTGCAGGCCCGGCATGCGAGATCGTATGGTCTTTGAGCATGAAAAGTACTCGGCGTCAGGGCTTTTCTCAGCAGCATACGTCGAAAACTTCTCCTTCTTCTGGCCATATTCCGACAAGGAGATATTTGTCTATGACCCCTTTCGTGATCGACACGAGTTCAGCCCGGTCTTTTTGCAGCATGTGTACAATTACGAGAACTGGACGATGAAGCCAGGATTTTTCGAACGATGTCCCGAAATGCGGTACGATGTCCCCGTTTTCCAGAGGAGCTCGAGCATGTTTCAACCTGTGGCTTCTTATTGAGGGCCTAGTATCTAAGTCTAGCGGTGGTGGTCATAGTCTCTTGAGAATCAACCCTCCTTAGGATACGCGAGCTTTCCTACATGACTCCCATCTCCACGGATCTACAGAACTGCTAGCACCCGCTACTGAGTACGGTGTGATTCAATCACGCCGCTTCTTTCGCCAATTGCATGCTGTTCTCTGCACGACTCGCATAACATCCTTCCTGGCGATTCGCTTATCCAGGACCGATTTGCAACATGTTTCCGCTATTCGTCACGGCAGGTTGAAGTCGACCACAATGCGACTGCACAGTGTCAGCTGCTTCCTCCAATTCTGGTGGCACACTTACCCTGCGACTTGCCCATTTTTGAGACTCTGGACGGCTTCGTTGAATTTACTTAATCCTACCACCTTGGGCTGGAGATGCAGCTTGCCTGCGTGCGACATCAGCGTCGTTCCTGGAAGGATAACAGAGTATTTACCTCGTTGAGCAAACTGGAGTGTTTCGTCAATATCGGCCATACTGCTCACTAGTGTTCCCTTGATGGATTGCCCTCGGAATATCAATTTCGACGGGTCAAGGTCTACGTGGTATTTTCCGTCCGGAGGTAGGCCGATGCTGGATTTTCTTCTCGTCAGCGTAACTCTTCCATGGGATAGCTCAAACGAGGTTGATTGCACACACCACATGACTTGTCCACCAGCACGAGCCCCTAGGTAGCCGAGAGAAATCGGGTACGACTGGACGGCCGTGACGAAGACAGCGTGTGCACCACCCTCGGTCAAGTCCACAACCTTGTTGACCGGATCTCCCTCTTTGAAATCCACAAAGTGCTCGGCACCCATCTCCATGGCCAGCTTCCTTCGTTCATCACCGGTGTCGACGACGATAGCTCGGATGCCCATGGCGGCTGCTAGTTGGACTCCCTGGATTCCGACACCCCCACCTCCGCCTGGGAACACGGCGAATTCACCAGGTCTAATGCCGGACTCTTTGATCGAAGTGTAAACCGTCGAGGCAGAGCACATGACAGGACCTGCGACGTAATCCGAGACACCCTTGATTCGGTCAGTCTATGCTTGGCCATCCGAGCCGAATGGAACTTACATCGGGGATGAGCTACGTGAGGAAAGTGATCAGCCAACCAGTGCCTCGAAGACCTTCATCTACAACTTACGGTAGTATAGTTGTCCGGCGATACCACATACTGTTTGTAAGAACCTGTCGGAGGTCAGTAGAGTGGTATGGCAGACCGTGAGAGACCGGGTACTTGCCATCACAGGCCCCACCAGTGAAAACAGCCTTTAGGCAGTACTGATCCCGACCAGATTTGCAGTACAAGCACTGGTGGCAGACATTCTGAATGGGCTTGTAACCCGCGCGCTGACCTACGGCGAGTTCTTTGACGTTCTCACCGACTTTGACAATGACTCCGGCGCCTTCGTGTCCGGCGCACTTGACGCCCACATCGGACATCTTGGGCATGTTCCAGTCATGAAGCATGAAGTGGATGTCACTTAGGCAAATTCCCGTGGCGTTGAGCTTTATCAGAACGTCGTTGGGTCCTATTTAGAAAACCGAGGAAATTGTCAGTACTTCTGGGCGGTGCCATCAGGCGGTTCCTCAATGCTTGCCGACTTCGGGTACGGGGACCTTTTCAACCTCGACGTAGAAGTTGGGCCCCTCGTCTTTCTACAATGAATCACTGTAAGCTTCTCGATACGCATTTCACGGCATGGGCCTTTTCTTACCACAACTGCAGCCCAGCATTCCTTGGGGACATCGATAGTAGTAGTAGAAGCGTCGCCCATGATTTCTGTTGGTGGGGATCCTTGACTTTGAGGCCTTGGACGGTGACGGGAATGACTGTGCACGTTTTGCCCTTGTCCGAATGTAAAAAGAGGTGACGGGGGAAGAGAAGACTGGTTCAGCAGCGAAAAGTCTACAGAAAACCATACAGACCAGCCGAGGTGAGAGGATAGAACAGGTGCCGCTGCTGTGGTCAGTTCACGTCCGAGTCAGCCATTTTCACATGGCTGACTCGCCCTGGACCCGTTTGTACCCCAGATATCCGGGGAAGCGATTACGAAGGATCTCATGAGCTCGGTACGATATCTCGTGATTGCCGAGCTTCCTACCGTTATCGAGGAGTCTTTTGGTTTTTGTCAAGTCCATTCATAGTGCTCTGTACGGAGTGGTCGCCCTGGGGACATGTTTTGGGGCATTGTGGTCTCTCGTCACGGCTGGAAAAGAATAGAGGTTGAACAACTGTGGGGACAGCATAGGGGAAAGGGTCTAGACAATAGGAATGTCTCTACGGAGTCACGACTAGTCAGATGAGATAGGTCATTAATCAGCTATCGGTTAGCAAGACTTTGTACTTGTAGATATTGTACCTTGGACTCATGACTTCTGTACTTTGTACGGGGTTCTCCAGCGACCAAGATACCGAGGTTATCCAAAGGGGAAAGTGCACCGAGGACGAGGCTTTATTATTGCCTTTAAAAATAGCATGGATTATTTCGCAGGCGTACTCCGTACTCGTACTCGTACTCGTAGTGGTGTAGATACTCCGCAGAAGATAAATCAAGAAGGCTGTGAGATCCTCCCCCCGTAAGCACCATATTAATGTAACTCGAGCTCGTCGTACTCGACAATTCTCGGATCTTTTTGTTTGTGCCTTTTTTGTTTCTTGTCATCTCACCGAACGCAACCATCCAGAAATGCTGCCATTGTTCTCCTTCTCCTCCATCCCCTCATTGTCATTGTTACCTTGATCGTTCTCGGCCTGTCGCTTTTCCCTCAGCACTTCGTATTATCTCCCCCCAAACCAAAAACACGAAAACGCCCCTGTTCATAATCGCTTACTCTCGTTTCGCTCTCAGGCGTTCCAGCCCTACCATCTCCGTACTTTGTACGTGAGCGTTACTCCGTAACAAGACGAAAGCCACCATCCCGTGTCCAAAATCCCATCTTACTGCGGAATATCGCAATTTTGCAGCCTTACCAGGCCAGCCCCCCCCGAGGCCCCTCTGAATGTCTCGACTACTCCTCCCTTCTTGAACAATTCGGTCCCCCACCCCAAAAAAGAGGGATGCAACAACAATCGTACGTTCGAATGCGAGAGACCGCCTTCGACCTCTACACGGAACGAGACGCTCTGCCTTGGTATTTTAGGGCTCTTGCACTGGCATCTTCCTGTTCCTGTCTGACGGGGTACGTCATCTTCGCGCTCGTCTTCACTTCCGACGAACCCAACGTCAAAGTTTCCCGGACGGCTCTCATCGTCCTCGCCTCGATTTTCTTGGTCGCAGGCTACGCCTCGGCTTCGGCGATCGCCTTCTTCGGCCGCAGCCTCTTGTTCCTCTACGATGGCGTCCTCGTCCCGATCTTGACATTCTCCTTCATGGGCATCGTCGTGACGGTCTTGAACCACGCCCTCCACAAGGATTTCCCCATTTCGAACCAAGCCTACATATACGTCCCGCTGGCGACGGCGTGCACGACCACCGTCGCCTCGGCGGTCCTCACGTTCATCACGTACAAGCGGATGAACAAGATCAAGAGATTGGATCAACACAGGAGACAACACATGCCCAGGTTTTTTGGCCGTCAACCTTCGTCGTCCGTAAATTATGGTGGCGACGGCGTGTCCTCCACCACGGAACTCTTGCCGATAGATCCAAATGTACCAGAGGACGAGGCACAACGTCGACAACTTTTGCGTTTGTTACTGAACCGAGAAGCCGCTGCGCAATCATCGTCGACGTCTCCTGCGATGCCCAGTGGCCACGAAAGTACCTACAAAATCTTCCTACCTGGTGATGAAGGCTTTGGTGGTGGTGGTGGTGGTGGTGGTGGAACACGGGTGATGGCTACTACTAATACTGCCACCACCTCCACTAAGGCAGCGCGGCGGCCTCGAAGTGGGAGCCTCCCAAATTCTTCCAATTCCTCCAAGTGGAATCTCCTGGCCAAGTTTACGGGTGACGGTCAAGGTCCGCCCGTGGAAAGTTCCTTCAAAGATCATCGTCAACGTCGGCGAGATGAGATTGAGCGTTCGTCTATCCTCATGCCCGCGGGCATGGATACTCCTTGGCTGCAGCAAGCCTCTGGTGCGGCATCTCCATCTCCCTCTCGGTCGTGGTCACGTTCGGCCAGGTATGCATGAAAGATTTTGTTCTTAGTTGGAGTGGTCATTTGGGTCATTTAGCGAGGCGTCAGGTTTTTATGATTGTTATAAGGTTGTTGAGGTGAATGATTTGAATGATGCAAAAGGTCAATCAATGGAAGAATAACCCGAAATATAATAACTAGATACGAAATGTACTCTGTAAAGGTAATGAATTAATCAATGTTTTGGGCATGACTTGTACGAGTAAAAGTGTGCTCGATTATCTAGGATGTTCTGGTTCTGCGTCGATCTCATACATATATTCATCGCCGTCGCCAAAATCAACCAGCTTGCAAGACCTACTATACGAATTGAAGCATCAGGATATCCTCGTGCTCTGCTGCGTTGCATGTGCCCCCGTCAGCGACATTTTGCACGCGTTGCCATTTTTGGACGAACCTCGGCTCGGTTTTGTTTTGGCGTCAGACAGAGAGATCAATCCATTTCCTCCCGTGCGTAACACTCGAGCATTCTTCTCTTCACTCATGCAAGATAGGCTTTCAAAAAAGGAAAAAAGAAAAAGATACAAGAAACCTCGGAAGCAGTCTTGTCCTTGTCAGACCTTGCCATGAGGATTTTACTCTGAACCAAGATCGCTTGAAGCAATTATTACCACCTCCCATCCCGAAGCCCTCGAACAAACTCTCCCGGAAATACCTCGCTCGACAACTACTACTCTTACCACTCCGTATACAGAACATATATATTATCTAGATCCCTACAATCTCCTCGGCGAGGGGCGTCTTGTCTCCTTCACCTACCACCACTACCCGTCCTCACAACGCTCGCTGTCTCTTCTGCCTCCCCCGCCCGACATGTCGACCCACGCAACTCTAATCAAACCACCCAAGTCCCTCCCTCACCACTCCCCGATCGAAAACGTCCTCCAACTCCTCCCGCTCGTCGACATTGGGCCGGACATCTTTACAAACGCGCGACCGCTGTGGCACCCTCCGGGGGCGCGAGGCATCTACGGCGGGGCGGCCATCGCGCAGTGCCTCTCGGCGGCGCAGGCGACCATCCCGTCCGACTTCACGGTCCACAGCATGCACTGTTACTTTGTCCTGGCGGGCAACTCGGAGATCCCCATCCTGTACCACGTCGAGCGGGTCCGCGACGGCAAGTCCTTCATCACGCGGACCGTCCAGGCGAGGCAGAGGGGCAAGTGCATCTTCACGACCACCCTGTCGTTCATGAAGGAGAACAGCGGGGGTCGGGAGAGGGTGGAACACGCCGTGTCGATGCCGGAAGGGTTCACACCGCCGCCGACTTCAAAGGTCACCATGTCGTCGTCGTCGTCGGCCGACGAGAACAACAACAACAATGTCGACGACAGGCCTTTTGAGAGCGTGAGGTGTAAAGTGACGACACGAGGGTGTCCCAGCGGTCGGAAACTGCGACAGTGGATCCGGGCCGTGGGCAGGATCTCCGACTGCCCTCCCAACGTGCGAGAGGAGGAGACGGCGACGGGACTGCGAGCCAACTCCCCCGGGGACAACCACCAGGCCCACCTGTCGGCCCTGGCCTACATGAGCGATTCCTACTTCATCGGCACCGTCGCCCGCGTCCACAACCTCATGCGGTTCGCCAACCGGAGGAACATCGAGCGCACCCTCAAGACTTTCACCGGCAGTGAGGCCGAACGGGCCCAGATGAAGACCTACCTCGAACAAATCGCCAAGGAGGAAGAGGAGGAGAACGATGAAACCTCCGGTGGCGATGGCGGTGGTGACGCTCCGGCGACGAATGACACCCGACGCATAGGTATGATGGTCAGCCTCGACCACACCATTTACTTCCACAACCCCAGAGCTTTCAGGGCCGACGAGTGGATGTTGACCGAGATGGAGAGTCCCTGGGCCGGCGACGGGAGGGGTGTCGTTCTGCAGCGCATCTGGAGCAAAGACGGTACGTTGATCGCCACGTGCACGCAAGAAGGTGTGGTGAGGCTGCAACAACAGGATAAGAACGCCAAGTTATGAGAGTGAGACAGAGAGCGTACGAGTAGGAGTAGGAGGTATCACTCTGTCAGCTCTTGTCAATCATTTTCCCTCTTTTTTTTTTAAACGTTTTCGGCATGTGCGTGTTTGTATATATATTTTCTGCTGCTGCTGGCTGAATTGCTTCTGATATGTCTTTCATGTGGAATGTTGCAAGTCCATGATCTACCTAGGTACCTCTTTTTGGGGACTAGATTTACAGTCTTGATAGAACTTGAGGGGATAAATTCCTTTAGTACCGAGTATTGTGCATACGCAATGGTGATTTACTGTGCCGTACATATTGAAGCAGTTGTGAATCATCATATTGACTTTTAAAAGTCTCTTTGCTCTCTTTTTTTTGTGTGTGTGAGATTTTAGATTTTTGATTTTTGATATGTTTGTGTTTCATGTTCAAGCCTCTAGGTTGATCCCCCTCCCGAACCTGGCGTACAAGTGAGCCTTGAGTTGACCGATTTCGTCCTTGACGGTACCCAATTCTTCTTGCAGGGTCGAAACTTCTTCTTCAATGTCGGTGGTTGCCGAACTCAAAAGATCCTGGGCTTCCTCGAGTGGTAGGTGCATGAACGAATCACCTATCTTGTATCTGTCGACAGAGTGAGCAAAAACGTTCAATATTCGGTCGGTCGACAACGAGGAGAAAAGGGGAGAGACGATGATGGTCTGGGCAAAGTTGACGTACGGTACCAATTCATCCTCGTCGGCCAATTCAAGTTCTGTAGAAAGTTCTTCCAAATCTTCTTTATCTTTCTGATGATTTTTTAAAAACCGAGTCGTATTAGTTCAGAGTTTCATGGTAAAACACGTTTCTCACAGTACGAGGGCCGGGAGTAGTCCCCGGTACTCGCAAAGGTTTCTCGAGACCAAAAAAAAGAGAACATACCTGTTTCGTCGCCAATTCCTCCTCCAACAATTTACTTCGGTTGTGCAACCTGGAAAATGTATTGATCTTGTCTTGATCTTCCTTTGTCACTTCGGCGTCCGTCGACTCGGATTCTTCCTCCTTTGATAACTGTCGAATCGGAACCAAGTCAGATATGTATTCAGAATAGGGTGGAAGATGAAACCGAAGCGGCAAAAGACGTTGTTAACCACGACCGATCACCGTGTCGTGTGACGTGGTCCTTTTTCTTTCTGGGAGGGGAATCGGTTCGGCCGCGGAAAACGTTTTCTGACTTACAACTCTCCTTGACAACATCTTTGGGTTGAGGTGGTGGTGGGTTTTTGATTTTCCCTCTTCGAAACAGGACCAGCAATCGGTTCTGGTGCCGATTCGGTGTCACTTTTGACGACCGAGATTGCAAAAGTCGACAAGATCGTGAGAGATGTGTTCTCGTCGTCGGTCGATCGTGACTGGAATTGATCTCGATAAAGGAAAATAGAACAGAAGTAGAATATATAAAGAACAGAGCCAAAGATCAATACGAGGCTTGGAATATTGTTTCCAAGGCTGACATATTTGCATCAATGTGGCCTTGTGCTTTACAGTAGTCTGTTTTGGTGATTACGGTGAGGCTTGAGGTACGGAGTATAAGCGTCCCGAGGTATTTATGCTTATCAAGTAGTCAAAAAAGTACCTTTCATCGCAACAACTTCACATGCCTCCGTGTCATCTTGATTGAACAAGGCAAATATACTCTACTTCCATCTCAAGACACTGAATATACATGACCGATTGGCGAGGTCAAGAACACGAAGGACTGTAACCTTGCTGTTTACCTTTACACATACTGTGCAATCCCGGGCATCCTTTTGCCATTCTCTCTGTATTATAACTCTACAAGCAATACAAAATAAGAACTCCCATACAAAGACCCGAGGCTTGGAGACCAACAATCATTCGACTTAATCATACAGCGCTATAACCACCTCGTGACCCACCCCCGGAAACCGTGTCGACGACTTTTCTGGAGAAATCCTTGAACAGGTATGGAGTGTCGCGAATGGTGTCTCCGTGAGGCAAGAGGTCCCACCCGCGAGCACCGTAGCGGTTGTAGTTCAACCAGGAGCCGAAGATGAGGTAGGCGGCGATACCGAGGAATGTACTGTTTGTAAAGAAAACGTCAGTCAGTATTTGGTGCTGGCGGACAGGTCAGAGAGGGCTCATACATCAAAATGAACCACGTAAAGAAACCCCAACCACCCTTCTTCGCCTCGTCGCTGTCGGCGTAATCTTCGCAGGCGTATTTCGTCTTCCAATTGAACCGCACCACTTCAAGTTTCTCCTTGCCTTCGACCGGGCCGTAACTTACAAACGACAAACTCGAACTCGAGGTTTCGTCGTCCTTGTCACCATCGTCGGTCCCGTCGTCCCCCTCCTTTCCCTTGTCGTCTCTCCTCATCCGCCTCGCTTCGTTGCCTGTCCGATCAGGGTCACATTGCAATTGGATCACCGCTCGTTGCTTGTTCTTGTTGTAGTATCCACCATTGAACTCTATCTGTAATCCATCCGCGTTGACATCCTGCTCTTTCAGTCGTGTGACTTTCGGATCGAGGCTCTTGCCCGTACTCGAGTCGAAGTTTCCGGCGATGGGGATCACGTTCTCGACTTCGATGTGTTTCTTGTCCGGGTCATCAACTGGGTTCCACGATTGGACCACTCCGCAGACTTTGTGATTGCAAAATGTCAAACTAATATCTCTCGGGCACGGGGATTTCTCTACTTACCTCTGGTCCCCATTGGACACTGGTCCGCGTCACGAACCCCATCAATCTTCTTCAGCGGTGCACATAGGTTGACAGACCAGGTCGTGTTGTACTCGGCAGGAGGCCTCGACGTATCGTGCAAAGTTATCGAATGACGTCCCGCGAGTTTGGATATGTCGAATTTCTTCCCACCGACACGTATATTTTCGCAGTCTATCGAGGCGGCGGCGCTCAACTGCGCTAATAAGAAAGGTAGCGAGAGTAGGATCGTAGCTGGAGACTTCATCGTTGCCTAAGTGAATCACTGGGGAGAGGAGCACGGAGCTCGTGTGAGCACTCCCGACTCAGGGTTGGAGATGCGGGTGATTGAATGGTAACTCCCTGAGAGTAATAAAGAGTGACGAGAGAAGAGTGAAACCAGGTCAGGTAGGGGAAACAAAGTCAATGTAGTGAACAGATTCGGCTCGTGGAAGATTGAAGAAATGAATCTCTCTCCCCATCTGCCTGCATCCGCTGGCTCGACTCGAGTACGAGTAATCCCAGACATCGTCATTCCACGCCAAGAGAGGCATCCGTTTTAGGCCATACAAGGACGCCGCTTTCACCCACTCACTGTACATCAGTTTTATCGACAACGTCTGTACTACCATATCGTGGAGACTGGTTCTGATGAAACCCAATCTACAAGTCCAAGAAGCCGTTTCTTTCTACAATCACTCCTGACAGTGACTCTGGCGCACATGCGTGATGGTCGCGACTAGGATCACTGCCTTGAATAGGTTAGTGAACCTCACCTCATGGGCCTTTTAAAGCAGCAATGTCACTCTCCAGCGTCCAGCGCCGCCTGGGAGTCTCGACCCAAGTTTGTTCTTCGAAACCGAAATGTTGACTGAGGGTTTGAAGGCAGTCAAGATGCTGATATAGGCGAAAGGAAGTGCAGCTAAGCTAATCCCAAGAAACCCGTTACGCGTCCTCTTGCGAGTGGTCAATTGCAATCTTGCCCCTCGGCCATGTCGAGTCGTCGTATTTCGTATTTCGCATCGATGAGCCCCTATAAAATTAGTCAGACGCCCCGGGAATTTAGAGGCCTGAACATAATCACCTTTCGCAATCACACCATTACGCCTCTAAACGGTGTCGCGCTCAATTGAAAACAGCTACATCTGCTTCTCATCGAACAAGACACTTCCTGGTTGAATGTCTACAGAGAACTCAAGCACGACTGCAATTGAATCACGCCGAGTTCCAGTGTCGCGCAAAACGATGGCTGGCAACAAGGCACCGGTAGAATTCCGTGCTGCAGAGGTAGAGGAGGACGATGTGATCTCAAGGATACTTTGCAATGCATTTCTTCCAATATGGTTCGATTAACTACACCCTTCTTACCACTGGGTTCAACACCGGTCGAAGTCATACTGACCGTGAACAGGAATCACAATTGGTTCCATGGTATTTCAGAACCACTCCCGCCGGTTGACGTTGGTAAGGTGGGAGGAACGACACCTCCAATGACCAGCTTACAAAAGTCTCGGGTCAAGTTCTATCGAAGCTTGATAAATTTGACGAGACTGATAGGAGGATATGTGCTAGTGGCAGATGTCCTTTCATCTGACGACACCAGTAATGCGGAGAGGGACTTTGGAGCCATTCTTCTTTGGCTTCCTCCGTTCACGAGACTCGGTGGTTTTGACATAATTACCTTGTGGAAGTCTGGATTCTTGGGTCTGGTGCTTCCCTGGCACTATGGCCTCGGAGGTTTACATCGGATCGATTCTGTCTTCGAGTCAAATGTCCACTCCATGTTCTCGAGAACTTTACCGGACCTGCCACCCAGAGGATTCAAGGAAAAGGAGTGTGGGTTTGTGCAAATGATTGCAAGCAACCCCAAATATGCCGGTAATGGTTACGCTTCGAAACTGTTACAGTATCAGATGACTCAGCACTTTGAAAACCATCCAGATGTGCCGGTCATCCTTGATACAACAACCACCCAGGGAATCCGCGCATACGAAAGGTTGGGATATAAACTTCTCGCAGAGAAACCACTCGATACTGGTACGGACGAGAAAGGTATTCGCCTGAAAGGACCTGTGGATGATCAGACTCGACAAAGGATTAGAAACACCTGCATTCAGCGGGTTTTGGTGAAACTTCCTTGACTCCAATATCAGATAGCCCAAGTCTGTCTATCAGGAGCGGGAACTGCAGAATCAAAGCAGGATTCATGAGACAGAATCTTCGACAATGACAATGACAATGACTACTAGTAGTCTATCCGCACTTATGCCTCGACTCTTTGGACACTGAGATTGGGTTTTGCTTGGTGGGAGCTTCTGAGCGTGCATCACCCGTTGCACTTAGGCAATAACAACAGGATTTACACTTCAGTTTGTTCTCAAAACCACGATCTCGATATGCACAGCGAGTTCAGAAATTCCCAAGAAGTGTGGACTTCCATGTTGATGACAAGAAGTAGTTATAGAGGGAGCCATTCACTCACATATTAAAGGTCGACATCTCCTCAATCCATCTTCCAGGTATCTTGGCATCGGGCTTCTTGTACTCGTACAGTCATCGTAATGATCTGCATCTGGAATGAAGGGCTGGCTGAGACTGTAGATCATGCACCTGGCCCGGGGAGTATTCCCCACGTCACATGCAGAGCGGAAGTCCTCCGTATAGTAACCGGCTCCCTCAACTGCATAACAGCCGACATTTCGTGAGGTCAGACGGTTTTCGAATGTTGCCTAGTGTCTCAGGGCAAGCACCAATCGTCTCCAAAGGACGATATCTCGTATGCTTGGCATGTAGGAAATCTTTCCTTTCATGGTAGGAGAGTTCCTTCATATTCTGGGCCAACAAAGGAAGATTGCCTGGGGCCCTGGTCGACTTTAGGTGACATTGACAAGGATTTCGGCTGAATCCATCATCGACGAAAAGCATGGCATCTCTTCATCAATAACCGATGTATATTAACCCGGCGGCGTATGACAGCATTCTTTGGAGTACCAATACCTACCCTTCAGGTTGAATTACCCTGCGGACAATTATCGAGGGTCGTTACCACAGGAATAGACTGAATGCAGTCCGAATCTTGATTACACCTCGTTTCAGATCAATGTCAGTCCCCGAAGCATCCTTCCTTGGACTGTAGGCCAGGCACAGTATCAAAGCACAATGCTATGCAAGATGATGATATAGCATCGCTGGATTGAATGGAAACCAACCTGTCAGTCTCATAATCTGCGTAGGCCATGTGTGTTTGCAAAAAGATCCAAGCTCAAATGAACAGTTTATGGTCTTTTGGGTGACCTCTGTGCGTCCAGGTTGAAGAGATCCTGATTGTGAATAGACAGCCGTGTCAACAAGCTGTCACGCTGGTGTTTCACGCTGAATGCCGACCTGTGAAGTTCGTTCTAGTTTCGCAGCGAGATGTACCGAGTCAAAAATCCAAATATGTCCCTTTACATGACATGTAATCATGTTCGGTCTTGGCCATGATGTGATGTGCATGTAGAGAAAACCCTGTTGAACATGAGGCTTGCCTGATCAACCTTTCATCCGACGGCTCATCAACAATGCGGGTCTGTCTTCATGTAACCCTTCTCGAGTCCTCCACATTTTATGATTCGGTAGGTATCAAGTAAAAGACTTGGCTGCCTCTCAGTAATGGAGTCCGTCATGGATGGTTCTCAATTGAGAGCTCTTGCCATGCGGGGACCCCATTAATACCCTTGTTGCCACCGAGAACGCATAAGAGAGTAGGTTCGCCTTCACTGAGCGAGGCAGTTGGGTTGGCCCTTCATTGTAAGACTTCTGAAACTTGGTCTCGAAGGGGACACAAGACTTTGCTGAGGTTGAGACCCATTCGATCTCTACTTTGCAACAACATCAACAGCAATGGGTATCCTGTCGAAGATAGCCTCGAAGCGCTCGACGCTGACAACAAAGAACACTGATGTTACCACAGCTGCTCAACTTACTCTGCGACAAAGTCTGTGGCCGTTGAGCATTGTCACCATCCTCTTCTTTCTCTGGGTAAAGACGCCTCCGGACAAGAACATCCATAGTCCGATCGTCATGCATCCAAGCTGATCTTTATAATGTAAACAGGGTCTGTCTTATGGATTGTTGGACACCCTCAACAAGCATTTCCAGAACACTTTGAACATCACGAGGACGAGATCTTCGGGGTTGCAGGCTGCGTACTTCGGGTAAGACCAGAAGTATCGACCAATCGTTCGGTTCTAACAACATTCGCAGAGCATACCCGCTTGCCTCCCTCGGATATGCAAATTGGATGCTCCGACACTGGGGTTACAAATCCGTCTTCATCTTTGGGCTTTGTGTGTTCGGAGTGGGTGCTTTGATGATGCTAGTAGTCCCAAAGATGACATGGGGAAAGTGATCTAACTCCATCGCAGGTGGCCAGCTGGCGTTTATCGCTCTTTCGGTGGCTTCTGTGGCGCTACTTTCATCTGCGGCAGCGGCCTTGGATCTCTCGAAACGGCAGCGAATCCATATCTCTCAGTCTGTGGTCCACCTCGATACTCTGAAGTCAGAATCAATTTTGCTCAAGCATTTAACGCCATTGGGACGGTCATTGGCCCTGTGCTTGGCTCGTACGTCTTGTATGTCGTGACCTTGCGGACCTTGACGTCCTGAGTTGCAGTTCGATTTCGGGAATCATGCTGACTTGTCGCAGTTTCAAAGACACGGGCGACAGTGTGGCTGCCCTGAAGAATGTACAATGGGTGTACCTTGGCATAGCCATCTTTGTCTTCATTCTGGCCTTCATATTCTTCATCTCTCACATTCCCGAGGTCACAGATGCGGACATGGAGTTTCAAGTCCAAGAGACACACGTGGGAGGGACTGAGAAGCCATTTTGGAAGCAATATCGGCTGTTCCATGCTGCGTTCGCTCAGTTCAGTTACACTGGTGCTCAGGGTAAGAGATGAAGCTGTGATAAAATCGACGAGACTTGTAAGAACAGATGAAGCTGACATAGTGCCATGCAGTTGCCATCGCCAGTTATTTCATCAACTACGCTGTCGACACTCGTCCGCATACCGACAGCGCCCTTGGAGCGAAATACCTTGCGGGGGCCCAAGGAGCATTCGCGCTCGGTCGATTTTCCGGGACATTTTTCATGAGATATGTCAGGCCTCGCTGGGTTTTCCTGGCATACCTGACTGGAGTTGTCATCTTCTTGGCCGCCGCCACAGGTGCAAGAGATAATGCTGGAATTGGTAGGTCTACGATCGTCATGTTCCGTACGATAGCTAACGGACTGGGACTAGCCATGCTATTCCTCACACTCTATTTCGAGAGCGTATGTTTCCCCAGTATCGTAGCCCTTGGAATTCGTGGTTTAGGACGCCATTATAAGCGTGGATCCGGGTTCATTGTCGGCGGCGTCTGCGGTAAGTGCCACTTTCAAACTTGGAGGGACACCAACGATACTGATCGATGTGCACAGGTGGAGCGTGCATTCCCTCTTTGCTGGGTAAAGTCGCCGATATGCACAACAATACTGGTATTGCTATGTCTGTCCCTCTCGCAGTATGTTGAAACTTGGCCATTCCTCAACCGGGTGTTGTTGGCTAATTGTGTGCTTTTAGTTCATGGTCGCAGCCGAAACATATGCTGTGGCCGTAAATTTTGTCCCTGCGTATCGCATCCCGGCGGACCAGATTGGTGCAAGCACGGTTGGACTTCAATCTGCTGAGCGTACGCTTGACATCGAGAAGTCGGTCGATGCACGTACCGGGCAGGGATTCGATGGTGCTGAGATTGTTGAGGTAGAGAAACTCGAGGGAAGACAGAGGTAAAGGAGATCAGTACTGGGATATTTTCTTGACAGCATTGATAATAGATACAATGTGTACATGCCATGGTTGAAGGCTTTCCAGGAAAGGGGAAGAAGACGCTTCGATTCTGCTTGTCGAGGGGAGTTGAGTGGCATTTGCGCGTACAGTAGAGCCACTGTAGATATGCGGCTGACTAAAAGGGAACGTCGATATAGGCGAGAGAAGGCCCGAAGAAGGCGCTAAACTTGCCCCCGACTTGAATACTCAGATACCTATGACTGCCCAGAGGCAAGTAAAAGTACCTTCGCTTCATTCCATTCACTTTCAACCCGCGTATTGTTCGATATACCGTGCCACAACCACAAAATGCGGAAGTATCGTCTTGTACTCGCTAGATCACAAACAAAGAAACAACATCTAGTGCCTGGGGCAAGCCACCTTGTTCAAGCGCCTTGTCCCTTGTGGACACTTCATTTCGAGATCCGCGGCGGCTGGCGAACAAAAGTAAAAAAGAACGACAATAACAAAGTCGTCAGCTCTGATGGGTGTTTTATGGCGGCATCGGTGGAGTATCACTAGGTAATCATCGGATCCTCTTTGACACCCTCCTGTACCATATGTACGGATCCCTAGCCCTCTTATACAGATTTTTATTCTCCGGATCCAGCAAGGCTCGTGAGTAGTGCCATGTAATAATGCACATGTTTGTCAAACTCGACCGTCTAGGGAGAGTCATGGTTTTCTGTCCTCCAGGAAACCTGTCACCGCCTTCTATCGGCTGGATTGGTCCTCATGATCCGAACGCTGGCTGTATTGTACAAAAGAGCGAGACAGATTATGAGGAGACTTAAATCCAACCGAACTCGTCGGATCTCGAGTTCACGTGAATAGAGAGTCTCCAGCCGCCGCCTGTAATTCTCGAGATTGCATTTGTTGATAGACCGATCGTCCCGGCTTCAGCTTACTGACGCGATGTGGTCTTTTCACGTACAACTAGCTGCGACATTTTATATCAAACACTCATGCCTAGGGATAAACAGGCAAGGTAGCAAGATAAGACCTTTCCACCCACGATCATGACGATGTTGTTGTTACGGTTGTTACCTTTCATCGATGCGGTGAGTAAAACCCATTGTTGTTGGTGTTCTTGATGCAGCAGACATCACTTTCCACCCTCCCCCCTTTTCTGAGAGAAAGGATACACGACGACAACATCTGCCCCTAACGTCCAATGACCATCTATGACTGCATCATCGTGGGTGCCGGCTACTCTGGCCTCGCGGCAGCCAAATCACTCAGAGAAGCTGGAAAAGATGTCCTCATCCTCGAGGCGCGCGACCGAGTAGGCGGACGAGTGAGGACCAAACACTATCCCGATGGCAGGTACGAAGACCACGGAGCGGCGTTCCTTGGAGTTCAGCAGGACCAAATGTACGCTTTGGCCAGAGAGTTCAACATACACACCTTCGACGTTCCAACTGAGGGTAAGAGTGTGCTACGCTATGCGGGCAAACCATTTCGATACTCGGGACTCATTCCCCCCTTACCCTATCTCTCAGTACTAGATGCGGCACTCTCGGTGAATAAGTTCGAGGCGATGGCGGAGAAGATCGACTTGGAGGAGCCGTGGAAATCACCCAACGCGGAGTACCTAGACAGTATGACTCTGGAAGAATGGCTTCAACGTCAGACCTGGACAAAGGCCGCGAAGGATTTATTTCGGGTTACAGCCGATCTTCTCTGGGGCACATCAACGTCGCAGTTGAGTCTGCTGCATTGTCTGTGGTTCTCCAAGGCGGGAGTCAACCTGACTGTGCTGGGTAGTGTTAAGGATGGTGGGCAGGAACGGCTCATTGAAGGCGGAGCACAGAGCATAGCGAACGAGATACATCGAATATTGGGGAAGCTTGTGCATCTGGGTGAACCTGTTATTGGGGTCGACCAGCGCGAGGGCAAGACTGTGGCCGTCAAGACTTCCAAAGCTACATACCAGGCTCGACATGTCATCTTCGCGGTTCCACCACCGCTCGTGTTGAAGGTGGATTTCGAGCCACCTTTGCCGGTGCAGAAGACGCACTTGTTGCAACGTATGCCGATGGGCGCGACCTACAAGGTCATCCTCACATATCCCAAAGCATTCTGGCATGAGGAGGGGCTGAATGGAGAAATACTCAGCCTCGAGGGTTTCTTGGCTTATGGGCTTGATGTGTCGCCGGAGGATAGGAGCCGGGGTGTGTTCATGGCCTTCGTGGTGGGTGCCAAAGCCTACCGATTTGCAGAGATGGACGAGAAGACTCAGAAGGCAACGATACTGAAAGAGTTTGTCGAGTGTTTTGGAGAAGACGCAGCCATGCCAAAGCACATGACTGTGCATACTATGATGGATGAGCAGTGGTCGAGCGGTTGTCCAGTGGCGGGCATGCCTCCTGGTGCTCTGACGACACTGGGGACGTGGCTACGTAAGCCTATCGGTCGGGTCCATTGGGCAGGGACAGAACTTGCGACAGTGTGGAGTGGGTATATGGAAGGGGCGGTGAGATCTGGTCAACGAGCAGCACAAGAAGTTCTCGAGGCAATGAAACTAGGTGGTTTAGATGAATAGTGCATATGAATAGTGCCGGGCGAGGGTTTATTTTGTTTTGCCTTGACTCGGATACCAGCGTGGGACGTACACAACTTAAAAGCAGCGTGTGTCCCAATTCCAGTTAAAGATCCCGGTCCTTATAAGCGTCGACGCTGCCCTAGATGGAAGGTTTATCGGTGGTGGTGCGGGTGAGCCCGATCTAGATCTACAAGCCTAAAGGCACTCAGCGCTTGGATCATCTTCCCTCATTGCTTCCTCCTTGCGAGTTGTTGTCGCAAGCAAAGGAGGGTGCGAGTTCCTCCCCTCCATACATCCGCACTTCGAGGAAACCGACACAATTCAGAACGACGGTACCTCCGGGAGATCCCTGCATGAAATGTCAGGACTCTCTGCTCGTATGGGCAACTCGTAGCGCGAGCGAGACCCCCCTCCCCATCGTACTTCATGCAAGGAGAGGTGAAACCAGAAACCATATATTGACCTCCACGACCCGGCACCAACACACACCACAGTTCCTCAGCCTGACACCGTCCGTCCAACCTCTCCCCTCCTTCTTGTCGCTCGCTTTCTCACTCTTACTCTCGCTTGTCTGGTCCTTTGGCCCACGCGTGCACAGCGTGCACCTTTCCCATAAACAACCGTCCATCGCACACTGTATATCCCCACGGAGTACCAGCGCGGTAAAAATCGACAACGAAACATAAGATGCCCAACAAAAAAAGCAAGGCGAATGCTGTCGGCGGCCAAGTCAAGAATGGCGGCAACAGAGGGGGCGGCGACCCGATCCTCGATCTCGACGCTCTTATTGCGAACGGAGGAGGAACAACTTCTTTTGGTGGTACCGGTATCTCCGTAACACCTTTGGCGGAACCTGTGGTGAATGGAATGACATCATCAACAACAGCAGCGCATACCTGTACTCATGAACGTACACCGACGCTGACGACGACGGAAAGCGAGTCGGCAGCAGCCCGAGCCAAGGCCTTATTCATGTCTTCCCTCGGCCCCGGATCGGAAGCCTTCTCCTCGCACAGAATCGCCGATCCCCGAGATACGGTTGGGACGACTATGCGGGCACCTGGGGCGCCAGTCGCGGGAGTACCGGGAGTATCAGCATTACCAGCAGCAGGAGGAGGCCACCTGCAAAACAAGAGTACCAGCAAGGACAAGGGCACAGACAAGGCTTCTGTGGCTTCGTCGTCATCATCATCCTATAACCGACAACATCATAATATCCATTGCGACGGTTTTGATGACTTGAGGCGTGATTTTCTAGGTGATTGGATAGATGGGAAACCTTTGGACAAGTATATCGAAGCTGCCAAGTTGAAACCTACCCTCACGAAACCTCCTTCTCAATTGGATCGGGATTCAACTACCACTCAAACAGTCACCATCACAAAATCCGGTACGTCTACTGTTTGTACAAAACCACAACAGTCACAATTACAGATACAGACACGGACACAGAACGAAGCGCAAGGAGGATCAAGCTCGAGAGGTGTAAAGCAACAGAGAGAGACAGAAGAAGTCAAATCCACAACTCCAAAACAGTGGAAAAGGTCGTTTGTAAACCATGACAATTTCTTGAGTGAGTGTCAAGTGATGGCTTTCGTGAGCGGCGATGTCCAAAGCAAAAACCAAATCCAGGCGGCTCTCACAAAGGTCCTGATGCGAAAACTGCCGAATCCAGACCTACAGATCTTGTGGGCCATCATGTACGGCGGTGAAGATGCCCCGTGGCCCGGCTCGCTTTCTCCCGTCATCCCGGGAGTCACCACTACCGCCACCGCCACCGCTGTTACGACTACGGATACACATCTTTCCCAAGCAGACGAAGGATGAGGCATGAAGCATGACCATTGATTTTCTGACAAGGCGAAAAAGGAAAGCCAGCTATACGAATAATAATCCAATTGCGGCCCGCTCACAGCTATACATACTCGACTACAACAGTGGGTTATGAACGATTCAAAAGGTCATCATCAGGGACTTCGTCGCGTAACGATAACCATGCCACCATCAACAGTCCCAGCACTAGTTCCAACCACGATCCTGAGTGGCCTCCACATCTTATGGCAACGTTCTTCTCGCGGATATACGTAATGTTTTGCGCCGTATTGACAATGTCCCTGCTCGCATGTCCTGTCTGTGCGATTTGTCGGAGTTGATCGCCGAACGTGGCGAGAATATTCGTACTTCGCCCCGCGGGACAGAAAACAACCTCAAACCCTCCACCTTGTGGAATGATGAAGGTACTGGTCTGATCATCGTACGCATAGCTGTACGCATCTGGACAGACCCTTTTGGCTTGTGTCGAATAATCGCTTGGTGAACATGTGGCGGGAGTATTGTGGCTTCCTGTGCAGCAGTATTGATCTTTATTCCATTTAGCACATGCGCTGAGACAAGGGTTGAAAATTGGTCGTTGGATGTTGTCGTCTGGATATGGATATACTCCATCACCGGGCTTCTGGGGCGGGTTCAATTGCAACGGCCATGGACACCAACTTTGGATGAATGACGGCGTGACTGTCTGATCTAGCGGTAGTGGGAATGTCGAGTTTGACCCAAAATCGGCATTACCGGCAGGGGCTCCCACGGGTGCGAGCAGAGACGAAGTTCCAATGCATACTGGGTTGGTCAAATTGGGAGGAATGTCCTCCAGCGTTGAATTGCCACTCTGCGAAAGCAGTGAGATGATGCCAACGGGGAGGTTGTACCCGTCGACCAGAGAGATGTCGTAAAAGGTTTGGTACGTGTCGGAGGAATAGGTGAATTCAGCAAGTGTCGCTGGTGCTTGGCCCTAGATATTATTATACCTGATTAGCACGACGGACACATAACATGCTGTGTTACTTTTGAACTTTGCAAACGAAGGTACCAAAAAGAGAGAGAGACTTACTGCTCCAGGGCATTGCAAAAAGCTCCCACAATCTCCCGTCGTGCAAGCCACGCCCCCACTGCCACTGGATGGACCAGACCCCGAACCCGGAAAGCTACAGTTCGTCCGACCCCAGACTCTGCCCCTCCAATCGCCGCTCACTGTTTGAGGATTCGTATCTCCGGGTTGTAGGACGAATCCAGAGCTCGCCGGACCCCTCCCATTCTGGGTGAGGATGGCCGGCCAAATAGGCTCGTTGCAATTGTTGGTGACACGAAGGGGGAGGTTGATGTCTCGCGGGTGTACTTGGAGTGACGCCTCGGCCGGTACCAGGGCTGAAGACATGATGAACAACAATGTATGGATTTTCGGACGACGTCGATTGGAATTGTTGAATGTTGCGTGTCTCGTGGTACAAGTCGTCGAGGTTTGGAAATTTGAGGGTCTATGCCTTTCGTCAACCCGTTCCTGGAAGTGTGCGACTTTGGCCATCTTGCTGGAAGATTTCGGAGGGATGCTCCCTTGGGAAGGTATATACCCTGGTTCAGAGGCCCAGTTCAAATCGAGCGCCTGTTACTTGTAGGGGGGGCTGTACTGATTGTCAACCCGTCGGCCGGTTAGACTTGGATCGAGAGGCCAGTGACCCCTCCCCCCCTCCCCCGGTCAAACTGGGCGCCTGCTTATCGTATACGCTCGTACCCGTGTGTAATGATCTGGATGTGGTTGTCGTGTGGGTGACTCGGCTGCGTCGCGCGCGCGCGCGCGTGTGTGTGTATTTCGTACACAGTCGGTAGTCAGGTCAGGGTTGTCGATGGGAATCAATAAGGATAATCTCGGGTTGAAATAGAATTTGGGACGAAAGCAAAGATTCGAAAGAGAAAGAAAAAAAGACTTTTTGGGCAGATTGTTTGATGTTGAAGAGCCCGCGCGTGAGGTTTCTGAAATAAGAGCCTCCAGAACCCCCCAAAAATATTGTCGAGGCGTTGTTGTAACTTTTTTTGGTGCAAGGAAACGTGATGAGTCGAGGAGGTATGTTGGCAAAAAGAAGGCGCGAATCAATCAATCAATCGATCGAGGACCAGTAAGTATTATCGGTCGGGGGTTAGTTTTTGTGTGTTGCCTGAAACAGAGTACATTTGTATACGCTTCAGGATCGTCCCTATTCGACCCGACAAACACAGGGTACGAACGAGTTGCAAAGGATCTTCTGGTGATGATGAATATTGTTGGTCAGTGGAATTTTCGGAGCATTTATGTCTGGAGTAGGTAAATATGTCTGGTCTGGAGGTTTTGTCGTCGCGGGATCTTGTACTAGTTGTATACTGGTCGTGCCAACCCCCTCCCGGCGGACGGTGGTGGTTTATTTCATACCAGTAGGGAACAGGTCGACGAGGTCATTTATTTATTATTATTATTATTAGTAGTATTATTATTCCCTGCTACTTGAACAAAAAACCCCATCTTTTTCAAGCCTTCCTTTTTCTGATCCATATGCACACCTGCCATGGTTGTCAGACGATGTACTCGTACTCGTACTCCTCCAGGGTGCGTTGTCCTTGATTTCCAGGTTTGTCTCGTTAACGCGCAAGCAAATGGTATGATGTCATCCAGACCACGATCTAGTCCGTATCTGGTAGGAACGATCGACAAAAGAAGGGACCGGCACGGATCATTGTGGCGCCGGACCGCGCGGTGTGTGTCACCGCTGGCTTGCCGTCGAGATGTTCAGCATCAAAACCTCACAAGTGGCAACTGCAAAGCAACGAACAATCATGCAACAAACGACAAATTGTTGGCTTTACATGTTTCATTGATTCTTCCAATGCCAATGGAGAATGTAAATAATCATCATACTCCTCCCACCGATGAAGCCTTCCTAAATCATCCCTTTGATGTACTTGTAAAATATCTCTCCATTTCAAGTATACCCATCCAATCCTCCAATGTGAACCTGGCCTCCCAGCCGATATCCCATCAACGACGTTCGTCCCTATCCTATCACTATCCTATACCACTATCCCCGCGTTCTGCAGAATCATTTATACCCTAAAAAGTATATTGTTGTAGACATCCCAAATGAAGGTTGACAGATTTGCTTGAGAAGCAAGTATTGTACGCTGCTTGGCAAGAGAAAGAGATGTCAAGTATTTGTCGTCTCATATTCATCGATATGCTGCTTGAGATTGATTCGATGATGACGACGATGACGCAGATCTTGTCTTTGTAAGTTGTCGTCTGTATTTGCAGTGACATCGTCATGGTATTTGTTAAAGTTGGCGATGTCGAGTGGTTAGGTCCTCCAATGATTGATTTGTCTGACGTGCCGCAGAGATTGATCCCAGTTTAGTTGAAGAAGTATTGTTGATTACCAGGAACAAATTCAAAGTACCCAGGCATGGGTTTGGCATAGACCTGATGTATGCCAGGGGAGAACACAGGCTGTGGTGGTGGCAGTTGTTGTTCAGGCATTGGATTGGCATAGATCAGGGGTGCGCCAGGGGAGAAAAAAACAGGCTGTGGTAGCGGCGGCGGCGGCGGCGGTTGTTGTTGTTGCTGTTGTCCGACAGGTTGGTATATGCCTTCGGTAGGCGAAGGACACTCCCGCCAATCCTGAGCACAAGCAATGCTCGGTACTGCTGCGTACAGCTGCCCCTGTCCCACCATCTGTGGGGTTGCCTGCGGTGATCGAGGCCAGAACAAGTGCAGAATCCTCATGAGCGTATAGATCATGTGGGTGTGACCCTGATCTGCGTTTCCCTGCCAGGCCAAGTTCTCTGCAACTTGATATCGGCTATCGATAGCCGTGTTGAGCTCGAAAAGAATGTCCTCAGGCATCGGGGTACCTTTGTGGACAAGCTTATCAGCCAGTTTGAAATGCGAACTCACAGATGTAGTTCTCCATTCGGACATTGGCACGCCGGAAGCGACCCTGATCCAACGGAGAACACGATCCGTGGCTGGCTTATACGCAGCATGAAGCTTGCTAATCTCTGGACAGAAGTCTTCCATTTGTTTTGAGCAATAGAGGTGATGGGATATGAGGGACAGGATATTGAAAAGGTGTCGTGTATGATTGATTGCTGTTGCTAACGCTCGTATCTGAGAAGGCTGTATGATATTGTTTGGCTAGATCAAAGTCTTGCGATTCAATAGCATATCAACCGTTCAGATGTGAGAAGTTTCTGTCCTTGGAGGAAAGACCTCTCCTCGGGGGAGCAGGAGCGACACTTATCACTGCTGAACAACATAGTCTATCCATCGAGTTCGCTGTATAGACTTTTTCCAATGTGAAGAGGTATTTGGTTAGGAAAGCGGTTTCAGACAGTCACGGCCAATGAGCTAGTCCATGGAGGTGTCCACGGGCAGGTGAGGCATCCATATCGCAACTTCCACAGCTCCACAGTGCGAGACAGCAGCAAGCACACTCTCCACGGTCGTCGCGCTGTTTTCAACGTCTAGAGATCCCCCAATGAGACCACTCTCCATGCTGGTCCACTCGCACTGCGTCTGCTCTCTCTTTGCGTGTTCAACGAAGACCAGGTGTGCATTGTTTGACCGGACTGGCCCACACTAAGCAGATTCCCATGGTACACCTGTACAGGAAGCTTTTCCCAGGGAGTGAGTCCAGTCATAGTGGATTGGCAGTGACCGGTCCACTTTGAAGCAATATCGTTCAGCTGTGGAGGCAGATTTCAAGGGAGATTCTCATAGGAACCAGAGATACACCCTTCGCACAGAGCATTGCGGAAGAAAACTGGAAGGCTGGAGGGACATATATATATATATATATATATATAAAATTTTGTTACACAACGGAGCATGAGATGCTGAGAAAGCAGGTAGGACGCCAGCTCTGAGAAGAGTATCGACTAAGCCCCTGTCGAGCGAGAGATCTATGCCGAGCCTACTGAATCGCAGTAAATGCTCGAGGGGACGTTGGCCAGACTCACACTGACGTGTTTTTTGAAGTCGAGGGACTGAGGCCAAGGGTTCTCTGCCCGCCTTGTTCCTAACTTACCTGACCTACGAACATATAGACCCAGCTCGCAAACTATAACAGGTCTGAGAACGACACAGGTCCATTTTGCGTTGTTTGACAGTCCTGGTTTTCAACGACTGATTGGTTTGAGATCGTCGGATTGAGCTTAAATGGAAGACAATTGAGATATACGGTTCTCGCATTGAAGAAAGACTAAAAATGCTTGAGTTGCTCGGCTCCTGGTGAACCACTCTATCATGTTCATTCATTGTGGAACTCCGGGGGAAAATTGTGCCGTCCCAAACCCCGGACCAAAGGTTCTCATCGAACGGAGTGAGACATTATGGAGACATGAACCATTGGGTGAAGAGCGACTGACGATTCCAATTGAAGTCATGTCGTGGAAGTATAGTAATCGTCTAGAAAAAGTTACAGTGGAGAGGATCTGAAGTCCGAAGTGAAGCAGTGGAACTTACTCCGTACAGACGTTTAAGATTTCCGATTGGGCGCCCTGATGGATAAGATCCTGACGGGATGACTAAGTATGAATACGAACCCCAGAAAAAAGAGGCATTGACTGTCTCAGATTGTTCGACAGAACGTTAAGGAGTATTATTAGGCAGAAGGTGAATATCAAGCTACCAGAGCCTCTGGGAATGAAATTTGGTGATGACTGTCATCATTTCTGAAAAGTGTCGTCGTTGAGAAGAAGAAAGAAATCGTCTGCGCCTACAGAGTATGTACTACCATGATATCCATTACTTGAGATCGTATATCGGGTCGATCAAGACTCTAATGGCAGCCTGGAAAATCTTTTGTCAAAACACCACCATCCACATGAACACAAAACGCCTCAAGAAAACGAAAGAAGGAAACAAGAATCGATGTTTTATTCCAACCTTCACGAATAGAACCAATACAGTGCGGAATAGTCGACACTGAATGCTGAATCCTGCCCTTGGCATGTTGCTGGGGGGTTGCCTCCAGCTGTGCTTAGTCGGTAGACGGCCTTGATCTCGCTGACCGTATCTGCTCGAGATGTGAGATACAGCCAGGCCACTGCACCATTGCCTTGACCATTGGGCCCCACGACCGAGTTCGTTGGAGCCTCGGACGAATTGACTTTCTGAGTAAAGACCCTCCCAAAGTCTGGCGACTCGGGCGCGTCAAAGGCGAAGACAGGTGTGGTCGTGTTGGCAAAGTAGTGGTGGGTCGTCAGGACCAAGTTTGATGGCTCTAGGTCGCCAGTGGGATCTGCGGGCAATGGATATTGCAGAGCCAGATTGGGCATGATGGGCAACAGGTCAGGCCAGTCGGAGGCGACACAGGACACATTGTAGAAGCGGGCGACAGCTCCAACCGCAGCTGGAGTGGCGGTCGCGTTGGCACAGGTATAGTTCTATCGAGTAGGTCAATCAGAAAGTATCTTGTCGGCAAGCACGGGCACACTCACCTGTACACCTCTTCCCAGAGCCACATGCTGAAGAGTGAGACCAGACGGGGTCGGTAACGGAGTGGGTGCCACAGGCATTGCAGCCTTTGCGAGGTCGCATGTGGGTGAAGCGGCGCCTGATTTGGCTTGCTGGATGTAGCTGAAGACGACATCCATATATCCCGCCAGTGTCGGGGTCCACTCGAAAGTCCCCTTCGGAGGAGCCGGTGAGGCCAGTACTGAGGCTGCCAGGCAGGCAATGGTGAATAGGTACTTCATCCTGAGGAAAGATTGACAGCGGCGACGACGATTACAAAATAGAGATTAGACGACTTCTCGAAGGTCTGACCTGCAGATCGATCTGACGGCAATGGAAACGCGGTAGGAAGATAATGAAAGTCCAAAGGAAAATGAAATGCCTCGCCGACTCTTCGGAGCAAGGAGACAGTATATGAGGAACAAAAGGGAAGAAAGTGACCTTGTGGCAGACCAGCCGCCGGATTATATGGCCATGATGGCCCATGGTAATGAGGACTGCCATGCCGGACTGGGATAGGATGGTTGTCATCTCGTCAGAGAGGATTGCAGAGCCCATGTTTCTATCTTCGGCCACCCAGCATTCGTGATTGGCCCGTTAGCTAGCGAAGGGTGGAGGCTGGTTCGGGCGTGCATGAAGGGCAGCACGAGGCGGCAAGGGGAGATTTGCCGTCGGCTCTGATGATCGACCAGGGTTTGGCGGTGGTGGTACAGAATTAGAAGGACGCGTATTGGCGCTGGCGGCAACGGGCCTTGGAACTCGCCTGGTTAGAGGCATCAGGCCAACCACTCGTGGCTCTGCATTGCCCTGGTCGTCGACCACACTGCAGGTGGCATGTTAGCGGCATCGACGGGGCCTTCTCTTCCTCCCCTATCGCTTCTCTCTGGCTGTTTCATAGCCGCCCTCCCAACCGCCCTCCGACCACCCAGCGTCGAGGAACCTTGCAGCCTCTGCATCCGACCACTGCATGACGCGCATACAACAAAGCAGCCCGGCTGTTAGAGAAGTCGGTCGTCTGATGGGGCAAGAAGGGTTCAGAGAAGGTTCACCATCTTTTGTCGGTTTCAGAAATCTCGCCAAGGGAGAACCAATCGACCCTCCCTTCGACCTCGACAGTCTAGGCCGCTACAAAGGTCGACGAGCAGTTTCGACCGCAGCTTGACCACCTTGACAGCGCTTACAAAGCCCATCAGGCAGCTCATCAATTACAAGGCATATCCGCAGTCCCAAAAAAGAAGCAATGGCGCCGGGATGGCCTGGTGTCTCCTCTGGGTCCTAGGATAACTTGGAGACAAAATATGAGTGTCTGGCGCAACTGAGGCCACTTCCGGGTCGGACGTTGTTGCTATAGCCCACGCCGGCGAACCTTGTGCAGTGACAATACACCACCAGTGGGAGTGAGACAGTGACACTGTGCTTACGTACGGGGTACCTATGTACATACATGGGTACGGAGTAGGTGCCTACGAACCCCATAGCTTAGCTCAATATGGGAAGCGGAAGCCTTCAGGCCTTCCATCATCCCCGAGGCTTCCATAATGGTGAGTGCGAAATTTGCGAACTGGGCACGGAGTAAGATCACCACCGAACCCAGAACAACTTTGAGTCGGCCTTGAACATGGTTATGCGCAGCTCTTCAATGGCAGCATGACAAAGGAGCACGCGCCACGTTGCGAATTGTCCCCTCACAATAGAGAGGGCATCGCCTACAACTGCCTGCATCCTTTTTGGCCCTACAGTCAGCCCGCCGGCGGTATGGATTTAGGATGACCGCAAAATGCCCTGCAGAAGGAGGCGATGTCGGTCTTCATCATCGACTTCCCTTGTCAGCCTTTTGCCTTGAATCTGAAACAGCCGCTTCCCATGGTGAACAGGAGTAATTTTTTTAGCCTGTTGTCTATTAACACGGAGTCTGACTGCCCCGTATACATGCATATACACTTGCACATACATATTTCCAAAGTTGCGAAGCACTCATGAAAAGGACCATCGCCGTCGTCTTGGAAAAGGAGCCAAAGATATTCTATTCCCATTCGGTGAATGGTGCGACGGCGCGCAGAATCCTCCGTCCGTCTAAGCAACATGGCTTCTCTGCCAACGAGTTGGGCGGCGAGCACATATCTTCCCCGATACATAGCGTAGACCCTTTCCCTTGCGCAAACCCACGGGTTAACGTTAAGCAGAGACTAGAGGCAGGATGAAACAGACAAGAAAGGTGAACTGGCATGGAATCAGGTACTTTGCATATCGCAAAAGCGACAAGACCAAGGTACCCTGAATGAGGATCAACCGAATTCCTCCTGATGCCATTCGACTGCATTCGAATCCGGAGCTCGGAGAGCAGCGCCACCAGCTGCTACCGCGGCTTCTCCGAGGTGAACAGCAGTGCGGTCAACATCGGCTGCGCCCATCCAATATAGCATCAAGAAAACCAAGAGATGGAGTGCCATGCAGTACGCGGCAAAGAGGTTGCGCGAAGTCCTGGTGGCAAGGACGATCCTGGTCAAAGAGAAGATGACCCGCTCAGGAAGGCTCATGCGTTTATAGGCACGTGCGGCCTCCCGACCTCGGAAGGCGGCAAAGGGTGAGATATTGGCCTCGTACTGCGACTTCCATCGATTTGAAGTGCTATCGTCCGATATCTGTACGGACATATGACCCGGCGATCCCCCATATGAAGCAGAGGAGGTGGCGGTAGGCCCACGGCTATACGCCGACACGTATCTGGACTTTTCGTACAGATTGAGGTTGTCCTTCTGGAGCGATGCGACCTCTTGGCGCAATGAAGTGACTGTCGCGTATGTGTTGGAGAGCTCTTCTTCGAGCTGCTGATTCTTTTGCTTGAACCTGTCTCGTTGAGCTTGAATCATTGGCAAGATACCCGAGCCTCCTCCAACAGGTTCGCCTGCTCGCAAGGATTCGAGAGTATTTCCCCGAGGTTGCATCTCATAGCCCGAAATAATGGACGAGGTGGGTGATGCTCTTCCACGTCGTAGAGAACTGGTTGGATGCCGTGACACATAAGTACCAGCCACCGACATACCGGAAGATGGAAGTGCATTCGCTGCTTCCTCCTGTATTCTTAACAGATCATTTTCCAGGGTTGAAGAGAGCTTTTGAGACTTCTCTAGCTCTGCATTCGTTCGAGAGAGTTCTTCTTGATGTTCCTCGAGTTGACGTTGTAAATCTTGGTGCGATACTCGAAGCAAGGTTAGCTCATTGCTTAATTTCTTGTTACGTGCTAGAAGCAATTGTTCAAGAGATTGTTTGTTGCCAGCTTCGGCCCATCCATTCGTGGGTCCATCATCAGCATTGTCATCGTCCTCGACTGACAACTCAAGAGATCGTAGGGTATCGAGCTCGCGCTTCAGGTCGTCGTAATCCGACCATTTGTTGATCTTGGTCCGTAGTTCTTCGTTCTCACCTGATAGTTGTGATCTTTGTCGCTCTGCTTGACGGAGTTTATCTTCCCATGTCCGCTTCTCGGTTTCTTTCTCAAACCGAGCGGATTCAATCTTCCTCAGGAGGGAGGAGTTCTCGGATTGAAGTCGTAGGTACGTCGGATCTTCTTCGATCTCATGTCTTGCTGCATCCTGCGATGCCCGTGCAAGATCTAGGCGCAATTGTTCATTCCTGGCTTCGACTTCGGCCAAACGGGCACTGGTCTTCTCGAGTTCTGAATGCACCATTTCCAACTCTGCGGATGCAGCCTTAGACGAAACACTCTCAGCTGTGCCGTCTTGTAGTCTCTGCGAAACCTCGTAGTTCGCCTTCAACTCCTTCAATAGCCTGTCCTGGTTCTCGACCTTCTCTTCCAGAGCTTGTTCTCTCGAAGTCCAGTTATTCTGCTTCTCTTCCAGGACTTTCTCCCATTTCTGTTCAATTTCTTGTACGCGGCTTCCCGATCCCGCTTCTGCCTCTCGCCTGGAATTGCTCTCATCTTGCAATTTCTTTTCCGTCTCCTCTAATTGTGCACTCAGCTTATTCACCCTGGCCAACAGTTGCTGGTTCTCGGTTGCAAGTCTAGGGACGGTATCCTCGGACGCAACAAGGGAGTCAACAGATGCTTCGAGTAGAGGAAATGGATCAGGCGCTTCGGATAGAGGCTGGTATAGTTGGAGAAAGGCAGACGAAGATGCCTTGCCATGACCAGTTATCAGATCGATGAAGGACTGGTAAGCTACAGGGCGTCAGTAACGACCATGGAGCAAAGGGTGGCAACCAACACTTCAGCAAAGCTTTGTACTCTGTCAACTTTGCAGCGTCTTCTAGCTTTCTGAAATCCTTCGTTTTCTGAGCCAATTCTTTACGTTCAAGCAAAGCGTCTCTTTGCTGTGACACTATTTCGGAGGCGGTAGAGTCCAGCTGTGGCATCAACGACGAGAGATCGATGTCTAAAACGATTAGTATCTCCAAGGACTTCTGAGGAGATACAACACATACTGCGCCATGCAGCTATGGCCCGCTGAAATTTGTTGTCGCCCTGCGTTGAGGGAGTGTCTTCAGCACCATTATCGCTGGCTGCATTGTTCCCATGGGGGACGCTGGCCTCTGAAAGGGCCAGAGCATCCATTGCTCCTCAAGTATAGACAGCCAGGGCTATCATAATAGCAACGTGCTGGAAACAATTGTTCATAACCGAATCTCAGACTTTATTACACGTACGGAGTACTTAGTACTCCGTCCCTAGAACCCCATGAACGCGTCAACAGGAAAGATGGCCGGAATTACGCTGCCTTATGTAATCCTCCGCATTGTGCCCTTGAGCGCAGTCGATGAATGATTCTTGACTTCTAAACAACTGCTATACAGCCACGCTCAAGTGAGCTAGACCTTCTAGCATTCAGGAGGGACTGAGCCATACCAGCAACATGAACTAAAGTTGTTGTGCTTTCGGAATGGAGCCCCCAGAGAAATATGAAACCCGACCTCCAAAACGAAGGCGTCTATCTCCTCCAGAATCTGGCCCATATGTCCTTCGCAAGGTACTGGAAAATATTCCTCTGACTACAGAAGATGGCAATGACCAGGTTTCCATAACCTGTGTGGAATACTGGAGTAGGTACGTTGTCAATGTGATCCTGCAACGGTGGCTCACCATGCTCCAGGCAACAGTTTGTACATTGGGACATCTGCAGCGGAGGTCCTTCATCTAGTGTCTATACCGCCAGATAACGAGAATGACGATGTATCTCCCACCTTCATCCTTGCCTCCCGATTACAGCCTAGAGGGCATGCAGTGTCCGCAGGCTCGACCAATGCACCCGGTGTCCAGCAAATCCTTGTTCTCCCGGGCCCGCTGAAGGCTTGCGTCCTGTGCAATGGTGTTGTGTCCTTCTACTCCTTACCAGAATTCACTCCAGCATTCCCAAACAGAGAGCCAACAGGCGTACAGTGGATTGGTGGGATAGACGAGAATGAAGGTAGAGATAACCCTGAGGGACCGGTGGTCATGATTGCAACGGCGAAACGGATCCTGCTTGTGCGTGTAGGCGAGAGGCTCAGAGCTATCAAGAATAATATCGAATATCCACGTTGCTTGAGATCGAGTAGGAGGGAGACCATTGCATGTGTTGCGGACGATGAGAGTTATGCTTTGGTGGAGGTAGAACATCAGCAGAAGATACCATTGTTTCCCATATCTTCGCTCCCACCAGCCGATGATGAGGCTCCCGGCGACGCCGGTAGGCCTCCGTCTGAAGTCAGCAGTCACGGCAGGAGCACAAGTATGGGAACTCTGATCGGGTCAGACAGTAGGAAGCGTGATACTTCTCAGGATTCTCGACTGAAGCCTCCAGATCCTAGCGTTACTGGTTCCGGAAGAGCACCCTCCCCAGGTGCAACGATGGACGACTCAGGCGGCGGGCAAGAAGAGAATGAACGCTCGAAAAGTAGACCTCGAGCATCAACCGAAGTGCTTCCAGGCAAGCCAACCACTAGTGCACTACAGGCTCGGACTCGCCTCAAACCGCACATACTTTCACCATTTCCAGCAGAATTCATGTTGACCACTGGAACAGGAGAGGCTGAGCCTGGTGTTGGTATGTTCGTCAACTTGGATGGTGATGTGGTTCGTGGAACGATTGAATTCGAGACCTACCCAGAAGATTTGCTTGTCGACAATTTCTGGGTGCCTGAGAAAGATGGGCCTCCTATGTCTGAGGAGGAACATAAGATTATCGTCGCCCTCTTACGACCGACTGAGCTGCACCCAGAGCGACGGCTGGAAATACAGAAAATAGAAAACGCGGCTGAAATAACTCATCCACGAACGGTGGTAGCTCTCCCCCCCGCCGTGATCGAGTCTGCACAAGCTGGTTTGCACCATCTCCTAAGCACTCAACATTACTCTTTCAAGAATGCTGGTGAGCTTTTGCAGCTTGTCCCATTTTCTATAACAGGGCCAGGACGCCTTTCCCCCGGCTTGAGCACGGACAGTGATCCCAGAACTCAATCAGCTGTCGAACAGCTTGAGCAAGAACGGGCGCTCTTCGACAGCCACTCTACCAACACTCCCGCAGAGCCGTCTTTGGAATTGATCAACAGACGTGCAGCGGAAGAAGCCAAGCTTGCTCGTCGATTCAGCCAAGCATTTACTAGAAATGTCGTTTGGCATGATCGGGACTTGTATATGATCCTACAAAATCCCCTAATTGCTCAACTTGAGCATCGATTGATGCAATACTTGAGTGACGATAGTTTGGCAAAAGTCAAGCCAAGCCAGGTGTTTGGCTTCCTAGCCACTATTCATGGTCGCGAGCCCAAAGATGAAACTGAATTTCTGACCTTGAACTATATCAGACAAAAAGCTAGCCTAATACTGCTTCTGCACCTACAAACTCAGCTTTCGACTGAATCTGGACTGGAGGATACTTATAGAGCGGTGGAGAACACGCTACACGACGGCGGCCTGGATCCGCGAATCGTCTTACTCCTGGCGCCTCCTCTAGCATCTGAGGTGCTTTACGGTCCAGAAGGTATCTGGATCTATCAGGGCATGGCGGAACTCCTCGACAACTTCCAAACACCAATCTTGGGGTTCGAGGATACACCTACGGACTTTTGGATGATGATGCGGCATTTTCTTATGCTATGGCAAGAAAAGCGAGGATATGGAAGCATAACGGATGAGAAATACGTCTTCGATTCCGTTGATGCCGCCCTGCTTCATGTGTTGCTATACCTTGATCAAGCACTACCACCAAACAGTCCGGCCCAAAAGTCAGTTAAAGCCAACCTCAACAATGTCGTTGATCACTGGAAGGGCGACTTTGACCGAGCAATTCTACTCCTAGAAAGGTACGATCGACTATTTGTTCTTAGCCGTCTGTACCAGTGTAGGAAACAGGCGCGTGATGTCCTAGGCACGTGGAGACGGATCATCGAAGGAGAAAAAGATGTCGATTACAGCTCGAACACGACACCTGTACAGGCTCAACTGCGACGGTACCTGATCCTCATTCGAGATGCCAGCCTAGTTCAAGAGTACGCCATATGGCTCGCCCAACGTAATCCTCCTATGGCAGTACAGATTTTCACCGACGACACCGCCAAGGTCAAATTCAACCCTCAACAGGTCGTCCCCCTCCTGAAAGAGCATGCACCTGGGGCTGTCCAGGAATATCTCGAACACCTGGTATTTGGCAAGGGTCTCGACAAATACGCAGACGATCTCATTGGATACTATCTCGACTCGGTGCTGACCGTTCTCGAGAAATCAGAAGCCGCAAGGGCGTCATTGGCGGAGAGTTACTCGTCATACCGTGCCCTCGAGTCCCCGAAGCCAACATACCTCGACTTCATCAACCAAAACGCACCAAACGAACCGTGGTGGCAATCCCGCCTGCGCCTGCTCCAGCTGCTCGGTAACGGCGCTTACGCGACGACGACGACGACGACCTCGGGTGCAGGCAAAGATCTGACTTATTCGGTCCCCATGGTCTTGAAGCGCATGGCGCCGTTTTCGGAGTTCCTCGTGTCGGAATCCATCATCCTCGATGCACGCCAGGGTCGACATAAGCAAGCCCTGAAACTCCTCACGCATGGGCTTGGTGATTTCGACACGGCGATACGATATTGCTATTTCGGTGGCCCAGCGCCGGCTCACGCCGTCACAATCGACATCAGCGCCCTGCCCCCACGCGACGTCCAGGTCGAGCTGTTCAATTTCTTGTTCCACGAGTTCCTCGCCATTGCCGATCCGGAGGACTGTCTCGAGCGCACGAGTCATCTGCTCGGCAAGTTTGCGACCTTCTTCGACCCTTTGGCTATATTGGTCGACGTCCCCGATACGTGGGGCGTGGATGCCCTCGCAGAGTTCCTCGTTCGCAGTTTCCGCGCGGCGACAACGGAGCGGAACCAGGCTGTCATCATGAAGGCATTGAGTGCGGCGCAGAACCTGCAGAAGCAAGCCGAGTTCATTGACGTGTGTGAGAAGATGGGTGCCAAATTCGAGCGTGAAGTTTCCGGAAACCGTGGCAGGGATGACGAGGGTGCAATGGATATCGAAATTGATGGCGCATGAGTCGACATTTGAATGGCATTCCCAGATCCTCGATGTGAACCAAAGCGTTTGGACTAGTATGTAGCTTAGGTAGGCGGGAGAGCAGCTAGATATCTACCCTACGTTAGGTATATATTCAAATTGTGGCAAGATTACTATAGTATTAGACATTATCTGCATCTCCATGTGGACCAGCACATTGAAACACGCTCGCCATGTTGTAAAACGGGTGTGCCTGAATTGTGCCCTTGAAATCTTCTGTACACAACACAAAAAAAAACAGACATGACAAGACCCTACTGAGACGCCGGGTTGGTGATTTCAGATCAACTCTGTCCATGGCTTTACAAAGTCGCTTCGCTCGCTTGCTGTGTTCTTACGCCCGCGTCTAGAAAGTTGAGCGGACAGAACAAAATGGTGACGAAAGAAGACAAAGCACAAAAGAAAAAGATCAACAAAAAAAAGGTCTATGAGAAGGAAATCCCCTGAATGAACGTAGTAGTGGGATGCTGGTCGTCACATCGTCTCGTCTTTTTTCCCCACGAAATTGGGCCGTGTCGGTGTGTGGTGGTGTGGTGTCAACAACACCTTCCTCCTCCTCTAGAAGGAGGTCTCCGGAATACGTCCTCCCACTCGCCGAGATTGGTGAGGATGCCGTTTCGTCCGCCGGCGCCCCGTCTCCGCCGTCTTCGTAGAGTGCTGCCGTCGTCTCCCGCCACGCCGGACCGTACGCTCGCGTCTCCGTCCCAACCGCCACCGTCGCCGTACTGGATACCGCTGGCCGGGTCGTCGGGGTCGATCTCGCCGAGCTCGATCTTGGTCAAGATCATGCGCGCCAGGCGGTTGAACAGCTCGTCGACGTTCTCGCCCGTCAACGCGCTGACTTCCATGGTGACGGGGATCCGCACTTGGCTGGCCCAGCGGGCCGCCAGGTCCGACGGCACCTCTCTACCTTCTGTCGACGTCGTGGCCGTCCATTTACTCGAGGTGTGAAGGAGGAGCGAGTCCGCGCGAGACCGTGTCGTGCCGCTAGGTGTGCCGCCGCCGGGCGTGCCGCCGGACTCGTAGGGGAAATAGGATTGCCGACTCGAGGCGCTAGAGGCGGAGGGTGTTTGTTGATCTTGTTGGTGTTGTTGTTGTTGTTGCCCGGCCGCTCCAACCAGCTGCGTCGACGATGCCGCAGCGCCGTTCATGGGCTGTGGTTGTGTGCGCGAAGCGTCTGCCAGGTCGGACTTGTTTGCCGCGAGTATCACGGTCAATTGCGGACTCGCCAGGGCGCGGGCGTCGCTGAGGAACGTCGGTAGGGCGTTGAAACTGGCGAGACTGGCCACGTCGTAGACCAGGATCGCACCCGCGGCGCCGCGATAGTACGAACGGCTCACGCTGCGGAAGCGCTCGGTCCCGGCGGTGTCCCACAGCTGGAGCTTGATGCGTCTTCTGTTGTTGGGCGCCGTGCCGCACTTTACAATCTTGGAGGAGAACTCGACGCCGATGGTCTGCGAGGAGAGGACGCGCCATTCGCTCTTGACGAAACGGTGAAGGAGGCAGGATTTCCCGGTGCCAGAAGGGCCGAGCAGGACGATTTTGGCAAGGTAATCGTACATGCTACCCAACTCCTAATAATTTGTTAGAACATGGTTCGTCGGCGTGGGAGAAATAGAGATGCCGTTTACCTGATTCTGATCGGGTATCGAACTCATGTCCGACGCTGCGGACGGTCGACGCGGGCGAGCCATAATGGCGGTGGTGCGTTATTGGACCGTCGTCGACGTCGGGTTGAGGTCGCCGCTGCTGGTCTTTGTCGTCGTCGTCGTCGTTCCATGCAGGAGATGGAAAACAAAACGAGGAATAATAGCGATCGACTAAAGATCGTCTTGTCGTCCTGCCCAATGCGGGATGCCAAACCAGATGAGACTGTGCTTAGGTAATGAGCGGGCGGAATTACTTTGCACCGAAGGAGAGGAACAGGAGGTTGTTCCAGTCGTCCTAGCCTTGCTGAGGGGCTGTGTAATGAATATTCATATTCCTATATTATGTTCAAGGCTAGGTAGGGAAATTATAGGACGAGATAGGAGTTCCCAGGCCAGTGAGCCATCGATGCAGACTTGGTAAAACGAACGCCCATACTCGTACTCATACTGGTACTCGTTCTGTTGGGTATCTCCCTCGGATGCAACTCCTCCCAGGCATGTGAATCCTTTGCTCAAAAGTTACCTAGGCTCGTACCCATTGATCAAGAACCGTAGCCCCCCTGCGGAATTACGTAGGTGGGTTGAGGTCGGGCAATTGTCATCATTATCGCCTGGAAGTGGTCACTGATGGCTGTCGCTAGCGGGGTCTTTGCCGTCTCGCCGGGATGGTTTAGTCCCTGGATCTGCGACATTGGCAGATCTGACAGTCCAATGGTGAAGCCAACCTCCTGAACAGGGCATCATGGTGGCTTTTGCGGACAAATCGACAACGAGGGATCAACAGCGTCGTAGGCGAACTTGATGTAGAGATCTCCAGGCGGGGGTGTGAGTTGTGTGTGTGTGAGAGAGCACACACCAAAGTCTTGTTCATGGCAAAAGGCATAATGCTACGCGTCCAGAGTTCTTATTCCAACCATTTTTCCTTTCACCTGTGTTACAAACCTGTGAGAGATTAAGTCCTTTTGTTCCCATGGCGCTCTCTGTTATTGAAAAATAAAATCTCCGCTGCAGTCCAAATATTAATGTGTGATCCCTTGGGAATGGTGCCCTTTTGAGACATCACAAACCCTGATCGAGGGAATTTCTGTTCCCAAAGATATCCATCCACTCTCCCAACTTTTTCACACCATGCCTTCGAGAAATCAAGTGGCCAACGGCCTTCCAACATCCAGAACACCTTCTCCGCCAGATTCTGTCAGCAGCACCTCTTCCTCCTCTTCAAGCACATACTTCTCTGCAAGTTCGGGTCACTCACCTCCAGCCTCACCATCGGTGCCAAAGTCAACGCATACACTGTATAGCTTACAAGCGTCTCGCCCACGGTGGACATCACGTTCTCAGACTGTTCTGGGAGCAATTGACGAAAATGGCGGCATAGTTTACCCTGACACACCGTCCTCTGTCGCTAAGGAGACCAGCCCTATCGCTCGTTTGCACGCATACACTTCGGCACCCAACAGGAAGAAGGCTACAATTGCTTCCACCTCAAGTCCACCACCAAACGAGTTCGATGTGGTTCTCGGCCCTAACGGCGAAAAGTTCGCTGACTTACGAATGAATCGAAAGCTCGACGTCGAAAAAAGCCGAGGAATGCTCAAGCGTTTGATGTGCTTTCGATGACCCCTTCTATAACCCTTCGTTCATGGCGTTTCAATTTTGGCTCCAAATGTTGAGGGTCAGCATATCAGCGGTATCGCCCTTGAATTCAATCATTCCTGGTTCAGAACTCCACGAGGGGTGTATGGAGGTGATGAAATGATAACATGAGGATCCATGATGATGAAAAATGGAAAAAGGTACAAAAGCAAGTTTCTGAGTATGGGAATCAACAGCACCTTGACCTCAGTATGAGATAAACCAGTCATAGGGAGTGACAAATGGTTGAAGGAGTAAGACGGATCTGGTAGTGCTAGTGTTTTGTACACATCGATTCTGCTCAAGTTTTAGACTAATAATGCAGCAATGCCCTGAGAATCGAATGCGTTTGATGTATACATGGACAGCAAGTGTGAAAGTCTTTCTTCCAGCATGTGTATGTGTTCTCTACCAACATTGCTATAGCAGGTATCCGAACAGCTCTTGTAAAGCACCGGTTCGGAAAAGGACTTTTCCAAACAATATATGGCCCTAACTACAATTAACCACCTACTTACGGAGTATAGGAACTCATATCCGCAGCCGGTAGTAGTATGATAGCCGAGGTGAACAATCGTTCTTGGCTGCGCCCTTCTCCAACTTGAATAATCCATCTCGACTTTCCACCATACAAAGGACAACATCGTTCTGCCGATATACCCGACTCTATGCAAAAGCATTCCAAGAGCTCTTGTGATTTGATGGCTCTCTGCGGCTGCTTCCCCTTTCGATCGAATTATGTTGGTCTCCTCAAGCTGACCGCCAGTCACATCTGCTCAACGACACAGAGATTCCCGGACCCTGGCTACAGTTGCGTATGGATCCTATGATGGAACCCCCTCCACTATGGACATTTTTTGGTCCATGAAATATATATGGTAGGAGTCAAAGAGATGTTGTCCTTGAAATCCGTCCTGTTGAAGTTGCTTGTTCCTTGCTCTTTCCTCCTACTGCTCAATCTTTGTCTCGCATCGCTTGATTATGGGCCATGACGCTCGTAACGGTTCAAGGCTATCAATCCACAGCGTTTCGTCATGTAGCCCGCAGACTCAAACAGGTACATTTTCCCCGAGGATGAGCGAGGTGAGTTTTGAGCCGAGTACTTACACCACTCTGGCAGACCATCATTTGCAGCAACAACCCAGCGAACACTTGCAACGCTCCGATAACACCTTGACCGAACAGCCTCCGATAATCGAGCCTTCTGTCGACAGAGTAAATTTGAGTTCCAGAGATCCGAAAAAGATAATATCATTCAGTTCTAGTGACCCAGAAAGTCCATACAACTGGAGCAAGAAGAAGAAGGCCCTCGTTTTCATTGCGGGAATCATCACGGTAATCAATAGCACGCTGAGCTCGTCTCTACCCAGCAATGCGATCGACTTCATCGCTCGAGACTTTGGCGTGACCAGTCAATTGCAACTTCCTCTACCAATCTCTTGTTTCCTGGCCGGCTATGTCGTGGGACCAACAGTGTGCGGTCCACTTTCTGAACACGTTGGTCGAAAACCCGTCTTCTTTAGTTTCTTTCTCTTCGCTACTATTTTCAGCATGGCTTGTGCCGTAGCTCCCAACTGGCCAGCTCTGTTGATTTTCCGATTTCTGTGCGGAGTAGGGTCGTCTGGGCCGATTTCGGTTGTGGGAGGATTATATGCTGATATATACAATGATCCCCGGCAGCGAGGAGTGGCAATGGCTTGGTACATGGTTGCGACAACATTTGGGCCGGTTCTCGCACCAATGATATCGGGTTTTATCAGTGAGAACACCACGTGGCGGTGGACCTTTGCCGTTGGCACATTGTTCGCCGTGGCCACGATCCCGCTGGTTTACATCATGCCGGAGAGCTATACACCGGTGTTGCTAAGTCGGAGGGCCAAAAAACTTCGCAAGGAAACGGGCGATCCGGAGATTATCGCACCTACTGACCTTCAGAAAAAGACCTTTCGGCACGTCCTCACGGTGGTCATGACAAGACCGTACAGAATGCTTTTCCGTGAGGTAATTGTCATGTGCACCTGTGCCTACCTCGCTCTGGTATACGGTATATTTTATATCTACTTCGAAGCCTACCCGATGATCTTCCAAGGCCCTGATTCGATATACAAATGGTCTTATGGCCTAGCGGGGCTTGCCTTTTTGCCGATTGGTTTTGGGAGCATTTTTGCAGCGCCTATCTTTCTGTGGTGGGATTCCTACCTAGCGAAAGCGCAGAAACGCAAAGAGAAATGGGCAGAGAAAGAAGAGTACCGACGACTTCCGCTGGCCTGTCTTGGTGGTCCGCTGTACGTGGTGTCGATTTTCTGGCTTGGTTGGAGCGCAAAGCCTGGGGTTTTTTGGCTTGCACCTGTTGCCTCGGGCGTCATATTCGGCATGGCGTTCTTACTCATCTTCATGGCAATGTTGAACTATTTGACTGATGCCTATGAGATATTTGCTGCAAGCGCTCAAGGTATTGCAAGCACTTGTCGCAGCTCTCTGGGAGTTTTGCTTCCACTTGCAGGACATAAAATGATGTCGAGACTCGGCATCGCATGGGCGTGCAGTGTATTGGGATTCTTGAGCATGGGAATGTGTTTGATACCCTTTGCTTTCATCTGGTTCGGCGACAAGATCCGAGACAATAGCAAGTTTTGCAAAGAATTGAAAGAGCTCAAAGCACGAGCTGCGGCTGAAGAAGACGAGAAAGAAAGCAGCCAGATGAGCCTCGCAGCAACGGCTCACGGGATGATGAACGATGACGAATGCCAGAAGACCACGGAGAAAGTGTATAGCAAGGTATGACATCTGTGGTTGCTTGCTGTCAAGAGTCAGCGGCTCTGGAACACGTATGGAAGTGAGGCGGCGACTACTTCATCCGACATAGCGCGGTGTTATCGGGGTTGAGATAGCCGATATGCAGCCACTGTTTCATCTTTTTCTCGACGCCGCCGTTGATAGAGGATGAATATTGTTACCCACATTATTGCGCATTTCGCAGAAGAAAATGCCTAGTAGTCTGCCTGAGCCAGTCAAGCAATGGCTTGGCCTAGGCTTGTATACCGTCTTGCGGATTTGTAGACGCGTTCTGGCAGCGAGTAGTGACCGCCATCTGACCTGCTAGCAGTCACAGGCTTACAGTAGTTTGTTGCCGCGTGTACATTGACAAGGGACCATGCGGCGGTTGGTCTTGGCTGTGTGGTGGCATGAGTTGATGAGTGGCTTGGGTGGCTCTTTTGTCTGGAAAACGGCGCTTAGAGGGTCAGGCAAAGTGGCATCAATATGCGCAAGATACCTTCTACGAGTAATAGGTCCTGTCAGGGAGAGCAAGAAAAAGATAAGCGGAGGAATCGGGGGCGAGCGATGGTGGAGTCGGATTCATTCTTTCGCTATCACTTACGGCACTGTTCAACAGGGTCTACTGTAGAAGAGAGTAGACACGGTAGGCAAGGCAGGTAGTTACGAGTTACACCTACTCGTACAGATACGAACGGAGTAACGGAGTACCAGTCGACATCTACCTTATCCAACCCCGGTAGCTGGCTTGCTCTGGGCGAACGCGCCGACACCTATCACCGTCTTTGTCATTCCGAACATCCCCCCCTTGAGCACATTTCACCGTTCAAAACACAACCTCTGCTTATTTGGCAGCTTATTGGCAGAAATTGAGCACGTTTCGCAGCGCAAGTTCTTGGCTTTCCCCCCCCCAGCATAGAGCAAGAAACCTGAAATGCATACGGGAGTACAAAGGTGTGCATTAGAAGCCGCAAGATGGTTCGGGGAGGCGTCGTAATAACACTGACTTATTACGACGCCCCCCCGATCGAACCAAAACGTGCCTACAGCCTCGATCGATGAAATCTAAGGGACAGGATACTGTGGCCACCACTATCATAGACGACTATACTTGTCCTATCTACCTACTTTACCTACCTCGGATGACATATGACAGCCTACAGGGTCCGGGTAGTAACTTGGAAAAATAGATAGCGCGCGCCCAAAAAACTCACCCCATACTACCTAGGTCAAAAACATGAAGCAGTCTACGACGACGCCATCTTTCAAAAGGACAGGGACGTTGGGGGTTTTCTCCTCCGTACTTCAACTGCAAATGCCGCCGGATGTGGATGTGGATGTCAATGTGTGCTACAGCAATTCATGGCCGTCGGAATTCTCTTCGACTTTCACTTCATCAACCTTTGATTCAACCTCAGTTTGGGACAAAGTGTTTTTTCAAAAAGCCGCCAGCATGCAGAATTTCAGGCCCAGCAGGTCTCAAGAGTCCTCGGCTTGGGAAGACTCGCGATCGTCTTCAGGTGAGTATTTGTGAGGTTCATGTGACGATGACAGTATCCCCCCTAAACAGATCAAACAATTCAACGTGACTGACCAACCTTTTGGGTTTTCTCAGGTCTACCTCAAAGGACACCTTCGAATGCGTCAAACGTGAGCAACACGAGGCAACGCAGACCGAGTACAAATAGACACCGGGGCCACCACCATCACCATCATGCCCTGTGGGTTGGCAACATCCCTTCCAACACGACCGTCATGAGTCTGCGGGATTACTTTGCTGAAGCGGCCCCGACGGAACTGCTGACCATCTCTTACAACCCGGACGCCAAGTATGCCTTTGTCAACTTCAGCACCGAAGCTGCGAGGATCGCCGCCATCGGGAAAGCCGCCAGCCAATTTTTCGAGGGGAGGCGGTTGGACTGTCGCATCCGTCGGGACAATTCTTCAAGATCGACCAAGGTCAGTTATGGCCTCAACAACAACAACAGCGGCAGTAGCGGTCCAGACCAGATCAGCAGCAACAAACTTTCCATCTCGCCCGAAAGACCTCAGAGTATGTGGAATAAGGTGGAAGAGTTGAAGCAGCACCCGGAATCCGGTTCGTCCCAACGTGGTAGGGACAAGTACTTTATCTTGAAGAGTTACTCTCTGGAAGCGTTGTATCAGAGCTTGGCCACGAATGTCTGGCACATACCCAAAAGACACGTCGAGAGGTTGAATCATGCATTCCAGGTAAGACCTTCCTCTGGTATGCTGCGCCCGTTTCTGTGCCGGTGTCATTGTCAGTCTCGGCCATACTAACCATGACGATTCCAACTTCCAGACCGGCAGTAAAGTATATTTCCTGTTCTCCGTCAATGGGTCGGGTGAATTTTTTGGCTACGCTTCCATGACTTCTGAGATTCGACAACAAAATAACGAAATATTCCCAATTGACGCTCGACCGTCCAGCGATCCTTTCATTGAAAACTCCTCGATTCATCTGAGGTCATACGGTGTGGGTGCGGCCGACGTAAGACCTGGGTCCAGACATCGAACATTGTCGACCACATCGTCAGACGCATCATACGGGTCGATACATTATGAACCAGAGAGGAGGAGAATCATATGGGAAGCGTCGCATTATCACGTATTGTCGGAACAGCAACAACAACAACAACAACAACAACAAATCACTACACCTGATGACTTTTCACCCGATACCATGACTCCGGTGACACCTTCGGAATCGTCGTCAGCGAGGAGTTTTCGGGATTTCCCGACGGGTGGTGCGATTTTCGAGGTTGGTTCGCCTTCTTCTTCGCGGCCGTCGACGGCAGCAGCGGCGTCGCAGCAGCAGCAGCAGCAGCAACAGCAGCAAGTGTACCCCGCTGGTTCGGAGTTGCAACATATCAGCGAACCGTGTCAGATCAGATGGCATTCGACTGTCAATCTACCGTTCGAGGAAGTTCGTGGGTTGAGGAACCCTTGGAATGAGAACAAAGAGGTTCATGTGGCTAGGAACGTGACGGCGGTTGAACCGGATGCCGGTGAGATGTTGTTGGTGAGGTGGAGGAGGAAAGATGAGGCACGTCGGTTCCAACATTCTCAAGATGCCATATCCAAAGCTTGGCCCGCTAGGTAGTCGATGTTGTTGTGTTTTCTACCTAGGTAGGGACACGGGGGGGGGATTGATCTTGATCTGAAGTTGACTGGAGCTGCTGGTATGGCATGGCAAGGCATGGCATGGCGAGGCAAAGCAAAGCAAATCATGGTAACATGTGTATCTTAACATCAGGTGGCTGAAGGAACTTGTGGTGGTGGTGGTGGTGGTCGGAATGACACATGCATATCTAGGCGAGGAGTACAATAAGTTCGTATTGTATTTCGTATGCCCAGAATGAAAGCATGGCATGGCATGACTAGTAGATTAATGAAGGTCTTGGGTCTGAAAGGCCGGTTGAGTTCAGTCAAATGCAAAGTAGTTTTTGCAAGTAACTCGTCCGGAGTAAAGAAAAAATGGGGGGGGTTTGTTTGGTCGTGGAGAAGAGTTATTTGTGCGTTGAGAATTGACGTGGTTTCCCCCCTCTCCCCCCATCCAAACCATCCAAACCACTCATTTGTACAAAACTACTAATTGATACAGTTATCTGTAATACGGAGTATAATATCGAGGATCCAATAATAACAGAATAAACACTGCGTAAAGAAAGGGGTGAGAGGTTTGTGCGTTGGATGATGCCTTGAAAATTTACACAAGTAAGTACTGTACAGTAGTAATACTGCAAGTAAATAGTATTACAGTACCCCCCCGCACAACACTTCCAAAAGGTATTATTTGTCAATGGGGGAGTGTGTGTGTGTGTTTGGTGATGTAGATCAAAATCGAGGGGCAAATGAAAAAGAAAGATCGGGTACCAGTACTTGTACCCGTACTGTACATACTGGATTTACTGCCTTGATGGTATGAAGGTGGGCTTGGAGGAAGAGGGGAGTGGCTTGGAGCCAAGTAGAATTACGCAGAAACCACTCAAAAACAAAAACAAAAAACGCACAAAGAGCTCATTACTGTATTTGTACAGTACTTGACAGAAAGAGGGGGGAGATCATTAATTAGCTACTGTAAGTATCCATACAGTACATACCATTTTAACGCACAAAAGTCTCAACTGAGGGGATCCCCCCCATCTCTGGACTAAAGGTATATAAATAAGTGTCTCCTCTCCGTTCTTCACTTATCCTCACAACACACAACAACAACAATCACAACAAGAATCAATAAAAATCAAATCACAAACAATTAATTTTCTCCAACATCCTTCCTCAATCTCACTCCCTTCAACGACAACAACAACAACAACAACAACAACAACAACAACAACAACAACAACAACAACAACCACCTCAAAAATGGGTCCTTGCACTTGTTCCGGTCCTAGTTCTTGCAACTGTGGTTCCGGTTGCAAATGTACCTCTTGCGGTGTAAGTTGTTTTTCTTCTTCTCTTTTTTTTTCCCGTCTCTACAGGCCAAGAAAAAAAAACATACAATTGACAATGTTTAAAATACAGCATTAAACAAAAAAACAACTTCGGATCAATTATTTTTTTCGACGTCCAACTCATTCGACAACAAGAAGAAACCGACCCGAAATCAATCGACCATTGAATATTCTTGGGGAGACGGACGAGACAAAAATGATTCCGATTTTCAAAACCCTGTTCAATCATGATCACCAATCATTGATCATGTTTTCTTGGACATCCATGGCTTTTACACGACTTGCCCCCCTTATCAAGTCTTTTTTTTTGTTTCATTAATGGAAAAAAGAGAGGGGGGGGAGAAAGACTTACCATAAGTGTCTCTCTTTATGATTAGAACTCATGAAATCAATTACTCGTACCCTACCTATCTAGGTAGTCAAGTAGCTGAGATGAAATAGTTGAAATCACAAAAAAAAGACACTTGAAACACAACATTTACAAAACACACAAAACACCAGAGGGTAAAAAAAAACTTGATTCGATTGTTGTTTTGAATTGTGAGACTCGTATAGAGAAAGTAAACACCTTTTCACTTTTTGTTCTTGTTCATATTCATACTCAATGGTCATACTCAATGGTCATACTCAATGGTCATACTCAATGGTCATACTCAATGGTCATACTCAGGCTCATACTTTGCCGCCTTGCCATTGACAAGTAGTAAAATACTTCGAGTGCCTTCTTTCATCTCAATTCACAACCTCCCTACGAGACCCATCAAATCACCATAGATCAAACCGGAATCTCCCAAGAACCTCTTTTCCGCCCGGTTCCAATTCAAAACTTGCCATATTCGTGTGACGTATTCCTTCTTGTTGTTCCAATATTGCAAATAGTAAGCGTGTTCCCACATGTCTATACCCAAGATTGGGAGGATCTTGCCGGTCGACGCGGTACTACCTGGCAAATCTTGATCCTTGGAAGTGGTGATTTCTAGAATTTCAGTCTTGTTGTTGGCCGTCACCTTCTTGACGAGCCATGCCCAACCGGAACCTTGAATCGACAGAGCCGCCGATTCCCATTCACCTTTGAAAGATTCGACATTTCCCCATTGTTTCATGATGGATTGATATAAATGAGGTGCCACCTTTTCAATAATATCCGTGGCCGGTGTTGTAGTCGTCGTCGTCGTCGATGGTGTCAATCCTTCCCAAAACAATGTATGATTGACGTGTCCTCCCGCGTTAAACTTGATCATTGACTGTAGATCCAATTGTCGAATCAGGTTTCCCGTAGAAATCGCCTCCGCTTGTAATGCCAATGCGTTGTTCAAGTTTGTGATATAAGTTTGATGATGTCGGTTGTAGTGTAATTCCATTATTTGACGTGATATAAAAGGTTCGAGGTCCTGAGCAAAAATGTGTCAGTATCATGACAACAGAAAGTAGTTCAGCACAATTAGTAGCAGCAACAACAGGTACTTCCCATCTTGCTCATCGACATGAACAAGACAAAATCTCTGGCCAGTGTCTGCTTCATACGACGTATACATACATTCAATTCATAATCAAGTCGTGGTAGAGAGTATTTTCCAACCGCCATGTTTTTTGTCGACAAAAATTCGGATGCCCTGGTTTTCAAACCCCACCAAAGAGACAGAAAGAAAAAAGAAAAAGATCAGGGACCAAAGAGATGCAATTCTTTCTCACATCTTAATAAATGCCCATGGGCAAGAGCACTTATTGTTCCACCCCCCTCCAACCCTCTCTTAGACCCATGCTTTTAAGGTCCTCGATCATGAAATGTGGATCATCCAACTGTACCAGAAGTAAGAAAGGTCGATTCCGTCGCAATCTATTGGTCAATGAAGAACGTGCTCATGAGCGCGTTTCTTTTCAATCTTGCTCATCGTGATCCCGTCAATGTCGCTTGTACATGACGATTCTGTCATGATTCGGATATGGCCCCGTTGATTATAAATGATGGCCCTCGGGAAGTGTACGCATGGGTGGGCGGGAGGTGAATGCAGGGGTGGTCGGTAGATGGTGGGTTTCCGTCTCTCAACGTATATTAATCCAACTCACCACAGCGACAGGTCCCAATCTTTCTCGGCTGTTCCAGTAGGTGGTTAGCGATCGTACGAAACCCAAGAAAAAAACACCTGTGGTCAATACGTACACAACAATTGATGATACTGATATTGAGCTCCCGTCGAACCCATGGAATCCCTCTTTCTCCAAAGTTCCAACAAGAAATCCCGGGCGGAATCGGTGTTGCGGAGCGAATAAGTCGTTCTCATCCTGTCGATCCAACCCATGACGAACTGTTTGTCTTGGTCCCGTAGCGATGCGCATCCGAAGATGAACAGAGGTTGTAACGTCGCGACTCCCGGACTCGCGAATTCGTAAATGGTGATCCCACTCAGGCATTTTATCCCCCTTTCCACCAAATCTTGCACCCTGTCATCCGAGACGCTGACGTTCATGGCCCTCTGGTAGACCTGCAGCATCACGGCGAGATGGTACGCCTCGTTGAGGGAGAAATAATCCGACGCGGGTTCGGGTTGGGTGTCGGCGGAGCTGGCCGGGTCGAGTTCCGTGACGGGATTGTCAATCATCCCACCAATCTTCGCGAGGAGCGCTTCGCATCTCGTCGAGTGTGCATTTCGCAATATCTCGACAGCTCCGTCTTCACCCAGCTTGACTTCCAATCTCTCCAGCGCCTGACTTTCGGCGTGGAGCATGTCAAGCTCTTCAAAGACGGGAGGTAGCTTCGTCGAGAAGCCGTCGTAAATGTCAATGTAGTCGCTGGCACCAGCGGGAGTCAAGGTCAACACGGGCTTCTCATTGAGTCTGGGAGTCGGGTTTCCCAATAGGATGGACAACGATTGCATCGACTTCCACCACCTCCAGAGCACCAAAATGTTTCCGGAATCTGGCGGGTGCATGGTGAAGTAGTTCCTGATCATCGTCGCAGCACCCTGGAGGTGTAATCTCCACGACTTGGGCTTCTCTCCTCCCGCGAGGATGTCACACAGACACAAGGTCAAAGCCGTCGCGATGGACTGTTCGTCGACCGCCGCGTTCTGACCTACGCTTTGCAGTCGGAGCTGCTGGAGACTGGTATATCGAAGCTGAGCAAGATATGCCTCATCGTTGTAAGAACCGAGAGAGATCTGATGAATGGCCGCCAGGCCGAGGATCGCAGACAGAAGGTGCGTCCCGTGTGACGTGTCGAGTGCCATGGGTAGTAACACTGTACAAAAATCATTCTGCATAGCGTGGTGAAGCGACAGGTAGCTCGACACCGTCAACGTGAAGTGATTCAGTAGCGAGCGATCGACATTTGAGAGCCACGGGAGCCAATCGGGGTTCAAAATGACGTCGATAGGACTGCTTGTCTTTTGCAGGCCAAAGTCGATCACCAGGTCCGAACACGACCTCTCATCGGTCGAGTCAGGCGTGGCTGGGTAAGGCAAGAGCTCGACGTCGGCATCGTGGTCACGGCCAAGGTCATTGGAGGTTGCTGTTGTAAACGCCGATGGACTCGTGATGGAGAGTCCTCCAGGTGAGGCGTCATGCGTACTGTCGGAGGGGGCGATGGTCGTCGGGTCATGACTGAAGTCGCTGAACGACGAGGGGGAATCGACAAGACCGCCTTCTGTCACGACCGAGGATTCCGACAATGGTGTATTTTCGAGAAGAGATGGGGCGGTTGCTATTCGCGTACTGGTCTGACCGTTGCCAGGCCCGTAGACGAAGGAATTAGAATAGGAGGCTACACAACACCAACGTCAGCAATCAATAATACCACCACGTTCCATCAATCAGTCCTTTACCATTGGAGGAGGCGGCGGTGGTGGTGTTGTGAGATTGCTTGACCACGGCGCCAGAGGACAGGACCTGACCGAAACAAGATTTCTTAAAGGACCGTCCGCCCCATCGAAGGGCCTTGTCGTAGGAACACTCTTTCCCCGTACTCGAGCAATATTCGCAGCTTGGCCGATGCTCGGAGCATTTCCGGTGCATGCGACGACATTCCCGGCACCCACCTCTAGAGCGGAGTTGTTGTTTCGCCATAAGCAGCGGCCTTGGGAGCTTCGCCTTTGCCTTTGCGCGCGGGCGAGGCAAACAACATGGCAGACCACTTTTCAGTAATGGTCGGTGATGGTGTGGTGTGAGAAAGTTGACAATATTGGCCTCCCCGGCCTTCAATAGGAAACTGGAGGATACAAATGCCTGAAAGCACACGTGAGCGGGTTGTCGACCAACTCTGTGCTCTCTCTCACCTTGTTCGTTGGATGCACGAAAGAAGAAAGTAGATGCGGTTTTTGAGCGAGCGTATGAGATTTGACAACGACCTCGGTTGATAGCGTCGACCTTCTGTTTTTAGACTAGTGCACTTGCTATGGTGGACTCGACTTATCATTCAAGACGGAATACTCCGTTTCCCCAGATTGATATCAACTATATTATAGAGTACGAGTAGGAGAAGGGTCTTGTGACTTCAAAGCATTACTACAGAGTATTGTGGTGAATACTATATGTGTACCGACCGTGGTCGGCGACTCTGGATATTGTTTCTAGACAAGACAGCTGTGTAAAAAGACTTTTCATTTGATCAATCCATCGTCATTAATTCAGTATCCCTCTATCTGTCGTTGGTGGACATTCCGCTTCGCTCCAGCTCTCTTACCACCTTCTAGGGTACTCGCAGTTGTTCTGCCCTACGCTCTCCAAGATTCCCCAGTACTCATGAATGTAACTTGGCAGCTGGAACCATGTCCCTGCACTCAGTTTGACCCAACGTGCATGTGTCTTCTCGTCGAGATGGAGATGGGTCGTGACATCCGCGTTCTCGTCAATCACCTTGACCAGAATCTCGCTGGACTCGAGAAACCTCTCCCAATAATCGTCGACCGAGATGAAGGGTGTTATCTGCTCTGGGTAGATTTCGTAGCATCTTGGCTCGTGTTGACCGCTGTACAGGATGAGGTGCAGGAGGATGACATCGTCTTGTTCAACGGGGGAAGGCTCACGACCGTGTTCGGTCGAATACTGGTGGATAAAGTCGCGGACTGCGATCCGTACAGTCTTGAATCCACGAACGGTAGAGGCGAATCTTTCAGGAAGGGCTTCGTAACGTTCCTCATCATGCATCCCAAAACCCGCATATGCTAGATGCCCCCTGTCAAGCGTTCTCCAGTCGGTCCCGTCGTACAAGAAGGTAAAATCGAGCTCGGGGTTTTCATCATCGTCGTTGTCATCGTTACCACTAGTCTCACTGGCATCGTTGTTGTCACCATTGTCCTCACCAACATCACTGCTCTCAGAGTCGACTTCTTCGTCATGATCATCGGCATCGTCATCCTCGTCACCCATGACGGTGTCGTGATCAATGTCCATCTCTTGGTCACAGACGTCGGTGTCGCTGTCGGATGATGGTGAGATCGGGATAAGGCCATCGTCCAGAGGGTTGATTGCCTCGCTGATGCAGTCGTCAATGCCAGGAACGTGGCAGGGCAGTGAGACCTCTTGTACAGAAATATCACCGGATTCCTCGCCTTGTTGCTGCTGAGCGTACAGATTTGGCTCCTCCGTCAGAGGTGGTGGAATGGCTGAGAAGGCCTCCTGGACAATCATTAGTGGATGGTGACACAATCCCTGAGTGAGAGACCCTACTGAGGGGCTTCCTTGTTCTTGGGACCGCGACATCTTGATTTGAGCTTCGGAGGGAATGACTTTGCAAATATCCCAGACTTGTGTCGCGAAAAGCGTACCAAGCAAGGTGTCTGATAATGTGACTGCAAGTTTGAAGATATAACGCCCAGTTTCTGATTGATGCAATATGGAAAAAAATACGTGGAAGTCGGACGGTAGAACCTGAGATTGAGCAACTATATATACGTCTCCTGGGCGGTGAACGCGCTGGGCTGTGAACTGACGTCCACTGCCTTGAGGGCGGCGAAAGTGACGACAGAGTGACGAAGTATTGACAGGTTGTTGAGGAATGGATGAAGCAGTCAGTGAACTGGGAATAAACCCAACTGTGATGTGAAAAGACGACTTCTGTTCATTTTGCCTGAAGAATGCACAAGGTCTTCGTCACCAGCTGTAAGCTCGTAGAGGGCTGCATTGGGGTTGTTGACTGGAAGCTGATCCATCCACCCACCATACAACAGCCCCTGACTGATATTGTTAATCGTCACAAGTCCCAAGCTTGGAGACCACCCTATATGCAGGCAGCACAAGCCTAGAGAATGTGGGCGCTCAAATGCAGGGCACAACCGTAGCAGGCCCGGCCCCTGAGACCCATATTCAAAGTGTTCGTCGGCACAGAATATATATATGGCACATAAGGTCTTGTTGCAAGAAAGTCACGACTGTTGCGGCCTGCCTCACAAAGTGATGTATTCACCTTAATGACCTTGGTCTCTGCATCAGTACCGGAGAGTGGCCTTCTCATGCATGCAACAAGTACGTGTTCGACACAAGCAGTCAAGGACAACAAAGTCCGTCCTCAGCGGAAGAGCTGCCTTTAGTGTCGCTGTCATCGACAGCTGAACACCTATCATCAACATCTGAGGCCACAGACAGAGAAATCTCTTTGTTGTTTGCTGTTTGCTGTTCGCTGCAATCCAGACACAAATGACTGATCAATAGTGACGTCATTTCTGAAGACTACAAAGTTCTCGAATTATATGTGTTTGACAGGCCATGACAAAGTCTCTAAACACGACTCACCTACGAGTATTGAGTATTGTTTCCAAGGCTCTGAAGATTGATGCAATTGTCTAGATCAACAACTCGCCTCAAACGCAGGTTCAGCCTGTTGAACGGCCTCCGGGCGAAAGTACTTCAAACGCCATTGTTTCGTGCCACGGGCAAAATCCCTCCGCCACCTCCAAAAACACAGGCCGACACCATGTCGGGGCCTTTGAATGGTATGCACAAAACACAATATCAATGTCCTACCGTGTAACCAAACACTGACGGCACTAGTGTTTAAACAACCTCTTGCATTCTTCTCCAACCGTCCTGTCACAGGTTTTCATAGAGATGGCTATTGTAAAACAGGAGCTGCGGACTTCGGAAACCACGCAGTGGCTGGTGTCGTTACCGACGAATTCTTGGATTTCTCGGCATCGCAGGGTAACGATCTTCGGAGCGCAGGATTGACGGGAGGATGCAAATGGTGCCTGTGCACATCGAGATGGTTGGAGGCATTTCAGGCGTATAAAGACGGGAGGATCAGTAAGAACGGCGTCCCGAGGGTGCATTTGGAGGCCACGGAAGACAGTGCTTTGAGCAAGGTGGATTTGGACACGTTCCGAGAATTCTCGGCCAGGCCAGAGGTCGGTGCAAATGGTGTCAACGGCCACTAGCCTTTTGCTGGTGACAACAATGAATGATAACTAAATCCACGTTCCTCCGTTTGCTCGGTCATCATTAGTAGTATCCCATGCTTCGTGGGCAAGGGGTACTCTTACAGGGAAAAGTGAAAATGTGATGCGCCGCCCCCCAGAGTAATCGGAATCGAATTGAAACCTGGCCTGTTCACTCGAAACAGGCAGACTTCCGCTGCGATTGCACTAAAGTAAGTCCGCTCTCATCTAGTGAGACGCGCCATACAATCTTCACAACGGCTCTTCCATAGGGAGTCCTCCAAGAATGACCAACGTGAACGACGGGGCGAACACGGGCCCTCAAGAAGCCCTGTAAATTTCTGATGCCGATTGTGGGCACGAATCGTGCTGGACCCTCGCGGGCAGTCCTGAGGCCTTAGAGTCGAAGATGGACTCAAGGCACAGGCTGATTTTGAAGATTACTCCGAATTTCTCATCTGCAAGGGAGATGTTCTTCTCGACTGCCGATCAAGCAGGAGAAGAGCATTGTTGGTAGCAGAGAACGCAGCGGTTGGGGAGCGGCGCATGAGGAAAGAGCGCCAAATGTTGTGCACACACAAGAGAAATTTGTATGCAAACTGGTCGCATTCTGCCACCTGTCACCGCCCCACGAGGAAACCCTAGTCACGTGATCGCGAATTATATAGTACGTTGTTCAGAATACTTAGGTCAGAATACTGAAACTTGCTTCAAAGATTACCAGACTTAAGCCACGGTCGTAAAGAGATTTATTAGACTATAGACATGGTTGCCAGCTCGATGAAGAGCGAAGCCGTTGCGGTGGTTACTGTACAATTTCATGAACGCCGTAGCGATGTAACAGATCCTTGAACCACGATACTCCAGGTGATCGGGCAATACCTCGTTCTAGCTGTTGAATGGGTGGGCATAATGCCTTTCGTCTGGATAAGCGGGCTGTTCGGAGCGAGCCCAACTCGTTATATCTGGAGGAGCGAGGCCCAATTCAATGATTGGTATGGTCAGGACGACAAGCAAGGGCAAGTCCTTTCACTGAGCAATGCTTTGATTCTAAGAAGAATCATTTGCCTAGCCCAGAGCATTCTTCTGGAATGCCGGCAGAGCTTCGAAGAGAGTGATGCCGTTTTGGGGTGTCTGGCCATTCCTCATGTTTCGTGTCCCTGTTGACAAGCATGTATGCAAAGTCGCAATTCCAGACAAATATTGGCAAATCCAAATGAGTTGTTGTGTGCGTGGTGCAAACGACTTTGCCTCAAAGGCCGCAACGACTTCCGGACAAAGGACTCAAAGCGGTATCGTAGAAAGCATATCACCATATCATCCGTGTTATCTCAATTTAGTTCTTCCGATAATCCATAGTTTGCTTATGTCACTGATATCGCATATGCTGACCCGGAGGAGGAGCTCCCCAGCCCTGAGGAGGTCCTTGTTGAGGTGGATGCATCGGTGGCTGACCTTGTTGCGATTGTACGTCGGGTCGATTCCTGTCTCAATTGTTAGTATTCGTGAGTCCTAAAAAGTCACATGCGATGAGGCTCTTACCGCAGATCTTGACGGAATCTACAGATGGAACAAGCGATCTTGAAATCGGTTAGCCAAATCGGGGATGTTAATGCATGGTGGTAGACATACATCCTGATGCTTGCCTCCCAGAGGAATGACTGGAACCCAGCAGAAGGTAAACCAATCCCAAGACTGAATCGGACGCGCAGACCAGTTTCCGCAGTTCTGGCATTGAGCCGTTATTCCTTCATAGCCCTTCAATGGCTTCGTGAAGTCTAGAGCTGTTATTAGCTGCACATCGAAAGGGCCGCCCCGGGTTATTGCGCACACCTTTGCTTCCAACTACGAAGAAAAACGCCATGGATGAATATGGATTGGAGTCGTTGTGAAGGCAAACTCTTTGGACCTGGAGTTGACAAAGGCAAGACAGGCAGTTTGTGCAATGGCTTTCAACAGTCCAAAAGACGAGGCGCAGCTCGCGAACTAGATTCCAGAGACGCGCAACTCGGCTCGGCGCAGGGCGAATCACTGGCGTAGATCATCGGAGTAAATGACAGAATGCGCAGTCTCCACCAAAATACATATACGGGTCTACAGAGTAACAAAACAACCATTTGCTTCAGCCTCGTCCCCCCCCAGAAGTTGTACAGTACGTGGTTTGCGCAAGGCTCCAACACAACACATTGCATTTCAGTCACTACCCATCCGCCCGTGTGCACAGCAGCGTCCATTTGGTCCGAAGAGAAGTAGCCAAACACTTTTATTTTTGATTATAGAGCATGGCGAATAGCACAAACGAGGCACATCGGGTGGCAGCGGCCTCCCATCACATCCATTCAAATTAGTACTTGACAAGAGCCGTACCGAATATCACCGAGTCCTTCCATTCCTTCGAGACGCCAATTTCGCTAATTTGCTTCAATCACTGAGTCTTGAACAGAAGAATTGCAACGTGCCCAAGATAAAAGTAAATGAAATGCTTCGTCTCTGTGGCATATATTTGTTAGCACGAATGCGTTCAAGAGACTCGATGAGTTGGAGAAGCATTCGGCATACCGTGCGTGACGAAGCTTCCAAAGTTCCTGCCTACTATGCAATGCCATGTAGCACCCTTTTTAGAATCAAACTGTCCGTCTATGGTCAATGTCCGAAGAGACAGTCATGTTGAAATTCGACCAACCTCTCGCTTGATGTGCTGTGCAATGTCCTAATCCCAGATCAGCTTGCCCTGACATTCAAAAGGCTTCAATAATACAAACCTTCTCGACACTGAATTTCTCCATGGCTTCTTGTGCTATTGCTTGTGTCAACGCGATGCTTCGGGTAGGACTCGAGGTGCTTCATTTCTCACCGACTTCGATCGCTTCTTGTTGCATGTCCTCGCTCTTGATAATGTCAGCACCGGGTTCTGGAACTCGTACGAGACTGGTGTCTCACCATGTCAACCGACTTGATTTGTGCTAAGGTCATATCAGCAACATTCCTGGACCATAATAAGGAATACTCACGCTCCAACTTCACCTTCTTCTCCGGAGCAGTGTCCGCCATGTTTGTTGTTGTCTTCAAAGAATAGGTAATAATCTCTTGAGGGTCCTAAGACTGCAGATTGTCGTGACCACTGTCTCACTCTAAGCGAAGGGCGATGGCGAAAGATAAGGGAAGGCTGCGCTGGGATTCGAGTTGCGTGAGTGATGTATGAGACGGACCCGCGTCCGCAATCTCCATCAAAAGACAATCGTCTGACGCTTATTCTTGGCGGCTTAAACGACCATCGCCGCTTTTAAGATCCGTCTTCCTCCCACCGTGGTCCTCGACACTCATCACTCGCCTTCAACTCACCCTCGACCCTTTACCTCCCCTCCTCGGCGATGTTTTTTGACTCCTGCGCCAGACAAAACCCCGCGTGAGTCGGACGGGCCAAGTAGTGACCACAATTTTGCCGGGTTTGTTCTCGAACCAGGAATTCCGCTTCGTGGCATCTGAAGCACTATTCTCTATATTAGATTAGTATTCTCTAACGCGATATATCAGTAGCCAATTTAGCAATGAACGAAGACCCTACAAATCTATCTTAGGTAGTGTTTTTAATTGATCTCGACCTTGCGATAAAGACTTAACGAGAAGAATTGTTAGAAACGCATGACAAAATATATAAGAGCATTTATGGCCATCAGGGCTCTATTGGGTGAGAAGTATTCGACTAGACATAATTCCGAGTCGTTTTCCTGGGTCCTTTCTGGATATCCATTCATTACGACAACCCCCGCTCCAAAGAGCGATAGAGTTATGTCTATATTCGAGATGCGGAACTACAATATCTGGTCTAAGTCGTCGGCTGCCCAAGTCCTAGACTACATACCATGGAACGACACAATCTTAGACTTTCTCGACTATCGACCATCGATCAGCTCGCCGGCCTCGTTCTCGCTGATCACCAGGGACAAGGACGAGTCGGCGTCTCTGCATCCTCTGGTGCACGACTGGTGTCGCGACCGAATATCTAAGGAAACGAGCGACGACTACTCAGCTACCGACGAGCAATGACACTATCGCGCATGTCTGTCGAGTGAAAGTTTGCAGACGAAGGGCCACGTTTCGTAGGTCGATGGTGTCGCATGTAAGCGAGCTTCGTCGGCTCCAGGACCATCAAGATGCTCCGAACGAGCAGGACAAAATTTAGCTGCGGCCAGCTGATCCTGCCGGAAAACGGATGGACGAAAGAGGCATTGCAACTTGCGGAGGAGATGGTGGCTCTGCGTAAGAGCAAGCTGGGGGGCGGATCATCCTGACACGTCGTCATCGCAGAGCCTTCTTGCTCATCTCTCTCGAGCACAGGACGAGACTTTAAGCGTCACGTTCTTAGTGCCCACATAGTGGCTTATCGCTAGTCTCAGAAAGTTCAAGACGTTCGACAAATGCCTCAGTTGGCGTTGACTGGCCGGTGTCGGAGGACGTGATACCCTCAGACCGGAATCCAGTCTACTCTACTGTACAAGTAGCTAGGTATATGAGATGAACAGGTGGCCAAGCCCAGGCATTGGAGCAGTGCAGGGCGACAAGGTTGATCAGAAATGTAAGTCGGAGGGCGAGCTGAAGGATAGAAGGGCAAAAGAGGAAAACCCATGATGATGAGTTGTCTATCAAGCAATGAAGATGTGCTTAACCGTCGCCGGAAGGCTTAAGCAGATGCGTCCTGTAGCGCAGTAAACTAAAGCCGTGGAGCGAACCAGAGAACGGGGTTTGAGAAGGGGGTTCGGTGGGCATTGACCAAGGGATTCAGCAATGAATGCGCGGTGCCAGTTTCCATTACCGCGCATAAACCCAAAATAACACAGTGTAAGTCACTAACCAGGCGGGCAAGTGAAATGTACATATTCGGGTAATATCAGGACCCCACTCTCAGAACCTCAGGTACAAGCAGTACCCAGAGGTGAAAGGGTATGTTATGGACAGAATACCGGCTGAACGCTGGGGGGTGCCGATGGATAGGCGACAAGGAAATCGAGGTAGTACGTTGAAGAAGAACGGCTTTACGGGTGGCTCAATACCTCGACACCCTCCCACGGGAAGAATGCAACCCCGACCCGCTTATCTGATTATCTGATTATTTTCTTTCTAACCATCTAATCTCTGATAAGATTAGTATCTTTCCGGACTTCGGGTCCAGGAGTATCACTCATATAGACCTATTCGTCGTCCAAAATCCCTAGGGAAATCTTCGACCCTTCCATGTTCCCTCACTTATAAGTCCTAGTCGGCGACCATGGCCGTCAAAGATGAGATTTTGCAGGCTTCGGAGCCCCAGACCAGTTCCACAGTGGCTGCCCTCGACTCTCGTGAGATTCAGGTTCAGGAGAATGATGCCAGTGTGCCCGAATCGTCGAGCAATTTGGTGGAAATACCGACATGGCAGAAGATCGTCCTCTGGATCAGGTGTGTCTCTTCTCCCTACTGCTTCCAGCTTCGATCCGGCGGTCGCTGAAATACGTCCGTGGCTAGCATCTGTCTCACATCCTACGCCAACGGGCTCGACAACTTTACCATGTCCGTGTACCTGAATACGGCGGCCTCAGAATTCAACGGTATCGTGCAGTACTCCACGTTGGCCGTGGTGCAGAGCATGATCCTGGCGGCGGGGAAACCAGTCTTTGCGAAAGTCGCCGATGTCATCGGTCGAGCGGCGACGCTGGCCTTGTCGGTCGCCGTCTTCACCGTCGGCACTGTCACCATTTCGTCGTCGCAGAACATGGGCGGTCTGGCGGCGGGGATGGTTTTCTTTTCCCTGGGGAACACCGGGGTCACATTTAGCCTTCAACTCCTGGTGGCGGACCTGACGTCCCCTCGCTGGCGGTGCGCCATCTCCAACGCTTTGGCCATTCACTTCATCATCAATTTTGGCATCGCCTCCAAAATCACCAACGCTCTGGTGCCGCAAAGCTGGCGGTGGGGGGTGGGCATGTTCACCATCATCAACCCCTGCGTGACGGGGCCCATCGTCGCCGTACTGGGATGGCAGCAGTACCAGTCGGCCCGTCGAGGCGCCATCCGCAAGTACCCGTACGAGGGCCTGGGATTCTCGCGCTCCGTTTGGTCCTTTGTCGTCGACGTTGACCTTCTCGGACTGACGTTCTTTGCCGGCGGCTTTCTCCTTCTACTCCTCCCGTTGACCATCGCCGACAGGGCACCCGATGGGTACAAGAGCGGCTACATCGTCGCCATGTTTGTCCTGGGTGGGGTCATGCTCCTGCTGTGGCCGCTCGTCGAACTCCGGATGCCGCGCCCGTTGGTGCGACTGCGCACCTTCTTCGCCAATCCGGACGTAATTGTCCCGGCGTCCATCCTCTTCGTCGATCAGTTTTCCGTGGCCATGACCATGACACCCGCATTCCAGTGGATCGAAATCACCCATGGCTGGAGCACGGGCGACGCGACCTACTTCCTTTACACCCAGTCGCTGTGCCTGGTCGTCTTCAGCGTCCTGGCCGGCTCGCTCGCCACGTACACCGGGCGCTACCAGCGCGTGTGCATCGCCGGCGCCTGCGTCCGCATGATCGGCCTGGGCCTGATGTTGAAATACCGCACCTCTCACGCCACTACATTCCAGGTGGTAATACCCCAGGTCCTCATGGGCCTCGGCGGCGGGCTCATGACTGCCAACGTCACTGTAGTCGCTCAGGCCGCTGTACCACACGATGAGCTCTCCATCGTGACTGGATTCGTGCTGTTGGTCCTCGAGCTTGGCTCCGCCATCGGGAGCGCCACGGTCGGGGCCGTGCAACAAACACTCCGCGCCAGCCTGCACCACTACCTGGACCCCATCACCGGCGGCAACGCCACCGTGGTCAACCTCATCTACGCCCAGGGTAGTCGCGCCGTCGCCGGTTTCCCGTTGGGCACCCCGATCCGTGACGCGACCGTCCACGCATGGTCCGATATCATGCACAAGTTGATCGTCGGCGCACTCACACTGGCCGCGGTGAACCTCGTCACCTGTCTGGTTTTACCCGACCATGTATTGAAAGACAAACAACAGAATAACGTGGAAGACGAGACTGTCGGAATTATGCCTCCCCAAGCCGTCCTACCTAAGTCGAACCGACGCGCACACAGGGAGGCTTGAATTCGGGTCGGAAGTAACGTCTTTTCTGGCGTGAGCGACCGAAGAAGATGCGTGGACCGTGCTTACTCCCATCTACTGCCAGACTGCTGTCGTTCGAAGGCCAGGGATTTTCTTTTTCACTGCCCATAAAGCCTTCCTCTTTGTAGAACTAGGTCAAGTGAGATCGAGGAAACGTTTGAATTGCTAGGCAGAGGACTAAGGGCCGCCTGAGCAGAATAGCTCGTACTAGAAAAGATGCGCCTACCTAACATATGAAATCCCCGCATGACCAGGACTGCTGGTTGGCGTCCGATGATCAGATTCGGTCGTAGGTGGCCCCGGCTCTAAACTCTCCGGACTTCACCGGGTCACAATTGTCACGGTGTGTTCGACTCGTACTGCATTGGTTTCCCCAGAAGTAGTAGTTTTCATTTGTCAAAATCAGCTGGAGGGTCGTGTCGCGCCTAACTTTGATGATGCAAATGTACTCTGTCGTTTAACACGTTTGACAAAGCGGGCCGACCGGCCGATATCGCAGAGGACCCCTTTGAGAGGCCGAAGGAGGTATTTATCTTGAATGTAACCAGCACGGGCACGACAAGTCAGGAATCACTACACCAACCACACACACAAAACAGCCACAGACCACAACCGTTCGCGATGTCGTCGACCGGGACCGAGTGGTCCCCTCCCCCGGCCAACCCGCTCCAAGGCGTCCCCTCGCACATCGTCGACCTGCTCGCCCGGCTCCACGACGAGTCCCTGCGGCAGGAGGGGGCCCTGACGCGCGACGACTTCCAGAGGGCGACCATGGACGAGGTCATGCGCGACAAGTTCATCGCGCTGGACCGCGACAAGGCCGAGTTCGTCTACCAGCTGTGCCGGGCCACGGGGGCCGAGACCATCGTCGAGGCGGGCACCTCGTTCGGCGTCAGCACCATCTACCTCGCCCTGGCGGCCTCGGCCAACGCCTCGCGGACGGGCCGCCGCGCGCGCGTCGTCGCCACCGAGCACGAGCCCACAAAGGCCGCCCGGGCGAGAGGGTACTGGGCCGAGTGCGGCGGGAGCGTCAGCGACGTGATCGACCTCCGTGAGGGCGACCTGCGCGAGACGCTGAAGACGGATCTGGACAACGTCGATCTGTTGTTGCTCGACAGTACGTCTTTCTTTTTCTCGCCTCGTGTGACCGACTTCTCTGTACTCTTTTTTCCCCTTTCGCGCTCGCTCCCTGCCCCTCTCTCCGCTTGACCAGATTATCCGAACTCTCAAGTCCGAGCTCTAATTTCTCCAGTCTGGACGCCCATGGCACTTCCGACCTTGAAGGTCGTGGAACCCAAGATGCGGCACGGGGCCCTGGTCATCGTGGACAACACGATCGGCGCCGCGCGGGGTTACAAGGACATGCTGGAGTACCTGCGGAACCCGGACAGCGGGTACATCAACATGACCCTCCCCTTCAGCAAGGGTCTGGAAATGAGCGTGTATTTGCCTCGGAGGTGAGAGAGCTTGGGTATTTCAGGGGTTCTATTCGCCCGGAGTATCGCCACCAACCGTGCCAGATGTATGGTCTCGCCGTCGCGAGAGGTTTGTATTGACATCTTTGCCTGGTGGTCAGCCCTCTGGAGTCTTTTGGAATAGCAAACGTTCGATGGAGCACCCTTGGCCCCGGATATTATCCTTGGGGGAGAGTCCCGAAACGCTCGCTGTCTAATATAGCTCTCGGTGCACTTCGTTTCCCGGTCCCCTTTTACTTTCTCCTGGATCATGTTCACTTTGACCCTTCTTTCTGTCCCCTGTGACATGCCCATCTTGTCACTCTGTTGCTGGATTGGTTGTAGACATTATGGTCGCAGAACTTTGTGTCATTAATTTGGTCAGAGTGGTATCTATAGATCAAGCCAACGTATCTTGTTCTCCTTCCACCTTGATCAAAGAACATCATCATAATGATAACTGGGAAGTCTTCGTTGCAACACTATCAATCCAGCATGCCAGTCTGCTGATCAAGGTATGTACACGAACATGAGCGGGCGTGTTTCTTTCTTTATATTATGTGCCCAGCTGTGTAAGTGTAATAAGTGTGTCCGTGTGATGACAAACGAAACCGTTGTTCCCGTGTTGTCGTAACCCAATGTATTCCTCTCTACCATAAAAGGTATTCGTGAAATAATTCATCCAATGAAATTCACTGACTGATTGTTCGTCGTCCATTGCTACTCGAACTTCTATTCCTGCTCCCTCCACCTCCACCGCCATTAGGGTTGTTACCACCACCGGCACTCGCAGGGATTGTTGCAGTGCTAGCCATGACCGCGGCAACGAGACTTGCCGCCGGTGCTGCGTGCCGATGGGCTCTTCTATGGGCAGCACCTGTATGAGTTTCTCCGGCCTTTAGTGCTTCCTCGACATAAAACCCAAAGACAAGACGGTAGAGGTCTCGTAGCCAGCCGAAGCCATATACACAGCTGGTCATCCCACGGACTGCTCGTGCAACCTCCACCGCGTTGATCCTTCCACGTTCGCCCAGGGTGCCAGCAATACCTAGATTGCGGAATCCAGAGTCATTGATCACGGCTTTGCGGTAGTTCTCCAGCAAAGCCACTTGCCATGTCTGGGTGCCGAATGCATTGTCCGGCAGGTTTTGGACGAAATTCGGCAATGAGTTGAGCGTTGGATCGATCGACGTCCGTGTGTAGCCACGACCAGTGGCTAGTGCGGCTTTGACGAACAGTGCTTTCAAGAGGATCAATGTAGGATCATCAGCGGGAGTCCGGACTGTAGACACCGTTGTTGCTGAGGTTGGGTTGACGCCGCCTTCGGAAATTGCCGAGGCGGGAAGAGACAAGACAGAAGAACTCGAGGACCATCTCGGGTTTGCTGAGCTTGGTGCAGGTTTGGCAGAGTGTGGATGCCGTGCCTGCGGATTCGGCGAGACTTGCCGTTGGACAGGGGCGGGTGTTGATGAGGCGGATGATGTCGAAGACATCCTTGTTGCTTCTTCAGCACCGAGAATTAGGATATTTGGGATAGGGGCTTCGTCAGGTGAGATGGTGGTGATTGTGTCTTCGAAAATGGTGGTTGGTGTCTCAGGCAGCATTTTGGGATTGCCATTCTCATCCAGAGGAGCGAATCCCGAACGTCTGGCTTGATTGAAAGCCTGAGTGAATGTCGTCTGACTCGGCCGCGGTGTGCCTCTTTCGGGGCGAATTTGAGTCCAACCTTCACGGAAGAGGTCACACAGCTCCCAACAAGCTTGGATGGCCGACCCAAGGAGCTCTTCATCTGGTCTCTTCCCCTCTCGCCGACTCTGCCGTAGACTAAATAGCATTTCTGCCAATGACCAGCAGGCCTTCAACAAGGAATCAGTTTCTTCCGCCATTTTCGCTTTTTGTTTCATGAGTCGATGACACAGAGTAATATAAAAATCTAATGTTCTCTCCCGAAAAGCCTCAGGCAGACTCCGATCATGTGTGTTGTACAGGTGATTGTTCAGCTCGAAGCTGACCCTCAACACCGAATCTGCTGTTTCATTATCTCGTACTCTGACTTCAAATAGTGCTTGACAGAAATCTCGACATAGGTCCAGTGTAGGTCGTGAAGATCCGTGAGAGAAAGATCCCGGTGCATTCTCGTCTCGTGTGTTGTAAAGGTTTTGACATAACTTCCAGCATGATTTCCACGCCTGTTCCTGCATATCGCCTCGTCCGGAGAAGTTGAACAACCTCTCCCTGTGGATATGGCTCAGGCTGGCTAATGTATTACACAATGTCCAGCATTCAGACAATGCGTTCCGTAGCGCATTGATCTCAGCTTCGGCATCTTGCAAGATATTAGCAGCGAAATGACTCTCGTCTCCAGTCTCGTCAGTGCTAGGGTGATCAGTATCGTCTCCTTCCATGATACCTGTCACTGTCAGTGCATGAAGAGCAGCCTCGAGCCTTCATACTTACTGGCTAGACTCGAGCCCGGCCGACTCAACGAGCTGAGGTCTTGTCGTGTCTGCGCCCTCGGAGTTCGTGACCAGTCGTGTATGGGAAGGGCAGGAAGTGACGTCTGTAAAGGTGTGGGTGGCATTGGCATATCATGACCCTAGAGAATCGTTAAGTTCCCTATTCAATGATAGAGATTGGAGACACAAACCCTAGCCACCGACTTCATCTCAGGTACTGCGGACTTGATGGTTGCGTCTGAAGCTTGAGAATCGGCAGAATCAGTCGAGCCGGCTCTCGTTCTCTCGATGTCTTTCTGCTGAGCCGCTGACTTGCTCTCTGGGGTCCTTTCGCTGGGCGGATCTGGTTCTTCATGTGCCGACTTGAAGTCCTCTTCGCTTTGAGACTGAGACGCTTGGTCACTAGGCTAAATAACATTGAATTAGCTATAGACACCCACGACATCTTGCTGGGGACATACGAATTTTCCAAATCCCGCAGGGATGTGAATGACAGACTGTGGTTCTGTTTCTTCGTCTAGTCTTTCGCGAAACTGTTGCTCTAGTGTCGGGCCCGTCGCAACCTATGCATAGTATCAGCATGTTGCCCCGTTGATGGGCATGACGCATCCTACCCTGAGTGGTGTTGCAATGTGATGTATGCCTTCTCTCTGAGGAGAAGCCACATCTGGTCTCTGCGCGGTGGTAGGACTGAAAGGGGTCTCTGGGACTGAGCCCTTTTCTGTTACCTCCTCTTCCACCTCTTCGTCTACATCCTCGAAGTTTGTGACATCAGAATTGACGGGAGACGGAGCTATTGGATCTTGGGGAGAGGTGATGTAGTTAGCAGGAGGGGCCCTGAGGTGACCATCGCTTGTGGAGTTGCCTTTCTCGGTTGCAGACCTGCCACAGTCAGTCATGTGTGCCGCTGACGATGCCATTCGTGTGCATACATAGGTTGGTCACCTGCGGCAGCACTGCGCGGTCGAGGTGAGTGCGAATGGTCACCAAACGGTGAAAAGGGCGAGATGAGAGGGTTTGTCGACGGGCTGAACCCGAGGGGAGCCCTCACAGCCATCATCTCCAAATTCTTTCGGCCTGCGGCACAATCAACCTGAAATACAAGGTTGACTGCGCCCAGGCGAAAGAGACGGACTCGTTTGCGCGCGCGTGGAAGACAGATGCAAGATTGTTCAGACCACAAGGCAGATGGTTCAGTTGCAAGATGGTCTGTCTACCGGACCCGACCAGACGCCAGTCAAGTAGTACGGCTTTGTTGAGGCGACCGCAGAGGTCGCGTGTGGCCGAGTCGGCTGGCACAGGAAGCGATGTTGGAGTGGCCGGACAAGGTTGATGGGGCCAACATGTGCAATATCCTGGATAGAAGGAAGTCGGCAAGGTGAGAGGATGGATCGTTCCAATGTCTGCGCGCTTTGGCCAGAAGCTATGAAGGACGTGGTAGAAAGTAATTGGAAGATATGGACCAAACAACTATCAATGAAGAGGCTCGAAAGATGGAGGGTCGACGATACACACTTCGCGGTGGAGGCCTAATATTCAGAGGTGAAGGACGGAAATAGTCGTTGAGCTAGGGTATCAATGGCCTAGCATCTGATTCGGCTCGCAGTGCGTCGCTAGGGCACATGTAGCCGTTCATAGTTCTACCTTGTCGACATCAGTATACATTGGAGACTGCACTCCGGAGAGACAACAGTGTGTGGGCTTGTCAGGCTTGAAACCCGCGAAAGTCAGACTCGCGCCGCGCCTAGCCTGCGAGGGGATGTGATGCTAAGCTCAGTGGCATGTGAGTCCGGCGGTTTCAGGAGCAGCAGCGCCTCGAGGAGCCCATGTGAGTGGTCAACGCCTTCGATGCCGTGAAGAGATACGGAGACTGGGTGCAAAGGGTGGAAGTGGGAGCATCGAGAGAGGGGCAGCTGGATGCTCAGCGTCCCGGAGAATTTTGGGAACCAGCAGTTTGGAGACGGGACGATCAAAAAAACACCCCAGTCTGCCACGAGCCCGTCGAGGCTTGAAAGCTTTGACCGTGATAGACAGCGCGAAGGCTGCATGCAGAGGATCACCAGGCTCTGACGAATGTGATTCGCCCCAAGGACCGCTGAAAGAAGGTGGCTGCAGCTTAGCCAGGCATTGGGACAGATTTACGCGCCGACCGGGATGGAAAAGAGGGTGCGGCTGGAAGACACACCAGACCAGGGGCAGATACGAATAGGAATGAGCGAGACGAAATAGCGTCGACAGTAGCCATCGCCAGCGGCATTAAACACCATCAACCACTCCTCCCACCAATGATCCCACCCACTTCTCTCGCCATGCTGCAAGTAAGCGCCGCATTATACTTGGACTGAACGTTCGTTGGTCCGACAGGGCCTGGGCTGAGATGCCACATCATGACAATAGCCATCGCACACAATTAGGGCCCTTTATTTTTGTTCAGCTCAAGCAACTTCACATACTCTATCAACAGCTAGCTAACTCTGCAAGATCCGAGCCAGAGAGTTTGTGGATTGTTGCTATCCATCACACTGCAAAAATCAAACAAGGAGGAAGAAAGTCGTACAGCACGGATTCATCATGGAGCAAAGTACACCCATGTCATGGTCCTTTCCAGGTAAGAAAAGAAGAGCCTCATCATTATCGTCGTTCGTGGCCCAAGTTATGGCCCCCAAATCAACCCCAACACCTTGCATGAAAAGGACAAGTACCGGTCGCCCGTAGAGTCAAGGGCCAGCATTTACCGAATGGTCATCTGCTTTGCCATTGCTCCGCCCTTTCCAACGCCGCCCTCTCTCGAGGCTGAAGCACTCACTCCCGCCTTCCGCTCGAATACCTTCCAAAACTTCAAGCTCTCATCAGCCGCTGCAGAAAGTGTTAGTGTGTCTCGCTTAGATCGGGGATTTCCACGTCTGATCACTTACCCGCTGTAGCCAACATCTGTCCGTCAGGGCTTAGGCAGCTGTGGAGGACCCGGGTTTCATGTGCAGGAATTTCCACATTTCGGACCAAGGTAGGATAGCTCCAGATGCTCAATGAGTTATCAGGGAAGCCGCCAGAGCTAACCAGCTCACGGTAATGGTTGCTCCACTTCAAGCTCGTCACTTGCGATCCAGTGTCGATGCTGTTGACGCGAGCCCCGGTCGTGGTGTTCCAGAAGTGGATGTGGCGGTCATTTGAGCCACCTCCCGTAGCCAAGAGATTCAATTGCCATGGGCACCAGCTAAGAGCCTTGACGGCGGCGCGGTGGTTCTTCTTGGCAAACTTGGGAGCGGCGAGAGACCGAGCATCCCAGATGGAAACGAGGTTGTCATTGCCTCCAGTCGCGAGTTGAGCACCATCGGAGCGCCATTCGAGGCCGCACACTTCGGAGGTGTGGGAGACCAATTCAGCGACCTTGTGCTGAGCAACACGGACGTCGTGGTTGAAGACGAGTCCACTGCGGGCGCCAGTCGACAGGGTGTGCTTGTTCCACCCCATCACGCCGACACGGGTTTCGTGGCCGAACATGCTTCGAAGCTTGGTACCCTCTTCGACATCCCAGATCTGTACTTCCCCAGTCCCGAGGCCCACTCCGACGTAAGCGCCGTCACCAGACCATTTCACACTGCTAATGTATGTGTCTGGGGATGTCTCCAACAAGCAGCTCACGGTGCCACTGTCGGCAGACCAGACGTAGACATTGCGTTCCAGTCCAATAGCGACTTGGTTACCGGCACTCCAGTCGAGCAAGTTCAGATAGTAGTCATCAACGAGGCCAGGGGCGTCTAGCACGCGTTCGGGAGCAGACTGGATGCGTCTGCGGAACTGCGCAGATTGAGCATTGGCCTGCTTCAATGGCCGGTTGTACTGTGATCGGAGGTCAATAGGCTTGGATGACTCGGGAGGAGCTGGCTTGAATTCCAGGATTCGCTGGCTGGTAGAGATGCCGCAGGCAGAAGCCAGAGATGATTCGTAGGCAGTAGACTCTTTGTTCGAGCGAGTATACGAAGGTGCGCTGTCATCCTCCAAGCCGAGGCCTTCAAGAGCGGTTGTGATGTCTGCATCGGCTCCTCGAGCAGAGATGTCAAAAGCACTAGCAGCATTTGCGAGCACGACAGATCCGTCAGCAGAGCGCGGACGTGTGTTCTCGTCAGGCTTGGCTGCGCCCGCTGTGGTAAGACCTGCACTGGCACCACGGTTGGGGATGAAACGGTCCGCGGTGTTGTGTGGGAGTCTGATTGTGGTTTTCCCAGTCCTTGATCTCAGCGCAGTCTCTTTCCTTGACTTCTCCCTCGATGGGGTTGAAGTGTGTGGTCCAGTGCCAGCCAAAGTCCACTCTGAGACCCCAAGGTCGAGTTGCTTCGGTGACTGTTTGGTTCTGGCAATGTTGGATTTGGGGGAGTTGGCGTAGGCTAACTTGGAGACTGATCGTGGAATTGATCGTGAGAAGAAGGTGGAGGGATCTGACTTGTGGATTGATTGGTCTTTTCGCAGAGGAGTAGAAGGAGATGAGGTGGTAGAGACATTCTGGGGCATGCTTGTCGTTCTACTTCTCGGTGATGGTGTGAGAGGCATTCTGCCGCCGGCAGTCTTTGTGGAGAAGATGCCATGATGGCTTTTCAGAGGAGTTGACACAGCTGATGTTGCCATGATGACTGTGTGATTAATGATCGAATGGACAACTTAATGTTTCGATCGAAGTCCCTGTAGTACCGAATATCAAAGTGATGTTTCGGCGGTTAGTAATGGTGTCGATTAAGCAACCAGATCTTGTCGTGGAAGTCCGTGCTTGGGTCCAGCAATTCAGTGATATCTCAAGATTCTCAACTGAATGGATCCTGAGACGCTATTGTCGTTGTGTTGGTTAGTATGTCTCTGTTGTGTCTCTGTAATTGTTGGATGATTGAATAACCGAGCGTTGCACGGCAAGGCGATGCAGTCGGAGAGCGATCAAATCTAGCGGATGCAAGTGTGATCTAATGGACTGTATGCTATACACGAGCAATGATGTGCGTGGTAGAAGAAGTAGTGGTAGTGGGAGGTGGATGAGAATGTGGTAGGAAGAAGAGAAGAGAGAGCAGAGCATGAAACTGAAGCCTTGAAATATTGTCGGTCAGTTGTGCAGGGCAACCACGTGTGGAGACGGCTAATTATGTCATCATTCCCTTTGGACCTTAGTGAGGTCAGGTGTCTCGGATAATTATTCTCCCCGATCCGAAACTCAACTTCATCTGTCCTCCAGACTTTCATTTTCTCCGTTCATCAAGGGCACCATTTCTGAACGCAGACTACATGCTCGGAAGTCTCTCAAATTGCTGACACACGGGTACGATGTTCATGGCTTGACACCTGGCCCTCTCTTGATAACTTTGCTGGGTGCGTGGCCAATTTCTCAACGTGCTTGGGTTGCAGCCACTCCTGACTCCCCTGCTTGCTTATAATGGCACAACCATCAACGCCACAACCTCATATTTTCCAACCAACGCCGATACCCGCAACTACGAGTTTCTTTAACAGCATCGCGTCGACTTCTAGGACGGTCTCTGGTTGCAACACACCGACAGGATCCACATACCTGATGCCTACCAGCCCCGCCAAGAATGCTCTGTCATCAAAGGATGGCTCGAAACCGAAAATTGTCAAGACAACGGGCCAGAAGCCGGCTTGTCTAGTCAACGCATCTGTGACATACTGTGGTAACGAGCAGATCTACGCCTTTGGAGGCTTCGACCAGTTCACAGACGAAGTGTACAATCACGTGCTGAGGCTGAACCTGAAGACGCTAAATTGGGCGCTAGTCGACAATTATGGAGATATTCCGGGAGTTCGCATGGGCCATTCAGCCTCGTTATACCAAGGTGACAAACTTCTTGTCTACGGCGGAGAGAACGAACATCGAGAGTATTTGTCCGACGTTGTGATTCTAAACCTCAAAGACCATCACTGGACTCAACCAGAAGTTCAGGGGCCTATTCCCAAGGGTCGCGCTCGCCACGCAGCGGTCGTCTACGAAGATAAATTATTCGTCATCGGTGGTCTGACAGGCGAAGCTAATTACATCCTCGACGACATCTGCTACCTTGACCTGAAAACATGGACATGGTCTAAGACCTGGAGCTTTGTCCAGCGATTTGATCACAGTGCCTGGATCTGGGGTGGCAGACTATGGGTGTTGGGCGGCCTCGGCGCAGACATGGAGCGTCCATCTGAAATATGGTGGTTGGATCTCAAGGGGAGCCCTGCCCTTTCTGGTTCCGGAAAACATTATTCCACCATGGGACGACTTCCAGGCTCTCGATCGGATCCTTTCTTGCATCCAAACAGAGCCGATCGTGTCGATACATACACAGCAAACTCGGGCAGCGTTCACATCCGTTCGTCTCGTAGAGAGAAACCTACAGCGCCTGGCGCGATATCGTCGCTCAAATTCGTGTCAGGACCCCATGTGCCGCTACAGTCATCCGGGACACACTTCCATGTGTGCTCATCCGGAACGTTGTTGGACTTTGTAACACCATCGTCCACGATACGGCACAGTGAATGTAACTTGTCTTCTCTGGAGCTGGACTCGCTAAGATGGCAACGCCTCGTCGAAGGTCCCGAGTTGTTCCAACCAAATTACAAATGGCACTATTGCACCATCAACGAGGATGGGACCAAAGTCTGGCTTCTTGGATCTACCACCGAAGACGCGTCTGCTATAGGGCAAGAACTTCAACTGAGCGAGGTCCTCGCTGTGGACCTCAAGAGATACGGTCTTCTGGGCACGCAAGACGGCACTCTCTCATCCGAGCAGAACCGTATTCTTGCCTCTGAACGTCCGACCGTCCACGCTAGTTCCCTAGGCGGAGGAACAGGCCTCGGCTCTGATTTCGCCGCCATCTTCGACCAGCCTCCAGAGACCAGTATGAGTGACTTCGTAATCACGGCCAACATTGAATCAACTGACGACGATGACGTCTCCGAGAGCGGGTCCCAGGGCAGGTTCTCACTCAATTCGACTAGCAGTCAAATGCTCGTGTCTGACAACAGCAATGTTTCTCACCCGATTTTTGTCCACAAGATGATCCTTCAAGCCCGCTGGCCCCACTTCAGACGCCTCTACGCGTCGAAAATGGTCGAATATCAGACCTCACGTCTGCACATACCCGAGCCTTATTCCGTCGTTCGGGCATTCCTATACTACTTGTACACCGACAGCATCGCCCCACACGCCGAATTCTGTCGCGACCTCACCGACGTGGCGGGCATGCTCGTCATGGCCAACCTGTACGACATGCCCAAGTTGCGTCTCTTGTGTGTCAATCGACTCTCGCGCGAGATCGACATTGAACACGCCGCCGTGATTTGGGAACGCGCCGGACGCACCGAAGAAGAATGGCTCAAGGCTCGGGCGGCCCGCTTCTGCCTGATGAACTGGGGCCGCGTCGTCCGCACCGAAGGCTTCAGGAGTCTCAGCCGTCAGAGTCTGATGGAACTGTGTGAGGTCGTGGACACCGAGGGGAGAGTTGTTGGTGGTGAAGAACTCGACGACGTCTGCGTCGACGGGTTTGGCGCCGGCGGTAGCTACAGACATCGGCGAAGAAGCCACCGCCCGAGCGAAACGGCTGACGAGACCGAGGGAGACGACGAAGACGGAATGGATATGAACTAGTATTCCCTTCCTGGTACAAGAAAGAGAAAGGCAGCCGATACAGCACGTAACGTCTCTCTTGCGGCGAGGAAGGATAGGAACGGGACACGGGAGGGGATAACCTGCCTAGGTAAGGTAAACAAGCTCTTCGAGGCCTACCTATGTAAGATCAAGCAACCGAGAAAAAAAAAACATGTGATACGAAACAAAGGCGGAACAAACAGGCATTCGAGCGCGGGGGAAGGAAAAATTTGGGCACAACAAGGGATGGATGGCGTTATGCACAATGAGCAAGCTCTATACTGTACTCCGTACTTTTTCTTTTTCAGCCTGACGAAGCGAGACATTGACTATTATTGGCAGCGCATCAACAACGACGACGACGACATAGCTTGGGCTCGGGGACACGTCTTTGAACTTTTCTTATTTTCTTCTTTCCATTTTTCATTCCCATCAGCATCAGGTTCCTTCACACTATTCTAGGTAGTTTCTTTTTCTTCGCAGCTTATAGAAGTATGACTTTTTGTACATGATATCCCCTCTTCCAAGCGTATTGGTTCCGTCATCGTGGCCTCACTAACGGATATCTAATGATAAGCTGTTACTTGTTCTTGACGGTCATGACTCGGGGGAAGTGATTCAAGGGTATCATTATTTCATTCTCACTGTTGGCTTTTTTTTGACCAAGCCCCTATGGGTAACTTAGGTACTCCGTATGAAGTTTTACAATGCCCGGTCCAAAGCGCATACAACAACTATCGCTGGGACGGACCAGCTTCGTAATAATAGACTTCCACTCTTGTGTCTTTTCGGGACGAGACGTCTTCTTCATGACTGCGATGATCATTTCAGCCCTCAAGTCGATCATCTCATCTTCGAACTCAGTGCTCATTCCTCTCATATCCAGGCATAAGTGCCACAGAGCCAATCCGGGTAAAAATGTATCAAAGTTCTTTTAAAAGTGCAGTATTGCACCACACTTCAAGTCGGAAGCGATGTCCATGCTTAGTAGAAATGACACACGTGCATTGTCGGAGTGACTGTATCACCTCGACGTTCTCCGACCCATGATTTCATGACCATGCCCGCCATGTGCCTTCGTCCCCTTGCCGTTGCGTAAAGTTTCTCCCTCACGAGTCTATCGTTTCTTGCCGCCCGGTCTCGGCTTGACCTCATCTGGCTGGACACCGTGTAGCATAATCTTGCACGGCATCTGTTGCGTGTTTTTCTGATATCCTTGGCTCCAGTCGTAACATACCGCATACGCGAATACACTGCCTTGCCTATTGAATGCCGTTGCCGTGATGGGTGCTCCGACATTCGGGTATCCTTTCAATCTGTGCTTCGCGTTACCGTCCCAGAAGTGGAACGTACCGTCACTGCCGGCCGTCGAGAAGGTTCCGTGAACAGGGTGGAACGAGATGGCATTCACAGCGTATACATTGGCAACGTCGCGGTTGGGTCCGGTCGCATTCGGGTTGTCTCTGTGACATTTAAAGCTGAAATTATTCGAGGCATCCTTCTCCTCCACGTATTGAATCGCACAGCGGCCCTCGATACTGCCAACAGCGAAGCCAGTAGCATCCGTGAAGCAGCTCACGACCCGCGTCTGAAATTTCAACGGTGATTGCATCGATTTGTAGAATTTCTCGGGGGAGTTGAGGTCGACGATGTTGATGTATCTGTCTGCAGTCCCGATGACCAATAACTTGTTCTTGACGTCCATCGTGTAGACTCGCTCTTGACATTGTAGTGTTGCGACGGGATTTTGTGATCTGAAGTCCCAGTATTTCACTGTCTTGTCCCAGGAGCCAGTAACAAGAATAGGCGAATTGTTGATGGTGGCGAAGCAACAGGAGCGTATGGGTTGTTCGTGCGCAACGAGAGTCTGAGGGGTCATGTTGCCCGAGCCCAAGTCAAGGAGTCGAAACGTCTTGTCTGCACCGCAGCCTGCCACTTTCTGACCGTCCTGTATGCTTGTTTAGTAGGAGACTTGTGCGATCTTAGGTCTGTACGACTTACCTCAGACCAGGCGCAGTTGAGTACTGGCGCATCGAAATCCATTGCGGCTTTCCCTTCGCTTTGCCCTTGCTCGTTGACCTGGTATATTCGCACCTTCTTGTCCCATGATGATACGGCTAGGAAGTCGCCTTGTGGAGAGAATTGAAGATCAGATATACTGTCTTCAGGAGGTTGTACAAGAGCGACATCCTTCGAGACGTCTCCGGTTGTGCTGGACGGAGCAGTTGTTGTGGCCGCGGCACCAAAGAGGCCTGACATGGTTCCAGAGGTCTATCGACTTCAGACGAACCTCTATGGTACGATTCTGTCGCTCGGGAATTGGCTTTGGAGGGAGTTCTCTTCTCGAGCGCGGCCAAGGGACAGTAGACAGGCAGCTAATGTCGAAGGCGGACGCGATGATTTTAACGCGGTTCACTTCGAAATTCGACTTACAGAAGGGCCGATAATTGCGGCGGAGTAAATATGCCACAACGTACTACGGCAGAGCAATAAATAACATTCAAGCACTCGAACAAGAAGTCTTCATCGTCTCAACATTTAGATGCTCTATGCTCTACGTGTGTATTGCTGCCCAAATCCGAGTATCTTTGACTCTTGGTTCAGCTTTTGCTTTAACCTCAGTGGCCACGAGGCACCAGCCTTTGACCGATGCAAATGGAACATAGCCGTTGAGGGCCGAGTATACACGTTCATCATTCTCCCGCCATCCAGTATCTTCCGTCGCGTGGTAGATCGACACTTTTGGTTCAAAGATTCCCACAAACCGAGCGTCGATGGTCAACATTAGAATAGTCTAGGACGACGGCAGAGTGATTTGTGCGACTCCGTCCGCGACTTTCTGGACTGCTGCATCTTCACCAATTCCAGGCGCACTGTTGATCCGTTCTTTGCCTTCTGCACCACCTTTCGCGGAACTTTCCACACCCTCACCACCTGTAGTTTTAGTGGTCTTCTGAGCAGCCTTCTTCGCCTTCTTCTTTTCTTTGTCTGCGGCTTTCTTGGCGGCCAGTTCGGCCTCTGCTTTTTTCTTTTTCTCCCGTTCAGCTTGATTTCCACCAAAATGTTCTCGCCACTCATCGGCCTTCTTTTCATCGATCTTTGTGAAGAGGTACTCTGCTTTTCCGATTTTGTGGCCAGGTTTGATATATGTTGGTAGCCAGCCGCCTTCAATGTCCTGTTCGGACGGGATCTGCAGGAAGTCGACATTCAATTGTTTGCGGATTGATGCACACGTGGCCGGAAGATAAGGTTCGAAGATGGCAGAGCAGAGATAGATCAGGTTGATCACGGTGCCAACTACTGCTGCGGCTAGTGTGGGATCGCTGGCTACCAGGGCGTTGTCAAGTCTATGTGCTTGAATGAGACCATTGCCTGCCTCCGCCACTTTCATAGCAATCAGAACACCATTTCGAAGATGGACGGCTTCCATTTCGGTCAGATACTGCTTCACAAGATCTGTGACATCATCCAAGTGCTGCTTGAATGACGACGGTAGGTTGTGCGCATCAAAGTCTGGCAGGACACCAGAGTAAGCCTTGGGAGAGTTAACAAGCTTGATAACTCGATTGACAAAGTTTCCCAGCTTGGCGAGAAGCTCTGAGTTGTTTCCATCGATGAACGACCGCCATTCGAATTGGGTATCACCGGACTCTGGGCGGTTCTTAAGTAGGTAATATCTCCAAACATCTGCAGGTACTCCAGTCTCTCTTGCATTGTTTCCGAAAACACCAATTCCGCGGCTCTTGCTGAATTTTCCATTCTCGTAATTGAGGTATTCCGTCGAGGAAAGATGATGTAACTGGGTCCATTGCTCGCGCGTGCCCATCTGGCATCCAGGGAAAATGACCGAATGGAAGGGAACATTGTCCTTGCCCATGAATTGATAAAGCTGTACGTTCTCGGGATTCTTCCACCATTTTTGCCATTCTTCGGTGTAGTTCGCCGTTATGGATGGATAGCCTATGCAAGCCTCGAACCACACATATAACACTTTGTGTTCGTAGCCTGGCAGTGGTACTGGGACACCCCAGGCCAGATCCCGAGTAATGCCTCTTTCTTTGAGGCCTTGCTTTAGCCATGATTCAGTGATTATTCTCGCACTTCTTGACCATGCACCCTTTTCAATGGAGTTCTTCGACCACTCTTCAATTTTTGGTTGCAATTCGTCTAATCGGAGATATGTGTGTTTGGTCTCTTTTGTTACAGGAGTCGCACCATCTAGCTTGCAGCGGGGGTTGATAAGGTCAAGAGGGTCAAGCAGGTTACCACACTTGTCACATTGATCTCCGCGGGCGTCATCGTAACCGCATTTCGGGCAAGTGCCTTCGACGAAGCGATCTGCCAAAAACTTGCCATGTTTCTCGCAGAAAGGCTGGCTGTTGATATGCTCAGTGAGATGGCCGTTGGCGTGAAGCTTCAAGAAGATATCCTGAGCGATTTCTGTGTGCTGTTTGGTTGGCGTTCGGCCAAAGATGTCAAAGCCCAGCTCAAACCATTCGTATATCTCGGTATGAATCTTGTTGTACTTCGCACACAATTCTTCTGGAGTAACACCTTCTTCTAAAGCCTTCGTTTCTGTAGCTGTGCCGTATTCATCGGTTCCGCATACGAAAAGGGTCGGTCGTCCGCGGGCTTTGTTGTATCTGGAAAAGACATCGGCACTGAGCACGCTACCCACGATGTTTCCGAGATGCGGTACCTTCGGCGAATGTCAGTGAAAGCGTCTCACTCTGTCGCAGAAGACTTACATTGTTCACGTAGGGTAAAGCAGATGTGATCAGAATATTTCTCTGCCCCTCTTGTGGAAGAATCTTTTGGGAGCCCATGGTGGGCGTGGACGGCGATGAATTACTCTGTCTATTCTGTGATTGTCTATTGAACACAACAAAATCCAGAGTGTCAATAGCCCACGTTGAATTATCTAGACGCCTCGTGCTGTGTAAAGCGCAATTGAATCGCCCTTTTTGTGTCATATCCGCACTGAGTCAAAAATCCCCCGCAGCCTCATGCATCTTAGTCATCATCGAGACTCCAACCCATGTCCGTCTGCATTTTTCTCTAGGCATCGTTTTCTCTCTTCGCTACATGGACTCTACTCGAACATTCCATATCGTTGTCGCGATCAATCAAGGTCTCAGCGAGTTGTAGCGGCCTTCTTAGCTCCTGAGATCAGCTACATAGGGATGCCCATTACCTTTTGAGTAAATCTTCATTCCACGATGGCCTCTGATCCTTTTGATGAATTACTCGAACTCGAGAACGACTATTACAAGGAAGGCTATGATGCTGGAGTAGCCGACAGCAGATATGTTGGCATGATTGAAGGTAAGGTTTTTGGCATCGAGAAGGGATACGAGAAGGCGATTGAACTCGGCAAACTTCATGGACGAGCCCTTGTTTGGCAAAGCAGATTTCTGCAACAACCGTCAGGAGCAGACTCTACGCCACCAATATCACAACAAGAATCTATGGAAGCTCCGAGGTCCGGTGCTGCTCAAAAATTAGACGAGAGTGTGACGGCTCTTCCCCGGCTCTCGAACACTACACGCCTCCGAAGGCACGTCGATGGCCTGCAATACGTTACCGACGGTACAACCGTGGCACGAGATAATTCAGACGAAGCAGTAACGGAGTTTGACGACCGAGTGACCAAGGCTAGTGCGAAGGCCAAGGTCATTGCCAATATAGTTGGCGAATCGCTGAATCCTGCAACCAGCACAAAAACTGGAATTGAAGACGCTACGGGACTTCAGGCAAGGCGTTAGACTTTGTTATCTGCAGCAGTTTTCTACAAACTACCTTCTAGCCAAGTCTGGTCTCAATTCTACACTCATAGGCTATATATACGGCCTCAAAACGGCCTCATGCCGACCGGCAATTGGGGATTTACAGGCTTCTCCGCAAACTTCTGATCATCTCCACAGTATCAGGAACAGCACGGTGTCATAACACCGTGTAAAGTTATGCACCGCAGATCCCTTTCGCTACCTCCCACACCTTTTTCCCCAGAATTATTGCAGCAATCCATGATCGACACGGCTTTCTACTGGTCTTTTTCGATCCTCCGACAAGAACAGTTGCCGACACGAGGTATGACAAACGAAAATGCACTCTTTCTCCTCATGACGTGCAGGTAGCCAAGAGAGAAATCTTTCCCACCCCGCAGCAAGATGCAGGACTCAAAAGGATGGCATGCTGTAGTGATGGTCTCGCTCTTCACTTTTTCAATCTTCCTCATAAAGCAATTGTACAGCCGTGATGAAGACCTCTACAGCTGTTTTAAGCCTTTCTCTGGCGGTTTCCGCGTTTGCGCAAGTCCAGCCGGCTGGTGTGACCCAGCCTATCGTGGAGAAATGTGGTTCTAATGGCAGTGTTGTCTGCGTGAACAAATATGTAAGTATCAGCAAAGAGAATTTTATTGAGTTACTCTAACATCCTCCAGAGCGCTGTTCTACCCTACCACTTCAATCGGTCCATCTCGAACAATAAGGCCGACTACGATTACCGCAATACCAGTGTTGGCAATGCATCCACTTGGGACCTTCTGGGACCTGCCGACTTTGTCGTCTTTGACCGAGAGCGCGGCTTGCAATATCTCGGAGACAGCCCAAGCTATGAGTTTATGTTCCCTGTCTCGAGTGCCGTGCACGAAGCTCCAATCTATGCGCCCAAGCAGAACCTGCTATTTATTTCTCAACTGGCTCCACCAACAGGCGTCTTGCCTCAACTCGTCGTTGATCTCAACCAAAATCCGCCAACCTTGAGCAACTACACCCCCAACCCACCCATATATGCACCCAACGGCGGTACCTTCCGCAATGGTGAACTGCTCTTTGCTGCAAGCGGCGGCATTGACGAGCTGGGAGGAACTGAGCAAAGGGTCTCACTGCGAACGGTTGACCCTGCCACAAACAAGTCAACTGTGCTGTTGAACAATTATTTCGGATTCTATTTCAATAACATGGATGATGTGGTGGTTCATCCAACCACGAGAGATATCTTCTTCACGGATCCAGACTACAGTTACTTCAATGCTCTGACTGATACTGCACCGCAACTGCCAGCTGCAAGCTACCGGTTTGACCCAGCTACAGGTGCAGTGTTCCTCATTGACGACACGCTCATGCAACCCAACGGAATCGCCTTCAGCCCTGATGGTCAAACGCTATACATCTCCGACACAGGAGCCGTCTATGGCACAATAGCACCTGGCTATGGAGGTGATGGTACTCAGTTCAATACGACCGCACCACGCACAATCTACGCGTTTGATGTTACGAACAATGGCACAAGAGTTTCGAATAAGAGATCATTCTATCTCGCGCAAGATTGGGTTCCTGATGGATTGAAGGTCAGCAAGGAAGGTCTCGTCCTCACTGGCTCGGGACACGGTGTTGATGTGATTGACGATGTTGGTCAACTTATCATGCGTATTCAGACCAACTACACCGTCCAGAACTTTGCCTGGACTGGCGAGAATCTCTCGACACTCTGGCTCATGGGCAATAATGGAATCAGCAAGGTGGAATGGAATATCACAGGCCAAACTTTGGTTTGATGAGTGAGATCTTGCAAGAGGGAGAGAGAACACTCTATTTTGCGAAGTAATGTTTGATGAATGTTGATCTCAATAGGTACCTATATCAAGTCAATCTACTGATACGCCTTTCTTATACATTACCTGGGTCGTGGGTAGGTGTTCGTCGTGCATCTCGTGGAGTCTCATCAGCAGGACACATGCAAAAGGCGTCGTTAATTACTCAGCCATGGAAGATGTCTTTTATCCTCTTAAGTCTCCAAGGATCGGTCGTGAACCACAAACTACCCCGTCCCATCCCCATGTCATGCCGGCCGGGCCTCGTTTTGGGTCCCACGCACGGAATAGTGTCTGTCTCCATTCGGCCGGAACCCCAGACCCACTTTAATTTCACCCAAGGGAGAGCCTTGCGTCTTGGTCACTACGTTCGCACGTCTATCTACCTTGTGGACTTTTGTCAAAGCAATAGATGAGACTGATCTGTGTGTTTGTTGTAGTAGCGAGAGTTGAATGACGATTGGCGTATAGAGCAAAAGTCGACGATAGATCTACTATGGCGACACCGTCACAAAAGCCCTTGTGGGAGCATCGGGCTCCCGAGTTCAGCCAGGTGGACGTATTCCGACGACAGATGAGTTTGAAGTACGGGTTGAATCTGAAGACGTACGATGACCTTCATCGGTGGTCTGTCGACGAGCTCGAAACCTTTTCGGCGGAGGTCTGGAAATACTGCGGCATCGTGTACAGCGAACCACCTACATCGACCGCCATCGGTCTCGAATCCATGTGGCCACGACCTCAATGGTTTCCTGGTGCTCGGCTGAACTACGCCGAGAACATGCTCGCCACGGGTCTCGCCGTGCACCCTGACGCCATCGCCGTGTCGGCGTGTCGCGAGGGTGGCACTGAATGGAGGCATCTCTCGTGGGTGCAATTGAGGGCCGAAGTGGAGAGATACGTCAGTGCATTCAGACATGCGGGCATTCGCAAAGGTGATCGTGTAGCAGGTACGTCCTTTTTTTCTGTTTAGATACAATCAAAATAAAAGAAGGTACAGACGAAGGCTGACTAGGTTGCCTCTTCTTCTTCTTCTGTAGCCGTCATGACGAATTCGCCAGAAGTCCTACTCGTTCTTTTGGCATCGGCCGCCGTGGGGGCCATATTTTCGTCCACGGCTCCTGATATGGGTCAGAAGGGGATCACGGAGAGGTATCTCCAGATCAAGCCGAAGTTAGTCTTTGTGGACTCTGAAGTGCTCTACGGTGGTCGTAACCAGGATCTCCGTGGGAAAGTCAGCTCTGTGGTTCGAAGCCTACAATCCGCAGGTGGCGATTTGAAAAAGGTTGTTGTGACAAAGGGTCGACTGTGGCAGGGCAAAGATTTGTAAGTGTTGATGCTGGACTTGACCCCCCCCCAAGTAAGTGATAGATCCCATGGTTGTTGACATTTGAGAAGAGTATCCCTGGATACGTTCCTACAAGCACCACGAAGAGAATTGGTTTATGAGCAAGTCGAATTCGATTATCCCGTTTACATTTTGTATTCGTAAGTATCTATATCGCTGCTTGATGGTGGTTAGAGGACGGACCGGCTGATAAGCGTCCGTATTTAGATCTGGAACCACGGGTCCACCAAAATGTGCGTGCTGTTCACAATACATACATACATGTGTGTGTATGTGTATACGCACCTCAAATACTGACGGGTTTCCAGGTATATGTCATGCGGGTGGTGCTGCTCTTCTACAGCAGAAAAAAGACCTGATGCTCATCAAAGACATGGGCCCAAATTCGGTATACTATCAATATACTACTGTAAGTGGCAAGTATCCAGCTACATGTGCCTCTCGACTGACCCTTAGTTCTTAGACCGGCTGGATGATGTGGAATTACCTAGTGGCCGGACTCAGCACTGGTGCTCGAATAGTCATGTACGATGGAAGTCCTTCACATCCAAGTCCCGAATACCAAGTACAACTGTTATCAGAGCAAGGGTGAGTGACATAAATATCTCATCCTGGAATCGACACATCAGTGCATATCTAATGCAGGGCCTGTGTTTAGGGTGACTGAATGGGGTACGAGTCCAAAATTCCTCGCAGCACTCAAACAACACGGTTTGGGTACCATGCCCAATCTCGACAACCTCTATCTCACATTAGTCACTGGGTCACCACTCTCGGTTGAATTGTCGGAATGGTTTTATCAGAAATTTCCAAGGCATGTTGCAACCTTTAGCAGTTCAGGCGGTACAGATCTCGTGAGCGCTAGTACGTTCTATTCTCCCTCAACCTCTCTCTTCTTCTTCTCGTACCACACGCAAACCTCAAATACACTAACTAGACTTCTCGAAAAGTTGTGAATGGTTCAATGATGAGACCTTTCTACGCCGGAGAATTGGCGACGAAATGTCTAGGAATGGCCGTGGAAGTTTGGGACCTTGACGGCAAAAACATCGAAGATACCGGGGAAAAGGGAGATCTCGTAATCACGAAACCGTTTTTCAGCATGCCCGTCACATTTTGGGGCGAGGATGGCATGGAGAAATATCGAAAAGCATACTTTGACCAGTTTCCCGGCGTGTGGTGCCATGGTGATTTTATCAGCAAGAATCCCAGTACTCAGGGTTTCATCATTCATGGTAGAAGTGATGGAGTATTGAATCCGGGAGGTAAGGAAGAAACCTCACTTTCCCACAATAACCACGACCGACGTGGAGTTTCTGACAGTAAATCAATGCTAACTCTCACCTTTGGTCTGCCAGGTATCCGATTTGGCACAGCCGAACTGTACGGCATAGTGGACAAATTCGATGAGGTGCTCGATTGCATAGCCGTAGGTCAAAGACGGGACCACGACACGGACGAAAGGGTCTTGTTGTTTCTCAAACTCGCCACTCAGAAACCTCTGACGAAGGACCTCGAGAACCGAATCAAGACGGCCATCAAGACCGAACTAAGCGCCAGACACGTGCCGTCGTATACCCTCCAGGTCGCCGACATCCCCTACACGGCCAACGGGAAAAAGATCGAAAACGTGGTCAAGGACATTGTGTCTGGACGTGTCCCCAAGATAGGAGGCACGGCCGTCAACCCGGAATGTTTGGAAGAGTACAAGAGATTTGTAGACTTGGACTCGATGTCTTCTGGTTCTGGTCCCGTCAGGGCAAAGCTGTAAGTAGTGATCTTGGTACAGTATGTGCTTAAAAGGCAAGGCGGATATGTGCAAAAAAGATATACCTAGGTAGGGACAAGAGAGTCTCGATCCAAGGTTTTGGCCCGGATACCATCCGTAATACCTAGGTATAGTGGCAACATTCCATGACGGCAGTTCAGAAGCGAAAAGCGTCAAGGACGGACATCGAGACAAGATAGAATCGAAGTAGCGTCAAGATATCATCATATCATGTCGGAGACTTTTTTCTTATTTCTTGTTTTGTCAATTCATTACATACAATCACCTAACTATTTAGGTCCCTCGATCAAGACCTTGATGGCCTTGCCGTTTTTGACGTCCTCAAAGGCCTTTTCGGCGTCCTCGAAGCTGACTTTCCGGCTGATCAATTTCTTGACGTCGACCTTCCCGCTGCTCACCAGGTTGACGGCGGTCTCGTAGTCACCCGAACCGTACCTGAAGCTCCCCTTGACCGTCAACTCCTTTGTGCACGCCGCCATGATGGGGAACGTGATCTCGTCCCGGCCCATGCCACCTTGGACGTAACTACCTCCCATGCGTAGGACGTGGATGGCGGTCTGGACGCTGGGTTCGGCTCCGCTGGCGTCGATGGCCACGTCCGCGCCCCGACCCAGGTCGTTGTGTTTGATCAGGTTTTGGGCGTTCTCCGCCGCCGAGACCCTCCCAGGTTCAAATGCCGCGTCCGCGGCGAATGACATGGCGAAATCCAGTCGTTCTCGATTGATGTCGACGGCCACGACCTTTTTGGCCCCAAACGCCTTGGCGACGGCGCAGCACAAGAGACCTACGGGACCCGCGCCGAAGACCACACATGTGTCCCCTTGCTTCAAGCCGGACTGTTTGGTGATGTGAACCGCGACGGCCAGAGGTTCCATCAGGGCCCCCTCCTCCAGGCTCACCTTCTCGGGGAGCTTGTAACAAAAGTCTTCCGGCAGGACGTAATATTTTGCCAACGTGCCGTCGTAGGGGGGAGTCGCCGCGAAGGCCATGTCGAAACACAAGTTGTATTTCCCTTCTTTACACCTCACGCACCTCCGGCAAGGGATGCCAGGTTCCATGGCCACCCTGTCGCCCTTTTGTACGCTACTCACGCTCGACCCGACTTCCACGACCGTGCCCGCGGATTCATGTCCCAACACCATCGGGTCGTTCACCACGAAATGTCCGATCCTCCCATGTTGCCAGTAGTGCACGTCCGAACCGCAGATGCCAGTGTAGTTGACCCGGAGGAGGACGTCGTAGGGACCCGTGAGTTTTGGGACCGGTCGGTCTTCGAACAGGACATCTTTGATGCCACGGAGGACGAAAGAGTTGTTTTCCTTTGGAATCGTGTTAGTTGGGCATACACAAGTAGGACTCGGTATGGTTCAGAGAATTGGGTAGCCTCACTCTTGTTTTTGTCTCGGAAGCCATTGTTACGGTTACACAAATATACCACAGTTACACTCACACACAAAGGAGACAGAGATAGGTAAGTAAAATATCAGAGTATCGCAGGGAGGTGAGGGGCAGGTTTCGGACTCTACTATCAAAATAACAAACGAGTTTTCTTCACCTGCAAGCTCTATACGAACACACAAGTCGCATGGAGTAATAGGGTCGAGTAAGGTAAATATTGAGCCAGCGGACCGCTTTCCCGTGCTGGTAAATACCTATCCATGTGTCTGGACATGGGACACCTCTGTATGGGTCATCGCATCCCCAGTGTGTCTCTTGTCTTTGACCACCGGAAAGATGCATTGAATTATTACGTGGGCGAGAGATTTTAGGCTAAAGAGACAATCAAGTGACTGCGGGGTTGTCTTTTATGACGACTTTATCGCGCTTCACTCCGTACATACTCCGTATATACTGTAAAAAAATAAAAAAGAGTACTCCGTCCCTTAACGAGTACCGAACTGATCAATGGCCAACCTCCAATTGCACAATCTTGTCACAATTCAAAATTCCTAGAGGATCATATGCTTGTTTGAGCTGTATCATGTTAGATGCCGGAAGCCTCTAGGGACAATAAGAAGAAAGAGAAAACACTCACCTTGCGCATGGCATCGACCGTGTCCTCACCAAGTTCTTCACGGATGTATTCTCGCTTCTTCAAGCCAACACCGTGCTCTCCAGTGACTGTGCCATCCATTTCAATTGCTCGCTGGATCATACGGTGCACAACGTCTGAAGCCACCTGCTTCTCCGAGTCGCTGTATAGTAAGATAGCTGTACAATGAATGTTAGACCTGATTAGAACAAATATTTGGCAAGACCTACTGTGGAAGTTTCCATCACCAACATGCCCGCAGATACCTCCGATCAAGCCACTGCTTGCGACGTCGTCGTGGGTTTGTTGAATGATATCCGCGAGTCTGCTTATAGGTACAGCCTGTACGGAGTTAGTATTATGCAATCAGCCATCCTTTTGAGTGAACTTACCACGTCAGTAGTCCAGACGTGATCATTAGGATTTTGTTTGATGGCCATGACACTCCAAAGCGCTTCCTTACGGGCACTCCAGAGTTCTGCAGCTTCATCGTCGTTCTTTGCAAATTCAAAGCTCTTGTTCTTGGTGCCCTTGGCTAGATTTCGCACGATATTGATCTGTTCCTTGACACCATCCGGAGTACCGGCAAATTTGAAGAATAGGGTAGGGGCTTCCTGCCACTTCCTTGATGTCATGCCGCTCTGGTTGATACATCTCATCTGGACATCGTCTAGGATTTCCATTCCAGCGAGGAGTATACCTTCGCCAACGACTTTCGCAACACACTCAGCTGCAGCATGGATTGTTGGAAAGGTGGCGACGGCAACAGATTGACTTTTAGGTAGAACAGTGACCTTCAAAGTAGCTTCCGTGACAATACCCAGCGTACCTTCGCTGCCGATGAACATCTGGGTCAAATTGTAGCCAGCACTGGACTTCCGAGGTCGACGTCTTGTCTTGATGATTGTTCCATCGGCGAGGACCACCGTCAGTGAGACCACCCACTCCCGCATGGTACCATATCTATACGCGTTTGTGCCCGAACAGCCGGTTCCCACCATGCCTCCAATTTTGGCACCTGGACCAGGGTCAGGGGGGAAGAACATTCCGGAATCACCAAGGTATTCGTTGAGATCTTCCCAACCGAGAGCTGGCTGTACAACGATATCTAGATCCTTGGGATGAAATTGTAGGATTTTGTCCATTCGACTCATGTCTATACAAATGCCCCCTCGTGTAGGCGCAAAATGTCCTTCCAGACTTGTGCCTCCGGATAACGCAGTAACGGGGATGTGTCGTCTATGGCAGACTTTCATGATTTCAGAAACCTCTTCGGTGGTAGCAGGGTACACGATCGCGAAAGGTTTCTCGTTCGGCTTCGTGGTATAGGACGACCATTCTGACCCAGAATGCGCGACCAAATCATCCGGTATCGTTGATACATTCTCTTTTCCGACAATCTGAGCAAAGTCTACCCAAGCGGCTTGTAGGACCGAGTCTCGTGTATCGAGTTGAGGAGGTTGTGCTCGAGCGAGAGGTGTGGTTGAGGTGGTGTCTAGGGTCTTTTCGCCTCTCGAACCCAGCCAGTATGCGCCTCCGGCAACAGACAAAATGACTACCAAGGTCAGTATGGATACTCGATGTCCATATAGCAAACATACCAACACTCAAAGCCAATGTTCTCGGCTCTCCCTTGCGTTCACTAGACGCTTTTATATATTGTGCTTGCTCTTGTCTCTCGCGCTTCAATCTGTCTGAGGTGCTTTCGTACAGTTGTCCGCGGAATGATCTTGACGCCTCTTCTTGCTTGTCGAAAGTCCTCGTGGAACTGTGGAACGACCTTACGGCAGGTACACTTTGTAGAATCGAGGTTCGACATTGGGATTGCGTTTCAATGCAGCGCAGTACCGATGTGGCCGGGCGGCCAAGTCTCAGCATTGATTTCATTCTCATTCTGGGGAGGCTGGATTTATAACGATGGCATTTCTGCCTTTTGGACACCTTGCGACGGCAATCGACAAGTTAATAAAGGTTAGAATAGGATCTATCAGACCATGAGTGACCTTGAGCGCCCGGTTGCTTCGTAGATCTACCGGCGTCAAGTGCGGAGAGAACGAATTATTGCCGAAATGTTTAAGATACGGATAGAAGGACCCTACAAAGGAAGAACTGCTGTGCTTCGGAGTGAGATGAATCTCCGCGCAGATCATCAATTCTATCGAACCACCCGTCTTCTCCGTGTATCTGTGTTGACCTATTTAAATCTTGGCCTCGCTCTTCTGATCGACTCAAACTACAACATTCATAGGTTAATGACCTTGTCTCGCCATTCCGCCCGATCACCTCCTGCCAACGCGTAACAACAATTTTCGTAAGGTCACCAGGCATTTGGCCGGACCACGATACTTGTTTAATGTCGCATAGAGATTTGACACGAAACAGGTGGTTGGGACAGACCTTACTCTACTCATCCTTTGCTCATCAACTCTATCTAGGGTCTCCCCCCGGCCGCGTTATCTGGAATTCTCATATGCTTCTAGCAGACCCTTCGTGTGTACCAGTCCAGCAAAGATAACCATAAAATGTAGGATTTGATGACTCGAACCACAGATGTCGAATATCTCTGGACACCATCTCTCAGGAATCTAGGATCGTAAGATTCTGGCTGCATCTAGTAAGGTGTTTTCAGGTTATCACTTACTCGAATTGCATATGCCAAAGCTCCAGTGAGATTCAAGCATGCCATCCACAGCATCCAATCGAGGCTCATACGGCGTCGTGCCAACTCCCACCCGTATATAGATATACCATGGACTATGAAACCCACGGCAGACAGTCCCAGTCCAGCATACATGCCGGCGCGGTAGACACGAAGTCTCGGGCTCCGAAATTTTGGATGAAAGGTCGCCGTGGCACAGAGCAGCGCTAATACCGTCACCTATTGACCATCAGTCTCGATTCGATGGCGGCTGAGTCTTCTCTGATGGTGTGTTATACCACAATCCAGTAAAAGTTCCGAAGTACTGGTTCATCATGGAAGCCGTAATAGACCGTAGGTACGGTTGCACCCCACATCAAAATCACCACTCCCAGATAATCCAGTTGGTTCCCAAACGCTGCCGTTTGAGGACTGTGATTTGCGATGACATGAAAACTAACGGAGGAGGTTACAACAACATCAGCATGTGCAGGGTAGTTATACCCACGTGGCAGATAGGAAGAAACATGCGGCCACCCCCAGAGCAAATATGGCAAAGACCAAAGCATCAGCAATATTCGGTCCTGGCCCACGTCTTTGTTGAGATACGTATCTGTACACGTATAGAGGCAGGACCAGAAACATCAAGCACCCTGCTAGATGCGAATGTATATTGACTGTGCTCATCATGATCAGAGAGCAATTTCTCGAACCGAGGACTACAGACCTGTTTCGTTGTGCACCATAAATGCGCTTGTGAAGGAGGCTTTCAGAGAACCCGAAGCAGAGCTTTTGTAACCATGAGCTCAAAACGGACCGATTCGATTTGCACAGGTCATACCGATATCCTGAGAGAATATATTCATTATCCCTATTTCGACGTGAGCTATACGACACTTCAGGTTCTCCACGAGTCAACCCACCTTTGCCATGGTTCTATCATGGGAAGTATGGTTCAGTATTTGATCTTGTGAAGGGGCCGCAAGACGTACGTAATTGTTCCCAACGTAAAAGACGTCCGGCAATCGATGAAGACACGCCTTGCTTTCCCTGGCATACTTGTTAAATCACCGTTCGTCGAGCGACTTGATAATGGTACCTTCTTCTTAGGGTTCTCACCTACGAGGGCCTGGCTGCTGGAAGGAGCGAAGGACCGGCGTGACGTATCCGGAGGTGGCACGAACAGTAGTAGGTGAGCTAAGTTTCCTCTTAAGAATTCCTGTCTGTTGCAGCTTGGGAATGGGGGCAGCCTCAAGCAACATACCACCTGATATAAATAGAACGACACATACTTACTCTTACCCTACAGAACACAATTCGCTCCGGCCCGAGGCTTGTCGCGGTCCAACAACGCTACACACAGTACTTATGATCGACTTGTCAGTATCAACTTATTGACTTCATCTACCTATCTCATGAAACATGATTGAGACTACCAATACGTATCTACGTCCCATCGGGTATGCACACTGTAAGCTTCCAGCATGAACTCTCTCAGCTTCTCGGGATGAAGCCATACATGTTTTGCCCTCATTTCTACACCTCATGGTGTTCAGAGACTACGGATTTCAACAGTGGAATATCAGCAACCTGTTGTCACGGCCATGACGACCACATTCTCGACCCTCCGATGCTGATCGTTCACAGAAAGACGTGGGCCGGTGACACCAAGAACGCTCTACAAAATCAAGGTTACAAGAACGCCGAGTGGTCAGCCTTGCACTCATTCTATGCCACTATGGGAGTGTTTGTTATTGATATCCACGCAAGGTTCAACTACTTTTTTCCCACCGGAATTCTTGCTACCACCTTTCGAAAAAAGCCAGCTGGAGAAGTTATATTGTTTTGGGGATCCTTGTGCACCATGTGTGGTTTGGCTTATGGCTTTGCTAGAGTTTATCATGTTGTTAAGTCTTTTATCAGCCTTCGCCAGTTAGCTGCTACGGCATATCAGACTCCAGACTGGTCAGCACAGATTCCACATCTTTAGATGACGTCTTGGCTGTCATTTTTGTCTACCACGTTTTTGTCACACTACGCTGCAGAGTTGAGTCTTTCCTTTTTTATCTCGCCATTAATTTGTCTCGCCATTTCGAAATAAGTGCCTTGAACGATGCGTTGAACCACAGCATTAACCACATTGTTCGGCTTTCGTGGGTGCATGTGGCGTTTCCCTGAAGAATATCCGTACTAAGCCTTGAATGAAATGTACTGGTCATCGATGGGTCAATCCTATCCCGAACCTGTCAATCTGGGACACGGTTCTTTCCGCGATTGGGTTTAGGGTAAAGGAGCATGCCAAACTCTTTGTGCCCCCTTGTCAATCGACTCATAGACAACCCCTACAGTATTTAAAGATAGGTCCGGCGCCGAGTACGGGAGACGGATAAGCCATCAGACTCTTAGTGTAATGATACCTTCTTTATGATTAGATCGCTCCTACAAAATATCAATCGCCTTTTACAGTCAAGGTCCTTCTGTTGATTGGAAACGGATGCTCTTGATGTTCCCAACTTCAGGTTCTCTTCACGATGCTTTTACACGATTCTGTCTTGAACATCGTCTCGCGAGTTTACCGCTTCACGTTCACCAGGTCCTCGTTGCTTTCCTGACGTACGAAACACTATTTCTTGTCGTCTCTCCTGCACTCTCGCAGTTGTTCCTCCCACAATTATACGGCAATTTACCGAAGCGGACAAAAATCAATTGGAACGTGAGGGTGGTGTCTTTTATCCAGGCAACTTTCATCTGTTACCAGGCCATTGGCGTCATTGTCAAGGACACGTCTCGACGAAACACCAACTACGATGATCGGCTGTGGGTATATTTGAGTGCCAGCGGGAACGTTCAAGCGTACGCCGCGGGATATTTCCTGTGGGATGTCGTGGTGAGTATCCAACATTTCCAAATTTTGGGACCGACATCCCTCATGCATGCATTGGCCGCATTGATGGTGACCAGCCTTGGATTTGTGAGTAATAGCCCGTCCTTAAAAACCCTCCATCTTTTGCCTTCTTGCCTATGTTAGGTTAGAAGGTGAGAGGAGAGGACTCCGAGGAGAGTCCTTGCTAATGATTGACGCTGTCAAAGCGACCTTTTGCGAATTTCTACGGCATCAACTTTGTCCTTTATGAACTTTCAACACCATTTCTCAACATACATTGGTTCCTCGACAAACTTGGCAAGACGGGTGGGTGGGCTCAACTTGGGAATGGTATTGTACTCATTGTTACGTTCTTTGGATGCCGATTGGTATGGGGAGCCTATCAGACCATGAATCTGATGACGGATGCGTGGAGGGCATGGAGTGCGATCGGTACAGGAAAATGCCTGGATCCTTTTATGCTGGAGAAAACCCAAGGCGGACCCGCTACTACTCTACCAGTTCAGCAGGATTTTTGTTATGACAACTTTCCTTGGGGACTTTTGGGTACCTATATCATTAGCAACACACTGCTTACTGGGCTCAATGTGTATTGGTTTGGGTTGATGCTCAAAGCTTTGGGTCGGCGATTCAACGTCAAGGCCGATAACAAAAAGGAATGAGACTTTGCAGGAGAGATTAGTCTGGGGGTGAGGTGATGAATGTGGACCGCAACAGGTGTTTGTCAAAGTCTTTCAGGCGGAGGTGTATGATCAAGGTTGAATGGTGAAGAGAAATGAATCTTGTTCCTCGCATCGTGTTCTCAGGAGCGTCGTAGCATTAGCTCACTATATCGAAGCTCTTAGCATATCGTGCTTGGTGCGGCTGAATGATCCTACTAAGGAACCAGACCATTCACAGTCGAGCCCTTCATGTCGCTTAACTCACAATCATCACACCGGCTGCAGTGATGTGTGGCTTTGATTGTGGTTCATGACCATTCATTTTACTGTCTTCTCACCATCTCAACCCTTGTTGTGGCGCAGTCACGGGTGAAATCCCGCTTCACAGCCACAATTTCTTCGGCCTGAAAAACGACGATGCCTAATCTTCAGCTCTAGCTTCAACTTCAGCTTCACCTTTCATTCATAAAGAAGGCCTCGAACGACGATTTCACTCCTCGCCACTTGCCCTCCCGTCAAGTTACATTCCCAAACTGGTCGGAGCAGGGAAATCTCGACCCCCATGTCTAACCAAGGCTACTACAACGACCGGCCCGGTGAGTATGGGGGCTACGGCGGGCAGGGCGACCAAAACTACCAGCAACAACAAACGTGGCAGCAACCATCTGGTCCGCCCCCAGGATATGACAATCAGTCATACAATCAAGGATATGATCAAAACAGACCATATGAATATAATCGTCCACCGAATCAAGACCATCAACAATCGTCTTATGGTCATTCCCCTCAACCAGGTTATCAGCAACCATACAATCAGTATCCAGACCAATACTCTTCGCCTCCACCGGACCAAAACTATTATCACTCCCAGTCTCAAGGATACGGCTACGGTCAAGGTCCTGAAAGATCTCATTCGCCGTACCCACCTCCCCAACAACAACAAACTCAGTATGAAGGCTACGGTGCACCTCCCGGTCCTCCTCCGACTCAAACTGGTCCATACCCACCGCAACCCGCACCAGGTGCACCCCTTGACCCCAACGATCCGAACTCCCAGGATCGTGGCTTGATGGGTGCGTTGGCCGGTGGCGCCCTGGGTGCCTATGGCGGACACAAGGTGAATCACGGATTCTTGGGAGCCATAGGCGGTGCGATTACGGGCTCTGTTGCCGAAGACGCCCTCAAGAAGCGCAAGAAGGACAAGAAGAAGAAAAATCGTCCCGCAGGTCTTCGTCGTGATTCTTCTTCGTCTTCATCTTCCTCGTCGTCGAGTTCTTCTTCCGATGACGAGAAGAAAAAGAAGAAGCACGGATGGGTTGCACCCACTGCGGCTGCCGGTGCCGGCGCGTACGGAATGCATCAATATCAGCAGCATCAACAGCAGCAGCAGCAGAAGCAACTTGGTCCGCAAGGGCACATGCGCGGCAACTTTTCGGCGTCTGCAAACAGCATCACCCTAGACAGGGACTATGATCTGATCGCCTCGTGCGCCGACGTCCATGGCCAACACAAGTTGTCTTCCATCTCTCTCAACAACTGTCTATCGAATCAACACGGACACCTTGTCTGGGGGAGGGGTGGCAATTTCGCGGCCAGTTCGAGGAATGTGAGATTGGTCGACAATGGGCGAGTGTTGGAGGCCGAGTTGGGGACGGGTGGTGGAGGTTGGAATAGGGATTATATCAGGTTGGATGAACGTATAAGCAACAATGACGGAGAGTTGATCTTTCTAGACTCGTGAGATGGGTACTGAGTCTGTGCCTTCGATACGTGCACACACATAGCAAAATATATGTGGGTGGAGACGAGAAACTACTGATGCGAGATTTTCCCCTCCTATGATATTATGACTTGTTTACGAATACACAATTGACCTGATTCCAATCGATTGCTACAAACGAGGTAATATCACCTCACGAGCTCGAGAGGTAATCGAGAGGACAAAGTGCTGCTGAGTAAATCGATCACGGAGCGATCCTCTCCAGCGTGGGTCTCGAGCCCGTCGTCTCCGCAGCTCCGCATTCGGCTTTTCATTGCGTGATTCCAACTGATCCTTGCCTGGACCTTGCCGAGGATCATCAAACAAACGCTTTGCTCGTTTAATCGATCAGCCATTGGAAATCTCTTTTCATACTCGTACAGTATTCGTATAGCACTCATTGTATCATTCATAGCTTGCATTTGAACCATAATCATAGTGGCTGACTCAAAATGTCATTCACCAGCATCCCCATCCTCGATTTATCTCTCGCTCGCGACCCCGCCACCAAACCTCAACTCTTGGCGGATCTCCGTCATGCCTTGTTGGAAGTTGGATTTCTATACATCAAGAACACGGGCGTCCCGGCCGACTTGGTCGACGACGTGGTTCGGCTCGGCAAGGCATTTTTCGAGTTGCCCGAAGACAAAAAACTCGAGATCGAGATGAAGAACGCTCCGTCGTTTTTGGGCTACAACAAACTGGGCATGGAAATCACCCGGTTCAAGACCGACTGGCGAGAACAGATCGACCTGTCCACGCCGCACGAGCTCCCCGGTCCCAATGACCCGCTGTACCGCAACCTTCTGGCCCCCAACCAGTGGCCCGACGCTGAAGCTCTGCCCAAATTTCGGGAAGTGTACGAAGAGTACATGGCCCGAATGGGGGACATGAGCATGGAATTTACGGGTCTGATCGCCGAGGCCATCGGCCTGCCCGCCGACGCGTTTGCCCAGTTCTTCGACGAGGCGCAACAACATAAACTTAAAATCGTCAAGTACCCGGACCTCGAGGAGTTGGGGGTCGAGGGCGAGGCTCAGGGCGTCGGTCCGCACAAGGACAGCATGTTGACGAGTTATCTTTTGCAGGCGAGCCACCATCGCGGTTTACAAGTCCAAAACGCGGATGGTCAGTGGATCGACTGTCCTCCCATGGACGGAACGTTTGTGGTCGCCATCGGTCAGGGCATGGAGGCATTGACCCAAGGGGTGTGTCAATCCACCACGCACAGAGTCCAGAGTCCCGCGCGAGGGTCTGGTGCTCGATACAGCATCCCATTCTTTCAAGGTGTGAGTTACGACGCGACTTTTGAAAGCATGGACGTTCCCGAGTCGGTCAAGAAGTTACGCGCCGACATCTTGGCCAAGCGAGGTGGACAACGTCTCGACGACATCGAGTTTACATTCATCAAGGGCATGTGGAGTAGGTTGGGCGAGGCCACGCTCATGAACAGGATCAAGAGTCATCCTGATGTCGGGGAGAGATGGGTAAGTTTTGAATAATCTTCGACAAGTGATACCTTGCTTACTTTTCTGTTCACAGTATCCTGATTTACTCGAAAAGATCCGTAAAGACCAGGCTGAGGAAGCGGCCAAGTTTGCAGCAAAGGAGGCGGCTGCACCTTCGTCGTCATCGAACTTACCCACAGTGCAACAACCACACTCAATACAGGCGCACTAAGTCAGAATTTGTAAAGTGTAGATGATCAACCATGAGAGCCATGATGATGCTTCAATATAACAGTACAAGTGCACTTCAACGAAAGATGCAAGTGCAGATTATACTCACACTTGTGAATCGTGATATGCCGAGACAAGTCAGGGGAGCAGTAGCTAGCGGTTAATATTGCCTTCGGGGCAATAGTGTAGAGCACTCCAAGTCCGACGGCCGATTCACCAAACAGTGATACATATTGCAGAGTACTTCAAATCGCCAGCCGATCACGGACCCGTGACACATAGCTGATCGTCTCTTTTCAGTTCCGGACTCTCTCCGTTGCCATGCGCTGAATCGATTCGTCAAGGTCAAAGAAGCCCTCTCGGCTCTCCTCAAAGATGCAACTTGAACGTGAGTGGCTGCAACACCAAAGCAGCAGTAGGCGATGTTTGGGTTGATGGAGAAAGTAGCCAACGATATGTGCCTCAGACCTCAGCTTGGGCTTGAAGATTTTCCTTTTGAGCTTTTGACCTTCTGGTTGCAAACTTTATCCTTCCCAGGCCTTGTTCATCTGTTCGTGAGATCTTATTTGGGTGCAAGTGGGTTGAACGATCATTCCAGTCTCAGCACCATCGATGAAAAAGAAAGAGAATATCATTCTGCTTAAATCTGTATACTCTCCTAGATTATTGAGACTGTAGTTGACAGACTGGAATGAATTGTGCATGCGGTGTTCTGTGTTTGGTTGAAAAAGTGAAAAAATTGCCATTATGCTGCTTTATTGCTTAAAATGATGTTGGATGTGTTCTGTATTGGCGGAAGTACTCCGTATCTGTAAATGAAACTTGAGGTGAAGATTGACGTCAGGGTACAAAAATAAACCAAAAAAGAAACGACCTTGGGAAGATTCGAACTCCCAATCTTTGGTGGATTCGTGGACCGAAAACCAACTAAATGAACATTAGTGACCAGAACAACATCAGAGTCTTCGAGAAACACTCACCGCCTTAACCCTGCAAGAACATTAGAATAAAGATGGCATTAAAGGCGAGAAAGTACTCAAATTAGGCCACAAGGCCGGGCACAAGGCCACTGCCTGATTTTGCTTAGGTTTCTGGTCTCTTTAATTTATGATCCAGATAAAATATTGTGGCTTAGATGGGTGGGCGGGACATCTCCGGTAATTGTGACGAAATGTGGCGAAACGTGGCGTGAAACAGTGACAAAAGGTAACAAACTTTCCAAGAAAAGTATCCCGGAACTTTGATGTTCTCTTTTTTTCAACGTGCCCGACGCGTCGCCGCATTGCTGACAGTAAGATGAGCGATGCAACGTGTTTGAGATATCCAGCTGTGGACAGATCAATAAAATAGGTTTAGTAAATGACGCGTTGCTCGAGGCAGCCAGCTGCGTCATGCGACATATTGTAGGTGGCCGAATCTGAGCTTCGACGATAAAACTTTGTCTCGGTGTCAACTTTTATGCTCTTCTCCCCGAATTTGAAGGCATGGGAGCTTGTACGACTATGCTCCTTTGGACCTCGGCGCGTCTCCGTGGTCCAAGCCTGCCGATAACATAGTTCTGATCCTAGGGCGTCAACTCATTAAGCAATGGTCGCTGGAGCAAACATTGTCAAGCCGGACATTCAGAGAGCATAGTCGTACAAGATCCCATGGCTTGGAAGTCAAAATGACTCGAGGTCTGAGAGGACGACACCAAGGGAGGCGTCGTACAAGCTCCCATGCTTGGAGGTTCGGCAGACTTTGGATGGAGAAGTCAACATTGAGAAGACGACGGCTCGGGAGCCGGGCGGCTTGAGGCCGCGAGGACGCAGAGACGCTACTCGTACTCTGTACAAGCTCCCCAAGACGCCAAAAGTCGATCCGTAAGGCTGGGGCCGAGAGGACAACAACGCAGCAGTGTTGTTAGTCGTACAAGCTCCCAAAAAGCCAGAAAGAATAAACCTCAGGTTGAGTTTTTTTGTTATTTTTTGGTGATTTTTGGTGATTTTTCATTTTTTCTGGGGTTTTCTTTTTTTGGCTGTCTGGGTAGCCACCCCAGCTGTGTTTGCGGACAAAGCCGCAAGAGCCTTCCTCTTCGAGGGCACAGCAGCGGCTGGGGCATGCGAGCCAGGAGGGGGGAAACGGGCGGCGCTTGCCTCTGGTTCGGAGGTGTGGCGTGATCTAACAGAGATGGCAGTGAGCAAAGGTCGACAGTCATCGGAATGGTAAGGGTATAAGATCCGAATTGGAAAAGATTCGAATGGTAAGGACGAAAAGTGAGAATGCCATACCTGTTCTGATCTGCCACACCATCCTCCTCGCCCGTTCTTGCTCCCGGCTGCACTACATGCCCAAGCAGGTCAACCCTGGACGACAATTATCAGCCACTGTATTCCCGAGTTATTGTGTTGGAACTTGCTTACCACACGGGGTTGACAAGCTTGGGCAACTTGTCCCGCTTGTGCTCTGGGCACAGAGGCCAGTCGTCCTCGTCGTCCTCGTCGATGACCTCACCCATTGGGTGGGCGACCCGCACTTGCACCTAAAGAGTTGGGAGTTCAATGGCTACACACGACTAGTCAGCCAAAAGTTCAACACTCGATGAGAGGTATAGGGAAGAAAAAGTACCTTATGGCAGGCCGTTGGTCAGGTTTTGAACTGTGGTATCAACAGTATCAGCATCAGACTCACTCTGGACGCATGACCTTGAGCATACCTTGTGCAAACATTTTGCTCCGAGGAAAGAGAAGAAGATAGTAATGGAGCAGAATACTCACCTCACTTTTGCTAAATGCGGCAACCCCATTTTGGGACTAGCGTCCACACTCAAGGTGTACAATACTCAAGTACGACCTGACGATTCAAATTCCAGAATCAATCCACTGTTGATAGCTTGCAGCTTCTACATAGCCGCATCCTTATTTAGCAGAGAAGCTGCGAAATCACTGACTGGCTTGTTCACGTTTGCCGGCCATTGTTGCTTCTCTAGGCCTGTAGTTCTATGAAGTCTATGGATGTTTATATGGGAAACTACTGTGCAAATATTAGCGTAACTGACTGTATCCATTGGCAGCATCTGCTTGCTCTATCTAGTAACGTGCTCTTTGCTGCAAATGTGCTAGCAGGACTTCAACGGCGGTGCCGCTGTATTGAGCCATCAAGCAACTCCTTTAACCTTATCTTCATACATCGAAGCATGGCCAGATGAGCCTACATTTCCATTTCAGACTCGATCATTCGCAGCTTGTTCGAGCTCCCAGAAGTCGATGATCTTGTCTTTATCTTCTGTAGTCAATCCATTCCAGGCCTCGACCTTGATCTCGTAACGGACCATCGCTGTCTCATACTGAATCAGAACTAAGGTTGGGGATCCTGGAAACTGAGTTATTGGTGGCCAGTTAGTTCAAGTCTTGCAGTAAAATCCCAGGCACGCTGGATGTTGTGGTACAAGACTGTTGTTTTCTTCCTGTTGAATTATTACATTGTACACGCCTGCATAATCAGCATTCTCAAAGCAGACAGTGACGGGCAACGTAGGGACAACCTACTTAAAGCAGCCAGTCGTCAGCATTCAGACCCTCGAGACGTCGTCTAGGAATGAGAGCACTCACATTGAGAGAGTGATGGAGATTGAGAGACGACCGAAGGAGAATAAGGTAAGCCAATGGGCAAATATGTATCTGCCGTACTGAGATACAGCGAACCAATGAATTCCATAGTTCTTGTTGAATCTTTGTACTTTCACATGGACGGGGGTAGTAGGGGTCATCGAGGTAAAAGACCTCAACCCCATAGGCACAGATACCTATTTTCAGTTCTCTCGAATGGTGAGTTGAGTTATATATATAAAAACCTTCCATAATCCCCTCGTAGGTGGGTGCATGTCTGAACAAGATCTTTCAGGGGAAAGGGGAAAAGACGATTGCTTTATAGTCCTGCAGCAACAGGCAACATGTCACAATCCATCGGGAAAGTTAGTGACATGCTATAGTAGTACCCAGAATAACTGATACATTCAAACGTACAATTTGAAAAAGGCCAGTAACGTTCAAAAAAACCACAGAGACCGGGCTTAAAGAGATAAAGACCGGCAGCGAATCTTCAAGGTCGAACGACGGACGGGAGAGCGATTCCATACGAGACCTTCAGTAACCACCACAAGCAGCATATTGAAGAGACAACGCAGAAGCAATGACATTTTTGTGTGTCCAAGGGTTACCAAAAACATTGCATACGAATACCAACCGAGCAGACACTGTACACAGTGAACTCAGTTAAACACCCATATCCTCAATTCACAGAAGATAGAACAATTCTTATGGTTGCTTCACGCTAGCTTCACGAAGCCTCGTGTAGCCTGACCCAGCAATACCGCGGTGCGTCTGTGAGCGTAAAGACATGTCGAGTCCTCTCTCCATGGTCAGCAGGCTGTATGTCGTCAAACTTTTGGAGGAGCCGGATGATCGTGAAGCCTGCCAAGGTTAAAGCTTGCTGCTGGCCGAGACAAATTCTCGCGCCGCCACTGAACGGCAGATAATCCCATTTCGCCTTGCGACCGATCCAGCGATCAGGGCAAAATTCGTTGGCATCTTCTCCCCAGAGGTCTGTCCTCCGGTGCATGGCGCCCACAAAATACGCGACCGACTTGCCTTTTGGGACGTAGACAGGAGATTTTCCATCGGGCCCGCCACCAACCGGCAAAGTGGTGTCCTTGACTGAGAATCTCGCATTGGCCGGGACGGGTGGGTATAATCGCAGACTCTCGTTCAACACATGCTGCAGATACGTGCATCCCTTGATGGAAGCGAAGTCGAGGTTCTTTGGCGATTCGTAAGACCCAAATTCACGGGTGATAATTTGACGCAGTCGGTGGAAGACGTTGACATTGTGGGCCAGTAAGTAAAAAGTCCAGCCTAAAGCGCTAGAGGTTGTATCTCGTCCGGCCACCAGAATGTTCACCAAGTTATCGCGAAGTTCGACAGGATGTCTAGTCTCTTTGATGAGTTCATCGAGGAAACAATACTTCCTCGACGTGTCGTTGGCCTTAAGATCGGTTACCTCAGCACGGCGCAAACCTTGCTGGACAAAATGATCAACGTAGGCGTGCACAACCTTAACATCCTCTTTGTAATGGCCGGGGTTGTAGAGCCAGTGCAAGTCTTCGAGAAAATTTCGAATCCCGACAGTCTTCAGTCCTCTTGCGTAAGCTTCATCGAATGACTTCCATTCAACCGTGGTCCTACGCTTATGTTCGCCATCGAGAGCTGCTAATTGAGAGTCTGTACTCTGGCCGAAAAGAAGTTCTGTGCTCGAGTCCATGGTCAATCGCATGAATAAAGGTGCCAAGTCGACTCTGTCAGTCCATCCGTCCGGCCGGACCAAGAGATGGCGTAGTAGGTTTCTGTGATGCTTCTCCTCTGTGTCGAGATCCTGCAAAATCTCTCTCGCAAACTGTGGCCGCAGGATTGCCCTTTGATGTTTCCTGAAGTCTGATTAGTTTGCCAGCAGTGCTATACCAAGAGGGCACACGAACCATTCTGCGCCATCAGTAGTGAAAATGCCTCTTCCGAACATTGGCGACCAAGAATGTAGACGATGGCCCAGCCCAAAGTCCTCAAACTGGCTCGCTAGGAGGGCTTGAATGTTTGCAGGTTCGCATGTCTGAAAGACATCTGTGTCGAAAAATCTAGTGACATATGTCTTTGGATTTCTCTCTTGCCATTCAATAAAGTATTGAGGAGCGCGCTCGTCTCGCAACGCCTGGATGAAATCTCTGATAATTGTCACGCCGTACCACGTTCCTCGTTCTCGAGGAGCGGGCTGACAACCCCACTGCCGGGCCTGGCGCTGATGTCTTCGCTCCCCGACGACATAGCGAACGAGAACATAAGCGACCCAGGCGACGCCCGTGAGGATAAGGGCAATTTTCAGCATCTTTGAAGACTGCCTTACAGAGTTATGCAGCGCACTTCTAATCACAGAGGCTTCTGTATCGACGCTGCGTGAGTCTGACGTGTGTTGAAAGGAGGAGGTCTGGAACATCTGTGGGTTGCCTGACAGTGTATTTGGGGCGCCTGACTGATTAGTCATCGAGATGACGGATTATCTATACTCCGTACTCCATATACCTTTTGATATCCACCAATTCCCAAGGACGTCTGCTAACCAACTCATGATGTGCATTTCTCTGGCGTCCCCCGTTGTCCTATTCTATAATATAGATAGGTTATCACTTAACGGCTCCTCCATGTCGACGAGTCCAAACACTGCTTTGGTCCGGGCGTGAGACGTGGGGTCAAACATGGCGATGACAATCGTTGAATAGCGGAAGGTCGCTGAGTTACTTCCTATGGCGCTGAGTAAAGTAACAAGGTGATGATCAAACAGCTATTGAAGTAAGATGCAGAGTCAACGTTATGATCAAGTACGGAGTGACGCAACTTCAATAGGATAGAGTCACTCTCAAGGCAGTCATTCATGATTAAAGTCACCTCTACTAGTTCACCACGTTTCCCTGGCATCTACCGTCCTTTCTCAATCAGCCGTCATAGACACAGCATCTAAGCGCAGAAACACTCAATCTCCTCAAGCATCAACATGGCTGCTCCCTTTGACTTCTCCAGACCCAGTCCCACAATATACGACTTGAGCAACGCTGCAGGCGCAGTAAAACTTCAGAAGGTGGCGAGAGAGTTCATGGAGGTTGTCAGAGAAACTCCGGATATGAATGCCGAGCACATTTTCAGCTTTTGCAAGCTGGTGGAAGCTGCCTGGCTGAGTAGAAGATACTTCGAGAGAGGTACCGCAGTGCGATTGACTATCTGGAGACATGCGGATGTGGCATCGAAGGTGCCACACCTGAAGAGGTTGCTGCTGCAGATGAGCTCTACGAGAGGTTGGTGAATATGCTGGAGAATTGAGCGATGGACACACTTTTCACACAAAGTCTTCTGCCTCAGATCACATCAGAAATGCCATCATAAATGGTAACCTGCACTCGGTTGAGTACCCTACAAACAATGAGCATCTGAAGCTCTCAATCCAAACCCTATATGAAGCTACCTAGGTAGTTTGGGAGTTGGCTATATTCAATCAAGGCAAAAGTCACCAAGATTTAAATCAAGACTCATCCGTGACAAAGGTGCCCCATTCAAAATCATCCACCACCCCTACTTCCTGCACGTATGCTGCGTACTCTGTCAACAATTGCTTGAGCTTCTCCGGGTGCGATGCCCTCAGGTCCTTTGTCTCCCCCGGGTCCTGATCTAGGTTGTAGAGCTGCCATTTTTCGGGTCCAAACGGTTTGGGGATAAAGAGTGCCTTCCACTGGCCTTTCCGAAGTCCTCTTCTGCCAAACAGCTCCCAGCCAACGACGTGGTCATCTGCGTGGATCTTATCAACTGACCCAGCCAGGTAGGGCGTCCAAGAGTGCCCACGCATCGGTTTGATGTTACGACCTCTATATTCCGTTCCTGGATGCGATACACCCGCCCAGTCGAGGATCGTCGGAGCGATGTCCATCACGGTGCAAAAGTCGTGCCGGATATCCCCAGCTTGGTGCTTCGCGCCCATCAGAGCCTCTCTGACGCGCCCACCAGCCCACATGATCAGCGGAACTCGGATTCCACCCTCAGACGTGAAGGCCTTGTACAGTCTGGAAGGAGCTGTGCCGGCCTGGGCCCAATGTGGACCGTACCACACGTAGGAATTCGCTCGACCGATATTCTCTATCGAGTTGTCGTAGTACTTTTCCAGGTGTGCGGCCATGTTATCGCCCATCACGGGCACGGCTTCCAACATCATGCCTTCGGCGCCATTGTCGGACATGAAGAGCACCACCGTGTCTTCAAGCTCGTTGGTCTTCTCGAGATGGGCCAGCACCCGCCCAATTTGCTCGTCGATCCGATCCACCATACCGGCATACGCCTCCATCGTGCGCGCGGAGTACGCCTGATCCTCTGGTGAAAGTGACGCCCAATCCCGGGCCAGGCGATTATCACCAACGGCCACAACGTCGTGGGGGACCACATCTTTCCCCACAAGCCCAAACTCTTTGAGCTTTTGCAGACGTTTCTCGCGGAGAGCAGCTGGCCCGTCATCGTAAGAGCCCCGGTATCGCTGCATGTTCTCCTGAGGAGCTTGAAGAGGCCAATGAGGTGCCGCGAAGGGCAGATAGGCAAAAAAGGGGCGGTCTCGATCGTCCTCTGTCCTCGCATCGAAGTAGTGCAAAAGTTTATCGACGTAAGAATCGGTGGAATAGAAGCTGGAGCCTAGTTCTTCGGGTGGAATGTTCTTGTCGCCTTCCACATACAATGAAGGACAATGTTTGATCCAGCCTGGCTTTTCGTCGCCAGCAGCTAGCTGGGGTTCAAAAGCATAGTGATTGGCGGCACCCTGTTGCAGACCAATATCAGTACTCGCCCATCTTTGATGTCTGATGGCTTAATGTTCTAACAAACCGGAAGCAGGGCGAACGATTTTTCAAATCCACGATCGCATGGAAATCGTCCTGGCTCACTCCCCAAATGCCATTTCCCAGCCATCATGGTCAAATAGCCAGCCTCATTCAACAATTCAGGCAGGGGGGCCACTGCATCATTCAGGAAGCCTTCATACCCTGGCTTATCTTTATGAAATTCAGCTTTGGTTTCAGCCATGGTTCCTATCCCAGCGATGTCTAAAAGTTTAGTGTTAGGAATATATCTCATCTTGTTTCTGCGAACAAATGCCAACTCCGGTATGAAGTGAGCGAGTTCTCGGTACGAGACAATGTTGACATGCCTGCCTTTTTTGGGAAGAATACATGCAACAGGGTAAAGACTCACGGTGGTCCGTTCCACTCAACAACATCGATCTTGTTGGTGAACATGCTGACGCCGCATGGAAGTCTGTAAAACGCAAACCCTCCGAGGCCAGGCGAGCGAGATGAGGCGTTTTGATTTCGCCTCCAAACGGACTGACATCTGAGAAGCCCAGGTCATCGGCGACAATCAACAAGAAGTTTGGTCGTTTGCTCATGATACCCTAAATACTCGGCGAGATCAAAGCTCGGAACCGGGAAACTTTCGCAGGGGTTGGTTTTCTGAAAGCTCCTTGTCCCAAGGAGTGTCTTCTACCTTTGTCAAGGATTAAGCACTGACTCTTGAATGTCTGTTGTCTCCCTGAACACGAAGTACATATGAGCAGAGCGTCCACAGTGCGCGGTTTCTTCATACTGGGGGGGTATCGGCCGGAAAAGGGTCGGATTGAGTACCACGTGTGGGATCCGCTTATCGTGCCCACTGCAACTCTTGCCCGGACCCCAAGACACCAAGCATCCCCGTCGTTTGACATTTTCCCCGGTGACTCCCTCGAGCCCAACTGACTTGGCATTCGCTAATGAGAGATCTGAAGTACGGAGCATATCCTTACTACACATGGCGTTGCATACTCTTCGTTCTAGCTGCCATGATAAATGCATTATAGTCTTCATCCAGATAGACTTGTAAGACAGGCTGCGAATGCTGGACCGGATGTACCGTGGGGTAAATCAGTCCCGAGAAACCTGACATCGCGCTAAGAGGCCGTCAGCATGCGATTGAGGCTCAATAGTGTGTAAATTAGTCCAGGGCCAGAAAAATTCACTTCCTTGACTTCTACAGTAGTAGTCGTTTGCGAGACCATTCTCCGGACACCGGCTCGTCGGCTAATTCGGCATCCAAGCTCTACTCCGTAAATCGCAAGACTTCTCCTATAGAGACTGGATACCATGGGGTAGGGGTGCTTGTTTGGACACTTAGGCTATCTCTGGGGTAATGGGGTCGTATCATTTTTCGTTTCGACTATATAGATTATCGAACGAACTGGAGCATCAGCACCGTGTGCAAACTTTTCAGTACCCAAGCTATTTTTCACTCACTGACAGTTAAATCACAAAATACGAAACAAAGACAAGTCGGGGAAAATGGCAGACGACGTATGCAAATCTAGTCTTACCAGTCCCCCATGCTGGTCAATGAGAAACGTTCAAGACTGGGATCAGTGCTGACCTTCTTTGTTCCAATTTCTAGACCATTCATTCCGCTCCTCGTCATCGTCTGGGGTTCTCGGACGCCGCCCAAGATGCGTACGAAAGAGAGACCAAAATCGAGATAGAAACAAGAGCCTACATCGCTGAAGAATCGACGAAACATGTGCTGGAGACGGGACTGTTGCGTTCCATCATTGAGCCGAGAACTGTAGGTGTTCCAATTTGACTGGATGGTGAGAAAGTTCCTAAACACGACTCTTGTTTTTCTTGCCAGGCCATCACCCTGTTCGCCCTCTCGTTGGGCTGGTTCGCCGGGGCATGGGGGTTCAATCCTGCAGCAGCAATCCTGACACTTATCGCCGCCGATATTGGTGAGTTTGATGACGAATATACCATGTCTGAGGCCGTGGAGTCATCGACTGACCACGCCTCACCCAGATCCTACGTCTAAAAATTCGACACTCTTCTCAATTGCCTGGAGCATGGGATTGGCAGTCGGATACTTGCTTGTCGGCCGTCTGGCGGATATCTGCGGTCGACGATGGGTCATTATTTCCTTCAATGTAATGGGACTCGTTGGCGGTAGGTTTTCTATTCTGAGCCGCCCAGCCTGGTTTTAGGACGGTACGACTGTAGGACACATTTACTGACCGATTTGTTGGATCTACGTAGGCATCGTCGCAGGCACAGCTCAAAGCGTAAACACTTTGATCGGAGCCAATGTATGCCTTCTTTTCCAGCGTCATATGCCTCTTCATTCTTGAAGAGTCTTGTTTTTCACTCGAATCAGTTTGCTGACATTACTCGCAACGTGAAAGATACTGATCGGTCTCGCTGCTGGAGCTCAATTCGCGGCCATGGTCACGGCCACAGGCAAGTTGCATCCTCGGGAGCCCTTTTTTCCTTTTCAAAGAACTGTAGATCTAACTTTTGAGGCGTTTTCAGAACTCCTTCCAAACAAACATAAAATGCTTACCATATCCTTGGTGTTGTGTCTTGTCTTTCCGGCAACAGCTATGAGTCCATATATCGGTACGCTCCCTCAGTCTTTGCCCCATTACCGGTCACGGACTATCTTGTTTGTTATCTTCAGCCAAAGACGTCAACCATGCTATGAAAGTCGAGTTTGCTAATTCATCCACTTCTTCAGGGCGTCTACTCTATGAGACTGCCACTTGGCGTTGGATCTATTACATCTATGTCATCGTGGTCGGTAAGCACTTACACCCATTCTACCCGATCCTCACGTTTGCTTGCTCTTTGGTCGTTTCATGGATTTCTAACGTTGTATTCCTAGCCGTCGAGTTGGTTTTGTTCTTCTTTTTCTACCATCCGCGAGACTCTGTTAGTGTCTTGTCGGTCCGTTCGCGTCTCAGACGTCTCGACTTTGGTGGCATGATTCTCGCTTCGGCAGGCTTGACACTTTGCACCCTCGGCCTCTCATGGGGTGGCAACCCAAAACCATGGACGTCAGGTATGTCACTGACGACTTTGTTTCGTATCAACCTATCCCACAATACTGGTGCTAACGTTCATCTGGCCAGGTCTGGTGTTGGGAACATTAATCAGCGGTGTCGGGACCTTGGTCCTACTGATTCTTTATGGTACGTTATCAAGTCTGGCGTTGTAATCTTGTGATACTGACTTGAATCAGAGACGTACATGCCCATCACAGAGCCATTCTTGCCCATGCATCTGTTCAAGGACTTCAGGGGCTTTACAAGCTTGCTTATTGTTGCGAGTTCAGCTGGTATTGCATTTGTGGGCATGCATATCATTTGGCCTACCCGTAGGTGTTTCCTGTCTTTGATATCTGGACGATATGAGGAAGCCCAGACATGAATATCTTCTGTTTACTGACGTTGTTGTGATTTCATAGAGGCACTTAGATACTTCGGTCAAAACTCCGACTGGCAAACGGTGGCTTGGTTGTCATCCACGACTGGCATGGGGACCTGGGCTGCCACCGTCTTCTGCGGGCCGTTCTGGTCCAAGATCGGTCATGTCAAGTGGCAACTCGTCTTTTGGTGTGTTTGGTTAACCGCCTTCACGGGGGCTTTGATGAATTGCAGACCAGGCGACAAGGCTTTCGCCGCGGCAGTCTCGTTCCTGGCTGGCTGCCCAGTTGGGTACCTGGAGAACCAGGCCGGTATGCTCGTGCAGTTGATCGCGCCCGAGGGCCAGCAGAGTACCTATTTTGGTGCCAGCCAGGGTATCCGGACGGCAGCTGGATCTATCGGGACAGCTGTCTTTGTGGCCATTTTGAACAGTGAGTTTTTGGCAAAATCTGGAAAAACCCACCAGCCAGATGGTTTCGTCTTTTGAGGGCTTGGGCTAACGAGGTATTTCATGGACACAGACAAAATGCAGCCCACTATCCAAAAATACGTCACCAAAGCAGTGCTTCCTCTCGGCTTGCCCAAGACCAGTCTCGGTCCGCTGATCAAAGCACTCGTTGCGAGCGGCCCTGCACGGACAAAGGCCCTCCACGCGGTGCCCGGCATAACTCCCGAGGTCATGTCTGCCGCCCAGAACGCCTACGATAATGGTCTCGTGGCCGCGTACAGATACATGTACTACGCCGCCATCGCTTTCGGCGTCTGGTCCATCGTGGCCGCCTTGTGCCTCCGATCCATGGATCACCTACTGACGAACCACGTGCCCAAGAGCAACGGACACAATTCTCGAGAGGTCAAGATGATGTCCGTCGAGGTGGAACACGACATGGGCGTCGACAAGAGGGCAGGAGCCACATCTGTACATCTGGAAGGAGAGTCTGGCGTCTAGATCTAAAGACCGAAGGTCATGGAGCCTGCAACGTGCCCAATGGGCAATGGTCGGTCAGTTGAGAACTTTTGGGAAATCGGTGATTTTGTACGGGTTAGAAGCGAGCATAAGGAAAATTTGTCTCGGAGGTGATAGTGTCTTCTAATGGCCGTATAACTAAAGCCATCCAGATACGTTTGATTCCTCCCACCATTCAATGTTCCTGCTCTCAGATTCTCCCAAGTGGCTGTTGCGAAGCTCCTCGAGACGCCCCCGGGACGTCGCCGGATCAATAATTATCGTCGATCTCTTCAAAATGTTGGCTCGTCACTTCGTTATCGAACCAAGGCGCCCACCGTGCCATCTGCTGCCATCCATTCGTAATATGCCGCGCACGCTCTCTCAAGAAGAGGAACGAAGTTGAATAGTAGCAGCCCTAGTCGCTGAGAATAGATGTGGTGCAATTTTCTGACCGCCTCTAGACCGGAACGTATCCGAAAGATGTGCCATGTCAGCCCTTGAAGCTGACCAGCGATGTTGGCGGAATGGCGGTTCGCGATACTCGCAGACAGCTGCTTTCTGCATGTCCCCCGAGATTCCCAGGTATATGGCACTGCAAGCGTTTTAGGACATAGGTACCTCTGCCATGCTCTTGAAGAATTGGTTTTCCCTGAATACCTTCTGGTCGTAGCACAAATTGACGGGCATCGTGGGATCCTCCACACTACCGCCCCTACCAGCGGCGAGTGCCCTGAGACGTTCCGAATGGGGGCTCTGCAGCCAAGCACGACGCTCCTCTCTCGCCTATTTGAAATCGACGTAGAGAAGCTCGGGAAGTCTCATGTATGATTCTGGCATTCCCTGGGGCCCCTTCCGATCTCGTGCGTGAGGAGCCTTGCAGAAGTAACAGACCTATACATTTCAACAATGCCAGTGGGCTCCTTGCCAAAACGGAACTCTCAACCTTGCCTTTCCTCTACCGAGAGCTGCACAACACTCTGTCAAGCCGAGTGCAATAGTCGCAGCGGGACCAATTGGGATGTCTACGACCACAGCGCCTTCCCTTATCTCGCGTGTGATGGGAATTTGTAAGCAAGATTAGTTCTCTTCTTCCTGTCTAAGAAGCCACACGGAAAGCAGAGAGCTTACGTCGACCCCACATCCAGCAAATTTGACGAAGCCGGTTTCCATCGCCGGATCTCGCATAGATAGGCACAGTGACCGGAATATTGCGAACATCTGAGTCAGAAGACATCTTTGCTGGCCTATTTAGATTGGAGATCGATGTCGAATCAAATGTCAGGAAAAGCACTGGAAGGAGTTGTGCAACGGAAAAAAAAATCCAAAGTAGTGGCCGAGTTCAAATATGCAAAGGTTTAAGTCAAAGTGAAATTAAGGTGTAGTGAGGGAATGTTCAGAGGCAGGAGATGAGGAAGTGAGGCAGAGCAGTGATAGAGAGAAACCTGCAGTGAAGAGGAGGGAGAGCACAATGCTATTGTTGGAGTTCTGTCATGTGTTTGAGATACATTTGCGGACTAGACTAACTCTGCCTAAGAAGACAACATCAGCCAAGTACCGCATGCACGACCCTTTCCAGCTTGTCGACGATCATCTCGACGTCCGCGAGAGTGATATTATACGCGGGTGCAAGCACAATAACATCACCATTCTTTCCATCGACAGTACCCGAACCTGGAAGCAGAGATATGCCATATTCGGGCATGAATCCGGTTTTCTGCAATCAACATGTCAGGAGATGCTCGTTCTTCAGTCTGCACTAGACAAGACAATTTACTCACATGCAACTTTCCTGCAATCTGGTCGGAAGGTGGGAATGATTCCTTTGTGGACTTTGACTTGACAAACTCGATGCCCCAGAAAAGTCCTCTCCCACGAATATCACCGACGTTCTTGTGTGAACTCAACCTCTCTCTCAACAGTGTACCGAGCTTTTCGCCCAAAACAGAAGCATTACCAAGAAGGTTGTCTTCTCGAATGATCCGCTGAACTTCATTCGCAGCTGCACACGCGACCGGATGGCCCTGGTATGTCTGGCTGTGGGTGAAGGCACCTGTCCCTCGGGCCAGTGTATCAACGATTCGCTTGTTGACGAGAAGCGCACCTATCGGGGCATATCCAGCTCCTAGACCCTTTGCAACCGTCTGTAGATCTGGAGCAACCATGGATTCTTCGTGAGACCAGGCATGTAATGTACCTGTACGGCCCATACCACTCATCACCTCATCGAGAATGAACAATGCGCCATGTCGATGGCACACTTCTCTCATGGCTTTTAGGTATCCTGGAGTCGGAGGCACACAACCGAGGGTCTAAAAACAACTTGCGTCAATCGTGAAATCCTTGGATAACAAAGACTCAAAAGTGCAACACATACCATGCCAGCCACGGTCTCGGCAACGAATGCACACACAGTATCCGGACCGAGACTTTGGAATGTATCCTCGAGCTCTTGAGCTAGTCTGGCAACATAAGCTTCGTCCGTCTCTCCTTCCTTCATATCACGATAGGGGTAACACGGCGACACATGTGCAACATTCGACCCTAAAATGGGCTCGTAGATGGCACGACGGCCGGCATGATAGCCAACAGACAACGATCCCAAGGTGTTGCCATGATATGATTGTTTGCGTGCAATGAATTTGGTACGTTGCGGTTGAGGAGTCGACAATTCGGTATAGTATTGGCGGGCCAATTTGAGCGCAGCCTCGATTGCTTCGGTGCCTGGTTGCTATCAGAATCGGTTGAGGCCAGGAAGCAATGTGGTCGTGAAGTCGACTTTAGCCGCCAGACGAGGAAAACGTACCTGAACTGACGATAAACACCTTGGACATCTCTCCGTTTGTCGATTGAGTGAGCGTTTGGGCCAATCTTTCGGCAGCTTCTGTGGCGAAGAATGGCGAATAACAATACTCAACGGTATCGAGCTGTTTAACAATGGCCTCTTTTACTCGAGGATCGTTGTGACCGATACACGCGACTGCAGCACCACATGTTGCGTCAAAGATCTCATTTCCATCGGCAGTATACAGATAGCTTCCTTTGCTCCCTGTAACGGTGGCCGGCTTCTGATCAACTTTGGCATGGAGGATTGAACTGGCACTAGTGGTCTTCGGCCTGATTCCATTCTGGCCTTTGTCATTGTCAACAGGCTTGATTTCGACCTTGGTCGTGTGTGATGGCTTCAACATGCCACCGTTGGTCAAGTTGTCGACCATGTGTACGTTGTTGACGCTCGTCATGGTGATCAGAGTCGTAACTTCAAAATAGATAGATGTGTCGCCAAGTGGCTATTGATGGACTTGCACTGGAATGCCGTCTGCGGCCCTCTCTTTAGCTGTGTGATGTTTTGATGGACTCGAGATCAATTCTTTCACCGCATGATTTTTGACAGGACCTTTAATCATAAGGATCAATCCCGCCCTACGACGCATGTCGATCGAAAGCGGACATGTCCATCAAGAGGTCCCTGATTGTTCGTACCGGGGTTGTGTTGCATGCTATGTGGACCCTGCCGTGTAAATCAACCGTGCCGGTGCGGAAAAAGGGAAAGACCAGGCGAGGAACAATCTTGATCACTCAAATTTCACATGCTTGAGATTTTCTACATCGCAAATATCACCAGTTCAACCATTCAGACATGAAATCACCCCAAAATTCTTCTTGGTCTCTGTCTCTGCCTCTGTGCGATCTTGATCCCTGGTTGGATTCGTCATCAATGAACGAGTTGATAAGTTCATAAGCCGATTCATCACCTTTTTGTTGGGTTTGGACTGATGACCTCAGATGGGAAGTAGTCTGCTTCTCCACGGCCGAGAGAATCCTATCCAACCACCCGAAGAATGTAGGAGTAGCCAAGACGATATCTTGTGTTGCGAGTGTCCGTGCCTCTTGTAGAGTCTGACGAAATCGACCTATATATTCGAGTGTGAGCGGAGCCCCTTCTTGCCCCGTGGAAGTCTCGACACGGGGTAGCAGGAAGAGTGTCGTCAAGACATGACCCCATTCGGCAGCGCCAAACAACATCAGGTAGGCAGCGCCTCTTTCGAGGACGTTCGATAACACCAGGGCAAGATTATCGACACAAACTTGGCGATCCTGGTTCGACAAGGTCCCAGGGCGTGCGCATTTCAACATGCCATATGCGTGAGCAAAATGCTGCATGGATTTGATGGCAGACAGAGTTGATGCAGTTGGGTAAGTCGCTTTCCAATCTTCCAGTGCCGCTGCAAGATTCCAAGACTGAAGAAGAGTCTTCTCGGGACAACTCAGGTGGTCGTGTTGTTGTGCTAGGATGTACAACAGCCCGACGAGAGCAGGTGCCTCTCGGTCGAAACCTTCACTCGATCTTTGAGCCAGATGCTGGGCAACATATCTCAGGCTCTGAATGCATCGCATGGTATCTGGCCTATCGTATCCAAGAATACCGGTGCCACAACTGAGGTAGTAGCACAGCAAAAATGCTCGCGCCACATTGGGGTCATTCTCTGATTCCAAGAGGGATGATCGAGGATGCCTGAATCTTGTGTACAGTCCCAAATCAGCCGCCATTGCTAGTGCAAGGTGGAGAAACTGAAAATACTGCTGCGTGTCGTGATTGTGGCGATGAGGGTGGTAGATGAGATAAGTCAGGAGACTTTGCAAAAGTTCCAGACTTCGTTGTCCTCGTATGACAACTCGGTCAGCCAGGATATGACGGAAAATACTCTCGCTTTCTGCCTCGAGAACCTGACAGGAACTGCTTGCGGTTAAGATAACGGATAGGAAGAATAGCGGTGATTCCGTCATAAAAGCTTCAATGGACAGTTTTGGCCTATGAAAGGCAAAGGGTACGGCCTGTATCAGTCTGTCATAGTGTTGAAGATAAGCCTGGCATTCTGCGACTCCCAACGCCCGGAATCGTGGCCACTTGTCACCAACAGCCTCTGATCGAAGGACTGTGAGCAGATCTTGGCCAAAAGAGCCATCCGGCAGGTGCAGTACATTCTTCAAGCATCCATGAGGTGCACTGCAAACGCAGTCGAGTCTAGTATTGGCTTCTGCTCTCTGGCCGTCGTTGAGAGAGATTCCAGGCGGACACTTTTTCCTACAACCAAGTCAGATGTCGCTAAGTTGAGTTACCGCACGGCAAAATTACCGTCTCTTTGGTGTTCTTCTTTTGAGAGGGTCATGTGGTACGCAAGTGATCTCGGCCTCTTCGCATCTGATATGTCACTTTCAGCACAGCCATTATGCTAGAAATCGAGGGGGAGGGTTACCTTCTGCAGATATCGGCGCTTTTGCCGGGGAGACAACGTGACTTGCGTGCTCTACATGTTTCACATGCTTGCCTACACCGTTCCCTCATGCCAAGATAGCAACCATGTAACCGGGAAAGGGACAGTCTCGATCTCGCTGCGATAAGAGGAATCTGGAGATTGTCGGAAGATGAAGAGAATCGTCGGAACTTCAAGCACAATGCTTGGCTGATCTGGAATCGGAAAAGCGCCATCTCTGCCCGCAAATGATGGCGTCTGATTGGCTCGAGCAATATACCTCACTGAGCTGCTATTCTGTATGTACATCCATTTGGTACCACTCGCACGATCTCCCCTTTCTCACATCTTCCAAGACTACACAGGGACTCTTTTAATTGTTCTCAACGAACGGTCTGAAAATGCAGGCACTCGTATCTTCGAAAACTGTGAAATCAGCGTGTCAAATAGCAGGTAAAAGCCATGGCAAGCATGTTCAATCTATGATTGACGTTATCTCAGTGTTCAAAAGACCTCTGCGACAACTCAAGACGCGAAACAGCACAAATGGACTCTTATTTCCGCATCTATTGTGTTCAAAAGTGCAGTCCCGGTCAGTAGTAATTGACGTCGAGTAGCTAAAGACGATTTGCAAAGCTGATCGGATGCAGGTTATCCTCATCAACGACAACGACACCTTCGCAATCCCGATCGAACATACAACCACTAAGTCCATCACAGCATGAGAAACTACTCGCGACTCAACGTCGTTCGCGCCCCGTCTCTCCCCATCTATCCATATACCAACCACAAATCCACTGGGTATCGGGTGCCATAATGCGGAATGCGTCCATCATCATCGCGACGCCGATATACGTATTCGGAGCGGCGTATCTGGCTGCACCACTCATGGGATGGCACCTCGATACCGCGAGTCTCGTCGAGTGGTTCGGAGGATTGCCATATCCCACTCGATTGGCGATCAAAGGCTTTTTCGGCTTCCCGTTCGTCTTCCACATCGTCCACGGCCTGAAACATCTCATCTGGGACACTGGAGCCATGTACACGAGAAGACAAGTTTGGATTTCCGGCTGGGTCGGTATGGGACTCAGTGTGATAGGAACAATAGGCTTGATGTTTTGGTAGCCGGGAAGAAAAATTGACAAGGCAAACAATGCCACACAAGAATACAACACATGTGCACATTGTCTGTACAAAATACTCCTCTGTAGTTATGTACTTACACATGATAGTCCAATTACTCCACGACCTTTTCTTCCGATTGAGGAGGTTGAGCTTCAACCTTGTGCTTTCTTTCTCTCGTATCACACCCGAGCCACAACAAGTCAGGTCGACTGTAGTGACCACAAATGTCCAAGAAGCTGCGTGCCATGATTGACATGCTGGGATCGACATCCACCACGACCAGTCCTTCAGCCGTGGGTTCGAGAGGTTCCGACAGCATGCGGCCATCAGGTCCTATGACGGCCGATGATCCACCACCAGGTGTGTTCATGAGTGCGCCCTCTCTAGTTCCCATGGCATCGATCCCTTTTTCACCAAGGACGGTGGTCGCATGAAGAACAAAAGTCTGTGTCTCGATGGCGTACGTTCGAGATAGATTCAGACATCCTGGGAAGATGAGTCAGGGTCAACTCATCAAGATTAGAAGTTTACATTTCGGGACGTACCTTCTTTCGACATGGACCACAATTCGTGTCCAGCGTGAGGTGATAGTGGGGGCCACCCGGCGGAATGAATGTCCTCCCTCTGCGTGGCGGTGTGGTACTTGAGCAATGGTTGGACGTGTTCCCAGCAGGCAAGCGAACCCACACGTTTGCCGGTTTGTGTGGGGACGACATTCATCAGGCTGTTTCCTGAAGCGTCACCAAAGATGGTTCTTTCCATGTGCGTCGGTTTCAGTTTACGACGGTTCATCAAGAGTTTGCCGTCGCTGTCGATAATCGCCTGGGCAATGTACACCGAGTTATTGTCGTTTTCCGAAAACCCCAGGGCGACCACGACGCCATTCTTCTTCGCGCACGCTTGTATCGTTCTCATCTCGTCCGAGTTCACGGCGAGAGAGTTTTGGATGTATCTAGTCGACAAGACAGGGTCTACCGGTCGGTGCCTAGCTAGCGATGAGGAACAATCCCTCGTGTCTTTCGTGTATGCACACTAAAAGGGCCAGAAAGGAAATACTTACCAAATCCAAGCGGGATAACCTGGGATGAAAGCTTCTGAAAAGCCCAAAACCTTGACACCTTTCTTCCCTGCTTCGTCGATGATTGCGCATGTTTTCTTGACTGAAGCCTGTAGGTCTAGCCATTCCGGCTCATATTGAGCTGCGGCAATCCGCATTGTGGTTGGTACTGATGTACTTCCCATTGTTAAAGAGGTTTACGATTGGTGTGATTGCGGTCGGTCAGATTTCGAACTAAGAATAGGAAAAGGATTTACTCAAAAGCCACCTCCTGTGTTGTGATATCTGCACCACGCAAGATGATTGTTTGAAAGTGGTTTAAAGAAAGTAAAGAGACTTGTCAGTCGAATCAACTCACACACGATTTAGAGCCTCTTCATCGCCTGCCAAGGATCATCTTTTCGATAAACGTTCCCTAATCAGACCAAGGTATGTTGACATCTTTTTGTTATCGGCTTCGCAACAGCTTCCCGAGTTCGTTCTTCAGCGGAGTGAGCGGGGGGCCTAGAATCTCGCTCTGGGGAGAAGGAAGAGCCCAAACTGTCGGTCGTCGATTGCGGCAGATAGAGCGGTAAGAATTCCGTCATTTTTGGCTCGCTTCGCTGCTATCATGAACTTTGCACTGTATGTTCAGCCCTCCAACTTTAACTGACTCGGTCAAGTTGAATCTTGTCTTTGAGCGAACTGATATCGCCAACGCTAGAGGTAGTCAGGAACCGCACATCTCCACCGCAGGTACGGATAATATCCGACGGGTATGAGAATTTGAGGGAGATGGCCGTGTGTCTTCGGAAGCCCTTCCCCATCGGCTAAGCCTTGTCCACGTACGGAGCACAAGGGAACATGATTTACCTCAAAAGGAGCTTATGGGTTTGAGAAGTTCTTGACGATGCCTTTTGGACTTCCTCCCTTACGACCTTTGGAAGAACCATTCTCCGACGTCCACATATTGGCTGGTTCCCTCCCAGGGCTTGATACTCCTTTCTCCATGGTGACTACGTATGTCAGACAATTCATCACAAGTAACGAGAACAAACATGACACGTGAGGTTCTACCTGCTTTTTATTCTTCATGACCTCGGCGACCTCGGCATGGCGCGTGTCAGAGATGACAAAAGACAGTTTCTACAGAGTAACTCATCATATCTGGTACGGACAGGGGAAGTAAAAGTCGACAAGCAGAATGGAAGACGTCACAATCCGAAACTCGACCACTTTGACCTTCCAGGGTCTGTTTGCTCAATTGATGATACCGTGCACACAAGAGAATCTTTTACTTAGGTAAATCCAGGTAAGGATTTCATTCTTCTTTTCTGCAGGTGTGCTATAAGGTATCAAAAGAGTCCAACACCTTAAGGTGCTTGAAACAAGTAAAGCAAACGTTCTCCCATACTCCCGCACATTTCCAACATCGGTCGATCTTCTGTTGTATACCTTCACCACGACAACTTACTATCTCCAACAAACATCCACAATGGCCGCCGGCAAGACACTCAAAGAATTATCTATCAAATCCAACCCTACGGCTCTTGGAGATCCTGTTTCTCTCAAGGCTGAAACGTCCGACACTGAACCGACCGAAGAAGCTCGACCGAACAAAGCTGTTGATGGCGGTAAAAGTCTCAAGGACATCGCCCAACAAGATCTCCAAGAAGCGAAAACGGGCAATCGATCCATGCTCGGAGACCCAGTGAGCCTCAAGGCTGAGACGTCAGACAAGGACCCCTTCGAGGACGATCAGATGGGTGGCCTCACCGACAGGAAGGAAAGAGATTCCAAGTTATGATTGTATGATGCTCGCGAAAAGGGGAAACATCTCTTCGGTACATTCAGTACATCAGCACCATGGCATGGTAACGTCCTAGTCCTTGTAACCAACACAGGCTGCAAGATAGCTAGAAATGCATTCAGGTACCAGCCATCCCCTAGTTCTACGAAAGCTCATGCTTGCAATTTTACTCTTAGATGAGAATATTCATACACATACAAATCTACCGCATTAACCGCCTTCGATATCGACGTCCCAGTAGTATCAGAGGTCGGTATGATAATGAGAAATGAAACCCCTTTCGTAGCCATAGTTCATTCAATCATGGAACCCCCAGCTAATTTACACTAGCATCCTGAAAGCCTGCCGTCTTTACTCACTAGTCTCGGTCATGCATTCTGAAGAAGGACAACGATTGTCGCCTTGCGCCCTTGAACGTGGTCAAGATATGCATCCAATTCATCATCTTCGTCAATCTGATAAGGGATCTCATTGCCGGAAGCATCCTTTTCAACGCCCTCAATGCGAGCAGGTTTCGTATTGGGATATTTGACAGCCAGCAATGCATGAAGTTCTTCTATCGTACGAGCCGACAATGATCCAAGCCACATTTTAGTATTGGCATACAATGTTGACCTAGGATGTGGTCGAATGTAGACAGGAACGATGGCAGAGACGGGCGGTGCGGCGGCAACATTGCTTTCAGCAGCTTGAAGCAAGTCGGGATCAATCTGCAAGACTGAGAGATCAGTATTTTGTGCGGCGGCAGCAACTTCACTGAATGGGTTGACCGGCTGTAGAGGTGCATAAGCGTTGTCCGCAGTGGGTTGGGAGGCTGACTCCATCTCTGTATCGACTGAAGCTTGTACCGATTTTTGTCTGAATGTACCCTTCTTCTTTGCTCTATCATCTCGAACACGCTTCATGACGTCTCGACAAAGAAGCTCCAAAGCAGATGTCTTCTTTTCATGCAAGGGGTTATTTGCACCGTCAGCAAGAATGTGTTGCAGCAAAGGAGTATTGGCGATCCATCTATCTTTGAGCTCTTGCCATTTCTCCGGGCCCATCTCGATCTTGCTCGTGTAGTGCTCAGACATGAGAATGTCATAGAACCCACTGCGGATCTGTCGGCTCTGTTCCGGGTTCAGACCCAGAACATTCTTCGACTCCAAGATGGTCAGGCGGCGGCCCATGGTCCGTAGGCGTTTAGTGACATCAGTGCAGATGACATCCAGGGCAAGCTCCTTTTTCTTGGCCTCGACAGGATCTGTCGGGTCAGTGTAAAACCTAGCCTGCAAGATGTCGCTTTCTTGAATGAGTCGATTCTTGATTGCTTGCCACTTGTCGGCTCCCGCAACAGTTTTCTGCAAGATTCCCTCGGCTTCGCACATTGCCTGAAATTGGTCACGAATCATACGGTATTGTTTTGTAGACAAAGACAAGATCTCTCTGCTTTCCTCGAGTGTTGTCTCGGAAGGAAACCGTGGTGGTCCAGGCGGATCGGCGGGAAGTCCTGCGTATTCCTTGGTTCGGCGACGACGCTTCTTCTTCTTCCGTCGTTCCTCGCTGATCTCCTTGAGTTGCTCGAGGCGCTCTCTCTGTCTTTGAACGAACTCCTCGGGTGGTTCGTCAGGAATGACAGGCTGCATAGGTTGAGATTGCTCAGTGAGCGCACCCTCTTCTTGAGCAACACGAAGCAACTGCGCTTCAAAAGAAGCCTCTTCTTCGTCCATCGGTGTCTGCTTGGCGCCATTCGGAATCCTCATCAACCAGCGATGTTTTGCACGCAGTCTCATAAGTTCCCTCTCCTTGATATCATGACCTTCTGCATGTAGCACCGCGAGCATATTTCTTTGGCTGTAGTTGGCTTCCCAGAGTTGTCTTACGCGTTCCACCAGGTCCTCATCACGATGGGCGGGTTTACGTTTCGAAGGGAAACCCCATCGCTTGAACTGGGTCTGGAATGCTCGTTTGGAAGGGCTAAAGTCGGTGGTATCTCGCATGTACTGCATAATCTCTTCGAGTGACTTTCCAGTTGTTAGTCAAAAGTGGTTCGAAACAAGTGCAATGAACCGACCTTGCGCTCTTCGATGTAGAGTTTGTACAATGCATCTTTGTGAGGTTCCCAGTTGTAGACCTTGACATGTTAGAGATGTATTCTAGTCAATGAGTCGAAGTACTCACCATGATGACCCTACGCGTTGCTCGACCGTACACAAACCGCGCCTCAAGGATGTTGGATGCTGTGACGGAGAAGCGTACGGATAAAGTCGCGCAGATTGTCATCAACTGCAATTTGCCTGTCACGTGTTTCGGCACACCTTCCCTTCGAGCGTCGGGTCAAAGTACAGTAAACATTCAAGTCGCGTTTCCTCCGTCGTCTCGATAACGACCTCATTCGTCGACGATAACAATAATCATCATATCAAAAATAAACAGTCCTTGTATGTATAGTGTACAATATGGTTATCAAAGGTCTACCTCTTTGGTCCTATCATTTCCTTCCATTGGTCGTCTAAACTGATCCGCTCCTGTCGAGATTTTTGTAGCCACCGCCGCTGCCATGCCTCAGTTATCTCTTGCAATCGAGACATTTCTTCGTCTACAAAGGAAGCAGCCGCAGATGCACATTGCGTGACCTTTTCCATAGGTACTAGATGACCGCTATCAAGAACGACTTCTTTGACCCGACCGACTTTTTGTCCTCCGCTTCCTCCAATCCCAGCACCCGTGGTTTCCATTTTCTTTCTTCTCAGTTCTGGTGTGGCAAGTTCTGAGGACTTCCCAAAGATATACAGAACCGGTGGCTTAACTTCAGGTAGTCGCCTGAATATCTCCGAAGGTTCAGGTCGATAGAATGGATATTCTCTCTCCACGTCATCGGGATGAATATCTCCATAGACACTGCGATCCTCTTCAGGCGCAAGCCCATTTTGGCCATAATATTTCGGCCTTAGGTATGAAAACACCTCTTGTGCTTTTGTCGTCGTCAGTGTGACAGGTGGGTTCTCGCCGTCTCCACGCTGAGGGTAAAGCGCTGTAGGCAAATCCCTCAATCCGTATTTGATCCATTGAGAAAGAGCTCGTGAATCCCATGCTTGGTAGAATTTGCTCTCGGCCATGATCTGTGCCGCTTGCTCTCTCGAGGGCCAAAGATCACGACGATAAGTCGAAGCTTTGGCAAACGACTTGCTCGGGTTCTCCGTTTGGATGACGGGGTCGATCAAGATGAGAGCCTTCAGTAACCCCGGATGCAACAAAGCAAGCTGGGTTCTACTTTTCGTTAGCTTCGTCATATTGATGGAGACATGTTTCCATACAATTGTGAGCCTCCCATTGAGTGTCCTATTCCGACAAGAGGCTGAGGCATCTCCTGTTGTTTTTGATTGATCAAAAAGAGTAAATCCCTAGCGAAATCCCACCAATTTGCTGTTTCCGTCAGTAAAAGGCCTATGAATTCTTGTGGTCGAGCATACGGTCGTTCCCAAGAGCGTTTTCATTGAGGACGCCGCTCTGGCCCTGATGGACAATATCTGCAATCCAGATGGCGCGTATCTTTCGACCAAGCTTACTCAGTTCCTCGTAGAGATCCTCGAATAGAGGTCCATACAATTCCTAACATAATGTTGGCCATACTTCACATCAATATCGCATATGTGGGGCGAACCTTGGGAAAGCCATTGGCATGGGCGGCTATGAAAGTGATGTCGCCAGGGCTAGGGTTCGGGTTTCTAAGAGGGACATATTGCTTGACTGCCAGCTTTAGGGAGTTTTCGTAACCAATCTCCGTACCCCTGGGCCAATGTCTCGTATGTTGTGCCGGGACAATATGTTCAAGTACTCGAAAGTGAGATATTGATTGCGCCTGAGCAAAATACGAGACATCGTTTGGTCGACGCGGCCTTGGAGATGCTGTCGTCCTTACCAATCTCAGCATCCTCACATTGTAGACCGCAAACATCTATTGAAGCTACATAAATTCAGGTATTGAGTGAATGCTCTAACTTAGGGTCATGGGAGATCCGAGGCCCCGGCTTAAGCTCGGGGCGTTTTCTGTCAGAAAAAAGATCAGTAATACTGTGCCAACCCCCAATAAACGAACTTTACAACCATATGATTCATCGATCAGAATCATCGATCACTGTTTAATTTGAGAGGGTCTTCGAAATATCCTCTTGGTGGGTGAGTTCTACCCCTGACCTCAGAAAATGCCCCGCAAAGCGACTCAGCCTCGCGTGTTGTGAGTCATGGCCCTGAGATTATGATGATCACAAGGCACCTGATTCGAGACCAATCGCTCCAGCCTCACTATGTTGCTCAACACTGCCTTTTTGTTGCCGCAATTCGGCTGTTAGATAGCTAGATACACTGCATGAGGCGTCGCCGAACATAAGCATGTGCGAAACAGTGAGTCATTGGCTACAATTGCAACTGAAGATGCACCACCGGCCATCTCCAATGCAATCATACAAATGCAACGTGTTTCCCAATTCTTGATGAAGTCTCTCCAGCCAACTAACAGGGACAACCTTGTCGATATCCAGAAGCATGGCCACAAAATTCGTTGAAAATCCTCCTTTCGAATCTCGAACGTATCATATCAACCGTTTGCGAGCCATCGCGGAAAATCACTTGCGTCAAATCGCCGAGGAAAAGCTCCAGGAAGAGTTTGATGATTCAAGACGAAATGAAGAATTAGAACGTTACGCGAAACAACGTCGGCGGGACAAAATGCGCGCCGCAGTACCAGCAGTTTCAGCATCAACATCTAGAATGAGATCCGCTCAAGGTAAGTTAACTTCACGGTCAACAACAATTGATTTGCTGATTCAATATAGATGTCCTTGATCGTCTCAGATGGGATGACGATCTCGACCTGTCAAAGTACACAATTGGCTATCTGGAACGCTTTAATGGCATACAAGAAATGTCTGCGGCCAGCTGGATTTCAGAACCTACCGAAGATGAATGGATACCTCAACATCGAATCCGATATTTCAAACGGTTTGACGATAGTGGAAAGCAAGAAGTCGTCTGGGACAGAGACAACCGAATCGATAGAATGTTTGGTAGCAGCACCAACAAAGAGGCCAACAATGACGTCTCTTCGAAGGATCGCGGCGAACAGCTGACTCAATGAGCCCAGTGTTAGGCAATGATGTGAGAGGTTTGGGTGTCAAGCTGATGCTCTATCTACTCCTGTTTGTAAATGAGGTCGAAACGAATTGTTTGCTTGACCCATGCTTGGAACGAGGTCGAGCCTAAGGATCCGGATTCGGCGGAGCCATGAGGAGATTTGTCAAATTTGTTGCCTAGTATTACTTTGCAACCTCCCGACAACGGCTCGAAGCAATTGGAATCTTAACAGTATGCGGGGAAGCGAAGCAAACCGACGGTTGTACACACAAGCACCAATGCCGGGCGACTCGTACAAATATTTTGCAACCCCTGAACGCGATGGGCTTGACCCTTGGGGGATGGAACACCCAGAATGATAACGATTTTCGGAGTCGCATTGCTTGCAGCAGACTTCTGTTTCGCAGGTCCTTGCATCTCAAGATCAACCCTCGACGACACTTGCGGTGTATGTTTGTCCAGGGCGATTTATCCGATATGACACTGACGCTCTGGAGTTGTTCTATTGTCTAGAGACAGGCTTCCGAGAGCCTTGCAGACATGACGTTCTGCCGTCAAATATGTGTATTGCATTCACGGGCAAATGGGTAAGTGTACTTTATGGAAGCTGTGCATACCAACAGGTTCTTTTTATAAAGCTGTGATGGGATGGAGGTAACATGCCGCGTTGCTAGAATCAAACTCTTGGTTCGATAGGTCCCGACAATGGGACGTACTGTATCTTCTTCAGGTAAGCAATTGACAAGACCTCGTTTGAATTGTTCTGCTAAAGACATTGCCAGTGACGACAAATGCAAACGGCCAGTGTGGAACGTCAAGAATGGCAAACAGATAGAACTTTCCTACCCTGGTAAACCAGATATGTGTGAGCTCGGATTGGGTGATTCTTTTGGCAGCTACGTTTGCCAGAACTCGCCAGGCTTGAGTCGTCACAAATGAAAAAAAGGATGGCCTATGCCTCCATGTATAGACCACCAATCTAGACTCTGAGATGACGCGACCAAGGAATAGTCATGTCCGATGATAGATCAATCAGAACACGAAGTTTGCAGTACCGAGTATGAATGAACGAGTTGTCGAGATACTTGTCGCGCCTTTATTGAAGCAAAACCAGATCAGGGGTGGGCGGGTCTGCCGACTTTGATCACGTGCTGATAAGCCATGTCTACGGTAGGTTTTAGAGCTATCAAGTGAACTTCTCAAGAAATTTTGGCTGCCACCAACAGCCATGATCATGTCGACACCGGTGCAAACAGCCTTGTTCTCCAGTGTTGCTGTCCGAGAACTTCTGGACGGTCACAAGAAACATGATGAGCTGCTAACACGAACCTTCTATCGACTTTCTCATGTCCAAACTCTTCTATAGAGTACCAGAGCCACTTCGCCGATTGTCGAGTCGACTCCTCGAAACCCCAGCCATGGCTGCGCCAACTTCTACCCGGCCAAAGTTGACCGGACGGGCTTTCTATGAGAGTATCGGAAGCCCAAAGATGATCGTTGCGCCTATGGTCGATCGCTCCGAATTTGTTGGTCCGCCCTTTCTTACCCTTGCTTGATGTGTGTTGACCATTCCTCCAGGCTTGGAGACTACTCACTCGATCCTACTTAGATCAAGAGCGATCGAAGTCTATGCTAGCATACACACCGATGCTTCATGCACGGCTATTTCAAGAAAACCCTAAACATCGAGACACTTACTTCCGGCCGACGCGAAATAGCCTAGTTTCCAAGGACAAATCTCCAATGCCTCCCTGGCTAGATGGAAATCCAGAAATTGATCGACCACTTTTTGTACAATTCTGTGCGAACAAACCTGAGGAACTGCTTGAAGCAGCGCAGTATGTCGCTCCGTACTGTGATGCTGTGGATCTGAATCTTGGATGCCCACAGGGTATTGCAAGACATGGGCACTATGGTGCATTCCTTCAAGAGGACTGGGACACAATATACAATATGATCAACAAGCTCCATAAGGAATTATCTGTACCAGTAACGGCGAAGATGAGGATATTAGAGACACGGGAGAAGACACTTGAGTACGCCAAGATGATACTGTCAGCTGGCGCCAGCATCCTTACCGTACACGGACGACGGCGTGAACAGAAAGGGCACAATACTGGCCTCGCAGATTGGTCTATGATCCGCTACCTCCGAGAAAATCTCCCAGCCGACACGGTGATTTTTGCGAATGGCAATATCCTAAATTCTGGTGACCTGGAGGCATGTCTCGAGGCCACAGGGGTCGACGGGGTCATGAGCGCCGAGGGCAATCTTTCAGATCCGACCATCTTTGCATTGCCGCCAAAAGAGTACAATCCACGAGAATATTGGTATGGTCCAAGGAGGAAAGGTGGCTACCGTGTGGATGCCGTTTTTAGAAGGTATATGGATATCATTCATAAATACGCCTTCGACCGACCACCGCCTGCACGACCACCGTTGTACATACCCAGCGATCCCAAGCCTGATTCTGCGAAAGAAAATGGGGATGACGGATCTCAAACCGGCGCCACAAACAGTAAAAAGAGGAAACGAGAAAGCAAGGCTCCAACGGATCCAAATCTGAAAGGCATGCAAGGCCACTTGTTCCAACTCCTCAGGCCGTTAGTGACGGTACATACAAACATTCGGGACGCGCTAGCTAAGAGTTACTATGGTGACATGGATGCTTTCGAGAATGTCTTGTCGATGGTCGAAAAGGTTGTCATGGAAGCACTGGATGCCGAAGCCCAACAAGAAAAGACCGAAGATTCTGCCGCACAAGAAGAGGAAACGACAGTAGGAGATGATGTGACGCCAAAACAAAGAACGGAAGCCAAGTACAAGAGACCTTGGTGGGTCTGCCAACCCCATATACGGCCATTACCGGAGGAGGCTCTGAAACTAGGAGCAATGCAACTCAGCAAGAAAGAAAAAGCCAAGCGTGCCATGCAAGAATCAGCCGAGACGAAAGAGGATCCTGTTCAGCGAGTCGATGACAGCCAACCGCAGCCGCAATCTAATCATACGTCAGACGATGTTCCAAAGGCAGCTCTAGTGTGCGGTTGATCATGAAGGCAAAGAAGATGATGAAAAGACATGTACAATACGAATATACTTCTTGACGAGAATGAACTTTATTATAATTCTACACTCGAGAAAAAATGGCCAGCTGCCTTGCTTTTGGTAAACAAAGTCAGAGCAGGAACCAGCCGCCATTTTGAACCAGCAATGTCTGGCGGTGGTCCGTCTGATCTTTATTCGCGGTTTTGCCTCCTCCGTGGTTCGTCAGCATGGTCCCCATTCTATGTGTTCGCTGGGGAGTCAAGACTCCCCCCTTTACCAGACCACATTTGTACAAAGGCCATATTTCATGAGCCTTCGGCATCGTCACCGCCGCTCATTCTTCGTCTCTTTGGTCCTATAGAAGGGCCGGGGGCGCCATCGTCATTGGTCTCGTCCTCACTCGCAGCACGTTTGTTGCCACGCGGGTGAGCGATAGGCTGGTTGCTGTTGATCATCCCTTGGTACTGTTCCTCGATCGCCCTTAGGGCTGCCGTTCGAATCACCGAGACAATGCCACCGTCTTCAGTCATTTGCGCAATTTCTTGAATCAAGCCGTCTCGCAGTGCTGCGGCCCAGTCATTATCTTGTGGGGTCATACCGGCGTTCACCAGAGCTGCCGCGACACGCACGTTGGCGTCATTGATAACAGAATGCCCTGCGGAGTTAACAGAGTCCCAGTCGATGGGACTGGACTCCCGAGAGACAGACATTGTAGAAGGAGAAGCGGCGGGGGGGGTCGGGGATTGGGGTGACGGTGGAGCAACGCCTTTACCTTTGCCAGCCGAGGCGTCAGACACGGACTGTACATCGGACATGTCGGTGTCTTCATTGCCATCAACAGCTTTGCCCTTTCCCTTCGCCCTATCCTTTTCGGCACGTCTTTCTTCGGCCTTCTTGCGGCCAGCCGCGTACATCTTGTCCTCTGGGACCTTGAACTTTTCGATGATCTCCTTGCACCGGCCTCGCTGCGTCATCATGGCGGCCGACTCGCGTGGTCTTCTGGGTTCAGAGGACCCTGGCAACAGTTGACCAACGAACTTCTCGTTGAATCTTCTGGCCCAGTCATCTTTGGTCTTTGTCGGTATGACCAGAGGCAGAAGGTCGTCTTCGGATTTCCCTGGGTTTTCCTGCTTCAGCTCGTCCAACAACTCTTGCGACAATGCGTAGAGGAAGTCGTTTTCTTCTTGTGACCATTTCTGGGAGGCCGCTCGCTTCTTCTCATCTGCTACTCGGCTGCGGTTTTGTCGCCACCAAGCGTTCAAGCTATTGATGTGCTTTTGGACGTCCCAGTCAAATGGCACTTTGCCTGAATCGGCCCCGGGGTCTACCTGGCCTCTTTCAGCCCACCAGTGGTCTCCACGCTTCTCGAACAGGTTTGATCTGTACTTGCCCTTGGCGATGTATTCGAGGAGATAGCGGCGTGGGTTAGGAGCACATGCCTTTGCGGCATCGACGTAATCGTCAATGATGTACCCCTGCACCCGCTCACGCTCTTTCGACGAGGGGCTTGACGGCTCCGGGGAGGCTGATGATGAAGAGCCCGAGCTCGAACCGGGAAGAAACTTGTCACGGTCATCATCGAAGTTGTCTTCGGGGTCGGAATCAGAGCCGGCAGGTGAGGGCGGGGGTGGTGACGGAGAGGATCCATCGTCGTCGGAGCTCCGGACAGTGACCTTCTTCTTCTTCGGGAGCGACTGTCTCGGTTTGCAGTCTTCAGGGTCTGGTTTTGGTAAAGCCTTGCCGTCAAGACCCACCCTCGTACCAGGTTTCACACTCTTTGCGACAAAGTCGAACGGGGGTACTCCGGTGTTGTACCAGTCCTCCACTGCTTGCACGAGATTGTATCCTCGATTTTGCAGGAAGAGCAGCAGGGAATACCAATCTGGGCGACCAGTGATGTTTATAAACTCGGCCAGTCTCTCGTCTCTCTGCTCTTGTAGCTTGTCCTCGGCCTCCTTTTCGGCTGTCTTGTCCTGACCGTGCTTCTTGCTTTGTTTGGTTGCAGGAACAAGCTCTTCCCTCATGCGGTCGTACCGGCGACCGAGCGTCCGTCGAATACCGTCCGGGTTTCCAGCGACACTGGTCATGTTCCGCAGTGCAAGGCCGACGTCCCAGTGGTTGATGTTGAGCCAGAGCGAGGACTCAGTCCTGCTGAGTGCCTGAGTGTTGCTGGTGGCACTTCGAACACGCTCATTGAACGCGTACGCGGCATCACGACGCTCTTGCTCCGGATTCTCATTCCAAGGCACGATCGACGCATTGAACAGGCCCTGGGCCTCGCTGTCATCAGCGTCCCTATTGCCCTGTCCTCTAAGGAGTTCGAGATGGTTCGTTCGGTCTTGAAGGTACTCTGCGTGTGCGGCGTCCACTTCCCAGTTGTTTGATCTCAAATAGAATTCGAGAAGGACAGTGTCGACCACGTGTGGCGTTAGACGTCGCCTGAAGGCGTCTAGGCGGTCTCGTCGCTGGGTAGGTGTGGCTTCGCTGTCTGCAGTAACAGCCGTCGCCTTAGCGTTCGGTTTTGGGGGCATGGATCTTTTTATTCACTGGTAGCGAATGTTCTTTGTTTTTATTGGACTCGATTAGCTTTTCCACACATACACACGAGGTAACTCAGGGCTCTAGTACTTACCAGTATCAAATTGGAAGCGAAGTTTGATGTTAGCTGAAGAAAAGGGTCACCAGGACCGTAGAACAAGAAGTGTGAATGAAACTCGGGTTTGGGTGGTGTTGTCAGCGTTGGGTTTGCAATCTCTCGAAACACGTTGTGTGTGTGTGTGAGTGGAAGGATGGGACTCGAATGAACCATGGTGCTTCAATTCTCTTTTGATATATGTGAGTCGTTGCAGTAACCCAATTCACGTCCCCTTGTTCGGTACAAAGAAAGTCGATGGGCTGTGCCTCCTTTCACAAACAGCCTCACACACAAAGACACAGGAGCCGGCACGTGACGACGAACCATTGTTGCCATTATCCTGCGGCTTGTATTGCTGTTGTCGAGGCAGGACTGGCATCACAAAGGGCAGCTTTGAGCACGCGGAGTATTTTTGGGTATACATTTGGTTTGTAGGAGGCCCAAAGGTGCACGTAGTCATTGTTTGGCATCATTGGTGTGGACATATTTTTATGTCTGGAGTACCACAAGCTCGGTGACAGGATCCCACTCCATTGTTCTCGGTCGTCGCTAGTCCTCGTCGAGGCAGACAAACAAACACCATGTAGCAGCAAAGTGCTCGATGTCGATCGCACAAATCCAGCCGACAGGTGTAATCCTGACGGCTAGGCATTGCCTGATATGTGTTGACTGCTGGTTCGGAAGATTGTAAATCGACAACTTTGGTTCACCCCTTCTGTCGACGAATGGAAGGTGACGCGCTTCAGCTAAGCATCAGATTGTTGGTATATATATATAATAAAAAGCAATAACCCATCGTGGACGGGCTAAAGTTTTGCGTTGAGTTGGTGGCGTGAATTCCTCGGAAAATAATGACAAAGAGTAGTAGACAAAGCCTTCGTCCCCGGGTGTGGTATGTCGAGTGGCCACACCAGAGGGAACAAAGAAGTGTCGACCATGACGTTGAATTTGTCAACGTCAACAGCGTACGGGGACCACTTGGTAATTGATCGAGGTTGAGAAACGGTGTTTTCCCCTTCGAGCACAGTTTTGTATCCAGAATTCTTGGGGTGTTAATGGTGCTCGTGTGAAAACAACTTCTATTGAATTGTGTTCTGCTAGGGCAAGGGACTCGCAAAGCGCCACATCATTGAATCATTTTGTCTCCCGGAGGATTTCTGTCAGATGTCTGGGATGTTAAAAATTAGTCGTTCATTTGCTGCAGAGAGATACATGACGTTCTGTCAGGCGGAAGGTGAGCCAAACACAAACGACATGGCGCCACCAAATCTTGTCTTGGACCAGATTTACAACCTTGCAGCAAATGTCAGGCACTGAGTCCAAGGCAGGGCTTGCATGAATGAAGTCATATCTTGATGACTGTGTCGGTCTGGATGAGTATTTGATCGTGACAGACTGGCAGTGACATGTGGTTCTTGAATGCTCCGTCCGAACAAAGCGAGCAGAATCTGGCACATTGATGCTGGTTCTTAGGCTTCATGAGGCTGTAGTTTCCAAGCACCATACGCGGTCGTGTATCTGCCGAGATCACACATTCTGAGAACTAGTTCAGTCCTCTGCGTTTGTTCAATTCAAAGTATGGAGTGTTTGTAGGAAACACCACTTTGGACCCAAGGGTCAGGTATCAGGATGGAGAGAGACTCCATTTTGGTTTCTTCTTCCTGAATATCAAGATATGGGATGACATTTCAATAGATGTAGACAAGTGTTAGTATCGCTGAGGTGCTGTGTCCTTTTGACATCGAATTGTGGTACTCCGTAATACGAATAGCAAACAACAGAACACGGGGCGGTGTGAGTCATTTGAAGCAGATGATTCTGAGACCCTGTCATTTCATGAACCTTGACGAAACGTGTTGCCTTCTTCCTGCCTCCTTTCACTTCCTTCTTTCCCATTTCCCTTTGATTTTCCAGAGTGCGTATATACAAGACAGCAGGTCAATACTACTTGGAATCCGTACGGCCCGTTCGCAGGTCGAGAAACCGCCGCGATGGCAGATCCAGGAAGACTGGCACAGTTTCCATGTGAAATTCAGCTCCGTATCGCGACTCTTCTCGACGTTGATGGCTTGAAAAGCCTACGCCTCGTTCATAGCTTCTACACACCTGCAGCCTCTTCTGTCCTCTTCCAAACCATCCATTTCAGCGCAAACACGTTGAGCTTTGAACGTGCAGTGCACGTCGCTGAATCTCCCCACTTGGCGGACCATGTTCGTCAATTTGTGTATCACGTTGGCAGACTCGCACGTGGGTACAAGAGAAGTCACTTTTCCCGCGGTTCTTTCGAATACCCGATTTGCCGTGTTGCCGCCGATAGCTCGTTTGATCCGACGGATGCGGCGATGGTGGATCAAATGTATTATCGCTACCTCGTCGAGCTCAACGCCGAAGACGAATTTGAATTTCTGAGGGAAAAAGAGGTACTGGAGGCCTTGACGAGCTGTTTCAAAAATCTCGTATCCATCGCCGCGGTCCAAGATACACGCGATAGCCCTGAACCCGGAGAGCCCAAAGGCCACATCGAACGCCGCACCTACGTCCCCACTGATACCTATCCCCTGTGCAGAAATCCCCTCACATCACTACTAGAGGCCACCACAAATTCACGTATCGTCGCGCTACATGCCGGGTTCTTGGATTGGATGGCGTTCATGGACATCGACCAGGTCCCGGGCACCCCTGAACAGCTCGGACGCCTGCGTGTGCTGCACCTGCAGCTGTTCATCGAGGATTACGGCAAATTTAACCAAGAGAAAGATCAGTCGGAGAGCTTTAGGAAGTTTCTTGCAAATTGCACCGGCATTGAAACCTTGATTCTGTGTTTGCCCGACATGTCGTTCCATCGTGACGACAAATACCTCGAGTGCATGACGCGGAGCAGCCTCTATGCTTCACACTTCCCGCGCCTACTCAGCGTCCATCTGACCGGGCTGATCACGTATGAAGATATACTTGTGGGGTTTCTCGAATCCCACGCCGACACGCTCATAGATCTGACTCTCGAGAACGTCCACATTGCGCGAAGGCTTGACTGCGACTCCCCGTACTTCTGGCCTACGTGGATGCCGGAAGGAGCTCCTGACTATTCCTGCCGACACGGTTCGGTCCTGTCACTGTTCCACAGAATTCACAACGCATGTCACCTCAAGACAGCCAGCATCGGCGGCGTCTTTACGAATGTCTTCGATGAAGCGTGGGTGGTGGCGGACAACAAAATTGCTGCTGCTACTCCAGAAAAGGGTTTTGCGCCAGACGTCGAACGATTCCTGTGTAGAAAGGGACCCTGGCCTTTCCTACCGCTGGACTCGTATCTCGAGATGCAAAGAAAGTACATGGTAGAAAATGGACCCTGGCGCGAAGGATCCGGCGATCACCCAGATCCTCCTGCTATGCGCCACTGTAGTGATGACAGTTGGCGTTTCGACCGAGGCTACCTGGCGTACCATTGTGTACCAGAACCGCGGCAAGACCCAGCCTTAACCCAATGGTGGTGAAATGTACGATGGAAACGTCGGCGACAAGATCAAGGCATGCGACGCAATAACTACAACACGAAGAAGATTATGACTTTACGACAATGAAGGAATATTTGAGTTTACTTTCGGAAAATAGAGCAATAATCGAGATACGACAATGAAGCAATACTTTGCAGATTCCAATGGACATGTCAGTCATTTCTTTCACTCTTCCTTTCTGCCCAAGTGTCTTGTGTGGCAAATCGTCCACCTCCAGCACCCGAGATATTTCACCCTGTACAACTTAAGGAGTCGTCGCCTGGGGAAGGCCGCTGCAACAGACTTGAAGATACCACTACTTCCCTAAGCCTGAAGACCAAAAACCACCTTATGTTGAAATCTTATTCTCGCTCAAAGATCCTTGGCCGCGATGATTTTGGACCCCTTTTTGCGTCCTCCATGATCATCTTGTTCGCGCATGGTCAAATACAAGATGTGTATTGTGCGTTGTAAAAATCACACAATCGCGACAGTGAGATCCGCGAACCGATTGACGTATTAGATGGCGGCGTTCAGCCTCGCGCACGCCATACTGCCGTTTTACCTCGAACCTGGGCGACAAACTCTTATTGTTTGAGTTTCGAGTACATTGAAACTGACGGTGTGGCTATCGAAATCGAAAGTCTTTCGATTGAACTCATCGAGGTCTTTCATGATTGGCCATTTCTGAGCATGTGTCGACTCGTGAGCGACGACTTTTCCTTTAGACGCCACTTTGTTTAGATGTTGCACGGTGGCTGGGTCCATACGGTATTGTATGGTGAGAAGAGTTGACGGCGTTCCATTTGCCGATCGACGTGTCTGCAAAGGCACGCCATATTGTCCCGCCGGGCTGCCAACATGTACGACCGATGGTGAGAGTTGTAGTGGGTCGCCGCACAAGATCTTGCCCGCAGCATTTGGGTATCCTCCGATGTCAAAATGATGAAGACCACCTCACCGGCCCAGCCCTTTAATCGAAGTGAAAGTGTCTTGTTATCGTTCTTGTCTTTTTCCGACTCAAAAGTCAGAGTCCGACTCACTCTGGCCGGGGTTCCCTCCTCTCTCGAACTGCAACCCAAAGTGCTTGCGGTGGGCACGGATCCTTCGACGCTGCTGGTCGATGGTCGCCACGGTCCGTTCCGGCCGCAGCACGACCCCAACCTTGCCCACGTTCTTGCCCACCCGCTCCCAGACCGCACTGCCATCGAGATGCTTCCGGGCCGCGACCCACTTTTTATAGGTGGTTCTACCCGCAAAGGTCTCGTTGAAGCGGTCCGCCAGAGCCTCCTTCTCGGTAAGCGACATGGGGAGAGAAAAGGTGTCGCCGTCACCGAACTTCGGCACGGCCGCGTCCCAGGCCGCTGGGGAAGTCCGGCGGGTGTCGAAGCGGTTTTGTGCTGCCGCCTCGGAGAAGCTCTCTTCGATCCTCATGCCCTCTTGCTCAACGAGCCACGCGAGCTCGTCCTTGTTGAAGGGGATTGCCTCTTCTGTGATATTCTGGCCCGTGATGGTTCGGAGGCGTTCCGCCCGCCCACTTGTTCAGATCGGAGAGGTGGCCTCCGTCGTCCCAGTCGAACTCGCGACGCCGAGGGTCTGCAACTTCGGTGAAGTTGTAGTTGCGCCTGTTGCGTCGGTCGTCGCGGCGGCCGAACAAGTCGACATGGTATTCGCCTCTGCGGATGTACTCGATGCGCAACCCCGACTCGTCTGGCGCCCCCTTGCCGGCCGGTAGGTGGTTCTCTCATCGACCACGTAGCCTCTCCTACGCCATGAAGAGTCCTGTTTTTGACGTCCTTGCCTGGCCCTTTGTTGCGCATGGAACCTGATACGCGCTTACTGGGATTCTGCCATGTTGAGAGACCTTGAAAATGGATGATTGACCCATGTATTGTATAGCCACACTCGCCTGTGGCAGAGATTGATGGGCTCATTCCACCAGGCCAAGGAGGTAGACTGACAGGTTCCTCTGGCGATACTTCTTCCAACGCAGGTTTTTTCCCCAGTTCGGAATGCCCACCGAGTTCGTGACGGTCAAGTCCCGCTGCATCTCTTGTATCCCCCCAATAGGGGAAAGGCTTGCACCAGGACCGCCGCAAGAGAATAACGACAATCGGTTCCGGCCAACCACACGCTTGTCTTCAAGACATCTAGGCAGGTGAGCCATCGTTGCCTGGGACTGACATGGAAGAAACAAGAATGAGGATCGTTGCCTAGAACTTGTGAATTGGGTTTGGTATTGAGACGGGGAAGAGACAAAGTTTGAGGCTTTGAAAGGGTATTGAAAGAAACACAATAAAGAATTTGAGATTCATCCGATGGCATGAGCGTGCAGCAGCAGCAGCATAAAATGACGGTCGAGACTCTGAAGGCCGCGTCTCACGATCTACTCTGAACTTTGCACGACAGTTTCTAGCTGGAGTTCAGGGGTTTTGCAAATATGACACACACTTGAAGTTTTGACCACGGAGTAGCTTTGATACCAACACCTATTGTGCTATTTGGTGGTTGTTCCTGTTGATCACAATCAGGGATCGATTTTATTCGGCAAGTACAGAGCACGATGTGAATTGTGCCCGATTGGTTCCAGGTTGATTCATTGGGCGAGATAGACTGCGGGGCAAATTAAGACACCGCAGAGCCGCGTTCTGTAAGAGATCTAGTGGCTGCCTTCAACCTTGTTGGTCCGCGCACTTATGTACATATTAGGCGAATCGGTAGAGTACGAACCTGGCATCGAATTTCGATACGGTAACCTCTGATTTTCAGCCTCAGGTGTGTGACTTGTGCCTCGCCCAATTCTTGTCCAAGCCCATTACTAGCTTTGTTCAAGATCATTAACTAGCTCTCTCGCTCTTGGCGCAGAACACCAGGGGTATGTATATAAGCCATATGAAAGCATGTCGAATCTTTTCGCAACATGAATAAAATATATATTGTCATGATGCGCATCGATCAGTACCTAGGTCCAAGGTGTATATAAGTCGAGGACCTCTCTGTTTCTCTTTGATCATGTCTTCTTGTATTCAGTCTCATCTCACTATCGTAGGTAGGACAACCACAAACAGTGTGCATCATTGTACTTCGCCTCGCCAAGAGACTGCTGTACCAAAACAACCTTGTCCTCATACATCATGACTACCATTCCAGCAAAGACATCTTCCGTTGGAGGCGCGGGCATTCAGTCATCGGTACTCGAGAGTATCATTACCCTTCAATGCCAGTAAAGATGCTAACAATGTTCGCAGGCCAAGCACCAGAGTGGTCAACCTTCCGTTCGAGACCACGCAGAGTCCTCTACCGGTCCTCGCTCCTGCTCATACCATGGTCGTCTCCTTGACCTGTCCTTGCCTCGACAGCCTTCTCGTGTCGGTGGTGGTGGTACCATGGAGAGGTTCCTTGATGAAGGTCCTGCCGAGCAATCGGCCATCTTCAATCGTCCCGACAAGAACATGTTGTCCATCTCCAAGGGATGTACATGCTTGATCAACAAGGTCGAACAAGGAGCTGCTCGTCTCTGATCGTATGCTTCGTCGGTGATGTACCTCAGGTATGATACTCCCTGTTCATAGTCCACATTACACCTCATCGACATCATCTCGCTGACATGTCAGCCTCTTGATAGTCTCGCAGTCTTGCTCGAAGTTGGATTTGGTGTTACTATTAACGATCATGATGAATGAAATGTGATGGAGTCGGTTGAACATGTCATGTTTCCGGGATCGAGGGTTTGGCGTTGTGTAGATGTTGCAAAACACCTCCTCTCACTGTGAACATCATAATTGTCGACAAACTTGTTCGGGCTGGACAATAGTAAGTCGCCATCGTTATATACTTGGTCATTGTGATGTATCTAGTCAACATAGGGAAAGGAGAGTGTCATGACAGAATGTTGAGCAATTGATTGTGGTATCGTCGTCTCTAAATGAGGAGAGGAAAAGAAACAAGACGAAGTCGCTGCAAAACAGGGTAAGGAGTGTCTCCCACCTTTGGCAACTCTTCCGATCGTATCACGTGACAGCCATCGCAAGGCTGAAGAGAAAGGATGTTGAAACATCATCTCGAAGTAGTCGTAGTATAAAGTCAGAAATTTGTTCAATCAAACACCACGTAAAGCACTACTACGTACATTTAGCAGGTGATAAGGAGAACAAATCATCTTTGCGAAACAAGAAGGGGAAAAAGAAACATGATTGTTAGAAACCATAGTAATATAATGTCAATTCGCCAACTAAAACCAGAGTCAGCAAAATGCTCATCATTCTCGGTATCTCAACTTACATTCTAGACTTCAAACCCGTCGTCCATCAGGCCAAGGCTGTCATTGCAGACAAGGCTCGCTCTGACATGGACCATCATGGACGCCAGCGTCGGGTAGCTTCCTGACCGATTGTCATGCACAAATCCCCCCCACCACCCTCGACCCGTCGTTTCAATCAAGATCCATCTCGTCCAGAGACGACAGCTCGCTCTCGTCGGGATCATCATCATCATCGATCATTCTCCGAGCCTCGTAGTCTCTCTGTTCTTCCCGCCGCACCTCCTGGATCATGACCGCGGTCTCGTAGTTGCCCAGGGGCCTCCCACCCTCGTCCGTGGGTTTCCGCTTGAACTTGCGCTGGAGGTGCGACGAGACGAAATTGCCCTGGCGATCCTGACACGGCTTGACCTCCCCGGGGAGGTAACGACCCTGGAAGGTCTGGTGGTAGAAGGCGATCATCTTGTTGTGATTCGGCCGGCCGCCGCTCCGAAAGTGGTCGATCTTCTGGCCAAACATGTTGCGGATGAGGCGGTCTTCATGCTCGGAGTACCGGGTTCTCTTGAGGTGAGCCGCGACCGCCGGGGGACCCTCGTAGATCCTCGACGCGTCGTTTCTCCACTGGTTCAACGCCCGCAATTGTCCCGTGTCGCCATCGTCGAACGTCTCCCAGCCCGGGAACCGTACGACGCGCTTTCGTCCCGACCGCGCCGGCCCGGGGATCGTAAAGGTGAGCATGTCGGATGTGAAATTCTCCGCCGTCACCGTCTTCGCTTGCCGGTTCAATTGTCCGTATGTCGCGCAGGGAGCGGCTGATCGTTGCAACTCATCGGCTTGGTACTGCTTGATCGCATCTTGTACGTCCCATTTGTTGGCATCCAGATACCACATTGCCTCTTGTACGCATCTGCGACTCGTCATGACGCCCAGAACGGCTTGCACCTTCAGTTCGGCCTTCTCGTCGAGGGTGGAGGTGGTCAGGGCAAGTTGCACAAAGGTACTCAAGGGCCGGTGTTGTAGGAGTACAGAGAACCATGTGACTGGTGCCGTTGAGGCGGCGGCTGTTGGTGCTGTTGGTATTGGATCATCGTCCTTCATGCTGACGAGAATTCTTGCGGCGTCTCGCATCTCCGTCTCCTCGTCAGTTTCTTCGTTCTCGCCAAAGTCAAAATCCGGCGGTCCCTGTGATAGTAACAACAACGCATCCGCCACCGCAAGTTCGTCTGTAGTGTGAGCCATGTTTACCCTATACTAGAAGCGAGCTGAAGTGAGCTTGATGTGTTTGTTGTCAAGGAATTTATTCACAAGATTCCGACATCAAACGTGAACTCTGGTGCGATAATTAAATATACAAACGACAGAAACGCCAAGCCGAGTCCTTTTGAATCACCGCCTCGTTGGTGAGGCAGTAAGTAAACAAGGCCATACAATGTAGCTTTGTCATTCACTGACATTGTGTGAATTGTCCGTTTGTCTTTCAGCATTGTCGATGGTGGAAAAAGGAGATCGTTGTTCTGAGAAAGAAAAAGGAGGGTCTTGTCATGAAGCTAACGGTCTCGGGTGATTCTACCGAGAGCCTTGTCTGCCATGTCGAAGAAAGAGGATTTGACGCCGGAAATCTATTGCATCGAGATATTCTAGGACTTCATGAAGGTGAGTCTTGCAAGGCGCTGAGATAAAGGGACTCGTGACATACCATTAATACGTACAATGCTAGCCAGAGACCACACAGGCATACAAAGGCAACCTCGAAAGATACCATTGAGCTGCACCTCCCGGGTGGTGTACAGGAGGCTTAGAGATCCGTCCATCATGGTCGATCAAATACCCTTTGTCGATATATGATATATACCACTGAGGAAAAGAAGTTCGTCATCACATCATGACCATGTGAAGGATGTAGAGGGCGAGAGCGCGGACTTTGTATCTGCTCAAACAAACCACAGGCATACTCACTGGGTAGGGTCAAAGAGTGTTAGTTCCATGGAGTCGAGCAACGCTCATTGTACGACGAATCAGACAAAGCAGCCTCTTCGTCATCTTGTGGGATAAAGGAATCTTTCTTTGTCAGTGGGTAGAGAGGTGGCACCGCGAACCAAAAAAACCCCTCAACCAATTCTGACTTCAGAAGTCATGTCACTCAGCAATGATGGAGTGGCAATGTCAAGCTTGCTTTCAGCATCTCGGATATCACCCTGACACCAAGGGACTGGCTTTTGATCATATGAACCTCTTTCATAGCAAAATGAATTGGATTTGGCGTTTCAATGGAGACAGATTCCCAGCCAGCTCTTGTCTTCAACCGTCATCGTAGACAAAAGTGGGCCGGGGCAACAACGATGTTCACAAAGAAACACACAACAACAACAACAGGCACACAGTGGTCATCTTCTGTACATACTTCGTACGCTGGCCGTCTCCTGATCTTGGCAAGCTATTCCTGATGCGGCGAAACGAGCCAAAACGTTCATGTGGATACTTACTCGGAACAGACCAATCACCAAAAAAGGGGCCCAAATGTTAGCGCCCTGAATGTTGAACTTCAAGCCTTGGACTGTGCGCCATTTCATCGCCAAACCTCAATCAATGCGGTACAATGATTGTACAAGATATATCTTTGTGATGGTGCCAACATGTATGACTAGCCTTGAACGTATATTGCACCACGAAACGGTAAACGTCATAGGGAGTTCCAACCAGGAAAAGTATTACCACGGCCTGGCTGACAATGGTCGACCTGACCTGTCAGGATCTACATCCAGCAGGTCATTAAGCTTTCAAAAAAGAAAAAACATTGACTTCTACTCTGCAAGCCTCCGGCCTGTACTATGAATGAAGTAAAAGGTCAGTAGCTTATGGCGCCTTGAAGTGAAGATCCTTCAACGGAATCTCCATCAACAATCTCAAATCTTTACCAAGACCTGCCCGTGCCTCGAAGTGCTCGACCTTGTCGTAAATGATTCGACCCTGGATCGTGTCAGCAAGTGGAAGCAGGGATCGGGGAACATCGGTCGAAGCTTACACAATACATGTTGCTGGGCGCGGATGGTTCTACGGCAGCGATCAATCTGGCCGCATGCCCAAGGAAGTCATCCGAATCCGACATGACCGTGGAGACAACCGCGACGGAATACCAATCCTTGGTCATTGTGAATTTATACTCTAGAGAACGGACACAATGTCAGGTTAGATTGGGTCAAATAATCTTCTTCAGAAGCAAACTTACTCATCGGAGCCCATTCGTAGCCGCGTTTTGCCATATACTCGGGGTCCAACCACTTGTCTTTGGGGAAGTACACAACAGCCTCATCTTTGCCCTGGAACATCGCACATCCATGTTGTTAGTGTCACCGCAGGCGTCAATCAGCTTTGGGACCGCTGATGAGAAAACATACCAACTCCCCAATCGTGCCCCGGAGGCGTTTGAAGGTGGTGGTGTCCTTTTTGAGCGTCAACAGGTCACGGTGCATCCACTCGATGTCGACATCTGTCACACTGCCTTCAATGGCGGTGTCGACTTGGATGACAGTGCCCTGGCTGAGTTCAGTCATTGCACCAGGGTATGGTTTTGAGAGCCTGATTTCTGCTTTGCGATTCATGTTGGCTTTTGGTTGTATTGTGGAGGAAAAATATTGCTTTGTGAAATAAGTCAAGAGATCTGGGAACTATGCTGGCATTCGGTCAATACTTTTATAATACATAATCTGAAGGGAGGGGAGCTGATCACAAGTCGCCTCCGCCAAGCACAATCTCCAGATCAAAAGTCGGCCCCAACTTGAGATGGTCTAGATGAATCTGCTAAGAAAGCAATACTCTGGCTCTATCCAGAGAGTCGTTCATTTCAATGGGTATCGTGTTGTGTGGTCGACCGAGGTGGACCAAGACCCTTGCAGCCGCAGACGGATGTGACGAGACCTGTATGAGCTGACGAAATAGTCTATGCAAATGGGAGCGTGGCCGCAGCCAGAGACGAAAGACAGAACTAAAGCGAGTTTACGCAGGCAATAAAATGGCTGCCAGAAACTCCAAGCAAGGGTAAATACAGCAGCGGTGTGTGTTGTGCCTGGGGTCAACCTTCGTTGTTGATGAGTGGCCGTCGCCAGATGCGAGGGGAGGCCAAAGGCCGGGCCATAAGGGACGTGCCAGCCAGCCAGCCATCAAACTGGGGAATCATTTACTAGGAGTCTAGATCCGCAATTCTCCGGTTCCAGCCTAACTGCATATGCACTTTCAGCTCAAGCCATATACCTGTCGCTCAACGGTCGTCTGTGGTCGATGCCTCGTTTGACATGCCCTTACCCGAAGTGTCCAAGACGCAGAGGCAGCTACACGAGGGCGCAGGCGGGCTGTTGACTATTCACGCCTGTAGCCGAATTAGGGTTGCTGATCTAGTACCGTATATGTGTCTCCACATTATTTCCCTCCTTGACAACGCTGGGATCGAATACGCTTTTCAAAGAAGATTATCTATGTAGTTGATTATTACTAATGCTTGATAGCTATATAGACTCATATAAAAGAGAAATCATATATGAAGAGTGTGAAGTATAAATTATAATGTGAACAATAGTGTAACCAATAGAATTGCATGGGCGACAGAGGGGGGTGCCAGCCCGTTCATACTGTCCCCTTGTAGTTTCGCTGCCAGATTCCTGGCTATTCAACCCGGTGGACTACTGAGGGGAGACATGGACTATTTCCCAGACCCTCCGTACAGCCTCAATACACGTGCATGGAGATGGTGGAGATTACGTCTCTGTAACTCGCATTACACCAGGGACAAGTACTCCGTTCAGCAAAAAGTCGGCTGCAGGCGGCATCCCAATATTGGTCAGGCTGGTATGTTTTACCTTCCGGATGGCCAAGGGCGAGTCGTCCATTCCGGCCGAGGAAGAGAATCGGGCAAGGGATACTGTACAGGAGGAGCCTAGAACACATCCATTCACATCCACCACAAGAGGGCCAAACGAAACAAGCCCCCATCTCGGGCCTAGAGTTTACGTGTAAGCCGAACTTTGCTGAGTATTTCTATCTCGCTTCATCGCTGCTCGTCATCTGCAAGCTGTTCACCTTTGAGACAGATACCCTACCTGGTTTATCTTCCTTTACCAACGTGCCCACTTTGAGTCGTCTCAGTATACACCTATCAAAATTATGGAGTCAACAATCTCCCCTGCGGTCCTTGAAGAGATGGAGTTGTTCGTGGATGACCTCTATCGAAGAGCTTTGGCCGCAGAAGGCGTGGCTCTTGAGAATGCAGAACTCAAAGTCGCCGAAGTTGATGGTGCAGGTGCAGCAGCTGCTGGAGCGGCCGAGGCGCCAGCAGAGGCTGCTCCTGTTGCTGCTCCCAACGCGGGTGGCGAGGTTCCAGTTGTCCCCAAGCCTGCCGACGATCCTCTAGCTCTCCCTCAGCCTGGTGACGACAAGTGGGCTCAGTTCACGGCCATGATTCTCGATGCCGCAAAGCCTCCCCAGGAACAAGCTGCGGCTGGACAACTCCCATCGGTTGCAGTCAGTCTCCACGACGGCTTCAACTACGATCAAACCAAGATCCAGTCGCAGCCCCAGCCGGTCGATATGACCAGCGACGCTGGAGCCATCTACAGCTGGCAATGCAACCAGAACATGCTGTCTCTGGCACAGCTCTTTTCGACGATGCTCGACATCAAGAATAGGGCCGCACGAAAACACCCAGAGCCGTACAAGCTCTCGGACGACAAGGACGTGTGGCAGATCTTCGCCGACCAGGCCGACAACACGCTCCAAGCGATGCTCGGGCCCCTGAGTGGTTTCTACATATTCACGACTGGTGCAAGCCAGAGCTACCACGACAACGTGGACCGTGCTAAGCTTCACACGGGCTTCCTGTCTGCCATCTTCTCGGACTTCAGTCTTCAGGACGACGCCAAGAAAGACCTCGAGAAGGTCCTCAACAACTTCGCCCAGGCGGTCGGTGGATTCAAGATGGAAACCGCGGCGCACACCGAGACCATGAACTATACACTCAAGATCAACACCGTGCCCACCGTGACCATTGGCGGAAGGGCCGGACATCCGCTCACCGTGAACGTCCCCACAACGACGATCGTGTACATGAAGATCAAGGCGACCGCTTGGAAGACCGCCATGGAGGCATGCAGTGCGGGAGGAGGAGTTGAACACTTCGACTTCGACATGACTTACACCAAGACCAACTGTCAGCTGAACATGGACTGGTATCAGAAGTCCATCCCCAAGTTCAACAAGGTTATGGAGTTTGTCACGGGAAAGAACCTCGCGGCCTACGGGCCCAGCCTGTCCCAGCCCGTTGAGAACAAGGCCTGACCGGCTTCATGTTGGATCGGATGGGGATGCCAGTATTGGGTACTAGTCGAGGCGATTAGAATAAGGAGCTTCCATCGCCGCGACTCTGAATACACATAAAGCCTAGCAATCCAAGATCAAATTGTCAGAAAGGTCCATGTGATCCCTGAAACCACCAGGGAACTGTATGTCCTTTTGCGTGGCCCCTTAGTCTAGTCAATATTGATCAGCCACTGGAGATCAGGCGAGGGAAACATGCCGAATGCAAGGCAAGCCCATCGGTCCCGAGGCCAGCTGAGAGCGGAGACGTGCAGGTTGCATATGCAGGAAGTCGCGCGTTGCATGGTATTTTCAGCTGCACTGCACCAACAGTCACTCCTCCGAACTCATATCGACCTGTCTAGACTACGCCGCCACCGCAGAGGCTCCTGTGCCCATTTGCACGGGGTACGACACGTAGCATGACTGGGGGGACGCCGGTAGCGGACTGTGGACGCGAAACGCGCGTAGATGTAATATCATGGATCGATCGAGGGAGTTTCGACCGTTGTGAAATGTGCAAACACTGGTCCTTGTACTATTACTTACAAACTGCTCTTTCTCGGCCTCCTCAAGTAGATACTACTCTATATTCCTTACAGGGCCCAAAGACTTGTAAAGGTGTCGCGAAACAATACGAGACAGACTGTCGCCCCCCGGTTCTCCTGCTTTCGTAGCTCCCTCCTGGGGCATCACCGTTACCGTAACAATTGCTCAATACCACAACTCGCCCGTTGTCCATTTAAAAACACCGAGATGGCAGAGAGCCAATCCTGGGATCTCCCGGGTCGTGTTGGGAAGCCAAGCGACGGCAAACAAAACGAATCGCGTTGCGAAGCGCTCATTGACATCTCTGAAATCCTGGCCTCGGCCGCGAGATGCGCCGCCGTCCTCAATTCTGACCGTCAGACACCTCAGACCGACGTTGGGGGAGCATCTGACATCAGATGCCTACGAGATCCTGGCCGATGAGATCATCGCGACGTTGTGAGGGCCCTTCGCGACCTTCTATCTCGTGTCCTTCCCCTGGCAAGAGAAGAAGGAGTACGACATCGGGCACCGTCAACTCAAGGCTTTGGACGACAAAGTTTTTCTTTGCCGGCGTGCTCGAGGCACTACCCGCTTCGAAACTATGCCCGCTTCAAGATTTCACAGAAAGGTGTCGTGAGGCGGCCATGGAAAGTGGCGATGGCGATTGCGACGAGTCGCGGACAGACACGGTACTGTCCTACACGTTCCTCGTCAACGGGGTGCTCACGACCAACGTTGCTGGCGACCCCGACAACCCGGTCTACGTGTACCAGCCGATCACATCCGCTGTGTTTGTCGAGGTGGAAATCTCGTCTCCGTCGGCACATTCCCACGGACACGAGCAGACTTTCCACGTCCGAGCTTCATCGTGGGTGGCAAAGGCCGAGCTGAACTATGACTTCTTCGAAAAACAGGGGGCGCAGTTGTCAAAGCTCAAGGAAAACGGCGAGGCAATGCTGAGCAAGGAGGACCAGACGATACTGCCAGAAATTCAGACGCATCTATCTGGGGTAATAATGCGTCACGACGGGCTTGCTGTTTGAGTCCCATGATCAAAGTGCCTCCGGAGATCATGATGGCTTGGGAAACCAGGCAAGAAGATGGGCGGCAAGGCATGGAAAGAGATGGTCGAGTACATGGAAACTCCAAAGTCCGAAATTGTCAAACACTTTGGAGAAGGACGAGTGAAGCTGTGGCTGCTGACCTCAGGCGTGAACTCTCAAAGATAGATAAAACAAGATCCAGGGGGCATCTCGAGTAGAAATCCTATTTAGATATCTATCGAATATGTCTTCCGAGCGAAACCCTATCTCTAATGAACATTAACCAGAACACCCCCAACATGTTACACAAGTACTATTACACATGGTATAGACAATTTTTGGACAAAACTCTTCCCTCGTTAATTCGTTGGATGAAGTCATTCGGTACAAGATGCTCGTCAGTCGCCGACCAGATCGTCCTTTTCCGAGTGTGAAACTCTCCGTCAAGAAATCTCACTGTGTCACGAGCCATCTTCGTCGATCTTTCAGCATGCGTCGATGCTATCACTGGCCCAAGTACAACAAATAGGCGCGGCCACATCTCTCAATGTTTCTTCTTCCTCTTCTCCAAAACTCACGGGTATGCGTTGGGATATGGGTTCTGGTATTGGTACGAGTTTTCGACATTCAGCTGGTAACCCTCTTCCCCACCCTTGGGACTCAATGGGACGCCGTACCAATAGAGTGTGACGACCATGACAATAGCCATGAGTGCCGCGTCAAGTACGTAGGCTGGCCACTCGTGTGCGAGCAGATAGCCATCTTGGCCTCCTTTGTACTCGGCAAACCGGTAAATGTTTCGTAGGGTGATGAGGATGCCAACGACATACAACGACGTCAGCACTCGACCGAGATAGAGGCCTGACGACTCGTTGTACTGCCACAGCGGCTTCGACCTGACCCGCACGTGCCACACGACAGCTGCCATGACGAACAGTGCAAAGAAGAGGACTTGAAGTGCCAGACCACCGAGGATGATGTTGGATCCATTATCATTTTCCTTTTGTGTGTCGGCATTGACCAGAATTGTAGCACCCCCAGCCTGAACCAAGAAGCACAATACGTCGCCAATCACAAAGATCTTCGTCAGCCAGCTGGTGCGGATGATGGAGTATTTCTGTCCCGCAGCGGCATTGATCAAGCGGCCCAGGAACATGTAGACCGAAGCGGCGAAAAGGATTGGTGCAAGCAGGATGAGTACTGTTTGTATGATGAATGGACCCTTCTCGTCGAGATGAGAATGGTTGTATGCTCTAGCAATGAAACCGATAACTTCAACTGTCGGCAAGTCAGTCATCTCGAAAGGGTTCCACAAGAAGGATGATTTGCCTTCACTTACAAAGACCACCAATGATGATTGCAGAGGCAAACCATTTCCTCGACCGAATGAGCAGGTAGGTATGGCCGACTGTCAATATCAGGAAAACCAAGGCCGCAATTATGGCGGCAGGAACTGAGGGCACATAGTGCTTGTAGGGATTTTTGACCGGCATCCTCGAAAACTTTGTAAGTCGAAAGTGGTGAGAAGTATAATTGACACAAGCAAGATACTGATATTGATCGTCCCAGAAGAGATCTGCGAGGTGTATATCCCTGTGGCGGCAGCGCGTGCTCTTATAGCACTCTCTCGATCATACGGTAATGAGGCAGGATGCCGCCTCCTGATATCTGATACAGCACTTCCAAGGTCGACTAACCTGGCCATGTTTGTTTGAGGCAGTGCAGGGACGAAGAAAATGCAGATATATCGGCGCTAAGTGGACAATGTTGCCCAGCATCCAGCAAGGAAGAGTGTCATTTTTGAAAAGGTGGTGCCTAGATCACCCAGCAGGGCGATGCATAAACGTGTGGTCGAATTTCGCGAAGATTTCTCAAAAGTGCGTAGCGTCACTCAGCGCATTCATTCTTTGCATCAACCCATGAGACAAGCTTTTTCCCCTGAGAATAGATATGCCATATCTGGTTACGTGCAAGGTACCCGGTAAGCAGGTTTCCGAAGTTGACGCTTTTGTGCATCAGATACTCCATGTGCACTGTACATTTGCAAGATAACCAATCGACGAAGTGGTGCAGGCGATCCACAAACAACATGGATCACAATCGTTGACGAGGAACGCGAGTGCCAATCAGTGATCATAATGAGGCTGCTTAGCTTGCGGCTGGATCCCGGAAGGCTTTAAATTTAGCCTCGTTTCTTGTTTCTCGACGCGTGCTAGAATGAACATTGTCCCAAGCTCATGTTGACATCGGTCCTTATTCTGTGAAGAGACGGCGACTGCTATATCGTGGTGGCTGGACATTCGCCAGCTCTATGGGCATATGCCATCTTCAAACCGCGACAACAATCTTTGCAACTGTTAGCAATGTTGTCCGAGAGCCGCTGACTAACAAGCCTGCTTTGTTCTGAAACTATTTTTGCCGAATCTGAGACTGGGTGCCGTTGCGAGCCACTCGGAGGAATAAGCGACATCGTAAGGCACAGAGTCAGAAACGTGCCCACGTACGGAGTACTCGTACAAAATACGGGGTGTACGAGGAAAATGATCAGAAATACGTGTCAAGATGTCGACCAGTATCTCGTATTGGGAGCTCAAAGGGGAAGTATCACTCCTGAATGAGGCTGAGTAGTGGATACAAGGCTCGGGTAGCATTCGAGTGTGTTGACGATATCAACGGCGTCTTCAATCGTCCTATCGGAACCAATTTTGATGACAGCGCTTGCTTCGGCGTCGGATTTACTGTACGCCGTTGACGTGCTCGTACTCGTATTTCTTCCACCGTCTACACACGTCAACAGTACGGATATTGCCCGCACTAACGTTGAATCCTTGCATGCCATGTCTACAGAGTATGCCTTGCAAACACTCATGATCGCAAATTTGCCGAGAAGCGCACAGTACTCGCAATGAAGTTTCGTCGCGGGTAGTCACATCCTTTGAATTGGTTATACAGGTATATATGTTTCAAAGTGAAGGGTGGTCTCATCCATGGCGTTAGGAGAACCGAGGCTGAGCAGCTTAACTCGCAGCTCTTTTCAACCCCTCCTCCGCTACCTGAATGAGTGGCAGGAGATTCTTCTCTTTCAAAATCGGCAGTAGATTTGCAAAAGCTTCTTGCGACTCGGCCTTGTCGCCGCTTTCCAACAGCAAATCTGCTCGAGTCATGCGGGCTGACAGTGACGCCAACTCACAAATATCGTCACGATCTTCAGGCTCGACAGCCTCTGTTGTCGCAATGGCCTGGTCTGCCCAATTGATGGCTGCTTTTCTAGCGGCAGCTAAGGAAGACTTTGTCGCTGGTCTGCCATTGATCTTCGCATCCGGCTTCTTGAGCGCCAGATCCATCGTCGAGGCAATGTTGCTGAGCACTTGGGCCTCTTTGCAGGATCTAGTCCCGTTGCACGAGGCTCGTAGGGGTTGCAGAGTCAACATGTAGACCTGCAGTGCATTTGCTTCTTCGCCCGTGGTGGCGTAGAGATCTCCCATCTGTGATAGCATAGCGGCGATCTCGCCTGTCGTCATGCCTGCGCTGTTGTCATTCGTGAAGCCATTCGTCTGAGGATCTTTTGTCTCCTTGACCACCAGACCAACAGCGTCAGAGAGAACTTGCTTGGCCATTGACCGGTCTTGCATATAGTCGCTTTCATATAATGATGCCAGCTTGACTTTTGCCTGGATCGTTGCCCGTAGCAGAGTCCTCCTCGTTGCTTCCTCCTCTTCGCTCGGCATTGCACCTCCGGCCCGTCCTTCGTCAATTTCAGCGACTTTTTGCTGCACGTCTTTGACCATCCCATCGAGAATCTCTATGGCAGACTTGATGTGTCCAAAGTTTTCCCACATCTGCGAGAAGCGTATCCGGATTCCTAATGCGTCAGGCTTGAGGGGATCCATGCCGGCTTCTTCTGCCTTCTGGATAGCCTGCAGGAAGTACTTCGCCGACGTTTCTGGGTCGGGCTGAATATGTGTATAGTGTAGAGCAAGACGTAGTCTCTCTTCGACCTCAGGGGGGTAGTCCGTCGTGTGGAGTTTATCTTTTTTGTACTCGTTGTATGCCATGACCAGGAGCATAGACACAGACCCGAAGCAACCGATCAGAAGGAATGGAAAAAGGATAGGGTGTTGCACTCGGGCATCGATCACCATCTTCTCGAATCGATTTGGTGGTCTCGTATATGTTTTCGCCGTTCTCGTTTGCGTGCGAGGAATATCGCGTTGCTGTTGTCGACGGAGAGGTTTTGGGGTGGCTGCGCTGTGGTAGCCATTGGAAAATGCGCTGCGAGCATTCTTCCTTCCAGACTTGAGGCTGCGGCAGAAGTGACGAGAAAAAGGGCTGTTCATGATGCAAACAGTCCAAATATACGTATAGCACGATGTGATGTTCTCAGTGCGAATTCTTGTGGACGAGGAAAGATGCTGCGCTAGAAACAAATTCCGTTCCCCGGATTTCGACGTCATCGTCATTGGCTCTGAGACTTGTCAAGATTTCAACAGAACACTCCACGATCTTCAATCTACAATCCTCATGGTGTTCATCTGAACTTCGTTGTGTTCGTCTTCATTCTCGTAATTGAAACTTATGCAATTCTACGACATGCAAATACAACGATACCAAGGTCCCTCCCCTACCATTGCGCCTTCATCGAACCGGCCTCTGCAGAATCAGGATTCTCCTTACCAGTCCTCGTGTTCGGTTCGATAACGGACCTCGCGCTCCTCGATCCTTCTGGCCTACGGCTGGGCGTATCAATCTCCTCCGTCACGCTCAGCGAGCTCGTCTCCAATGGTCCTAGGGGCTGTTGGGTAATTATACTCTCAAAAACAAGTTGTCCCCCCTGGTCAGAGAGGTAGCCTGCCTCGTAGGCCGTCTTGGAGGTTAACAGAATCGGAACGCGATGTCCTCTCCTTTCTTCTTGCTTTGTACATTCTAGCAGCCAGGAGGCGGAGTAGTTAGTGCTTGTATTCATATTCGTATTCGTAATGTTGTATATGGTATGCTTGCTATCAAAAGGCATAGCTCCACTGATAGGTGGGCTAAAGGTTTCGTTGGTCCAGGCGTATAGCATGGGTCTCTTGTTCGTGGTCAGAATGACGAGGATGTTTGGTTGTCGTGGATGCCAGAGGGCTTGTTTGATAGGGTGAGAGAAAAGAAGGACGACATGTGGGTGGGCAGCGTCGCCAGTGTTGGGCGTGATATCTTCCAATTTCCAGAGAAATAGCGTGTGAGGCAATGAACGGGTTCTTGTGGCTAGGAGTGTCTGATCGCAATTGAGAGATGTAATGTCGATTGGGTTTGAGTTTGTGGGGTTAGGTGTAGACGTGAAGGTGGATGTGAATTGTCTTGTCGTCTCATTCTGCTTCTCCTTCAACGCATCGAATGTTCCGGTTTGTCGGATGAAAAGCGGCGAACAAGGGTCGTGCGGCTGTACAGTTTCCTGCCAGATAGTCGTGTGGGCACCGTCGACAATGTGCGTGTGTCTGAAGGACGCAAGTGTATTGACTACCATGCTGTTTATGGTGTGGTATCGGATCAGGACATGTGCCTGCGCAGTCGTTACTATTTGGATTGTTCTGTTGTCGTCCTTCTCCTGTGTTCGAATCCATTGCCAATGAGTAACACCCAGGCCCTCTACAGGCTCAACGCTCGGACCAAATGTGGTGGATGTGATGTCGAGTAGTTTCAAAGGATGACCTTGTGCTGTGAAAAAGGAGAGTTTTGTACCATGTGTCGCCGAGTCGCAAACAGCTATCACCGGACTACCTGCCGGGCACCACACCATGCTCTGAGCATCTGCTGTATTCGCATCGAACGATTTATAAGTTATCTCGTTGTTCTGACCAAGCTCAAACACAGTAACTCTGTCCTGCCCCCTGTCTCGCCTAAGCAAGGAAAAGTACCGCGCGTCAGGAGCCATGGCCAGGCTCCGGCTGTCCGAAAATTTCACATGTGGTATGTCTTCTCGCTGTGGTTTCGTCATGCTCAGTATTGCAGCATTGGTTCCCGCTTCGAAGAACACAAGTGCGTGTCGGTGGTTGAAGACAAATTCGGCGAGGGTGAGCCTGCCAAAGTGCTTCCCCAGCTTGTAGTCGGTAAGTATATTCGATCGGGTCGAGGGCTCGTCCTCGAGACTACGCATGACTCTCGGGGATCGCAGCTCTGCGCTCAAGGCAATGAGACGGTCACCATCTGAGAGCAAGAGCCACGTTCGGCTCAACTCAGACTCGGACGTCGTATTCGAAAGGGCTTCTCCCTCCTTCCCCGACACCCACATAGTTTCTGGGGACCAGCGGATTATGGCGCATTCCCTGAGAAATGTCCGTGCAGACTGAGGAACTTTGATGCCCGTGATGGCCTTGCGGTCCTTTGTTGCCGCAGCAAGATCAACCAGATGGATCTTCTGATCCGTTGAGATGGCGGCCAGGAGCCGTCCATCAGGGGAGAGGACCGACCTCTGTAGAGCTGTCCTCCACACCACAGATTAACATGGTGTTGCGTCAAGGAAAGGGGAACAAATAGGGGGCGTTGCTCATTGCGAATGACGTTTTTGAGAACTCACATTGTCCGACAAAGGCGGTGTTTTCTTCCATGATGGCAAGTACCGTGTCCTTGAATAACCACGGACGGCATGAGCCCTTCTAGAAGGGAGTATTGATATATATCATAACGTTGATGCTGTTCAAGTTGACATTTTGTCGAACGTCAACTTTGACAAAAGACGACGCGTTAATATCGCGGCTTGAGGCGAGAGTGAGACGCGCTTGAGGCGGGAGTCCCCGTGACTGTGAAGACACTAGATGTTGGCTTATTGAAGAATTCGACAATTCTTTAACTGTTCTATTCACATGCCCACCTTGAGAGGCGACTTGACGAATTGAACTACAATGCCAGTAAAGGTGAGTATGCTGAACCCGTCGTGGCTAGATGATTCCCTTCAACCCTGTAGGTGACCAAATGGCCTGAAAAGCAAGTAACCCTTTGCCATGTACTTACCAAACCATGACACGCTGTGAAGCTTTTTCAAAGAATAGACACCTAATTTCAGTTTTGTCTGGCAATGGCAGTTCATTTGATGCCATTCCCTCTTTCTACCGATGCCGGGTTGCTAATGGGGCCAACCATCTAGAACGATTCTTATATCGTTGTCTATTCATCTTCTCAGAAGCCATTTTCGATCTGCCCAGCCATTTGCGCCGGACTCTCAAGCCCATCAGCAGGCTTATCTAGGTTCTGCCCGCATTGAACCTTCCAGTTCTTGGGGGTGTAGCTGTCGCAGACGCGTTTGAATGCCTCAAATGTACACAGAGTGTCGTCACCCTGGTAATTGTTGCCCTCTTTCGCGCATGCAGGTACCCTCATCACTTTGTCATTGTACCTGACGCGCACATAATATCCGTCGAGGCGCTCCTTTTGCTTTTCCGATAGCTCACTCCAGGCCGACCTGGCGACCAGATCTTTCGGGGGGATGCTTGTCGCAATACCAGAACCACGGCTGAGTTTTGGTGTCGAGAGTGGACTGCTTGACCCGCTGTTAGATGAAGACTGTGTTTCCGAACCTCTCAACCCCAAGAAACTAGCAAAGAGACCCGGTTTCGTGTCCTGGGCTTTTGGCTCGGTGCTCGTCGGCGTCGTTGGTGTCAAGAACTCTGTGTCTTTTCCAGAGTCATCACTGTCCTCATCGTTGCGAGCTCGAAATAGTTCGAAAGCAATGTGACTCGTATAAGGCGGCCACTTTTCGCCATTGAAGGCGCCTAGGCTGGTCAAGACTCCGGCGAGGGTAGTATCATGGCATCCACTCATCGCGAATCGAATGCCCATTTCTCCTCCTCTGCCCTTTCCTAGCCTTCCGTTCTCCCCCCCGATTTCGTTGATACTCAATCCTGCTCCTTCAACTTTACTCGTCATCCTTTCCACGATATCCCCCATCAAGCTTCCAATTCCGAGCGTGCGGTACTCCCTATTCTCGTTGTACCCGGCAAACCACTCTTCCACACCGATCTTGTCGATGATGTCTCTAGCTTTCGCGTCGTAGAACTCTTTCGGCAGTCTCGTCTCACGCCCGTGGGCCAAGGTACTGTTGATTGTGTCCATTATACCCGACAATCTAGGATGTGAATCCACGGCGACGTTGGGACTGCTTTCTGGCATCCATTTGCCCATCAGTTTCGTGAGATATCTCATATCGTCCGTTTCGTTCCAGCGGTCTGCTGCTCGTTGGGCAAAGGCCCGTGACAGCTGCGCAAAGCGCCTACAATTGCTGTCGTTCGGGAAGAGGGTTTCGTCGGCGGGAGTACGTGTGACAATCGTAGGTGCAGGGAACGATGCGGTTCGTGCGGTGAGCGGATACATGCCCCAGAAAGTCTGCTGGACAGACTCGAGGGCTCGCGGGAGAGGAGTCGCACGCAGGTAGATCAGATCGGCATTGGCGATGAGTTTCGGCATAAAGTGAAGCTGATCTACGTAGAGATGCCGTAGGCGGCGGCCGAGTTCGTAGGTCGTCTGTCGCCCTTTGTCGGTGAGCTCACCAAATTGACTGAACCACGCCGTCGAGTCAGTCAAAATCGCCTTGTGCCAACCCCAAGTAGCAACACGTACCAGATACCATCCACCTCCCCAGCTGGCCCAGCAGCGATGAGCGGTCCGTCGTCGTTACCGAATGTCTCGAGTCGCCTCCGCCACTGTAGACTATCCCATTGAGACACATCGTTGGTGGTCATGGTGACCGAGCGCAGGCGTTGGGCTGCATTGCAGTACGGCCAGTAGGCGGGGAGGCCTGCCTGGAATGGATCATGAGCTGAAGGCTTAGATACATGTCTACTGAAGATATAGAAACTTACATTGCCGAAACGAGCTGATACAGGCGCACGCTCACCATGGCGAAGGAGAACCTGGACAAGTCGCAGCTCAAGGCCTTTAGGGTAGAGCTTGTTGAGCTCTTCCTGCGAATACGGTGTGCGGGGTGTAAGGGTCGTCATGTTCGAGTCTCGAGTTCATTTCTTAGTCCAGTGTTGGTCCCAGGTTCGTCTATAACATGGAAGCTGGACGAGTGTCTAGTTTGTGAACCCTTTAAGAAGTTCTCACCAGGCGAAAGTCATTCGAGACAAGGGGGAAATGTGTCACCGACACGATGACTATCGAGGTCCTGGGTCTAGTTTTCTAGAACCGGGCTGGTCGCCCCGCTAAATATCTTCAAATCATAGTAGAACGTTGACCAGGGGCCGTGCGGATGGATGAAACCACGGGGACCATGCCAAATCTCGACATCGAAGCGCCTGCCTTGAATACAGCAAATACTATAGTACTCCGTATAGTTGATTCATTTCAGCCTGACATGAGCTCGCACCGAATACAGGAGGGTATCTAACAAACAATTTCCAAGGCTTGCATCGGCTTATCAAATCCGCATATCATTCATTCGTCGTCCAACCGTCTCTGGTTCGTCTACTGGACTCACAGGGTTACTTCCATGCGCTCCATTGGTCTTTGTCGGACCCCCAGCACTATGAGGGGGGGAACCACCATGCATGGTAAGATGTGCCGCTGAAGAGTCCTGCCTAGCCATGTAACTCTGTGTTGGCTCGTAATCTATATTGTATGGCCCGGGTCTTGGTTGCGCGCTCGAGGACTCGTTCGAAAATTGATTTCCGGGTGCTTGTTGCGGCAGAGTTGACGGCGAATCTTCACTGAAATCGATCAAGCCGCCACTGGACTGCTTCTGAGCCCCCGGCTGTTCGTCTGCGTCGTCTGTAAATGGATTCTCGGGTACGCCGTAGGCATATGATTGTGATTGTGGGCGCATCCGTTGTGGAATTGGAGGAGCTTGCTCGGGAGCAGAGTATGCATCAGCATAGTCATGCTCAGTCGCCTGAGGTTGAGCTCTGACTGCACCACGGGCTCCAGGAGGAGGTCCTGGAGGTGGCTCAAATTGCTCCGGTGTTTCTTCCCGAGGCGGACTCACTGGACTTGGGATAGAATTCTGACGGCGAGGCGGGGATGTGGGGTATGGCCTATTATCATGTAAGGGGCCACTGCTGTAGACGTTTTGGCCTAGGCTGTGCTGTGGCATTGCTGCAAAATTCTGCGGGGGCGGAGTCTCAGCATGAGGACTAGGCGTTGCGAGGCCACTCGACTTTCGTGCTTGGAGCATGGCCCTCTGGTATTTAGACATGGCTATGTTGAGCTGATCATTCGTCTCTATCAGCGTGAGCATTGTATCTGGATCGGGTGCCGGGTTTTGACAATTCATGATATTCTGAATGCTCTTCTGGGCATTCCTCGCTCGACCTCCGAATTCCGTGACCAGATCGTTTGCGAGTAGCTCGGATTGCGGTGTTGATTGAACGGTCTGAACCAGTAGTCGAGCAGTCGTCTTCGCCTCTTCAATGCGTGCCGCCAGCTCTTCGGGGGGAGGAAGGAGGTTTTCACGTCCGTAACGATTGCCATGCTGTTGGTATTGGTATTGCCCTGCGGGTGGTGGAGGAGGTACACGGTAATTCTGTTGGTGATCAGCGAGGTGATCGGTGCCAACGGCTTCCATAGAAGCCCAACCTACCGAAGGACGAAGGGTATTCCGCTTTCCCTTTTCTTTCCTCCACATTTCCATCAAAGGACCGAGTGTATCATTTCCAGGTGCCTTCTCAAACTCGAAGTAGTCAAGTGTCTCCCTCAAAATCTGTTGTACACTCTTGTCTCTGCCATCTCGGAGCAGCTCTTTTATGGTCTGTACAAATTTTGTGTCAAAATTCTGCGTGAAGACGAGGCCAGGGTTGTCGGTAAGGATACGGGCCAGCATAACCGCATTATATTGTGCGTAGCCCCGGGTGTAATTCTCCTTGGAGAGGAATCGTCGGATGGTAGCAGCGGCCTCTTTGGCGGCGGTAGGACTGGATTCTGCGGCATCGACAATGGCCGGCAGATGGAGATACTCGTCGCCTGCGCCTTGAGAGTTGGGTGCGCCAGATTCGCAGAAGGCGGTCTGGGATTGTCAGCCTGATTGAGCGCAGAATAGACACTGGTGAATCTACCATTTCACGAACAACCACTGCTTCCGGCGAGTCACCTTGTGGAAGCACCATTGGTGAACTGCCATTTCGTTCTGGACCTACGTCTTCCAAGTCAGACCATTATCAGCGCCCAAAGGAATTCAGTAGACACGTACTGTCACTTTTCTTTTTGATGTTGCCCAGCAACTTCTTCATCTTGACAGCCTAGTGTTTGTGCAGACTGCAGGTGATGCCGCTGGTTATGCAGGAGAGGAGGAAGAAGGCCGGCCGCGATGAAGCTAGACGCAAGATACAGTCGCTACGTTTAGGAAACAGTGAGGTAAGGCGGACAACTCGATCTGGCGCCGCAGTGACTGTGGATATAAGGTGTCGGTGCTGGAGATGGAGCTGGAGATGAAGATCACCCGCAGGCACAGCCGCAGTCTTCCAGGGTTTCAGATCCCGAGGTCCCAGGGTCGCTTAGCGGTGATATCGGCGTCCGTTGGCGTGAAAATGGTAAACGCAGGGATGGGTGATGAAACGAAAAATGAAGACCCGCGACCAACTTGCAAAACTGAATTCAACCGCGAACAGTGCACTCTTAAAGTGTCTTTTCCACCCCGAAGAGGCGAAAAAAGCCGCGTCAATGCATTGGGTAGCGATGAAGTCGACGATGGTCAGCCGCGCACCCTTCGCCTTGGCCATCGAGACTCTTCGTCAGCACCGGGTCCAAGATCTGATGGGTTGCGCAAACAGCCACTGTGCGTTTTTAGCGAGACTTTATGCGTAGTCGTCATCTGCCCAGCCAGATGCACAAAGCTCTTGTGTCATTTCTCACCACGTGCTGGACAGATGACAATGCTGCGAGATACTTTATCGTGCGAGGACAACTACTTCGTGCCAGCATGGGTTCCACCCAATCTATCTCGACTACGAGTACGTAGACACTTCCTCGTCCTGCTGACGAGATCCGATGCTGCTCGCTACAGGGTAGATCCGTCCGAACCATGCAAGTCAAAATTTCATATCCAAGATGCCATGAATTCAAGTCTATCTATGTGACTAGTTCTTCGATTTACCAAGTAAAACTCTCCTCGTTCATATCCAACGCAGCCAGATGTATCCTGCTCCGAACTGCCGCTCTCACCTCATCAGCCAAAGCTCCTGGCCCACAGACACTGACCATTGTAGTCCCAACCCGGATCGGTAACACTTCGTCGAGGATCGACCCCGGATCAACTCGTCCTTTCACCACCTGCATTGTAGGCTTGCTTTTGTTTTGATTGATGGGTTGCGTTGGCTTGCTGACGTGCACAATAATTCTGAGAACTTCTCGGCGACCTTCCATATGCAGAATCTCATTCATCCATGGTTTTACCCATTCCATTTGGTGAGTGTCTCGAATAGACCAGACCAAAACCATTTTTCGTGTTGCTACCGTTTGTGACCGTGCACCTGCCAGCAGGTGGCGAATCTGGATAAGGTGGTGCGTAATACCAGCACCGCCCGCAAACATGACAACCGTACCATAGCTTTCGAGAGAATCATGTCCAGCGTAAGGCCCTTCCAGGAATCCCTTCAACTGTAACTTGCGATTCGGCTGTGCTCGAGCTGCTTCGAAGAGATTTCTGGTCATACCACTCCGTGCTGCCATGACAAGGGAAACACTCGTTGGCGCAACTGAGTGCGTGGATACACCGGAAATTGACTGCCTCTCGAGTGAGTCGGGAGTCTTTGGGAGGCCGAGCCGGTAGTTCATGATCTCGGGTTCTGATTCGACATTAGTCCAAGCCACGGAGAAAGGGTGTGACATCCAAAGTGAGATTGATGGAAGATATGCATACACATGACTTCCCGGTCGAATGGTGATATGGCGCGGCAGTTGAAATGTCACTCGGCATGCTTCACCTGGTAAAGCCTCCACAAGTGCTGCGGTGACACCTCCGCGGCGAGAGAAATTGAGGTACAACAGCCGGCCAAAACGCCATGTATGCTCAAACACCAACAACACCACCGCCGTAAGTATCGAGGGGTACGCAGGTAGTTTGGCTACATCCAGGTGTACATAGATTCCGAGCAGAGCCAGAAAGGCACAGGCCTGGTGTATGTGCAAGAAGGTTTCATAGAAGGCATGTCGAAGCACTGAGAATGAATGAAATGCCATGACCAGCATTGAAAGCAGGCCGAGAAGTCCATAGAGAAGGAAGGGATTGTGGTCGAATACTTTTGGTGTTGCTCGAGTTCCTTCGGCTTGGATGTAGGCCGCCATCCATGCGAAGAAGTGTACGCTGGCTTCCACAACAACAATTCTCCCAATCCACCGATGGAAAAGATTGAAAGTATCGAAACTGACTCGCAATGCTCGAATAGCAACATTGTTCCTTGAGGCCAAGACTACCAGAGGGATGAGGTTGACGGTTGCGAGGACACCACTGCGACCACGGAGCTCGGCCATCACTGCACCCTTCTGTGGGGGATTGTAATCCAACATCAAACAATAGACCACATTCGAGGCCCCATAGAGGAGTAACAGGAGAGAATGGATGCGTCCAGGAAGGGTTCCGTAATTGTGGGCGCTCGACATCTGGAATTCTCGGTTGTGTCGCTTTTTCCAGAGAGGTGCATAAACAATATGCTTTTTCAGCCAAGGCCAGATGACACCATGGTCGACTGCGTAGTATCGTTGTTGTTCAGGATTTGCCGTCATGCAAAAGATGTTGCGGATGTACGACACAAATAACTGTGCAAGTCGGAGAATGAAGACAGTGCCTACTGCAATGCATATAGACAGCCACAGCATCTTGACCAATTGACTATCCAACACTAAGTTGACCCCATGAAGTCCAGTGTAGAAAGGCGGCGTTCTCGGTGGGTTGATGACGGTGAGATTGTGGAACGTTCCGTTCATCGTCGGCTGAAGGGTGATATTGGACGGCCTGAAGATGCCACCTTGTAAACGTCTTGCAATTCCACCATGGGGCTTGCGAATGGGCTCAGACAAAGCCGAACTCATGTTCTGAAATACTTCATGGATCGTGTCCAGCACGACTGAGGCCATGGAAACCATTTTTCTCGTCTCAGTATCGAACTTCTGTCTTCGAATTGCTGTTCGAGTACGCTCACAGGGGATACCTGCATGTCAAGGAATTTCTTTTAGGTTGTAAGTGTAGATTTTCGAACACTTTGTTCCTGTTAGAATAGTCCTAGACAAAGAGTGCTTTGTCTAATTGATCCTGAGAAACAAGGATCTTGAATAAAGGAATGTCTCCTATGCCAAAAAGGAAAATCTGTGATACTAATCTTGTACAGAGGCAAAGAAGGGTGGGATAGATCAAACAGATCAAGAGTCGAGACAACGTCCAGTTGTCCGAGCCCGTCATTGCTCAATAACTGACCGTTAGTAGCTTCAGCCATCATGCTGTCAATAAACAGGTCAATAACTTAGATAGAAGTCTGTTGAGAAAATGAATAACAACTCGTGGTGATGGAGACACGTGAGTGGTGTTGAGGAATTATCCTCAATAAGCTCTTATTCACTTATTGACAGCGGAGTGTTCAAGCACATGCCGGCAACGCGGTGTAGATTGCGTTCTGTTTCGTCCATGGAAGTTCTGCTGGCCTTCCCATCATCTCGGAGACTGCATACGGTTGTTCATCAATTTTCGTAAAAATACCGTTCTTCTTAAGGCTGACCTTGCACACATGGCTCATTGGGCCCATTGAAGAGTTGGACAGGCACCGAGGAAGTCATCATGAGCCCAATTATTTGAAAAGGTCTGATCATTGTCAAACAAGGTGGACTGTCCGGCCACAAAGACGAATGTGCTGCCAGTCTGTGTCCCACCATGTTGCAAAATCCATCTTCAAGTAGAAATGGAATTGTCTAAAAAAGTGTTCACGCCCGAGCAAGCAGATAAGTTGACTCGATTTCAAATGACACATGTCCGCCTATATTGATGTCTTTTGATTTTCTGCAATAGATTCTCATGCCTGCAGCATCTCTCAATATGTTCTAGGTAGATAATTCAACTCGCTCCCGAGAAGCCTATGTCCTCATAAGCACTCCTGATATATTCATCTCAAGGATGAGCCTTTTATCGACCCATCCAGCCTCCATCTATGGTCAGCACCTCCCCACTTACGTACGAGCTTGCATCACCGGCCAAAAACACGACTGCGCCCTTGAAGTCTTCTGGCTTTCCCCATCTGCCGGCCGGTATCCTCTCCAGGATTTGTCTCGCTCTCGTCTCGTCTGCGATCAAAGCTTCGTTCATATCTGTAGATATATATCCAGGCGCCACAGCATTGACCTTGATGCCTTTCGCAGCCCACTCATTGCTGAGGGCCTTGGTGAGTTGCGCCACGCCACCCTTCGATGCAGCATAGGCTGGAACCGTTATGCCGCCTTGGAAGGTCAGAAGAGAAGCCACATTTATGATACTTCCTCTGGAACCCGATGTTGGTGCTGGTTTGGACAAGAGATATGCTCCAAAATCACGGCATAGCGTGAAGACCGTGGTCAAATTGACCTGCAATACTGCATCCCAATCCTCCAAGGGGAATTGGTGTGCCGGGTGTCTCTTCTGAATACCCGCGCATGTTAGCAGTATATGCATGTCGTGTCCTGCGTCAACAAGACCTGGAATGATCTTGGACACCGACGACTGATCAGACAGGTTTGCTGTGACTATCGTGGCTTTCCTTCCGAGTTCCTGGATAGACTGACACGTCTTTTTATTATTTTCGTCCCTCTATCAACTACTGTTAGTCTATCTCGTGTTCTCTGACCGCTTGCGTTCGTGAGTGCTCCCATAATGTTGCACTCACTTGAACGAGAATGATATCTGCACCCGCCTCGGCCAGCGCCAGCGCCATAGCCGCTCCAATGCCTCTTGTGCCACCTGATTGTTCGTGAGCAACATACCTGCAGTAGCTAGCCTGGTTACGAGACTCACCTGTAACAACCGCTGTCTTTCCTGCAAGCGAAAACATCTTCGTCAAGGCATCCATGGTCGGCAGACCAGTTGAGATTTTATATATATATATATATAAGTGGAATGGAAAGCTTCGTCATGGGCAGGAAAGACCTTGGGACGTCTTGTGTGATATAGAAGTCGACAGTCGACCTGCACCATGCTATTCCAGAGCCTCGAGGTGGATCTTCGCGGCGAAGAAGCCGATGCTGCGTGGTACAGTTTCGGCTACTGACATCGATTGCCGACATGAGGGGCAGTCAGCCTCGTTGATCAACACACTCGACGAGAATCTACGTCTATTCTGGCCAGCAATGTGCCTATCTCAGAGATAAAATACCTTTCGTCGCATGTGCTGGTTCCTGGCATCATAATCCCACTGTCCCCGACTGACATACACGCTCTGCCCATTCCCACCTAGAGACTGTCGTAAAGCAAGGTGAAGGCCTACTCGATGGGGAACCAATGGCTTTGAAAAACAACATTATCAGCTCAATATTGCCTTCAACGTGGCTTCTGGAGCTGAAGGGCGCATTCGGCTGGCTGATATCATATTCGAATGAGCTGTCTGCAAGGGTCACACAGGATGAGATTTCAGCTCGGCTAGTGTCCGCCATACCCTGCGCCTTATACGAGGGCTGGTACGGCTGACGAGGCCATTACATTCATAAAACGACGACAATATCCAGAAGCCAGCTCGCAAGCTTGGGCTATTCCCCATCAGCCTGACGATTTCCAACACCCAACAATCGATACTGGCAAAATGGTAAAGCAGTGCTCTCGAATCCGTCAACCAAGGTCCAGTCTAACTTGGGCAGTCTTCTTCGACGATATATCTCATTCGTCACGGTGAAAAACCACCTAAGCTTCCCAACGGCGAAGACCCAGACGGTCTATCTACCCTCGGTCTTGATCGTGCTCAGGCACTTGTCAAGGTATTCTCCGCAGAGAGTAAATACAACATTAGTTTCATCATCGCACAGCATCCCAAGGATGGTAAGCTCACAGATAGCGCTCTGTGTGATGCGCATTGATGCCTGGTAGATGGTGGTCAAGACAGACCGTACCTTACTGTTCGCCCACTCGCCGAGTCACTCAAACCAGATGTTAACTTCAACCACAAAATTCACCGCGACGATGCAGACAAAGTAGCCCAAGCAGCATTAGGATATAAAGGAGCAGGCAACATCTTGATATGCTGGGAGCATCACCATCTCAAGGATATAGCAAGCGCAATTGGCGTCTCAGATGCGCCAAATTACCCTGATGATCGGTCAGTATCACGGCATGCTCAGCCTCGTCTGCGTTGCTAAGACAATTAAGGTACGATGTCATTTGGACGATTGAGCCTCCCTACGACAAAATCTCAAGTGTGACATCGGAGCACTGTCCGGGTCTAGATGATCAGTTTGCACCCGAACCATGAGTAAGCGCTAGTCAGAAACTGCTCGTGTTCGATATTGCGAGTACTGTGGCTATATCGTAGGTGAAAATATGGGCTGTTCTGGTGTAGTTGGAACTTGGTACTCTTTTGGGAAAATTGGAATCGTTTTCGTAAAGCAAAGTTGTAAAGAGGTCCATATTTTATTGCAGATCGAGAATTTATGCTGCATGGAATCTTGATCTAGAATCCAGGTGGCATGTCCACTTCTGGTCGTCGTCGATAGTTGAGAGGAGACAATGGAGTATATACTGTGCGTGTAGTTTGTGCGATGGTCTGCTAGATAGAGTAGACTAGTTTACTAGGTACCAAACTAAGGCAAGGCCCGGAGTTAGGGGTCCATTTAGGGAGTCACTTCCCCATGTCCACAAGCCTAGAATCTCGCCCAGACCATTACGAGCTCTCCGTACTCCGTATTGCTCGCCAACATGCGCTTACGAACCCCCGCTCAACTTCGCACAAAACTTCCAGTGTTGAAATCGATGGTCAAAAGATAACAGTGAAGCTGGCAAAAGTCACACTCATTTGCAATCGATTGCTCACCTACGAAAACCTTGTTCTGCCATCAGTTAGCAGGTCTGCGTCTTGCGTCAGCCAAGGGTGACCGATTCCTCAATGCGACTCGGATCAACATTTCCTCCTTGTCTATACATTGCGGTCTAGCCAGCAACGTTTGGGACTGGGTGCCCAGAGAGCCATGTTGTCACACAAAGGTCGCAACGTGATCATCTCTTGTAAAGCATGAGCCTCAGCAACATTCCGACTTCCCAGCTCCCGACACGACAAGCGAGCTCAGGTAGCCTCCTCCCTCCACCTCGTCAGATTCGCTTTGTGTCCACCGATGGACAACCCCACACGAAAAGAAGACGCATCAATGCTGCGTGCTTGACATGTCGCAGAAGGAAAACTCGGTGTTCGGGAGAGCGGCCGCAGTGTAAGACATGCACTGAAAACGGGCACGCTTGCTCAGGCTATATAGATCGTGCAGGGCAGGCAGATGGTGAGAAGACCGATCATGATGGGGAAGAGGAGGCTCCCGTCGCCAATACCGCTATTCAGAACCTGTCAGAAGATGTGGAAACTCCGATATATCAAAGAAGCAGTCTGGGCGGCCAGGGTGACCCTCAGCCTCAGAGTTCCACGACCATGACGGGATTGCAGGCGGACAATGGCGAGGTAAAGAGCCCTGGTAGCAGTCATACAGGCAACAGTGTCTCATCGTCCAGGAACCGAGTGCCGTACTTTCGCTATTTCGGTCCTACTGCGATCGTCCCCGGTTTCAAGCAGATGGTGGTCCAGGTCAAAGATCACAGGCAGGGACCCCAGTCAAACTCGGTCGACTCTCCCTCGTCTGGACAACGGCTCGACTCAACGCCTGTACTTGTCCGAGAAACCGCCCCGATTGACATACCCTTCTACGATGCCACCGATCCCGAACCGAATGCTCCCTTGATTACTCACCTGTGCGAGACTTTCTTCATCTATTTGGGGTGTAACTTTCCATTTCTGCAACGTGAGAGGTTTCTGAAGGACTTGGAAGACAAAAAAGTAGATGCAATTCTTGTGGACGCTGTCTGTGCTGTTGCAGCTCGGTTCTCATCCGACACCTTGCTTTGCCAGTCAAACGACCCGTCCATTCCCCTGGACAGCGAAAATAATGTTCGAAGGCCATTCCGTGGTCTTCCCTTCGGTCAGCGAGCCATAGCTGCAGTTATCGACACATTCTCATGTCCCACTATGGCTGTCACTCAAGCTTGTTTATTGTTGGCTTACGAAGAGTTTGGATTAGATCACGACAGCGGCCTATGGATGTACTTGGGCACTGCAATACGAATGGCACAGGATCTTGGTATTCAGAAGCTCGACGGTCTGCAACTCGAGGGTCGCATAGGGCCTACACCAAGTACTGCAAAACATGGCCAAGAAGGCAAGGCCGAGGAGCAAGGACGATTCGAGCAACAGCAGGCGCTCCTACGCGATCTGGGTCAGCAAGATCCTGTACAGATGCAAGACAGAAAAGCCAATGAGCAAGAACGCATTGACACCTTCTGGGCCATCTTCTTCCTCGATCGAGCAATCTCCTCCGGTGTTGGTCGTCCAGTATCATGGCGGGACAAGGATATTGAGATATCATTCCCCCATCGTCCTGATGAAGCGATAATTGATGGTCATCCCGACCCTTTTCCGCCGATGATCAAGATTGTACACATGTACGGAAGGGTAGCAGATGTACTAAACAGTATAAAAGAAGTGAGCCAGGTAACCCCAGCAGTACTGAAGCGATTGGCCAGCATGGAAAAAGATCTCACAGGTAAGTGGCACGGATTTTCTGATACGGCTTTGAACTCACCCAGACCAGGCATATATCAACGTCTTTCTCCTAAACTACATTTCAATGCGACGAATTTCCAGCATTATGTCAAATCAGGTCATGGCACCAATTTTGTCTTGCTCCATTTCTGGTTCCATACCTTGATTGTCCTGGTTCATCAGCCAACACTTTTGCATTCTTTCGAAGGTCGGATTCAGCAGCTTTTTCCAGACAGCAGGGAACTGTCAATGTCTTCAGCCAAAACTATCGCAGACATTATCGCATTTGCGGAGCTCATTGATGTGAGGAGTTTTGCAGGCAATCCTTTCACAAGTCAACCCATGTGTAGGTCTTCCCAGGAGCCTATGGCTTTCATGTCTTCCTCTGTTTGCTTATGATACTAGACGTAGCTGCATGTGCTTTTCTCGCAGAAGCTACCGCCCATACCTCGCAACCGCCCTCTCGTACAGGGTCACCACCTTCAAGTTCCCATGCATCACGGGTCAAGCAAGAAGTGAACTCTCAAAAAAACACCTCGGAACAAAAGGCCGCTTCTGCTCGGCATACACTGCTCGCAACGGCAGCCAACCAGAATTATCAACGCTGTTACAAAGGCCTCAAGACTTTAGATTCTTACTGGGCCGGTTCCCGGTATATCCTGACTGCACTTGACGGAAAGTCAAAGGGTCTAATGAGTCCTCTACTGTTCACGGCAGAAGATGTTGATGGCGATATGCCCTCGACTGAAATATCATTTACCACGCCTGGGTGGCGGAGAACGAATTCATTAACCTCCTCATTGGGAGCGTATCGTACTGCTCTGCGCAAGCATATGGCTCTCTCCCCGACAATGGATCTCAATCAAGTGATTGGGTGGTCATTAACAGGCACTGCGAATTCACCAGCACCGAGTTTTAGCTTTCTGTATCCCAATATGGGTGGTGAGAATGGTCAGGGGGCTGTCTCGGCTAATAATATGGGGGCCAGAGCAAATGTTATTGCTCGTCATCAGCAGTATGCACATCAACAAAACGCTCAGAATCGAGGTCAATCATCCTTGAACATACAAACATCGCCAAATGCTCACCGCACATTTCCGACTATGGAACAATCGACGGCAACCGCAAGTAACAGGACTGCATCGTTACCTTATGACCCTGTCTCAACCGCCGAGGCCGACCTTTTACTCGGCCTACTAAGCCCTTATGCTGGCGAAGCATCGAACGGCCCTATTCCTGGGTCCGGGCCAAGGTCAAACAACGCCTTGGGTTCGCAAAGGCCACCAGTAACATCTGCCAACCTTGAACAACAACAACAAAATTTCGATGGCTATAATCAAGATTTCAACAACATGTTTGTCGCGTCACAAGATGTTGATATGAATGGAGATGCACTCGACTTTGATTTTTCCAGCAGTGATATGATTCCGTGGTTGGAATATTTACCACAGGATGTACTGAATTACTTTGGCGATGGACAAGTTGAGCCGGAAGAATTCCCTAAGATGAAGTGACGACTTAGTAGTATGTGAAGGAAACGACCATGAATGACTGGAGTTGTAAGCCACTTGTCTGGCATGAGCCTTTTGGTAAAAAGACAGCCATGAAGTAATACAGACAGTAAATACAATACTATATCAATATATATACATAATACAGCCCGTGTGTAATGTACAGTGCACCTACTCCCACTTCAGAGATGTCAATCATTTGTGACTTTTCCGTACCACGTTTGGTAACAAGGCGCATACGGAGAACCGTGGTTTTCGAAGGGAGGGCTGAATCCGAGGGAGGTACTTCAGATCGATCCAAAATCTAAAAGGCGAGGCTCAAGCCTGTCAGGAGACCCATGGCCCCTTCGAAGAGGGCGACATTCTTCCAGGCCCCTCCGTTCGTCCAGAAAAATACCGTCACCGCCACACCTCTCCCAAAAACGCTCAACAACATTGCGTCCCGGTTGCGTTGGTAGACGGATTGTAAATACATGCTCCCGATGGTCAAAGATGTCATGCTGAGTTTCCAGAATGTTAGTCGTGGTTAAAATTCCGTACTCGGTCAATCCGACAAAGTCGAGGTACTTTTTGTGGAGGTGCATACCTAAACGCCCTGATAACCGGAACAGGGGTGTTGTAAAACACTCCGGCAGGATCCAAAGAAGGTTGAAATGGGTTGAACAAGAGGTAAACACCGTTGCCCAACAAGAAAAGACCTTGAGCCGTCATGACCACGGAAGAGAATTTGTTGGTGGTGGAGGGAATGACTGTGGTGACCATGATGATATGTTGGTTGTCGTTTGCTTTGTAGGGTATGTCGGAAACTCAACGGATGAAGGTACTATTTGTTTAAACCAGGTCGTCGGTGGGTTTTCGTAATACTGTCGAAGTAGTTACAAAGTGTCGAATTTCTAAAATGAAAAAAAAAGTACGTCCAAAGGTACGGGGTACCACTGAAGAACTAACAAGGGAGGGGGGGTTCTGACTACTCAAACTTTGAATACTCGTCGTAATCCATACTAGATTCAGAAGAAAAAAACAAAACTACAGAAATACGAAAAAGCTCGGCTTTCTTTGCTCGTATTCTTTTTGTTTTCTCCTCTCTTTTTAATTACTTCCGAGTTCCACATTTTCGCATTCTTTCCCAGATCCGGAAAAAGTGAACGACCCTCCAGGGGAGCTTCGAGTCTGAAGGTCCAAATTCTTTAGACACCTGCAGAGTAGACACTTGATATCTAGAAAGGCAAGGGAAGGCAAGGTGGACCTTATATCTTGGTGGTGAGGGGAGAATCCGAGTGCGTATTGTACACTATTCGTGCTTGTAGCTTCAAGGTAAATCACCTCGAGAGGTTTCTGCGATTCCTGTTCAACCTTATTTTCACACCCATTGGCGATATCAACCACCAAACCCGTATATATCAATTCATACAACTGTCCATCATGTCGCTTGTTCATTGATCTGGAGTCCAACTCCAACCTCCATACTCTGTGAAAGGAAATGGAGTATCCAATCCCACCATCCCAGTCGACTCGAATTGAGGTAGGTTTGCAAAAAAAGGTGCCGAAAACTCATCCGAGTCGAATCCCGCCACGTACGAGCTGGGGAGATCACCTTGACCCGTAAAGGTACCACCCATAAAGCTGCCCTGATCTGTCATCGGGTTGAAGGTATTCATATCATAAACCGGGTCAAATGCAGGCGCGCTGAGTCCAGGTTGAGCCGGGTAATTCAAATCATCTAGACTTCGATTAATACCTCCGTCCAAAGGGTTCGACGTCGTTCCGGACTGCTCGGCGATCGTCGCCTGAACTGCATTTGCCGCTTCCCGAGCACGAGCATCCCGGATGTACTGCTCCGCCGAACTCACCGTCTCGCCGACAAGGGCCGCCACGAATTGGTAAAGCATTTCATCTTCCTTGGTGAATATGTTTCTCAGACGATCGTAAGAGTTGACCATGATGACAAGGTCAGATTCGGCCTTTTCACTCAGCGGACGCTGGAGAATATTCGTGAATAAAGTCAGAAATGCCGAAAGTGGAAAATAAGTCGAAATCCAGAGGAGTTTGTGCTGCATATGACTGCCATCGAGGTAGGCCGCTGCGAGATAGAGAATGGACCTTGCCGCCGCCAGACACAATTCATACGACGATTGCTGTTGTGACCTCGACTCCTCCCGGTCCGAGAACAGATAAGACTCGGGGGTGTTCTTATCGGTGCTTTCAACTTCTGCCTGTTGGGCAACCCATAGCTCGTGCTGTGCATGAATACGGTGAATGGCTATCAAGCAGTGGTAGTAGTTAAAATGGAGAATAGCAATGGCGAATTGACTGTCCCTTTCGCAGACAATAGGATGCTCGGGTCTGGCATCTACTGGTATCTGCTCTTTCCAATGTTGGAGCTCGGCGTCAAGTTTGCTTATTGACTCGAGCCTCTCGGCGGTCGTGCCGACTCGTGAATGGACAGCATACAGCTCTCGATAAACTTTGCTCTGGATTACAGCAATGGCGCACATGTGTTGAAATGGGTAGAAAGTGACTCGCTCGCGAGTCCCGACCGAGATAGCAATCTCCTCGTCGCAAGGCTCGGTCAGGATGCTGATGCCTACGTCACAGTCATCGATAGCAGAAGGTCTGCCAGTTCGGACGCAGAGGTCTTTTTCAAAGATATACATCACCCAAAAGACTCGCTGTCGCTGTTCCAATTCCACTTGCTCAAGGCCGAACCCTTCCAGCTTCCTATGGAGACCGAGAGACGTAGCAATACGAGCCGCAGTCCCGATTAACAAGAAAGAACCTTCAGGATTCACCGTGGCTTGCATAAAGAAGGCCTTCTAGAGTCAGTATAGGATACATACGACAGATGTGGGTGGCATTACCATTGCGATCAATGTTTGCACGGATAGAAGATCGAATTGGAGGAACAGTATGTTGAAAAACATCGAATACGCATTCTGAAAGAGCTTCCAGGACATCTGCGTCAGATTATCGGTGCACGAAGGCTCCACCCTCTGAATATTCTCTCGGAGTGATTCTGGTGCAATGCAGCACCCTACGGCAAGAACAATATTCAGAGCAGCAAAAGAGGATCCTTCCCGGGCGTTTTCATCCGCATATTGGCGGTCAAATAGGGCTTGAAAGGTATCCCGGCGAAAAAGGGGATAGCTTTTGTTGAAGGTTGAGAAGAATCCTATTGAATTCGCGTCAATGCCAGAGCGTTGTGTGTGTGAAGAAAGACCAACACATACGATCCACGAGGTACACAGCAGCCTGTTTTGATGGTAAAGGGGACCGCCTGAATTGTCCATCCCACTTCCCCTCGAACCGGGCTGTTGGCCAAATAAATCCTTGTCGATGCAAACGTGTGAATAGATTCAACATTCGTGGAGAACCTAGCTTATGGCTCATCTGCAACTTGGTCAGCCATAACATAAATATAGCAATTGAGTCGCATGAAAGCACCTCAATTATCTTAAACTTACCCAAGCTAGTGACCGCGGTGAGAACAAGCTGAACCCGGACGAAGGCCCTGATCATGATACGCATGAGAAGGCTTATCTCAACGTGAGAAAGTGTTGGCGACTTACCGATATACTTTTGCTCCCCAGCATCATTGAGAACCAGATTCGACATATCTTTCTCAAGGGCTGTGATGGTGGCTTCTGGCGTAGGATCCGCCTCTTGATCGGCAATTGGCAAGCCTGCCTTGGTTGCCAGACCAGACTGGAGAAGAGCCTCCATTCTCTCGATACGACCTTCGATAGAGTGAAGGAATTGGGCCCTTTCGAAGCTTAGAAATGTTCAAGGTGCCCTGGTGGCAAGCACGGCTCCTACCTCTTCTCTTTAGTCCTCCTGGGCACAGCTGTGACTACACATGCCAATCCACGAGCTCTGCAGCTCGAGCATGGTAGGTCATTTTGACGATCGCAACGTATCTAGGCATGGTGAGTAGATTTTCAAGGATTGCTGGAGCCGAGCATGATGGGCAGTCACTGAGTGGAATAGGTCAAGCTCCTTTGCCTCACCACCAGCGCAATTCACATTAGCGAGAATGGAAGGGCACCAGCAGTTCAACGATTGAGGGGAGGTTTTGAGAGATGCAGGCCTCGATGCTATCGCCATGCTTGACTCGAATCTAGAGACATCTAACTCACTTTCATCTTCCGGCACAGATCACAACTCTGTCGGCCTCGAGGCCTCTTTGACTCGCACCGAGGCCCCTCCATTGGTATAGTCTAGGCGAGTGGGAACGAACTCGAACTGTCTCCATACGCTCGGCCTTCGGGGTTGATGAAGATGCCGCAGTCCGGTACGAGGACAATGAGGCTAAGTCGCCTCTGAGAAATGGCCTGGAAGCTTGTTGAAACAAGCATCAGGCTAAAATAATCAAGAGATATGAGTTATGCGAATCGAGCGTATCGATTGCATACCGATAAAGTGTCTAAGAAGAGGTGTTGACTTCGACGGGCGCGCCTGTTGGTGCCTGGCTTCCAATATCGTGCAATGTGGCGCCAAGAAAAATATCTCTTTGTCTGACACGGTTATTCCTCGCGCTTTTCTGCGACTTGTACGTCATTTCAAGCGGAATGGGCGTAGCTTCACCATCGACTTCACCTACACGGCTAGATTGTGATGCCTGGTCTCGACGCCTCTCCATTCGGAGTGTGATGCAATATAGATGCTTCCACTCGCGGGCCTAGCTACAATTACAAAGGCGGAGTGTCTGCATAATATGCGCTTGTATCGGTACTCCTCTCGCCGCTTGGACCTCCCATGTTGTTGATGGCTTCTCTGATATGCTTGTTTTCCTCAGAGGAAATGGCAATCGCACCAGCCTTTACATTCTGCTCCAAGTACCTGATCGTCTTGGTACCTGGGATCGGAATGAAGTCTGGTCCTTGAGCCATGATCCAGGCAAGGACAAGCTCAGTGGTCGTACATCCTTTTTTAAGAGCCAAATCCTCGATAATCTTGACCAGATCCAGGTTCTTCGAGAAATTCTCGGCTTTGAATCGTGGGAGGTGACGACGGCCATCCTTTTCGTCCAAATCATCCACGGATCTCAATTTGCCAGTCAAAAACCCTCGACCCAAGGGTGAGTACGTGACGATCGCCACGCCAAGTTCTCGACAAGTACGCAGAAGATTGGTACCACTATCTCCCTCAATGTCCAGTGACCACGGATTATATTCGATCTGGACAGCAGATACCGGGTGCAGAGCATGTCCGCGTTGAAGAGTGTCCGACGAACACTCTGAAAATCCGATACGTTTGATTTTGCCCTCTCTTCGGTACACGCCACTCTGTAAGCATTATGCCAATCATGTATTCCTGCTCATCGAACTTACCTCTTCAACTCCATCAGCGCTTCCATCGTCTTCTCAACCGGCGTCACCTTATCGAACCGATGGACGTAAAAAAGGTCGATACAACCGATTCCCAACCTTTGCAGGCTCTGATCGCATGCGGCTTTACAATTTTCGGGTGAACTGTCCACGAACAGACTGATTTTCCCTTCTTCCTCTACTTTCCAGCCTAGGCCGAACTTGGTGGCGAGGAAGATATCCTGGCGGCGTTCTGGATGCATCGCAAACCATCTACCAAGAAAGACCTCATTGTCTCCGTAACCAGCTGCAGTATCCCAGAACGTTGCACCCAATTCCCAGGCTCGATCAAGAACTCTGTATCGTTCCTCATCTGGACTGGGGACGTGGTTAGCTGTTTACCGAAGACGTTTCCGGGGCTTGTTTGTCGAACTTACGGAGCTTGGCCATAGCCTGCGCTGAGGCCCATCAACCCCAACCCGGGAGCAGGTACCTGAGGACCATCTTTGCCCAGTTGACGGGTGGGCAACTGGTTCGGAGGAGCCATGCGAAAAGTATCGGATATCAGAATGAGACTTGAGTATTGATGGCGATGGCGAAATGATCTTATGGGTCAGGGGTCAAGACAGTAAGGAAGGCATTGCAATTTCGATCCCCTTGGTCAGTCCAGCATCTTTCGTTTCATTTTTATACCTGAATGTTTGGCCAGCGTTGGGTTGCAATGAGCGTTAGTGATTCGAGTCAATGCGCTCAAGTGATGTTGACAGTGACGAGTTTTACCGAAAGACCACTCTGCAGAACCCAGTCGATGCCATGCATCATGAACTCACATGGCCTTGATTGGTGATTGTCCAGTTTCTCTATGCAGGGTAAAGGATTCTCTTCGTCGTGCTCATCTCCAGTCTCATGCAAGGCTGGACTTACCGACGGATTTTAAACTGTCCAAGACCTTGTAAGACCGACACCCTGCATAGTACTAACTAATCCCACCGGAGGACAAGGCTGCCAAACCCGCACCGCACCAGCCAGATGTCGACCACGACATCATTTCGGAATTTATGCACGGTAATAATGCCCGTTAATGTCTGAGGCTTGCCATTGCGCATATGCTCGCGGTGGGCACATGATTTGGCATGACACGAACTTCACCCGCGTCGGTTGATGTGAAATAAGAAGCCCATGCTAATGATATTGTCCAAGCCTCCCTCGCAGCACAATCCCGTTTTAGGGATGCCAGGACGCCCTAAGTTGATGGTTGCATGCGTAACACTGTTCCTTGGCAGCGCATGCAACGGTCGAACTGATCCATATTCACCGCGATGCCGCTTTTGAGACGACATCGCTACTCACTGCTACGACTAATTACGCTGAAGGCATCTCTGTGTGTATTCTCCTCGGCTACCTATCTTATCACCATCTGGGCGCAGAGACACAAAACGATATTGATACGGGCTATCGATGTGTCGTTCCCCAGGTGCTCGATTCACCCTTGAAGTTCGGCGCTTTCCTGGCCTTTGACGCGTCGGTCGGCGGATAGTGCGTTGACGAGGTTGCCCTGTCCGGCGAGTTCCAATTCCCTCGGCACGCCTTCTTTGAGCTGCGAGCCTCGTCCGAATGAGTATAGTGGTTCGGCGTGCGGGTGCAAGTCTTCCGAGACCCTGGGCGGCGACGGTAGCGACGATGCCCACCTTCCTATTCTCCTTTGTCTTCTCCTCTTTCGCCATACGAGGCCAACGACGCCCACCGCCAATAGGAGGACGATCAAGGTTGCGCCGACGCCGATACCCGCTGCGGCTCCGGCGGCAAGTGAAGAAGAACCGGACGCGCCGTTGATTGAAGGGGTGGCTGAAGGGGTGGTTGAAGCGGCGGTGGTAGGAGATGAGGTCTTGGGGTACAGGTAAGCGACGACACCGGAGAAGATCAGGTCAGTGATGGCGGACTTACCGGCGTGGTATAGATGATTGCCAAGGCAAACAAGTGTTGTCCGGGCACGATGGTCGTCTTGGTCACGACTTGGGTTGACAGACTAAAATCGGTCGAGGTGAGTGATGAGGTCACGTCGGCCGTGAACATTGAGCCGCATCGAAACGTCTCTTCTCGGTACACGGTACTTGTAATGTAGGAGAATGGCTTGACTCTGCGACCACAAAAAACAAAGTCAGCTCACAAACGCGTTCCTCTTTGATGCTTGCAAAAGCAAAGGGTAAGATGTTCCTAACGTCGGACAACAGACGACGTCCGGGTCAAGGACCGTGGCCGACACTTGGGTAAATCCCGAAGGACATTGTGAACCGGCATACGTCGCGCTGGCGCCGTAGCCGGAAGGATAACAATCGGTGACCTGTGACGGGCCTCCAATGACCACCCATGCGTCGTTACCGTCGACGTCGTCGTAATTCCACACCCACCAATCGTCGGATTTGGTACAAGAAGATACGGTGGCGGTCCAGGAGGGTGTCAAGGTCAAAGCAGGAGTTGTTAATGACATGATGAGATTTATCCTGTCTGAGGGTTCAAATGGCAAGACCCGTCGGATGGGCAAGTAAAGTAGGTAAGGGGGTGACTCTCAAAGGATGACCAAGGCGATGGTAAAAGAGGTGGATCTGCACCATCAATATCGAAAACTCCTGCCCAAGGACATACTATTCGGTACGAGACTTGTAAAGTCATCACACGACGAACAAAAAAACATGACACAGAGGAAAAAGTTATATCGACATTCCTTTTGGCGAATTCCCACCTACAGAAAAGCTCTGGAGAATACAGTAAACTGGCTAGCAAGGGGACGAAACCACAGCACTCGTTCTAAATTACCTATATATAGGTTGTGTATCGCCAATCATAACCTACCCACCAAAGGTTCATTTAGAGTTGAACAAGGGGCTCAAGGTACTCGTACCCCGTACGAGTACGCGGCATCTTTCTTCAGCTGGAACATTCTGCAAATCTCTCCAAATATTCCTCTTTCTGTGTTAGGACGGAGTGCAAACAACTAAAATTTAGTTGGTACTCCTTCCTCGTACCGTAGTGCTTGTGGAGTACCAGCGAAGATCCCGCAAGAGGTTTGGGCGATCGGATGGCACGGCTGATCAACGCCTCGCTGGATATTCCGTCCTTTTGTATCCTACCTATACTGACACTGTGATCATACTGCCATCAGATATGCAAGCTCTTTTGAGCGATCCAGCTTTGATTATTATGGCAGTAGTCAACATTCGAATGATGGTTGGTTGATGAGGAAAGAGTAAAATACTTGGCCTCAACAAAGACTTTTGAAGTTGAGGTAAGTTCTGAGTATCGACAAGTCAGGTCTACCTAGGTAGGTAAGCTTGAGGTGTGAATAAAGCCCGGATCTTTGATCAGTCCAGAGTAGTGCCCCAGATTCCAGGGGAAGTTTTGGGCACTGACCATCAATACAGTACTCCATACCTGTACCTTCGCCATCTATGAGGTAGGATTAGAATCAAAGGTCTCGAACAGTATGATAAGATCGAAGTCGCCATCCGTTGTAACCGGGAGGAAGAGGGTGAGCAAGGGCGGCATCACCTTGTTTCCTGATCGGGGGTGGGACTCACGAGCACTTTAAACCATCCGAGTACGAGTACGAATACCTTGGCAAATTCCGGTCAGCCCATGTGAGTACCAGGCAGCGGTGATAACTCTTGCGCCATTCTCTGAAGAAGAATAAATGCTTTGTCTTTAGCGAATGAATTTAATCCGGTTCACAGTGGCCGGCACGCGGATATCGCGCACCACCTACACGTTATCCAGATACGGGGGTTCCCCCAAGACAAGAGCAATTCGACGACCCCGTAATCGCAATGCGCACGTAAACCGCACGCCCAGACGGAAGGGAAGAACACTTGGACACACTTTTGCTTACTTTGGGGTATCCTCGCCCATTTCTTCTACACAGCCTCCTTCAAGAGCGAGCGTTACCGAACCATGTCTTGTCCTGCCCACCCGGGTCGGACATATGATTTGGTCCGAGAGAGCTGCAGTAGCAAACTGCGAGATGCGAGCTGCGAGGGGAGGTTGCGTTCTTTTTGGTGCCCTCACTGGAGGAGTATTTGAGTACAAAGACGTATTGTACTATACGGAGAAATGCTCTACCAGAATTGGATATATAAAACGGATAGCAAGGTAATCTGGAATCCGGGGGTAGATGGTTTGTATGTGAGATGTTATTACAAGACACGATTCTCCTCTCTTTGTCCAGCAACCTCACTCGATCAATGTGATACTTCCTCCACTACTGAAACGAAAACCTCATCTGAAACCACAGATATGATGCTCATGCATACCTCACCCCGTCATCATTATCATGATGCACCCAAGCACTTCAACCCTGACGACAACAACAACAATAACGACGACGACGACGCCGCCGCCGTACAACTGACCTCCTCTCCTGTTGAGGAGGTCGTTTCTTTTACATATGAAGAGTTGAACAAGTGTGATGGTGAGCCAGAACCAGATCGGGTGACATGATATCGTTGCATCTGTCGAGGCAGGTGGAGGAAATGACTCTTGACTGATTCGGGTTTTTTTGTTTCGGCAACGGTCAGGTACCTACGACGACTCCAAACCCATTCTAGTTGCCATCAAAGGAACAGTATTTGATGTGTCACGAAACGTGGCGTATCGTCCTGGCGGAGCGTATCACGGTATGTGGTTCACTGCCCAAGTTACCCCTGACACCCTACCACTTACCAACACAAGACATTTATTTGGGGGGGAGGATCCATTGACGTCATTGTCTGCCTTGAAACCTTACCTGCCAATGCTAATAACGACATTGGAACAGTCTACGCTGGCAAAGACCCCTCTCGCGCTCTGGCCCTGTCCAGCAGGAACCCCGAGGACTGCGTGCCGCAATGGTTCGACCTCGAATACAAGTACAAGACCGTGCTGGATGAATGGTACGCGTACTTCCAGAAGCGGTACGACGTCGTCGGGACCGTCAAGTCGGAACTTTTCAGATTGGTACGAGACCGACAGTAGATCGTCGTCCTGAATGGCAGCACATCACGACACCGGGGCCACGAGGTGCCGTCGACCGAAAAGAACAGATTTGGCATGATGACAACAGTGGTTGATGCTGCCAAAGGACCATGTTGTTTCAAATTCTGATTTTGTACAATTATTATCGTTGTCTCTTTATCATTCAAGTTTCTACACTACGCCATGCTATTCTATTCCGTGCTTTGCCATGCTCGCGCCGTGCTATACGCTGTCTTGTGACCAATGCTTCTTTATTTACAAGCCGGACCGAAACAAAACCACCCAAATGCTGAAATCGAGACCAACTCAAAAGAACTCCAATGCCACTCGCTCTAATGCTAATCACCTTGTCATCACACACTCGTCATGGTCGTAAACAGACCGGAAGAAGCAGTATTTCATTTCGACACATTCCCGAATCATGAACTGAGTGATATAGGAATGAATCTCTTCTCCGTGCATCGATCCGTCAGAATAGTGTCAACTGCAGCTTCGGTGTCATCTCCCGGACGATGTGCGGCGATGTCAAGACCGGCGCCTCTCATGACGGCCAGTACGGCACGGACATTGAGATTCAGCGTCTCCTCCGGCTCTTGGGCCTTCATCAAGTACCGCGTCAACCGGGGGAACAGGACACCAAAATCGGACTGCGAGAGGTGCGCACTGTTGGGGATGAGGAACATCTTTGGTGTGATATTGCCGTCCGACTCGACCAGAGGTGCGAATGAAGTCATGGAACTGGACGCGCTCGAGTCTCGTTCCGATATTGAATCATTGCTCGGAGTTGAGGTGCGGCTCGAGGCGGGCGATTGTGCGTCGACATCGAACGCGGTGATCCCGGCTTCTTCGATGCCGAGGTCGGATTCCAGTGCAGCTTCGTCGGGTGTTGAAGGCGCCGTGGATTCATCCGTGGAAGCGTTGGATGTTGCTACTACTGACGATCGTGAGTCGAACGATTGCATCGCCTCGACTGGATTTGCCGACAGGGCGGCCTTCATCCGGTTCAGCAAATCGGTGTACTTGTAGAATTCGGCAGTCACAATTGCAACAACGTTTGGTGGAATTTTGTCACCGTCTACACCGGCTTCGCAGTCATAACAGGGAAGTGGTCTTTCCCACAACCACTGGGTCAGTTCACCGCGCAGAGGCATGGTCCATAAGTCGAGCAGTCCAATTGGCGAGGCTGGTGTGACTTGCCGCACGAGATCATGATTGGCGGCTGGTTTGTACAGAGGTCGCCAGTCCATGTCATTCTCGTACGGTGTGTCCTTCAGTGAAGGTAGATATTGATGGTAGTAGACCGATTTGATGAATTGGACGATTGTGGCGGCACCAAAAGAGTGGCCAACCCAGCTCACCTGCCCAGGTTGGAGGTTGAGCTTCTTCTCGAAAGAAGGCATCTCCTCAGGCCTGTGGGTGCTTGAGCTGGCGTAGTTGGTATACTCTTTGCCCATGTGAAGTCCAGTCACAGCGCTGAAGAGAAGTTCAAGCTCCCACAGACGGATCCGGAGTTGCGCATTGCGCGCATTCAAGACTTCGGCCGTGGGACTATGAGCGAGCTTCTGGTATGGAATCGCGGTGGTCGAACCGTCCGCAGAACGTATGAGAGAGGTCGGCGCACTCCCATCTCGATGTTCTGGGGCGACACAAACCACGCCGAAGCTGGCCAGAGACGTACATATCGAGCTGTAAGTGTTGAAATTGCCACCCAAGCCGTGGGAAAAGATGGCCAGAGGGAATTGTGTGGAAGAGTTCCTCGGCAACAGCGGCGCATCGGCCAACACTGGAAGAGTAGTGTAGTTGATGGTGAATGGCAAGTAAGAGACCAAGGACGAGACGCGTGAGTTGGCCCCTAGAAAGCTGGCGTATGCTTGTTGCCAGGTTCGTTGCGGGCTTGGCAGCCACGGCACCGACGATTTCGAGGTCGCTGATTCTGTGGTAGGGTAGAAAATTCGGAATTTGATGGTGACAATTTTCTCATCGGGCACTGATGATGACGAGGAAATCTCTGATACTGGAATTTCGAATTCTGTCGTTCCGACTCTATGCGGTCCCGGCGGTTTGGGCAGAGACGGAATGGGGTTGAGGTATGATGAGATCATCTTGACATGGGATTCGTTTTCGGACACTCGAGAAGACGGAAACTGGTCTCGTGATGATTGATGTCTGTTTGAATCTCACAACAAAATCGGATTTGGTGGTCGTGGAACAATAATAATACACCGAAGGTCTAACGGAACTGAACGAGGGTGACAATGATGGAATCTGAAGTCTAAGGAGATGGTGGAAGTGAAGGTGAGTTTGAGAAGAAAAGAAAAGAAGAAATGTCGCGTGCTCAGCTACTTTGTTCTGCGAAGGTTTTCCTGCAACCTCGACGTTTGGCCATTACAACATCATCATGATAGGCACGGACAGGTCTTTGATGTCATTCGCATGGGTCCATTGGGTTGATTTGGATGTCCAGGGTTAGAACTTGTCCCTACCTAGGTACGGAGAACACACGAATGAGGTTACAATACTCGTCCGGACACTCCGTGCCAATATCCGCTCGTAGCATGTGGCAAAGAAAACCTGCTTCATGTCAAGAATTTCCACGTTCCATCGATTATCCTTGTGCGAATAAAAATTTATGCAACATTTTTTTTTGGCCGCTTGACGGAGATCGGGGAAAAAAAGCTCAGGAACCAGGAACAGCCAATGAAGTAGTGGTACGAGTACGAGTACGAGTACGAACGGGAAAAGAGCCGAGGTAAATTCGTAGAATTCACGTGATGGTGGATTTTAACACGGTGCACATCGCGATGTCTTAAAAATTTTCATCCAAACCGTTGGTTAGTCGAAGGCAACTCATCAATTAATAAACCACATTATTGATCTTAATCTTGTTGCGATTCTCTATCAAGACACTCCATACGGAGTACCACGACAATCTCGTCTTAATCGTTTCACACGCAATGCTGTACTGTACGCCCTGCATTCTGGGGCTTCATACCGTGTTCCGACAGGGAGACGCGTCGGGTCGAACCGATAACATCCATGGCGGCTACACGTCGTAATGGCTCTAGCGAACAACCCATGGCATATCCGTACTTGTAAGGTCCATATCTTGATACTAATGGCTTCACTCTACGGAGTACATAAATCAATGTTATATTTCCCTCACGTGCTTGTCCGAGAAAAAACATCAACGACAACCACTCAAAGACATCACCTTCGCGTGTATTGCAAGTGTCGCGCATCAAGTCGGGTATCTGGCGCGTATCATCCACGCTCGTCTTTAGCATCATGCATCATCCTGCAGCTTGAAATCCAACCGTCACATTAAACACCACCCACTGCCTATGGTCATGTTGCTTTCCCCTTTCGCGCATTCACGACCGCGCAAGACTCGTGATATAACCACAGCAAACGAGATACACCAAGCATCTTCCACTCAGTTTCACCAGTCTCGCACTTTGCGCAAAATGACTTTCCCTCGTGGTTGCTACAGTACCTGCCACCCGCTCTCGTCGAGAAAGAAAACCCCCTCGTCGTCCACCTTCTCTGCCTGGTCTCTTGCTTTCCTCTTGACCAACCCAGCACAGTGCATCTATGACTACAACCATCCAAATACTTTGTCGGTAAGGTTGCGGAGCTGCATCATGCTATAGTTGGATTCTTGTCCATTTGTATTTCTGCTTTTGGATCTCCACTCTTATTTGTATTCGGTGACTAGGGTTGGCCCTCTGAAGGGAAAGAGCAAACTCATTGCTCATTTACAGCCAACACTACAAAGGCAGCTCATAACGTCCGTTTCATTCGCGTTCACCCCGAGTGATGCTCCAGGTTAGAAATGTCTGCATCGGCCTTTGCCAGATTCTGGCAAACAGACCTGACTCGCGAATGCGTCTTGTCCTTCCTCCCCAAGGATGATCTCGGCTCTCTGAGATTGGTTTGCAAAGAATATTCCAAGGACATCGCCCCGGTCTTGTTCAAATCCCTCCTTGTTCATTTCACCACCAATGTGTTTATGCGCAGAGCGCGAATGACAGCATTGGAGAGGATCGGTGGTTATGTTCGCAAATTGTCGTTCCTCATGCCGCATCAGCCTGAGACATTCCTCCCTCCACTCTTGGTGCCGGACACCTTGGAAGAAGCCAGCTTTGTCTATGAACCTCGGTTGACCCTGTCAAGACCAACATCGTCCGGCAGCTCGTCGACTTCTAGCACGGAGTCCAAGTACGGAACCTGGGAAATGAGTGACTTACTGGTCAAACAATACCCTCCCTTGTTCCACGCCGCAACCAATGTCGACTCTTTCTTCCGCGCCATCTGCGCGATGCCGAACTTGCAGCATTTGCAAGTTTCGTGTCCAGGTCAACTTGCAGGACAAAGATATCGCAAGGATATTGTCGACTACGCCTTAATCTCATTGCGTTTAGCCATCGAAGCAGCGAATCCAACTCAGCTCGAGATGCTAACCCTTGCACCAATCCATCCTGGAACGGTATTATACCTTCGGCCTCACCTGAGCTTTGGCTCTTCGCCGGCATCTTCACGTGTCTGGAGCCGAATCAGAATGCTCGACATTGAGATGGACAGTTTCGAGTATGGCCGCGATCAGCCGGCGGACCACCTCAAGATCCTTCACAGCTACCTGCAAGCATTGAGGTCCATCGAGCATTTCAATTTCAAGTGGCTCGGCCACAAGGGCCCATGTCCATTAGCACTTCATATCGAACCATGTACTTCGCGTCCCACCTCACTGCACTGTCCGAATGCTTGCCCAGACTCGAGTTCGAAATCATCCTTCCGGCCTCTGAAATTCCGCCGTCTGAAAAGGATGCGTCTCAGCAATGCTACCCTTGATGCTGACCAGGCAGCGGGTTTCATCATGTCGCATCGCAAAGTATTGCACGAGTTCCAATTCGATCAATGCCATTTGAGGTCGGGAACGTGGGATGATGCGTTGGCTCCGTTGACTCGCATCGCAGGGCATGACCGCTGGAAGCAGAAACAGGAGGAAGTCATGGATGTTCCGTTGGTATTGTCATCAACAGAGACAGATGAGAAAGATGTCATTGAATGCGTGCAGGAGCCTTTGTGGGATGACATTTTGTCGAAGAGAAAGAGGCTGAAAATGCTTCGCAAGATTAGTCTGAGAACGAGAGACCTCGTGCCCGAGCAAGTCAAACGTTTGTTAAGGACAAAAAGACTCGCATGGCATTGACTCCGTGGATGTCGAACGTTATAGCGGGTGCAAAACGCCCCATGATGAAATACGCGACGACCAGTCTTGAATCTGTCCCTGGCTACTGCTACCAGGACAGAGATAATTCAAGGGGAGAATCTTCAAAAGTTATTGTAAATTTGGTAGCCACAGCATTACCTACCACTTCCTATCCTCGTACTCCGTAGGATCATGCGTAGCGAAGGTTCGCCGATATTGCTGACGTGTTATTTCTTTGGTAAACACTTCCTAGGTTCGACTAGTAGGGAGGATTCTATAAGTAGACGGAAAGTCGGTAGGCATGGAGTCGTCTGGGGTTAATACTTCAGCCAACGAACTGTCAGAGGATCTGGCCATGTCACAGGTTTCAGTCAGCCGCTTCAGCTGTAGCTACGAGAAGCCCCCTGAGAGACAACAGTCCCGGGCTCTGACCAGTCACTGGACAGGGACCATCACTAGGCTTGGAGCGGACAGTCTGAACCACGTCGGCCTTGGGTGAAGATCGGCCAGGCCTATTAAAGCCTAGAACTACGCCTAAGGATCCTCCTATTGTAGCTTTTGGCAACTCCCGCCCGCCGCGCGTCAGACAAGAGAGAGTAATGCACCAAGATACCACATGTGTTTTAGATTTCACAAAAAGAAGTTGCCAACACTTCATTCACCTTTTTGCACCCCATAGACCTAAGCCATCATCTGCGATTAATGACCATTCCTGTCACTCGTTCGAGCCTTTGATACAATCGATCCTTGTTCTAGCAATTCTGCGGTTGTCGACACCTTCTGTACCTAATTGCAAGTGCGCTTCTGCGTATCCTTGGTACACCTCAACCTCCCGGACACAGCCTCCTTCGGATAATGCGTTGCTGAAACCACTCCAGCACTCGCAGTCATCGACATGACATTTACGCTGTTCACCTAGACGCAACCTTGCGCTCTGGCCCTTAGTTCATCTCACTGCTACTGCCGATGTCTTCTCGCGATAGAACGCCGCCGAAAACGGCCGGTCGCCAGTCTATCCCCCTTCAAGATCTTTCAAGACCTCCTGATGATACATTCGCTGGTTCGAATGGGATACCAGGATCCGGAGGGAGATCAAGTAGCCACTTCCATCGACATAGTCGCACTCGCTCCCTTCTTGCCGGTCGCCGGACTCCCACTTATTCGCGCTTAGATGAAGAGTCACCCACAAGAGGAGGGAGTGGATGGGCGCGCCCCGGCGTCGGCGCACATAGACATGACGATAATGACTCTCCGGTAGAAAACATGGAGGGGTTTGCAGCAGCGACGGTTGGCTTGGATCTCAATCTACCATCTACACCCCAGAGTGCGAGCGCGAGGAGGCCAACCATCATCACCACTCCGGCCGATGGAGATCATCTCGAACCAGATGGCTTGTTCTCGCCCCCGGATACCGACACGACACCGTTGACCGAAGAACGTGGATACACATCTTCGCTGAAGGCATCTGGCTCGTTTTCCCGAGGACAGAGACACGATAGACAAGGAAAACTGTCAAGCGTGCACTGGACAGATGGAGAATCTCCCTCCATCTCTCGTGGTCGGGGATCCAGGCTTGGGGACGATCTGCCCACCCTCAATACAAGCACAGTCTTGCATCGAAAATTGAGTACCGGTAGCGGCATAGCCCGTCTAACGCCCGAACGAGCAGAGTCCGGCGAGAGATCCCGCTCACAGTCACCATCTCCTTCACCCATGGCAAGAGCGAACTCGATGTTGCGCGAGATATCTCAGCGTGTTGTCAATCTGAGTAACGACTCAGACATGGTGGACCAAAAACTACGCCGAAAGTCATCTGTACGAGATCAGAGGCGACCAAGTACGTCAGCTCCTATTGAACCGCCAATCGCCGATGAGGAAGAAGCATCAGGAGGCCCTTCGCCACTGGAGAAACTTCCCTCAGTTGAAGCATCACCTGCACCGTTTATGCCTGTCCATTACCCAAACCCTCTTCTAGGCAAGTCGTGGGGCATGTTTGGACCCGAGAATCGACTACGGAAATGGCTGCTAGAGATTCTTGTCCACCCGCTCACGGAACCTCTGATCTTGGTATTGATCATTACTCAAACGGTCCTGCTTGCAGTGAATGCTGCCGGCGATGCCGTCTATCTACAAACAAGAACTAAACGATGGGGGACGAGCTTCGATTATGCCATATTCGGCCTCTTCATCATCTACACTTTGGAACTGGTCGCCCGTACCATAGTCTCAGGGTTCATCTCAAACCCGCGCGAACATAGCACGATCAATCGAGACTTAGGGCTCAAGAGAGCGGTGCTGCAGAAGGCCCACACACTCTTTGCTGGCCAACGATTACAAGATATGCCACCTGCAAAGAGCGATACTCCCAACCCTTCCATCGTACGAACCTTCACTGGCGTCCCGGCGCCTGGCGCTCCCGGTCATGGCAAACATCAACAGAGGGTGCGCCTGGCTCGACGCGCCTTTCTCAGACATTCTTTCAACCGGCTCGACTTTGTGGCCGTTGTCTCCTACTGGATTTCTTTTGCCATGCAGATGACGCTGGTAGAGAGCAACACCCACGTCTATGTCTTCAACATGTTGAGCTGTTTACGAATTCTACGCTTGCTGGGCTTGACAGCAGGAACCTCGGTCATTCTTCGTAGTCTGAAGAAGGCCGCCCCCCTTCTAGTCCATGTTGCATTTCTGATCGGCTTTTTCTGGCTCATTTTTGGTATTGTTGGTGTCCAAAGCTTCAAGTCAAGTCTTCGACGGACCTGCGTCTGGGTCGGCGACGATGGCTCAGGGCAAAATTATACGCTCAATGTTGCTCCTGAGAACATCCAATTCTGCGGAGGCTATCTCGACGCGGTCACAGCAGAACCTAGACCATGGCTGAAACTCGACGGCCAAAATGGTACAGGCAGTCCCAAAGGGTTTCTCTGCCCACAAAATTCGCTTTGTGTGGAGGGCTCTCAGAGCCCCTACAACGGTACTGTCAGCTTCGACAACATCGTTCAATCCCTGGAGCTTGTGTTCGTGATCATCAGTTCCAATACCTTCTCTGATCTGCTATATTACCTTACCGATTCCGATTACCTGGCGGCAGCACTTTTCTTCGCTGCCGGTATTGTCGTCCTTAGTTTGTGGATGGTCAACTTGCTGGTGGCAGTCATTACCTCCTCTTTCCAAATCATTCGCGAAGAGAGCAGGCAAAGTGCATTCACGGCGGACAACATTGACCAACCGGTGCTTGCAGACGATCCAATGACGAGACGAAGCCAATTGAAGAAGTTCTTTGATAAAACTCATGTGTTATGGGTTCTTGTCATTGTCTACGATCTGATCGTGCAAAGCTTGCGCAGTGCCTACATGAGCGATTCTCGTGAACAATTCATTATGAATTCCGAGACGATCGTCACACTGCTCCTCCTTGTTGAAATCATTCTTCGATTCCTCTGTGACTGGCGGAATTTCTTTCGGGGCAAACGGAATTGCTTCGATCTTCTCCTTGCTGTTGTCACTTCCGTCATGCAGATCCCAGCAATCCGACATTCGGGCAAGCCATATGCGTGGCTCACAGCTTTTCAGATTGCTCGTGGTTATCGAGTTGTATTGGCCGTCAGAGTTACCAGAGAATTGGTGATGCTTGTGTTTACCAATATCGGCGGTTTACTCAACCTGATACTTTTCGTCTTTTTGTTCACCTTCCTGGCGGCCATTCTCGCCTCCCAATTGCTGAGGGGAGACATTCCTGCCGTGGATAATGGTGGAGACACCATTCAAGTGACCTTCTTCGACATCTGGAATTCATTTCTCGGCATGTACCAGGTTTTTTCAAGCGAAAACTGGACGTCTCTCATGTATAACGCCACTGAATACAATCTCATATGGGATACAGCATGGTTGAGTGCGCTGTTTTTTATTCTCTGGTTCATCATCTCCAACTTGATCGTGCTCAACATGTTTATTGCTGTAATCCAAGAAAGTTTCGATGTGTCGGAGGACGAGAAAAGATTACAGCAGGTGAAGGCTTTCCTTACGCAGAAAGAAATTAGTGGTTCGGCCACTGGTAATTTGTCACTTGCTGCAGTTTTCAAGATGGGACGAGATTCACTCAGACATCGCGATGCGTTGGAGTATGGCTCAGCAACTGTTGAGCAGCTGTTGAAGGAAGCTGTCGTCAAAGATTTCTTGGATGAACAACAGGAAGGACTATCGAAGCGACCACAGTCAATGCATGTGCCTGATGCTGGTGCAGTCAAGCCAGGCCTCCTGTCAAAGTATTGGGGCAAGTTGGTTGGCCTCAACAAGCACCATGAACCAAATCCCTTCTATTCCAATGCTACAATCACACGGGCCAATGAGGAGTTCGACCCACGAGCAGCTGCAAAAAGAGTCGTCCTGACCACTGAAAACCGTCGGCGTGCTCAGCGTCAATATTTGCAGAAGCACCCGAAGTACAATGTGTCGCTCTTTATTTTCAAACCCAACAACCCAATCCGGAAGCTTTGTCAATACCTAGTCGGGCCTGGACGAGGATCAGAACGAGTGGAAGGTGTGTCGCCATACAGACCTGCCTGGTATACCTTCTCTGCCTTCATTTATGCTGCCATAGTTGCAATGGTGATCCTGGCTTGCATCACGACGCCGTTATATCAACGCGATTACTTCCTGGACCACGATGTGAATTTCACTAATTGGTTTGTTTGGACCGATTTGGGCTTCGCCGCTCTCTTCACTGCTGAAGCAGTCATAAAGGCCATTGCCGATGGGCTCTTTTTTACACCGCATGCCTACTTCAGAAGCGTCTGGGGTTTCATCGATGGTGTGGTCTTGATCACGCTCTGGATCAATGTGATCACCACGATGTATCGTGACGATGGCGTCTCTCGAGCAGTCGGCGCCTTCAAAGCTTTGAGAGCCTTGAGACTGCTCAACATCAGTGACACTGCCCGAGAAACGTTCTATTCGGTCATCATCGTCGGCGGATACAAACTCATTGCGGCGGCATTCGTGTCGATGAGTCTCCTGATCCCGTTCGCCATCCTTGGTGTCAACCTATTCAACGGAGAGATGAAATCATGCAACGACGGCGATTTCGGTTTCGAATTGTTGAGCAATTGTGTTGGCGAATTTAATTCTACGCCCTTCAATTGGCCGGTGTTGGCTCCTAGGCAAGTGGCAAATCCATGGTACTCTTTCGACGATTTCGGCAGCGCCTTGTTCATCCTTTTCCAGATTGTCTCTCAGGAAGGATGGATCAATGTTATGTGGTCTGGGACGAGCATCACTGGGAAGGGATTGCAGCCTCGCGCTTTTGCATCCCAGGGGAATGCTGTCTACTTCATTATCTTCAATCTGTTGGGAGCCGTCTTCGTGTTGACGCTGTTCATTTCAGTCTTCATGCGCAATTACACCGAGCAAACTGGAGTCGCCTTTTTGACCGCCGAACAACGTTCCTGGCTCGAATTGCGCAAGCTTTTGCGTCAAATCTCACCCTCCAAACGGTCTATCGGAGCAAAGACGACGCGTCTAAGAAAGCTGTGCTATGACTTATCAATTAAGAAACGAGGGAAATGGCAACGCTTCATTACCGTCATACTTGTTCTTCATCTGATTCTTCTCACCGTTGACTACTACCCAGAGCCAGCTTGGTGGGAAACGTTACGAGAAGCTATATTCCTGGCCTTTGCCATCATACTCATCACCAATGTTGTCATCAGAATCATCGGGCTATCCTGGCATCGGTTCAGAAGAAGCTCTTGGGATGTATACTCGATTTTTGCTCTCTCAGGAATTCTGGTCACTTCTCTTATGAGGCTGTCCAATGTCACCGCAGGGAGTTTTGAACAGATACACAAGCTCTTTTTAGTTTCGGTCACCTTTCTCCTTATCCCACGAAACAACCAGCTCGACCAGTTATTCAAAACCGCTGCGGCATCGCTGCCACTAATTGCCAATCTTCTTGCGACATGGTTTGTGCTGTTCTTGGTGTATGCGATCGCTTTCACGCAAGCCTTCGCCTTGACCCGGTTTGGGCAGAACGAAAACAACAATGTCAATTTCCGCACCGTGCCCAAAGCTTTGGTACTTCTTTTCAGAACCAGCATTGGCGAAGGATGGAACCAAGTCATGGAGGACTTCGCCGGGATCGAGCCACCTTTCTGTGTACAAGGAGATAGTTTCTTCTCGAGTGACTGTGGGAGTTCGGCCTGGGCAAGGACCCTGTTCATCTCTTGGAACATCATCAGCATGTACCTGTTCGTATCTTTGTTCGTTTCGTTGATCTTCGAAAGCTTCTCCTACGTCTACCAGCAGAGCAGCGGCATGTCTATTGTGAGCCGCGATGAGATCAGACGTTTCAAACAAGCCTGGGCAGATTTTGACCCGAACGGGACGGGGTTTATCTCCAAGGAACAGTTCCCTCGTCTCCTGGGGGTAAGTGTACCACGATTGTTTAATTGGCCAGTGCTGACTTCAATAGGAACTCTCCGGTGTTTTCTCGATGCGCATCTACGACGGCGACTTTTCCGTGCACCGTATCAAAGAGGATTGCTCTTTCCAACCCGGAGACCCCGTCGCGCCGGATTCGAGGATATTTGAGGGAATGGACCTGACCAGATTAGCGGAGAGAGTCAGCCAAATACCGGTCGAGGAAATCCGAAAACGAAGGGAACGAATGAATGTGTTTTATGAAGAAGCCTTGCTTACAGCGGATCCGGATCGCGGAATCCCTTTTACAGCGTGCCTCTTTTTACTTACCCATTACAACGTCATTACGGATTCGCGAAGCTTGCGGCTGGAAGAATTCTTACGCCGGAGAGCACGGTTGCAGAGAGTCCAAGAAACCATACGACGCAATACTGTGGTTGGCTTCTTTGACACTGTTTACTGGTCACGAGAATTCAGGAGAGCTGTCGAACGGCGACGGGACTCACGACTGACTGCGCCTCCTAGCATTCCTGTGCCGGAGATTTTCATCGAGAATCCGGATGATAATCTTGAGAGCAGCAGTAGCACTGAACCACGAGATTTTACGACATCAACACCATCATACACACCGAAAAAGCCACCGACACATCTTCCACCCATCAACACATCATTCCAGCTTGGGGACTCGCTCCAGAGCCCATCAAGACTCAGTTTTGACGAGTCTCCAAGAGCCAGCCCGACTAGAGCGAGACTCGGGTCTGTGGATACGTCGTATCATGGCGCACATAGATCGTCGCCTACAACGCCAACATTGAGCCACAGCCGCCACGGTAGCACGGCTAGTGGAATGGGCGGGCAAGGCGTCATGGAGGATTTTGATGCATCAGCATGGGGAGAGAGTCTACGACGGAGTTTTACGACGAGAAGGCCGCGGGACGACCGCGATTGATCCAAGAAGTATATACGACGAGGAATGACGATTGACACGACACTGTTTGTACATATTTTGGAATGGCTGCGCCCGATGAGAGGCGGATATTGAACATAGCGAGGGCGTTTTGTAAGACCACATCAAGACTGGTTGAAAAAGTGAGGGCCGGATGGGCGACATGTGTGTATATGTGCATTTGCTATTTAAAGGCACCCTCGGGTCTTTTATACGTTTAATCTTGAAGATGAAGTGGCCGTTGAAGCCAATAATGAAGAAAAAATTATTTCATCATCTGACGAAAAACACCACACTAACGGCTGTTTATTGTGATGGTTATACTGTAATGCTCGCTCTCACGTACAATTCAGTAGAGTCTGTAGTCATCGCCGTAAGTGTCTGTCCTGGGCGATTGATTTATTGGGGGGGCCTAAGGGTGAAATAAGGAGTGTCCGATGGTGTTATTGTAGGCTCAACATGCAATTGTTCGCGTGTCCTACAGAGTTTTGTATGATGACATGGTACTCAGTACAAGGTACCCGAATCCAAGGATCAAGGGTAGGGAGAGTGTCATGAAGATTAAATTCCCATCAGTTCCAGAAATTACTCCGTATTTCCAATAGTATGCGTGCCATTATCGACAGCCACCAGGGGATGGCAGCGTCAGTACGGAGTATTGTATCAGCATCGAGTATCCTTGGTCCTGGTTTTCCTCCCCTGAGATAGGCCATTATTGTCTTGTTCGTCGCCCTTTGATATACAGAACGCAACGGACCAAAGGACACACGGACCAGGGCGTTGTTACAGCAATCTGAACTGGTGACCCGAGCTGGCTTATCCACCACCAACGACCCTGAAGGCTACGGAGAGCTGTAGTGTAAGAGATCAGCGAACCCTTGTCTGGGCCCCCCATGCGAAGCGACGTGTGGGTTTCCCGAAACTGACGCGAAAAAAGAGAGAAAAAAAGGGCTCCACGATGCCTGGGTGACTTGGCTCGAGACGCGTTTCAGGTGAAGATCTCAATCAGCGAGGGGGGTCGATCCCTGGTTCGACATCATCTGATACGAGTTTTGTCCTGTAGTCGTACTCGCAGGAGGGTTGATTTCCCACCTTTAGCGAGTACTACTCCATGGGTACCTACTTGTACTTGTAGCCGTACCAAGTTTCGAGACGAGTAGTACGCGACGTAGACGGAGGAGTATTTTGCTTGATGTTTGAGGCTCATGCTGTCGGACCCGTGCTTCATTGGTGCATCACACTGGTACCTTGAATTGTTGTACTGATACAGTACAATAGGACTATCATTAGTCTATAGTACGAGTACGAGTACTCCGTACACTCCCACTACTGTACTAGAGCCCTTTTTTTCTTTGGCGAGATGACTCGCGTCCTCGTCTCTGATATTGAATTGTGATCTACCAGATCCTCCTCAATTCATTTTACGGAGTACTGTAGTTCGTATTAATACCGGATTAAAAGGATACCTCGTTATTTTTGCTGCACAACACGTCGATGGCGTTTTCGTTTACTCCGTTAGACACGGCACACATCTGAAATAACCTTCATTACACTCCATCCACTCTGGAGGTATCCATCAGGGGAGGAGATGTTCCCCCGTCTTTGACAAGGGGACGAGAACCTTTCGCGTTTGACGATCCTGCTCACTCTACTAGATACTCCGTAGTACTCGTATTATTGTTCTCGTCGTGACCCCTTAGCCTTTTTCTCGAATCTGGTGAGGGTCGAGTCTCCGTCGTGGTCTTGAAAGGAGGATCAGATGGTCCATGCTTTTCAAGTGGCTTCCCGAGATACAATATACATAATCTCTCCGGGAGACAGATTTGACACTGACCCTCTTGTCATTGATAGGAATGTCTCACTGACCTCTCAGCGTCTTTCTCTTCTCCCGCATTGACCCTTTTCTTCTCTTCTATGCTCGAACCACTTCGATAGCTTTTGATTTCCCCCAGGCAACATCGGGGCCCAGCACCATCACGACGACGACACCGCTGCCCGTCCCAGTACACTCTTTTCGTTTGCCTGCCTTGCCTACATTGCCGGGGCACAGACTGATCACATTCTCGTCATTGCCTGCTTCCTCGACAACGTGCTGGACAACGGTCGAGAGCTACGCGAGAGCTTTTTTCGGGTCGTCGGGTCTCTTCATACGACAACTACCAGTCCTTCGTTTGTGGTTCAAACCAACATAAAGAATTTGTCCCTCGCTCAACTTGTGGAAATAAAAAGATTCCAAGATGACTGTTGCACAGTTAGTCCATCACTACGAATCCATCATCCACCAAGAACTGTCCATTAAACGTGTACCTAGGAGCCTACGATCTCACGCATCGTCGTCTTCTTCTTCCTCTCCCTCGTCACGAGTCCGCTTGTCCCTTCAGACCATCTTCGGCCACAATCATTCATATAGATCAACGAAAAGATCGGGCACGATGAACTCCTCGACGACGACGGCTGCCTCCTCGGTCAAGTCGTCCCCCAGCTCTTCCTTCAGTAGCTTTGGAAACAAGCTGCGTACACAGGCCCTCGAAAGCCTACACAACAACAACAACCACTCCATCTCTCCTTCCCTGTCGACGCCGAACCCTACAAACTTGATCCGTCGACAGCCCTCGGCCATTGACATGGCGTTGGAAGAAGAGAGGTACGCCGACCCGGTCGAGCTCATCGGGCTCGGGCTGTTGGAACCAAGACCAAGGGCAAACACCAATTCATCAGTGTCGTCTTCTCCTCAATGCTCCATGATGGAATTCATGAGCGAGTCGGTACAAACACCCGTGGTTCTCGACGGCATTTTCGAAGTCATGGAGCGTGCATAGAGGACTTTTTTTCCCTCTTGTTGCACAGAGTAGGAGTACAAAGTGCTTTTGGGGGGGAAGGTCTATGAAGACGTGGTGGCAGGCAAGATCATCTATTCAAGGGTGGTTATATGAAAGATGGATCCCCACCAGTCTTTAAGCGCCTGGATGGTATGGGATGGATTGAGGGGAGGATGAATGCGGACACATCCACGCCCCGTTGCCCTCGTACAGACACTATCAACAACAACTCGGGATGAAGATTTACGACTATATGCGATTTATGGAAAGAGTTGGGGAAATTTCATTTCTGTGGACAAGTTGCTTTCGGCTGGTACTTGCAAAGGACGAGTTCATTTGGGGGGGTCTGGGTTTAGACATTGAGGATGCCATATACCAATATTTAATAGCGATGTGAAGAGAAGAGCGAGATTGAATCTTTTTTCTAGATAGGACCGAGAGCAGTCATTGATGAAGTGTCTGCTCCTTGAATGTTCAAACAAGAAAAACAAAACTACGACATCCAATTCCAACTCCAGACGTGTGCTCTTCTTCGTATTCGTTCGTATCGACATCGGGCCATGACAGGCAATGGTGGATCTGGAGCCTGGGGGGGACAGAATGCGTGTGCGTATGGATAGTACGAGTACGCGCACGGAATACGGTTGTATGTACCTACCTAGGAAGATGTAATAGGAAAGATTGACTCTTTTGGATCAGCTGAGACAACATCAACTCCATAGACTGGCAGGTTTTTGTCTGATGAATTCGGTAAGTGACCAATTTCCACCTCTGGCTACCAATTGATGAGTGGTCATCGGGCATGATGAGGGGAGTTGACTAACACATAAGGTAACGGATCACGGTGAGAAGCCGACAGGGTTGGTCACGACTTGGTGGTGACCTACGTAGGTAAGACAGCCCTGTCCAGTAGTACATGGTTCTCTGAGATATGTGGTGCACGCTTCATACGGGCGTAGGGGAGAAGCAAAGGGCGCGGGAAAGTGATGTACGTGGTTTTGGAACCTCGGATTAAAATAAATGATTACTATTCACTCAACGTTCCAGTACCATTTCTCACACCTTGACCTCTTCCAGTTAGACATGGACCCCGGATAAGCCTCTCGGATAGGTTGACTGCGACTCCTCCTTCGAGCCAAAAGACGCCCTTCTAGGAACTTCATCAGTCAAGTTCACGGCTCTTGCTCGGTCCTAACGGTTCTGTTGGGGGGCTGACGGTTGATGAGAAGGCCTCTCTTCTGCCTGGTGCCAGCGACGACAGCTGACCGACGGCTCTATGACCACCACAAAACGGCCAACGAGGTTCGGGGTCTGATCATATAGCCAGCCCATCATTGCACAGGACACTTGCAAGATCTGACTAATTCTCCCCAGTGATTGCAAAACCCGCTTTAAAGCAGCAATCGTCGACCAAAGACCATACACTATTACAGTGTCGCCCTCGCGTCGTTTCCTGTCCGGAATCCACATTTGAATTTGGGATCTGGGATGTTCCTTCTCTCACTGTCAAAGAGCTGACTGTGGGAGCTGTGAATCAGATAGCTATCCTCGCCATCAGTGAAGAACCCGGTCCCCCATCTGACATACGGTCAGAGGTTGGACACAAAAGGTACCTCTACCACCAGCTATTCCTACCCGGTTACCTGGTTCCAGCCTTTATCCGAACACCCCCACGACTTGATACCGCGGGATCATCTAATCAAAATAACGATTGTGTCGCTGAGCACACACAACTTGTCTCTCAGCCTCGTCTCCCTACAGCAAAAGTGATCAGGGTTGACTAATCGTTATCCCTCGCCTTTTATACGAACACACACCAAACCGGACCAAACCGTCCTTGGAAACGATCATGGCAACCACTACGAGCATACAAGCCTATGCGAGGCTCCAATACGGCGAGAGAACCTATACCTCCTTGGAGTCAATCTTGGACGACCCCACAGAGAGCCTGGTCTCCTCTGCCGCCTCCATCAGCAGGCCAATGCCTGGACAGGGGTTGAACGGTATCTTGTCTGCCTCTCAGTACCCTCAAGCCCTCATGGAACCTTATCACCAGCAGCCCTCCTCAAACACTCGCAAGAGAAAGGCGTCGTCAAGAGATCAGCAGACATCATATCGTCGTCCTTCATTCACCGGAGCAGTAAGCGAGAGCAACCACTCGTCATCGTCGGTAGAACCAGAACAGGCATCTCCAACGCAGAAGAAGAAGAAGACCACCAAGCGAGGGTCGATCGACGGCGCAGACGGTCAGCAGCCTGAAGGCAAGAAGCAGCGGGGTCGGCCTCGACTGGACACCCAAGATGAAACGGCCGCGGACCGTCGCCGCACTCAGATCCGCCTGGCCCAGCGAGCCTACCGACATCGCAAAGAGACCACCATCTCAGCGCTCAAGGAGAAGGTGACGGGTCTTCAAAACACCATCGATCAGATGAACAAGACATTCCTCACCCTCCACGACAACATGGTGGATGCCGGGATCCTCACGTCACACTACACACTAGGTCGACAACTGCAAGCCGCGACCGAGGAATTTGTCGCCTTGGCCAAGATTACGGCCACAGACTCTGACGACGAGGAAGAGAAGATTACCAACTTTATGAAGGGAGATGATATCGACGCCGGTGCTCCACAAGAACTACCGCCGCCACCTTCAAGGTCGAAAAGGAATGCTCGAGTGGACCGGAGAAGAACCAGCCTGGACCAGACATCGACCGAAGCAGACGTCGATGCTGAAGACCTTCAAGTGGCCATGACCAACGTGAACGCCAACGCCAACAACAACAATGACAATAATGACAACGGCGCCTTTTCCATTGTCCAGGGCGTCTTTGACGACAATTCCAACCTCCACGGCCTCGACGATTTACTGGCTTTCAACGCCACGATACCAGAATTCAATTTCAACGAAGATCCGTCGTCTCTACTGTTGCCGTCATCGACAACGACGAACAAACAAAACCATTACCTTCCTTCTTCCCTGTCGTCGTCGCCGCCGCCGACGTCGTCCAACACCATCGAACGCCCCCTCAAACCGGCCTACCACAGCGGCAACTACACGTACAGTTTCCAGGAGACGACGTTCGCCCGGCGGTTGCACAGACTCTGTCTGGAGCGAGCGTTCCAGTCCCTCACGAGCCCTCACGCGGACCCGGAGAAGGTCAAGCACACGTTCCGCTTCACGTTTTGCTTCAGCAACCGCAGACGCATGCTCATCCGGTTCCAGGAGATGCTGAAGCGCAAGGCCGGCGAGTCCCTCGAGAACTGGAACGCCCCGTTCTTCCACGTCGGCGGCGCCGGGCTGCACTTCCCCCGCCGCGACGAGGACGGGAACCCGATCTACCCTCCCAACATGGTCAGTCCGAGGCGCGCCCTGGTGGGTCCTCAGCCTTTCGTCGAGGTCGAGACCCCCCGCGCCGAGGCCCCCGGGACCCAAGAGATGCTCGAGGCCATCGGGTTCGGCGGAGAGTGGTACGACTCTCACGACGTCGAGGAATACCTGAAAACAAAGGGTATATACCTCGACGGTCAGAGTTCGTTCGTCGAAGTGGTCGACCCGAACAGTTTGGTCATGTCGCTCGCCGACAAGGCCGGTGGTACTACCGGTGGTCCTGGGGTTTTTGGCGACGTATCGACGTCCACGGCCATGTCGAGTTCAGGTGTCACACCTTCGGATGAAGTCAACATTCGCACCCCCAGTCCACTTGAATTACCATCCATGGGGTCCGTCGACGGCTTGAATCGTAACCGTGCTCATGACACTTTTTTCGCCGCGGATTTCGAAGACACGTACGTCAACAACGGTATAGACCGCAACCACCCCGGCCACAACGATGCCTTAATCGTCGACATGTTTCAAAACTTGAGCGGCCCCAACCACAACACGTCGTCGACTGCAGCAGCAGGAGAGCAAGATTTGTTGAACTCTCTGCAGTTCGGATTGGTGGACAAGTTGGGAATGCGCGTGCGGAAAAACGACGGTGACGACGACCCTTGGGCGACGTACGCCATGTTGAGCCGGTCCAGACCGCCCATCACCTTCGACGTCGAGGCCTTTTTGGAACGCATGGTTGGAGACAGTGCATGTCTGGGACGGGCCCCTGGTTTCAGAAAGGAAACCATCGACAAGGCCTTGGCCATGAGTTTACAAGAGGGTTTTTAGGTACTTTGTGACCCGACTTTTGTTTTATTTTTTATTCTTGTCATCATGAAACATGAACCAGGTATTATGGATTAATAAATATGATTATACTCCGTAATGGGGGGGGGGGGATAATATCATTCACTCACTCACTCACTCACTCACTCACTCAACTCACTTCACTCAGCTACCTACCTACCTGTGTTAGTACCATGCGTCGTGATTCACTCCGTCTTGTGTAATTTTGATTCTCAATGAACCCCTCGAGGATCCGTGGGATCAACGTTGAACATTTCATGTCTTTGTATAATTTTTACTCGAAGCCAGTGTCCCAAAGTCAATCGGCCGGGAAGGAAGTCGCCCTCCTGATCATTTCCCCCCCGTTCTTCAATACACCTATTTGATCTTTGGCACCGCTTGTAAGGGTCATGCCGATCGGCCGAACACAAACTTTGATCGAGTACCAGACGGTTGTATACTACGTTTTGAAGGTACCCCAAGTCCTTTGGTATGGTGTGCAAGTGAAGACACGTCTGTACCTAAGTACAGAGTACACACTACAAAAAAACCCAAGATATTACCCAAAATACAATACCCTGACCAAGGGGTAATTACCCAAGTCACGTCTTGTGAGTGATGATGTACCATGTACGGTGTTGGTGTTTTGGCGCGTCGGTGACATTTTTTCCATCTTCTCCCGAGGACTCTCTACACGGACAATAAATATTCTTTCTCACCTGGGAGCGAGTTGAAGTGTATTCCTAGAAAGGGGGCCCCGGGTCTTATTACCGTAGAACAAACCAGGCATAGGCATGTTACCTAATACATAAATTATGTAGGTTATCTTCGTGTCACAACTTCAAGTCCTTTCCTTCTTTTTTTCGTTGTCTCTATCTCTCTCTCTCTCTCTCTCTCTCTCTCTCTTCCTTGTTTGTTTGCCAAACCCCTATCAATATATTTGGAATGAAATTTCCGACACGATTTACCGTAATAGTTTTTTAAGCTTGTAAATTTCCCAACCCCCCTGATTCTGTAGTGGTCGGCAATATTGAATTCTTACCGACACTACTACTTACTATTGGTCCCGTTTTGTTTTTTTGTTTTTTCGACAAAGAAAAAGTTTTTCCTTGTATATACAAAGTACATACATATAGACCAAGGATTAACTCCTCTAAAAGGAATTGCAACTTGGAAAGATCATAATCTGTTTCATCTAGGTACTACCGCGACGTTATTGGCATGGCTTCAAGTTCATTTTTGTTAGATGGGCACTTCCATCATCTACCAAATCGTAAGCTCAAGAGGTCTAATCATTTTCTCTCTTCTTGTCTCGTGGGTATCTAGGTAACAAGCATACAAGTCTCCTCCTGGCATCCTGGGACAATATTAGGCCAAAAGAAGAAAAAGCCCCATCCCAAGATATCAACTGCCCAGTGCTCCCTTGTTGGAGCAGGGGTATCATTACCATCACCACCCCTTGACCACCAATGTTTATGGGCCCTTCTCTCTTCTTGAGAAAGAAAGAAAAGAGTCCCCTCGTGAAACGCCTCGCTCAGAATGCAATTCATAACCGTAGTAGACCAAGAAGGGGGGAAAAAAAGGAAGATCATCACCCAAAGCCACCAGTGACACTACTCAGGCTTTCTCTTTCTCCTCCTCGCTTTTACACCTGGCTTCCACAAAAACTTTCGACAATTCTTCTCGCCGCAATGACACCGAATAAGTCCGTCGGCCAAGTCTGGATCACCGCTCTCGACACCGGCAATGGCCTCGGCGTCTAGCTGGTCCTCGTCATCGTCGCCGTCGTCGTGTTTCGATTTATAGTCGATGGTGATCTCGGTACCGGCAGCAATGTCCTTTATTGCGAAGAACGGAAGGTAATAGACTCGCTTATCGCCTTTGTGGATCTGGACGATAAAACTGCGAGCGTTGGGATTACAGCTGTGGTTGGCGAATCTCATGGCGGACCCGAAATTCTTGCCGTCGATATGGTACGAATCTCCCCCAAACCAATCCATGGTGTAGATGTAACTCGGTTCATCTTCGGCCGCGGCGTCTTCTCGATTGCGAAGTTCTTCCTCGGTGATTACCTCGCCGAGATAAAGATCTATAAATTGACCTTTTGCAATGTCTGTCGTGGAGCGGACCCCAAAGCCACATTTGGCAGTCTCGAAGATTTCCAGAGACAGTGTTCGACCGTTGCCGACCACACGGTTCCAGCAAGCAGGACCGCATCCACAGAGTTCGTTACACTCTGTGATCTCGAAATGTCTTGCCGAGGGGTCCAGCTCCCGGTCGATGTACTCTTCTGAAAGGACGACGAGGCCGTCAGAACGTCTCGTGTAAGTAGGGATTTGCTTGGTGTACTTTTGGCCCGTAGCTTCGTCTTTCCAGTCTTTCCGAGAACATAGACAAGTTGAAGAATGACAGTGCACACAGTCGCATCCATAGTTTGTCGATGGCGGGGCTGTCTTGATACCCGGACAACTAAATATGTACCGATCGACAAATTGAAATTTGCCTTGTAGTCGTCTCTGATTGACGTCGTTGGCAAAGGTAAGGGGAGGGTTGACGTATTCGTCGAAACGACTTGTGAGTATCTGCCGTGCGGCGTCAGCAGGGTGAATCAGTTCACCACCTCCCAGCCCTAGCTTTCTCATCGACGTGTTCAAGCTCTCGTCAGACGGCAACCTCGTTGTCCGGGAAACTTTTCTTGCCTTTTTCGACGCCAATTTTCGCAGTCGTTGATCATAGACATCATCTGACCTGGGCCGGTTGAAGTCTTGAAGGCACGTCCCAAAAAGCTCACGAGCCTCTTGTGGATTTTGCAGGGCAATATTTGGGCCTTTTTTCAGCTCTTTCAGCATCGCTTTCCTCCGCTCTGGGATCGACCTAGGTTTTGGACCGCGGAATGCAGCCAAAAGCTGTTGCGACGGTGATACGACGACTTCTATTCGAGATTGAGTCGGACGCCTCTGCACGAGTACTGGACTAGGGGGCCCTCGACTGGGTCTCAGAGGTACATTTCGTGAAGGGATATCGACGGACATCAACCGTTGAGTCGAGGAGCGAGAGCGGGCCGTGTTGTCCTGCGTCGACTTGTGCGACGGCCTGTGGTCTTCCTTGATCCGGTGTGCATACGGGGACCGTTTGCCCCAGGGAGAGAGTTTCTGCTTCTGGTTGGCAGATGTCTGCGATCCTGTCGAGCGTCGAGGAGGAGTGGAAGGATATGTGTCGCGGGTGCTGTCGGCGCCATTGGGATGGGCGTGGTGAGATCCATTGCTTGCAGTAAAGGAATGACTTGTGGCAGCAGCATACGAGTTTGGTGAAGCGGATCTCGGTTTTTTGGGGAGAGGCTCTATGACAGTCTGGCGAACATAAGGAAGTTAGCAAGCCGTGAGGTATATTGTCAAGACCATGGGAACAAAATAAATGGTTTATTTGATGGAAGGGTGAGGGATCAATCGCCTGCACTCCACACCCGAGGAGACGCAGGTGACAGGGATGCTTAGTCAGCGCCTAAACCAGACGACTTACAACATCTTCCTCTTCAGACTCGTCTGAGACTGAAATGAGGTTGGGTGTGTGTCTCTGATATTGTTAATCTTGAAATCTCGCAACAAAAACAAGCAGACATGAAGATTAATGTTCATGTAGCACAAGCAAAACCCATGCTCAACGCGACGCGCATTGCCCCAACCTCCAGCCAAAGGCTGATCGATATAAGCAACACAACAGTAAAAATGGTAAACATGTATAATGATGTTATGCTGAAAATATACAGCTTTAAAACTCAATAATAATAACAAACAACAAAGTACTGAAATCTTACCTGGACGTCAGCATATTTTCGTTTTGGCATTAAAGACATCGCGTCAACAAGGGCGGCCCCGCCACCAGGCTCTGTGGGCCAAAATACATTCCCAATCTGTGGATGGTGCAGATCAGTTTGGAGCTTAAAATAGAATGGTATTTCAGCCTCTTAAAGGATTAAAAAGGTGGTGGGCGTAAATTAGAAGGGATTGTAGAATTGTAAACTGTGATTAAAAGGAGTCAAAAACTGCCAGAGGAAAGAGATACGGATTTAGAATTTTAGATTAGGACCGCCAAGACCACCCTTGATAAATCAGTATTATTACTCTATTAACTAGGGCTACCACCTTTGTTCAGTGACCTTTATATTCTTGTAAGTCTTTATTTAATAATAAATTATCAAAGTTAGTAGTAAATTATTCTTTTTTAATAATGTCAAATTTTAAACGTTTTTTAAAGATTTTATAACTACTACTAAATAGTATATAATATTAATACCTTAGTATTTTCGAGTCATTACTAGGTTTAGAGTGATCTACTGGTTATATAGAGATGGCCGGCGGTCACGCGATGTCAAATCTACGGGTGTCTATAGCCAATTGTGGTGACTTTGTTGCCGCGGGGTATCAATATCATAAGAGCTGGCAGTGATTGTTGCTTGTGTACGGATACAGCAAATTCATTGGCCCTAGTAGCCTATATTACTTGGAGCCTTCCAGTCATCCATCAATGAATTGAGATATATCTTCTGAGAGTATTCATGCTAGACCAAACTGTCGTCTCACTGCCACTCTTTCGTTTGGCCGCTGGCGACGCCTCTTGAGGTCACTAGGTTCGAGTATTCCAGGCTAGAATAAATATCGTCGTAGGGTGCATGACCCTAACCATCATAGCCGTGGGCGTGCAACGAATCACAACTCACCCGGGTGCTACAGACACCTCAGGACACCCATGAGACTTTGTAGCCTTGCCACTTGTATTATACCTTACAGATCAAATGTTTTGTTTTGTCGTATCCTCATCAATGCCAGCTTTTAAGTAGTAGATAACTACTCACGTAGAGTCTGCTCTATAAAATACAAGTGAATGAACAATGATGCCTGATTCTTTCGGTGGTTCTTGTTCTTAACCATTTCATCTTGACCATTTCACAAGGCGCCGTTTCCATTCGTAACATCTAATTAATGCTCATCAGCCTTCGAGCGTCAATCCTTCACCGTCTTCAGCATCTTCACCCTCGTCATCAGATCCCATGTCACCATCTTCCATTTCATCCTCCAGCCCACCAACAAGGTACTTCTCGTTCTTTCCTTCTGTTCCATCGACAACAACATTGCCATCTTGTACCTCACAACCCACGAGTGTGCTCTTGTTCCCAATCTTGGCCTTCTTTCCCACCACGGTGTTTGTGAGGACGCACTTGTCCCCTATCGTGACACCATCCATTATCACACACCCCGTGATTCTAGTTCCAGTCCCAATGGCCACACTTGCACCGATCACACTAGACTTGATCACACACTGCGTCGCAATCGTACTGTTACTGTCGATAAGAGTGTCTGACCTAGAAATCGTGACTCTTGGCGCAATTGTTGTCGTAGCGTGAACTTTGGCCTGGTGGGCGAACGGTGATACAGGTATCTTCGCCGCTACTGACTCTTCTACTGACGGGACCTTTGCAAGAGAAAGTGAAACAGAAAGTAGTAGAGGCGTGTTATCGACCCGTCGAACCAGCGGAGCATCAGGTGTAGATGGAAGGATGTATGACAGGATTGGCGGGACGAGCGGAACTGGACCGTCTTCCTCGTCGTCTTGAGATCCACCGTCAGGCGAGAGAACACTATCCTCTGGGTCGGCGTGGACTCTCGTAGCAAGTCTCGCTGTGCGTGCCTGTGGCGTCAAATTCATCTGCCCTGGCGTGGTGATTTGCGTACTACTCAAGCTGAGGAGATCGATTTCTTCTTCAATGGGCAGTTCGTGGCTAGGTAGCTCTACTCTGTTGCCATTCGAAGCTGGTGAGAAGATCTTCCTGGCGCCAAAACGTGCTCGATAGGATGGCTTCCGCCACTCCGCTTTTGCCCACGTCCCGACAAGATCTTCGCTGACTGATTCAAAGTCCTCATTGAGATTTGCGAAAACTTTCACCCAGAAAGGAAAGAAATAAATGTGCGAGTCGCGATATTTGGTGAGACATTTGATAGCACCGTGTTTGCGCAGGAGAGACTGCCGGATCTTCCAAGCCTTGTCCTCTTCGCATTGGTCCCAGAGCTCTGACATTGGCATGGCCCAGACGAGTTTGCGGAGTATGCCCTGGTCGTGAGAGGATTTGCTTAGGGATGAAGGAATGTCCTGTTCCGGGTCGAGTTTCGTCGTGCACATGAAGTCGCATTCTTCGTGTTTGACGGATTCTTCGCGATCGAGAGTGTTGTACCATATGCTCAAGCCGCCACGACGTCCACGAGACTCGCCACCGAGAGCCAGCAATTCATTACGTGAGGTTTCAGCATCTTCGCTGTAACCGATACCGCCGGGTCCACCCAGACGGGTGAGATACGTCTCGAGGAAAGTCTCTCCAGGTATGGCACAGATAAGGTCGCATGGCAAGAGTATGAAGTCGGATTTGAGTACATCTTGGACCTCTGGAAGTCGGATCAGTTCGGCAGTAGGTGTTGTGAATTCCAGATCCTTTGGTGCGAGGAGGTCGGGACTTGGTGAAGGTAAAGATGTGAGGTAAGGATTCTGTGCGAGCGCTGCCGCAATGGGTTCTTTTGAAGTTGGTGGAGTAACTAGGGTAATATCTATAACGCCCATGCGGTAGCACCAGTCTAGGACATACCAAATCATGGGCCGGTTGCCTACTTCGACAAGAGCCTTGGGAAATTCGTTGGGAATGCTGGTGAATGTGCTCAACCCTATACCTGGACCGCACAGGATCAGGGCTTGAAATCCGGTTTGAGGCATCCTGGATGGTCTCAGGGATCGAGTTCTGTGGTAGTTTTTAAGACGAGGTTGGCGTGCGCTATGATAAGAGGGTCGTGACTCATACCCCAGATGCGGTACGGAGTAGGCGAGATTGCGTAGAGGCGAACCGGACTGCCGTTTGGACGACTGACCAACACTCTCTTCCTCTTCTTCAGGGCCTATCCGATGCAGAGAAGGTGGCACCGGCTGATATGGAGGTGTTGAACCAGGAACGCCCTGTCTGCCTCGTACAATGGCTGAAAGACGTAAAAATTGGATACGGGGGTTCAATGACTGTCGCGATGCGTTTCCGGCGCCACTATCGGTCTCTTGGATCTGTTGAAGCTCTCGAGTACTTGTGTCTATGGCATCAACGTCACCAAGAAGACTGATGGAGTTTTTGGCTTCGGGCGTGAAGCGCGTCTGCATGTAGGTGAAGGAATTTGTTTCCATCGTGATTGAGAAATGCGTGTCTGACAGAGCTTGATGTCAGTCTTGGCGTCGCGATCGGCTGAAGTGTTGGAGTGACGACGGATGGATACATGATGAGGATTATGTTCATCTTCAAACTCGATGTCAATAAGGAGAAATCATTAGAGAGATCTAAAGAGTTGGCATAATAATTGACATGTCATTGTCTTCAACAATACCGTCAGGCCAAATGTCAGTCTGAGTTTGTGAGGGTCAAGTGCGACTATGGTGAAGGGAAAGCGAAGCAAATATGCAATGGTCAGGACTATGTGTTATGACTACTAGCTGCCTGGTATTGTAGACAGTTCATCTTCACCTGTGCAACATTATCAATTGACTTCTAGGACTATGTACTCCTCAATCATCGAATCCAGTACGGAGTCAATGCAGAGTCTACGCCGATGCAGCATCAGCATTAGCATCAGCATCGGCTTGCTGCTCGCCATTTCCATTCGTGACTGCTTTGTCCTTCTCCCAGTTTCGGGCAAAGACCTCATTAAGCGCATCCTGGAAGATATGGCAGTTGTAGTCGATTAGACCCTTCTTATCCCTTGCCTCATCATTCTTTATTACAGACACTAGGCAGAGGTACCTGGAATGTGATCAGTAAGTCCGTGCTTTCTACAGGTGGGAATGTAATCTTACCGATTCATCTCCTTCAAGTAGATCATCGTTCCATCATGTACGGTGACTGAAGATTCTGCTTCCTGCATCTGTTCTCCCAGCACCACGTTGTGACTGCGTTCATATCCGTAGATGTCCGTGATGTCCACAATGACGTCTATGTAATCCGAACACATCTCGTAGACTTCCATATCGATCGGGCCGCTATCACTGGCAACATAGATCTTGCTGAGAATGTCGAATAGGTACGCTTTCGCCATTCCGCAGTTATTGACGAGGATAGTAAGGAGGTTTTCGAGTGTGTTGAGCTGGGGAATGAGCTTCTGAATGACTTTACTGAAAGCTTCGAAGATGGAATGGTCATAGATGGATGTCAAGTGATACGTGATGTTGGGGTTGATGTATCCGGCATCGCTGAGGTCATCATTGACACGTTGAACAATGTCTTGATAGATGTCGGAGCGTAGCTCTTCGTTGAGACTGTCGATTTTGTGGACGAACACCTCAACATTGATGTGGGGGAATGTGTTTTGGAGATTTATGATTGTGGTGGTGAGCCGATTCAAAGAATCACTGTAGTCATCTTGTGCGTCAATGACCCAGACAAGGGCACCAATTTCCGAGAAGATTTCTGTAGTGTCGAATGTAGGATCAAAATAGTCAAGTTGACCAGGAAAATCCCACACTTGGAAGTCCATGAATGACCTTACCGAGTCTTTCTGGATACGTGTCGTGGATTCGAGGAAAAGAGTCTCTTGGGGAGGCATTTTGTGGAAAACCACACTAGTTATCGAGGATTTGCCGCTTCTTCAGGCTGTTAGCTATACTCGGACGCGGGTACTATGCAAACCGACTTACCGTCGCTGTCCCATCAGCAGGAGCCGAGGTTTGTTCTGGCGCAGCTTTTTATCCATTGCGAAGACGTTGCCTTCAACTTTGCTAGTTGGATTCGAGGTCGATTTGAGAGTGTCGGGCTTGTTGAGGGAAAGCAGGCTCAACTGCACGGTCTTAGCAATATATCCATTTGATTGCAGCAGTGTGCGATTTTTCAGAAAGCAGGCCTCCGAGAGAAGGAGATACTTACCCTAAGTGATGGTGGCGAGCCGGGAGGAGTTGTGGAAAGGATTTCGAGAGCTCGGTGCGATGGAGAGCCAGGAGGAGTTGTTTTGTGAGCTGGTGAGCCTACGCAGGACTCTTCATTGGGCGTGCTATGGATGTCATTGTGTTAGTCTCATAATCTCGCAATGTAGCAGGAAACATACGAGTCAGGCATGTTGAGAAAGTTGAAACCATATGCTAATGTGATATGGGAATGTGACGTGCTAAAAAGTGAGGTTGCAGAGGGATATGAAAACAAGCAAAAGACGAAAGATGACAACAATAGAAAGAGCGACTCTTGTTGTGATCATTGCCATGATGTCGTCGCTATGAGGCGCAAGTCGACACCGCATCATGTCTCGGCGACAGTGAAATCAAGTGCATCGCATTACAGAACAATCATAGTAGCTCCATTCGCTTACCTTCTGGCTGTTATGAGGTAAACATTTTGTGCACAGTGACTTAGTTGTCCTGAAGTCGTATTCTCTTTGTAAAGCTTTCATCGATTAAGCTGCCGAAGTCGATGATGTCGCGATGTCACCACTTTTCGTTCGGAAGAGCACAACAGCAAAGACCAGCAACAGGAAATGCTGTATCTATGTCTCTTCCTCGTGGATGTCTGGGGATTACACGGGGGAGGCACAGAGATGGAGAGGTAAAGAATTGTGGTCATTGTGATATCTGTGGAAGCACAAAGACCAATACTTTGATTAGGAGATACATTATTCCGATCCGATTCATTGCGATCTCTTCTACGGTGGCGCATGTAGACTCCCGTACGGCGGTGCAAAGTAACGTGCATAGACAGCCACACGAATCGATTTCGACCAGGCGTTGTTGGCAGGCAACGGAGGCCTGCATCCGAGGCTGTCTTTATGGCAAGAAGGTTATCTTCCTAGGTACTTTGCTGGCCATTATATGGATGCCCGAGCGGAAACATCCAAATGGACAGCCACTACGGAGTACCAGGTGTACATACGGATACCTTGCTATGAACGTTACGGTCAAAAGAGCCTAGTAAGCGATCCTAGTAAGCGAGCCTATGAGACACCAGAAGCCCGAGTTTTGTGCTCTCGCAGGCAGCGGACTCTCCGATACTGGTTGACTAAAATGTTTGGCGCTTCGTAAAGACGGCGTTGTGATGAGTGTGGAATCACTGGTATTGCAACTGCATACATCTCCGTCAACGCTCGCTACGGTCTTAACGGCAGATCGTTCTTGCAGATCTCCAAGAGCAGAAACAGACATGACATTACATATCCTCTGGTAGTGGTGGCTGGGATGGATGCCAGATGCCAGATGGGACCAGGGCCGTTTAAATGTAGGAATGTCTGTAATCTCAGCACTAGACGAGCCGACGCGAGACCTACTTGTACAATACATTACTACTACAAAGTGGCTCACTTACAATCCTTGCAGCCTTGCAGAGCGGAGCCTTGTCGATAAATGGGAAGCATTCCGCCAATCTTTCGAGAACGGCACCTTCAATCCGTGTGGAATCCAATGAAAGTTGGTCAAGGGGCGTGGTCAGCATCGTTGTTGATTAGTATACGGAGTAGTTGTCCTGTTTCGCAAAGAACGAGCCATCCGGATTATATCTCTCGATGGCGTTGCGGCTTTTTTGTTTTTGGGAAGTTGATTTTTGGTGTCTTTGAAAGCATCCGACATCTTCCAAATACCATTCGTTTGTTAGTCAGGAACGAGTATGAGGTGAGCGGGATTTCAGAGTAGCACTTTGTGAATGGTTTATCAGGATTACTCCATAGAATATTTTTTATCCTTTGGAATTTCCGAGCAATGGCAAAAGAGTGCGCCGTGCTGCGATATCGTCCCAACGCTTCCATCATCCTCGTGGATTTCCATCCTTTACGTCAATCTCGATTGGATCCACCTTCCGGCCGCTTCGTGGTCCTCAATCCGGACTTTGTTTGAATCACCCTACAACACGCTTATCGCCTTCGTCTCTCTCGTCTCCCTGGCCCCTTTCCACCAGTCATGCTCGTGCAGACATTCCCGAGCGAGGTGGGAAAAGCACACCGCTGGATCAAACCTCAGCACTCCATAATGCTGCATCACTCGTGGCGGACCGCGATGGAGATTGAAACCTGACCGTGTTTCCAATATAAAAAAATGTCCCTGCACCAATCCCGTCGATCGCTATACGAAATATTGACCACCTTTGCACGGCTTCTTCGAGTTCTATTGAGATGATGATGTAACTTACAGAAAGCAGGATCTATTGTATATTGTGTTTGTCCTTGCAGAAGCCGTGTGCTCTCCACGTCTCGACCATGTTGACAATGGCGGCCACAGTCATAGCGCAGCCTTGCTGGTTGTTGACGCTACCTGACGAGTTGAAACTACACATTGTCAACTATGTAAGACCCTACCGCCATCGTGGCAAGGTTCCATGCTAACATAGATCAGCTCGACACTCGTAGGGATATTTACAACTTGTCTAGAACATGCCGTACCCTCGAAGACGCAGCCATGGCTCGTCTGTACTACGACGTGGACTTGAGTCTATCAGAAGTCAAAGCCTTGCGAACTCCCATTCTCCGCACTCCAGTGACTCATTCCGTTCGACATATCACACTCAGAAATGAAAGGACAAGGAAGAGAGATACCGAGACTGTCTCGCAGCATGACCAAGTAGACCGGTTGTTGGACATCATACCCGCAGGTCGACTGATCAGCTTTATGTGAGTGGGATTGAATTGCAGACACCGAGCATCGGCTAACGGCGACAGGCTGCTTCATCAAACTGCCCTGACGGCACAGACCTTGAATCTACTCACGCACCGCCACGGGACCAGTCTACAGTCTCTCGGTTTCTGCGAACTCGCTCCCTCGCTGGAGCCGACGATCGTCCCCTCGAACCTGACCGGTCTCGAATGTCGGACTGTCAACGACGGAGAAGGAGTTGAGAAGATCATATCGGCAAGCACAAATACTTTGCAGAGGTTGCACTTGGGACAGGAGAAACCACTGCTGATGGCCTACCACAGCTCACGAGTTGGCTCGCTGGAACGAATCCCACAACCAAAAGAGACGTTCTTTTCCGCTGCTTTTGCCATGGAAAACATGCCACGATTGCGCGACCTCTCCCTCTCTGGCATTGACTTGATGCACCTTCGACCGTCGTCGATTCCCCGGATCCTGTTCTTCTGCGGGCTTGAACGCCTCTCCTTGGAGTCCTGCCCCGGCACCACGGAATTTCTCGACGAGATAGCGACGGCCTTTACCTGGGTCACATATTCGGCTGACGCTCCGCAGACTCCTCGCACCCTTCCGTCCCTCAGACACTTCCTCCTGCGGCACGAGAGTCCCACGGCCGCCCTCAAAGCCGCCCTGGTGCACTTTTCCACATCCTTCACCGGTCTCCGCACACTCTCGGTGCTCTTCGAAAACGGCACCATTTTCGAGCGACCTTCGACTCTGATCGCTGGCCACGGCCCCACACTGCGCACGCTCGTCCTTGAGGCTCGCATCCAGCCTCGCGAGCACCTCGGCCTGGACACGTCCCGTCCGTTCGGGGCCGGCGGATACTCATCGGACCTCTGGGCGGACACGATCGACGACATTGCACGCCTCTGTCCGAACATCGAACAGCTCGGGATGGGCTTCCCCTGGAGCGACGAGATGGTGAGGTTGCGCAAAACATCACTCCCCGCCCTCGCGCGTCTCAAGACGATGCACGTCCGCAACTTCCCGGAGAACCGGGTCTGCTCCCAGGTCGGCGATTACAGCATCAAGGAGTACGCGAACAGGTTCATCGAGTGGGCCTTTCCGCAGACCTCAGTCGGCAGTAACAAACCGAGTCTCGAGCATCTCGCCATTGGCCCCACAGTACACGAGAGTCGTTGGAAGATGGCTCCCGGGGCTTTTGCTGCTGGTCCCAGGTCCTCCCAACCTCCCGAATTCCTGAGGACTCATCACTTTTGTCTGGATTGGGCCCAGACACGTTTCGGACATTGGAGTCCACTGACCACCCCGGTAAGTGAGAAGTTCATGGAAGAAATTATAGGACAAAAACCCCTCAAAGGTGTGTTTGAGCAGGTGTGGTTGAAATAGTGCCTCCCATCTGTCTACTCATTTTGCCATGGCGTCTTATTTCGGTGTGGATGGCGTTCAATTTGTGGTCGTCAATTAGCGATTGGTGTAGCGCTGCTCTTGGAATTTTTTTCTCTCTCTTTTCTTCTTTCTTCTCGGGCATCTATCTTCAAACCATATGGAACCTTCACATCGGCGCACGGAGATTGGCTTTGCCCTTTGATCTGTTTCCTTTTTACACACGTGATAGATCTTGTTGGGATGGGTCAAAGGAGGAGTAGGATGAGACTGAGGCGTTCATTTCGGTGGTGGCTGTTCTGTTCAGGCTCACGACTATAGAACCTGCCGGACGTCTGTCTCAATCACTTATGTACTTGATGCGACTTTTTTTGGGCCGCCACGATACCCCGTCTGCAATTATGCACGAATAAATAGACTTGATTACTTCACAATGACGACTGATGAGCCAAATAAATAAACATTTGTTGTTGACATGTAAGTGCGAGTGCCGGGGTTGCAGTGGCTTTTTCTCTGTCTCGCAAAAGAATACAGGATATACAAGTACATATAACGTACACATGAATCATGCATGTTGTTGTACGTACAATCGTGGTATTAGAAAAACCAAATGATCAATACGTCTGTGGGACCCCACCATTCTCGAGCATGTCCGTCAGCCGCTGCCGTCTCGTGGACAGAAACTCGCGTGTACTGACCCTGCCTCGACGCAGGATGGTCGTGGATGAATCCTGGTTATCGCGAGTGTGTGCCTCAGAGGGTGCGCCGACCGGGACCGTTTCCGTCGACTGCTTGTGACTCATGCTGCCCATGTTCCTCGTGTCGGGGACAGAGTCGCCGGTCGAGGTCGGTCGTCTTTCGTTGTTTGCCTCTGGTGGTTCGTTGTGAGACTCGCTCTCGACCCACCGAGTCCAATGGTTGCGGATGTTCGGCATGAGGACGCCACTGTCAATCTCCCTCTGCATGTGGGAAGTCAACGAGGCGATCTTTTTGTGTTTGATGTCGTGATGTTGTTGCTCCAAAGCTCTCAACATCGCCGCGTCGGCTGTTGAAGTGTCACCGGCCCTGCCAATTTGCGAACCCTCCCGATATCCGGGGGCAGTCGTCTTCTGCGCTTTGTCGACGGCACTGACCTTGACTTTGACAATTGCGTTCGATTTCTCGTCCCACACCCAGTCTCCAGACTTGCCACCGCTCTTGGCAACGACTCGAGTCGCCGTCAACACCATGGCCTTGTCCACCCCCTTGAGCATGTCGTACATGGTCAAGCCGGCGACGGAGGCGGCCGACATGGCCTCCATCTCTACGCCTGTTTTGCCTTCGCAGTCGACCGTAGCCATGACCGCGACGCCGCCAAATCTCAGCGTGTCTGGGCTCAGTCCCAGGGACCCGGCGGTGAACGGCTTGGGGAGTTGATCACTCATGAACGGCTCCAGGCGGACCTTCACACCCGTGATGGACAGGCCGGGATGGGCGAGTGGGATGAGGTCGGCCGTCTTCTTTGCGGCTTGGATTCCGGCGATGCGAGCCACAGCTATGGCATCACCCTTGCGCAGACGAGCTGCCAGCAAGGCTCTGTACGTCTGAGGGTCGGAGAAGAGCAGAACGGTGGTTGCCGTGGCGGATCGTCTTGTTGGGACCTTACCCGAGATCGAAACCATGTGAGCTTCACCATCTGATGTGAGATGGTTCAGCTCGGGAGGATCCTTCTCAAATTCTGATGATGAGGAGGAGCTGTGGCGCACATTTTCTTGGGAAGATAGCTTGCGTTGTTTGAGTCGAGCCCTGGCTTCGGGCCAGGTATGGCTTCTGAAAGAGGGGATGTTTTCCGGCTCGGTCGTCGGAAGGAAGCGAAATGCTTCTTGACAGCGAATGTAGCGGAATGTGTTCTTGGTTAGGGCTCGCCTCGGCCCTGTTGGTTGTGAAGCTGAATCATGATAGCATCGACGAGAGAGTGCTGAATTGGGTGCCGTGGTGAATGAGAAGTGCCGCCATTGTTGCCGAGATATGCTAGGTGTCGAACTTCCTAACAGGTGGAAAGGTATAGATGACGAGAGATATTTGCTGGGATGCGTGCTGGACTGAAGCTCTGAGTACGATCGAGGCAAAGGAGAGGTGGGAGAAGAAGAGGGCATGTCATCTACAGAGCAAGTCAGCACCGCAACTGACCACACAAACAAGGACAAAATCTCGACGTAGAGCGTGTATTCAAACTTGAATATGGGTCTATGTTCATTACGAAATGGTCGTGACCTCCAAGTGAGAATATGCTTGTTTTATATCTCCGTATAGACCGTGAACACCTGGGATGGGGACAATATGTTGATATGGCTTACCCACCGATTAAAATCATTGGCCTGTTCTTCATGTTTTCCAGCTCGCCAATGCCGGCATGCTTTTCCTTCTTCCGTTTGACAGCCATGCCGATCACGTCGAGTAATCTGGCTTCCTTTTCAGAGAACCCCAACTCACCAGTACTATCTGGAAGGCCTTGTCGTCGGTCCATTTCGATTTGCCTGATGGCCTCCATGGCTTCAGCGTCAATAGGCCTTCCATTGTTAGATTCCCGAAGGATATCACGAAGGGAGACTTCCGCATTTCCAAAAAGGCAAACCTTCAAGTTGCCGTCACCAGTAATGCGAAGTCTGTTGCATGTGCCACAGAAGTTGTGCGTCATGCTGGTGATGAAACCAATGCGACCAACAAAACCGGGAATCTGGTATGTTTTGCTCGTGTCATTCTTGTGGTCTTGAACTTTTTGGACGTCGGGATACTTTTGCCGAATAAGCGCGAGCATCTCGCCAAAGCTAATCATTTTCTTTTCCGACCATTTGTTGCCGTCAAATGGCATGTATTCGATGAAGCGCACTTCGATGTCTTGTTCTCTGCCAAGTTCGACAAACGGCAGTATTTCTCTTTCGTTCAGTCCGCGCATGACCACACAATTGATCTTCAGCCGAATGCCTGCGCCGAGTTTGTTCATCTCCAGAATGCGGTTGATGGATTTCATCACTGCGTCATGCCCATTTCTGCGGGTCATGATGGTGAATTGATAAGGATCGAGGGTGTCCAAGCTTAAATTCACCCCAGTTAGACCAGACTCGACCATTGAATCCAGCTTGCGGTGCAGGGATATCCCGTTTGTAGTAATGCATAGTTCTTTCAATCCATTTTTCCTAAGATTCCCAATTTCATGCATGAGCTCGACTATATCTTTCCGAACTGTAGGTTCACCACCCGTCAGTCGAATTTTGTTCACGCCCTGGTTGACAAACAACTCGGCCAGGTAGATGATCTCCGGAGTGGTCAACAGCTGCTCTGATGGAGACAACTGAACACCCTCCTCGGGCATGCAATAAAGGCATCGTAAATTGCAACGTTCGGTGACGGAGATACGCAGATAGTTGTGCTCTCTGGAGTAATTGTCGGTCAAAAAGGAGGAGAAGGACCGCGGTTCTTGTTCCTTGCGCAGTTTGTCCAAACGACGTCTTTCCGGGGCAGGTTGTCCTGACCCTTCCACTTTATGCGCTTGCCATTGAGGTGTGTCTTGATTAGCTGGCCTCGGCTGCGCAGCTGCTGCGGTCGACAAAGGACGCTGAGGATAGCGAAGCGGTTTCGTGTGGCGAAAAGATTGCGGCCGGGTTTGACGTAACGAGGTTGCTATCATCTGCTTGAAAGCAGCCTCAGCCATGGTGACGAGGTGTGAAATAGTGGAATGATTTCTGGCATTGGAAAACCAGACATCAACAAAGCTATATTATCATGATTAACAAACACATGGACTCGGACAGGATGAAGGATGAGGCACGCGCGGAAAAAGCAAGCCAAATGTTCCAACGAATGGCTTCAACCGAGGACAGGTGAAGTGCGAGGATGCAACTGCGATTAGTCACAATTTCACTTTTGGATAGCACACAGCCGTTTGATGGACGAGGAGAAGATGAAAAACTCGGAGATGGACGACAAGTTGTTTGGTGCTGCTCGTACCGCCTCGTACGAGTAAGAAAGGGTCGACAGCAGCTTGTGGCTGTGCAATGTGGCTGTCTGTGGCGCTCCATAGAGTCACGTGATACAGGCGCCTAATAGCAGCGATTGACTCCTCGTTCTCACTGAATTCCATCAAACACGGCTTACTGGTGCTGCCAAGCTGCTTACGAGGTCTTTTCCGTCGCCTTTGTTCGAATCACACCGGAGCATTCGGAATTTTGGAGGATTACTTCCAGATGTGGCTGCTGGGCTACGTCAGCTTGCGAGCAGGTTCATGAGTAATTGAAGGCTTGGACATCGCAGGAGGGCTGAAGTGTGCCCTATGTATCACTAGTGGATTGGGAAGCAAGCGTCATTTCACAATAAAAGTGGTTGTGTGAGGGCACGACTCATGCAATCCGCGAGGATCGAGCTCGCGAGAACCAAGGTCACGACTACCTCATTTCATATCTCGCGTGCTGTCAATAAAATCTCAGGGATGACAGCTGTGGCTCCGACAGAACAGGGGCTGTTTCAACGGTGTTTCGGAGCACACGGCTCTTGGTTGTGGCTAAAGGGTCGACCGAGTGAAGGTTATCAAGGAGACGTCTAGTTCACGTCTGACATGCCAGCTATCCCCAGAATAACCCTTTTGCACAGTAGGACTCTCTCATACATCGAAGACCGCAGAGTTCTGTCGTTTGAAAACAGATTTGATTTGACAGCGCGGCAATTGATGTCCTCGCAGACCACCAGAAAAACTCAGTTTGCAGGTACCGGAAGTGGAACTGAGACTTTACCATGAATAGAACACACGCCGATGTGCCAGCAGCCAGTAATATGGATAAACAAGGGGACGTGCGGTGTTCAGGTACTTCCGTGGGCGTTGGATCAAGTACTGCGCTGTGTACAGGGATCTGTAAGTGCCATAATCTGGATATGTACTCTTGTAGAAGATCGACCAGCATTCGATACAATACTCGGGTCGGAGATACAGCACAAGTCGATGCACCGAGTGTTAGGAACGAATCCCTAAGGCACCCAAGGATGACCCAAAGAGGTGGCTCGGTGAGTTGGAGGACCGGAGTGGAGGATGCCGGTGTTCCGTCGCTGCCAGTCGCAAACAGAATGTGATTGGAGGTGAATCACGGCACAGCCTCAGTCACTCATCTTTGGCTTCTGCCGGGCCCGACGGGCGCTGGTCTTCGTCCCTCTTGTCTCCCTCTGCTCACTGCCCACTGCCCACTGCCCACTATTCACTGCTCACTGTTCATCCCTTCCCAGTCCAGCTGCAACTCACTGCCAACTTCTCATCCCTTTCTACTCTTTCCCTTCTCACTACTACTCCTCCTGCTCCCAGACGCCTCGATCACCCTCGTTGTCCCCCAAAGAACCTCATCGACACGACCTCAACACCATCCGCCTCAGAACGATCGTTATCCGCAGGCGGTCACATTGAACCCGCTAATCCAGGCAACATCCTTGGCCGCGCAGACCGATACACACCAACCCACCCCCAACCATCAACAACATCTCCAGGATGAACCATCTCAACACAAACTTTGATCCCGATTCTTTTCTTAACCTAGACAACGACTTCACCCCGTCATCGACTCCCAACGCGAGGTCAGTGCCTATGCTGACTCCTCAATCGTCTACCCTCCCCAATTCCGCAACCACATTTGCCTCGTCCGCCTCGTCTCAATCCTTCCCTGCGCCGAGCTTCCAGTATGATGCGTATCATCAACAGACAGGCATTCCTATCGGAGCATTAGCGAGCACATTCAACATCAACAGAGCAAGCGGACTTCACTACAACGAATCGACCGGAGGGTTTGTCATGCCCACCGAGACATTGAATATGCCATGGAGTAATTTGGACGAGTTTGATTTCAAGCAAAACCCTGCAGACATGGACTTTGAGACGGATTCCCCGAACGATCTCCCAGCCATGTTCTTCCCGGACCAATCCTCTGGCCAGAACCAGTTTGTCAGTCCCAATACATTGGTCGGCGCTGGCAACAATGGCTCCGCACCGGTTCAACGAATCTATCCGGGCATGCACAGTCAACAAGCCGCTCAAGCAAAAGCGCAGCAGGCTCAAAAACAGGAGCAAATGGCCCGTCAACAGCAGCAGCGACCTACAGGACAGAAGCCCCTTCCAATTCCCTCGCCCACCAAGACTCCACTTACCAAGGATCCTCTTGTTGAAGAGAGCATTTCTAAAGTCCTCAACCGCATGAGACAGGCCAGTGTTGTATCTCACTCAGAAGAAGATGCTTCTGTCAGCGGCATCTCAGGAATGCCTAAGATGAAGAAGGATGAAGACGAAATGGATGATGATGAAAGGCTTTTGGCCAGCGAAGAGGGCAAGAAATTGTCCAGCAAAGAAAGACGACAGCTCAGAAACAAAGTATCAGCTCGTGCATTCCGCTCTCGCAGAAAAGGTGAGTCGTAGTCATGTACCTGGCCTCAGATGATCTTCCTACTGACTGTCCCTTAGAATACATTGGCCAACTGGAAGGCGAAGTCGCTGCCAAGGCACAGGAAGCAAATGAATTACGGACACAAAACCAGCAACTACGGGAAGAGAATACCCGTCTCACCGATCTCACCCGCATGTTGCTCTCCTCGCAGGCCTTCTCTGGTTTCTTACAAGAGTTGAGCCAATCCGGCCTCCCGGCGCCAAACACTCAACTCGACGCTCAAAAACAAAAGGCTGGTCAAAACCAAAGTCAGTCTCAGCCTCAGTCCGCCCAGAAGGACGTTGCCTCCCATAACAGTGCCCAACAGATGCACGTTCAACAACCCCAAATAGGAATGGCTTTGATACCGGAAACACCAATGGATTTTGCGGCGTTTCAGCCTTCTAACGCCTGGATGACTGCCCTACCAACGAACGACTTCCAAGTATTTGCGGTGACAGAACTACCTCAAGCTCCTGTGCTTGATGTTGAAGCTCTGTCCCCAAAGTCATCATCATTCTCGAGTGTATTGAAGTCTGCTAAATCGACTCCAGCCATTCCAGAGACTCCTAGAACCTTTGAACACGAGGCAGAGCAATCGAAGCCCACTCAGGTCGATGACTCTGTCGTACTAGACCGCGAGGCTTTTGCATTGTACTTTGATTCCTCTGTACCTGCCTGTTGCGAGTCTTCTGCTGATGTTGACTTGACCCCGGTTCCCACGGATGAAGACATAACAGAAGAGGAGAAGTTGGACAGTCTGAAAAGAATGTGTTCGATCCTGGATGCAGCTTGCAGTAGACTTGCAGACTTTACTCCGAGCACGTAAAGTGAATTATTTTATTATTGACAATGGTGCCAGGGATGAATGATGGATGAGATGAGATGTCCATCCTTCTAGCCTTTGAATGCTTGGGTAGTATATAGTTTATGAACCTGGTCTGTTTCTCTCCTTTCCACTTTCTGCTCACGTAGGCGCATATGCTCTCTTGCGAAAAGCAACGCGCAGTTGGACATACATGAACGATTACCGTAGAGATAATACGTCTATACAGACGGGGTAGTAATGGTATATTGCAAGTTGTGAGCGGACTTTGAGTCGATCCAATTGGCGGGGACAGTACGCGCAGTGACGCATTCGTAGACAACATTTTATTTGTGCAGACAGGAACATTTTTCTAAGTCGACTCATCCATCTTTATTGAGACGCACCGTCCCACATTCCTTTGGCACAAGTTGACTTCTTGATGAGCTAGTATACCATATGCTTGCTGTCTGGTGTTGTGTTGTCTATTATTCAAGCATACTGTCGCCCTGGCTTCCTTTACTCGTGCTCTTGTTCGCCGACAGGCCTTCTTCACGCACCGGCTGCTTACCAGACGATTGAGTACACCCCGAGTACCTTTTCTTGCACAATCCTATAAACATCTTTCGACTGTCAAATATCTGAGATTGCCCACTACTCAGTCCCATGGCCGATCAAACGGCAATCATCCGGATCTAGGCCTCCCATCACAAACGGCGCCCGGTTCTGGCAATGTGTGCGCCCACAAGAAAGCGCAAAGGAAGAAGGAAATACGAAATTTTCACAAGACAGCACTCCTTGCCGTGAGGAAGCGGCGAAATATACCACCGTCCAAGACGGAGCTGCGAAGAGCGCGAGCGAAGATTGTCAAGATGAGCCATCACGATCATGGACTGAAATCTGTTGGTGTACGGACGAATTTTCACGCCCAGTTTATAACTACACCAACCTCTGATACTCCCGGAACTAGTCTACTGTTGCACTTTGACAGCAAGAGATATCTTATTGGACAACTAGCTGAGGGGACACAAAGAGCGTCCATCCAGCGCGGACTAGGCCTGCGGAAGATCCGAGGGCTGTTCTTGACCGGCAAAACTGAATGGAACAATGGAGGGCTGATAGGTACGATCCTTACCATGGCTGATGTACAGCAGGGTGAGGTTGAAAGCGATGGCTCGAACCAACGACCGAGACTCAATATCTACGGAGGGCCGAAACAACTTCAATCTCTTGCCTGCGCTCGAAGATTTGTGTTTCGCACAGGGATGCCCCTTTCCGTTCACGAATTCGATGCAGCTAAACACAAAATGCCTCGAAAAATCCATGAAGACGAAAACATTCGTGCCTGGGCAATCGCGACACATCCTGGCGCCGATACGTCTGCTGATTCTGACATCACCGACCTATCTGATACTGACCGCATTCCTTGCGAGCATGAGCTCGACGAGCTCCGTAGTGAAACCGAACAGGCTCTTCGCAGTAAAATTGTGAACAATATGTTCGACTCTGGATGGAAAAAAGATCGACTTGTTGAGACCAAACTCAAAGACATCAATCTCCCTGCCCTAGTATGGACAAGAAACCCAGAAACCAAGGAACTACAGCCCCACACATGCCTCGACCAGAACAACATTGGTGGACTAACGCTCGATACTGCGGTGTTGGTACGTACCCCTTGGCCTGCGTCGACAGTTGAGAAGCTTCCTGATGCATCGGGACTTCCAAGCAATGTCTCCATGTCTTATATCGTCAAGGGGCATGCGCAGCGCGGCGCCTTTTCGCCCCAAAAAGCGAAGGAACTTTCCCTCAAGCCTGGCAAAAAGTTTGCGGAGCTGGTTGCCGGCAAAAGTGTTGAAAACGAAAAGGGTGAAATGATTACACCAGACATGGTTCTCGAACCAGGCCGACCGGGAAGAGGCATCGCCATTTTTGACGTCCCTTCGGTCTCCCATTTCCTTTCTCTTGAGACACAATTAGGAGACCAGGGTGATGAACTCCTTGAGGGCGTCGAGGCGGCTGTCTGGGTGTGCAGAGGTAGTCTGCCCTTCAGCCCGCGTTTCCAGTCGCTGCTTCATAAGTTTAAGTCCATGAAACATATCATATCGCATCCAGATATCAGCACCGATTATATCACCCAAACATCGAGTGCTCGATCCTCGTTGAGGCTGTCCAAAATTGCTTCGGAGTTCTTTACGGTCCCTCGATACGACAATTTCAATGGATACAAACCCTGTCGGCATGCAAAGGGCAGAGATTTACAAGACGTGCGGGCGATGATCAAAGTTGATGACCCTGAGATCGAAATTGTCGCTGCAACGAGGGGATTGAAGGTCAATATTGAACCAAAGCTTACTCTCGATGACAGTGAAGTTCCGGCAACCGAAGACCTAGCGACATTGGGTCTCGCGTTGGACCAAACGATCAGAGATTTATTTCCCGAGGACATGTCCCCATATCAGAGATCTACGCCGGCCTCATCTAGTGATTTAGAGGAACCAGAAATTCTAACGTTGGGAACCGGCTCTGCGGCGCCATCGAAATACCGCAACGTATCTGCTGTCTTGCTTCGAATGCCTCACGGAATGGGCAACTACCTATTTGATTGTGGAGAGGGGACGTTGGGTCAATTAAGACGACTATATGATAAAGAGCAGCTGGACGAAATACTGTACAATCTCAAGGCTGTTTGGATTTCACATCTTCATGCCGACCATCACCTGGGTACCATGTCAATCCTTCAAGCTGCCATGGCAGCTCGCAAAGCGCGTACAAGTCAGGGCGCGCCTCGTCCTGCACCTCCTTGTCTGATTTCGGAGGAGAATATGATTGACTATATGGACGATTATCAGACGGTTCTCGGGGCGCGGACAGAGTCTCTCTGCATTCCTGTTGTCTGCCACTGGGCAAGATCGCCTGCCATGTCACTACGCGGGTTGCCATTCGACCTTCGGCAGGCTGACGTCCCCATTCGGGAATTAAAAACGGTAAGAGTCAATCACTGCCACGGTGCTCAAGCAATCTCTGTCACGTTCAACGACGGGTTCAAGTTCTCATACAGTGGCGACTGTCGACCGAATGAATCCTTCTGCCAGATCGGCGCCGATTCCGATGTCCTTGTTCACGAGGCCACTTTCGACGATGGCCTCGAGGGTGACGCGAAGGCCAAGAAGCACTGCACGACGGGAGAGGCAGTCGGTGTTGCTTTGGGCATGCGGGCGAAGAACCTGATCCTCACCCACTTTAGCCAAAGGTACCAAAAGATCCCGGTGCTCAGCGGCGTAAAGATGCCGGAGCGTGTGTCGGAAGAGGAGTTGCTCGATGACGATGACGGTGAAATGACGGCCGGTCCTGGGATCGGTGCACCTCAAGAAGAAGCGAGTGGAGTGTCTCAAAAGTCCGACGCTACAGCCTGGTTGGATGGGGACGTCACTCGCAACCTGAACATTGGTGTCGCTTTCGACCTCATGAGAGTCAGAGTCTCGCAGATCGCGTCGATGAAGAAACTCTTCCCGGCGATTTCGAGAATGTTTGAGGTCGAACAGATCAAGCGTGACAAAGAACGGCAGGAGGTCAGTGCCGCACTGAAGGCGATCGAGGAGCGGAAGAATGCCGAAAAAATCGCCCGCCAGGAGGCCCACAGGAGAAGGTTCGAAGAGTCCCAGGCCAAGAAGAAGGCCCAAAAGGCCGCGAACCAGCAAAAGGGCAACAAGAGGAAGCTCGGGCAAGAGAGGGAGATCGGTGGTGGTGGAGGAAACGGAGGACAATCTACGGGTGCGACAAGTAACGGGAGCGCCGTTGCGCCTGACGGGGACATGACGACGACCTCATCATCCCCACCGCGGACCCAGGCCCAGGGACAGGCACAAGCTGGTGAGAACGACACACGTTTGAAATCGGATGAGAATGCTAAGCGTCTTCAGAAATGTGATGCCGGGGACGTCACGGCCGACGATGATGACGACGACGACGACGAGGGGACGACGAGTCCAGGTCAACGAGAGGAAAAGGAGCAGAAGAAGCGTAAACTCGACCCTGCGCCTGCCTAGATTGTGCTCCCCTTTCCAATACAACAAAGGTCCACGCCCGCTTCTTCTTCTTCCTCTCTCTCTCTCTGTCTCCCTTTGCGGGACAAGGGCACAAACGGACGGAACGTTGGACACCAAAGACCAATTCCTCGCTCCAAAAACGAGCCAAGCCGACGGTCGATTGGAGAAGAGAAGAAAAAAAAGGGGTACTTTGCTGTCGTGGTCATTGTTGTTGTTGTGTCACTCCGTACTTGTGTGGAAAACGTTTCAGGAGGTCCAAGAATCTCCTCCCTCCCTTCCAAACAGGGCTGGTATTGGCCGAGTAGTACCACTCAGTTTTTGTACACCTACATCACTCACTCTCCACTAAACAAGTAACTGAGTGAGAGCGGGTGCTTGCATACACGTACCCACCTCCAGAGAGAGAGAGAGAGAGAGAGAGAAAGAAAAAAGGACATGCTCTGTCGCTGCTCATCGCGACCCTTTTTTTTTCCCCCCCACAAAAGACTCTTTTCTCTGTCGGTGCGGCATTGTCGGCCTGAAAATCAAAGTGAGCACCCTGTGAACATGATTTGCTACGTCAAAGCCAAAATGCCCTCCTACCGACTGGGCACATACCTACAGAGGTACTTCCCGGGGCGCGTGACGAAAAGGACGGTGGAATCTATTTTCTAATACAAAAAAAACCCCCCAATCATCAACTCTCCAACTTTGACACAAAACACTCGCTTAGTCTGTCTCTGTCTTTGTTCGTCTGTCTGTCTGTCTACCTCAAACTCGAGAAGGAAAAAACAAGTCTTGGGGGGGTTGCAAATTCAAATGACTAGTCTACAAACATATCATGAGGCCATGAAGACAAAAAAAATGCACTCTAGCGTTCGTTCTAAAGTGTCTTTTTCGCCCCAAGAAAACTCCAAGCATGTCCTTCGAACACGCAAAGGATTGACGGGAAAAGGGGGAAATTTGGTGGGACGGAGGAGGGAAGAAAGGGGGGAATAGAAATATGCGAGGGGGTATCATGGTGCTCTGTCTGTGTGTATTTCCAAATCAACGCGCCAGTCGGTACATTCAGTCCTGCCAATACACCTTCCGATAATCGTCCATGCTACCTGCTCTCAACCATCCCCTGATCTTTCATTCTTCCAATAACGGGTGTCCAGTACTGGGGTTGAAGGAAAAGATCGAGGTCTGATCTTCATCTATAGAGGATCGGTCGGTCCATCCTGATACCCACCTAGGGAGCAATTCATAGTTGATGCGGCCGCAGTAAGTGCCGAGTTGAGGGCCATAGTAACAAGGTGGCAGGAGAGGCAGTGGTCTCGGACAAGTTGGACGACTCGGTGGTACTTGTCGAGGTGATTGCACGGGGTGCTGTGGCTGAATGCCAATCTGGTTGCGCCAGAAGGGTTGTCGCTTGTCGACGTGACCATATGCTCCGTACCGTTGAAGGTCTGATTCGTCATCAACTTCAGCTGATTCCACAATGGTATCGGCTTCTGATGAGAAATGACCTTTTCAACGACCGGTGGTCAGCGTTCTGACAGACTGGGGACTGCTGTGCTGTGCTGTGCTGTGCTTGGTTTGGGCTAGTGCTGGTGCTGGTGCTAGTGTTGGGCAAGGATGGTGTAGGACGGCGGTGGTCGATGCCGGGGAGATGAATAAGCATAATCGGGACTAGAGATATTTTTCGACATCAAGTCATGACGGTACCTTGATGTTGAGTCTGTCGTTTGACTTGTTCTCTGGCCCAACGTGCTGCAGTAATGGTTCGTGATGAAAATTCGCGACTAGCTCGAGTTTCTTTGATGAGTTTCGTGACCCATTCTTGTCTGTAATAGTTGGAGAGGGATCCGTCTGGGAATGCCTCGCCGAGGTCACTTGAACGAGTCTGTTAGTGATGATGAAGTTTTTATCAAGAGGTGACTTACGCAATGATGCCCATGCAAGCCCTCAGGAGTCCTTCGTTGCGGTTCAAGTCGTTCGACACTGTTTGTAGAAATTCGAAAATCGTCGGGACGTAATTTTGAAGAAGTTGCACTGTTGTGTATGTAAGCAAGTCGTTCATATCTCCTATGACCAGATTTCTCACCTTTCTCTGTACCCTTGAAAGCTAAGATCAAGCCGGACCAGGCATCGGCAATCCCTGAACGAAGTGACACGATGTAGTCAAGCATGTCAAATGAAACGTCATTTGCAACAGACACGTTGTTTGCCTGTTGAAGGACTTGGGCAACCACCGTCACGTAAGTCTCAAAGTGTTCGCCAATGCTGGTGGCGACATCACCAAAGGTCTCAAGGATCGGAGGCTTGAGTTGGTTGGCAAGTTTATCGGACTGCATCAAGTTAGTTATTGAGTTTTGACAACATCAAGCACGACATACCCTAAGGTTATTCAAAAGATAGTTCATAAACGTGTCGCAATAAGGTTGGGCCTTGTCCTCCAATGCACGGACGATGTCGCTGACAAGACCAATGGCCAAAGAGCACATATCTGGAGCCTCTTGATTGCCCAAGGCGTTGTACAGATACGGGACAAACGAGTCCATGTACTTGAGGAAATCGCCTGCCAGAGCGTTTGCCAGCCCACTGACAATCTGGAAAATGACTTCAGGAACGGCGGTCTGGCCAGTGACATTGAGAACCTCCAATGAGATCTGCATGACTCGGTCTGCTTGAGGAGCAATGTTCTGTTCGAGCCGTTGAACAATGGCAAGCAAGACACTGCTCAAGCTGACTTGCAGTTCTTCAAGAGTGATCTTGTCATCAATGCTAACGATTTGCTTCTGCATGGGGATTGTGGCCTCCAGACGTTGGATGACGACGTTGGAAAGTTCTGCCACAATCTGTAGGCTATCATGAGCAGCATTGGTCACGAAACCGCCAAGAACCTCATAAGCGGCAGTTCGAAGTTGGTTATTGGCCCCTTCTTTTTCCGTGACGGCCAGCAACGAGGTGACGCTGTCCTGGAAATGTGGCGTAAGAGGGTTTGCAGCAGCTCCGTCTTCACCCACAAATCGCTCCGTCAAGTTCAAGAGTGCCAGACAGCAGGATGCGGCAATCTTTGGGTTGGCCATCAAGCCATTGAAGAGAGCCGACATGAGAGGCTGGAGGTGTGTTGATGGGTCAATGCAGTCCGAGCAATAGTCACAGATTCTGCTCAGTGCATACGCTGCCGAATCTTGTACTTGGACGACGGGATCTTGCATCATGCCGATCAGAACTGGGAGGGCTTGTTTGACCAGGGGATCCAGGGTCTTGATCTCGGGGCCATCCATGATCGCACCGAACGAGGATACGGCGGCATCCCTCTTGGTCCAGTCCTCACTGCGCAAATTCTGTTCGACGAATGCCAGCACCGTTGGGACGATCTCCCCGCCGATCGTTTGTGCATAGAGTTGCAGACACTGGTAAGCTGCACGGGCAGTGTTGTATTCGTCCTCGGCGTCATCCTCCGTCACCTTGGTCATCAGCTGAAGCAGAACCGGAACGACTTCTCGAGCTGCGACTCTAGCGAAGTGGAAATAGGGTCGTAGTTCAGTGGAACCTTCTTGCTGTGCTTGTGTATTGTCATCTTCAATGCTGATCTCCTCCTCACAGACGGTGCACCAGAATTCAATAGCCAACTTGGCCACGTCTTCTTCGTCATTCTTCATACCCGCAATCGTCAGGCCGAACAAGGCCTTTTCCATGTAAAATCTCATCTTATCGTAATAGATGCCCATGATCCGGTTGAGACATCCGAAGGCAGCCGCCTGCACTCTCATATCTTGTGATTGGGTGGCCTCGCACACGACCTGCATAATGTAGTTTCTCTCGCCTTCATTCTCAAAGTTGCTGCGGATGAACTCGGTAGCGTCACTAAGGGCCGAGAGGGCAGATAGCCGGACGTCCTGGTTGGTTTCTTCCTTTCTCGCACCCTGAACAACGGCCGTGAGGATGGCGTTCGAGTAACCGACCAGGGACTCGCGGAGCTCGAGATCGTCCGACTCGCAGATGAAGCCGATGGTGGTGAGGCTCGACTGCTTGAGCTTGTCTTCTCCCGAGCCGACATTGTGGACGAGAGCAGGCATCAAATCAGGCCACTCATTGCGGGGCAGTTCGATGGCGGCGACGGTCGCGATGAGCTGGGCGGCGGAAAGGGCGGCCTGGGGTGTGGCATTGAGTGTCTTGAGAGCCAGCTCTTTGACCTGTCGCTTGATCTGAGGATCCACGCCTTGTAGCCATCGTGCCTGGACCTCTCTTAAGCGGGTGATGTCACGGTAGGAAAAGGCATTTTTCAAGGCTAGACCGGCGGCCTGTCGGACCGCTGCGCTGGCTTGGTCGTTGGCGAGTTCTCGAGAGAGGATGGAAAGGTATTCAGACTGCCAAGAGGGTGGTTAGTTGGGAGGTGCTGACGTGGTGTGGTGAAGGGGGTGGAAAAGACGTACAAAATTTCCCTCGCGGGCTTGTCTCAATTGTTCTTCGGCGTTGCCTCGAATCGTCGCATCTAGACACAAGGGTTAGAAGGGCGAAAAAAGAGAAAGATCAAGACATGAAATACTCACCCGGAGAAAAAGTGTTCTCCAGGACTTGATTGACGTCCATGGCTGCCCAGTCGATCAGCGGTCAAGACGACGACGGAGAACAAAAGTTGGTTCCCAAAAAAAGAACAAGAGCCCGCAGCGGGAAGAAGGCTGCAAAAGGTGCGATTTGTTGCCGTTTCAAATAGGAGAGAAGAGACTCAAAAAAGAGGAATTCTAATTTCTGAAGAAGGACAATCGGGGGGACGAGCGAACGCAGGTCTGGAGTCAAGGAAAGAACGACCTGCGGGTTGTGCGTAGAGGAGGCGGAAAAGGTGAGAAGGAAAGGCGGTCGATGTTTTTGAGCAAGAGATCAAGGGCTGCGAATAACTACGCAGCGATTTGTGGTGTTTTGCAAGCAGAATTGGGATTATTGATTGATGTGGGATGTCGATGCGTCTACGGGGCTTCACTAGAGCCCAAACGTAGCCTCTTGGTGACCGGTGCCTGCGCCTGCGACTCGCCCATCGTGACCGCTAAATACGTCGCCTAAGCCAGAACTGACGTACCTAACCATGCTCCTTACCGCCTAAATGAGTTAAAGCCGTTACTCATTATTATGGGATTACGGAGTACTATCCGGAGTACGGACGTACCGTACCTGATTTAATGAACATCACCACTGCCTTCCTAGGTATCTGACCTAGAACTACTTGGCCCTCACTTTTGCTGGCAGTATCTAAACCACCTGCTCAAGGCATCATCAATATCCTCTGGCCACCTGCTTCTTCCATCTCATCATCGCTGTTCTGCCATCGTCGGAAGCAGCGTTTGAGCCTGATCACAAGGCCGAGGCTGAGGCGCAAAGTCTCATCAGCGACGGACAAGGGTTGTGTAGCTCGCTTATCCTGTCACTTTGGGCCAATCGTCGGCCTTGGTCCTTTCTCGTCAGCCTCACCTGTAACCACAATGCCTCAATTTTCTCGGTTTTGTGTAATGTTGGTTCAAAGACCTGGCCCGAATTTCTTCTTCTCTGATTGTGTGATCTTTTCCATTGCTGGTCATACGGATTGACAGAAACTTTGTCCCCCGAACCATCAACCAGTCATAACTTGGTCGCTCATTTCTTCACCTTCTTTTTCTTCCCCAGTCTCATCCGCAGCAGCAGCGTCAAGGTCGAGCACAACATATCCTAGACCAGCCTCGTCTACAACCGCAACGACCCTCCTTCCCACCCTCCCATTGACTTCAAGTCTGGCCGGTGTCATGCCAGAGTTCATCTTGCCCGATTCAAAGACATGATGCACTTCCCAATCATCTGTCGTTGCCTCCACATTGCCGGTGGCCATCCGGGAGAATATCCTAACATCATTCTCCGTTGTACTGGCGAGAACCATGCATGTTTCGTCATCGACAAACTTGACGTCCAGAATGTCCTTCGCCCCAGGGATGCGAGATAGCGGCAGTGTAGTCGGGCCGAAACTCAGACCTCTGCCTCCTTTTTCTTGCTGCTGCATGCTGGAAACAATGTAATGTAGACTGCCTTCTTCTTCTTGCTGATCCCTCGACATGCACAAGAGCCGATAGAGGCTTCTGTCACCATCGTCTGGCACGATCCTGAGATCCAGTCGTTGGGGATCGCACTGTTTCGGAAACTCTAGCAGATGACTGGGTAGTATGCTCTTCCTGAAAGTCTCCGCAACCTGTCCGAAAGCTCTCTCGGCTTGCATCTGTAGTCGTTCTACCAATTCGCCAAAAGGAGGCATCTTCTTTTTGTCCTTGGTCTGTGCAGCTCTTCTCTTCAAGTAGTCGACGAAGAACCCGGCGTCCGTGTTGTCCTCGAAAAGAGCACCCGCCGTCGGCTGACCCGGGTCGTCTGGGACGATGTATTTCTTTATTCTGCTCTCCTTCATGGCGCCCGACATATAGTCTAGTACCATTACCAACTCGTTCTCCCCGGTCCAGGATTCCCTGAGCTCCGCGGCCCTCTCACTGGTCTCCTCGAGGGCTTCGACCTCACACTCCCACTTCAGCCACTTCATGAATGCGGCGAACTCGATCATCTCCATCCTGACATCCTCGAGAAGGTCCTCGGCCAGGATGGCCAAAGCACCCATGGTCTCGGTGACTTTTCTCACATCCTTCTCGTCCAAGCCCAACCGCGAGCTCGTCGGGGCGAACTGTGCGAGGCCATCAAGCCTCGACAGCACCACCTGGCCCCTCTCCAGGGCAGGAATGAGACACTCGCACGTCAGCCTCCGGACAATGTCGAGACAGTCTCCCACGGCCTTCTCCCACCTTTTCAGACCCCTTTCTCCCACCTCGTCGACCAACCACTCCTTGAGCTTCCCGTCGCACTCGCCCGTCACGGCCAGATGGTGCGCGGCGTGCACGAAATCGACATAGTCGTCTCCTTCGGCCAGGGATTCGTTGATGTTGCGTAGAAATCGGCCGGGAAGGTCAAAAGCCGCCTTGACTTCAGACGCCAGCTGCGTGTGGATCTGCGCGACATAACGTAGCAGGTTGCCCAGTTGCGTTGCCTTTCTCGCCACAAGAGGCAGATTCCCGCCCGTGTGAGAAATAAAGCTCATGTCCAGGCCTAGCAGGTGCAGACTCGCACTGTCATCCCCGTCTCCCGTCGTCCGTTCCACCACGAGGAAGGCCGTCGACAGAAAAGGATGACTTTCGATCCTGATCACCTTGCCACCCTTGGAGCCAGAAGGTAGACATGCGCCCACATCCACCGTCCCAATCTCGAAAGAGTCGAAGATCCGGATATGGACGGCGCATCCATCACCGTCGTCACCCTGCAAGCCTACCAGCAACGCATCGACACGGTCAATGGAGCCGCCATACCCAGACCCCGTTTGGCCATTCGCATGAAACACGGCGTCGATGCTTGATCGAGAGCTGAAGATGTCGTCGTCGGTCCCTACACCACGAGGAGGCAGCGTGGCCAGTTTGGGCAAGGATACCTCCATGTCCAGCGCGCTCAGCTCTCGTGGCAGGTCGGCCTTCATGCGCAAAAGTTTGTCGACGTCGGCTCTGAGCCCTAGAATCTCGTCGAGTGTGACTTGAGGATCGGTTTCGTTTAGTCGTGACCGTATGGCCGAGGAAGTCGTGGACGCAAAGTGGGCATTCCAAGAGATGCATGTCGGAGTGTATGATGGTGGCTGTTGTTGAGGTTTTAACGATGATGAAGGTGATGATGATGAGGCTGGTCGTGAGGATTTCGAACTCGTCTGTGATTGAGAAAGTGACAGAGGTCGTGGCTGTGGTATGCGCTTTTGCGATTGCGTAGAGATTCGATGTGCTACCTTGCCTGTGAATGCATTGATCAAGGCGACCATACCGTCCGCACAGGCTACTGCGAGGATTTGTCCTGTAGGGCGGCAGAAAATATTAGTGATCCATGATCAACGATCAAAACACGAAAGGAACTAGTTCCTGTTGAAGATGGTTAACATTAACTCACCATCTCTCCTCCAACATACGCCCCTAATCCATCCCTCTCCGTCTCTTTCGAGCCCTGCCGACTGATCCTGGTCCTGATCGTCATCATCATCACCACCACCACGTTCGAACTCGGCCCCAAAGACCCTCTGCCCATTCAACCTCCACACGTCGACCTGCCCCTCCCTGTGGTCGTTATGGACCTTTTTCACCACCGTCGTCACCAGGTCCATGGTCGGACAGTACGACAGTAACGCGGGCCGACATGGTTCCGTCAGTGTCGTCGTGGCGATTTGATGCATTGTCGGTCGTTGACACCTTTCAAATAGAGTCTCTTAGAAAAGAGAATCCTTGCTGCGTTTTTCTTCCCGTCCTACCCGCGGCTCGTGGGTGTCAGGTATAAGGACAACGACAACGACAACGCTGCAGTGGTAATGCCCGAACGCGTCTTGTTTTATTTACCCAGTGTCATGAATTTCGGGATTCGTGAATCATGAACAAAAAAAAAGCTCCCCGCCCTTGTCACGTATCATCTGCTGTATGTCTGTGTGTATCGTTCCTTCATCCAATCATAAACTCAATGTGAAAATAAAAGGGCGTGTCAGAACTCTTCACCTTTGAAAGGAGCACGCGTGGTAGGGAAAATCGACAACGCCAGATACGGATACAAAGTACGGAGTACACAGTAGTATTTTGCTAGGGCCGAATCTAGCCAAGCCGTTTTTTAATGCTGTCAATCATCACTCAGTTTCAACACCTCGATTATCCCCCCTGTTCTCAATCATTGCTTTCGATGACAGTACGTCTGAATTGAATTGATTTCATTCCGAAAATTCTCAGACTGTCTAGAAGACCCGAGGCGAGTAGATCACAAATGATTTGTCATTATTCTCGATACTCTCTACAACCAAAACCATACAGGCTTTTCCGCCTATTTTGGCACTTTTCATAACTTGAAAAGAAATTCGTTACACCTGTAGTCCTGTGATCCTTCCTTTCTTCATCACGTCTCGTCAAATCAACCATTACCATCCACCGCCATACAGATACAGGTAACGCTATCAAATCTTGGTATCATCGAAAAAAGAAAGAACTGGGGTTCCGTTATACGGGATTAGTAAAATCGGAAAGGGGGTCGTTCAGTTTGTCGACCCTGGGTAAGAATATGCAAAGGTGTCTTGTCGGTCAAAGAGAAGGATCTCAATGTTGCTGGATCATACCACTGAGGTAGCTCAGTTCATCCAGTAACTCCTGCATGCCGGTGGAATGTGGAAGGCTTGAACCACCGAGTACTGCGCCTTGAGACTGAAATTCGTTCGGTCGATTGTGCTCACCGACAACCAACGGGGCCACCTGCTCCGTTGTCACAGCCGATTTGACAGTGACCCCAGAAGCCCCATCTTCCGTCGGGAGGCTATAATGCTGAAACTTGCCCCAGGAAAAGTCTGCGTCTCTGGCACTGTCTAAATCGACGTGAGAACTGGGTGTCGCTGAAGAAGCTACGGAACTGAGGGTTGAGATGCTGAGTGCCGTAGGCATGCCAGCCTGAGCGGATTCTGTATGTGTTGATGTCTTGTACTCGTGTGGGTTTCTGGCCGGCTCAATAACCTCGATGGACTGACAGTCACCGTAATCGAGCTCTGATTCCAAGGGTGGACTCATTGGCTCAAAATCGAGAAGACTGGATGCATATTCCGACCGAGGTGAGATCCGGGTTGTACTGATCGTCCAATCAGAAAAGTGACTTCGCTCGTTGTTGATGTAGCTATCCACGTGAGATCCTGTCTCGATGGTGGTGCTAGAGAAGCGGCTGTTGAGATTTTGTAGGTCGATCCCCTGGTGCTGTTGGCTAGGAGAATCATCTGCACTGCTCGGGGGGTATACGGAAGATGGAGTGTTTGGCAGAGTAGGCAGTCGTTTCTCTAGGTCGAGCGGTGCCTGTGAATCATCGACAGGCTGATGACCGGCAACTTTGACGGCCGTGAGAGGTTGACCGGGAGTGGTTGCTGGAGATGCCACTTCTCTGAGGGTTTCCAGAGGCCGGTATGGGGTATTGGCCTGCTCGATGGGGTTTCGTTCCGGCGTGCTCCCCCGTGACCAAGGGTTGCGCAAAGATGACGGTTCTCGTGTCAGTGAGCGCTGTCTTCTGTGCTGGGAAAAGGAGGGGATTGCCACCGTTGCGGAACCTTCGACCCAAATATCAACATCCTTTCGCAGGGCCAGCTCCCTTGACGGACCAGCCGAGGAAAGCTCCTCTATCTCTAGCGGCTGCTTGGTCTCGTTTGTGGGCGTCCTTGGTGTTGTCCCTCGCTGAGAACTTCCCCTCGACATCAAGGTAGCCGGACTGTATTCTGGTCGTCCTCGATCGAACGCAGTGTCAGGACTAGGTATGCGCGGAGACTTCAAGGCTCGGATCGCGCCCATGAAGCCGGCAGATCTGTTGCTTCCGCGAGAAAGGGATCGATTGAGCATCTCAAGTGATGGTTTCTTTGACGACTTGGCCATCCTCAGAGTCGTGGCACTGCCTGGCTGTGATGAACCTCGTGAAGATGCCGACCTTCCTCTCCTATAGTCGGCGCTGATGGGAGAGCTACTCGATGACCAGGATTGTTGGGGAAATGTGGGTGAGGTCTTCAGCCTCGGCAGGGAAGGCTTAGCAGGCACTGGCCTGGGGTTCATGAACTTGTCAGAAGGATCCATAGTGCGAAACTCGGAGCTAGTAGAGCTGACACTATCGTTTCGAGGTCTGCTGCTGCTCATAGCCAAAGGGACATTCAGGACGTTGACGAGCTGGCCCGGAAGGAGAGGGCAAGCCGTGGTCGAATGCTCGGCGGAATTGTGAAACTCGATATCGTCGTCCAACTTGTACTGCAGAAGTGGTGAGTTTTGTACCCGACACCGCAGGAGGAGTAAGTAAAAGCAATCATACATAATACCAGTAGGTGCCCCCCATCTTCAGCCCGCCATCTCTTGGAATTCCTATCGGTTGATTGTCGCCGTCACAGATAATGTTGGAAAAGCTATGACACCCGGACCAATGCTCTGGGCCCGTGCGGGAATCCTTTTGCATGGGATAGGCTGTGGAGAAGTTGTCCCAGGAACCGTACAGGCTCACTGACCTAGTCGAAGGAGGCACGCGGCTGTTGCATGCTGGTTAGTTTGTCTCTTGCACAGAACAACGTTGAGGGCAACGTACACTAAAAAGGTCACGAGGGTTGTCGGAGCCATGTTTGCTGGACTGGTGGATTATGTAAGGAGGACTCGGCTGGCAGGGGTTTCGTCTTTTGGCCGCCGGGCCGGCACTTTTTATTTTCCTGTTGTCGGTTCCTCGAGTACCGTAACTTGCTAGGTAATCTGGCCTGCAGAGAACCTTTTTGGTTCATAGCAAGACAGTCGCAAATGAGGCCAACAATGGAAAATGTGTAGTCCAGTCCAGCTGAGAGACCACGGTTGAACAGCTGCAAGTTTTGGGAGAGGCGTGGGTGGAAAATTATAGTCGAGTCTGGCCACGGACAAACGTGACGCCACGGCTTTTTCAGGCACCGCAGACAGCCTCAGATTGGATGCTATTTCGAAACTTCAGGCCGACTCCAGGGTCCGTGACAGCAAGCATGATTATACCGGGGTGGAGAAATACGGAGCCTGTGCTGAAACGGCGTAGAGGGCACGTCAGGAACGTGTTGGAAGTGTTGACCAGCAGAGCATTGACGGGCGGGCGCTTGTTTGAGGACTGATGATCTGTGGTGATGTCGAGATGATGCAGCAATTCCTGGGAGAAGCGAGTGACGGGCGAACGAGTGCCGCGTAGCTTAGCTAGTTGTCGTCGAGAGGGCCACCTGGGCAGGCAGGCGCTTGATGGAGGTGATTGCAGGGTAAGAGGGATCGCTGGGGGGCCGGGCGCTTGCTGTTGCGGCGATTCGGGGAGTTTCGACCAACAACACGTCGGGAAGCCGAGAAGAGCTCTGAGTGGTTGGTTGTATTACTGTAGCTGGTTCAAGAGAAGTTGCAGAGCATGAGGCTGAGTATGAGGACGTCGTGGACGCGAACACTGCATGAAGTACTCCGTCCTCGTGAGAGTGGGCGTGAGGCGAGACGCGAGGGATGATGAGGAGGATGATGATGGGGATGTGGCGGGACGAGAATAGATTTATTGTACGGAGTACCGAGTATCAGTATCTCAGATCGTACAAGACACCAGTCAAGACACGGGGGACGAGGGTCGGATGGGTATGAAGCTGAAAAAACCTGGCAATGGAACCACGGATACGGAGGACAAAGCAAGGATATGAACTATTATTACCAGTACTATCGAGTATCAGGGACGGAAAGTACGAGTATTGGGATGAGGGAGGGAAGGAAAATCCACCTTCAGAACGTCAATAATGCGATTGAACAGCTCTCTGCCTGGGTACCATACGATATACGTCAGGTAGTACATGTGGACAAGTGAGAAGTTGTGTCAAAATCAAAAAAACAAGAGGGCAGAGGTCCGGGAGCTGAACCCAGGGAAGAGGGTCCTCGATGTGACGAGGTCATGACAACCGAAGCCCGATGCCGAAGCGAGCGAGATAGACGGATTACGGGACGAGATGGTTACCTACTCGTATGGGGTGCTGTATGGAATGTCATTACCTGGTTTGCCTTGACGACACTCCGTACAGAGGAGTATGGAGATGTACTGTAATATTATTGATGTGAGCTGAAGTTGGCGGGACAATAATCAATAATCACAATGGGATCCATTCAAGTCCGTAGATCCTTTTCTAGTTCACGTACTAAAACCACCTTTTGTAAATTGAGAAACCAAGACGAATCAAACCCATGAACGGCACTTCTTCATTTCTTCGTTTCTTTTAATCTTGACTACGGAGTACTGTATTGTACAGAGTAGTAGGAACTAATCCACGCCTTTCTTGCGCCATGGAAGTTTTAGTACGGGGATTTTACAGTCGCCTGTTGTACAAATCCGTATCGTGCAAACCAAAATGAGCCATGATCCAATCTAGTGGGAAACCTTGTGGCCAGCTTCCAGCCTCCATATTTAGTATTAATATTATTGTTATTGACATCGTACGGAGTACAGTAAGGAGAACATTATCACAGTACAAATATCATAGGTGTTTTGTTCTGATTTTGGGTATCCGGATGAATGGTAGAACTGAAAAGTAGATGATATGTAACGACTACCAGGTACAAATTCTTATGAAACACAACGCTGCGCCACTTACAATCTTCTTCTTCATCTTCTCCTCCTCGTACAATTCCGTACCGGTCGCTTCTCGGTATAAAATTACTCCCTCATTCCGTACAACCAAATCACCACCACCCACGACAACTAATTGCGGCTTTCCCGTAACCGCTGACGGCCCTGAAATTAAAGAGCAAATCCGCCACTCACAAACCTCAACCGACACTCATGCTTGACTCTTTTTGTTCCTCCCCCCTTGTCATTTTGCCCCTTACGGTGAGTTGTGTCTACACCATCCTCGAGACCCTGAATTCTTCCTTCTCCTTGTACGGAGTAAGAGTGCGCTTAATAATTCGTCCTCTGTACATAACAATGGGTCAGTGCTGGACTCGAACAAGAAAATTTGACCTGTCCCAGACACGTGGTACCAATGTCAGCTACGAGTCTGTCACTTTTCAGGGTCCCCCCTGTCATTCGGAGTCTCGATCGAGTCATTCGGAAAATGAACCGAGGTGGGAAAAATGATGCGTCAAGTATCTGAACTCTTGTCAGGCACTTGAAAGCGCGAAAAAAAGTCATAAATGTCATGATGCTTCGTTTTAGAGGTAATGATGATAATTATCATAATGATGCTCGTACACAGACGCCAGAAGGAAATCACCCTCTCCTCTGACGTTCTCCTTGTTCAACATGGGAATGGGAGTAGAACGTAAAATCAAGCTGCTCTCCGATCTAACCGTCTGACCACACTGCCTAAACAGACCTTCAATAGACCTTGCGCCGTCAACTGTGCTCCCTCCTCACCACCCCAAGGTACCGTGTCCACCATGTCACGGATGTGATATTGCTCACCGAGCGCGTCATCCAACTCTCTCAGATTCTCCGCCGCTTCAGGCTCCCTTCCGACCTGAAAGAATTGGATTCCCACTTGCCAGGGTTCCGCGCCAAACGAGTCCAACTTCTTCGCCGCCGTGACAATGACGCTCTCAACGTCGTCGGTCGGCACACCGTCCGTGATGACAATGATGTTCAGCGGTTTCACCGTCGCCTCGTGCCCATGCGCCTGTCTCTCCATCGACTCGGCCACCTCTGCAAGGTATGGTTTCAGGATGTGGTTGAGCCGGGTGCCCGTGGGTGTGCCACCGAGGGGTCGAACGCGTTGAAACAGCGTCTGCACGACCTCGGTGGTGGTGACGTTCGTGTACCCGCCGATCGGTGAGTTTGGATTTCGGTGGTTCAGAAAGTAAATATCGATGCCGTCAGCGTCGTAAGTCGTGCAGATCGGTGCGATGGCCGCAAGGGCCGCCGATGTTTCTCGCCAGCTACGACCGGCCATGGACCCACTGTCGTCAATGAGGAAAACCGTGTCGAATTCCCTCAGGAACGAATAAGGGGAATCTTCCGCCACTTGAACCGGGGAGGAGAGGTCAGCTGGGCTGTAAGGTGCTGCGGCGGCCGCCGAATAAGGAGGTGGTGCATCGCGCGGCGCCCGAGCTGCCGCGGCAGGTGGTGGTCTCCGGGTAGGCATAGGTGTGAAGAAGGGGTTGTTCAGGTCGCTGTACGTTGCTGCTGATCGTGGAGCCGACGAATCATTAGATGCCTTGCTCGATCGCTTGGAGAGTCTTTTGATTATTGAAGACATGCTCGAGCCTGGGTATCTCGATGACGATGCTGATGATGACTGAGAATGGAATGAGTCGCGAGAGAGTAAAATAGGATTCTCCATTCTCAAAAACAACGGTGTCGGTGTGACTGTGGGTGGAACAAATGCCTCAGGCAGTGATGATGTCTGTCCTTTGTTGAGTGAAGGAAGTTGCTTTCGTGGTTTCTGTTTGTTGGGCCAACACGTGGTTGGGCGCGTTTGCACCGACTTTGTAGGGAACAATTGTCAAAGGTCAGGTAAACGAATACTGTAAAATCAAACTGGCCTTGTGATTTGGTATTCAATTAATGGTCGTTCGTGGACATCCGCTATCTTTATATCCAAGTTTGATTGTACTTTCTTCACGTTTACATAACTGAGGCATCGATCCTCGCAATGCCCCAGTGCTTTATGCCGCGAATACGCCCAGGCACATTCGATACAACGCACTCTAAGACCATGTACGACTACTCCGTACATGCTTCCACTCTCAACTCATGACAACGCTTATTCTGATCCTTCATCATCTCGTGTCTCGAACGACCAGGAACAGCGGCAGGTTAGTCCGGCGGCTACTCACGTAGTGATGGGCGATATCGCCGGTTCACAAGGCTGTGAAGGACGTTGGGCCAATCATATCAGGTACATGATTCAAAGGGCAGAATGCTCAGCCTCATTCGTACTCACTAGCTCGAAGCACACAGCCTCCCCCCTTGCTCGTGACCGTACCCATGGCCCCCTTCTCAGCCTTGCAGGGGCCAAAATCTCTCTAGAGGCAATGCCTCATCTTGTTGGCGATGATTTGTTGGTGGCAATTTCCCGCTTGCTGAGTCTTTCGCCTTGGTGTCACCTTTCCCCGGACTCAGCTTGAGACCCTTGACGCCAAAAGCTTTGGGGACATGGCCACAAGTCGCCTCTCCAGTGTTTCAAGAAGCACGTGAAGAGAGTCATCTGGCCAGGCCGGCACCCTACTTGTATTGTACGAGTTTGCTCGCATGTCCACTTCCGTTCACTCCATCATCAGCTTTTGGTCATTGTCACAAATGCAGTGCACTGCCCGACCATTCCTGAGTTGGTCACTCCGCGGTGGCCACAGGATCCTCTCAAACCGAGGCTCGCAAGATAATTGCTGACCTCTGGCACCGAATCACCTCTGACACAGATCAGTCACATCATTCATGTGTATTTCGAATTGAAGCGCAGTGCGATCCGTGTAGACACGGAAAAAAATGGACGGATCGTAAATTGTTTGTACATAATGCAGTCTTCATTGAAGCACACCTCCTGCACCTTACCGATCAAAGGGGCAGTGCTGTCTCTCGATCCTCCGCCAATCAGCCAATCAACCAACCAACGCCGTGCCAAATGTTCACTATATGGAAGAAAGTTGCTGTGTCTGTTCATTCAATGTCAATGCAGTTTGTGGTCATGGCACGTTTCAGTCGTCTCAGGTCGATCATTCGTCATACGAGCAATTTATCATGCTCATCCAACAAACCCAAATTATTGCCTTCTCTTCACTGTGCGCTTCCTAACTTCAACTTGCGCCATGCAGAATGCTGTACTGTAAATGCAGAACTGTAAATCCCAGCCTGACGCCGCCTCCGCGTGAAGGGCATATTTCTCAAAGGCACATGCCTAGATAGTCAAAACCCAGCCGAGGCGCATAACTAATGTCGCTTGTATTTCTGCAGACCAAGTTAGCACAAACAACGTGGGCTCGAATTGCAAACAGACTCACCTCATCCATCCTCCTCAGGTTTTGCTTGTCCAACATGTTGCCCGCTCCCATGAGCGTCTGCCCAACCGCCTTTGATGCTCCAATGGCGGGTCGCAGAATTATCGTTGGGCTCTGCTTCAGTATCGCTGCAGCTGCCCCCTTCGCACTGCCACTGGCCATCACTTCTCCGGGGATGGCAACAATCGCATCCTTTGCAAGCAACAAATCTCTTTCTAGACTGCTGTATGCAGTCCTCAAACCCTGCCTGATGCCGACAGGTTGATCGGCATACAGTGAAATTTGTTTAGTGGCTTCGTCGTCTCCATTCGGATCTTGAAGCTCCTCCCCTTGGACGAAAAGACCTTCTGTATTTTGCAGAACTTGCTGTGTGCCAATGGCCATTTTAGCCCCAAGATTTACCAGCTCGGTCGCCGTCGTCTTCGCAAAGGCAAGCGCACCCTTTTGAATGCTTCTCACCAACCTGCCGTCCTTCCGATACTCACGGATTGGTACGGCAACAAGATCTCTGACTCCACTGCTCACGTCAACCAAGGGTCGGAAGGGGGCAAGACCGGCAAGGACACGAGGCAGTTGATTGCGTTTGACATCCGGAGTCCAGATGTTATTGAGCATGATGCCCAAACGATCAAAGCCCGAAACCCCGTAGAGGATGACTCGTCGTAGTACCATATCCGCACGGTCAAGCACGAAGAAGTTCATGAACTCAGTTGTCCTTCCTGAGCGCAGCCCACCATAGTCAACTCTTTTAGGTTTGAAGTCTAGTCTCAACTGCACAGCATTCACCTCTACGCGTTGTAAAAACGGTGGATTCGATGGAATATCGGAAGCGGGCGCGTTCTGGTCCTTGAATTCGAAGAAGCGGCTCATGAAATCCAGCGCGTCTTGATCAACATGGAGCCTCAGTGGAAGGACGGATATTTTCAGCACCATCTCCGACGCTGAAAGTTCTGCGACTGGTTTGACATTGAGAAGTTCGATGTGGACCATATTGGTGTTCACTTCTCGTTCTCCTGCATCCTGCATGTACGTGGCAAATTTTTTCCAAGTGGAAGTAGGAATGTGATCGTATATTTCGAGTTTCCTGATGCGAATATCGACCGAACTTTCTACTTCGCCGCTGCCTGGAGGAAATGCCACAAAGTCTGCAGATACCCCTTCAAGTTCAAAGGCCATTTTGTGATGCTTGCTTCGGGTCAATTTCAGCCTTTTCTGTCGAGGAACGGTCCCAGACTGGCGACGCGAGGTGGTCGCTGTTATTGTCGTGCCTGTAGCGTAACTACCAGTCTCGCTCGCCATATCGTCAATCTCGTGATTGATGGCACTTGCAAGGTCTCTCGGGTCCTTGTTAGCAGGAACGCCAATGTAGATTGAGTTGAACAAGAAATCCCCGATGACTGATTCATCCTCTTCTTCTGCACCCGCTGTGCGATTGCTGCTTCGAGGTCGTCTAGCCATGGCTTTAGTCTCAATGTCCCTCACTGCCTGTGAAATTGTGTCTCTGGTACTTTGCCAGTCGTAACCATCGAAGAGATTCCAGATAACGTGGACGTCACGAACCCGGACCTTGACTGGAGAGTGTGCGAAGAGGGCATTGCTTGCCAGACCGTAGGTGTTCTGCTCTGAGTTCCAACGGTGTGCAGTTCCACCTACCGGTGTCTCGGCAGCAAAATGATCGGTGCGGAAATCTAACAGACTGTGCATCATAATACTGTCACTCGAACCCCCCGATTCAGAACCTGTTATGTCAACAGGAGCGACGTGAATGGAGTCAGATATGACAGAACGGCCCAGATCGGACTCCACGTGGCTAGCTGTCATTTCATCATCCGCGTCCTCAGCATCTCCATACATCTCTTGCGCAAAATCAGGTTCATCTTCGTCGTAATCGTCTCCTGGTGAGCTCTCACCAAAGGCATCGCCGGCAGCTGTCATCCTTGAAGCCTGCAACCCAAGCTCCGGCCCAGGCTCGGAAACGAAAGCATTTCCAGTGAACGAGGCCAACATGTCTTGAATCGGCACGATCTCGGTGCGAAATTTGGCAACTTTTGAAGGTGCCGTAGGCGGAGAGAGACCATTCAGGATCTGAATCATGGTTTGGGTAGAGTCGGCACATGTCTCGAGGAATAAGAGATTGTTCCGGAATTCGACGTCGATTTGGGTCTGCTGCTTCTCCTCAGTGATCTTGATTAAAGCTGATGCGGACGACATTGATCCAACAGGGACAAAGCCAGCTTTGGTCAGCTGCTGGACCTGGTCATTCTCCTCGAAGAAGAGCTTGTGGTCGACATTCTCCGACTCTTTTCCGACTGTCGAAGCATCATTGATGATCAGTAAGGAAGCCTTTTTGATATCAAGCGTGTCTACTGAGCCATGCTTCTGAGTCTGGTGTCGTATTTCACCGTCAGTCAAGACAAACAAACCCTTTGCAGACACTCCATCCGGACTCAATGCTATAGCACAATCCCTGAAAGCAAGACAAAGCTGGATCTTCCGCGTCATACTTCTTGCGTCAACATCACTAGATGAGAGGCTTGAAGTCTGTGAGAGTGGGCTTGGAACCGGAGTTGGATTCGGGGACCCCAGGCGTTCTGCTAAAGCTGACAGGGCCACGATATGTGGGACTTTGTATTCAAGGCAAGTATTCGACAATTTCATACGAACAGTGGGCTCCATCTCGTCTGCAATGAAACGGCACATGAACATTGGAGGTCCCATCACAGTGCGACTCTGGGAAATTACTTCAGTAATCAACGGATCCGCTTCACCTCGAGAAAGACCCCAAGTCGCAATTTGAGCAGCGGCCAGCGAAGGAACACTGATATGGGCACCCTCGAGTAGTTCAGCCTCTAGTTTGACCGGACCAAACTCTCTATCCACCTCGAATTTGAAGTCTAATTTCTTGATCAAACCAAAGGTGAGGATGCCGGGTCGATCGTCTTCGGGGAGATATTTTGTGACCGATGAGAGCTTGGAAATCTCGTCAGCCACCTTTGTCAAATGTGGCAGCCAACGTAGGCCCACGGCGCCGGCTTGTAGGTCTCCAATCGATAGCCGCAAGACACCTCCTTTTCGCCGCTGTCGCAGTAGAGTGTCGACCATGATATCATCCTCCTGGTCATATTTGTCTCCGGATGGTGTAATGACAGAGAGAAGTCTGTCCAAATCATCATCATCGGGTGAATCCGAATAGCGCAATTCGACATTACGAATCTTTGCACATACATCACCCCGCGACCCAGAGTCTGGAAGGAGTGGCCCTTCGATCGCCGCACCATCAATCACCAATCGCACATTGTTTTGACGGTATGCTGCCTTGATAGCTGAGCTTCTCACCTGTAACGTGGACTCAGATCCAATGAGATCCAAAAGTGCGCCCGAGACGCGAACGTCTATCTTTGGAAGAGTAGAGGTCGGGTCACTGTCCGCTCTCGTTCTTCGCTGAGGATCGTCGAATCTGACGGTGCGAGGTCTGACAACAGGTGCCGTCGGAACTACCGAGCTCTTCACAGTATGTGTCGAGACAATGGAATTGCCAAGATCCAGCAGAGAGCTCAGGCCACCACTCTTGCTGAGTACGTCGTCTATGACCAAGAGGTCCATTACAACATGTACAGGCTTGATTTGCACGTCATAACGATTTCCGGTCATAGTCGCCGTCAGATCATGCGGTCTTAGCATGGAGCTTGAAGCTATCGAGTCTCGGACAGAGATCGAGTCGACGAACGACATAACCTCTCTATCGCCATGAGTCATGGTAATTTTCGAGATCGATAGTCGGTGAGAGTCTTGTCTATTCGGAACAGAACTGAGAGAGATTGATAGTAAAACCAGCTTGAGTAGAGTCGTCTCTTGTGATAGCATGTTTTCGATAGTCTGAATCGCAGTGCCTGTTGGGGCCCTCGTCGGCACTGCTTCACAAAGATTGACGATGAATTTGCCCACACTAAACGACGGCAGATCTGCCTTTGGCCGAGTGGTTAACGCCTTGTTCTGCTCCGAAGATTCAGGAAGAACGTCCAGAATGACTTGTGAAGCTTTGATCAGGATTCGGCAGATTCTAATATCAAGGTCTACGGTAACCTTGCCTATGTCAATGCCCAAAGTTGCCTCTTGTGCTAAAGCTGTTGAAGTCTGCTCGTGCGAAGGACTGGAGCGGTGGCGCGCATCATTCAGAAATGTGCTTTCAACCAATCTCGACGAGCCTAGTCGTGCGGCTCGTGCTTGGGAATTTAGACTAGGTCGTGAATCCACGGTTGGCACCTGAGCCTCTTGCGGAGTGTCGGGCTGATGCGGTTGAGGTACTTTCACGCAAACTGTGTCCAGATGTAGAATTCTTGAGCGGTAGAACGGGGACAGGTTGCCATCGAGAATGCTCTCGCCACTCGAGATCTCACGTTCGATCGTGGGAAGGGTATCGGGTTTTGGCGCTTGGCCACTGCTGCCACGCAGGTTTGTGGTATTTTCAGCCATTTGTGCTGATGACTTCATAGGTCCTTGTTGAGGTACAATGGCTCGCACTTCATGATCTTGTTGCTCGGGCTTGGACCAATCCCAGCCGCCTGGCATATCTGGTCCGCCGCTCACTGCACTCATGTACATGCTCTCTGCTTCGTCGTGAGTGAACACTTTGGACTCTTCGAGATCCTCAACAGTATCCGCCTGCCAATTCTCATATGTGGCATTCTCGTAGTTACGGGACGATAGCAGGTCCTCTGCGTGAGCTCTGTTATCGACCGGAGTCGATGTTCCTGACGAGTCGTCTCGATCAAGCCTCCTTGGTGGTCGCTCAAAAATTCCGGACTCGGCCAATAAGGCATTATCGAGGCCTAGACCGAAGTGAGACTCGCTCGGCGAGGCAGACGGCGACTTTGATCGATACGAGAGGCTCTCACTGCCAGATTGTGCGGAATCACAGGCGTGGCCTTGATCATTTGGTTGAGCAAGTCGAGGACGCGACCGGCTTAGTTTGGGCGAACCTAAACCAGAAATCTCTGAGAAGGTTTCCGATTCTGAGAGGACGAAGAGTTGCAGCCCATCCAGTCTGATAGAACGTCTCGAGTCTGGCTGGAGAGGAGAATCCTCCGCCTGCTGGAGCGGATCCAGCACGATACTGTCCAAGGCCAACATGAATTTAGCGCTCTCGACCGAAGTGGCCGGGAGATCCATGTCTACAAGGGCATTGACATCTTTGATCTTGATCGAGAGCCGGTCTGCAACGCCTTTAAAGAAGTTGGCGACGAACGTGGGTAGAGACAATCCCCCGGGCATGCCCAGTCCGACGTCTTCACCGTGTGACGACGCCACCGACTCTTGCATGTACTGAGATTGTGACTCGAGAGCGGCCTGGAGTTCATCTCTTTCATCCGGCGACTCGGCTTCAAGGAACGAATTGGCCAGGTCTTCGGAAGTCGGGATGATCTGGGATACCTCCAACTGCGACCCATGTCCTCTGGCCGAGCGACGACCACTCGGATCGTGTATGGCTGGAGACGGTATCCGAGGGAGATTTGCACGGTCGGTCCTGCTGGGAGCATTTCCTGCTTTTGATCGTCCCGCCTCGTGGTCTTGCGATACCTCTGATCTCACTCCGACAACGATTTCCACCCCCACCACTTCGACTTCGATGCTACTGGCGTGGAGGTCGGCCGGTAAGGTGAGTCGCAGGTGCTTGATCGAGGCATGGGTGAGGTCGAGGCTCGGGGGCAGGTGGAGGATATCGATGAGTTTCTTGACTTTGATTCCGACGTTCCTCAATTCCACCACAGTACGCTGACCCCAAGTCAAGCCCAGGTTGTCGAGGTCTAACTCGTCCGAGTCGATGAAGTCGAGGCGGGTCAGGGCATACCGGAGAAGCCTCTTTTGGAAGTAGGAAGGAAGAAAGTACGACATGATGACGGTAGGGAAAGAAGGAACACCCTTCCAGCGACGGTCAGGCTTATGATGGTGTTCTGATCATGACGACGTCTGTGCAAGAGGCCGGCAGGTGACGGGCAACAGTAGTGTGCAGTGGCGATGTCGAAAGAAACCCAACACTTGGATTACTTGTAGATGAAACAAACAGCGGGGGATGGGTGATGATCCCAGTCTGTTGATTAAATGCCGCCGGGAGAGCACTGACTTGTGACGAGTACAACAAACGAGAGCGTTGTTGTTGTGTTGTTTGGTGGTGACAGTGTGTGGTTGGTGGTGTTGGCTCTCGGTCAAAACGCAGGCGCGGAGAAGAGCATCAAGATAATCGGAGAAAGCAGGCAACAAAGGACAGCCACTTGATGACGCTTGGGCTGCAATCAATGCTTGGTACCAGCCCTGGTAGTCCATACAACAGTAGATATCCGACAGATGAGAGCCCTGATGAGCCCTGATGAGCCCAAAAAGCCCTATTCAATCTGTTTGGCTCGTAGATCATGGGGTTGGGGCGATGTGCTTACAGCAACTTAATGTACTGCACGAGACGCCCGCCAAATGACCATCCAAGCCCCGAAAGGAGACGAATTGATAACGCTGACTGGCCCCCGAAACATGCCTAACACTAAGCTGCCTTAGTGTACTCTATCTTATATCTTATCGCCAGCTCATGCCGACAATTCGCCTCAGCCTCGTCAACAAAAGTGTGTCACTCGGCGAGGCTCACCAGGCTACATACCCCGACTGTACTGTAGGTAATCATTCATTCTTCTACCATCCCAGGTCAATGTCGTGGAGCTTTCTATAAGACAGTATCTGTTGAATAACGAATTCGCTTCTTGCTCCAGAAGATTCTCAGTCTTTGGTTTCCAACGTGTATGTCGGTTTCTCATAAAGCGTCACGCCAGCAGCAATACTCAATGATATGCCGGCCTCATAAAGGGTTGAGCCTGTGGCAATATTCCCATCATATCTAATCGTCATCTTCTTCCTCGTCCTCATCATCCTCTTCAGACTCCTCGTCCTCTTCATCCTCATCTTCATCCGCTTCGAGCGGGAACTCCATGACGATATACTGACACCACTTTTCAAACTCACTCCTCCATTCCCGCAACAACTTCGACTTGGTTCCTTTGCCCATATACCCGTCCGCGATGCTCTTTGTCCATTCTGCCGTCTTTTGATCCTCGATAGCACACCACTTGAGTGAGTTTTCCGCCATCGTCCCGAGTCCCTCGAGACCTAGATTCTCAAATGCCATGTAGGACTGCCAGAAATCGTGGCTCAAGCCGTTCTTCCCGTGCCCGAGAATTGCCGGGTCGTCATTGTTCAACGACACCGGCACGCCTCGCGAAAGTAGCGCGGGTAGCGAGTGCGACAATATCGAGCTTGATAACCGTAGAATTTCATTGGAAATCGGGCAACTCTCCACCAAGATCTTCTTCTCCTTGACCATGTCGATCAGCAGCGGGTGCTTGTACAACGAATACCCGTGCCCGATTCTTCTCGTGCCCAGCAACACCGCGTCGAAAAGGTTGTTGTCCGTCTCGTCACCATCGCCCAGGCACTCTCCCGCGTGGAAAAAGAAGGGCAAGTCCAAGCCAGCTTCGGCACACTGCTTTCTGAACCAGAAGATCATCGGGACAAGATCTTGCAAAGTCCGTCCCATATCCTCCTGCGCCACAAAGTCATAGCCGCACACCAGATGCGGGTACTTCGCCTTCATGCTAATACATTCCTTCATCGCTTCGGCAATGGCGCGATTGTCCATTGTCCGCACACTGGTCCAGATGATTCTCGCCCCGTTGAACCCCTTGCCCTCCGGCTTGGTCTTGAACTTGTCCAGCTCCTCCTCCAGCTCCCTGAAAAAGGTATCGAATCGTCCCGGGGCGCCCGTTGTCTGTCCAGTCTTCCTGTACTCAAACTTGAACGCGGTCCTCAGCTCGACATACGTGATGCCGTCAGCGGCCAGTTGGCCTAGCAGTCTTTGAATCGCTTTTCGGAAAATGGGTTCATAAAACAGCATTCCTCCAATGACCAGAAAGGTGCTTTGAAACTTTTTCCAGATGGCATTCAGTCCGTGGTGATGACATAGACTCTCCTCGGCCGTGATCATGCACCGACTGGCCAGCCACTTTTTGAACGTCGTGTCGTCGTCGGGAAACGTCCTCTGCGCCTCGCGGATTGGCACCGGCGTGCGTGCCCTGTAGCCACTTGTCCAGATGCTCGCCGCCCCTCCTCCCGCTCCTGCGGCGCTCTTGATCTTCTGCAACTCCGTGTCGTCATAGTACCTGAACTCCAAGAAGCTCGTCTCGCGCTTTTTGGTGTCGCACAGGCCCTCGGGGGCCAGGATACAAAACCCCTTCTCTGCCAACGCCTGGTCGACGAGCCAGTCAATGTCGATCATGGCCTCGAGATGGGCGTGCAAGAGGGCGCCCTTGGGCATCTTCTCGATGATCTTCCACAGGTCCGTCTTCTCGATGCGGTCTCTTGCAAGGGTGAACATCATGCCCGGGTACAGGTTGCCGCCGTTGATGTCCATTAGGCTCTCCTCGAACTCGGATGTCCAGACGTCGCGCAGCTCGCGACGACGGATGGCACTCATGATCTTTGACGCCTGCTTCGCCAGCGGTGACATGGTCTTCTTAAACATGACGTCGTGGCGTTGCTTCTTCTCCTGCTCGATTAGGGCAGACCGTCCCGACATGTATCTCTGGATAAAAGGGTCTTCGACCTGTGGGATGCCCTCATCGTACTCCCATTCGAGTTGGGCGTCGATCGACTCGTTATCCGACGTTTCGGGTTTTGGCGCCATGATTTTCTTTTTTTGGGTGACGGTAACCTGGTTACAAGGATGACGCAAACGTTTGATCTCGGTTCTGTCCCTCCCTTCTCAAGAAGTGGTTGGTAAGTAGGTACCTAGTTCAGTCTTGAATTGGGTAGCCTGTTCATTCAAACCTTCTTGCACGGTCCAGAAGTACTTGAAACAGCCGTGGGAGTTATGTAAGAGGTTTTGAATGTTTGATACTCGTAGAGCGGGCACCGGCAAAGTCCGATCGAGAGAGACGCCCAAGGAATTAATCTTGGCGTTTGGCTCTCATGAGCTGGTGAACTGTGTGGATTACCCGCTACTACGGGGCTACATTACATACCTGCCTAACTGGACAGTATATCATACTTCACTACGGCCTCCTCTACCTGCCCGATTTACCTGTGGTTCATAGACTGTTCGTATAGCTCAGACAGGAAATGAAGCCTATTGACTCTGCCGGAAGTCACCTCGTGAGACACTGACGTGTGTATGCCTTGCTCGGCAGAGGCTGTTCAAGATGAGCGGCTACTAGAAATATCTGTGCTCGAGGTATGAATTCTTTAGCCGTCCACCCACTTTAATACCCCTATATCGTAACAGTCATTGACTGAAACCCGTATAACTCCGTAAGCAAAGCTGAAAGCCTTGACCGGTAAACCTAAGAGGTGGCAGGGCTAGCAGCGCCTTCGAGAAGTGCAAGAATCCCGCCAACAAGATGAATACTTCCTGTGACGAAGACATCGGTCGCCTCTTGTTCTTCGCTGAGCTCCTCAATCAATTCGATGGCATCCTGAATGGTCGGTAAAGTATGAATAGTTGGCATTTGATCTGATTCGGCCCAGACCTCCGCAAAGCGTTTTTGAACTGCCAGCTCCTTGACCGCTTGGGTGCTCGTATTGCGATTTTCGAATTCTACATTTTCAGTAAGCTGCAATCACCGTTTGATGTCCTGGGGCCTTCTTACCGATTCGATAACCCGTGCTCTTTCTCGTGACGTTCGTTGAAAAAATCACATGATCGAAGCGAAGGCCACAGTCATTGATCAGCTCATGCTGTAGCCTTCTCAGAAGGTCATCCGCTTCGGGTCTCGATTGTTGATTGAAGAGAAGAATGCGGAAGGTGCCTTCTTTGGATTGCCGAGCAAACCATTGCGCAGCAACTTTGAGGCTATCCACTGTGTGTGCTCCATCGAGATGCCACTTTCGTCGGCCATCGAATTTTGTCTCGCATCTCCCACGCCAGACTGTGTTTTCGATTCCGTCTTTGAACACCTCTGGGCATTTATCTGGATGCAAACCGGGCAGTCCTAGCTTTTTCCCAGCCTCAACAACAAGCGCAATCGCCAAGGAGATATTCCCGCGTTGATATTCAGCATTTGGCGTGACTTCAACTTTGGAAATGAAAGGATCCACATCAATAAAGTGCAGGTTGACACCAATTTCAGCTGCACGCTCTTCGAGGACATCGACAGCTTCCTGAGCTTGGGAAACGGAGAAAGCAGGAACACCCTTTTTGAAAATGCCGGCTTTGTGCCACGAAATCTTAGCCAAAGTGTCCCCAAGAACAGCAACATGGTCGATGCCGAGGGTTGTAATTCCAGTAACGACAGGCTTCTCGACGACGTTAGTTGAGTCCCAGGCGCCTCCAACTCCCACTTCGTAGATAGCAGCATCAACACCTTCTTTGAGAAATACGTGCCAAGACATGAGAGTAAGAAATCTGAAATATACCGGCTTCACTCGGGGATCTCGACCTTCCTGGGCGGCAGATGCTTCAAGTGCGCCCCAGACTTCGAAAATGTAGCGCGCAAACAAGTCTTCTCTGATCGGTTCTGAATTGATTCGTATGCGATCTCTGACGGATATGAGATGCGGAGAAGTGTACAGTCCGATTTTCTTTGGTACGGAATGTTCCCGGCGATGTTGATTGAGGATGGAGTCCATAAAAGCACAGGTCGTTCCTTTGCCTTTAGTTCCAGCAACATGTATAATGTTAAGCTTGTCCAAATCTGGAATCTATCATATCTGGCGTCAGTTTATCCCTTGTGCCAGGTCAGAGACGAATAGCTGGGGCAACGTCGCTAGCACACGTGATGCTTAGTGACTCCCGGCGACCATGAGCATTCTAAGGTGTTGAGTCTCAGATTCAATCTGACCCCATCGTCATTGGCGCGTAAATCTCACCTTGAGGCCGGATCTTTCAACCCATGATTGCATTTCAGTCAAAGCTGAGGCATCCATTTTCTTGCCTATCCTTCGTCTTTCCTCGAGCACTTCAAACGGTGTCTGAAGCGAGTTGAGACAAACAATTGCATCCTATATTCTCAAGTCAGCAGTAGGCCGTAAATAACTGTCCGAGGGTGCAATTTAGCATACCCGATAGCTTTTCATGCTGACTGAACTCGTCAGGCTGCGGTGGAAGGTGCTAGGATAATAAGTTGAAGGTAAAAAGCGAAAAGTAATCTCGTGGCAGAACAAGGCTTTGCTCATTGGAAAGCAATCTACGATGTCGAAAGCCAGACACTTTTCGTAGTCCGAGAGGGGACAAGTTGTCCTTTTCCCAAGTATAAAACTGGTTGAATATACTGAGCACGAGGGTGTGGAATGTGAGGTCGTCCCTGGGTATCCCTCGTTTCGTTCTTCGACCTCGGGTGGCTAATACGACATCGTGATTGCTCCGAGTCAATATTTGTATTAGTGGAGAGGCCACAGGGGAGGTAGGTCTCAGGACAAGGTTGCAAGTCGGCCGAATCAGGCGAAGATAATTGCCATTCTCACCTAGAAGTTGACAGAGTCCAAGTTGTTCTCATGAACTGGGCGCAGACCAGGCCTGGGGAGACGAAGGCGAGGAAAGCCCTTGCAGGGCTGCCTGGCGCTACTCGCGTGTTACCTCAAACCAGTATCACCCATCTGTTGTGAACGCGACTGGAAAGATAGAACACGGTTGCAAGTCAGCCGAACCAGGCGAGATTTATCGCTAATCCCGCCCAGAAATTGACAGAGTCCGAGTTGTTCTCACAAACTGGGCGCAGTACCAGGCCTTGGGATATATCACGCGTTCGGGGTCGTCACCCAATTGGAATTAGCACCACGTATGGGCACTCTCTGCGCTCGTACACTTACTCTAGTACTAGTTCCTCGCGTTAATTATTTCCGTTAATGATACTCCTGTTGTGAGACCCCTGTTAGGAGAGTAGGGTGAGTCAGGGCCTTGTAGGCCCGCCTGGCGCTACTCTCGTGCTACCTCAAGCCAGGATCATCACCTAGAAAGATGAGTGTCATGAAATTTGTGTCTCTGCATACCATTCTGACTGCCCTGTTCTGTGAAGTCGCCGCGAGATTTTCTTTTGGATGCGGTACCTATTGAGTTGCGGATGTCTTTTAGTTTACAAAAGTCCTCCAAGATCGCCATTTTAGGTGGAGCGGCCGCCCGGAACGGACCTGGGGGGTAAGTGATGTACATGCCGTAGGTGCTCCGTAGTGAGCCGAGAACTTTAACCGCTGCTCAACAAGTTCCACACGAAGGCGTCTATCACGCGTGACCAACTACCAATACTGCGACATCAACACCACACCTGAACCGCAAATCCAGGTCACAACTCTGCCCGGGTCTTGTGCTGAAATTGCCTAATCCTTGTCAAGTCTGGACCAATATGAACCTGCAGTCAACACGGTTTTTCTTCTGCCGCCTGAGCCGTAGCAGCCCCCAGTCGACCTTACAATATTTGAGCCTCACTGGTTGATGGAATGCTCGCTTCATTTTGTTGCTGCGGCTGAAGGAAGAGGCGCCCATGAGAGAGCTTTATGGCTGTACTAAGACATCTCGAGCCGGATGCTCACCTGGTCGCGCGACTTCCAGCGTCTCATCTGTGGCTAGGTGCTAATAATATGCCAGGGCAGAGCTTTGAAAACTTCGAAGCACCCTGAGCTACTCGCTGGATTTCACTTCCTCGTCTTCATCTTTCCGAGTCTCCGATATCACTATGGAGCCGGAAAATGTCTATGGAATCACGGTCATCCATTCTCCCCAGCCCGAAGCTGCATCAGAGTCATCTAAGCTCTTAAGTACTCCTCAGCCTAATCCCAGTCGAATCGTTTTCGAGTGAGTGAAAAGCAGGAATGTGCTAAGGAACCGCTTACTGATCATCTGCAGCCTTGTTGCCATACATGGTCTCAACGGTCATGCCTTCCATACATGGACTCACAGGAAGAGCGAGGTGATGTGGCTCAGGGATCTTTTGCCGGAGCTCGTGCCAAATATCCGGATTATGACATATGGATATAACGCGCGATTCTTGAATTTTGCAGCTCAGCAAGACCTGCGCAACGTCACCATGAAGTTGCTCACAGAATTGGTTGACTTGCGTCAATCTGAACAAGTACTTATCGGAATATCCTTGAAGGCCGGTGCTGACGATGATGGCTTTAGGAAAAACGTCGTCCTCTTATCTTTGTCTGCCACAGTCTTGGAGGTATTGTGGCTAAAAAGGCATTGACAATACGGGTATACGAGGAGCAGAAGTCGATCCAGGACGCATGCTACGGTATAATGTTCATGGGTGCATACTTGTTGATCTGAATCAGACTCCATCTGCAATGTTGATTCTTAACAGGGACACCCCATAAAGGAAGCAGTATTGCTAGCCTCGGCAGCCTCCTTGCCAATATAATCTCTGCTTGCACTCCTATCAACCCTGCAACGCCTTTGTTGAGAAGCCTGAAGCCTGATTCAAGGTTTCTCTTTGAAATATCAGAGGACTTTGTGCGACAGGCCACAAATCTCAAGCTCGTCTCCTTTTTCGAGATGGACATGACAACAATTGGTGGATTCAGGAAGAAACTGGTGATTCACAATTCCTTTAGCCGTTTCAAGAGTTGAGATTAACGGAATCAGATTGTTGACCACCGCTCAGCTATCCTCAACCTCCCTAACGAGATTACGATTGGTCAAAATGCCGACCACCGCGAGCTGGCGAGGTTCAAATCGAAAGATGACCGCAACTTTCGACCCGTTCTTTCGCGGTTGCTCAAATTCAAGGTCGATATCGAGACCGACGACCAGCACGAGACTATAAACGAGATAACGGTGGAAGTCTCTCCCATTGAAGGTAGTCAGAAATCATTGAAGTACGAAGAATGGGGCTGAAACATGGTGGAAGGTACATCAAGTGTCCTGGAGATCCCTTTCACAGCTACAAATGCTTTTCATGGGAGGGAGAGTTATTTCAAGCACATAGAAGATTATTTCTTCGGCGAACCTCACAATCAGGATGCCCCTCGAACATTCGCAATTTGTGGATCAGGTAAGTGTGAAGCCCCCGGGTCTCCTACCAAGCTGATAGGAAACAACAAAGGGGGCTCTGGGAAAACTCAAACTGCGATACAATACGCACTACGATACCGTGAAAGGTACAAGTCAGCCGTAATATTCATCAATGCCGCCTCCCATGCGACCTTGATATCTGACTTCGAAAAGGTATCCGATCTGATGAAATTAACCAAAGGAACTAACAAGGTTGCTGGTGTTCAAGCCTGGCTGTCAGATAAGAAGAACAAGGACTGGCTTTTGATTTTCGACAACGCCGACGATCTTGCCTCAATCTGTCTGTCCAACTACTTTCCTCGTTCAAAATGGGGACATATTCTAATCACTTCACGAGATCAATCCGCAGTCGGCCTTGTGAGTGTGGAAGGATCATCAATGGAGCCATTAACTGCACCCGAGGCTGTCAAAGTGCTGCTCCAAAAAGCGCACATCACGTCTCATTCCGATAAGATACAGTCCGATGCTGAAACATTGGTGAACGACCTGGGGTACTTGCCATTGGCAATAGATCAGGCCGCATCATATGTGCTGACGAGAAAGAAAACTCTCAGCGACTATCGCCGTCTCTATCATACTCGGCAACTAGATCTATTAAGCTATCATTCCAAGCTTTCGAATTATGACAAAACCGTCTTGACAACATGGGAACTCAATTTCACTCAAGTTGAACAAGACTTCCCTGCTGCCGCGATCCTGCTGATGATATTCTGCTTCCTCGACGCAGCCGCAATTACCGACAATATGCTGCTAAGAGGGTGCACGAAGATGAATCGCTGGTCGAAACTTGGGGAGATTGAACAGGTATCGGCCATTGATGTGGGCATTGACAGGTTCCTTGTCGATATGATTACGGATGAGGTGGCTTATGATGATGCCATCGAAAAGCTTCTGTCGTTCTCCCTGATTCGCCGCAACAACGATTACAATGAAGTTCGAAGCGTCTCGGTTCACCCACTTGTGCAGTCCACAGCTACTCTGAGAGTGAGTTCTGCGGATCAAAACAAATGGCGGACCCAGGCCATCCTTCTTGTGTGTCATGCATTTCCTAGGGATCAGTTTATCGAAGACACGTGAGTCCACTCTAGCAGCATGCGTTCCTGCACGCGCGCGAAGGCTAACAGCTAGTCCTCCTGAAGATTTGGAGATACCGGAAGGCCAATGATGCCGCATGTGGCTCGAATGCTGAAAGAATTCGACATTCTGTGCTCCCAGATGCCGGCACCAAAGATACTACGACAACAAGTTACGGAGTGCCTCCTCGCTGCTTCTCGCTTCCTGCACAATTCATGGAAGGAGGACTGTACCCGGCGCGTGAAGGACTTGATTAAGGACCTCGACGATCCTTTTGTCAAGGCGTGGGCAGCTCAACGGGAAGCCGCCATTATCCGACTGCGAGGCAATCGGTCAGTTTCCCAGGATACTCTGGAGCTATATTTGAAGCAGCTCCATTCGAGGAATCAACAAGTGACCGAGGAACCACTGCGTGAAATCAAGGACGCAAGACTCAACGCAATGCAAGGGCAGATTATCGTCTCCTACGCCGAGAACCTCTTGCAAGATAACCACCTAGCAATTTCGGAGCAAGAGCTCCTGTCATGGAGGCCACTCGACCACGACAAGCCATCGTCCCTGGAGAATGTCGCACTGGCCGCCGTGCAAACCAACCTGGGTCGGATCATGCGCGAAAAGGGTGACTTCGAGACGTCATTGTCGTACTTTGAGCTTTTGCACAAGGAGACGCTCCAAGACGACAATTACGAGCACACGGGTTCCCGGCGCATCGTCCTCTCGAACATGGCCGACCTGTACTGTGAACTGCGACGGGAAGGGGAGGCGATCAATCTCGTCCAAACCGAGCTCGATTACATGGAGGCCAGGGGCCATCAGCACATCAGCAGCGGTCGTCGCCTGCAGCTCTGCCTCGCCGAGGCGTACATATGTCTCGGGAGGCGGACAGAAGCTCGACGCTGGCTCACGAAGGTCAAGGATGCACTTGACGCGATGCAGGAGCCGGACGTCCTGTCGAAGTACACCCTGTTCCGTGTCTGGTACGGGTTGGCACGCCTGGCGCACAGCTCCGGGGCGTTTGGTGAAGCCCGGGACTGCTGGCAGAAGGCCTTCGACGCGGGCTGCCTGTTGGGCTGGGAGGGCAAGTACCCCTTGAACCTCGTCAAGTACTCGCTGGCCCATGTCCTCCACGAGCTGGGAGACCACGCCGAGGCCGAGGAGTTGCTGGAGACCGCCGAGGAAAGCATCAAGGCGTCAGGCCGGAAGTTCTGGATTGTGGGCATGGCCACTTACTGGTTCGACTATGTCCAAATGCAGCTGAGCCAGAGCAGAGCGACGACTACTACCACTTGGACCCGCTTCGGGAAGATGGCTGTTGGGTCTTTCGGCAGCAGCGGCGTCGCCAGCGTGGCCGAGTGAGGGACGCGACGGGCATGTTGCCGTCGAATGTATATCGCAATAATGAGCACCGACTCCTTCACAAGTGACGAAAGACGATCAGGGAAGTCTTCGGCCTGACTACCTTACCTAAGGTAGGTAATTCAGACACTACATCATATCACCAGCTGCCTGGTGGATTAAAAAACTTGGGAGTCTCGGCAGGTTTCCATGACTTTACTGTAGCATCTCTACAAGTATCTTATACGGAAATCCTGGAGAATGTGAATGGTCATGGTCCGGGATGAGTATCAGGAGCGCCGACCAGTTGAAGGACGGCTCGGGGCTTCAAAACCTTGGAACTTTTTTGCTTCTCGCTTTCGTTGGGTTGGGGCTGCTTCCTGGAGTGAATGTGCGGGAAACCAAAAGGTGATGCCAACAAGGCTATCATTTTCACTGTTACAGGGTATACAGAGTAACGGATAATGTAAATTTGTGACCCTTGTATCCACCACGCGGCCCTTCCTCCATACTCATGAGAACGTCGCCACGACCAATATCTCATTGCGCATTGTTGCCCTCTGACATGTACGTTGTGTTGCTCGGTGTGTCTCCTCAATAGAGTCGCAAGCATGTTGCCACGCCAAACTTTGCAAAAGCTGAGCTGTAGAAAGAGTGAAGGGATCATGTTGTTGAGGTGTTAGAAATCGAAACTCTTTCCGTTATTGCTTCAAATTCCCCGGTTGAACTCAACCATGCCGTCTACGCCTCCCTGATCCCAGAACTCCTTCTCAAGACTTTTGGCGCTCACCGCCTGTCGCTGGGGGAATGCCGCCAAGGCGAGCGGTAGAGCAAAGATACTCGTCGTGAGAATCAGACCAAGATTCACCGGAAGGACCATTCGAGGCCGTTGTTTCATCCACTCGGTCTTTTGTAACCGCACGAGAATAAGAGGCGGAATGACCATGATCGGGGTCGCATTGAGGACGCGGGAAATCGCGGTCTCCCCAACCGCGAGTGTCGCTGCTTTTCGAGACTTGCCCAAGCTGGCAACTTCCTTCCCGGTCTTCTCCCGTTCTGCTTTCTCCGCCTCTGACTGCACGGGGAAGATGTCGATGCCACGACGAATCTCCTCGCCGCGCATGAGGAACACATTCAGAGCACCGGCCGAGGCGACGGCCGCAAACGGCACTAGACGGCCGAGGATGAGTTTCGTGTTCGGGGACACTCGCTTCAGTCGAGGGACGATCGAGTTGAGCCCGACGGCAACAGAGCAGGATGCCGACACGGCCAGGAGATAGCTCTGCACGAGAGTCTTCGTCGAGAGTGGTGACGATTTGTTGGCATTGGCGCTGTTGATTGCCACGTTGAGAGATTGGTTGATGACCTGCCACGCAACGGTCCCCGTCGTCTGTCTCCGTAAGCGAGTCTCCATTTCTCCGAGGATAGTGAGAACCATACCGTCATGTTTGGCGTCAGCATGCCAGCCGTCACCACCAAGTTTGAGATGACGAAGCAAGACATTCGAAACGGGAGAAAGACCGGTTGTCCAGTATCTAACTTCAATTAGTTGCAATTTTGGCGATTATCGCACGTGTGCCTGCAAACCTGGATGGAGTGTAGAATCCACAATCTTTTTTGCATTCCATATCTCTGGTGTCATCGTCTTCGCTTCGCCAGTCTTGTAGGATGTGACCAGTCTTTTGGCCTGTTCGAGGCCCGAGGAGGAGACGAAGAGGGTCCTGCAATGGCTTGTCAGTCAACGCGGTCGATTGAGCCTCGATCCTCCTCTTCCTCAGTGCTCGATGTACCTTCAGTACCGGGGCCCCAGAGCACATGGTACAGCCAGGCCCGAGGCACAGTCTCTCGGAAGCGCATGTCTTTCCTCACCTCGGATCAGCTATCTGGGCCGATTGTTTGACTCGACCCCAATACGTGGAGAGGTCATATTGAGACGCGGGTAGATCGCGATTCCCGGGCAATGAAGCCGACATGTCTGGCAGGATCCTCCGCAAAGGGCTCACGATGCCTAAGGCGCACAAAAGATCGGTCAGTGACCACCACGTAACAGCTCCCGAGAAGGTGCAGGCTGCTCGTGTGCACTTAGACCTTTGACCTTGCGGTTTCGGGTGGTCAATGACGAGGCAGGTCAGCCGAGAATATGTTCACAACATTTAAACCGCGAATAAGCGACGAACATACGGTATCGGCGAGGCTGAACAAGACATTGAGCACATTTCCAAGTGGCTGGAGCAGAATCTAAATCCCTTCTTGGGAATTGGTTACATACTGGTTGAGGGGTTACAAGGACTACAAGAGCCAGAGAAAGAGGTTACATTATTTTTTTTACATTGAAGATTGAAATCTAAGCATTACACTACCTACATGGCTGTGGTTGCGCGTCTTGTGATGTCTGTCAATGGCACAGTGGCTCCGCTCCGAACATATGTGTTGATGGAGTAGGGCGTGATATAATAACATGTCTCAAGCCAGTCTACTCGACCCCTAGCGAGTATATCGATATAGATCTGTGGCTTAGCAACCGGACGACGGTGGTGTCGAGCAACAAGCTTGCGGCACATTACTTCCAGCAACATCCCTAAGACTGACTGGGCCTCGGACGCTCAGTGTTTGGAGTGATATCGTGTGCTGTGTAATTATAGCACCGTCGTGTTGGAGTTTTGAGTAGGACCTTGCGAAATTCATCATTGAAGGACTCACTCTTTGGCAGCATCCGCAAAGCTCTTGCCCTCTTGAACTTGGCTATTTTCTTCCTCGGTTTCGCCAGTCTGTGTTTCATCATTGCTGGCTTGAGATTTTTGACCGGTCGCCTCTCCTGCGCCGGTGCCATTTCCGTTTGGGGCTTTGTCTTCTCTCGAGGTGTTGGCATGCCACCTTAAGTCTTTGATATCCTCAGTGTTCTGGTCTGTAGTATCCTTCTGCTTTGCAGCGTTATTTTCTGCTGCTTTAGCGGCCTTTTTAGCCTTCTTAGAGGACTTCGTTGCGGTATTTTGAGCCACATCGGTGGTGTCCTTTACTTTCTGGGCTGCGGATTCTTGTGCATTCCTTGCAGCGTTCGTCACAGTCGTCGCCGTTTGCCCAACAGAATCTTGAGCATCCTTGGTGGTGGCGCTCGACAGCGACGTGGCCTTCTGTACCACAACATCTGCCGTATCTTTGGTAATATTGGCCAGTTCATTGGCCTTTTCTGCAGCTACGTTGCCGATATCTTTCGCCGTTTGGCTGTTCGCTGCTGTCTTGACCTTGTCGCTCACCGTCTTTGCACCCTCTTTGATCGTCTCAAGGTCACGCTGGAATTGCTCCTTGACCTTCTCGGTGTTCAATCTGGAGGCAACATGTTTTGAGCTTTTTCTGACACTGCTTTTGACTTGTTCTGCAGCTTGATCAAACTCCTTTTTGATCTCATCTGTGTCGGCGATGGCATCTTCATCGCCAATATCTTCTGAGGTTCGATGCATCTCTTCCACGGCCTCACTGAGTCTTCGTGCCACACCCTTTGACGCATCTTGCAGACTTTGCCTAGCCCGCATAGCTATGTCGCTTGCAGAACTGCTTCGTCTCCGCTCCTGTCTCTTCAGGTACGAAGTTACGAAGAATTGCGCGAAGAGCCAGGTCAGTGGAGCAAGGTACATACAATTCAAAAGAATCGCAAACACTTGTCCACTGGTGTCGAGGCAATGCGTCCATTGCAGCTCATCCCGAAACCTGGTCTCTTCTCTAGCCACCAAATCCTCCACAGCATTGACAGCATCGAGACCAAAAGGCCGGCCTTGTTCGTTAAGAACGTTTTGTGCAAGTCCTTCATAACCAGCGGCTCGTAAAGCAGCTTTCTTCATCCATGCACCGAGTCCAGCCGAGACCGTCGCCATTGCGCTTGATGCCGTGGCCGAAAGGTCGCTCGGGATGCTGTACACAATCTTCGACGCCACCTCTCCGGGAAAGTAGGTGTATGCTACGCTAACAGGCGCCTGGTAGGCAATGAACAGATGCGAGAAGGCATATGTTGCTCCGACGACAAACTGTGTGATCTGCAGCGTAGTCAAGGACTGCTTGAACCACTTCGGGACTCGCATTCCGAGGGCAGACACAAGGTAGAAAGTGTACTAGCAATACGTCAGTAGACCAAATAACTCAGAGAAAGATCTGACCCACCATGATGGCATGAATTCCGGAATTGACAAGGACAAACATCCAGATGGGGGGCGACATGTACCGGATGCCAGCCCACATGCACAGCATGGCTCCGGCGTGGTGGTACGTCTGCAAAAAACTGCTCTTCCTTCCTTTTGCCAGAATGATACAGGTATCGAGGACCTCGTAGAACTTGGAGAGGTAGAAAAGCCAGCCATAAAAGGCCAATCCTTCATTCCACATTCTGCCCACATCTGTTGTCTCTGGGACCAATCCATCCGCAGCTAGGTGAAATACACGATTTGTCATTGTCCAGGCACTAGTGGTGGCATTATACGCCGCAGCATTTCCGATGCCTCTCGGGCCATGAAGCTTGCACAGTGCATCCACAGTGTCCGCCACAGTCGGTGAATCATTCCAGGCTGGCAAGCACAAACGGAGACCGTTCACCATGCCAACACAGGTCCATGCTGAATACACAGCAAGGAAGACATTGTGTAATATGACAAAGATCTTGAAGACTCGTGTTCTGCTGAATGCCCAAGGTTTGTGCTTGCGATTCGCATTGACCGAGTTCATGAAAGTGACAAAGGACATGTACACCAGCGCCACTGTGATGGGGACATGAGGAGAGAGGGTAGCATTGTAAATATCGGCCGGTACCGTGAACGGATGCGCGAAGCTTGGATTGTCTGGAGGAGGTGGGAGGGTCGCTGGCTTGGGCGAAGGAGGAAATTTAAAATATGAAGCCGGTAGTGTCGCGATCTTGACATTCGGCGCAGTGCCTTCGAGGCCTAGCCAGTCATAGATAGCGGTGATTGACATGGCTACGTTGACCGGTGCAATTTCCGACCTTGTGGTCGCAGTCAGTCGCGTGAGCACGGTGGGATAGAAGCAGAATAAAGTACCTGGGGGGTTGGTAAAGAACAAAGGTTTTCGGAATTGGTAGAGGGTTTGGCGTAATGGACGACAGTACCTAGAACAAGGCCATATCCCAAACCACGTCGGGATTGACCAGTCAAGTAGGTAAAAGCCTTGTAAAATGGTTCCGTTTGCCACGAGTAGGAAGATGCGGATAGCGAATCTCGCAAATGAAGCGAAAAAAGAATGCCGGAAAGTAATTTACCGGGGGATATTAAGGAGGGGAGGTTGTTGGGTGTTTGTGTGTGTGTGTGTGGTTGGTACAAAATGGCTGGTATTTGTTCTGCTTGGTACTCCGTACTCGTACTGCGTTACTGCTTGCACTTACGTCTTTTTCAGGCACGAAGCATCTGACGGAGCATCATGTATCCGTACAGTATACGGATTCCTGATCTACCAATACATCATCGTGGCGTCTCGTCACTTTTTTTCTGCTTCTGACTTTGTGCCTTACGTCATGAAGCATTGGCTTAAGTGGTGGCAGCCGAGGTTTCTTGAGCCCCAAATATTTTACTGTACGGAGTATCTACTGTATGCCTGTAAATCCGGGGATCAAACGTCCGCTAAAACTTGTTGACTCAACTGATTGACCACTTGACTAGATTGCTGACTGTCCTCTGTACCTATGCTTACTGCAATCTACCTAGGAATATTCACCTTGATACCCACAGATCTCACAGCATACATACGGAGTAGGTGTTGAAGATTGCCGTGTACTCTACTCCATACCGGCCACGCGAGAGAGATCGACAACAGGCCCAAGCACCCCAAATGAAATCACCAGCCTCGCCGTTCACCAATTCGTCACTTGTACTTCGGGAAGTTATTCCGTACCAGTTGCCATCATCCCCAATCAATAAATTCGTTGTACTGTGTTCAAAGCTTTAGAAAATGCACATTGTAATACTTTAGTGTCCCAGCCACGGTGGTCGCACGCTGCCACCACGAAAATACCTGGGTCGCAGAAAAAGCATGCGGAGGATCGTCAACAGTTTCAACTTAGCGATGAAAGCTACTCTTGCTCATTTTCACAAGCTCAGGCCATCAAATTGAGCCATCTGTTGTCCAGCACTGACATGAAGACCATGAAACCCAAACCCGAGCGCACCGTCCACGTGAGCTCGTCCAACCTCATGCATCGTTTTCGCATCAAGGACGAGCAGGTAACTCTTCCCAGCCGTCCCATCGAGCACGACAGTCAGGAGCACACCGTCGTCCTCCTCGTCAGTCTGGCCAGACGGCACAAAAATAGGTTCACCAGCTGTGTGTCCATGCTTGCTCCATCGTTTGACCTCGTGGGTGTCTGCATCGTACTTCACTAGACCGTCTGCAAAGGTAGATTTCCCAGTGTCCACAATACCGTACATGTACCGATGTTTCTTAGTGACCATTCTGGGGTTGATGGTCGGAAGTTCAAAGGCATCCCCCTTGCTGCTTTCGTATTCCAGTATTGCCTTGCGAGGTTTGAGCTCGTGGTCGACCGGGATCGTGGGCAGGCGGAACCTCCTGTAACTCGGCCGCACTGCTGGATCGAGACTTTCCATATACGCTGACGCTTTCGGCGAGTCACTAATGAGGTTATCAAGATAGAACCGATATAATATGTCCATGTTCTCGTAGGCAGCCAAATCCGCTACAATGTCGACCGAGCCGTCCTTGAAGGTGGAAGGCTCTTCGTATGCGTTAATTGTGTGGAAGCAGAAAAAAGGAGGCGACTCATATGTTCCAACGAGCCCTTTTCCTCCCTCAGCTGGCATTCGCTTGTCGACCACGAACCACACGGCAGGTTGCTGATTGTTCCATGTCATAGCATCAAGGAGATTTCGTGTCCATAAGATGGGAGCGCCGCCAGCTTTGTAAATGGAGTTCCAAACACACAGCACAACATAGTTCTCCGTCAAGAAAAGCGAGTGAAGATATGCCGCAGTGTGCTGGAACTTGGCCAGAATGCAAGTCTTGCCTGTCGATGCTGAGACCCGGAATACCCGATAAGTGCCGTTCCGCCCAAAATCGAGATTGTAATTGTACACATCACCATCCACAGGATCTGACTTGGCATGTGCGCCACTCGCCCGCCCTTTGAGCTCGGGGTTGAGCACATCTTGTTGTGCAACACCGACAGGCTCCAAGGTTTCGGGATCGAGCATTTGAATGAAACTGGCGTCGGTCTTGTTGCAGAGAGTGATTCTTTCGCTTGGGTCGTGGGGTCTGTCCTGTTTTTGGCCGGTTCTGGAGAGACCTGGAAAGTTCACAGACATTGTGACGGCTGCATTGACCTCATTCGGTGTCCGAATAGATGGCTGGTGAAATACAGACTGCATTTTCTGGAAAAAAGATTTGCAGGGATCATATTTTGCGGCGAAAGTGAAACCATCGAGCTCACCAGTCTTCCGAATGTTTTCAATAAGTCCATCACTGGTCAATCTCGAGTTGTAGGTCACTCTGATCGGCGAGCCTGTCTGGGGAGGATGAATTTGGAACCGATGTACCTGAGAGAAGTTGTCGAACCAGTGGTTGACTTTGAACTCCTTCCCAGGGGTAGATCGGACCGTTCTTGGGCCTAACCCTGTGCGAAACAGAGTACCGGCGGCGTATGGTGGAATAGTCCCCTCAACCTGGAGTTCGATGGGTTCCCGTTCTTCGTAAGTAGAATCGAACTGGGAGAATGTCATTATAGGCTTCATCGAAAGGTTTTGGACACATACACCCAGTGTGTTCGGCCAATCATTGTAATGCAAAGGTGCTTTCATCTTGGAGACCTCACACGTACTGTGGACAGTATAGCCACAGAGAGTCGTTCACTTGGGTATCTGAATGTGGAAAAGAAAGTGAAATGTTTGTTGTAAGTCACCGAGGATTGTAGTCTTCCGTGCTGTTCGCGTTCATCATCATGCTCCTCGACTTTTATGTGACCTTCAGCACATCGATCAGAGCCGGCTTCCAGCGATGAATCTATCCGCAATTATCCCTAAGGACGTAAGGATCGCACTCTTGTAGGCTTGCACCAGGCTCGGAGTAGCGAATACTCACAGACATAGCCATATATATTGCCGAAAACGGTATACTGCGCGAAGGGCAGTCTTACGGCCGACAGCCTAGACAGAAGGGTTATCCAGCGTTGATACCTAAAGCAGTGCGCAAGGTGTAGCTTGGCTTCTTTTGGGGTCTCCTGTAATATATGTAGTCGCATCTCATCTTAACATGCCGACCCCTCCGCGGTGCCATTCTTGAGCGCATGGCAGTGGAATTCTCACCAACGGCAGAAATACCCAAACCCAGTTAATCTAGGCCAAGGGCCAAGACGTTGCCTTCGCTTCTCATGAAGCAGGATAATGCTGAGTCTATGATTGGTTCCGCAAAGCCCCCAAGTACTTGCTTGTTGAGCGGTGCATTGCCAATATGTCGACAATAAGGGGTCTAGGTGCTACCCGCAGGCCAGCTTTTGGCACAGTGGATCGAAACGAAACACGATACGGAGCACCTTGCCTCATCAAGCTGGCCATGGCTTTGAGCGAAGCCCAATCACAGTGGTCAGCGGACCAACTCCGGCTGAGTCCCTTACTTGTTCGTGTAAAGGTCTCGTTCATTCTAGACTTGGGCCCTGAAAGTATCTGAATCTCAAACGTACTACGCAGCCATATAATCGAAAGTGCGCCCAGGCATCGAACAGTGGCCGGCTATAAGCGAAGCGCTCGCCTAATATTCCCTTTGAGGAATAGCGTGACTGACTGACTAACAAGTCACTTCGGCAGACGTAGGCACCAAGGCCGTACTTTTGCATTGCCATACTTATGTTTGTTGTCAACATCGTGTCTAGAAAATGCCTCCACTCCAAGATGTTCATGCTCCTGTAGAGGACGAGTACGATGAAGAGGCTGACAGCGATTTCCAAGCAGATGCAGTCGGCGATGAAGATATCTCCTCCACATCCGAAGACGACCTCCCCGAACAGGATGAAACATCGCAGAGACCTCGCAAAAGACGGAAGGTAGAGAAGGTTCAGTCGGCCCCCGTCACTGAATTGGACTCAGGGGATGAGGCTACAATTAAAGAGCAAAGAGCGTCTCGCAAGAAACACCAAAAACAGGCTAATAATGAAAATGAAAGTGGTAACGAATCGGAAGGATGGCGAGCACAAACACGCGCCATGCGCACAAAGGAGAAAGAGGAACGGAGGAGAAACAAATTGGCATCCGTCAAGGGCAGCACCATCGACGTGGACAAGATATGGGAGGAGATGAACAAGCCACAACCACTGCATTCATCGAATGTGCAGCCAAACAGCCACAATGACGTTCTGGACGACAAGGCGATCGCAATCCAGTTGCCTAAAACGACAGACGGGGTCGTGGAAAAGGAGAATCTGCCAGAATTTTTTTCCGAAGAGATGATAACAATCAAGCGCACCTATAAATTTGCTGGCGAAGTGCATGTGGAAGAGAAGAATGTGCCCAAGTCTTCGGCCGAAGCGCAGCTCTGGCTAGCCCAGCAACAGTCGACAAAGGCACCCGTCCTTGAAGCTGATGGCAAGATGGTCAATAGACCGCTTCGGAGGATCTCTCGGTTTGATCCCAATTTCAGTAATCTGGCCGCATTCAAATCGTCATGGGTGAAGCAAGGTGCAGGGGCAGGACAGCATGCCGGGCCCAAACTCAATGTGGTGGAAAAGAGTAAGATGGACTGGGCTGTTCATGTGGACACTCAAGGGCTGAAAGAAGAGCTGGACATTCATGCAAAAGCAAGAGACGGCTACCTCAGTAGAATGGATTTCCTAAGGGAGGTAGAAGGTCGCAAAGAAGCAGAGGCGAGAGCGGCGAGGCTGAGAACTGCATGATTGCAGCTCTAGAATATTTGCGCTGACTGACAATACCGTTACTTAAAGTCAGGCACATATCTAATCCGGTTTGTATGAAGCATTCTACCCGCCGAGCTTCCTGGGTCTTTTTTGCTTACTCGTCCTTTCTCTCGGCGGCTGGAATTGTGAATGCTGTTGCCCTTTTCCCAATTCTTATCATTGATTGTTTCTTTCGTTCTCATTGCATTCTCACTCTCACTCTCACTTGCCTTCCCATCTCCTGTCCACAGTGCCTACTTCCATTCCTGTCGAAGCACATTCCTCCTGTCCAAAGATACAAAGATATGTGGTAGCAGCTTCAGGTACTGAGCATCTGCCCTCCTCTTCCTAACACCTCAGAAGCCTTCCGACTGATGCAAGCTGCGGTGCGAAGATGCAAACTCCGAAACCACAGGCCACAGCCTCCTCAGCGGTTCCTCATCGCCAACTCCATCCTCATCCCACCGACAGACGCAATGGTGCTAACTTTCCGAAGTACACCATAGCTACATCGCCGTTGAGCAAGGAGATACCTCAGCCCTCACCCGAGTCCCATCGTCCAAGTTTACGTGCGAGAGATTCTGTGACATCAAGAGCCAGCAGTGTGCCCTCCACCCCACTCGACGACATTCCGAGGCCTCTTTGGGACCGGACTTTTATTCGTACCGCAATCACCCCAGAAGCAACCAATCCTGACCTCTCCATTGAAGAGATTACTTCGACCAAGCTTTCACTCGACGATGAAGAGTTCTTAACCAGCTTGCCAAACAGTGAAAATAACAAGCAGGCGAAACTTGGAAGATCTTGCGGAAGAAAAGGCATCATGGATCTTTTCGAAGACAATTCAGGCCGGTGGAAGAAGATGAGAAGGACTATGAGAAAGATACCCAACGATCTCTTCGCCCGGAAGAGCCGACCGTCCACTCCCGCCACTGGCCAGATATCTCTCGACCGTCCTACTACGAATGAATCGGTGTTGCCGGAAGCAGATCTCCTTACCGAAGCCTTTGTGCCACAGCCAGCGAAATCGGTGGACAAAGGCCTTGAGGAAAAGACTGTTGAACCCCTTGTGGTATGTATATCGACCGATCTCAGACGCAAGATTGACATGGTGTATAGCAGTTGGACTATGATGGTAAGCCAAAGGAGGCAATTTCTCGCTCTGAGGAGATAATCCAAGTATGTATGAACCGCACATTACTCAATGGAAACTGATAGCAGCCAGATCTCGAGTAGGATTCGCGAAGAGCTGAAGGATAGCAGTAGGGTGCAGTCTGGAGCAGGGAACTCAATGGTATGCTTGTGTCCCTCCCGAATCAGCCTTTCTGATCAGTGCAGCAACCGCCGGCACATTTTAAAGGACCCTTCCTTAACTGCACAGCTCACAAGTCTTCGTCCAAGGGACGCATTGCTGAGAAACGTTGCTATGTTCAACCCGCTCTCCCTCCCAATTTTCCGCCACCTCGTCCTCGGCTCACAGACTTAAGAACAACTTCTGGCAGCGGCAGCGGCAGCGGCGAGGAAGCGCGACATTATACTTTCAGCACACATAGGGCGAGCAGACCGAGCTCGTCGAATGTTTCAGTTGGCCAGAAGTCAGCACAGACTATCGGTCGAACCTCCCGCCCAAGCTCGAGGCCAGGTACCACTTCTGAATCTAACCAGTCCATCAGCGGTATAACCGCTGTACAGAGACCACTCGTATTCATGGACGGAGAGGTCGCCCCTTCTGAAATACTCTGGGACCACGGTCCTGTGACGCAGCGTCCGTCCACCTCATCCACAACTCGTCCTGCCTCAAATGCTGGTTCTCGTACGATCACCCAGAACGGTGCCGAGCCTTGGACTGCACTCTCGCCTGAGATCGAGATCGGTAGAGACATTCCCAACTGGATAAAGATTCCAATATTTGTTCCGAGACGCATTGAAGCCAAGGAGACTTGCAGAGCGGCGAAACTGCACGGTTCTGCCCGCGGCGCAGCTCCACTGAGCCCTGCTGCCGAGGAGGACAACGTCAAGGGTTTTCAAGCTGAACTCAATCTTTCTGACACTGCAATATCGGACTTTTCATTTGGATCTTTGCAGGTGCAAACCTCAAACCAGTCGTTCCTCGAGAGGCAAGCTATGCTGCTAAATTGGGAAAACGAAACTTCGCCGCGACCATCGACCAGTGGCAGGGAGAGGCTGTCCCAGGTCTTTGCTAGTGCTTGGCAAGAAGGAAGCAGCAAGTTAAGACGTAAGGGATCGAAAGCGACTGATGTCTAGAAGTTCGACACCATGTTCAACTACGCTGCAAGCACAGCAAACGCAACGTCTCTTTGAGAGGGTGGGAAGACGATGGTTGTTAATAAAGTGAGCTGCGACAACCTTGGCTTGGACAGATTTTGCATTGCACAACGAGATATCACACTGTTTGGTAGCACAACGCAACATGTACGAGTATCAACAGCACTTCGCTCTCGGTTGAGCGGGAACCCTGCTTGATATAGTCGACTTTGGCTAATCAAAATGCATCGCACTGAACCGGGGTCTCTAGTTTGAACAATGCTGGATAGCAACAATCTTATTTCAAATCGTTGGTTCCTCTGATGATATGGTAGGCTCGTATTTCTTTACTTCGTCTAGTGCTCATTGAAAACGAGTCTGGTCATGCCCCCAGTAGATATATCGATTAGCAGGAGGTCAACCTCCATGTCCTCGTCCAAACAGGGGCCTTGTGCCAGCTTCTGGTAATGAAGAGTCTATAAACACGGAGAAACACCAAAAAGACAAGACGCATTGTGTACTTTTTTTTGTTATTTTATTGAGGCAAATGCTCGACTATTTATTTTTCGCTGGTCCTTTTTTCGCCGGGATATTCGATCAACGAATTCGCAAGCGACAAGCCTCGTTTAACCATGAATTCATAAACTTCGAGGACAACAAAGGTCATCATGAACAATTGACCTCCCCCCACCCCCCTCCCCCCCGATCAGTTGTGCAGATTTGGCAGTTGAGGCCTCCTTTTCTTCTTTTCCAACCCCTCAAAAAGCATTGCATCTTTATTTTCAACGGACACCATATTGGGATCTTCCGGAACTGGAGCATTTGGTGCCTCGGCCGCCCCTCAAAGCGAGATCCTCTATAGTAGGATCCTCGAATGCGAAATCCCTCAAAGTACGACACCGGCCGCGACCCTCTTGAAAATGTCCCACCCAGCAAGGAGGCCTCGGCGCTTGCGGAGTCTGGCAATAGGCCACAGACACAGCATTATAGGCCCAGTACGCTGAGTCGAGCCGCGTACGTCCAGCCAGTCACTCGCAGTGTACCGGAATGACATTCGAGGGAAAATGGAAATTGTAATCTTCGCGTACGATTTTGTCCTTGCTCGCACGCCAGCGAAGGGCAGTATCGAAGATCGAGATCAGGGACTGATGAGTGTTGATTGAGACGTCAGGTAGCTGGAAGGTGTCGGGATGGATCGGATCAGCCTCCGTCTTTGTCTCGAATTCCACGTCGTCGTTTTCTTTGGGGGGCCGAGCGGTTGTCGGGGACCGGGGAAGAAGTAGGTCGACGAAAGTATGAAGGTAGAATGCCATATCTTCGGCCTGTGCTTTGATTTTTGGCATGACATTTTCGTCAATGTGAGCCGCAAAGAATTTTTCCCTCAGGATCATCTCGAGGACGGGGTCGATGGCTGTGAAAAAAAAATCAGTATGGAAGGAAGGAGAAGGCTCGGGATACTCGGGTGCACTCACACTTCTCGAGGACCTTTTGGATGATTCCCGCGCCTTAGTTTTGATAGACGTGGCGCTCGTCAAGCGTCTGTCTCTTGAGGGCAGGGACTTGGAGGCACCACGAGTAGACGGCCGCACCGACCAAGGCACGAATAAAGTCCGTCCAGCCAATGATCTTCTCCCGCTGCATCTTTTGGTACAGGAGGCGGCCACCCCGTGGAGAACCTTCAGGGCCGAGCATTAAACGTATAAGCAGGTTGAGCTTCATGGGATATTCTGATCCGGTTTGGAGGACAAGTGGCTGAACCTTGTCGAGTCCCGACTTCAAAAACGAATCCTGGACAGCTTCCGTAATTTTGTCAAAGATCTCACGCAAATGCAGACTCAGCCGCATCAGATAATGTTGTATCGGTATGACCTCGATCAAGTAGTTGACCGACTTTCGGCAAGTCTGATGGCTTCATCTTTGGGAGCCCCTTGCCCCTCGAAATTGCGCTGGGCTTTAAGTAAAAGTAATTGTTGAGCCGTCAAACCATGAGTCAATGACTGCAGGGCATGGGACTTCTCTTGACGGGATATAGACTCCGGCTGGCGCGAGGTCTCTCCAGTTGTGATTTGCCCTCCAGGGGTGGGTTGAGCTTCAGTTGTGATTTGATTTCCAGTCGAGGATTGAGTATCAGTCCATACCGGGTTGTCATTGACCCTGGCTCTTGCTTCAAGATGCTCAGTGAGTCTCCTTTGACTGTGGGACGACAGTTTCAAGATCAAGCCAGAATCCTCCGTCTGAATGAGCTTTCCTTTTCATCTATGGCTGCATGTTGAAGGCATGAGACATTTCATGTGGTCATGGTCGGGACAAGGATGGATCTCTTCATACCTGTGAGACATACCACATATCAATCTCTCTCTCAAAAGGTCTGAGTGTGAAATATAAAGGGTGGAAGAAAATCTGTCCAGGCCCCTTAAAAGGTGTTTAAGGATTGACTTGAAAATATTCTTCGTATATAACCCATGATATATCATCGAACCGCTTAGTCATTGCGACATTCTCCACGTTCCTGATAGAACTTCACAGCCTCCTTTATTCTAGGCCTACATAGTCCTCGTTTCCACAGACGCTCAAAGAGCCAGAAAAAGATTCTCTGACTTCTCGTTTGACTCTCAGGTCTCGCTAGAAATGAGGTGGTTCGGAGAGAGAGCATTTGCTGGAGGATATTTGAAGAAAATGCGATAGACCTTGGTTCCATATTAACAGACAATCTCACGTTGAAACAATTCATGCATAGCAACGATGAAGCTGAAACTACCCAGGTACGACCTAGAAAAAGTTACACACTTGATAATATGTGGTTTTGTCACCACCTAGGTAAAGGTGTATGTAATTCAACCTTGTCCAACATCGTGGGTCTAGCATTGTTGTTACACAGGGCCACAATCGAGTTGGTCCGACTTGGTACTATTAACCAAGTAACTATAGAGGTGCAAGAGGACTGTTGTCAAGTTATCAAGTGCCTAAGATAGTCTCAAAGAAGAGATGGGCTCTTGAGGTAGTAGGTAAGAGTATCACCGATTGCAAGAAGGTCATTCATACTTTGTCTTTTCCACAAACTACCTTCCTCGGAAGACATGAGCTACAGATTGAAAACGAGCGATCATTTTCATCAAGTTCCGATCCGGTCATGATCACAAACATAAGCTGGATTGTCTCGAACAAGAGGTCCTCACAACCACCATTGACCAACCCGTCGCAAACACTCTCGTCACATTCTGCCGCAGCTTTCACTCATATCTACAAACGAGCAAGACCGACGCTCTCACCAGGGGCATGGTAGGTTGGGATCTTCATGTCCAGGGCAGCTCCGCTGTAGCCGAGATCCTCTGCAGACAAGACGGCACACTTCTCACCGATGAGCAAAGCAGTCTGTGCATGGACATTGTTAGTATTGTGCAGTGATGGAAACGAGAGGGCGTCGTTGAACGTACCGAGAAAGTGTTGCAACCGACATTGTCAGGGCAGACACTAAGGTCAGAGACCTTCAAGTTCTTGACACCATGGACGTTGAGTCTCTCATCCAAGACACCATGCTTGACAACGCTGTTGCCGTTCTTTGGGCCCATGCTGCAAGTGCCGAGGGAGTGCCAGGTAGTCTCGCAGTGTCGTTGAACCCATTTCTCGATGTGAGCAACTGTGATAACTGTTAGCACGAGACCCAGGAAAGTATCGAAGGGAAGCTGCCACTTACCATCCTCTGGCCTATATTTGATCTTGTCGGAGCGGTCTTCCTGGCAGTTGGAGTTGAGCCAGTTGGGCTGGGGGATCTTGCCGCTCTCAAGAGGAGCAGTCCAGGAACCGTGTTGGATATTGGCAGTCAGATGGTTGGGACCGGCATAGGCGTTACGAGTCGCCAAATCCATGTCGAGTGCTCGCGCGGGCGAGTCATAGGCGAACTGTGGGTGCATTGCTGTGACCTCACCAGCATAGGCTCTCATGCGACGGGCAGTCTCACGGGACTGAATGTAGCCCCATACCATGGGCGCCATGTCACGCTTGTCGTTCATGAAGCCGGCGTCAAAGTCAGGAGCATCATATGGGTCTGCTGAGGTGATGTGGGTGAAACCACGAGAGAAGGGGTATTCCAAGAAGTGGAACATGGTGAAGAATTTTCCAGGAGGCATGTCCATGTGGTCACCGAACCAGCCAGCAATGACTGAGTAGTGCATCACAGGCTTGTCAGGCTTGTTCTTGAAGTAGCTCTCCCATCCACTGGGGCTGAAGTCTGGTGTGGGCCAACTCTTCATCTCCTCGAGTTCTTCCTCCGTGGGTCGCGACTTTACACCAGCCTCGATACCGTTAGTGGCCAAGGGACCGGTACCCTTCAGGTTCCATTCCTCAAAGACAGCCTTTTGGACTTCAGGGTCACCTCGGACAAAGTCATCAAAGGACTCTGTGTCTGGTGTGGCACGGAAGGTGGAGAAGGTGAGATAGTGGTCTTGGAAGTTGAGACCAACACCTGGGAGATCGACGACAGGCTTAACACCGGCCTTTCTGAGCTTCTCTGGGTCACCGATACCAGATCGTTGAAGCACAAGAGGAGAGCTGAGAGTACCGCAGCTGACGATGACCAGCTTGCGGGCCTTGAAGAAGCGACGAGGCATGTCTTTGCCACCGACAGGCTTGGTTGGGACAGTGAGGACACCAACTGCGGTGCCATTCTCAATCACAACTCTGTCGACCTTGGTGTTGCATTGAAGATGGAGGTTCTGGTACTTGGCACGAGTAGCATGGATGTAGGCATGAGCAGCATCAGATCGTCGACCGGTGTCTCGGTTGATCCATTTAAGCCAGTGCTCGGCACCATGACCAGTGACAAGATCCTGAAGATCATCTGTGACTGGGAAACCCAAGCTCTCAGCGGCACGGAGGAAGTCTTGCATGATTGGGTAGCAGTAGTTGCCGAAAGAGACCTTGATCGGGCCTTCGAAGCCATGGATGTCTCGGTTGTTGCAGGCACGTTGGTAGGTCTCGTGTTTCTTCATAAGGGGAATCAACTCCTTGGTGGTCCAGCCCTTCATCTTAAAGTCGTCGTAATCACTAGCTGACGCCCTGGTGTACATCATGAAGTTGATGGAGCTGCCACCACCCAGGATATGGGCACAAGGGACAACAGCTCGACGGCCATCAAGCCACTCGGATGGTCTCGAGTAATAGAAGGTCGCTGTCTTGGAATCCAGCTTCATGTTCCTGGGGTAGATACCAGGGCGGTAGACCCAAGGATTGTTGAGGTTGCTCTCTCCAGCCTCAACCAAGAGGACCTGGAGGTTGTGGTCCAGGTTGGCAAGACCTAGATGGTGTCAGTCGTCGTCAGGGTGTACCTACACGCTCTATACTCACGTCCAGCAGGAACACATCCTGAACTGCCACCTCCGCACACGATGATATCAACCTCGTCAGGGACAGTCATGATTGCAACAGGGTGAGTATTGACACAACAAGAAACAGTGAGGATATGCTTTGCTCTACCAGGAGCAGGCTGAAGAAGAGAAAGAGAACAACAGGAGATCGATATCTCACATTATATATCTTGCGAGGTAGAGTTCCTCTCCACCTTCGGCAGGAAGGAGGGAGGGGGTGTCTGCATGACGGGGCACTGAAGTGAGGAGGTCCTGGGCTGTGTACTTGGATACCCTGGTAAGCTGATCATCCCTGATGGAGCTACGACAGGGTATTGATTCGATATAACTGCGGGGTTTCGCCCAGACGTCAACAGCTTTCGAAGAAAATATGGGTGCCAGAGTAAAAGTACAGGCCGTATTGATTCAAGATAGGCCGAGGTGCGTCTTAGCGAGAGGGTGAGCTTTCGAGATACATGGATACCACAGCTTTCGCCCCGTCGAGACGGTATCGAGGCGGCAAACGAGCTGCGGCTTGGGCGACTAGTGAGACAGTAACATGGTGGTCCTTGCAGCTATGCCGACCAGGATTGAATGCACCCATCAATGCTCTCTAGAAAGCTAGTGCCAGCGAATGCGTGAGGCAAATAAGCTAGCTCCAGCGAGCCATATTGCAAGGAGGGGTCCTGCGTACTCATAACGATGGCGCTTGAAAAAATGTCTCGAGTCAGTAGATGGTAGCAGACCAGTACACAGTGCCGCTGCCAACGTCTCATGGCCTGACGGGTAAACCTAGTCTGGAGATGATTTCCTTGCTGTAGGAGAAAGCATCTGAAGGGCAACGTCAAAGCGTACCTTTGCAAGCCACCCACCGGACCAGGCGGCTATGACGCCTCAACCGGCCGGTTAAGATCCCCCTTCCTAGCGACGCAACAGACGCGGGGGTGGGAGATAATGGGCCAAAGCATGGCGTCGTCGTAGTCAGAATGGAGACGGTGGTGGAAAAAGATGCTCTGCCGAAAGAAGCGAATGGCTGCTGATTGGAATAACAAAGTGCCCTCTTTGGATTGCGGGGGAATATTGGACTAGTCTCGTTTCGGAACCGCAACGATGATGGAGAGCTGGACCTGCACTTGTGCAGGTCATACTCCGTAGAGCCTATGATACAAAGATAGACCGACGGACCATACACGATGTATGTTGCTCCATGCATTGGCTGGCGTCATCCAGTAAGGCAATTCATCGCTGATTTCTCGCTCCCCAGAACCATGAAATCGGTGGGGAATCTTCTCCACGGAAGCCCAGGATCAGAAATCACCAAGCGCCTTGACGAGAACGCTTCACTGTGTCTCGAGTTTGCTGTAGCATTGGCTCACCTGATTTCCATCCCCCTCTCGAAACAAGATGAGATGCATTCGGCACATCCGGTACGAAGACACGTCGCCCCATCCACACTACTCGGACTACTGAGGTCTCTCGAAGCCCCGAGTCCGTTCTGGCGTTAATAGCCAGAAGTGTTCCAGAGAGTATCATGCTAGACCTTCGCAAGACCATCTGCTAGCCCCACGTACCCTGATACATGCCCTTTTTTCTGGACCAAGTTCCTGTAAGCGCTGGTGGTAATGTCTGGCGACGCGTAAAAATTGAATGTATGCATATGCGGAGCCGGTCTCGCCAGAATTTAACCCGAGACGGCATTGACGGCCTTTCTCCGCATCTAATGAGGCCTCTGCATAGCATCGCTGATCCCTGTTGACCGGTACCCCTGCACATTGTTCTGAGTTTATTGCTTTTATCGTCCATTCATCTCAACGCGTATGTTGTTGGTGCTGCCGGTCATAAATCAAGTGCCGTAGCTCTTCTGTCGCGACTTCGATTTCGAGAATCTGGCCAATGCCTCGCCTCCAGGCATCCTGCAGCCCGAAAAGTTCCGCCTTGTGTGCCTCCTGGGTGACCTTGCGACTCTTGTTGATATCGTCTGTTTCAGATTTGAGTCTAGCCAACGTGCGCTCCAGAGCCTTGAGCATCTCTTCGCTGCGGTCGTTGCTGACGAGCCAAGCGTTCTTGCCATACTCGTCCAAGAGTTGCAGATTGTCCTGTCTCCCCGAGAGAAAGGTGCTTGCAACATACGCTTGCCGTAGCGCACATCGCTTAGCCTGCACATCCAGGTCTGCGACGTCCTCATTTTCAGGTGCTTCATATCTTCCCATGTCAATCCCTCCCTGCATCGGCTGACCTACGGCGACCCGCTCGAGTTCCTTTGACATCAATTCGGAGAACTTAGTCTCATGAAGAGGGGGGAGGGAGGGATGCGGCGTCGTGAGATAGTCTGCAGGTAATTCTTTGTCGATCAGCACTCTGGCTCTCTCCTTCTGAGCGGCTGTAGGCTCTGGATCGATGTCTGCGGAATAGTCAGTAAAGATGTGACACACCCCGGAATGCGTATCACTCACAAGCCAGTGATTCGTTAGACTCCAGTACCAAAGACATGGTGAACTAAACTAAGTCCTAGCTCTCAATGGCAATTCTTGCGTGGTCTCTGCTGTCGTTACAGGTTCCAGGGCGCAGATTCCCAAGGTCGATCGAACAATTTTTGCCAAGATATCTCTTTCACGGTTGCGGTCCTGAAGAGGGCAGGTCAGGCGAAACGTTTTTCCTTTCTCTGTGTGTATCCCTGCTGCTTACCTAAGGTAACTTTCTGATGTACACCAGAGCATCCGCTGCTTCTGACTAGATTTTCATTCTGCTCAGTTAACAAAGTCCTCATTCCCTTTTTTCCCTAGAGCTCCAAAGACTTGTAAGCCTATTTATCGGCACTCCAAAGCAGGAGGAATGATCGCTCTCTTCCGAAAGATTCCATCTGAATCCCGATGTCCCCGAAAATCAGACCAGGGTTTGCTAATGATGACTCCAGTCGTGAGCAGCGCAGCATGGCGAGCCCAGGCTACTAGAGAATGGCACGGAGGGCTTATGCTCTACCTGACATTTCTCTGAAAACCGTCCACTCCCCGCATTGCTGTACTGATACTATAGAACCTTGCTTGACTGTATCTACTTCTGACCATGCCCTCAATCGACCAGCACGTCTTTGACACAGGCCTTCTGGCGTGTCCTTCATTCCTATTGGACGCATTATATCACTGACCTAGCAAACCTCGGGCTTTGGAGGACTTCAATCCGAGCACTTGCTCCTTGTGGACTACTTGACTGTGATCTGTCAATAATCGAAAATGACAAGGGACTCTAAGTCACGATCCTTGGGCGGCCACTGTCTGTCTGCAATAGACCTACACTGCGATATTCTAACTGTAAAGTCACACCATGCTCTGAAATAGCTGATATGTCACACTGGAACTAGTGAAATGTTGTTGGCACCTACTTCACTTAAATTCGGCTGTGGTTATATTAATCTCCAGCGTCGTAGTAACCCCTAGTTATTATTGCGTCTAGAAAATGCAGGTCGAAATGATTTATGCCTCGTATACTCGGTACTATACCCCTCGATCACTGTAAGGCAGCAAATTCGGAATCCATCGGTCCCCCATCACAAGTTGAGAGTATGCCTCCATTGCTGATCCTGATACTATATGCAAGATATAGGTAGGAACTACTTGAACCTTTTAATTGAGGGAGAAAGGGGACCTCTACTGTGATATGCAAGTTACAGCATGTAGGTAATTCCTCTAGTCCCTATAGTATGGAGGCTATAAGAGTGATATTGTCGCCCAATTTTCTCTGTTAAATCATGAGGACTCTCATGTAGCCGGGATCGCACAGAATAGGAGGCAAAGCCTTCTCCACGGCGAACGAGTCTCATAAACACAGGGAGAACGTCACCCTAGCCTCTTTCCGGGCCTATTATGGTATTTATTTACACAAAGACATCGACCGCCCCGGGACGATTCTCCACGCGGGCCTTTGCCGTCTTCCATGCGTGGTGGGGAAGCTCCATTTGAGCCCGTGTCCAAGGACGCGCCATTAACGCCTCCGATGTCATGGTGTTTGAGCCTCTGTGCAAGTCGCCTTCTTTGCCATGCCTAGTCTGTGTATGATGGACATTGCACATCGCAGATTTCACGGCTTCATCGAATCACCGTCAAACGCACCGTGGCTATATCCCCGGCCTCACGAATCTTTGGACCACAAGAATCGGCCACCTTCATTGGGCATTGGAATATCCAAAGAAATCACAAGTGGTATCGATCTGTTTTGACCCTTGTTCCCCTTTGAGGTCATTGTTGGGCCCCTGGCGCCACCTGGATAGCTGCAATACGTGCCTTGATTTTGGAACGAGGTCATTGTTGGATCATGCTTGTCTGCGCTCGACAACAAGTAATTACTACTCCTAGTACTCTGTCCAATACAATAACCTTACCTCTATGATCAAACAATAGATACTGCCTTTCTCGTACCCCGAATACGCGGTGTCAATGTGTCGTGGAAATTCCCTAGTGCTGTTATCGAACCCGCCACCGCGCATGGATTGTCTCACTTGCTGAGGCACAGCCACTTATTAAAAATACAGTGACTTACGGAGTACCAAGTGTCGTATTACCCGAATGGCATCATACGAAATCCGACCCTCTGGCGAAGATTCATCTTCTGGTTCAGGATATTCCACAACATCGACCCTTGTGCCTGAGTTTCACTCTTCGTCGAATGAAGCCCGTCGACGGAATTTCGTGCGAGAGCCCCAAGGCACCGGCTCGTGCGACGACAATACACCCGAAGAACTAGAACAAGTGTCACTCGTGCAGAGGAGGAACTCCGTCTTTCTCGAGGTCGGACTCGGGGGCGACGATGCGATTGTGGACACAAAGCTAAAGCAAACCAACACCACCCGACCGAGACTGCAAGTTCGTTTCCGGAGTAAAATCGACGTCTTCGAGCCAGATCCTCCTGCTTCGACCCGGGACAGTTCGTGCCCGCGCGACAGAGACAAACCACGAGAAATGCCTTTCTTCATCCCTACGCTGTCGAGACTACTATTTTTGGCGTTCGTGGTCATCCTCGTTACGCAGAGCCTCCACACGACACCGATATTGAAAGCGGATGCGAATCCCGTGGGAACGAGAAGAGATGGGTCATTGAGGGGAGACAACCTGCGACAAGGAAAGAGAGCACTGCCAGATGCGAATGTGAAAAGAGACGACAGTCCCACGGTCGTATGTAAGAGGTGGGCAGGGCAGAGTGCTCTCGTCAATGGGACCTTATACTACTATGGAGGCAGATCCACGACGACCGCCGACCAGACTAGCAATGAATGGAGTAAGTTGCTCAACCGTCGTCACGGGCTTTCTGATGCTGACAATCCGACGCAGACAACGATCTGATCGCGATCGACTTGACCAAGTCATGGCAGATTGGAACGCCTTCGATATCGGGACTACCAATCCCCAGCGGTCCTCCGGCCGTCTCACTAGGCTACCTGTGGAACTCCTACGACTCACTCTACCTCTACGGCGGCGAATTCTCAGACACTCCAGCAGAATCGCCTGTGCCGTTCTCCACCTGGTCCTACGACATCTCTTCCTCGTCTTGGACCGAACAATCTGACCCCAAAACGAGTTCTGGCGACAACTCCGAACCGGCAAACCAAGCAGTCCAACGCGCCGCCGAAGGGGCAGGAGTTTCTGTGCCCAACATCGGCCGGGGCTTCTACTTTGGCGGCCATCTCGACGGCTACACGACCCCCGGCTGGTCTCAGTCAATCGCTCGGGTCTACATCAAAGGCCTCCTCGAGTACACATTCCCAGGATACACCAACGACGCCGTCTCCAATTCCGGCACGGCAGGCTCGTCGGGCATATACCGCAACATCACCCAGGGCGGCGTGCAGGACACGAGTGGGTTCCCAGAGCGTGCAGACGGCGTTCTCGTCTACGTGCCGGGGTACTCGAAGCAAGGCATCATTATCGGTCTGGCCGGCGGGACCAACGCGACCTTCACCCAGATGAACGTCATCGACGTATACGACATCGCCACGTCGCAGTGGTACAAGCAGGCCACCAGCGGGCCTACCCCCGAGATACGCGTCAACCCCTGCGCCATCGCCGTGTCCGCGCCCGACGGCACGTCGACGCAGGTGCACATGTACGGAGGCCAGAACCTCGTCCCCTACGGCGAACAAATCCAGTACGACGACATGTGGATCCTGACCATCCCGTCCTTCACGTGGATCAAGGTCGACACGTCGAACCAGGCCACGCCGGGCCCCCGGGCGGGACACACATGCAACGTGTGGAACGCGCAGATGGTCGTGGTGGGCGGGTACGTCGGGCAAGACCTGAGCTGCGACAGTCCGGGAGTGTACGTGTTCAACACGAGCAGTCTGAGCTGGCAGAACGGCTATGTCGCGCTCAACGCCAAGGACGACCTGAACCGGCAGGAGAGCCAACGCGACGACGCCGCCGCCTTGCAAGGGAGCTACGGCTACGCCGTCCCTGCGGCCGTGCAGAGCGTCGTGGGCGGAAACGCAGTCGGCGCGGCGACGGTGACCCAGCCAGCGCAGACGGCGACTCAAGGGCCCCTCGCGACCGGACAACCTTTGACCTACAGCGTCACCGCGGCCCCGGGCGCGAGCGGGACGAGCAGTCCGGCGAGTGGCGGCGGCGGGTCAGGGGGGTCTGGAGACGGGAGCAATTCCTCGAGCGGCGGAGGTGGAGGCACAAACGTCGGCGCCATCGTCGCCGGTGTCATCGCGGGCCTGTTCGCCGTTCTGGCCGCCTACCTGGGCTTTTGTGTCTGGCTGTACCGCAAGCAGCTCCGGATCTACAAGAACCACGTGGACATGACCCAGCGGCAGCATCTGTCTGGGGACCCACGCTACATCGGCGCAGGCGCAGGTGTCGGCGGCGCCGCAAGTCAAAAGTACTCGGACAAGAGCCAGTCGGACAGCCGAAACAGCGCGGACGACCGCTCCGGCGACGCGAGCACGACGGGCGCGCGCTCGGCGAGGGCGAACCAACTCAATAGCAACAACCCTTACCGAAACGTGGCGGGAGGTGCGGGAAGTGCCACGGCGGCGAGCAGTACGGAGGACCTGATGGCTGGACAAGAGCCGAGCTTCCTGGGGGTCGTGTTGAACCCGAGAAGGAGCTTGAGGGTCGTGAACAGGGATTGATCGATGTTTTGGCGTCTTCGAATTGACAAACCCCCTGGATTTTGTGTATATGAGCGAGCGTGAGCTTTCTTTTTATTTATGATTGATTATGACCTTGTGCTTTTTACACACATTTGTCTGGCTGGGTCTCGCAAGCGGGAAAACTGATAAAAAGAGGCAAAGTTGGTTTTAATAGGTAGTTATACCTCCGCACATATATAAAGGATAATGTATATGCATGGAATCTCTCACTCTCTCACTGCCCATCGCCTGCTTACAGCTACGAGTTTGGCAGGCCACCTCTTCAAATATGCTAGGGGTATCTTGTGTTATGTCTGCTTGTAGAACTCGAAGATGGCTCGAAAAGGGGTTGGCGTATCGACAGGGTCTACCATGGTGATGCAGCTGTGTAGAGTCTCGACAATATGCAGAGGTACGTCGCGGTTAACTTTCAATAATGACAAAGTCTTCAATCAATACGGTCTGAGCGGGAACTCGGCAAAGTCAAGATTGAACACTGGAAGGCGTCATCGCAGTCAGTATCAGGTCAAGATGTCTGGACAAGTTCGAGAGATGCGCAGTTATGCCCCTGGGAGCGTGGGCCTTGTGGCAGACTTACTTTCTTCAAAAGCCCCAAAAGCTTCGTCAAAGTCCTCGTCGACGTGAGTTTCTGTCCGATCGTTGTTTCGAAGTGATTCAAAATGAAGGTATGACACTATCGGCTCTCCAAGAGAAGCTTCATCTGGATTTCGGGCGTGATAGTCCGAGGCCGCCAGGATGCCGCCATGGTCTGTGGCCAGACCTGATGTTTCCATCGCCACATGAGTCATGGCCTTGGGTATGGCAGCGTGTTCCGATTGCGATCGGGGCTCCGGGCGATGAATGTCTCGGGCTTGCCTCTCGTTAAGCCTGTGAGCCACGTGTTGTTTCGGGGTGGCGTTGTCTGACAGTCGTAGAGCATTATCCATCTCGCGCTCCATGGTCTTTTTGTACAGTCTCGTCAGCATTTGATCTGTATGCCTGGCGATCTTACTCTCATCCTTGATGGCTCTGCAGGCGGAAATGATCCTGAGTACTCCAGCCTTGGCCTCGCTTGCTGTCTTACTGTATGGTTGACAAGTCGGTGCAATGCACAAGATACTGCCGGCTGTGAAGAGGTGCATAAGCACAAACGACTGAGCAAGGTGACCCTCGAACTCAGCTACGGGAACTCGTGACATGCGTAAGGCCGCCTGTACGGACGCCCCCAGCGAGTCAGGGACGTCACTGATTGCAATATTTTCGATACTCTCTTCTGCTGGGATGGAGATTCGAAGTTTCAACAGGGGTCGACGGGCCCATACACTGGCCGCATCGTACAGGAGCTGCAGGATAAACCCCTGCAGTCCAAGTTTTCTTCTGATATTCTTCTCTTCCGGGTTGCACCGATCAAGTTCAAGAACATTCCATGGATCATCTGCCGCCCACTGGGAAGGTTTAAAAACGGCAGGGAGATTCTCATGCCATTGCTCTAACATGACTTCTGTGCTGTTCACGACCCGAATGAGCGTCTTCAAATCCTGCACAGTGACTGGGCTTTGTAGCTGGAGAACCTTGAAACTTTCCAAAGTATGTCGGATGATATGGTACAACTCAAACTTCAAAGTGTGGTAGGTCAAAAATGTCACTTTCCGATGACTTTCCTGTAAAATCGCAAGTCTAGCTGTATCAGGAGGGAGTTCCGTATCGTCCAGGTCTGTCAGCTTCTTGAACTGTGCGAATGCAGGATCTAGCGTTGCTGGACGCCCAAAGATCATCGATGAAAATTGGTCAGACACAACCAGATGGTTCCAACAGCGATTGCTGACCTCACGGGCGATCTCACCGCCTGAACTCTTCGCTTTATCACAATGAAGAGCCAGCGCATATGCTGTTCTCGCAGATACACCAGACACGTTCCAGGCAAAATTTGACGAGCCAAAGTAGACATGGTAGTTTCCCAATAACATGCAAATCTGGTATGCTTCAATTTTTGACTCCAACAAGACTTCGTAGAAGTGTGAGCTCATCAGCAACATCAATTCTGAGCTCAAGGATGCAGCTGTTGCCGAATATTCATGCAATAACTGGTGTCCTTTCCAAGTCTTGTCATGTTCCACACAGCGCAGGCCTAGAACTGCCACCATGATGATGAGAAGAACGTCACATAACTCCTCTGGCGCCCATGTCGTACGCCGAAGGATGTTTTGTGCACGACTGACAAATGATGATGGGTGGAAGAGCATAATGTACCAATGAAACCTATCGAAGTAGGCGTCCACCGCGACTGGCAAGAAGTCTTGACAGGGTAATGGCGTCGAAATGTGGTGAGGAGCCTGAGGATCTAAGGTAGCTCGTCCAGGGTCACCCGGGATGGTACCGCTGGCCGGGGAATCACTATCATCGTCTTCTCCGAGAATGATTTTCGCAAAACTCATTGTAGAGTCGTTCGCGCCGTACTGCCGTCCTTCCTCGGGGCTTGCGTCGGATCGAGTCACCATGTCTGGGCTACCATCGAAAGAGCGGAAGGAGCCAGATGTTTGAGCGAGATCACCAGTTGAACTATAACTTGCTTGCAATGGTATGCGTGGCGTGCCATGCTGTGAAATCAGGGGAATACTCGATAGGCCTTCCATTCTGGCCCGGCGACTTGCTTCGTGATTAAAGGACCTCTTGCGCTTGAGAGGACTCTCCTGTGTTGAAGATTGTGGCTCGCATCTTGCCCCTGCTCTGACGCATAAAGTGCAGGGTTTCTCGACATCACACTAGATTCTATGGTCAGTACGTGAAGGTGACAACAGCGACAAAAGTGGCACATACTCTCAATTTTTGCCTGCGGCATCGATCACAGGCCCATGCAGGTCTGCTGGATCGCTGTGTCTGATCCATACACCAGGCACGAAATTTTCGAATTATTCACACTTCATTAGGCGGTGGAGTTCAATCGAAGAATAAAGGGCATGATGGGCTGCTGGATATAGACTGGAGGCGATGGCGAGGCATTGTTGGCGAGTCGAGGCCGCCGGCAGTTGCTGGGAAAGCCCGGATTTCCAAGGCTAACCGAGGCCTATTTTCAACTAGAGAGCCTTGGGAGCTGCCGCCAAGTTTCTGACCTTATAGGCGCATGAAAGCCGAAGGTGAGCCTAGACTGCGGGGAAGAGCACATCGAACCACTCCAGCTTGACCCTAGTTCCCTTCTATCTTACATTACACGAAAAAGTGAATAAAACCACTACATTACTTTTGACCCCTCCTTCCTTCTGGCTTATTCTGACATCTCTGCAGACCGGCGATGACGAGCAGTAGGAGTGCTATCTAAAAAGCCAGTACATTTCAAGATACCCTATAGTTGTCTCCAGGTGATAGCCAATTGACAACAAACCGACTGATTCACGTTAATGCCCTGGATACCCCGAGTCCTGTTTCCTCAAAGTGTGTACCTGAACCCGTCCAATCCTTCAATCACTTTACCTCCGTTCATCGCTCTCTTGTTCGCTCGGTTGAATTTCCAGCTCAACCATGCGACAATGAGGACAATCAACGCGTCCGCAATCAAACAAGTCAAGATGCCGGGACGGTAGTTTGGGGCGTCTTGTGCACGGAAAACTGTCGTACCAATGATACCACCAATGCTGCCACCTCCCACGAGAGTTGCCGATGTCAATGCTCGCTTCCATTGTCCTCGGATATTGTTACTGAGTAGACTTGTCAGCACGCAGCCTTACTGCTCAAATGAAGGAGAAACTCTCGACCTACCCTTGATAAGTGATCAAAGCTGGACAGTTGGCGTTGCCTGAGGTTCGACGTTAGTTGTTACTGTCCGACGGCTGGCACTGATACTACTCACATGCAGCGGTGGCCAAAAAGACGCCAAAGTAACGAACACCCGCGGTTTTGACGTAGCCCAAAAGGCCCAAGCCGACAATGCCTAACAAGATTCAGTCAATGCAACAGAGGGACAAAGATGCACATCATACCCATGAGAGCATTTCCAACCACGATCGGACCCCGGAGTCGCCACTTGTCTGAGAAGTACGACTCGACGTACATGATTATTGCAGCAGCAACGTACGGGGGTGCAGTCAGACACTGGGCCGCGGCCACAGAAAAGCCCATGCCGTCTCGAAGAATGATGGGCAGGAAGTAAGCGATGGCGTACGTGTTGGTGGTGGTCAACATATACAGCCAGGCAAAGGCCCAAACCTTGCTGTCTAAGGCATTCTTGAGGTATTTGCCGACAGAAAACTTGTCCGGGTATGTGTCAGATCGGTCTTGCTCAATCCGTGCGACGACGAAGGCTGCTTCTTCTTCATTGAGAAAGTGCCAGGACTTGGGAGACTCCTCTGGGAAGTCGACGATGATGAAGTAAGCTCCAATTGCGAGTGCGCATGTCAGAATACCCTCTATCTGAGAGAAGTCAATCAAATAATACACTTCCATGCATCACAGGACTCACGATGAAGATCCAGCGCCAGCCAGAGAGATTGGAAACACCATCGAGCTGCATGAGTCCATACGCAAGGATGCCACCAAAACCTGAGGCCATACTTCCGATCAGGTAGAACAAGGCATTGCGCTTTTGGAGGTCAAAGCGAGGATACCACGTACTAAGGAGGTACACACAGCCAGGGTAAACTGTGATCGTGTCGAAGGATCCATGTCAGCAAAGGAAAAGCTTAGGCAATAAACCAGCAAATTGAGCAGGAGAGGACCGTAACTTACAGCCTGCTTCAAGTGCACCAAGAATGACTCGCAAGACGCACATGACTTCCCAGCTCGGAACAAACCCGAAACCCTATCTCAGGTCAGCATATTTACCCATTTGCAGATAGGTTTTCTGCCTCACAATCATGACGGCACCCCAGGCAAGGACAATGAATGCGAGAAAATTACGTGGGCCCATGGTGCGGATGAATACCACTGCAGGAGCCTGAAAGATGGTATAGGAGATGAAGAAGACGAGGGAAACAATGGTATATCCATTGTTGGACTCGTTCATGTTCAGACTCTTTTGCATTCTGCAGAAATGTCAGCAATGATATGACCACGGTGGTGCATGCATACCCAGCAACTGAAGCCGCACCTAGGTTGGTCCGATCGAGAAGACTGATGCAATAGAGGCAGCCCAGCGTGACTGCAAGACGCAGGTCGATTCTCCGGACGATTCTCTTTTGCTCAGCAGGGCTGAAGCGGGAGATACGGTCCTGGTTCGAAATGCCTTTCATGGCGATCTCGACCTGGTCGTTGGACACATGGTCGGTGCCTTTTTCATCTATCGAATGCGATGCCATGTCGATTGTATGCTGCAAAGTGCCCTTGGTCTGGGGACCAGAAACTGCAGTTTGGGTTGAGCAAGGGTGACCGGGTTCGACATCTGGGGATTGTGGGAGAATGTATATAGATCATGAAAATGGGGTATCCACAGGAAGCCAAGATTGAGGTGGACTGAGGGTCTATTTACAAATTACCACCGGCAAAATAAGACAGGCATCCTTTCGGCGTCGATGCGATGCCACACTGGCCAATATTTCATCTTGGCATTGCGATGAAGCCCCGTTCCACCGGACGTCCACCGGACAGACATACACTTCCGTCCTCCGAGTTCCTATACTCGCCCTCATTCTCGAGCGGACCAACCGGAGACCCCAACTATGGAGTCCCCGCAATGTACTTTGCGACATGATACTGGGCAAACCCTCTGACGATGACCCTTGTCGGCCGGTAGTTGGTTCTTTTCATCAGGAAGCAGACTGAGTAGAATCATACCATGGCTTCTAATGTGACCCGCATCCCAGTCTCGTGGCACCGTACTCCACGGCCTACTCCTCTCAAAATTCTTCCGAGACGCTTCCCTCGTCGACAATCAGCTACTTTAGGAAGCTCGTTGTTTTTCAAGGCACCCATGGAAAGCGAGACCATGAATGGAGTTTCCCCGGTGCAGCTACTGCACCCCGCCTCGCTGCCACCATGTTTGCAAAGTTCACAGACGGGTTATATGTAGCATGTCTGCAAGCATAACCTGTATGGTGCCCACTTCAACTCTTCCACTTTCTTGTCCGACATCGCCTCGTCCACCTTCCAGAGCGTTTCTGAACCTCCGACAATGAGAAGCACGGTTCTCTGGGCTACCCTGCTTTTTGCTGGCAGTGCTAGCTGTGCGCCTGCTTCAGGTCTCCCCGTAGTAGATCTCGGGTACGAGCTACATCAAGCAACATTCAATGTCAGTAGAGTGCGGCGAGCGACCGCGATATAGAATCCATTCATTAATTATGATATTCAGGATTCTGGCCAATACTATAACTTTTCCAATGTCCGATACGCAGCACCTCCAGTTGGAAAGCTTCGATTCTCTGCGCCCGTCGCGCCTAGCACCAACGGCCCCAAGGTTTTCAACAATGGTTCCAGAGCTGTAGCCTGTTTTCAGGCTATACCAGCTTGGACAGTCTATTCTGCAAGTTGGATTGCTAATGGCACTGCCGCTTTCAATATCTCTGCTGGATATCAGGTTCCTCCCCTACCACTACCGCCACCCGTCCAACCTACCGCCAGCGAGGATTGCTTATTCCTCGATGTTATGGTACCAAAAGCTGTCTTTGATACAGCAGGCAAAGGACCCGGAGTGCCGGTGTAAGTGAATACCATAGTTGTGAAGTGCTCGACTATGTTGACCGATAGAACAGAATGGTATGGATCCACGGAGGTGGATATACGCTTGGGTCAAAAACACTCTACAGTCCTTCTGCAGCAGGTCTGATCAGAGCCAGTCAGGCCCAAGGCGGACCCGGCATAATCTGGGTTGCTATGAACTATCGACTTGGAAGTTTTGTATGCTCAGGTGCCTTGCTCCTTGACTGCCTATGCTGATATCTCCGGCTAGGGATTTCTCTCCGGACCAACATTTGAAAACTCTACCGGAACTGCAAATGCAGGCCTTTTCGACCAGCGTCTCGCCCTTGAATGGGTGCAGCAAAACATTGCCAAGTTTGGTGGCAACCCAGACCAAGTCACTGTTATAGGAGAATCGGCCGGCGGTGGCAGCACAATGCACCAAATCACTGCATTTGGCGGATCCAGAGGCAAGGTACCTTTCCGTCGAGCCATAGTGCAGAGTCCTGGTTTCCAGATGACGCCCAGCAAGAAGCTACAAGAATCCATCTACCAGTCCTTTTTGACCGCTGCAGGGATCACCACACTGGAAGAAGCACGCAATCTCACGACAGCTGAACTTCAGCTCGCAAACTACAACCTCGTTGGGAATTCCAAACCTTATGGCTCCTTCACCTTTAACCCTGTCGTGGACGGGATCTTTGCGCCCGCGCTACCTGGCCAGCTTCTTCTGCAAGGACGTTTCGATAAAACACTAGAGGTCATGGCCGGTCATAATCTGCAGGACGGCCTTGGATTCATGGATCCATTTGCCCAGAACGAGACTGCGTTCGAAGCCGACCTGCGTGTTTACTTTCCCACCATCTCGGATGCTGTCGTCAATTACATTTCGGAGGTACTGTATCCTCCCAAATTCGACGGTTCTGTCGGTTACACGACGCCCACCGGACGGAACGATTTATTGGTTACGGAGGCCTTCTTCTCGTGCAGTACAAACTATTTGGCGCGAGCATATAACAACAAAGTTTTTAATTATATGTTCACTGTTCCACCGAGCCTTCATGGGGATGACGTTCCCTATACATACTTCAATGGGCCAAATCCTCTGGTTAAGAATGATACCCTGGCGATCATTATGCAGAAGTATTTTACAACCTTTGCGATGAAGGGCAATCCAAACGCACCTGGGCTTCCCCCTTTTCTGTCATATGGTCCGCATGCGACGGTTCAGAATTTGAATCTGACCTTTATAAATCAGACGGTTGACAATGCTGCAAATAGGAGGTGTCTGTGGTGGCAGAAGGGATTATATGCTTGATCCTATTAGTCGATTGTGATGATGGTAGGACCTGAACTGTCTAATATGCACATTGTTCGAAAATCGAAAACAGATCTCGCAGTAGTGTCTCCAATCAAAGACATACTGACATCTATCCAAAAGCCTCTGGTAGTGAATATTGTATTGTGTCTCTCTTTACAGCATACTTTGTCCTGAGAAGGTAGTAATGCGAAACACGATCATATTGACAAGATGATATTGAATAATGACATAACCTAGATCGGTACCTACAGGGCGTTCTATATACGTCGTACGGAATATGTCACGCCCCTTTACGCGTTTCTCTCACGCGTCTCAATTGAATAACCCCATGATGTCATTGAATTGGGTTATCTTATCTTAGTCTCTTGGCGTTCTAATGATGCTCCTTCACCCATGCTGTAGGCGAGTGCCTGGTCAATACAGAGTTTCGAACTTGTCTCACAAGACTTGGATATGATGCCTGCGCATCCCATGATTGCATGTGTTACCATTTTGTCTACTCTCCTGTAAGCTAGGGGGACTTTAGAATGGAATTTCCCAGTGGGAGTCAATAGATGCCTCATACACAAGAGCATTCTCATCTTACTACGACTCGTTGCACACAGCGATGGCTTCCTCGCAAGACCCAACACGCCCGGTGATTTTTACCTTCTGGCTACTGCTCCTCGCCACGATCTTGTTGCTTTATGCCTGTCTCGGGAATCCTGCCCTTGTGCATTTGATACCAAACAACGCTCGAGCTGAACGAGGACAGTATGTGCCTTCAGAGGGGGAATATCTATTGGGCGTTGGGAAGGCGGATATCACGGGGTAAGAGAGTCAAGACTATGCCTCAATCATCGCTAATCACCCTAGACCGGTCGTCGAGATCAACATGATGGGCTATGCGGATACAGATCAGTCGGGAACTGGTCTCCGACAGCGACTCTACTGCAGAGCTTTCATTGTCGGGAGCTCGACGAACAACTCCTCTCGAATTGCCTACCTCGTCCTTGATACACAGTCCGGAGATACAGCTGTTCGCCACGGCATTCTGAACGAACTCAAAAAGTTGGGACCAGAGTATGAAGTATACAACAAGGACAGCCTGGCTGTCACAGGTACACACAGCCATAGTGGACCCGGAGCCTGGTTGAACTACCTTTTGCCTCAAATAACGAGCAAAGGATTCGACAAGAGCAGCTACAACGCCATCGTCACGGGTTCAGTATTGGCCATCGAGCGTGCTCACAGAAACCTCGTGCCAGGTCACTTGAGCTTAGGACAGATCAGACTAGAGCATGCCAACATCAACCGGAGCCCTTATGCCTACCTGCAAAACCCAAAGAACGAAAGGGCTGGGTATACCGATGACGTTGACAAGAACATGACTCTGTTGAAATTCGAGAGAGCATCGGATGGTCAAGCAATGGGTGTCTTGTCTTGGTTTCCTGTGCATGGCACGTCCCTCTATCAGAATAACACGCTCATCACTGGCGATAACAAGGGAGTAGCAGCATACCTCTTTGAACAATACATGCAAGAAATGAACCCATCATTCGTGGCAGGGTTCTCGCAAGCAAATGTTGGCGATACCTCCCCAAACACTCTTGGCGCATTTTGCGAGGATACCGGTCTATCATGTTCTTTTAATGACAGCACATGTGGTGGCCGAACCCAGCCCTGTCACGGACGTGGTCCAATGTTTCGAAGCATAGACCAGGGCACTAAATCCTGCTTCGAAATCGGAAGTCGACAAATGTTGGCTGCGAAAGACATTCTAGCTAGTGCCAATCTAGAACGAATTCCAGAATCTACGGTCTCATTCTTCCACACCTACGCCAATTTTTCCTCCTTCGCCTTTACTTCTCCGTACAACCAGTCTCGTCGATTGAAGACATGCTCTGCTGCGCTAGGCTACGGCTTTGCTGGTGGTACGACGGACGGTCCTGGCGCCTTTGACTTCTCTCAAGGTACAAATGATAGCGATGGCTCACCGTCACTCAAGAACCCTCTTTGGAAGCTGGCACGGGGCTTCATCCACGAGCCGACAGATGAGCAGATCGCATGCCAGAAGCCCAAGCCCATTCTACTTGATGTAGGTGCAGCCGATGACCCGTACCCCTGGACACCCAACATAGTCGACATCCAATTGCTTCGCGTAGGCCCACTCATTGTCATTGTGTCTCCTGGCGAGGCAACAACGATGTCTGGACGACGCTGGCGGACTGCATTAACAAAAGCCGCTCCATCAGTCCTAGGCATCGATGATCCTCAAGTTGTAATTGGTGGTCCCGCCAATACTTATGCACATTACATCGCAACTGAAGAAGAGTACAGTGTTCAACGGTATGAGGGTGCTAGCACGCTTTACGGCCCGCACACGCTTGAAGCCTACATCAACCTAACTCTTACCTACCTCCCGTATCTCGGTTCTCAGGACGAGACATCACACCTTCGCCGCTTGCCAGCAGGTCCCAGCCCACCTATTAATGTCAATGTCTCTCTGTCATTCATCACGCCGGTGATTGTTGACAATTCAGGCCTTCTCCGTCGGTTTGGAGCCACTCTTTCCTCCCCTGATCCAGCAAAGCAACATACACCTGGTTCGATAGTCAGCGCAACCTTCGTGGGAGCCAATCCGCGCAATAATTTCCGGCTAGAAGGCACATTTGCTGCGGTGGAGAGATTCGACTCGGACAACGGCAAATGGGTTCAGGTGCGCTCCGATCGAGACTGGTATCTCGCGTACAAGTGGAAAAGACTCAGTACTGCCTTGGGGACCAGTGAAGTGACCCTGGAATGGGAGATCGAGCCAGGTACACGGTCTGGTATGTATCGCTTCAGGTATTATGGTGACGCCAAGGCTTTGGGCGGCCAAATCTCTGCGATCGAGGGTACAAGTGGTGTGTTCAATGTCGCCGGCGACAACAACAAGAATGACGCAGCATTTTGGGGGGAACTGGTACGCACATGAGGTTGGCGCAAGTGAACCAAGTGTTTTCAAATCAGCGAGTGATGCATTATGTGGGGTTATGGGGGAGGGTTTTCCAAGGCGCATATGTATTCTCCCATGATGATACCCTAGCAATGAGAAAGGTGGTGCTGGACATCTCGGGCAACGAAGAATGGTAACAACACGAGTAGAACCAAATGCTTACAAAGTGTATGAACAAATGATTCCTCGAAGGGTGTTGTTTAACAGTGGCCATAGGTAGATCTATGAGTGAAAGTGTTTCTAAATTTTTGCTGTGTCAAATCTATCGCGGCCCTTTCCGGGGTGAGCATGTGCTCGAGCTGTGTAGTGTCGCCGTTAACACAAGTATAAGGTAGGTACCACACCAAAGTAGTATCGGACATCTATGTTCTTTGGGGGGAGGCGGGATTGTAGTACCTGATGACATGGCGCAATCCCAAAAAAAGAAAGATAACCAACCATACATGGATGGGAGGATTCGTGTGTAGTGATTCTCTTTTTGTTGTCCTTTTTCCGTTCCATCAGCTGCGCGACTCTTGTTCTCAAATGATAATACCCGTAACGTCTCGGGTCTTTTTTTCATTCACGATGAGATCCATCTTCTCTCATATCATGCCATAGCTTTGTGGGGCAAATGTCTCAACGACTTTCTGACATTAATGACGCCATGTTTTCTGGCCAAATGTCTCACAAACGACCCCTTGTACGCCGTTCCAGGATGGTGGTCGCAGAGGAGACAGACCCATCGCTTCTCTGCCCCCTCTTCGCCAATGTACTTGCCAAACAGGATACAGTCGTCGTCATCCATGATGGTATCGATGTGGTTGTTGAAATCGTTGTCACCCTCGTGATCGTGATCGTGATCAACAGTACTATTGTAGTTGTGGTTGTTCTCATCGCCTGCCATCTCCCCGGGACCGTCTCGGTTTTCTTCTTGGTCGATCTCCTCTTCCTCGTCGTCACTTCGTCGAAGGATAAAACCAATCCTTCTCCTCATGGAGTCATTTTCGATATCTGCATTCATGATTACCATCTCCTGAATCCTGGCATCCACCACGTTCAACCTTTCCAGGTGGTGGATCCAAATCAAGGCGCACTGTTCGGTCGAGCCCGTGACGACATCCTTCAACAGACGACATCGATCTCGTTGCTCGTCACTAAACGCCCACCGCATCGAATCGTCCGAGGCGGCGTCTAGGCGCGCAATCAACTCGCCGTCAAAGTCGGTTCGACGAGCGTCGGACAGGACTCGGTCCCCGTCGCTTTCATCCAGAAAAAGAGACACCGCCAGTTCATAAGCCCTCCTGGCACGGTGGGTTCGTAGTGCCGGGGGAGTGTGGGTGGTGGGGGTGGTATTGTACCCCCGGATGTATTCGCAGAGGGTGTCACTCAGCGCAGCGTCACGGGTGCGGATGATGTGTCGGGTAGTCGAGGGTGGCATTTTTTGTCTTTTCCAGTTCCCCTTCAATCAGAGTCGAAGTCTGGTGCATTGGCTTGGTACGTTGAGTTATGGTATCGTGAAAGTTAGAAAGAGGATTGTGTCATTTTGAGAAGGGAAAGTCAGATTGTGTCGTGTTGGTTCAGGCCGTTCGAGCGCCATGAGGAAACCATGGTCGATTGGGAACAAACCAGGTGTTTGTATGAGACAGTGAGGCTGTCCAAAGGTTTCCCAAACATAGGATCGACCGAGAACAGACACCAAACGAGGAAGTGAGTGTCTGCGAGGTTGACTTGTCAGGGATGTGCATATGGCAGACAGATCGCCAGGGTTGGTCGTCGGTCAAACGAGTCTGAAGCCTGGACATGGAACGCCTGCAGTGACGGGCACCGCATCTTGCACACCCGGGGACTTGAGAGAATCGTGAGAATCAAGACTTCTTCCATCGAACCTTTCCGACCCACTGAGCCCATTTCTGGACATCCTCCCTCTCGCAGATCTTGTCGACAGTGTACCAATCCTTTGCCAGTCCCTCGTTGGAGGCCATCCTGTGGACGAAACTGTGGCAAGCACGACAAAGCCAGGCGACGCTGTTCAGCCGGTGCTCGTCGTGCCAACCTCTCTTCAACACCTTTGCGTGTACCTGCTTCGGGATGAGATGGTGGTAGGTCATCGGCACCCAGTCCCTCTCGCAAATCTCACAAGCGTCCGTCCTCGTGTCGACCCATTTCGGAGGTGGGGTCGTCACAGCGCCGACGTAGGCTGCCATCACAGGAGCGAGAAAAGACTGGAGGTCAGACCTCGGTGGTTCAACGAGCCCATACGCCGTCAGGCTGTCGGTGACGTCTCCGGGGATGTGGCTCGATACCTCCTCGTACACGGAGAGCGTCAGGGGAAGTGACCATTTCTCCGCCAGGTCCGGGCTCTCTTGAAGAGCACGATAGGACAACCTCTGCAGCTCCTCTGGCAGGTTGATGAATATTTCACCGGCCAGGTAGTCTGAGAACTCGGCGAGTTCGGACGGGTCAGCTTCTGCAGGGGTCTGTGAAGGAGTGGTGGCCGTCTTCTTTCCAACTGGTTGTCGCTTGGTCGTCGTTTTGCGGGAACTTCCTATTGATTTTTCCACCACCGCCGAGAAGAGACAGTCTCTGAACGTGTCGAAATTGGCGTTGTCTGCTTGGATCATTGAAGGCGTGATTACTATATGAGTGAACCCTCTGACAAGGTTGGTACATGAAGCACTTGAAATGGAGATATCAACTTTCAAACACAATGTACCTACCACCTGGTTGCTCTGCAAGACCTTCCTTGAAATGATTGTAAACGACACCCTAGATTTCTCCAACGTCAACATCTACGTCACGTGTAGTCTTGATGTCCAGCGTGGTGGTAGCAAGGCTGCATCAGAAGTCGCGAGGCTGAGGTTTACGGGGAGACGACCTGAGTAGTATGGGTGTTCTGTTCCGGAGCTCGCCACGCCAGCCAACGGAGAATCGTTTTGACAAAGATGTGAGTGGACTTGTGTGAATTGTTCTGATGACGGAATCATCTCGGTGTCTGAGGATCCACTGTCGAGGGCTGAGGCATGTTGTCCATCGAGGCTCTAATCTCTATCTGTATATGCATCTTTCCAGATCAAGTAGCAGATAACGAGTACGCTTGACGACAGCCAGTCGTAAGGGGTGTAGACCTGTATCTCCTGGGGCAAGCTTCACAAAAAGCAATGCTGCTTTTGTCACGCTCGTAATCTTGTAGCAATTTCGGCGTAACATCGTAGACCTATTTGGAGTCGCATACTTCCCCGCCGCAGGTCTTCCCGAAACTTGGCCGGGGGTCTCATATTCACCCAGACTTGTCCGGAGTATATGTTGGGCGGTCTGTATCCGGTTGAAAGGGCATCAATTCTTGAACAGGTCGATACAGAAAAGGACAGCCATGGGCAAAATCATTGTGGCTTTCGACCTCTACGGCACGCTGCTGTCAGCCGAAAGCATTGCAAAAGAGCTGTCGTCACACTTTGGGCAAGAAAAGGCTACGTCCATTGCTACGGTATGGAGGAAATACCAGCTTGAATATACTTGGAGGTTGAACAGCATGAGTAAGTCAAACTTGAAACAATATAATCATGAGGATATCTGATCGCTGACTTTGTATGAAGACAAGTATGACGACTTCTCCAAGGTGACTCGCAACTCGCTGCTTCATGCCTTGGCTGAACATGGTCTTCGGCTCGAGGACCCAGCTCTAGATAAATTGATGCTGGCCTATGACTCCTTGTCCACCTTTCCAGACGTCAATCCAGCCTTGAAGCGGCTCAAGGATAACTCCAATGTGGAATGCGTCGTGTTCTCTAATGGGACCAATGCAATGGTAACAAACTCAGTCCACGGTTCCGAGGATCTTAATTCTTCGATCTTCAAGGGTATCATCTCGATTGACGACGTGAAAAAATATAAACCAGCCCCAGAGGCCTATTTCCACCTTGCTGAAAAGATGGGCAAAAAGAACGAGATGGACAAGATGTGGCTCGTCTCTGGCAACCCGTTCGATGTTACTGGATCTCGAACAGTAGGTATGCAAGCAGCGTGGGTTGATCGAGCAGGAAACGGCTGGCAGGATAGGCTTGGAATCGGGCCAACAGTAATTGTGAAGAGTTTGGAAGAGGTTGCTGATGCGGTCGAGAAACATGCCAAAAGCATGGCATAGCATTATAATATCTTGATTGGCTACGCTGGGTCGTCGTGATACTCTGCCCCGTGTGGCGAGGCGATGGCTTCTCGACCTCTGCGAGCCTTTTCCATTTTCGCTGCCCACAAAGCACTCCCCGCTGCCGAAGTGAGCAGAAAAAACATGCTCAGAACAGGGATCAGCTGAAGAGCTAGTGCAACAGTTCCAAACCAAGTGTACTTTAACTGCCTCTTTCTTACATAGTCCGTACGATCTTTTTTGGACAGTCCCAGCAGTTTGAAATACCTCCAGTGGTGGAAAGGGCCAGCTCTATAGCCGGTGAGGAACAAGAAGAGAGGCACACCGACAAATGGTATGAAATTGAGAGGGAGGAGAATAACGAATTCGAGGATCTGGCGAAGGCTAAAGGGGCTGTAGATCGATGAGGTGGTGGGGTTTCCGAGCATCTGCACCGAGTTTTGGCCATCCTGGTGGAGGAGTCGAGCTTCACTGACAAGATCCTCCAGCCCTTGGTCAATAAGTACAGCATCGAAGATGTCAACAAGTGTTTCATCGACGAAAAAAGCCTCAAAGAGCAAAGCGACAATCGCAGAGCCCTCTCCTAGCACCAGGAAGGTGGCGTTCAGCCATGCGCCTGGGCCGTGAAAGATGGCCAGGAACGCCACCTGTGGCAAGAAAGTCCAAACGAAGAGGTTGACATAGATGAATGCAGAAAGTAGTATGATAGGAACCAGTCGAGCCTTGAAGAGCGGGTAGAGGTAAGGATGTCTGAGGAAATAGTAAATGCCCTACGGAGAACTTGTGGTAAGTCTAACAGGCCAGTTTCTCGATATGGATATCTTGAATCAATCCCACCTTGAAGGGGTATAACCAGGTAGCATCCAGCCAGGCGATCATCTTTACACAAGAGCGCCCTGTTGTCCGTTAGATCATGCGTAGGAAGTCATGGCGGTTGGGATTGTACAATGCAGGCTGCACTCAAGCCTCTACAACGACCACAATGCCTTGTGACGCAGCCTTGCATGAGAGGTGGGAAGGTCTGCCGAGGCCACACCGATTCATTATTCAGCCTCGCTGCAATTTCTTACCACTTTTTCCTTCTTTTCTCTACAAAACTGAATTTCCTCTGTATTCACTCTGCCAATGCCGCTGCCCTTGGGTGGTTCAAATGATTGCTGGAGGGGAAAGCAGAGGATAGAGGAATAATCATTAGTTGCCAACTTACCCCGGGACCTTTCATTGAGCTACTCTTCTATGATTGCTTGATTATGGAGGTTTCGGAAATATTTCTGGCTGCACAGATCGAAGACAGCACCCAAGCCGCACTCTTGGATACTACTCCCACAGCACTTGACAAGGCCTATACACCTTGTGTTGTAGCTTGTGACTCCTAAACGTGCATCATCTTGTGGCTTGTTTGGGTAGCTGCATAGGAATCAACCTAGCTCCAAGTGGTCAGACCAGTTCTACGGAGTAAATCAGGGTAGTAAAAGTCGCCGTCTAAGCGAAGGCGGTTGAATTCTTTCTACCTAGTTAATTGTTAGTGGTGTGTTGCTGGCTGTATCTGCTGAATAGCGACACCTGTATTTTGCCGCCTGCGCCTTTTTTTCCACTGCAATCTGTCGCCTCTCAAGACAATCTCAGATTGTGAATTAATATCCCGTATGTGTTTGTGAACGACATTCACTCTTTTGATCTCCTACTGGTTTCACAGAGTCTGAAAGGTGAGGGCGCGGTACCTTCAGATATTGAAAAACACCAGCCACTAGACTTTTCACGCGACTTGACTCGACACCGACTCGGCTTGCCCGCCTCTTTCTCTCCACCTCCGCCTTTTCTCGTTTTCCCCGATATTTACCACCTGCGTCTCCCACTTCATAGGCATGTGCCGATGTTCACCCGTCCGTTTCGGTTGTCGCAGACGAAGTCATTGAGATAGAAAAGCTCTGTCATGTCGTCGATCTCGCCCACGGGGGCGTATGCACCCTCGCAGGGCCAGGACCCCAACAACGCGTACAAATATGAAGACCCTACTGCCTACCAACTACAGACACACTTTTCCAACCAATTCGAGGTCGCTTTACCCGTGGACCGCGCAGACCACGAGCAGTTAGGTCAAGAACCTCCGAGATCCGGAGGCAAGTCGTCAGAGCCAAAAGTCCGTCTGCGGAAGGCTTGCGATAGCTGTAGTGTGCGAAAAGTCAAGGTATGAACGCATTTCCCATGAGTTCAACTTCAACTGCTCACGATTCAATCCAGTGCGACGAGTCTGGACCTCCATGCAAATCATGCGCTGCCCTTGACATTCCCTGCACCTTTGACCGTCCCAGTCGTCGCCGTGGACCACCCAACAGGCATGCGGAAGCCATCAAGAGACAAAAACTTGAGGGAGGAATTTACGAGGGTTCAAGAGGCTCTCCTACTCATGATGCGGCCTACAGTCTAGCGGCACTCTCTGCACCCAGTCTTCTCGCGGCTGAATCGATATGCGATCTTCCTACATTGAAGGTCCTCATCGATGACTACTTTCTCTACATACATCCTCTGATACCTCTCCCACACGAACCGACCTTCCGGAGATCTTTCGAGGCCCGAGAAGATCGAACCAACCATACCTTCCTGGCTCTCATCGCTGCTATGGTAGAATGCCTGGTGGCGTCATTTCCACGCAGACCACGCCAATTATTCACCGCAGAAGCAGCGAGGTCGCAGTTTCCAAACGCTGGCGCTCTTATTGATCGATGCCACCAGGTTTTCGTCGAGGCCCGGGGGTTGGGCTACATGGACCGGCCAATGGGTCTTTATGATGCGATTGCAAGCTATTTGACCGGACTTGCGGCGGGTTACGTTCTTGATCTACCACGCTTGCGCCTGTATCTGGGAGAGTGCACTCTCGTCACACGGGAGCTCGGGTTTCATCGTCCTGAATTCTACCGGCCACCAGCCACTCCTGGCGGCTCGTACCCACCTGCCGATGCACAGAGACCTCAAATCGTGGACTATGTTTATCAGGAATCTGGACGTCGACTCTTCTGGCTACTCTTCGTGGGTGCCATGTCAGCCCGCCAGCTGGATGAAGCCGAAGGCGACCTGCTCATCCCACCGGTTTCTCATGCAGAGATGCTGCCTCCACTTCCAATCGAGGTAGACGATGAATACATCACGGAAGCCCAAATATTCCCCCAACCTAGAGGTGTTGTGTCAGAAATGATTGGCTTCAATCTGAATGTTAAGGTCTTCAGAGCTTTCCACTTTCTGGCTGCACTAGAAATGGCCTTTGGGGCGAATACTGTTTATGACTGGGATCGGCAACGCCAGATTATTCGACGTGCTCTTCAGACCGTCAAGGAAGCGACCCGAGATGCACCGAAGGAGTTGCAACTGAACCCATCCAATGGCTTTGGAGAGTGGCCCCCTACTCAGGCCGACATATCTGCCTATTCCCAATTATTCAACGACCGTGAGGGTGTCGAGACCGATCCTTCACTCGAGACTGCAAGTGCCCGAGGGTCATTTTCGGCTCCACCAACGAAACGAGTAATTCAGTTTGAGATTCAGAAAGCCAACATTTACGCTACCCAGCTCTCGTCAAGATCGTATCTGGTCGAGCGGTTCTGGAATCTCTACGAAATCGTCGACCGTGACAAGATCAGCTTTCCGTCTGACAAGTCTATTGCCAGTTCCTCGCCAACTGCCGGTGTAGTCATGACCGGAATGGAGCACGGTTACCGCCAAGTCGCTGGAAGAACACCCAGCGACAACTTGATGGATGCCGGCGAACAAATGATGGCAGTTGAACGGGAAGATATTGTAAGAGATATGGCTTTACTCCTCAAGAGCATCAACCAAGTCAATATGGAGCCAAATGGCATGAGCTTTGTAAGTCCCGAAAATCGAGCTTTAGCCCCGTTTTTACTAACATCAGGTCCAGTGCAATAAGATCCGGACGGTCGCTTCCACCTTGCTCGAAACGAAGCGTGCTCGCATGAGCTCAATGCCGACATTAGACTCCGAAAGCGTCAACAGTTATCTCCACGACTTTCTTGAGATCCTCTCCAAACTCGAAAGACTGGGTCCGTCGCGATACCGAGGTGTGGCTGACAACACCACTGGAAACCTGCTGCGAACGCCAGAGGAGATCGAAGAGGAAGAGTTGGTGCATTGGGCAAGTCTGAAGGATCGACAGGAACAATTTGTTCGAGCAAGCGGTGTGAGTTCCTGGTAGGGGAAACCTGATGGTTTCAAGATAGATGGCGACTATTCTTGACCGTGACTCGGATGGAACAGCCAGCTGGCTTTCATGTATGACTGCAGCGATATCCTCACAGCCTAAGCAGGCACTAAATTGGATACATGTGCTCGTTCTATGGCTTCAAGACGCCATTCAGCATTCCATGTATGGCACCATTTTTGTTTGTGACAGCGAATGCGTTTCGAAATCACTTCGACACCATTGAAATGATTACCACCACATCAAAACAAACGGCCTTTGAAGGCAGGCACAAAGTGGCTGGCGGGTTTGACTGCAGTTTTCTTGAATATCGACCATTTCTTATTGGTTTGAAGTCTTGATCGATCTTCCCTTTACAAAGACCTTGACAATGTTTTGGTCATCTCCTGTCATTCAAAAACTTTTCAAAAATTATAGCCGTTCTCCTCGATGATTGTGCTTTGCCCATCCTTTGACCAAGTGGTGATCTCCAGAGGCATCAAAGTCCTTGCCGGGTCTCGAACGTCCAGAATCTTATCTGCAAGAACAACACAATTTCGCGTCCCCCGTAGGGTGGTCAAGTAGAAGCGCACTCCTTGAGTGTCGGGCTTTGTTCTCTTTGCCGTCTGTTCTTATCGGCTGGCTTCAAGGGTAATACTGCTACTGAACCACCCTCCGGAGTTCTGTCCACAACCCTGACCTTTATGCCCATGTCGATATGGTGTTTCATCGCGCGCGGAGCCCCATTTCCGGGGCTTCCTGTGGTTGTTGCCTTACCCTGACAATGCGCCCGCCCGACATCGTTGGTTCTGATCCGGTGGACCTCGTAATCTCATTGGGATAGATAGCAGTGAGCCATGATCGTGCGGTTGTTACGGAATAAACAGGGGCTCAAGCGCCTTGCTGCGTCCACTCATCAATACCTGAATGAGGCTCTCTGCCATACCTCAGACTTCTTGCATCGTCCGAGAGAAGGCAAACACGAGTTCGGCCACGATGCAGACGCACGGCCAGTGCCGCGATCTCGGATTGCGATCGACAAATCGACTCTGGGCCGACCCGAGGACGGTCTGCCCGTGGACGATCCGGTTCAATGTTAAGCCACAAGTCGAAGCTTCACATACCTGTTTCATCTTCGACGCAGGAATAGGGAACTAGTTATGCACCTCCCACATCACCGACCACTTTGTGCGGGCAATTCGTCCGGCATTTCGGCGATTGGTTGTACCCAGTGCAACTCAGCTTTGCTTCGGCTTACTCCAGAACAAGGATAGCCCTCTCCAGTCGGGTTGTTTTGGCAGGCCCTCTCGAGAAACCCGACCCTCCTTCTCATGCAACCATCCCAAAGCCAGAAGGCGCATCTCCGGAAAGGCGTGCAATGACAAAGACCAATGCCGTGCCAGAGGCTTTATATCATTAGCTAATTGGAAGCTACTTATCCCAGGCAGCAGTTCGGCCGGCAAAGTGGTCTAGAAAACGGCACTTCCAGCACGTAATCGAGGGAGCCCAGAAAAGTTTCAATTTGTACCCAAGTCCCAGAAGTAAAAGAGTGCCTTGGTAGTTCCATCACGACTCAAATCTGTCTACGACGAGAATGGCAAGATACTACTTGTATTACCATATAGACACGCGCGACATTTGCTGGAAGGGCAACATCATGGCCGTCACCGAGTACTTCAACTGCGTAAGCGTGCTCTCGACCTGGCTGTTGTTTCGTGTCATCACCCTTACTGACAGTGTTCGTCATTCCCTCAAGCCGAAGTGCGGCGAACAGGTTTCGTCCAAACAAGCGAAGCGTGGAAATGAGGATAAAACATTGCCCCGTTACAGTTGTGACCATCATGGAACCCTGAAGAAACAATAAAGAAAGAGTATGGCTGCGGTAATGTCCTAAAGAAATTTGAGATTTTTCCGAATTGTCAACTCTGGTGGTCTCAGTATGGATTAGGGGAAGGTCGTTTGTGTTGGAATGAAGGGATGAAGGGATGAAGCGATAAAGGAATGAGTCAATGGTGCCTCGATCGCCGAACAAAACGTATGCATTTGTTGTATGTGGCTGTCAACCTGAGGTTTGTCAAGGACTTCCAGCGCCTTGAGCAAACAGCCGTGTTGTTCTTCAGGTCTCAACTTACACACCAGGGCAAGTTTGAGCCCTTTACCTCCTCTCAATTATCAACCAAGTGTTAACATGGCTTCTTTCCCGATCAAATACCCAGCCCATGAGGCGACTTTCACACTTCAGGGTATTTTTTGTCTGCGTGCCTCATTCTACGTAGCTTACCTCGCCGCCACGCTTCGGCCAGTTTCGTCCTGACGGACTGGCTCGATAGCTTCGAGAACATCACGGCCACTACGAGTGTCGCTACAACCAAGCTGACAAGCACGACGAAGAAGACCCAGAGTGGATCTCCTGTCCCGTTGATCTCTTGGATGTTCATCCCAAATACGCCGCACACAAACCCCAAAGGCACGTACACAAAGGCCAAGACCGTGAGCCGTGCCATGGACGTACTCTGCTGAAGTGCCACTTCTCCGGTCTTTGCGCTACTCTGGGTCTCTTGGAAGGACAGGGTGCTCATCAGAGTGTTGAAGGACTGTTGCACGAGCACTCCCAGCCCCTCTGCCTCTGCCAGCAGCTGTCGGAAGTCCAGCTCCAGCGCCTGGATTTTGACAGCCAGCTCCGGCTCCGGTCTAGCAGATATGCCCAACGTAGGCCAAGGGTACGCCCCACGATGCCCGAGGTAGATGATCGCATTTTTGATAGCCGTGATTGCATAGTTGAGGTTCACGCGAGCTTCGTGCAGGCGTTCGAGGACCTGCAAGCCGGGTCCTAGAGGATTGACGCCGATCAAAGCCTCCCGTTCCAGCATGATCCGTAATCTGTTGAGGATGTCTTTCCAGACGAGGGCAACATACATGAATACCAACAGAACAGAGCTCAATGGATGGCCGACCAGAGGAGAAAGGGGGTTTCCACGCTTGAGATGGTGCGCCAATTGTTCACGGAGGCCGAGACCGCCTTCGGTCGGTAAGATCCTGCTTTGCCAGGTGGTCGCTGGCGGGAATCGAACACTCCCCATGAAATGAGAAGGTTGGAAAGGAGTGAGTGGGGGATCGAGTAAAAAGAGTACTTGGGATCACATGAGCAACGCCCTCATTCGTACACGTGCTCAAGCTGGTGCCGCTTACCTAGCCATCGATCTTGACCCAGACTCTTCACGTACACAGACACGCGCTCACGCAGCTGAAAGCCCTGCATATCCGGCCGGATGTTGAATTCTCGCCTGAAGTAATGGGGTCGCCCGGCGCCGAGGTACGCTTTCAGCTCGGACCTGTGCTTTTCCACTTGATCATCATCGTCGTCGTCGTCGTCGTCGAAGAGGTGCAGGTCCACGGTCCGATGATTTCGCGCATAGTCTACGTGAAAAAAAGGCGCCTCCGTCGCCACTGACTGTAGCATCGACGATACCCGTTGGTTCGGTCGGCATTCCAACGCATGGTCGACCCAGAACTCTTGGTCAATGTCGTATTCGGAGCCAACAACTTCGACCAAATCCGGCGATACATTCTCGAGTATGAGGTAACGTAGGGCAGGTTGGAATGTACTGTCTCTTACAGCGGCACGAAGGTCGTTGGCTGAGACATATTTTTCTGCCCGGAGGATTCCATTGGGCTCCCAGTCGATCAGTTCTGCTTCAGAGGCCCAGGGATGTTGATGTTGTAAAAGGTGGAGAACGTGATATAGGTGTGGCGCCTTCGCGGTTCGTTCCTTGATCTGGTCGAGATATGGTCTCTGCATTAGTAGAGTGAAGATGACCATGCGATACAGAAGAGGAGCACGAGTGGGCAGAAAAGGAACAAAGAAGTGTCGGTATCTCGAGATGAGATTGATTGGTCTTCAACACTAACAATAAATACTCGATTCCTTGCGTGGGAACGAACGACGGATCCGTAGTTGTTAGCGGGATAGCAAAGTGGCGGGGGATGAGTCAGCCAGATGGGTGCGAAGGATGACAGTTCGAGTATTTATATATACATATATAAACATCACAAGTCCATGGTAACAACGGATTACTCCCGTTCGTTATTGACTCAGCCGGGACTTACTCCCTGGGCTCTGAAACACTTGAATATAGTTCGAGGCCATTGTACCATGCAACGAGGCCTCCAGAACTCCCAAGGGGTCATTCCATGTCTTGGTGGTCCATGAATCGGCTCTGGAAGAAACCATCAGGTTAGCCATCCGAACTTTCTTCTGTTCCTCAGCTTTGCTCAACAGATGGCGGATTCACCGCACATTCATTCGACCCCAGCCATAACGTCGACATACAGGTCATCCAATCCTCGTAGGTTGGTCTTGTCGATTGCCGGGTCGTTCAGCATCTTCAAGAACGGGTCCGTCTGGCCGACGGTGTCCGGGTCCGTCTCCGATATCCGCCGCACGTTGGCCTGTGACCTGGGGTCTACCACCTCGAGGAACACCTTCCTTCGCAGGTCCGAATAACGGTCCAAGAGTGCTTCGGATTTGCGTTCGTTGATCACCGCCACCAGGACGTCAGCCAGCGCCCCCGCGTCGAGAATGCCACCCGTGAGTCCCATGCCGCCAAAAGGATTGCACAGATGGGCGGCGTCTCCCGCCAGCAGGACCGCGCCTTTGTGGAACGTGGTCGCACATCGCTGGTTGATTTTGTACGGGGACGCCATCTTCAGTTCATAGTTCAGCGGTTTGGGGCCCGGGAACATGCATTCGAATTTCCAGGGCAGTCTCTCGAGCAGTTGGTCTTGCGTCAACCCCGGTAGCTCGCCGTAGGAACAACGCCAGAGGCCCGGCTCGGCCAGCTTGGCGATCAGGGCCCAGTGCTCGCTGTCGACGATGAAGTTGCCTCCACGGAAGCCGTACTTCTCAAAGGGATAGATGACATTGCACGCCACGAGGTTGAAATCCCACGTGAAACCTTCAAAGGGGATGTCCCAGAGCCGCCGGACACTGCTGCGCCCTCCATCCGCCCCGATCACGTATCGTGAGTGAAAGTGTTTGATACCGTCGGGGGTCTCCACCGTGAGGTCCGCGCCGTTCGCGTCCCCTGACTGTCGGACCGCGGTGACTTTGTGGTTGAACAAGACCTTGCTGCCTGCGCAGCGCTTGTAGTGCGTGAAGATGACCTCGGCCAGCTCGTGCTGTCCCAATACCAGCACCGAATACTCCCCGGGCAACGGTCTGCGGTCGACTTCTGCGATGGTCTCTCCGTTCACCTTCATCCAACGCACATCTGACCCCGTGCTCCCTCTTCGGAGGCAGTCTTCGAGGACCCCTGCGCGATCGAGCTCCCGCACGGCGACGGTGTGGTAGACGGCGGCTCGTGGGGACTGCTCGACGTAGGGTAGCATTTCGAGGACGGTGGTAGGAATGCCCGCTTTGGCCAATCGCAGGGCGACGAGGAGCCCGACTGGACCGGCGCCAACCTGAATGTGAGATCAGCGAGGGAACCAGGAAACCACCTCTGGATTGGGGATCGTTTCACCACCTACCACAATGACACCGTCCGAATTGATGACGCCCTCGTCGTTGGCTGTGCCATTCACCCCATTTGTGTGAGGCTCTCCGTGTGCAGCACCATCTCCGGCCATAGTCGCGACAAAGTCCTCTCGGGCAGATCCAGATGTGAGGTGTAGCAGGGGGCTCGCAGACCGGGCAAGAGTTGCCTCATGTCTCGCTCGCTCGAACCCACCGAGGGTTCTTAAAGGCACTTCGACGACAACTCGCGAGCCGCGATCGCAAATCAAGAAGTTCCTCCATCATGTGGAGCTGCGGGGCTGAAGGCCTGTGTTCAGGTCTGGGGAGATCGGGGAAACGCATCTTCGCGCATCTCGGCCTCTCCAACTCCTCCATGGGTGGGGGAGGGGGACACGGTACAGGATGTGGAGGGAGTGCCACGGGGTCAGAACGGTGGCGAGGAGCAGCTCAACAGATACAGGAGTGTGAGACTGTGAAGAAGGTGTCTGGAGCTCGAGTCGAGTAATACTCGAAACCACCAGGAGACATGTCTTCGCCACACGGAGTTCAAGGCACTATAAGTGTACGGGGGGGGTATTCGCCAACTGCGTGATCAGACATCTCTTTTGTGTCTTCTTTGTTAAGACTGAAAGATGTAGTCCCCTTGATTATCGTCAATCATAAAACTTACCTTGAGATAGCGGGATTCAAAGAGACTGTACAGTAGTAGAGATCTGGATCCGGATCCGTACGAAGCAATTGTACAAAAGCGCGACGAATCCCTACCAAGAAATCGCTCAACCGGAGGTCCCCGACAACACAATTTCGATTCATTTGTTATCTACAGTACACATGTCTACGGAGTAGGTGGACCTGATATCGGATATCCCTCTTATTGGATCCAATATGTAATACCAGTCTATATCTATATTGGCTTCAGAAGGGCCAAGTGAACCGGGTTCCTTCTACTCTCGAACCTTTCGTCAATCTTTTCCACAACTTTGGTTATGGCATACGATATGCCCCGTGCTTCTTGGACGCAATGTCTATCTGCAAGAAAAAGCCCGAGCTTATCTCTTGAACTCTCAACCTTGGGCCCCAGACCTTGGAAAGCCGACCACTCGGCGAGGTCGAGAGCGCGCAGGCCATCTCTAGTCTAATAATGTACGGTAGCAAATCCGTGCTCTGCTTTTTGTGAGGGAACCCTGACGAGAAAACGATGACTTATGCAAGCGTGGTCGAAGATCTCCGGTAGGTGTGAACCAACCCGATCATTATCAACATGAGAGATAGAATCTATAGATAAATGTTCAAGGAAGCTGAGCTTATTCCCCCTCGCCCCTTATCATCCTCTATCCTTTTTGTTTTTGTGTAACAATCCGAGGTCATCCTCCCTTTTTGATCAGTGACCACGTGCTGGGCTTTCATGTCTCTGTCTCTCTGTCTCTCTGTCTCTCTGTCTCTCTACTCTCACACACAGAGGGCAATTGACTGACGCGGAAAACCACTGCAATTGCAAAATGGCGGAATACAACAACGATCCCGAGAAAAATGACTCTCACGTCATCACACGGACAAGCACTACTATCGTCGGTGGCGAAGGCAAAACTATCGAGAAGCATCGTGTCACTGACAAGGTCGATGATCTCGCACAAGTCGAGGCTTCGAAAGGATGGTTCCGCTCGGTACTCAAGTACGCCAGTTTCCTTCACGCCGAGGAGCGTGGCATCGAAAGAGTCAGGGAGGAGGATAGAGTCAAGCAATCAGTCCTCGACGGGTATACAATGTGGGCATCGGCCAATTTTACGTGAGTTCATTCACAGGTCCATTCCTCCTAGCGAACGCGGTCGTAGCTGATGGTGGAAAAACAAACCTACAGTCCAGCAACCTTTGCCACTGGTGCTCTGGGACCGATTTTTGGGCTGGGATTCTGGGATTCTTTTGCGGTCATCGTTTGCATCAACTGCTCCATGGCCATCGTCGTCGGATTGTTCGGGTGCTTCGGTCCCATCACCGGCTTGAGGACCATGTCTGTCGGCCGGTATGCCTTTGGGATCTGGGGCACGAGAGCCTTGGTGATCTTGAACATCTGCGGCATGGTCGGCTGGTCGAGTGTCAACTCCATCGCTGGGTCTCAAGTCCTGCACGAACTGTCGGACGGCAATTGTCCACTGTGGGCCGGAAACCTGATCATCGGCGTGTGCACGGCCGTCATCTCCTTCTTTGGCTACTTCGCCGTGCACATGTTTGAGCGCTGGTGCTGGATCCCTCAGGTCGTCATCTTCATCTTCCTGGCCGGGTACGGCGCGAAGCACTTCGACGCGGGCGCGCTGCCCATGGGCTCCGGGTCCAGGGAGGCCAGGAGCGTCATGGGCTTCATCGCCGTGCTGTACGGGTTCGTCGGGGGGTGGGCGCAGACCTCTGCAGACTACAACGTGCGGATGCCCGTCAAAACGGACAAGACCAAACTGATCCTGTCGATCTGGGCCGGCAACTTTTTTGGTTGCTCAATCCCCGAGATCCTCGGTGCGGCCTTCATGACGGCCGTCGCGGCAGACCCCAAGTTCGCAGAGGCTTACGACACCCGTGGCGTCGGAGGCCTCATGGGCGAAGCTCTCCGCCCGATTCACGGATTCGGCAAATTTTTGCTGGTCTTGTCGGCCTTGTCCATCATCGGGTGCAACCTGGTAAACAACTACAGTCTCGCATTCACGTGCCAAAACTTCCACCCGATCCTCATGAGGGTCCCGCGCATCGTTTGGAACGTGCTTGGCTCGGCCGCCTTCATTGCCATCGCCATCGCGGCCGAAGACTCCTTTGAGGAGGTCCTCGAATCCTTCCTGAGTGTCATTGGATACTTCCTGACCCCGTTTCTGTGCTGCACCTCGATCGAGTACCTGTACTTCAGGAAGCGCAGGTTCCCGTTGGAAGACTGGAACAACATGAAGGTGATACCTTATGGAATAGCAGGTTTCTCGGCTATTGCCATGGGATTTGTCGGAGCCGTACTATCCATGAACCAGACGTGGTACGTCGGTGTGGTGGCCAAAGCATCAGGTGCGGAACTAGGGTGGATCTTCAGTGGCATCTTTGGAACACTTACCTTCGTACCCGTGAGATATCTGGAGATGAGGTACACGGGGCGATAGCTACACATATCCGATAGAGTATGATTGGCAACAAGAGAATGATGGGAGACATCACGCGTTGAGCGTTGAATTGATGAAATTTCAGTTTGAACTAGGAACTCACATCTGTGCTTGAGGACAGATCGTGTCAATTGCAAGACTTTCGACGGAGCTAGAAGGTGTTTCCGCTTCTGCATGATATAGTCTGCAATGCAATATGGCAATCATCATTTATTTGTGTGAAGGCATCAGATGAATGTTGAATTATCTGAAAACGGTACCCTTGTATGGGCATCTGGACCCAAGTCATTGTCAATCACATCGCTGATTTATGTAGAACGATCTACGAGTCGTCAATACAATCATCACTAAGGATTAGATTGGCTAGAGCAATCGAGACCAGACTTCAATTCACTTACGAATATCTAAATAACGCGTTGCCGTCTCTTGAAACCCAGTAGAATTGAGGTCTCACGTAGGGAGTACTCATAGTCCAAGACATCTGTAACTTTGTTGGCGAAGAGCATTAGGCAACAGTTGTTGTTGTGTCACGAGTCAGTCGGTCAAGATTGATGTGCATGTTCTCAACTTTGTACTCGTGAGAGCGGCCACTGATGAATGGTGCGACTATTCATTATTCATGTACAGGGATGGTACTAAGAAGTTATTGGACGATTGAAGGTATACATTACCTGTTTCTCATGCTCGGTTCGAAGATGAGCTGCAGGTGTGTGGACTCTGATCGTCCTTGCATATTCTTACTCTACCAGTACGGAGTATGTTGCCCTGATTTACAGGGACCGCTCAAGAATGATCAGCATGAGCGCCAACGGATCATCCGGGGGATCGTCACACCAAACAAGGCACATCAGGCACGGAATATACGGATACGCAGGTCCTTCGTCGGCAGCCTTTTTCAACAGGTTCTGGACTGCCAACAAGGCCCGGTCAGGGTCACCTGCAGGAACGACAAAAGATGAAATGATCTTCCATTCTGCCTCGGCCACTTTCACATCAGCGCAGATTCACCGGCCCAAGCGAAACGACCAAGTCGTTCAATACGTCGAATAAACAGCTGTTGCGGCTGAAATCATGTCAATCTCTAAAATAGCGAGATTCGAAAGAGGCCCAGCTGTTGACTCGTACGTCCACAGACTTTCATTTCTGACAAAGTCGAATCTTAACGCCACGAAATCCCGGTTCCAAGTCCGCGACTCATTAGGCCAGATGATGATAGCCAATCCTTGTATCGACGACCAGGATGCAAAAGCCTCGCCAAATTTAGCTCGAATGAGCCCGAAGCCTTGTTCCAGGCCCTTTCCAGGCCAACGACTCGCTGCGGTCATCCCAGGCAAGCACATTTGCCACAGGAGAAGTCTACAAACTTCAAAATTAGCTCCGACCAACGTCAACGGCCACGGGAGGACGTGCGTCTCACACTTTGTCAACTCGCCTCGGGGGAGCCTTATTAATTGTGGGCCTCATCATGAACCACCGTGCTCGTACGATATTCCACCCACTCGACCTCCGCCATGAGCCCTTGCAGGTTCGTTTGATGATACCTGGGAGAGGTTTTAATACTATGGTTCTGTCCGGTCGCTGATCTGAAGCATCTTGGACAAGACTCCTGCTACTGAGCTGATCATGGAAATTTTTACTGTTTTATCGACATAGATTTTTTTTTGCACAGTGCAGAAAATCGCTGCTACAAAGATCTTGATAAGGGAATATGTCATTCCAAACGAACTTGTCAATCATCAATTTGACGCCTTACGACTGGACGGGATATACGCTTGCAGAAACCACGGGTCTCATAGAATGGGACTTTCCCAAGACTTTGGCATCCGGTAAGAAGAATGCCTGACCGTCGTTGGAAATTTGGTGGACTGACATGGATCACTTTGCAACTGTCTAGGTGACACATATGAAGCATCTATAGCCGTCGACACTTCTCAAGGAAGCAACCCAACAAAAGCGCAAGCCGACTGGCCCTTTTCATGGATCGACCAAGCTCACCCCGTGGCTGACCTCAAGATTTCCGTTTCCGGCGAAGGCGACGGCGACGGTGGAGGATACGAGTACGCCATCAACGCCGTGCTGGACCAATTCGGCACTCAACGAAACCCCAAAGGCTCGACAATCAGCATCCCACTGTACGACCAAGCCTGGTCCCCGTTCCTGCTCGTGGGCGACAACACCAGCCTCGCCGGCAACAATCCTCCTTTGGACTGGATGGAGCAGAGCCTGCCGTTCATCGGGTGCCTGACGTTGCAGGACATTGTGCTCCCCGGCTCGCACGACGCGGGCATGTCGCAGATCAACTACGCACACGGCGGCGACTCGGACAACTCCCAAACACAAACGCTGTCGGTCGGGGGTCAGCTCGAGGCCGGGATGCGGTACTTTGACATCCGGCCGTCCATCTCTCACGGCCAGTTCTACACGGGCCACTACACCGATCAGCTCGGGGCCAACGGCGAGTCCATGGCCGACATCATCTCCGACGTCAACGCCTTCACGGCCAAAGGTTTCAACGAGCTCGTCGTCCTCGAGCTCAGCCACAGTCTCGACACGGACAGTGGGTACGACGCTTTCAACGACGCGCAATACAAGAACCTCCTGACCCAACTGTCGGGACTCAAGTATCTCTACACCGGGCACGCGTCGGACGTTCTCACGACGGTGAAACTGGGCGAGTTCATATCGTCGAGTCCCGCCGTGGTCGTGGTGTGCGACGAGCGCGACCTGAACTGGTTGTCCACCAACAAGTTTTCGGGCAAGGGATTCTACGGACCGGGACAGCTGCCCGTGTACAACAACTACGCCGACACGACCGACCTAGACACCATGAGGCAGGACCAGTGGACCAAGTTTAGCTCACAGGTCGAAACCCCCCAGACCCCGAACCAGTTGTTCCTCCTCAGTTGGACCTTTACCCAGGACGTGCTGGGAGCGATCGGGATAGGGTTCGGCGGCGCGACCGAAGACGGTACGTCGATCCTCGAGTCGGCCACGTACTTTAACAACTTCCTCGCCCAGACCGGCGGGACCGTGCCGTACACGGGGCCCCTGGAGTGGGCCAAGAAGGCCGGAAAGCCACCCAACATCATCCTGATCGACAATGTGCCGACGGACAACAGGTTCCTGGCGACCTTGTGCCTGGGCATGACGAGGTGGTTCAACCGGCAGCAAAAGTGTTGAAACGTCTTGAACGAAGCACCGTTGTGTACAGATGTCTTCAAGGTGTCTGCCTGTGCGGGATGAATTTTATCTATGCGTCTATTGATACGTGGAATTTATCATGGTTTGTGGGTCACTCGGTACATACGCCCGTACATGTATAACCCAAGTTGAAAGAGGAGATTTCTGCTGACGCTGTGGCATCAGGACTTTTGCTAGAGGAGAAATAGGATGCCAGATAATTTTGGAACACTCTCCATTTGGGGTTGGACATTACGTTGGGATATTGATACTGGGCGCTGGAATCGTGTTTGGGTATTGATACCCGTTGGTGGAACCGGATATATACCCTTGTAAAAAGTCAGGTCGTTGGATAATCTAGACAGGTTTGTAATGGCAATTCATGCCTCTTTTCTTTGTCATCAAGTGTTGTTTTGCTCTGGACAAAGTACAACGCAGTTTCATAAAATGTCGTTCCACCTTGAGCGATGCGCACATTCTTGTCAAATATGGTCAACGGTCTTTAGTGTGTATTCGGCTCCCGCTTCTCATCGTGTATTCGTACATTTGCTCTTCATTTCTGTATCTGTCCATTGCTTCTCATCTCGGTGGAAGAGCAGGTTTCTTCTGTTCTGTCGCCTCGGCCTCCTCTCTTTCTTCCTTCTCCTTTTCCTCCTCTTCTTGTTCCTTTTCCTGTTCCTCGACCTGCTCTAGGACAATCCGTTCCTTTTCCAGAGCCTCCTCGTCGATGTCGGTCCAACCGACTTCGGTCAACATCTTGCCCACCATGTTCTGATACTTGAGATGGCCGGTGACTTGCTCACTCACGTCAAAGTTCTCCACCCCGTACGCGTTGATCTCTTGCAGTCCGGCGATGCCGAGCTGTGCACTGCTGGTCCGATACATGAATGCGAGAATGTAATCGTTGGTAGAGTACACGTTGATCAGTCGCCCGCCGACCACGCTCCTCATCGAGCGCCAGACGTCGTCGTCACTCGGTACCGGGGAACCCATCAGGACGACGCTGTCGATCAGACCGAACGCCTGCCTCCGGGCGAGTGCCAGCAAACAGGAATATATGACCCTGGCGCCCAACGAGTGACCGACGAGGCTGACCGGTCTCTCTCCTTGTGCTTTGTTGATCAGCGCGTCGGCGAGCACCTCGCCGGCCTTCATCGCCCTCAACTTGGCAATTCCAAACGGACTGTCGACCAACTTTGCAACTTTCAATATCGCCAAAGGGGCCAACATGGCCGAATACAAGCCCGCCAGTATCGTTCTCTTGATGATTTGCTTCTTTAGGTAGCTCCATGCCTCGCTGGTCACAAAGTTCTTCAGAGCGTTCCCGAGGTTCATCAGAGCTTGTAGTTCCCATCTCAAGGCGAAAGCTTCACCACCGTCACCGAGCACTTTCCACGGATTTTTCACCTCGTCTTCTTGAGTCAGCCAGCCGGTGATGCCGATCGTGACCCTCAGCCGTCGCCTTTGCTGTAGTTTCTCTTCACTATCGTCCACACCGCCGCGGACAGGAATGAAGGCGAAATCCTCAATTTCCTTTGAATACTTGTCCATCATGCGCCCCGTCATTCGTCCGCCATACGCTCCAAACAGCCCACCGACGAGGACGCCACTGCCCGCCAATGCGCCTAGATACCCGGCTGCGGCAGTCGCCCCGAGACCAAGGCCTCCCAACAAGCCTCCGACTCCGGCAGCCACCAGAGGGGCTGCCAGCCCGCCCGTAACGCCGATCAATGCGGCGCCTGCGACACTGGCTATTCCGACTTTCCATTTTCGCGCAGTGGCGCTGGCTTTCTGGGCGGCAGAGGCAGACTCTCCGGCGTCCATCTTGCTGGCGGCGGCGAGAAGGCCGTAGGCGGTGTCCTTTTCCATCTTGGAAACCTCGCCACTGGAGATGTGCAACGAGGTGGCCAGGCGAAGCATCAACGTCCGCGAGTGAGCACGGTACGTTTCGAGACTGAGGAGGAGGAGAAGGATGGCGTTGAGGATCGTCGAGCGTTCTGTGTGGCTTAGATCCGCCAATGGCGTGGTGACCGGGGAGTAAATATCTGACAGTCGATCGTCAGCGGCCTTTTCCCTGTCGTTGGTAATGTAGACCTGTGGCGGCGGGGGAGGAGTCTTCTTGTAAGGTTCTTGTGCCGAACTTCGCTCCTCGCGGGCGTTGACCACCTCCCCGACCCTCAAGATCACACTTTCAGACCAGCGGTCGAAGAAGTCTAGCGCGAATTTCTTCAACGCCTCGCTCTGAGGCGTGGCAGACACGGTGGTTTCTTCTTCGGATTTGGCAGCTTCGAGCTGTTCTCGTTTCATGGCTTCAATCTCAGCATCCTGACTGGCGACTCCTGGGTCATCGAAGTTGAGTTTGGACAGATCTATGTCCTTCTCGTTGTCAGCGGGCGGTTTGGGTTTGGGCTTTGGTTTCTCGTCAAAGGCCTTGATAAGGTCCTTTCTCATGTTCTCTGTGACATGGGCAATCAAAACACTGAGTTCGGCGCGTTGATCCAGAGTGAGTAGAGTAGCTAGAGATTGATCGTCTGATTGGGCATTCTGCGGATTACGCTTGGGACTTGAAGTCCTGCCCTTGAAATTGATATTCGATAGAGACGGCATCTTGTTTGGGCTCGATAGTGGGGGCTGCTGCCTTTTGCTATCGTCTGAGATGCGGTATCCGACCTTGTCTGTAGAAGACACTTATCAATCTAAGGTTGTCACGTACATGAAGAAAACATCAGCACGAAATACTTCTTCCTAGGGAGCGTCATCTTGAGGCATGATGCAATGACGCAAGCCAAGGCGTCAGCCTCGCCTCTCATTTCCCTGAGCGAGGCTGCAAAATGTGCACGAGTACGAGCACGAGCAGTTTACCATGTGGTACGTCTTACTGCCTCGCTCAAGTCACTGTCTACTTATGTCGCAAGGAAAAGCAAGTCGCAAGGCTAATCTGGAGCAAACACCACACTGAGAAAGAAGAACGGGGTTATATCTTTGGCAACCTTCAGCAGCCGCATATTCATTCCGTTGAAATTTGTCTCTATTATCACACGTTCAAGGTACCTTGGCATCAAACCCATTCAATATAGTGCCAACATAGCTATAAAAGCCCGTGTAATGAACGGCTGCAGCCGCTCCCTCTTTGCCCAGGATTTTGACAGCCTTGTCCCAGATCGCTTGGTCCAGTGGTCCAGGGCGTCCAAGAGCAGTGGCCAGCTCGAATGCTATCTTTCCTTCTTCCGTGAGTGTCTCCGGACACTTGCCAGCATGAATGTCGTGAAGCTCAGCCTCTGAAATCCCTGCGCGCCGAGAAATGATGGCGTGAGCATAGTTCTCAAAAGCTGCTTGCGAGCGTGAACCAGCAACCGCGATCACAACCTCTCGCCCGTACAAGGTCAGACCAGGTATTGTTTGTAAGGTTTTCACGAGGAGATGAAAATGTTCGGCCACTTGTGGGTGGTGCAACAAGATTCCAAACGGCCCAATCAGTGTACCATCGTCGAGGGCAGTCTGTGGGGAGGAGCCATAGCGCTGCTTGGTGTATTCACTGAACAACTCATATGCGGGCTTCTGCTCATCTGTCAAGTCTTTTGGCGCGGTTAGACCAAGGCGGTTCGACATCGTGAGATACAAGACTGAAATCAACTGAATATACAAGTGCTGGTCAAACAGGTTTGTAAGACTTGAGAGTTACTTGTAGTTGTACGACATCTCTCGGTTATATACCTTATGTACGGGTAACATGGAAAAGCATCTCCAACAATCGACTCCGGAGCCTTTGATCTCTTTTACGGTTTTACCCCAGGCGAGCCCTTTAGGTGACAAACCTGGGTCGTCTACCTAGATACGAAGTGCGGTTCTTGCGGCTCGTGCGGCTCCTGCTCTACAATACCAAAGTGTAGTGAAATCTTGTAAGCCAGCGATCAGGTGTAATTGTCATGCTGAATATGGAAAACAGGCGTCTTATACTTAGAAGAACCAGACACATGAGTCAAACATGATAGGCCTTCGGACTCTCTGTCCCCGTCTGAAATAGAATCCGTCAAGTACAAAAGATCCTTCATCTAGAACAAGTCATAGCCCTGCAACAGCCGATGTACCTGGGGGAGAGCAGATCAAATCGCTGATATCGTTCGTGCTCACATCATCTTCGAAAAGAACTACTGCAACATAGTTTCATTTCCATTCGCACCTGCTTCCATCGGTCGGAACACTACCACCACATTCCCAACGAGTTTGAAGCGCTATGTGACTTGGGACAGTATTGGACGTCGACAATAATATTCGAGAACAATGAATCCTCTCGTTCAATCCTACGCTCACCGTTGCTTTTGTATTCTATCGGCCTCCGTTGGTACCAACTTCTTGTCTTGGCTTCCTGACTCTTGCTTTGCCTAAAATTTGCTCGAGGCTTCTCGTAGGTCTCTCAGAGCATTGGGTTGGTGCGAGGGCGGTCAGGATGCAAGGGGCGAGATCGTGTTCGCCAGGTCGATGGCAAAGATCTCACGACTATCTGCGATAGTAACTCGGCACAAGTATGGTGCGGTATGTGTTAATGATCGTGCGTTTTCTGTTTGGAACTCCGGCGATTGCGATGGCGACATGGTGCAGAGAATGGAGGCGGAACGCTGGTTCCGGGGGTTTGAGGTGGTACGAAGTTTCATCTCATCTGAGCAGCACAATGCTGTCAGCGACAAGGTCAACACCGATGTTCTCGCTCCCAATTAATTATACGGCCGTATTCTTCGGCCATCGACACGTTTGAGGACCCGTACTCCGTGCTGATGACCTGGGAGATCAAGTACCTCTACAGGAGGTCGATAAGTTGAGATGTACCAGACGTCGTACGGACCCCTTGGAGTCTTGTTTCCGGCCCATGCTTTCGGTGGCGGTTAAGACGGCACCTCCTCCCTGGCATGTACGACGCTACCCACCGCGGGTGGAAATCCGCCGTGACCTTTGAATGAATTAATAAAGTAGAAGCTGGACTTCGAATCATTCATTCTTTACGATGATCACAAGGTGGTTCTAAATGAACGCAGACCTGTATTGCTGGGCCATGATGCGGTGCAACGACTTGTACAGAGTCTGAGATGTCAAACGACGAGGAGAGGCAAGCCAGCACCAGTGGTGAACAACATGAGGAGGTGTCCCAGGAAAAGCCCGAGGTTCCGAATGACAATCCTCTCGAACACATTGCCAGTTTCGAAAGCCCCTTCAACATCCCGACGTGGCGAAAATGGCTGATGACTTCGTTAATGGGAGGCATGGCTGCTGCCGTCACCTTTGGCAGTTCAGTGTGGTCGTCGACAATTTCCGTAACATCAAAGCAATTTGGGGTTGGTGAAAGTGTCGCGGTATTGGGCGTTTCTTTATATGTACTTGGCTTTGCTCTTGGGCCGATACTCTGGGGTATGTCACCACTCACCTTTGATCTGGCGCATTTGTTGATATATGTCTCAAATCTAGGCCCTCTGTCCGAGCTCAAAGGTCGACGGCTGCCGATGTTCACGGGTTACTTCATATGGGCGCTGCTGCAGATTCCAGTAGGCGTGGTGAACAACCTACCGGCCATTCTTGTCTGTCGCCTTCTGGCAGGCTGCTTTGGGGCAGCCCCTATGTCGCTCATCAGTGCTGCTTATGCCGATTTCTGGGAGCCAGCCGAACGTGGAACAGCCACGGCAGTCTACTCCGCGGCAGTCTATATCGGCCCTACACTAGGTATGTTCCAAGACCCATGGACTTGCCGCCATGTATAGACTTGCTGACCACCGAACCATGATTACAGGTCCTATATTTGGCAGCCTGCTCACGGAGAGTAAACTTGGGTGGCATTGGACTGCATGGCTCACCCTCATCATGGGTGGCAGCGTAGGGGTCTTGGCCTTCTTCTGCGTTCCAGAGACATATGGGCCAATCTTACAACAAAAGGCAAATCGGAAGGCTCGTCTTGCCAACAACCCTGACACAGCATGTGAGGACGACATCGAGCAGTCAGCAGACTTTCAGACTTTCGTGCGAAGGTATATGGTCAAGCCGATAAAAATGCTCTGTTTTGAACCCATGGTACGTGGCACGCTATACTTGGAGGAGACACACTGACTCGTACAGTTGATGGTCATGACTTTATATATTTCCATCGTCTATGGCATCCTTTATCTGACGTTTTACGCGTTCCCTTACAGTTTTGCACAAGGCCGAGGCTGGGATTCTCGTGTCGCATCTCTGCCATTTTTGAGCATACTCGTCAGTGTCTTGGTGTCATCTGTGGGAGTTGCCATCTACTCACGCGAATACTATCGTCCACGCCTTCAAGCACGCGGGTCAGTGTTACCGGAAGATCGTCTCCCGCCAATCATGCTAGGCAGTATTTTACTGCCCGTTGGCCTCTTCTGGTTTGGGTGGTGTTCGAACCGCAACATATCACCTGTGTCTCAAATAATTGCTGGACTTTTCATCGGCAGTGGTATAATGCTTATCTTCACGAACGGTGTTGCTTATATCGTCGACATCTACCTTCAATCCGCGGCTAGCGCTCTGGCTGCCAACACATGTTGCCGAAGCCTGGTGGCGGCAGGTTTTCCATTGGCAGCCCCCAAAATGTACCATAATCTAGGCATTGCCTGGGGTACGAGTGTCCTGGGTTTCTTGTGTGTCTTGCTTATCCCGGCACCCTTGCTATTTTACAAATATGGAAGCAGGCTACGACAAATGTCGCGCTACGCCCCGACCTCTCGGTGAGGACCAAACGCCAGTAATGGACTTGCAATGCTGGACGAGAGTATCTCTGCTATTTGCTATCACTGTTTCCACAGGTTCGATTCAACCGGATTTGAGACTAGCACCTTTGATGACGACATAATCCTTTTGGGCAACGCCATCGTCCCATTGCCGGTTGTAATATTCATCAATCTTGGTGACTAGGCCATCTTCATCGATCTCAACTATCATACACACATGACAGACATACTGCTTGCCTGTCGCTTTGACGGCCATCTCGCCGCTCGGGCGCACGATATCGTTGGCACAACGGCCAGTCCAAATCTGTTCCAAGACTGCACCAGATGGTGTAGGAACGATGGCCTAAAGAGAGATTGGTAAGAAGCATGATGGGCCGCCTAAGGATCGACTCACCTTCTCGTCGACTCGAAAGGGCTGATTGCAATGGTTCCAGGCTTTGTGCAACCCCAAAATGGCTCATGCCCAACCCGGGTGACCAGAAAGGCATGATCCGACCATTGAACATCCGGATGATAGACTGAGAGGAATCTTTGCTTATCCTCCTCAGTTGAAATTGGTTTAGGAAAGTCGGCGAGAAGTTTCCGAATGCTCCCCTGCACCTGAGCGAGTCTTTTGGGTGTGATGGTGATGGCCGACATTGTCAAGATGTAGGTGCTGGAGAGGTCTTGTGGTTTATCATTGTACTAAGCATTGGGATGCCGGTTTCTATGTACCATTTTATATCATAAAATCTGGAATATATTTAGGACCCTGAAAAGGAGTCCTGGATATACCGAGGACCTACCCACCTGAATTGATGATTACTATACCTTTTTCTAGGCACGATTGAACTTGAAAGAGACACCCACAATATAATCGGCTCGACTTGGCTCATGCTGTCTACCTCGGTCTCACAAGTCGCATTGACACATTAGGCGTGCCGCCCAGCGCAGGACGACGCGGCACGTCAGCGATTTTACATGGCCAGGAAATCATGCGACTTCGGAATGCTCAAGGCTCGAAGGGAATGAATGCCACGAGTAGCCCATACAAGTATGTACAGGTTAAGATGGCTTGCCAATAGTCTACAGCCAGTGTACCCCCAAACTCGGGATGCTTTGCATTCGATACGTCCGGTCAGCGGATCGGCGAATTCTAACGAGTTGACAGTTCCTAGTAACGCAGGACCATAGAACAGCCCCAATAGACAGCTGAGACATGTTGTAGGTACAGGATCTGACCTTCTCTAAAGGAAACGATGTTGTTCTGGTGTTGAACACGCTCGTCCAAACACGAAACGAGATCGACTTACTTAATCATCTTGGCAAATCTGTAGCAAATGAACTGTAGACATCTCTATTTTTCATCTCATTCTAGGACACGCGACATCCACGATATGAGAAACTCGATACGCATGAATCTGGTGACTCGCATGGAGCCTCTAGGAACCTGATATATTCGTCGTTCTATTGTCTACACATTTCAGTTTTGCAAAGATGGAAAAGGAAACCCTGCTTGCCATGACCAAGTTGCTGAGGTCTGTGTTGTGAATCCAAGACATCACAGGCTTCCCTGGGAGCGATGATTCAGGCTTCGTCACTTGATATATGATTTGATTTGTCTTGGAAAATATCAAGGCGAGCGCAATGAAGAAGTCGACTTCCAAGCGTAAGCCATACTTTCTAAATGGTCGACCTCGGCCAGCAGTGTCGATAGCGAAGCCGCAACTAGAACCAAAATATGACCCAGACTCTGGACAAGTTTATCAAGAGAGAGAAATACGATTCGTCAGCAAAAGAAACACCGACTGGACCCGAGAGCGAGTTGGCCGAGATGTCATTCACAGAGATCGTCCTCCAGAGAAAGGCACGCGTTCGCTGGCCGAGACCGCCATATTCGAACTCGCTAGACATTCGGAGGACCTTACGCCCGAACATTTCGCATCTGTCCCTTGGCCCATGGCCAGACGGATCTGGGATCGCTTAGTGTCAAGGTATGAACGAAGCTCGAATCTTTGACCGAGACCTGTTTTCGCTAACAACATCCGTAAGAGGTCGTCACAGCTTTCACATCTGGAGGATATTTGCAGTATCGTACCCAGGGGCAGAGGAATTCGGACATCCTGACTATAGACACCGCGTGGACATTCTACATCCAACCTTGCCATATACCGATTATTTCACAGGTATCACGTCCAATGATCTGAATTGGCTGGCATGTCTGCGTGTCTCACCAAAGCAGATGAGCGCCACTGACATGGTTTCCATTCACAAAGTCACCAACCTGGTGGTTCTGGATCTATCCGATGGGCAAATCAGTCTTGATAATCGTACATCACCGTTCGACGAACGAATAATGCGGTCATGGGCAGAACTTGCGGAAGCAGGCCAAGCGTTTCAGCTTCTACGTGTCATTCTTTTCGGATGGCAGGAGCACATCTGCAAGTGGCTATTCAAGTATGTCGATGTATTTCCGTCCTTGTGCCATGTCATTGTCACAGACTGTCCCAGAATGCATCAGAGGAACAGAAGGGAATGGGAGCCCTTTTCGACAGCTGCTGGCTGGGATGCGAGACATGCCAAGAGGAGTGCGAAAGATTTGAGGCCCATCGTCGAGCGTGGTGAGGCCGGGAAGGGCTACGTTTGCGGCTTCTATGATGAGAGCCAGAGTGTCTACGAAGACCTCGTCCACCCGCGGCGGCCAGACTTGGTGGAGAGACTGCCTTTGCTGGACACCGAGATAGGGACACCACGACAGTGGAGACACATCGTCGACGACTTTCCGTCGACAAGAACAATTCTCTTCGACAATATCAAGACAAAGGCCTGGGAGGAGGAAGGGAAAAACCCGCATGTCGTCGATATACCTCAGAGTAAGAGGTTGAGGAATTCAGAAGGTGTGAACCAAGGCACGGCCTCTCCTCCGGCAAAACGAAGCAGTCAGACAGCGCCCAGAACAAGGCCAAGTGTCCGGACCGCCGGGGACCTCCTCCAAGAGTTCCTGCCCCGATGAAGAAATTGAGTTGTAATCATAAGGAGACAAGACAAGAGGCCAGAGTAGCTACTAGTTTGTAGAAATTGCTGGAGATGATTGACTAATACAAAATAGTAGCAACAGTAAATAGTTGCGTGCGGAATCAATCGAGGTCACGAGCCCCAGCCTCACAGCCTCGTCTAGAACGTCCCGACGTCAGCGGTTCGCGGGCAGAAACGGCTCAACGGGCAGCACCGAGCACAGTCCAAGAATCTCATGAGCAAACCGAGCACCAGACCGTCTTATTCAATAATTCACTCTTCCAACACCGTGTTCGTGCTCTTTAAATGATTGATTAGCGTCCTGCAATGCACTCACAGTCCATCTTCGCCGCCAATTGAGGTGCAACTTCCTTGCCCCGCTCCAAACGACACACAAGTACGAAACGACCATCTGCCGGGAACTTTCTCAACCCATCACCGAACCACATCAACAGCCTCCCCGTACAGAGGCTTTCCAGCATGACAACCCCAAACCGTGATCCTCCGATCACCTCTTCTCCTTCGCCCGTTGCGTCCTCGCGCTCGAGCATGGACGCGGCCTCACCACCCAGCAGAAGTTCCTCACTCCGAATACCCTCCTTGCCCAGCGCCGCGGCCCAACACCGCCAGAGCTTTAATGAGCTCCGAGGACACCCTCCGTCCCCTCGCTCTTCGAGACAACCATCCGTGTCATCAATGGCAGTACAAGACCTCATAGACAACCCTCCGGCGAAGCACCCGGACCCTCGATTCGCCGGACGTGACTGGACAACCGTAAAGGTGGAAGAGTTGGTGAGCGCGGACGATCTGAGGTTTGTGGACAGTGAAACCGGGGTCGAGGCAGCCACAAAGGTCAGCACGTGGTCTACGTTCCCTACGATCCGCTGAATCTGTACAGCTAACATCGACAGGTCCTCGTTGAATCTGGCGGCCCGGTCGTCCTCATCCGCGAAAAGGCCGGATCTCCCGTCATCGGAACGTACGACTATCGTGACTTGAACGCCTACCTACTGCTGGTGGTCGGGCTCGCCCACCCAGACGATGAGCACGCCGAGGACTTTGAGCAGGTTGCGCAGCGGGCCAGAGAAGGAAAGGCCATTCATCTCCGAGACATCAAGGATATAAGCAAGAAAGAGGCCTTGACGTTCTTGAGCAAGGACGCAAACCTGTTGCAGGCCATCGAGACATTCGGCAAGGGTGTTCACCGCGTCGTCGTGGTCGACGAGGCGACAAATGAAACCGTCGGGGTGCTCAGCCAGACCATGCTGATCCGATTCTTATGGGAGAATGGTAGGAGCTTCCCCGTCCTGGAGCAACTCTTCACTCAGCACCTGCGTGATCTCAAGATTGGCTCCAACGATGTGATAGCGATCAAGTGAGTTGGCTGCAAAGACTCCCCGTGCCGAAATCGCCCATTGCTGACACTTTTTCTTTTCCTTTTAGCGGCGACCGTCCCCTCGCGGAAGCACTCACACTTCTCCTCAACGAAGGGGTGTCTTCCCTCCCCGTTCTCGATCACAACCAGAACGTCATTGGCAACATTTCGAACGTCGACGTGAGACTCCTCACCAAGTCCTCCTCCCTGCCTCTCCTGAAAAACACCTGCATCCACTTCATCTCCGTCATCCTGTCCACCCGCGGCATGTTTGAAGGCAAGGACTCCTTCCCGGTCTTCCACGTCACCCCTCTCTCGACGCTGGCACACACGGTGGCCAAACTCGTCGCGACAAAGTCTCACCGGATGTGGATCACGGAACCGGTGTCGCCGAGCTCGTCCGGCCCGCCGACCCCTGCCCTGCACACGGCGACGTTGGCTCCGACCTCGAGCCATTCCTCCTCGACGGGATCCTCATACGCGACGCCCCCGCAGGCGACGTCCGCGCCCGGCGACCCCGCGGGCGGTACCGTGGTCGACCACTCCCCGAAGGCCCCCTTCATCGCCCCGTCGGGCCCCAGCATATCCGCCTCGGCGCTGCCGGGGGCCCGCATCTCTGGCCGCCTGGTCGGCGTGGTGAGCCTGACGGACATTCTGGTCCTCTTTGCTCGCGCCGGCGGGCTGACCAATGCCGCCGACCCCAACGAGATACGCATGCGGCGGAGACGGAGCAGTTCGAGCAGCGTGCGGAAGAGTTTCGACAATGGCTCCAGGCCCGCGCCGCAAGGTTCGAATCTGAGGCCGTCGGCGGATTTGGTCCGAAAACCTACCGGATGAGAGATTGGGATGGTCTTTGAAATTGTGGTGAGAAGAGAGAGAGAGAGAGAGAGAGAGAGAACAAAAATTTCCCAATTGGTTCAGTTTGGCGCTGGGGTTGTGTTGTGTTTGCCTCCTACAGGAACACAAGAGTAGTGGTGGTAAACAGCAAAGTCCTTTTTTCTTTCCTTTTTTCTTGGAAGCATCAGCGAAGAAAATTAGAACAAGCGTCGTATGAGAGAGGTAGAAGAAAAGAACCCAAGGTTTCTTTAAGAAGACTTGATGGCGAAGCAATGTGATCATGTTTCTCGGCATGTATGCCTGGACTTTTCATCTATACGTATGATTTCGACCCATCCCATACCCCAACCCTAACCATGGTAGATCAATCTCTCTGGGGTCTTCTCCATGTCCGGAGCGAGATGGCATGGTGATATGATCGGAGAGTGAAGAAGGCATTACAGAGTTTGAATAGTAGTGTGTGATAGGTATGACTCCAACGCCTCTCCTCCGGTGATGAACCGTGCCGTACTGTGACGCGCATTATATTATTACTCGGTATTCTCTCATCCAGTTGTGGCATCATCAGGCAAAAATTGTTGCTTTGATCCATTTTTGTTCCCTTTGGTCTCCTTTCCTCATTGTACGAGTTTTCCTCCGAAGAAGAAAGTGTTGGTTTTGTGATGCTATGCCCTTCCAGAGACCGCTCATGTCCTCAAGATATACAAATATGTATATATATACATATATATATATTTATACGGCATGAACACCCATCTGGCATATATCCCCCTCTTGACAAGTCTCACCTCACCCTTGGGTCAGCCACTATATGTGTACATGAATTAAATAGACTTGGCAGGCCAGAAACCAAAAGTCAATCACCCTGGCTGGCAGAGCTTGGTATCCTCCAAACTGCGCGTCCGACCCAGATGGATAGGGGGCCCGTGAGAGCATCTCCTCAGTGTCTCCCGATAAACAAAAGGACGCCTGAGTGCCCTGTCTGCCGAAGGGGCGAAAGGGGGAAGTACACCGTACAGGTGCGGATAAATCAGCACCTTGCTTACCCCGTCGGCTCAACACCTCACGGTGACAGAGTGGCCTGCGCACTGTGCTCGTCGGATGAAGAAGGTAAGCCAGGTACAGCAGGAACAGTATTGTTCCCATCCTCCCAGGACCCGTCCATGACAAAGTGGTCCCAGAAACCTTCGCCTGCTGGCGTAACCTGTCCGGAACCGGCGCCGAATGGGAATCCTTTGCTGTCTTGGCTGAAGTTAAAGTCGAGCCCGGAAGTAGGTGCACTGGGCGTCGAACCTGTCGGATTTTGATGGTCTGTGATCCCATCGGCGGAGACAAGGTTGTTATTCTGCTCCAGTGCCGAAGGGGCCAACGTGACAGACATGCTTGGGTAATTCGAGGGGTGTACCGGCATGCCTTTGATCCCGCCATCGCCGTGATGCATACCGTCGTGCCATGGGTAGTAGGGAGTCGAGATATACTGGTCGCTGCCTTGCATAAGCATGGAATAACTGGGATCGGTGGTGTCGAAGCCTGGTGCATTCGCGAGCATCTGTTGAGACTCGGGAGGTAGAGAGGTCGTCAAAGGTCCCATGTCCTGCCACAGAGGAGGGCAGTCATTTGAACCGGAGAAGGACGGATATCCAGTGATCGAGGGTTGATGCATATAATCCGATTCGGACTTGACCTCGGACGGGTTAATCGTCGCCGGCGTAGACATGCGGCGCTGTCCGAGCATGTTGGGAGGCTGTTGTGCCGCGAGGGTCGGAGAGGTTGAGTCCTGATGAGACTGGGGTGTCCCCGAGGCCATAGACAGTGCTCGACCCTGGTTGGTCCGGAAGCCGGGGTGATGAGGATTTGGATATGGTGTAGTCCGGTATGTCGACTGGGCAGACTGGCCCATGTTTTGTGGTGGAAGCATCGGTGATGGAAACATGTTCTGATGCTGCTGCTGGTACTGTCCGGGAAAGGCTTGGGCGTAGGAATTCTGCACCATCTGCTCCATTGCACTGCGCATCGCCACCTGGTTAGTGAGGTAGGCGGCTAGTCTTCGATTGAAGTCGGCCGATCCGGTCTGTAGATGTGCTGTGAGTCGACGATACTGTGATGGCAAGTCATCATCCTCCTCTTCATACATCTCCTCGTTGATCACATCTTGCTCGGTGACACGCAGCGCCCGGCCGGTCCTGCGCTTGTGAATTTCGGAGGCTCGCCGTGCTGACTCAACTCGGGCCTCTAGACTTCGGTCGCTCCGCCTTGAAGCCGCGATATATGCTCTTGGGTGGCAGGTTAGATAGGAACAAGACTCGGTCTGATCGTGAGTTACTCACCTCTCTTGATTTTCTTCATGTGTCCGCTCCGTCTTTATCGCCTTGGCAGGCGGTGTGGTCCTTACCGGCGGCATCTTGGAGTCCACGGTGCCACTGGACACTGGTTGCTCACGCTTGCATGATGCTGGCATGGCCTCGATGAGGGACACACTGGTCCGTACCCGGGTGGCGAGATAGGTGTCTGGGTCAAATTGACGTAGCCGTGATCGGGCGTATAGGTGGCGTATGAAAAGGGCGTATCTCTCAGAGATGGTGTTGACAATGTGATAGCTTGAGCTGGAGATCGAATAGATCAGTGAAGTAGTGTAGTGGTGTGATATGGTATGGTATAGTATAGTATAGTATAGTATAGTGTGGTCTGGTATAGTTGTACACCTAGGTAGTATAGAAGGGAAAGATCACAGTGACGGAGGATATGTACAATGACAAGAGAACAGCAAAGTGGCGACAACAGGGAGGCAGCTTCTCCCGGGTAAAGAAGCAAGAGCTGTCGGAATGTCGAATGACAGCCAAGGCAGAAGATTTATGGGAAGACAGAAAAGAGTGAGAGTTTGCGAGCGGAGCTACTCGTACACGACAGTTAAACTGTACATGCTCCTCTCATGGCACATCCGCTGGGAAACTTGTGGTATGGAGAGGTGGATACGACAGAGGAGGAAGAGGAGGACCTGATGTTAGCGGCGATAGGGAAGAGCGTGCCGACATTATTGAGGCTTTGGAAAGAAGAGCCCGTGCATGGCTGATGCTGGCGACGATCACAGGCGGCTTGTGGTGGAAAGGGTGGTCAAGGCCAGGGCCACACCGATGGAAGTGAATGCGCATCCTTGAATTCTAGAGGAGGAGGACCTCGCACGGCTCTCTTTTGAAATGAACCAGAGCGGAAGATCAGTGCGAGCATTACTGATGTACGAGTACGAGAGGAAAAAAGGCAAAAAATCTAGCTTCGCAGATTTCCAAATGTTGACAAGGGTTGGCAGCGTTGGTGTCGATGCGAGCGACGTTTTCGCCGTATCCAACATGGTCCCGTGTATCGACAAGGTTTTGGGGCGGAGAGAGCGACGGGCTAAACCCGAGTAGGCAGGTCTCTACCAGGGCAAAGTTGGCTGGGGACGGTTCTTTACGAAGTACATTCTTACTCAGAGGATGGATACTCTATGGAGCACATGGTACACAGTCTATTGTACGTGGATTCTACTGTACGACGATAGAGAGAGCAACTGACTGTTGAATTTGAGCATGTAGAACACTACCTAGATACACTTCCTCGTAGACCACCTACTCGCATTGTACTGGTATGTATTCGAGTACTCTGTACCTACTGAGGAGGTAGATGGCCACTCTTTTCCGACGGCATCCTGATCCGAACAAAGCAAAACTCCCCTGATCGATTGCGGTATTCTAGTGGGGTACGAGTACAGGCGCAGCCTGAATCAGCATCTGCCACAAACCCACCATTTGCCTCTCCCGGGACCCCTCAGGCCCTCAAGGGTGCCGGAGAGCTCGATCTCTGGCCACTAACCAGGCCCATCTTCTCTTTTTCCGGAGTAGACCCAGATCCTAGCGTCCCTCCGACAATCATGGGTCAACGGCCACACATTATTCGACTGGGCCGTTGTGACTGGCGTGGTTGGCAGTACGGCAGGCAAGGGGACATGGTTGGCTCAAGATCAACAGGAAAAGGGACCAGGGTGCTCGTATAGCTAGCTGGTCTCGTCTCTGCTGGTGATCCAAGCGTCACATTCTCGAACCAAGTAAAACCTCTGCCACACGAGCGCCTGGGATGTTCTGCCGAGAGACAACAAGACCCTTTAGGCCACGCTGGGCATGCAGCAAGAGTCGAAGCTAGCTAGGCTTCTTTTTTCTTTCCTTCTCCAAACTATGCTCGGTTTCGGGTGATGCTCTGAGAAACCAATCTCTGACAAGGTCTAAATCGCTTTGACTTCTTCCATCACCTTTGCCGTACACGGACTGTGCAGGTGTAGAGACTCGGCCTGTTATTCGTGCATTCCAGTTCATGCTGATTGATGATTCGGCATGCCCATTATTGTTGAAAGACCGTCTGCTTTTGTGGGGCGACAGACTGCAATGGGCCCGGAAAGTCCCAGAGCGCCCAACGACCGCCCCTTCTGAGCCTACGCCAGAAGCGCTGGGTCGCAAGGCCATGTCACCAAACCTCGCGCCTGATATCCCCCTAACCCGTACTCTGTACAAGGTAGTGATTGGAATAATATGGGCTCGTATATTCTTTGTTACGGGGTACGGCGCGCGGATCTAGGCTGGCTGATCATTCGTGTCTCATACGAGCTCTACGAGGGACTGACGCGTGGACGGTCAGCATCCGCAGCATTAACTGAATGCAAGGCAAAATGAAACGGTGATACTATGACTTCTTTCTCCCCTTCCGAATGTCTAGTCACTGCAGGTTGGGAACGCCTTCTTTTTTCCAAGCTGAAATAGAGTTGCTGGAAAGGAATTATTTGGAATCAATCTGTCCCTCCTCGTGCGAGTTATTACTGTGGAATTGATGTGGGATGGTACCATCATCATAGTCGCAGATCACGGTGCGAGCGTGTGAGGTCGTCAGATCGCCGATTCACCTGCAGTCAATAGATCTCGGATGTCTGATCACTGGGTACCACCCCGTATCGCGCGTCCTATGACGCCCCCAGAGCATCTCTCATTCATCAATCATGTCTCTCCATCCCCATCCGATCCTAGCGCTACGTTCCTGGCATCTGCAAGATCGGATCTCACAACGGATCTATCACCCGCATGTTGATCCCCTGGTGTGTGCGAATCAGCTGCTGTCTGCCACCTCCCCCCTGCACCATCATCTCCTCGGATCTTGGTGTCATCCAACTGCTCGGGCTCCGACAGGTGAGGCCAGTGCGCCAGACTTGAGCGCTGAACTGTACGACCCTTCTGCATCTTAAGTTTACGGACCAAGGAAGAATATCACCATAATGGTGGCTTACAGCGAGCAACACGGGGCAGAGACGGTACGAATTACACAATAATGGCCACGATCCAACATTGAAATTCCGGCTGGCTCAAAAGCCAAACCGTCCGGCTATTGTTGACTGCCCAAAGCTTTGGGGGCCGCAGGGTAGGCGTGGTGTGTCTCGAAGGCTCCAATCTCCGCAGACGCCTCCCTCACGCGCATAATACTTCTGTCCCGGAGCACCTGTTCAACGCTAGCTGATGCCGAGTGATGGGACATTCCCCTGCTGTTCCTGGGCTTGTCCATTGACTTCATAGGACACCTTAAATCGCATTTTCACTACATTGCCCTTTCCAACTGCCACCCCATTGAGTAAAATCTCTTGCTGAATTGCGCTTCGTGCTTTGGGCGCCATCTCACGCCCGCTTTGGGGTTTCAATTGCAGCGTGTAGCTCTTTTCCACGGCGACCTGGAAGTGGACGCCAGTGATGCGCTGAGCCGTCGAGTTGGAAAACCTCGCCGTGATTTGGATGCCGCCGGATGGCCCAGCAAGTCTCCGTGGTTCAAATTCAATGTCAATGTCTGATGAGAGTACTTTCACAGTTGTGCTGACCGGTAAGGATGACTCGAAAGTCCATTCGTCATCGGCAACCCCTGCGACTGCAGTCGTACCTCCTGGCACTTGCTGCACCGTTGGCTGAGGCGAACTTGCATGCAGTCCTGGTGTCGTTGATCTCGAACTCGAAGAGACCAACGCTGCAAACGGGTCAATGGGGGCTTGACTAGGTGGCGGTTGTTGCTGCACTGCTGGCACGGGGGTTGCTGGCTTGGACGAAGGCCGGACGTTCGAGACGCTTACGTATGGTTGATAGTTAGCTCGTGGTGTTACCTGAGGGATGATTTGCTGGTTCATTGATGGACTCGGAGCGCTTGAGAAGATTGACCCAGTAGGTGCCCCAAATGTGGTGTGCTGACCGAGGGAGATGGCGCCCAAGGTCCCTGGCCCAGAACTGCTGTCCCCTATGGAAAGACCAAGTAAGTCGTCCTCGACCGTGTGAGATTTTGACGTTGCAGTGGTCGATGGCGGTGCCCCCGCATCCAGGAGGGAAAGCGAGGCGTTGGTATCTGCCTCAGGGGGCGCTGCAGCCGCTGCAGGTTCCGGGTCAAAATCAATCAGCGACAGCTCATTTGCCGCGTTCGTGCCAACCCCAGTCGTTGTGCCGAGCGTGCCTTTGGCAATCTTGTTGGCCGCGTCGACATCGCCAGCTTTCATCAACCTATATCGTTCAATGGTCCGGTGAATACTGTCGTTGATCTCGAGCAGTTTGGCCACAGCTTCGGCATCATCGGATTCCTCTTCACACATCTTCTGGATTTTCGGGTGCGCGCTTTGAAGGGCTGCCGCAAGTTCCTATCAATAGTCAGCCACAGGCCCAAGGACAATATAGTGCATCACGTACTTCAAACACATCTCCGTCGCCAATATTTTCACCTTGCTTATGATTTTGCAGCATCTCTTCAAGGATCTTGGCCTTCTGTTGTACTTTGGCGACTTCTTCAGCCGCTTTTGCCCGGTAATTCGTCTTGTTTCTCGTATCGTAGCCAGCCATCACCTTCATCAAGCGATTTGCTTCCTGCAGGTCTTGAGGCCTCCCTCTTCGTATCAATTCCTGTAGTTTTGCAGATTGAGCTGCCCGGTCCTCTTCTTCCATTTCCTCGGCAGACTGGAGGTTCTACAATCTGTCAGCACATGTTGACCGTGTCAGTACTTCTTGCGCCTACATCACTTGGGTTCAGCACCGCAGCATCCTCCCTGCGGACCTCAGGGAACATGTAGCCCTTGTATAACAACAGTCTGTGCATATCTCTTATGAATCCTAGATCCTCCTTGTACCTCGACGTCTGACATATTGTCTGCCGCCATTCTTCGATGGCTTCTAAAATCTTACTTTGAACACGGCTCGGACGCACCGGAGGTCGTTCAGGGAAACGCCGGACAAGTTCATTGAGGAATTCTTTGGTACTGATCTGTAAATGAAAGGGATATCCGCAGTTCTTGACACATATGTCCAATAACGAGAGCGCTAATAGCGAGACATTGGGATTGCGGTGGTTGATAAGTTGCACGATTGTGACTGCAGCCTCTCGAGGTGCGTTGCCTTTCTTAGAGTTGACCAGGTCGACAATTTCTAGGTTCAAGGCCAGATTCGGTTCGAGGTTTGCAACTGGATCACAGGCATTGTATATGAAGCGCTGCAGCGTTGATCGGGGAGGTGAGAAGCCGTCGAATTGATACTGACCCCGAGAAGCCATTCGTGCTGAAGCGGCTTCCATTATTCGGGCGCAACCCTTCGATTTGAGAACTTGTTGTCACAATATGAGAGACTGCACATGTTCTGTTTACTTGGATCTTCAAAGACAAGTCACCGCCGAAGGCTGGTGGCAGGAGGCTCCGACTTGCCTTGGCGGGGCAAATGGCCATCGTAACTTCTCTGGTCACGTGCGACTCACCCAACAGTGCTAAAATTATTTGTTGGAGACCTTGTCATATTTACAAGGGGATCCCAGGAGGACGTCAGACTATGTTCCAGAGGGTATGCCGAATCATACCGAATATCTTGTAACAATATAATCGCCTATCGAAGGGCGTTCGAGATGTGTCAGGACGATATGTTAGCACGTGAAATGACAAAGTGTCGCTTATATCACTCACCCTGTCTTACTTCATACTTCATCCTTCATTGTGACTGTGACTAACTACTAGATGTCGTTGAAGGTGAGGAGGAAAAGGTGCAAACAAACGAATGGTGCACAGGCGTATAAGACTATGTACATGTGCCCCGACGTATGGTAATCAGCCTTCACTCAGCTAACAGGTGCACTTATTACGACTCATGCCGGCAAAATGGCATGATATGCGGAGTACAGCTTCAAGATTTCACATTTCACAAAGACGCCAGGGTAAATCTCTCAATTATCAAAGAGGGGAGGGAGTCTCGACTAGACACAGACCATGTTAGCCATCGTCGGCCGACTTGGGTTAAGAGTATCAATTCGAGTGGTCTACAAGGACTCGTCCAGAAGTTCGAGCTGATGAAAAGAGCTTAGGAATTCATTGCGATCTCTTGGTCTATCAGGATATTGGCACCACTCAATCTTGCGTGTTCGAGTGATGGTGAATCGGGAGTACATACTGCTATGCGTTCCGACGACAAGGTTGCAGCTTCAAGCAGGATCGACGACGGCAATTCAAGTACTATAGCGCTTGTGTCTTATCACCCGCTTCAGTGACCAGTTGATAGTCGTATTCGTCAACAACAGCGGCTTTACTGAGCAACTCCTTGGATCTTGGATCAGCCCGCGCCTCTGCCAACCCGGCCCAGGGAATATTCGCGGTTTCAAACTCGTGAAGGGCCAAGCGCCGAGAAGCACCTTCCGTCAACGACGAAACGAGATTGTAGCTGGTGGCGCGTCGAAAGCCTGGTGCTTTGTCCAGCTTCTCGACGTATTCCTGGCGATATCACTCGTCGAATCGGTCATCCAAGCCTTCGGGTGGCTTAACCGACAATGCCACAACAAATTTTGTCCTTCCTGAGATGACTTAGTGTCTGAGGCAATTGAGAATGGAGAGTGTGCGTGCCTGGCTTTTCTCCAGGAGCGTTGTGGATGTATTTGCGCTCGCAGATCCTGAGATCAATCTTAGCGAGATCAGGATACATATGCCCCTTGATTTCTGGGTGACCGCCGGGTTGCATCCGGTTGAATTCGTCGCTTTTGGTGAAGTTTATGTCATCTGTTGGGTATACCACAAGCCAAGGCAGAGGAGCGGCGTCTGGGCCTACGGCCTCGAATCGTAGAGCTGTTGGGATGCCACTCGTCGCAACGACATCGGGTATATGAATGTTATCGTACCAAGCGAGCAACACATCATCTGAGACCAGATCCTGTCGCTCGTTCTTGGTGAAAGCAGCAATAATCCCTCGGACAGCCAATTCTTACCAACGTCAGATACAATTGGGAGATTGTGTCGTTCGACCCTGGGCTCCGCCTGGCTCGATGGATAGCTATTTAAGAACCATTACCCTGGAATAAACCTAAACACTCGGACCTTCGACATTCCCGCGCTCTCGAATCTCACCTCCGTTCTTTGTCTCGGCCAAGTCGGTGGGCGGCAAAGAGATGTAGTACTGGGGTTCGGGGAGAGCATCGCCGGCCGATGTTTCCCTCAGGATTTAGCCGGTACGGAATAGGACTATGGAAAGCCGTCCCGGGAAAGCGACGTGAGTCCTGCATTTGGTCCTTCTAATCGCATAGTACGACTCTGAACTTATCCGCTGCATCTCTTGCGTAGTTCAGTCACTCAGTTTCACCGCAATGTCGCTGTCTGGAAAGGTAATTGCACTGACGGGAGGTGCATCTGGCATCGGCCTAGCTGCTTCACGGTTGCTTGCGTCGAAAGGGGCAAACCTTTCAATCGCCGATGTCCAGGAGAAGGCTCTCAAACGATCTGGCCGCAGGGCTGGAAATGTCAGGTGTGGAATTTCTCTCCACGGTCCTGGACGTCCGAGATTGGGAAGCAGTGGAATCTTGGGCAAAGGCGACATCGCAGAAGTTTGGGAAAGTCGATAGGTTAGTCACTCTAGCCGGTGTGGCTAGACAAGGGATACTCAAGCACAATATTGAAGAGATTGAGGATAGTGACTGGGAATGGGTGCTCGATGTCAACGTCAAGGGGACTTTAAACACGTTGAGAGCTACGATACCAAACATCAACAGCGGAGGGTCTCTGGTCCTTATCGCCAGTCTTGCCGACCTCCTTGGACATGCACAAAACGCAGCTTACATCTCCTCAAAACATGCAGTCGTTGGGCTGGCAAGATCTGCTACCTCCAAACTTGGACCTCGAAACATCCGAGTCAACTGCGTCTGCCCGTAAGTTGTGGCCCCTTGCGAGTCCTGATCTACTGACGAGTCCATCAGAGGTCTAACTGCGACACCCCTTGTGGGATGCCACTCAGGGACCAGGTTCCCAGATGTTCGTCAAACTAAACCCCCTGCGAAGAGTTGGACAGCCAGAAGAGGTGGCCAACTTGATTGAGTTTCTTTTGTCTGATAACTCTTCCTTTATAACGGGGACCACACAAGTTGTGGATGGAGGCTTCCGGAATCTATAGAGACCTGCAACTAAAACAAAGAGCGTCGTAGATTCGCTGGCAGATATTGTATGTCCATGGGCTCGCCTGTCCTGTGGAGGCCTACTCTTCAGCTGAAGCTGGCCCACCATGGGACGAGGGTCCGGGGATTCCAGAAGGTGACCCGGCGCTAGGGTGGGGCGGCAGCATCTTGTGTCTGTTCGCCGGTGACAATGATCATCGCCGTATTTATTGTTGACGGCGTGCATGGCGTGATCACTAGATAGATTCGGAGCGTGGTTTCACTCAAATCTAGTATCCGAGTCTCCCACCAAAGGAGAACACTTCTTGACCGCTAAGTGTAACCACCCAGATAAGCGGTCCCACGAGTTTCGGTGACCATGATATGGAAACCATCTTCACTGGCGATGCACGTCCAGTTGGCTATGATGTTGTGCCGGATGTTCAGCGCCCTAGAAAGCGAGCTCGTCGGGGCCATGTCTCTGAGGGCTGTCGCAAGCGGAAAGTCAAAGTGCGACATTGCTGAATGCAACCCGTGCACACCGTGCTCCATAGCCAAGTGAGAATGCACGTCGGGCAAAGACCAGGAGTATTCAATCCCAGTCCACGCTCATGCTGAGTTTGCTAAGTTGGATAGGAATCAAAGCTTGAGGACGCTCCATAGCCGCAGCTTTGCAGATGGCCTTTACCCGGGAAGTGCAATCAAATTACCTGATCTTGACATCGTAGGCAGTCGGGAACTCGACAAGACCTGTGAGCACCATCAGGGCGCTCAGCAAGAAAGTGATTTTGACAAATAAGGATCAGCAAAACACCGCAGGGAGTGGTGCAATTGATATTTTATTCTCGACCGACGACGCGATCTGGTCGAGAAATCTGCACCAAAAAGCACGAGAGCAACGACTGCAGCCTCCCCCAGCGTTATGGAGATGCCTTCACCTGCGGTGTAGTGACTACGGACTACAACGTCTTCCGAGAATCCAATGACGCCGGACGGGAATGGCGCTCAACGTCGGCAGGTGTTTGGATCGGACAGACATACACGACTATCGATGATGACCGCAGTAGTTCCACGAGATATCTAGCTCACGGCCAGGGCGGGAAGTTTCTCTCTCTTGTCGACGACGCAACAACTCCTCAGTCCAACGAGGCCCTCCAGTGCGAGTTCCTCGCCGCGGTGTCGGTCGTGGTCGAAGGTAACAGAGTCCCGAGTGACATGTTCATCAAGGCGATTGGAAGGACCCTGGAACAGGTGCAAGGTAAAATGCCGCCCAGTTGGTACTCCTTCGGGGCCAAGGACGTGACCGACAGGATCAAGAAGGCAGGGCGTGACTTACAGTGGCGGCGATTCCTCTGATGGATCCGAACTCGGAGAGAGAGGGACGGCAACAAATGGGATGTGAATGGCACTGGTCAACACGTAGATATAAACCCTGTGAGAATGCCTTGATGCTCCCCCATCGAGGCAAAAGGCAAGCGCTGTCGAATCAAGGTTACTAATAAATAGATTCACCTCGGATTCCGCTCGGAATTACACATTTTGAGGACATGCCCTTTGAGACGTCTGACATGGGATCGAGGCTCGGGCTTTTTGAAACGAAAATCACAGGTCGTTCAGCGTTGATCATATACCAGTCAACATCCCTCAAGACCTACTGCAGAAACAGCTCGACAGGAGCGTTCGCAACAATTATCACTTGTAGCGTGTCTGGCGGACGAGGACCGCGCCGGCCCTCGTGGATACCTAGAACTACTTCGTCCGAGCGCTCAATTGAGGTCATATTGGAGAGCACGGTCGTCTCATATACTGGAGATATCTAACTACGAGTAGGTCCCCTGCAAGAATTTACAATTCGGTTCGAAGTCGCAGATACACCCGAAGAAATGCTACAGCCCACGTTTTTTGTCTCCCAATGTATCCCAGAAGTATGCTTCTCGCTCAATCTAAAACAACTTCAAAAGATGCCTTCCCAGCCCATCACCTAGCTCGGCGTGGACTGGCTATCTCCGCACTTTTCAGTGCGGGAGGCGCTGGGAGATCCTTCATGGGAGGTGGCGGCAACGGACCGCTTGGTGGAGGCGGCCGTACAGATAGTGGTGGGCTTGTAAGCGGGTTTCTATTCCCTACCAAGGAGTTGCTGCTGCTAGTCCTTGGTGGGAACAAAGGGCGCTGCGACGGCTCTATTGCAGAAGCCGGCTCCGGGATGTTGTCACGTTCACTGAAACCAAGTCGGTTCGCCCGATTGGAGACACCATTCGGCGGGTCGCGCGTCTCCAACGATAAATGTTGCAGTGAAAGAGGAGGAGGGGGGGATCTTTCGGCGATTCCTGTTGGAGTCTGTTGTGCTGGTTGGGAGGCAAACTGAGGTGCGGCTACCGTTATGTTGCCTGTCGTGGGACTTGCATAACGTCTTGCCGTGACTGGTGTGCCTCGGGCATCACTTGCGAATGACGCCGTCGAAGCGGCTGAGTTGGTGTATGAGGTATCTGAACTGGTGCCGTCACTTTTGAGGGATTTAGGTGCTGGTGGTGCCAAGTAAGATTTTCGGTTGTGTCTTTCCATCATGGAAACCGCCCATTCCGCCAGGTCGACTGGGGTTCGCTTTGCCGCTTGTACAAAGTTGTCTCGATCGTAGAGCTCTCTAGGCGTTGGCCTTTCGTCGGCATTCTTGAGAAGACATTTGGCAACGAAATCTTCCAGAATGGCAGGGAAAGCCTCGCTCTTCGGCAGTTTCGGTGCAGGCTCATGCACAATAGTCTGCAAAAGATCGAGTATACCCATTGGCCCAGCACTAGCTCTGTCGCCTGCAGCAGAGTCCGTAGAGTCAAAGGGAAACCGTCCAATAGCTAGCTCCATCACTGTCAACCCCACGCTCCATACATCAGACTTGATCGTGTATGCGCCTCCCTGGATTCGTTCAGGTGCCATGTATGTGGAAGTGCCGACAAATGTGTTTGCGACGGAGTTGACTGTCTCGGTGGCAACACCAAAATCGCAGAGCTTGATCATGCCGCGGGAATTAACCAAGACATTGGAGGGTTTGATGTCACGATGCATTATACGGTGTGCTTCGTAGAGATACACGAGACCCCCGAGTATTGATTCCGTGATCTTCCCAAGGACATCGACACGAATAGGTCCAAAATCTTTGGATATACGATCTAATGACCTAACAAAATGTCAGTAAGAGTCAGTGAAGGTGTGCCCAGTGAAACTTACCCGCAATCCATATATTCCATGCAAAGCACTATATCTCGTGCCTCATTCTGGAAAGCGCCATAGAATGTGATGACATATGGAGAACTGCAATCGTGACCAACCTGCAATTCTCTGACGATCTGCTTGCGGACGTTCTCCTTCGCATCAACTCGAATGATCTATATTTTGCTTAGCACACGTCAATGTCGCAGTCCTGGCCTGTTTACCTTTCTTGCCATAATAACCTTGGTAGAAGCATGCATGACTTTACTGACGGTTCCTCCATTGCCTGCCCCTAGCTCTTTGAGGACCACCAAATCTTCGCTTCTCAGATCAAGTTTAAACTCAAGACCAATCTCCAAAGTGTCCGTCCGGTCACTCTCTGAATTTCCGAGAGCGCCCGGTATTTGCGAGTCTCCATCTGAAGGGTTTGAAGTTCTCGGTGGTGGAGCGCTCAAAGCCAACCCTTTTACATTCTTCCTCTTCAACGTCCTGGCCTTGAACTGGTCGGACATGACGAATATGGTCTCTCGAGGACGTGGGATGGTAGGATAAGCCCGAGTTCGCAGCGACGTCGACAAGTAGAGGATAGAGGCGTAAAGCGATTACGGGAGACAGGATATGTGTGAGTGAGACTGTACAGACGTAGGATAGTGAACCGGGCGGCTAATTCAAACCCAAAATGCAAGGACAACCTGGTCCATGAGGCGCTTAAGAAGACAACGATCGGCCAGTCACAGTAAGTTTCCTCCGAATCCTGAGGGCCAATTGAGAGGAACTAAGAGACCAGTATGCATGAACACTTCAATACGAAGTGCATCTGCCAGGAAGAAAACGGCTTGAAAGTACGGAGTATAAAGGTGAAATCGAAGTGAGTCTCGAGGTTGGCAGATCGAAAATGGTGAAACTGAAGATAGGGGGCTATGCAAACGGCCCAGTGAGGATCTGGAACGATAATCGCGTACGTGGAATGTCTGAAAGAAGACTCAGGCGAAAACCGATCAGTAGTTCATTGCATGGAAGGATAGTTGTCCATAACAGTTCGCCAATGGAGTGGTTAGTGGAAGATCAAGCGAAGGCGCCTATTTCCCTGAGGCTTGTCCTGTCCACGAGCACGAGTACAATCGACTCAACAATGGTTTCCTATGGCGCAGTCTACTGTCGACACAGTGCACAAGTGACGAGACATCTGCAGCTTAATGTGATATACCTGGCCGTAGTATTGTAGACTCTACGGCAGACTGCAGACGCATTCTTGGGACAGCTCTGTGATGGGAAACTTAGGCGAGTGCGCCTGCGCCTTGACTTTTGTTCTAGACAACAGCATGCCCGCTCGTTTTTTGACCTTCTCCTTGTCTAGGTGAAAGTGACTGAGGCGCTCTCCGCTGTTGCCTAACTGCGCTTTCTCTCCTTTGACCTATCTAGATTCATCAGCTTGTCGCGATCCTCTTGTGATCAACATGGATTTAATTGACGATCGCGCCATCCTTGACGACGAGGAAGATGATGAGTCGTTTGATGAGGACACTGGTGAAGTGAGGCAAAAGTCGAATGGAACAAACGGTCGATTCGACGATTCGTCCGATGAGGAAGAAGACGACGATGACGAAGAGGCTGCAGCTGAGGTAGGGCACAATCATCGTGTCCATGTATTTGTGTTGACATTCTTCATTAGGTTGCAAAGGGGTTCATTGTGGATGAGGACGAAGAGGAAGAGGAGGCTCGACGGGAGCGGAGACGCGAACGCAAGAAACGTCGTCGAGAAGAACGCGAAGATGAAGGCCTCGACGAGGAAGACTTGGAGTTGATCGGCTTGAAACCTGCTGAAGAAGTACCCGAGCCTAAGTTCAAGCGATTGAAACGAGGTCCTCGTGAGGACCGAGATGGACAACAACCCTCCGGGGTCAATGACATATTCGGACACTCAGATGAGGAAGATGAGCCCGCCGAGTACAATCGTCGGAGTCGCCCAGACCGTCGTGGACTGCAGGATGAATTTGATGATTTCATTGAAGAAGACGTCTTCTCGGACGATGAGCAACAGCGTCAGCGTGAGGACGAGGAAGTCGCACGACCCAATCGGAGGGGCCTTCCAGATCTCGGAATCGCGGATGTCGCTGGCCTCGATGAGGCTGCGCTGGAAGACTTCCGTGCCGCCTTCGGCGACGGAACCGACTATGACTTTGCGCTTGAAAAGGAGGACGAAGCCGACGAAGAGGAGGCATCCAAAGATAAGCATCTCGACCTCAAGGATGTCTTCGAGCCTTCACAACTCGCCGAAAAGTTGTTGACAGACGAAGACAACGCGATCAGATACGCGGACGAACCAGAGAGACATCAGCTTGCGAGGAAGCCGTATCGTCATGTCGAACTGACAGAGGACGAATTCAAAGAGGAAGCTGCCTGGATATCCAGATTAATGCTTCCAACCAAGAACTTCTCGTCAGATCTTCACGAACCCTTTCGACGTGCAATTGCACATGTCTTGGAGTTTCTAGTGCGAGATGACTACGAGGTCCCCTTCATATTTCAAAATCGCAAAGACTACCTGCTCCACGTCGTCCAGAAGGTTGTAGGTCGAGATGAAGACGGCAATCCACGAACCGTTGCCGATGCTACCAGACTCCTTGTTCAGCGTGACTTATGGCAGATTTTTGAGCATGATCTCAAATACCGTGCTTTAATTGAGAAGCGACAAGCTTTACAGAAGACATACCAGGATTTGAAATCGGCCAATGTTTCCGACGACAAAACATTTCAGCAAATGCTCCCACTGGCCGCCACGATGGAGGAACTCCAAGACCTTCAGGACTACCTCTACTTTGAATACGCTTCTCAGCTCAAAGACTTGGCTTTGACTTCAAATGGAGAGTCCAATGGAGTTAATATGTCTCAGAAGAAAGCCTCCACGAAGACCATCTACGAGGAAATTCGCACCTCCAAAGCCTTTGGTCTCGTCCGTGCATTTGGCATAACTGCTGACGCATTCGCCCAAAACGTTTCCAGGGAAGGTGTTCGGACCTATACAGAAGACCCTGCTGACGGCCCAGAACATCTGGCAGATACGCTCACCGACGAAGAATTTCCCACTTCTTCTCGAGTACTGAAAGCTGCAAAGTCCATGTTCATTGAAGAGTTCGTCATGAGCCCACGATTTCGAGGATTTCTTAGGAAAAGTGTCTATGCCGAAGGAGTTATTGACTGCCACCGAACTGACAAAGGTCTTCGAAAGATCGACGAACAGCATCCATACTACGAATTCAAGTACCTCAGAAACCAGGAGTTTGCGGCATTCTGGTCTCGGCCTGATTTGTTTCTGAAGATGTTGAAAGCAGAAGAAGAAGGCCTGGTGAGTGTGGACGTTCGTTTCAAAAATGCCGAGGCATTTAAAAAGCAATTGTTCAAACATATCGAGACCGACAACTACTCTACAGCTGCGGACGCCTGGAATGCTGAGCGTCGCGAAGTTGTGTCCATTGCAGTAGATAAGGTGATGAAGCTTATGGGTCGCCTTGTCAAAGAGAATCTCAAGGAACAGTGCGAGAATGTTATCGGAACAGAGTGCCGTGAGGAATTCACTACACGCCTGGACCAATCCCCATACCAGCCGCGTGGCATGAAAAAGGGTACCACACCTCGAGTACTCACACTCTCTGCTGGAGGTGGTGTACCTGGGCGTGACCCAATTTTCTGGGCATACGTATCAGACGACGGCAGGGTTCTTGAGCATGGACGCTTCAAAGAGCTTGGCCCCGGCGACCGAGAACGCAGCATCCCTGATGGTAAAGATGTGGAAGCACTCATCGATGTGATCCGCCGCAGAGAGCCTGAGGTCATTGGAGTTTCAGGCTGGACCCCCGACACCCGAAAACTCTACGAAAACATTACAAGTTTGGTCAAGAATCATGATCTGCGGGGTCCAACATTTGCGGACGATGATGATCGAGACCGGACCGAGCTATTGGAGGTTATCCTAGTCAATGATGAGGTTGCGCGAATGTATCAGGCGAGTGATCGAGGCAAGTCAGACCATCCAGGACTTCCCCCTCTGGCATTGTACTGTGTGGCTCTTGCCAAGTACATGCAAGACCCGCTCAAAGAATATGCTGCACTCGGTCAAGACCTTGTCTCGCTTAGTTTCCACCCTGCTCAGAACCTTTTGCCCCAGGAGAAGCTTTTGAGCAAGCTAGATATGGCTCTGGTCGATATCGTTAACATGGTCGGAGTGGACATCAACGAAGCTGCCAGTGACTCATCGGTGGCCAATCTGCTGCCTTACGTTGCTGGCCTTGGGCCGAGGAAAGCTTCACATGTGCTTAAGGTCATACACTTGAACGGCGGGTATGTCAGCACTCGTGAAGACCTTTTGGGAGTAAACGATAATCACCCTGCCATGGGGTTCAAGGTCTGGAGCAATGCCGCATCAACGCTTCACATACACTTTGATACGCAGGAGCCCCAGGCTGAGTACTTGGATGCCACTCGTGTCCACCCCGAAGATTATGATATTGCTCGAAAGATGGCCGCCGACGCGCTTGAGCTTGATGAAGAAGATATTGAAGCGGAGCGGAGTGAGGGCGGGCCCGGCGCCATTGTTCGACGATTGATCCGGGAGGAGGCCCAAGAGCGTGTCAACGACCTTGTTCTCGAAGAGTACGCGGAGCAATTGGAGAAAAATCTCAATTCGAAGAAACGTACGACGCTTGAAAACATTCGAGCAGAACTAAACGAGCCATACGAGGAACTACGAAATCCATTCCGCAGCACCTTGGGCGAATCAGAGGTGTTCACAATGCTGACTGGCGAGACGAAAGAATCTCTGCAGAAAGGTATGAATGTGCCTATCTCGCTGAAGCGTATCAGTGATCTCCACGTTGAGGGGAAATTGGACAGCGGCTTAGACGCTGTCGTCGAGGATGGTCAGTGGTCCGATAGCGGAGTCTCACCCAAACAATTGTACACCATCCACCAGACCGTGCAGGCACATATAACATCGATTAATCGCAAAGATTTCGTGGTGACCGTCAGTCTGAGAGAAGATCAACTAAAGAGACCATTCAAGAGGTACACTCAGAGCGACAGGGGCTACAACGAGTGGGACGACCGGGAAGAAGCAGCAGACAGGAAACTACTTGAAGAGAAGGCAGACTCAGGGAGCCGTGTGACTCGTGTGATCAAGCATCCTTTGTTTAGACCATTCAACGCTAAACAAGCAGAAGAGTACTTGGGCAGTCAGAATCGTGGCGATGTTGTCATCCGCCCCTCTTCCAAAGGAAACGATCACCTAGCTGTGACATGGAAAGTGGCTGATGGTATCTTCCAGCACATTGATGTCTTGGAACTTGACAAAGAGAATGAATTCTCACTGGGAAGGACCCTGAGAATCGGAGGTCGGTACAATTACTCAGACTTGGACGAACTGATCGTGTCGCACGTCAAAGCCATGGCTCGGAAAGTGGACGAGATGTGTGGCAATGAGAAGTTCCAGAACAAGTCCAAGGCTCAACTCGGTATGTATTTTCGTGTCCGCGCAATTACAAAGATGATGGCTGACTGTCCAACAGAGGAATGGCTTACTACCTATACCAATGCCAACCCCAAACGATCCATGTACCAGTTTTGCATAAACAGAGAACGGCCAGGACAGTTTCACCTGGTGTTCAAGGCAGGACAGAAGGCGAAGCTTATGGATTGGAGTGTCCGAGTCATTCCGCAAGGCTTTGAACTCATGAAGACACCATACCCTACGATGAGAGATTTGTGCAACGGCTTCAAGTTGATCTTCCAGAACATGCAGAATTCGGCCAGTCTAATGCCGAGGAGATGAGACTTTGCTTCAGGAGCAGAGAATGGTCACTGCGACAGATGTATGATACCAAATTTTGAGGCTTGGACGGCGGAGAACAAAAGAAATGCTATATTTACTTTTGCCACGTTTCTGGGGCCCTTCTTGATCCATATATCGTAACGATATACTCCGTACAGTAGACTATGCTTCCCAGGCGACGACACGAAGCTGGTGGTCGCCACTCGAATGCTTTGTTCCATACTCGTAGGAAGCGGATTAATTCTCTTCCGAATCCCGACGCAATCCAGGCCGCGAGGCTTAAATCCGACATGTCCAAGACTCAACGGAGTTGAAGCGGACTTCACGGACGAACAGATACGGCCTTTATGAGAAAACATGGACCGGTGACCAGTCGTACAAAAATGCCTGTATTCGATGAAGAAGACAGAATGCCATCTCGCATCGATCCCATGATTGCTTGCTCATCACCACAAGTTTACCCGGTATGACGCTGAATGAAAGTCGTGACGCTTCGTCAAATCGAGTTCGCCGCGCTCGGAAGCCTGTTTCTTGCCATCCATGCAGGCGCCGAAAGTGGGCTTTCACATTTGAATTCCGAGACGTTCGAGACTAAGAGACTTATACTAGGCTGAAATGTGACCGGAATCTCCCTGCTTGTGGGAATTGTGTGCGTCGAGGCGAGCTCGTCGCTTGCACCTATGCCAGCAGGAAGCCCAATTTTCAGAACACCGGTGGTCAGCGATCGAGTGCAAATGATCCTGATCAGCTCCAGAGGAAGATTGATAAGCTAGAACAGCTTATCGTCAAGCTCGTCGATAACGCTCGCGATGATAACACCGACTTTGGTGCAGCCCTTGCCCGGAGAGGTCAAATTAGCGGATCAACGCTTCGGCACATAGCCCCCCGCGTTGACACTGAAGGTGTCGACCTGGCGATACCTGCTGGACGAGAGAGTGTTGTCGAACCAGAGGCCTTGTCATTGAAAACTTTGAGGATCGATGCCCATCATCCAAAGTCGCTGTCAATCGATGAAGCTCATTGGGCCCGTCTGTTAAACGAGGTATGTACAAATGGCCAGCATACTGCCGGATCTTGCGTCTGACCATTCTGCAGATTGGCGAAGTCCGCGGTCACGTCCAAGTGCAGCAAAAGAAATATGACGAGCAGATGCAGAGAATATCAACACTCATGGGACGTACGCCTGAGGATCCTGGACCGGCCCTCCTTTTTGGTTCGTCGAGGACGGCAAGCAGATCTGAGATAGTCTCGCAATTGCCCTCGAGGTACTTCTGCGATCTCATGGTCGACCGCTATTTCTCCACCCTTGATCCGGCGCTCTGTATGTCCATAGGTTGCAGTGGCCATCGGCAAAGGCTAAATAGTTTTAGACATTCTCCATCAGCCAACGTTCAGCGAGCAGGTAAGTTGGACCTGTGCCAATGGGTCCTCGTGGGCAGTCTGTTGACACACAACCAGTACGAAGCATACTGGGCAGACCCGAGTCAAACGTCCATCGTCTGGATCGCGCTCCTGTTCGGTGTACTCAGGGTGGCGATGAATGATTGGATCCGTGAAGGCGACGAGCCCATCGAGTACTCGGGAAAATGCCACGATATGGGGATCACCTTCCGGGCCCGTCTCACCGACTGCTTGCTTCTGGCAGACTATACGCGTCCTCATGAGCATCTGATAGAGGTCCTGATCCTTCATCTATATTGCGAATACATCGTTTGCCGCGATGCCAAGTCGACGACGTGGGTACTGGTAGGTATGATAGTCCGGTTGGCTATGAGGATGGGCTACCATCAGGACACTCAACCGTCGTTGCCCATGACGCCTTTCCATGTACGTCGGTGCAATCTTAAATTCTTAGTGCGGTGGTTCGATGGTTCAAGATCTGATCAGACTACAGACAGAAATGAGACGCCGTTCGTGGGCTTTTGTCCGACAAGCCGACATCCTCTTCTCCTTCCAATCCGGCCTTCCCTCCATGGTCAAGACCAAAAACTTTGAGAAAACCCTTCCGATGAACATCTACGACGACCACAGATTCCACAAAGGGTGTGCAACAGTCCCACCCCCAGTCGAGAGCACGGAACCTACCCCGGTGTCGTATCTCCTCTCAAAGACGCGCCTGGCGTTTGGTTTTGCACAGGCGCTCAAGGAGATGAACAAGGACGGGCATCATCCGTCGTACGACCGTGTCTTTGAAATCGACCAAACACTACGAAGCATCTACGACAAAGTACCCGACTTCTACAAGGTCCGCAACGTTGCCGAACAGACCGCCGACCCCTTGCCATTGGTCTTTTCGCGCTACGTCCTCGCAAACATACACTACAAGTCTCTCTGCGTACTGCACAGCAGGTACCTCGACGCGGCCAGATCAAACAACAAGTACGCCTACTCGAGACGGGTGTGCTTGGAATCCGCCGTGACGATGCTCAGGTTCCACGCCATACACAACGAGGAGATTTTGGTCGGGGGCAGGATGAGGTCACTGACAGACTACCAGACCTCGTTGACGATACACGACTTCCTCCTCGCCGCCACCGTCATCAGTGCGGAATTGTGCATGACCCTACGCCGCGGCGAGGGGGACCACTTGGACGGGCCGACCACGGCGGAAATGTTGAACGCGCTCGACACCAGCGCAAACATCTTCAGCCAGACTCGCGACAAGAGCATAGAAGCCTACAAGGCCGGTGATGTTTTGGGGATGATTTTGAAAAAGTTTCAGTATCCTCTGCATTTGCAAGTTTCACCCGAGGGTACGATTCCTGATAGAACAACAACAGCAGCAGCAGCAGCAGTAGCAACGACGTCGAAAGAGAGAAACACTACAGTGGTGGTGGACATCAACGAGGCCCTGGAGGGTGACTCTGACGGAGACGAGGAACAAGCTGATGAAGATGGCTCTTCCGGAAAGAGAAGAAGAACAAGTTTCCTCCCTCGACGTCTCGATGGTCGCTGGCGAATCGACAGGGCCCTGTGTGGTGCGAAACCTACGTTTGACGAGTGGCCGTCATTGATGGGTGGTGAAGATGATACAATACACCAAGGGGTAAGTTGAGATTCTGGAGATTCTCCTTGGATTTGAACCTCTTGGTCGGGTTTGCCTCTGGGCCTTTCTACAAAACATGCCCGTGCATCGTTTACTCTTTACGGGCCAAAATTGCTGACAACGGAAATTTCGTGTTCGTTCTCCAGGCATCCTCTTCAACATGGCAGAAAAATGCCCCCGCGATTACTACGAGTGGTCCGTCTGCCTCTGCTCTTCCTCCTTCTTCTGCTTCCCCCACCGATACAAAGACGGACAACAACAACGGTTTGCCGGACTTTTACCCTTGGATGCTCGACCTCGGCGACCCCGTCTCGACATTGTGGAGTCTGAATGCCAACAATGGGAACTTTTAGGAACGAATAGAGATGGGGATGTGTGTCTGTGGTGTGTACACGAATCGGGAGTATGTGGTTTATGGTATTCTTTGTTATGAACGAGTACAGTATGAAGTACCATGGGAAGGATAAGAAATCGTATACGTTCGTGGTATTATTAAACATGCAACCGTGGGCTAATAAGTGCCACCCTTCCATTTCTAGCAACTAAAATAAAGTCCTGATACTCCTGTACTCCTTTAACCAATGTTGTATTGTAATACTATCTTTGAGTTGAGAAGTAAACCCCCCTCCTTAGTTTGGTTGCATTACCTTTCCTTCCCTTCCATTTCCCTTCCCTTCCTTTCACTTTCTCTCGAGGCCAATCTCCGTTGCGACATTGAATGACTTTCAACATCCAAAAGCAAAGAAAAGTGACCGCAGCAGCCTTTCCCAAACACCCTGCCCCTCCATAAAAACCAGTTGACGTACAAAAGAAAACCCCCATTAAGAAAAAAGGTCCAATTCCCTTCCCGTGACTCCGCGTCACGGCGTATACTACGTGAATGATGTTTGTTGTTGGTTGTTTTGTTTCCTGATTTGAAATGTTGCAAATAAGTCGTTAATGCCATAACCATAAAATAAATTCTCGGTTGCCCGGGTTCGCCATTGTATTCCATAACGATCGTCAACCCCTAGTTGCCACACAAATGTATCTTGTTCTCAGTATGTACTGCTTCACGGCATCATGGCCTCGGCCTCTTCGTCCGTGATGAATATTTCAGCCACGGGGCAATGTTCCTCGTCGCCGAAATCGCCGTCGTACTGCTTCTTGCGCCCTCGGTCTCCGTAGCGTCCCAACATGTAACTGGGCAGGAACAACTCATCGTTCCACGTGAAGCCTTGACTGTGTTTGGTGTAGGTTATCAACCTCGGAGGTTCGTCAGGGTCGTCGTGCAGGGCGTTGAGGTTGATGGACTTGTAGAGACCCGATGCGAGCATCGAAGGGCCGAGTGGTGACGACGAGGAAGGACCCACGACCGATGACGGTGACATGGTGGATCCTCCTCCTGCTGCCTTTTGCTTGTCCTTGCGTTGTGACGTGTCGATGATGTTGTCGTCGTCGTCGTCGGTGGGCGTGGAGACGACGAGCAATTGATTTTGTCCACCGCCCGGCGCGGCAATCGTCCGAAACCGTTGGCCGCCTGCGGTGGAGGAGTTGTAGGAGGACCACGCGGACTCTTGGTCCGAGCCCAGCGAAGACGGTCCAGCGTCCGAGGACGACTCGACTCGTTCGGCGTTCTTGATATAGCGTTCACTCCAACGTCGACGTCCCGAAAGTCTGTACGAGTCTGGGTGAGTGGTGAGTGGGATCCTGATGGCCCTCGACCCCGGTGCTGGAGGTCGAGGAGGTGCAGACGGGTCGGCCATGGTGAACGCCCGAGACAACAGTGAAGAGGATGAATTGAGTTCTTGATAACGCCTTGTCCCCTGAGCCAGCTCTGTGCAGAAGACCCGAAAGGAAAATGAACTACGCCTCTCTGTGAGAAGAGTTTACATGTGCAAGAGTCCTTGTATGTCGGGAAGATCAGAAGACTAATAATTGAAAGGCGGATGGATACGAGTACCACTTGAGTCATCGGCCTGGGTCTAACATCACAATGCCAGCGCAGGGGCGCAGCCAGATTCCCCGCATTCTTCCGGCGATAACGATAAGACATCCAGCGCACTAAAGGAAACAAAGACGCTTTTATCCGATTGGCCAGTCAATACGAATTACGAAGCACAGAGTCACGTGTTGTTACTCCTTTGTTGTTCTATTTCATTGTCTGCTTGCACAAGTTCTCATAGCGGGACAGCAACTCCCATCGCCCTCCCGGAAGCACCCTCTCATTTCCCTTTTTTTTATGCATAATACCACGGCTCATCAAAAACATGGTAACGATGACCGCGCACCCCTTCTCCACGGAACAGTGCAGGGAATCTTCGTCCAGGTGGAACTTGGTCTTCAGAAATCCTGTCATTGGAATACGAGGCCGGCTCTCCCACCACAAATTTGCCCACCTGTATTGAATGAGTCGCCGTAGCGTATAAAAAGGGGACTGGACTTACCTGGATCTCCGTGTCTGTGATAGTACCCCGGCTGACACGAGCATATCCAACTCTCTTTATATCCTTATACAAGATATATTCGCACCATCGATCCCAATCGCTCACATCAATGTCGTGCATACCGCTCTTCTCGCCCACATATGTGTTGTAGTTGCCCTCCGTCGGCTTGACCACAAGGTAGCTGAGCAGGATTGCCGGTCGAGGGCTCGCCTTCATAGCCTTCGCAAGATACTCTGACTGCAGGCGACGATCTTCAGGGTCTTCTTCCTGTCCGGAGTGGAAGACGAAGACATCGACCATGGTGCCGTACACATCCAACGTAGCCTCAATTGCGGGTGCAAGCTCGCCTACTGGAGATGGTAGGAGATGGTGTGTAGAATTGACAATTGGAAACTTCGAGAGTAGTGCTGATCCCCATGTGTGCTTGTTAGGTCCCGGACCATAATCAACGTACATACCAAGATCCTCCGCCAGGTATTGAGTGGTATCTCGATTGCCCATGATGATGCGTTGCAGGTCCGACTCTAGCAAACCAACCACATCAAGCTCCAACTCTTTAATGGCATCACGCATCCTCCGCTCAGATGACCACATATCATTGTCAAGTGAAAAGTGAATGGTCCAGATACCAGCAGTGATCAACTTCTCGTCTTTATGATAAGGAACGTAGTCATTGGTAGGGAAACGCAGGTAAGCAATTGAGCCAGTCAAAAGCTGCAGAGCGAGCAGAATGTGGAGGAAGTAAGCCGATTGCTTGCGTCCTCGAGGACTTGACGTAGACTTCTGTTTATGCGTTGAATTGGTGATCAGCGCCGAAAAGACGCCCGCGCCGATCATAAGCATAGTGGTGATCATCACCCAATCGGTGTGTTCCCTCACAAGTGGCCCACCGGGCACGAAGGCATAAGCAACCACCCACACATGGAAGAGGACCATGATATTGTAGCAAAAGAAGCCGAAGCCGAATGTGGAGGCAGGGTTATGTTGGACAGCTGACGATATAATGACTGGAGCAACTCCCATGATGTAGAAAGCCAAGAGAAGCCCGCCGTAGTATCCAGTCCAGTTGCTGTAGAGGGTGAGCAAGGCCGCCCCAACAGCGCCGAGTCCGAAGGCAGTCCACGACCCAAAGAAACCAGGAAGCGCAATACCCAAGAACAAACCAGCGCTCATGCAGATCAAGGTGACAGCACCATGAGGCGCTGCCAGTGGTCCTCTTACAGGATAGCCTTCCCAGACCCATAGGATCATGGTGCTGGAATCTGAAAGCAAAGAGTGCGTGGCAAACATGAGTCCTCCAAATCCGAGTCCTGCCAGTAAACTCGACCCTTTCTTAGCATTATGTGGGACGTAGTCGCCTCCACCGGTTGTGGCTGGTCGCGTTGACCTCCAGATCGCAAAGAGGGCTACTACCAAGGCCGTCTTGTTCCAGCCCCCGATGCCTGCATGGAGGATAGGCCAAACTGGGTTGTTGGTGTGGTTGGCGAATTTGGAGATGCTGGACAGAATCAATCCGATACTCCAAGCAAGAATTCTTCTTTGAAGGCGTGCGGAATTGCGTCTCTCAGCATACCATTCCGCCGACCATCCAAGACAACCCATCCACACAGCGAAGCCAACGGTGAACAATCGATTCGCAGGGTCCTTCACAAGCCAAGCCAGAAGCCCTGCCATGGTCGACATGTGGATCCAGCGGTTGTATTTGATGCAGAGAGATCTAATGAACGGAATTCCGAGTGTTAACGGGGAGATGGTAGACATGACCATGACTTCGTAACCAGAGATTCCCATATGCCAGAGTGGAAAATACCACACAAGAACTCCCAGTGAGGTTAGGATGGACCAGAAAAAGTATCCGTGGAGAATTTCGGCTAGTGCGTCGAGTATAGCAGGCCAGTAGTAGGGACCTTCAAAGGTGGATGTCTGAATGAGCGAATTGTCGTGACTACAGAGTCATGAGCTGGGAAACCCTACAACGCATCTCAATCAACTTACTCTTTCTCCTTCACAGACTCTTTCAAAAGTTTCGCATCACTATCCAATGTCAGTCAGTCAACCAAGCAATGGTTCTATTTCGTCGTACTTTTGTATATCTCGGGAGCAGCTGCACGTACCCTCTGCTAAGACCCTTGACGTCTCTTACCACAAGCTCAAATGTCTGAAAATCGATCGCAGTCACTGCGTCAAAGGCGACGTCAAACAGAATAAGTGACCACTCAAAAAACGAATAGATGGTGTATGCTGCTTCATTGTCAGACAGGGATCTTAGATATCGTATGGAAATCGTGAAGCATACCACCAGCCCTTTTATGGACCTTGTGCTGAATAAACCAGTATACAAGTGGCACCAGCGTTCCAAAGAAAAGGCTGGCAAGGATTTTTCGATATCTGATCGCAGTAGGATTTGGAGGGCTCAATGCAAGGCAGCCTAGTGTCCATGGAAGTGTCGCAACTAGGTAGGATATCATGAAGATATCATGCCAATCGTGGTCATCCGTGGATGTCACATATGTCCAACCTCCACATGTCAACGTTCTGAACAAGCCGGTTGCTGCTATGATCCCAGGCAAGCTTGTATTCGGCCTCCTGGTGAGCATGTACCACAGTCCAACCAAAGCAAAGCGTGGTCCGGAGGTGATGGCGATGAAGACCATAAAAACAGACCGTTCGGGGTATCGGTCGCCGATGGTAGAAGAGACAGAGGGAAACCATTCGTCGGGGTAGCCATAGTGCTCGTTCTGCACGATTTTATGGTAGTGGAGCGAAACACCGACTATAAAGGCCCCGATGAAGGCGGCATATGCGACAACAGTGTGTGCCCAAGAGACGTATTTTCCATTGAACTGAGGCATCGTCAGCTTGCTCGACGCAACGCAGCGGGATGATGTCCACAAACCGAAAAAACCACATCGCCCTCCTTCTTGGACGCCATTGTGAAGCACTAGCAGGCGATATGAAGAAGCCGCATAAGCTGTAGAAACGGACAAAAAAAAGAAGATTAATGAGTGACAAAAGGGTACGGAGGACGAACAAAATAATCCAGAATGAAAGCTGCGCTCTGAAATGTAATCGAGGTGGCCCCTGATGCGCGTTCGGCTCTATGAATACGAAATACGCTCACCAAAGGCACGCGAAACTATATACGGGTACGGAGCACGGTGTGTGCAAAGCCGCTGTCAACCGAAAAGTTCTAGTGGATCTGGTGGACATCGACATCATTCTCCAACAGAAGAAATAAAAAAAGTTCCACCAACACTTCACGATCAGCGCATCTTCAAGCGATAACATCTCCCACCTCGATAAACAAATTTCGCGGAAAGCATGGCCGCTGCGAGTGACAAGGCTCGGTTCTTTCTCGAGCAATCTGTGCCGGAACTGAAGGAGTACGAACGCAAGAACATCTTTTCCGCAGACGAAATCACCAGTATCACCAGAAAACGATCCGACTTCGAGCATAAAATTAATGCTCGAGGTTCCACACCTTCAGACTACGCACGCTACGCCGAGTTCGAGATCAACGTCGAGGCTTTGAGACGGAAAAGAGTCAAGAGACTTGGGATAAAGTCAACCGCACACAATGGGAAGCGGCGCATCTTCTTCGTATTTGACCGCGGGACGAGGAAGCACCCTGGTGATGTGGATCTGTGGTTGCAGGCAATAGATTTCGCCAGAAAACAGAAGGCTTACAAGAAACTGCAAGAAATTTTTGCCAAAGTACTCCGTCTGCATCCTCGAAAGTCTGACCTGTGGACATATGCGGCGCAGTTTGCCCTGGACGAAAACGGCGACATGACCGAGGCAAGAAGTTACATGCAGCGAGGACTCAGGTTTTGCAAGTCGTCCAGAGCCATGTGGTTTGAATATGGAAGGCTGGAGATGTCTCACATCGCCAAGATCCAGGCACGTCGGGAGATACTGGGTATTTCGACAGGCGGACAGACACAAGAGCAGATCCTTGAGGAGGACGAAAACGTCATTAAATTGCCTAACTTGACAGCGATGGACATCAATCCAGATGCTGAAGGAGAGGACAGTGCGCACACAACCCTACAGTTCTTCGACCCAACGTCAGCCATGAACGGAGCAATTCCCCTGGCGATCTTCGACGCCGCTATGGCTCAGTTCAACGATCCCTCCTTCGGGCTGGACTTCTTCGACATGGTTGTCGACTATGAAGCTCTTTCAGCCTGCCGGGAAATTGCAGCACATATTGAAGCAAAGTTGATGACGGAGTATCCGCAAGACTGGCACAGTCAGGCATGTCGCATTCGGCTGCCTCTTGTTTCACTGCAGCCTAACAGTCCCGAATTTCCTGCTGCATTCAGACAAGCTTTGGCACATTTGAGGGAAGCCAGAGCAAAGACGCAGGATCCACAACTCGTCGTGTGGGTGAGAGGTTGGTTGCAGGACCTTGATGCGACACCCGATCTAGACGAAGGAATAAAAACGGTGGCAGAGTCTGTTCTGCGGTCAATCGAGAGTGCCTAGATGTTACCAGTGTCGAGGAATTATTGTACCATAATATCAGTCCAAGCTACCCTTGGACCGAGATTGCTTCTTGCTCGACTGCAGATGCTTCCTCTTCAATCTCGCTTCGTTCTCTGCCTTTTGTAACTTCTGCACCTTCTCTTTCTGATCCTCCGTTGTTTCACCCGGCACGTTGTGCTTGTACACATCCACAATGAGTTCGTTGAGCTTGCGGTAACACGTGTCTCTGTTAGCTTGCTGCTTGCGGCTGTCGTCTGCCTGGATGACAAGGCTGGACGACTTTTCCGCGTAGTATCTCGATGAGAGAATCCCCTTGTGCAGGACAGAGGGGAGCAACGCGAGGAGGCCGTCTACAGGCACGCGTAATTGTGCTTTTGAGTTGACTCTGCTACCGTGAGATCGCGAGACATAAAGAGTACAGGACACCCTTTTGAATCATACTTGTTCACATTCTGACCACCAGGGCCTCTGGATCGACTGTAAGTTACCTCTCCTAGCCCCTGTAGAGACTCCGTGGCTTTGTAGGACTTGTACCATGCCCTGGCTGCGTCATAGTCGTAGTCTGGTAGCTGAGCTTTGGCGGACAGCTGGCCACGATACAAAGACCTTGTCGTCAGATGCCTCGGCGAATGCCGACACCACCACGAAAGCATTGATTCTTTTTGAGGTATGAGGATTTCAAAGCGTCCGAGAGAATACAATGTGACCTCTTGCAATGAGCTCGACGCATCAATACCTCTATTATTACTAGAGAACGAAAAAGCTTAGGTAATCACCTGGTCCTTGCGGCTGGCTCGTAAGGCCGCTTTAACCTGAGCTTCATGGATGGTAAGGGGGCGATGGAGTGCCGCGAACGGTCCAGGGCGCCGGGACCATCCAGGAGAGAATGAAAGACAAAAGTACTCCGTACCATGTCCGTCTTCAACGTCACAATAGAGTCTGATCAGATTGCAACCGTTGATTTGGACGGCATTATCGTTGACGCGCTGGGATTCAGTACATGATACACACCTAAAGTTTAGAGTTTGAAGTCCTACTATATTCCAACTTCGATACAAGCCCGGTGGTGAAAGAATGTAGTTCTCTTCTCATTATTTTCGCTGTTGCGTTCCTTGCAATCTTCGACACTTCCCATACACCCCCTCGAAGCTTTTTGTAGCCTGCCACTTGTCTGTCCACGCTCTCGTGGATTTCGCGAAGCTGTGCGAGCTTTGTCGCCTTTTCTTGGCCATGGTCTTTCAACACAATGTACGCAGTTGGTAACTCTACCTTGTACGCGTCCAGTGTATAAGTTACGGCGCAGTCAGCGACGGCAGGGTGGCCGGAGATGTACTGCTCAAGCTCGGTAGGACTCACTTGGAATCCATTGTATTTGATAAGCTCTTTAGTGCGTCCAGCAAGCTTAAAAACACCCTGGGCAGAGACGGAAACAACATCACCGGTGTTGAACCAACCCTCCTCAGGAAAGGCTTCGGTATTGGCCTTTTCGTTATTCAGGTAGCCCTTGGTAATGTTTGTTCCTCGGAGCCAGAGCTCTCCGGGCCCTCCAGCAGGTGCATCCGTACGGTCATCCTTCATGAGTCTTGCCTCCATGCCTGGGAGAATTGGTCCAAGTTCATCCGGTGCCACACGATCGGTGATCCTGTTTGCCGCAATCCAACAAGCGGCCTCGGTCATACCGTACATGTTCAGGAGCGTCCATTTTCCAGGTCCAAAGTACCTGTCTACTTCTGCAGTGGTGGCCTTTCCAATGCTTCCGGTGGCTCTTTTCACGCTAGAGAAGTCGTAGGTTTTGTCAAGTTCATTCAGGAAGAGTTGTCGTGCGACAGGAGGCACAATCTGAACGGTGGTTGGTCTTGTTCTCTGTACTGTCCTCGCAAATTCGTTTATGTCGACTGAAGTCATGATAATATGCCGCATGCCTGTCCAGGGCCCTAGGAAGAAGGGAATCGTGCCATTGGCGAGGTGCACAAACGGTGTGAATGAGAGAACAGACTCTTCTGGAGTCCAACGATTAGGATCGTGTGTCCAAAGTTGATGCACATTGGCAACGTAGTTTAGATGTGAGAGTCTGACTCCTTTTGGAAGACCGGTCGTGCCTGAGGACAAATGGATGCTGGCTATCCGGTCTTCTGTGTTGTCATAGTGCGGCACTGGTAGACTCTTCTCGTAAGCTATGTCCTGGTAGAGGTCCTTGTAGGGAGGACTAGGATTTGCCGCCAATGCCACTATGATTTGGGGCCTTGGAAAGCTGGGGTTTTTCTGTCTTGCCGACTCAATGGCTTTTTCAACCTTTCTGATAATGGGTCCGTAAGCTATGATATACTCGGATTCTGTGAGCAACAGTGCGTGAGTGAAGTCTTGAACCGGTAGTTGATGATTAACCGGGCAGAAAACACCACCAAGCCATAGAACTGCGTGAGCTGCTTCGATAATTGCCACGCAATTTGGAAGAATCACCGTCCATCGACTCTGATCGCGCGGACGATAGCGCTCCTTCAGCGCGTATGCGATTGCTCCTGCATTTCTCCGAAGGTCACCGATACTAAGACGTCGGCCTTGTAGGTCATCTTCGAAAACGATGTGGTTCTCCGGCACAGGTGGCGATCTTGCGCTGGAATGCAGAAGTTCAGTGAGGTTTAGATCTCGGGGAATATCCACTTTGACGTTGGATTTGTAGATGACCATTGTGTTCCAAGAGGCACATGAGACGCATACTATGCATGTAGAGAAGTCGGTTTTCTCTGTCTCAGTCTTGAGATGTGTTCAAGAAAGACTAGAAGAACAGAAGCTCACCGTTTCTATCTGCATGCCCGCATCTCTCTGTAGTGCCGTAAGGTGAGAAGGCCACTCATGAAATCAAGCCTCGGCCCGGCCGGCCATCAGGGAGAATATTACGGTCCCTCGATCGCGACCCCCGCACTCCGTACTCCGTATGTACAGCCTCGTGGCTTCTAGTCGATGTTCTCCACAAAGCCAGTAAATCATGAGCATGCCGAGGAACCTCGGCTTATTAAGGCATATTACAAGACTCATACAACTTCGATGAAGACTTGCCGTCCACTGAGGCCACTCACCCTATTCCAACGTGTGACGCCATCATCGTTATGGTTTCGTCTGCACGATCCCAGTATGTGAGCACAGAAATACGACAAGATGGTGTGGCTATCATCTCCTACAACCGTCCAGAGGTTGCAAATGCTATCAATGTAGTTGTCATGAAGGTAATGCGTCAACTTCTCCTTTCCTGAAATCAATGGACTCATCGAAGCAAAGCTGACAGACTACGTCGAGATCTAGGAACTCTTGGACGCTTACACGCGTGTTTTAGCCGATGACAAAGTCAGGGTACTGGTTCAGACCGGGAAAGGGGACTTCTTTTCCACCGGTACGTCCTACGAATTACTCTCAGCCACTATTTAATAGCAAATGCCAATACTTTCCATGGCATCAAGGGATGGATTTATCGGCTCAGCGACGAGCCAATGCAGATTTAGATCCACTGGCATTGCTTCAGTAAGGAACGACCCCTTCCATCTAGGCCCTATCAACTGATATCTCCTTCCAGTACTCTGAACAAGATGCTCATCGATTGCGACAAGGTTACCATCGCCGCTGTCAATGGACCCGGCGCAGGTTATGGCACCAGCTGTCTTGCATTGTTTGACCTAGTATATGCAGTTCCCGACGCATACTTCTTCACACCTTTCGTCAAATGGGGGCTTGCTGCTGAGGCCTGCTCCAGCTTCACTTTCATTCACGCCCTTGGGCGACAGAAGGCAGCACACCTTATTCTCGCAGGAGAAAGAATGACTGCTCAAGAGCTTGAATCAGCTGGCTTGATCAGCAAGATTTTTCCAGCTGAAAATTTCCTCGAAACAGTCCTCGGCATCGCACGCAGGGTAGCCGAGCTTCCGCCAATTTCCTTAAAGGAGAACAAGAGCTTGATGACGTGTTACTTCAAGGATGAATTGCACCGAGCCAATGATTTAGAGAGAGAATTGTTTGGGAAGCTGGCGACCGGGACCGAAACTAAGGAGGCTGTGCAGAAGTTTGCTCAGGAGCAAAGAGCAAAGAAGTTCAGGTCAGCCAAAAGAGAACACCTTTAAAACCCTTGAAATTGGTTGGCGTCATAGACTGTATGCGCTGGACGCAGGGACCGTTATTCATAACATAAAAGGCTGTGAGCCCTTCCTAACATCCTAAGTGCGACAACACAACGTTGTAGAATGATAGGGCTAAGGTCCGAAGAGAGCTGCCAGAGGTGTGAGTCAGCGACCCACGTGGCCGAGAAGGCATATTTGGGTATCCTCGAAAGCTGCCGGCCTGTCAGATTTGATGAAAGAGTATTCTACAGCTGTGAACTTTGGTGATGAAATGGCTTCACTTCCTCCAACGTCAGAGTCAGAGTCGTGCCCGTTGAGGATATGCGTTCGTATTGAAACAATATTGCTGAGCAGATTGGCCAAGGAAGGGTAACGGCCGGGCTCGGAGACTCAATCGCTGCTAAGAAAAGTAGAAGCGAGAGGAGGAACCTGCGAGAGAGGTCCCTAGTTACTGGTCCCCAACTTCCACCGTTGGTAGGTGAACGAGGCGTTAACATTCATCAATGAAGCTGTGAAGTGTCGTTGCTGAAGTATGAATACTGCAGATTTAGCAAATATGATGAGTGAATTACAGGGAAGAAAGACCTAGGAAGATACGTTCAGTTGATATAAAAGCATCGGACAACAACAACGACGGGTAGGCCTCTAAGAGCTTTCTGATCAGGCCGTGAAGTTACTGGTTGGACGAACGCCTCCCTGCAAAGTTACCAGCATCCATGGAGAGGTGGACTCCTCAACCAAGACTTTCATTGGACAGTCGTTGACTGTCGTGAAGTGTGTCTCCATCATATAGAAGATCTCAGTACTCCCGCTAACATGCCCAAGACAGGTGTTGTCGGGCTAGGAAGGTCGGGCGAGAAAACAACCGATCGATCAGGTAAGTTTGCCGACCGTTTTCTTCCTCCATCTTTCTATTGTTATCTGCGCTTCGGAATCAAGCAAAGAGCCTCATGCAAGTTGTTTTCGTCCATACACGTATTTATCATCTCCAGCACTTTCACGTTGTCCGCTTCCTCGATCCGGTCCTTCTGCATGGGTGCTTTGGGTATTGACAGGATCTAATTGAACCTTCCTTTTTCTCTTACCTCTATTTCACGAACAAGCCTGAACCTAGCCTTGGATTCGCCCTTCATGCCTTGCATCACCTCAAAATGAGCGAGACAAGCCCACCACCTGAAGCTCAACGCTTTGGTAGATCCCAGACACCAGAGAGTCCACGGCCCGTTCATATACCCGAGCCTTCAAATATCCCCGTATTGCTAAACCAGATGGACCCAGTCTTCAATGACACTGCAACCTACAACATTCCCCAGAACCAGACGTTTTCTCCCTATTCAGACCCTGCGCGCAATATGACTGAAAAGAACCATGAGGAGCAGGATGCTGTTGAAAAGTTCTTACGTGGTGCAGAGGAAGAAAATGCGCGTCTAAACCCCGCGTCCGAACTCAATGGCCAAAACTTCCAGGATGATGCCACGGTCGAGTCCACCCTTCTTTCAGCCCTCGCGAACAGTGCAGCCTACCAACAACCTTCTCAGACGCCAAATGATACACAGGCTGTCCCCAGCCAGCTACAAGATGGATCTCATTCGGGTCAAGAATCTGGCCAACAGGCTACTAATGTTCAGGCCGACACCAACAATGCCAACGTAGAGACCGGGTCTGAGCCTGTGCAAACTAACGCTCAGTCTAGTCAAGGTGGCATCGACTATCAATCACTTCTCGACAGCATTTCTCAGTCTGCTTCTACTGCTCCCGCACAAGAATCCGTCTCTGCTCCAACTACTGCCACATCGTTCGTCGATCCTGGTCCACAGTCACTACCACCTGCACCAGGTCTTCCCCCAAAGCCACCGGCCATTGCAGGTTTGCCAGAAACTCCCAGTTATCAAATGTTTCCCCATGCTGCTGCTGAGGCAGCAGCTCAATACCAACCCGTGAATAATGATGCCGTCCAGATCAACGGTGCAGAAGCTCCCGTCCCAGGGTCAGCCCAGTCCATGATCCAGAACCTTGCCACTCAATTTCCACCTGGTTGGCCCCAGGCTCTTAGCCAATTATCGCCCCAAAGTGTACCACCGGTGCCTGGTCAATCTTTCGAGCCTCCAGAGCCTTCAAAGTCTACCGACCCCAATGAGAGACCTTGGACCCCAAACACACAAAGCTTGTATGATCGTTTCCTTGAAGAAGAAAGACGCTATGTCACAGAAGGTATCTGGGACAAATTTCCTCAAGGCTCTCGACTTTTCGTCGGCAACTTACCCAGCGAAAAGGTGACCAAACGTGATCTCTTCCATACCTTTCACAAGCATGGCCGCCTAGCCCAAATTTCCATTAAGCAAGCCTATGGCTTCGTGCAATATCTTGAAGCCTCTTCGTGCCAGGCCGCGCTTCAAGCAGAACAGGGAGTGGAGATTAGAGGAAGAAAGGTTCACCTGGAAATTTCCAAGCCACAAAAGAACACCCGCGGCCAGAATCAGGGAAATAAGAGGCGTCGATCAAGGTCCCCGGAACGTGGCAATCAGCGTCCGGGCGACCGCTATGGACGAAATTTCAGTGATTATCGCGATGACCGACATAGACGTGACGACTATCGCGGACGGTCCCCTTCCCCAAGAGGTTATCGCTCGCGGGATGAATATCGTTCTGGAGCACAGAGCCCCAGGTTTGGACCTGAAGGAGGACCCAGGTCGCCGTACGGCAATTTCCCGCCCCCGATTCCAGGTGGCTATGATGAAGAATCGTCTTTACCTTTGCCTCGAAGGGAGCCCCGAGACGTTCCTGACGTACAGTTGTTAATCCTTGAGCCATCGGTTGCTCAAAGCTTCATCACCTGGATCGAGCAAGGATTCCGCGCCAAAGGGCTTCGTGCATCCAGCATCTGGCTCAGCCCTCGACTACCACTCAATGGCTTGGTGAAGAGGCAAATCATTGAGGGTGTTCAGGCGGTGGTCAAGCTGTCGCAAAGTGCGCAGTACAACAGTAAAATTCCACTGCAGGTCTTTGATCGCTCCGCAGGCGCTTCCAACGTGAATTTCAATGAGTATGCTGATCTTGACATCCCTGTGGCAGCGGACATTGTCCTCCATGCCAGACAGAAGGAGCGTGGATTCAACCAGCCCGCCCAGTATACTGCGCAGAGCTACCCTCCAGCGCAATATAATCAGCCCGCACCTTCACAGTTTCCACCACAGATACCTCCTCCATTCCCACCCACGCCCTTACAGCAACCGCCTCAGTATCAATACGGACAGCAGCCACCATTTCAAGGCCAGGTTCAGACACCTGTGACGCCGACATCATCTGCAAATCTTCAGCAACTATTGGCTAATCTCCGGCAGCCTGGAGATCAAGCCAACGCTCCACCCGCAAAGCCAACTACTGATATAGCAGGTTTACTTGGCAACGTCGCTCATCAAGGCCATATGGGTGGCCAATTCCCGCTCTCTCCTTCTGGACAAGCACCACAGCAGGGGTACGGTGCCGCACCAGTCTACAGTCCTGGTCAGCAGCCTCACCAAAATGTGCAGAACATCATGGACACGTTGGCGAGATATGGTCGATGAATGCAAGACGTGGGAACTCGCTTATCATGGGCGGTTAGTGATTGTTTGTGACGAAGACTTTTTTTCCTCATGAGAGAAGCATTGTGAGCGTGTATGGAAAACACTTGAACTTGAGTTTAGCTTATAGTCCTTTTTCTTCCTAGAGCATAGACTGCCCACCTCTGATACTAGGGTGAAATGGGCACATGATAGCAATCCAATGTTATGTCGTAAATGATGACAATGTTCCGATCCCGCTAGTTTCGCGAAATGCTCTGCGCGATTCGAGGATGAGATCGCCGAGGACACCTTGTCACTCTCTCCAGCCTGTTCTACAGGTATGCATGGCGGGTGCCCGACATATAGGTAGGACAGGCACAGGATCTGATGTTCAACTCGTTAAGAGGTACCCAGGTACTTCACGCACATAGAGATCGACAGTGGCCAGTTGGAGAAGTATATATTCTGTACTCCGTAATGTGCCCCTCATATGCAAAGGTCGAGATCTGTTGATGAGCCGCGGCTCAAGTCTGTACTCGGCCGGCGATTTCACTGAATTTATTACTTGTTTTGTCGTTGTCGTCCATTCCCGCCCTCTTTTGATTTAATCCACTCGTCCTTCGAGGTTCTTTGCAGTGAGGTGCTCACGAGATACTGTACTTTGCAAGGCATTCTACATATACTGTGCATGTCCCGTCTTCACCTTCCAAACTACCTCTACGGTGTATCGATGCCTGGTACTGTATTATACAAATCAGAGTTGAAATCGATTCAGAATGTCCAGACCAGCCACTACTAACCCGGTAGCATACACGTACGCTGCACCCGAGAGCGCCAAATCCGGATCGACGGCGCACTCGATCCCGCACCCGGAACCCATATCCTCCACGACGCACCACATCGCGGGCATCCTCACGACGGTGTATGGGCTGGCCGAACTGGACCCTTCGGTGACGGACGTCGCCGTCCTGTGGCTCCTTCACCCTCGGCTCCAGACGCACGAGTGCATGGCCCCGTTCGCGGCACACATCATCTCCGATTACAGCTCCAGAGCGGGTTCGGGCCGGCGCAACGACAAGAAGAAACTGGGTCTGATCGCGGTCGCCTTCGACCAACGGAACCACGGCAGTCGACTCGTGATGCCCATCGCGAACGAGGCGTGGAGGGGCGGCAACGAGACTCACGCTCAGGACATGTTTAGCTGCTTCGCGGGCACGGCCGTCGACACGAGCATGCTGCTGGATTACCTCCCGGCGTACATTTTTCCCGACGGCAAGAAGAACATCGTCCAGAACATGGTGCTGGGTATCTCGTTGGGCGGCCACGCGGCGTGGCACGTCGTCATGCAGGACCCTCGCTTCTCGGCCGCCGTGGTGACGATAGGCTGCCCGGACTACGTGCGCGTCATGTCCGACCGGGCGAGGTTGAGCAAGCGCCGGACCTGGCTCGAGTCCCAGGGCCGGACGTTCCTGGGGAGCCCGGATTTCCCAAACGCCCTCGTCGATAAGGTGCGCAAGGTCGACCCGACGGGCCTGTTGTGGCACGGCAGTGGGCTGGGGAGGAGAAGCGGCCAGGAGCCGTTTTACGACGGGGGCGAGATGACGGACCGGGAGAGGGAGACGCTGATGCCGGTCATGGCCCGGTGTTTTGGAAACAAGAGGATCTTGAACCTGAGCGGCGGGAGTGACAAGTTGGTCGGCTATCAACATTCCAAGCCGTTCCTGGATTGGCTGAAGAAGAGTGTCGAGAGAGGTGGCTGGTTCGAGGGCTCCGGTCTCTACCTCGAAGACATTGTCTATCCCGGCGTGGGACACGAGGTTCCACCGGACATGGTGACCGATATGGTCAGGTTCATCAACGAGACGCTGGAGGAAGGAGTCGAAGGTGCGAGGCTGGGGAGCAAGATATGATGTGAATTGCGTGCTTCCAAAATGATAGAGGGGGAAAGGGAGGAAAAGTATAGGGTAAAATAGAATATATACGACAGGTGACAAAGCACCTGTTCATGAATTGAGAGCTTTGCGTACGGATACTCTCGAACGTAAGATGTCTATTGCGAGCTGGAATCGTCCAGTATAATACATTCTAACATGTGCCTTGAGCGGATCTGCTTGCCACAGGCCTTGCTTTGACAGCTGATAGTATTGTACAAGTGGTTCCACGTGCTGATACAACAAAGCTGATAGCTGGTGCGAACACGTGTTCTCCCTGAGAAAGCGTCAAATGCGCGATGAAAGGATTGGCTCCTAGAGCTTATACCAGGACCTCCTACCCCAGCAATCGACACTGAAACCTGATGCTGTGGGAAAGCCTGTACCTCCAGAGACTTTGGGGGTTAGAGGTCTTCTCCCGGTCAGCACGGGGTGACTCAAGCAGGTCCGATAGGGGTGGCCCATCGTGTCTTATGACCGGCGAGTGTCTCGCAAACGGATATGGAGCTTGGTAGAGCACTATCCTTATGGGTCGAAGGTTCGTGGCGTTAACACCGCCAGTCCTTGGGCGAGTAGATGCTTAAAGCATGTCTTGCTAGAACCAGGAATCTCTTCATTTGGCTCCGTGTCCATCCATTATGTACCACACCGCATCAGTGTAGATGAGGAATTTCTTTGCAACATGTTCAGGAGACACGAAGCATTCCTCTGAGTCTGTTCCAGGTCGATGCAAGCCACGTTCGGGTGGGGGCCTCGCCCATCTCTTTTATCAAGTCTTCATAATATGTAGGTTGGCTTGCAGGATGCCGGACCTTGTTGGGGGTTGGAAATTCTTTGGCATATCGATCTTCGAGGAGACTATAGAGAGCATTGACTTGTCTCATCTCATTCTGCGCATTTGAGCGTGGAGGATCGACAGGTGTGACCAAAGCTCCGTCTGCTTTGACATTCTCCGCAACTGCGTTGGGAGAGGCGATCTTGTTTACACGATTTTGCATAACCTTTTGAAAGGCAACATGTTCTGGGCGTACTTTGTCGACGGGCCAAAGCTTGATGATGCGCGCCCAGTGCTTGAGAACCACCTTCAGAGATTAGCGAATGTCGTGGGTGCGCAGATCTAAACTCACCGACTGATTAGCTGCCATGTTCAAGGGGAGTGTGTGTATGGCAGAGAGGACAAAATTGAAGTGGTTGTCAGAGATACAAAGCGCATTGACCTGTACTTAAAAAGTATTGATGGCTGGTCATGGCTATCGAAATAATGACGCCGACTAACGCCGCGATAGTTTTCATTCTTGGAGGCCTAGAAGGCTAGGCTGCTTCAGGCCAAGGCTGGTTTCCCAGGCTGTGCAGTCCATACTCGTACTCGTACAGTAATAATAACTGTAACTGCAACTGCGCCGGCTTCCGAGGTGGCGCTCAGACTCACCACTTCTCTTCTCTCTATTATGCTCGCCTGATTGAACGACCAGCTTCTACCTTCTTCTTCTAATCCTTCGCATCATTTCGTACCTAGAATCCTTCTCTTCTTCCTGTCGCAGGCAGCCTACAGTGGTCCATTTCTCGACTACCTCTGAGGCAACTTCTTCACCCACACTTCTGGCCTGCGATGGCCCCTCAGAGATATGAAGCGGTAAGGATCAAACCGGCTTACGAATCCCGAGTTGTTACTGACTTCATTCCAGGTGAACACCCACGACGATGAAATAGATTCTCCCCTTACTCCTCACTCGCGCAATGGCATCCCTTCTTCACCTCCTCCATCCTTTCACTCCAGAGCATCATCGCCCACCGGCCGCCGATTGCTGAACCAAGATCCCCTTTCCAGCGACGCCGATCGGGACCTCGAAGACACGTTTGACGATGGGGAAGCCTCAGACGCAGAAAATGATGGCGATGACCGGCAGCGATTGATGAGGGCCGACCCACCGCCTGCTGCCCAAGATGCGACAACTCCTGGGACACCCCCTGCAAACTCAACTTCAGCACCTCCCAGGGTCGAGCGAAGAGTGACTGAACTCCCAGCTTTCAGGCCAATGCCAACATCCGCGAGAGCAATGGATGGTGTGTTTGCGAATCTGTCCGCCAAACCGGAAAGGGGAGGACCTATCGATGATAAGCCTCCTGTAAGTGACTCGGTTAAGTCGACCACAACAATGTTTCTGACACTTTATAGACATATGAACAAGCTGCTGCTGATGCCACCCCGCCTTACTGGGAGACTACTATTCTGGCTCCTGGCATGTCTTCCGACGAGGTTTACGTTGATGGCCTTCCTGTTGGTTCCGTCTTCTCCTTCGTTTGGAATGGCATGATTTCCATGTCTTTTCAACTCGTCGGTTTCCTCCTCACTTATCTTCTTCATACGACACATGCTGCAAAACATGGTAGCCGAGCTGGTCTTGGCTTGACTTTGGTTCAGTATGGATTTTACATGACGAGTTCAGGCGATGGTGGCCAGGAAACTGGAAATCCAGGGCAATTCTCGAATTCTTCGCCGCCCGATCCTAATAGCCACGATTTCGATCCCAGCACTGTTGATGGATCAGGTAAATCGGGTTCAGGAGGACACGGTTTAGGAGGATTCACAAGTGCAGATTGGATTTCTTACGTTTTAATGATTGTTGGCTGGTTCATTCTTATTCGGGCTGTGTCAGACTTCTTGCGAGCGAGACGGCACGAGCAGCTTGTTTTGCAAAGTCCAAACCGTGGTCTGCCAGTACCTGTGGTTGCCGAGGGCGAAACTCCCGAGCAGGCCGCATAGTTTGTTGTTTTATACAATTGTTTATTATCGGATACAGGAATAAAATTTGCCCGACGAGGCTGTATGATTCTTTTCTTCCTCTATACGAGTCTGGCCTGACTTTTCTGTTTGATTTGAATCTACGCGGAAAGAGAAGTGTGCGATGAATGCAGCAAAGAACGTGGAGCGTGCTCAAAGCTATCTGCCAGCTATTCGTACAATTGAATTGCCCGTGTTTCTAAGGCCCGTTAAACAGTTTGCCATCTTGGCTTGAAGTATGGTCTCTCATCGATTGAATCTCGCGTGACTCGTTGCCATCAAACGAAGCCGCCAGGGATGGCGAGTGCTTGAAGCGGAGGGAGGTTGTTTTGGTTGCTGCCAGAATCCCCTCCACCCTCTCTTTTCGGTCGCGAGAGCATCAGACTCGAATCCGAGCAAGGGCCGAGTCGTAAACTTATTCCGACATGTCAATCTTGTTCTCCAGTCTACGTTGGTCGCGGAGTTCCGTGAGGCGTTCGAGGGCCTTTTGCAGCGGGATGAGTTCACCCATCTTCTGGGTGGCCGGGTCGTCACGGTTGCGGATGTTGACGGTGCGGGTTTCTTGTTCCTTTGCGCCAACGACTACAAAACACACAAAGATGGTTAGCCGAAAAGATCATGATCTATAGAATCCATCTCATCTCGCTCAAGGAGGGAAAAGGACATCAACGTAAAACTTACCAAAGATGAAATTGTACTGGGCCAATTGTCCCGATCGAATCTTCTTCTGCAGAGTGTTTCCCGAGACGTCAATGTCGACGTACATCCTGGCCTTGTGGAAAATGCCTTGGATCTCACGGACGTAGTCTTCGGCACCCTTCATGACGGGAATGACCAGGATCTGTCGAGGAGACAGCCAAAAGGGCCATTTGCCGGCGAAATGCTCGCACAGGATCGCGATGAACCGTTCAAAGGATCCGATGATGGCGCGGTGGATCATCACAGGTCGAGCCATGCCCTGTGCGAGACCCTTGGCGTCGCGTCCGGACGTCGGCTGGCCGGCGGCGTCGCCGGTCTCGCCGGTGCGGTACTCGAGCTTGAAGTTCTGGGGACCCTGGAAGTCCAACTGGATGGTGGCACATTGGTACTCACGCATCAAGGCGTCGGATATGGTGACGTCGATCTTGGGTCCGTAAAAGGCGCCGTCGCCCTCGTTCATCTCCCAGTCGTCGCCGCGGAAGTTGTTGAGCGCCTGCTTGAGGCGGGCCTCGGCGGCGTCCCACTCTTCGAGCGTGCCCATGTACCCTTCTGGGCGCGTCGAGAACTTGAGCTTGAAGGGGAATCCGAACAGGCCGTACACGTGCTCCATAAAGGCGAAGAGCTCCTCGATCTCACCTTGAACCTGTTCGTTTGTGCAGAAAATGTGCGTGTCGTCCTGCTGAAACTTGCGCACGCGCGTGAGGCCGGACAAGGCACCAGACGCTTCGTTGCGGTGGAGGACCCCGAAATCAGCCACTCGCCACGGCAGGTCACGGTAGCTGCGCTCGTCGTCGCGGAACATGATACAGTGGCCAGGGCAGTTCATGGGCTTGAGGGCGAAGATGCCCTTGTCCTTGTCGTGCGCCTGCGGCGGGGCGAGGGGCTTACCATCGGCCTTTTGGTCGGCCAACGGCATGGGCTCGGCGGTGTCGTCCTTGACTTGGACGCGGAACATGTCGTCTTGGTAATGCTGCCAGTGACCCGAGGTCTTCCAGAGTTCGACATCGTACATGTTGGGCGATTGGACCTCCTGGTATCCACGATCCCAGTATTGTTCGCGCAACATTTGTTGAAGCGCGTTGAAGATGCGGGTGCCGTGGGGGAGGAGGAAGGGCGATCCGGGCGACATCTTGCTGAACATGAACAGCCTTTGCTGCTGACCGATCACCTGGTGGTCGCGCTTCTTGGCCTCCTGGAGGAAGTGTTCCCAGTCTTTCAGTTGCTGTTTGGACGGGAAAGCGACACCGTGGATGCGCTGAAGCGAATCATTGTTCTGGTCACCAAGGAAGTACGCGGAACTGTTCTTCATGATCTTGAATGACTCAATCTTCTTGGTATTCTGGATGTGAGGGCCCTGGCACAAATCGACGAGAGATCCGTTGCGGTAGACAGTCGATGATTCGCCGTCAGGTACGAATTTCTCGATATAGTGCATCTTGTACTTGCTGTAGCCAAACATTTTGCGGAGGTCGTCTTTGGAGACCTCGAGTCGCTCGAAGGGCTGTTTTTCTTTGAAATATTTCTTCGCGCGGGATTCAATCGAGGGCCAGTCTGCTTCGCGGACAGCTTGGCCAGGCTCGAGAGCCATGTCGTAAAAGAAACCCATAGCGGTGGGCGGACCATGGGATAGACGACAGCCATATTCGTGCTCGGCACATTCACCCAGAACGTGTGCGGAAGAATGCCAAAATACGTCTCGGCCTTCAGGGTCGTCAAAGGTGAGGTACGAGACTTTGCTGTCCTTTTCGAGCGGTCGGTCAAGGTCCCATACTTTGTCATCAACCTTGGCGACGACGATTTGACCGGCGCGCTCTTTGGGAACATTTCTTAGGAGTTGGCCAGGCGTGGTCTCCCATGCTTTACCCTCGACAGTGGTATCCTGGCCAGGAGCTGGGATGAGTTTGATCTGAATTGGAGACTTCTCTCGGGCTACCAGGTCTTGGTCATATTGTTTTTTTAGCTGATCGAAAAGTTCATTTCTCTGCACAATAAAGTCTGGTAGAGACTTTGGCGGTTGATTTGCCGCGGGAGCTGCTTTGGAAGACATTTCTTTTGGTCTATTTGGGAGTTTTTTGCTTGATGTTGGACTGGTTGGTCTTTTTGATGCGTTGGACTCAGGGGTGGATGAGTCACGTCCAGGGCCAGCAGCAGCAGCGCCGCCGTTCTGAGTCATATTGGTACCTTTCAAAACGCCCCAAAGATCGTGAGGATTGAGGCTGACTTTCTTCTGATGGCTCATAGTAAGAGACCGCTTGAAATGAATGTTGTGCAATATCGTCGACTTGTGGGGGGCACACACACGGTAACTGTGGCCGTAGTGTCTAATAATTGCAGAACCACCAATCACGTGCAAGGTGAAATTCAGTTGCCCGCATCCAGCTCGAACGGAGAACATAGAAATTTATTTTTCCCCAGGATCATCTACACCAGCACAACGTCGCCCTTTCCACAGCAACAATGTCGTTCCGAGGCGATTCGCGAGGTCGTGGTGGGTTCCGAGGTGGTGATAGAGGAAGAGGATCGTTTGGAGGAAGAGGCGGAGGTAATTTTATCTCGTCTCCGCGCACAGGAAATTTCCCTGCGCCGAAATCTGAGGCTGACGTGGTGATTGCACAGGACGAGGTGGTTACCAGCAACAGAGCTTTGGGCCGCCCGCCCAGGTCTTTGGTAAGTATTCTTACAACTTGGTGATTTCATGGCTGATGGTCTGCAGAAATGGGCAAATTCCTCCACGCTTCCGAGGGTGAAATGGTTTGCGAATCCGTCAACCCAAAAATTCCCTACTTCAACGCCCCCATCTATCTCGAAAACAAGGTACGCTTATATCATGGCGATAAGGATTCCCTTATTGATGAGAGAAGACTTCGATAGGAAAGGTGGATGAAATTCTGGGACCGATCAACCAGGTCTATTTCACGATCAAACCACAAGAAGGAATTCAAGCTGCATCTTTCAAGACGGGAGACAAATTCTACATTGGAGGTGACAAGCTCTTGCCTCTGGAGAAGTGAGTTCCTGCGATATGGTCTGACAGAGCGAAACACTGAACTCGAACGCAGATTCCTACCGAAGCCCAAGCCCCCGCCAGGTATGTCGTGCTTCTTCAAAAGTTGACCTGATCTTTCTTACCATATTACAGGAGCCGCAAAAGTGAAGAAGCCAGCAGGTGCCGGACGAGGAGCAGCGAGAGGAGGCTTTGGTTTTGGCGGGCGAGGCGCTCCTAGAGGGCGCGGAGCACCGCGAGGAAGAGGAGGCTTCGGCGGACGAGGAGCACCCAGAGGAGGGCCTCGAGGAGGCTCCTTCGGTGGTCGCGGTGGCGGAAGAGGTGCCCCCAGAGGCCGTGGCCGTTTCTAAACCTTGGTCGATGGTGTTTCTTACTATTGGACGTTTTTCCTAGCATGGTTTCGGCGTTGGGGACAATACCCATGGCAAAAGTATGGCTATTACAATGAGGTCGGCGATGTGCGACGTCTACTGCACCAGATTACCCATACCTGGCCTATCTAGACTCGAAAGGAGGGTGTTCAAGGTATTGCTGATACAAATGTTTACATCTTCAGTCCATGACTTTTTTTGCACTGTGCCAAATGAATATCACGTGATGCTTCCGGCAGACTTGCCCTTGTTGATGTGAGTGCAAGGCTGCGCTGCGAAATCGCGGGACTGCAGAATGACGACACATTTCCTACTGCGTTTGTGGCTGCGCCTTGTTTCTCTCCAAAAAGTCGATCATCAAAACTAGTCTACGCTGTTTACCTGCCTTGCATAGCTTGCCTGGACCTCTTGACACTTCTCCCCAGGATCTTCACGATTTCATCCTCCTAGTCTACCTTTGTCTACAGCCCAGCATGTCTCGAAGAGCTGGTACAACCACTGCTGGCCAAGAGGAAACCGAGGTCAAGCCACAGAACAACGCACAGGAGAAACAGGCCATGTTGTTGGCTCAAGACACTGGACATTTCAGTATGATCAGGTACACATCTATCCAGGCCTGGGTGTAAGTGTACGCAAGTGCTGATTGCTTAGGGCGTTGCATTTGGCCGATCTGATCACCGAAATGAACGGTGAGCTCTAACAATGGATGCTGTGATGTCCCTCATTGACGTGATGTTAGGTTTCTGTGGATGTAGGGCGCTGTCTCTTTCTACTCAGATACATACCTAACAAATTGTCCCTCTAGTCATGTCTGTCCTGTCTTCGATGCGGTACTGTCTCTCCGATCCTCAAGACCTGACGAACTTGTGGTTCGCGTTCTTCTTCATGCCCTTCGGGCTGTTCTTCGACTTTTTTGATGGCAAAGTTGCGCGATGGAGAAAGAAGTCTTCATTGATGGGTCAAGAACTGGATTCTTTGGCAGACCTGGTACGCATGTCGATCCATGAGGGGCACACTCTAGTACTGACTACGAAAGGTCTCGTTCGGTGTAGCGCCTGCTGCTGTTGGCTTCGCCGTCGGCTTTCGAACTACGGTCGACACTTTTTTCCTCTCATATTACGTTCTCTGTATGTGCCTCCAATGTTAATCGAGGGAATTACTGACCATCTCAGGTGGGTTAACTCGCCTTGCACGCTTCAATGTGACGGTTGCCATGCTGCCCAAAGATAAGACGGGCAAATCGAAGTACTTCGAAGGTGAGCACACATTGGACTTGTCCTCGCGCTTACTCTCGCTCTCGCTAACAATATATAGGCACTCCAATACCCTTTGCCTGCTTGACTGGTTCAAGCATCCTCGCAACATTTACTTGGATGGGTCTGATCCATAACTCGATACCTTTGGGTACATTATTCACGGGAACGGCCTTGGAATTTCATCCAATTGCAGCAATGTGGTTCATTTTGGGCAGCTTGCAGATAAGCAAAACAATTCATGTGCCAAAGCCCTGATACCAGCAGGAGGCCTAGCCCTGGAAAGGTGATAGACATTGGAAAGCTAGCTCCAAAGACTCGTTCCGATATACTGATATACAACGATGGTTTCCAACAGAAAGGTTCGCCTGTGAGCACTCAGTAGTAACCAAATGATACACGGAGCGACAGTGTTTTACTTTAGACTCGTTCTTGTTTTTTCATGACGAATTCATTTACAATGTGCTTGAATCCCTGCTCACGAGTTGTTTGGCTGATTTTTGGGCGTAAGCAAAGGCTATGTGGGAACAAGGGAACAAGCATCTGTTATTGGAAGGCAACACTTTCCTCTTTCAAAGTACAATTGCTTCAAGATTACTCTATACACTCCTGAACCCTATGCCAAAAAAGAGTCTTCCAATGTGCGCTTGAACTCTGACAATACGAGCGAGACTTAGATCTCAAGATTCGTGGCGAGGCTCTAGCCGCAGTTCCTTGTCAGAAGACAGTGCTTACCGGCTATTGCGGCTCTCAGGCCAAAACAACCATGCCAAGTCCATTCGGCGAGCTCGTTCCGTGATGGCCAGACGACAGAAGAGGTGATGCTGATACTTTCAAGCAATCGACAATTGCACAAATCCACGTCGCTTAGCATGGCAAAGCCATTCCTGGACAGGAACGCACGCCGAGACACACACCGTAAGCACCAGTAAACCCTCGTCGCAGTACCACTCGATGCGCTGCAGCTGTACAACCTAGACGCGGGTAAGCCGCAGCGAAGCCAGTATCTCGTAGGGTTTGGAAGCGAAAGATCGCCAAAGTTTCAACCAATCGCCATGGTCAAGGAGAATGACCGGCAGCAGCTCTAGTCATGGATCTGCCCCGAAAGACCTGACAACAAAGGCTCGCGAGATTCGTGAGTGAATTAGGAAGGCGTTTCAAAAGAAGTCCATCCAATTTGAGGGATGGAGAATCTGGACAGCGCTGCAGAAGGTCTGGCTGAAGGACTCACTCGGTCCTCATGAGCCTGCACTAACAACAGCCGAATCTGCAATTGCTATCAGGAGAACAGCGACGTGAAACTCCACGCTTCATTCTAAACGGCTTCACAAGGGTCAATCCATGTTAGGCCAGCAACCTTACTCCAGAAAAATGCCTCGCCACGGCCTCTAGGGAGAAGCTATCGCTTCGTGAATGGCAAATGAGATGAGAGATGAGATGTCCGACCGAGGGATGATTCGTCAACGGCGGACACAGCCCTGACTGGGGCGAAGAAAGTCGTTCAGAGATGCTTCAGATATGCGACCATGCAACTAGCTCCTGGCAGCCTAAACGAACATCCATTGTGTCCTCCCCGAAAAGGCGGTTGCGAAGACGTCCGAAATAACGTTACCAGGTCCATCACCAAGGTCCCAGGAGCCTTCAATTCGGGATTGCGCTCTTTGGCACCTTTCGTGCCTTCCGTATGGCTACTCTGGCAATCTGAGTCTCCGATAAATTCATCCACGTTCTTGCTAGCCTCGATACGCGTGAATCCAGGGGAGTACGTTGGTGGTCACGTTTGAGAAATGTATCGGTATAACTTCCGTGCCGTTCCCAACCTCTAATGCCATTCTCTGCTTCAGAATAGACCTCCTGGTGAGCAATCCAGCTACCCTTCAGCTCCTACCTTTCCAGTTTGTTGCCTGGATTTGCCGTTACTACTATTCTTCACTCCCAACAAGGATGATGGCAGCCTCAAACCGCACATACAACGGACATATTGAGAGGCTACGACACCGAGAATATCCATCTCTCTTGAGTATACCACTCACTTCACTTTCAATTGAACCTGTACTGAATTGTTACAGCCACCACTTACCTCGACCATGCTGGCACAACTTTGTATGCCAAGTCATTCATAGACGCATACCACCGCGACCTGACTTCAAACTTGTACGGGAATCCTCACTCGGAAAGTCCTGCATCATGGCTTGCCACTGAACGGGTCGAAGATGCACGACTTGCTGTGCTTGACTATTTCCACGCATGTCCAGAAGAATTTGACGTGGTATTTACTGCCAATGCCACTGGTGCAATCAAAGTGGTTTCCGATTGCTTCAGAGACCAAGGCTTTTGGTACGGATTCCATAAAGATTGTCATAATAGTCTTGTGGGGGTGCGGGAGGTTGCCACAAAGGGTTCACGATGCTTTACATCCGACACAGAAATCGAAGAGTGGATTTCCCAACGCACGCCTTCGCCTTCGGCAGGGCTCAGACTGTTTGCCTATCCAGCGCAGTCCAACATGACGGGGTATCGACCTCCGTTGGAATGGCCTCAACGGATTCGCTCACCGCACAGCGGCTCCGATCAGTTGAACTTTGTGCTACTAGATGCTGCGTCCTATCTCACGACTGGCCGCCTTGACCTTACGGACTCCGAGCAAGCCCCTGATTTCATCTCCATGTCTTTCTACAAGATATTTGGATATCCAGATCTTGGCGCCCTAATCGTCAAAAAATCAGCACGGGATGCCCTTAGTCGAAGGAAATATTTTGCCGGAGGCACGGTCGATATGGTCACCGTGATTGGAGGAGCCTTTCACATGTTCAAAGGGACAAACATACATGACTTTCTTGAGGATGGCACAGTCCCATTCCACAACATTGTCGCCCTCAGGCATGCTATCCAGGCGCAAAACCAGCTGTTCGGTTCTGCGGCTACCATATCAAACCACGCAGCCTGTCTCTCGAAATGGTTGTTCGATGAGCTAAGCCATCTAAGGCATGCAAACGGCGAACCTGTGGTCATTATGCACAAAGATGAGGGTGCTACCTACGGAGATACTCAGACGCAGGGGCCTATCATTGCATTCAACATCAAGAAGGCCGATGGGACCATTGTTTGGAAAAGTCACTTTGAGACTTTGGCCATTGCCTCGGGCTTTCAGCTTCGTACAGGCGGAGTTTGTAATCCAGGTGGCATTGCATCAATGCTAACGCTGAAGCATTGGGAGCTCCGGCGAAACTACGAGGAAGGTGCCCGTTGTGGGGACGGAATCGACGTTATTGGTGCTAAATCGACGGGCATCATTCGAGTCAGTCTGGGAGCAATGTCTACCCATGGAGATGTGGAACGGTTTGCGAACTTCGTCAGATCATTCTTTGTCGACACCACGAGCCCTCACACATCACCGACAACTTGTGTTGCGGTGACGAACATTTCAGCATTGGAAGGATGTCCACCTATGACTGTTGACCCGTCGGAGTATGCTGCTTACCAGGTATGGGATCGCCGGTGGTTCATTCTCGACCCTGCTACTGGTGAAAAGATAGACAAAGTCAAAGACTTTGGTGTGAAGATTGATGTTCAAACAGGAGAATTGGTCCTCAAGTACGGCGACGGTCGACTGGCGATCGGCTTGTGGGATGTGCCGAGCCCAACCGATGACAGATTAAGCACACCTTCAGAGCGCATCTTTGACACCTACGACGATTCCACGATCAACGACTGGTTGTCCGAGCGTATTGGGGTCGAGTGCAAGCTGTGCTACTATCGGCCTCAGGACCCGGCATTGCTGCCCGAAGCGACCACCTGCGCGGTGGCGTCTTGTGGTTGGAGAGGTGCGGACAAGACTGACCTTGGCCATCACTACAAGTGGCACGCGGAGACGTTCCTGGCAACACGCCCTTTCGGGGCCCCCAAGGCGGCTCCTTTGGTTACCACTCCTGCACCGCGACGGGCCAAGTATCAAGGTCAGAGTGCCACGGCGAGGAGGTGCTGTTGGTTACTCAATCTCAAATCCGTCTTCGAGCGTTCTCGTGCAAAGAAGTCGCATCCACACAAGCTCGACAGTGCCAGCGTGAGCGAGAAGAGCACCACCGGTCCAGCATCGACGTCGCCACCGGGATCCATAGTTGGGACCAAGCATGAAGAGAATTACTGAGAACGGTGCAACGGATGCATTCTACCATGTCGTTCGAAAAGTTGGCCCGACTGGATAGACACCAGGAAGAGAAAGAATGAAAATTTTTGGTATCAACATAGGGTTTCTATTAGTCTGTATTACAGTAGTTTCATCACTATGGGAGATCCAGCATACTAATTCTAGACAGAGACACGCACATGTGACTTCCATGTGGGTGTGTACGTGTGTTGTAGTATGGGCTCGTAACACATATGTACATGTATACACATGAACGCTCAAAGTTTGGAAAAACAGGAGAAGGAAAAAACGTCGTAGAGGTGGTCGGTCTGTCCTGTTTCAGTGCTTCTGGCATAGGCTGTGTGCCGTCGAGGCCAGAGGGGGGTTGTTATTGTCATGTCCAAAAACACCACATACACCATGTAGGGTAGGGGCATGTCCGCTGTATGCCATCCCCAAAAGTTCTGAAGCATAGATACCTAAGTAGTTATGCATAGACTTTCAAAGACTTCATTGAAATTGGTCTGAATGTGATGAGAGTTCTCTCTCTTTCTCTCTTTATTTTTTTATTGGCGAGGAGTTGGCTAGCGTAGCACTCTCTAGAACGTCTCGACAAATGAAATGACTGTGACGTGGACTGTATTTATGACCGTAGCTGGACAGAATCCGTACTTGTAGTAGGAGAAAATTATTTGTTATTATAACCGTAAGTCGTCAGCCGTAGATTATTTTACCCACCCAAGGTAGGTGGGTAGGTAGGTATTTTGAGCAGAATCGTGGCTCGTACGTGAGGACATATGAACAGGGTGCGTAGTGCGCGAGATAGGAGACGTTAGCGGGGGTGTACAGGTGTACAGGTGTAATAGTCGACATGGCGTTGTTCGTGATTCGAGTGGTTTGTACAGACTGAAGTCATCAACTCAGGTATTCTGCCAAACTTTCCTTCAGACCATCTTCGTCCACCATCCTGAATTGAACACCGGTGTTGGCAGCCCTTCGTACTGATCTGAATCCAGGTATCATTCCTTTCTGGTTGATTCCTGGAGGTCTTCCTCCCGGGAATAGAGGAGACGCTGAGGGCGCTTGTGAGGATGGTGACGCCTCTTCAGTTGCTGCAGACGTAGAAGGAGAAGCAGTAGCGGCTGGGGAGGAGGCCGAGGTGGTGTTTTGGTTCAAATTCGCACCCGGACTTGAATTCGAAGCTTCCAAATCAGAGGTTGATTTCATAGGTGTCATTCCCCATTTCCCTCTCACCCAACCACCGACCAATCGGCCGAAACCACGGCTGGACGGTTGTTCCACCGGAGCAGCAGAGACCTTGGGAAGGCCAGCGAGACCACTCAGTGCTTCGATGCTCTGACTCGGGTACGCATCGTCGGCCGAGGGGATGTTGTTTGAACTGACGGACCTCGGGGAACTCAGCGCTGTGAATTCCGTCACGGTGGTCGAGGGTTGCGCAGCTGGCAACATGCGTGCCGCCGAAGGGGAGAGAGCAAAGTATGCTCGGTTGCCTTTGAGGAAGCTTGAGGAGTGTGACGTGGCGGTGGTAGGGCGTTTCGCAATGTGTATGTCCATTCCGGAGATGGAGACGAGGGATTCGTGAGAATTCGTGCGCCGGTGGTGGTTCGTCGGCATGTGACCTGCGAAATCATCAAATTCTGGCTCTTGCTGCGTCGGCGTGATTTCTCTCGAGTTTCTCTTGGTTGTATCTGCTGAGGACGTGAAACTGGGCTCCTCAAGCCGGATATCTAACACCTTAGGCGTTGATACCGTCGTACCATCCGGCTCATCAGCTTCTATTCGAAACTCCGACGGCCCTGGATCATCATCGGATTTATCACTGTCAGTTGTGACGAGAATCTGAGAAGGTTTAGGTGTCAGGTCCTGAGATGAACCCCGGACTTCTCCATCTTCGTCTTCTTCCGCTGTTGTTTCCGCCACTTCTTCTTCTGGCGGCAGGCCTTGCAGCTTATGCATATGTAATGAGACATTGCGGTGCGGTGCTTCGTCGTCAAGAAGAGCTTCTTCGTCGGGAGACTGTGGAATTGTGTCCTCCAGTCTGGACTGGAAGCTTTTATACCTGGGCTCGGAAAAGCCAGCGGCGGATTCTGGACTCGTTGGCCTCGACGAATCCTCACCTGCTTCGATTCGATCGAATATCGAACTGCTCGGCTCGTAATACGACCTTGGTGAGCTTGGGAAACTAGACAGCATCGACGACCCCGTAGCAGCTGACTGTACGGACCAGCGATTGTACCTTGGTTGAGGGTGGTGAAGTGCGAGTGGTAAGATGGGACTTGAGACATGTCGGCTGGGTCCCGAGAGAGGTGTGTTAGGCGCAGATGATTCTGGAGTCGCAGGAAGAGTGCTGAGTCCGAACATGGGTCGTTTGCGCGTAGTCCTTCGGACTGTGGGGGTACGGTCTCGTCTAGCGGCAAGCTTCGCGTGGTAATGATGGTGTACGTGTACCTCTTGTTGGACTTGTTTGGGCGAGGATTCGGACCAGGATATCTGCTCGCTCAAAGGTCTCGACTGCGGCGAGTCTTCCAGCATATGGTCGTAATCGATAGGCTGATGGTGCATTATCTGTTCGCGTAGATTTTGTACTTCCTCATTGGAGTTTTGCAGTAACTCTCGAAGCTCGGCGATTCCGGCTTGGAGGTTTGCATTGTCCTGGAGAATGTCACGCACGAAGTGGCTGACAACATTATTCTTCGCCGCTCCATTGCCCTTCAAACCTTGCAGCGCCGCAGCACCTTTCAGTCTGCCTTCCGCTCCGCCCAATTCACGTTCCAGAGCCCTCTCTCTTTCAAGCCTCGCTATGGTTTCTTCATGTCGATGCCGATCTTGCTTGGCTTCCCATTCGATCCTTTGGACTTCATACTCGAGTTGTCGGACTTTGAGCATGCTCTCTTTCCATCGTTGAATAGTGCTTCGAGTCTCTTCTTCAGACTCTTCAACCTTTTCCGACAGCGTGATGCGTTCCCTCTCCAGATCCAGCATCTTGAGCTCCAACTCTTCGGTCCGTCGGCTGAGACCGTTCAGCTTTCTAACCTCATCTTCACAGTCGCGTAGCAAAGTCTCAAGACTCTTGACACGTTCATCGCTTTCTTTCAGTGAGGTATTGGCAGACTCTAATTGATTGAGCAGTTCTCTGTTCTCTTCCACGATCTTCTGGTTGGCGGCTTGCAGCGAGTTGCGCTCCGTCTCCAGTTGATTGACATAGTTTGTAAGTCTTTCGTGCTCAAGTTGGGACTCGGTAACGTAGGATTCATGGCGGTTGAGGAGAGCCTGCAGCGCAAATGTTAGCCCACTACCGGTCTGCCGTTTCTCTCGTGAGGCCGTGGCTGAGGCGGCCATGAGTTGATCTATCTCCATCTTATGGCATGATGTCGATACCAGAAAATTCTCAAACGAGAGAGCAAGCGTGGTGAACCCTGAAAAGATATCCTAGTAACGTGGATCTCTGGTTTGATGGGCACAAATAATCTGTTTGCTCGTTGCACCATAAAATTGCGAGAGATCCAAGCTCCTACACCACTTCACTCGAAGCCATTCTGGCCGAGATCCGAGAGTCACCGGACGAGTGCACGTACCTGACCTAGTCTTGCAGCGGTCTCGAGGTCTCTCTCAATGCCGCCGAGAAGAGTGTTGTTGTTTTCCAAGTAGGCGCATTCTGGGCGCCCACAACAACATTGCAATTTCATATCAGATGTCAAGGTGTGATTTTCATTGGTCGAACTCATAATGGTGTCAATGGCGTCGGGAATGTGGCCAGAGCGCGTGTCAGTGCTCGGCGTGGAAGGCATGTCATCGTTGGTATGACAAAAGGTCTTGAAGCGGGAGGAAGTCGAGTTAAAGGGAGTAGCCATGTCGTGGACATGTCGAGAGAGTCACACAAGACCATCGATAGGCAGAGGACGAGTTTCGCAGGGTGAAGGTCGAAGCCGAGGAGCGCGTTGTAGAGTTCGATATGGAGTAAAGTAGAGTGGATGGACTGCGGCCGTGATGGATCTGGATGGAGTTGCGGAAACAATTCGCTGTCACCGTTCATCATTTGCCGAACTCGCCAAGGGTCACGGACGTCTACATATGCGACCCGGCAATCATTGGCCCAGCCTTTTCACCTATGAGGTCGGTGAAACGGCCTCTGACATATAATTCTTTGTTCAACAGTGACAGGTCGTGCTCGGCTCTTGCAGATGAGTGGTGGAAGATACTCATGTATCAGCTGTCATCTGATGGGGTCTTCATCTTTGTCATGAATAGCACAGCTGAAAACCAGAAAGCAGGGAATTAGTTGTGAGATTAGCGAGACAAGATCGTGGTCCTTGAGCCAGATGTATCCTGGCCCGTTCCCAGAGTCTTCTCGTTATTCTGCTTCCTGTACTATGGGGCTATGTCTGCGTCTATCTAGTACACTCTGCACGGCATCCCGTACTTCGGGGTTATTTCTCAGCGCAGACAGGAGCAGAGACTCTTTCATTCCGGTCCTGAGGATCTCAGACTTCTCAGCATCACCCTTGAAAGGACTCAGCCCTAATTGAAGGAGGTTCCCTGACTCCGCATCCAGTCTGTTCGCTGTTTGTGCCAGATGTGCAACCTGCTGATGCATCTGCTGATCCTTTAATCCGGGGTTCCGTGCCGTTGGAGGAGCCAGTTGCGAAATGAATATATTGAGAGACATGGACATCCTTCTTGCCAGTGCTAGAATTTGGAAAGGGAGAAGGTGTGGTGGTAACAGTTGGGGCATAAGCGCGTATGCCGTATTGGCCCAGAGGTTGACAAGTCTTGGAGGGTTCCAGGTATGAGTCAGGAAGTATAGTTCGAGGAAGGCCATACAGGCAATGGCAAAATACCTCCAGAATTGTCCCCATTTCGGCAACCAGATGTAGTTCAATAATATGAGCACAGCGGCGTTGGACAGATATTCTGGTGCTTTTGAACGCAGCCCCGCGTAGACATAGTCTCGAATATTCCTCAGCCCTGGTTGATTGACCTGAACAATGATAGGACCGAAGCGATCATATGCGAAGCGTTTGGCTGGGTCGAGGATGGTGTCATGGGCTAACTTGAGGTGCACGAACACAGCGTCGGCTCCTGGAAACACCTGCCCGTTTTCATGTAGTTTATCTGGATGATACCGCGAAGCAAGCTTTCGAAACCGGCTCTTGACCTCCCGATCGGTCGACCAGGGTGTGACCCCGAGAATCGTGTAGAAGTCACCGGCGAGGTTGACATCGTAGAGAGCCTGCGCAAGGGTATAAATGAGGTAGAGGGACAAGACGAATACACGAATTCGACGATTGTGGTAGGCGAATAGAGGCTCCCCCGGCTGAGGATGTCGTCGCCCAGCACTAATCGTCAGCCTGTAATAGAGGGACTGCAGAAAGGCTGCGGCATACTATGTATTTGTTATGATTAGCCATTTACTCAATGATCAACAACAAAGCCACATGCTGTTCACGTACAGCAGGGAGAAAGGTCCAACCCAGGAGAGAAAACCCTTGGGACACAACGCTGTCGGCCATGATGTCTTTGTGAATGACGGCGATCAAGATGTGTCCCTCGAGACAGAAAAATGCGCCTGCGCATACGATGTACGGAGTTGAGAAGTGGAAATGGTGTCGAGTGTTTCCACTTGGACGTGTTTTTGGAGTGGAACAAAAAACTCATGTCTGACTGAAAGTAAATTATGATCATCCTGCCTAGAAAGTCCCCCGCCTCAACACCACCCTCAACTTAGACCTCTGTGTCAGACTGGACATATAATTAACAGCCTGCTGATATGCCAATTCTGGTACTCCGTACTGTTGCCCACTGTAGCTTCCTGAATTCTCATCCATATTGATTCATTCTCAGTACTTCAGTCAAAGACCAGCATAGCTGAAAGCAAACTCGTTCAAAGCCGCCGCTTTCCCAGTATATCTGCTGCTCTTCACAAAATCTGACAGCCACTCTTTCAACTCCATTTGTCGGCCTTCAGGCAAGTACTTCAGTACATTCGCGATAGCAGAAGCTCGCCAGTGACAGTTGGCAATGTCGAGAGTCTTCAGTGCTTGAACTGCCGCTGGATTAACACTAAAAGGCTTGAAGTTGCGGTAGTTCTCCAACATAATCCAGAGTAGGTCTGCGGCTGATTCTTCGCTCCCAACATCAAGTTCAATGAGTCTCTCCTCGAGGGCATCCGCATAGGCACTGATGGCGTCAAAAACCGCCAATGCCTTGAAATTTTGTCTCAAAATGGACTTCCCTTCCAGCTGTGCGTGCAGGCCAACTATAATGCACACCACGATGAGCAGACACCTCTGCTGTGCGACACCCTCATCGATATCACCATACACGCTGATCAATTTGCCCGACGTCTTACGAAAGAGAAATTCCTGCAATCTGTTGTTCTCGCCCACAAAGGAATGTCGATGTTTTGGCGGAAGCAGGATGCGATCGCGCCATATTCGATCGACCTCTCCAAGCAGAGTCTTCAACCACTTGAACCGTGTGGTGGCGTCTTCCGTGCTCCAGACAAATGAAGCTTGTGGATCTTTATAGATGCCCTCGAACCATAACGCCTGCTCTTCACGGAGACGGTCATGTAGCCCTCCTCGAAACCCGAGTTGTTTTATAATGTCTCTTGCTACCTTGAAGTGTAAGTACGACTTTTCGCGATCACCATACCTCTGCTCAAATGTGGCAAGGCTGATGGTTGATGTAAGGATCTCCTTTCTGTCGGCTTGTGAGCCTCGTGCCACTTGTTTTCTCAGGACTGCGAGAGCATTGCCTTGGTGCTTCAGGGCGGCAACTTCAAGGTCTTTCTGCTTTGTCGCTGAGACATATTTGTTCAGACGGAGCTGATGCAAGGCAGACCGGGCCATAAGGATGTGGAAATGGGTACGCGAGAGACTGGTCTGGTATTCCCACGACCCTTTAATGCTAGGCCTGATGCTATTCGATAACGCATACGCAGTCTGCCAATACAAGTCCTGCCCGTAGAAGTGAAGGAGCTGGTTGGTCACTTCGTCGATGTCGACCGGAAGTTGACCGAACGGGTCTACCATGCAGGCAGATATCGATCGCTGCCAGGCTGTCTGAGGGACGTTGATCAGCTCGAGAGAACTTCCGCGCGACGAAGTGGCTCTTCTGGAGCCATGTTGCGAGTCAGGAAGTGTCTCGCGTTCGTCATCCTCGAACTCCAGGCTGCTGCTGGTCGAGCTACTCGGCGTTGAGGAGACCGAATCCGTCATGTCTGAGAAGGGGCCTGCAGAGCCTCCATTCCCTGTACATCAGACAGGGTTCGGTCGGTGGCTCATTCGATCAGTTCATGCAATAATCCTGTCGACACGTGTGCGCTGTGATGGGAAAAGGAGGGAAGGCCACGCTCGAGCCGGGCGCTGCCTAGAGGTATAGTACATTCTCCCAGTACTACCCCTCAACATTTCCAGACAGAACAACCCAGGGCGCTATTCCTTACTCTTGCAGGGGTTAGACGGGAACGGGGCGGCGGCCTGAGGAAGAAAAACGGTAGGAATGCATCGCTTATTGGTGAAGCCATTCGGTTCGTGCAAGGCCTAGCCAAATCCTGCTATACTACTTGGAGCTAAGTGCTTCCCTATTCGGCCAGCACACGTATATCTTCGTTGTCAAAAGGCCATCGCGAAGCCTCGTCGAACCTAAACAAGCAGGCTATGTGGTCATGTCATTGGCTATGAGAGGCTTTGAAATTTGTTTGACGTTGGTCGTCAAAGTGAAATTGAAGATATGTCTGGCTGCATATCTCGCCCGAGTCTCACGCCGAGTCTGTCTACGCCAACGCCAACGCGAATTTCGCAACGGCTTTACAGTAGGGGCGGTGAAATGTCCATGCACAAAACAGGCCGCCGATCCTTGTGGGATGACAATTCAAGAATCCGAAAGTGTAAGCGAATGTGGAGAGGAATAAACGAGACCGAAAACACGCTCACACCAAAATCCATCCGTTTCTATGCGTGAAGTTGCTTCCGATTCCTTCGTTCTGCGAGTGTCCCTCTCTCATAGCGAGGCCAATTTCAGTCATTCACCTTCGTCCAACATGACCTTTAAGCTTTTAAAGCAGTGCATTTCTCCATAGAGGTGAATTGCTTCAGTCCGAAGATTCCCGCGAAGCCAACTGCAGTAGCCTTTTGTTCACCCCAAGAGGTGAGAAAAGATGAGAAACACGGCACACTAAGTACATTGACCATTCCAGAATAGAAAAACAGTCATGGCGCTACTTTCCGGATACTTTGAAGCTACTTCCCTTTTGGCCTTCTTTTTTGGGGGGTCTTCGGATTCCGGATGGATGTTTACAGTACTGTAGTACTCGTAAGAAGACCCTGGACCTTCTAGTTTTCTTTTTGGTGGTTGGAATTTTATTTCCGCCTTCTCCTGTATAAATCAACACGAGGTCAAGATTTCGCAAATTTCCCTCTAGGATAAGTACAGAACAGTACACATTGTGCCTGTCACGTCAGTACAATGGCCAACCTGGCTTGACGAGGGGAAACCACTCCTACTGCACAGAATTGAATTCCGTGGAATACCGAGTCTAGGTACCTACTGTTAGGTAGCACTTTGTATTTTATCCGTAACCCCTCCTCACCCCTCGAAAGGTACTACTCAGTGTGCAGATCCCTGACCCTTGCGATCCATACAAAAGCTCGGACTCGCCAGGTCACCCATACTCAAATGTCTCCGGTAGAAAGACTCGGTGCTACTCCCACGATCCGCTATCAGGATCATCCCTCTGAGATGTGGCATGGCCTTGAACGTGTCGTCTACACACTCCATCATCCACACCCCCAATCTCTTGCCTCTGTGTTCGGGCAGGATGTACACGTCCGTCAGGTAATTGACCGTCACCATGTCGGTGATCCAACGGGCGAAACCTATCAATCTGCCTGGACTTGCATTTGCACTTGCCTGTCGGTGTGCCGTGTTGTCTTCGGTACTATCGTCTGCGGCCGTATCGTAGAGAGCAAAGCAAAGCGACCTCTGGACGAATATTCGGAGTTGGTCGAGCGGTAATGGTTTCCCCCAGTGAAAGTCGTCGGATGCAAAAATGTCATTGAGCGACTCGAGTGGAATGAGTGATGGATCGGTGGAAATGATGTGGTTGCCTCTTGTCCAGTCGCGGATGGGCATTTCCAGAGCCATTGTTGTATCCCGTCTGACACTCCTCGGTGTCGAAATTGTAGGGGTTGGACTTTGTACTCGCGGAGTAACTCCCGGACTATTTCGTCGGATTCTTTGTTGTACCCCGGACGTTTGTAGCAAACCACCTCACACCTTTTGTTCGGGCGGACGGTAACAAAGTAAAGGTACTGACAAGTTTGATTAGGACAACGAGTCTGTGGTTTCAAAAGAGAGCCCGTCGCCACGAGGTTGTCAGTAGTACATTGGTCGACTACCTCTTTTCCTTGAGGAAAAGTGTGGCCACAAAATAAACACCGGACTTGTCAGTATTGACCATGGCAATGACTCACTCCTCCAAGGCCCTGCATCGATCAGGTAGCCACATAAAGACCAGGTTTATAGGATACAATAACAATGACCGTCAGAACGTCCTTTCATTGACACTGTCACCAGCACTGATGTCTCCACGATCTGTCGGTAGTAGAAAATTACAGTCCAACATGTTTTAGTTGTCTGTTCTGTACTTTTGTAAAAAGAAAAAAAGAAAAAATTATACTTTTAGCCACTCCGTTCCCCGTATACACCTATTAAGTAGTAGACCACGATTTTTCCACTTTTCCGAACCCCCATGACATCGAAATACGAGGCACCTACTCCGTACTTGTAACCCATACAACGAACGAGATTGTGGAAATGTTTATCCGCATCAACACTCTCGCTATATCAAACTAGTCCAAAACCACAGAGTGCAAGATACATAAATTTAATGTATGCCTCCAGCGTCACATCGATCTTGGATTTTTCTCTGGACGGTTTGTTCTGAATGCGTTGTTCACGCGTAATGTAACGAGATTGGGTTTTGACCGTCTCACGGTTTATTTTGGTCGACAGAACAAGATCTACGAGTCAACTTCAAGGTGGATCGAAACATACGAATCTGAAGTACCGAAATGACGGAAAAATAAACAATACTTGTAAAAACGTGAAACATGCTGCATGCCGAAATGAAGGGAAATCTCTTGAAAACCATGGACATGAAAAAATGGCTAAAATGATTTTGATGCGATCAACAACAAAAACAAAACAAAGGGACATGATCCGACCATTACAAAAATGTATACAAGTATACCCTCAATGAAATGTCCTCTAATTGCTCCTTCTTTCTTCTCCTTTCATGTGTGGTCATGTCTCATACGTAGATGTAGCACAAGGGGCCACCGGTGGTGCTCATGACATCCTGGTTCTGGACAGACTTGGACAGGCTGCCCATGTTGATGGGGTCGGTGAGCTTTCCGGGTGGGCTGCCGGTCGGGTCGAGCGTCGAGGTGCCGCCGGTGAAGGCGGACTTGCGGTCCTTGAGGTCCATGTTCTGCCACATCCACCAGGTGCGGTCGATCTGGGCGTGGTGCAGGAAGAAGGTGGGCTCGGCGGGCGAGGCGAAGAGGTCACCGCCCGGGTCGCCGCCGGTGGTGAAGTGACCGCCGGTGTGGACACCGTAGAAGCCGGTGGCGAAGTCGCCCTGCATGCGGTTCTGGAAGGATCCGATGTCGTTGTAGTTGGTGATCAGGTCGTACACGTCCGAGTCCTTGGTCCAGTTGGACGAGACCCAGGAGGAGATGTCGCGGCGGAGGCAGCGAGGGTTGTAGGCGAGAGGGTTGGGGTTCGTGTAGTTGATGATCCCCGGGATGGCGAGCGTGGGGGACACGGGACCAAGGTTGACCGTGTAGTTCTTGAACGGCCCGGTGTTGACGCAGCCGCCGCCCGATCCGGGAGGGATGCAGTTGAGGCCGGTGGGCAGGGCCTTGGTGCAGTTGTGCGGCGCGTACTGGCCGTTGCCGGACATGCTGTAGTCAGAGCCGTCGAAGAGAGGGCTGTGGATGGGGTCGAAGGCGTACTTGCCCCAGTTCCAGTACGGCTGGTAACCGGTGTAGCCGCATTCGTTCCTCAAGGCTTGCTCGAACGACCAGGTGAAGTATCTGTGCCACGCGAGGAAGTTTGCCGTTCCGTGGATGGACAAGGTCTGGTTGATGTGGACAGCCACAAAGTCGTCGTAGCGTGACTTGGCACCTGCGGCGAACGCAGGGTCCTGGGAAGGCTTGGACATCAGACAGAGTTCAGCATCAATGTATGCTCGTCGTTCTTGCTTCGACAGGGTCGACCATTCCCGACGCACAGCTGCGTTGAGAACGTTGCAGCTTCCAGACGGGTTGGTGAGTTGGTAGATGGCCAGGTTGACCAACGCTTTGGCACCAAGGATGTCCGTTTGCAGAGTTGAAGCAGGCATATAAAACGATTGAGCGGAGGCCGCGGCCGTATCCCGCTCTGCGAATAAGTTCAGGTCCTCGGCGGGGGACGAGGCTGGAGCAGCCCGAGCGCCGTATACGGCCAGGACGGCCGGTACAACGTGCTTGAGTTGCATGCTGGTGAAGTTCAAATCAAAGTCAAAACGGGAGAAGAGGAAGAAATGATCAGCGAGTGGACAGTCAGAACCTAGAAGCCAAGGATCCAACCAGATTTCAAGCTCGTGGCAAAGCCAGGATGTGATGGAGAAAAGTCTGGCGTATCCTGGAAGAAGTCCAAGACCACGAGTTATATATCTCTGGGGAGATCTCCTTGTCCGCTGCCACGTGGGTGGTCTTGATAGTGGCTTCACCACGCGAGATTGGAAAGAGTGGGAATTTCACGACAAGAATAGAGTAGTATAATGAGGGGGGTGTCAAACATTGAGCGTTTAAGAACTAAATGCTCTTTTTGACTGTGCTGAAAGGAAAGCTAACGAGGATCTATTGAGTGTCCTAACCGCGTCTGATGGGGGGAGGAATCCGCAGAGAGACTGACGGACTGCACTTACGGCAAATGATGGGTTGCCGCTGTCAAAGGCAACACCACCTGAGCCCATAGAAAACAAATGATTTTAGACTCAGCTTACGACCACCTTGGCCGACACGTTGTGTGGTGGGATGGAGCATAGCCACCGATGATCATTTCGCTTCTCGAAGGTTACCATAAACAGGGTATTTCGGCAGTTGTGGATGAAAAGGTCTAGTATGGCCGCAATAGACTGGAGGGTCCGGAGAATTGTCTCGCCCGGTCGAAATGTTGATGTGGTCAGGCAAAGTCACACAAGGGTCTTGCATGAACAATTTTTCATTTGCTTTCAAGGGCCAGGGCCGAGAGCGGAGGGAGGGAGCTGTGAGGGAATATATGCCCATTCGCCAGGAAGGGGCATGATATGCAAGGAGGGCCTGGCGAGCATGCGACGATCGAGGCGACAGGACGAACATGCACCAACTTGCAGTGAGTAGTACTCCGCAACGCGAGTTGTGATACGCAGGACCACAGAATGGGTACCTGGTGGTGCTGGTAGCGAGGTGCTGTAGAAATGTGAAAGGGACATTGGAAAATTGGAGCTCGAATTGGGCTTAGCTTGTTCCAACGCTAGATACAGCTAAAGGTGGCGTTAATCCACATAAAGCTAGCCGAGTCCTAGCGGAACAGGCTAATATCACCTTCTCTGAAAAATTCCCACCTGGCCCCCATTTGCTCTCAACACTCTCCTCCGTGCTCCACCATCAACGAGAATCTGCGCGACTCGTCCCGCTGGAGATGCCGCTCCTGGTCTCCCAGGGATGTGTGCAAGCGAGGGAGCCTCAGCGTCAAAGCTTCCACCAGGTCATGAGCGAGGTGTGCGCGATATGTCAAGGCTGACCAGGGCGCTATTGTACATGGTACAGTTGCCAGGCGTCCATTTTCTCCTGAAAGCTGGGACCCCGAGACATACTGGGCTGTTCACGTTTACGCCGAGACTTTGTCTAGCAGGTCAGGGTCTTGCAGCGAACAGCAATGATCAGTCAGCCCTGCTAACCCGTACTGGTACCAGACTCGACGGGGCCTGGAAGCCAGATCCATGGTCCGGCCGGACAAGTGTCGCATTTGTTCTTGATTTTTGATTCTGATACGGCTGTGCAGGTCTGGCTAGGAGAAAAGCGCCAGGAACTCCAGCCTCGCTTGCCTTGATTTGTTAAAGCGTGACAGGTGGACAAGCGATGTGCCAGGGCCGGTGCATCTTCCGCATCGTCCGTTCACGCCACATTCCCAGCTGCGTTATTGGCATTCAGCAGAATGCAGTTGTCGAGGGCTTTACGTGATCCACTTGCCTGAGCCTTCTTGACACCGATGTCATTGAAAGTGGAAGGGAAGCCGTTTGCTGCTCGGGCGTGGCGCACAAAATGCACCAGGAGGTACAACCTGCAACCCTCACTAAACCCGGACCGACCATTTCGAATCTTCGAAACAGTCTAGCCACAGTATGAAGCGAAGAATGCCAGGAATTAATTGTCGGCTTGCACAGCAAGGCTAGCTTTAATATCTCCTTTTATTAAAAAATGTTGCTATGATGGGGAATTTTGAAGCGATGTGCTCACATGTCTCCCTTTTGATCTAGAGATACACGGATTCTTGGGACTTGGCTGCAAAGTCTTAAATCGTCCCGCATCCGCGTCTTCATCATCAGCCTCCTCTTATCCTGTCCCTTGGCTGTCAGGTCTCGAGCGTTACAGACATATGTCCTTTTAAACCTTCCGATGCCCTGTTGAACCTCAGTTGCAACAAGGTTCACCATGCTCACCCCGGAGCTCGGTTCTCTCTTGGTGGAGCGCCAGGCTGCGAACGCATCGACCCCTCAATACAAGGACGAGTCGAATGCTGCAAACCTGCTAGCCATCCATGGCACTTTCTGTGGTGTAGCAGTTTTGTCTGTGTTGCTTAGACTCTATGTGAGAATTTTCATGCTCAAGAGCGTCGGGGCCGATGATTATCTTATTGTTGCTTCAGCGGTAAGTGCCTCTACTGATCTTTCCATCGCCCATTTGTGGTGCGACATCCCCCACTGACTCAAGTCATCTTCCAGGTTATTTCCATCGGAGTTTTGGTATGCTTCGCAGGTGAAGCCGGTGCTGGTGGCTTAGGTCGACATCCAGCTCTTGTTGACGCAAAGGATTGGGAGAACTTCATGCATTGGCGGTTCTTTCACTCTTTGATTGTCATGGTGGGAATCTCCCTGGTGAAAATCTCCATCGCCTGCTTCCTCCGTCGATTTGCACCACAGAAGAACTATCAGCGTGTCTTGATCGGTTCAATCATCTTTTTGGTTGCATTCACGATTTCTTGTGCCGGGACCTTGATATTCAACTGTGGTGCAAAGCCCCAAGCCAACTGGGACTTTGCATTGCGAGTCAATGGACAGGCCAAATGCTTCTCGAATACTACCTTTACCAATATCGGCATCTTCAACAGCAGCATCAACATTGCGACCGATGTCCTCTTCGCTCTACTGCCTATACCTATCGTCTGGAATTTGCAAACCAACATGCGGACCAAGATTACCCTCATCTTCATTCTAAGTCTGGGTCTGTTCGCCTGTGTTGCCAGTATCGTCAAGACGGTCTACCAAGCCAACGCACTCATGGACCCTGACTGGACGTTCCGGGACAGCTTCTTCATGTGGAACAACATCGAATTCAACATCGGGATTTTGGCCGCGTCGTTGCCTGCTCTCCGTCCACTATTCTCCAAGATTCTCGGTGCCACCCAGAAGTTCACCTCGAGCGCAAGCCGTAACAAACAGAACTATGCAGGGTACGATGCCGACGGTCTTGCGTACCGTAAGAACGATGCACGGAACTCTCGGAATCCTGCACGACAATATTATCAGTTCGACTCACAGCACTCGACCGAGCTGAATGACCTGCACAGGGGTGCCAGCAAACGAGCATTCGGAGACGACCCTAACAAGGTGCAGGGAGTCACCAGCACCGTCACGGCTGGTGATGATGGCAGTGACAAGATCATGCTTGAGCAAGATTTCCATGCCATCGGAACGGACAAAGAGTGGGAGAAGCAAAACCCGGGGATAACCAAGACTACGACGGTACAAGTCACGAGATATTGAGGCGTTGGTTGACGCGAGATATGGAGGTATCTCCAGGGTCAATAACAGCATAAGAGCAAGGGAAGATGTCATAGCGCACATCATGACTGCCCTTGTCTCGATTGCTACGAGTAAAGGCCATTTTGGTTTACGCGACTGACGCAGTTGATGAGGAGACACCCGGCGAGAGTTTGTATTTGTATATACCAAAACGTCTTTTTGCGACACGTTGGACAATGGATCACGGCACAAACACACATGGACGTTTTCCACCTCCCGCGGGTTCGCATTCCAGATCGAGAATATTTTCTATCGCAACATGTGTACATATACATAGCTGTACATACTGTATCTCTATCCGTAACACAACTGGACATACCCTCTGTTTCAAAAGGTCGACATCGTCTTGCAACTCTCAACTCTGACGCAAAGATCGATCAGCGCCTCGGGCGTTCGAACCCATTCGAAAGCCCCCAATCACTTTTGGTTAATGATCGTCGTGATTCAGAGCCCTGTACTGTACAATACTCGTATGTGTGGAGTTTCGTCCGTGCAGTTTGGCTCGAGCCCAGCCACCATGGGGCAGGTACTCCGTACAGCAGGGTATGACTTTCTTTCAGATCGGCTCATACTGCAGCTGCTGCAAGGCCCTGCTTTCGCTTAAGTCGAGAAGGCAGGAGACAAGACGATCAACAAGCTAAACTGTCCCAACACGAGAGATACTACTCCCGCCCAGTGGGCCCCCTTCCCTCGTGTCTTTTTGATGCTGCTGCTCTCGCGGAGAGCTGTGATCTGGCCAGCAGACTTTCTCTCGAGCTCGAACCGACCACGGGAAACCAATTTCGCCTCAAAGCAAGGTTTCCATTCTCCCTTTGACAATCCGGCTCCTCCCGGACACATGTTCGAGTCCGATAAACAAAGCTCCGATTGTTGAACTCTCCACCCACTTCAAGCTTCGCGTCGTATGATACAGGGTACTTGGACGGGAGTCTCTACCGAACGAATCCCAACTTTTGCCACGGGCTGTGTCTTTGCATGGACTGATCAACACACAGTTTCGCGATTGACATGGCATGATGGATTGCCGCATGCAGCCTTCGACAGGGAATAGCCATGCAGCGCAGCCCGGGCAGTCCGGTCCCTTGCATCAGCCGACGCCGAAACTCGCCTTGTGCCAGCCAAGGGGGGGTAAGCCCTGTGACACTCGTTCGGCAGTGCCAAGACTTTATGCACAGCTCCACACAAGATCCATAATCTCATTTGTGCGGGGCCAGACGAGAGAAACCAGTCTCGACACTTGACGCAGAACTACTGTATCTACTAACTATTGTAGACCCCCGAACTAGAGCTAAAGTTACGAGGCGAGGTTATTAAGTTACATGCGATGGGCAGAAGGGGATCGATGAAGGTGCCACTGGACCACCTCAACAGGGCAAGATACGGTGGATCATGGTCCTGAAAAGAGGACTGATACTAGTCCTTCTACTCGTCCAGCATAATAGCCACTTCGAGACCTTGGACCGACAGAGTACCATCCCAGCACTTGTACTCCGTATTCCAGGTCACAATCTTTGATCTTTGCTACAGTCCTCCTCCCATGAGACTCAGTTTATCGCACTACGCTCGAATGGATGTGGACCACCCCTAGACAAGACCAACCCATAGCAAACGATGCGACCTCTGTCCGATCCATCCGTGGAGTACTCCGTATTGGTCGAAGTACTCAGTACGGACACATGGGATGGAATCTACGGAGGCAAGGCCTTGGCCACGCTATACTGTACAGTCCATCGAGATGCAGCATGCAGACGGATACTGTGGTATGTTCATGCATGATTACTCTGTACTCGCACCCATGGGAAGGGTTCGGTTTCGAACGGTCTAGAATGACTCGGTTGACTCCATTGCACACAAGTCTGCATACAGTACGGAGTATGATCTCTTGACGGGGGACCATGTTCATGCGTCTCTCGGTCGACGCCAGAGAAAAAAAAAACCTTCGGGCCCTTTCCTTGGACTTGTCTCCGTTTATGTCCAAAGTACATTTTTGGTCAGGTCTAGCAATACTCAGGTTAGGTATGCACTTTACTCTGTGTCCCTCGTATCCCGTACTCCCTATACGGAGTACCAACTTGCCTGACCTTTGTCCTTGTCCTCTCTCTGCCAATGCCACTCCACTTGACTGCACTCGTACTAACAAGTATCTCGTGTTGCCTCGGCCTGTGGGAAAAACTTGGACGAACAAGGTACTATCCTCCGTCGTCTTCTACCGTCTTCTACCGTCTTCAAGGGGCTCGTCATTTCGATTTTTTCTCTCTCTATACTAGTGCTTTTGACTTGGGATGGGGTCCAAAAAAAAGAAGAAGAAGAAGGGGGATAAACCACATGGGAAAGAAAGACGAATCGATTGGCAACACGGACTAGGGGAGTTACAGGGTGAAGGGGTTCTGAAAGGTGCCAAGGTCGAGTCGAAGGATGAGATACAAGCGTTTTTTTAGGACAAAGTGCTTCATTGGGGTTTCATCACCGATGACTTGCCTTCTCGAATTTGACGGACAGGGGGTGAATTGCACTCTGTAGTTCTCTGCTGTACTGTGGTGTAGCCGTGTACTCGTACTTTTGGAGCAAAGTACTCCGTATGCTGAAGCAATTTCTTGACGATCTTGACATCCATGTCACTTGTAAGTGGCAAGGGATCGACGTCGTCACACGAGTACCTCGATCAAAAGTACGGAGTCAAAAGGGTCTTTGTCGATCCTTTGATCTACACCATGTCAATTCTGATATTTTACATGTCGTACTCCGTAATAAGGCCTCCACTGCACCGTGTCGTTCTTACTTACACGTCGATCGACACGCCAAACGATGTAACGAGCGGAGTGTAATTCTGTACTCGTAGAGGGGTACCTCGTACCGTTGAGGCTTGAGAAAAACAAAACAAATCAAGTCAAGTAAGCTAGCTCCAGTAATAGCAGTTACTTGTTGGAGTTGCGAGCGCGAGTTGCGAGTTGCGAGTACGGAGTACTTGTCCAGAGCTATTTCTTGACGAGAGAACCCTGTCTTGGACCCCCAGTATGAGACCCTGTTACTTTGTTGTCGTCCAGTAGAAGGATAAATGACAGTGGGACGAAACGACGAAGAGAACAAGGTAAAAACTTTGTGTAAATGACTTGTTGGGTTGACTGTCTGCTTTTGAAACAAATCTCATGCCCGAGAGGTGTCCTTCCGTACACAAGAAAGGCTGTACAGTCATACTCCGTATGTGTTTCATAGACTAGCTTGTAACACATCCTCTCCTCCTTGAATCTCCTTCTTCGAAGGCATCTTGTTGTGTCTCATCAACTCGGCACATTTGACCATTATCGGATCCATCATCATACTGGCCACCGCGACGACCGTGTCGCCCTTGCAGTAATAGGCCGCAAACTTGCCATTGTCGGGCTCGCCTTTGATCACCACGTCATCCCAGCCGTTCGGCGTCGAGCCACAGTACCTCAACTGGCTACCCAAGGCGGACCAGAAGATCGGGATGAATGGTTTCGGCTTACTTCCTGGCTGGGCGATCAGCTGCCCGACGGTCCGACCCATGTTCTGCGCGACGTTCCAATGTTCGATGCGCACAGGAGTGTCGTTCCCGGCGGGCCCATTGTAAGGGTACGTGGCGATGTCGCCAATAGCATAGACATCGCTGAGTCCGTTGACCGCAAAGTTCTTGTCCACGGCGACACTGCCGTCCTTCTCCAACTTGACCTTGGCGTTGTTCTCGAGGTATTCTGTCGCGGGCTTGACACCGATGCCGAGAATGACGAGGTCGGCCTCGAGTTCGGTGCCATCTTTCAGCTTGACTGCCCCGACTGAGCTCAGGCCGACCGCGTTGGCAACCTTCGAGGCTGGAACTGCAGAGTCGACGCTGGCGTTGAGGTAGAACTTGCCACCGTTCTTCTCGAGCATCTTCTGGAAGATTTTCCCCACCTCGGCTCCCATGACACGTTCCATGGGTGCGGACTCCATGCCCACGATGCTGACGGAGTTGTTTTTGGCCAGGGCGTTGGCAACTTCCATGCCGATGAAGCTTGACCCGACAATCACAATCTTCTTGTTTCCATCACCTACCGCATTCATGATTGCTTGAGTGTCACTAATCTGTCGCAATAGGAAGATATTGGAGAGATCCTTGAACCCAGGCAGTGGGAGGTTTCGCGGTGTGCCGCCGCTGGCAAGGATGAGTTTGGTATATGGGAATGCCTTGCCTGTCTTGGTCTTTACTTCTCGAGAGTCAAAGTCCACACTGGTCACGGTGTCGGAGAAGAATTCTATGGAACCATCCTTGTAGAATTGTTCAGGTTGCAGGTAGATTTGTGACGCATCTGTGATGAGGGCTTTTGACAGTTTTGTTCGGTCAATTGGGAGTCCTTCACCTGTGATGACGGTGACATGGCCTTGGTATCCATGTTGACGGAGTTTGAGGATGGCACCGAATGTACCTGAGCCACTGTTGTTTTTCTCAGTCAGCGAAGTCCTAACTATTGGGTCTGGCATTGAGGCTTACCCTCCTACCATGACGACTCTTTCTTGTGAGCTGGGCGTTGTCTTGACATTGACCGGTCTCTTTCCACCCTTGATATCTGCTTCCTTTCCAGAGATGTACACTCCTCCATCTCTTTCAACAACGTTGAACTTGTTAAGGGCAAAAGGTGCAGGTGAGTCTTCGACATCGCCGGTCTTGGTGTTAAAGCAGGCTGGTATCGATTATTAGAGTGGTATTTTAAACCCAAGAGATATAGATGATACTGACCACCATGCCATGGACACGTCAATCGACCTTCTGGCGTGAGGACGCCGTTCTTCAAGGGCGCACCATAATGTGTACAATTGGCGTTCAACGCAGAGATCTGATCGCCGACTTTGACAAGCAGGACTTTTCCACCTTCGATGCCCTCCACTTCGACCTCGACTTTGTCCAATTCCTTGAGGTCGAGCTTGGCCAGATCCTTGAGTTTCCACTCTTGAGCCATCTTTGGTGTATGCGTAGAGAACAGCCTAGTGGGAAAGTGGGGTGAACAACGAACAATCGAATTCGGAGGTGTGCGTCCGAGTGGTAGTATGGAACGGGGCAGATGCGTTGAAGCAGCTATCAAACGAAAGCCAGGCCTTGCGAACATGTAAACGGAGAGAGACGAGACTTAGAAAATGGTCATGGAGGAACTAGATGTGCACGTAGATGACCGCGGACCAAGTGGGCATGGTCTCGCTAGGATTGAGGCAGCGGAGAGAGCGATCAGGCCAAAGGGGAAGAGGGACGAGTATGAGATGGGACTGAATGGTGATGCATGCATCTAACAACGCTCGCAATGATGTCTCGCCGTGATATTCTCACTCAATTCCCCCGATTCTTCTTCCTCTCACTCTGGTCTCGACTTGGGTACCGACTTGTTCGTCTCTTGCTATTGCGTCACTTGTAACTGGATCATCGTAATAGACTTAGTCCCCGCGGTAAATCCACCAATCATCGTGTGGTGATTGTTAACCATTTACTCGCATAGCGGAAGCATTCCTATCCAGACTCCATAGAGCAAGTAAATATAGCAGCACACATATCTTCAAGGCCATTCTCCTGTCAGAGTGATGCTAGAAAGACAACAACGCCTCATTCCATGTCTTGAACTCATACCCAACATTAATATGCTCTCCTATGTCGAACCGGAACATGCCCGGACACAGCCGAAGCAACGCTGCCCTCACGACTCAAGCCTAATGCTCCAGTCATAACGACGTCTCCTCCAGGTGTACGAGACCGACTGCGCTGTTGTGTCGCCTCGAAACCGCGTCGCTCTTGTTCTAGGGCGGCTTGCTCAGCTTTCTTGTCAAGCAGAGTTCCGTCAATTTGCAGTGACCATTTGGATCTGTCGTGTGCAGGCACCACTTCAGTATCTACCACCCGGTATTTCAGTATCGCTGGAATTTTCGAGCCACTGGCATCCGCGAAAAAGCCGCCATCATCTTGTAAACGGTCCTGATACGGTGCTGCGGAAGATTCTTCAACGTCCACTGTTTCATCTTCTCTGACTTCGTTCTCAGCATCGCGTAGTCTGGCCTTCTTCGCCTTCTTCTTGGTTTTCCCCGCTTGTTCTTTCGTTGGGCCATTCCATCTCCAACTCTTGGGTATTCGACTCTCGTGAACAGCTGTCTGGAAATAATTGTAGCTGACTAGTCCCACGAAACCTTCCGAGGTTACGTTGGTCCAGCCATGCAGTTCGTCCCCACGCTCTGGTCGGAACACCAGAAACGTAGCAGTGAGCCAAACCCAACATACACCATTCTCATCGGATGTTTTGGACAATACCTCAGCTTGGGATTGCAGCTGACCATTTTTTGGAGTTACAAGAGGGAGATTATTGCCACTGCCGGCCTTAGCAGATAGCACAGGATCGGAGAAGCCCAGAACGATGCCTTGAGCAGGTGGGAAATAGGTCAGGAGAAGTGGTGCCAGATGAGTCGCAAGGACTGAAGAGCTGCCGGTTTCTAGGGAGACCGCAGGTATCGAGAGGTAAAGAGATAGTCGCGTAGAGTAAAATGTCGAGGGGTCTTCTGACTCGAGGAGGTTTAAAGACTCCGCAGCCTCAATCTCAGCTTGTTCTTCAACATCGGGTATTGATGCTGCTCCGTTGAGCGCAGGCAGCGTTGAGGACTCTTCCTTCTCCTCCGCAGGGTCAGGCACTGCGACATCATCCACTTCACTAGATGCCTGATCTATTTGCGCTGTTGAATTTTCCTTGTCTTTGCTTTTAGACTTCTTCTTTTTCTTCTTTGCGTCTGTCACAGGCTGTTCTTCCGTTGTGGCCGTCACTTCCGCATCTTCGGTCTTTCTCTTCTTCTTCTTTTTCGAAGCTTCTTTGTCCTCAGAAGCGTGCTTTCTTTTCTTGGTGGAGATCATCTTGTCTGTATTTACCGGAGGCGAAGAGATCTCGCCATTGAGTCGTATTGACATTGTGCAGTATGTGTCGCGAATTGCTCGAAGTGAAGACGCTTCGCTCTACAAAATTTCTCCAGGCGTCGGCACGAGGGGACAACTTTCTCCGACCGCAGTCTTGGCGCGAGCCACTTCTCCCGGGCATGGCGCCAGCGTCCACAACATCAACACCACAAACATCAGGAAGTCTGCTGTGAGTGATATTCTACGTGCTGAACACAAGACACATCATCCGCTACCCTCCAGAGATGTAATTGGATTCCCACACAGCCTTTTGGTTCCACTGCCCGACAAAGACATGCAGCCGAAGCCACGGCTGAAAGACAGCAGAGATCATTGGCTGAACGCTTCGCAGAAGACTTGTTCTGGACTTTTCCCCCTTGTCCAGGGCGCCATGGCGTAGCTGAAAGGTAGACACCAGCCAACATACGTCCTCCAGCTGGTGACGACGGTGTCTGCTCGTGCCCAAAATGTGTCTGGGGTACGGAGTAAGTCAGTGATATATACGTCCCCGTGTGCTCGATTTCTTTGGGCTTCCTGGATTCTATGCTTCTTAGCTTGCATGCGTACTGCCCAAATAGTCAACTTCTGACCCATCTCTGCCTTTGGATCTACTTATTTTGCAGTTGTAACGACGACGATGGGTGAACCGTCAACCAAGAATCGTCTTGTACTCTGTTTTGATGGGACGAGCAACAGATTTCAGGCCAACAGCGCCGATACGAACATCGTCAAAATCTACGAAATGCTAAATAGGGAGACAAACGATCAGTACCACTATTATCAACGTAAGTCGGCTTTGGGTTTGATATTGCTGAAACCTCAGTGCATGTCCATTGATGGCGCGTTGTAGCTGGCATAGGGACATACGACGCCGATGGCCCCATCAGCAATACAAGATACTGGGGCGCTTTCTCCAAGGCATGGTCGAAATTCAAGGCGAAACTTGATGAAGGCTTTGCGTTTTCCTTTGCCGAACATGTGATGGCTGGCTACAAGTTCCTCATGAGGTATTATGCGACTGGCGACGACATATATATCTTTGGCTTCAGCCGTGGTGCATATACCGCACGTGTCCTATCTGAAATGATTCATGACATTGGGCTTCTGTCTCGAGGCAACGAAGAGCATGTGTCATTGGCATGGTACAAGTGGAGCGACTATTGCCGTTCTGGCTACAAGGAAGACAACCTCGACTATATCAAAGACTACAAGAAGACTTTTTGTAGAAAGGATGTCAAGGTCCATTTCCTGGGGCTATTCGATTGCGTCAACAGCGTGGCCAATCTTGAGGTCCCCTTGTTCAGACGCATATCACCCTATCTGCGTTGTCCGCCCGCTACACACATTCGTCACGCAGTCTCGGTTCATGAGCGTCGGGCCAAGTTCAAACCGACGTTGTTCTTGTTCGCCAATAAGCATCTCGAAGAGCCCGGTGAGGTCGAGTCCTTCAAGGAACACTGGTTTGCAGGGAATCATGGCGACGTCGGTGGAGGCTGGCCCTTGGACAAAGGTTCCTACGCCCTCTCGGAAATCTCCCTGAAGTGGATGGTAGATCAAGTCATTGCTATCGACCCTTCCATGGAGGTAAGTGAAAGAGTTACTCTGACCCAAAGGAGCGTTACATGCTTATGAGCCTTCTTTTTCCACTAGAACAAACGTCTCGCATGGCACAAGACCGATTCTGAAGATCCTGACAAAGGACTCGACGGACTGGAGAAACGAGTGAGCCACATCCACAATAGTTTGGAGCGCGGGAATGGGAAGAAGCTAGGTTTGATCAAACATGACCTCCTCGTCCAGGGCGGAGGCTCGTCTTGGCTAGGACGCCGATTCTGGTGGCTCTTGGGTACGTCAACTTTCCCTCGTAATTCAACCCTGTGTTTTTGGCTGACGGAGCTCTAGAACTCCTCCCTCTGTCTCATTTTGAGCTCGAGGGAGATAAATGGGTGCAGCCGTGGTCGTCCAACATTGGAGGTCTGCGGGACATACCCGAAGAGGTTGCCATCAACAACTACATTGACCCGTCGATCGATCTCATGGTGAAAGCAGGCGTGCTTTCCGACAGAGAGAGGCCCTTCTTCGGCGAAAAGCCCTTCCGTGGATATCCATACCAGGGTCTTTGGAACTTGTGGGGGTTGGTAGGCAGGAGGAAGATCAAGACCAAGCCGGTCTCTGTGGACGGTGATTCTGGCCATTAGGCACTCGTATGCTATTTTGTTGTTGAATGGTCACGAATTTCCTAACATCTCATGGCCAAGTATACGATAGTATTTCAAATAATCTCAATATATTACATCTTTGCGATCCGATTATTTGTAAAACACAAGCCATTGTTCCAATTCACGTGTCACAGTGGCTTCAGTCTCCAAGTCTATCTACGGATACTTCACTAGGTATAGAGTCTCTCACCGACGACAGCCTTAAGTCTGGTCTGCAGACTGTTGCCGAACTCGGGGACGGTATGTCGACGTGATACTATACTTTGCAGCACTTCTTTCCAGGAAGAGTCGAGAGCCGAATAGCAATATCTCTACCAATCAAACAAGTATTCCCATGCGGCATGTGGGCCATTCCATCCTCCCCTCAAAGTGCCAGTTAACGAGTCCAATTGCCTGATGCTCTCAATGACACCTTGACTGCCAGTGCGCCAGATGCCCTCATGCTCGGTTAAAATTCATATGTGAAGGATCCTGCCAGTGGACCAACGTACTCCAACTTTACACCAGCAAACCCTCCGCGCGACATCACTCCCCAAAACGCCGGACGATCTGTCCACGACTTTGACCACAACATCACGTCTCAAACGTCGCCCGGAGGTTGACGAAAGCTGCCGACCCGCCCGCATTCTCGACTAGTGTGTCTAGGAGTGCGTCGGTCTGCCTCCACATTCTCTCAAGGTAAGCGGCAGGTGATCGGCCAAGCATCACTGCTGTACGTTAGTAACTTGGCCACATGATGTCCAGTATGGGCGGGGGACTTGCCTAGGATGGCAGAGTTAAGTTCCTCGGCGACTGCAGACCTCCCGGAAGATTCGAGAAGGTGACCATTGACGCTGACTGTAGGATCATCGTATGCAAGCAAGCTGAAGGTCTCGTTGAGCGTCTTTGCGTAATCTTCTTGACCACCATATTCTCGAGACAGTTCCTGGCCGTATGCCATAACTTCCATGAGATATTGGTCATGAAGTAGCACAGTCTCACTCGCGACTGCTTTCCCGAGGCCGTTGCTCTGACTTCGACCATTGGGCTGGTCATCGAGTTCCATATCCTGAGCAAAGTCATCGTCTGTAGCTGCCGAGGCTTCACGTTGGGCAATATTCTTTCTCGCGTTCAGTTCGGTTGTCTTTCTGATTAACTCAACCCATTTGCGACACTTCATCTTGAACACGATGCTAGGATTTTGTGCGAGGACAGCAGGGAAGTGTGCTTGAGTGAGCTCAAGAGCTCGGTCAATGTCCCCAAAGAGGATCGCACGTCGAATCTCTATGGCGAAGTAAGTACTGTGCTACTAATGAGGATGGGGTAAATTTGCTTACTCTGACGGTTGACAGCTTCAGTATCATCCACAGGCGATGCAGTTGGCGGAGTCGGTCCGGTATTGTTCAAAGATTCTCTTTCCCTCTGAACATCGTCCGCAAATGCCCTAGCGGTCTCAACGTAACCATCATGACTCAGAAATTGCATGACCAAGTCTTGAATCAGCGCGTTCTCATTCGGGCACTCGGTCGGGCGCTCTGTCATTAAGTGAGGCTTCGCATTGTCGATTTCCCTCGACACTTTGTTCCTCTCGCTTTCCATCTTATCGTCGATGTCAAACACAAAAGGCCTTTGTCCGAAATTTACAGTGATAAGCGCTCCTGTATGCTTTTTCATTCCCACCGTGGGATATAACTGCAGGTCCTTTCTCAGTTCCTTGAAACATACCCCAAGCTCCTGTCCGTTTTTTGTGAAGAAGGCATGACCGGCGTTGAAATTCACACCGCAACCGATGACATCGCCAGCATCAAAAGTGGGACCGTAGTGTCTACCGGAATGTTCGCCGCAGAACATCTTACCATCATCGCCATGGTATCCCCATGAGTGCGTCTCCCACCCCGGCAGTCTTTCCAAGGAAGCTTCCACCGTAGAGAACCCAATAGCAATGGCCGTATCTTTGCTCTTGTGTTTAATCTCTACCTCGAAGTAATATATACCACAAGCTCGCGACATGGGGTAGTTTGAGCGCACCGACGCCGCCTCGATCTCCGCTCTGCTCCCAGAACCAATATATTTCAACTCGAGACCGTCATCCATCGCATCCAATCCTGGATACTTGTCTCGCTCGCTCCATCGAGAGGGCAAAGGCATCAATGGGTGACTCTCTTTCGGAGGATTGCTTTCGATGATGTCGTATGTCATACCACGATGTGAGGGTGCCATTCTTTGAGCATTGGAGTTCCCAGCGCTCGTGGACAGCGAGTTGGCTGCGGAAGAGGTGTTTGGTGGTTGCGCTCTCTCACTCTTCATCCTCGCTTTGTGTTCGGCTTCCAGCTTCGCAACGTATCTCGATGCTCTCAGGTACGAAGGGACAAAAAATGGAGCGATGGGAATTGTGCCTGTCTCTGTAGAATGAATATGGGCGAACTTCCTTGAGTGTGGGGGCAAAGGTGTTGGCCTTTGCCTATGTAAACCATTTGACTCGTGCTCATGAGCTGGCTGTCCTCCCGGATGCTGGGATTCTGAATCGTGGAAAGAAAAGGAACTGCCTGAAGCGAAGTTTCTAATAGCAGAGAGGGCTTCTGATCGAGGAGCAGGGAGGTTCGACTGCGAGTTCGCGCCGGAGGCTACAGAAGCATAGGATTGGCGTCTGGCATAGTTGGAAAAGCTGGGCCTGACGCCTCTACTCGGACCTGCGCCGTCGGCCATGACAGCGATAACAAGAGAGGTTCGAGAGGTTAATTAGGCGATGAGGATCTCGTCGCGCTCGAGTGACGTTTCGACCAGCGGACACGGGGGAACAATCGGAAGGACAGCGGTATGGATGAGTTGGTGGCTCGTAACTCGATAAGTAGGAGGAGGATAGGCTAGCGTGCCAACTTCTTGTCGATGCCCATGACTTCGACTTATCGATGAATCCGCATATTCGCACCTGCTGGCAGTTCGATGATATGTATGAGGCAAATACTCCCTTGACGGCTGTTATCTCACTGACATGATCATGTTTGATGCAGTTGTTAGTGTCAGTTACTGGGCGGCGTTTAGGTGTCAGGTCGTCCACTTGCGGGGGGCCCGGAATAGGCCAGCCCCCAACAGCGTCATCTAAGCACGGATTCGTCCTGTCTCTCAGGGAATACGTCCAACATGTCCACTTCGAGGGTACCACTTCCTACGAATAGATCACGCTTTAATTGATAGAGAAGTATGCACAATTACATAAAAGGCGCTGATTTGCAATGCCAGGATGCTCTACTGCGTGGCGTGGCATTTTCCTGCTGCTTCTATTTATACAAAACGTCTGAATGTCTAGAGCCATTGGGCAGAGGAGACCGGCTCTCGTCAGCCATGTGTCTAGGCATCACCATGAAATACAGTCTTTTCCACCATGCGACCTGGTACAGATTCTCGCTAGACTAGTGAGTCTGTCTCCCACGCGCCAGCCGTATCCCAAGTAGCCACATAGAAATTCGAACCCTAACGCCGTGCTGAAAGGATAACGTCAATAATACTGGGGAAAGGTACCACCGGAATGTTTTCCCTTTCTCGATATCCGATGCATAATCCTGGTATCATAGTCGGCCATGAAAAGCAATGAAGCAATGAACTAGATCGTGGGCCTGGGTTGGCCGATAAACCTGAGTCTTGTCGAAGAGAAAAATTTCAATTTGTTCCGCGGGCAGGAACGCTCTTGACTGGAAACCTGCAGAGATCGAGGTCTCCTGCGTTTGGATCGATGAAAGAGAAATCTTCGTGGTCGCTCTACCACTGTTGGAAGTCGAGAATATTCGCTTCTGCCAGGTGGATCTCGTCTAGAGAGCTCTTAACTTGCATGTGCTATTGTAGGCCGTCAAAACTTTTGGTTAACCCTGGGCGGCGACCGTTGCTGGCGGTGGTGGCATCGGGGCTGGGGAACTGGCTGCTGGGGTAGACAAGACCATGGGATCAGGATGTTCGCCAGCGTTGCTGTCCATGGCAGCGTCGCTTCCGTTGGGTTTCATATCACTGCTGCTCTGTTGGGATATCTCCTTGGCATCACTAGATTCTTCGCCATTGAGCACAGGCAGCCTCTCGTTGCCCTTCCAGGAAGGTACTTCCCACACGATGCCGGTGAAGCTTTTGAGGGTAAATGGCTTCTTGTTCCATTTGCGGCATGGCTTTCCTGAACGATCCAAGGCTCGAAGGCCTGCATTAATAGCCCCCTGATTTGCTTTTGGTCCTAACCGGTGCCCTCCAGGCATGGCAGGCAATGATGGTCTGTTAGAGCCAGCATCGATGGCACCGTCCTCCCTATACGATCATGTTAGAATGCTATTGAGAGTTAGGGCAGCAGCGTGTATCGAGAACCTACATTTTTTGTTTTTTCTTCGGACCTGGTTTGCCTCGTTGCTTGCTTGTGCCATTGGACTCCGACGCCATTTGTCCCAGGCTTCTCTTGTTACCTGCCCCAGGATTTTTTCGCTTCTTGGAGCCATCGCCGTTGGGTGCGTCACTATTTGGTGCCGGCGTCGAATTAGATTCCGATGCATTATCATGGCTGTCAGGTGCCTTGACGGCGGGTTGATCTTCGACCGCAGGGGCAGGGGAGGAAGCCGACGACGTGGCTGATGGTTCTTCTATCTTTGTGGCAGGCTCCTCGAAGCGACGTAGCGATTGGGGCGACAGCTTGAGTACCACTATTTTACCCTGCTTCTTGCCCTTGTCAGGCCGGACTGACGGTGAGCGACCAGGTGTACCCGACGATGAGATGGTCATTGTGATTGTGAGGAATTGGGGTGTCGAGGTGGGTGGACGGCGAGATAGCAGGGAACTGTGGTAGAGGTGAGCGGCAAGGGACCTCTAGGATGGTTCACCCGTCGCTCGTGACAGGCGGTTGAAATTATTTTCGTTTGTGGAGTTTGAGGTAATTATTATGGCCAGCCTGAGCAAATCTCTTTGGTGGTGAATTTGACGATTAGGAGTGAGAGTGGTGGTGAAGTGTCATGATGGGTGAAGGTGGTGGTAGGAAAGGAAGAGATGGAGAGGAGGATGGGAAGGTCGATGAGATGATGAGACAGTGCTCATGGCTGGGGGCTTGTGAAGCATGGAATCCTCGGGATGGGCTTGGATTGATTTGGCTCAGATCAGATGCGGACGCAGACAGAGTCTCAGTGAAGGAGCGAGTTCAGGTGTTACCGGAGACGAGGCGTCAACGCTGCGATTTTTCCTACGCAAGCGAAAACAGGCCAATCGACTGTCTTGAAGCGGCGTGGCCCACTATACGCGCTGCAGCCAATCAACACGTGCTGTCGGTGGCTGGAAAGGCTCCTTGCCTGTCGCTGCTTCTGCCGAGTGCGTCCAGGAATCATTGCACCATACAGAGTGCTACGAGTACTAGTCAGGAGTCGCTAGCTGAAGGGATACTCCGTAAGCTGGGCGGCCTCTGTCAAGCCTGTTTCTTCTGTCGCCTCTAATTACGGAGTAGCAAAACCACAAATCCCTGACGCAAGGACTGACGGGTCGGAGGGATAGGCATTGCTAGGTTCCATGCCCCCGATGCCGTCCTCCGAAACAGCTGCGAGCTGAATGATCTTTCGAGCATCGCACTCCGCCTATCACTGGTGATACAGCACTTCGGCCAATTTGACTACAGGGTGATCACCCTCTGTGAGGAGCAGAACGCCAGATTATGCATCCGGCCAAGAGGAGACGCCTGGATCAGTCTGCCACATCGTTGACCAAGCCCTTTCGCTCACCGCTACGAAATCATTCGAGCAATCATTCCCACAAAGGAGACATTTCCAGCCCAGAAAAAAGGCTTCACGAAGCCACTAAGCAATCCTCGCCGCCCGTGACTACTTCTCATGATGCAGATAGAACGTCCACATCGCCTGTTGGTCCCGAATCAACCCACCCTGATCGAAACATCGATCCAGGTCTTGACCACAAAAGCAATCAGAAGCAACATATTGCCCTATCACTTCAATTGAAGAAACTGTCCCAGTCACTTGATCTTGCTCAACAAGTCTTGCATATCGAGACGTCTCAACAGGATGCACAATTGAGATGCTTGATCTCGAAATGGAAGCAGGTTGCCCGTAACGTCGCTGAACAACTGTTCGAGGAAGCAAAGGAGCGTATCAACGACATGGGTGGATTCACAGCCTGGCAAGCCCGCTTACAAGAGGATGCACGTCTTTGGCACGACGTTCAGAGGACAAGTCACGAATCTCCTCGATCCAAAGTAGATGAGGATTCTTCCCGCGAATTTGCAACTACGGAGACAGAGAGACACACCACTGCAGAGTATGAAGATACTCATCCAAGTGTAAGTTTGAACTGTCTTCGCCCCAAATGTGTTGGGCGCACTAATATACATGCCAGTTCTTCACCATGGACAAAATGCTTCGGGAGATGAACATTGACCTGAAGCTCATTGGGTATGACAACGAATCTGAGGGGTGGATCGATTGACCTTCTAACACCCTCGTCGTGCTCGATGTGCCTGCATACATCTTGGCCTGGAAGTCATGTTTCTCGGCGTGTCACTTGCAATCGGCCGTGTCGACTTATACCCGAGGCGATTCGAACGAGCGCTCGAGCATGATCGCGCCTCTTCCGGACCTCTTCCTTCGGGAGGACCAAGGACAAAACCGCGTCTGGGTCTCTGTCTCTTGGGCGGCGATCAGCATTTGTCGGACACCGCGGAGTGACCCCAATATGCGGCTTTGGAGCGAACCTTTCTATGACCGGACTTTCCGCCAGCGGCCGTCGGCCACAGCAACACATCGTAGCTGGTGTGTCCTGCCAGGAATGTAGTATCAGTCTTCACAAACAAGAATAATGATCCTCATCTCATGACTGGAGGTCGGCCTTCTTTGTTCCAAACGACACGGCTCTTGACCCATTCCACAGCCTCTTTAACTCCGGTCCCTCGAAGTGCACTGACAGGTAGTACGCGACTGTCTCGTACCATACCTCCCTTCTCACCTTCGAAGACCTTTCTTACAAACCCCTCTTTGATTCTGACAACCTCGATGCTGTCTTCGCGATCTTGCTTGTTGGCCAGCACCAGGATAGGTATACCTGCAGCGTCTTGATTTTCCAACACACTCTCCAGCACCGCTCTGCACTCGTCGAGCCGTCCTTGCGACTGCCCCAAAGACAGCATTCCCGGTGTCATTGGCGTCATTGGGGTCCACGGTGTCTGTGGCTCATCATCGTCCGTCTTGCTGCTTATGAAACTCTTTTTCCGCGTATGCCAGCCTGGTGTTCTCGGGGCGTCGTCGAGTTCGCCGCTGCCCAAGTCCGTGCTGTCGACCACAAACACGACGGCGTGTGCGCTCTTGTAGTAACTTGTCCACAGTCTCCGTAGGCTCATCTGGCCCCCCACATCCCAGATCTTGAGATACATGTCTGGCAGATCGATCGTGGCAACGTTTTGTCCGACGGTCGGCACCGTATTTCCAGCGGTGTCGGAGGCGGGGGCATCGCCAGTCTGCCCGGCCTGATCGATCGCGGTGTTGAACAAGGCTTTGATCTGGGTAAGTAGGGTCGTCTTGCCGGCGTTATCGAGACCAAGTAGGATTATTGAATACTCTGCGAGGGCCAACGCGCCGAAAAGTCAGCCAATTGCCTTTGACGGAGGGATTGGTGGGGGGTTTCACCACTCACCCGGCTTGCTTGTCGCGTAGAGGTAGAGAGACCTCATCAAGTGATACATAGTTCCGTGTTCGGAGAGACAAAATCCACAGGATGTTCAAGAGTAATAAACCGCGAAACGCGAGAAACAAACGGAACTTTTTTGACAGCAGTGGTGACTTGACTGAAAGCCTCATAACTCATCACGGAGCATTATTACCTCTTGACAGAATTCATGAGTGCATTATTTCGGTCTTAACCTTGAATTTATGACGCCATTTCGCTGATGCTCATATGCGTCGCAGGTGTTGTTGAGTCACCCGAGACGTCGCTGTGGTGCTCAAACAACCCTACAGAAGTCCGTCGATGGGCAGAATGTCTCCGTATGACGACGGCTATTCTTGGTATCACAAGCAAACGGATGATCTGCTCTAAGGTCACGTGTGCTGTCACCTGACTCGTGGCGCTTTTGGTACCTCAAGTCCTCCGTATATATGCCGGATACTTTTCCTTTTCCTCTACTCACCTGGTAGCTTTTCCGGTCTTGGTTTGCGATGTGGTTATTGCTTTGTTCACCGAGGACTGGAAGTCGAGGAGCAGACACTCGATCTAAATGACTCCAAATCAAACCTTTTTGCCAGGTTCTACGCATGGTAGGAACCCGCAAGTAACCAAGAAGCGTCGACGCGATGGGGAGAGAGCTCGGGTCACTCGGGCTTGTGATCGGTGCAAAAAGTGACAACCCCTTGAGCACCTGCGCGTCTACGATTGAGTGTGCTAACTGGTGGCATTATCCAGGCGGAAAATCAAATGCAATGGCAGACAGCCATGTGAATTCTGCTCCCGGACCAATGATAGCTGCACATTTGATTCCGTCTATACAAGAGGTCGGGCGCCTTCCATTCCGGCGGCGGCCGAGGCTGAGATTGGAAGCAACTCCAAACCTGGTGAGGACGTGATGACTCCCAGTGAAAGTCCTGCTGTCTCAAGCCAGCAGTACCTGGCAGTCCCAACCACGGAGGCAATTCAAGGTTCTGTAGCACTACAGAGCCAGCATGTTTCATCAACCTATCGGGCGCCTTCCGCCTTAGCATATGTGGCGACAACATCACCCAGTTCCCCTGAGCCATGTCAAGCCAACATACAAGGCCATTACATTGGGCCAGCATCTGGCTTTTCTTTCTTGCTCAGGGTCCAGAAGCGCTTGGGTCAAGCCATCTCCTTCTCTCATCCTAGCAGCATCTTTACCTTTGGTGATGCTCCTTTGCATCCTCCTGAATTTGATCCCTCCTTCTGCATGATGCTTCCTCGGAGCGATGCTCAACGTTTGATAGACCGGTATTTTGACTTTGCAATGCCGACGTACCGTTTCCTCCATCGGCCCACGATCCAGGAATGGTTCGAGGAATTTTATGATACCCTTGGAGTCATGCGCGATGCGCCTAGTGCTCCAGCCAAGGTTGCTTTGCTCTTCGCAGTGTTTGCGCACGCCAGGGTATATATGCCTGATAATGACAGGCCGGGTCCGCCTGATCTGAGGTCAGTGATTTGCTTCAAGCCGGTTGGAGAGCTCGCTAAATCAAAGGATGGACAGTGCCCGCTACTTCTTAGCTGCCGAGCATCAACTTGCGAAGGAGAGAGGCTCCATACGCTTGACTAGTATCCAAGCGCGTCTGACTCAGTGTTATTACCTTCTGACCCAGTCTCGCATCAACCATTGCTGGAGTTTGTTCGGTACAACGTCGCATTTGGCACTGGCCATTGGGTTGAATCGGAGCAGGCGGCCTGACGCAGCAAGTGGATTCCACCAGGTGGAAGCCGAATGCCGCCGACGAACCTTCTGGTGTGCCTACACCCTAGACACATATCTCAGCGTCGCTCTGGGCAGACCGCGGTCATTTCACGACGAGGACATTGACACAGAGCTCCCGGCATGTGTCGAGGATGAAGAACTAACCGCAGACTATGTTAACACGTCTTCATTGTTGAAAGTCCAGTCGATCATGCTTGCTCCGCTTGCACATATGAAGTAAGACAAATACATGCAGCATATAACCGATGTCTAACGAAACAGACTTGCACGTATCATCAGCCGGATCTTACGCGATCTTTACTCGATCAAGGCTATTTCAGCCAATCGCCGAGCGGTCTTGACCGAGAGGGTCTCAAAAGACCTGAGTGACTGGCGAGTCGAGTTTGCTCGGTTTCTGGACGCCGAGTACTCCAACACTACCCGCCTCATTCCAATCTTCCAGCGGCAACGAAATGTTCTCAACCTTACCTACTGGCACGCTATTATTCTCACTCACCGACCGTTCCTGCTGAATAACCTTGCACGGCTTTCAGAGCAAAACAGGAGCGTAGAACAGGAAGACCCACAAACCGAGGAGAACGTGCAGCAGTGCCTGAAAGCTGCGATGAACACTGCGAATACGATCGACGATATAAGGCAAAACCGTCAAATGTTTCGCGCCTTTTGGGTTTGGGCTAACGGGCTCCTTGAAGTCGGGAAAGGCTGACTGTCTACAGATTACCGCGTACTTCGCCTTCGCCGCAAACGTTGTACTGTATATCTACGTGATACAGAAACGATCATCTCCGCAAGAGGTCTATAGCGACTTCCTCGCAGCTGCCACCCGGTGCCAATCCCATATCTCGAGCATTGCCGAGAAAGGATCGCTGTCCGAGCGCTATTGCCTCGTGTTGGAGGAATTGCGCGTCGAAGCCTTCCGCCAAACTGGAAATACGCACCAACCCATGCCCGGTCTGGGAGGGATGGACAGCCACGCTGGCCATTTAAACCACGCACAAGAGAGTGGAAGCCCAACCCAGTCATTGTTTGTGGAAGGCAATGCTATTTCCACGACCAACTTCACGGACTTGACGGGGAACGCTGTGATTGACTTCAACGACTTCCTGAGTCCTGCACTTGAGGAGGATTTAGACTGGGGTCAATTTGCTTCGATGGTTTCATCGGGGGTGGGCAATTTCGACGCGTTTCTCAATGACGATCCATTCAAGATCTAAGTACCATGGTCGACATGCCTCTCCGTCTCCGCCTAGGGAGCCACAAAACAAAAGCTTACGAAACTTGGGTGCCCTCCCGAATCCTGGCTGCGTAATACCACCGGTTGACTGTGGGGGTCAGCGGAAAAAGCAATATTGGACGCCACAGGTGACCTTTTCCGTTCTAGACGCGCTATGCCTATTACTACTCATGTTGCAGTTTTGACATCCCTGGTGAGCCCAAAATACTTCTATAGCGGACAGACCACTCCTCTCGGTGTTGACACTCAACCTCCAAGTTCACACTATGGCGTTGGCAATTTGTCAGCGCCTCGAAGGCAAGACAATACTCATAACCGGCGCCTCGTCAGGCATAGGGCGGGCCACAGCCTTTGAGTTTGCACGCACATGCCCACACAATCTCAATCTGGTCCTGACGGCACGCCGCATCGACAGTCTGAAGCAGATCGCGAGCGAGATTAACAAGGAGGTCGGCGATGGCGTCAAGGTGCACCCGATCCAACTCGACGTCAGTGATGCGGACGAGGTGCGCGCATTCGTGGGTAAACTACCTACCGCGTTCAAGGATGTCAATGTTTTGATCAATAATGCGTAAGTCGCTCTCCTCTGCCCAGCACGCCGACTTGATTCCACGCGGGGACGAGCATGCTGCCTTCGACCAAACAATGGTAAATACCTCAAGGGATATGGCGCTAACCGAATCGCGGAGCACAGCGGCTTAGTCAAAGGCATCGCCAAAGCCCCTGAAATTTCAGAAGAAGACATGAAAATCATGTTCGCGACCAATGTGACCGGGCTGATCAATATGACTCAAGCTATCCTGCCTGGCATGCTGAAGCGCAACAATGGCGATGGTGAAGGCGACATCATTAACATCGGCTCGATAGCGGGGCGCGAGCCGTACGTTGGTGGTGGCATCTATTGCGCAACCAAGGCAGCTGTCCGGTCGTTTACCGAAAGCTTGCAAAGAGAGCTGGTGTCGAAGAGGATCCGAGTTATTGGCATTGACCCTGGTCAGGTCGAGACCGAGTTCTCATTGGTCAGATTCAACGGTGATCAGGGGAAGGCTAAAGCCGTCTATGCGTGAGTGAACCATTGCCAGTCCTGTCCAGAAGACTTTCTTAATATTGTCACAGGGGTTGCGAGCCATTAACACCGGATGACATCGCTGAAACAATAGTCTTCGCCGCCGGAAGAAGGGAGAACGTGGTCATCGCAGACACCCTAATCTTCCCCAACCATCAAGCAAGTGCGACCATCATGCACAGAAAATTCACATAGAGATGTTTGAGGAATTCCTGTATGGCGACCAAACCGATCTCACTATTGTGACCAGAGCCTTGTTCATGGATGGGATTGAACAAATTTATCTTTCCTCTAATGCAAGTGACCTCGTTAGTTTACAAGGGGTCTACGACTATAGAGGCAACCAAAATCTGGTTCTACTATGTTCATTAGACCTGATAGAACTATGTATGATGGATAGATTAACATACACTGTGATATTGGGTGTGCCCACGTTGGATAAATGCTTCACTAAACAGTGATCCAGTTATGCTAATCCACGCGTAAACTTGACACTCCTATATTTAATCTTCTCACCAGACCTGTATCAATTAGGATAGCATTGTATAAGGGACCACCTCTATGTCGAAGATTCCCCCCATCTGATCCACACCGCACGGATCAGATGTAGCAATCTGGGCTTCATTCATTGGACGTCGAGATTCGGTCCGGACCTCTTGGGCGTTGCGGGAGTCGTGTTTTTCCGTCGATAACACATACAAGACAACTGCTTTTCCGGTCCATCACCCACTCCCCATCGTCACGAGGAGAACCCTTGGATACCACACCTCAACTTTCACAAAGCATTCTGTTATTCCCTGAAAGGAAGATGTAGAGCAACTCCTAGTGAATGTGAAGTTCAATGCTACATGACAAGTATACTCATCTACAGATGCTCTATCCGCGGAAACTAGGATGCTGGCCACGGGAAAGGACTCCGGGGCGGCAGGATGGTCATTCGAGTACATCGAAGAAGGCATCTCCGAAAGCTGGTGAACGGATACCCACTTGGGTAAGAGTCTTGAAAGTATTTCGACCTTTTCTTCCTACCCCTTTGTGTCCTCGGTAACTTTCGTGTTCTTGATCTGGTGTTGTTGCAAATCATCACTAGACGAACCGTAAGAACGAACAAGTTTGTCTGTTCTACCTCTCTCTTGGGCCGTTTAGTTCTTGTCCAAAGCAAAAACAACAACTGAATACAACCATGCCGTCGGCCTCAAACATTGTGTCTGAGGCAGGAGACACTGTCAAGTTCCTCTCCAATCCACCACCGAGCGGTGTTTGGGTCCCGGCGATCACCTTTTTCGACCACAACACCGACACTCTGGACACGGAATCCCAGGCCAAATACTACTCGTATCTGTCACAATCCGGTCTTGCTGGCCTCACCGTACTTGGCACCAGCGCCGAAACGTTCCTGCTGACCCGGGAGGAGCGCAAGACTTTGGTGGAACTTGCCCGGAGGGCATGTGGCCCGTCGTTTCCCATCATGGCCGGGGTCAGTGGTCATTCGACCAAACAAGTCTTGGAATACCTTGGGGATGCGGCCGAGGCTGGTGCCGACTACGCTTTGCTTCTGCCCCCGGCTTATTTTGGTGGCAAGCAGACGACGCCGGAGGTGACGGACAAGTTTTTCGACGCCGTGGCCGGGGCCAGCCCTCTCCCCATCGTCATCTACAATTTCCCGAACGTCTGCAACGGGGTCGACCTGGACTCGGCCACCATCGTCAGGCTGGCCAAGAGACACGGCAACATCGTCGGCGTGAAGCTGACCTGCGGCGCCGTGGCCAAGATCACGAGGCTCGCCGCGGAGCTGCCCGCGGGCACCTTTACGACGTACGCAGGACAGTCGGATTTCTTGATCGGAGGCCTGGCCGCTGGTGCCGCGGGGACCATCGCCGGTTTCGCCAACGTGTTTCCCAAAACCATCGTACACATCTACAACCTATACGAGCAAGGCAGGCTCGAGGAGGCCATGGAGCTGCACAAAAAGGCCGCGCTGGCCGAGCAGGCTTGCAAAGCGGGTATCGCGTCAGTCAAGTACGCGGCGACCTTGACCACGGCCAGGGCTGCAAGTATCCATGGCGCCACGAAGAAGCTGAAGCCGAGACCGCCGTACGTGGAGCTTTCCGAAGCGGCCAAGAAGGCCGTCGAGGAGGGTATTGCAGGCTTGGTGAGCATCGAGGCAAGTTTCTGACGAAAGTGGGTTTTCATTGTCAAATTCAGGACCACCCATATTTAGAAATTGGACCACTGCAGGAATAGAGATTGAATCAATTGCATCGGGCATGTTAAGAGTCTAGAATCACTTTCGTTCGCACAAAGATATTATGCTTTACAGAATACACGTGCATGTTTTTACCAGTTGATTCATTGTTAGTGGCCAAGGAGTTAAGAAAATTCCAAGCATGTCCCAGGAAAGGGGTGATCGATGAAAATATATAAACTAACATCCCCCAGGTTCATATTAGCTCAATTGAACTATACGCTGCTGCTGTTCCAGCGTACAGGTTTGAACCAGACGAGTTGATCCCGAGAGTCTCTGGTGAGAGACCTTTTCTATGCCTTATGATCAACTCCAAGCTGATAGAAGTACATCTGTTGTTTGTTGTTTGTTGTTTGAAGTATAGTTTTGGGGGGGCGGGGGGGGGGAGGGAAATTTTCTCTTTCTTTGCAAACTTTTGAATCATCCATTCCCCGGGATCAATATTGCCAAAAATGGCAAAAGAATCACAGCATATAGCGGAATCCCTTCTGCAACTGGCGTGCGGCGTCGATACCGACACCTTCCACCTTTGCGGTGGTCTCCAGCCGACGTAGTTCCATCTCGGTGAGTTGCACGTTTTCATTCTCGAGCCTCTCCTGACGTTTGTTGAGCACGCGCAAGTTGAAGTAGACAAAGGCGGCCGAGAGGCCACCCATGACCTGTAGGGCGATGCATATCCCCAAGGCGACGTGATAAAAGGGTGCCTCCGACGTGTAGTATGTGTATGGGGTCCAGATGCTTGCCGAGTTCGCAATCATGTTGATGATCCCAAAAGCGGCGGCCCGTTTGGCTGGGGGCCGGGGGATGGAGCTGGCCACCCAAGAGTACAAGACCCCGTTCTGCGCAAATGTCATGTTCATGAGGAAGAAGGAAAAGTATCGAGGTCCAAAGGAATCGACTGTCATGAAGATGACGAAACCAACAATGGTGATGGGGATCGGGTAGAAGAAGAACCAGAACCGACGACCCATTCGGTCTGCCACCCAGTTGTGCGCGAGACTGTAAAAGACCAAAAAGAGGTAAGGCGGTGCCACCAACAACAGTGACACCGTGTGGCTGTATCCCAGCGTGGCCGTCAAGGTCGGGAAAAAGTATTGGAACCCACCCGCGCCGCCGATACAGAAATACATGAAGGCGAAAGCCCAGGTCTTGACGTCGGTCACGGCCATCTTGAGACCGGCAATTTGACTCATGCCGCCCTCTTGGTCAAGGTCAGCTTCGGCCGCCTCGATGGCCAGTCGTCGAAGGGCGACCTGCTGTTGCTCCTCTGCGAGGCTGCGCCACGTGTCGGGAAAATCGGGCAACACGACACAGACCACCAGGCCGATGAAACAGGTGATGGATCCCTCGATGATATAAAGCCATCGCCATGCCGCGAGTCCACGGGCTCCGTTCAAGCCGTGTAGGATCCCGGCGGCGATCAGATTGCCAAAAGCACCGCTGAGTAACGAGCCCGAGTAGAAGACGCTCATTCGGAAGGCCAACTCCTTCTTGGTGTACCATTTGGACAGGTAAAACAGTGTGCCTCCGAAGAATGGGGCCTCTGTATATTGAAAATTTGGGTATTTGTCAATAAATGAGTCCTGACTCCTAATAGGTGGGTTTGACGAGGGAGAGAGAGCGCGCGCGCATATGTGTGAGAAAAACTACAAAACATACCGACGAATCCCAAGAAGAATCGACATGCCACGATGCCGGAATAGCTTTGGACTTGGCTGGTCAAAGCAGAGACAAAACCCCATACCACCACGCAAGTTCCGATGTAGAGCGAAGGTCGGCCCATGTAGTTGAGCATGAGATTGGACGGGACCTGCATGAGGAGGTACCCGACGAACAAGATGGACAGACCGGTTTGATAGTCTTGATCAGAGAGTTTGAGGTCTTCCATCAGACCTTGTAATTTCGCTGCGGCATAGTTGTTTCTAGATTGGACCAAAGACACAAAAAGTGTCGTATACGCAGTTAGTTTCCGTACTTCATCGTCGAGAAAGGGTGCCAGATGGGTGACACGCAAAGTTCAACTCACCTGTCGATATAGTTCATCAGGTATACTAGGATGATCAGAGGCATGATTCGAGCATCGATCTTCCGACGCAAAGTCTTCTCAATCGCCTTTTCCTCTGGAGTCAGTTCAACCACATGGACCACCTCTGCATGGGCCTCCACATTGCCTCCCATCAAGTCCTTGTCCGAAATGATGTGTTGTTCGCCGGCGTGAACCATGATGGCTATGGATGAATAAGTGTATATTTGAGGCTTCAAAACCCTATGAACCCGCAGTATCAAATTGGACTGCTGTTGCTGCTGCTGCTCACGAAGCACCAAAGTCTTCGTATATATATACTCATACACCCCAGGACTTCCTCCAGATTGACTCCGCAAGTCATTTTGTTAGCTCAACTAAAGGGGGGGATTTGGGTGGGAGGTCGATCATCGATGTGAGGACGGAAAAGTATCCCTCAATTCTGTCTATACGGATAAGTAACTTGTACGTTACCCCATAACCGATTTCTCCACGACATTCACACGGATAAGTATCATTACCCCCAACATTGTTTCTGTCTACTGTCCAATGTCATGCGAGCTTGTTGTAGTAGATGCTCCAACATCAGATCATGTTAGGAACAGTCATAATACACGAGAATCAGACGAGGTAAAGGGAAAGTCCAGTATTTTAAGTCAGGATGGCATGATACCCCTAATCACATTCGGCAACCCAGACTCGAACTACCGGTACACTTAGCCTAGCAAGATTCGCTTTGGTTCCCTTTTACCAGCGTGAGCTTTTTGATTACTACCTACCTAAATTGAATGCATGGAAAAGGGCGGACATCTATCAGCTACTCTATTGAAGTAAAGAGTAGAATGTTTACATATAGCCAGCAGTCATACAGACCAAATATATATGTAGATGTCGTACTTTTTTTGTTCACCACCGTGGGATGTCGGCGGAGAAGTCAGGGTGAAATTTTTTCATGTAAGTAGTGTCGTCTCGCTTCCGCAATCCACAGTCAAGATACTGCCGGTGTAGTCGTGCGAGTTTCTCCCTGTCGAGTTCAACCCCTAGGCCAGGGGTGGTGGGAACCGCCACGCCACCGTCGACCCACTTCAGACTGCCATCGACTACCACATCTTCGTCGCGACGCTTCCACGGCCAGTGCGTGTCACAGGCGTAGTCGAGGTTGGGGGTTGCAGATGCCAGGTGCGACATGGCGGCGAGCGAGATGCCCAGGTGGCTGTTTGAATGCATCGACAGCCTCATGCCCCACGTCGCGCAAATGGCCGCGAGGGCCTGAGACTTGCGCAGGCCTCCCCAGAAATGATGGTCGGACAAGATCACCTGGACGGCACCTTGCGAGATGGACGAGGGAAGGTGAGAGAAGGCGACCACGGCCATGTTCGTCGCCAAGGGCATCTTCGCCTCCCTGGCCACGGCGGCCATCCCTTCGATCTCGGGAGCCGGATCCTCCAAGTACTCGATGATGCCTTCCAACTCCTTGGCCACCCATTTAGACGTCTCCACGGTCCATGCGGCATTGGGATCGATTCTCAACGGGACTCTGGGGAAAGCGGCGTGCAGGGCTTTGACGGCTTCGACCTCCTGAGCTGGAGGGTAGACGCCGCCCTTGAGTTTTATCGCCTTGAACCCATATTCGTCGACAATTTTTCGAGCTTGTTTGACCAACCCGGCCGCGTCGAGCGCCTCGCCATACTCGTCATCTGGCTCTCCTGGGTGTCCTTTCCACTTGTAGAAGAGATACGCCGAATACGGCACGTTGTCCCTCACGCGGCCACCGAGCAAGTCGCTCACCGGCACACCGGCCACTTTGCCTTGGATGTCCAAGCAAGCAACCTCGAAAGGTGAAAAGACTTTGTCAGCGACGGAGGCCGTGGTGACCATGCCGGCCATGCCGTCACCTCCAGTAGTGGTGTCTCCCACCAGAGATTCGATACATCTCTGGTAGATGCCATTTGTATCGTACACTGAAAGCCCCCTGATCTGTTCGGCTGCTTTTTGCAGACGATGCAGATGCGTCGAGTCGCCGTACGATTCGCCGAGCCCATAAGTATCACCGTCCGTGACAACCTCGATGATGCTTCGTAATGCGAAAGGTTCGTGCACACCGACGCTATTCAGCAGGGGCATATCATGGAATGCCACCGGCGTGATTATGATGTCTTTAATTTTAAGGGCCATGATTTCCGTACCTGGGTAGTTACGGTTTTCGGCACAAGCGGCTGCAGGCTTCAACGAGGAGATCTCAAGGAGCCATGGATATACTTCGTTAGGATTGATAAATCTTACTTTTCGAGTGGATGTAAACACCCTTCTACTAAGACCGCGGCGGGCAGTCGTTAACCGAGAGACATCGCGAAGTAACCTGAGATATTTATCCGTGATGATGCTCTAGCTATGCGGATATGTATGGTGGGGGCCTCGTCTCCATCTGGGGTACAAAGTCATGCTATGCTTAGCTCTGGGCTGAGGGCTTTGCCGAACTACCCAGGTATTGCTTGGGATTTTGAAGTAAAGTCCTTTGACACCAGCTTCAGGCCTGTAAACGGCACCAAATTGGATTGTTCTGCGTACAACTAGTTCTAGGCAAGAAGTTCTGCTCATTGTCAACAATCACAAAGTGGATCACAATCGTTATAAATGTTTTTTGTGTTTAAATTAGCACGTTTTTATCAAGTCAGGAAACTTCTGACCGTTCTCTCCTTTCATGCCAGCACTATGTCCATCTTCATTTCTTTCAAGACATCCTGCCACTGTATATCGACTGCCGACGATGTTTCACTCCTTCGCCGCCATAACTCCTCCGCTATATCCTTAGAGAAATCGAGATTCTTGAAACCATGTCTTCGCTTCATCATGTACCACGCAACCATACGCTGCTGAAGATCTGTACTCAGGCATTCACAAGCCACGATGAACGGCGGCCACACCAGCGTACACCCAATCGTCTCCCCTCCAAGAACCTCGATTGCTTCAAGGTGGCCTACGGCGATCTCGACCATTTCTTGGACCTCTTCGGGCGGTCGTCGCTTGAGCGTGCGCTGGAAGTAGACCAAGCTGGCGTAGTAGAAGACATATGCGTGGTTCCGAGTCAAAGCCTGCGAAACGGGATCCAAATTCTCCATGTCCAATGTCTCTGGGGTCTGCATGTAGAGCTGCAGCTCAAGGTCGTCGAGCATCTCCTTGCTCGTATCGGGGTTCGTGTTGGATATCCGCTTGATCAAAGAATTCATCATGACAATATGCTTCAACATCGGACGTGTGAGGCCAAAAAATCGGTCCAGCACGTAGTGCCGCTCATCGAGGAAATCGTCCGATTCCATGTCCACTTCGATGGTCGATGGGAGATTGATATTGCATAGCGCTGCAATAGCGAGATAGCCTTGATATACCATTGACGAAGACTTGTCACGATCCCAAGCATTGCCTTCGATTGTCGAGAGCCAGGAGGCACCGCCTTCGAGATGTGTGCGCCATTCAGAGGAGCGACCAGTAATCATATCCATGGCCGAGAACATGGTGATAGTGGCCAGGATGGAACCACGCTGGGCGTCAACTCCGGGATTGGTGTTGGGATTGTGCTTGGCGTTTGCTAAGCTATGCCGCAGGTGCATAATTGCAAGGTTGTAATGCTTCATAGCAAGGGTGAGGGACTTAGAATCGTCATTCAACAACTGGCCGCGACTGAAGGCGGATGCGGCACACAGAGCGTGGAAGAGGGCGATCTGGCCGTTGGATTGGCTAGAAGGGGAGCTCAATCCGGCGAGAGCCATGGGTGTAAAGACGCTGCGGAAGGGGTTATCTGAACGATCCACGGGAACAAGGTGCCACGACACAAAACTTGTCCAGTGATGAATTAACTCCCGTTGTTCGCTTGGTCGAGGGAGGAGGTCGAGGTGGCGGAAAGATGGCGGGGTCGATGCTTGGCTCAGATCGAAAGAAATGGAGGCGGAATCTATATCAGACTGAGACAAGATTGATGTCGACGGCGAATAAATGGTCTCGATTTCTTCTTCTTCAGCGTCGCCAGTGTCAGCTTGTGACGGCGGTGGGAAGCCGTTGGACAGGGAAGATTCTGGGGCTCGTTGTAGATTTCCGTATCGCAAGCCATCGGGATCATAGCCGTCGAGAAGAAAGACTGAAAAAGGACCTGCCGACAAGTCGTCGGTCTCTGCCGGGAAATTTTCTATCGTGTCCAAGGCTTCGAGGACATCGACCCGCATAAAGCTCGAATCATCGTCGTAGATCGCTGGGGCACCTATCGCCCGCCTGCTGTTCTGCTCCCTTTCCTGTGTGTTAGGGTCGACCCAGACCAGTCTGATTCCGTAGCCCTGGCAAGAGAAACCTCCTTTCAGACATCTTGCACATTCCGGCCGCTCCTCACCACACTTTACGTGCCTATTCCGACACGTCCAGCATGCCGTGAAGGTTTTGGTGTGCTTGACAGGCTGGCGGGGTTTCGCTGATTTGCGCCCAGTGGTTACTTGTTTCATCTGGCATAGTAAGACATTGCGTGTCACGCGTTTGCTGGAGCTTGATGGTGCCTGTTGGCGTCTACCACCTCAAAAGCTCCCTGTTGTCGACTTTCTAGCGATATCCGAGGTCTATCAAGAGTGACGATAAGAGAAGCCGAAAGAGGGCAAGAAAAGATGACCTGGAACTCGGGACGGATGATGGTTTCCCCGGCCGCAACCCCTCCTCGTATTCGTTTTCGCGGCTCCGTGCGACGTCAATGGTCGATAGTTTGCAATGTTTCTGCTCAGCCTCGCCAGGCGCACTATTCCTCAACCAAGAGACATTGTTATCCTTTATTGTTGTTTGGCCACTGCCCCTTTCTCTGTTGGCTGGGAAAGTTATCGCTCTAATGTCGACTTCGACTCGGATCGATGTCGGTCCATATTCAGTTTGATCAACCCGAATCCAGATGCTACACGAATCTCGACTTCGTGACCGGGAGGGTTGTCCTAGTCCTTCCATACGATGCCGCGATCACTGCTGTCACCGTCAAACTTGAGGGAGAGAGTCGTACCCGGCTCTCTGGACCGAAATTTCCTGGCAATGAGCGCTCAGATAAGAGGAGGTACGAGTTAGAAGCACACAAGGTTCGCAACAAGGGTTTCCGTATTGTGCCTGCGCTCACCAGTACTACAGCTTTTGTACAAAGTTCTTACCGTTTTTCCCACGCCCGAGCTACAAGACAAGAGCACACCGTCCGCTTATACCCTCCTGTCTGGACAATATGTGTACCCATTCAGTTTCAAGGTACGCAGAGATCAATTTGCTGGCTTCGTCACGCGTCTAATGGCCTCATCAGTTCCCATTCAATAACGATTGCCAAAGACGGCCTCCGACGGCAATGAAAGACATCAAACTCGGCCACCTGAATGTTCAATTTGCCCCGGATTTGAACAAGCACGTAAAGAAAACCCTACCTCCGTCCTTGAGCGGCTTTCCAGGCGAGGCGGAGATAAAATACTATGTCAAGGCGACTGTGGTTCGACCCAAGTTCTTTCAGGAGAACTTGCGATCGGTATTATCAGCTGTTCTTGAGACTACATTACTACTTTGCTGACACGTACAAGATATGCGATATTAAATTCCTCCCCATTGAACCCCCTCGACCTAAAGACCGGCATGAAGAAACCTTTGCTCGGCGGAAGCGTCAATTCCAGCCATACCCTGCACCTTCTCAAAAGAAGGGACTTTTCAAGAAATCATCCACACCACAATCTGCGGAAGAAGAACCGCCGGCATTTCAGGTCGATGCGCGACTACCGAACCCTGCCATTCTCACATGCAACGAACGGCTTCCGCTTCGAATACTCATTGAGAAGCTCAATGACAGTTCGGCAAATGTCTATCTCAGTATGCTGCAGATTGAACTGATCGGCTACACCAATGTCAGGGCGCATGACCTAGAGCGGACAGAGAGCGGAAGCTGGGTCTTGATGTCACAAGCTAACATGAATATGCCGTTGGGTAATCCCACTGATAAAAGCCGCAAGGAGTGGAAATTGCCATCCAGACTGTGGGACGACTATCCTATACCAAATACTGTGTGTCCAACCTTCGATACGTGCAATATCTCTCGCCGATACGAGCTTGAAATCCGAGTCGGTCTTGCTCACGAAAATGCTGGTGGAATGCGGCCAGAACTCATCATTCTCCCTCTGCGACTGCCTGTGATGGTGTACTCAGGTATTGCGCCTCCACCACAGCTGTTGCAAGCCATGGCAAACAACCCACGACCGCAAGAAGCGCCTCCACCCGTGTTTCCTCGACCTCATCAAAGTAATGGATCGCCTGTGCAAAAGCCAACACCGAGCGCTACACCAACAACTCCAGTGTCTGAAACACACTCTTTCCCCACCTCAGTAGGGTCATACAGCCCTGAACAACACAACAACGTCCCTGACGAGGCTCCACCAAGTTATGAAGATGCCATCGCAGATGACATAGCACCTGTCGACGGCCCCAGGCGAGAGTATGATGTGCCTTCCCAGCCTGGTCAGGAGCATGTTTTCAACACCGAAAAGGGTGGACTTGGGCGACGGGTTAGTGAGAGGCTGTTCTCCAGTAATAGTCCTGCGGCCCCTGCAAGGACCGTGTCTATGCCAAATGCTTTACATTCTGTCCCGATCACGGAAGACGAGGCTGAGAATGTGACTGGATCCCCAATAGGTGAGGATGCAAGGCGACCACCGTCGGGGAAAAGAACTTTGACTGGGACCAAAGAATAAAAGGCCTGTTCGATTACTGGTTGCAGCAAGCGAGGCGTTGGCATGGGCTGCTACTTACCATGAGAAGGATTTTGGACCAATGATGGGTCTGAACAAATAGAAAAAGTACTATTTTGTACTCTCTGTACAAATCCTCATGATGCATGACACAGGGGCCCTCGTTGGTTTCTTCGTTAGACACTGGCAGGCACGTGACATGACGTATACCTCCAAGACTCGAAATCTTCTGCCTACTTTGTCCAACCCTCCAACGTCGTCATGAATTTCTTGCCTGCCGCACAGTAATCCTGCAATGAACAACATATCTGGTGTTGACTATGTGGCTCTAACAACAATTATCAGAGAACTTGGAATAGAGAGCAGTTGATCGGCAAGTCGTGGGCCATGGAGGCCACCAAAGACAAGGTATGAAAGAACGCAACTCCATTCCGTCAGAAGTATTACTCGTCACAGAAGTGTATGCACGAGCAGTGCCACCCAAGTGCTCATAACCTTCTCAATGAATTTGCTAACACTTGTAGACCCCAGGATCTGGTGGTCACCGGAGCTCGGGCTCTACTTCCTTTGCCGCCATTGGAGCTGCGTTGATTCCCACAGCGATCACAGCAGGCATTTTTCTCCTTGGATTTATTCTTCTTCGAGCAAGATACAAGAACATATATGCACCACGAACGTACTTTCGTACCATCTCACGCAAGTACGTAGATCGATCGAGTGGATGATTGGAACATGTTTGTGCTAATACCAATCAGGGATCGGACTCCCTCGTCCAGCCACACCTCCGTATCGTGGTATCACGACTTTAAAGCTCTTGACGACAAATTTATCCTGCGTCATTCATCTCTAGAGGCATATCTATTCCTACGTTATCTGCGGATGATTGTTCTAGTCTGTGGCGTTGGATGTTTATTGACCTGGCCGGTCCTCTTCGCCGTGAATGCTTCTGGAGGTGGTGACTCAACGCAATTAGACAGAATCTCTTTCAGCAATGTCTCCAAAACTGAGAGACTATATGCACATGCTGTAATTGCGTGGGTTTTCTTCGGTATGTTTCCCCAATGCCACTTGAGGAATCCTTGCTGATGTGCATAGCCTTCATCTTGTTGCTCATTACTCGAGAGAGACTTTTCATTGTTGGACTTCGTCAAGCTTATCAGACTATACCCTTGAATAACACTCGACTATCAGCCAGAGTGGTGATGTTTCTCGCTGTGCCGCCTGATGGACTTCGACCTGAAAACCTTCAACGATACTTTGGTAAAGACGCAGTCAGGTCTTGGCCAGCATCAAAGTTGGGTCAATTGGAGAGCAAAGTGGGCAAGAGAAACATCCAAGTCGACAAACTTGAGGAAGCCGAGTTGGACTTTCTGCGAAAAGCGAATAAGAAAGGTTATGATACCAGAAATGGCCGTGACGGTACAACTGTTGCTACAAGTGCAGAGGACCATCGGCCTGTTCACCGCACACACTATGTTCTTGGGGATAAAACCGACAGCATATCGCATCTGCAAGAAGAAATTACATCCATGGCCTCTGATGTGGACAAGATGCGTCAAGCTGGTGTGAACGAATCGAACATAAGACATGGAGCTGTATTTGTGGAATTTAAAGACCAAGCGGCTGCGCATTTGGCCTTCCAGCAGGTACGACACGCTTCGCCACTCTCGTTACAGCCAAAATTTGTTGGTGTACAACCGAAAGAAGTGCTTTGGCAGAACCTCAACCTGGATCCCTCGATGCGGATCTCTTACTCTTACCTTGCCATAGCGCTAGCACTCGCTACCATAATGCTCTGGTCTATCCCCGTGGGTATCATCGGAACGATCTCGAACATCAATTACCTGACGGATAAGTTCCACTGGCTCCGATTCATCAATAAGCTTCCTGAACCAGTTTTGGCACTTCTGACCGGACTCGTACCACCACTATTACTCAGCACTGTCGTGTCCTACGTGCCATACTTTTTCAAGTATGTGGCGACACTATCTGGGCAACCCACCAGCATTGAAGTCAACAAGTGGGCTCAAAATTGGTATTTCGTCTTTCAAGTCGTCCAAGTTTTCCTTATAACCACATTTTCATCCGGGGCGGCTGCTGTAGCCAACAAGGTAGCCAACGAACCAACCTCGATCCCAACGCTGCTCGCAAAGAATCTCCCAAAGGCTTCGAACTTCTACCTGACTTACTTTATCATTCAGGGCCTGGGTACCGCGTCCAAGAACATCATCAACTACTCGGATCTTTTCTCGTACATGTTTTTCTACTACGTCATGAACAAGACTCCACGACAAAAGTTCAATACGTACACGCAGATGAAAGGAATCAGTTGGTTCAATGTCTATCCCAAATTCACCAACCTCGCGGTGATTGCAATAGCATATTCATGCATTGCACCCCTGGTACTGGGATTTGCCGGCATTGGAATATTTCTGTTTTATATGAGTTACCGCTACAACTTGCTCTACGTGATCCAAGTCAAGTCAGAGACGCGAGGCGAGAGCTACACTAGAGCCCTCCAGCATCTAATGACGGCATTGTATCTGGCGGAACTGTGCTTGATCGGCCTGTTTGGCATTAAGAAAGCCCCAGGTCCCTCGACAATGATGTCGATACTTTTGGTATTGACCGCACTCTATCATTTCACCGTCAACAAATATCTCACGCCTCTCGAGACCTATATGCCAGTGGATGTCCTCTCAAATGACGAGGAGGAGGAACGGCCTCTCCTGGGTTCCCAGGGAGACATGACGCAGCGTTCTCGGATACATAGATTTGGGGCCGGGAAAGTCCCTCCGATCTTGCTCGACCCACTGGCTGCGTTCCTCGAGCCTCACATCTTTGCTTCACAAGAGGCTCTTCGACCGTGGCTCCAAGACCCTGAGGGAGAGTTCGAGGAGTCAGTCTCGTACACCGATGAGCAATTGAGGAATGCATATCTCAACCCGGCATTGACCTCGAAAACGCCCAAGATCTGGATCCCGAGAGACTCCAAGGGTGTCTCGAAGCAGCTGGTCGGTGAGAATGAAAGTTCTGGGCTGACTAGCACGGATGAAGGGGCAGAGCTGAGTGCATCGAATGAGATTATCTGGAACCAGAATGACTTTACAAGTGTGCCTATTTTCAAAGAGGCAACCAGGTATTAATAAGCTTGTGGTGGTGATGTCAGTCAATGGCATAGATTGATTGGGTTTGATATGTTACACAAATGCTCAAATACGACTTTTTAGACACACGAGGGTTGATGAAAATCGGTATACAAGGATTGAACGCCTACCGAAGTGAGTTATGTTTGGACTTGTACATGAACGTGTCCAGCCAGCCTTCAACCATCGACCTCATCAAGCCCCAAGCCACATGCAGACATTCGTCCATTCAGCGCGATCAACAATTCCACATGATTTCAGCTCGTCTTACATATTACTACGTCCACTAGAGCCAACCATTGAAACATTCAAAAGTACATTTCCAACTGTAAGACCTCAGCAACCCTCTTTTTCATTTTTGTGAAATGTTCAAAGGGATCGGATTGGACCATTTTTTGTTTCAACTCCGGTCATCACATCTCGATAGCCACACACGACCTGACAGACCAGACAGACCTGACAAGAGAAAAGGCAGCGTGTAACACAAAATGACTTTGGTGGCTGGCTGTTTCTGACCACTTTGTGTATTGTCGTCGCCGTCACAACACGGTGAGAGTTGAATTACGGTTGCATTGACCATCGACCGGTATTTGCACCACACAGTTCGTCGGAGACTTCAGTCTGAGGTTCTCGTTTTGCTCCGCCTGGGGGTATTTTAAATATACCTGATCAACCCCCCCCTCGTCCCATACATCCATAGATTGTCTTTTTTTTTGGACCCATCCAACCTACCGGGCTTTTTCCATACAGAAAGTACACACGCATTGTTGTCATTGTCAAGTCACAGTGTCAATTACCTGCCAGGAAAAAAAATGTCTTTTACAAATCAAAACGATGGATCCTCCCTATTCAGTCGTCTCACTCATGTCTCTTTCCCATCCTCGTCCGAACCAAAGAGGAGCTCATCATTGTCGTCGTCGTCGTCGTCGTCGTCGACCACAACCACTTCGACCTCTGCAAAGTTATCCACGCCGAACAGACAACAAAACCATCAGAGGGCCAGATACTCCAAAGACGGTCAAGGTTTCGACTTTACATCGACATACCCTTACTCTTGTGATGATAGACACAACACCAACGCCGTGAACAACGGAGGTGCTGATATTGTCGATATGGATCTTTCAGGACAGATCTTGGGGCTTCGCAATCTCAACCTTCGATACGCAAAGGATGGTAAAGGTCATGACTTGACTACGAGTTACCATTACTACGACAACAACAACAACAACACACCATTGTCGACCGAGGCAACCCCCAACGATTGTTGAAACCGTGAATCTTAGGTATGCAAAAGATGGAAAAGGTCATGACTTTACACTGTCGTATCCCTACAATCAATAGATAAGTAATAAAAAAAATAGAGAATAATAATGCAAGATAGCTCAGTTCGAAACTCGTTTTCATCATTCGTTAATATCTAAACATATGTACTGCTTACGATGTGCGACACCCGCTCAAAAAGATTTTTAAAAAAAGCACCATCACCATCAGCATCAGCATCACCTCCTTTGTCTTGTCCAAGGTGTACAACATACCAACCCTTCAAACGCCCTTTTTGAGAAGTGGCGTCTTTTCCATTCCATTCTTGTCCTTGTTCTTGCTCGAACTCTTTCTCATGGCATCATCCTCGTGCTCAGCCACGACCTCAATCGAGGCCATATTGTTTGCTTTGACGACGACGGGCTTCGTCGCCACAACTGATGCCAAGGACAACCACTCCTTGACCACACCTCGGTAGTCCTTGGCCCGGTAAGGCTCGAAGAGTTCCCTCAGCCAACCCGGTTTGCGCCAATACTTCAAACCGAGGTCCCTCAGGAGGGTATCCATATAGGGGACCTGGTCGAAGACCAAGTCGGGGAAGAATCGACCGTGACCAAAGGGGGCTCGGAATTTGGAGAATCTCGACATGAGGGCGGATTCATCGTACACGGTGTCCCGGTCGATCTTGGACTCGAAGTGGCCGTTCAGGTAGGCGTAGCCCCATAGGCACTGCAACTCCATGCGGGGAGTGTTGGCGAGGTTGCTGAACATGCCGATGAAAACGAGGTCGTGCTTGCCGTCTGCGGTTGGACCCGGAGGTGCGATCCCTCGGTACAACCGAAAGGGGGTGTATTTGACCTCGGCGTCGGCCCCCGGGTTGTAAGGTTGTACGGTGTTGCTGCTCGGTGACATAAAGGGGCCAGACGTGAGACGTGGAAACATGACCGAAAGTTTTTCGTCGGCGGCGCGGTCGAGGCTGGCCCAAAAGTCGTGCTGGGATCTTGTGAACGTCGTAGACGGGATACCCAGATCGCTGTGCGTCGAGGTCGGTGAAAAGGTCACGGTAGGTTTGGCCGAGAATCCTGTCGCGGTGATCACGGCGTCGACTTGGATTATTGACGGATCACTTGTACGGCTGCCAGTACCAGGTGGGTCACGGGGATCGGTAGAAGAAGACGGCTTGAATGTGATGTGACCTTTAGAGAGGTGATCAATGTCTTCTCGATGCACTCGGACCTGTCCGGACTTGACCATTTCATAAATATCCTTTTCGAAATTGTAAACACCAGACGCTGTGCCATACCAGAATGGACTATGAGCATAAATTAGCATGGGAAGGGCAAGACAAGAAACTCGCATGTTATGAATCAGAGGTAACAGACACTCACCTCTGCTCTGGCTCCAAGACTCTAGTCCGCTCGTCGTTACGCATGCCGCAATCTTGAATCGTCGCCTCGTGAAGGTTTGCCCAGAACTTTTGAGCGACGAATTTACCGACGGAGGTCGAGTGCACAAAGTACCGAAACTTGTCGAAACCGTCGTCCCACAGGCACGGGCTGAAAAAGGACACCGCGCGCCGTGCAGGTAGAAACTCTCTCGGGACCGTAAAAGGGCCGATCTTCGTGTGGCTCGGAAACACCCATTCGGGACCCTTGCCTGACTTGCGGATGATCCATTCGACCTGTCGACCTGCCTTGCCTGCGGCCTGGACGGAATCGTACGCCGACTTGCCGCCGCCGAGGACCGCCACCGTCTCGACGTTCTCGTTGGCAAAGAGCAGGTCACCCTTAAAACCCAGCTCTGCCGAATGGATTATGGGTCCTCCAAAGTCTTCGGAGCCCTCGAGGGTCGGTCGGTGTGGGAGATTGGTGATGCCGGTGGCGACGAGCAGTTTCTTGGTGGTGTATTCGGTCTGAGAGGCGCCGCCGGTGGTTGCTGCGGAAGTAGTAACGGTCTTAAGAACCCAGCCCCGTGCACCCTCGAGCCGCGAGATGTCATTGACTTGTGTGTCAAAGTCGATGATGCTCAACAACTTGGAACGCTCTGCGTAGGCTTTGTAGTACTCGTGCATGACATCGCCAGTAGGATGCTGACCATCTTGGATGCCGAATCCATCGTGCATAGGAAAGTCGGAAAAGTCAATACCACCACGAAGGTTGTTTGTCTTGAGACTCGGATAGATGATTTGTTTGGACCATACTCCGCCTAGAGTTTGGTTCTATCCAGCATGATTAAGTCAGCGGCGATGCTCGAAATTATGGATGGCAGACTTGTGACCGGGCCGCTTTGTCAAGGCTGAAACATACCGCATCTAGAACCTTGACTTTGGCCTCGGGCTCGCACTCGAGGATGGTCTTTGCAGCGCATAACCCTGAAGGGCCTGTTGGAAAATATCAATGTCGTTCCAAACCAAAGTCTCGCGAGGGAGGGAGACAGTACCAGCGCCAATTATGAGATAGTCAAACATCGCGAGAGAGCGCTCTGTCTCGATCTATTCAGCGCGAATCTGAATCTCAATCTTGTCGCATAGGGAGTGTAAGTGATGGTAAGTCGCGACAAGACGCAGAGAACAAGAATGAGATAGGCGACACATGGTTTTTGTCTGAAGTGAGATTTAATTCACAACGACAGCCTCACTCGTATAGCGCGTCCCGGGACAATGAGCAGTGGAATTCGATGTACGCCCGGGCTCCAATAGGCAGGCGGCATGCTCTGGATGTACGTGACTTAGAGAGAGAGAGAGTTGTGAATTCACCACCGTGGGACTGCAATGATTCTTGGCCTGAGTAAGCCCGAGAGGATCTAAGCTTGTAAGCTGATTCCTTGGATCTTTCAAGTATTGAACTTAGTGGGTGAGAGGCGCTGATAGGCTTCTGCACGTGCATTCGTTTATCATCTCGATCGGTAACAGTATCTTATGAATAAAAAGGATGTTGCCGGTTCGATAGCCTGACCCATGCACAGACTTGATCGCGCGCAAAAGCCTTAACCGAGTACCGAAGAGCCCTTGATTACGCTCTGTACGAGAAGGATTGAAGATGAATGTAGGTTGACGTACACACAAGACCAATAGGCGAGATGTCGGTTCAGACCCCATTGACGGTCCACTCCACCTGCTTATGCGCCGCCTTTTTTTAGCCCTCGTTGATGGCCAGATCGATTATGGCGTGCACGGTTTTGTGGTAACAGAACAGATATTTGATAACCTTATCAGGCTTCTCAATATGGGATTCGAGTGGACAAGACAAAGTTGCACATCCTTTCTTATCGCCTGATTTGTGTATACTTTCAAGCTATCATGAAGAAAGCAAATCGCTCAATAAACAGGGAGAAAATTATTGCCTGATTGACTTAAGTTGCAAAGTAATGGCTCTGTGGCTGCCTGTAACTGAAAGCGAGTGCGCGGAGACTGTGAGATCTGTGTCTAATGTACAATGACTCTCGGTGCCTTGGTATGTTAATCATTGAAATGTTTGTTGGACTGTCTTTTCTTTTGGTGATTTCCTGTCCAAGATCTGATTCAGGAGTTGTTGACTTGCTTGGATATAGCTCTCAATGTGCGCCGCTAGATGGCCTTTTGGATTGCTGTTCTTGCTGCATGCCTTGCATAGAGAACAACACTTCACGTTCATTGTTGAGCTTTGCTTCCGTCTTCCATCGACCGCTCATTAAAGGAAAGAAAAGGCCCGGGTGAAATAGGGTCAGCGTAGCTGCAGCCAATGCCACCATCCTGGATGACGAATCAGTCAAGAGCATCCTAGAAGGGGTAGTCGTAGGCTCACTAACATTCCATCGAGGATCAAGAATTCATCTTCTTTTCTCATCAGCGAGTTTCCCCAGCCGCCAGCCATTTCGGGTATACTGTTGGCAGCAGGGACGTATTAGCGAGTCGTCCCTCTTCCATCTGATTAAGCAAAGAGAAAGTTGGCTTACCGATATATGCAGCGAATTAACACGGCAATGAAAGCAAAAACCTCTGCAACACAAAAGAGTCGGAACCTTGTGTGGTCGATTGACATGCTCTTTCTTGGACGCTCGGCTCGTTTGAGGTACCTGATGGCGAAATCCAAAGCGAGAAGGCTGCAAATCACCATGGTAACGACTTGTATCCCAATGCCCGCTATCATTGTATCGTTGCCAACTTTCAGCAATGTCGGGTTGTCGCTTTTAGCGCTGCCTGCTATTGCGCCACCTGCTGCCTGAACCACAATGGAGAATATATCGCATCCAATGAAGACCCAGGTGTATAGTCTTGGTTTTAATCTTGAATGTTGAGGACCAAGGTAGAGGACAATATGTTTGAGGGAGAGGTATATGCCAGCCGCAATGAAGGATGGAGCGATGATCAAGCACACAATTTGCTGACTGAATGCTGATCTATTCCAAACGTTGTGGCGCAGTTTGATACGCCCGATATAGCCCACGAGTTCCATGATACAACCGGCGGCCAAGGCGATCATGAAGGTCCACGTACGGAAGAACACACCGAGGGCCAGTTGCAACAAAGCGCAGATACCAAACACCACGGCGAGTGTATAATTTGCAGGAGCATTAGGGATATAGCCATATGTTGTCCCCGACACCGGGCATGCTGGTGACACTGTGGTACAGTTGTGAAATTTGCCTGAGGTCATTCTTGCTGCTAAAAAAGCTGTATATTGAAATATGTCCGCTCACATTGATATTGCAGCAGACGCGAACGGCCTGATATATGTCTTTGTTTCACAATAAGGGACTAGGTTGCATTATCTCGCCAACCATTGCAATATGGCTGTGACCTAGCCAATGCGTTGAGTGCCAAACTGTACGCGGACATTCTCCGCGTACCGCGTACCGCGGGAATTGTCGATGGATTCTTCAACTCTTATTGGCCAAGATCAACTCCTCAAGCCTTGTGGTGCACGCCAACGAGGCGCTGAGGTGGTGACACATCTCGTTGTACGCTCGCAAGTCGTGGGGGTAGTTCACGCTCGTAAGGAGCACAGCATGAGTCACAGCATGAGCTGAAGGCGCAGCAGGTCGTGCGTACACAAAGAACATTCCAAGTACGTGGTAGGTTCGCCGGCTATCATAACTGGAAGACTTCGCCTTCTACGCCAATGCAGGCAGACCAACTTGCTGATGGACCCACGAAATCGCGGGCTCCCACTGTGGCTTTAAAGGATTCAGGACCATCGACAGCTCGGTGACCAGCAGTTTCCCGCATGACTTTCCCCACCAGCGGTTCTCACCGAGTCTGTCCAGCAATATGGCCCAATGCATGATCGCAAGCATGGCAACTGGTTCGCGATTACTTATCGCGTCGATAATAGAGCCCTCTAGTGTTGCCAGCCACCTCAAACAAACCACGTTGTCGGCGTCAGAGTTCCAGAGGAAACATTGCTCCAGCTTTTCGATTGCAGCAAGATTTGACTCGTGGTAAGATACGGCCTTTTGGGGAGAAGAAGAAGGGTCGGAGCAAAGTAACCGATACCCTTCGTCATTGGCCAAGCGCAGGTGATCCATGGCTGTTCTATGTGCGTGGTCCAACTCCTCTCGGGGCACATTTGGCATTTGTCGGGCGACCAACCCCTGAAAAGCACCGGTGCTCAGCCACGTCCGCGACGAGGCAAAGATGGAAACCACACCCTGCAGGAGCCCAAACATAGTAGGGAGCCCTTCTCGGATGTTTGTGAGGTCATTATCGCGTGACAAGTGATACGGCAGAGCCAGGGCAAGCGCCATGTTCAAGACGGAGAAGGCAAACATGGCTTGGTGATTGGCTGCCGTCACTGTGAGATTGCTTGCCTGGAAGGTGTTGATGGCCAAATTTTGATACTCCAAGGCGGCAAGTTGGTAGGCACGGGACCTGGTGGGACTTGTGGTCGTAGCAACGTGTAGAGCTGTTACGGAGAGGATGGCGTTGAGGAGAAAGTCGTATCTCAAGGCCTCTTGGGGCACCATCAGGCGCCAGACGTCGATATCGTCGGATGTGATTCTGAAGGTGCGGCAAGTGTCGGTTGACCAACGATGAAAAAGCTCTAGCTCTAGAATTCTGTCACCGACGACTACGACTGATGCTTGAGGGCATTCCTCTGCTGCAGGCTGAGGTCTCGGCTGAGGCGAGTTTGTGTTTTGTGCAGGTAGCGCTAGACCACAGTCCACATTTCGAACCCGACAATTTGCACAGGGAGGGCCCAACTCGTCACACTGCTCTAGAGGTTAGTGGAGGACTGTAGTATGATAGACTCGAGGGCAGTATTGAGGGCAGGCATAACGAGGGGGCTATGGTACCCGGTCAGCAGCTTACCTTGATATGCCGTTTCTTGCAGTTGATGCAACCAGTTCTTTTCTTCGAGTGAGGTCGTCTTTGAGCCATGAGAAGCCATTGAATAGGGGAAGGAAATGATTTCAAGTGAAGCGATAAAGACTAGGGAGTACACTGCTTTTGCTATGTTTGCGAGGCTGAAGTCTGTTGTCATTGCAAGAGTACAGTACATCGACTGATTTAGGTCTACAGTACAGAATTTCCGGTCTGCCAAGCAATCAATGGGGGCAGTGCTTAAATCAGGGAGGCCCCTATTGGCAACCATCGGGCACTCTAGTTAAGCCCTGCGTAGGGACCATGCAAATGCCAGAATGCCCGAGTGATGCCTAGATCATCATTTTACAGTGCCCTGTGGACGCCTAAGGACAAGTGGGTGCAGAATGTACAAAATGTTCTACATGTTCTCGCAGCATATATGCATAATCGGTATGGCATTTTCGGGTGCGGATCTTGAGGGACCCGAATTCTACCTTGGTACTCCGTACAGGGTATATACTGTACCTAGGTAAATGCATAGGACATAGTTTTGTTCTAGCTCTCCCTGACTGACTCGAATCGAATGCTTCAGTTATTTTATTTTACGACCTCACGAATGGACAGATAATCGAGATTACGGCCTTGGGAAAGTACTTTTCCTTACAAGTCTCTTGCACCTGTCATCATCATCACCATCATCCTTGTTGTATCCCCTCGAATTGCTCTAGCTTGCACTTTTTCCTTCTTCATCAACTCTTTCTGAACACAAGCATTGATACTGTACCAGTTTAAATCTATTCCAAAAACATTGCACATTGTGTTTTCTTTCTTTTTCTGTATCGCCTGATGATCATGTCCCTCCTCACATTGTCACGTATCATCATACCTCCCTTTGTCTTCGTCGGGTTTTACTGTCTACACTTGTTCGGTGAAGCCAACGGTACATTTCCCCTGATCGTCGCACACCAAGAGAAGCGTCAGCTACCCACCACCGCCGCCGTCGGAAGACCTGCTTTCGCAGAGGGCTTCACGGGGGTCGACCCTCCCGACGGACTGTTGTCCATCCTGGTGGTGTTCTTCTGGCCTTTGGTCGATGGAGAGAACCCTGGAGCCAGTCTTTTGACTTTCTTGTTTGGCGGTCAAATCGTGGCTTTTTTGGCGGTTGTAACACTAGAGGCTTCGAGAAATGCCAACAGGGGAAGAATCATTACCTTGTAAGTCTCGTCCCACCCTCTACTGTAGAGCAAGGAGGGCAACCGACCTTGGTATGTACTTTAAAAACCTGACTGACTGACTCTTCCTGTCCGACACAGTACCTCCATCTATGGACTTCTCTTCCAGTCCATCGGAGCAGGGGTCATGGTCCCATTATACCTGACCATCTACCTGTTCACCTCACCACTGGTGACGTCGAACACACCACTTGCACCGTCCGCGTTGGCCGTCGACCAGGGGATTTTGGGTGGTCTCCCCTTTGGCGTTTTATTGGGATACATCGTTCCATCGATCGCCATGTCACTACCAGACCCGACATTGATATCCCAAGATGCCAAGGTCCTTGCGATCGTCGTCTGGCAGTTGTTCCCAGTATGGACGAATTTATTCACCTTCCTGGCCCGCAAGAGTATCGTTCCTCTCTTTTCAGGAGAGTCGGCCAACAACAAGAACCAGTTGTCCCAACTGAAAACCGTCTACAAATTAGCCATGGCCGTCAGCGTCCCGACGCACGTTGCGACCTGGACATTGTCTCTCTCTACCGTTTTATTTCCCGTACTGTTCACCCCCAGCACGGTCGACGCTTTTCATCCGCTCAACGTCATCCTGCCACCGAACCCGCTGGGAGACAGTAAGGCGTCAAGCGTGGCCCAAGGCGCAATGTGGTTCCTTCAATACGATTACCTCATCACCTCGTTCGTCTACGTCGTTTGGGGCATTGTATGCAGGTACGGCAAGCTCGGCGGCTTTGGATTCACAAGTCTGTTGGACGTCATCGGGAGATGCGCCATCATGGGTCCCATAGCCACCGCTCTCCACCTACTCCAGGACCGTGACGAGATGGTTTTTGCAGCTTCACCCGAGACTTTGACCACAAAGAAGAATGCATAAAAGAAACTGTCCTGTCGCTTGTACCGAGGACGTGGAAGACTCTTGCTTGCCAGCTGGACTCTGGATTTTATTACTGACTAAGAAAAAAATTGGGGTATACGTAAATGCGTGCTTTGTATTCATACTTTGGTCCAATGTCATACAACTTCTTCTCATCACAATCATGTGCGGCGTCAGAAGTGATGCCGGGACTATCGGTCATTGACTTCCTTAGCCTCTTCTGTCAGGTGTCTGCGGCCTGCGTTCTCAACCATCAAAGGAACCTCAGACGGACTCTTCCAGTTACTATTACTCTCCCAACCTGGCCCTAGAAACCTTTCAAGTCTCTCTAGCTGATGGCTACCGCAGTCTCGGCAGCAGCTTTCTCGTTCGACCAGATCATCTCGTCGTGGCTGACTCTGCCATGGTGCGCTGCCTTTTCGTCCTCCTGTGCAGCTGCTGCAACAGCCGCCACAGATCCCACGCACTGGTACTTTCGGAACTTGCGTGCGGGCAGGTGCGCCTCAAACTATATCACATGGGTTAGCCACCGAAAAGTGTCAGACTGAGACAGTGAACGACATACCATTTCGTCAATCTCCTCGAACGTACGACCATGAGTCTCTGGGAGGAAGAAATATGTCCACAGAGCCGCGATCCAGCACGACGGTGTCCAGATGTACCCATACTTGGGTCCCCAGTTCAACGAATCAGGGTTGATAAAGTATGGTGCGGTGAAAGTTGCAAGCCACGCGCCCAAAAAGCCAATCGAGGTGGCCACACCAAAGGTATAACTTCGGAGACGTTGGGATGGGAATTCTCCGCCGCAGAGCCATGCGTAGGAAGCGACCATGCCGTTGTAGCCGATCAAGTAGATGACGGAAATACCAACAATGACCTATTATAGATTGTCAGTAAAAAGGTGTCGAGTTGTTAACGAGACCTCGATCCCTTACCTTTCCAGTGCTCGGGCCAGCTCCTAGCTTGTCATACACAATGGCCACTATGAGCTGCGCAATGCCACAGATGATCATACCGGTGACAAGGAAGAATCGTCTGCGTCCCCAGCGGGTGATGACGGCACTGTTGATGAGGATCGCAATGACACCGACGCCAGTAAGTATACAGGCGTTCTCGAAAGGAGATCCGACCGAAGCCATCTCGAAGAAGTATGTGCCGTAAGCTGGACGTATTAGAAACGAAAGACATCTTAACGTGCTGTCGTCAGAACTTACAAATCATGTACATGGCTCCAGATGCAGCTTGAAGAGAGATGGCTGCACAGGCTAGATATGTTCGTCTTCGGTCGACCGGGTTGCGGAACATGTCTAAGATATCGGCGCTCCTGGCAAGCGCGCGCTCGGCTTCAATGGCGGACTGCATATCGTGAATTTCAGAATCGACGGTATCGGGGAATGGCCTCAGCCAATGGAGTGCCTTGCGCGCCTTCTCGGGCTCGTTCTGGAGTAGGTACCACCGAGGAGATTCGGGGATGAACAACATGCCAACGGACAGAATACCCGGGATGATGTAGATGATGCCAAGGGGAACTATGTATTGTTGCTTTCCATTGTATTTCACCGTGAAGTTGTCGACAATTGTGCCTATCAAGGAACCGATTGAGGTCCATGTCTGGAACAGACTGATAACCATACCTCGGTACCTGGCTGGAGCGCATTCTTGCAAGTAAAGCTGGCCAAAGGTCAGGAAGAGACCATTGGCGATACCGATAAAGGTACGGGCAAAATATAAAGCTCCAATGCTAGTCGTAGTCATCATGACCACATTGGCAATGACACAGATTACACATGCCAGCCAAAGAGACACTTTTCGGCCGATGTAATGGGCGATGGGGCCGCCACACATTGAACTGATGAATGCGCCCAGGATCATGAGAGACGAGATAAGCTGCTGGCGTTCGTGGGAGATGTTGTATCCGATGGGAGATGTTGGGTCTTTCTCGCCGAAGATCTGGCCTGGGGTCAGTGACGAGCTCGCCGTCGTGCCTTCTGCCCAAACGGACAGGTAGTGGGAAAACGCACGTGCAGGAAGCCAGGCATTGCCTGGAGACCACCAATAATACCAAAGTCTGTGCCATATTGAAATGGACACATGCTAACCAAGGTACAAGCGGCGAGACATTTCCAGTGGGACAACACGTTCTCCTTTCTTGGAGCGTCCATGATTGCGGTATTGCTGTCTTCGAGCAACGGTACCGGAAGGGGTGAGGTATCAGGTGAGGTTGATCGTGGGCTTCATGGACGCAGATATAGGCACTTGATATAACAAAAGGCCAAACCCTGGGCCAAGCTCTGATGGTAACTTATTGGACTCAACTGCCGGAGATCCGTCACCCGTTTGGGAATAAGAAGCATTGTAGGGTCGAGGGCCCCACGCGGAGGCAAAGCTCGATCTGCAAGGACTGAGTCGAGAGAAGGCTGGTAGACTGCGCTCTAGTCGGGATCATCCTGGTCAGTAGTGGAAATGTCCGGGGGAAATGCGGGCACGAGCTATACCCGAAGCTGCCAATGACCCACTGACAAGTTGCTATCGTGGCAGATTCTTTTGCCTCGTCTGGCTGAGGCGAAGACATAGACTGGACTTCTGACCACGCCCATTCCGATGCTAGGTACGGAGTAGAATGCCTCTGACCCAATGCGTCGATACACCTATGCACTTGAGTCATGATATCAGTCTTCCAGGACGCACATAGAGAATCAGTCGAGTGGCCTCCAGAACTGATCATCGTCGAGATCAACCATCACATGTGTCGGGAATGGCGTTCCAGATCCAGAGCCGCAGGGATGTTAAGAACTCTACTCGTCTGTCAGGTGGGTATTTCGCTGTATGAGGCAACGATACCGCTGGGAAGGCTTTTTACTGTTTTGCCAGTCCAAATGATGTGGCTTTTGGCATGCTGAACGTGGCAAGAACCCATATGAACTGTACGCGAGCGGTCGAGTTGGCAGCTGCGATGCTGAAAGTAGATATTGCATTTCTGATAAGAACAATTTCGCCCAGGCGTTGGGCAGGGAGGAGGAGAAAGGACTCCCCCAATGACCCCCAGAGACCCCCATTTCCCCGGCCATTCGGGCATATGTTTGTAGCCGACACGCGGGGGAAACAGATGCTCATTTGATGATCACTCTGAACCCCGAGATCGTGAGGCATGCTGTCAGGTCTTTTGTTGTCTGCCGGAATACCCAGTAGAAGCTTGACAAAGTATTCTGTACATTGATTCATTTTCCCAAAGTGGCAACTGGCAGGTTTCACGTTCAAGCAAGCCACCGCCATTGCTGAATCGCTGGCTATCACATAGACAGTCCAACTAAGCCCAGATTGACGCCATAAGCATTTAGGAGGTGCAGCCTCAAAGATTAACGTCTTTTGTTCTCGTCATGGGTCGAGGCTGAAGAATTGAGTTGTTTTGACGCGTGGCGCTCGTGCTTGCCACCGTTCTGTCCCTGATGGCCTCGTATTCGTCCTGTCCTCCGAGATCCACAATCCAGGGAGCTGGTCTCGAAATCTCTGCACCTGCAGCATAGCGTGCACATCTGATCGAATGCGGCATCTTCGACCCTGTCCATGTTACTGTTCAGCCTCCCTAGACCTGATCTATCGCATTTTGACATATTATTGCCACTTATATGGGTAAATCAATTTAGGGAGTCTGGAGTCGTAAGTTGTTCGGGCAGCATGGGCCATTCGCCACGATTCCCAACTGTTTGCGAGATATATACGAGCCCATTGAATATGAGATGTTTTGTATCATATGTTTCCGTGGTGGTAATTGACTTCCACGTCCATTTGAAGTGCAATTTTGTCAACGTTTCCAGAAAGTTTTTGCATATTTGGCGATACAAATCTCTCGTCCTATGCCTTTCCAGCTAATGCCTACTTAGTGACTCCGAGCATGCAAGCACTCGGTTCAGATGTGCCGGTAAAATCATGGCAATAGAATGATAATTTTGGGTAAGTGGAGGCCGCGATAATCGATCGCACCTAGCTCTTGACGCGTGCGTGGCCGACTTGATATGCGAATTCTTTGGTCCAGTGGGTAGAGGGATGTTGGTGAGCGACTGTTCGGGAACATACTCGGGTAACCTGGAGGTCTCGCTTGGAAAAGAAGGATGCAGGAAAGATGGCTGCGCTTTGGCGCGTGCCCACCCCCTCTTTCCAAAGAAGCCGAGCAGCACTGGTTCAATTTGCACGGGAATATCTGATATCCCCTACATTCGCCCCACTGCTGAGCTGCCCAGGAGGTACCGCGAACAGTACCAACCGCAGCAACGAACCCGGAGATCTGATGCCAACGATGTGCAGATCTCATGGTCCAGAAGCGATGATGCTGGGTTTTCAGACAAGGCGACATTTACGTGGTTCCTGACCATGTTCAGTTCAGAGCACGACTGTAGCGTTACCAAACCTCGAACGGTCCATTTCCCATAAAAGGCCATGACTTTTAATGGGCAATGGTCTCCACGGGAAACTCGACAGGGTTTACCCAGTCAGAGCCTTAAGGTGTCTCCCGACTCGTCGATCGTTATGGGCTTGACAGTCCCAGCCAAAGCACAGAGCAGCCCATTGGAACCTCCTCAGGATCCAGTGCGCTGCCATGAGTTTTGAAGCATAATCAAACACAAACCCCGCTGGATTTATATTCTGGACGTCCGCATTCGTTCGTTATGGAAGGTATTGAGAAACGATACTCACTCCTGTTGGACCCGAAGATTTCGACTCCGCATCCAAGGTCGCATTGTGGTCGAGCAATGTGGTGTCGCAAATTCCCAACATGATCTGCGCGTTGGAATAATCGAACAACGGGACAGGGGAGGAACGAACCAACCTCTTTTTGTTCATACGAATGATGATTGGTAGCACGCCTCACGCCCTACAGCCAACTCCAGAATCGTAACTCGCAAGCCCGAAACCTTTTCAGTGAATTGATCATTGCTCAGGGTTTCTATCAGCGAGAAAGGCCTAGACTGTAGAGACCACTCGCGGGAACAACTTCGTTTACTACATTCTCTTGAAGGGTAGTGCCAACAGTGGGACTTTTGGTTTGCCATCGAATGTGACTGCGCGGCTTCATGGAAAGCACGGGATCGGTAGTTTCGCAAGCCAGTCTGAACAGTGAGCACGTCAGCTCAAACCACACCTTGTCTGTGGAACGATCTGGTTTCACTTCAAAATGATGATGTTGGCAATGATAACGCACCGTTAAGGAGAGCCATGGATTAAAGAATCCGAACACATACGAAGTACGCGCCAAGCTCCAAGGGAACGTAAAATCACGTAATGCATGACTAAGTGTGTAGACTGATATTACACCAGAACCATCAACGTTTAACAACGCCGTAGCATTCTGAGGAGCTTATTCTCTGTACTGATTCTTACTTCGTGACGATATTTCAATCCCTTCAAGTCCCTAACAACATACTGTCTACATTCTTCTCATACTTGTTAATATGTCAATGTTCTGCACAAAAAATACACAAGGATTCTGCAAAAATGGCAAAAACTTAACTAGGATTTATCTCCCATAGGAGCCTAGTTAAGAAAATCCCAGTCGTGTAAGGATTTTTTCCCCCAGATGCCTCCCAACTCGGGACCAGTGAAGGTCTTAAACCGATCTATGGTACTCGCTCTGGAATCTCCCCTGTCGCAGCGCTTATAACTTTTTCTAACCCTCTCCAGGGACGCTTGATCCTCCTATGTCGTCCTCCCACCTGGTTGTCGTGCCCCCAATTTGCCCCCAGAATTGATATCCCACTGTTGTTGATCCCACTGTGTGTCCCAATTTGCTTCTTCCTCCTTGGAAAAGTCAAGTTGCCTGCAGGATAGCCATCCAGTTTGACCTGACTGACTTTCCTTTTGTTGCGGAAGGCGACTTTAAACCGTTGCACCATGGAGTGTTGAAATGGTTGGTTTTCCTGTGAAGGTTAGTTGACAGAAAATTCACGAGTCGAACATATAAGGGATCATTTGTTTTGGACGAATAGAGTGCCCGAACGTACCTGGACGGTGAATGCGTGGGTGGTCCTGGGCCCTGTGAAGCCCGAGGGCGCGGTGATGGTGACGACGACTTTGTATGCTGGCAGCAGATATCCCCATAATGAGATCACCCTCAGCCTTTCTCGAGGACGGATATTCGACTATTCATTGCTCTTTCCACCCACAGGGCCTTCCACACAGTTTGTTGGACACTTCCATACCAACGGCATGCACCACCTCGTCTTGCGATAGCTAGGAGTGATCTCGGTGGCTTGAAGAGCTGGCCGGATGATAATCACTCCCGGCACTCCAGTATCTTGCTGCGGAGTATGAAGTTGTGTACGGTCGAGGACTCAGCATAACAAACCACTTTCAACGAGGTCGAGGAGCGGTTGGTTTACGTACACCTCGACCTCGCCATAGTTCTCTTCGATCTCCCTTTGTTGCTGAGGTGAGAGGTCCTGGTCGCGAGAGGAAACCGTACCTCGCTCGGCGATCAACAAGGCGAGCTCGGCCTTTTGTTGGTCTGCAGACAAATTAGTGCCTGCCTGGGACCTGTTCAACCTTTTCAATGCTGGTTCGGACAGTCCCAGGGTATCTTTTTTAGGGACGACAGTGTCCTTGATGCTTCTCTTCGTTAGAGCTGGTGCCATTATGTTCCTTGTGTTCTAGCAAGACAGAAGTCTTTCTTCCAAAAGGGAAATAGGGATCAAAACAGACATTCCGTTTCTCCGGGCTTTGTTACCTTCAGGGCGAGGTCTTGATGGAAGATGGTGCCGAGGATATCTCTCGTGTCCGAGATACATGCTTACCAATTCCCCTCGTTTGCTGGCCCTACAAGGTGGTATGGCGAGATTTGCATGTCGCATTGCGTGCAGTGTTACCAGTTGGTCTCTAACTGCACCTAGGAATCTCCGAAACACCTATTGCGAAACGGGTGACGGATGCTTCTGAAATTGTGTCTAGCGCAACGCCTTATACCAATCAGAAATCCCTTATCGTTCCAACCACTTCATGTTTTCCACCTATCCAAAAGGCCATCCGAGAGAACGAAGGCCGAATGTGGTCGGAACCGCTGCACGTGACCGAATTGCGTGCTATGAAGTATGTATTCGTTGCTCGTCTGTCGACACAGACCCCTGACATCTGCGGTGTACTATGCCAGGTGTCTTAAAAGCTTACGCATGTTTCTACACTCATTACAGGTCCCAACAGCCTTTCGTCATCGGCCGTGTAGGTTCCTTACAGGTCGCAAACTTCTGGTGGTGGTGATGGTGGTTATTGTGAGAGTGGGAACTAGCACCAGCAGAAGCAGATCTTGGGCCTTGCCCGATCTCGAGGAAATCAGTTTCATATCGGTTCCAGGTGTGACATTTTGCTTCACGCTGGCGGCTGAACCCCAATGTGACATGTCGGCAGAGGAGGAAGATCAATCGCCAAACCGCAAGAATTCTAGCAGCCACATCCTTCACAACTTCGTATTGATGACTCTCACACCCTCGTATCGCGACATACCTAGTAGTCACTTGAACTTACCATGGAAGAGTAGACCTCGTATGTGCATTTTAAGCTGACATCAGCGACAATACAATGACAGACACGAATCGAGACCTGGAAACTGTACATTGCTCACTATCTCATGTGCTTTTCGTCACTGCGTTAATTTCTTGCGGTTCGCAATGAAACTTCCACGCAAATGCCTATCACTGACCCAATGCATCCACCACCGCCAGGATGCAAGGATGTAGTCATCCTGGATAGAGATCGCGACATCTCGCTAGCCTTATAGTGTGCCGTGGACCAATGGTAACAAGGATCCCTGTTTCGCGATGCACATTTCTCACCAGACATTTGTAGATAGGTACTTGACTGAATCGACATCCTGGCAACCTTGCGAATACGAGCACAACAAGTCTTCGGGTATCGGCGTGCAGAGAGGCGCCGACACCACTCATTCATTCCACTTGACCTCCGTGCTAGCAAGAGCGAGGACTAGGGGTATATTGTTATTCATTGACGCGCCATTTACCTGTGCTGTCAATCTTGGCTCACATATACTACGTCTTGCCTCTTGCAGCCCGTAAGTAACAGAGAAGCTGCAATGGCTCACCGCCCCGGAAAGCGTGTGGCTGTGATTGGAGCAGGCATAAGCGGTGTTTCGAGTGCTGCTCACCTGTTAAAACATGGCTTAGAAGTCGTTGTGTTCGAAAGGTCGAGCATCGCCGGTGGCGTATGGCATTTCGACCCTAGGTCTGCTCAAGACCCGACGTATCCCAACGAGCAGCCTTCCAGGGGAGATTATGAGATCAGGCCGGAGTTGGAGTATCGCACACCACCTCCAGAAGTCTCAGAAGATGACAAAGAGACGGCCGAGGAACTTGAGATAGCTCACGCACCACCCGGGCCTTGTTACGCCGGGTTGATGAATAATGTATCGACGCGTGAAATGAGAACGAGCCTCCAAGCCTGGCCACCAGGGACGACCGACTTCGTCGGCCAGAGTGTTTTGGAGGAATATATCCAGAGCATCGCAAGGGATCATGGGGTAGCAAGCGTCACTCAGTACAATACCCGTGTGGAGAACGTGCAAAAGGTCGGTTCAGAGTGGGTGATTCGAACAACAACACTCCGCAAAGACGCCATTCGTGGATGCCACTTCACGGAACGGCGGTGGGCTTTTGACTGCGTTGTCGTGGCATCGGGACATTACCAGATGCCTCGAATCCCCGACTTGCCAGGGCTGCACGGGTGGAAGCAGGCGTATCCAGAAAGAGTATGGCACTCGAAGAAGTATCGAGATCCTCGACAATTCAAGGACAAGAATATCCTTTTGATCGGCGCGGGCGTGTCATCCTACGACATTGCGAAAGAATCTGCTCCGTATGCGCGTCGCATCTTTCAAAGTTCTCGTGGAGGAAAACTAGATCTTCCGGCGAGTATGATGCCCGAGAAGGCGACCAGGGTCGGCGGAGTTCGATTGTTCAAACTAGACGGTGGCTGTAGCAATTCCGAAAAAGAGGTTGCAGCGCTACCGATACCTGGAAAGATTGTGCTCGAAGACGGCGAGGAACTGTCTGATATCCATGCAGTGATCCTCTGCACGGGGTACATCACTTCCTATCCGTTCTTTCCTCATCTTCACTCCGACACAACACCGGCGCACGAGGCGGGTAAGCATGTGCTGGTTACTGCCGAGGGAAATATGGTACACAATCTGTACAAGGACATTTTTTACATCGAGGACCCATCCCTCGCGTTCGTCGGAGCACCTTACCATATCGCGACTTTTTCGCTGTTCGAGTTCCAGGCGCAGATCGTGGCGAGGGTTCTCAGCGGCAAGGCTCTGCTGCCGTCGTACGAACAGATGCGCGAGGAGTACGCAGAACGCGTAAGGACCAAGGGGTTGGGAAGAGACTTCCACAGCTTGAGGGGAGATGGCCAAGAGATTGCCTATGTGGATGACTTGGTTGCTTGGGCAAACACAGACGCCGAGGAACAGGGCATAGATGACAAGATGAAAGGGCACACTGAAGAGTGGCATGCAGCCTACCTCGAAAGGAAGGAGAGGCTGAAGTTTTTGAGAGTGGACAAAACTGGACAAGGAGAAGACACAGACCTTAGACTCGAGGCCCAAGTCGTGTAGAGAGAGTTCTATAGTCTTTGGGCGTTAGGGTGTTGTTCAATCTGATAGACATAGAAAATTCATCAAGGCTCGATCACGATATCAAGGACAAAAAGTTGTTGTATGATGTGATTGAGGCGACTCCGTGTACACGAGGTCGTATTCAGATTGCGAAAGTGACGAAAACGAGGGCGTTTTCGCGACATATAACAAGTAATTCACCGTACAGTAAATGCACTTTGAGGCAAACACTCGACAGGAATTCTTGCATGATCTCAAATTTACAAGTCGCAACGATATCCATACCGAGATCAAATCTGTTCCTCATTCAAACCTCACCCTTCCGAAGCTCGCCCATCGACGTTGTTACCTGTAGCTTGACTACCTCTACTCGAAACTCGAACTTTTACCTTTTTCTCCGCCTTCTTGACCAGCTCAACTCCCTCCTCCCTCAATCACATTTCCTTTTTCCACAATGCCTCCCAAGAGAGTCGCGATCCAACCTGCCCGCCGCACCCAGTCCAAAGGATACATCAGCTCGGTCTACCACTCATTGACATCTGAAGAGAATGCTAGTGTCGTCATTAGCGTCGCCATGTTTGGAGTATGTGTATATCATTCCGACACAAATTCCTCACAAAGCGCAATGTCGATGGACCTTTACTGTAAATTTTGAACTATTGCTAACAACCCTTTCCTTCTCTTTCTTAAAATAGGCCGCGGTAGCTTTCTTCAACTCGGAATGGAGTGACATGCTTCTTCCCGGATTTTAAACTTTGCCCTTCCTCTCGAAATTACAATTTCCAACCTCCGAGAAACCACTGAGCTCCAATGTCATCAAACTGTTGATACGACATCAGGCAACAACAATAACTACAACTCTCTGCTCTCTTTTTCTGACGAGAAACGAAAAATCGAAAGAATTGACCTGGCGAGCACTCATCGAAGCGGATGGGGGAGAAGGCCCATGGACAATAGGAAAAATGTCGAAGAATGTATAATAATATCCCATGAGACAGGAGGCATGAATCAAAATGCGCGTGTCTTTGTGAAAAGAAGGAAGGGTTTGAAGTTTGTCGAAACTACCTCCCATGAAAAGAGTCGACGCAGAGTCATTGCGAATCGAGAGTGCTCTCTTTTGGACGTTCTTGAATTCAACAGGCGGAATAGATCCTAAATGTGCCAGAAAACTCTTGAGGTTAGCTCATAGGGTAGAAAGAGGCTTCGCTTTGTATAACACAATTACTCCATATAACAATGTGCGTTCAACAAGAAACCCGAGACAGAACTCGACTTTGATGCGCACAGTTCATTGCAACCCAATCAGCTACGAGGACTCCGTAGAAATACAGGAAAAGTATAGTTCGGTTTTTATGACAGGTATCAATTTCGGTCATGTACAATCCTTGATCGCCGGACTCGCTTCCTTGGATTCAACATAAGTCCGCATTCTGTACTCTGCTCAGACCCAAAAAACATAATCATCCTATTCCGTAACTTTGGCTCGCAATCGAGAGTTTTTTCAGAGCCCATCCCAGCGTGCAACGCCATGCTCAAACAAGATACCCTCCGACTTAAAGTTGACGAGACAAATACCCACACATACTGTACGATCTCGTGACAAGACAGCTTAAGCATCGGCCGTTTCTGAAACACATGCTCCATACGCAGTGATGCAACAGCAACACAGGAAAAAGCTCCTCCGTAATCTCATCGGCACATCTATCCTTGCGTGCCATAGCCAGAACCATTGGCACTGGGCATCAATGTCTCCGCTGCACCTTCGGCCTCGTCCTCAAGGTGTTCCCGTTTCATGTTTCGGCTCTTGAGGTAGGTGAAGGTGACCAGAGCCGTGCCCACAATGACCGCGACGCTCAGAAGAATGACGTTTACGGGGATCGGGTTGAGTTTGAACACTACATGCGTGGCCGCATCGAGGGGTGATTGCAGGAAGTTGAAGAGGCCCGCCAGACAGATGATTAGCCCGTAGACCTTGCCAAATGTTTGAAAGCCGAATACTTTTGCCGAGTAATCAGAGACGGTGGTATAGTAGAATGGTCTATACACGACAAACAGGCAAACGTTGGCGATCGCGGCCCACATGTACGGTAGGCATCCCAGAACGCCAATGATGGTGGCAGTGACGACCAGGAAGCCCAGGGCGAACGGCGTTGACGTATGGTCAAGGAGCGTGCCGATGAAGGGGATGCTGAGTATGCCGCCCAGAGGAAGGGCAACATCGAAAAAATCGTTGACAAGTTTCGCTTTGTGTTCTGAGCCAAGTAGATACCGCTCTTGTGGACGAATAGTTGCGACGAAGTAGTTGATACGAGTCATCTGAACGACCGTAAAGAGGGTGATTAACCAAAACCACGGCGTCTTGATTTGGTTCAAGGCAGAATGGCCATGCAGGGCTCCCCAGACGCCGGACTTGCTGTTCTTGTTCTCCTCGCGTTTCTGGCGTTTGGTGTTGGTGGTCTTATCCAGCAACAGGCTGACCTCGGCGATGGTGCTTTCCCTGCGCTCGCGGTAGACTTGAATCTCTTCTTGGGAGGCCTCGGGTGGTGTTGGGGCGTTGATTTCTTCTTCTGCATCCTTGACGACCTCACTGACGGTCTTGTAGGAGTCTCGGGGCATGACAAAGACTTGGACGATAAAGATAAAAACAGGCACCACCAGGTAGATGAGAAAGAGCCGATGAGTGTTGAGCTTGCCGCCAGTAGCTTCGTAGACGAGTCGGAAGACGAGGAACAGTGCCGAGGAGGAATCGAATGCGCCGGTCAGTAGGGCCAGGATGAGGCCCGAGTTTCGAGGGAATGTGTTGGACAGCTGAAAGGAGGAAATGAAGACGAATGGACCGCCCAGTGCCAAAAAGAAGTAGCCCGGAGTGAAGAGGTCGCCGCCAACCTTGGCGGCGAAGGAGAACAGCAAAGAGCCTACGAGTAGGAAGATGCTTCCGATGATACCACAGACCCTTGGGCCATACCGGTCGAGGATGGTCCCAATAGGAAGGGCTGCGACATTCGTTGATACTGCTGCAACGGTGAACATCAAGTTCAGGCGAATCTCTTGTTGATAGCATGGCGAAGTATGGCTCTCCAGCTCGTCTGGTGTGCACAGGTCCGAGAAGACGCCCTCATCGATGAGAACTGGTTTGATGGCAGCATAGCCAAAGACAATACCGGCAGCAAAGAGGCAATAGATTATCGCGATGATTACCTGTACTGCTCAAGAGGTCAGCGAGACGATGGCATTTCGCGAACATGCCTAACCTCGGCAGCGTCTTTCCACTCACCTAGTCGCTTTTGCTTGGAAACCTCCTCGAATTGCAGAGCTTCCGTGACCACACTGGCCTTCCTATGAGCCGGTGGAAGCTGATCACTGAAAGGATTGAAACTCATCCTCCTTCGCGACGACGAACTCGAGCCTGGTCGTTCTCGCTCGAAGCCATCGACGGAGGCAACTCGCGTCAGAGACATGACGAGCAATATGAGAACCAAGACCCAAGAGGCGCAAAACAATAGCCGTCCAGTGAGCAACAGGCAGAGAGGCCTGTTCTTCGCCCCGACGTAATCAACTACGTAGGCGGGGAAAGGCGTCAGAGAGGAAAAAATTGCGGAGTGTTCAATTAGACTCTGTGATGTGTGTAACCAGTCAGCGGAAGATCTGGGAGATCTTAAGTACCTTGGCCCAAAGTGGGTGCGGAAGAGCCAACGATTCAGTAGAGTGTGCGGAGTCAAGTGTACAGATAGAGAGGAGTGTAGGACCGGACAGCTGGTGATTTTCGAGTAAAAGAGAATGAAGGAGTTGGACAAAGAGCGATAGAGAGAGAGTCAAGGCTGCGAGGGAAGCTGGAGCATTCTTGAGCTCTTTTGAACCTCTGCCCTCACGAGATAAGGGAGCATGAGCTATGAATAAATGGAAAAATTTGGTTGCTGATGTATCCGTACTGCGTAAAAGAGCCACCACGCTGATAACGATAAGCATCGCGTAGAAATTTTTGCAGAGGCAAGAGGAGGCGGGCAACGAGGCGATTGGTCAGTTGCAGCCGCAGAGCCTGGAGGTGGCCGATGCTCGATGGACGCCGCCGACGCGACGAAGGCTTTGCCTCTACCACTCCTCGCCTAGGAGTTGTCGACTTGGCGGTGATGGAGAGAGAGAGAGACCACTTCGCATGAGACTCCTCGATTCAGACAAGTCACATTAGGTATGTACTTGTGCAGCGACAACATTTAGGTTGTACGTCCTCCGTATCTGGTCTGATCATTTTGGTTGATCGTCGAGGAGAGCACGTCGAGATGTGGTTCGGATATTTTGCTGCAATTGTCCCCGATAATTGGTGGCCTGTGATCCAGTGGTAGGCAGTGATGGTCCTCGCACGAGCAACAAGGCATAGCCTAAAGTACCTGGCGGAGTCCCTGAAGCCACCCACCACCAGGTAATCTTTCATTCACCCTGTCCAAACTTCGCATATCCACTGTCACAAAGATTTCTTTTTTCCAGAGTGTCAACGCCTGTGAAAGCACCCTACAGCAAATCCGCACTGGAGAGCCTTGTCTGATGTTGCGCCCAAAGAACAAATGAGGCTGCTGAGACAGGCTGATGTCTGTTTGGCTGGCGGCTGCGGAACCAGGTCATTCTTAGCCGCCCACCTGAAATAGGTCACCTACCTCAGCGCTTGTTCCGAAACACTCTGGTGGTTGGGACAAAGAAACCACCACCACCATCCATCAATGATAGTGTTTAGTCGTCCTGAGACTGTCTAGAGCCTGTTGGCGGTCGCCTCTCCACGACTGTAACAGTGGTTTGAGAAGCGGTGAGAAGTGTTGGGTTTGACTGCGTCAAGATAGATTCACCTGGTTCACATACCTGACCTGAAGATACTTAAACCGGTGCCATGTCCGATTGCTGAATACATTCTCTTCTTTCAACAAGTTCCAAACTCCAAATACAATCATTCCATCGATCCAACTCTGGCCAGTCCTTTCCATCACCACGAAATCAGCCAACATTGACATTCCTTACCTTCCATTCATTGCATTTCTATACCATTTCTCACCTTGACCAACACGTTCTTTGAAAGACCAAGTCAAAGCGGAACCCTACTTTCACTCCAAAAACCTCTCGTTGCCGCTGTATAGATCACTATGGGTCCTGATCATGGTGTTCTCGGAGCCACCTTCAAGGCCACGAGAGCGTTGCAGATGGCTTCCATGATTGCGATTATTGGTATCACGGCCAACTTCATTTCGGAAATGGTCAGCGCTGGCGCAACTCCTCCCCCGGTCCTGGTCGCAATATTGAGCATCGTACGTCAGGTCGAAGCAAGGAAGTTTGGTGCCATTCTAACCTGCACTAGGTCTGCATTTCAGTGTTGTACTGCGCCATCACACTCATTCTCTACCTGGATAACATCCTTCCGTTCCTTATCAGTACCGGCATCGACTCACTCTTCTTGATCGCTCTCATAGTGGTTTCGGTGGTCGTGGGGAAGCCTCTCTCATACCTCAACTGCCAGGACCTGGACAAGAACTCGAATGCCACCTCAAGCGCCTACGACTTTACATCGGCACTCGGAAACAGCCTAAACAAAAGTGGCAAGGTCAACTATTCCCAATGGATCGGCACTTCCAAATCCACCTGCCTCGAAATGAAATCGATCTGGGGACTGAGCATTGCTCTATGGTAAGTGGCCAAGACACCTACAGAAACCCACTGAGTTTCAAAGCTGACCCGTGGATCTCACATAGTATCTTATTCACCTTCTCAGCCGTCAGCACCATCTGCCTGTGGAAAAGAGCCAAGCACGCATATGTCAACAAGACCGAGGCGTGACGCGCCAATGGTAGAGAAGCAACCACGGGGCAAGGACCGTCATTCTCGGGAAAAGTAAGCGGTATATCCGTACAGCACAAAAAGGATTTGCGCGGGTGATCTTCAAAAGAAACTGGCAAAGATAGTCGTAAGGGTCACCACCGGTTAGGTCTTCCAGGATAATGGTAGGGAGGGTATGGCGTCAACGGTGATCTCAATCTCCCAACAGTTGTATTAGCATAAAAAATCCTCGTGTTTTCGGCATGTGGCTGGCCTCAAGGCACCAAATGAGCCGGGTTCGGTTGCAGTGCAGTTCCATCCCCGGAAAGATGTGGCAGATGATGATAGGTCGGAAGAGAGGGCAATGATCAGAAATTCCAACTTCCGCTGTTTTGGTAGTCGAGGTGGCGTGCGTCGACGTTTTTCATAGGACCAGAATTTCCAGACATGCAGCTGTGACATGCATGTGCTGTACCGGGAAGCCTCCCACCTCGCTCGGATCCTCATCGGCAAGAGGCGAATTGTTGCCAAAGGGTCGGGAACAGGCCCATTGACGTGTTTTGAGGATGGATGGACAGCATTGGCAGACTCTGCGTTGTCCTGCTGACCGGGATCGTTTAGCTGACAACGTGCATGCAAGGTGAGCGAGCAGGGTGTGTTTTTGAATTGACCTGTTCAACGACCTGAGCAGCTCCATCATTCAAGACACCTAGCGATGCAACTGCGCCGAAAGGGAAATGGAGCGGCGCCCCACGGGAGTGATCGTAGTTGTCCGCCTGAAAATGAGAGTTTGCGAGAGGGTGGTACTCCGTACGCGAGGGATGATGTTGATTACCTAGGTATGAGAGGACTGGGTTGATTGCCTCCCAAGTACGAGGACGAGTACGTGAAGGGGTCGTTGAGCACTGTGGCAGGGCAGATTACCGTATTGACACCTAATTCCGTACACAATGTACGTACTGTAGGTAGGCAGGTACCTACTCCGTATGCCATACTGTAACATTCCAAGCACCTCCCCACCAGCGGTGCTATTGTAGGTACTGGTAGTGAATCCGTCGTCGTCAAGCTTACTTACCTGGCCTACTCGTACGGGCAAACTATTTCTCGGGATCAGCAGACAGTTTGTGCCCATTCTCGCAGACTGGGCCCGGTACTGCGGGACGGGGCATGGAGCTACTGTATTGGTACTGTTGAAGTAAAAGGTGACCAAGCCACTAGTAGGGGTGCCCGGGCGGTAGTGTGGGTGTTCTAGGTGTCTTTGGGAATAGTTTCGGAGGCCAGGGAGGCCTGTTTCGCCCCGAGAAGGGAGCGTCCAGACACCCTGGAGGTGTACGGAGTACGGAGCAAGACACACCTGAGTTGATCCAAGTTGCCGGGACTGACAAGGAAACAAAATCCCAATTTTCGTGGTCACAGCCAGCTGTTCATTTCCAGATTCGCGGTTCGCCCGTGCTTCTCATGCTTTTCTAGTCGCTTGCCTCTATTGGTCTTGTCCGACTTTCTCTCATGCCTCCATTTTCAGTGAATTCCACCCTGTACAGAATTTTATCCACCTGGGATGTCTTGTTGTATCAACCAGACCCCGTCCATCGTCAAGTCTGTCACTTCAGTCGCCGGGTAGCAAGGTCCCCTGGTCCCTCGAGCCCTGGCTCTCGTCCTGCCGTCATAATTTTTCCTCCGAATCTTCCTCCACTACTGCCGGCCCCCTCCCTCGCTCTACTCGTATCAGACAGAGTCCAGCCCATGTCCACCTCCCATTTGCTTCAAGTTTTCTCTGCTCGGTCCTCTCTCCACCGCTCGAGGTCAATGCACGTCGTTCTTATTCCATTAGACCTTGGGTTCTCAAACTGTCCACCTCTTCCGCACTCACCTCTTCTCATTTTGTGCATCTTGCAAAAAAAATCACTCATATTCATAAACAGGTCGTCTTCCCACCGTTCGGTCGCTCAGCATATCCATTTTGGGTGCATTCCACGGTCTCACAGTCGTCGTCTCCGCTGCTGTGTTGGAAACGTTTGTCAGGGTGCCAGCTGGCTGGCTCGCTTGTCTCTTGACCGGGACTCAACCCTACCCACCCTAGGTACACACTCCTTCTCCAGGCTGGTGCCGAAGCTTTGGGTTCGAACCGGTCTCATTCGAGTTCACGTTGTTCACGCGGTCGCCCCATATCCACTATCGATGTCCTAAGTTACTCAACGGCGTGTCAGTTATCAAACCTGTTCCCCACCCGCTCGACTCAGAACGAGAGATCCTTTTAAGATTATTGCAACCCACTATTGACAGGCCGTTGTCGCCGTTGTCCCATTCTGTCGTCCTGTCATTCCTTCGCACGATATCTTCAACTTTTGGCTTTTCGGCCTCCTTGGACATTTCCTCTTGCTCTCTTCTTCCTCTCCGCAGGTCCTCTACGTGTCTGTGTCTTTTGTCCGCTCCGTCAGCGGACATCTGGGGTTTTTTTTATGGTTTTCCACGCGTACGACGAAGGAATACCATGCTTGGTAACCATGACTTATTCTGACAAGGACAGTATGGATGACCTGAATCTACCGACCGTCATACCCGTCGATGAAAACTATGGCCGTTTTTCTGTCCTCGAGGAGGAGGATCGAGATGCCAGCTCGGCGTATTCCATGGCGTCTTCCGCCTACAACTTCAGGATGGAAAATGGCCGTCGGTACCATGACTATAAAGACGGACACCCTTTTCCTCACGACGAGGTCTCGGAGGAGAACGAAATCACCATGCACGAGATGTGTCTGCTCATATTTGAGGATAAATATTTCTTGTCGCCTGTCGACGAATCTAATCTTCGCGCCGTTGCCGATATAGGTACTGGTCGAGGGTACTGGGCCGAGGGGGTGGCTGACAGGTTTCCCGATGCCCAGGTGGTGGGAATGGATTTGACACCACATGCTCGAAATATCCTGCCGAACTGCTCTTTTATGCTTGCCGATGCGACAGAAGACTGGGTACTCGACGATCCGAGCATGAAATTCGACCTGGTCCACATTCGATCTCTATTTGGCGGTGTCAGGGACTGGGCCGCGCTATACAAGAACTGCTTCGAGTAAGTCCGACGCTTTCCACGATCCGCGCAAGCTCTTACCTCGCCGTGACATGGATCTATACGTCCATGTCACCGCTTTACATCCCGAATTCGCTGGCTTTCCCCCCTCGAAAATACGATGGGCAATTATGTACTTGAGCCTTTGTTCAACGCAAAAGAAATCCAGTCATTAGATTATGGGTTTTCTGTAATATTCTCAACCTTTTTGAGCATATCTCAACGCGTGATTTTGATGTTTGATACTGGTTGCTGACGGTAGACAGTAACATGAGGTCTGGAGGGTGGATCGAACAGCTGGAGATTGAAATCGATGCGCAAACCCAAGACGCTAGCACTCCACCGGACAGTCACATCAAAGCGCTATGCGAGTACACCAGAAGCCATCTGTCTGTTGCCGCTGGACGAGATTTCGACATATCTTTCAGTATGAAGCAAATGATTGAAGACGCTGGCTTTGTGGATGTCCAGGAGAAGAGAATCAACATACCACTCGGCCCGTGGTCATCGGATTCGAGAATGAAAGATATTGGAAGATTCTACGAACGATTTTACAAGACGGGGTTGCAAGGCTGGCTGTTACAAGTCTGCACTCGGCAACTGAATGTGGGTTTCTCAAGCCACTATACCTCTGAACGACTCTGAGCTAAGAATTCTTCTAGTGGTCTGTTGACCAGGTCAACGCAGCTTGTGTCAGTGCGTTTAAAGAGATCAACCAGCGCCAGCAACACTGGTATTATCCCTTGTAAGTCTCGTGCCGCCGTCGTTATCGCTTACGGCTCATCCTGACGCGATTGTTCTTTCTAGGGTTATTGTTATTGGACGAAAACCTTGAACGAGTTCTCTTTATTTACGATTTTTTGCACGAACGTTTACGCTTTATGTCGACATGCATATTTCGGATTCACCGGCAGATCAGATCCTACCACCACCACCAGAATTGATGATTCACGTCGTAATGACCTGTACATAAATGGCTAGATGGTATGCGCATGCATTTGGAAAGAGATATGTCGGGGGAACAATGCTGGTGCCAGTGGCGGCACGGTTCAAGAAGTCGCGTCTCGACGGCCTTTCCACTACTCTCATCGCTGATTGGGAAGGTCCTTTCATGCCTGAGAGTGAAGGTTAAGAGTACCATGAGCTGTTCTTGGTCATCTTATACAAAATGAGATGGGAACGTGTTTGGCAGCCTCAGACCAGATCTTGCTTGACTATTCAAGAGATTGAGTCAGAGTCAACCATTCGACAGGCATCTGACAGAGACGATGCATACCGCCGCAGTCTCCGCCGCTTGGGCAATCATCTGCTAAAGATGATGATGTGTAAACACCAGAACGAGACGCAGCCTGAATGTTGAAACCTCCAGAGGTTTAGACAAAGGCACAAAATCACTCGACATGAATGTCGTGTTCTGCATGGAGGGAAGCGGAGGAAGGTACCATTGAATCTACCATGGTCTCATGTATATACGAGAAGGGTCTGGCTTATTTATACTACGATATGTATCTGGAGGTGCGATATCGTCCACGAATGAATGTGAATATACTGCTCATCGTATTTTGAGCTTTTGCATTGAAGGAACAGTCCAAGAGTGTTTGACCAAGTCATTTGACATGGAGGCAATCTTGCGTGGCACAGAGGTGCTGCTTATACACGAGAACCTTCCCAATTTCGAAGGCGAGCCTGATACTCCTTATCGGTAGACCCGTAACAGAGTATACATTGTATCAATAAAGTGATCCTCGGAATGAGAATCGGAAGAAGAGTCCGAACAGTTTTCTACCTACTTCCGGGCAAGTGACCGTCACAACCCTCCGGTGCCCCTCCTCAAGGTTCCACCCCTTATCGAGTGGACGTGGACTTTCTTGCTTGGGTCTTTGGGTGTGGGAGGGGGTTGGAGGGGGGGGGCGAGCTTGTACGTTGAGGTACCGCTGAAGTGGTCCCTACTCTGTACTACTTTCATTAGTATTTGGACGGGTTAGGTGCCTAGTGAGATACCCAAGGTAGGTACTTACGGAGTAGTCTTGGATTGGGGTCGTACCTAGGTACTTATTTTACTGTAAAGACGCGAGGCGGCACTCTTTTTATGTCCAGTCCAGATTTCCCACCGGCAAGTGAGATGATTCGGAAACAGATCTCGATCAGTCTGTAAACCAAAGTGATGAGTTTTCTGGGGACTTTTATCCCAGTGGTATACACTTTCACCAAATACCTATTTACCCGGGTATGTACTCCAGTTGGTGTCCATTAGATGTTGTACTTGCGAGTGACTCTGTTGGGAGTGACTCTGTTTGTTATTGACCACTCGTGGAAATATACATCCACACGTACATACTTTGAGCAGCATACTCCATAACATGTATACATACATGCCATTACATTTTATGTATGCCACACGAGTAGGTACAGGACCAGTAATGGACGAGGTCAATTGTACCAGGAGGGGGGGAGGAGGGGAGGGGAGAAAGTGAGTGGTCCCAAAGCATACGGTTTATGGAGGATACTACTATGGTAGGTAGGTAATTACAATAGGTATTTCAAGTACGGAGTCAATAGAGAACAAGGTACGATACTGTACAGTCCACTCCAACGCATTTCACAGGACCCAGGGAAGTATGTACTGTAAGAATTCCTCGCAAAAACGCATTGACCTGCTACACCCGCCGGGAAAAAAAAGTCTTCCTACCACCCCATGTGGGTAGATAAAGGTGAAGTGGAGTTGTGTACAGTAGGAAGATCGATAATGTACGTGAAATGGGAGGAGTAAGAAGTACCTACCTACAATAGGTACCCAAGGTACGTACAAGTCAACTCTCAAAACACAGTACCTTTGAGTGACCCCCATATTCACAGATACAACATTACCTTTACTTGTCAAAAAAACTTCAATGTATACAAAGTATCACGTTGGTGCACTCGTCAAGTACCCATGTTTTATACCCTGTCATATTTACCATGTAAAGTGTGCCCCCCTACCCGAGGTATTTGTGCTTTGCAAAATTCCGTAAAAACCTTATTTTTTTGCAACATACAAAACATTCAACAATCATAAAAGCGGTGAGAACACAACGCCATATTTCTCAACAACCACCCTATAATTTCATAAATATTATATGATAATCTTACTCCGGAGTAAATTCTCTATCCAAGTATCTAAATTTTACTATATAAAAAGGCGTGGTTGTGATGCCGTCACAGCCAAAGTTTGATCCTGCGGTAAAAGTGGCCGTGTCAATTGCACTTCGGGCAGGAGTGAAAGGCACAGCCATTGCAAAGGCTCAAGGGGTTTCCAATGCCTATATTTCCAAAGTTCGACGGGATCTACGCTATCAAGACATCGAAATAAATGATATAGCACCTGTTAAAGGTCGTCCAAAGTCAATTCATCATGCCGCAATGGAAGGACTTCGTGATTTTATGCTAGATTGGCCGACGGCGCGGCTGGATGAGTGCTGCGATTTTCTCCGCGATGAGTTTGGTATCAACGCTCATATATTAACAGTCTCCCGGGCACTTAACTCTATGAATGTCACGTATAAACGGGTAACCAGAGTTAACACCAGGCGAGACGATGAACTTGTCGCTTCCTATATAGCACAGATGGCCAATTACACTAGTAACCAGCTAGTAACACTCGATGAAAGCGCTGCAAACAATAGAACTATGGATAGAAAGTTTGGCTGGTCGGCCCGTAACACTCCATGCTGAGTGCAACTACTAGGTGGCCGATCTACCAGTTGGAGCATTTTACCTGCGATGACAACAGACGGGTGGCTCACTTATAAGGTCTATTAAGGCTCTTTTAACGCCGAACGATTCGAAACATTTCTCTAAGGAGTGCTTAATAAGATGAACCCCTTCCCAGGAGATCATTCCGTTCTGATCATGGACAATGTAACTATCCACCGATCCGATAGAGTCAAGCGAATGTGCGAGGAGCAGGGCGTCATTCTTAAGTACTTACCTCTATATACTCCAGAGCTCAATCCAATTGAGATGTCATTTCACGAGTTAAAATAGTGAATGCGAAAGAATAGAGAACTAGGCTATTATTATGAGAATAGCTTTGATACCTTCATTCATCTAGCAATGACTAGTGTCTGTGAGGCCAAGACAGCTCATAATTACTTCCGCAGATACGGCTATATTTGATGAGGCATAGTAACTAGCAGAGAATAGATAAAAAAAGAAGGGGCTATAGGCATCTCATCCTGCAATAATAAGCCTAGTCTATATACCTTGATCTGTCTATTCTTGAGGTTATGCAAATATAGCTATCACGTGATCACGCTAACTATAATTGGCTAAGCCATATGCCATAATAGGTATAGTGTGAGATAGCAACACGCAAAATAATTCTAACATCACACCGAGTTATGTAATAAGCCCTCATTGACTGCTATTCCCTGACGATATAATACTCACTGGACGTCCATTTGTACTATCATTAAAACTGTCTTCACTTGTTATAGCTAAACGCGCAAATTCCTTGAGGTTATTGCGGATTTTAGTCACAAAACCAGCCGGAATAGTTATAGCCTTCCAATGTTCATCTGTACATGTTCGTAGATCAGAGAAGCCCCATCCATAATCCGCAACAGAGAGCTTAATCTCTAGTAACTTGGACGCATAAATAGGATATTTAGTCGCTAGCCAATTAAAGTACTCCTGCATATTCTGATCGTCGTCACCCTCTCGTTGTGGAGGGCTTAATCGAGGCCCAGTGACGGCGGCGGCGGCGGCGGCTGTCAACAGCGGAGGTTGATAGACGTGTGCGGGAGGTTATGCTAGGTAACTCGTCGACGGGATTCCTCCAATATTAAGCACGAACGGATGCATATAGTTTAGCGGGTAAATAGGCGGAGGTTGATGCATAGCATCGTAGCGTTTCTCGTTCCTATTCCGTTCTGAGAGAAGGGCCACCATGATCGCGTCCGGCACCTGGTTAGCCGTCACATTAGGAGCCTTCTTTGTAATCATATCGCTCCAACGCTAAACTAATGGCGTGGATAGAGGAAAATGCTGTCCTCCATGATTAACGCATAGACGAGAGTAATTCTTGTAATTCTTTAACTTGCAATAATGTCTCTAAGATATCAAGGAAGCTTACTCCGGCGGCGGCCTCTTTTTGTGCCTAGAGTTGTTTTTCTTCTCGCTGTTGTTGTGTTGCGGAGATTACCTTACCCTTTAACCTTTTATTCCTAGTCTTTTCCTTACGATAGCGACGTGTTTAGGTTAAGTTAAGATGACGGCTTGAGGAGATATTATCATGAGATAATGACGATATCGAAACGTCCTCACTAAATGAGCCATATTAACTAGTTAGTTAACATCATTTTGGCTTCTTAATAATTAAGTATACTAGTGCCAAATGCGCACTAAGTTTAGTCCTACTCTTATGGCCATCTTTTTGAGCATAATAAAGCTCCCACCACTTTTAATAGGCCTTCTTAAAGTGTTCCTAAGTCTTCATAGTTAAGGAATAAAGCTTTTTATTACCTTGTTTAATTGTGAACTCGCCCCCGAAGATAGGGGGGCGTAATTCATGAGTCTTTTGATTGTAGTCATTATATTAATACTTAAGTTGACCTTTATACTTAAGGAGTGTGTTAACAATATTAAAACCCCGACATAATACTTCCGTACTAAGGATCTTAACCTTCTTAATAAAGATTTCTATGGCGATATCATAAAAAAGTTTATCAATCTTAAATACTGATTCAATAGAGTTTGTATTAGTTAGGCTTAAGTCATTCTCCGCGGTATGCGGCGAAGTATTTGATTAATAACTAGGTTACGCTAACAGAGGGGCTTACATTAATATCTCCCCTTTCTCTTTATTGTCTTCTCTAGCATTGCTAAATATAGACGAGACTTTATCATCCTTATTAAGAAGATTTAACGCTTCCTATGCTTATGACATAATGTCCTCCTCAATACTTAGTCTCGGCGGTAACTCTGGCGACTCTGATAACTCTGGCAGGTCAGGACTAGCCGTTCGAGAGGGACGAGGGCTTAGAGACACAGCGCGACGCTTTGAACTTGCCCTATTAGCCCTCGTTGCAAGGCTATCGCCGTCGCTTTTGCGCTTCATGCGAGCGTTGCGAGTAACAAGGGTCTCGCAGAGTGATTGAGAGGCCAATGACTCCTGGAGTCAACGGGATGGAGTTATTGTGCGCCTTGTACGATTTGACATCATGTTTGTATGTAGTTACGATATATTGCAGTAAATTACAGTGCTATCTAGGGCTATTGCGGCTGCAGGATGAGTTTGTTGATACAGGCCATATGGCGGTGTGCAGATTTCATACAACTTGCAAAAAAATAAGGTTTTTACGGAATTTTGCAAAGCACAAATACAACAACTCGGACCGAAAAGCGAAAGTAAATATAGAAATACTGTCACTCTGTCAGTATTTTTCAAGGGTGCGTACTGTAGTACCGTATCATCCGACAACAACCTTGAAGAGTCAATGATTCTTATTGTTTGAAAGGTTCTTGTATGTGATGATACGTAGACGGATATACCAGTCGTGTCCCTTCCGTCCTCGTCGTCCTCGGGTACCACTCTCTTTACACACATGTACAGTACCTCAGTCGACAAAGGTTAACGGTGCCGTCCAAAGTTGGGTGTTTGTCGGGTGGAATAACCATTTACAGTACCTGTCAAAGTGTCATTCATAAACTCCAGAAGCTTCGGAAGAAACAACCTTTTGGCAGTCCAAAGTGGTGACTTGGTACGATTCTACATACTACCCAAAATGAGGAACCCTGGCATTTGTTACCTCTCCGCAGGTATCAAAAATAACTACATGCGTACAAACACACTGTCACAGAAACAATCAGGCCAAAGACCGATGCTAAAACATGATATCAAAAGTATGACCATTTCAAAACCATACGATACCATATTGATAGTCATTGTCTAATCTTGGGTCTTTGCTCTTGCATCATCGGTTCTTCAACACTTACTGCACCACCACCACCACCACCACCACCACCAACAACAACAACATCGCCTGCCAATATTCGTACTTCATTCTGCATGTTCTTGATCAAAATTGACCTCTCCCTGATTCGACCACCGTATCTATAAAACACAAACGGTATAGGTGCAATCACCACCAATAGTAACCCCAACAATGTCCCAGCCCAATTTGGGCCGAGGTTGGCGTACATCGGTTTGCCGACGAGTGGCATCACCGCGCCCATGACACTCCGTGCGACGGCGTTGGTGGCCAGGGCACTGGCAGCGTATATCCCGTAGCACTGGGCCATGTAGTTCGATGAGTAGATGTTGGACCAGGTATTGCCTATGCCAAAAGGTATCCCCGCCAGGATCGGCCAGACCCAGTGGATCGAAGAAGGAGCACAGGTCCACGCGAACCAGATCTGGCCCACGGGGGTGAGAATGGCGGCGATGCAGAGCACAGAGACCATGGCCTCGGGCGCGACATGTCCGGTCGACGGGTCGGATTTATGGCTGTTGATCATTCTTCGCAGGAGTGGTTCGGAGATGATTGCCAACAAAGTCCCGACCGAGACGCCCGTGAAGGCGGCGCCAGATGGGCCTGGCTTCCAACCGCGGATGTCGGAGAAGATGATGGGGTATGCGACGAAACTGAGGTACAGTATGCCGTAGACGGTCGCGGTGTAGAGATTCCAAAAAATCCTGTGATCGGCGTCAGCTATGAAGTTATTTTGAAAGAGGGGAGGTGTGAAGTGCGGAATGGGTGGACGAACAGAATGGCTTCCGTCATAGAGAGTCTTAGCGGCCGGTTGAGGTTGGTTTTCAAGATCTGCCACGGGGTGGACGTGGTGTCATCGTAACGACTGTGCCAACGGGTGTCGCTGGTGACGCCTCTTTTCTTCGCCGCTTTGGTACGAAGGAGACGGGGCTGATACGACTCCTTGACAAGCAGCATCAGTAAGAGTCCGACGCCGCCAAAGATCATGATGATCCATTCTGTCCAGCGCCAGCCGAGGTATTGGAAGACGAAGCCACCGATGATTGGACCCGTTGCTGGACCATTGAGAGGGCCGAGAGACCAGCAACTGTAGGCGGCTGCCCTGTATTGCGGATGGACAATGTCGTTGACAGCTCCTGGCGAGTTTGACAGCATGGCAGATCCAAAGAGTGCCCTTGGGGGAATTTTAGTGTCCCGACAGAGGAGTATCTCAAGCGAGAATGGACAGGCCGGGGGGCAACGTACGCAAAGAACCGAACGGTCAATATGTCCTTCAACGAATTTGCCAATGCACATGGTAGTGTCAAAAGAGTGAAGCACAACATGCTGCAGAGGAAAATCGGCCGCCGTCCGTATACCTCGCTCATCGGGGCTAGGACTAGACACCCAGCGGCAAGCCCCAAAAGATAAACAGTGACACCGAGAGTGATTCGTTCATCTTGTTGGACGTGGAAAGTCTGCTTCATGCCTGGCATGCCACTGAGAAAGGAGGTTGACGCATAGATGCTGGATATGTCAGCGAGGTAAAGCTGGTGGAACGGTGGAACGTACACAACCCATGTGTTGTAGGAGACAATCGCAATCACCAACGACTTGTAGGCCAGTGTCCAGTTCATCGGGTTAGCAACGTCATCTTTCCCATCCCACGACACCAGATACTCGTCGTCCTCGTCAGCTTCTGGCACAGGGGCCATGGTGGGCGAAAGGTGCGAGTCAGGAAACCTAGGATCTCTCCCTGTATTGTGGTGAAGAGGCGAAGTGGCAGCTCATGATCTTGGATGCCGCTCTTGAACGATCCAGACCCTTTATGCTTTCCGTGTTGGTATATGTTATACCGCCATTGCATTACCATCATCTACCAAAACGAAGAGTATGGTAATCATAATGGCTGCTGGTGGGATATCCGGCGGATCGAGGAACATGGAAATATTCCGTCCTCAACCCATCACGGTAGATAAGGATCATCCGAGCCTTGTACAGGTGAGTGACAGTTTGGTATCCTAGGGCAGTCCCTGCTATTGGTTTTATCCAATGTCGACTGGTGAAGCATCCCTGAGTAGAAGCATTATTTGTCGGCATTTGTTGTAGGAAGCTTGAGGACAACTACGTGACCAGATCACGTGCAGCTTTGATACCTTAAGTCTAGTCTAGATTAGTCATCAGCCAGATGTCACTGACATTTCTTCCTACAACAGCATCAGATCATCCTTTTCACTTCAACACAATCTTCATCCTGGGTTCGCCAAACTTCATCGCCTACACCGCCAAGACGACCTAGGTCTGGTTGGTTGTCCTGGCCAGCCCCCAGGCTGTGCTGCTGGTCTTGTTGGGTATCCAAAAATGTGATCGCTAAAATGCATCTTCTCATTCGTTCGCTGAGCCCTGCAATTTTCTAGGTAAGGCAACCTGACCAGCGTAGCGAGCGTCTTTGTCTACGCCCAACTTCAGCTTTTTGACATGCGCCTCCCAATCTCTGCCTTTTGGGCACTCTTGACATCGCCCACAGACTCGGCTGCCATCAGAGAACCGGGGGGCATGTGCTTGGCTGCGTGCTATTACTTATCCAGAGTTGCGAGTAAAACTACACCTTTGATTCTTCCTCCTCAATCTCTCAGTATCAGCCTGATGTTTCACCATTCGTCTAAAATTTGGTGGTGGAACAGGGCCTCTTACACACCTGATGGCCTCTAAAGCCGATTGAACTTCCAATATGAATCAATTCATCGGCAAATTCACCAGTGCTCTTGTGTCCGGCAGCAGCGAAAACAACATATCGCTTGCAAACTTAAACTTTGAGTTCTCTTTGGTCAAGCTTGAGGCTCCGGCGGAGTTTCAACCCGTTGGCTATTCCTTGTCTATCGGTCGACGACAAACCGCAGAGCTCGGTGCTCAGCATCAATTGGCCCGTGTTCTCGGGGCATTGTTCTGCCAGATTGTCCCACACACTCCCAAGCTGGTCCAAGCCTTTGGGAAAAGAGTCTCCGAAATTATCACCACACCCGGTGCAAACCCAAAGGGTACGTCTGCCGATGGGCCTTTCAAGGAGTCCGTCGGGGCCGATGCGACATCCATCTGGGCATCTGCCACTTCGGGCCCATCAGCACTGGCAGTTTTGCTTCTTGCGTGTATGCTAGCACGTAAATTTGTGGACGCAAAGCATAGTGTGGCAATCTGGGTCGAACTCGTCGGGATTCGACAGCGTGAGGTGCTCTCCGAGGCAAAATCGAGTGGCTTTTCGGTCAACGAGACCGTCCTCGCGGCACAACAGCGTATCTTACGGGAAGATCTCGCTGCCTTTGATGCCAGTATCCGTGCATGGCTCATAACGTCTGATCAGGTGATGATCAAAAAGGTCAAACAACTTCGACTTATACTCGACAATCTGACCACTCTCCCAGTCAGCGCGGGTAAGGATACATACAGCAAGATACTATCTGCTTGGACCGCCGCAATGAATGGCTTTGAGGCTCTTCTCGACGGTAAACCCCAGAATGTGACCGACAGTTCTATGCTGCTAGCTTTGCCGGCTTGGCAGCTTTATCCTAACCTCCTAGTTCTGGCAGACTCGGAGCCAAAGAAGGTCCACTTCAAAGATGATCTGTTCCTGCCATCTGTTGAAATCACAGTTGGCCTGCAATGGAATCAGGACGATCTGGACACGCCTGGCTTTCGCTGGTCCTTGGCTTTATCACATTTGAAGTACTATGGAGAGGCCGTTTCCGTTCTCGTCGATCAAGACAATTTCCGCATCACCATTGAAGAACTAGGGCTGATCGCTTTCGGATCGTTGTTGGCAAGTTGGAACGTGCCCCGGGATCTGACCGAAGATGTTGCTTCCTGGGTCTGCGACATCGGTCCCGCTTTTCGCGACCATAGCAGACAAGAAAAATCAACATATCTGTATTTCGAATGGTTTGGCGTTCTTTTCAAGGCTGCTCATATGCTGATGAATAGTCCACCACAACGGCGTCAGGAGTGTGAGAAGCTCATTTCCTACGGTCGACGAAGAGGGAGAAACTTTCTTGGAGGTTCGGCAGGGTCAGCAGAACAAGAATCCTTGTTCGGGCTCACGAGCCCACACCTTATCCGCGCTTTGCAGTTCCCACCTGGTCAGGAGCGTCAATTGCAGTACCTTCGTTCTGTGGTTCAACGTAACGAAGAGAAGGACAATCTACTCCTCGTCTATCACCATGTTTGCACGTTGTGCTCGGTGACGGTATTGGCCACAGCCTATGCCCATGAGCGATGGTCGACCAAGAGAAGCGAAGACGGGACAAGAAGAAAAGAAAGCGTACATGCACGTTGGATAGTATTGCGTACTCCTGAAGAACTGTCCGACGACGCCCGTCAGAAGCTAATTCATCATCTGAACATACCAGTAACTGAGTCCGAGCAGACATTTTTTCTTGAGGACAGACGCCGAGAAAACGTATCTGTGGGGTCACATCAAGTCGAGGAATATCTCGAGTGGAAAGACCCGCCGACATATTTCGGGACACAAAATCAGAAGGAATCTTGTGCCTCTGCAGAGTCGGGAGGTTACTCCTGTCGATGTTTTGAAAGGGTATCAAAATGCACCAATTCCCGTCGAGGCCCTGACACCAGATCACCAGCAGTCACCTTTCGGCTGTTGTGCACAACATTCCTTCCTGGAGGCTGTGGGGAAGCATCTGCTAGCTGTGGGTTGTTCGCTCGGCGAGAGTGCTCGTCGAGTTGTGACGCCGATGACCAGTACATGAAACTACTGTTCAGAGCATTCTTTGGAAGACTGAGTCCCGAATCGGCTGTCAAGGAATTGAAGAAGGTGGAGTTGAACAAGGAAAGCGTTTGCGAATACTTACAGGAAATTTCCTTGCGAGAAACGGGCGAAACTTCACCCTTGTTAGCACTGCAGCTTCGGCCTGGTAAGCCACTGTAGCACCCAGAAAGGTTTTTGAATTGACCGCTAACACTAATAGCACAGACTGGATTGACGATGTGTGGGAGGATCTACCCTATATGGACTCATTGCACAACGTTGACATTGCGCTTTCAATCCGATGCCAGACATCACTTACCGCAATGTGGCTCATAGCTCAAGTCTGCAAACAATTCCCTTCGGCGAGTTTCCCCATCAAGGTCGCTGAACGACCATTTGACCTGTACGACGATATCATCAGGGCTCACGGCATGCGCGGGCCGTCGTCCCGGTTGCTGAAGACCCTGACCAGACCTGAAGCCCTGGCGGGGATTTGCATGTTGGAACTTGGGGGTGCTTCCGTGTCGACGTCGTACTTGCACCGAGCGTTTGCTGTGTCGGCGGGCAACTCGATATTTGTCGCCGAGTGCTTGCTTTCGGACCCGAGTGAAAGAGTACCCGACCATGCCATCCGACGGATTGTCGGGAACCTGGGCAAGCCCGGGATCTCGATTCTCGTCAGCCCGCGAAACCTCAAGGTGAAAGAAAGAACCGATGACTTTCGGGCCGTTGAACATGCCCAGTACGACACGGTGAGAAGTGATAGTTTTCCCGGCGTGTCTCTCCACCTATCCCTGACGGAATGGTGCATGGCAGTGGCCACTCTGGATCATGTCTACGGCCACATCGACCGAGACATTTTCCTGATCGAGGCTGCCATTTCTGTCCACGACAAGGGGCGGTGGTACGCGGACATTGACATTCTCGACGATGTCTATTCTTTCAATTTGCCTGTGCTCAAGGGCCATTGTCGTTGTGGCAATCCGACCAAAAGTCCACCGCGAGCCTACACCAGCATCGACACATTTGATGAGTTGTTGGATCCTCCGGAGAGCGTGGGCATCGTTCGAGCCCACAAGAATTGGCCCGCCAGGTTGGCTGCGGCTTGTATCGTTCGACAGAGACTCAACACTGATGGTGCATTCTTTTTAAGCTGTAAGGACATTGAATGTTGGACATGTCTTGAACGATTATTCGATGATGGTGATGATGACGACGACGATTGTAATGATGAAACGAAATGTGTCCTACTCGAAGATGATAGTGATGCTGAGTGTGCTAAGGGAAATTGCGACGACAAGGATGGCAAGGATGGCAAGGATGGCAAGGATGGTGATGATGGTAATGATGGTGATGACATGGCCTTGTTCGGCATGACCAAGGAAGACATGGAGTATTATCGATCATTTTCGGAAGAGGATCGAGTCATAATATTTATTGATTAGGTAGATACTTGGATGCCCAATACTGATACTACTCGGTATATAACACGTCGACCTGAAACAAGACTTTTCTAGTTGTCTGTGGTTATTGTTTATTTTGTACCCTTTGGGTAGGTCAGGTATCATCCACTACTGACTGGTGGTATTATACCAACTTCGTCACCTTGATTGATCACCAAATTTAATCCTTGCGCTTGTCCTTGCCCTTTATTGTTACCCGCAACAGTACCGTCCTGATCCTCCTTCAATACATCATGATCCAAATCAATGTCCGCGTCCACGTTGTCCAGGTCCAAATCGACGTAATCCAAATTGACCGTCACCGCCGAACTCGACAGGACCTTTTTCAGTATCCCAGGGTAGGATTTTTCCAAGGTCCGAAAAAGTTCCCTGATGGTGGTGGGGGCCGGTAACTTCAAAGTCTCGAGACCGCCGGTGTAGGTCGAGGCCGAGGCGAAGAGTAAGAGTGTGAATTCTCCCACTCTCCCTTGTTTTTCGCTTTGTTTTTCGGATTCCATTTTTTGAGAGTAAGAAGGGGGTGCCCAGGGTTTGGTGTTCTCCGTGTATTATCGATAATTCCAAATAGGTATTTCTTTTTGTTCTCGTGGGTCGTTGTGTGATTTTGCATCAATGGATTGGTGGTGATGAGTAGTGGTCGATTTCAATTGAGGGTGATGACTGATGAACCTCGTCTTTTCTCTCTTTTTTTCTGGTTTTGGCCTTTTTCACACTATAAAACGTGAGGTGATTCTTCTCCTTTTTTTTGTCTTTTTTTTCTTTGCAAGACAAGTCTAATTCATTTCGAGTTGTCGTCGTCGTCGTCGTCGTCAAATCGTCCCGTATCAAAATATCAATTTCGTTTTCCGACAAGAAAGAAACCTATTGGCTTCGACTTGTCCTCTCGCGCACCCCAATCAAAATGTGCACTTGATGTGTTGATAGACCCCCTGTCGAAGAAGAAAGAATTGATGCCCCCTTTCTTTACCTCGAAGTAAACAAAACAAAACAAAATCTTGTTTCTTCTTGTCGTCTCTGTCGGCTTGGTTTGTAGTAATATTATCTAGGTAGGTATCATTCTGTGCTATCAAGAACAAAATACTCATACGAGTAAGGGAATGAAAAGCGGCGTGAAATAAGAAAGAATGTGGTCCCGAATATACTATACTGTATGTTCCTCGCACGAGCATCCGTACGAGTACTCCGCACAAAGGCTTTCACTTCTACAATATTCATAGACGAAAACAAAAAAGATCTCTGCACAGGTTAAACAGCTTGATGGACTAAATTATTGTCATCTTGATTTCAACACCCTTCAAAAAGGAGTCAAGTAAACGCTGTCGAATAAACCTATTCTCATCAATCCCAATCACAATCAATCTGCTGCTCCTTTGCCCCTCGTCCAAGGAACCACAATCTACTTTTATTTTTTCTTTTTGTTCGTCCACATCTCATATTACCCTTGTCATGGTAGGAGGCGTGTCATCTGTGAGCCTGATTCTCAAGTTTCGACTCATAGCAGCCATGACTTTGTTGTTGTTCCCCAGGTCAAACTAATCTTGAAATGCACACAGCCCCAAAGCCGTACTTAATGCTCCAGTAGTCTCAAACTACCTTGAACCACAACGTTCTCCAAAATAGATCCGGGGGGGATGTCAATCGTGCTGTTTTCTGTTGCAACAATGATGACGGTGCCTGTGAACAATATTAGTATCAATAAGACAAGCCAATAAAACTCGATCAAACTCACCCTTGAGCACAATACCACGACCAAAATTGACATCACCAGTAACAGTCAAATGATCCAATTCGACAATGTTGGGAATGCTGCCAATTCTCTTCTGGAATTGCGCAACCTTCTTGAAGTCACCTCCAAGCTTGATCAAAGGTGCAGGACCGAATCGATTAGGATCCATGACCAATTGACCGTGACTCAAAGTGTAAAGGTTAGACTTGACGAGCATGAGATCAGAGCAAGTCTTGACAGGCAAGAAGCGACGTCGAGGAACGTTGACACCGTGAGCATTCTTGAAGTGCTTGATGGCGGCACCCACTGCGGTCTCGAGTTGAATGATGCTGACATCGGCCTCGCCCTTCTTGTCAGCTGGGATAGACTTCTCGTTGGGAATAATCTCCATTTCAAGCTCGTTGTTTTCCACCACGCGCTTGATGGCTCGGAGGTTCATCCAGATGTTGTTGGTGTTGAAGTACTTGAACTTCTTGATCGACTTGAATTCGTTGACGTATTGCTTGGGAACCTGGGCGATTTCAAGGAGTCTGGCCTTGCCCTCGTAATCAATGATGGTACCACCCTTGACATCAGCCTTGGTCTTATCGGTCAGTTCCATGATGTACTCGGCCTTGGTCTCAACCATGTGCTGCAGGATACGGAGATCCACAACCGCACCCAGGTTGTCAGCGTTGGACAAGAAGATGATTTCAATGCCTCGCTCGAGGAGTTGGTCAAGAATACCGCTGTTGTAGAGCGACTCGAAGACGTCACCATGGCCGGGGGGGTACCAGTCGGACAGTTGAGAGTGGTAGTTCTTTGGTGCCGGGAGGAGAGAGTCCTTGAGCACACGAGGATATCGGGATTGGTTGAAGGTCAGTATGTCAATGTTGTGTCCTTCGTATTTCTTGATGATGGACGCCGTGTCTTCGTCGGTGTTGAAGCTGTTCATCAGAACGAACGGAACATTGACGTCATAGGTGCGGTTGAGGTACTCAATCTGTCGGACCGACAAGTCGAGGAAGGACATGCCGTCTCTGACTTCGATGACTGACTTGGGACCAACACAGCCCATGGATGTGCCGAGACCACCGTTGAGCTTGACGACCGCGAGCTTATTTAGAAAGTCCACGGCGTCGCTATTTGGCAAGTCATCGTAAGCCACCACTTGGTCTGGGTTGGGGGGGTTGATCTTGGCCCAGTCGATCGTGTTTCCCTTGGCTCGATCATTCAGGTATCGTCTGAACAGAGCAAAGAAGTTGTCCATTTCTGCCTCGAATCTCTTCTTTTCTGCCGGGTCCTTGACGGTGTCGGCAAGGTTATTGAGGGCGTTTCGCATCTGGCTGGCGGCCACGTTTGTGGAGGTGTTCTCAAAGGCCTGCATTGCGGGAGATTTGATTAGCGGTGCCGTGGAATTGTGATCATGCGAGGTAGGAGTTGGGTGCAGGTCGAGGAAAGATGTCGGCGCAAGGAGAGGCATGATGGGATGAACAACTGCGTTTTGCACAAAGAAACAAGGGCGCGTAGTGAATGAGGGAGAGGGGTGAAGGGTTCAAGTAGTGAATGTAAATGAGTGTGCGGACTTCATGTCCAAGGGAGGCAGTGAGGAGGGTGACGAGTATGAGACAAGATGTTTAACAAGTGCATTTCATGTACAACTGGACTTGTCGCAGTTGGAAATGAAGGTCGGAACACACACAGCCCACGGTCGTCATTTATCAGTCCACGTCAGTGCAGTGTACATGCAATTGGGTATGTCGATATTTGTTCCGCATTCAGAGGGCATTGGCAATATTGATATAAGAGAGTATAGGAAACACGGTGCTTACCACATGGGATTGTGATTTGCCATGGTGTCTCTGTGCAGGAGCACCACCATTGGAGCCATTGCTGCTCGCAGCTTGAGGACGCAGGTGGGAGGGGATAGCTTTGGAGGCCATGATGTCGATGTCGCAGGCAGGTGAGGATCAGTTCAGGAGCTGTGGTAGATTGGGTGGAGGATTAGAGAGGAGTCTGGAACAGGTCGGAGATGAGTTAGCGACAGATTGGAACCAGATGGTGAAATTGGGAGAGGAGGAGAGGAGGAAGAGGAAATTGAAGCTGGAAAAAAAAGGTGAAATTCGGTGTGCAGTGGCCAAAGCAGATAGTGGGATGTGTGTATGTCGCATGCAAATGCAGTGTCAAGGTAGGGATGATGAAACGAGCAAGTCGTCAACAAATTAGCGAGGCCAACGGTGAAGCAGGAGCCAGAGAGTACGGAGTATGGCGTAGGTGGAAGTGGAAGTTGTTGCCAGCTTTTGCCAATAGCGGGGGCCACATGCAGGTGTTGATGATGTCGTCGTTGCTTGTCAGTTACGTAGCTTCAGGCCTATCTGAGGCCGGGTCGTCAACGGTGGCGCCAATTGCAGTAGGTGTATAGGCTTGGGCAGGGCCGGTTGATGTGGTTGAATTCTCCGAGCTCCGTGCATACAGTAGGGGGCATTATTGGGGCCATTGGGGGCAAGGTACCTAAAGAGAGGAAGAGAGAGAGAGAGAGACGGGCGATCTAAACTTACAATATCCTCAATACAAGTAGGTACAGTACACTATTGATCTGTTAAAATTCTTTTGAACCTGAATATAGGAATGTGTGTGTTACTTTATCGTCGTTTATATCTCTCTACATCCTCCTTCATATTTTGCTGCCCCGATCCTCCAGACTCGTATCTGTTGGGCCTAGTTAAAAAATTCTTCGCTGTCCAACGTCGTATCTCGACTTGTCCACGAATTCCATCGCCGTCTCCAGTGATGATCTGGCCCTTCGTCGCCCACTCTGTCAATCCCCCACCAAAAAAACCTTGGACTTGTGGTGCCCCTCGTTTACTCGTCTCTAAGGGACTTTGGTAGGTAGTCGTACAATACTGTACATACAGAGAGACAGTACTCGCTCAATAAAGATCATTATTTTAATTGCCTCACCCAGCTCCTCGCTTTATTTAATTTCCCTCAACCCATCAATCGGCCCTTTCTTTGTAATGTACTCGCTCGTACTGTACCTTCGTGGCGTTCATTTCCCCCCTCCATAACGGAATATCATCACCCTAGTTCCCTCATCCCTGCATCTCCCCTAAGCTCTCCCAGGTTTAGAGGGACCGCCAGAATTCGCAGCTTTGTCGCCACCGTCGGACAAACTTGCTCCTTTCACATGAAAGCTGTTCCTTCTGTTCAAAGTAACAGATCTTGAGATTTGAATCGCGATGCTACCCAGCACAAATACTCGTTGGACTTGAAGCCACTTGTTGGTAGTAGGTGCACCATGAGGCTTTCAGCCCGAGACAGTTCTCATGTCACTATACAACCTTACAACAACAACTTTTTTCATACTCGTACCCCATCAAACATTTTGGATATGCAACTCGCTAGCCTTGTCTCCAACTACTACCACCACGTAGTTATGCACGTTTCAGAATGAGGGCATCAAGTGGTTCCTCGTCCTCCTCCGCTCTATTGACCGCTTCCAGATCCCGATCAAACATGTTCTAGCAGGAGGCTACGAGCTTCACCGCTCAAAATCGCCCTCTACAATCCTTCACACAATTGCTGCATATAGTCTTGTCTGAGATATTAATTGTCTACTGCTGCACGGAGTACTCCATAAGTATATCTCATTTTTGGTATATCCACAGCTCGCCCTCCACCCGATCTCTGAATAGACTCATAAACATCTGCCAAATAACTATGTGGTATCTCTGCAGCTAAAGGACAACAATAGGTGTTGTTGGACCAGCAAGGCTAGGAGACGCCCCTCCATCCCTGCAAGCTCCTATTTTCCATTAAAACGCCCTTGCTAAAAGTCGTACATGTCCTCACTCTCATCCACCCGTCCTTTGTTTTCAAGAAGCATCATGTTTTCCGCTCACATCGCGACGCCCAAAGAAACTTCGTCGTCCTTCGCGCTTCGAGTCCGGACTGTCTCGTCCACTGGTTGCGGGCCTCAGCGTATCAGTGTTGGTTTCAGCGTTCCCTGTGAAGCTACTGCGAATCGTTACGCTGCCGGTTCCCGCCTTGACCGTCTGCTCCGAACCGCCGCCTTGGTCAGACACAAAGAAGAGCCCTTCACCCAGATCCTTGGACCGGAACGTGTCGTGGTCCTTGACAACAATTTGGAACTGTGTATCGGCACTGCATGACACCTTGAAGTTCTCGTGGTTCGGATCATACTCCACGGTGCCTGAGGATGACTTGACCGCCTTGGTTTTGAACAGATCTTTGGCTCCCCTAGCTCCCAACATCTTCACGTGCACCCGGACATCTGCTCCAGGAGGATAGCCGCTAGCTGACACGATGATGAAATTGGCCGTGCCCGTGTCAGCCCCCTTGGGAGTGTTGGTCACAGTCGAGTGGCTACTCTTGGTGCGACTATGCAGCATGCTGCTGGGAGTGGCAGGCGAAGCTGACCCATCGACCAACGCAGGTGCTCGGGAAGGAGTAGCGTCTGGTGTATTGACCACCGAAGAGCTCACCTCTGACTCGGGCGGAGTGCCGTTGACCACGTGCGATGTGTCGTCCTTGCTGCTGCCTCGACCAATAATTCCGCGTTTGATGAAAGATGCCCCTTTCACGACTCCTCCACCAACTTTGGTGACGCCTTTCACTGGCGCACCGATCACTTTACCAGCCGGTGCAAAAGTGCCGTGGAAGGTCGACGTTCCCTGCCGGCTTCGGGTGACATAGTCTGGCTTGAACAACATTTTAAGTCGGATGGATCCAGATTTGCCGTCCAGGACATATGTCAACTCTTGTGCCTGCAGAGGTTCCAGCACTTTCAAGTCGAGGACCGCCGAGCCTAGCCAGTCGGCTTTGTCGCCAAAATCCCAATCGTATACGTCGACCTTGAACTCGGCACCGGTGCGCGACGGCACGGCTACCTCGAAAAATTCGTTCCAAGCAGGATGCAGGGTCTTCTTCTGTATCTTTGTTTTGAAAACTTCTTTGCCGTTGAGTTTGAATTTGCAATAAGGATCACTGTAGCCGTTACGATCTGCTGATGGTAGATCCGCTGCATCCAGAACATCGACTCTCAGTGTGCCCATATTGTTGATGCTTTCACTGGGGTCGAGCTGCATCTTCACCGGCAAATACTTCAACAGAACCGTCACTTTATTGACACCCGCGGCATTGTTGCCCCGCATAGTCAACTCTGTCGGCGTGTACAGGCACTTCTGCAGTGTGGTGAGTGTCGGACCGGTCAGTGTGGCCACGATGTTGTCCTCATCTTGCTTCCCAGACTTCTCGGTCCTCACCACTGACCGCAACGTGATCCGAGACATGTCGATTTCACGGACCATGGCATCCCCAGTCTCGCCAAAGTGGAAGTCCTTCTGTCGAATCCTTGCAGACGCGTATGCGGGAAATACATGATCGTCCATGAGTACTTCGAGCTGCACATCCGTCACGTCGAAATGGCCTTCTATTAGATTGAATACGATCAAGCCAGATTCTGACATGGATTAGTCCGACCCTGAAACACGTATATCTTGACTTACCATATTTGCTGAGGTCATCGGCAGTAATCTTGACCTTGGGAGCCTGTTTTTTGCTTGATGCAAGCGAGTCCACGAAGGAGGCCCCTGTCGGCGACGCAAGACGCCCGGCCGTGTCTGAGGTCTTCCCGTTCTCGAGGCTGGGGCGCACTGTGTCTACAGAAGCTTTGGTGTCGACGGATGGCTTCGTGGCGTGGGACGCTGTCCCATTCACTCCAGCCTCATTCTCCATGGCAGCCTGAGCTTTGCGTTCCTCTTCGTCCTCCTCAGGATCAAGAACGTTCAATGTCGGATAGAAAGCGCAAGTGTAGTTGATTATGCCCTTCTCGCCGCCAGTCCCGCCAAGACGCAGCCCATCCGAATGTAGTGTCTTGGAGTCGTGTACTTCGTAGCCGCCCTCTTCACTCTCAACGATGTAGTCCGAGGCTGCAATTTGTACCAAACCCAATGAACGATCCTTGCCGAGTTTTTCTTCATCCATGACCTCAATGATCAGGCGCTCTGAAGGAGTGTGCATTGGAACATATACCACCTCATCCCAATCCGGATTGAGATCGTTCTGGAAGGTAACTGTGCGGCCTTTGGGAATGCCTGCCAACATGACCCTAGCATAGGGGTCTGACTTGCCTACAGTCTCGAAGTTCCGAAGATTTCTGGCACTCTGAAGGTGAATCCGCATGACGCCGATGGGTGTAATATAGCCGCCGGACCCAGCTGCACCCTTCAGCGCCACGGGCTTCCAGTCCAGTAGTAGTTTGGCCTTGCCTGATTTCGAACCATGCAAGTTGAACCACTCCTGACCCTTGTCAACAGCCTTCATCATGTCGTCCACCTTGATTTGATAGGTACCAAGGATTGGATCAGTAGCGAGGCCACGGCTGTCCTTGATGACCAAACCAAGCCGGGCCTTCTTCCGATCTGTGATCAGAACTGATTTGGTATTGTCAGAGAAGACAGGGTTGTTGGTATGCTTGAGTGTGTTCGTTTTGTGAACTTCTTTCCCATTGAGGAGAAGGACGGCATATGGGTCGAGGGCCCCGACTATACTCTTGCTACCGTCCAGCTCCTTGGCTTGCTCAATGGTGAGGCGCGCAATACCAGTGTTGGACTCTGGCGGAGGAAGTATCTCACCAGTTGGCAACTTCTCGGATTCAATGACGCGGAAAAAGCGGATATCGGTTGCAAGCACTCCTCGAGATTTTCCATTTGCAAGTACGTCAAGACTCAAACCTTCATGATCAGGAGAAGCTTCGAGTTGATCCAAAGCAAATGTTGCAGTTCCGAGCTGCTTGTCTTTCCGGACATCATTATAATCATAGACTTGCAGAGTGAGCGAGTCAGTGAAGTTTGTGATAATGACATAGAGTGTCTCGTTCCAGCGGGGGTTTGCGTCTTCGTAAATGGTCTTTGTGCGTCCCAGCTCCTTGGAACCATTCAAAGACACAACCACATACGGATCCGGTGTGCCCGAAAACTTATCAGGGTTCTTGAGGCCGTGAGCATTGTAGATGGTAATCGCGACCACGCCGACTGCGAGATCAATGGGGTTGCCCGAGAGCATTTTGGCCACCTCGATTGGGAAAACGTTTGGATCGTACATGATTGGTGCTAGGTTTCCATGGATCTGCTCCTTGATGAAATTCTCCAGACCAGGGATGAAGTTGATATCGAAGCCGAATGTATCTCCGCCAAGAGGCTTGCATACATAGTCGATGGTTGGACGACCCAGAAAACAGATATCAACCCTTTCGATATGGGGAAAAGCGATTTGCAGCTTCATCTTGACACGCATAAGACCAGAAAACTCGAAATCTTCCACGATGACCTTCATGGCTTTACTGACAACGCCTTTGCCGATGCGGATCTCGAGGACCACTTTTGGATTGATCTTGGTCTTGAGCTGGCGAGCTGTCATATCCATCGTGTCGGTTGGGGTGAAACTGAACTTCCAGTCCATCATGACAATATCATCTTCAGACTTCGGATAGGTCTTGACATGTTCCATGCGGGGAGGTTTGGTACCTAGAATAAAAGTCTCCATCCGCATACTGTCCAGGAAAGCGGGAGTGGACGTGCTCAGCACTTGATCAACTGATTGCACGATACCCTTGGCCAGCTGAGGGGCATAGATGGGCCAGAACTTGACGAGGAAGCTGTTCATCCACTCCAGACTTTCGGCGTCGGTCTCCAAACGAGCCTTCCCTAACTCTCTTGTGATGTCGTCTCTGAAATTTCGTCTGACTCGTCTGATCGAAGTTCTGTAGTAAGTCCCGCAGGTTGCCATGATGAGAAAGATCCATCCCAAACCACCACCGAGGGTCGCAACAAGCCATGAGGACAGGCATGCAAAGACAATCACAGCAGCATTGTGGTACCAATCTGGATATCTCAGTTTTCTTGTCAAGCCATGGTGGATGGGAATACATACCGCCATAGAACCTATCATCTAGCTTTGATTCCAAGAGCGTCTGATGATCCAATAGATTGCCTTCCTCTTTATCCTGCTCTGTCTCCCCGGACCCGAACCGTGGCGCCCATCCGAGTTTGGACCAGTCTTCGTGCTGTTCAGGAGGTGCTCCATTTGTAACCGTACCAGCCTTGTCTCCAGCGGCAACTGGTTCGGGAGGAGGAAGGTCATATTGGTCCGGTCCACCATCCTGCAGAAGTTAGCGGGCGTTTCAAAGCTGTCCAGGCGCGATAAGACTCACCAGATCTGTAGCGACCCCGACTCCTTTTGGTGGACGTTTGGTAGGGTTCTGCTGCTACTCGTATGTTAGAAGACTATTCATGATCGTAGCACCCCTTCATCTTACAGATCTAGCTTGCGCGGCTTTCTCTTCTGGGGAAGCATTCGGGTCGAAGTGCAGAGCAGTTGCCCCGGCTTCCTTGCTTTCGGCGACCAGGACCTTTTCAGCGTCTTTGCCAGTTACGGAAGAGTTGGGATCCTGAGCTGCCTCGACGGCGCCCTGGGACTTGAGCTCGTTCTTAAATCCGGAGGCCATGGTGATCTGTGGAGAAGCGTCCACCGAGCCTTGGGCCTGATCTTTACGACATTGACCCCAGGGGAAACTGAAAGAAAAACGAGTGAGGGTGTGCGGGCAAGAAGGAGGAATTGTAGGGACAGAGTTTCCGCGAAAGAAGATATACGGAATAGCTTGGTGTGTAGCTGTTCGAGGCAATTCCCAGAAGTTGGCTTGGTAGGGCCTCTTACAGTAGAAAAGTTGCCAGGCGCAGGCGGCTGGTGATGAAAGCGGAGAAGATTACGCGTGAAGGAAGCCACCGACCCCATCTGCGTTTAGTATCAAATAGCTCACTTGTTACGGAGCTCAGTGGCCCGTCACCATGTACTTGCGGTACCAGCAGTCAAGCTGATGGGCGCTAATCTACCTACCAGGGTCTTCAATGGGCTCACCAGGCTGCCCGGGCCTCGTCAAGGTTCACCAGCGCTTGTCATGCCAGCTGAAGCTCGCAGCTGCACCACGGGACACACCTAGAGCCTAAACCAACAGCCTACCACACCAGCCTATCCAACCCATCAAGAAGCCACTGCCGACGTCAATTCGCCAGCTCCATCACCGCGGCGATCGATCTTCGCTTGCGGGCCCTTGGGCCGCACAGAGGGTGCTACGAGATGCATACGACTCGTGGCGCAAAGACAGACCTCTTAGGCAACTTGCTTTGTTGTTCCGGCAGATGCCCTACAAGACTCCATACTCCCGAACGACTACAGTACAGAGTTTTGTGTGATTGCGCTGACGACACCCCACCTACGGATGAACCGTCTCTCGCCGATCACACGTGAAGAAGCCTTGGGATACTCCTCTGCGGGTTCTTGCATATGTACGTACTTGTACAACACCTCGGCTGGATACGCTAAGCTAAACACTTTCAGCGAGACAAGGGTCTGTTTGGGGAGTAGCATTCAATATCTCTGTGTTGCTGTTTAACACGCCTCAATCTCGGTTTTGTCACCAGTCACGCACCATCCTCGTTGGCAGTGTTGCACATTTGGTGGAATATTGTCTATCAACACAATGATGATAAATTGAGATGTCCTACAGTATCCTTGAGTAGGTGCCTTGGACCCATTATCCGACCTTTCCGTACTTCTTACGGGGACACACCCTGCGATGATCCGTGCTCGTAATCATATGTATTGTATTGCAGTTGCAGGGGATCGACGAACGCATTGGCCTCGTCCACGACCAGTGCGGACCCGTTCTCAGTTCTATCCTGATATCAATACATAAGGTATTCATGGCTTCGTGGCTGTCTTTGTGTTGGGTGTTGCTGCCATCCCTTAGAACGCGAACGCTGCGTGCTGGCCGTAACCTCGAGCCATACTAGTCTGATGATGATACAGGAAACTGCGCGATGCAAAACCTGGCACAGCAACATTGTCCTCTATTTCCTTCCGCCCGCCTTCTTCCTGGCTTTGACCTTTTCGATGATTTCGGGTTTCTCTCTGCACGTAGGACAATACCAATCCTCATCTTCATCCGGCACTTTCTTCATGTTCAGGCAGCCTGTGTGGAACCACTGGAAGGGACAGTCGTCGTTTTCACAGGCCACCATTTCTCCGTAGGATCGTTGATTGCAGAAGCAGTACCGTTTGTCATCTTCGCCTTCGTCGTCGTCCATGTCTTCATCCTCATGCATTTCAACTTCTTCTCGGAGTGACTTCTTATTTCCGCGTCTTCCTCTGCTGGTAGAAGCGTCGGTCTCTGAAGCGTCGGCCGAGGACAAGACCGAATCTTCTTCGGATGCAGCTGTTCCGCCACGTCCACCTCGTACGGAAGGAGACTGCCCTTTCTTGCGCCCGACAGATAGCCTGCCTTTGGGAGTTCCCTTCTGCTTGAGTTTGTTGACTTGCTGATGGGGCATGATTTTCTTGGACAAGCCAGATTTCTTGGGTGGACCTGTAGCTTGTTGAGGTCCAGCAGTTCGAGGTAGACTCCCTGATCGACTGGTTCCTGTCGCAGTGGGTGTAGAGGCTTTAGGAGTGCCCGGGCCAAGTGATGACTGTCTTAAGCCTGATGGCTGAGCAGGAAGATTGGCACCGGCGTTCAACTTGCGTCGTTTTGTATCCGCGCCGACCGAGTGTTCACGTTCTCGTTGTCGATGCTGTTGCACGGCAGAAGCAGGCGTAGCTGGCGCCGAGCTTCTTTGGGGAGGTGCGTTGGTAGTTGCTATCTGCGGCAATTGCCTCGACTGTGCTTGCTGCATAGTTGCAGTTATGTGAGAATTTATGCGGTGTGCATTCGCATTGAGAGCACTGATCGATGCATTCTGTAGAGGAAGGCTGGGTGGAATATCGATAAGAGACTTTTGTGGTTCAGCTTTTCGATTGAAGACGCTCGGCAGAGGTGGGCCATCCACAAGCTGACCGTCGTTTTGTAACTCTTTGATTTTCGTATCCAGTCTCCTCAATTGCCGTTCAAGAATGTTGCAAGCTCTGTCCGCCAAGTGAATTTTTTGATCTTGAAGATGGGCAGATGACTCGTAATTCTTTTTGACCAAGTCTGCGTATTCATTCTCCTTGGGATGAGGTGCAAGGACACCATTGACTTTCAGATGTTTCTGGATGTTAACGTCCTTTTGGTTGATTACGGAGAGATATTTCTGCAGATCTTTGTCTTTGGCTTGAATTTCTTCCAGCATATGGTTGATCTCAGCCGGTAAGTTAGCGGCATCGTGAATAAATTGTTCCAGCACGGACGCGCAATCCTCATTGCCCGCCATGGTGATATTTGGCGGTGATAGAGACTTTTTCAAGAGTTACAGTGGCTAGAGCCACCTCACCGGATCGATGATGACAAACACTTCGTTTCCCAGAAGATTGTAAACGGTAATCGCGTCACACTCTCCCAGTGATACTGCGCTGCAAACGCCAGAAAAAATCCGTTTGATAAATCTCGAAGAAGTCGCAGAGATATTGATGGAAAAAGACTACAAGACAAGGCCACCGGTGAGTCTTTTGAGGTGATGTGGCTAGGACACAATCTAAACCTATCTGGTTCTAGCTCATGTGGCGGGAGCGAGAAATCGACGCCACATCAAAGCCTTGTCACTTACACATCTCAACACCAACCTTGTCTTGTTACTTCTCTACTGTGACAACAACTTTACTGAAGCAGCTCAATATTCCAGTATATTGGTCGCATAGATACTAAGTCACCACTTACATACTCTTAAGGACCCAAGGACCTTCACTGGCGGACTACACGCCTCTTCACTTCGAGCCAGTCGCTCTTCTAGGCCTCTGTCGCAATATGAAAATCAACGCCTTCACCAGTCTTTCGCTACCAACAAGATCGTCTGCATTAACTTCATCAAGTGGCTCAACCCTCGCCGCTTTCAGATAGCGACACATTCCCAATGGCCATTGTCGAAGAATACTCGGGGCCCACAGAGGGCGGCTCCTCCTCAACATTTACACTCTCGTCCAAAATCCAACGTGAAATCGAAGCGAATTCAATTTCTCGGCCCAAAGGATACAGAGTATCATGGCACTACAACCCAGCCGTTGAGAATCACCACTTCGGACAGACTCACCCCATGAAACCATGGCGCCTCACTCTCACCAAATCTCTCGTCCTTTCCTACGGCATGCACACCGCAATGGACACGTACATCCCACGCGCCGCCACCAAAGAGGAACTAGCAGAGTTCCATAAAGACAGCTATGTCGACTTTCTCTCCGTCGCGACGCCACAGAATATCTACGAAATGTACCCTGAACTCGCCGCAGGGCCTACGGGCTACAGTTCAGCTATCTTCGGGGTCGGCGATGATTGTCCGATCTTTGATGGCCTCTTTGCCTTCTGCGCCACATACACGGGCGCATCCATCGACGCTGCACGCAAACTATGCAACAAACAGTCCGACATCGCCATCAACTGGTCAGGCGGCCTTCACCACGCCAAAAAGGCTGAGGCCAGTGGATTCTGCTACGTCAACGACATCGTGCTTGCCATCCTACAGCTCCTCCGCCACCACCCTCGCGTGCTGTACATCGACATCGACGTGCACCACGGCGACGGAGTCGAGCAGGCGTTCTGGAGCACCGACCGGGTCATGTGCGTCTCCTTCCACAAATACGATAGAGAAGTATTTTTCCCGGGCACGGGTCCCCTCGAATCCACGGGGCCCATCCACCCGGACAACCCGGGCAAGAACTACACGATCAACGTGCCGCTCAACGACGGCATCGACGACGAAGGCTACGCGTACCTCTTCCAGAACGTGGTCGAGCCGACCATCAAGACCTTCAACCCGACGGCGATCGTGCTCCAGTGCGGCGCCGACAGCCTCGGCCACGACAGGCTGGGATGTTTTAACCTGAACATCCGCGGGCACGGAAACTGCGTGAGCTTTGTCAAGAGTTTTGGCCTGCCGATGCTCGTTGTCGGCGGCGGGGGGTACACGCCCCGGAACGTCGCGAGGGCGTGGGCGCACGAGACCTCGATCCTCATCGGCGCCGACAAGACGCTCAACCCGGACCTGCCGGAGTTCATGCCCCACCGCGAGGCGTTCCGTCGGGAAGGCTTCACGCTGTTTCCTAACCTGAGCGCGTGGAAGAAGGACAACATGAACACCCGCGCGGACGTGGAAAAGATCATCCGCCACGTGCGCGAGCAGCTGGCGTACATCCGCGGCGCGCCCAGCGTGCAGATGCAGCACATCCCGCCCGACCTGCAGGGGTGGAGGGAGGAGGTCGAGGACGACCTGAGGGCCAAGAGGGTCGAAAGGGACGACTTCAAGGAGGAGCGCGACGGTGCTGGAGGCCTGGTCGCGAAGGCGAGCAGGAGGAGGGAGCTTGAGAGGAATGGGCCGACCGGTGGGAATACCTTTTTGTCATGAGATCGAAGAATTCACGGGTCACGTATCTGTCTTTCACCTAGGTGTTTTTGTCTGGGTTTGTGTAGACTCAAGGTCACAACAACAGGGCGTAAGAAGTTAAAAATGGCAATCGGTAACTGCTCACTGTTGATGAAGTCGAAGTTTCCTGTGAGTACTCCGTATCAGGGTAGGTACACCACTGGGTCCAGGGTTGGCATTACTGTGCTCGTACATCTCCTTTTTTGTTTTGTTTTTGAGAGTCCTTGTCTCTACCCAGGTAGGTAAATGTTCGATCAATTAATCCTCAGTTCTCAATTCACCCATTAGATTTAAGGCGGAACTTGAGCTATCTCGACTAAAGTACATGGTTGCTTTGTGGGGGTATCGTTCCGTTTTTCATCAGTGTCCATCCCTTTCTCCCCCGGACCAGGTACCCTTAGGTACATAAAAATGAAGAGGCTAATACCATCAACCTCATCTCATCATGTTCGGGGAGAATCATCTTTTTGGAATGACAATTGTAGTTCGTGGTTGTAAAACGCCGTCGCCATGCGCTAGCAAACAATCAGAAAAAACATCACAACTACCTGAGATTTGTATATTTTCCTGATCGACAAGCAAAGAAGATCTTGTTGGAGGACGTCTTGAAAGCTGATGCGGAATAATCATCGTCGCATCTTCTCGCGTCAACTGTCCTCTAATTCGATGTCAATTCTTGAGCCTTGGACCGGCTCTTTTTCTTTGACGATTTCTTTCTGCTTTCCTACGTCTTTCGCCCTGGTCCTCGGCTTATCTTTTGTTGGAAGAGGGTGTTTCGCAGTGTCGGCCTCTCGATCGGCTTCGCGTAGTCGAACGTACCATCCATCAAAGTATTTGCACGTCACCACGTTGACGGGACCGCCGTCACCGCAGATCTCGAACGCAGGGCATTGCATGCAGGGCACTTCGCTGGTACCGCCACGCCCTATTTCCTCCAGCTCTTCTTTGCGGTATGCGGCTTTTCGGATTCGTTCGTGGCTGCTGGTCTTCTCGTTCCGGAGTTTGTGCTGTGCCCTCAACTCGGCCGGCGTCCTAAACGATCGATACATGGTGACCGTGTTTGCGGATATGTCATCGGGAAATTCGTCGCCCTGCGGAGAGCGGACCACTTTCACCAAGAGGCCATCATAGACCATGACTTCGAGAAGCTGAGCAACTGCGTTTTGTGGGAGCATCGTCGTGGTGTATTTGGTCTCGAGTATGTGTTTGGTCACAGTCCTCGCTGTTGGATAACTCTTGTAGCCAACCTCGAAAGGCTGGTACTTGTCGGTGTTTGATTTGGAGGCCTTGCTCTTTTGTCCGTCGGCTGTTTTGGTGGCCTTGGTTCTTTCTTCACCATCATCCTCGAAACCGTCGGCTGGAGCCTTGCGTTTTTGACTGGGCGACAGTGGTTGATCCTCAACGTCGTCTGGCTCGACAGTCTCCCAGCTCTGTTCAGCGACATGCGCCTCGATGACCTTGGACATGATGTCTAGCAAGCCTACATCAAGCTGGCCGTCGGAAAACCACGCACCACCAGTGGCGTCTTCTGAAGGTTCCAGCCCCGCTAAAATGTACATCTTTCGTCCGGGATTCTTGACATGTTTCATGGGCTTGATGAGGCCTTTGGTTTCCAGCAGTTTGTAGACTCGTTCGAGGACTCTCGCGTGGAGCTGGGATTTCCATTTGATCGTCTTTGTCCATATTCCCGACGTTCCGGCTCCTTCGATGATCATCAGTACCATCTGCTCATCGCGGGTTAGGTTCGAGTAGCTAAAGAGAGAGAAGAGTTAGGAACAAGTCGTAGTAACCCCCGGAGGAATGCAGTATACTTTTGAGCTTTCTCTTGGGCAATCAACTCCCAGCCTATGGTGCCACCTTGTCTATCATGCAATTTAAACAGGTGGTTTATGACCAGATGTTGGACCGAGATGAGGAGGACATTGATGTCTTTGTTCGGGATGATGTTGCTTTGCAGCAATTCTTCCTGCGTGAAAACATAGCCAAAGTCATAGTTCTTGCGGCACCACTCGTAGAGAGAATCGGCGACACGATTCCGCCCGCCTCTCATCAGAGACCCTGGCGCAGGGGAGGCGTTAGATTTGGGGGGGGCCATCGTTGTGAAAATGGCAGACTAGGAATACTACCGATGCGGGTAGAAATGGCAGAACATGGCGGTCGAGCAGAGTGTCGACCAGGTGAAGATATATATTCGAAAGTGTCACCGAAACATGCTGAAAGTGGGAGAGAAAATTTCTTCTGATTAACGCAGTTGGTATGTATTGTGCTTGAATAAGAAAGACTTCACACGATGTAAAAGAATATCCACGGCGCTGGAAATTTTGTCACCAAAGGAATTCTGAATGAATGATGGTGGGGGGGTTGGTAACCAGCAATACCACCAGCCGTACAGAGTATTTGGCCACCATTAATCATAGCATACGGAGTACAGAGTACAGTAGATGCGTAATTATAACGGATGGCTGATTCCAACAATTGTCGACATTACGAGTACATCCTGGGGTTATAACTGGTCATTGTGAGGTGCTCTTCATGCTGGTCGCATGCTCTCTTAACCACTCTTCGGTACCACCTAATAGGCGTATGGTACGAGTATTGATACCCGTAACAAGCATCATCTGTACCCCAGTTCCTCGCCTGGTGGTCCGTGCACAGAATTTTCTAGCAATGGCCTTCCACTTCGTGCTGCCCGCAGCCTGATCATATTATGCATATTAAGTGCTCTAGAGTTCTCTCATTTCTCCAGTTCATTCTGCTCATCTGTACTGCAAACGACTCGGAAAGTATTCCCAGACCACTATTGCACCTCTAGCATTCTGCAGTTGTCTCTATCCTGGTCCTTCTTTTCACTCGACCTGACTATCATCCCATCGTAAACCTCGACTATGGCGGACGCCCTAAAGGCCGAGGGCAACAAAGCCTTCGCTGCCAAAGACTTCAACCTTGCAGTGTAAGTCTACCCGCCAAAGTCTTTGGGACTGGTGAGCTAACCATCGACACACAGTGAGAAGTTTTCACAAGCAATCGAACTAGATCCCTCCAACCATGTCCTCTATTCCAACCGTTCCGGCGCATACGCTTCCCTCAAAGACTACCAGCATGCCCTGGAAGACGCAAACAAGACTACTGAGCTCAAGTCTGACTGGGCAAAGGGATGGGGACGTAAGGGTGCTGCCCAGCATGGCTTGGGTGATCTGATCGGTGCAAAGGATGCATTCGAAGAGGCATTGAAGCTTGAGCCTACGAATTCCCAAGCCAAGTCTGGCCTTGAATCTGTCAACAGAGCCATCGAGGCTGAAGCACGAGCCGATGGTGCTGATATGGGCGGCTTGGGCGGGATGGGAAACATGTTCAACGACCCTCAAATGCTCCAGAAACTCGCCAGCAACCCCAAAACCGCTCCCTACCTGGCCGATCCTCAATTCATGAACAAATTGCAGCGCCTGGCTAAGAATCCCTCAGAGATGGGGCAAGAGCTCGGAGACCCAAGGTTCTTACAGGTCATGGGCGTTTTGCTCGGCGTCGACATGCAGATGGGCATGCCACCGGAAGGTGCGTCCGGAGCAGGCAATCCCACCGAAGCCGAAGAAGATGTGCCCATGCCGGACGCACGCCCTCAATCAAACCCCCCTCCACCAGCGAAGAAGGAACCCGAACCTGAGCCCGAACCTGAACCAGAGGACGAAGAGGCCATCGCCGCAAAGAAAGCGAAGGAGGAGGCAGAGAGCGAGAAAAAGCTGGGTACCGAGAACTACAAGAAGAGAAAGTTCGATGAGGCCATTTCTCATTACTCCAAAGCTTGGGAGCTGCACAAGGACATCACATATCTCACAAATCTGGGGGCTGCGAAATTCGAGAAGGGTGACTATCAGGGCTGTGTTGAAGCATGCGAAAAAGCCGTCGAGGAAGGCCGGCAAATGCTTGCAGATTTCAAGCTTATTGCAAAAGCATATGGTCGCATTGGCTCGGCTTACGAGAAGATGGGTGATCTGCCGAAAGCCATCGAGAACTATCAAAAATCTCTGACGGAGCATCGCACGCCAGATGTTCTAGCCAAATTCAAGGCGGCTGAGAAAGCACAAATCTCAGCGGAGAAGAACGCTTATGTCGACCCAGAGAAGGCTGAAGAAGCCCGCCTGCTTGGTGCTGAGAAGTTCAAGAATGCCGATTGGCCAGGTGCTGTCGAAGCGTACACAGAACTGACAAAACGGGCACCTGATGATCCTCGAGGATACAGCAACCGTGCTGCTGCTCTCATCAAGCTGCTGGCCTTCCCGACCGCCATTCAAGATTGCGATGAGGCCATCAAACGAGACCCCAAATTCATCAAGGCCTACCTCAGAAAAGCCCAGGCCCTTTTCGGCATGAAAGAGTACAACAAGTGTCTCGATGTATGTACCGAAGCCATGGAGCATGACGAGGGTGGGAAGAACACACGAGAACTCGAGGCTCAGCAACAGAAAGCGCTGGAGGCAATGTATTCCGCTCGTGCTGGTGAGACAGAGGAGGAGACGAGCGCGAGAATCCAACGAGATCCAGAAATCAGTAAGTTCACCAGCCCACTGCTCCTTCTTTTTGGCATACTAACATGTACTGTAGTGCAAATTCTTTCCGATCCCGTCATGCAGTCAATCTTGCAACAAGCCAAGGGCGACCCGATGGCTCTTAACGAGCACATGAAGAACCCCGGTGTACGTGGCAAGATTCAGAAACTGATTGCCGCTGGTGTCATCCGGGTCGGGCGATGAACGAGGCAGTCGATAGTCGCAATCCGGACTCGGTCTCTAGCAATAATATGTACCTTGGAAGAAGCGAAGCTTATGAAATCACCGCAACAAAAGTATCATGGAAGAACCAATCTTTTGTTTTTGTTGACCTCGATATCGAGACAATGAATTGATAGCTTTTAGCGACAGCTTTCTCTTTCTTTTTCAAATGGCGAAAATTCAGTCTAATGTCTTTGGAGGAAAGTCATTTTGACTTCGAGAAGTTTGATGTCTTCTGATGCGTTTGTAACAAAACAATGAACATGGGCCAAGTATTTGTCCATCGCTTTTCCTTGTGTAGAGACATTCATCCTCACTCTCCTCTACAGGATTTCGAAATATTGATGTGGTGGAGTGATGTACAATATGATTGTTTGCAACCCTCACTGACGCCCTGTCAGCATGTGAAGGTCCTCATCCCTGGACCCCTGTTGATGATGCCCACATTCCCATCTCTAGCTTGCCCGAACTGCAGGGGTCTAGGCTTTGACCCTGCCAGAAGCTCCAATCACCCCAGTCGAGACGACCCCAGCACGGAGCACCAAGACACCCAGGATGGACAGATGTCTGGGCGGTCCATGCGAAGCCTGGTAGAGATTCTCAGGCAACCATGAATTCCCTCTGAATTAGGAAGACGGATTAGCCATGTCGCCATCACAGACCCTTTGACACCGCCCCAAGTTGCCCGTCTGCCACCAATCCTACTCTGGTCCATCAGCCACCTGTAGCTCTTCCTACAACATGATTCCAAGTGCCAAATGGTCTTGACTCTGACCAGACCGCATTCGAACTCACCGACAGAATTGACATGGCTATCTTGTGCAGGCTGGCACTCTCTTCTATTGGTCTCTTGAGCCTTTGTTAAGAACAATTATCATCGGAGCTGCCAATCCTGGGCAGCTGACTCCAGCTTTCAAGGTCTCTCGAAAATCCCGAGTTTCGGTTGCTATAACGTGGATTGCCTGGCACATTTGCTCTTCTTGCCGTTCAAATCTTCCTCCTTTGGCTGATGTCGGGTTCTACCCTTGACTTTGCCCAGCATGGCGACCGCTACAGTGACCGAGCTCATCACCAGAACAGTCAATGCGACAACAGCCACAAGCAGCAGCACCAACAGGGCAACTCCTCAGGGAGGCGTTTTTGAACATGTCAATCCGACGGTGTACGATCCCAAAAATCCCATCATCCTCTTCATAATCCAGGCCGCTATCGTTATTATATTTACTCGCATCATCCACTTCCCGTTGGCATATCTTCGCCAGCCACGAGTCATTGCAGAAGTCCTGACTGGAATCATATTGGGTCCTTCTATCATGGGTCGGATACCCGGTTTTACCAACCATATCTTTCCCACGGCGTCTATGCCTGCATTCTCACTGGCTGCAAATCTGGGCCTCGTGCTGTTCCTGTTCCTGGTTGGTCTTGAAGTCGATCTGCGTTTTCTCACCAGCAACTGGCGTGTTGCTCTGAGTGTTGGAGCTGCCGGAATGGCTCTCCCATTTGGTCTAGGTTGCGGTATCGCTTGGGGATTGTACAACGAATTCCGGACCGATCCCGGGCTGGCTCACATAAGTTTCGGCGTTTATATGCTTTTCATCGGTGTAGCCATGGCGATTACGGTACGTTGGTTGACTGAAGTTGATACAGATCTGCTCTGACATACCCAGGCCTTCCCGGTACTTTGCCGCATCTTGACCTCGCTCAAGTTGCTGAGCACCCCTGTTGGCGTCATCGTCCTCTCTGCGGGAGTTGGCAACGACGTTGTGGGCTGGATCCTCCTTGCCCTTTGTGTGGCCCTTGTGAACTCTGGGGCAGGGCTTACTGCGTTGTGGATTCTTCTCGTCGCCGTTGGCTATTCTCTCTTTCTCATATTCGCTGTGCGACCGTGTTTTATGTTCATGTTGAGGAGAACCGGCAGTCTCGCCAATGGTCCAACACAGACCGTCGTTGCAGTGACAGTCCTACTCGTCTTGGCTTCGGCATTCTTTACAGGCATCATCGGCATCCATCCCATCTTCGGTGCCTTCATGATCGGTCTCATGGCCCCTCACGAGGGAGGATTTGCAGTCAAGTTGACCGAGAAGCTAGAAGATCTTGTCAGTGTCCTCTTTCTGCCACTCTACTTCGCTCTCTCTGGCCTGAGCACCAATCTAGGCCTACTCAACAATGGGATAACGTGGGCATATGTGGTGGGAGTTTGTGCCGTCGCATGGTTTGGCAAGATTGCTGGTGGTACAATCGCTTCGCGCTTGAACGGATTAGTCTGGAGGGAGTCCTTCACCATTGGTTGTCTAATGTCATGCAAGGGTTTGGTCGAATTGATTGTCCTCAATATTGGATATCAGGCGAAGATTCTGAGTCAGCGCACATTTACTATCTTCGTCGTAATGGCTCTTCTGACCACTTTCGCCACGACTCCTCTAACCGTCTGGCTATACCCTCCATGGTATCAAAGAAAATTGGAGCTCTGGAAAAAGGGCAAGATAGATTGGGACGGCAACCCGATTCAGCATGACGACGATGCAGATGAAGGCAACGAAGCTGACATCCTGCGCAAAACAGACGTGGCGAAACGAATCTTGGTCTACCTGCGCCTGGACGGTCTTCCAAGCCTCTTCACCATGGTGACCATGTTCGCCCACAAGCACGATGATTTATACAATCAAAATCCACCAGCCGCACCTGAAGAGAACAACAGACAAGGAGCTGTTATGAACAATGCTGAAGCTTTAGTATCGGTCACTACCCTCCGTCGGCCCCTGCAGATTCACGGACTTCGCCTCATGGAATTGACTGAACGAGAATCGAGCGTGATGCGCGTCTCTGAGATTGAAGAATTTGCGGGTCGCGATCCCATCATCAAGGCATTTGGCACCTTTGGGCAATCTCGTGCACTCGCTGTTGCAGGTCAAATTGCCGTCGTGCCCGAGCATTCGTTTTCGGGTACTTTGATGTCTCGTGCAAGGGAACTGAGGTCTGATATGGTCCTAGTTCCCTGGTCTGAGACGGGAAGCATGTCCGAATACCCAAACATTTTTGACACAGAACCAGGCAATCCGCTGGCAAACCGCACCTTTGCCAATTTTGCAACGGAAATGTTTGACAAAGCTCAAGAAACTTGCTCTGTGGGAGTGTTTCTCGACAAGACTGTGCTGTGCAGGCCCGATATAGCAAACATGGAACCATTGTCAGCAAGCACCGATCGCCCAGCTCGCCACCTTGGCCGTACGGTCACCGGCATCAGCACGATAGACCAGACCAATCCGACCGTGCACTTTGGGCGGCCTCCCGCCGGCCTGGGGAGATATAGGTTGCTGGTCGTGTACGGAGGTCAATCTGAGGATGACTTATTCGTCGTGAAATTCGGACTGCAACTTGTAAAAAACGAGACGGTCGATTTGAGGGTTCTGGTTCTCCCTGACGTCGCTGCCAGAGACGACGAGATCCAAATTAGCGACTACCGCCAGGAGCAGACGAGACAACATTTGGGATATGAGTTTGAACTACTTCGCACGAGCGTGCCGGACTCGCTGAGCGAGAGGGTTACTTTTGTTGACCTTCCAATCGGCATTTCGAACCTCGACGCTCTCACATCTGTCATGGTTGAACCTAGTTCTGGAGAAACCATCGTCATCCTAGGTCGAAACACAGGTGGGCGGTCTACCGGGCGAGAAGATTCACGAGTCCTAGGTGGTATGGCTACGAATTTGGTCCGCCTCATCCACGAGAGGGCCGTGAATGTAGGACTGCTGGTGATGCAGGCGAGAAGAGAGCCTGAAGAATCCACAGCGGCGGGACTCAGTGGGGGGAAGGGAATGCAGCAGCTTACCAAAAAGGCCAGTATCATGAGTGATGATTAGGTACGTTACTCGGTACTCTGTGGAGTATTGGTCTCTGGCATCATCTGGCGCCCGGAGCAATAAATAGACTGGAGCGGTCTATAGACTATAACTTGGCACTCCATGATAAGACCACGAAACCGGCTCGATGTTTGATCGTGATAGGAACACGTTGTGGACATTTCTTGGTCATCTCTTGGCTAGAAGATCCTCGGGATTATTTGTTACCAAGTCCATTTTCCAAGATCGATATAGAAAACCCAAACGGTCAATTCCGCCAGCATCCGATGATCATTGATTATTGCACGGAGTCCTTCTGATGGGTGATGTAGAGCAGCTTCTCAACCAATCATATCGAGGTTCCCGGTGTCTGCAGAATGGGTTCACCATTCTCCAAAGGGTGCAAGACCTGTCGGAAACGCAAAGTCAAGGTACGTTGACCTCATTTTGTGCTGCACCTGCAGCAAGAATACACACCCCTGTCATACCTCGCAAAGCGGCATGGGCTGAGGCTGAAGGACTCCGTACCCAACAGTGCGGAGAGGAGCAACCGCTCTGTAAGCGATGTACTCGGGCGGGTCTACAATGCGAGGGCTATCCCAAGCCGGCATTACGCTTCCAGATTCTACTTCCACCTGGGAGTAACCCCCCTTCTCCTCCTCGAGACGGAAGGACCACGAACCACCAGGATGAGTATGATTCAGAAGAAGCGAGGTCGAGATTGTCCGGGCAGAGTGAAGCTCCACTACACAATCCCATCTCAGTGCCTACGGAACAGAAAGCTCGAGAACTTTTGCATTGTGCCGTCTTGATCGATACACGTTCAAACTGGCCGACTTCGAATGACCCCAGCTTAGCGTCCCCTGTCTGGCCACGATGGCCGATCCCGTACAGGTCCTGGCTCGCTTACATCCCCAGTCGGCTCGGTTACAGCAGATCATTAGACGCCGCAAGTGAGCTGCTAGTCGTGGCCACCAGAGCATGTCGCTGTTCTGACCCCAGTACTCAGAGCGTCCAGGAAATCTGCCGGACACCCTACGTACAGGCCCTACGCTCTCTTCAGGAGGCGATCACGACTCCCGAGGAAGCCCTTTCCGCAGAAGTACTTTGCGCCACGATGCTGCTGGGTCTCTACGAGGTAAGTAGTGTCCCTGTCCTATTTGATGTTTTCTTGAAGAAGGTGTTTGAGTTGCTTATTCTCCTTCTTATCACAGTTGATGGTCAACAGGGATGATTGCCGATGGTTGACACACGCCGGTGGTGCTTCTCGCCTGATCCAACTTCGAGGTTCTTCGAGACACCTCGAGACCGATTTCGAAAAAGCTTTGTTCCAGGTACAGCTTCCTCTGGCTGTGTTGAAGGCTAGAACCCCACGGGCAACCGACGCAACAACACTTCCAAGTCTTCCATATCTCGACACACCCGAGTGGGCTCGGGTCATAGAAGCCACAAACGTTCCTTCGAATGGACCATTGTACTATTTCCCCACTCGAGCCCGGTTGTATCAGATGTTGCTTCAATTACCGCGATTACGCAGAGAGATCCTCCACGTGCTCGAGTCTGCTTCTGCTGCTGCTGGCGATGAAACTACCCTCGATCAGGATTACGTCGAGAGGCTTCTGAGGTCGTTGGTAGACCGGTGGACAGAGGCACGACAGATCTTTAGTCTTTGGATAGACCATGTTACTCAGTGGACACAGCCAGCGGGTACTACTAGTACTTACCAAGATACAAATTCAACAAACAACGAGCAACAATACACCGAAGCAGAAATGTTTACGGCGTTACCCAAAAGAGATGGCGAAACCTCAACGATACACCTTAGACCACACCAGATTCACACCTATACGACTTTCAACGTCCTCTTACACGAGACAAATATGGAATTGCTCTGTTTCCAATGGGATGATGAGCTGGTTCTCGACAGCAAACATCTCGCGAACGAGAGGGTAAGAGCTTCTGAATATATAGAGAGGAACGCACCTTTTCTGGCCCGCTCGTGTCCTCGGTTCACGGTGCCGTGGACGGTTCAGGCTCGAATCATGACGGCTGCTCTGGAAGATTGGTCCCGCAGGTCCAATTCGAGATCAAATTCACGAATGACCTTCTCTCATGCTTGGGTAGATCCAGAAGTTTGGTCCAGATGGATCAGTGGGAGTTATTATTGTGGCAATGTCGCCATTTCCTGAAGGTTCAAAACCTTCTACTTGATCATGGCATGATATATCTAGACTTATATTTCCAACATCTCGACCCACGGCCGCATTCGCACTTTTGCTTTCCGCACAGCCGTTTCTACAGATTTTGTGCTTTGAAACCACAACAACAGCGTGATGGTTTGACGAATCAATTCCTCCCCGGCATCTTACGGCCAGAGAAACCCCAAGCGATCTGATGGGCCTGAGCGACTTTTGTACCCAGCTCATCGGCCCAGGCCCAAACGAGACCCGGGTTCTTCAAAAAGGCACGACCTACAAAGACGGCGTCCAGTTCATCTTCTTGTAGTAGTTTGTTCGCCAATCTACCCTCGTTGATCATACCGACGGTGGCCACGAGCATGTCGTGGCCCAGTCGTTTCTTGATCATGGTGGCGAAGGGGGCCTGGAACCCGGGCCGCGAATGAATATGCTGAAGGACGTGATTCCCACCGGACGAAACGTCGATCAAGTCGACTCCCAATCCCGTCAAGCTCGCGGCCAGTTCGACCGTCTGGTCGGGCGTCCAAGATCCGGCAAAGTCCGGGTTCTCCTCTAGCCAGTCGGTGGCGGTGACCCTCACAAACAGAGGCATCGTTTCCGGCATGTTTTTGCGGGTCACCTGGACGATCTCTCGAGTGAGGCGGGTACGGTTCTCCAAGGGTTGTCCCCCATACTCGTCGGTACGTTTGTCGTTGACGGCGGGGGAGTGGAAGGAGGAGAGTAAATACCCGTGTGCCGCGTGGACTTCGATCACGTCGAACCCTACCTGGACCGCGCGACGGGTCGCGGCGGCCCAACCCTCCTTGAGTTCTTCCATCTCGGCCTTGCCCATACAAATCGGTTTGGCCATGGTGTCGGTGAACGCAACGTCCGAAGGACCCCAGACGTCGGAAGGCCAACCACCGACGTTTTCCGTCGCCAGGGAGGCGCCCGCCAACCACGGCGCCACGGTGCTGGCTTTCCGCCCGGCGTGGGACAGTTGAATTCCAATCTTTTGACCCTGAGAGTGGGCGAAATCGACAATCATCTTTAGAGGTTCCATCTGGGAGTCTTGCCAGAGACCCGAATCTTGAGGTGTTATGCGACCGTTGGCCAACACTGCCGTGGCTTCGATCATGGTGAGACCGGGACCTCGCATCAGAATTCCGCCCAAGTGTGAGAGGTGCCAATGTGTCAGGTGCCCATCTTGAGCAGAGTATTGACACATGGGTGAGACCTGTATATTTTCAAATGAACCAAGAAAAGGAATTAGTTTTGGGTATTGATATATAGAATAGGACAAGAGGAGGAGGAAGGATAGAGTCAGTCAGCCGTGGAAGGATACACTTACAAAGATTCGATTTTGAAACTCGACATTCCTAATCTTTAGAGGTTCGAACAACTTGGGCACAACAGACACATCATCGTCTTGAGTGGTGTGTGTCTTCGTACTCCCCGCCACTGGGTCTTGAGCTGGAGTGAAGTAAGAAAGTCCTTCGACTCCTTTATTGGGAAGGTCTGGTACGAGTGTTGCTTCGGTCATGATGAGATGGAAATAAGTTCGCACGAGGTTTATCAAGCAGTGTGTTGAATCTCCTTTTCCTTTCTCTCTGCGCTTGATCTCATCGTATTTATATGACCAGGTAGTACTCCGTACTTACTAACAGTGGGGATTCTTAGTCTCTGTACATCTGGACCGTTTGGTTCCGGAATGGAACCTCATCCACCAGGGGTCTACTTCCACAGCCCGTAAACGCAGGGGCGTAGGATGGTAGGGCCTCGTACCGTGCATGAGACGATCCACAAATTGCACTTGTAGTATGTATTTCAAATCGAAGCGAGTGCCGCCCTGTGTATGCAGCCATGCATGTCTAATGATACTTGGAATTCGAGATCGGCAAAATGCAAGCTTAGTAAAGGTTCTTTTTCTGGGAAGAATCGGGCCCAACAATCCACGAGATGAATCAATCCATTAGCTTGAGATTCCTCTGAGCGACAATGCATGCCGATTCAAAGAGATTTTCAGGTGGGCATGAGCAGCCGGTGATCACTGGTCACTGGTCGGAAGAGTGATGATGGTAAGCTCACTAAACTTGTCCAGGTGTTTGCCTTGTTTTAGTCGGGTGACAGGGTGACGCCTGGAAGATTGACTGAGGCGTCGGTAGGTATGTAATCTCTTCGTATGAGTACATTGCACATTCTACAAGTCATGACCCAAGCCTCTAACTTGAGGGAATGTAGATGCATTTACTAGTACTCCATATGGAGTATCAACTAGATTATGGGGGGGTTGGTGAAAATTGGCCAATAAGACCTCCGTATCCAGGTACGTAAAGTAGAAAGTGGAGTTTTACCTTCGCATCAGCTAGCCCCTTATTCTATAGTCACCCTCTTTCCTGTCTACATACACTACTATGACCATAAGTTAACTATGCAAGTGTCGCTGATTCATCGCTCCATCCTCAACGCACTGGACACCATCTGACCGTGTACGGGTACTCACTTGGCTTGTTACTGAACAATGACCTGAGTATTCTTTCCCCCTCTTCCTCTCCTCCATACATCTTTTATTCTCTACACCGACTTTCGTCCCCTCGAGACTATGAGGCAAACCTGAGAAGTTCACCATGACAAGGGAAGCAAACACTGGAATGATGATTGCGTGATACCGAGAAGCTACCTTACGCTGCCTGCTTGGCAATAATTCAACTTCCGATGGATACAAAAAAAATTCCTCGAGAAGATGGCAGCAAAGTACCCAGGTCTTTGTCTTTTTCCAAACAAGCTATACAGGAAAATCTGTGCAGACATGAAGCGTTGAAGTAAATGTTGGCTCTCAACCAGCTATTGGTTACATATATATGTATATGTAGGGTAACCACGCTGACAAGCCCAAGCAGCTCTATGACCAACCCAAACGACGCCTGCTGAATTGTTGCAACAGCGTATATCGTAAGCTTTTACATTGCACCTGACGTGCAATGCCACCAGTATATATGTGTAGAAAATGACGTGCAAAGACACCCGAGCTTCACCGTCTGTTGCTGATTGAAAACATTAATGTGTACCATCGACAAAAGACTCCAGTGTACCAATGCCGGTTTCAAGACAGAAATCGTACAAGTTATCGCTCAAAAGGAAAAAGTATAAGATCAGAGTTGCGTAAGATATAGGTACACAGCATCACCGGGTACGCTTTGACTTATGCGCTAGAGGGCTGGCCATCTGGAAGGCTGCTGAAGGCCGCAACGAGCTCTGGCCTTGACGTATGGGCGTCTGGACACAGAAAGCACACATGTAGACCTGTGGAATCCGCCAGCCATCAATGCCGACGCATGTGGTATGCAGCCACTTGTAACATGAGTCACTAAAAGAATGTGTTGTTAGAAAACGGATCTATCATCCAGGCAAAGATCGCCCAGCGGAAGATCAAATGCACTGGCATGACTTACCATTGAACCATCGGCACGGAGCCATCGAGCACTGAAGAATTACAAACACATCGTGTACTCATATTACTAGCGAGACTATCCCTGTCCGTGCTTGGCGTGGCCAGCTCGGGATCAGTGACCGTAGTAGGCGATGCGCCATAGGCTCCATAGTGACTCTGGTGTAAGGGCGGCGAAGAATGCAGCTGTGCCATGGCATTTAATCCTTGCGACGACATTGAGCGCGAGCGGTCCTCAATAATGGCTCTTAGCGCGTGCTGGGCATTGCCAGGTGGGCGATCTTCCATTAAGATGTCCATTTCAGCGGTCCCTGGAAGCGGGCGTTTGCGTCTAGCATGCTGACCGCCGTCAGAACTCCTCGTGTTGGAGGCAGAACTATGCCATGAGGACTGCTTGGCGGAATTTGTCGAAGCCACAGTAGAGCGGGAGTCGGTCTTTGTATGACTGTAAGACCTGTTGCCTTGATCATATGCATCCCCAGACTCTGGAAAAGCAAAAGAATTGCTCTGGCTTCGCAGCATGTGAAAGTCGGTCTCGTCAAAGGATTCAGCCTCGCTTTCAGACAACATGTCTGGGTCCATTCCGGAGTTGCGATCGCTGACTATTGTTTTGGCAACACCGTTTTCGTCAATGGCGAGCGACATTGAGGCACGTTTTGCAATCTGACTGGCAGTAAGCGTACGTGGAATAGGGTCGGCCACTTGTTTCAGAGGAGATGATCTGCCCGGACGATGTTGCTTCATAGGGTCAGGAGGCGCGGGAGAACGACGCCCGACAAAGGTCGACGATGGTTGAAGCTTCAAAGATCGATCTCCACGAACTCCGGTATGGGTCAGGCTTCTTTTCAACCCTGGCCTGCTTTCTTTCCTGGGCGAGACCGGACGTTTTAATGCCTCCATGACTGATCGAGTGATGGAAGGCTGCTTGACGTCGCTTCTTCGCATACGTTTCAATTCTTGCTCACGCCGAGACTCCTCGAGTTGATGAGCATATGCAGGCCTTTCCGGGACAGGATTGTGGGCGAAACGATTGTGCATCTGATCGGCGGCACCGAACCTGCGGGCTGGCGAGCTTAAGAACATACTTGGGTTCTCGACCTGTGGGGGAAGCACTCGAGGCGACGTTGTGAAAGGGGCGGGATACGCAGAAGCCCCGAAATGAGAATAGCTCGACGATCTCTGAAGCATCGGCAAGTCGTAAGGCTGGTCTTCTGATATAGGAAAAGACGGCTGAGGAGTGTAGCTCGGCACGACTGTCGATGAAGACGCAAACGACGTGCTCATGGTCACAGGGCTGAATTGAAAATGATCCTGGTACTGCTGAGGTAGGCTTGATTCGTCAAAGCCAATGCTGGCAGGGTCCCAGAACAGTCTCTGGTTGGGGTATGCTGGTGCCGTAGCTGGTCCCGAGAATTGATGGGCATACATCTCCGGCGAGACCTGAAGACTCGGGAATAGACTGGGAGACTGCTGCATGACTCTGCTCGGTGTTTCTGGCGGGCCCATGAGGGGCCGCTGGTTTGAGCCCATCATGTATATTCTGTCGGGTCCTTTGGCCAGGACAAGTCAACATAGAACTCTTAGCAGCAGCGAGCCGGCAAGAGATGCTGCAGCCCCCGCGGACCGTTGCCCCTGTCCGAAGGATGCCTCTGTCGAGCCGTATATTTGGTACAGTCCAGAATAGACAATCGATGCATGGAATCTGGATTCGTTGTAGATGTAATTTAGTTTTTTGAGTCTTGTGTTCTAGTTCAGGACAAAGTGTCACCACAAGCACCTCCCACGCTCTTGCCTTCCCAATGTATGAATGCCCTCCTCTTCTTGTTTGGATGTTCGGTTCGAAGGGGTCGACGTGGTGTGCCGTGAGGAAAAATGAAATTCGTCTCTGTCGTTTCGATCTCGAATCACGCCTGCACTCGTTCAATGCCTCGCCTGCACTGATGATCCTCTGGGACTCGTCAGCATAGTGCCACCGGTAGACATAGCAACAAAATAATTTTTACGTCTGGGAGTTCTTTGCGAATATTGAAGCAGGATCCACTATACCTGTCCCACTAGAGAAGTGACAGCATCCAATTCCACCAGCGTACGCTCCGACCAGGAAAGTCGATGCTCTTCGGTACCAGTACAAGAAGGAAGGTTGACTTCGCTTGCGTTGGACACTCGGTGGTGTGTCTATGGGCACAGCCAATCCTCGAGTTGTCCTGTGTCTTGAAAGCCGGTACGAGCGAGGTCTGTTCTCCCGCAGTGGAATGCTGCAGGGTGACAACAATGCTTTGCTGTCAGAAAGAACCAGAGAGAGTCCGTCCTCCTAGCTTTCAACGACCCTGTCTCCTTGATACATGTGCAGTCATTTTGCCGGCCAAGACCATGACTGAAGTGCCTAGGCAGGATCGAGACGGGAATCTGCACAATTGTAGGGGAAAAGTTAAGTGGTCGCATGGGTAGCCTGAGTTTCTGACATGGTACCCGAGACGGCTACAAGGGACAGGCATCAAGTAGGGTTCGATAGGGCCTCGCGGTGGAGGTGGTTTTACGAAAGAAAGGCGGCACCTTGCCGGGGTGAGCGACCCTCGCTACAGAGGCATGGAATGATGGCATCGCAGTTATTGGGCACGCGAGGAGGAAGAAGCAGGCAGCAAGTGGTTCAGTTTGGTGGAGTTGAACAGACTTCCGAGGCATCAGCCTCCTCAACAAGCCTGCACCTGAGTAGGACCCTAGTGAGGAATTGTATTCGTGGATTCCCAGGTACAAGCTGTAGCTTACGGAATAGTACGAGGGTGTCTCTCCCTGTGCCTGAAAGTGAAGCTCCTACTAGTGGCCTAGCGACGTTGGGAGACACGTAGTAGTCGACATGTCAGGCACAAGCCCAGCGCAGGCACAGGCGCAGGCACAAGCGCAGGCACAAAGCAACAAGCTGTCAATGAGGTCGCCAACAACCGTCTTCTCCGCCTTTGCAAGACATGGTCGAACTCTCGCTCGCCAGAAATCTCCCAGCTTCCTATCCCGGCCGACTCGTCCTAATCCATCCTTCGCTCGCCCTGAATAGCTTTATCTTTAATTTCCACGTTGTGGGGAGCTCAGGGTAAGCCGATCCCAGACAATCGATATGCCTATCACTCCCCAAGTCGTCGGTCCCCTAAGAGATCTATGTATCTGTACAAGAAAATCGGGGTCTTTCCACCTCGATGCTTTGTCGATGCTCCTTATCAGCTCTATCACCAGGCCGACATGCTTGGGGGCACATGAGAAAGAGACGAGGATGTCCTACTCCTAATCACGCCATGAAAACTCGGGATTGTGTCGGAAGACGGCATCAGACGGCACACTGTTCTTCACATGAAACTTTTCCATGCCGAATGCGAACTCGCCTCCAAGATTGGCGAGTCAAGATCCACCACCATACTACATCAAAAGGCCCATGGATTGTCCAAGAGTCGTTGTGGCTTGCTTTGACTGGGGTCAGTGAGGAGGAAGTTGTTTTCCCGAGCCTTGACAACTGCACCTTCGATACTAGTTGGACTCAGCACTCTCCACATTCCCTCTGACGGTGGATGGTCTTGGTCGAGCTCTCGTCTGGCAAGGACGGCACCTGCGGACCCCATCCCTCGTGCAGGTCGAATTCGATCTAATCGGACGATTAGCCAGCTTATGGCTGTTTCGAAGATTCAAAGCGGCCTCCATCTCGTATATTATCAGTATGTGATGACGGGCGGGTAGGGGGTTGGACTTTCGAGACTTGATGCTAATGAACAATGAATGAACTCCGAGACACAATCCTTTTTGACATATCGGATCGGCTCTTTGAGTTCTGGTCTATGTTGCCATGCCATCAACTATTGTGCTCGTACTCGTATCACGTACTCGTAGAGCTTTGGTCATTAGTCATCCCCCTCTTCACCATCTTCATCTATCGGTTCGACAATTAAGTTGGCGCCCCGGCCAACACGCTCCCCAATGGATCCTCCGTCATCCAATTCATATACTGTCCTAGGCATGGGCGAGACCAACCGGAAGGAATATATGTGGTCATAATGCTCTGGCTCGTCAACGTAGCCCTGGACTTCTCCGGATTCTCTGCTCTTGACGATGTCATAACAATCCACAAAAGCATAGAGTTCATCAAGATCAGCGTCGGCACGAAACTTGCGAATTACTCGTTCACCAGATGGCATACGTATACTGACTCTTATGGCGTCTTTGGTCTCGACACCAGGCTCGCCTGGCAATGATTGGGCGCGCCACTGCTTCCACTGGGCAACTTTTTCTCTTCTTTCTTCGATAAGTCTCTGTTGTTCTTGTGCCTCTCGCTCAGCTCGAGCTGCCGCTTCTTCTTGTTCTCGTCTCAGACGTGCTCTCTCACGATCCTGGGCAAGTGAACGTTCGTATGCAGAGTCCTGCTCCTGTCGTAGACTACGTGAAGCTGCTTGCTCAGCCCGCTGAGCACGAGTGGCCCCAAGCTGCGCCTGATGGGTGGTTAAAGCCGTTCCTAGTTTGGCAACAAGTTCGGAAGCAGGCATCGGCCCAGCTGCTCGCATAACCACAGTCATGGCAGATGAACCAGACTCTGTAGTCTGACAGATCAAGGCGGCAAAGGGGAATTTTGTACACTGGAGATTTGCAGACACCTGGTATGCTTCCGAGTCACGGACGTTTCCACCCCAAAGGACAAGTTCATTCTTATGAGAATCCAGGAACGATTTCAGTTGGTTTGACATCAAAGTCTCCTGCACCCAGTTGTGGTTCTCGTCGTGACTAGGTGAAAGCAGAACCACAAGTAAAAACTTCAAATCCTTTTTTGTGTTGTCGAGGGTCAAGTTGAAGCCTGACTCTTGAAATGGGAGGCTGTTCTCCCCATACTCTTCGCTGAATTCACGAATGAACCGTCTGGCGTTTTCGGCCGGAGGCAGGGCTCTTCGGACTGGTCGGGATTGCTGTTGGAGCAGACGATTGAATATGCGCGAAAGAAAGGTAGGCATTAGGTAGCCCAAGGGTGAGAATAATGTGGTAAAAACTCGGTAGATTATGTTGACTGGCGTAAAGATTATCGAGAACAACAACGACGGACGGTACTGCGTTTCGACGGCCGCACTAGTGTCGACTCTCTGAACCACATCTTCCGGGTTCTGTCGCGAGACAAGAGGTCTAGTCGCGGAGAGCAGGGACTCGTATTGCAGGTTCGAAGTTTGTCGAGCGGAAGTAGCAGGAAGGGCAGCCTGTGCTTCGGCTACCGGATCGACCGCTGGTTCTCCATCGAAGAAGCGAGCGATAGCTATCTGTACATTCCACTCGCACCTCTGCAGAAGCGATATCGCGGCTAAAGGGTCTTGATCTGTCACGGATGTGTATGTTTGTAAAGCTTCCTGCTGTGCCGGATCCAGCTGCGAGATATCTGGGGCCGACATTTCGAGGCAGGGTTTGGAATGCCGTCGAGAGAAACGAGGAAGGAAAGTGTGTTATTGGGTTGACATGTCGCCAAACGAACTTTGGGCAAGCGAACCAAAGAAATTCTGGAACTGAAAGAAGTAGAAGTTGAATCAGTGTTGAATTGAAACAAATGGACCGATCCACACTGCGACGTCAGTCTCATCAAGTCTACCAGATACAGGTGGACGCGAGGCACGCGGAAGATGGTAAATAGTGTGCAGGATGGTGACTATTATTGTGTGCTTGAGACTGCGCCATCGACGTGGACCCTTCTCCTTCCCCATTATTGCCATCGTATCCTCATCCGTACAGTATTCCGTGTCCCACCAATCTTATATCATCTCTTGGATTTGACCTGCAACATATGTGTTGAATTTGCCAACGGCGGTCACTGCTCGGTTCTACCTCTACAACGGTCTGGTCGGCAGCGTTACCATATTCTTTCAACCTTTTCTTTTGGATATTCATCAATCGCCCCAGCATATGCATTCCCTCGCTTGTTATCATTCATTGACTTCGACCCCCGACTCGACCTAATCATCCCCAGATCCTCCTCACTCCCCCCGTGTACGATGCATTAATGCATATCCGAAGCGATAGGCCTGCTCGGAAGCTGATGGGGCTTGGTGCCATGTGTGAAAACTCTTGCTGAACGATTATGGCTACTGCACTCAAGAACAATGTCGAAGATACAAAGCAGGCCGCTTTGTCTCCTCGGCTCAAGGGTCGAGGTATGCTGAAACCACCTGCTTTGCTGCGAGACCAGCCATTAGCCAAGAGAGATAGGACTGGTGCTGATACATGGGATGTGGTAGAAAATGCAAAAGATACACTGTGTCGGAATGTTACCATCTATGGCAAGTGCCGCTACGAAGACAAAGGTGGGACAAGGCGTAGTGTATATCTATCTGGGGGCTTCCCTGCTCACTTTGTGTAGGATGCGCTTTCAGTCATAACATAGACAAGCATGTGGTGGACAGTGGACACAATGAGAGGTGCATCTGCCTTTGCCAAATCGCAGTTTGAATGCTAACACTCCGGCACAGCCAACCGAAGAAGACCTTAAACGTTGAATCACCCAGCTTTACACCGTCATTCTTGTCGCCAAATGGTACCAGTGCAAGCGTTAAGAAAGCTCCTGGGATATCACCAAAGGCGGCAAGCGCTGCTCCATTCATGCCGAAAGCCATCATTTCCCGTGAGCGCTTCAAGATACCCTTCCTCTTTGTAACCCGCCAGGGATTAACATGCGATGCCAGGATCCTCCAATGCTACTCCTTTGCGTCAAGAAGCAAGGACTCCTGACTGGGCGGTGGCTCAAGTCCAAGAATTTATACCCCGTGCCACTCCAGATCAACATATGGTAAGCTCCCGCTCTCCTTCCCAGTTGTATATAAATACAATACTCATTCTCACCTTAGGCAAACGAAAATGAGATTTCTGTCACCCAAGCATTTGAATCCTTTCAACCTGCAAATGCATCTAATCCCTATCTTGATCATAGCATAAACGGCGCCGCTTTCTATTCCGGGGCCCCTGAATTTCAGCAACCGGTAAGCCATATGACTAGCAGATAAGGCACAGCATAACTCATACCTCGTACCACCAGGTACAATATCACCAATATGCGCCTATTGGCCCATTCAGCGCAAATCTTGCGCCATATCAACGTACTGTACACGATCTATTTATTCCTAACGATCTACGGGAGGAGATCCAAAAGAAAGCCGCTGCAACTCTTCAAACGATGCCCGGTACGAACGATGTCATGATTTCAGCATTGCAGGACTGACACCATCTAGGTTCAACACTACCGAGTCAGATTGAAAACTATCATTCCTTGGTACCTCTTGATGCCACCCACAAAAGCTCCTCCGTCCTTGGAAACTATAACTCCTGGATCTATAAGGCCCAGTCGAATGCAAACGGCCACTTTTTCGTCCTGAGAAGGATAGAAGGTAGAGACTGAACATAATTCTGATTGGTAAAAGGCTAACATGTTGTAGGCTTCCGCTTGACCAATGAAATGGCCATTCGAGCTGGTCAGACATGGAAAAGTGTGATCAGTCCCAATATTGTACGGACTATCGATGTTTTTACCAATCGCGGTTTCGGCGACAGCTCTCTCTTTTTTGCAATGGATTATCATCCCCTCGCCAAAACGTTGCTGGAGTATCATCATATAGGTCCACCCGGCCCAAACTGGACGCGGTCAACACGGACCAACAAAGATCAAGTCTCAGAACCGGTCATGTGGAGTTACATTGTTCAGATCGCATCGGCCCTGAAGACCATTCATGCAAGCGATCTGGCAGCTCGTGTGCTCGACCCAAGCAAAGTTTTGGTCACGGGCAAGAACCGAATTCGACTCAACGGCTGTGGTATCTTGGATGTGGTGCAGTACGATGGTGGCACCTTACCCATTGCACAATTGCAGAGGCAAGACCTTGTCAACTTTGGCATCTTGGTCCTTTCGCTCGGGTCCGGATTTCCTGATGCAGGCGCGAATTTTGTGCGTAGTATGGACAATTTCAAACGCTTCTACAAAGCAGATCTGCAAAATGCCGTCGTTTGGCTCTACTCGGCAGTTCAGAATCAGGAGAAGACGATTGACCATTTTCTCACACTCATCTCCAGCCAAATGGTGAAAGCTTTCAATGCTTCTCTCCATAGCGATGACGCATTATATTCAGAGCTATCGCGGGAGGTTGAAAATGCACGACTGGTGCGACTTGTGACCAAATTAAATTTCATCAACGAACGACCTGAATTCGAGCACGACCGTGCCTGGTCAGAAAACGGAGAACGGTATTTTCTGAAGTTGTTCCGGGATTATGTCTTTCATCAGGTGGATGGGCAAGGCCGGCCCGTAGTCGACCTCGGACATGTCTTGACCTGCCTGAACAAACTTGATGCAGGCACAGAAGAAAAGATTACTCTCATTAGTCGTGATGAGCAGAGTTGTTTTGTGGTTACGTACCGTGAGGTGAAGAAAGGAATCGAATCAGCATTCCAAGACTTGGTGAAAAGAGGAGGCCCAATGCGATAAATGTGTGGTCGGGTACATTTGAAACGCAGGAAACACCAATGAGCAGGAAACCATCAGTGCGACTTGTCATGACAAGAAATGATCTGATATTTGCTAGTTTGGTTGAAGTATGCCGAACGACTACTGTTTACAAGGATTCAGGCCATTGAGAAGTGCAGGTTTGACCCAATTGAATATTGCGCCCAGATAGATGAGGACAACCAAAAAAAAATCGTAATCTCCCTTGCACGCAGATTCCAATTTCAACCAAGCCAGTTATGATACAACGCTGAATTGTCGAAAATCGTCCTGACCAATGCTCGCTTGCCCGTCGATCTAGTATTAAAGACGAACTTTTCCTGTTGCTCAACCATTGAAATTTCGTCGCGTGCGTGAGTCTTATGTTTGGCGCAGTCTGGTAGCCAGTTGAAACCCATGGTGGCGGATGGTGACAAGTTTTATTCTTCGGCGGCTTGTTGGAAAGGGTTCTCAATTTCTTCGCTTCCATCAAGAGGTGATACCATCACAAGTAGCGTGCCTCGCGCAACAATTAAACCTAAAGATCGCGTCGTCTCATTGCCCTCATCGTCTAGAGTAAAAGTTGGTCAACAGTTCACAGGCGAAAGAGATCTTGTATAACTCACCTCTCATTGTCTCCTTGACATCATCCAAGACGAGATTCATGAGTTGATCGTAACCTTTGAGCGTACCAACAACTGTGTTCACAAGTCAGCACAAGGCGACTCTGGCCCGGGTGGAAGGCACTTACCCTCTCTTCCGCCGTTGAATTTGACGGTGATCTCTTTGTCGACGTACTTGGTTAAATCAAGGATGTTCTCCTTCTTCGGCTTTTCGTTGGGTTGATGGGTCTGTTGCGAGGAAGCACCGCCTCGTGCTCCTCCGCCGCCCCTACCACCGCGACCTCCGCCGGCTCCTCGAGCACCACCACGAAAATGGCCTCTTTCGGACATCACTCTTTGTAGTGTCGCTGGTCAGGTGATGTGATTGGGATTTGGATGTTGATGGGAAAAAGACCAGTAAAATTTAGTGTACAATAATTCGGGAAACTTTCCGAAGTCCGGACGAGTGAGAAGCCGCGGAAAGACGAATTTCGCTTGGTGACGAAAGTCGTGGGTGCTGGGCGGGCAAATGTTGGCGTACGAGATCGAGGAGTGTGAGTACGTGTGCGCGTGCGTGGATATGGCCTAGAACTCGTTCTTGCGGCAAGGGGACGTTCTCAAAGAGGCTGGCAAGCGAAGAGGTTTGCTGAATTTAGGATGGACGGCGACTGGTCACGCTGCTTTGCACGATTTTCCGCCGGGATCAAATGTTGCTTCGCGGACTAGTGAAGCTGCTGATTGGGCGGAGCGGCTGCTCTCCTTCTCTCTCCACCCACCATTCCACACAATTAGGCGGTCATCCTACGAGCACAATATGTAGTAGGGATGCGAATGTCCAGGAGGACATCTCTTTGCAGATGAAGAGAAACAGAGTATCGACAAGAACACAACGAGACGGAGCCCTACAGCTGGCCATCTTGTTGACATACCAAGTGATAAGTCTCGGGAAGAGGTACGGAACCAGTCCTCAACATCACTTCCGCCAGACTGCACGTCTAGGTTGTTTCAGAGACGTCGGCGTCGAAGACGGAGTCCCAGCCCAAGGTATGTACGAGTAGGCATTTTACGGGTGCTCGTCTGGTCTGATCTCGATCTGGTGCAGCAGCCATGGCAGCTTCTAGTCACAGAATCCGCGTCCCGCTCGACTGTCGTTCGTCCATGCGTGTCCCGGAGCGACTAGACTCCGCGACTCGGAGGCGTCTTAGGTGCCTGCAGCCCCCCCAAGCACTCACTACGCACTCCGCACCCTCGCCCGAATGGCCGACTTTGCCCTCGTTCCAGGCCTATGATTAGTTGAAGTCCCCCCAAGCTATAACCAAGACGGCCACGTCCCAGGGTGCCATTTCGGCCCTTCACACCTGCCGTTCGAGCTTCACCGCGTGCGCCCTTCCCATCTCGCCTCGCCCGTTTCTCTCCTCGCTCCCAACTCCCAAGCTGTGCTTGAGGACTGCTTCGACAGTTTCCACCCTCTCGTGATCCTGTCTTTGGACAGAGCAACGTCTCACATCTTATTTTTGTCCTGAAATCACCTGTGTTGCTGCCCTGTCGCCTTCCGCTTGTCCATCAGCCTGACCTCGCCCGCCTCGGCGTAGCCGCACGCACACTGCAATAGCTATCCGAGCTCTTTCTGTCTGCGCCTTCTGCCTCTCGCCAGCTCGGCCTTACTGAGCACACCTCTTCTCCTTCCTCCGCTGCAGGCGCTGCAGCTTCGACATAGTTTTGCCCGCCCAGGGTTCAACTATACGAAGCTGACCCAGCAACCCCTCCTCGACGCCTTCCTCCGCCGCACCTCTACACGAGAGAGTTCCGCGACTTACCTAAGCACCACCGCCGCCCGAGGGCAGCACAGCGCCTCGGGCCCCTCCCTCTACCGGCAGAAACCTGCTTCATGTCGACAGCATGGAACAATCTCAGGCCATGACCTCCTCGGAGCAATCTTCTTCTCTCAAGCGCCCTCGCTCACCAACCGAACCGCATCCTCACCCCGCCGCCAAAATCCCGCGAACTGCCACAAACCATTTGCAGATCAACTACCTGGCCCGGCAGCATAAAGAAACGATACCGCTCGTCACAGTCAATGACAAGCTACCGGAGATAGCACGTCTCCTGAACGAATACGATGGAGTCATACAGCGCCATGAGAGCATGGCTGGAAATCTGGGAGCATGCCCATTGGGTCCTATCCTGCTCAAGCGGTTTGAAAGACTCTTCGAGGGACCACCTCGGGTCCTCAAGTCCCATGCCAGAGACGCTAGCATCAGCTGGCTAGACGTGGTCGAGTTCGCTCAGAACAATCCTAAGCAGTTTAATCTGGAGCGAATGCGCAACGGGATCAGAGTTTGTCAGTTTTACATCAAGCAGTGCCGGGTTGAGATTTCAGAGGAAGATTATGTGCTTATTTCAAGTGGAATGCCTCAAAAACTCATCCCTCCCCAGCCCATCTTGGAGGACGAAGAGAAAGAATTGGGTGTGATGGATCTACTGGACCGAAATATCGGCCAGGTCATCCACCTTGCCGACCAAGGTAAGTTACAAGTCATGACTGTTCTGGCCGAATGCTAATTGCTCTGCAGTGTCTGGCCGAGCTCGTCAGTTGATCCACAAGATGAAGAACCGTCGCAATGCTATCTTGAGCCGGCGTGAGCAGGAAGCAGAGAATGTCAAGAGAAATGCTGCTAGATCCGATGGCTCACCCACGTCTATGCTCGATACCAATGGCATGAGCAACCCACAGCCCATGAGAAGTATCGAGGTGTCTCAGTCCCCTCCCGTGGGCTTCACGGCCGTCAACTTGAAGCAGTCTGGAGCGGGTGAAGCGACTCATCGGTTGTCATTATCTGGAGAGGCTACACGAAATGCACCAGATGAGATGTATGCCTCGAATGTCACCATCATCAATGGCAAGTCTATCAAGGATGCTTCACCATCGGTGCGAGCAGAGCTCATGAAGAACTTTCTCACCCCGAGTGAGCGAGAGGCTGCTATGCCTGAGGATGCCGACCGCCGGGCCTCGGTGGGAACCCCCCGAGCTAATGCTATCCCAGAAGCGTCGACAGACATGGCGGGGGGCAGCAAACAGAATCAGTCTACTGTGGCTATCCCTGGCACTCCGGCGTCTCTGATGCCTCATTCGAAACCCTCCACCATGGATCGTGATGATGGAGGTCCGTTCAAGGCTGAAATGGTTCGAAGGATGGACAATATGTGGAAAGGCGATCGAGTGATTCCTCCTTGTGACCGTTGTCGGCGTCTTCACATGGATTGCTTGAAGAACCTTACCGCCTGCATGGGGTGCACGAAGAAACACGCCAAATGCTCATGGAAGGAGGTGAGGGCCGATGAATTGCACATGTCTACGCAGTCGGCAGATAGCACTTTCGAAGGAGGTGCGGCTCTGGCGGTTTCCGAAATTCAACCACCCTTGTCTGCGGATTCCACTATTGAAGTCCACCACAGACCCTCGGAGGACGTGGTACGATCTGCCAGTATTGCAAGGGCTTCGTTGGACCTGGCTGAAGATCGTCCCGACACACCTAGTAAAGACGGCGTTGAGTCGAAAAACAAAAGTGAGCCAACACCGGGCAACAGTACTTCTGGGCGTCTCGACGTGAGACCACCTCCTCTTGTGCAACAATTGCAAGACGCAGCCAAGGAGCGTTCGGAAACTAGTGGGTTCGGTGCAGTGCTGTCACCACGTGAGAGGGGTCTTTCGAAAGACGATGACGATGAAGAAGGGGATCGATTGCAGGCACTTGCTTCACGTGTTTACCGAACAGCATCGCAGAGTGGTCACCGGTCTTGACATTGACGGTGAGGCCTGACTTTAGATTACTTACATTACATTTTTGGTCGTGAATTTGTTAGACCTGTCTTGACTTTAGTTGACTTGAGAATCTGCCATGTATAAGTGTATATGAACATGGGTCTGAAGGGTGAGGTGGGAGAAAATAGAATGGTCATGGTTTACGGCATTTTTTACTATGGCAAAGCGACCGCGGGCAGGTAGGCGTTGAGGATGAAGTGAAAGAATTGAAATCTCTTTTATGAGCAGAAAAAGTGATTTGTGCGAAATGTTTTGATGAATCTTGCAGAGCACGAGTATGATGAGTTGGTATATTGGGGCTACTCGTGCTAGGTCCAATACACTCGTAGTTGTGGTACATACCAAGTCAATGTATTTCGTTTGATAATTACCCAGGTACCTCGAAGAGAGGCGAGGACAGTGTGTGTTGGTCAGTATACTTGGTACTGTATGATGAAGAAGACGTTGAGGCAGCGAGGCACGGAGTATTAAGCCGCGGAATGATTTCCAGTAGACCTTACCTTCCGGAGGAGGTGTCATGTAATAAAATAATAAAAGACAAACATCCGCAACGTCCAATACAAGATGGACAGTTAGTCATCTCTTTCTCTCTGTTCTCAACGTCAGTGTTGCCCGTAATCATTTTGCTTCTCCGTGTACTCGTACTGTATCTACGGAGTACGGAGTACGAGTAAAAACTGCCCCTCCATCCATCCAGACACATCTCCACACAAGGCCGTAGTGGGAGTGCGATTCCCGACGAGGGTTCGGATAGACCCCCAAGTTCGTTCGCAGTCACGCCCAGACTCTCTCTCAGGTCATCATCATTCATCGCCACCTTTACGGAGTTCCCTGTTCGTACGAGTTACTGTAAGTTGTGTGTTGGTCTTTGTGTTTCGTCAGGAGATGATCAGCTGTTGCTGGGAGCATGAATGTAGATATGTACGAGTACGATTACGAGGTTCTTTGTTACTTTCCAGTGCCACCACCAGCCGAGTTTTGGAGCCGAATTAGAGAGTAAAAGTAACTTGACTACCCAGGTATCTACGAAATACGGAGTATACTGTACTGTCATACGACTAAGAAGACTCTTGTACGGAATACTTACAAAACCCTAGGTACCTTACCTACCTCACACCCGTACGGTTCCGCAATATCCGCAATTGCCCCCTCTCCCCCTCGTTTGCGGTAAGTGCGTGTTTTGGTAATACGGAATAAGACCCTGCTACGGAGTACCTTACCTGGTACGGAGGAGATAGTTTCAAACAGCTGGTACTCCGTACTGTCACAGTATTATCACAAACTACGAGTAAAGAACTGCCTCAAACTTCCATCGGATAAATCCATTACCGTAACTCCATGTTCTGTTACAATACCATGTAATTCCGTACTAGAGTTGGTGGTAATCCCCCCAGCATTCATTGGTTTTCCACCTTGTCATCCACGGATCGTGTTGTTGTGTGTGTCTCTCTGTCTGTCTGTGCAAACATCTCCCATAGTTGAATTGACCCCACGATTCCATTCCGCAAAGAAACAAAAAAGGTCCTTCCTTATATTTGTTCTCAAATTTTTCTCCCTTTCCTTTTGCTTTTTTCTGTCTTTTTGGGATTCTTCATAGCTCAGTACACACACATACCTATCTCAAGATTGTCACACAACGTACTTGGTTGACCGGAACAAGAAATTTGTTTATTTGTGTGAGCAGCTGCTCCAGTGGCAGTGCGCTATCCGAAAGTTATCATCGACACCAACATCAGCATCGACACCGACACCGACAAAACAGCGCAAAAGCCTAAGCAACAACGATAAATAAAAACAAAACAAAGACAAAAAAACATGGATCCTACCAAGGTCAAAATTCCTCCATTGATGGACTTGAACATCGACAACATTACCGAGAACGTCATCCGGATCAATTCCAACAACCCGGATGCACGTATGAAGTATGTCCTTGAAAGACTCGTCGTGCATTTGCATGACTTTGCTCGCGAGACGAGGTTGAGCACTGGCGAGTGGATGGCTGGGATTCAATTCCTGACAAAGACTGGTCAGATTTGTACGGATGTCAGACAGGTAAGTCTTGTCCCCATTTTCGACCACATCAATCCGAGAGCACACGGCGAGGGTCACCAAATACTCTCATTCCACAAAACGGAACAAAAAAGAATCTGGTCGGACAGTGGCGTACGGATGTTGACCGTTGATGGGTGGACTCATAGGAATTCATTCTTCTGTCCGACATCTTTGGCCTTTCGTTGCTGGTCGACTCGATCGACCACCCCAAACCGGCCGACTCGACCGAAGGGACCGTCCTGGGTCCCTTCCACACCCACGAGGCCGAACACATGAGCAACGGCGAGCTGATGTCTCACGACAAGAACGGCGAGCCCCTGCTGGTCTTGTGCACCATCAAGGACGTCAACGGCAAGCCCGTCGAGGGCGTCAAGATCGACATCTGGGAGACGGATTCCTCGGGCCACTACGACGTCCAGCACGCCGACAGGGACGGCCCCGACGGCCGCTGCGTCATGACCAGTGACCCCCAGGGCGCGTTTTGGTTCAACGCCATCGTCCCCGTCCCCTACCCCATCCCCCACGACGGACCCGTCGGTCAACTTTTGATGAAGTTGGGGAGGCATCCCATGAGACCCGCCCACATGCATTTCATGTTCGAAAAGGAGGGTTACGATCATTTGATCACGTGAGTTCTCTTCCCCTGACGTTTCCCTTTGTTGTCGATCGACAAGTCGCTGATCTGTGGTCTTCACGTATCACATAGCGCCCTGTACCTCAGAAATGACCCGTACGAAAACTCGGACGCCGTGTTTGGCGTCAAGACTCCGCTCGTCGTCGACCTGGGTAAAGTCGACAAGGCGACGGCGGAGAAATACGGTGTCCAGGAAGGGACGGCATTGATGACGTACGACTTTGTCCTGGTCTCGGAAAAGGAGAGTGCAGAACTCAGAGCCGAGAATTCGAGAAAGGCTCTGGAGAAGTTGGGTAGAAGGGTGAAGATTGTACAAGGATTGCCAGTGCCAGACGTTGATTAAAGCAGTGCAAAGGTAGTCGGATGTTGTTTACGACATATAGGATGAGAACGAGAATGAGAGAGTGTGTGTGTGTCATGTTTTGCATAGCTGGATGTAAATGGTACCTGTCACTATTGTATCTGATGTGAGAGGATTTATAAAAAGACCAACAGATGGTTGGATGTATCTTTCGCTCGAGTTTGCACATCCTGACAATTGCCTATGGTTTACTCGGCGTGCTCATGGGCCATACCGAAGACGTCAAACCAGGTATTTTAAGCATATTTGAAAACTGCATGATCGGAACCTGGAACTTGAACTTGAACCTGAACCTGAACCTGATCATAGCATATTATTTACTTTGTAGATAACGGTGGCCGCCGTCTCGTACTGCGTTTTCCATATTCCTTGACTCCATACATGATGACAAAACACAGAGTACATCGTGCAATGCTGACAGTGTCAGATAAAAAGGTACTCCGTACGTCCCTTACATAGCCCTGATGCAGGCACAATCGTACTTTTTTTCCTCAAAAAAAAAGATAAAAAAAAATCAAAAGGCGTAAAAATTCATGTCCGTGTCTGGTGCATTCGCCAACAAATCGTACTCGGTCCCCACTGTGTTCCACAACATGTCATCGTCAAGTTGCCAATCCGATCCGACGTGCGATGAAGGTAACCCGTAAGAAGGAGGCTGTGGTTGTGGTTGTTGTTGTGTCTCGAATGCCCCATTATTACTATTCAGATCTTGATGATGCGAAGTAGGAGTGAAGTGAGTGGCAGTATTACCAAATTCGATCGAAGGTCTTGAAGCGTGGCCATTGGCGACGGCCGCCAAAGCCGCCAAAGAATCTGGAAATTCTTGATTTGAAAGGTGATGATGTTGTGTCGCTGCCCCGAGAGAAGAAGTTTTGTCGAGGCCCGAGTTTTTGTTTGTCGTTGTTGTCCCACTTGAGGAATTGTTTGTATTTCTCTCCGTCAACCTTTGAAACCCTGTTGCCATTTTGTACAAGATGTGATTGTTTCCGGCTTTACATTCACGGAGTGTGACGATGATCCCTTGGATCAAAGGTTTCGTGCGCGCGTGCGCGTCTGTGCTGACACCAATTACGTCCCATACTGCCGACATCTTGATGAGAAAGACGACGGCGAAAGCGATCATGGCGTGTAGGTACAGGGGCACCCCGACGAGAGCTCGGCGGAGGTCTGGTTCACCAAGTACGATCTCCAAGATCTGATGGGCCGATTCGATTGCGTGAAAGGCCAGGGGTCGGAGACGGTGTGGGAGGGCTCCGATGGAGGTCATGGATCGACCCCGGAGCGCCAGAGAGTTCAACAACATACTACAAAAGTGGTAGTGGAGGTCGAGCCCGATGACCGAGTAACCGCCGACGAACTCGTCCATGGGAAGCAGAGCCCGAAAGTGTTCGCGGTACCTCCCCAGGTCGTCCAGGAACCGGGCGTGGATGATCAGTGTTTCGTCGTCGTCCCCCAGGGCCCGGCCGGCCTCGAGACCGAAGGCGTCGTAGGCCCGAGACAGGATGCGGAACAAGGCCACCTGGGAGATGACCCGTCGGTCCGAGAGGGTGCACTCGGGGGACGACAACAAAACGTCGGTCTCTCGGATCGCCTGCATCTCCGTCGTCACGGGGGGTCGGCCGTAGGCGATGCTGAAGTGGTGGTCCAGCACGTAGAGGAGGTACCACAGCCGCGCACGTTCCAAGGTCTCCTCTCGGTCTTCCGGTGGGGACGGCGAGTGGAACGCCTTGAAGAACGCCTGGTGGAGGTTGAGTTCGGTGGCCATCCTCACGCAGTGGCCGGACAGTTTCCACGAGAGGTCCGGCAACCAAAACGCCGCGATACACAACGCCCGCACGTCCTCGAGCGTGTGTGACCGGTCGAACATGGACGAGGCGATGAGGTCGCGGAGTGCCCGGTGGCTCCGGTTGTGGATGTCTTCCATCCCCGGGATGTGGAGTGACGACACGGCCATGATGGAAGTGAAGAGGAGGGACGACGACGAGCGGATGCTGTGGAGCGTTCTGTCGGGGGAGACGGTCGCGTTGTATAAGTATCGAGATAATGAGGTTTTGAATCTGCCGTTCGTTGTTGTCACGAGGTTAGAAACGTGGAACAACTTGGGGAGGTTGCGTAGCGACGATTTTTATCTTCACACGATGGATGTCGCGAGATTGGACAAAACCGGATTCAGAAAGAAGAAAGGAAAAAAAAAAGAAACTTACAGATTCAACATTCTCTCCGCTTCGTCAATGGTGATCACCCCTTGGGCGATGAGGTCGGATTCAAAGTTCTTGCGTAGTCGTCTCTCGGTCGGTGGTCCGCCCGTTCGAGATCTCAGGGCGCTGAGATGGGTCGCCTCATACAGACCCTCCATGGGTGCACTGGCGATGTCATTCTTGGTTTCCGGGTGAGGCGAATTCTCGCGCGAGTTTTCTCGTGTCGTCTTTGCCGTTCCCGTCGCCGGTAAGGACATTGCTCCTGGCGCCGATGATCCTCCTGGTCCGAACGATTCGAGAGACGGCATGTCGAGCTTCTCCAGGATAGCTCGAACCGACCGGTCCAGCCGGGCCAGAGAAGGATCGGTTTGCCTGTTTCAAATTCCCAAGGACAGATTTAGTATATGGTCGACATTATAACAACTTTTCATCAAGTCCGGCCCAAGCTTGGCAAGGTCGGGGAAAACTTGTGTGTCAGTTGGTAACAACGAGAGGCGAAAAAACGTACCCTTCATCCTCCAGACTCACACGCAATCTTTTGGCCATCTTACACTCCAGCCCCAGCCTTTGGCATCGCTGGCACCCAAAACCATCTCCGCTCTCTGGTCCGCCGCATTTGACCTTGAGTTTCCTGCATGTCAAGCACGCTCGGCCTTTCCGGGTGATTTGCCGTGGAGTCTCGGAGCTCGGTTTTTCGCCCGTCGTCGATTTGTTGGACGATGATTGCGCCGGCGATGGGCCATTGTTATTGTTCATGCTGTTATTGTCTTGTACAGTAGCTTTTCCATCCGCTGCGACGTCTGTATGTGATGGACTTGCGGTGTTGGACTGTTGCATTTCTGGCCCAAAATTACCACAGTAAAGTGTGTGTGGTTGGGGAAAAAGGTCGGGAAACCCGAAAAGCCGGGGAGGTGGGAATTTAGTATATCAGAACCCCGGCCTTTTCAACAACCTCGATTGACCAATCATATCGATTCAGTCAACATGTCCGAGACGGTCATGATCGTGGATGAACCCGAATCTAGAATTCGTTGTCTATATACGGAGTACAACGAGTGCCAGGAATTTCAAGAGATAAAAAGGGAAGCAGGGTTAGCTTTTTGGGAAGCCTTCCTTCCAAGTCATTTAGACTGTGCTGCATGACGTACCGTCTTGCCAAAAGTCTGCACCGAGATGACTTCCTCACTCTCACCTTTGCAACAACCGTCACTCTTACAATCAACTCAACGCCTGTCATCCTAAAGTTCTCTCAGACTTTTTCTCTCAAGATGCTGCGTCAAGCTTTCGGGGTTAGACAAGGCAGGACTCTCCAACGAGTTACACGTTTCACACAGAATGTCTCTCCATTTTGCATGTCCAAAACCCGCACCTTCCAGACAACAACGTGTAAGACACATCACTCAACTTCGATCGCAAAACTACTAACCGGTCTATAGGTTTGCTTCATGACGGTGGTAATGACACCGGCTCTGTCCCTCAATCTACCACATCTCTCGATGACAAACTCGACTACTTTAACAAAGAGTTGACCGCGATGAAGTCAGAAATGAAACGCTTCGCTGAAAGCCTTGACACAAAGGAGTCGATTTCAAATTTGAAACTGGCACGCCTTGAATCAGAGATGATGCACCTCAACAAAAATCTTACTACCCAGATGACCAGTTTCTGTGAAAAAATCTCTGCGAAGATAAGCGTCCTTGATGCGAACATGGAGTCGAGATTGGACAAGTTTGAGAGTAGGTTTTTGTTTCGAATCGTCTTCGTTGTGAGTGATCTTCGTACTTACTATATGATACCTTCTAACAAATACGAAGGCAGTCAGTGTAGCTGTTGCAGTGGGTGGTACCGTCGCTGCCACTCTCCTACGATCCCTAAATTCTACGACCCAGACTCCTACGACCCAGGCCCCTCAAGACAAACATGTTTAAAGCAAGAGAGCTTACGGAGTATTGCGAATACTATTACGTGCACAGCGATGAGTAGACCGGGCAGAGAGAACATGTTACTTGATTAGGCGCAGTCATGGGGATGGCTGGTGGTTACAATGGGGCAGTCGTTATTCATAGCGATGGCGTGTGTATGGCTTATTAAACTTATGCGGAAGTATCATGGATTCACTTCAGTAGCTTTTTGAGTGCCAGCACTCCGAAAGTAAGCGTAAAGGTAAGTCACTCACTCACCAGTGATGAAGGTGTAGACCCTAGAATCCAGACTGGTTTCGGCTTTTGAGCAGGGAATGTCAGGGTCGTATCTCGACAGTCTCTTTGAGATAGAAAGATTCTTGGGATGAAACTGGGTGTGATCGAAGGTGAAAAGAAGAACTGGTAGACTTGGCAAGAACATAAAATACGGCGGGTGTGAAAGCGACAGATTTGCGACCCAGGCAGGTTTCAGTGAATAGTGAAAGAGAAGTGAGTGACTCACCGATATCAGGTATACTATGATCCTAGAGCCTCGTCATCATTCGAAGCAGCGACCATCACCAAGCTGAATAGCAGCGAAATTCCTTGAGCATTCGTTTCAGTGCTAGCTATCTCTTCACAAGTGTCTACCCACGTGAGAGGGCTATAGTTCAACCATCATGTTACGATGATTCAAATACATCACAGCCCAATAGTATTCTAGATTTTGGCAGTCTCTTGATGAACTGGTCCAAGCTTGATTCCGGTATCTCCTCCCTCATGATCAGCACGCTCAATGAGAGTCGCCATGATTTGATCCTTGAACTCCTTCTTGGTAGAATTGCGAACAGCTTGCATGTAGCTTGGGCGAGCTTCACCTGGACGGCCAGTGAAAAGCAGATCAACGGCTTCAAGAGGTAGGCGAAGGGTTTCAGGCTGTAGGATTGCATATTAGTAAGAATTTCGTTGGATATAGCACCGCAGCTGTCACTCACATAGAAGAAGTAGATACAAGGGATCGTAAAGAAGTTGACAACGGCAAAGACAATATAACTTCGAAACTTAATGTTTGTGATCATTCTGGGGCATGTTAGCAACGCTGTGACTTCTCGAGTGGCTCAAAGAACTTACGGAGGAGTGATTTGGACGACCACAAAGGTAAAAAGCCATTGTGAGACGACGGCGAGAGCACCACCCCGCAGACGCAGCTTCAGAGGCAGAATCTCACTGGGGTAGATCCACATGTTCGACTGCCATCCGAGGGTGAAGAATGTTTGGAAAAGGTAAAGGACCACGGCTGCGGCATATCCCAGACCTTTGGTTCCCACACCGACAAATATGGCCGACAACAACATGCAGACTCCCATACCGGCAGAGCCGATCATGAATAGCTTTCTGCGGCCGACATTGTTCGTAGTGTACCAGGGGATCAGAGAGCTGAGGAAGTAAAAGACTTGGAGACCACCAGACACCAGAAGAGCGTCACGGGCGCTCATCCCAATGGAGTTCTGGAAGACGTACGGACCAAGGGAGGACATAACATTGACACCAGAAAGTTGCTGGAAGAAGTTGGCCGAAAAAGCGACAAGTACTCGTTGCCAGCCGTAAATGCCACCATCCTTGAAGCAATCGGCCCAGGATCCGTCTTCTTCAGCTTCAACATCGAGAATGTACTGAATCTCCTTGATCTCAAGCTGGACTGATTCATCTTCTCTGGTGGTGCCACGCAATGCAGCCAGTGAGGTGGTGCCGCGTTCGATCTGTCCAGAACGAAAGAGGTATCGAGGAGACTCGGGGAGGAACGGCATCACGATGCACACGATGATGCAGAAGATGATCTGGAAAGCGCAAGGAAAGCGCCAAGAGAAACTTGAGGAGTAGTCTTGCGTGCCGTAATCAAGCCAATTGGACAGAATCAGTCCAACAATAAGGTTCGAAAGTTGCATCGCCATCATTCGGCCTATACCAAAAAGTCAACAAAACCACAACGCCAAAAGAACATGAACTCTATTACATACCTCTGTTGGTTCGGTTCGCACATTCGGTGAGCCAAATAGGGATACAAGTGGTCATACATCCAAGCCCGAAGCCGCCAACGATCCGGCCGACCAGGAATTGGCCAAGTTCTGTGGTTGATGCTTGTAAAATGGCACCAATTGCGACCACAACCGCGCCGGCGAGGGTGTTTGTCTTACGACCGAATCGATCACCCATGACGAACTGGAAGAGAGCTCCGAAAAGGGCTCCGACTTCATAGCTGGCAACAATGAAGCCCAGGAGGGCAGAGTTTGGATTGCCAAAAACACTGAGAAACTTCGTCGACGTGGTCAGGCCGCCCATAAATCCCAAGTCATAACCGAAAAGGAGGAAACCTATCGAGCTGGTGAATGTAACAGCATAGATGAGAGGTTGGCCACGTAGGCCGAGGAACGTGGGGGCGGTATCCATTGCGACTGAAATGGAAAAATTCCAGAAAGGAGTGAAGAATGGAAATTTTTTGACAACTCTTTGACGACCACGAAGAGGATCTTATATCTGAGTAGTGTCCGACTATCACTCCGTGGAGACCCAGTCCCAGGAGTCTGGAGACTGGGGACCCTCCATACCCAGCCAGGGTGTTGACCATGGACACTCTGTGAGCGCGCGTGCCATTATTGCGTGGGGATCGTCGTTCGCATCGAGAATACTCCGTCAACGTAGTGTACCGCTTTAGCCGGTTCGTAAGCTGATTCGACGGCCAAAATTTTCTTGTAGGGCCGACACAATGCGCGATCCGGTCAAGCTCCGCTCTATATTAATTTGGCCAGGTTTCCTTAGGAAAACTCCCATGAACTATACACTTACTCGACGTCAACCACTTTCGTTCCTCCAATCACGCATGTGTGGGAAAGAATTAAGAGATGGATATTATGTGCCGTGGCACGTGTACCAGACTGTGCTCCATTCTAGATTTCATAAGGGGCATCCGAAATTGTCGAATCATGGTAGAATACTCGGTGGGCCGTGGCACGATGCCGTATTGAAGGCGTCGCTAGGTGAAAGTCTAGTCGGCAATAATGTGAGAGGAGAGACAGACACGGACAGCAGATGCGGTGTCGAGTCGGAGTTTCTACCGACTCAAGTCAATCCTTTGGTGTAGTTATGTCGAAGAATTTTGCGCTAAGCCAGTTCAGGAAGGTCACTGCGTACGCGTATGTACCTCTGGCTCGGGGAGCCTTGCTCTATCGATATTTGCGTGTATGGATACTTTGACTGGTTCAAAGTACAGGCCATGATATAGGATCAATAGCCTATGAGCCAAATGAGACCGGAAGGGAGGCTTCGGACGTGGGGAACATGGAGAGAGAGAGAGTCGGCGAAGATCCCCGTGGCACCGCCGAAGCCTGGTGAGTTTAGGGGCCAGATGGCCGTAAGAAGCTTGCCTGATCATGCCCGCGCAGAGTGACTTACGGGGGCTCTGGTGACTCGGTACGGAGTCTTCTCCACAACGTTCGACAGACCCGACGTAGAACCATCATTATCCGTAACAACAACGACACGTTTAGGGACTCGGAGCGAGAAAGCTCACGGCAACGCTCAGTCGGCAAAAAATAGCTTTGACAATCAAAATCCTGTCTCTCTGGTGATAGAGGTGCTGGACAGGAGATTGCAAGAGTTTTTATCCTTCCGCTCTGGACAAGCTCCCACCTGCGGATATCCGACTGGGTTTTTGAGGCACACACTGTCACCTGAGCCTTTAGCTTTAATACCTTTGGGTCTTTCGACATGACCGGTCAGACATTCACGGATATCGTGCGCGTGGACCACGGCCGTGCTGTGACGGACTCTGCCTTTGCCCGTTCCTACAGCAAGAAGCCCGGCTTCTGTGTCTACAGTGAACGCTTCACGCAGGACTGCCTGGGAACAACTCCGAAGCTCACACTGGTCGAGCAGCGCGACTACCAATTCGCCCACGAGGCTGGCGTGTACGTCCGACCGACCAACTCTGTCTACTTTACTGCCAATTTCCAGACCTGCGATCCCGTCCACCTGTACGCCATCGACTCGGCGACGCACAAGATCACCCAACTAGACTTTGCCGAAGTGGTACAGGCGAACGGCGCGTGCAACTACCAGGATGGTGTGTTGTACTGCTCCCAAGGCGACCGCAACACCCCGTCGGGCCTGGTCCACGTCGATCCGGTGACGGCGAAATCCGAAACGCTCATCAACAACTTTTACGGCCGCGACTTCAACTCGGTCAACGACGTCGTCATCCACCACGAGACAGGGGAGATATGGTTCACCGACCCCAACTACGGTTACCACCAGGGCTTCCGACCGGCCTCGATGCTCCCTCCTCAAGTTTACCGGTTCAACCCAGAAACAAAAGAGTGCTGGATGGTCGCCGACGGCTTTGTCGAATGCAACGGCCTCTGCTTCAGCCCGGACTACAAGCTGCTGTACGTCACGGACACGGGGGCGATTCAAGCCCACGCCGGCCCCGGCGACGGTCACCAATTTTCCATGAACCACAAGTTGCCTGGGACCATATACGTGTATGATGTCGTCAACGGCCGCGAACTGCACAACAGACGCGTCTTTGCTTTCTGCGCCGTCGGCATCCCCGATGGCATCAAGTGCGACGAGAAGGGATATGTATACTCTGGATGTGGTAAGAACCATGTGTTTTTGTTAGTCCGGCGTTGTTATGTCATCACTGACGCGTGAACGATCTAGGTGACGGTGTACATTGTTGGGCACCAGACGGCACTCTCGTCGGTAAGATTGTCACCGGAGGTGTCACTGCAAACTTCTGTTTCGCAAAGGAAGGTATGTGGCTATTTGCGGAAAAAGATCTCTTCTTCTGTGAGCTCGGTGCCAAGGGTTGTCTGGTCAAGACGGAGTGCGAATGACATGCATCACCGTCTTTGGACGAAAAGAGGCACAACCGCGAAAATGACAGTGAAAACCTTTTATAGGCAGCCTTATACAGAGGTATTTCGAACACATGCTATCGATTCCCCTCGTTCACGTTTGGGAGATCACAGTGTTACTGAGCGGACTCGTTGCTATCTTGTCTCAACGCATCATTTCCAACATATCACTTCCCCCTGCATCAATCCATACCACGCCTCATGATGGTCGCCCCAAGTCTTGAGAGCAGTTTTGATATCTTCGATCTCCTGTTGGTTCTGGACAGTCTTGTTCTGGAGCCATTTCTCCCCAATCTCGCCTCCCAACCGGCCTATGTGCACTCCCGCCCACCACTTGGATTCATCGGGCGCCGTGTAGACCGTCGCGCCGGCCCCTACCTGCATCTTGTTCCTTTCGAACCCGGCCTCCTGAGCCCAGAGATGGAGTCGGCGACCACACCCCTCCCCCTGCGCGCCCATTTCTCGAATCGACTCAAAGACGTGTCGCCAGTACTGCTCCAACAATGGTGATTCTGGTGCGGTAGACACGTGGTCTGCTTCGCGCATGGCAAGCATGCCGCCGGGCCTCAAAATCCGAAAAGCTTCTCTGATGACACTGATGGGGGACGGGATGTGGAGAAGGGTTTGGTGAGTATACACCACGTCCACTGACGCGTCGTCGAACGGTAAGCGGTCTGTAATGTCGGCAGCATTGAAGGTCAAATTGGAATGCTCCGACGACGACCCGGAAATCAAAGAGCGCGCTTGCTCGAGCACGGCGTCTGATGAGTCGAGACCGATGACTCGTCCTCTGGGAACAAAAGAACAAAACCCCTGCGTGATTGTCCCGGGTCCGCAACCGAGGTCGACGATGATGGAGTCTGGTCTGAGATGTGGGATCAAGAATGAAGCCGAGTTTTCTACGGTGCGGGACAAGTGTGAGGCTACCACGCTCGCACTGTGGCCTTGGGCATATTTGTGTTTGGACGGTGGAACGGTGTTGGTGGTGGTCATTGTGATATCAGTGTTGAGCGGAAGATAAGACTATGGCTATACTATTTCTCTGGGAGAGAAGATCATCGAATGGCCGATGTATCGCGGTGTTGATCTCAGGTCTCGTGTAGGGAGAGTGCGAGACAGTGAGAGTACTGGGGGTCCGTAGACGTGGTGATAATGTGGCACTTTACATCATCCAAGGAATTCCGAGACGGAGTTCCGCAACGTCAGTGGAGAACAAGGCTGCCATATTTTCTCGCATAATCTCTTATACAATATTATTGCATCAAAGAGTGCGGGGAACGTGAAGGAATATTGTCTTCCGTCTGTTCTTACATTTCTCCCAAGCAATGGGGGCCGAACAGACGACAGAATTGAGTTGTCGACAAGCTTCACTACAAACTCTTGACCCTCGCTTAGCGGGAACTGCCAGGGTTCGACTGGAGACTTTTCAGCTGTGATGTGATGGACGGGTGACAGATACACAGGCCACCGACAGCATTCAGCTAGCGACGGGTACAAAAGGTCAACCAACCTTGGAGACTCGGAGAATTGATTGAAAATGGACTGACAGGTCTTCTGAAGGTCTAGATCTTTCTCATGTCGGACCAATTTTGTTTCAGGCGAGCCAAACGTTCACACTTTCCAAAGAGACTACACAAGTGAAGCTTTCAGACGGTTGCTGATGGAAAATTTCCAAAGGTTCCACTCAAAAAAAGGTACATGAGTTTGTTTTCATGCCGTGACATTCATTAAAAAAAGTCCGCGTCCGACATCGCGTTGTCGGATGAACACACAAGACTTTGCTGCGCGCGTGCACTTCATCCGATCATTACTTTTTCTTGAGGTCCTCCAGAAAAAAGAACTTTATTGGTGATACATGAAACGAAAAGATAAATCCTGGTCCCCCATATTCCTTGCCTACGCTAGTAATGTTCCGAGATGCTGCATGCAAAAGGAGTAACGAGTCCAGGTCCAATCAAGTACCCTTTCCTAATTACCCTCTCCCTCGTGTGTTTGCTCGAGAGAGATCAATTATCCCTGGAAGCCACGGGCGCGGAGTAGGGTGTTGTCAACGTTCCATCGCTTGGTGGCAGCAGGGCTGGTGACGGTAACGTTCTTGGTGGCGCACTGTTGGCCGAAGGATTGGAGCCAAGCACCGTTGTCGAATTCGGCGTAGTTCTTCTTGATCTTGCCATCCGCGTCAATGATCATGTAGTTGATGCCGTTGACTGGGTATGCTTGTGGGTTGGCGGTCAATCTCCATCTCCAGGTGATGCTGTTGCAGTCGTGCCAGACGTTCAGGGTAGAGACGCTGACTTCGGGTTGGAGAACACCCTGGCCGTAGTCGAAGGCTTGCTTGGTGGGGAAAGTCACGGAGCCGAGCTGCAAAATTGGTCAGCAAAAAGGAAACATCTTCCAAGACCTTGGGGACACTTACAGAGAATCCAGCCATGAAGTTGATCGAGTCAGAGATGTCGCTGAAGTCAGAGGCGAGAGTAGCGTCCGAAACATCCTGCTTGTAGCCACGACCAGCTGGGATGGGTGGGTTGGACTGGCCAGCATACGAAGTGTACTCGAGGAGCAGCGAGAAGTTGGCAACAATGCCACTGGCAAGAGAATCAGTGACGATGCAAGCCGAAGGGGTCGAAGAGACGGTGGTGGTGGTCGTGGCAACAGCGGAGGTGCTTGAGCCCCACGATCCCCCGGTAACAGTGACGGTGGTGGTTGCGCCGGCAGGACAAGTGGTGCCAGAGGCGAGAGTCTTGGTGACGGTGGTGGGAGCGCAAGAACCTCCAGTAGGAGCGGCACCGCCGGTGGGAGCAACATAGACGGTCTTGGTGGTGGTGGTTGGGGCAACGGTGGTCGTCTTGATCTCGGTGAAGCCGAAGCAAGAGCAGGCGCTGGTGTAGGCAGCGTTGTCGCAAGCGCTGGCGTAGTTGGGCACCTCGTTGGGGCAGACAGTCACACTGACGCCACGCTTGGCCTTCCAGTCGGCCCAGCTGGAGTCGGTAACGGTCTCGGTGACGGTGACGGCAGGCGGAGTCACGGTGGTGGCCAAGAAGCTGGCACAGTGGGCACCTCGGAGGTGGTCGTCACCAAGAGCAGCCTTGCCAGTGACAGCAGCCAAGCAGGCATTCTCTTGACATCCTCCTCGACGCTCGAGAGGGTTGGCGAAGGAGCCGCTGACCAAAGCAGCCAGCGGCAGGGCGTAGGACAGGTATTGCATCTTCGTTGGATTAGAGTGTTTGTTCGAGGAAACGAGTGGCTAAGGTCAACGACCTTGGAAATCAGAACGAGCTCAAAAAGAGTGGATGATTGAAAAATCAATCGAAGTTTGGGATGGAGTGGTTGTCGAGCTGGAAAAGACACCAGACGCACAAGGAGGGACGGCCAGTAGTACTTATTATGTCGGCGCCAGTGGTGGAACAGGGTGATGATTGGCATCCTGGCAGCGGATATGGCCCAGGCAGCCACGAGGGCGGCCTCACACCTTGGAGAAGCGTCAAAACCGTAAGCTAATTTCACCAAGCGACGCCTTAGCTCGGTGGGATTCTGTAAAAGGAGTCGAGCCTCATGGAGCATTAGCTCGGCTGGAGTACCCGACCGATCTCTAATGTGGATAGGTAGTATCTCGAAGTTGCGGAGTGGCACAAGTCAGCTGTCATGCACCCGGATGCTTGTGTAGTCCGCAGATTTGAGGTCAAACGCAGTAAATGGTCATCTCGCAAGAACTGACAGCTGAACAACGGCTGTTGGGTTTTCCCCATTTCTTCGAGAGCATATTTTCTGGCAGACATCAGACGTGATATCCGAACTCAGAAATTGTCTGCAGGACAGATGTCAGCGTTAGTCGACCCGAAACATGGGGATTTCAGGCCCAATGTGGCAGCAACAACAACCCAACCGTGATTGCCTCGAATCCCTCAATCCTGTAAGCTATTATTTCACATCCCTGGTGTAGGTAAAATGATCACCTCCATCGGGCGCCTCTAACTCGCGCAGTCAAGGTTACACGACCTTTACCACACGAAAAATAGCGCGTCCCAGGGGTAGGGGGGATTACAGTACAAGGAAGTGGGGTCATTGCACATTTTGTGCGCTATACCACAACAGGCAAGCATTCGGCCAATAGTAATTGTGGAATGTGTTTGAGGCTGTTGCTTTCCACCCTTTTTCGATCATGGTCCAATTTGAGGAAAACACTCGCTGGTTTCTTGACTCAGCCAACAAGCAGGACTTGCGATTCGGGCCAAGCGCCTAGCAGGGGAAAGCCACAGGTTTGCCCATTACCAGAAGGACAAATCGCAACCACGTTCCGTGGACGCCCAACTATGCCACTATAGGTCAATATTGCCGTCAACACGGAGTCAAGTAATACTACGGCTTGGCAGTACCTCGGGAACGCTCGTGAATATTGTGCCTACAGAGACGAGTGAACAGTGAACGCTGTGCCAATAATGAACATCGAGTTCTGCCGGCGTTCAGAGTCTTCCTGTCGACGCCGCTCCTCCTTGTTACAAAGTTTCCTCCGCGAATAATGGCATCGAAATCGGATGTGTCAAAGCCATCCTAGACAATCATTACGACATAACGGCATTATGCTGGAAAGGTGTACAGTAGTCGACGTGCATAGGTTTGGCCTGGATCAGGGGCGGGGGGGAAATTGGCTGCTGAAGCCATTGCGGGCACTACTGGACCTGAGACGAGCAGGCTCGTCAACTAGGCCCGGGCATCCCGCCCTTACCTGGGAATCAGGGGCACTAACGGTGTAGCTACAAGATCAGCAAGACGAAAGCAAATGCAATTCCACCTTTGAAAAGAATCTAAGTGATATAACCGCCAGCGCCTGTGCTTGGAGCAGCGAAAATTTAAAGCATGGCTGACAGAATTGACGGCCAGCTTCCGGGTTTCTGGTCCCCTGGTCCCTGGGTTTCTCCCTCAAAGCCTCGTATCCGTTTTAGGCATAGTTCACGAACATAAGGCTGACTGGATGAACCAATGAAATGGCACCTATCATCATTTTTCTTACCATCCAATTTCCGACGAAACTGTCCCCGACCAGCAGTTTGTTCGGTTATGGCGTCCTGGTAAAACGCCCTCTTTCAGGTCTAGATCTCTCAGAATTGGTTTTCTAAGATTAGGACAACGTTCCAAATCGACCAACCCTGAGCGCCATACTCCGCGCTCGCTAGCGATTACGCGAACAATTGAATCTCCCCGTCGCGAGCAGATCACTGTGATAACAGCGCATGTTGGGCAACCAGCCTCCTTTACCGGAGCCCGACAGTGATGAGGGACATGCATTGCTCCATGGTAGGTTGCGACCCTATGACGATGTCTACGTCTCCTTCTTGTTTCATTTCCAACAAAATGATTAGTGCACGATCTCCCTCAGCTATACCAAAAGCCCACAGCAGCTGCTTTGTTGCAAGCATTGAGTCTACTGTCTTTTGAACCGCCGTCATTTTCAGCACGGAATGCCAGCGGGCGCTACAAGGTCGGGGAACAAGGTGTCCCGGGCTACTTGACTTCCATTGTCTCCTCAAGTCTCCGTTGGATCGAAGACGACGATGTGAAAGACTCGATATGGACAGCTGCAAGCGCTCGACTTAGCGAGCGTGCTGGTAGAAATGCCATGCCCGCGATGACGAGAACATTCGTCATTAATGGCAACCTGTCTATCAGCCTACATGAGCCTTCACTGACAGAGGATAACCTTGGCCTGAAGACATGGACCTCCTCACTTTTACTGGCTCAACGGCTGGCAGAATGTCGCCAGCATGTCCAGGAGGCCTGTACACGAGTCCTGGAGTTGGGTTCTGGTACAGGACTTGTTGGCATCGCAGCTGCCTGCATATGGAGTACAGATGTTCTTCTGACCGACTTGCCGGAAATTGTGGCGAATCTGCAGCAAAATTTACTACAGAACCAGGATCTGATTTCTAGACACCATGGCAACGTTCAGGCCCGGTCATTAGACTGGAATGACGAAACAGATTTACCAGCGCATGAATCAGAGAAGTATAGGGCCATCCTGGCCGCTGATCCTATCTACTCGCCAGAACATCCCAAATTGCTCGTTGCTACGGTCCGCAGGTGGATCAATTGGGATCAAAATGCCAGGTTCATTGTCGAACTTCCACTGCGAGACCGATATGATGGCGAGAGAAAAGACCTCAGAAAACATCTGCGTGAGAACGGCTTCGGCCTCGTAGTCGAAGGAACGGATACTGGATACGACGATTGGCAAGGGCGTGATGGAAATCTGGCAGAGGTCAAATGTTGGTGGAGCATATGGAAGCCACTCGTGAATCTTTAGCTCTGTTTTGAGTAGACAAAGGCGCATCACTGCCTCTTGGACCAACAGAGGAAGTCGTCATCTAAAAGTGATTTGTCCCTATGCCGACATTGCCTGATTCAAGATCCCAGCTTCCAGATTGTGTCAAACCGCATTTCAGTTCGTATTATCCATAGTGTGATATTCTTTGGGTATTCATACACATCTATCATCTGCGTCCTCATCATAATTGATCATATGCAAACCCACTTTACTCCCAACGCCTTGCTGCCCGTGAAAATCTGCAGGCACAATTGGCCCTTTTCAGCCCATGCACTCGAGGTTGCTTCGTCTGCCACGTAGGAGTTGTGACTGAAGTTATAGGGAGTAACCGCATTTCTACAGCGTAATTGGAGACTTATTGCGCCCTTATTCTTCGTTCGGCAGGATCGTACCTAATGGACACGGAGTCGTTAGCCAAGGCGCATGCAAGGAAGTCATCATACTGCGTCAGGAGAGACTGTTCAACATACTGAAGGAGTTTTTCGATCAAGTCGACGTGTGTCATGAGCATGCGTCGACAGCAGTATCTCTTTGCGCCAACTTTGTCCATAGCCTCACTGTTGGTCCGATGTTAGCTCTATATGCGCGAGGACAAAAAATCCCTGTTAGCCTTACCCATCGGGCACATCTTCTTCGAGAAGCTTCATGTAGCGCTCCCAAATATCAGCGATAACCTGAAGACCAGACAGTTAGTCTCCGCTGTCAAACAGAAGATTCACGCCAGACTACCTTCCCACACGAGAAGCATCGAATAGGGATAATCATCTTGAAGCGCTTTAACTAGCAACTTGAGATAATAGGTCTTCAGAAGTGTTTGTTGTGAGAATGCGAAGGGATTAATGATTGACAAAAATTCCTTGAATCTCCAACGGCAACTTCATTCTGCCTGCGGAGGCAAGGCTGAACAAGGCTGCATCTTGGCGCAGAAAATGTCGGCAAACTTGCCTGCTTACTTTCATGCGGAGAAAAAAGTTCTGTCTCAGGAAAGACTTGCACTGAGTTGCGCAGCCCATGTTTATCGTATACCAAGCGGCTCGGCACAGATATTGCCATGTCCAACATGGCGAAGCGAGATGCGGTTACTGCCTTTGATGGCACTGGAAACGAAACACCCCATTCTAGCAAGCGACAGAGACAAAAGCACACCCGTGAATCTACGAACCAAAGTGATCTCTTGTCGGCAAAGGCAAAGGCACACTCTGCCTCAGCAGTGGCAGAGACACCAAAGAAGTCAGACAAGTCCAATGGGCCCAGTACTGCTGCGAGCATGGGTATGTACGAGGTCACGCCACAGCTTTCACGGGCAGAGAACGAAAAATCACAATCGTCCCCATCCAAATCAAGATCAGCTGTCGAAGTACGACCTCAAGAGAAGGAAAACAAGATAAATTCGATCGTTTCTGAAGAAACAAAGAAGAATACCTCGAAGGCATTGGTAACTAAAAGCAAGGACTCCAAAATCGGCAGTGTGGCAGGCTCGAAATTTCAAAAAGCACAACCTGATAATACGTCGAAATGGCCCCTCTCCCAAGGCTCAGGAGGAATATTCATTGATCAAGATCCGATCTTCACCGAAGACAAGCAACATCTGATTCTAGCCACTCATACTGACGTGCGAGTTTACTCCCTGAAAACGTCACTTCTAGTCAGAACTTTTCAAGTCGGGAATAAATCTGAAATCACAAGTTGCGCTTTGTCAATGATTGATCCAAAAAAATTATACATCTCAACTGTGAAGGGACTCCTGTCGGTCTGTGATTGGACCAACGGTACTTCCATAGCCAAGCACGAAACTGGAAGAGCAGCACGGAAAATCCTACCGATCAATTCCCATGAGGGACAAGAGACGATACTGGCTGTGCATCAGAATGACCAGAAATCGGTGTCTGTCGTGGCTTATGCCCTGGATACTACCAGCGCCATCCTGAGTCAGCTTCAACCTATTCTCAAGAAGAACTTTCCAAAATTACCAGTGTTACAGGCACATGCCCGGGGAAGCATTCTTGTGGCTTGTGCTTTCGACAAGATCCTTGTTGGTCAGTCACAGATTTCCGAGATTGGAACTTTGGACCTGAACTATACGTGGAGAGAGATTGTCGTTCCGGGTACAATTACGAGCCTTGATTCGCAAATCAATGTGGGAAAGTCCAAAAGTTCTCGGAAGATGCCGTTCCTGGACATCGCAGTCGGGTTGGACACCGGCGCTATCATTCATTACGAAGATCTCCTCTTCCGGCTGATTGGGAAGGAGAAGAAGAATTCAAACGAGGACATAGTTGGTCGCCGACTACATTGGCACAGGTCGAGCGTCAATACGTTGAAATGGTCTCGAGATCGTAACTATTTGATCTCTGGCGGCAATGAGACCGTGCTTGTCATCTGGCAACTTGATACCAACCAACAGCAATTCTTGCCTCATCTGTCCACCGCCATCGTGAACCTCTCAATTTCAGCTGCCGGTTCATCCTATGCATTGCGCATGGCTGATAATTCGGTGATGGTGTTGTCTACTGCTGATCTTCTCCCTTCGACGAACATCTCCGGACTGGCCGTGGGCAATACGCCGAGCCAATCGTCTACAACTGTTTTACATCCTACCGTGGATACCCTTTTGCTTGCTGCTATACCGGCAACACCCTTCACCAAAGGTAATCAGCGAGAAAAGAAGTCGACACTTCTACAATCGTATGACCTTGAATCAGACACTCAAACAAGCCGTCAAGCCCTGACCAGAAATGTGACGACTGCGGTGAACATGGCGCCTTCAGGACAGCCCGTCCAAGAACCAAACGTCACCAACATCGCCGTATCTTTTGATGGCAAGTGGTTGGCGACTGTTGAGGAGTGGCAGCCAAACGAGCAAGACGTGGCTCCCATGTGGATCGATGCCGATTCTCCAGCTCGTCGTGGAGCGGCTACCGAGACAAGTCTGAGATTGTGGATTATGAACAATGATGACAACAATTGGGAAATGGTGACCAGGATCGATGAGCCACATAAACCTGGCCCTCGATCTGTTCTTGGAATCGCCATGAACCCTGCCAGACTCGAGTTGGCAACAATTGGCACTGACGCATCGATCTCAATCTGGTCACCTAAGGCTCGACAACGAGATGATGTCTCTGTTAGAGACAGGAAAAACAAACAATTGTATACCTGGACATGCACGATGACGATTCCGTGCGAACAAGATGCCTTGGGTAAAGTCGCGACTGCTGTCGCCACCTCTGCCACTTTGGCTTACTCGGACGACGGTTCCGTTCTTGCGGCCTCATGGTCCTGGCCATCGACGTTAACACGATTTGTCCACTTGATTGATCCTCGGACCGGTAGACTGTGTGCATCGCAACCTGGTCTTTTGCAACAAGGCGATGCCAGACTCGCGTTCTGTGGGCGTTACCTCGTTTGTTTATCACAGATGCTTGTGATCCATGATACGCTGACCAGTCAAAATACCACCACTATCGAGCTGGACCAGAATTATCTTGGTCCGGAATACTCGAGTTCTAGTTACCTCGCCGTCAACAAACTTGACCAAAAAGTCGCAGTCAGTTTGACAAAGACTTCAGCACCGAAATCTACGAAACTTGTCATATTCAGTATCATTGCAGGAGACATCAAGCCTTTGTATGAGAGTTCTCTAGCGGGTGGTTTAAAGAGTCTACTCGCCCTGACGACCCGTCCTGGTTTCTTGATGATCGACGACAGGAATGTGTACAGATCACTGAAGCCTTCGGGCACAAGCGCACTCTCTTCAGTTTTGGGTCAGGCGGCCGCAGCATCTCAAGAGCCCGACCAAGTCACCAAGAGCCTGGATAGCATTTTTGGAACTGTTGGGTCTTTGGTGGAAAATGAAAAGACAATCAAGGACGGCGGTGAGGATAATACCACATCGTCCAGCAGGGATCTCAATGGTGCATTGAGAATTGTCTCATCTGCTCAGGCGCCGAGTCCTGCAGAATTGTTCCAGAGAGTTTTGACTGTGTTGGCGCAGAGCTGATGGTGGTGGTGATATTGCGTATTGGTGGGGTAATTCATTAGTGATGTATTTTCCCGTCGAGATATGTATGAATCAGATTGATATTTTGGTGTGATGGTATATAGCCCCAGGAAGTTGGGCGTCTGGATATAATGTAAGAGAATCATGGTTGTATCATCTCTTTTCGCTGCCTTTATTCTTCCTGATCAAAACACGGCCCATGTACTTTTTGACTTCTTCACCGCCGTCTTCCGTCCACATGTCTGCAAATTCGGTTACACCGGCGTCCACGCCCGCTTGAAGGGGTTGTTCCTCCCACAGCCTGATCAACCTCTTTTGCGATCTCATCGCTCTCGGTCCGTTCTCGACCACTGTCCTCGCCATTTCCAGACAGGCGTCGTCCAGACCCTCCGGGGTTTCGGTCAGGCGATCCACCAGACCCCATCGGGCCGCCGTCGACCCGTCGACGGTCCGGCCGAGGTAGACCAACTCCCTCGTGCGCTGCCACCCGACGATGTTGGCGAGCAAGCGGGCCTGGACGACCGAAGGGATGCCCACCTTGACCTCGGGCATGGCGAACGCGGACCGGCGGGTGGCGACGCGGAAATCACAAGACGCGGCGAGCTCGAGGCCGGCACCCAACGTCGCCCCGTCGACTTTTGCCAGAGTCGGGACGGGCATGTCTCGGAGGGCCTGACAGGCGTCCCGGACCGACGTGATGAATCGACGTGCCTCGAGGGGTGTGGCCAGGGAATACATTTCTCTCAAATCTGCGCCGGCACAAAACTTGGGAACACCACCGCCACCACCGCCACTGCCACCGCTGCTCCCGTCCGAGGTAGATTCTGTCGACCACCGAGGTGGCGGTGGGCAACCAGTAATCTCGACGAGACGTAAATCTCGACGAGTGGCCAACTTGGAAAGAATGTCTGTGAGGCCGTTGAGCAAAACAGACCCCAACGAGTTTGCCCGAGTAGGGTTGTTGATTCGTACCGTGGCGATCTCGGAATCGCCGTCAGAAGTCTGTCGTCGACGCCAGACGGTGTATTCGATCCTTCCGTTCTGTCCGTCTGTGTCACTGCCACTGTCATCTCGACGACGAGGTTCATGGGATGATTCGACTTCTTCAAACGTTTTGAGAAACTCGAGGTTTTCTTGTTTCGTGGTGGTCGTTGTGGTTGTGTCGGCACTCGTCGTTGTCCTCACATTTTCTCTTCCTGGTGACGACGTATGAAATGTGGCAATGGCGGAATGGTGTCGTTGTAGACCTGTTAGATGGTTCCCAGCACCACCACCCGGGAACAATCGATTGGGCTGCAAAGTCCGGGACCTCGTAGACCCCTGGAAAAGTATCCTCGGGTATGCCATCGCCGATGTCGATGTTGACATTGTCCCCAGCATCCTCCTCGACACGATGGATGAGTTGTTCATGATCATGTCCACCGACCAAATTTTTTTGCCGTCTGTGGACCAGTCACCTTTGACCTTTCGACCTCACCTTGGTTTGACTTGGTTGTAGAGAGGTTATACAAGGTGTTAACCGAGGATGGTAGTACGGGTGACTTGCTGTCGTGTCCGGTTCAGACGATGGTAACAACAGCGAGGCGACGACTAATGCCCTTCAAGAGAAAGGCAAATACTTTTCAAAAGGCGAAAAGAAGAATGAAGCGGGGAATAGAATATCGTTACTCCCCGTACCTCCCACGGTGTCATGTACATGAGAGTTTCGAAGTTGAGGCTGTACTCGGCATAACCGAGGTGATGAAAACAGGCTCGAATATCCATACCATGTAGCCGTATCCCGAGTTACCGTCGCGGCCTCGTTCATCCAACTCGCGCAGTCACGAGTACATGATTTCTTTGATCCTGAGACCATCAGACGATGAATACTTACCTGGGTAATCACCCGGTCAATAGATCAACTATACGTGGTACCGCTCACAAGGGCCTTCTGGATTAAAACAATGCATTTGTCGGGATCGTACAAATAAGATGGGCGGACCTCATTCAAGGCTTACTCGAATGAACGCCATTGGGATCAATCAAAACAATACTCCAATGGATAGATACAGCAAAAAGCATCAATTTCCCCAAACAATACGAATACTAATTGGTCCTGTAACTCAGATCGAGACTGACTCAAGGATTACTTAGGAGATACTCAATTGCCCCATTCACACTCCCACCAGTCCTCCGTAGTGCCTGAATGTTTCGGTCAAAGTCGTAGAAACCCATGTCATTTAATTGCTGAAGTTGTGTGGCATATCGTTCTTCCGGGGGTCTGTTGTCTGGTGGAGATGCCGGACCACCTCCGCCTCCGAGTCCTCCTCCCCCAAGGAGATCATAAAAGTTCGGAAGAGCTCCTGCATTTCCACCTGCACCCCCACCAAAGGCTTGCATGAGTTGATTCAATGCTTCTGGATTTGCAGCGAATGGATTCATTGGAGGTGGTGACGTGGTGCCAGTGCCAGTGTTACCACCAGGTTGCTGACCAAATAGAGCGGGATTCAGCAGGGCGGCGAACGGATTCTGTTGCTGTTGATTCGGTGTGTTTCCACTTTCGTTTGTTGTTCCCGAGGGATTTGTCGATGCCTGTGTCGATCCATTTGGATTTGGAAATGGGGCTGAGGGCGTAGTGAACAAACTTGCAAATGGATTCGCTCCCATACCGCCTGCACCACCTCCAAAGGCTGCGAATGGATTCTGCAGTTGATCTGGTTGTTGCTGCTGTCCTTCCTGTCTGTTGGTCTGATCTCCTGCATTCTCCGTAGTGTTGGTCACTCCTGGTGCCGGAAAGGCCTCTTGACCCCCGCGTCCGAATGGATCCATTCTTGAACCATTCTGAAGCTGCAACATGGCCCGTATGGCTTGTGGATCTGTCATCATTCCCCGGAAGTAATCCGACTGAAGAATTTGTCGAACGCCAGGAATGGATCGAAGGTGAGGATTCTGGTTGATCATCATGTCAACTACTTGTGGATTGTTCATAGCTTCTCTCATCATTTGTTGAAAATTGGGGTCCTCGAGTTGACGGATAAAGTCTTCGGGGCTCTGAGGGTTTGTAAACATGCTGGGATTGGGCAGTTGAGCGAACCCAGCATATCTCGCTCCTGTGAGGCCAGCTAGAGGGTCATTCCCAGTGCCTGACGCGAGATTCTGTGGTACTCCGGCTGCGGCAGGCGTCCCAGAGGCAGTGGCCGAACCGGACGATTGGGCAGCCGGGTTCTGTCGTTGATTGCTGGCGGCACTCTTTACCAGATGCATGGTGTTTCCTTCTTTGACATTGTGTTGTGACAGAGTGTGGTCATCTTTCAATACCTTGCCGCTGTAGATCAATCGTTGTGCGGAGGCAGGGACATTCGCGTATTCTTCTCCGGCGAGCTTGGTCTTGAGTTCAATGGTGGTCATGGAGAGGGGGACGGTGACGGTATATTTCTGGCCGCCTGCAGACTTCACATGGAAGGTGACAGTCGCATCTTCAGCACCAGCTGAGTCGGCCATTGTAGCGATAGCGACAGCGACTGCGCCGGAGCAGAGGAGAGGAGGACTAAATCGTGGGTGAAGATGTTTTGAGGACAGATGGTGGTGTAATTCGAGGCTTTGGAGGGGTTATTCGTCGGCAAAGAGGAGAGGTGGCAATGAGCCAGCCAAGGGCCAGAGAAGTCGCAGGAGGGAGAAGATTGGTTACAGGATAATGCGAGGTATGGAATAACTGAGAGAAGTTGATGGGGAGAGAGATGGCGACGGAGAGGAAGAGAGAGAAGGAAGCAGGTGAATGATATGGATGGAGTCTCTCTGTCTTGTTCTCTCTCTCTCTGCGCCGCTCGGCGTCTCGTATTACACAGCAAGAATCAGAATTAACTAAAAGTTACTGCCTGTGACCACCAAGTTCCATTCCGTCATCGGGTCTCAGCCTGGCATCTTTCTTATTGAAGAGTCCAGAGTCCACATACTCGTTTGTGTGTGTGTGTGTTTCTCTGTGCTTTCGACTTCTCGTACTCGTATTCCATCCCAACTTGGGCTGGTGAGGCTGAGAATGATAACTACACCTTAATGTACTCAACAATTCTCTACCCTCCTTGCATCAATACAATTAATATTCCCTCCCTCCTTATTGACTGCTCCATAAGTTCGTTTCTTTGAGTTCACCTTGATGAGGTACTTAGTTTCCACCTGCATATATTTCACTTCTTCTGTAAGCCTTGGTACCGGCAAGGCTGCACACACAATCCAGAGGCCAACAATTTCCATTTCCTTTGATATATCATTCTCTAATGAAAATAAATTCGTTGTCATGCCCTATACAAATGAAAGCCATCACTATATCTGTTCAAGAAGTGCGTACAGATAGGCAAGGGAGTCCAAAAAGCCTGCATCAGGACGGAGTATTGTAGCGCGGTCTCAAAGACAGTTTGTCAAAACATTATCTCTTTGGGAGTCATTAGAATCCATCCCAGACTGATCAATTGCAAATGTGTCCACCACCAGAGTTGTCAATCGCGCCGTACAGATGCCCAGAAACGGCATTGGTCTACATAGCAGCAGTGTTGAATCCTCCCATCTTCGCTTGGTTGATTGACAAAACCTCTCTAGATCATGGGAAGCTGCTCCAAATTGGTTATCAAACTAGGCCACCGTACCCACGAAACCCATCGAAGAGGATTGACCTTGGTCCTCGTCCACTGTAATCTTGACGAGGTTGATTTCCGACACCCTCTTGACCTCTTCTCTAGAACGGACTGATCTCTTTGGATGTTATTGATGGAACTGGTGGAATTGATGACGCTGTTGACGAAGTGCTGGTGCGTCGCAGTCGGAACTTTCGTGATTTTCTCGTCGAGATTGTCGAGGTCGATGTGGATGCGGAGGTCGTTGTCATCGTCGAAACATCGGTCGTCCGCCGCGGGAGAAACCTTCTCGACCTTCGACCCGTGCTGCTTCCGGACGATGACGAGGTTGTCATGGATGTGTCGGTACGTGTTGGATGAGTACGGTGAAGGTCGTACGTTGGCGTGTAGGCCGGTCCTGCTCCGGGGAAAGCAACACCACTTGCGGCAAGGCCGTTCAGAAATGCCTTCAGCACAATACCCCATGTCTCCATTGATCAGAAACTGATAGGAAGGGCTCACTGATTTTCTTCAGGAAGAAGTATGAATGAAGACAAGATGGGCCGTTCAGACTTCACCGGAAACGTGTAGAACATGTGCAATCTTATATGGTCCATACAAAAGGGGAGATGTTTGTCCTCGTCAGCTTACCTGCTTTCTTCGCGCCCTCTATCCATGTCAGCGCTTGTTAGATCCTGATCAGGTACTCGTGTGTGTTGGTAGATACGAAACAGAGAAAGCCCAACCATCCACAAAGTGTGCGCTGCCAGTTCCAGATGTATCCTAGTGTTCGAGACCCATCAGTTGTAGATGGCTTGCCTTAACAACATCTGGTCCAAACACGTGTGACAGCGTACGGTGATCTTAACGTGGACCTTGGGGGCCAACACAACCCATAAGCACAGGTCTTGATGTCAGCATGTGGGATTAATTCAACAAAGGCCCGCCATTGGTCATGCCTTGGTAATTGACTCGTACCTGCTTGACGAAGTCGACCAAGGAATACAGGATTTGAGACCGGATTCATGGAGGGTAACGTAGCAGTTACCTCCTTGGGTAGCTAGACTTGATCTGCCCTGGTGTTGTTTACTTTCTTTCTCTGGACAGAAAATATGCGACGAGGTTCCAGCGAAGCCTCCCGTGGCCACTCGCTCAACCTAGTCCTCAATCTTGGGCTCGTTCGGGTCGATATCGTTCAAGTGTCGGATATCACACAGTAAATGCTTGGATAGTTGAGATCACTAAGCAGAATGGTTTGAGGTTTCAAGAATTGCAGACTGGCTCGGGATCTTTGTCCCCACCACCCCCATCATGCTCATTTTGCCATTCGCTCTCCGTAGTCCCTTCCTACATTCAATACACCTAGTCAAGTCCTGTTGGTTTGCCAGTCTTTACCTTCTCAATATCGGCATCTCCAGCTTTGGTGAGCACCAGTCACTAAAGCGCCATGGATCCAGCTCAACTGACCATTGCGGCGATGAGGGGTTCCCGGACGAGCTGCGCAGCCCTCTCGTCATACTATGACAGTGGTACGCATGTTACCCTTACCGTTTGCCTCCTGGGGCCTGAAAATGATGTGGATCCCACGCAAGAGGATCTGATCAATACTTACGGTATCACTGCCATATGGCAATTCGGAGGTCGAAAAGCCGGAGGATATTGCAGAGGTCACCATGGCTGGAAAAAGAAGAAGAAGCATTGTCACGTGTCTCATTCAACACTGAAGCTATCGCCAATGCAGAGGACGAAGACTACCGCCAGACGAGAAGCGTCCAGAAGTCGTGGAACAGGAGTATTGCGAAGTCCAATGCAGAATTCACTCTGGCTTTGAGAGAGAAGGTCGACCGTCCATAGCCAACACATACATGTCTTCTTCCGTCCTATCGCTTTGTCTGACCACAGGGTGGCGGACTGCCGCAACTTTCCTCTCCCTACCGAAACGTTTTTGATCATGGTCCAAGAAAACGTCGTATCAGAGGTAGGTATATCAGGGGAAGAAGTTAGCATGAACACATAATCTCAAAGAGTCGCATTCCTAACGCATTTCGAACACACCTCCACGCGGCTGACCCAACGCGTCTTTTCGGACACGCCTGCACGCGGATCGTTCACTGACGCCTGGTGAAGCCAGCCCCCGTCTCTATGGCTCTTATTGGCTCTTCTGTGTGCTGAATCCAGGGCTTATATCTGTGAAAAGTGCAATTCCTCTCAACAATTCCTCAATCTACCTGTGGCTTGCCTGGTGTAAGTGGTTTCACGACCACTTTCCGCCAGTCCAAGACCAGCCTGGTATTCGCCAGAGAAGAGGCACTTTATCTTGGGGTAATTTATCTGCCCTGACGCCCAGTGGTGACTCGAATCACTGGATCGGTTCCCAACATACATGGCCTCTATATGTGAGTGTCCTAGTTGGGAGATAACGTGACGGACCTTCGGAAAAAATCCCCCGCCTGGGATTTTCCTCGGCCTGGCCGGTAACCACCCAGCGTGTGGTTGCCTGCCAGGCTAGAGTTTTGCTGATTGAAAGAAATGGCCATGGGGGAGGTCGTCTTTTTGGGGGTTTCTCACTATGGTTCAAACACCTTGGTTGGGTGTGATCGCAACGCAGTACGAATCTGTGATCTACCTCTATTGAAAAGCCAACTCGAAAGCAGGAATAGTACCTTGCTCATGATTTTATTCGTCAGGTTTTTAAACCCTTTCATATGGTAACGTAACAGTATGGACTTGAAAGACTTCAAGTCGTCGATAAGACAGCCTCGTCTCGGGGCGGAAAAGGAGAAAAGCACCCGTGCGACAACAGCCTCGCTGCCTCGGCGGTGATATCCTTTTTCTCCCTTCCCCGCATTTCTCGAAATTCCTCGTTCAAGCAGAGGTCTATTATGATTACTTCGCATGAACCTCTCCGAGCTCATTTGTACAGTAGAATCTCAACAACTGACCTTCCCACCGTATGAGTTTCCAGGCAGAAACCTTTTCCTCAAGACCGATCGAGTTCTCCATACGATTTCTGTGACGGTATTGACACACAGTCTCCCAGAACCCGCCCACCCCGCAACCGCCTTCAACAATGCCTCAACGACTCTTGATCGGCCTCTCGCAATCCCACACCCTCTCCTCCGTACCTCAGACGCTCTCGGCTCTGCGCGACACCACGAAACGTGCGGCGGAAAAGGGCATCTCGATCCTCCTCTTCCCGGAAGCATATCTGGGCGGGTACCCTCGGACGTGCAGCTTCGGGGCCGCCATCGGATCCCGCACCGACCTCGGCCGCGACCAATACCTCGCCTACACCAAGTCGGCCGTCGACCTGGGTGACACCCCGGGGGGTGCGGGTGATGAATGGCTCGAGAACTATCTCCCGGTCAACAAGGAGACCGGAAGGCGAGGTGACGGCACGCGCGAAACACTCGAAGAAATCGCCCGCGAGACGGGGGTCTTCATCGTCACGGGAGTCGTCGAAAAGGCCGGAGGCAGCTTGTACTGCTCGGCCGTCTACGTCGACCCGCGACGCGGCGTGGTTGGAAAGAGGAGAAAAGTCATGCCCACGGGCTCCGAAAGACTGGTGTGGGCACAGGGGTCGGCGTCGACCTTGAAAGTCGCCACGACCACCATCAAGGGAGTCCGAGTCGTCATGGGTTGTGCCATCTGCTGGGAGAATTACATGCCCCTGCTGCGTTACAGTCTCTATAGCCAAGGCGTGAACCTCTGGCTGGCACCCACCGCGGACCCCCGAGACACCTGGGAACCTCTGATGCGCACGATAGCGTGCGAAGGTCGCTGCTTCGTCCTCAGTGCGAACCAGTGTATGAAGAAGAAGAGCCTTCCCAGTTGGATCACCACGGGTGGTGCTTCATCGAGAGAAGAAGACGAAGCAACGTCTATGACCGGTGGTGGGGTGAGAGTCCACGAGACTCTGGCAAATGGTATCCCCGTCGGTAATAACACTACGCTCAGCAAGGGCGGTCGTAGGCTGTCCATGACAAAGACCGAGGAGAATCACGAAATCGCATGGAAGTGTGATAATAACAAAACGATTGACGAGGAGGCGAACCCTCTTGTTGAAAATGACGACAACGGCAACAACAACAACAACAACAACAAGACACAGCATCCACGAGACTTATCATCATCTGGAGACGGCAGCGGCGAAGAGTTTGTATCAGTCGGAGGCTCTTGCATAGTCAATCCCATGGGTAAGACCATCGCCGGACCGATCTGGGAAAAAGAAGACGAATTGTTGTACACCGAAGTCGACTTTGACGATTGTGATCGAGGACATCTTGATTTCGACGCCGCAGGACATTATTCTCGTCCTGATGCTTTCAAGTTGACCGTCGAAGGTTTGGATCTGAATCCGCCACCTTGATTTTACTTATTGTAGTGAAATGTAAATGTCTTGCTGTATAAATTACAATGATCCATCATGCAAAAAGGAAGACGACATCGTACTCAAAGATCAGCAACGTCTTTGCTAAAAAGATCGCTTTCGTCTCGTAACTCGACCCTTACTCCGCAGCTTGCAGGAATGGCCGGCATCCAGCTCAAGATCAATCAATTGAAATGTGTTTGACCGAGCGAGGCAAGAGACTTTTACGTTTGAGGAAATTAAAAGAGAAACAGGCGATGGCAGCTGTGGAACAGAGAGACTGAGATAAGCGAGAAAGGTAGCAGACAGACATGCCTGAAAAGTGCAATTCCAGCTTTCATTATGGCATCAGCTTACTGGGAACATGCCGCCACCATGTACATAGGGGTATCTCTGAGTCGTTTATTTCCATTCCGTCCAGATCAAGTTATACATTGGCATATTCAACCTCGTTTAATACGCCACTCGTGTTCGCATGTCCGAAATCTTTCGTTCAATCTCGCGAACTGATCGATCCAGTTCGCCTGCAATCATCAACTTTTTGTCGTTTGGCAGAAGGAAATACGTTTCGCATAGGTCACCGTCAATAGTTCCCTTTGATGGTGCATAATAAGATCGGTAGATGAGATGGTCACGTCCGAGTAGAGGCGGGTTTCCGTTGGTCGAGGCCAGTTGCATCTCGAGAGACTGGAAGAAATCGACGTCTTCACGGCTGACAAAGGGCACGAGTATACCCAGCGTGCCCTGGAAACCGGTCCAGAATACAACGTCTCGACCACCGGCCACCAGACTCGTTTTTTGGATGCTCGTAGGGATATCGCCTGGGAAAAAGTGTGCCATCAAGCTGAGCCTGTTGGGGGCGCCGCTGAGATACTGTCTCTCGTGGATCAAATGAGCCCCCGCGCCATCTTCGTCAGCCTCCTCGGAGGCTTTCTGCGGACACCGGAGAAGCCACAAATTGCCAAACTTATCACCTCCCGCTACTGTTTCATAATCGACCATGGTCGCGCAGGTGGTCCAGCGCGCAATGACGTCGTCTGCGAAAGGGATAAGTTTGTTTTCTTGAAACTTGTAGACCACATAAATGACACTCTCTTGTACATCGCTGACAACAATCCTGCTTCCCTGAGTTTGCAGGCCAACGATGACATTAGACATGCGGACTTGACATTTGCGAAGCATCTGTTTCATGCCCAAATCGTAGATTCTGAGGTCTGTGCCAACCCCGGCAAGAAGTCGCCCTTGGAATGCGAGGAGGGCAGTCGGCGGCTGCTCGACCTTTGTCTTGTGGATGAATTCCAGTTCTTTACCATCCTCGTGGAATCGATAGACGTGTAGGAATCCCGCAGTAAATGATCTCGGATTGACTGTCAAGTCTTTGGCGGTTCCAACAATCAAAAAAGTTTCATCGTCTTGCCCCGCGAATGGTGCTGCCGCAATGCTTGTTGCACACTCATTATCTTCTAGGTCAAGAGTGAAGAGAACCGACTTTGTCGTGACTGGGTCAATGATCTGTATGCACGATGACCAGTGCCCAGTTCCTCGAGGATATCCGAATTCTTCAGGAGGTAAGACAACCGCATCGCCATTGACAGCGGTAGAATCAGTTAGTAGTTTTTGCCGTGTCGTGGGTGCAAGGACGTTATTCTCGGCCTCAATGACGTAGAAGAGTGGATGCTCAGGATGTTTGACGAATTTTCGAGGTGTATATGAGAGTGGAATGTTGTCTTGCAGTAAGTTCTTTGACAAATCCTCAATGGTGAAGATCCTGAGGAAAGCTGTTAGTGAGATACTCTCTGACATAATGAAGTAATGCTAGCATAATGAGGGGTTTTCAGAAGGAACAATTGGTTAATTTTGAATTCCACATAAAAGTTCTCGGTAAGAGCATAGTTATGGGTTCATCATAGAAAAGCGTAAAAACAGCAAACAAGCAAAGTGTGCTTACCTGAGATTCTGGCCTTGAATGCCCACCATCCCCTCGGGACACTGCTCGCTCGTGAAGTTCCAGACGTACTGAAGGCCAGCATAGTCCAGAGGTGTCAGCATGAAGCCGTTCGTCTGTGTGTCGGTATAGCCCAGCCACGCCCGCGAGCTTAAGGCCATCACTGCATTTTGACCCTTTACCGAAACGCGGAAAAGTTTCGCCGGCTTCAATCCCAGAAATCGGGTCCTTGTGTCTGACAACTCCCCGGTGATTTCGTCTAGAACAGTGCGAAGGTAGACGCCAGAATAAAGTCCGATGTGAAGATACAAAGTGGTTCCGCCCGATGTCGAATCAGCCATACCCATGATGGATAGGGCCGAGGGTGCCGAAGTCAGTGCCTGGACTGATTTGTTTTCAAGTGTCGAGTCGGGATCTAGACTAAGAATTCTAACCGTCGAATCGTCACATCCGACTGCCAGAAATGAGCTCCGCACACGGCCCTCTGGGACGTCGCCTAAGCTGAGACAAGTCACCGTTCCAGTCATTTCTCTGCGTTCATCGTATTCTGCAAGTGAGCCATCTGTGTCCAGCTCAAAGTAAACAATTTCACCAGAACTCAAGGCCACAGCAACTTGTCGTTCATTGGTGGTTGCTGCGACGATCGATCTATGTTGAGGTGCTGGCCATTCATTGACTCGCTTGTCAGCTCGGATATGTCGTATACCTCGGGGGTGAATCTGCAGTAGGGCGTCATCTCCCAATTGCTGTACGGCAAGGGTAGGAGCTGTTGACAAAAAGCCAGTATCCGTGACCTCCTCTACAGTCTCTCCTATGCTCAGCACAAGAGTACCTGACTTGAAAGACAAGACGATATATGCGTCATACTCGTCTTCTCTGGTCAACTTAGTCGTCCAGACAGCCTCAGGTCTGTCAGGAAGCTCTGATTCTACAATTTCAGAAACAGATAAGCCATGCTTAAGAGTCTTGAAACTACTCCGAGCGCCGGAACCGCATATTGAGTAGATCTGAGGAGCATCTTCATCGAGCAAGTTTGCTACCTTGCAGTCCATCAAAGGATTCGCCGAATCAATGCTCTGTACCAGGTTGAGGTTGGACAGAGGTCGAGGGTGGAAATATGCAGGAGAGTAGTCTTCAGAAGGGTCTGACGGGTAGTCGCCACTGGCAAACTCCGTCTCCTCGTCGTCATCACCCAGTTTCTCGAACTGATAGAAATGATGGTTCCCATTCTCAGCACTCACGAAGAGAAACCCACTCTTCAAGATGTGCAGACTATTGGCAACTGGGACCGTGTCAAAGTACTTGACATTCAGAGCTTGAACTTCTCCAGTGGGTTGCCCATTTTCGTCTTGAACCATCTCTATCGTCGTTTTGAATAAATCGCCATCCTCTGTCTGCAGAAGTAGGAAGAATTGTCCTTTCATCTTGTGCATAACACCAGCAACAATGTGCCGTTTTCGTTCGGGGTTCTCAAGTATACCCCTCCTTCGAGGTATGGGAACTCGGAAGGCGTCTTGGTTGGAATGTCGATAGGTGATATTGTCCTCTGCACACACAAGAACACCGCTGGGCCCATCAGAACCGCCGGGAACCTGGAACAACTTCGTGGCGTCCCGGGCAACGGGCTCGGCCCATTTACGGACAACATGGTTTAAACCCAAGTCGAGCTCGTAGTAGACCAGAAGTTTTTCAACCTCTTCGAATGCCTGGCCACTGGGATCTTGGTCCACCTCAGTGTAATCGACCTCCAGTGCGGCAAAAATGGGATTTTCATATCCTACGTCCAGCGCGATACAATCAAAAACCAGTGTCTGGGGCTTGTGGGCTTCAAGTGGTGACGATATTGTCAATTCAGCTTGAGCATTTCTGTTAAGGACGTAAACAAGTTTGTTCTTTTCCACCGACGCGATGATGCATGCTCTTCCCTTCGGATCGGCTGCAAGGTATTGGCCAGGTATGACACGGCGAATGCCTGATTTTCCGTAGGTTTCAAGGTGTACACGATTGAAGCGGTTTTGTTCGCGGACATATTCGAGTATGGTAATCCGTCCAGAATCAGATCCGACAATCAGATAGTCTGGGACACTGGTCAGCTCACGCTAGGATATCAGGGCAGAAATGATTCACCTTTACTGCTCCCTGCTAGCCGGAAAGATGCGAGGCTCCTGATGATACCGAAGCAGGCTTGGGTGAACAACGGGGAGATCTTCCCTTGGGTGGCATCGGGTCTGTGTATGGTGAGCTTCGAGCCAGATGCTGTGATGATCTGTTGCTCTTTTGTACCGGCAAATTGACCCAACACTGCAGAGGTGATGGCAGCTGGCGGCTGTATAGTCAAGCTATACATAAACATAGAACTTGTGGTCGCCATGGTGGAAGAGGTTCAGGCCGCGATCGTTGGATCGGGCTGATCGAGAATACTGTCGCGACAACGCCGAGTTAATTCACCCTGACATAGGATGTGCCATGCTAACGTAGTCAGGACGAACAGAAATGATGATATACAAGAAGTCTCGAGAGGAGGCGCCAAACACGAGGGATGTTCGAGCAATGTCTGCAATAAGAGACCTTCCGCTACTGTTGTACCTGCGCCGTTGTCAAAAATTGTTCAAAACGCCAAGCCTCATTAGTACTTTTACTCGCCGCCCTTATGATAGACTCGACGCTTACCTTGTCTGTCTGTTAAACATCTTGTGACAGCGAGATGCATATACCTGGCTCGAGACCTCACGACATGCTGAAGTTGCACACAAACTCTCGAGCAAGGGTCTCATGTTGATCTTTGAATCATGAAACGCCGGACTCTTGTCTCGGTATCGTGAAATTCCTATGAGCCAACGATGCCGAGAGCGCATCCACTTTCCTGCTCTAGATTGTCAGGCAACAGCAGCCTTACAAAACTGGTGTCTGCGAAGGGGGCCAAAATCAGTCTCGGCTGTGGCAGTGACAAGTAGGTCGCGATGTTGCCTGTTCTCCAAATGCCATGATACGATAGACTTCTTTCTCTCAGCACGCTCGAATGTCAAAGCTATGTATCACTCTAATCCGCCGTCGAAGTTGCAAGTATCTAGCATTTCTTTTCGGGTTTCAGACTTCCGCATTCTTGCTTTCCTCTTGTAGCTTTCCTTCTCAAATCGGAAACCAAGTATGACTACGAATTCTAGCAACGAAGATATCACCAAGCTGGATGCTGATGAATCGGCTTCTGCTGCCTGCGAACGAGATGATGCTGGTGCGCAATGCAATGGCAAACCGGAGTAGGGTGAGCACATTAGCGAAACATCTACAATGCTCTCGTCTACATGTGGTGCTTCCTGCGATCGATGTCTCAAGCCCATTGAAGGCGTCCGCTACAAATGTGAAAATTGTCCAGACTTTGATTATTGCACTCAATGCGTGAAATTGGCCTCCTCGATTCACCCAGGTCACAGTTTTGTGGCTCTGAAAGGTTCTCGGCGCCTAGAGGGGGATGAACTCAGCAGGCACGTTCGACCCATGGACGAAGTCCTTGACCCTGTGACCTTTCAACTACGGGGTCAGAGTTCAGATTTTCCCTCACAATGCTGCATGTCATGCCAGCCAGTAACCGTTCCTCTCCCGGCGTTGGACGTTATTCTACAGGACAAAAAATTCCGTGAACAGAAACAGAAGACTCTCCAACTCAGCTGGCCGGCTCGTCTTTCCAGTCTCGTTGAAGCAACTGTTGGAGGCTGCGCATTTTGTTCCATGGTTTTACACAAATTCTGGTCCAGGAAATGCTATCTTATTCACCTACCAACCTGAAATCCCCTGGATGTGCAAATCGAATGAAGAAAGGCGACAAGGTGTGGTGTCTCATGCCATGCATCTGCTTACATTGATGAAGAATGATGAATTCGGTTTCACTGTTGAGCCGGTCCGGACCAAGGGATCTGTCAAGTTTGATGTCCCGGCTCCGTATCGAGCTAAGGCAAGCCAAGCAAGGAAAGGAAGTCCTGAGTCAAGTCTTAGCAAACCGAGGGCGGCAATACTTCGAGGTGGATGTGTATGCGGCGGAGGACAATCCAGCTGCCGCTTTCATAAGTCGTCGACCGCCAAATGCATCACCTTCCTTACCAGGTGGACTTCAGCAAATCAAGACTTGGCTTGGTAAATGCGAGCAGGAGCATGGTCAGGCCTGCGGCTCTACCACATCTCGCCTCCCTAAACGTGTTATTGATGTCTCGGACCTTAGCACTCTCCGCCTCGTGGAGACAACCAAAGACTCGAGAGGCCGCTACGTGGCACTGAGCTATTGTTGGGGAAAGGTACAAGAATTTCAGACGACGACAGAAACAATACAAGAAAAGCTTGATGGTTTCGCACCCTCTGCTCTCCCTCAAACACTCCAAGACGCTGCCACGATTACGAACGCACTTGGCATTGAGTTCCTCTGGGTGGACTCTATCTGCATATTGCAAGACGATCAAGTGGATAAGATGACACAAGTTAATCACATGGCTGAAATTTACAAGCATTCCACCGTGACACTTTCAGCTAGCAAAGCGGATGATGCCAGTAAAGGCTTCCTTCTAGACGAAGCGAATCCTGACACTGGCTTGTGGAAAAACCTTGTCCCTCTGGCCTTTCCCTTGCCTGAACCAACTGCGAGCTGTATCGACGACGTCTTTAATAAACCACGCACTGTGTTTGGAACCATCTGGCTATGTGACGAGGATCGGGGCATGATGGAGTCCTTTCGCAGCCCCGTTGACAGGCGTGGTTGGTGTCTCCAGGAGAAACTCCTATCCAGCAGACTCTTATCATATGGGAGATGGCCGACCTGGAAATGTGCTCTCAGCATGCAGAGCGATGGGGGATTCCACCCACTCCCGCGAGATACACAGCACGAGCGCCGTCTCTCCACCTTGCTCTTGGAACATGGACATCATCCTTCAGAGAATCCGCTCGGTCTTCACACGGCTCATCAAATACTGCAGTGTTGGTACAAACTGGTCAATGAATACACGCAGCGTGAATTCAGTCTGAAATCCGATCGTCTCCCTGCCATAGGTGGTATAGCTTCTGAAATATCTCGCGTCCTTGGGATGACATATGTGGCTGGTTTGTGGCAGACGAATCTCTTACATGACCTCATGTGGACGGCTAAGGTAAAAGAGTGGCTGAATCGAGTCGAGGGCTACGCCGGACCTTCTTGGTCTTGGGCTGCGCTTGACTGTCCGGTCACCTATGACGAAGTCACGGAAGACTCCATTGCCATGGCTCGCGTCATTCGCCATCAGCTCGAAGAGGCTCCGACTGGCCCATACGGTGAGGTGCAAGGTGGTAGCATTGACCTCGAAGGTTCTTTCACTCGAGTCGAAAAGGCTGATGTGGTTTCAATTCTCCAAGATCAAAGCATGGCGCAGCCTCCGCCCAGAAACAACAATGCGCTAGAGTGGTATCGTCAGATTATGGAATTCGTCAACAATCAACCAAAGAACAATACTGCCAAAGAGGAAAACTGGATCGAGACCCTGCCTGACGAGATGTTCGCAATCATCACCCTTACTAGGGACTGGCGGATTGTGCATGAAGAACGCATGACTGGAACCTTTTTCTCTGGCTTGTTGTTGCGTAAAATTGACGGCGGTTACGAAAGGATTGGCAGTTTCATGAACGAGAACCGCGAATGGATGGGCCGAACTGTGGATCTCCGACAGAGGCAGATTGTGACACTTTTGTGAGATGGTGTTAGAAGTCCTGTCGCCGAAAGTAGCCAAAGGTTGGAGTAAAGTGCATCAAATTGAGTGGTGGTTGGTCAAGAGGATTGATTCAACTCACGGCGGCGCGAGCTGCCTTGTAGCATAGCATCCGGCGGCAATAGTCGGTCCGTGTTCGTTGGAATCCAACTTTCAACGAATTGCGCCGAGATGAATCGAAATTATCCCGAAAAACTTCATTCCGGGGTTTCCTAGCCGCTTCGCGATACTAGTGTGTAAAGGTCACTCTTGCTGGAGTACAAACTCTACTTCGCCCACATTGCGTGATTATTCAGGTCACTCAATGGCCAGGGTGGCGCGCCATGCGACAAGAGCTTGACACTTCTGAGCAGCCATGGCGGATTCAAGGAGACACGGCATGGTGGTGTTATAGGTGGCGAAACAGGCAATTCTTCGATTAATGAGGTGTCTCTGGGTCAAAGCCGCCAAAGATATCCTCACGTCCAGGCCAATGCTATCTGTCGGGTCAAAGTAGCTTTGTCACAGGTGGCTCAAATGGCCGGCGGTTCCAGAGGTCAGTGAGCGTCATTACCTAAAAGGAGGCAAGGTCTCAATTCTACCTCGACTGCTCACATTCCTCACTTACCTCCTGGTATGATCATGGCTATACCCTCTACAATCAAGTCCAGGATAGCCTTCCACGCAACCATTCGATTCTGTGGACAATGCAAAAGCAACCGGATCATGTAGGCAATGGACATTGGAGTTCTTAGGCCGGATCCGAAACTCTTTCCCCCAAACATAGAGAATGACCAGCCCGATTGTCCAAGTCAGAGACCTATTGAATCAGGACTCTTCGAAGTTTGTACCTGGGACCGTGCCAGCCTTGTCTTGGAGTGCAACGTCAAAGGTCGTCAAAATGACAACTTGAGATCTCTCCATCACAAACTCTTTCTATAGAATCTCTATATAGTCTTTCTGTAGTTATCTGTACTAGCATTGTGAGTCATGAAGATCCATTCAATATGGAATGACGAGAAAACACCAATACCGAGGGCCCTCAGATCCCCAGCGACGTCTTCAGACTCTCCCACGAAGCTTTCCCTCGCCGGGCCCAATATTCGGGGTCCCTTTCCTCCATTTTCATGTCTCGATGGAATACCTCTAAACTGACCCATCCTTTCCATCCCTTCCGAACGAGCCACGCATGCGTGATGTCCTCCATGGGCAGATAGGCTCCTTGTTCATCTTCCTGAGGGAAAAGCCTACCGTACGTACACCATGAGTGCACCCCGTACTTGTCTTCGTGGTAGGCCGGATGTCCGGGCCAGATGGGAGGAGACATCCGTTCTGCGTCACTCAATTGGACGTAGACGATCTTGTCCCTCGGGCAAACATCCAAAAACCTTTGGATCGAATCTCGTAACGCGGCAGTCCCACCGGGTCGTAGGCCAGAAGAATCTGTAGGGTCCGCCCACAGTCGGGCAAGGACGTGGTACGTGTCGAGACATAGACCAAAGTTGGGACGGTCCACCTTCTGCACGACGTTCAATGATTCCTCCCAGTCGGCCACTCAGGTGCCCCAACCCAGAGCCTCGTAGGCAAACGACACCGGCGGCTGGCGTTGCAAGCCCAGATCCGCGAGTGCTCGCAGTTCGTCGACGATCAGCCTTTCGTCACACATCGCTCTTCTGTCGTCATTGCTAGGGACTTGAATGACGTTCGTACCAAGTTCGTGCACGAGGTCGAGCCATTCAGAAGCTTTCTCAAGTCGATTCTCCAAAGGTGTAGTAGGATCACCCTCGAAGTTGTCGAAAGAGCCAAAGCATAGAATTTCTAGACCAGCTTTGGCACAGAGAGCGCGGATTTCTTTGGCCGCAGCGAGGCTGGATTTTCCCAATCGATCCCTAAAAGCATTGAAGTCGGTTATGAACAATTCGATGCCTTCAAACCCGGCGGCTTTAGCTGCCGTGATCTTGCTTTCGAGAGTATGTGTCTGGTGCCAGCCCATGGACACGGTCGATATAGCCAATCTATGAGACATCTGCGACGTTTCATATCGCCATAAAGCACCTTCATTGATGATTGAGGATCCAGGGATCAACTAATGCAGCCCTTAATATGACGACGCCGTTGCACATACGCGCCATATGCTGTGCCGTATATAGTGACTAGCTAATCTTGCAAGGCTAGAGAGGGAATAGAACTGTAGGTACGGAGTACAGAGTATCTAACTCGAGTCTGTGAAAGGATGTGACAGATGTTGTTATATTGGAATAAAGCAAAAACAGTACATGCGTACTTCTTCCTTATCTAATTTGCATTGATGCCATCAATCTGTGTGGTAGCTTGAAGATGTTGAAAAAGCTACATTCTCACTGCGGCACAACATGCCATAATCCAACAAGAGGTATATAGTTAATCTGCACCAACAGCTATTACTCTCCACTCACTAGGAGGGTTGTCCTCCGTGAACCGAGCCATGTGGGCTCATGTTCTTGTTGGGACTCGCGGGTGGTGCGGGTGTCGCCTTTCCTTTACAACGTGGGTCACCCAAGGCAAGGTTCTGGTGTACGCCTATCAAGGTGGAATCGCAAATGGCGAAGACGGTGTCAGATACACACAAGAACTGACCTGGATATTTGCAATCTACCCAAGTCGAAACTGGAACAACCTGGGGAGCTGGCATGGCGACTGCGAATGGTGCCAATGCCATGGTCATCAAGAAGACCTTTGCGGTGATGGTATATAGGTGCATTTTCGGGGTTGTACAATTGTTTGTATTTGATTGGGAAATTTGTTAGTGATTGGGAAAGTTTTACTGACCGGGTGGGTTGAGAATAGATTTTTCACCTGTTCATGTCAATACTACGGGATTTGCCCCAGTACATGTACATCCCACGGTCCAAGGATGAATGAGCACCAGTTAAACAAAGCTCTTTCAGACAGCATTGTTCTTCAGAACATGCCAGCCAGTAATATAGTCTGTGAGCGTCATTGACTCAATGAGAACAAAGAATGGTCCTTGAATCTGCTAAAGCTGGGAATTTTACAGATTTGAAAGAAGCTCCTTTGTGTTATTCAAGAAGCCCGCGAGTACTCCGTACATGGTCGTCGTGATCGTGCAAGGAAGGACTATCCAGGTGTTTTGAAGTTGTGTATTCGTATTTTATCCGCCATGTTGCGGGCCGACATGGTCGGATACCGGACAAGGCTCTGTCTGGCTTGTATGCGGGGAATTTCTTATTTACTCTCGCATTCCGTACTTTCTGCATCGGAAGCGGGACATCGGACTTTTGGATTATCCACATGCCGAACCGAAACCGCCGTCTTCAATATCCATATGTACAACAATGATATGTTCGACCATGTATTCTTCCCGCTGGACGAGTGGAAGTCAACGTGCACAAGGCATTATATTTCTCAAAGAGACTTGATCAACCAGCTTCTGACAGATAGCCGAAGGTGATCGACCCTTCAGAGGCCTTACTCAGCACGCGAGTCAAGGATTTAGACAAATCGACGGGAAGATATACATGACACTAGAGAAACAGAATACCTCGACGTCAGACAAACAAAGTGATACACCAACATTTGTCATTATTCAGACAGGACGACCAGGTCTATATCTTGATAGACTCTCCCTCTTTCCCAATTAGGGCCTTACATCTAGACAGCATCATATCAACTCTACTATTTCACTCTGTCCATCAAAACTACTACCCACCATGTCCCAATCACAGAGCTTCGACTTCTTGGTCGGGACATTCAACACACCACAACTTTATACTCTTCGCTTCACACCATCCTCTCAATCGTGCTCATCGAGCACACTCAAAATCGTCCAGCGTTCTTCCGCCATCGGGTCTCATTCCTGGCTACACCTCACCTCTCCGAGACCAGACGGGACACGCACACTCTACGCCACCGCTTGGACAGAACCACCCACCGTGGTCGCATACGCCGTGCACTCACCCACACAAATATCACTTCTCGGCACGGCACGGACACAATCACGAAGCGGATACGTCTGCGCGAGCGACGTAGCAGTCTACTCTGCCGGGGGCGCTACAGGCGAAGTATTCGTCATCGACCGCGAGACCGGAGGCTTTCTTCTGCAACCTTCTCAGGCAAACGGCGACACCAAACGAGACACGACACGCTCGACGTCACCCACGCCAGTACCGCCTCTCCAGACCATTTCCTTTCTCGACGCCTCTTCTCAGCGCGACGACGGCAGCGTCATGGACTTTGGCGGCCTCCGCCACGGCGCCCACTCGGCCGACCTCTCGCCGGACCAGAGGGCGCTGTACGTGGCCGACATTGGGCGCAACTGCATATGGACCTTCTCGGTCTCGCCGGTCGACGGCGGCCGCGTGACGCCCGGCGAGAAGCACGTGTCGCCCCGGCCCAACGACGGCCCCAGGCACGTCTGGCCCCACCCGTCCGGTCGGTACGTGTACTGCCTGCAGGAACACACGAGCATGGTCGACGTCTTTTCGACGTCCGACGGCGGGGTGACTCTCGAGCACGAGCAAGGCGTCCGGATCATCCCGGCCGGCGAGGTCGAGAGTGAGTTTTGGGCCGACGAGGTGCGAACGAGTTTCAGTCACGCCTCGAAGCCGCGGTACCTCTACGCCAGCACGAGGGGGTTGGACCCTCGCAGAAAGGGTTACGTGGCGGTGTACAAGCTCACGGAGGAAGGGAGGATCGACACGTCCTCTGCCGCCTCAAACGCCTTGATCTCGGCCAACGGCAGTACGAGTGGCGGCAGCGGCAGCGGCACCCTCACAAATGGCAATGGCAATGGTGCGAATGCAAATGCAAACACAAAAGCGGCCACCCAGGACCCGTACGCGGGCTTACTGTGCATGTACGAGACTGCCACGAGCGGAGGGTGGGCCAACGCCGTCCAGCCGGGTCCCACGGTCGACGGGGTCGAGTACCTGGCCATGACCGACAGCGAGGAAGGGTTCGTCTTTGTTTTGAGTTGGGACGGCAAGGAGATGAAGGAGGTCGCCAGGACAAAGTTGGACGAAGGAGCTGGTGCCGCAACCGCCGTTTGGTTTTCTTGACGACTTTCCACACACACGAGACAACGACTACAAGTAAGATACGGAAGTAGGGAGCGTAGAGAATACAAATGAAAATAAAAACCCCCTAATATAAAATGGCCCCATGCCCAAAATGTCCAAGGACGCAAAGGCGTCGGGGGTCGTCTGAAAAAAGAGACACAAACTTTGGGTCGGAGTTTTGTTCATGGTACAAACTGTCAACATACCTCGACAAATTCAGGTACCGAGAGAACGAATGTGAAACATCAACAAGAAAAAAACAATAGTCTTCGGCACAGATTGGAATCCAACATTAATAGAAAGGATAAAAAATAATCTCCAAGGTATACAGTTATTCATTATATCAGCACTTGACAAATAGTCAAACATTTGATCAAGGAGATCATCAACACCAACTCAACACAACTTCACACTAATCTCATCATATCAACATATCCTTTTGTTCTATTCGAACCGAAAACCGCTCAACTAGTCTTCTCGGAACCTTGAACATTGGTATCGTTTGTCGTTGTCGGAATGGATCCATTCGTCCTCGTTCGAGACCGATGTGTAATCTCGGCGTCATGATCGGCTCTACTTCTCGTGGCCTGCAAAGCCACCATCCGCGTCTCGTTGTCACTGTCACTGACGCTCGATTCCTCGTCTGCGGGCGATTTCTTGACGGTCATTGTCGGCGCGAACTTGGACCTCTGTCGTAACTTCTTGCCGAAGAGGTAGAAACAAATCGGAATGGGTACACAGATAGCTGCAAGACAGCCCAATAGCGTGCCAGCCCAATTAATACCTAGATTATCGAACATTTGTCGTGCAAATAGCGGGAATCCGGCTGCAAAACAAGAACGGAGAAAGGTGTTGGCGGCGATGGCCGAGGCAGCACTGTGGAATAACAAAGTTAGTCGTCTGGGACAAACATACACCGGTCCAAAAGGGCCCAATAACACTTACAACATGAGGTAGGAATCGATAATGTAGTTGAAGCACTGAATGAAAATCGCTAATAGCCCAAAGCCGGTGAAAAGACCGGACAGTGTTGGAACGATCCAAGGCACCGATTCCAGATATCCGGACCAGCCAAACCAGAAAAGGCCGAGAGCGAACAGGACACCTCCAACGATGACAGGTGGCAGTCGCCATTCTGGGACTGGGATGCCACCATTCGCCTGCAATTTCTTATTGTAGGCCCGGGCGTCAAATATGATGTATCCGGCAACGATGAAGATACCCACAACCATGCCGAAGAATGGCAGGCCAGACACACCAGGCTTCATGTGGTGAACACCTTGGAAGACCAGCGGATAGGCGGTCAGGAAACAGTAGAGAAGACCGTAGATGAAGGACATGTAGATGGTAATGGCAAGGATGATCGGTTCCGAAACCAAAAGTCGAATTGGACGCGAAAAGTTCTTCGTCACCAGTTCCCGGAAGTCAACTTCAACTTCTTCCTGCTTTGCATGAATACCCCAGTTCTTGGTGCGACGTCTCAGTTCTTTAGCTTTCTCGACCAACACAACAGGCGCGTACGTCTCTGGCAGGAAAAGGGCGACGAGAATCAAGGCGAAAGAGCCCATGATTCCTGGCAGATAAAGATTCCAGCGCCATCCTAGATACGACTCGTTGATGAAACCTCCAATGAACGGTCCGAGCATAGGTCCCATGAACACCATGGAAGAAAATATGACAATGGCAACACCTCGTTGGCGGTTGTCAAACATGTCGGAAAATGCCGCAGCGACCACGGCCAGGGGACAGGAGCCGAAGAATCCAGTGAAAAATCGAGTAATCATCAAAGTCTGTAGGTCTTTGGACACGGCACAGCCGAAGCAAAATACCGAAAAGCCGAAGACTCCTACTAGGATAGGAAGCTTACGCCCTTGCAATTCCGAAAACGGCCCCCAGATCAAAGGTCCGAAAGCATAGCCAAGCACGTATAGAGAAGTGCTGAGAGTTGCTACTTCGACACTTACGCCAAAGTGGGCGGCTACCGAAAAAGTTGAGGCGGAAAAGACGGACGATGTGAACGTGCTGCCTAGACAGGTGTATGCCAGAATGGCTCCGATATAGAACCTGAAAGCAAGTTAACCCTCCATGTTTCCATGCTGGGCTGAAGGTACTCACTTTCTCTTGAAAGGCCAATTTTGTGGATGAGTAGGATCATCTTTCCCATCAAATTCCACCACGTATTCTTCCTGCGCCGGGAGCATGGGAGGATATGGCTTCCCACCTCCAAATTCCGGGAGTGGTTTGTTAGTCGCGCGTGATTTGAGGCTGGCGCCAACAGTTTGAACCTGCTGCAGGCGGTGCGTTTCGGTGCGGACATCTTCGATAGGATGCGTTCTTGTTCTTGTGACTATTTCTGGATTGGAATAGCCTGCGGTGGCTATTCTGCCCATCGACGGAGTCGTAGAGGTGCTCGACCCAGACGAACTGGAGAGAGCCGACTCTCTTGATGGTTGACTGCGCAATGAACGGCGTTCTTTGCTCTCCTGCGAAAACGTCCTCGTCGCCTGCATCTCGGCCCTTTGCATATCACGGTCCACGATATCCATATTGGCGGTTCTTGTGTTTCCCAAACTTGATGTTTTTGTGCAATTATTTCTCTATCGCCTACGTTCACAGGTGCATGACCACCGGAATTGCTTTCAACTGCGACGATTGCAGCGGATGCGACAGAAAATTCCGGAAGTCTCCTCTGTCGATGATGCAAGGGTGGAGATTCGGCAGTGAACAAGCGTGGACGGAAGGCTCTCTGAAGCTGGAAGAGATTCGAGGGCGATAAATCGAAGGCGGGGGATGTTCCGAGAGGTGTTCTCTACTCTTCGCAGGCGATGAAGAATCGATACCTAGATACGGTGCTGGAAGAACGAAATGCTTGAAAACATGTGGTAGATGGTGGGAGGGTCAACAGTTTATTATGATTGAACCGATGTCATCAATCTGTGGGTATTGCGGTTGATCATGGAGATGATGCACGCTCGGGGCGCCTTGACGACGACCAACGTACGGAAGAAATCAGTTGCCTCGTACGGAGTTACGACATCGAGAGCGGGACGACGCAGCTTGCGAAGGGCCGATGAGTTTCTCAACATGGGGGCGGCAATGTCTAATCCCGGGCTAGTGGGATGATTACTAACTAGCGACAAACTATTGCCGTGGTAGCTTATGCTTAACTAACTTTTTCAACCAACCCAGAGCCTGGAGACTTGTTACTCAAGGCCTAGAGACCTAGTAAGTTATGCCTAGTTCCGAGGCACTTGTATGCCTAATGGGCCCAACGAGCCTACTTGTACGAGTAGTTGTGGAAGCCCCCTTTCAGCTAGAGTAGGTACCTAGTATTGTGTAAGTAGGTGCCTTTTGTACAAGCTTGAACTACTACTGCGCGGAGTATTTGCTTGAGCTTCCTCCTTTTTGATTTCTTCACACCTATGAACCTTGTACGCTGGCATTCTGATGCTACCATCGGCCTACAAAAACACTGCTGCCCACTCGCAACCTAAATCCGTACATATTTTATACTCCATACAAATCCCGGTAAAGCGTTAAAATGTACGAAGTACGACGCTTACAACCCGGCTGCAGGTGCTTACCGAATCGTGTATGTAATCCGATCCTTGCCGTTTCTACCGACCATCTTCTGAAAAGACCTATGTACCATATCTCGCTCTTTCGCGTCTTCATGCATTTCGTTCCGAGTTAGCCATTGCAGAATCCACATGAGCATTTTTCTATGCATCGCTATCTCGATATGCTGTCTGCCTCGTACTAATGTGCGTGGAAGTCTCGGATTTTGTCGACACAGAGCTGCGATCAACTCGTCATCCTCCCGTCAGGCTTGCGTTGAGTTTATTTCTCTTGCGGATTTCAGAGAACCTGGTTTGACCGCCTGATTCAAGGAGGCTGATCTTTCGAGTCAATCCACTCGGACGTCCCAGCACTACCGGTTCCCATCCGTTGTTCTTATCACCATCGCTTTCTCTAGTATTTGGAATCATTTGGGCCGTCTTCCATCGAATTAACACACTTATTAATAGCAATGTCAATGCTAGCAAAATGCCTGCAACGATGAGAGCTGCTTGCATCGCTCCAACTTTCCTTTCCACACGGCCGCAAATACCCACCGATGCAGCACCGAACACAAATTCAAGTGACTGGGTCACGGCCAATCCGGCACTGACTCTCGGGTAACACGTAAAATTGGTTCTTCGCTCACGGAAACGCGTCGAGATCGAATTTCGTACTGGCCGTCCTGTCATTCCTGGTTGTAAGTCGGATACGTCAAAGTTTTGCATGATCAAAGCATAACACTCGCCAATCGCCAAGGTCGAAGCATAGGCTACAAGTGCTGCAAATACACATGGTACTGCGACGGGAAATGCTGGTCCTCGAGACGTCAATGCATATGCAATCGCCGCCACCGGTAGGACAACCATTACAATGGCCCGACGAAGTGTATGGGAGTTCCAAGGTAAAGACCTTTGAAATGTCATGCTGTCCGTCCTCGGAGGATAGTAGCGAGCCCGGCTGAACCATGAAGCCTTCTCAAACGGTATTGCCAAAGCTGACCCGATGGCCAGTGACAGAACACAAAGACCGACAGGGCTTTGGACCGTCTCCTCTCTTCCCACCCAACCTCCTTCCGCCTATTGATAACGAACCGCGACTGGCAAGATGTATGATACCATACTTCAGCAGGGAAGCCCTCCCGGAACGTGCTATCAACCAGATGGGGCCCCTCTATGAACTCAACATTCCTCGATCCGGACTTGGTTGCGGTTTCTCGGCGGCTGCGTTCTCCATGGAAGAGCTCAACATTCTACCCTCGTGGCTGGTGACGACAGGTACCATCGTGCACTTCGACACGGGATAGATCTCACCGGGTGCAGCTGTGTATTGTCCCTTTTTGATATTCGAACGTGCTCATGCTGGCGACAGAGAGCAACGATTGGAGGTTGCCAACAACCAATGTGCCACGGGAGGGGCTTGCTGTGTACGCGCTTTGCAGATGCTCTATGCCAAAGCATGGAAGGGTCAAATGATGCCTGAGTTGCCCATCACATTCTCTTGTGTCATTGAAAACTCTTTTGCCGTCGTGAACATACACTGGATCGACCATGGCCAGGCATATTGCATGGCGCCCTTGTGCAAGTTTGACCTTAGCAAGGATGAACACTTCAACCAATTCCTTGTATGGGTTGACTGCATTGGCGAATGGGCTCTCACACATCTACTACCACTGGTCAAGACCGCCCTGGACCGGATACGTACCAAAGAGGACACTCCTCCTCCAACCCCAAAGGCTACACGACTCGTCGTTGACACTGCCGACTGTCCAAACGATGCACTAATTAGGTCGCTCAAGACTACTTTCGAAAACATTCCTTGGCGGTTTGAGGACGACGAGTTCACCCCTGTCAGCAGCAGTACAGCCAGTTGGGGGAGTCCGATGGTCAATGATGCCACCTTTACCAGTTATCCCACGGTGCCTCGACAATCTCGACGCACGCCCACTTCTGCGGTTCAGAGAAAGCAATATCTCTCACAACTAGGTCAACATCCTACTCCTCCGCCAGCCTATGCGCATAATCCGGAACTTGTTTGGCAGCGACGGTTTGCCCATGCCATGGACGAGATTAAGGATCTCCAACACCAAGTACAGATGATGAGGAACGATATGAATGGGTCCAACATGTCTCTGCAAACCGAACTCTCTGGGATAAAATCGACAATGCACTCCGTGCTTCGCAAAGAGACACTCACCCTTCGCAACAGGTCCATTTCCTTGGGCGTTCAAGAAACGTGGTCTACCCAAAACATACCACGGAGCCCACTTGTCAACGAAGTTCGTCCTTCCATCAGTCCAGAGAAGGTGTCCTTCTATGAACAAAAGAGGAACAATTTCCTTCCACTGTCGCCGAAAATGCTGTCCCCAGGCCTTCCTTCTCCAGGTCTACCCTCCCCAGGGTTGGGTTCGCCCGGAATGCCGTCGCCAACCTTTTCCATGTATAGCGAAAACAACGTGGTCATGATACCACCTGCCCCACCAAAGTCGGGCTCGTTCGTCAAGTTCGTTGGTGCCATGGTCACTGGGCATATGATCGGAGCCTTTATCCCCAACATGTTGCTGCGAGTCTTTGTGTTGGGTTGTATCACCGATGTTTGTATGCTCGCTTTCGCTAGTCCGCATCTTCCGAGCTCTGCTGAGTATTTGTTGTCTTTTTGGCGGTCTTCTCGATAAGCTGGCATTACGATAGCCCGCGACGTGTTTCATTGTTTCAGTTGGGCGCTTTTGGTGTTATATGGATGGAATGACATTCCTTTTCCAGCTTGCCGCTTTCCTTGTCATGGAGGTTTTATGGGATTAAGGCGGATCAGTGGGATGTCCTAAAATGCTGGCAGCAGCAGATACCTTTTAAGAGCACAGTCGATTGCGCAAAGGAGAAATTGTACAGTAGAGAGAAGAATAGTCGGCCGTTGGCCTGGATTTCCATACCACGGATGACCACTTTCATTTGTGAAAATGATGGATGACATTGGCTTGATCGAGATCCAATAATGTGTAAACGGTACCACTATGTAATGCCAGGTACTGACTGAAGCGAAGAAGAGGCTCGGTCATCGTGTTTACCGGTGGTCAACCCCTTGGTGCTCTTCTTGTAGGCCGTAAACACACTTTAGAGAATACATTTGAGTTACATGCCTCTGGCATACAATCTGATCCAACGATGCACCAAGTTGTCAACTAGGACAAGGTGTTTGTCCTTTTTACTTTACAAAGTGTACACAGGCATAGTATGTATCGACACCTTAAAATACTCCACTCCAACTGTGTCTGATCAATGTTGCCAAGATTTGTATACACTCCTTTCCGAGGTAGGTAACCAAACGCGCGACGCGGAAAACGATTCAACACAGAACTTTCTCTCGCTGGAACATTGAAAAGTGCCGGGACATAACTCAATTGCTTCTTTCACTCGCCTCGACGAAAACGTAAACTAAGAAAAATTGGGACGCGCCATGGATGATAATACCAATACCGCCACGTACAACAACGAGTCCAAAACCTCGATCCTCAATTTCACCGGACAAGGATCATCCGGTGTGTCTCCATTGGAACAGGAAGTTTTGGACGAATATGAGAGGTTATCGAGGAACATGAAGGAAGTATGTTTCTTTTCTTTCATCTTGGTGTCTTTTTCGTTCTTCTTTTCTTGGTGGTTTGGAAATCAGTGACACACATTGAGATTTACTTTCGGCGTTGATAAACATACAACAAAGCTGACACACTTCACACGCCAGCTGTCTTCGACCCTGGCGACTCTGTCAAGCGGGCCGATTACCCTGGAAATCGCGGAAGGTCTCCGGTTGCTGGAGCGCAAGGTCGCGAGCGTCTATACGCTGATGAAGGCGAGCGTGTACAGTATCGTCTTGCAGCAAGGGCAGTTGGACTCCATGGACGACGAGGGAGGAGGGGGAGGTTTCGCAGACGGCGAGCGACGATGATCACTCAAGGGTCCAGCTGTGGAATGGGGGACGCTTCTCACGCCGCAAAACCATCACGTTATCACGACGACAAATGAATTTTTCCTTCTTTGCACGACAATTCAAACTACAATTACTGCGATCTTGCGTTCGGCGTGCAAGGACTCGAGTTGGGCTGGTGTTACGCGGGATTCAAGTACCAATTTCCGAATGTGACGGGTCCCATCTTTTGTTTTCTTCTTGGATCAAGTGATAAAATGTCTTGTACAGAATCTTTTCCCGAGTCCTCTCTCAGTCGCATTCACCACAATAATATGTACAAGAGTTATAGTTGTCCGGCATAGTACACCTTGCGGACGTCGACCAGCTTCTTCCCCCGAGCTCTTGCAATATCTTCAGGATGTTTCTGGCCCAACAGTGCCTGCACAGTCGCCTTCACCGTGTTCATAGGGTTTCTCGATCGTGTGACGCGGGCGGCAAGGTCGTGGATGCCGGCGACCTTGCAAACTTCCCAGATGTACTTTTGACAGCGGAGACCGAATCCTGTTCGTTGATTAGCTTACCAGTAACCAGCAAGACTGTGACGAAATATTACCTGGTGGTCGCGCGTATAATTCCAACTCGGTTCCACTGACTTTGGCACTCAGATCTCCAAAAGTCGTTCGGTTTTCGTACCGAATGATCGGTCTCATGTTTCGAATCGCTCGATATTGACTCTGTATTAACGCATCTCCGACCTCTACGCCTTTAGCTTCTCCTATGCCAATCATCCCTTGCTCATTTCCAGCCACAGACAGCCAATAGGTTTTTCGGATCTTTCCCAAACGGGTCTGGTTTGCGACTGTACGTTGAACGATTGACTTGACCCGTAGTCCGAGAAGCGCATTTCTGTCCAGCCCAGTCATGTGCATCAACGTAGCAAGAGCAGGCGATTCCTGGTCAAATTTGCTTCCACCCCGGACCTGCTTGGTCTTGGGAGGTTGAGGCGAAATATTTGGCAAATCTGGGACCATTGCGGTCCGAGGGTGCCTTTCTGCTTCCTCTTTTCCGACAGTCAATCGAAGATTTTTATCGAATTTGTCCCAAAGGGCTGTATCGAAATCATCCTCATTCCGAGGACTGGGGATTTCGTGCATGAGCTTGACGAGGTCGTCCTCAAACTCTTCATCGGTCTTCAGCCGCGAATTGTCATCGAGATTTGTCCAGGGGTGTTGTACTGGCTTATCCACGACGGGGTCTATCTTCGCCAGATCATCGTAGTACTTGACTCTCCAGGGATCTTTTCGGTTGCTTGTCGTCTTGTACAGCTTTTCAGGGTCGATAAGTTTTTGTGCTACCTTGATGGCGGCAAGTTGCTCGGGCGAGTAATTCTGTGAGGCATAATCTTTGTTTGCTTCTGCGTTCAGAAGATCCTGGCCGGCTTTGTTGAGATCTATCTCATTGACTGCAGCTTTGACACTGGGAAAACGTGGCTTTCGCTTCTGATGGACGGGGGAGGAGTGGAATCTGCGGCGAGCAATCGAAGCAGGGCGTGAAGGACGGGAAAATAGACAAAAGACGCACTCTGAGGATCTTGCGACACTCATAGTGCCTTGAGCAGCTCAGATGCTGCGACAATGGATCGGTGAATGTCAATGGTTGAATGGTCGAAAGGACAAAATAAATTGTTGCTGCGCATCTCAAGTTGAGCTCCGAATCTCGTTCCGCAGCCTCGCCGAATCTTGGCGGCAGGAAGACGCTAGCACGTTTTGGGCGTTGGTATTTCTTCCTCCCTTGCACTTTTCTTGTATCGGGAGCCTTGGTTTCTTGAGCCTTGCGGTACTTTCTGAGTTGCAAAAAATCATTAAACACCTGCCAGGATGCTCATAATACCTGTGTTGCAACTCCAGATGAACACGGTGCTGTTATTCGCATAGCCTTACCGAGCCGGCCAGTATCGTTCCCTGACAAGCCTTGGATATAGGTGGGACGGAAGAATCAATCAGTGGTTGTCAGATATTGGACTTTTGGTTCGATTATCTTCTCTGGAGCATACCACGAGACTCAAGATCTCAAATTGCTCAGAATGGAAACCCTGCCGTGCTTTGTGATTGGTCACCATGATCCCAAGAGAGCATTGCCAGTCACGGCTGAAACGATACAAGCCGCCCATACTGCCAATGTAAGTCGTGGTTGTTCCCATATATCAAAGGCCAAAACTGAGCTCAATGTGCCTAGTATGATATGGTGACTAGTCCCATCACTACACCACATTTTCATTCACGGGTCTTGACGCTTCTTTCCACATCCCTTTCACAACATTCGATCCTCCACGGGGAGGACATCACGAGGACCAAGAATGCTTCACCAATCGTCATTCCACCACTCACTCCAGCCGATACGCCGTTGACTCCTGAAGAGTCAATCAGCCAGATCATCGGGGTCACAAGTTCTTGGATCGACCTAAGCTCTCCAGACCCTATTATTGCAGATGTATCGCGACAGGTTCTCAAACTAGAGCTGGCATATGCTGCTTTCTGCGGTGTCACTTATGTTGTCATTCCTGGTCCACGTCTACGAGGTCAAGGAGCTGTCGACAGTGGAATCGCAGAATTTGCCCGAGCAATCTTGGATGGAATTAGCCAAGGCCCATACATGCAGCTTTATATTTGGTTCCCCCTTATCGACAACGCAGACGACCAGGAAGACGAAATGGGCGATCTAGCCCCGTTTGCGCGTCAGCAATTCTCCGATCCCGATGAATCAAAGTCAAAGAGACTAGATGTTTTTGGTTCATGGGAGGCTTGGGACATGATTAGATCGATATGTAAATATCCGTCTAGATTGTGTATAGGTAAGCAAATTGTAAGAAAGTGCTGGTACCTTACCAACCGGCGCTTCTTCATCCCCTCCATCTGATATCTCTGACCCAATACTGAGAATGTACTTCTAGCACTGTCTTTACCCAAACTCCTTCCACCGACTCCTATTCAGTCACGCTGGTATTCGGAACCAGTACGATTGATCACCTTGGACTCAAAAATCTTTTCCAAGAATGCCAAAGGGTATCCAGTTCTCTCTCGAGCTCACCAGTCATTCATAAGCAGTTTCTCTACATTACGCACACCCCCGTGGTTCCTGCTTTGCAATACCGGACCCATTGTTGTTAATTCCAACGGCGTTGCCCCGACCACTGGATCGTTTCCACCTCTATCTGAAGCAGTCGAAACTCCGCATATCAAAGACCCCACGCCTCACCTGTCATACATGCGTAATCTGCAGAACAAGCAACCTGTTCCAGATGCTCTCTCCATTTTCAGCGCCGGATACCAAGACTATCTTCAAGCACCCCTCCAACCCTTGACCGTCAATCTGGAAAGCATCACGTACGAGGTCTTTGAGAAAGACCCCGTCAAGTATGCTTGGTACGAACGGGCCATTGCCCGCGCCCTCCACGATTGGATCGAGCAAGGTAAGCCCACCTCCAATCCGGACGGTCGGGTTGTGGTGGCTGTCGTCGGAGCCGGCCGCGGTCCTCTCGTCACCCGAGCCCTCAAAGCCAGCGAGGAGGTCGGCGTCGAGATTGACATGTGGGCGCTCGAGAAGAATCCCAACGCCTATGTACTGCTCCAAAGACACAATGCCACGACATGGAACAATAAGGTCAACCTGGTCAAATCCGACATGAGAACATGGAGAGGTCCGGTTCGTGGCGCAAACACTCCATTCAGGTCCCGCACTTACAACCAGGAGCCAAAGGAAGATGGAATGGACGGTGGTGTGCCCTCCACCGGCGCCACCACTGCAGCTTCCGCTCGAGAATCCTACACCGGTTCTCCATCTCTTGACTCGACCTACCTTCTTGCGACAGCCGCTGCAGGCTCGTCATCGACACCCTACAAGATCGACATCCTGATCTCCGAGCTCCTAGGTTCTTTCGCAGACAATGAACTCTCCCCTGAATGTCTCGACGGTGTTCAACACCTCGTGAACCCTGTCCACGGCATTTCGATTCCCGCATCGTACACAGCCCACATAACACCCATCGCCACGCCAAAGCTTCACGCCGACATCATGCACGGCATGACACCCACGAACCCCAGCGCCCCCGAGACCCCTTACGTCGTCATGTTCAACGCCATAGATCATCTGAGCACCATGACCCCGGAATCTCAAGGTCCCTCAAGCTCGAGCCCTCACCCTCCGTCAGAACCCACGCGAACTTCGTCAACGACCCAACAACAACAACAACATCATCATCAACATCAACAACCACCACCACGACCGATGCCTTATTCCAAAGCACATACGCGATCTTCACAACCTCCACTGTCCCTGTCCCAGTCACAAACGACTCCACCGACCCCACCGACGCCCATAATCGGCACGACATGGTCATTCCAACATCCCAACCCATCTCTTCCAACTCCAACTGGAGACGGTGCTCTGAGCAACGCACACAACGCTCGCAGTTCGACCCTCACCTTTCCCATCCCCAACCGTGGTACGTGTCACGGTTTGGCGGGGTATTTTGAAACGGTCCTCTACAAGGGTGTCGAATTGTCAACCAATCCAAATACAATGGATGCCAAGAGTGAAGGAATGATAAGTTGGTTTCCCATATTTTTTCCACTCAAGGTGTGTGTTTCTTGGTTTGTTTGTTTTTTTTCGTCTTTCGTCCTTTCAAGTCCTATCTGTTTGTCCATCACGATGAATACTACCTTTGCGATAAGCTAATCGTCGTATGTTTTGCAGACACCATTGACGGTCCCCGACAAGTCCGAACTGACAGTCACGATGCACCGTCGAACGGACGACCGCAAGGTTTGGTACGAATGGTTGATCGACGTTTACGTTTATCTTCCTGACCCGAATCGCGCCACTCTTGCGACGGCGGCGGCGGCGCCTGGGTCACGCAGGCCCAATACGTCGAGAGGTCAAAAGGTTCGAGTCGGCGGAAGTGAATTACACTCGTCCGAAAAGGAGGCGTGCTTGATGTGAGGTAAAACCCCGGAAGCGAACGAAAAAAAGAGACATGTCGTTAGGAAAACGTGAGTCTACATGTCTGTCTGTATGTTTGTTTTGGTGGGTTTCTCCTTCCAAGGGCTTTCCTAGAAAGGCCTCTCCCCGAGCTGTTCTAGTTACTTCGATGACTTGGTTTTCACATGCATGATTGGGGACCAAAGAATTTTTCCCCTTTCCCCATTCAAGGACATTGAAATACAGAATCAAACCTCACACACACAGACACACACACATGTAAACTTGTTGTTGTTGTTGTTAGGGCAAAAGAGGAGTAACAATATCATGATGAATCCTAGGGAATCGTATGTACGTCCTGACATGTATGTACAAATATACACCCTCTCACACTCTGTACCGAGTTTACGGGTGTCCTTGATTGGCAACAATGGATCACCTTTTTTTCAACGTGCCCAAAACAGACCCAATGAGTGATGCTTTCCTCGATCACTTGATGCTTATCCCAATGTGGCCTGATTTTTTCTTTTCAACAGACGTCTGAATTTCCCAAATCTCCAAACCAAAAGGGGAGAACAAAAACGCCCTTGCCATGCACTATACTTTGTACTGTCCAACGTCCAACGTCAACGTCATCCACAACCCCTTATTCAAAGGGGTCGACCACGAAATCAGACACTGCTCCGCTGTACATTTGGCCTCCAACTCATGTTGAATGTTGAAAAGTTCTTCCTCCTCCTCTTCCTCCTCCTCCTTCTTCGATGATCCTTACATTCGCTCGCCGACGACAGTACCGTTTCCCTCATCACCAGCCTCCTCTTTCTTGTGGATGTGGATTTCTTCCGGTTCACTTGTCCTCTCCACCGTGACGGGTACAGGAATTTCCAAACTCTCCGTGCTTCCCATCAAGCTCTTCTCCAAACTTCCATTCGCCGTCTTACGACTCGAGTTGTAATTTCCACTACCGCTACTTTGCGAATCCTTCTTCCTATCTTCTCCCGTCAACCCTCGTCGGATGGCAAGCACGTTATCCACAATGACAGCATCGATGCCTTGTTTGACTTGCAATTTCACTTTCGTCGAATCGTTGTTCAAGACCCCGTAACTGACGCAAACAAGTCCACTCTCCTTGACGACCCTGACGAGCCGTGGCGCCGCAACCAAAGGTTCCGCTGCACTCACGACACCCAATAGATTCCATCGAGATGCGAACCTGATAGCTTCCTGTAGACTTGTCGCGCGAATGTCACCGACCGGACTGGTGCCGGCGTCGGTGAGAAACAACACAGGTATACTGGGCTGTTTGAACGACAGCAACAAACAGACGTCCGGGTTGAATGACGAAAATATAATGTTCCGTCCCTTGCCCATTTCGTAGACTTTGGTCAGTACCGTATCGACAAAGGAGTTCAGTTCGACGGCATATGTGTCCATTTCTTCCTCCTCGCTTTCCGAGAGCATGGGATATTTCATTTCAATGTTGAATCCCACGTTGTTCGGCAGCTTGATAAACATCTCTTCTAACGTGGCAAAGGGCGCTTGGATATGATTACCACGACTGTTTCCCTTGAACCCCTTCTTCTTGAAGTCCCGTGTATGTTTCATGCGCTCTGCCATGTCGACCGTATCATCGCGATCCACACCGCCCACGGACATGGATCGCATTCTGGGGAATCGGGGGTCGCTATTTTTGAGATTGCTAATCTTAGGGTTCTCGACTGGCGCCGGCGAAGCAGGTCGAGAATGTCGTGGGGTACGCATGTCGTTGACATGAAGAAATTGTTCAAGAGTGAGCGTATGAACGGGAGCATCAATGCCCGTTTCGCTAACGAGAAAGTCGTGGTAAATGACAGGAACATGATCCTTGGTCAGTTGCACATCGAACTCGACGTAGGACGCTCCCAGGTTGGCGGCAGCAATAAATGACTGGATGGTATTTTCACCAAGTTGCAACGACCTCCTGCCCGCAGCGAGATTCTTCCCTAGGCCACGATGACCAATGACCATAGTTGATGTCATACTCTTCCAATATGTCTGATTCTCCGTGACCACCATGTTTGGATGCTTGAACGGGGTAATGACGAGGAAGTTGAAGGTGACAGAGCCAATCACCTCCAGATCGTTAGCCGCCACAATGGGCACGGTGACATCTCCCTGGAGCGGCATGCGTTTCGTCCCTATATTCGATTTGACGCTGGAAAGCAGCGCAACACCCCTGCCGACAATACGCTCCCTGGATCCAGCATATGTCGGGATAAGGTCAAAAAGCAGTTTCACCGTAGAAAGATCTTTTGCATGAAACACGATGGGCTCTGTGGCGATGTTATCTTGTACAGGCAAGTCAATAACTTCAGCTTCGCCTTCTGCACCTTTTGCGGAAACAACAATTGAAAGTGCTGTGTCAAGCTGTGTGGTGTGAGCATTCGATATCGGGATTCGATCGAGGTTGACCGCTCGTATACTTTTCCTCGTATCCATCGTCCCCAGGCTTACCAGTATCATACTGGTATCTGTCAGATATCGATGACCAAAAGTCTTGATTGGTTCACTGATCTTGACAGTCGGGGCTTGAGAGCCGAGGCCGTTCGAGTTTCTCTCATTCAGAGAAGAAGGTACCGTTGGAGGAGATGTCCCCAGCGACGAGTCCGAGTCTCCTTCAAATTCGGGCATGATGCTATCAAGTCGTTGCGCAATACTCACGTGACCTCTCAACGCTGCATGCTCTTTGGCATTCCAACCGGAAGAGTCCACGCGCTCAAGATCAGCGCCATGTTCGATGAGTAACTCCACAACTGGCAGATGGCCATCCACGCAGGCGATGAACAACGGAGTCCAGGAATAAGTGGTTTCGCAAAGTTCAGTATTGGCTTTCTGAATATCGGAGCCTTCCAGCAGCAAACGAGCACATTCAGAGTGGCCAAATCTAGCAGCCACATGGAGAGCAGTATCGCCTTGTTCATCTTGGTAGTTGATGTCTACTCCGGCAATGACCAGAAGACGTACTATCTCGATGAAATTTGCTTTTGTTGCCAGGGCCAATGCGATCGACGATTTTGGGGAGTTTTGGCGAATCGATGTGCGCGGCAGATCGTGGGCGACACTTTCCTCGGCGTCAAGCAGAGCCTTGGTTGTCAAGGGGTGACCGCCCATGACACTGAGATGCAATGGTGCCCAGCCCTCGTTATCCTGCCATTGAGGGCCGTCAATTCCATTCGACATATTGAAGAGTTTCCAAGCCTTGAGATGCTCAATGATGATCTCACACATGACTCGAATACCGTATTCGGCCGCGAAGTGCAGAGGCGTCTGCCCGGCACTGTCCCTAGCCAATAATGCAGGACGTTGCACGGGCTGCAGGTTATCGAGCAGGAACTCGAGAAAAGCTACCGAAGCATCATCGCGAGTCAAAATCAGACTCCGCTGGTCATCCTGCAAAACGGAACGCTTCAACTGTGTTGAGGGATCGGCGGCAGGTGTGATGAAATTGTGTGGCTCTTTTTCGACTCCTGGCAAGGGAGTAATCGTAGAGTCATGATCACAGTTCGACTGCTTTCGGCCGATTGAAATGATCAACCGATGGATGCAATTCCGCTGGTTGATGTCATCGTGGTCGTCCAGAAAGACAATTTCACGCAATAGAAAAGCTGTGCACTCCTTACTCCGGCTCGTGATGGCTCTCTGAAGTAGTGTCTTCAGGAGCTGTTGCCGTGCGGGTTCAGACTTCTCTGTAGACGGCGTACTTGTCCCGTTGATCCACTCTTCAAGGCCTTTGGCGTCATCTTGACGTATCATTGCCTCAACCTTGGCCAGTTGCTCCGATGATATGTCAAGTGTTGGCCGTGAAGTTGTGCGCTTGATCGACAACGAAGAAACAGAAGCGACATCGTCAAGTTTCGTCGTGGTAAGGGCTTCGTTCAACAAGGCAATGGATTCGTTGATTTTGTTCAAAGATACGAACAACTGCGCATTTGTAGCAAAGGCCGCCGGGTCGACCTTCAATTCCAAATATCTCTTCTGGGCTTTCGCAGCAGGTATTCTCTTGTCCAGCTTCTTTGTGATCTTGATGAAACCCCTTCTGTTGACTTCCCCGTACCACTGGAGTTTGCGCAATTGACCTCGCAACTCGAGCAGCGCTGCCATCAAGTCCTCCCGCTCGTCAGGGTCGAGTAGGTGAACGGCTTCCGAGGAGCTGCCGTAGCGGTCTTCGAGGAGTTTCAGGCGACGGGAGAAGTCTTGGAACTTTTTGTTGTAGAAGTGGTCCACGTCTTCGAGACTGCGGTCCAGCGTATAGAAAAATCCTAAATCAAATGAGCATTGCCCGAGTTCCCCATGTCAACACCCATCCTACCGGCAAGATCGAGAGTGCCATCCTGCTTTTCGCTCTCGGCAGCCGCCTTGATGAGTTTCTTCAGGGCTTTGTAGTTGATGTAGGACGATGCCCATTCCGGGACTTGGTTTCGAGGGAGGTTTCGGCCAAACTTCATGATGTAGGAATCCCCATGTACAACAATCACAACCAACAAAATTGTCTGATCCGTCTGCGACAGACAGGAATTGTACGAAGAAAAGAGCGGTAAGAGGTAGCCATGCCTCGCCTTTGTTCTCTCTTCAAACAAAGCACAAAGCACGTGGCACCCGAGAAGCAACCTGGATGACAGACCGGACAGGAACTCCCACAGGCCGTATCTATCACGGAGACAGAAGACAAAATGACTTGAGCAAGCCTGAACAGGCAGAACAAGAGAGAAAGCGGATTGCGCAGGGGTGTATGGAAAACGGTGCGTGGACCTGAATTCTCATGTCATTGGTAAATCTTCGATTCACATTTGGAGAAAGCGACGACGTAAACCCTCTGCGCGCTGATTGGCCACATCCCTTGCGAGGAATGTAGCCGCCCGATTTCACCGCCAACTTGACCGGAAGGACGAGGAGCAATACGGATACACGGGAAGAACAGATCTCCTCTGATGGTGACACTTACGAGGTCACATTGATGGGTCTAGGGTATCTTCGGGGCCTAGAATCGGACACATCGAGTCTACGGGTACAACGTTCATCCGTACCAAGTCAATAGTCATGGTACATTCAAACGAGCGTCTTTTCTGAAATCAAGCAAAGTCTCTGGTCAGAACCATCTGACCATAAAAACCTGAACCGATCGTTTTCTCCTGTCCCATGTATATCTACAGATGTACATGCGCCTTTTTTGCAAATGTGGAAACGCCGTAGAATGCTCGCAGACCAATCGACCCGTAACTCATGTGCGGTGCCGAGCCGCAAACAGCCCATATCCGGCTCAACCCTCGCTATTTCGCCCTGCCAATACCGTGGCGCCAATGCGAGACAGAGAGAGAGAAAGAGAGACAGCTGGTGTCGAGGCTACCTGTGGTAGTTTCGGCCATCAATGTCCGTTGACCTGCCCTCCTTCGTGCATCATAATCGTATCTTCATCATCGTGGTGCAATGTAACACTGTTGAACTCGAGGAACGGGTCGGCGATCTCCCCACCAGGAGTAGCCATCCCAGAGTCCAGAGGGACGCCCTTAAGACGGCCGGCTGAGCCTCCAATGTCAACGCTACCACTGTCTTTAACAGAGCGGAAGTTCAACGTGTCAATTGCTCGGCCTTGATGAGGGATCATGGGAGGTTTCATATGGCGGAGAAGTGCCCACGTAATAGGTCTAAAAAAGGGGTGGTTCTTGACATCGGATGCGCCAGCACGAGATCCCAGACGTTTGACTTCATCCTTGATCAAGAGCTTCCGGATAACCGATTTACACAAACTGTGTCATGTTAGCCTTTGAGGCATTTGTTGTCGTTCAAACATAAACTTACTTGCTGACCTGAGGCACATGCCCATGATCTGGAAAGGGAACGTCGTCTCGCAGAATATTTGCAAATGTAGCATTGCGGTTTTTGCCTTTAAATGGGGTGGTTCCGAACAGCATCTCGTAGATCAAAATGCCGAGAGTCCACCAGTCCACAGCACTTGTGTGTCCATTTCCTTTGATAACTTCGGGAGCAATGTACTCTTCTGTGCCGACAAACGAGTTGGTTCGGAAGTCGGCGATACAAGACTTGGTGTCGACGAGGGGGTATCCAGTAGGGTTGGAGGCGTTGCGAGTACCCAGGATCATCGTTGGAGCTCCGCCAGAATCGGATTGCTTGGAGAGATCGAAATCTGACAGCATGATGTGTCCGGACTGGTGTAGAAGAATGTCTGAGATGGTCAAAACTTGCCGGGATGAAAAATAGATCCAGAACTTACTTTCAGGCTTGAGATCTCTGTAGATGAAACCCATCAAATGTAAGTACTCCAACGCCGCCGTCACCTCTGCAGCGTAGAAACGAGCATCCTCCTCGCCTATGCATTTGTTGGGTCGAGTCTGCAGAGCGCGGAAGAATTCGCCACCACTGCAATATTCCATGCAGAGGTACAGGTGTTCTTCGGATTGGAATGAGTGATACAAAGTGACGATAAACGGGTGATTGCTGGTTGCCAATATTTCTTGTTCGGCGAGCGCTCTTTTGATCTTGTTCCGCTTGATCATTTCCTTCTTGCTGAGAACTAGAGAAAGTCAGTCAGAACCTAACCTCCACGACAGTGGACTCCACAAACCTTTCATGGCGTAAAGACGATTGGATTTCTTCTCGCGCACCAGATATACTTTGCCCACGTCGCCTTTCCCGATCAATTTGATCTTGTCAAAACTACCAGGACCGACTTCCACATTCCGCACCTTGATCGAGTTCGAGCTGTAGGTTCTTCTAAAAGCGGCAGCTTGACGGATTTGACCTGGAAGGGGGATTTTGCCTCCTGGTTTGGTCGCACTCGTCGGACTTGTCTCTGAGGAGGATGTAGCAACCATACTTAACTTCGGCGTTGCCCCCGAAAGTACGGCCAGTGGCTCTTTGCCCAGTTCGGCGGTCTGCGGTCTTTCTGGGTTGTTCTTGCTCACAGAGAAAAGACCCTGCGCATTGGGTGCAGATGCCACTCTTCTCAATTTTCGTGCCAATTCCTCTTTGCCCGCTGTCACTGCCTTCTCTTCCGCGGCAGAGCCATTGACCTGCACTTTGGGGGTATCTGGAGGGGAAGGAGGTACGCTACCTTCATTGCGATGTCGGAGAGCGGGAGGACCCTGATGCACGAAATAAGGATTGGCTTGGGCGGTCGGGGACAGAGCATTGTCGTCGAGAGGATGACCCTCGCTGGCGACGGTTGTTGAACGATTTCTCGCGAGACCTGGGAGAAACCTGGACTGCTTGCCTGGCTTTGTCTCGGTCTTGGGAGTGGGGAGGCCGTCCGAACCTATAGATGTCTGACTACCGCTGCTGTTGATGCGAAAGAAGTTCTTCAATTTCGTCGTGGTGGGAGTGTGCGTGCCCGTCTCAGCATTGAGATGTTTTTTGGAGGAAAAGGACAGGCTCGAGAAGTTACGTCTCTCGGTAGCCATGGTGAGATGCTGCAGCTGGCCAATTCAATGGGTCCGCAGAATCCGTGTGAGGGCGTGAGAATCTTGAGAAGACGGTATGAGGTCTCGCTGGGAAGGACGCGAGAGAGACAATCGGGTGTCCGTGAGGATTGTAGATTCCGGCCAACGGAGGAGGATGAAACGGAGTGGGAGGGTTATCCTGTGCGGAGCGCCATGTCAGGATGGGTTTCTATGGGAGGCTGTTTGTAAGTTGAGGCTGATGATAGAGTCGTGCAACAGTCAAATGTACAGTGCCGGGCAGATAGTTGGCCTGCAACGTGACAAGCAGGAGCGACGGTACGAGTACAAATATCGGGAATCTCAGTATGGTGATGGCTATGGCAGTAGTCGTGGTCGTGGAGGAGGGAGGAAGGAGGAGAAAGGAAGTTTACTCGACCCTCCCCGAGACAGGAAGTGGTGGGGAATTGGTGGGCACAGACCAGTGGTTGCCGGCAAGTTGCTGTACACACCACAGTTAAATATAGTGGTACCTAGAAGCACCAAGACAGGCACCTAATGTGCCTGCCCGCGAGTAGCCTCCAGTGCCTAAACATCGTCGTACAGGGTAAGTGCCCAGGTCCCAACACCGGCCAAAGAGCCACTTAGAGCCCGGCCTCCTTCAGCTACGGGGGCGGCCCAACGGCACTTGTACCAACTCAGGTAGCCCAGACACCCGTGGCTGTACCTTCGCATCGCACAGATCATCCATCTCGTATGGATGAATACCTGAATACCTGTACAGTTGACCATTCACGGCCCTTGTGAGTTGTTGTTGTTCCTGTGCCTGTGCCTGTACCTGTGCTCAGGTAGCGCGTCTATGCCTCCAAAATATCTACCTCGGGCACTCTGTGCTCGCAAAGTGTCGGGGCTTAAATCTCCAACAAAGCATCACCAGGAGGAGCCACAGTACCAGGGCAGTGTATCGAGTACTCTGTAATTACTACCCCCCGTACAACCATCATCAGATCTCAGATTTGACTTTGCCGCAGATGTTCTAGACATTCAAGAAATCCTTGTTTTCGTGAACTCTCGGTCTTGTGTCGATTCATTCCCCCATTGAACTCCTCGTATTTCCAAAGCCGTGCGCACATCAGCAGCAGCGGCAACGTTGCCACGAATTCCCGATACAGAGCATTGAAAAGAAAGGACATACTGTTGTCTCCAGGATCTCTCTTTTCATGCACGTACTTCCTAACTACAGCATACTAAGTCGTCATCGTGCTGCGGTCGATGTGGGTTTGCCGATATGTAGTGGCACTGTGGGCTGCATGAATCCGCTCCCTTTTTGCTCCGGTTGATTTCTCAGCAATCCTTTTTCCACATCGCCACGTTCCTACAGGTACGGACTTGTACGAGGATATCCAAAGTACCGTACGGAGTACTCAACACTATGACATCTTACACAAGTCGGACATGCTTTAGTGCTCGCCCGCCTCTGTTGCGGTAGGCATGCCATGTCGGTAGCCAATCGTTTCCTTGCTCCGAATTCAGGAATCACATATGCCGTCGCTGGAATATTCATGTTTCAATTGATATTGCTATTAACTCAGTGTCTGCGACTGCAGCTATTCTGCGACACTACCTAGTCAATGTCGCCATACGCATTCGCTGCTTCATCTCTGATGTCGACGGATATGATACATCCCCATATTGTCATAGCACCTCACCTCGGCATCTCACCAATACAGCAGTCTGGAAAACTCCTTCTTTTCCAATAACCAGTCCGTCCCAAAGGACGCCCTGTGTGTTTCTATGATATGCAGAAACAACATACATTCATGTCAACTCTGTGCCATTTCCAATAAACTTGACCAATTTTCGCCCGGCCAAAACGAATCTCCTTGCACTGATCCATGAATTGCACAGCTGCGGCAAACAGTCTTCCACTTCGTCCATTCACATCTTCTCGTACTTGGTGGTTGGATGACGGAAGACTTCGTGAGCTGGCAACATCACGCCTCCGCCAATATTCTGGCCCCGAGGATTATGGTGATAGCCATTTCTGGGACCAGTGGGAATTCGACCAAGTTCAGGACTTCGAACCTTCGAAAGCATCGACATGGCAGATCGTTGCTGCATGTCAGTTGCCCCATCCACCATGTTTGGCAAACGACCCATGGCGTGAACATTTTGGACAGACACTGACGAATAGCCCTTGATGTTCGTCGCGTCGTACTGACTCTCACGACCTGTCTTGGGATACTCACTTGTCGACCAGCCTACTTTGTCTCGTGACAAACGTACGGGCGAAGTAGCGGCAGGAATGGTCGACAGTACAGTGTCAGTTGAGGTCGATGCGCCAGTGACTGAGGTGTAGGCATTGCGTCCAAATCGTGGAGTTTTGAAAGATCTGGGCATAGTTAGTCTCCGCCCTGAGTCAATCCAGATTGGAATCAAAGCCTACCGATTACCCGCGTTTTCAGGAACCGTCCAATTCGACATTCCTCCGTGCGAATATCCAGATCGTGTTTCGAGCATGGCGTTTTCCTTGCGATTGTTTTGATCAACACGGCCAGGTCCAGCATCAGCTGTGATATTCACAAAGTTGGCTGCCATGTCCGATGACAGCTCAGGCTTCTTGGTCCAATATCCACGTTCAAACTCATCCATCTTGACAGAAGGTGGGCGTTGTAGACCTTGACCAGCAATGACGCTGGTAGAACCATCTGGCAGTCTGACTGTGGTAGTGAATCCAACCGGAAGACGCATTGCGTCGAGTTGCACCTCAGAAAATGCTTCAACCGTCGATGGTCCGCTTTCCGGCTTCTTCGGAACCCATTCGCTTTTGCCATACTGCATGGTTCCCTGCTGTTCTGGGATGACTTGTGCAAGATTGTCTTTCTCTGGAGATGACTTCAACGTCACAGCAGGGCTTATTCCAGTGCCACTTCCTGAGCCAGAGCTATTGAATGAATCCCGAGGGGAGATGCTAAGCTCACGGTCCAACTCCAACAGCATCTTGCTCTGCTGAAGTTGAATCTCGTCCGGCGGCTCACCAATGCGAGCACCCCATTCATCGACCTCGACGAACACAGTCTCTGTGCCTTGACCATTCTTCGAGTATCCTGACGAATCTTTTCGAGGGGCCACGATTGGAATTCGACGATGACCGCGCTTGGGAGGTGCCTTCAGCGGGACTGCTCGTGGATAGTTGTTGAATCTGTTGCCATTGGCTTGGTCACCCGCACTCAGAGGAACATAATCAGCGGCTTCCACATTGAAAGTATGTCCGGTGCCCTCTGCACACTTCCGACCCATATCCTTGAGCTTGTTCTCGACGACTGAGGTCCAGTAATTCATGCTTGCTTTTGCGTCTGCGCGCAGTGCGACGATCTTAACACGCTGGCTTACGACCTGAGGATCGCGCTCACCCATGGCTCGATGGCGATCAAGATTCTTGAGTTGCTGATCTAGATCATCAAAGCGGTTGATAGCTTCCTGCAGCATGTTACGAGAGTGCAGTTCATCCGGGTTCGACGGTGGACGTTGTTCCTTTGGCACTGTGTTCACAGCAGGCAAACAGGTGGTATCTGTTGACGGGACCAGTGGCATTTGAAATTGAGGTTCCATGTTTCCGCTAAAGCCAGACAGTGGTGCATTGGGAGGCATGGTTCCCGTAGGATACATCTGGCCGGGTGCAAAACCAAACGGGTCATAGATATTTGGGAAGGTTGGTGTTGGCATGACCCCATTGTAGAATGGTGTCTGCATGCGATGAGCATCAACTGGAAAGGTGTCTGTCGGAGCCATCATATTATTGGTGAAGGGGCCAGGCATCATGTTCCGATTGTCCATCATGGGAAGCTGTGCATGCATGAACTGTGCCTGTGCAGCTTCCGGAGCGAGCTTGAAGTGGGCGGGCAACTCTGGCAACTCTGGCATCTCTGGCAACTCTTGCTTTGGTGCATTTTGATCACTGTCGTTGCTGCGCTCCACATCACTATCCATGCCGTTTGCCAACTCGGTCTCTTTGGCCTGCTTAGATTGTGGCAATGCGAATGCTGGTGGGCGTGGACGATGTTCCATTGGTACGATGCGACCTCCAGCAGTCACACGTTGATGGGTTGGAGAGGAGTGTTTCTTCAGAAATCGAGCAAAACCCTCATCTTGTTGAGCTTTTTGGGTGCTTGGTGGGACCGAAGGCTGTCTTTCAGGACCATTGACTATGCGAAAACCCCGATAGAGCACCAAGTCTTCTTGTGATTCACTGGACTCTTGCGAGGAGCCACGAGGCCTATCGCTCACAGAACGACGAGAAGCCATGGCGCAGGCACCTAGTGGTGGCACTACCCCAGCTTTGTTCTTGTCAGTCTCACTTCACTTTCATTCTGCCTCCGGAGATTTTTATTGCACTGACCTCGCGCTGCGTCGTAAGTGAACTTGGAGAGGTCGAAGTTGAAGGCTATCGTTTGAGGCGCAAGTTCAAGGAGGCGTGTCACGCTGTACCGACGTGACTTGCCAACCTGACTATCTGTGTTCTGGTTAGTCATATTGCGTATATACTGTATTCCAATTGCAGGAGCGGTGAGGCAAGGAACCAAAGTGAGAGAACCAAAATGGGAGTCTCTGGAGCGAGAGCGAAAAGAAGCAAAGCACTGTGTGGCGGTGATGCCGGGGTTGGGATGAGGATGAGGACATCTCAAATTGTGACAAGAACAAGACAAAAGGGAATGGGACGATGTGCTTGCCACTTGCAAGAGCGCACCAGACATGCTAAAATGGAAGAAGGTGCATTGATACTTACCAGGTAAGGCGACGGCGGCGCAATAGGAAAGAGCCACTGGTTATCCAAGATGAAGTTTTGATGATGTTGCGATGTATGTAAGAAGGTGTTGAGAAGAGAGAGGAAACAAACATGGCGGGTGAAGAACGCGACGGCTTCAGTCAATGTGCGAAAAACAGCAGGCGGTGATACGCCAGTACCGGGCAGTGAATGAGGTGCGGCGGTATTTGGAGGTATTATCATTCTGGTGATGCTCGCCGCCCATCGCGGTCAAATACAAACGCGTGTATAAAGTGGGAGTTGCTGAATCCCGGGTATAGCAGAAATGAACACCAGATACCTGCCATCTTGTTCCCCATTCCCTCAACCAACAACATATCTCATAGGAGTCATCGTGATTCCTTGTTTCAAATGGTCATTAAACATGATTGTGCGGATCAACCGCTGGTGTATAGGGAGTGATTGGCAGGTCGTCTTCTTCATAACTGGGACGTCGTGGCTTTGTTGGTCCATGGCCGAGAACTTCCCTTTGTGCCTCTTCCGCCTTTGCTTGATCCCTCAATTCCCAGCTTCCAACTCTCTCGTGACCGCGAGTTGGGTGTGATTCTCCTTCTGCTGCTGCCACCGCAACTGTAGCCCCTGCTCCGCCCTTGGGTATGACTAAGTCCTGATCACTTGCCATTTTCGCGCCTCCTTTGAATCCTGCCATCTCAGATCTGCGATTTGTGTGGACGCGGTGTAGTCTCACACCTCCCAGTAGCATTAGTGCCGCGAACAACAATGCCGCTACTGCAAGGGTGACCACGGCTCCAATTACCCCAGCAATGACTGGAGATAGCCCTTTGTGCTTAGAAGAAAGCAAACCCGAAGAAGGATTGTAGCTACCGTCAGTGTCGGTGAATGCTGGACAAAACACACTGTAGCTTCCGCATGTCGTACACCAATCCCCGACATTGAACACCAGGAACTCCTCTAGACTAGCAACAAAGTCCAGGAAAGGCACAACGCCTTGACTAGGACTGAGCCCAAAGAGGGGATACTCTACTAAAGAAGAGTCAGAATCGGTACCATTCTGATACAGAAATCTGACGTAGATATCTGTTGTATTGGGCCATTCGTCCGTTTGACCAGCTTGCAGTGATAATAGCTCAAAAATGAAACTCGACCCAGGCGCAGGCATGTTATAGAATGCGGCGTTTTGCTGTGAGACCAGCTTGGTCAAGGCCGCAAGGGAAATCATGGGCTCATAGCTGCCGAACAAGAGGGTCATTTTCTCAGTCTGCCCTTGCGTGTTAATAGCAGTGTTGAAAGCTGTCAGAAGTCGAGTAGCAAGAGTTCTTCCAGCAATTGCTCGTATTTGATCACCTGCCGTTGTGCCGGATGCCGAGAGGTCAGCATTCATTGCAAATGCCCAATCGTCTGCAAGGATTTTGGCTTTGGTCAAATCTTCTTCCCGCAACGATTTTCTGACAGTACTGTTGTGGGTATAAGCATAGTTGAGATAGTCATAAATGTAAAAGGCGTCATAGTAGCCGACCCCGGCACTGGAGAAGACCCCTTCGAGAAAATCTGGCTCCAGGCTCGTATAAAACTCCATGGTTGTGTTCAAGAGACTTTGATAGTCCACGCTTTGATAATAATCCCGACCCGAAGCAGTATACGACGGGCAGTTGTCCATGCCATTGACCCATATAGAATTGAGATCATTGCTCGAAATGGTTGTGATGTCAGGATATTGGTAGCCATTCAGGGGCGCAACAATGTTGGTTCCATTGGCAACGGTGCTTTGGCCTTCAATATATGTCCAGTTCGAAGACTCTTCCAGAGGAGGATACAGGCCCTGGAGGAACGCCAAAGCGGAGGCCGACACGTATTGATCATCGGTAGACAAGATATTGATCTGATCGTATGCCAACTGATTTGCCGATATGCCGGAGATCGTGGAGGACGCTGTATAGTCACCGTCGCTGGGCGAAATATACCTGTCTCGGATCTTGGCACCTGCTCCATACAGCTGTTGAGCTCCCAAAGGAGTCAACGAAGGCGTTGACGACAAGACTAGAGGAGTCCTATCGCCATACCGGGTATAGATGAATGTGTTCAGCACTTGCTCGGTGAGCACGGTCTGAGGGGCAACGGCGAGGAAGAGCGAGAAGAAGAAGTATAGGACAGAGGCGTGAACTGAATTGAGTCCAGCCATGCCTCACGATATTCAAGATGAATTAGGTCACAGAAGCACGATGCACCAGTAGCCAGCAACTTGACCAGCTGCTGAGGAACAGAGAAAGCAAACAGACATGGTGGGGGATTGGTGAGCCTTATGAGCTTGAGCTATCGAGGTTGAGGAAGCTGCAGGGCAGCACAATAGCTCTGGATTCTGGGAGCTCATGACAGCATTCGCTGGTAGAAGCGAAGGTCCTAAGAGCGGCTTACTGAATCCAGAGCAATGTCCCATGATCACCGTGCATTAGGTCGTGTGTATGGTGAGTTTTGACCAGGAACGGGATCGTCATAAGAAGAGGGAAGCTTTGATAGCAAGGATTACTACATGGTGGGGATCAGCTCAGGTCATGGCATTCGTTCAAAGCTCCCAATCAGTAGGACTGTCTTGCCGCCAATATTCCAGACTTTGGGGCCGTCATTGCCGACCAAGAGTAGTTAGCTGTCCTAAGGATCTTATCTCTCGTTCAAGCATTCGCTGACATGCGGAGTATCGAGTATGGAACATGAGAGATCGTGATGCTCTCAACAGCTGGTTGAGACATGACGTATAACGCAAAAGTCCATATGTTATCGCTTTTATAGTACGGAGGGCGGATACAACTTACAGAAATATTGCTTCCAGGCCCAAGCGTCCCTCCAGCATTGAGCCTGGCTCCGTAAAGATAAGCACATTGGCTGGCATAATTCTGGGGGCTGGGAGGGGAAAGCAGGCGACGAGCAGGGATACTGATAGGTATAGACACCAATCTAAGCACCTCATCAACTGCTATTAGAGGCCTGGATGGTGTGTTAAGTCAGAACCATCGATCACAAGCGCCTTATTACTCTCTACTCGTATCCGGACAAAGTGGCAGGCGAATTCCACCCTTCTACTGCCCCTCATTCATTGCTGGTATCACGGGTAGATAAAAAACATCCAATGGTCCGCATGTCATCCTCAGATTCCCTAGGTGAAAAGAGCATGTGAATACGAGTATTCTACTTCCCGTAGTATCAATTGAAATGTTCTTCACAGACTCCACTGTCCTAGATACTCTAGGTTAGGTACGGAGTATCATAATACTGTTGTATTGTACTATTCACACTCCGGCCAACGTCGATTGTTAGGCATCTCCGCATTGTTGCTCCACACTTTTTTTCCCATGGCAGATTCTCAATCTCGTCCGTTTTCCGTACGAATACCAACTTCACGTCGTCATAATAAAGATGCCTAGTGTGATTGTATCTGAGTCGTCAAGTATTCCAAGAAACTGCTGTTTCAGCAATGTCAAATGATCTATCCTCAGTCCAAGCTGCCGGCGAGGGCACAGGAGAAGCCGTCCCTCCGAAGCAACAAGGTGGGAAGCGTTGTCTCCCCCATTCATCTGATTGCGCATTTTGACTGACTTATACCCAGATGAGGCTCTTTCGCAGCCAGTCCAATCGCAACCCTCAAATCCCCCACAAGATGACAGCCCGAGAAGTCCTAAGAGGCGGCGTCTGTCCCCTGTCGAGAACCATCCGAGACCAGAAGCTTCCTCCGTAGTGAGCGCTGACCAGCAAAAGAAGGAGAGTGAACCGACAGTGGTTCCTCAGTCTACACCCACAAATGTCTCTGCCCCAGCTAGCACTCAAAGCCACCATGCGCCTCCGCAGCCTCCAAAACCGCAGCCTAGTATCGGGAGGAACCGTCTGGACAGCCTCCCAGTGCTAGAGAGCCTCGCCGCCGACATTCTGACCTTTCTCGCGAGTCTCTCGCCGACCGAAGCCTTGGGCTTGTCAAGGACACCAGCCACCTTGAAAACCCGCGAATACCTCGGGTTGCGATCGAAGTTCGACCCCATAAGGAGGATGTTTTATACCGGACAGCCGTTCCTCTCTGCGAGTGATCTGCAGCTACAAGATGCGAATCACATCCAGGCCATACGGAAGATCAACCAAGCCATATTTATGTCTAGTATATTCACAGGTGAGATCGGACTTCGCGACATGGACCGGGGTTTTCTCCCTGTGCTCGTGCCCGATAATGGCTATCTTCAGAAGTCGCAAGCCTCCGTATTCCTGGCTTTGAAAACGCAAGGGTTCATAACGGCTTGGAGAACTGGAGCAGCTCCGCCTCATGTGGTTGTGGCCGATATGTTTGCTCCAGACTTGGACAAGCAGATCCTAGCACGAAGACCGGGAACAACAACATTAGCACCCACTGAGCAAGACCTTCTGAATCAGGTTACAGCAAGACGCGAGATCTTGCAAACTCATGCACAAAATAACACGCTTGACCAATTGGCTTTGAAGTATCCGTGGGACGATTTCAGTCGAGAGGTCTCATCCTATTTGTATCAAAGCATTGAAAGCGCTTCCAAGAATGGCGGTGGTCAGGGTGGTGGTGATGCTTCGAAAAATGCTCAGCGAGGACAGATGGAAGGGCAATTCTCGATTCACGCGCCACCCGTCCCGACTGCGTCCACCGAGTCTATCTTCATGCAAGTAACCCAAGGCCAGACTCCAAGCCTTTCGCTTTTCGGCGAAGAGTTTATCGCACAAGCCGCTCGAGCTGCAGAGATTGCCATGAAAGGACTGGGCGCTGTGTCCGCCGCTGAAGCTGCTCCTACAGCACCTCCTACAGCACCTCCTCCCCCAACCAAATCAGCCACCCCTGCCTCTCAAATGCCTCTACCCGACTATCAACAATATGAACCACCTTCCGAAAACATCAAGTCCGAATCGCCTCTTTCTACACCTGGTGGAAATCCAGACGTCCCTCACAGCTCACAAACAGCGCCTACTCTTGTGCTATACGAGAGAGCTAGACAAGCAGCGGCCGCGAAAACATCGCTGACCCCACGAAAAGGCGTTGTACCTGCGCAGAGGCGTCCTTGGACTCCGGAAGAGGAACATGCTCTCATGAAGGGAATTGACCAAGTCAAAGGTGGCCATTGGAGTCAGATTCTCGCCATGTATGGCCCTGGTGGCACGGTCAACGAAACGCTAAAGGATCGGAACCAAGTTCAACTGAAAGATAAGGCGCGAAACCTCAAGTTGTATTTTTTGAAAAGTGGTGTCGAAGTACCCTACTATCTACAAGCCGTGACTGGAGATCTTAGAACGCGTGCTCCAGGACAAGCCTCGAAGCTTGAGGACGCTAAAGAACGCGAGAGGTTGCAGTTGGAAGCAGATCAAGTGTCATTTGAGGAACTGGAAGGTGACGAACCGCCACATCCAAACTTGGTTGATAGTGGCACACCCCTACCAACACAAGCATCGCCTGTCATCAATGAACCTGGACAAGCGAGTCCACCCAAAGACGTCGAGCCAAAGAAATTCGAACCGAGTATGGCTGATGTTGAGGCGATGATAGCGAGAGCAGCAGCGCAAGCCGCACAGGAAGCGAAGTCAACCGTGCCTGGATCGTGATGCTCTATCATGAGAGAATAGTTGAAGAAGTATTATGTATAAGAAGCAGCCTTGTATATAATATGGCATTTTGGTCAATACCCAAATATGTATTTACTGTGCTGTGAAACGGGTCCATCATATCATTCCGTTTCAGCCTCGGAACAACGTTCTCCATACTCCAGATTCTAGTGTCGCCGCATAATAATATTTAATCCCTGCAACTTGCTTTTACTCTTCGTTATCACTCAACCCTTGCCCGCTTTCACGACAACAAGACTACATACCGAGCATACATAGTAGCACGACGTTTCAGCCATTTGTATTGTTGCACCACAGTATCCTCTTGGCGCCAGTCCGATCCCCGACTTGAGATAATGGCTTCCTCACCCCCTCCTACCACAGCAGAAGACACCACGACGATGGATGTGGACGCCGAAATGGCAGACAACACACAAGAGACGGCGGCGGAAGGCTCCTCGACGCAGCGAAACAATCCGGAAGCCTCTTCAGGCACCCTGGACAACGAATTCACCCAGTCGGAAACGCAGCCAACAGCGACAACGTCCGCGGGCGCACAGCAGAATCGCAAGGACATTACACTCCGAGAGTTTCTCAGCAAAATGGATGATTATGCCCCGATTGTAAGTTTGATTCGCCTCTCGATGATCATCGCACCACTCCAGCGCGCGACAAGACTATGAGCGAGAAGGGAAGATGAACGGCGAGCTGATATTATTGTTTGTAACTTCTCTCTAGATCCCCGATGCCGTAACGTCGCATTACCTCACACTCGCCGGACTTCCTCCCCCTTCGCCGCACGACCCGACCGGCGCAAACACGAACACCACACCTCTCCCTCTTGCTCGGTTGTTGGCGCTTGCGACGCAAAAGTTCGTCGCCGACGTCGCCGCCGACGCGTACCAGTACAGCCGCATTCGCGCGGGCAATTCTGCAAGCACGAGTAATGCGCTCGGCAATGCCGCGATGGGAGGCGGCGGTGGTGCCGGACAGGGGTCATTCGGCGGTTCCGGCGCCACTGGCGGAGGAGCCGGAGCAAAGGGACAGCAGGCGGCACAGCTGGGCGTGCAGAGAAGCGGCTACGGCGGCGGCGGTCAAGGTGGGAGCGGACAGGGCAGAGCGGTGTTGACCATGGAAGACCTTGGTATGGCGGTTCAGGAGTACGGAGTCAACCTCAAGAGAGGAGAGTTCTACCGGTGAAGAGAAAGTCAAACACACAACAACCACCCCCCGACGACGGTGGTCTGCCTGGACTCCGAAATCGACGATACGGCTCACAGAGTGCGTCGCAGACGCATATTGTTTTGGGTTCCTTCAGGACCACTTACATTTCCCGAAGCTCCACGGCTTCCTTTTTTGGTCCAAAAGCAAAACGGAGGAGGGTCGGATAGAATAAAGGCTTTGGCACCTGTACAGTACTATTTCGATCATAATGATACCCACGATTTTTGTTGTTCCACCAGTCTTCCCCCTCCCCCCTTCCCTTCCCCCCCACCAGTACCAAGATCATCGCGGATTCAAAGAGAGATGTTACAAGTTGTCAGAAAAGAAAATCCATGCCTTTCGACCAGCTCTCGAGGTGTGAGAGTCAGATTATCTATATACCTTGGTCTTTTAACCGGTGCCACAGGACAAGAGCTTTACGCCAGCAACTGTGTCGGGAGAACATGCAACATCTTTATCGCACGGTAGCAAGCAGGAAACCATCATAATTCTTCCCGCCACACGTCTGAATGACGGTGGCATCTACCCTGTCGTCCTTGCCGACCATCTCGACCAGGTTCGGTACGTTGGTGTCTCTGGGCGCCGGACCCAGCACTCCCGTCTCCAGCATCTGCCTGACCACGTTGTCGACATAGACCACGCTCCCTCTGCCGCTGGACAGCTTGACGGCCCAGTCAAAGTAGGCCCACTGGTTGTCCCAGTCGGCATCGATGAAGACGACGTCGAATTTCTGTCTCTTGCCCTGGGAGATTTCCTTGGACAAGTTGGGGAGGACGTCGAGCGCCGCGCCCAGGACGATGTCGACCTGCTCGGGCACCTTGACGTTGCCGTACTCCAGGTTCTCGATGGCCACGGCGCGTCGGGCCGGGTCGATCTCGATGCTGGTCAACTTGCCGCCGGCGTCCTTGAGGCCCTCGGCGAGCCACAGGGCAGAGTAACCGCCCAGCGTGCCGATCTCGAGCACGTTCTTGGCCCCCGAGATGCGCGTGAGGAGGGAAATGAGTTTGCCTTGGCTCGGAGACAAGGCTATCTCGGGGATGCCGTGGGCGCTGGTGTTGGTGTAGGCGTGCGCAAAGGCCGGCGTAGGTGGGCAGAGGGCCGCTTCGACGTACTCGGACACGTCGTTGGCATATTTTGCGTTTTCGACAGACATGATGATGATGATGATGAACGTAAGAATTTTAGATGTGGTGGGATTTGATCAGCCGTTTAGTTACCTAGGCAAGATGGCAGTGAGATGAGGCTGAGTAAGAGAATGCTTTTCATTGATATTCTACTTGACATGGACACGAACATGAACATGTTTATATACTTCTGCTTCGTTCTGGAAGGTGGAGAAGATTCGACAGGCAGCAGTATTCTCGTTTTTCACAATCTGAACGCATCGAATAAAGAGTCAGGTAGCGTATATGAGAGATAGAAAGAGTAGTATATGATGGGAGAGGGAGTCATCCGGGGGAACCACCAATGTACGCCAGACTCGATGTGAGTGGATGAAAGATATTCGGACTCAAGACCCACAGAGATGGAGAGCGAGTCGGTGCTACGAATACATCATTAAACATCCTCCTCAGGATCACTACCTATCCAAAAAGCAGAGGCCAGTGAGGTATTATTTACGTACGGAGGGACTATTCGATGTGACCTACTTCGTACCTAGCTAATTAGTTCAAATCTCTACCGCGACTTGAAACAACAAGAGACTGGACCTCTCGAGGATGTTTATTTGGAGACGCAAATGCCCTAGTCAAACATCACCCGTACCAAGTACTGACGCTCCTAAGTCAAGCTCATGGCTATTTTTAAGCTTACTCCAGCTGGTTTTCAGCTACTCGGTATATATCGATAACCCTTTGAATAATGATTAAATGGTCTTGGTCGAGTTACAAAGGTACACAGTCCAACTGACCTCGTGTCCCTGTAAGCACTTTTCTCACTCCATGTCCAGCACCATTATCATTATTATTATTAGCACCTTGTCATTTGTAAAAGAAGCTACCGGTGCCATGAATCGGCTACAGGAAGGAGGAAAGATGTCATCAATTTCCATGAATCGTCACTACGCTGCGTCTCCCTTGCAAGTCACCTGCATGATGCAGTTCGGTAGCAGCTGAAGTCATCCTCGTACCACAATGCCATCTTGTCAGATCTTTTTGATGGACGGACAAACCCATCGCCCTTGTCTATTCTTCGGAGTCTTTCGATGTAATGTTAGTCCTGGGTGATTGCGATCTCACACATTTGAACTTCTGGATTAAAGCTCGACTTTTCTTGTTTGAGAGTACAAATTACTTTCAGTCTTCTAGTCCTTTGGAGGAATATCAAAAGTCGAGATGACCATGTTCAAGAAGCTCTTCTGTGGACTTGTAGGTCTCGTGGCTGCTGCGGCTTCATCGCAAGCTACGATAGACACTTCTGGTGCCCGAACAGCAGGCTGTGGTAAACCACATACCGACAAAGGTTCACTTCGACATGTCAATATCCTCAGCGACAACGTGAACAGGTCAGTTTCTATCCATGTACATCACCTCCTGTCATCACTGGTTACTGTTCAGCTAAGGAGAATCCCACTTATACTGACCAATATGCCACAGAGAATTCCTCGTCTACATCCCGCAAGACTACAATCCGCATCAATCATATCCCTTGCAACTTTCGTTCCACGGAAATGGCAAGGACATGAGTTACCAGGCCACTCTGACCCGTTTTACCGACCCAACTATCAATCCCGACATGATCGCCGTCTTTCCTAACGGCTTGTTCGGGGACACAGCCAAGACTCAAGATGAGAGATGCTGGCAGGGTGCACCGTATTGCACATCACACAACGACCTGCTCTTTGTGACTGACTTGCTCGAATTCATGCGCGACAACTATTGCATCCGCCCTTCCCAGGTCTATGCCTCTGGAAAATCCATCGGTGGAGGTTTCGTTGATCTGCTTGCATGTACAGAAAGCCCTGGAGGAGATTTCACCGCCTTCGCTATGGACGCTGCGGCAATGTATCAAGAGGCCAACGACACAGACTTTGTTTGTCATCCTGCTCGACGACCAACTCCGATCCTCGAACTCCACGGTACGGAAGATCATACGGCACCCTACAACGGCGGTAGAAGCCATAATGCAACTCTACCCACTGTTCGTGCCGTGTTGAACGATTGGGCCACCCGCAACGGTTGTGGACCTTCACCTGTCCCAACGGTGGATGATATTCAATTCGACGGAACAGTGTTTTATACGCAGTACGACTGTGCCGGGGTGCCTAGTGTCGTCGCGGGGTACAACGTCACTGGTCAAGGCCATGTGTGGATCAGCAATGAAGACAATGCTGAGAATGGAAACCATACGGCACTGATCGATGCGAGTACCATCATGATGAAGTTTTTCAACGCGAATGCCAAACACTGAAGTCAAAGGTTGATAACGACACGGTCTTTAAATCACGGTCATGAACTTCACTTTGGTCGAGGGAGTGGAGTGTAGTGTAGGACGGCAGACCGAGTGTGCAGACTATAAAACCGAGAATGGGATGTAGTACTGCCAGCACAGGAAAACACATATGCTGTGTAATGTTGGGAAATGGGCGAGGGTATTCGAGGGTCGAACATGCTTCTCGCAGTGGATCTCGTTTGTTGTTGTTTTACTCTTGTCTTATCCCTTTTCTGTGCAAGAATGATATGCCATGAGCCTTGAAAGTGAAGGTGAGAGGGTATTTGAAACGGTAAGAGTACTTTTGTGATTGATTGATTGATGAGCCGAGCGCATGTCGTGGGTCCTTGTAGACGTGGCCGGAGGGTGAGATTTTGGGCCTCGTGTTCGTGTTCGTGACTGTGTCTTTTTCTTCCTATGTTCTGTCTGTAACATGCCCCTCCTATGATTGACACATATGATAGGGTTCTGTATGTGACGCATTATGCATTATGCATATTGGGACAGCTTTGTATGACATTGAACTCTTGTTTTGTTTTTTTCTCTCTCTCTCTCTCTCTCCCGAGGTCGTCCAATATCTCTCTGGTTGGGAGCTGGATTTCAATTCCTGATTCAATCAAACGAATCTCTGGCTCTGACAAGATTGGGGGCGAATGTGCCTGGATTTCATCAATCAGCATTTCCGGCATGTCCGATCCCCGAGTTTGATGCTTTTCATGCAATCCCCATCCCACCATTGATCTGTCAAAAAGATCTCTCTCGGTGGATCAGCAAGGGGGGGCGTTCGAAATGAAAAAAGGGAAGATGGTAAGATGTATAAGTGTTTCCCTCTTGTCTGTATCGTTCTTGTCTTTGTTGTCTTGTTGTTGTTGCTGCTGCTGTTTCCCCCAGCTTCATCAGACTACTAGTAGGTCACGATTACATTCCTCTATACTTCTGCCCCGAGAGGACTCCCTTGTCTTTGCAGCTTGTTCTAGTGTCTCGAATCTGGAGGATGAGAAAGTAGATTGTTGACAAAATACCCTCACCATGGTTGATAAACACAATTTCAATCTCCTGGTCATTGTCACAGGAATCATTGTAGCGGTAAGTGTTGTTATCCTGTCCCGCCCCAATACTTGTCATGCTCCTATGTTTTTACACACACACACACACACACACACACACACACACACACACACACACACACACAATAAGGATGTGAGCTCATAAAGGTTGTTTCAACAGTACATCATATCATCAATCCTTTACAACATCTTCCTTCACCCCTTGAGGCACTACCCCGGTTCAATCTACTGGCGAGCGACCCGTCTGACATGGGTGATTGCACTCCACCGAGGCCATTTACACAGCGACCTCCTCCGTCTCCACGAGAGATATGGTCCGGTGGTCCGCACCGCCCCTAACGAACTATCCTACATCGACGCCCGGGCATGGAGGGACATATACACCTCGCGACCTGGCAGTGCGGTACTCGAGCGAGGTGACGTGTGGTTCCCACGCCGCCCGGGTCGGGACCCTCCCATGATCCTCATGGGCAACAGTGAGGCGGGCCACGCCAGGTTGCGGCGGGCCTTTATAGGTGCCTTTTCCGACACGGCGACAAAAGAAGTCCACGCGCCCGTGATTGAAAAGTACGTCCATCTTTGGATCGGGCAGTTCAAAGCTATGATTGAGAAGAACGGCAAGGAAAATGGTGGCACTAGTGCGGAACCGGCAGAGACACGGACAAACACGACCACCACAGTTGACATGATCTCTTGGTTGAATTTTCTGACGTTCGACATCTCAGGTGACTTGTCGTTTGGCGAGTCTTTTGGAAGTACGGCTCGAGGTGAACCACATGCCTGGGTCGACATCGCCAACGGGTACGGCAAGGGTATCGCGTTGATCGCATCGTTGAACTATTTCGTCGCACCGTTGCAGAAATTGTTGAGGTTCGTCATGCCGGCTTCGGTGAGACGAAAGATGGCGTACCATCAAGATTGGACCGCCCAAAAAGTCCGCAAGAGACTCGAGTTCAAGAATGATAGGGCAGATTTCATGGGAGCTGTTCTCAAATACAATAATCAGTCCGTCAAGACCAAAGAGGAAAAGGTGTCGATTCAAGAGTTGGAGTTGAATATGGCCACTTTTGTATTTGCAGGAAGTAGGTTTTTCCCCATTATTGTCATGATGATGATGATGATGATGATGATGATGATGATGAAGAAGAAGAAGAAGAAGATCTTACTGCATATATGTGCTGATTCAAAGAAATACTTAGGTGAAACGACGAGTAGTGCCCTCGCCGTGGTTTTGTTCGAACTTCTCAAAGCACCTGATATCCTCAAGCGAGTCCAGGATGAAGTGAGGTCTGCCTTTGAACGAGAAAAAGACGTCGACGTCGCCAGTTGTTCAAAGTTAGAGTACCTCTCAGCTGTCATCAACGAAGGGATACGAATCGGTCCACCTAGTGTCATTGGTGTGCCTCGTGTCGTCAAGGGGCATGGTGAAGAGGTTTGTGGGAAATGGGTACCTGGAGGAGTATGTCCTGACCGTCCTACACCGTTTTGCTGACATCTCTTCTTTTCTTACCATTGGTGCTGATTGATCCTTGTTTGGTTTCATGATGATTACTGATCTGCTCATCACCAATATCTAGACATACCTCGCCGTGAACCAATACGCAGCGTTCCACGCCACCGCAAATTTCACCGACCCGTCCAAGTTCCAACCGGAGCGCTTCCTTACCCCCGACGCAGACGCAAAGACATCTGATGATAATCTCGCGGTTTTCCAGCCATTTCTCGTCGGCCGGCACACGTGCATTGGGCAGAAATTTGCGTGGGCAGAAATGAGACTCGTTCTCGCCAGGTTGTTGTTTGCATTTGATATAAGCAGGGCAGAGACAAACTCGGCCACTGTGAATGTCGGTGATTGGGGTGAACAAAAGACATTTATATTCTGGGAAAAGGAACCACTTCATGTCTCGTTGAAGAAGCGGGTGTCATAGGACTTGAGGACATGTCTTGTCGCCTTGCCTAGGCACCTACGGCCTTGCAAATGGGAGAAGAGGGGAGATGTGTGTGAGTGACAAGGAGATATGTGTCCGATTGGGAGAATGAAAGTACAATTGAATGGTTCAAGATTGCATTTTCATTTTTGATCCGAACCCACCCATCTCGACCCGCTGTACACTTGTGTCGTTTTTTCAGTCCTCTTTATTCACGACCTCCTGCTTCTCTGATCCACCTGTGGCTGTCTCTGTATGAATGTCTTGTGACACCTGAAGATGGATGTTCCGTGGCATTCGTTTCGCCACCCTGACAGGGTCAAAGATGGTTTTACTTTCGAGAAAGATATTGTCGACTTCTTCCAAGGTACGACCGGCAGTTTCTGGCCAAAAGAAAAATACACCTAGATGTTTCATCGTTAGTAAGAAAGAATAGACAGACCAAAAGAAAAGAGCAAGAAGCCACCAGAAGAAAAAAATGGGGAACCAATGGTGGTAATATGCCGAGTGGTTATAGTAGTAACTCACATGGTGTTATCAACAACAAATTGATACAAGCCCAGATGATGAAATATCTGTATTTGAGCGTGGCGAAACCGATAGGGGTGATTTCTGCCACCAAGAAATTAAAAGCCCACGCCGTCCCCGTCGATATCGAAGTGATGGGTACACGCATACTGAGTGGTGCAATTTCGCTCGCATATAAAAAAGTCAAACCCAAGAAGCCTGTAAAACGGGTCCAGGACCAAGAAGTCAGTACCTGGTCAGTAGTTGTTTTCTCTTCGTTTTCTTTTACCAAAAAAATCTTCACAAGAGGGAGGACCATAAAAAGGGGATGAGGGAGAAAGGACAACAAAACTGACCTGTGGGAAAAAACATGCTGAACAAGAATATCATGAGGGCAGATACAATTTGAGCCCCTTTGTCGGCGGGGACCGAAACAGTGCCGGTCATGATTGTCATGCAACAACCCATCCCGATGGCCGAAACGACCATCAATTTTCGACGACCCAGCCTGTCGACCGTGAGGACACCGATGGGTGAACAGACCGTCTGGAAGGTAAAAACCGACGCCGCGAGGATCTGAGAGTCGGCAGCTGGGAGACCCAAGTATTGACTGTACAAGGTGGGTAGATAAAAGGCCAAGGCGTTGATGCCACACATTTGTTGAAACACTTGACCACCCGCGGCCAGACAGGTACGGTGGAAGAGTCTTTCCGGGCCGTTTGTGAAGATTTCCCGGAAATGGCCTTGACCCGTGAGACGAAGAGATTCTTGGATGTTGGCGACTTCGGTCGAGACTTCTGGAGAGTCGTCTGAGACGTCGTCGAGAGCCGACAAGACTCTCTTGGCCTCTTCCAGTCGATCCTTTTTGATCAACCACCTGGGGGATTCCGGCATCTGTGACATGGTGAAGATGACCACCAATGAAAAAAGTCCCGTCAGTGCCAAAGGAAATCTCCAAGTCACGGCTCCTCCGGCGTGTGAGATTCCGTAACAGACCCAACCTTGTACGGCCAAGCCGGCGCTGATGAATAAAGACTCGAGAAGCACGACCGACCCACGGTGTGCGGCTTTGGAACATTCACTCTGCCAGTTTGGAGCCGTCGCACTCATGGCACCGAAACCCAAACCAGACACGAGCCTCCCGACGATCAATTGACCCAAGGAGAAAGAGGAGGCTTGAATGATGCTTCCCAAGGTGTGGACCAAAGCTCCCAACATGACGGTTTTTCTTCGACCCAATCGATCACCCAAGACGATACACGACAAGGCACCAAAGAGTGCACCGAGAGTGTACAAGGCAATGACCGTCCCTTGGACCCGACTGTTTTCTGTCTTTTCCGATCCTGTGGTGTTGACGGTGTCGATGCGAGGAAACGTGGAGACCCAACTGGGGAGGTCGACCAAACTACCACCGACACCATTGTTGAAACCGAATCTGTTTGCATTTGAAAGAAACAAGGAAAACGTCAGTCGTAACGATACTGTATCAAGTCCGGGTTCTCTGAAAGGAAGAAAGGAAAAAGAAGAAAAAAGAAGAGATCTATTCAGGATGGGCAAACACACAAGGTATAAAGAGGTAGGATAACAGCCCATATTAATGCAGCGTTCAACTTTCGTCCACGAAGGCCAAAATATTGATATTTAGACCTCGCCATTGTCATACGGGATATCGTAGAGGTACTGTGTACTTGGTGGGGGGGGCCGGTTAGGACAGGGAGTATTCGTACTCGTACTCGTACTCGTAGGTAAAAATAAAGAGAACCAAGGCGACGGCCAAGGAGTTCAAGCTTTTTCTTCCCTTGGGAGAAAACGTTAGTCTTGACCTTATGTACTTGCTTATATACAAGTACTCCATCCTCCAGACATTATGTGCGGATCGTCGGCAATTGATGGTGAGCGTGAGAGAGAGGGAGAGAGATCGACCGACCACGCCAACTTTTCACCCACCAACACTGGGGCACCCCATGCCTAACCTACTAACGACTACGATTACGCGTAGTGTTCGATTGGCCGTCGGGATTTGACCGTGTACGCTTTCAAAGCGTCTAGAAGTCTCCTCCCGTACTCTCCTTGTTCCCCTTTCTGGTCTCGTCTGAAAGAAAGAAAGAGGGCACTCTCCGTGCATCCACCATCCAGGTGACTACGGACCAGGAGGACTTGACCACCTACGGAATACGTAAGCAGACTTTTTGTCTACTCAACCATACAAAGTACTAGTTACAACACTTGCCCTATTGGCCCGACGTGCTCGTTACGTCTTGCATGTGGCCAAACGAACTAGGGACGTACTGTACCAAAAAAGAAAAAGAGGTTACATTACTGTCGATCGATCTCGTCACACGACCCAAGCAATTCGAGGACATGATCCAGTGCACCGAGGCCAATGATATCCAGTCAGTCATTGACAGTTCACGTCTTTGAACTGGGTCGAGTTAGGCGATGCGTTATCAGTATGATCCTCCGCCGCACACCTGGTCTCGGGGGTCACGATAACTAAGAAGAAGCCCTACGCAGGCCTCATGGTCAACCGTCATGCAGTTCTCTCAAAGCCTCATCACATTTACGCGTCACTCCCATCAGATACTCTTCGTTCAGACGTTGCCCGACGAGCTGAAAAGCGACGGGACATCTAATCACATCTTCGACCGCATCTGTGCATGGGTCAGACTTGATTGCGAGATCGCAGTACCCTCGAAGACTTACAGTCCTTCCAAATCCTCGTCTCGAGCTGATTTCGTGGTTCGAACTCTGGCCTTGCATCTTCGAGGGAGACATGGGTTACAGGCAAAGTTGTGGCGCAGTAATCCAGCACGTTCCAGAGACTAGTATAGTCGTCGTATATGAATTCATATCTGTCATCATCAGTCAAGTCATATCATATCTACACCATCGCACATACTGTGACGATGCTGGCCAGGGGCTGACAGGCATCAGCAGCGCATCCATTGGCCTTTGCCGTTGATTTTGACAGACTTGGTGGCCATCGCCTCGAACATCCCGAAGCCCCGAGGCCAGGGCTCTTGGGTTTTGGCAAGTGTGGTTCCGAGCTGTTCGGCGGCAGCAGAGCGATACAGAGCGAACTTGAGTGACTCGGTATACAATGGTTCATCGCTGACCGCGGTGTCAGTCTTTTTGAAAACCGGAAGGGGAAGAAAGCCAATACGACTTACATATGAAAGTCAAAGACCGTGTGTCCCGCTGCTTCGAGAGCGGCCTTTGTTTGCAGGAGAGCCCGAGTCACAGGAGGCAGAGGCTTGACGTTGCCAAGAAGCCCCTGAGACGTCTGAGAATGGGACCTACCAAAACAAAGCTTCTCTGGTACAACAATGTCACGCCATGGGATAGGAAGACAGTCTGGATCGGCCCCCGTCCAGGGTTCGCTTTCCAGCACGGCTTTGGTCCACATCTCAACGCTGGCCAGGGACGTTGCCAATGGTCCGATTGCGTTTCGCACCGCCTCTTGCCCGGCGAGCCCATCTCGGAGTCCGCATGTAGGAAAGCGGCCGTACGAGGGTTTGAGAGAATAGAGGCCGCAGAAAGATGCCGGAATCCCTGGAGAAACCATGTCAGTAGACAACAGCGCCAGACGCGGTTATATCACTTACGAACGGAACCACCTAGGTCTGTTCCGACCCCCAGGGGCGTTCCGCGTAACGCCAACAAGGCGCTCTCTCCTCCCGAAGAGCCACCACTCGAGAGATTCCGGTTGTACGGATTGCTCGTGTACCCGAATATGGCATTATATCAGTTGCAGCAGTACGGAGTACTTCCCTCCTTGATTGGTTCTGTTCGGTTACAGGAGGCCAATGATCTATGGTTTGCCTTTGGTGTCAACAGAAAAAACAGTTTCCAGCCAAATCTTCGATAGATATTCTAACTAGAAGATGTCTAACATTAGATCACTAGGTCTTAGAGCCCATTATGGGCTAATCTCAAGTCTAATGTTCACGTCTGTCGATTAAGAGATTATAGCGTTACAAATTTCCGTCTAGCCTTAAAAGCTATGTATGGGAGAGTCGTTTAGATACAGTATGATACGGAGTACTAATGTAATTATAGTCTAGTAGTTACGTGACGCTAAGAACAGGCGCTGAATATTCAATTACTTTTTCTACCTCATGGTTTTAGAATCCTCAATGTACTCTGAGTAATGACATGATTCATCACAATCCTCATCGATCCGTGCCAGCAAGACAACTCTCACAACCTTCCACGGCTCATTCATCGTTCGTCGTTCGTCACTCACCAATCATCTTCATTCAACTTCATCATGCATCACATCAGTTCGATCCCCTTTCTTCTTTGACCCTTTACATCTCAAATCACAATTACAACCCCATTTCCGTCGAAACTCATCCACACTCAGTTTCGACAATATCTTGAGAGCGACCCTGCTAGCTTTGAGTTTGGCGCACCCAACACCGTGTCCTTTGCCGGTCGCAACAACCCGCCCATGTACAATCCACGCGACATGGGCCGTGATTCCACCAATTGACTGGTCTCCCGCCCCCTCATCATCGTCATCCTCATCATGATCTCCCCTTGTCGTTGTTGTCGTGGTCTCTTCAATGGTGGTCGAAGAATTGTCGTGACATTGAAACCTATGTATGAGCAACTTGAGCAGATGCGTCGTCGGGTGTAGCTTCGCAAAACTATCGTAAGTTTCAATATTCTCAAAGAACCACTTCACGTGCTTCTCGAAGAATATCTCAATCTCTCGCAAGTTGAAGTTGGAGTCCAGAAGCACGGCACCCAAATAACTCTCGACAAGATCTGCCAGTGCCTTTGGTGGGCTAGACCCCGGGTCTAGCCGAGTCCAGAAGTCGCGTTCCACCGGTCCTTGCTCGTACTTTTCCTGAACCATGGCCGAGTAACGTCCGATGTCTTCGTAGACCTTCATCGACTCGGCATAGATGAGTTTGTGGAATCCCAATACAACCGCAAGTGCGGAGAGGAATCTGTTCGACACCATTGCCATTTTGTGTTCTGTCAACCACTGGGGACCTCTCGTTGCATTCTTCGAAAACAACCACCAGATAGAAACCCAGTCCAGACAAGCATCCCCCAGAAATTCCATTCGTTGTAGATCAGGAACAGTAGAATTTTGGTCAGATGAGTGGGTGAAAGCTGAGCGGAGCAATCGTGGATACTTGAATTTGTAACCCGTTATCTGTTCAACGGTTGTCGCTAGGTCATCAGCGACCGGATCGTTCATTTGCAGGCACCACGTCGGCCGCTTGTACAACGCCCTCACATCCCTCCAACTTTGAAAGTCATGGTACGGGTCGTCCACAAGTTTGGTAATCGCACGAATACCAAGATCAAGTTTCTCCTCCACAGGGAGATTCTGACTTGTCATAATACACGCCCCGATCATTGCTTCACATACGTCGGCAATCGTCTTCATGCCCAGTGGATGTGACTTGAAACCACTTTTCACCACAATCCGGCGCTCTGCGCGGTCTGGTATCTGTTCTATAAACTCGGGATACCAGGTGGTAGCCCAGTGAGGCTCGGATGCAGCACGAATGTACTGAAAGAGCTCATACTCCGGTTTTGATGCTGTCGAACACAGTCGACGATTTGCCAACATCTCCATACGTTTACAATGCATTCCCTCTTCATTACATGTGGTATGAATGAACACTGCGATCGTCGTCATCATCTTCAACAATGAATCGCCGATGAACTCCAGCCGCTCATAGTTTAGTGGTGCTTTTTTGGGTAAGGCATCAGATTCGTCAACACCGGGTTCTCCGGCTGTAGTTATGTCTGTGATGGCACTGTTCTCCATGGTGAAAGATTCTAGTGCCAAGTCAAGAGGAACTTCTGGCAAGCCAAGTTTCAGATACGGCTCTCGCACGATCAAGTACGACTCCAGTCTATGCAGGATTGACGGCCACATTTGACCGAATACCGCCGTGTCCACCGAGATGCGACCAATGTTCAATGGTTGAGGTGCGATATCACACTCGTCAAATCGTTGTTCTCCTGGACCATACTTTTGCAGGAAGTTTCGACCAGCAAGCACCACTTTAGCCTTGATGACTGGTTGATAAGGATCGTACCTGGTCGCGCAAAGTGCAGCATCTTTGCGACGCTTTCCATAGGTACTATCAGAGAAAGCAATGATGCTGTTCTTGAATTTCTTGCCCAGCCTGATTGAAGGTTCTGGGGGTACGTCCCAAATCGTCTTTGCATGATCGATGTTTCTGGTGAAATAGCGGAACTTTCCACTACCAGGGTCGACGAGGAACGCCTGGCACCATTCGGCGGCTTGTTTGAGCCCGTCATCTGGGCTCGTAGCTGGTATCCACCGCCGTCGCTGGGTATGTCCTGCGAGCAAGAGTTCATCCATGTTAACAAAAGTTTCGAATGAAGATCCGAGTGGTGTGCATGCAGGCGGAGCCAACCAATAGCTCATGAAATTCGGATCCGACGCAAAGGTCTTTTGAAATAAGTCTTTCAAGACTGCATTAACAGTGAAATCTGTCAAAGCCTGGATTTGGCGCTCGTTGATTTGTACTGGTTCCTGCATCCGATCGAAAAAGATAGACTTTTCCACATTCTCGTCCACAAAAACAGGAAACTTCGGGATAGTAGGTAAAGGGGCGCGGGTGAATAGGAGGAGACTATTTGTGGCCGTAGAGGTGGATAAAGTTCCGACTGCCACACGAGTAACAAATAGCTTTGCAGGCAGGGATTCGGTGCCCACGCCGCTGTCGCGCCAAAAGTCTGGCTTCAACTTCTTTGGATATATCTCCTTCCTTTCATCGACTGCGAGACGAGCATTGTGGTTATGAGGCTTGACTTTGCCAAAAACACTGTCAAGATTTGTATCAAGAAGCTCTGCTTTCCGCAGCTTGACACAACAACGCCATGCCGCTGATCGTCTCGCCAGTACCTTGTTCGCCTTATGGTCCCCCAAAGCTCCTTTGACTTGGGCTGCGCGTGGGTCGTTGGTAGTAGGAAGTATGACTTTGTATTGAAAGGTATTCTTTTCCGCGTCAATGATTTCTTCATAAATCTCTCTTGACCTCGCTTCGACCCTCTCCAATGAATCCACGTACCGTGAAAGCAGCAACAATGAGTTGGTATGACTTGCAACAGCTCCAGTGGGCGTTTTGAACCTTGGACAACTGGCATCTTTGGCCATGAGTTGTTTCAATTTGGTCCCAGAACCCAGTAACCGATCTGGAGGAAGACTCTGACAAAATAGTCGGATATATTCATCCATTTCGATTGCATAATTGACTGTAGACACATGACTTTGATTTCCTTTCTCAATCATGTGGGCATACTCCGAGTTTTTCATTCGGGCTCGTCCTCGGCTCTGCATATACTGGATTGGGGTGTCGTAGAGATCAAAACGAACGACCAGATTACACTGGGGAATGTCGATTCCTTCTTCAGCAACACTGGTGGAAAACATGACGTTGATAATTCCCGAACGAAATTGATCCATGACCGTTGCTTGATCTCTCCAATGGCTGGATTCTATGCTCTGTGGGTGGACGCCGACGAGGACGCCTGGCCTCAGGTTCGGGATAGCCGAAGACTCGAAAAGATCACAGAGAATGTATGCTGTGATTCTTTGTGCCACAAAAACTATTGCCCGAGTAGCTTTAGATTCAGCAAACCTCCTCTCAAGCTCGGTGAAGAGGCATTTGACTTTGGGTGAAACCTCTCGATCAACATCAAATCGCGGAGGACCAAAGTAATGCCCCCGGACAAGGGAAAAGGCTTGCTGAGCTTTTGCCAACTTGGCTCGTCGCCTATCACTGTCAGAGTCTTCATTATAGACTTTACTCTGCTCAAATTTTCGGATAACCGCGGTAGCTCCATGATCTGTCACTGCGATGGCGTACTTCCAGACTCGATCAGCCGCCCAAGTACCAAGTTGACGTGCGGCGTATTTTGAGAAGGTGAAGTACTTTTGCAAGTCTTCAATGAAACCACAAAGGGGACGGAGGCTGTGAGTCAATTCAGTGTCAAACTCCATGCGCATAGGAGAGTAGGTCCAGCGAATATCTCTAGCTCTGGGAGCAAATTCAAAGACCGAGGCATCTTTGGTCGTGATAATCTTGCTCTGCAACAATTCCTCGAGCTCGCTCGTAACTCGACTAATATCGCGTTTCGAATCCACTGGAGACGCAGTCATGCCAAAGATGCGCGGCTTCTCACCCTTCCATTTGAGATAGTAGTCTCGTATTATGATGGCGTATGGATGACTCTTCTTGCAATGATGAGCCTCGTCAAAAATGAGCAGTGAGATTTGGCCAATGGTCAAGAAGGAGTGCATGAGGCATTGATCAAGGATAGCAGCTGTACAGACAATAACGCGATTTTTGACAAAGATATCCTCCCATTGCGCCTTTTTCCACAAGTCCTCGTTCGTCTCGCCAAAAAGTGCCATGGCGTTATGTGGTAGGTTATTGTTGAGAAACCGGGTCTGCTGCCTGGCCAAATGAACACTGTTGACCAAGAAGAAGACGATCTTGTGCGGCTTGCCATTGTTCCGGTCGAAGAGCTCTTGCTCCAGGAAATGGCGAATGAGTAGGGCTGCAATGAGGGTCTTCCCACTGCCAGTATCAAGAACAGCTATGACATTTTCATCCATGGCACGTTCGAAGAGTTCTTGTTGGTAGTCACGGGCTCGATTGATGATGCTGTCAGATTCTGCATTGTCAGAGGAGGTCACATGCCGTTCATTGGAAGCTTGTTTCCGTATGTGTTCTTTCAAGATAGCCTTATCGGCCTCTTTGGTAACCTCGGCGGCCGTAGTTGAAAATGATGATCCATCTTGAGACTCTTCGTCTGATTCGGCTACCTCGTCTGCCTCGTCTGCATTAAGATCCATAAGATCACTTTCGGGAGACAATTGAATGCCCTGTTGGTTGTCCGTCGAAGCAGGATCATCCATGAGTGTCATGAGAAGTTCTTCTGTAGATGGCTCCTCTGATTTTGGTTTTGGTTTTGGTTTTCGTGCCCACATTGCGACGAAAACGCTGAGAATGGCAGATTAGCAGAGCAAACGAAGGGACTGTTGGAGGAAGATCGGTAGTGAAGCAAACAACCCATTTCAATTTCGACCGGACTAAAACCTCCTTCACCAATTCCTGGGTTTCTCATGTTGTAATTGTTTTACCCAGTGGGTGGTGGTTGACAAGTTGTATGGATGAACAGTGAAGGCATCGAGGAGTTTCTCGCAAGATTAAATTACTGTAACTAAGTCACACCCGAATTTAAGCTCTAGGTACCCGGAGGCGAAGGCGTTGATCGTCAGGAACAATTAAATTCAGGCGCCATGGGCGGGAGTCCCTTAGGCGAGAGAACCACCCCGTTGGTGCTAAGTTCACGGGGCAATTCCAGGCCTATCAAGGTACTTCACATTGTGTCATGATTACATTGCCGCATTGTATGAGACTCTTGCAACATTCTCACAATGCAATGAGTACTCCATACCAACTCCCTATATCTCGTTAAACCTATCAATATTAAGTTCTCACTATACGTTGTCTACTTTCAAACGCAATGAAACCATCACTCGGCGCATGTTTCTTATTATTCGCCCTGGCCAGCGCACACGGTCAACACTCTCACGAAGACACGGTAAGACCAGAAGATGACTGGGCGTTGTACCACATGCAAGAAGAACATCGTACGTCAACCACACGACTCCTGGATCTGAATGCTCTTTTTCCTTCTAACAAGTACGCTTTGTCGGCAGACATATCCAATTTCGACCCATCATCCTTCTTCTCCCTTCACGACTTCAACAATGACGGAGTCTGGACACCCGACGAGGTGCGCAGGACGTACGGTCTCGACGACGAATCTCTACGCACCACGGCCGGCGATGTAAAGGACAAGGCCGTGCTAGAGGTCTTCAAGATCTTCGACCTTGCCAACAGCGGCGTCATCACGCGCGACCAGTGGCTAGACGGGGTCCGGGCGGGCAAGAAGTTGCCAGACTCGGGCCTGGGGCCTGGCCACCACGGCGACGACGAGTACGAGTACGAAATCCACCATTTCGAAAAATTCCACGACGAAAACACGAAAGAGGAAGACCTGATCCATCCCGAAGACATTGCGCATTTCAAGAAACATGACATGATGGAGGACGAGGCGGAGCGGGTGTTGCGAGAACAGCGACAGAATATCGTGGAGAAGAATATCCCCATGAAGTTCCGAAAACAACAGTAATAAACCACAATATACAAAAGTACACCGAAAGAGAAAAAAGAGGGACAAGGTTTGGTTTCTGACTACGAGTTCGTGTCCCTCGGAGGCTCCTTGTCTACAACAAACCAGAAGCGAGACAGACGCATGGTGTGTATTCTGTAAGATAGATGCTCAAAGAGGGGCCAAGGAAAGAAAAAGGGGAGGAACATGGTTCTTTTCTTATCCATTTGGATTGGTCTGGATAATATGGACATCATAGACACAATGCATGACACCAGGCGCATAGGTCTTGACCTGCTCGACGTGGTCGCAAGATACCGACCATGCCATGTCTGACTCTTGTGCCGAGAACTGCCTCTTGACAAGACTCGCGATGTCGTGGGTGATTTCTGTCTTTTTCTTTTCGATGTCACGAACGTCGACATTCTCATGGATGTGCAGCCACCCTTCCCCGTTGGTGTCGTGTCGGCCACAAATGGCCTTGACGGCGTTCTCCCAACTCCCTCTCGACGTGGGCAAGAGGCCCAGGTTCGCATGTCTGATGTCCAACGCCACTCCAGCCTTTTGGATCTCTCCCATGACTTTATCCGTCCATTTGTTGTCACCCAGGAACGCGACGCACCTGATTTTTGGTTGTCTTCCACGATCATGATCATGACCATTGCCGTCGTCTGCTTCGTCTCGGCCGATACTCCTCGCGACATCGGCCGGCGTCTGATTCACCATGCTTCCGTTCTCATCGACCCTGATAACCAGACATGACCACCCATTCGCCTCACAACCCCTTCTCAACCCTTCGATGCTCCAAGGGTTGATGTCCCACCCGTAGACCCTCCGCACCCCTCGCGTCAGGTAACAAAAGGCAAAGTATCCTATCCCTACGTAGAAGTCGATCACATCCATTTTCTGGTGTTGGGAAGCGTCGGTCGTCAGACCCGGGAACGTGACATTGTCTCTGCCACTACAAGTGTCATTGTCATGTTCGCCCCCTCCTCCGGAGCTTCCCGTACCGGTAGGTATTCCCAATATCCTAGCCTTTTCCGATGTATTCCCCCTGCTGAACATTGTGTAAAGTGGCGCCCAATACTGAGTGATACCCTTGTGTTGGACGGTCGACGTCCAGAAAGCGGCTGAAAAGTCTCGAGAAGTCGGATTCGAACTCGCCCCCGAATCCAAAGTGTGACCCCAACCTCCATAGACGGGTAAGAGACCAGAAGGACTACGCATGACATTTTCTTTTTTTTGTTGTTGATGCTTGGATGTCCTTTCGGTGCCGTCGACATCGGGACCTAAAGGACCATGGGTGTCGTGGTCAATAGTTTCATCTTGCGCGGCCGCAATTGGAGCGTTGATGGCGATCCTATCAATCTTTTGGTTCCCGGCCCCGAACCCGATCTCCGCTATACATTGGAACAAGATTGTCTTGTCACCCTCGGACAGCGTCGAGTACACTTCCGTCCAACGTTGATTGTGCGTGGGAAAGTTATGCGGCAAGAGCAAGAGAGGAGGGTAACTCGTGTATCGTTTAGGTATGTCAGACGGTGACAACGACAACGATGGCAATGGACTCGAGTCTGATGTCTCTGCAGGAGAAGCCGTCTGCTGTTCAGACAAGGACGAATCTCGTATATTCGCCGTCGCGGTATTTAGCTCCGTCTCCGTATCCGAACAACAAGTAGAATCAAGTACTGGAATGCCTGATTTTTTGCAAAACGCAAGGATACCTCTGACCAATGGGTTTCGTATTGGTTTTTTCCGTTTCATCTTCTGCTGCTGCTGAGAGAGATGCTGAGTCATGTCGACTCGACAATCAAGTAGTGCATCACACAAAGACGAAAATGCGAGTATTTGTTCGGATGTTCTGTCGGGTAAGAAACTTATGGTTTGGGTCGATCATACGTTTCTTATTAAACTTGTGATTTTAAAGCCATTCGAATACAGTTGTAACAAGGCTGTTTCATTTATTGTCATGATCACTCTGTATGGTACAGGCGGAAGAAAGAAGAAAGCATCGCAAGGCTGTGGATATTTTTCTTACATAATAACCCAAAGGACAAGGCTGAAGCCTTGTCGCAACGAGCCCTTTTCTTTTATTTTGTTTCTACTTTACAGAACTCACTCTGGGCTCTACTCCATAATATTCATACTACAAACACTACAGATCGAACCTCAATATGTCAGGTAAATATTTCCCTCTTAGATGAAAAGTGAAAAGTTTCATATGACATGAGATTTGTTACATGTGCTTTGTATGGAGCGAACATTACTACTACTACCACCACCATCAACACACCGTCCGTATTGCTTTGTCAACTGGACTAGTAGGACGTCGCCTCCGCATCTTATCGTACACCTTTTCCCTCCTCTTAATTTTCAATCAGCAATCATTAAGGATCAATCTCGCTTCCTTTCGTCGGATGCACTGCTTCTGGCAACGCCTTTTCGAGTTTCTCGGGAGCAACCTTTTGAACCGATTCCGGGACGACACTGTTCCCCGTGGCGTGGCTCTTGCCGCCGCCGCTCATGCTCGCCGTACTTTTACTTTGACTTCCATCGGTCTCGGTCGGGTGGACACTTTCGGGTAGAGCTTTCTCGAGACCCTCCGGTGCAGCGCGTTGGACCGGATCAGGCACGGCGCTGGGCCCCGTGGCGTGCGACCGCCCACCATCACTGTCCGGACGACTAGTTGCCTTTTCGCCGATCTTGGATTCGACGTGTGTGGCCAGGGAGTCGTCGTTCCTAGGATGTTCCGGGATTGGTTTCGTTCCGTCTTCTATCAAAGTATCCCGGAAGGATGATTAGCCATGTTCTTGTTGACGTGTGGCTTGTACAGCTTCCAAGGTAGAATCAGAGCATGGGAGGGAACTAAATGATAGAAGATTCAATACCATTATTCTTGTATGCGTCATTCGAAGGACCACTCTGAGAAGTCCCGATTGTTCTTGGACCGGAAGAGACGAATGTTCGTAGTGGTGTCCCAGTGCCGGTGCCGATACGTAGATTTGATAGTCGAGGCATCATGCGCTGGACGAGAAATTGAGATCTGTACGCCATGATTGGTTTTTTGTCTTTTGTCTCTGTGGTGAATTCGACTCGATAAATTGTGATGTTTGTAGACTTATTATGTATGCATAGAAGGGAGGTTATTTCAAAAAACCCAGCGGATGAAAAGCAATATTTAAGTCAGATATATCTTTCCAAGGTTAGGAAGTAAAGTAGCCCACACCACATTACTGAGTAAGTGATCTTTGGTGGGAGCCGGACCTGAAGCCATCCTGTATCCTGAATTGCGGTGATGACGAAGATGGCAATAGACTCATGATGGTGATCTCATTATTGTGTGTCGTTTGATGTGCGTATTCGCATTTCCCACACGGGGACTGATACGAGTAACATTTTGCGCGATCAAAGTAAACCACTTGTCGATCAAACTCGATATCATATGCCGTGGTACCACCAGCAAGATCGAGGTCTCGGGATTATGGTCCGTGGGACGATGATGCCTTGATGTTGAAAAGGACCAACAAGCAGAAAGAAAAGAAAGGGCGGGAAGAGAATGAGGTCAGTAACTACTCGAACCAAGGGGCCATTTTTCGGAACAATCTATCACCGATCTCCGATGTAAGAAAGAAAAGAAAGTGACAAGGATCCTGATCATCCTTTTTCAAGAACAAACAAAGAGGGAGTGAACAGTAAAATCAAGTGATTCGTCGACAGTTTTAATGTCTTCTTTTTGGCCGTCGGGTGATACCCTTTGGAAGATAAAAAGGAATTCTAGTACAGAGAGTAGCAACAAACATCATATCCCGTACTTGTAATCCCCTAAAACAAAAGGGAAAAACAAACCCACAACTCCTTTATTTTCGAATAATGCTCCATGATGGGTATCCCAAAACCCAAAGCCAAATGCTTGTGCCCTTCATATCTCACATTGTGCGAATTTTGTGTGGTAAAATGGTGTTATATAATATGCCTTGTCCAGATTCCGAACCACCCGGGGAAAAACAAAACAAAAATACCTAGCTACTGAGGTAGATCTAACCACTCATACCAACATCTCTGGCCTGTTGTATCATCATATTCAAAAGATCCTTTTCTTCCTGTGTAAAGTCCTTCTTGAGAGGAGCGTCGGTCGTCAAACAACACATGTTGCTCTCTTCCAACTGCCAAGCCCCGGGCTCTCGGATATCCTTAGGCTCGATCAGGTAGTGTTCAAACTTGCCGAATTTCCTCTTCTTCTTGTCAGCGAATTTGTTGTCCTGGAGCCAACCGTTGAACCACAATGGATTGCCGTCCAGGTCGAGATGGAGAAGTTGTGGTGAACAAATGGTATAGGTTTCAGGTTCGCTCTTCACCTCCGGCACTGCCACCGAATCGTCGTCGACCTCCTCTTCGACCTCAATCTCTTCCTCCGATTCATTGCCGTCGGCGTCAAGATGGATCTGCTTCTTCTTCGTCATCACCTTCTTCTTGGGACGGTCCTTCTTCTCCTCTTCCGAGGGCTTGGGGGGCTGTACGAGACCCATGGTGCCGGCGTCACCTTGGTGGAAGGCGTAGTCTTGGTCGCCCACGAGTTCCCATCCGAGCCAGAATGTCTCCTTGTCACCTACGAAATCCGATTAGTAGGTGGACTCATCAAAATCACGTCAACGCAACATACCATAGACCATGTCGTAGACGCCGACTCTACCCTCGTCCTTGTTACCATCTCGGTCGGGGCCGTTCATTCTCGTAACGAGCAAAAGGGCAATAAAGTGCTTCCACTTGTCAACGACAATCACACCAGATTCCTGCTGGTGACCACTGTCACCGGTCCAGAAGCGGCTTTGTTTCACCTGTCTCGAGATTGGTTTGGGCAGAATCTGCTGAAGCCAACGTTTCTTCGACTCGGGCATGATCAGTCGGTCTCTGAAGAAAAGAGCACCTGTTTTTCGGTAGGCCGGGTCGTCAAACAATACTTCTGGGTTTTTCATGAACAAGCTGTCCGCATCGATGAAGATGACTTCTCGGAAGCTGGAATGCAAAATTGCAAAGGGTTTGGCTGCCCAACCAGCCAACTTCCAGCCCTCATCGTTCACCATTTGGGCAATGTCTCGCGTCACGACACCATCGAGAGCCTCCAGATCCTGACGATAATCTTCGCTCAAATCGGAATCTCCCAAATACATGACTTCAACTGGAAGGTCGCATCCTAGTTTTCGGAAGATGGGGATGGTTGTCAAGAGATACGGTGCTTGATCGTCTCCGGCCGTAAGGACAAGGCCTCGCCCTCCCTTTTTGAAGTGGGAGTGCAAGGTCATATGATCAGGGAAATAAGGCGCCGTCCACGGGAAAAGCAACTGGCCAAACTTGACCAGGAAATAGCGGTACGCCTCGTAGGAATGAATGGTTTGTGCAATTCCTGATTCCGCCAGGTCGTCGGATGTCGATTGATGAACGTGATGGCGAAGATACTGAATGACATCGTCCCGAACATAGCTACCACCTTCCTCGTCAAAGGCCAGATGAAGGTCTTCCCAAGCCTCGAAGAATTTCTTATATTCACGAACTCGCAGACCCATCTCCCGCAACTTCTCCTTGCCGGTGCCTTCAACAGGGCGAAGTAAGTCTCGACCTTCCATCTCGCCAGGCATGAGGCTGATGACTCGGGTCAAGGCCTTCTCGAACTTGGGACGCTCAGAAAAGTGGGTAGAATCTGCCGTCGATGCCTTTTGAGTTGAACCTTTCGGCGGCTTCGCTGGCTCCTCGTCAATGGGCTCTTCACCACCCTCTTGGCTGACACGGGATGGCGATTTTGGATCCTGGGCTGGAGGTCGAGGATCTGCCGGAACCACGGGTTGAAGAAGTTCTTCAGCGGAGGGTGCTTTGAACGGTGCCTCGCCTTGTCCTTGGGGATTGGCTGGGTACTCGGCAACCGGATCAAGCACTGGAACATTCGGCTGCTGTGGTGGTGCATTGGGGTTTGGCTTGAGAACGACTTCAGGGTCGGCCGTATACTCTTTCAGTTTATCGGCGGGGGTCCTCGGTCGTGATTGGAGAGTCGGGTCGGAGCCAGAAGATGAGAGGAAATAGATTAATGGAACACATATTAGAACTAGAATAATGATGGCTGTTTGGCGATTTTTGAGTGCCCTCCGAGGTGGTCCGGCATATGGCAACCCCGGAAAAGAGCGACCCTCTTTGAGAGGATGTTGCCTGGGGGTGAACATGTCGTCCGAAACCCGCATCGGCAGTTATCAGCCCTGTAAGATAGAAGACAATCTATAAGTCGTTATGAGGTCGGTATAGATCTCTGTCGGAATTCGAGCGCAGAAAACATGAGATTTTTTGGGCTAATTTTTTCCTTTGCTATGCGAAAGCGGGTGGGCGCGTTCCAGACGCGAAAGGGGGATCTGACTTCAATAATCGGTTCGGTATTGGTAGTTCCCAGAAAAATGGAACGGCCACCAGGTAAAACAATAGCTCAAGAGAAAGATACAAAAGACAGAGATATTACTCCGTACAGAATGACCGACTCTAACAAAAAGGTGAGATGATGGAATGTCGAGAAAGATGGGATGATATAAAGGAGGCGTGTGGTATTATGGCCAGGGAAAAAAAAAGACAGGTGGACGAATATCAATCAAGGGTTAGAGGGTGTAAGGAATTTTTGGTGGCTTAAGCCATTGGGTCAGATTTCTACGGTACCGCGGACTGTACCATTATTTGCCTGGCCCCCCGTATCCGTATTTCCGTATTTAAACACCACTTAAACACGGGTCCAAGACTCTGAGACGCTAAAGATGCTAAGACACCTAGTCAGCCTCCATTGGGCTTAGCGCACCTCGCCTGTCAATTCCCCTTTAGGTTCTCCAGCTTTTCGCCTCTGCATGCCCCCCCCTGACGCCCCCCAGTGCATTCATTATTGATGCTGATTTCTCTGCTGATTCTGTTTCAACAAGCCACACAAGACAAGATGATGATCGAGCATGTGGCATGTGGCATGTGCCGTACGGCGTGCATGGCAGTTGATTTTCAGTTTTTTTATTTCTCGAAGAGTACTCCGTAGTTCAAGATACCATACTCTACTCCCTTGATCCGTACCTCTGTGCACTTGTACCGAATCACCAAACGTCGGGGCCGAAAGACTTGAAACCATCCTTGTCCTTTTTATTAACACAGTATTCCCACCTTCTAGATATTTATTTTTAGTCTACATAGTCTCCGCATGGACACATTATTCGTAAATTCATCCAAGCAGTAATTTGCTTTTCGTGGCTGCACTCGCTCGCTGCAGGTGCCAAGTCAAATCTCACTCCTGGCTCCTGTCAATGTCTTTTAAACCTCATGCAACATCCCTTGGACCATCCCTAATTGACTTCGCCAAAGGACAAATTGACAATTGACAAGACCATTGATGGGCAAAGAGCCAGCCTCACCGCTGCCAGGGGGCGTGTCACGCCAACCTCTGTTTAGGTAATCGAGGTATTAGTAGCCAAACCACCAGACACAACACCAACGCCGCCAATATTATCGGCTGCAACACCTTCACACCGGCTGCATTAGCGATGGCCCCGACAGCAAACGGTAAGACCGTGCCGCCGCTGGCTCCAAAGGCGCACGCGAACCCGACGGCGGCCACATGGAGTCTTTTCGGCAGCAGCTTGGTGAGCACCACGACAGCTGCCGGGAACATGGGCCCAAGGAAGAAGCCGATGAATCCGATCATGACGGCGCTGACATAAAAGTTCGGGATGAGCCAGAACAACAGCTGCAGCACCACGCTGCAGGAGACGTACGTGGTGACCGCCCACCTCTCGTTTTTGAACAGTCGACCTGTTACAAATCCGAGAACGAACCTCCCGACCGTGATCCCCAGCCAAAAACCCGTCGAAGTCATACCCGACGCGAACGGAGACCCATTTCGAACACGTAGCATGAAGCTCACGATCCAGCCGCCAATCGAGACCTCGGCACCGACATATGCGAGCAAGAATACCGATGCGAGGATCGTGGCCTTGTTCTTGACCGCCTCGAGTGTTCTACTTTTGCCCTTTTCTCGCTTGCCGAACGGATTGAGTTTCTTCAAGGTACTTTGCTCCTGCGTAGATTGCGGAGCGGACTCGATCTGGGCGGTAGGCTGAGCCTCGCCGACCGTCGACCGTTGAGCACGAAAGGCGCGCGCGTCAGATTTCCAGAACGTGCCGACGAGGAGTACGACTTCAATCGCCGCCCCTCCTACCATGATGTAGTAGAACTCGTACCATTTCCAGCCTGCTTTGGTCACGACCGACGTGGCTATGAGAGGAGACAAGGCTGCGCCAACACCGTAGAAGCCATGAAGAAACCCAAGAACTTCATTGGCGTCGGCCATATCGCCTATCCAAGCGTTCCTGTGGCCGGGCGGAAGCAGTCAGCATACACACATACACACACATCTTCGTTAGTTCCTGGCCCGACCTACCAACCACTATCACCCAAGCCGTTTCCAAACCCCAAGAGTATATATATAACCACCAACACCGGATAAGGAGGATGAAGACAGACGGCAACTATCCGTGGTCGCGTTGGTCAGCAGCGGTTGGGGAGACATTGTGTGAGGTGGCAAAGATTCATCTGGTCGTGGCTGGCTGACTTACCGTATCCCAAAAGATGTGACATGCTCATTATACAAGCCACCCCTCTCTGCCCGTATACCATGTGTATGTGATTGTTCAGGAGCGCCGACAGCGTATAGCCCGCCAATGGACTCAGAAATACGAGCGAGATGACGGTGTAGTTGACGTTATACCAGTCCTCAAGGTAGGGTATGAGGGCACCGTACGCGGCATCGTTGGCTCCCAGGATCGCGAAAGACCAAAAGGTCCCCGCGCAGCGCCAAACATTGATTCGAGGAGAATTCCACTTTTGCAATTGAGGTTGGCTGTCGTTTGATGATGCTGGTGATGGTGCGGAGGGGGGAGCATTGGGGTTGGGGGTGGTTGTCGTGGCTTTTTCAGCCTCCATTCGTATATGAGACGTCGTTGGAAGTTCGATGATGGCAGTCGAGCTGCCACCGGGTCCTGAATTGATGGTCTGCATGGATGTAGGTATGCTTTCAATGGTTGTGGTTTCGACAATTTCTGTAGAGATGTTCTGAAGATGTTGTAATATCAAGAAGGTCTTTTCCTTCTTCTCTCAAACGATAACCCTTTGAATGTGTCAATTGCTGCAAATCAACACTTGTAAAATAGCCGGAAGAAAGAAAAGAGCAGCAGTAATCTGGGTAAACTTGTAAAAAAAAATCCAATAGAAGAAAGACAATAAGGATCTGTAGGTTGCAATGGGAAAATGGAGGATAGAGTAAAAGAATGAACACCAACAAGGCAAACAGCAATGAATGGAATGATGTCCAGGACCCGGAGATCAACCGATGGACATTTTCATGACTTCCCAAAGAGCCGCTGTACCGCTGTATCCCTTCTGCAATGGGAACACGGGCCGTAGGGGGGGGGGGAAGTAGACGATTTGTGTTGTTGGCGTGTCCTCGAAAGTGGATGATGCAGAGGCCGAAAGAGGAAATTCTTCCAGTTCGCTGGCGCTGGGGGAAGATGTCGAGATAATTATGGTATGGGGCTTTGCGGAGTACGGAGTTATTCTCGCCGATTTATGAGGGCACTCATAGTGTCCCAAGGACTACAGACGAAGTACAGTACATAGGTCCTCGGTACCGAGTTCCAAGTACAACACAGAGCAATGAATTGGAATTCTGGATGTCTTTCAATAGTGTCATCATCAAAATCATGCTGAATCAAAACCATTTCTCTCTGCTCCATGAGTATAGATGGATCTTTTAAACAGACCAACAGCATTCCATAACGCCAACGCTAAGTCATTCAGCCTTCCAGGAGGGACTCCTCTGTCGAGATTATGCCTGGTCAAAAGTCCATCGCTGACCCACCCATCTTGTCGTTGATATCAAGCACCCTGCAATTCGTCAGTGCAAACCATATAAAACACAAGTAATCAGCAACTTACGAGTACTGTTTGACCAGAGTGCCCTCTCCACCCTTCGCTAAATCAATGCTGAAAACGTAAAAGTTGCCCTCGTTCGTCACCACCATAACATGGGGAGAATTCGGACTCATGGCAACCACGCTTCGTAGCTGACTTGGGGAAGTCCCCGAATTGCTCTTTGGGAGCCGAATCCAAGCAAAGTCTCGCGAAGGTTCCCACATTTCTGCCATACCTTTGGGAAGATATCCGCCTACTGTTGAGGCAAGGTTGGTCCCTACATGCTGAGAAGTTCTCCGTAGTAGACCCATTAGTGTACCGTTCGGTTTGCGGCCTGATATTGTTGTAGGAGATTCGGGCCCGTCTTCATCAGCCTCATTCTGGTCGTACAGGGTGTCACTTCCTTGGCTCAATCGTCTGGTGAAGGCCGAACTGACTTTGGTGGGCGAAGTAGGAACTTCGTCTTGATCGGGCGAACGACTTTGCGCAGGACCTAACTTGAAGATATGAACAGTCTCTGTGGCCGATGACACGCACAGAAGAGTGGACGTGATGTTAAACGCCATACTGTATATCCTAGCAGGCATCGACCCTCTTCTGAACTGGTATAGTTTGCGCGCGTCAGGGACAGAAAATACGCGAATGATCGTTCCTTTGTCAGAAGAGGTCGCCAGGATAGTTCCCTCGTTGTTGAACGTTACACAAGACAGAGGTGACCGGTGTGCCTCCACCACATTGACAGCCTCCAGTTTGATAGCATCGAACAGAAGAACTTCGCCCGAGGTCGGAGGGACATGCGTGCTGTTGGGCGGCGCATGAGAAGGAGGAGTGAATGAGGATGCAGAAGCTTTCTGTGGCAAGGGATAAGCTATGTAGCAATTGTCTGAGGAAGGAGACAAGCCACAAATCGCTGAAGAGACGGTCAGTTAAACCACTGGGGTACGGATCCTCAGAAGGTGCCTTGCCTGTGGGGTTCGGAGACGTCTCAATGGTGTATAACAGCTTCATCGTCTGTATGTCATACAGATATATCTGGTCTTCTAGGACGATCACCAATCTCTTTCTATTCAGCCGCACCGCCAGAACCGTGGTGGGGAAGGTGAGCTCGCATATTATGGAATCTCTCTGCTCTGGTCAGCAAAGCCTCGGGAAACCCTGGTGTACTTGTCCTACTTTCGTGTTCTTGATTTGGAGTCTCCTCGGTGAGAGTATGAGGGCCACTAAGGAAGTCGAGAATAGCATTTCGAGTATAGCGATGTTGCCGGCATCTCTGGACTCGAAGCATTTCGCAAAGGGATCGGTTGTGAAGATTCGGAATCCTCTCGAGGTGCCTTGTTCGGTCAGCTACCAAGCGAGGAAATGAGCTGAACCTGAAAAACTCACCTACAGCCAAGTGGCTGTAGTCCTGATTGAAGGTAACGAAGTTCACGGACATTCTGGAACGGCCGGGCCAGCTCACTGTCGAACTGCTTGTTCCCTGAGCAGGTCCATTGATTAAGTACCCGGGTACAATTCTTCCCGTCGAGTGTTGTCGTCGGGCTTCGCAAGTGCAAATTACTGAATCCCAGTGCCCACCGTCGCTGTTAGCGAAGTGTCAAACCGAAGAGACTGCGCTGCGATTGACCGTCAATTCGGAGAATTGAGGGCGCATGTGACGTTGCACAGTTAAAAGTGCGAAATGACTCGCGGGGGGAAGATTGGCGCCTACTGCACGACTCGGCCTAGGCGAGTTTTGCGGGGGAGACCTCTGCCTACCGCCTAATTATCTTACCTAGATACCCTAGCCATCCCTACTGCTGGCCTTGTACTTGCTCAGCGCCAAAGCACCATCGAGCGCGTCCTCATACGACCTCCAGAATGGTTGACTCGATGGAGGTAGACACGGACGGTCCGCGAGGCGTCAAAAGGACCGCTGCTGAGGCAGGTCTACCTCCAGAAACACCTCGTCGTATCAAGGTACGTTAATACTTCTGCTCTTTCGTAAAGGACTAGAGGACCCCTGACACATTCCAGGCTCTGGATCTTGATGTCGTCAACAAGATCGCTGCGGGAGAGATCATCGTTGCTCCGATGCATGCTCTGAAAGAATTGCTGGAGAATTCGGTTGATGCTGGATCGACCATTGTCGAAGTCGTCGTCAAAGAAGGTGGTCTGAAATTACTCCAGATTACAGACAACGGCCATGGAATCGAGGCAAGTGATTGTTTTACTTATATTCCACCACGCCTCTGACGGCATACAGAAAGACGACCTGCCAATTCTATGCGAAAGGTTCACCACGTCCAAACTCCAAAACTTCGAAGATCTCATGTCGATTGGAACATACGGTTTCAGAGGCGAGGCTCTGGCAAGCATCAGCCACATTGCTCATCTGAAAGTCACCACGAGGACCGCCAACTCTAGCTGTGCCTGGCAAGCTTTCTACGCCGACGGGAAACTTACTCCTTCGAAACCTGGGCAGAGCGCTGATCCTAAACCAACTGCTGGTCGGCTGGGCACGCAGATCACCGTCGAAGACCTATTCTACAACATTCCAAACAGACGGCGAGCGTTTCGGTCACCTTCGGAAGAATATGCCAAAGTTTTGGACGTCATTACTCGCTATGCCGTACATCGAGAAGGGGTAGCATTTTCCATCAAGAAGTATGGTGAATCCGGCACTGGTTTTTCGGTTGCAGCGGCGGCGACGAAAATCGACCGAATCAAACAGGCGTATGGTGGTGCAGTAGCAAAGGAACTCATGGAGTTCAAGGTGGGAGATGACAAATGGGGGTTCAAAGCCTCAGGGTATGCCACCAACGCCAATTACAGCGTAAAGCGGACAACACTACTTTTGTTCATCAACAATCGATCCGTCGAATCCTCGGCAGTGAAGAAGGCCATTGAGCAGACATATCAGATGTTTCTTCCCAAAGGTGGCCATCCTTTTGTATATCTCTGTCTCGAGATTGACCCCGGTCGAGTCGACGTGAATGTCCACCCGACAAAGCGCGAGGTTCACTTCCTGAACGAAGACGAGATTGTCGAGCTGGTATGCGACCACCTTCGCGAGAGTTTGGCCAAGGTCGACACCATTAGAACGTTCAAAACGCAGACTCTTCTTCCTGGCGTCACACCAATGACTCCGCTCAACCCGAGAGTGAGAGCAGCAGAAAGCACACCTCCCGCAGACGATAGCGGCCCGAGGAGGCCTTCGACCACAAAGAAGCCATATGAAAACAACCTGATCCGCACAGACTCGAAGATGCGCAAGATCACGTCGATGCTTCCACCTGCACTGTCGACCTCGACTTCCCAGGGCGAAGGACCCCCTGCGATCGAAGGAGGTGTACGTTATTCCACCACCGACCGAGAACAGATCCAGATTCGGTTGTCTTCGGTCAAGAACCTGCGTGCCGAAGTCCGTGAGGCAATGCACGACGGCCTGACCGAGGTCTTTGCCTCTCTCACGTACGTCGGTGTCGTCGACGTCACCCGACGGATAGCGGCGATCCAGGCCGGCGTCAAATTGTACCTGGTCGACTACGGCATGGCCGCGAACGAGTTCTTCTATCAAGTCGGGCTCACGGACTTTGGGAATTTCGGTCTGATTCAACTTCGACCTGCACCCCGGTTGCGTGATTTGCTCGACGTCGCCGCCGAGCACCAGATCGAGACCTCCCCGGATTGTGCCCACCTCGACAAGGAGCGGGTGGTCGAAAAGGTGTACGACCAACTGATGGGCCGGAGAAAGATGATTGCCGAGTACTTCGCCATGGAAATTTCCGACGACGGCGACCTCGAAACCATCCCTCTCTTGCTCAAAGGGTACATGCCTTGCATGGCCAAATTGCCAATGTTCTTGTTGAGGCTGGGTCCCTTTGTCGACTGGACGCAAGAGGAACCGTGTTTCAAGACCTTTTTACGTGAATTGGCTTCCTTTTATGTTCCGGAACAATTACCTCGGGTCGACAACGACAAGGACAACAATACCAATAACAATCGTGCGACTGCAGGTACTCCTACAGGTACTCCTACTACGAACGACGACGCCATGATCGGAACGACAGAACCCGGCAGCACTGACACCGTCAGTAGTACCCGAGAAGACGAGGATCAAACTGATTTGGACGTCATGACCGAAAACAGGAGAAATGAACTGTCCCACGTCCTTGAACACGTCTTGTTCCCTGCGTTTCGATCCCGCATCGTCGCAACGCAAGATTTGTTGAGTGGTGTCATGGAGGTGGCAAACCTAAAAGGCCTGTACCGTGTCTTTGAACGTTGTTGAGACCTACGAGTCCGGAGTTGAGTGTCCTGCCACATGGTATTTTGGACCTAAAAGGCGCCTGTAAGTTAATTACTTGTGCTTACAAGTGTACCTACTAGACTCCAAAGGTCGCTACGCAATGACCCTTAAGGGTAACCAATGAGATGGACGCATGTTTTATAGTAGCTATCTACCCAAGGTGAAAATGGTAGGTAGCTAGGGAGGGTAGTAAGGTAAAGGCACCTAGAGGCTGATTGTAAAACACCTTGACTTTGTATTATAAGGTAGATAATAAAATACCAAGACTCCTTGAAGTTATGATGGTTCCACCTCGTACCCCTGTCGGAGAGCCTGCTTACTTACCTTGGGTATTCGACTTGAAGCTTTCCAACTCTAGTCATGGATCATCCTCAATCTCATCATCAAACACCAATTGAATCAAGGTTATCAAGGTAGCCTCTCTCACACCACCTGATGGTGAAAAAAACTTCTCAGCCCGTCCCATTATAAGTATACCATACGTTCCCCAATGGGCCCCTCGCGCTCCCATCAGCATTCAACAACATGTCCGTGACACCGTTTGCGCTGGGGAAATTACCAAACCAAGCATACCTTTCTATCCAAGGTTGTTGATCCATCCATTTTGTAGCATTTTTCATCTAGAAAAAGAAACAGAAAGGCGTTAGCTTAGCTTGACAGTACGAAAGGGGGGCAGCCGGAGGGAAAGCAAACGGAAATCCAACTCACAAACTCAACAACAACACTCTGATCATAATTTCCATTGTCCATGCCAAACTCGGTGACCCAAACAGGATACCTCCCCCCACCTGTCGTGTTGTACGCCATGGTGATATAATCCATAAAATACTCAATGTTGTACGGACTCGCGTACCAATGCAGATTGATAAAGTCGACCGTCAAGTTGAGAGCCGTGACGTTTCCCAGGAACTGGCCCAGATAGTACAACCCGCCGGGCGCGCCCGTGTTGGTGATGGCCGGCGCACCAATCTTCACACCCCGACCCGCAAAGGGCTGCATGAAGCGCTGGTACCCGCTCAGCACGCTCGTGAGGTTCATGCACGCAGATTGGCCCGAGAAGCACGCGTCGGGTTCGTTGAAACCAAAGATGGCGTCGCTGCCGTAGTGGGAGATGCTGTAATTGACGTTACCCGGCCAGACAGACGTGAGAGACGAGGCGTCGTTGTAGAGAAGCGGGATATACCGAAATCGTGCGCTTGGGTATAGACCGATGTCATCCGAGGCATTGGGTAGGGAGTAGTAGTTGTACGACCAGGAGATGTACGGTGCGGGAGGAGGGTAGAATTGGAGCGTCGTTACATTGGTATACGCCAATCCGCGTTTGGAGGGGTAAGGAGAAGACGACGGAGTTGCGGATGATACGGAGGAGGTCGAGGTGCGAAACAGTGTTGACCATGTTGATGTTGGCGCAACTATACGTGATGTTGTCACTGTCACTGCCACGGTTGTCGTTGTCATGGTAGTCGGGGATATGGCGACAGCTGTAGATGTTGAGGATTGTGATACGGATCGAGTGGTGCTCGAAATAACAGCTGACGAAGCGGAGGAAGATGAGGGATTCGAAGGCATGCTCGAGGAAATCATGGATGAAATCGAGTGGCTGGGTGATATTGTGGTCTGGCTTATGGATAGGGATACGGATGGTACTGCCGAAGATGTGTACGAAGTGGGAATACTCATGAATGTTGAACTTGATGCATAGATGGTACTTGTGCTCAACCCGCTGGGAACATGAGAGGCGGAGGATGTTGAACTCAATAGCACTGTGGTCGCCACAGAGGACTTGGTAGGGCTCGAGGACCGGGGAGCCGAAAACATCGAAATTGATGTGCTGGTAGTTACAGAAATACCTGTTACATATGTCGAGCTCGAGTAAGCTGATGAAGATGGCACTGAATTCGTACCTGTTGTAATGCCTGTTCCACCTTGTATCGATGTCAAGTGCGAGCTCTGAGGCTGTGTTGATGTGGTGATGCCTAGTGTACTAGACATTGACGACAGCTCGGATGAGAGTGTCTGTGAAGTCGTCCTTGTCGAAGCCGAGGTTTGTGATACAATACTCGACTTTATGTTTGTTGAAACTGAGCTAGTGAGACCTGCATTCGGGGACGTCGAGGTTGAACTCGGATTGATTGCACTACTCTCCCCATGCGGAAGCTCCGAGCTGGTTTCGGTAGTCTTCATCGTCGAAAATAATGTCGTGGATGTCGGTGCCTCCGTGTTTCGATTGGACACGAAACTCGATGTTGGACTGGGTGACGAGATCGTTGAAGAAACAGGGACGTCCACAAAATCTGGAGTCATCGATATACCCCCAGCCTCAGATGGAGGGACACTATCACCGAACGCCACCACAAGTTGTCCAGTTGGAAGTGTGTAGAAAGTCGAGTCTCCGTATACAAGAAGTCCTCCTTGGAAACTCCATCTAGATTCACCGTCTGGAACACTGGTATTTTGTAGTGGCTGTACTCCTGCGGATGCGCCTGTGCCCAAATAACCACCTTCGCCGACCAGGAATCCGTTAGGAGTAAGCTGAAAGACCACAGCTACGTCCTGGTCTGCGCTGAGATATGCAAAGTTATTTGTGATCGTCACATATTCATTTCCTCGACTTTGCAATCTCCGACCGGCCACGCTTACAGTGATGATGAATGGACTGGATGTCGGTGGCGGAAGGACTGTGGTCCGTGGCGAGCTACTTTGTGTAGAATATGTAGAAGAGGCGGTTGTCAAGTTAGGGGTGGCTGTGGTCGACACAGAAGCCGAACTGTTTCCCCCAGGTGCGGTCGGCGAACTCGTAGATGACATCCATGGCGTCGAAGTCGCATTTCCATATATCACTGTCGTTGTTAGATAGCAATCATTCGACAATATCGATCCTGATCATCCATTAGCTCGACTTCTCTGACTCGTGAATGGTTTCTCACCAAGTTGCGCGGCTGAATGTCCAGCAAGGCTCGAAGCGACAAGCGCCACCAAATCAAGCCTCGATCTTTTCCAAAATTTCATCCTGACTGTTGTGATGTTAGCCGCACCAGTGTCAAGATATCCAACGAAGCCGGACCGCGTATTGTATACACCTTGGACTTTTCATGGCCAGGAATGTGCCAGGTGGAATGCTAGAACTGGTCAGTGCACGAGTGAAGCAAGACATAGCTGAAGTCTGAGAGAAACATTTGCAACTTCTCCGGACCTCGAGGTCCGATTAATATAGCTTTTATTGTCATTCAAAAAGCGCTCAAAAGTGCTCGAGACTGGTTAGTATACAAATACATTGTTTCATGTCCCGCTTTCCATGGATCGTCCTTCGATATGGTACACAAGCAACCCATTTGCTGTTGAAATACTTTTGTCGTAACGCCACACATGCAGCCATAACTTCACCCGGCAGACTCTACGGGTACCTTCGAAGTCGAAAATGAATGATCCGAGAAAGAACGCCTGGCGTGATGATAATCATAGACCTGGACTTGTCGTGGGACTGATGCCGCTGGCATTGAGGTATTCCACAGGCACTTTGGGTACTCGCGGACTCTGTATGGCTCCAGGCAAGAGGTTTTGACCTCCAGACTGTCCACGTAGCCTTGTAACTTCTCTCGCTCTCTCCTTCTCCTTTTGGCTCTCGCTCTTTCCACCAGTGAGACGTCGCATTCCACGTCGCATGCCTTGTATACTGAAGGCACCACCTGTTTCGGTGGCAGACGTTGGGGTCGTATACTCCGAAGGCCCTGGTCCGGAGATACCCTTACCGCCGCCTGCGACTCCAACACTGAGAGAGGGGAATGGGCTGTTCTCTCCGTCAGAGAGCATGGCTTCGTCGTATTGATCCGCGTAATCGTCCTGGGATCTGAATGATCCAGTAGGTCCAGGAGAAAACACGCCTGAAGGCTGAGACCCTGAAAATTGATTTGCTGGTGACGTGATAGACCTCGCGTGCAAGCCAGGCCTACTGTGATTCGTCGGGCTCAATACCGTCTGTATAGCTGGCTTCTTGTTTGTAATTGGCAAAGAAGGCCCCGGTCCTCCAAGCTCGTCGATTGACGAAAAAGATGTTTGAGTAGTCCCGCTATAAGCGGCCGAAGATTGACTCAATTCATTGCGATGCCCAACACCAGGCAAAGGGCCTGACTCTGTAATTCCATCAGGGATATTAGCCAAAGAAGATGTTCTTGCAAGACTTTGGCGTAATATGGGAGCAGTTTGCTCATCGTACAAGGCTGTGCTGTGCTCCGTTAATGTTGGCATAACCATGCTTGACACTCCCAGTTGACTAGTACCGGTTGGAGTGAGCACAAGATCTCCGTCAAGGTCATCGAAAAAGTCGTCGAGACTGTCGAGTGTATTGACCAAATCGCTGACGTTCGTATCTGCAGCTGTTTCCAAAGAACGAATTGTTTCCGCTCTGCTCTGAGATGGAAAATACGAGTCGTTGTAGCCATCATCGCCTTGGAACTCAACGTCAGGCGTAGCTGTTTCTTGGCCTTTCAATGCATCGGAGTCTCCACAGGTGTAGAATACAGCATGCACATTACGCCGAGTCATGCTCGAATAGATTGCCGGCATAGGAATAGACCACCCCGACGGTAGTGGGATACCATACAAGCTTTGTGTGCGCTCGTACTCTTTTCGAATTGCCTTTGCAGAGCCCACTGCCATACTCATGCGCATGTGGTGCTTCTCCATTGGTGTAGCGGCAACCTCCATTATATAATCCAGGACTTCGAGAGCCTGACTGCAATGTTCAGTCTGCAATAGCCGCAAAAGTGGAGAGATGAGATCTGGACCATGGTTCGTGATAGCTGCGTTCTTCATGTTGACTAGGGGTATCAATTCGCTCAAAATGTCCATCAGTTTCACCCTGAACCACGGAGTCTTGTTTGTGAGGAGACCAATCATAAAGATCAAGGTTTGAGCATCACGAGCTGGGAAATACGCAGCCTTCAAGGCTTGGAGCGTGGATGAGAGCATCTCACGACTTGAGATCATGTCTTTGCTGGCAAATTGTCGAAGACATATTGCCAATGCCTCGTGGCCTTCGGCAGCTGCAACATGGCCTAGGCTCCGAGCTACCTCTAATGAGGTAGAATCGACTGTGTCAATTTCGAAGCTGTGCAAGAATTGTGGTAGATTTGCAAGCAAATTGTACAGTAGGCGGTCGTCAGTGCCGACCAGGTCGCAATTGGGAAGATGAGCCAGTTTATGCAGGACCGAAAGCGTCTTCTCCAAACTATCGGCGGACTTGAGACCTTTGTAAAGCAATGGCTGTACGCCTTCGAAACCGCCTTCCCATTTCCCGGGCTGTCCAACGAGCATAGCTTCGGTGACTTCCGTAGAGGACAAGTCTAGCTTCTCGATAAACTTCTCAAGCATCCCCAATGTCTCATAGAACTCTCTTTCGTGGATGGTACTGAGACAAGCACATGTAGTCCAGAACAGCTGTGGATATCGTACGAGAGTCTTTGGTTCCGAAGCCCCAATGACGACCTTTAGAGTTGTCAAAATCTCCATGGAAAATGTCTGGTAATCCGTCTGCTCGTCTGCGATGGTGTTTGATAACCGGGCGAGCATGTCAGCCAGCATTCTGGCGTCCAGACTGACTGATATGCATCGGAAGACCTGGAAGGAACGGCAAGCCAAGTGACGTACGGGGCAGATAGAAGCCCAATGCAGGGCTTCCTTTGCCCACGTATCACTGAAGTTCTCGAAAGCCAAATCGAAAATGCTAACGATTTCCGTGCTGAGGGTGGACATAGCGGGAGGTACCCTGCTGGCCCCATCATCTTCGTCTTTTCTAGTGTTCTTTTCATAAGACCAGCTGATTCTTGCATCATTGGTTCGGACTGAGTCGACCAGGGTCTCAATCTGTGACTTTGAGGCATACAATACCTGAGGATCAATCTTTGTCGTGACCAGTTCGTGAATCAGGTGTACCAGCATCTCTCGAGCTTGTTCCTGTACCGAACTTGTGTAGTGATCCCAGAGAATGAGAACAGTGTGGATGAGTTTGATGGCTTCTTCCTTGGCCAGGGTCACAGGTGTGACCATTAGATCGACCAGGAAGATGAGGGATACTTGACCTAAAGAGAGCCCGACCTGTTCGTCCGTTAGTCTCATCCAGCGTCCAAGCACAATGACAGAATCCCTTACCTGTTTGCTGCCCATTGGAAGCAATGAGCCCAAATCTGCAACATAGGGCAGGTGCCTCGTGTCCGGCATAACGACATCTGCGTGGTTTTTGTCGTTGACCATGTTTTTCGGCGTCAATTGCAGCATGAAAAATTCAAGCACTCTCGATCCTGCAGGAGTGGACGAGAGATAGACCACTATTTGTTTCGCATACTCGACAAAGTTTTGGTCACGACGGTCAAGAGAAAGATAGATGATAAAGTCCAGTATAAGCTGCACGTTCCCTGCGTGTGGGCCTGTTGCAAGAGCTTGCCACAAAGCCTGAACTTCATTGTGCATGGAACTGCTGGAGCAGATTGTGATTTCAAACATATTTGCCAGAAGCATGTAGGAAACCGCAGTCGGCCCATTAGTAATGGGGTCGACTTGAAGCTCGAGAGTCTGCAGCCAGGGCAAGATGGCAACGACCATGTTGCGCTGATGATCGTTCCGTGCAACCTTATAGTGCAAAGAAAACTCGGAGAAAATCATGAAAGCGATATCTGAGTTTGCTTTCGCAAGACGCTTTGAGTACTCAAATTGGGCTAATTTGTAGACAGCACGCGTTTTGTCGGATATGCTTATGTCGAATTCTTGCAAGTTCGAACTTTTCTGGAGTCGTTCGTCCAAGGTCCGGATCAGGTGAGCAGACTTCATCCGTATTTCTCTATTCTCATTGCCCAGGGTGAACACAATTACGCTGAGGATTTTCCAGAAAGGGAGCGGATACTCCGGTTGTTGTATCAAGACCTCGCAAACCACCCCAAAATAACTCTCCAGTGCAGTTGAGGATTCGGTCATGTAGCATTTTTCAATGGCATGTTCGATCAGTCCGAGATGGTCGGGGTTATTCATCAGTAGCAGCTTGAGTGCTCGCCTGCCGATGGAATGCATTTTATGATTGTTGGTCGCGAAGATGCCGTCAATCCAGGACAGCATACGTGGAACATGGAACGACAGGACAATATTGCTGTCCGTCACCATATTTATTGGACCAGCACACAGGGCAGCCATCGCACTCAGAGCAGCCACGCGCAGATTGTTCTTCTCCTTCTCAGAGGCTGCATTGGCATTCATCCGGTCCTGGACATCCCTTGCATGGCTATGGTTAGGATCAAATAAGTTCTGTTCCGCTGAATAACCACACCAGTCTTCCATAAGAGCAAAGGCGGACTTGCGTGCCTCGAAAGGCATCCAACGAGTAGGAGTTCTGGATCTGTTCACGCCCTCGAAGACTTCTTCAACGAGGCCACAGAAATGGTATCTCAGTCTTTGAAAACGCCAATCATTCTGTACGTCCGTGTCGCTGAGGAAAATGCGCAGGTCCCGCGTGTAGGTGACCATATTGTGCAATATCCACTCGTCTGTATAGATATCCTCGTGACGAAGAAATGCCGCGGTAAGTTTGTAGACGTGGGTGACCTCGGTCCTTAGTCTTTCAGTCTTCTGAGATCTCTGTGGGCTACTGGGTGTTCTCTGATGATTGATCCTAGCCTTTGCTTCGTCGTTGCATGTGATTACCGCGTACTGCAGCGACTCGAGAAGGGTTCTACAGAGCTTCCGATTAATGGAGCCAAGAGCGGTCACCACAGCATCACGAATGGGGTCTGGATGAGCGCCTAACATAGGTATGATGGCTGAGAAGAGGGCCCGCGCAGACCCCAATTTGTCCTGAGATTGAGTGGCACCTTTGGAAGTTTTCCGAGCGTGAGCAGCGTCCGCAAGCTGACTCTGTGATTGACCTCCAGGGGAATTAAGGGTGACACATGCCATGATAAGGTAGAGCTTCCACTGTTCGAATAGGACCTCTGCAGAAGTCGCAGAACTACGCCCTTGGATCTTGTTTTCGTAAAGAGCCGGGTTTCCCGTACTGATGTCTTTGAAGCTTTCTACGTCGTTCTGCATGAGCATTAATCTTCCGGTAACAGTGCCACGGCAGAGGGCGATAGCATTTGGACACGCATCAAAGACGACTCTGATGAGATTCGGGAATGCTTTGAACCAGAGAGTTGAGTCGTAGGACACTTCTGAGCTACAAATCTCAATCAGGGTGCTTTGGTCCGACTTGACACGTTTATCCTTTTGCAGTCGGCTTCTTTCTGCAACATTAAGAGCATCTTCATGGAGGTCGAGGATCCGTGATGATTGTGTTTCTAGTAATTTGATGATTCTGGATGGTTCATCCTGACCAAGGACTTTGTCGAATTGAAGCACTAGCCGCAACACCTTGACGGCAAAGGCCCGTACTCGACGAGATTGTGAACAGAGGAAAAAGAGCCCATAAGCCTCGATTTCGTCGACAAGAGGAATGACATTGGTCAGCTCCATCCGCAGTGCTCGATTCGACGGTGGAGTCCCGCGCTCCCTTGCCTCCGCTGCACTCGCCATCGTCTTTTGTTTCAGTTGTTCTGTCCATATCTGGAGCAGTTCCAGATACAGCGTCAAGGTGGATTCAATGTGTGCCGGTCCCAAGCGTCCTTCATCGGACATGGTTGAATACTGTGTATCATAAGAAAAGATGAATCTTGGAAACGCAATCGCAACAGCCTGGGCGTGGCCCTGTCGAGCAATTGCTTTGAGCGATTGAGTGGCGGAGGAAGCAATGTTTGCTTGGACATGAGCGGATCCGGTGCACAAGAGGCTGATGAGAGGGCTCAAGGGTATGTGATCCTTGAAGCAGCGGGGCAGAGCTTGAATTGCCACGTGCAAAAGTTCATAGTATTGCTGCCGCTGGTCGGCAACTGGGACATCTGGAGAACGATTCAAGGTGAAAGCATCGACCAAAGGTGTCTTCGGAGTCAAGCTGGCGGGTGAGGAGAATTTCTCGTTGAGAGTAGCCTGACCACCAAAGGTATTGTCACATAGGATTGTTATCTTTCCCAAAGTTTCGCAAAATTGCAAATAATACTGCCGTGCGCTCTCGTCGAGATTCGAAACGTTGACCGGCACAGACGACGAGGTTTCGTCTTCAAAAGTCGACTTGACTGGTGTACCGAGATCCACGCTGGTCTTCAGGCTGCTCTGGGGAGAGGATGGAAGTCCCTCAAAGGTAGGCGATTGGATGCTGAAAACGGGAAATGGAGGCGCGACCTGATCGGCTCGCTCTAGGTCAGACATAATGGCCAGAAAGCCGCGAATGCCTACGACCATTCTTTCTGGCTCCATGTTCTCAATTTTAAGTGGACGATTTGATTGAAACATGTCGGAGTGGACCATCGGAAAGATAATGGATCTGAAACATATGTCCTGAGCAGCATATCCCAGAATACGGATAAGTTGAACCAAGGGCGTCGCTACAGCTGGATCCGAGCCAATGTGCGTTCTCCGACCTTGTGGAAGGGCCAGCTTGATGACTTCGTCCAAGCGACGTACTCTGAGATTGGCTGGTTCGACCACACGTGCAAGATAGGTCCATGTCAGCTGGCAGATGGCCTGCAAAGCAGGACCACGGGTGGTTCTGTCTTTGAGCTTGTTGCCGAAACTTTGAACCATTGGCAGCCATTGTGCAGAGAATGTTTCTAATGGAGAGACACAGAGGAGTACAATAGAAAGTGGGAAGCCGATGGCCCAATGACGGACCTTGACGATCATATTGAACAAGCGAGCATTGATAACCTCAATGAAGCTGACCCACATTGGGATTCCCTGGAAAACGTCAGGATGGCTAGCGACCACCGTCAACAAGCGCACAAATAGATGACAGTACGCCTGCTTGACGCGAGGCCCATGAGCATCGGAGAAACGGCTCGCAAGACTTCTCAAGAATTCACACACACTTGGCGCAGCTTCTCTGGTAGCAGCAATGTGCAGATGACGCATGCTTAGGAGCAGTAATTCGAGTCGAGATTCGAATTCTCTGGCGGTTGTTGTTTGCTGGCTTTTGGCGAATTCCTGCTGCCACACGTCAAGCTGCTGCGTATAGCGACCGGAGACATTTAGGAAATCCACCCGACTCATATGACCCAAAACCTGGCCATATATTCTCCAGTTTGCTAGTCTGATACTGGAGCAGAGGATCTGTGTCGGTTCAACTTCCTTTATCTGAGTAAACACAATATCCTCAAGTTTATACGCCAAGTCTGGAGTGATGGCTTCCAAATTGCTTTGCTCAAAGATAGCAATCAAGACTCGACACAGAATGTAGACAGAGATTGTGGCCCTGCGATCTGCCAGAATATATTCCTGTGTCAGGCTGTCCTCTAATGAGCCTTCCGTGCCCGTCTGAGGGAACCCGGACTCTCCTGGGACTTGTAACGGCTCCGTATGCCGTCTCGGTAACGTGGCCGGGAGCGAAGAGACGGAAAACGTGGCGCCCAGGCCCTGTTGCAGCCGTTGCTGGTAGACTTGTTTCTTTAGACTGGCAGCGATATCACCCTTGCCTTTGCGCCATAGCATCAGACTATCGACCAGAGGTTTTGGCCCTTGACGAGAGATATGACCCAGGGACGATATCAGCTGGTCAAAGGCAGCATCCACCCCCGGAGCACAGGCTTGCTCTACCGGTGTTGTGACTGTGTCGACAAGAGAGAGACAGTGATTGATTCTCTGATCGGCTCGTAGCACGAAGGCATGGAACAGATGATGTAGAGCATACTCCCCTGGCGTGCGTGGCTCTTGGTGAGCACTTGACGAGTTGTATGCATGGCCGCGTCGCGTTCTCGAATGCTCTTTGCGCCTCCGGGGCTGGGCTGAGAGAGAGTCGGGCTGTGACACTTGAACATCAATCATCGAGTCGATGGAGTGGCCTTGAGTGTGGCCTTGGAAAGATGAGACTGGGCTTGCGAAAGTGGATTGACCTTCTCCAGTAGAGTATTGCCCTCTCCGTCCCACGGTCGGATATCTCGCATTATTTGAGGCATTCAGTAAGGACTCGGGTGACAGAGGACTTGCGGACGTGGGCGAGTTGAAGGATGGATTTCTTGAATGCTGAAGGCCATGTATCACCGATGTTTGTCGATGATGGCCATAACTGTTCGATGTGCGTCGCTGCAGACCACTGTCCACGGCAGACGTACCTCTTGAGCTCACACTGCCATCCTGCCCAGGCCCAGCAGGCTGCACCGAGCCAGCGCGTGAGGATGACACATAGCTGGCCCCATATCCTTGTGTCGCAGACTGTTGCGGTCTTCCTCTTGAAACATCCCTTGTGTGGATGGGCGCAGCCAGCGGTGGACGAACGGTGGATGACGGTGGGGAGATCTGTTCAGGGCCAGGACCATCGAGGGCAAAGTTTGGGGTCTCGCTTGACGCGGGATGAGCATCTGAGGACATTGAATGCGTGAGATCAGCATGTGCTCGTATGTAGGTGTCGTCGCTGGGGGCGGTAGGGAAACTGCACGAATGCTTGGTGGTAGCGGAAGGGTTCCGGACTCGACTCACTATTGGGCATCATTTTTTGCCGAAGACCGACAGGACGAGAGGCGCAGATACAGAGACTCCGTCATTGCGTTGCACCCGAGTCCAGGCCGAGAATGGGTGAAGGAGAGGAAGGGAAGCAGAGGGAGATGGTATGGAGTATGTTGGCTGAATTTACTCGGTAAGGGAGGTGAATTTTAGTCCCCGTTGTCGAAATAGACGAGGTCAAACAGACTGAAAAAGAATGGAACGAACCCTCACCCAATCACACGGCAACAGCCACAGTACGGTCAAGAAGAACACCAGGGATATCTATATTCTATACTGAACAAACCCCTATGGCCACCTTGTGAGGATGGATATGTGTTTCCATATGTTAGTGTGTGTGTGGTGTAGGACGATTTAGTGCCATCGATGTCATATTTGTTTCTCACGGACCCTACAGATGGACTGAGCCATGTGCTACACCCAGCGATTCGCCGATGGACAGGAACAACTATCGAATCAAAGTCATCTTGGGGGCGAGACTGACGGGTGATGGAAACGGGGGTGGCGCCAATCGATTCACGTCCAGCCTGCACAGATTCTTTTTAGTCTGAGAGCACGGAGTATGGCGTCCAGGAGATCATCTTGCAGCCTCGGGATCAGGAGAAAGGAACGCCTAGGGAGAGACCAATTCCACCGTGATTTTAACATGGTGAAAACACACCGAGATGAGAATGAAGAGACCATACCGATACGAGTATATGGATCTAGGTATGGATAGTCTACGGAGTACTGAGATAGTGATTCATCATACTCGGTACACTCCTTGCAAACTGTATTGTATGTAAGATGGAAAATGCCCGCGATCGAGGCTGACTGTGTCTGATCAAACTGCTCACCTGTACGAGTTACGGAATACTCTGCACTCCGTAGACCGTAGCCTAATCTCATGTCCCGGAAGGATGTGGTGGAGGCCTGAGAGCCGGCATGGATGGTGATGGAATTGCAGGGAACAGGTACCTGAATAGTGCAAGTCTGTGGGTGAGTGGGTGGTCTTCTCCGTAGTCGTAGTGTACTGTAGGTAAGCCCCCCTGGGGGTACTCGTACAGTACCTGGGTAGGGACCCGGGGAGACCCAAATATTGTAGTTCCAGGTGGCACTGACACCTGGACACCTCACCTAATCCCCAGGGTTTTCCTGATGCCGTTCGCTGTAGTAGTTGTCAATGGGAAGGTTACAGTGTCCATACAGAGTATCTTTGCCACTTGACTCTCACCCACATCAACTTCCGCTGAAGTGTCGATGGCGACAAGCCTTACTCCACGGCCCCAAATTGGTCCTGTCCATAGGCACAGAGTACCTGTGCAGCAAATGTGCAAAGGCACAGTGCTACATACCGTAAAGTGTACCACGAAATGCATCCGAACTGCGTCCGATATTCGCAGGTGTCAAAAAGTCTCTCCGCTCCCACATTGTAACAATTCCGCAGTCTGGCCATTGCTTCCACCGTCGCCCCTCAGCTCCTCCCTCTGCCGTTCCATGTTCTCGTTGCCCCCGATCCACGACCCGATACCCTCTCCATTGCCATCCGGGGTGTCTTGGACAAGCGATCGCTACAACAAAGTTGATATTCTCACCCACTTGATTGCAATCTGTCCTTTCTCTTCATCTCACCTCTCACTCAACACCACGATATTTATATCCAACCGCCTGAAAACTCAGCTTCATCGCACATAGTGGCACATCAGCTTCTTATCTCATCGTTCCCCCAGCCCACTCCAGCCCACCTGCACCTTGGCACATCAGGCCACACACGGTTATTTGCCCACCGAGAGGGGTCTCCACGGCGTAATCTGTCCTTGTTCCTTTAAATTGGCCTGCGTCCTTTGTCGCGCTGATCGTCTCCAACGAGCGCCCTTCTCAATCCAAACTTTGTAGAAGAACAATCCTCTCCTTGCCCTCCGTTGAGCCACTTCAATCGCTCACCATGGCTCAAGTCGACACTCTGGACATTATTGTCCTGGTGGTGCTCCTGGTGGGTAGCATTGCCTACTTCACCAAGGGCACCTACTGGGGTGTCCCCAAGGACCCCTATGCCACCTCTGCCATGAACGGCAGTGCCGCAAAGAAAGGTTCCCGCAATATTGTGGAAAAGATGGATGAATTGAACAAGAATTGTGTCATCTTCTACGGTTCGCAGACTGGTACCGCTGAGGACTATGCTTCTCGTCTGGCCAAGGAAGGACATGCCCGCTTCGGCCTCAGCACCATGACCGCGGATTTGGAAGATTATGACTATGAGAACCTTGACAGTTTTCCAGACGACAAGATTGCTTTCTTCGTCATGGCTACTTACGGCGAGGGTGAGCCTACGGACAACGCTGTCGAATTCTGGGAGTTCATCAACAGCGACCCTCCCTCCTTTTCCAACGATTCCGAAGACAAACCATTGGGCAACCTGAAGTACGTCGCTTTTGGCCTAGGAAACAACACATATGAGCACTACAACTTGATGGTTCGCAATTTGGACAAGATTCTGACCAAGCTGGGCGCAAAGAGAATCGGTGACGCTGGCGAAGGTGACGACGGTGCTGGTACCATGGAAGAAGACTTCTTGGCCTGGAAAGAGCCCATGTGGGCTGCTCTGGCCAAAGAAATGGGTCTTGAGGAACGCGAAGCCGTCTACGAACCAGTCTTTTCTGTTGAAGAGCGAGAAGATCTTTCAGCGGAAGATGACACTGTCTATCTTGGTGAGCCCAACAAGAACCACCTAGAGGGCTCGCAGAAAGGACCTTACAATGCCCACAACCCATTCATCGCACCCATTGCCGAATCCCGTGAGCTCTTCACCGTCAAGGATCGCAACTGTCTTCACATGGAGATCGATGTTTCTGGCTCAGGATTGTCGTACACCACTGGTGATCATATCGCAGTTTGGCCCACCAACGCAGGCATGGAAGTCGATCGTTTCTTGAAGACTTTTGGTTTGGATGGGAAGAGACACACGGTCATCAACATGAAGGGTTTGGATCCCACGGCCAAGGTGCCTTTCCCCGTTCCGACCACCTACGATGCCGCTGTCCGTTACCACATGGAAATCTGCGCCCCGGTCTCCCGTCAATTCTTGTCCACCCTCGCTGCCTTCGCTCCCGACGAGGCGTCCAAGAAGGAAATGACCCGATTGGGCTCAGACGCTGATTACTTCAAAGAGAAGGCTGCCTCGCAAATGCTCAACATCGCCCAGATTGTCTCGTCCGTCAGTTCTGAACCCTGGTCCGCGGTTCCATTCTCCGCCCTGGTCGAAGGTCTCACCAAGCTTCAACCACGTTACTACTCTATCTCATCGTCGTCCTTGGTACAGCCAAACAAGATCTCCATCACCGCCGTTGTCGAGTCGATACGCGTTCCAGGTGCTGGTCACATTGTCAAGGGCGTCACCACCAATTACCTTCTCGCCCTCAAACAGAAGCAAAACGGCGACCCCGAACCATCCCCACACGGTCTGACCTACTCGATTACCGGTCCACGCAACAAGTATGATGGTATCCATGTCCCGGTGCACGTCCGTCACTCCAACTTCAAATTGCCATCCAACCCTTCCAAGCCTGTCATCATGGTTGGTCCTGGTACAGGTGTTGCTCCTTTCCGTGGATTCGTTCAAGAACGTGCCGAGCAAGCTAAGAAGGGCGAGGAAGTCGGCACAACGGTTCTCTTCTACGGCTGCAGAAGATCGACCGAGGACTGGCTTTACAAGGCGGAGTGGGATGTAAGTCGTACCTGCTAATGTTTTCTTTCCTACATGTGACTAACTTTGCTCAACAGGAATTCAAGAAGGCTCTAGGTGACAAACTCATCATCTTCAACGCGTTCTCCCGAGAAACCTCCAAGAAAGTCTACGTCCAACATCTGATCAAGGAAAACGGAAAGCTGATTAACGATCTACTCCAACAAAAGGCCAACTTCTACGTCTGTGGTGATGCAGCTCACATGGCTCGAGAAGTTAATGATGTTTTGGGACAAATCATTGCTACCGAAAGAGGAGTGGACGAGAAGAAGGCAGAACAAGTGGTCAAGAGCATGCGCAGCAGTGGTGTGTATCAGGAAGATGTGTGGTCGTAGACTGCGTTTCTGCATGAGAGACTCCCGAGGATCCCATTTCTGTTGTTCAGGGAGCTCCTCGCGACCTATGGCTGTGTCCGAGGAAGAATGTCAACATCGAATGAAAATCCACACCGCTGCTATGCAGTTCACTATTGTGGCCTCAGTGATGTTTGAGAGACATCCTCGGAGTCTCTTTCTGGTGGAAACATGGAACACAGTAGTCGGGATGATTTCTGCGAGAATCATCGATAACCGGGCATGTGATCTGTGTCCGGCACCCAGCGTTGACGGTTGTTCGACCTGGGGAAGCGGGAAGGGGGAATTATCGGGGAGTCGCCTGTGAGGCCGGGGAGAAAAAAAAAAGACGACTGGCATGTTTAGCGCGGGGTTCCAAATGGTCGACATTGAGAGAACGTGTGGGGACGACGACAATTCGCAGCCTGAACATCCCGGTAGAGAGAAAACGATCATCCAAAAAAAAGCCCCGACAGAACAGCGACAAAAGCGATTTTCATCCCGCCCATCGCCTCATCGCCTCATCACAAGCGTCGTGGGGTTCATGGGTTTTCCAGATCCGGCCTTGTTTATTTCGCATTCCGGTGGGGCCGCATTTTCCTTCCCCATGAGAGCTTGTCTACACCTCCTGCTTTCTGCAGGAGCGTTATACAAGGCTTTCAGGATGTTTGAACTTTGCTCTTGTGTCGTTGGCTGGAAGCCTGATACCATTTCTATTTGTATAGGGTTGTCGATGATTGACGGAGTTTTTTTTTTCGTTCAATGGCACACACTCGCATGCATATATATATACCTTGAGTTTTATTAGAAATGACCACACCAAATATGAAATATTCCGGAAAATCCTTTACTTAAATGCTAAAAAGTTGTTGACATGCTTAGAGCCTTGCTTCGTCGTGAGTTTTTTTTTTGGTCCCGTCATAATGAGAGCAGAGTATATACGTATCGCTTGGAATAATTTTTCTTGTTTTTGGTATCACCTCATCATTTCATTCTGTCCAGGTTGCAAATCTCAACCATGACCGCCTGTCCCTGTCCCTGTCCCCGCTTGGCTCACGGAAAATGATGTTGGGACAATATAGTTTTTTTTGTTCTCTACTCGGTAAGACAATCTAGCGTTCGGATGGACCATGAATACGACTTGTAACGTTACAAGGCCAGTGCTGGTCCAGAACAAGTGAGTGTGAGGATGTCTGATGGTGGTGTTTTTTTCCTTTCTTCTCTCGGGCCTTTCTTTCGACACACTCCGTCATTTCCCCCTCCCGCAATACGTCGTCGTGTGGAAACTTTGGTGACTTTTTCGTGATGCATCAACGACAACGTACATCCTATCCTACCTGGTCCTACCTTCAGAGAAGCGGGACCCTCGGCCTGCTTTCTGACCGTCAACGAAGGGCGTATTTCTCTCGTGTCAATGTGTTCTCCGGCGAACGTCAAACAAGCCAGGCCAAATTCCCTCCGAGAGCAGCACCTTCTCCGTCAAGGCGCCTCGGTGGTTGTTTCCAACGCCTTGACGGCACGAGCGTTTGCGTCCCTGAGGGCGCAGAGGTCGGCTCGGCTCGCCTCGAGGACCTCGCTGGGCCCGCCCTGCTTGGCGAAGTACTGGAGCAGCTCGTGCAGGTCCCTCGACGGGACGGCCAGGCTCTCGACGTACGCGGCGGCTCGCATGTTGAGGTCGAGCGCGGCGTGGACGTGAGGGAGGATGACGCACAGCATGTTCAGGGTCGCGATGTAGAAGGGCGTCTCGGTCAGGAAGTCCGTGAGCGACTCGTCCGTGGCCTCGGGGGAGTCCGGGGGTGGGATCCGTTCGGGGAAGAGGAGGTCCAGGAGGGCTTCGGTCTTGGGGTCGTAGGTGCGGCCTTCGCCGTCGAGGGAAGTGAGGATCGAAGTGTCCATTCCACCAGCGCCGCCGCCGCCGCCGCCGTTGGTTCCCGAGCCTCCGTAGATGTGTGCGGCGAATTCGTCCTTGAGCCAGTCCACGCCCACGGCCTTGAGTGCACCGTTCTGTTGAGGCGGGCAGAGTGGGATCGGGTGAGGTTGGAGGGCCGACGTGCTCCGCGTCAGGCCCGTCCCTTCGTCGATGCCCGGTTGGGCGTCCGGGTCCTCCTCGAACGTCTCGGCCCAGTTGGTGCTCAGGGTTTCTCGGCGGAGGGTCTGCGTGATGATCTGTAGACGCACGTCCGGGTCCGGGTACGCGTGGAGGAGCTTCGAGGCGATGTAGTGCGCGGAATCGCGCAGCGCGGACCAGGGCGTGATGGTGAAGAGTTGGGTCAGGGTGCTCAGGAGCAAGAGGAATTTGGCTGGCGACGGGGGCGGGTGTGGGGTCGGGTTTGGTGAAGAGTGTGGAACGGCGTGTCGGTAGAGGAGGGAGAGCAATGCGTCTAGGAGAGCGGGGGGCGGGATGTTCGGCGTGGCGCTGAGCGGGAAGGCGTGCGCAATAAGTTTGGTCAGGTCGCTGGTCGAGAGGGTGAGTGGTGCGTCGATCGGTTTGGAAAAGGTTTCGTATGCAAAGAGGAAGATGACGCCGTTTCTGGGGAACGGAATCTGAGCAGGCGAGGTGGGATATTCCGAGGGCTCTTCCTTGTCCTCTTCAGAACCATCTGCGTCGTCTTCGTCGTCGACTAGTTTCGTCACCTCTTGGCTGGCGTAGAGGTCTAGTTCTCCGGCCAATTTGTGGAACCGAGCAAGGAGTGCATCGCGTTCTTGGAGCTCCGGTGTGTCTTTCCAGACCCGAGTTTCGCTCGGACGGGTCAACAGCACTCTTTTGGGTTCGAACGTCTCTCTCAGCCGCGCGGCCCACGACATGGATGGATGTTCAGCAGATCCGAGGGATGAAAGGTATTCATCGAGGACTTCCAGGTTGACAGCATTCAGTAGACGAAAGATGATGGCCTTTTCTTCTGCAGATGGAATCTTGCCGCCTTCTCCCTCCTGTTCTCCTTTGGCTTCTGGATCAGGTAGAGAGGCAGGTGTGGCTGTGATGCCTTTGTTCTGTTCTCTCGTCGCGTCAGCACCTCCGGCAGGGTCGTCGGCAGTGCCGGTTCGCGGTGGCAGAGGAGGTCTTTTCTTTCCAGAGAGATTTTCTAGCATCGTCAGGAAAGTGGTGGTCGTTTCAATCGTGATCGGTATGTGTCTGTAGGCCCCCAAGGCAGGAGGAAGTGAGGTGGCAAGAAAGCGACTGGGATAATGCGTCTTGATTCTAGGATGAACGACGCCCAGCATATTGAATAGAGCCTGTAGTCTCAAGGCTTTGTCCATGGGTGCTACTTTCTTCTCCTCCGCTTCCTCGGGCTCGGGCTTCGCCTCTGGCTCCGGCTCGTCCCTTGGCGTTTGAGCTGTCTCAGGCATGCCGTCGAGCTTCATACTTCCCAGATGCACACGAGGTGCTTCGCCACTGAACGTGGGCAAGTCGTTTTCTTCCACGTCTTCGCCCACACCATCCTCTTCAGCATCGTCACCTAACTTTTCCAGTTCTTCAGCCACGCGGACAGCAACTTCTCTCGGGTTGCCCCTGCGAGCTATGATTTCAAGGCAGTGGTTGGCGTCGGCTGGGGCTGAGCCTAGCATGGGGAGAACGAGCCTCAATAGATCCCAGCCGATTTCCTCTGCCAGTTTACCGTCATCTTCGGTGAGAAATTTGTTCAAGGTTGGTAGTTTCTCAGGTGTCAAATGGTACTCCAACACCGTCAAGTAAGTCACGTAGTCAGTGGCAGGTGGCAAGGCTGCGACCAGAGGGTCCTCTTGAGAGGCATTATCGGCCATGATTGCTTTAGAGAGAAAAATGAACGGGATATCGCCGTTATGGTCAAGCAAATATGCAAGTGTGGTGCGGGGGGATGTTCAGACGATGACGGTCAATGACGACAAGTGAGATGGCTCGTTTGCTGGCTGCTTTTGACAGTGATTGAAGTGGTCTCAAGCGGCCAGCAAGACTGAGAGCGAGAATGATACAATGACGACTGCGAGAGGATATTGAAGCAGTCTTTGTAGAAACATGAGGTACAAGAGATGAGGAGATGGTTTCACTGTCGTCTGATCGGCAGCACGTGACAAATAGCGTCATGTGGCCTTGGCCTTGGCATTCATCCCCAATACTCGACAACTTCAATATCCGAAAATACATACCTCTTATATACTCCCTACTGTAACAGATGCTGTAGGTAATAGTACTCAACACCAATCCCCCTCCCCTGTCTTCACCTTTGTGTACCATGTAAAGGTAAATGCAGGCAAACGACGCTCAAAGCGTACAATATCATGTACCTCGGCGCACTGGATCTCTGTCCTCCCGATCATCACTTGCAATACCACAGGACTTTCCTTGTCAGAATTATATTCACTCTCCGAAGCAATCTCTTGCTGAAGTGTAGTCATAGGTGACGAGGACAATAGCATAGAGGAATACTTCATATCTCCTTAGATGAAAAAGACCTTTCATAATTCCAAGGACACAGGTCATAGCGCTTCTTGGGTCATCGGCATGGCCGTCCAACTAGTCCCTCATCACTACTTCACGTAATAAATGCACTGCCAATATTGTCTGGGGAACAAAGTTCGTGTATGGCACATGGCATGGTGATTATGAAGCTATAAGACTATAGTGTCGAGGAGCTGGAATGCACCCGTCACAATAGAAGGACCATTTGAAAGTGGCACCTTCGGGATCGCGGATGTACGTATGTACATTTACTCTTGCAGGGATGATTGATGATATCTCAGCCGGACGATATGGTACTACGCATACCCACCTCTGCATTACGCACAAGGCTATGTTTACAATATCACTGGAGTTACCCCCGAAATGTCATTCGCTATAGGGATACTTTTACAAAACGCACATGACTGAAAGACTAATCATGTACGGAGTAGTCATTATTACTATCCTGAAGAATATCTTTTGATTTACTCGGATCTTGTCGGTTACCATTTGACTCATATTGAATACTAAGGAACAACACGACAGGTTCGGGAAGTGCTCCAGTGACAAGTACTAGGTATAGACTTGTGCGTAATGCAGAGGTGCGTGTGCGTAGTACCTATCGCCCTCACCCGTTTTGTTTTCTTGAATTGATTGCTGATGCCGGTTGCTGGTCAAGACGGAAACATCAACAAAAGGCATCTGTCATAATTTGCCCAGGTATCATTCGAATGGCACATGGTGATGAAGATGGAGCCCACGACTTGTTGAAATGGAATCCATTCGAGCTCGGCTACCGTTGCTAACTTTCAAGTATCCGCATTGGGATACATCGAGATTATCTGTCTGCCGTTCTCACTCACTATTGTTCTGTTGTTATTTAGTCTTGTTGACCGGCACGAGTCCCGGAGATGATCTCGGAGTCTACTCGCATACAACACGAGTCGTGTGACACACTCTCTGAATCAGTAGCTTGTACTCTGTAAACTCAGTCAGCTCGGAAGTACCTTGGGCCGCAGGTGAACTAGTAGATATTATCCATGTATTGAAAAAGGCGGTGTTGTTCATCGGTACTCGTACCAAGTAGAGGGTCAGGACAACTCCTCATTCGAAAAGCGGGAGGAGTCCATCCATGGCCTCGGCGCCATATTGTAATAGTGGCCACACATGGGTGACAGTTTTCGGGAGATTTAATGAACAGGGGTGGGTAGATGGCCAGGTTATTAGCCATATCGCATGGGTAAATACTCCGTAAAAAGAATGTTCGTCGTTGAAGATGATGATGATGATGATGATGATGATGATAAGGAAGAAATCTCCTGAAGGCTATCTATCGACCACACTGATTTCCAAACAATCATCATCATCATCATCATCAAGGGTAGCGGCCTCATTTACCGTGGTCCAGGGTTCCACGTTTTTTTCTCTCTCTACTGTATCTCTCTTTCCCCAAGAAAACATCAGAGGATGCAGCAAGTGGCTTGAGGAAGGCGCCCAGACTAGAGCGAAATAGCGGCCGCCACATGTCGCTTCTAGGGAGTCGTTAGGCGTCGCAATGGGGATCATCCGTCGCGCCGGGTCTTGAACCATTGCATCCTGGCGCGTGGCGCAGGGAAAAGTAAGAAATCCTGATTCAAGGGACTGAAATGTTCCCAACAGGTGGTGTGTGTGTGTCTGTGTGTGTCCATGCTAGTACAGTAGACTCCAGCAAGACGAAGTACTGTAATCGATCTACCCTCTTGTTGAGAGAACTGATGATTACATACTCGTACTCGTAGGAGGGTGGCGCGTCAAAGGATATCGAAATTTCGGTGCTTTGGCTTGAGATTGGCGCAATATTTCGCAGGGACCACAACACATCCATGCATACCTACATACCTACAATAGGGTATCTACGCCCCATGGACTCACCATGATTGTACAGTATTCGTGTTTTGATTTTCACCAAGTTCGTGACGATCACAATGATAATCAATTCTCCGTAATCAACATGACACGCTTCACGCTTGTTGACGACAAACAAGCAAAGGCGTGGGGATGATTGAGTTTTGCGGAAATTTAAAACCGCATCGCTCGTGCCTCACTTTTTGTCGACGACGACGACGTGGCTTGTCTAAAGTTGTAATAGTAATAATGAGGCGAAGAGGTGTTGTTGCGTTATCCACAGGGGCATCCCGTCTTGGGACAAACCCGGTGATGATCTGTCGACGGATCATTCAATAGTGTTCAGATGTGCCGCCTTCGTTCTGCTCCACGCCTTGCAAACTATCGAACGTAAATGAAATCACATCTACAGAACGAGAAGAAGAATCTCGTCCAGAAGGCCAAATTGGGGATCTTTGTCTTCGCTTGCGGATGGGGGCGGTGAGGCACGAAATGGTTGCTAACTATTCCGTATATCCTAGACAAAAGAAATGCAAAAAAAAGGTACAGCCCGATTCCGATGGCTCCATGTCCAGGATCATTCCATGTTTTTGTGCCCAACGAACCTGACAAGTCTCCTCGCCTAAAGAGGGGTCCAGGGCCGTCTAGTATAGCTGGGAACGACAAGCCATCCAAAGTCACCATGTAACTTCGCGAGCACGCGACGGCCATTCGCCTGACAGATGTCGAATGAAATTATTTTATTTATGGATCTCGCTCAAGGAAGAGTCTCCCATGTCACTTCTCCATCAAGCCATAGTCCGTATACTTACCCGTACAGTACGAGTAGGACGGAATAGAAAGAAGACAAGCTCCAGAGATGACAGTAAGCCACAAGCCCTACTTGTGGTCTGGGCATGGGCACAGCCGGAAAATTGGTTAAACCACCGACAAGCGAGAAACCAGTGGCAGAGCTTCTGAGCCAACAGGAGCCCACGCCGGCGTTGCCAGATCCTCAAAAGTCCCGAGATCCCGGTCAGACCAAGTAGAGATCTTGGACAAGGAGTCCTCATTATTGAAAGTGCTGCCAACAATCTCTCAAGGGTGTGACAAGGCTAGCCTTGGTTCATAATCGCCTCGACAGCAGCAAAGAGACTCGGCATATACCATGGGCGGCCATTAGCATAGGTTTATGGGTCATCGAGTTGGGCAACATTTCTTTGTCGTGAAGTGCCAGACGGGCCCAAGGGTCCCATCACCCAGTCTCCGTATTGAGGCTAAGTTAGTCGAACCCCGGCAGGCGTTGTTGGGGTGGGTCGGATGTGTTGGCGAAAATCAGCGACCGCAGACGCTAGATTTCCCACATGTACAGTACGGATACTCGTACGGAGTTGGATTTCTGGTATTGTCACTCCGTGATCTTGCTCCCCCTTCCAGCGGTATGCCCGAAGCCAGAGAGACCATGGACTTTTATGGTCGGTCATTGAACCCTGTCACCTGTAGGATCGGTAGTACAGAGGAGCCCGCGACGGGGGTTCCCAGGTCGTCATCGGTGACACGGCTGTGTCTATTTCTGGCGGTGCATGCAGGCGGCCATCCGACGCTTGAGATTGAATGGACGACTTGCAAAATGATGGGTATGCATCTGGCCAAGACTCTCAGTGAATCATGTCCATGAATCACTCAATCCCATCCACCCTGCCAGGCGTCAGGCTGTTCCAAGTCCATCCTTCCCTTTCCAGTCCTTCTAGTCGCAGGAGTGGACGACCTTCGTGGGTGTTTGTCAGTCATTTGGCTCATTCGGGACAGGAATGTCTCTCCATGTTGTAAGCTTTTCGCCAATGAAAACTATACTCCGTGTCGATGTCCGGTGCCCAACGGCCGGCCTCATGGATAGCATTGCCCGATACATCGTCCGGTTGGCCAATGAGGCGGACATCGAGCCTTGGGGGGCCGACAAGCACATGTCCAATGAGCCACTTGACGTGCGTGATACCGGGGTTGAAGACAGACATGACCCGCGTTGCAGAAAATGGCGATCCATATGGGTCCGTGATGGGCAAAGCTTATGCCCTGGTTGTTGTTGCTCATGTCTTAGCAGGCTGTGCTCCGTGGCTCTTCTCAACTCGGGAACCTCATCACCCTTGGGTGAGAGTACTCGCCCTCGTAGAACTCAAAAAGACTAGGGAGGGTCCAGGGGGTGGTATGGCTGGCTTGCCGAGACATGACTCTCTGGTGCTACCGAGGCCACCATGCACTCCATCCGCTCGCCAGGAAGATGGCGAAGGCTCATCCGCACCAGGCTGGCGACTCGCTTAGTGCGGCGGATAGTACCTTAGGCTCGACGGCGGGCTGTTTCTAGCATGTCGCAATTGGCAGCGGGAGACTTGGGCTATGGCGTCCGTCAGAAGCAAGGACTAATGCAAGTCCTCAGCGCGTTCATGGATCCCTGGACTATTGCATACAGGCCGATGTGGATCTGCCGACGGAACTATTGGAGCAGTGTTCGGCCTTTCAATAGAGCAGATCGTCAGTCCTTCCATCATCAAGATGAGGAAATTTGGCCTGCACCTGGCGGGCAACTTGTGCATGATGGAACGAACGCCCTGGATGGAGAGGAGCTTGGCTTCTGATCTCTCGTGTCGTCCTCGAAGGAGAAGGCCTGTTCTAGTTCCAGCTTTGTTATGACATCGTGCGTCCCTCCATGTTTTACTTCAGCTTCAGCTTCCTCGAGTCTTCGCTCCTCGCCCTTTGACGACGACGACAACATCGTCACCACGCTCTTTCCTCAAACAGACGTACTCATTTCTTGTGTGTCGCTGTTGCCTCTCGCTTTGACCAGTTTGCTTCTTCGTCCCAAGTCGATCCCTTCAGCCCGCGCGTTGTTTGTACCCGGTCCCGCATCCTGTGAGTCCTATATCACTCTGTTTGGTCAATATTGGTTGTGGACGAAATTTGGGGCCACGGCAGGAATCTTGTCCTTGTCCAGGTATGCTGCAATATGTTGTACCTCGCCTCTAATCCTGTCCATTGGGCTCGGACTCAAGTCACTGACAATCAATCCCCAAGCGCTGGCACGGACATCTAAATAGGCGTCGGAAGTACCTGTCGCTACATGGTCGAAGCGTCCTCCTTGCGCGTTCCCAGTGTTTGTGCATACCAAACAACGTCTGAGCACGCTCTTTTGCGACTGTCGACTTCACTTTTCGGCTTGAATTTGGCCTGGAATTCTGAACATTTTCTTCGCAGGCATTAATTACCGTCTATGTCACCTTGAGCCGGAGGAAGAAGAGTCTCTCTGGAAAACCTGATGCAGCATTCACGTCCGCCTCAGTTTCCTCTCTGTTTGTCCTTCAAGAAGCACAGGTGTAGCATAGACGCCTCGCGCCATACGATAGACCTCATACTGCCGAAACCAATCGCCGCGCCCGTCTGGGCTTCTCTTCCTACACCTCCCATGTCCGGGTCTCCCCCGCCGGAGCCGCCGAATGAACCACCACAGATTGCTGGCCGACGACGGAAGCGATCCCATACTCCCCCAACGGCAAGCGCCGCTACCGTTGCGCCGTCGCCAGCGACGCCTGTCGAACAGACCGCTCCCAGACTAGGCGCGCAGACCAGAACAGGCGAGACTATAGCAGAACTCCCAGTTCAGCTGGGGACTTACGTAGCGAGTTATCCGATTCCAGCCTCATATGCAGCCGGTTCAAGTTTCGCCACGTCCGCAACGTCCAGCCTGAGCGAGTCTTCTCGATATCTCCTCAGTCCAGTGTCGCCACGCGCCGCTCGGAAACCGAAAGCGCATGTGGCTTCAGCGTGTGTGAATTGCAAGAAGAAGCATTTGAGATGTGACAACAATCGACCGTGCCGAAGATGCGTGCAAAGCGGTAAAGAGGTAGGCTTTCTTGATGACCAGGTTTGTCTATGAAATACAAGGCTAATTTCAGCAGGCGTCTTGTCACGATGTCGAGCACAAGAAGAGAGGGCGGCCACCGTTGAAGCCAGAAGATCCTTCGACGAGGCGCACCTTCGAAAGTGCCATCACTCCAATGGGCTCTCATATGGGAGGACCACCCAGGCCATTGACAGGCCCAGACATATCATCTTTCGGACAGCCTCCAGGTCCTATAAGCCGATATCCTCCACTGCGACCCCAGGATCCATCGAGAGGGCCTCCGATGAGAGGATCGTTTCAACCCATGTATGCGCAGCCTTCTGTGTCCTTTAGCCCTGCGACAGCAGCGGGAACTTTTGCTTCTCCTACTAGACCTTATTCGCAATCTGGACCAGGACGCATCCAAGGCCAATTGCCGTCATCGTATGCATCACCTCACTCTGAATCCCCTCACCAGCAGATTGCACCATATGGTGGTTACAACTATCCTCCTATGGCCTCACAATACGGAGCATCTGGTCAGGCCACATATTCCAATCCTATCTTTCCACGTCCGGCCATGCATGGGTCAATGTCTGGTGAACCAATGCCGCCTTTTGGTGGTCCGTCTAGTCTTCAGCTCCCGCCGATACGTCCCACAACGTTGGGACCGATTGATCCTGCCATAACACAGGCGGCTCAGTCGACACATCAAGCATCTCAGCATTCTGAAGGAGCTCAGGACGATGGAACCCAAGAGCCCGATCCAAAACGGCCGAAGATGGACATCCAAGGGATTCTAGGTCCCAAGCAGGACTGAATATTTTTGTCGCCGATGGAAAACAACAGGCCTTGTTTTCATCTGCTGTTTTTCAAACCACTTCCATGGTGGCACCCACGAATATTTTACCTTTTTATTTCTTTCTTGATGATAACGAATGCTCCCAAAGAACGGCCTCTCACAATCAATCATATTATGTTTTTACGTGTACAACACATTTCACGGATCTGCGCTGGTCGCAGATTCACATATCGAAGAGAACGGCAGTCTACCTCAAGCCGATTACAGGAAATGTTTGGGGTTGACTTTTTTCCTCTTCTTTCACAACAGAAAAAGAGAAACAAGAAACGACACACCAGGCGCCAGGCACCAAATACTTACCTGCTAAAGGTCAATCTTTCAATTCACGAATACTATTTTACGGGCATGGACAGTAACCTAGCTTTAATTGACGAAATGGGAAAAGCTTACGATCTTTTTGTCTACGGCCTGTATTTATAACATGGACTCTTCGCCTTGCTTGGCTGAAAACGACGGACGAGTGCCATGTACGTACTCGATAATGAACTTGTACTGGCTGGGGAAATGAAACTCGATCACTGGAACTCAGCTACCTGTTTCTTTATCTCCATGAGTTTTTCTCCTTTTTAAAGAAAAGCAATCAAAGCTTTGATGATAGGCGCTATGTGTGGTTTGCCTTTGGGTGGGCTGGACAAACACCAGGAACGAAAAGCCAGCGCCGTGATTTTTTGCAGAATACACATCCGGAGACCTCCCCAGCCAAAAGAGAAAGGACGGTACGAGTATGCATTTGACGATTCTGAAATAGGTTGATGATGATGCACGGCAGAGTTTGTCTTACTTTGTTAAACAAATTAAATAGTATTCCGTATAAGGAATGGGAGGGGGATTTTGATATAACATACAGAGTATGCGAACATGGTGCTCGATAACGTAATAGAAAAAGCAGTCTCAAATCAAAAGCCAAGAGACAAGATACGGATCTGAGATCTCTTATATACACACAGAGAGACAGACAAACAAACGAACACTATTTGAGAACCAATATGTAGAGTCTGATGGTGTTACCTTGATACCTTGATACCCTAACCCAAGGTAGAGTCTATTTTTATCCCTATCCACCTTACCTACCTAGATACCTAGCTGGGCAGGTAGGTAGGTTGATACCAAAAGCCAGGAGTCAAATCTCCTACCAAATTTTTACTCTTCACTGTACGTACCCTCTGTTCTCTTTCACCTTACCCTTTTGTCGCCAAAAGACCAGAAGCCAAAGCTTCAAGATCCTCAAGGGTCTCGGGTTGTTCGACGTCGGGAGCAGCGGCTCTGCGGTTCTTGGTGCGCTTCCCTAGACGTTCACCCTCTTCCGAATCAGAAGCATCTTCAAACCACTTCTTCGGTCGTCGGCGAGGTTCAGGCTCGTCCAGGCCCTCCTCTTCTTCGTACGGCACAAGTTGAACACCTTCTCGATCATCATCGTCATCGTCGCTACCGTTCTCCTGTTGCGTACGTTCCTGTTCCCGCAATTCCCGTGCCCTCTGTTTTCTTTGTTCCTTCTTCTCCCGCTTCTTTTGTCGAGCAATCTCCTTGTCGACCTCGTCCATCTCCCTTGCTCTTTCTCGCTCGCGTTCCAAAAACTCTTGTTTTTCGCGTCGGGCCTCGTCGAGCCCAAAGGTGCTCTCGTCGCGGTAGGCCTTGCGGTCTTTTGGCGTGTCCGAGTCGCTGTCGAACGTCAGGTGGGCGCCGTGGCCTTTGTACTTGAGCAGCTTCTTGCGGGACGAGAGTAGTTTTTCGCGCCGGTGGGAGTCGATGATCAAAGGGTCGGCCTTGTCGGACAACTTGAGTGTTCGAATCTCCTTTTTGGCCGGCGCAGCAGCATTGGAGTGTGTGCCATCACCCATCAGAGGAGTTTCGGAGTCGGAGTCGGAGTCGGGTACAGACACAGACGGAGAATTCTGATCTAGAGCTTCATCGCCGGCTACGAAACGTCGTTTGACGGAAAGGAAGTCGGCTTCATCGTCGTCATCTCCGTCATCATTGGCCTGTCGGGAGGACGAATTACGGTCCGGATCTTCATCGTCGTCTTCGATGAGTTTTGTGTAATGCGCAGCGAGTACGTCTTGGTTTTGACGTTCAAACATTCGGTCGTACTTTGTTCGAACGGCCTTTTGCTTCTGCTTGGGCTTGTTGTCGCCCTCGTCTTCGTCGCCACTCGTGTCGCTGCCCTCAAGGGCCGCCAGGAGTTGTCGTGGCATGTTTTTCCTGGCTTTTGCGTCTTCACCTTTGACGAATTTGACTCGTGGTGCACCTGGCAGACCAAGACTTGCGGCAAAGCCTTCCAAGTCGAGCTTCTTGAGGCTGAATGTATCTTTGTCCTTTTGGACGTTCACGCTGCGGACGTAACTGACGAACGCCTTTTGACCCAAGTATTTCAACTCTGGATCTTTGAAGCACATGTTTTGCAGCTGGTTCCGGATGGAGTTTTGCATCTTCTTCACCCGCACATTGATATTTTCCACAATGACCTTCTTCTTCGCCAGTGCGGCGAGCATTCCTTCCTCTTCACTAGGATCGACAAAGAGCACGGCACGACCATCACGTTCGAATCTCGCCGTTCGACCCACACGGTGAATGTAAGTGTCCGCATCCTCTGGGCAGTCTACTTGAACCACCCAGTCGACCGAAGGGAAGTCGAGACCTCGTGCGGCGACGTCAGTGGAGAACAAGCACGCAAATTTGCTATTCGAGTATTTTCTCGTTATGTCCAGACGAGCGGTCTGTTTCTGGCGGCCGTGTAGGTGCATCAATGGGAGACCGGGCTGGAGATGTCGGAATGATTCATAGACGAATCGAACTTGTTTGCCGGAGCTTAGGAAAACAAGAATCTTCTTTTTGGTGTTTGCGCGGATGAAAGACCATAACGTGTCGAGTTTGTCGGGCAAAGGCGTCACAACGTAGTTCTGCTGCAGACCTGATGGAGTAGCGCTTTCAGCTGTTTCGTGGACGGAGACAAACTCCGGCTCTCTCAGGGAAAGTCGAGCAAGGTCAGACACCTTCTTGGTTTGAGTTGCGCTGAACATGAGAGTCTGCCGTTCAGGTGGCAGATGTTCCAGAAGAGCATCGATGGTGCTCTGAAAACCCATGTCCATTATTCGATCCGCCTCGTCAAGCACGAGAAGTTGTAGGTTCCCAATATCCAACTCAGCCGTTTGGTCCATATGTTGAAGCATCCGACCGGGTGTAGCGACCAAAATGTTCATTCGTGCCAGTCTTTCTCGCTCTTCTTGTAGACTTTTGCCTCCAATGACTAGACCCGCGGAAAATGTATGGTTGCGACCGATCTTGCGAAGAACCTCGAAAATTTGGATAGCGAGTTCGCGGGTTGGGGACAGGATCAGGGCACCCAAGCCATCGTACTCGGTCCATCTCTTGCGATACAGATTCTCAAGCACGGGGACGAGAAATGCTAAGGTCTTGCCCGAGCCTGTCTTTGCAGCACCTAGGATATCAAGACCTTGTAAAGCGAGAGGTATGGTCCGGCCCTGTATGGTGGTAAGAGTTTTGAAATGGGAGGAGGAAAGGCCATCCTGCGTGGCTTGTGAGAGTGGAAGGTCAATGAAGTTGTCGGGTGGTGCCGCAGACCTGGGATCGAGGTCGGTGACTCGTTGGCTGAGTGTTTCGATATCCTCCTCCTGTCTTTTTCGTTTGAGTTGGCGAGGCCTTTGATACTCTTTTCTGGGGCCAGACTCCCTTCTTTTCCGTTTGCCCAGTGGCGCCATTGTCGTTGTCGACTTCGGAAGTCGAAACTCGGCGCAGGAAATTTTGGGAAAATTGTTCCTATTATCGGGAGATCCTCGGAAAGTAATTATTGCGGGGGGTCGAGGAACGTAAATCAGTCGCAAGGCTACGAGGCTTGTGCACGCCTTCACGAGTACTTCTTTATCGGGATCTATGGACTTGCCATACCTAGATACTTCACTGGAGATGCTGTGACAAGTTACGTATCACGGATATAGAAATATCAGCATGGGTGTCAGGTCACTGGGGGGTGAACAAGGACAAGGCTGAGCAAAAGTACCCCAAGTCAAGTTCGGCTTACCTGCCCCAAGAGTCACTATCTAAACTCCCTCTTGTTCGCCGCTGGTGCCGGCCGGTCACAAGCGCAGTCTCGATTTCAGCCTCGTTACTTCAATCTTGACTTGACCCTTCGACTAGTAGACTCTACTACTCTTTTTGCACGTGCGTGAAAGGTCTCCGTTATACCCTTTGCGAAAGCATACCTCTTCTCTCAACAACACAGCCACTAAAAGGCCCAACACCTGGCTCGTCATTGGTAAGGAACCAACCGTCAGCCCACCATGGCTAATGATGAATCCGATGCTCTTGATGTGCTTGAAAAGGAAGCCAAAGAATATGATAAGGTATGTTGAATTCTGATGCTGATAGACACCGGCTAACCGCCGTTATAGGATGCTGAGATAGACCGTATTCTGAAAGCATTTAGACTTGATGCGTAAGTTGACTACTGCAATTGTTGTGACTCTCTTCTTACTGACTTCTCTCAGCTACGCAGTTCTCGATCTTCAACCCGGTGTACCTGAGTCAGACATCAAGATCGTTTATCGAAAGAAGTCTCTACTAATTCACCCCGACAAAACCAAAAACCCACTAGCACCAGAGGCATTTGACCGACTGAAGAAAGCGCAGACCGCCCTGGTTGACGAAAAGGAGCGGCAACATCTTGACGAATGCATTGCGGATGCGAGAGAGTTGCTGATTCGACAACACAAATACACTGTTGATTCCGAAGAATTGAAGACGGAAGAGTTCAAGCAGGAATGGAGAAAGAAGACGGTGGAAGTGCTGGTCGATGCTGAGGCACGGCGAAGGAGACAGATGAAAGCCCGGATGCAAGAAGAGGGACGAGAGAAGGCCAAAGAAGACGCCGAGATCGAAGAGAGGAAGCGGAAGCGTGATCACGAGAAGAACTGGGAGGAGACGAGAGAGCAGCGGATAGGCAGTTGGAGAGATTTTCAGAAGGGCGTCAAGAAGTCAGAAGACCAGAAGAAGAAAAAAAAGATGAAGGTCTTGGGGTGATGGGTGAGTGTCGAGGGATCGCTACTTGAGAGGGACTTGTAATTGTACGATAGACATGAGGCCTGCGATTTGAGGAATATGTCGACGATAATTGGTGTGTTGACTTGACTCATACGAGCACCAATGCAGCCATTACCGTATCCTGTATGGAAGAAAATGAGTATACGAACATCAAGCTGTATATATGTATTCGCTCGGTCGAGATCGGATCCTCGGCCTCTTGACTACTCCGTACAGTACTCGTGCCTAGGTACTCCGTACAGGACTTCTTACATATGAGGGTATCGTTCCCCACACCTCATTCTGCCTCTTATTCCTTCTCCGACTTTCTCTTGGATTACAGAACTAGAAGAACTTAACTGCGATTGAGGATCTTCGTGCCATGGTGGTACTTTAATTCTGTCGTTTTCTATCGCTCTCTCATACTTCCTTTTTCTCCCATGTTGAATTAATCATGAGCAATGCATCGCTGCCGCCCAATGCCCCCATGATGAACGGTTCCCTCACCTCTAGCCATGGAGAAGCCGATGCCTCGTCGAGTCTAGAACACATTTGCGCACGGCTTCATTCTCAAGTCGATTCATTTCTCGCTGCACCTCCCTCTGACGATGTTACAAAACGCACACAAGAGCAGACAAAGATTACACTGGGCGTGATAGAAAAAGCCCTGGAAGACTATGAGTTAGCTTACCCCGCCGTCTGGGTATGCGCAGACTGCTGACATGCTGCTACAGTAGATTTGAATCGTTGTCACTTTCCTACAATGGAGGAAAAGACTGTTTGGTGCTTTTAATACTATACCTCGCCGTCCTTCACAGGCACTTTACACGTCTGAAGAGCAAAAGTTCACCGTCAATCAGCTTTCCTACCTCTATCCCATCTATATACGCCAAACCTCCCGATCCATTCCCCGCCGTATCCGATTTCGTTGAATACTCCTCCCGCTTGTATCACCTTGATCTAACGCACATATCGACAAATCCCGGTCCATCCAAGAAAGAGCGCTCTCACTCGAACCCGACCATCACGAAGTCTTTTCCACGAGTTCAGCGGGACAGCAGCACGGATATACCACCTGAACCTATAGTGTCATTCCGAGACGCTTTTGCTCTATATCTGTCTTCCCACCCATCGGTGAAGGCCATATTTGTGGGCACGCGTCGAACAGATCCTCATGGGGCGCACCTCACACATTTCGATCCTACCGACCACAATTGGCCGGCGTTTATGCGCATTCACCCGGTAATAGACTGGCATTTATCGGAAATCTGGTGTTTCTTACGCTCGCCACATTTAAAGGACCTAGAATCCGGCGGGCCTCTCAGATATTGTTCCATGTATGACGAGGGGTACACAAGTCTCGGCGGCATCAATGATACGGTCAAGAACCCGAAGTTGAAGAGTCGTGATGGAGATGGTAAGGAGTATTATCGGCCAGCATTTGAAATGACGCAAGACGACGGTGAGAGGCTAGGAAGGGAATGAACGCGGCCAGAACGACGAGAATGGGCAGCGAAGGATAACCATGCCCAGAACTACGCTCGGTATTAAAACAAAGCGGGTTGTCGAAAAAAGATCATTTTTGAGACGCATTGTTGCGGCCAGAGTTCATGGTGGGATCAGTGTTCGGTAAAGAGATTGGAACTGCATCAACTTGAGAGCGACAGTCCGGGGATTTAGCATAGACGGTAGTGGTGGGTATTGTTTGTGGACGAGCAAGGATGGGGTGATCTTGGTGGATGAGCTTGGGTGCCGGGTAGTGTATGAGTGGGATCGACCCGACAACAACGACAGTCATGATATCAAATACAAATATAACATCTCATCCGTCTTCTGGCTCATCTTGTCCAGCCAGAGATATCCGAAATATCTGAGACTTGTGTAACGCAAGCCCTGAACATGTATGATCCCTCGGCGACCTGCCACGTTGTGTCTTCGGTACGTCAACAAGCGTCTGCAGAGGAAGGTCAGCCTTCGAGAGCGATGAATAACACTGTTGAGTCTTCCGATATGCACAAACTGATAAGAATCACTTTATCAGCACCTTTGCCCAGGAAAAGCCAAGCTGATCGAGATGTTTGGCCGAGCGGAAACGCTTGATTCCCGAGTGGTATACGTGCTCTCAGCCTCGCGAGCGGAACCAGCCAAGACCTTGGTACATCTCCACTGATAAGGTCGAAATTCCACTGTCAGTTCACGGAGGCTGCGTTAATCGAGTACCTCGTGCTCATGGCTCCCTTTCTACACGATCCTGACCAGACACAGGAAGGTAAAATGCAGGTGCAAACACCACCACCACGCCGGCTCAAAGGAACGCAGACACGTTCTCGCCAGAGTGATACAGTATCTTGTTCGCCCGGTTCACTCGCTAAGTAGGTTCCCGCTCCCACTGGCATCCCCCCCCTCCCCGACTCCTGTTCGAGATCATTGCTCTGATCTCACTGTTCCGTCGTGTCTTTCCCTCCCCCTTCCCCCGGACTGGTTTACCTCTTTTGGGATGGCAGCATGGCATACTTCGCATGGGGAGGGGTTGTCGTGACGATTGGTTTATCTCTTGGCCTACCGGTTGGCCACGCGAGGTACCGAGATATTCCTATCCCTATGTGATCCGGACCTCTGTGAGAGGGAGAGCCAGAAAGTTCTTCTTAATGAAGTCTCCGTGCATCTGATTTCCTGTTCTGTTTTGTCTACTCTCACCATCTCTTCTCCTCCCTCCGTCTCTCTCTCTTCATATACCATCTGCCCTAGTGACTGTTCCTTTCTAACTGCCCTGATTTCTCCTTCGTTCCCAAGAGGCCCATATCATTTCCCCCCCTCAAAATAGGCAAAGTCGAGACCAAACAAACTCAACATGTCGGAAATCACACCCATCACAGAATGGCCGGATTACAAGGTCGACCCTCAAGGTGGCAACCCCATCACTCAGGACCTCAACGCTCCATACGACAAGGTATGGTGTTTTTTTCTCTCGAGAGGGTTGAAGGGGGATCCATGTCCCGCCTCGATCTCGCTGCGTGAAGCTTACTGACACCCAACTTTGAATCTTTTTGAATCGTACAGGGCGACCTATGTTGGATCCTCGTCTGTACCATCCTCTGTTGGCAAATCACCCCGGCCATCGGTTATCTGTACGCCGGCATGCATCGACGCAAGGCGGCGTTGACCATGATCTTCCAGTCCTTGTTCTGCGCGTCGGCCTGCGGCATCCAATTCTGGATCTACGGGTATTCCCTGTACCAGTCGCACACGACGAACCCCATCCTGGGCGACCTCAGCCTGGCGGGGCTGCACAACGTCCTCGCCGCCCCGTCTCTCGCCAACTCCGACATCCCGGACATCTTGTACGCCTGCTTCGGCTTCACCTTCGTCACGGCGACCGCCATGATCCTGGCCGGTGCCATGCTGGAGCGTGGCCGTCTCTGGCCCAGCATGTTGTTCTTGCTCTGTTGGACCACGTTCGTGTATTACGTCCTGGCGTACTGGGAGTGGAACCCTTCCGGCTGGCTCTACAACCTGGGGGTCTACGACTTTGCCGGCTCCGGCCCCGTGCACATCGCCAGCGGGTTCAGTGCCCTGGCCTGGAGTCTCATGCTGGGACCACGCATCAACGAGCACACTTCCGGGGAGAGGGCCAAGATCATCCATTTCAAACCTCACAATCCGTTCCTCGTCGGGATAGGAACTTGCTTCATCTGGTTTGGCTGGTTCGCTTTCAACGGTGAGTCTCGTTGTATATATTGTGTTTTGTTTTTGATTTGTATTCTCGAAAAAAGGAAACACATGACTAATACAAAGAGGGAAAAAAAAATAGGCGCAAGCACAGCAAACCTATCGCTTCGGTCGGTGTATGTCGTCGTCAATACCAACCTGGCGGCGTGTGGTGGTGGTATCGGTTGGACGTTGCTCGAGTATTGGTATACACGGAAATTTAGTATCATTGGATTTTGTTCAGGTATCATTTCCGGACTTGTCGGAATCACACCTGCAGCTGGTTTTGGTAAGTACAAACATACACATAGAGAGAAAACCACACACCAGAAAGAGAGGAAGAGAGAGAAATCCCCCCCTCCTCCTCCTTTCCCTCCTCCTCCTTTCCCTCCTCCTCCTTTCCCTCCTCCTCCTTTCCTGAACGTCCTTACTGACATGGGTTCTTGTGTGGTTTTTTTACAGTACCGGTCTACGTGGCGGCACTGGTCGGTCTCGTCACCTCGACGGCTTGTTTCTTCACAAACAAGTACAAATATCTCATATCCATCGACGAAGGACTCGACATATTTGCCATCCACGGGGTCGGAGGGTACGTGGGTGATTTGTTGACCGGACTGTTTGCCGCTTCGTTTGTCCCGGCCCTGGACGGCGTCAGCGGTGACGGTTACGCCGGAGGGTGGTGGAACCGACACTGGATCCAGTTGGGTTACCAATTCGCGGGCGCGACGACTTGCGCGGCTTGGAGTTTCGTGGTGAGTTGTATACTACTGTTTGTGATCGACAGGATCCCGGGTTGCAAGTTACGAGTCAAGGAGGAGGATGAAGCCCGAGGTCTCGATTTCAAGTACCTGTCCGACGCTCATTGGGATGACACGGGAAGAGGTAGTATGAGTATGGCCGTGACCGGCCGAGACGAGGCGGTCGTCATCACCGAAGGTGTACCCTTTACAGGTTCGGGACCCGGAAGTGAAGACTCGGGTGAGAACGACGAAAGTGGTGGTGATGATACTCGTCATACTGCCGCCAGAAGAGGCGGAGTAGAGACCACAACGGAGGGGCAGATCACGACAGGACCTATGAAGAGGGAGTGAGAAAGAAAACGGGCTCAAAAACTGATCCGTCCATGACCTGTGTGCTCGACGGTGGTGATTGTTGAAACAATGGTGGTATTGCTGTCCCAATGAGAATATACCTATATACGTACTCTGCACGTCACTCAAGAATTCTTCCGTACCGATACCGATCCAAGAAAAAGAAAGAAAAAAGAGACCCTAGGTAGGGTGCGGTATACAAGTATATATACCTAGGTATATACCACCTGACATGATGTATCAGCAACCATGTTGTTCCACATCCTTCCTCTTTTTCTTACAAACGAAGAAGGATCGTCAATCTTCAACCTCTCTCGTCCCTCCAAGTCTGCCGTTACCAAACGTTTTTGCCATTTGTACAGGTGCTTGCTTTGCAAACAACTACTTGTAAAACTCGTGGAATTTGCAATCCTGTGGGGCAGTATCAAAATCAAATTTCCAAAAACCACTTTGCGCGCTCATAGACATAAAAGCTCGTGGCACCCAGAGGGATGACCTTGATGTACCCGATGGACAGACCCACGAAGAAGCCCCTCCATCCTCGTTCGAGGAAGATCCTCCTCGCGGTCTCCAATATGGACAACCTGTGTCCGTCACCCACCGCGCCACCGACCTGCATTCTCCTCCGAATGACCTCCAACGGGTAAGAGGCCGTCTGGGACACCAGCCCGGCCATGGCGCCCGAGGTCAATTCCGCGGGCGCGGTCAGCTGGCTGCGCTGGTAGGCCCTGGGACGGCCTCCCGAGGCCCCGTCTGGAGGGACGGGGGCCAACGACGTCGACCGTATCACCGTGTACGGAGCCAAGGTCGGGTGCCGGAACAAGTCGCCAATGGTGTCGTGGGTCAGGAACGACACGCCCGCATAGGGGAGCATCCCGAGCATCGTCGGGGAGAAGCCACGGTAGAAATTGACCAGTCCAGATTTCGGGGCCGCCCGCTGGGCGAGAGTGGCCGCGGCCGCGGCGACCGGACCACCACCACCACCACCGTGATGGGGATGTTTGCTGCCGTGTCCTCCGGCCAGCGACTGCGGCTGGGGTGGTTGCTCGTGGTATATCTGTTGACATATCCGCGACAAGGAGGACCGCGAGTCTCGTTTCGTTTCAAAGGCGAGTCGCACGCGCACGACTTCGAGGGGGTAGGTGAAGAAGACCGAGGTGATGCCGGCCAGAGACCCCGACAGGAACCGACGGACCGGTGTCTCTTGATTCTTGTTGTGGATGAGAACGGCCCGTATTTGTTCGTAGGCCAGGAATTTGATACCCGCGTAAGGGAAGATTCGCAACAGAGTGGCCGAGTGACCACGATACAGGCCGCGGAGACCTTCTGAGTGATTGATGTGCCGCATCGCTACAAACACACCGGTCCAGCTTCCTGTGTATTTCGCAAATTGTGGGTTCGACGCTTGGAACAAGATCTTGACTCGGTCGAGGGGTCCGACGACAGTTTTGGCCTTGGAGTGAGGGTTTCGTTAGCCCGCAATTCGCAATTCGCCTTGCGCATTTGCAATGGCATTCGACACGACAGAAAACAAAGACGGGCCGAGGCTATGATAAAGTTGTACTCACTGCACATCCTGCCAGACCACCTGCGAAACCACTGCGCAAGACATAATCTAAACTCCTCTTGTCCAGGTACTTGGGCTCGCCGGGAGCGCGACCGTCATCCTTTCGTGTCACCGCCGCGGGTGTGTTTCTTGAGAATGTGTGTGGTGTTGAAGACGTCGACGAAGAGGATGTTTGGGATAATGGTGGTTCCTCGAGCAATCTCGAGGGACCTCGGCTTTCCATCTCGGATGGTCGTGTGGGTTGTAATGTCGTTGCTGCATGGCCTGAAGCTAGAAGAGGCATTCACTGGCCGTTTGATTCAAAAGAAGCACATCGTGCGGCGGTACGAAAGAAGAACGAGAGGTGAGGGTGTGTGAGGGTGTGTGAGTCTGTCGCTGTCCGGGATACTATAGGTGGGATGTTTTGGGTGAGAGAGAGGTCCAAAGGTGAAAAGTTTCTTGGTGACGTGAGGAATGACGGTCGATGGATGTTGGTGGCTGAGAATCTCGGATAGACAAGACGAGACGAGACCTTACAATGCGAGTCCTAAGTTACAATAACGAGTAACTTGGTTGGTGTGTGTGTGTGTGTGGAGGGATGGAATGAGATGGACTTTACTCTGTATTGTTAGGCCGGTGTTTAGGTGCTGCTGCCGATGCCGAGGAGGGAGTTTTTGTTGCGCATGAATTTCGGAGCCTAAAAGCACGCCCGCACTTCTCGGATCCTACACTGTACAATAGTTATCGCTAAGGGTACTGCCTCCCGGTGCTGTAATCCTGGGAAACAATCGGAAGAGAAGAAGTGCGAGATCGGGGCACTATCTGGGGCATTTCTTCTCCGTGATCACCCCCCTTACACCAATAGCAGGGCATTTAAAGGCAATCTTTTCTCCCATCTCGTGGGATCTTTGGGGGTTCCCCGGTTATTCACGGTCCATCCAGACGAGGTTGTGTTTTGTTCAGATCCAAATTTGGATGTGTGAGGGTATTCGTGTTTCAAGATAAACATTCTAATGTTCATACCGTCCTATGCTATGCTATGCTACGCATATGCTATTGGCTTGTAATGCAATGTTTTATTAAAATACTCCGACTTCAACAACGAATGCAACACGGGGTAGTTGTTTTTGTATGCGTACAATCCACCATATCATCAACGATTTGAATCATGACTTTTTACCTTCTGTAGACTTCCTGGTCCGGCATTGTGACCATTACCCGGTCCTGAACTGATTCGAGGCTCCCGTTCGCTGACGTTCGTCGAGACTCTACTCATGCTTGTCCTCCCAACTCGTCTCGGCGGGGCGGGAGAGCTCCCAGGTGATACAGGCTCAATTTCTGCAATGGGCGAAGGTACGTCTTCGCTCAGGTGTCTGGAATGAGTAGGAAATCGTCTGCTCATATCCACACTTCTCGATCGTCTGCGTGAGGCCAAGTGCGAAAAGGTATCGCTGATTGTACTCGTATGCAGCCACACACTGTCCCTTCGCCGTCGACCTTCTGCCTCCCACCAATGCACAACCCGCTTTGGCTGGGACTGCTCATGTGCTTCCTGTTGTGAGGTATTTGGTGGACTTTGCTTTCGGTGTGTTCGTCGGAAAATCGCTCGACTGCGACGGTGCACGGCAGGAAGCGAAAACCTCGAGTTGGAGGCAATCCTTCTCCAAGGCTTCTCGGTCCAAGAGAAAAGAATGCAGTCGGCTCCGGCTTGGAGCGACAACATGATGACCGACAATATGTTGATCCAGTAAACCGGGTGTTTGACATAGTACTCGTTGTACAATCGGACTTGGAACACAAACGGAAATGTCCATACTATGATGTAGACCAGAGGGTACACAAACATGGATCGTAACTGTTTGCGAATCGCCATCCGGGTCCGTCTTAACGGGTCCAATCGTTCGCTCGAAACTTTCTCTCGTGTGTTCGGTGCAACGTCCGGTCGTGATACGGGGTCTCTGTGTGGGCTTGCACTCCCGACATCTTGAGATGCCTTTCGCGATGGTCTCCCAGAAGGGGCTGCAAACGCCATGTTTGTGTCATCGGACCACGTACTTCCCCACGGGCCCGTCGAAGCAGCCCCGTCATCAGGGAGGTTCAGCAGTGGTTTGGAGGTGATGAAATTCATGTGGTCCCATGGTTGTAGTTGCTCAGAGGATGGCACCAGCTGTTCAACCGGAGGCGTGGGCTGCTGTGACATCCTCCTGGACCAGGTTTTTGATGCCATTCCATCATGTCCATTCTGCTCAATGTCGGCGCTACGGAGAGGTACCGACAATTGTCTCGAATTTACCGGTGACTCGCTCAGAGACTCTGACTTACCGAGTTTGTCAAACCCGCGAAACTTCAGATGCACATAGATATATATCCACAAATACATGGAGATGATGAAGGCAATAATGATGTACCTTGGGACCCAGGAAAGTGCTAGTCTATACCATATCGGACGTTTGGGTAGTGAACAGAAGACGCCTGAAGTAGTGAAAGGTTTGGGGTTTCGAATGAACGCAAGGCATGAGGCGAGAAGTGGCGGTAAGAGCCAAACAGGCCAGACCCAGTGACGGTAGGGGTACAGTCCTCCTTCTCCAACGGCATGGTTTGGTCGCAAGATGTATAACACAGAATGCAAGGCAATGAGGAAGATCGCCATGTCGGCAGCCTCGACGCCGAATGTGAGGAAGAACCCGGTTGCCTGACAGAATTTGGAGCTGCTCGAGATGTTCCCCTTCGCGAAGAGGACGATGGGAAAAGTAAAGTACCACACAGCCTTGAATGAGTCGCTTATGATCAGGTTCATAACTAGGATGTGACGGAAACTTCTGCGCATAATGAGAAACCACCGCAGAGTGACCAAGGCGGCTAGCAAACTGAAGCTGGAGCAGCATACTGCAGCGATGTGGATGGCATGGTTCTGACTCGGTTTCAGAGCGCCTCCGGCTCCGTTGCCGTCACCCGTATAGTCGACGGGTGCATCCCTTGCATTGAGTAGGGCGTCTGACAACGCCTCCAACATGTCGCTGGGCGTCAGGAAGAATAAGGTGTGTCAATGGTGACCTATTGAGATGGCGACCCGCGATACCAGACGCGACATTGTGAACAGATCGAAGCTGTAGCTTTCGTTATTCTAATTGCAACTGTCGAGGCAAAGGTCCATAATTTGTTTGGAAATATGTGTTATTGATATGCCCTTTGGTTTGCGAAACGCGAAGCACCTGATGTACACAGGAAGGGCCTGAATTACGAGCCAAGTCACAAGTGAAGGGAAAAAGGACAGGGATGGAGAATGAAAAAGGTCAATATCAACATCGTGCCGTTAGTGAAATGCACATTCAATTCAAAGTATGTTGTAGCATTTACCGAAGGGGGCGTGCGCCATTCAGTAAGAGGCTGGGCAATGCTCGCTCGTAGGAAGGCGGGCAGACAGCCGCAAAGTAGAAAACCTGTTATTCGAACGAGCAAAGGCCATCGTTTGCATTGGCGCCGAGATCCTCTCAAGGTCTGTGCAAATGGTCCAAGCATGAGGCGCGTTGGTTTACTGTAGATTCATCGAAGTGGGTGAAGGGACATGGACGAAAAGGATCTTAAAAGTGAAAAGGGAAAAGGGAAAAGTGGATTGAGACTGCACTAACCTAAATCGGGTTCCGTGATCGGTCTAAACCAAACCCGGTTAGTTGATCTGATCTATTGTCCTCATCGACAAGAAAAAGTCTTTGGGAACAATATTGATCTGTGCCAGATGGTTACCGCCGCTCCTCGTATCTCTCTCATACAATACTCTTCTTCCTAATGCTTAGATCCGATCCTCTTTTTCTCTTTCGGTCTTTCCACTTTTTCTCTCGCTAGCACGAGTATTGTATTGTACAGGGAAGGCCATCAAAGATCACAGATCTTTAGATCGGATATCCTAGATCCCACGCTACCGCCTAGTTACACTGGCCCTTGCGTTTCGTGGTCCAGATCCCTGACATACCGCAATATGACTTGGATCATATTAGCATGAGGTGCGAATGCCTGCTTAACGCCGATGTCAACACGTCCAATTCTTTACAGCAGTGAAGCTGGAAGCACTTTCCTGATCGATATACCGTCATCCATCCAACATGGCCAGTGTTCATCATTTTCACCGAGAAGCCGTCCTCCTCTCCAAAGCCCATATCCCAACACTGAGCCCAAAGGATCTAAACGCGTCGCTGCTTTGAACGCAGTACCTGTTCACGAGCAAAAGTACCATGCCTCAATCCAAGAACAGATATCTTCCGCTCTAAATGAGATTGATGAACACGTCTCGAACGATGGTCTATCTTGGTACCGACACCGAGGGTCCATGTCAACTCCGCCAGACCGGGAATATCCCGGGCAAGCCACCTTGTCCTTAGCAGAACCTACCTGTTTGATAGCGGTGAGCACAGACCCTATAGTTCCTATCATTTTGTCGAGCACGGAACAGCGCAGCAAGTTTGCTTCCCTCGACGCGTTGCGCCGTGTGGTTGTCCACAATCCTGGCGATGACGCTTCGGTTGTGGAAACAATAGACAACGGAGACTATCTCATCCCGCCTCGATCTACATTCATCTATTCAACCTTGCAGCTGGGACAGCAGGCCTGGTCGGATTGGCAGCATCTGGCGTCCTCGAATTATAGGTTCGATCTGATTCTCATGGATCCGCCGTGGACTAATAGATCGGTCCGGCATGCTGGCCACTATAGAACTGCTGAAGACCAGAGTAGTGATCCATTTGAACAGGCCATCCAAATCGTAGAGACCAGTCTCTCCCCGCAAGGACTCGTCGCCATCTGGATCACGAACAAAGCCTCCATCCGCGCTAATGTGGTCCAGACCTTCGGGTCGATGGGGTTTTATCTGGTGGAGGAATGGATATGGATCAAAGTCACGACACATGGTCAGCCCGTCACCCCCTTGGACGGACTATGGAGAAGACCGTATGAGATCCTCTTGTTGTTTCAAAAGCGGCAGGCGGGTGTGGACGTGAAGACTCGTCGTCGCATTATTGCTGCGGTCCCTGATCTCCATTCGAGGAAACCTTGTCTGAAAGTGTTGCTTGAAGAACTTTTACCCCGACAACCACAGGTTCTTGAACTGTTTGCCAGGAATTTAACGGCTGGTTGGTATTCATGGGGCGATGAAGTCCTCAAATTCCAGCATGAGATGCATTGGATCAGATCAGAGGAGTGTAAAACATGAACCATAGACTTCCACCCCCCGTATCGCCAGTACTGAGATGGTGTCGATGTTGAGTGTGCCTCGTGTATCTGGATCAATGTTATCATCACCTTTGATGTCTACCTTGATTCACATCCCTGGATGAGTTATTACTGTACGAGGAGAATGGCAGCCACCCGCCTGTGGCACTCAAAGCCACCACCGCCACTATTTGATTTAGAGAGACGGAGCCATAGTTGGCAGGTAAACCGACCCTTGACTCCGACCATTGACGCAATTACTCTGCAGCCTCGTCCCGCTCACCACGAGGCTCGATATTTACAAATCCCTCCCCTACTCATTGTCGCACTCTTTCTCACGATCTCGTACCACACTCACAGTCCCACGACCAATCTTTACAGCATGGCCGACGTCGACGTCCCCGCCGGTCGCAAGGCATTTGTGCCTCTAGGTACGGCCCGTTTCCCCCGGGGGTTACATCCACGCGCCTCGTCAACTTTGGCCTGCGACCACGGAGTGTATCATGACTGACATTCTCGGTCCGCTTTGAACAGAAAACAACCCCGAAGTGATGACCCACCTCGTACGACAACTCGGCCTGTCCCCCGCCCTCGAGTTCCACGACGTCTACTCCCTGACCGAGCCCGGCCTTCTGGCCTTCCTGCCCCGGCCCGCCGTGGCCCTGTTGCTCGTTTTCCCCGTGACGTCCAATTACGAAAAGTTTCGAGCGGCCGAAGACTCCTCCAGACCCGAATACGCCGGCTCGGGGCCGGAAGAGGAGGTGGTCTGGTTCAAACAGACGATCCGTAACGCTTGTGGGTTGATCGGGCTCTTGCACGCCGTCACCAACGGCGCGGCCCGTGACCAGATCGCCCCCGGGAGTGACCTGGACACACTCCTCCGACAGGCCATCCCCCTCTCGCCCGTCGACCGAGCGGACCTGCTGTACAACAGCAAGGCACTGGAGAGCGCTCACGCCTCGGCCGCCGCAAAGGGGGACACGTCCGCCCCGGACGCCGAGGAGAACGTGGACCTCCACTTCGTCGCGTTCGTCAAGGACGAAAAGACCGGGGAGTTGTGGGAACTCGACGGGAGGAGAAAGGGTCCCATCAAGCGAGGTCGCCTGGACCCCCAAGACGACGTGCTCAGCGAAAGGGGCCAGGAGCTGGGAGTGCAGGCCTTCTTGAAACGAGAGGAACAAGCCGGGGGTGGAGAGATGCGCTTCAGCGTCGTCATGTTGGGTCCGAGTTTTGCATGAAACAGCATTAAAAAAGAACCGGAAAAACCTACAGTCGATACAGAACTATGAAGGAATGGGTTACAGAGGAATATTTGCATTGCACGGCCCAAAAGATGGCTGGCCGTCCAGACATAGCACCAAAAAGTCACGAATTGATGCGATTTATGAATTAAGAAAATAAAAACACGAAGAGGGAAGGCTTTCTCAAGATCAGGACAACGCTGTATTGTACAAAAACTATCAAAATAGTACGAATGGGCCGTTGGTCGTGGACCATCTTATTAGCTGGCACCTATCGAACCCATGGGTTTCGATTGATCTGTCCCTTCACGCTCTTCAGGTTGTTCAATTTCCTTCTCCATCTTACTGGGTACATCCTCGTCATTCTTGGGATTGTGCTGTGGCTTGTCCTGCTTCGTGGCTTCTTCGTGCACTTCCTTATCCCGTGCGTCATCAGCTTCCTCCTCTTGCTCTCTCTGAATCTCCTCGACCGCGGCATTGGCTCGGTTGGCCTTTCTTGCTCGGCGGGTATTTCGAACATCCCAAAGACCTTCCAGGTCCATCTCTAGTCTCTTCTGCTCGGTGAACATTTGTACCACGATCCGGGGCGAGTTGATTCGACTACCGAACCCGACGTAATCGTCCGGCGGGTTGATATATTCGTCCTCTTCGTCCTCGGCAAACTCGTCCGGCAAGGGTTTGGAGTCGGCTACCGAGCTCTCCGTGACGGTCTGCTCCTCTGGGAGAACAGCCTCGTCTACGGGACCCATGTTCACACAGATCCATCCTGTGGTGATGCCGTCGTCGCTGTCGCGCGTGGCCATTGTGTTGCCCACGCTCTGGGCAAGTTTCATCCTGCGCGCCTTTCTGCGCAGCTTCAGTTTGAGCTCATTGCGGCCCAGAAGTCCGTCGGCAAACGGGCGCAGTTTGTACTCTTTTCGAGCCCAGCGGCAGAAACGGTCTGCGGAAACATTGAGATGCTTGACGCTGCGAGCGGTGCCGATCACCATGATTAGATTGGCGCCCAGCGCGGGCGGAGGATCAATGTGTCGCAGGTCTAACAGGGTGAGATTATCGAGGCCGATCTGGGTGGATAGATGGTCGAGAACAGACGAGAGGATCTGTGGTGGATTATCTGGGAGAGGTGGGATCTCTTGAAGCGCAAGCAGAGGAGATGTAGGCACCGGAGGCTCTGGGTCTTCGACTTCTAGATACCATGGTACATATTCGGACTGGGTTGAATTCGATGAAGGTTCAAGAGACTGGCGGAGAGGGGAGATGTGGCTAAATGTTCTGGAATGAATATAGAGAGGTCGGGATAGTGGTGCGAGAGTGTTGCGGGCTGGGAGGTTTATGCCGGCGAGCGAGGTGAATGCTTCGAGGACAGACCGGCGGCAAGATGTGCAGCGTGAGAGAGAGAGGGTGCGGTGCATCCTGTGTGCAGGAAAGTCCTGTAAATAGGACTTATGCAGGGGAAACGTTGTCTAAGGTAGTGTCTGGACGAAGGAGGGTGAGAATTGTATGCAGCAGACGTACGGAGTATGATCATGAATGCTGGAATCGAGTCCATAATGCTTTCTGGAGAAAAAAGTTCCCAATGCGGGAAAGATGTGCCAAGACATTATACCGCTGCTTTAAAGGCGGCTGAATCTGTAGGCTGAAACTCATTTCATCACCCGCCATCTTCTTCCACTTCATGCATCACATTGCAAGGAAACAGACAAGAAAAAATCAAAGTGAATTATTCCCTCTGCTTCAGCAGTCTCTCATTATGATACTGCATCAAATATTGCCATGAATCTCGCTTCACCTTTGAATTAGTTCGGGCGACGTCACATGCCAGTACATCGTTCATCAAGTCACATGCCCGCTGTCAACCTCACCGAGTATTTATCCAAAGCCTTTTAAGACGTGAAAGATTTCTTCCCTCTGCTTTCAGTATTGAATCTACTTCACGACTTGTCTTTGGTATAACAGTACTCGATACTCTTGCACCTTTCGCGGCGCTATTTTTTTCCATCATTGATACCCTCTCCGCGTAACATGGAGCAAAACGAGGGCACTCCCGCACGGAACGGTGACACGGGCAGCCCACGTGCTGCGAGGTCTTCAATGACTTCGTCTGGATTCCTTGCGGTGAATCCAAGAAGAAGAGACTCCGATCAGGAGATCTCTTCTGAGAGTACCGGGGGACAGTCGCAATTAAAGACGTCCCCTTCTTTGCCCGGGAGTACCAGACCCTTCCCAAATACAACATCTCCTCTGAAAGCATCGGCTTTGCAGGCTCGGTTTGGCCGAATAGAGACGAGAGAAGCTGAACTCGAGCAGAATCTGGAAGAGGCATTGCGGGAAAGAAGGAATCGGGAGGCAGGGATCCTAAGACTTCAGGAAGACCGAAGTGCTGGAATGGGAATTCGCGACCAGCGGCACAGCGATGTCGAAGCTGCTCGCAAGGCTTTCGAGGAAGCTGCCGCATACCTTCAAACGCGAGAGGACCTCCTCGCGGATGCCGAAAACGATGTTGACCGCTCGGACTGTCAGCTGCAGCAAGCTTTGACGCAGCTGGAAAACGTGAAAATGGGTATAGCAGAGATTGAGCAGGAACGAAGAGAGCTGCAACGGGCCAAGGAGCATGTCAGCCGCCAGGCAAACAGATTGAAACTGGTGCGGGAGGACATTGATGCTATTGTAAATCAAGCACAATCTAGCCGACCTTTTCTCGCCAATCTATTCAGTGTCGTCGATGGTACGTCGACGGAGGAAGCGATGAAGGACGTAAAGGCCAAGCTGTTCGATGCGTTCATGGGCGTCGACGAGCATGAGGTCAAGAGGCTGGCGGAGACCATCTTGCTGGAAGGGCAGGAGGATGACGTTGCGGGACCCAGCAGCAGGGAAGTTGAAGAAGCTCCCGAGGAGGAGAACACCGTCCGTGCCGACCAGCATGCTGCAATTGGGCAGCCTCCGTCCTCACGCGATACCACGAGCGCAGAAGGTGATGTTTCTGCCGACCAGAGCAGGATCATTACTTTCAATTACAACCCTGATGACAGAGCCGAACACCGACGGCGCCGCGGGAGTCCTCTCGCCGGCCATCGAGACAGAAGACCTCGTCTCGACGATACCATGCCGCGTGAATCGTCTCGAGCAAGTTCCCGGCAGAGGCGACAGAGGTCGTGACCAGGTTATGAAAATGTGCAGTCATGTTGTGTTTCAAAATTCCCCCCCTCTTTTTTTTCATTTTTTTTCATTTTTCTTCTTTTTTCTTCCTTTTTCTTCTTTTTCTCCTCAACACGAGGAATCAATTCCGAGGAATAGCAGGGAGCAGGACATGGGAAACTCAGAGCACGGCGCAACGTCAATTTCTTTTAGGATACAACATAATTTGAACGCGCAGCTTCCTTGATAGCCTGCCCAGCTGTCGAGATATGTCTCGACATTTGAGACATTTGAGACACTTGAGTAGTGAATGAATTCAAACGACTCGATCAGACTTTCTTTCGTTCAGTCTAACTGACCATGCTTGCCTCTGTTATGTGTCTCATTCTGTGTCTATCCATTCTCATCCTCATTCCATCTCGGAATCAAGTCGAATCCCATCAATGAGCTAGTATCAGTGATCAAATATCAACGATCAACGATCAACGCTCAGTCCCCATGTAATAATCCCCAGTTGCCGTACTGAATCCTTGACCGTATGTCGTGACGCCTTGACTCGAACCACCCGACGCAAGACCACCGGCACCGGCACCGGCACCGGCACCATCGACAAACGAAGGCGTGACACCCCCGGCTGCCGCTGTTGCCGCCGCTGCGGTCGCCGCATCCAACGCACCAGGCGCACCAGGCGCACCCGGATCATCGATTGTATCGCCAGATTCGCTTTCGGTCACGATGCTCTCCTCGTCCGAGTCCGCGGCGGCACGAACCTTCTCCTTAATCCACTCGGTCACGTCGTCCTCGTGCATCTTCATCATGACGTTGAGGACCGAAGCGTCGCTGCGGACCAGCCTGCCGTACTTGCGCGAGGGCGGCTTGTCCTTTTTCCACAGGCTGTGGACCTGCGAGACATAGACAAGACTGTTGTCGCGGTACCAATGGCTCACCCAGTGCGAGGACGGGTTGGCGATGGGTCGGATCGGGTTCGTGGAGATGAAGCCCACGATGCCCAAAAGGGACGGGTAGACGTTTTCTACGAATAAATCAGTTGGCTTGTCCACACAAGATGCGGCCCCTCCCCCTTTTCGAAACGCCGGGGGATGAGGAAGAACCGGAGAGATTCGGGTAAACGTACCATTCTCACTGACAAGCTTGGCCAAAGCGTGGAACGCCGTACCGGCACCCATGAGCACGATACCGCCCGGGAAGTCCCATGGTTCGACATAATTCTCCCACAAGTACTGCGCGAGTTTCTCGCCTTCCTTGCGAGCGACGTCGGTGGTCATGGACGCATACTCGACGTCTGTGTCGTGGTACTCGGGACTGTCTTCGTCGTTGATGGTAATGTGTTGGGATACATTGACGTCTATGACTGCGAAACCGTGATTGACTGCCCACTTGATGTAATGCTGCGCACCATCAACCTTTTTTAAAGTCTGTAAGCTTATATTGAGGCACGCAATGAAGGGGGAAGGTAATGTGAGAGACGGGTGGGTTTTGACATTTGATGTACATGGACGTAGACGTGGAAATATTCCAAAGCATATCCTTGAGGTAAAGAAGGGATGGAGAAACACAGGAAAAACATACGAGCCACGTATCGTGTAGTTGATGCTGTGTGCTGAGACCGTTGTTGTAGGCGAGAAGATCTGGTCTGTTTGAACGATCGCAGTTAGTGATCCCCCTATCACCCAAATGGAACGAGCTAGCCAAGGGGGGAAGAACCCACGCATCATGGAAGATCATGAGAAGACGTTTCTTGGTCTCGTAATTAGGCCTGCTTAATGGGTCAATATCGCTCTAATAGCGAGGCGTAAGTAGATCTCACGTTGCGAGAACCTGTTGATCGAAGGATTTGGAAATGTTGTCACGGAAAATGTGTAGCTGGGTCAACTTGTACTTGTCGTACAGGTGCTGTGCCTGCCACTGACGAATGATGTCTGTGAAGAGGAAGAGATTTGTTAGCAATCAAACTCGAGAGGCTTGGAAGTGTTGGACATGGATTTACCATGCAATCGTTCGCCACCAAATATACCCCCGACGGGGTCTGCGCAGTTTTTCGTCAGTTCGACATGTTTCATGTTCCTTCCGAGTTCATGTGTTTTTACCTTTGGGATAGATGCTTCTCCAGTACTTTGACTGCACGTTTCGAACTTGCGCAATCGTGTCGATCGCATGCTTTGTGGCTCCGGTTGCTTGCAACCTGTCGGGAGGCTCGCCCATCAATACACGTGCTACCGCGAGAGCCGATTTCGATATCGCTTGGAAATTGTAGCCACCCTGCGCAACCGATCAGTTTCCGGCTGCTGGAATGTCAAAGCTAATATGAGCTCACCTCAAGACAAACGGCTATCTTTCCATTAGCCAAAGACATGAGCATGTGAGTCATATGAGCGTAACAAGGAGGTGTGACATAGCAGCCGCCCAGCTCGTCACCAGCAGCAGCGTCGAATCCCGATGCAACTAGACGATCGTCAGCGCATCATCAGTAATGCACAATTTTTCCAGACATACCGATCACAAAATCAGGGTCGAATTCGGTTGCAATGGGCATGACCACGTTCTGAAAGGCGTACATGTAGTCGCCGTCACCCATTCCCTTGGTCGGCCATGGGATGTTGACGTTTCTAGAACCCATTAGTCAAGCCTTGAACCTTGCACTCATTGGTGGCGATGCCTTACTTTCCGAGACCAGGACCCTCGCCGCAATGGTGCATATCGCCTTCATTTCCTGAAGGATAAAATCTGCCGTCCATGTGTACGTGCAGAGAGATGTAGAGGATGTTGGGATCTTGGTAGAACGCCTTCTGGCAACCGTTTCCTGTATGAGTCAGTAAGATAGACATTTATCAAACGCTGTGGAACTCGGACCATGATGGACATCCCTGTTGGCAAGGTTAACGATGAAGGGTCCCTGATACTGCTGAACGAAGTAACATACCAATCCACAATCAAAATCTTTCTGCAGTCCTCACCAAAGTCTCCCTGGCAGACTTTCGAAGCAATACAGACGTTATTGAACAAACAGAAGCCCATTGTCCGATCAACCTCGGCGTGATGACCAGGTGGTCGAATGACAGCAATCGCATTCTTGACTTTTCGCGTCATGACCGCCCTACAAGTCTCAATCGCGGCGCCAGCAGACAACTTGGACGAGAAATATGATAGAGCATTGAAGTATATCGAATCCATGTTCTGTTCATCCGAGAGGTCAATCAGGGTTTCGTCAGACATTTCTACCGGAATAATCAGTATCTCGTAAGCGATCCATGGTCGTAAACCTACCAGCAGTACTCTTGACGAAATCGTAATGCTCCTTGGTATGTATCAGTTGACACTCTTCGCGCGTAGCTTCTCTCGCATCGATTCTGAGTAAAGGCATGTCAACCAAGGGAGGGTATCTCTTGTCGTCAACGAGACCAGCTTCGCACAATTCTTTGTAGATGTAGTAAATGCGCCTAGGATCCTCTGGGTGGACATTTTCGCCGCTTGTTGCCGCTACCTCTGCGTGGTAACGCATGCGCTCATCGTAACAAAGACCCGTAGGAAGTTGCGAAATCGGGAGGCCGCGCGGGATCTGAGAAGTGTTGTCGTCTTCAGACGAGGTGTCGGATATCATGGAGTCATCGTCTTCCTCATCTGAAGTCTCTATTTTCAGACGGTGGTTGATATCCCCAGCCATGTCTGGTGTATCTCGCATTGACGTGTCGCCAGAGATTTGAATTGGCTCCTCAAGTTTAGGTATCGGGTTGGGGAATCTGGGTTGGTCTGAAGGAAGACCTCCATAACCCGCTGGAGATAGATTTGACATGTTGCTTTACAGGCTCTTTGTGAGCACTGTCAAAAGCCTCTGAAGCGCGTGGAAAGAGAACTTGCTAAAAGAAAGCCATGACGGGAAGTTCGCTTCCTGCTTCCCACGGAGACAATGATTGGTGGCTTTGATAGAACAATGGCTGAATTTAAGACCATTAATCTGTGAAACAACAATTGTTTAGAGACAAATAGAGATAACGAGCAAACTTAGAGGTGCCTATTCTCTCAGGTTTGCGCCTAACAGACACGCAATAGCATAGGAAGCATCGCAACATACCTCTCAGTATTCCCTTGGTGCCGGGTTCGTGATACAGCGCCGCAAGCTCCGTGAAAACAAGGTGAATGGGATACAAAGTCGCGTCAAATATGAGTGAGTGCTCCGTGTACAAATTCAGTCCTTGATATATAGCAATTGGGCCTGAATGGCCTGTTCATAGCAAGATCTCCTACCTGGTAAAGTTGCAATCTGTAAACCGAATCAGGAGGAAGCCAATGCCAAGAACAGCCTTACACCTCGTCACATGATTCAGCCACCGATCGATCTGCCTCTCGAGATCGCACATGCGTTACTTGTACTCCGTACAATTGCTCCTGTCTGACACAAGGCTGGGAGGTTGATGCTCGGGACACAAATTCTCATAAACGCCTCATGCAGTCAACACAACTATGGATATTGGTATTACGCAGACCCAGTCCCTGAAGTAGCCGCCAATTGTCAAGAGACATGCTTAAGGATAGTGAAAATGACGAGCACCGAGACACTAATAAGGGCAGTAATAACAACTAAGCTCCGCCTTATCAAGGTAAGCTACTCAGTCGTGTGCATTTTGCCAACTTGAAGGTACCTACCTTTACATTTTATCCGAGGGTGTTTCACTTCAGTGGCAAGTAACAGCCTTGTGCGTAATGCAGAGGTGAGTGTGCGTGAAACCTACCGCCCAAACTGCAAATGCAGCAATAATACCAAATGCATTGGGTCGCATTGGCATTCAGTCTTGATTGATGCACATCTGAACAATCCACAAGATCCTTATGCTTGTTCCGAGACTCGTATTCAGTTTATTGGAACTACGAGATCTTAATCAATGTTACGTGACACTGTTCGTTTCATTTGCCGTAGCTCTCCAGTGAACTCAATCTATGGCTCCAAGCTGATTTTTCCTTTTAGAAAACGTCCCCGTCATAGCCTCGACCCCATAATGGGGTTCCAAGCATCGGCTGCTGGCATCTCGGTCCATGGCTTACTTGCCCGCGTCGACCTTGGCAATGTATGCTGTGATTCGATGTTAGCAGAAGCTCCGACTTTTCCCGATCGGATATGGCACTCACCCAAAAGGTCCAGAACACGTCGGGAGTAACCCCACTCGTTGTCGTACCAGGAGACGAGCTTGACGAAGTGGTCGTTGAGGGCGATACCGGCCTTGACATCGAAGATCGACGAGTGAGGGTCTCCGTTCAAGTCGGTAGAGACAATGTCATCCTCGGTGTAACCGAGAATGCCTGTGTATACACGTTAATCAGGCTTCATATTACGGGGATTGGGATATTGCTCACCCTTGAGTTCTCCTTCCGAGGCAGCCTTGATGGCCTTCTTGATCTCCTCATAGGAGGCAGGCTTCTCCAGGACGCAGGTAAGATCAACAACGGAGACGTTGGAGGTGGGAACACGCATGGACATGCCGGTAAGCTTTCCGTTCAGGGATGGGATGACCTTGCCGACAGCCTTGGCTGCACCGGTGCTGCTGGGAATGATGTTCTGAGCAGCCGTTCGACCTCCTCTCCAGTCCTTGGCAGAAGGGCCGTCGACGGTCTTCTGGGTGGCAGTGTAGGAGTGGATGGTGGTCATGAGACCTTCCTTCATGCCAAAGTTGTCGTTGATGACCTTGGCCAGAGGAGCAAGGCAGTTGGTTGTGCAAGAGGCGTTGGAGATGACGGGAATATCGGGCTTGTACTCCTTGTTGTTGACACCCATGACGAACATTGGGGCATCAGCAGAAGGAGCCGAGATGACAACCTTCTTAGCACCACCCTTCAAGTGGGCAGAGGCCTTCTCAGTGGTGGTGAAGACACCAGTGGACTCGACAATGTACTCTGCGCCAGTCTCGGACCACGGGATCTCGGCAGGATCTCTCTTCATGTAGAACTTGACCTCCTTGCCGTTGACAACCAAGGAGTCGGACTTGACTTCGATGGTGCCCTTGAACTGACCGTGTGTGCTGTCGTACTTCAACATGTATGCCTATCCGCTGTTAACTCGTACTCGGTGGAGGTTTGGAGGGAGAAGGTACATACGGCGTACTTGGGCTCAATGAAGGGGTCGTTGACGGCCACAACATGGACATCATCGTGCTCGAGACTGGTTGGGATTGTCAGATGGGTTCTGCCAGAAGCCGATCTTGGGCTACTTACGCATTTCGGTAGACCTTGGGAAAGAAGAGTCAGTTGAGGTTCAATACAACGACCAAGAAATCCTGCGACTTACAATTCTGCCAATACGGCCAAAGCCGTTGATTCCGACTTGAACAGGCATGGTTTTGGATTGCTTTTCAGAGAAGTTCGAGGAGTGCTGGCGAAAGAAAACAATGTCAGTTGTCGAAGCTCAATGGAGGCTTCAATGGAGGCTTTTATGGCAGGAAGAGTCGGAAGAGAACCACAAACATGTGAGACTTACATCAGTGAGTAGTCAGGTACAGCTTTGTCCAATCGAAGACTTGTGAGGATCTAGGATAGGCAGGATCTGAGGGTAGAATAGTGGTGTGATGAGGTGACGAGGAAAGCTTTTTGCTTTTGTATTTCGTCGAGCAAATGGTGGGGCGGTGGTGTTGACGTTGAGGGGCAGACGCAGTTCAGCAGTTTGGCAGACTCCGGAGCTTCGGAGAAACGTAGCTGCGGATACTTGGCGCACGCTGTGATGCTTCAGTTATCGTGGGCGATAATTGTCTCTTCCGACGACGAGAACTGGACGGACAAGTGTAATTGATGCCTCGGATGCGGTCAGATAGTATGGGGTATGCTTTGGGACTACCGAGTCCTTAGACAGTATAAAAAACAGAACACAGCCGTTGATCCCAAGGCAGCTCGATATTAATACCTGAGCCTCGTCGGCGGATTTCTGGAGGCTTCTCGGATGCCGTGACTCAACATGGGCTCGATTATTACAACTCAGGGCAGCAAGACCCTCGTCCTGACCAATCGCTTTGTTTGCTCTCTGGGAAGAACGGCAGCTTCTTCGCATTATCTATTGTTCCTGATCCTGCGCCGCTCTTCCGCGCAATTTTTGGCAATACCTATTTCCCTGAACCACACGGGTTGACTTGGAAATGTGGTAATATGTTGCACCCAGCCAGCGTCAACCTCGATAATACGGTTACGTTGCAGAGCACTCGCAGATCGGGAGATAACCACACCTGATGGGCATCAAAAAATCCGCGCATACATTTTTAATCCCAGATAATCACTTAAGGTAGGCTATAGAATACACTTTTGATGCAACGTCTAGGGTCAAGATCGGTCTATCGCTGGTCACCTGGTGCACACGTTTTTCAATATCTGCAGCTTGCCCGCGTTTATTCTTCCTTGGCTCCGCCTCGTCCAGATCGTTCAGCAGCCTCGATGCTAGCTTTGTCGGTCTTCGTCTCGCCCTGGCCCATGCCCATCATGCCACCCGAAGCTTTCCATGGTCGTTTGAGCTCACCAACGGCCGGTTTACCAAGAATGTAGACCTTGAACAAGTTGCTCTCAAAAGCACTTTTGACGGGGATGATGGACTGGATAAGCAGAGGATTCGTGTACTTGAGGTAGATGTGCATGAACGCCATCATGGCGACTCCCATCAACTGACCCTTGTAGGCGGCAGACACCTGGCCCTGGTCGTACTCTTGAATGGTCGTGGTGACAAGTTTCGGTTCTTCACCCGAGCCCATGGGCGCAGGCTCCACGTACTTGAGGGTTGTCAAATCTGCATTACTTTGTAAGCGACACGGGGGCTCTTGGTGCTTGATCCCATATGCAGCGTACCTCTCTTAGCTTTGATCTTCAGGCTAATATAATAGTAAAGACCAAAGATGATCAGGTTCGAAGCGACGTAGAGAATGCGCACTCCCAGCAGAACTTGGGGGTCGTCGAAGGGGACTCTTTTAGAGACTTGCATCATCCCGAGGATGATCACCAAGTTGGTGCTGAGAACAGTCAGTTACGAGAGCGCCACGGTGGGAAAGAAAAGAACTGTACATTTGGGGGCTGAAGGCGTTCATAGTGGCTACAATAATGGAGAGGGTAGGCTTAAGCAGCAGGCAGGGTGGGATGCGATGTTCAACGACGCTGGCAGGAACGCGAATGTATACAAAGAAAGAAAAAGGTCCCTCAAGCATATGAGTATTCTTCACTGATGCGAAATGGACAGATCGCAGGCGCAGAGAATTGTCCCAGGCACCGAGGTGCTGCCAAGTGATCTCCAGTCATGTGACAAGCCGTCTTGGCAACCCGGCTAAAATGACGAGAGAGAATACAGTTTGTACGTGGCGGGCGGCGTTGATTTCCATCCTCTGTCACTGGTGTACTCCGTACTGTATGTATGAAAGGGACTATGACTTGGCCCTGCCAACTCCACGGTGTGGAGCATTACTGCAATTCACCATGAACTACTCCTTCTCAACGTCGTCGCCTGGGTCTGTCCAATCTAATCAAGTTCGGCGGAGGAGAGCGTGTGATCGTTGCCACAGTGTCAAAGAAAAGTGCCGGTGGCCCGCAGACGGGACGCAGGTGTGTGACAGATGCTCTCGTTTGCAGTACAAGTGTCGAACAGATCGTCCGTTGCATCATCCGGGCAGGAAGCCGAGATTGGCGGCTGGAAATCGTCTATCACTAGAACGAACTGAAGATGGACCCTCCCAACCCATTAAGAAAGAACATGTGAACGCCTCAGACCCCGGCGAGAAGGGGCCCACGGCTGCAGCTGCCCCAGAATCGACATCCTCACCGGCTAATGTCGTTGCTGTCTCGCGCCAATCCAATCAACAAGGTTTATATCAGAGTATCAGCCTTTTCCCGGAACTGAACGGCCTAGAACGACGCCTTCTAGAGAGTATGCTGCATAAACAAATTGAAGTGGACCGATACGTTCTTGGCCCTAGCTTTCGGGAAAGGCATCAGCAAGCATTCGTTGATCACCTGCAGACTGACATGACCCTTGTCAAGGATGCCTTTATCGCGTGTACGTCCCTAATGGTCGGAAATTCACAAATCCGACAGCTCGCCCAGGATCAGCATGTCGGTCACAAACGAGCCGCCAATGCGCTGGCCTCTCTTCGCCGTCTGGAAGTCAGTGGTTCTCACAATTCGTCGACAGTGCTGATGCTAGGCGTGGCGATTGTAACCTTTGCCTCGCATCACTCTGGAGGCGAGTTACCACTTTGTCGCCATATTCTTGATCTCATCAAACGCTTCCACGACAATGAGCCAGCTTTTATACAACAACTGGGCTCCGATGGAATATCGGCGCTTAATTGCCTCATCGCGACCGAGACGTTTATATGCCTGCTTCGAGGCCAGCTGCCTTCGGTCAGAATTCGACAAGGGGACCTTGACGGGCTAGTGGATCGCTTCATTGGAGTGTCGGCGCCCCTTCTCACCCACTTGTACGATATTTGTGAGTTGACCCAAGTGATGCGCCATTACCGCAGGGGACCAAGCAAAATTCCTCTACGTGCGCGCCTCCGCAAAAGGATCGAGACTGTCGAACAAAGCCTACAAACCTGGCAACCGACGAGCACCGCGACTCTTCGTGAAGGACACTTTACGCCAACAGAGAGAACGCTGATGAACACACAAGCGAATACTCTGCGCTTGACGGCTTTGACTGTGCTCCACCGGCTGCAACACGCCTTTGGCACCGATGACGGAAAGGCTATTGCCATGTCGAGAGAAGTCCTGGGAGAACTTCATACAATGGTCCAGCTCACAGGGCGATCGGCACCATGCGCTGACTTCGCCTATCTGGTTGCATGCTTCGAGATCGTCAACCCCCTGGAAAGGGGCACGGCGTTGTCTAAATTGCACCTCGTTGCCGATTTCTCGCCCCGGACCGCCGACGAACTAAAGACCTGGCTTCTCTTATTTTGGACTGCTAGAGACAACAGTGGAGTCGGCCCCATCTACTGGGACGACATGGAGTTTCAGCTTTTCGGGACCGCGAGTCGTACGTGAGAAGACCCCGGAATGATGACACCACAATTATTATATCGCTGCCCTTACAGGGTCCGGGACCAGGGATATGCTATGAACTATCGTTAACACACACAGCGGCGGAGTTTTTTTGGTTTGAATTTTTTATGCATGTCGAAATGTGTGACGGCATTTACGCTATGCTAACGACTTGATGCCTTTCTTTTTTTCACTCTCTTTATCAACATAATATAGGCAAGGACGTACCATATTTTATATGTATAGTTGTGGCGAGCAGTTGCTTGAGCAGCCTGCATAACGTCGCCTCGATGTATCTAGGAGCCACAATACTTTGGCAAGAGCAACTATAGAGCCAACTCTATACCATTCACTGGGCTCGATGCGTTGGCTGTCGAGACGCCAATTTCTTATATAACTTCGCGGTGGCGATTCTAGCTTTCTTACCCCAGACGATCAAAGGTATCGGAAGCAGTAGAATAACAAAGCAGAGGACAGCAACCAAGACATGCATGTTTTGCAGTCCCATGCCATTAATCCACGGAGTGAGCGTGAAGAGGACGAGGACAGAAAAGGCGTTGCGCGTGAACACAACTCCCACCAGCGCATTTCCAATGATCTGAAGAAGAGTCAGCCCTCGCCAACACGAAAAAGCAAGATGAGCCAAAGACTTGGTATGAACAAGTGTTTGGAGACACAATCGCTCATTCATCGTGCGCCGTCACAGATCACTTACATCTTGATAGCAATCCATAGAATAGGCGAGGGCTATATCGCCGGCTACTACAAAGCCAAAGCCAAAAATACCGTACCCGACGGCAAGCACTGGCCAGGCAACACCCTGCAACCATGAGGCGTTAGTGGAATTGATTGTGCGCTCCATCAAACTGGCTACAGAAATGACAGAGAGAGGGGGGGATTGAACAAAGTTCACGCTCCACTTCACGCTCCAGCTGTAGTTCACATACATTATTGAGACCGATGCCGAACATCAACAGACCAGCTGGGGTGATCAATGCCGCAGGCAACGCAAGCCAGAGACGCATCTCAGGTTCATAGATACCGTAGTTGCGTTTCGACAGCCACATGATGGACTTATCGTTCAACCATCCACCGTAAAGCGTTCCAGGTATCGTGCCAATAAAGGGGGCCAGATTCATCAGTCCCACTCCAGCGGCGGAAAAGTTGTAAGGTTCATAGAAGAGGTACGTGGCTTGTACCGACGTCATGATGGCGAACCAAGCCAAAAGACTGCCGTAAGTAATGGCTGTATATGCAATAGCGGGAAAGCTGAACAGGACCACAATAGGTTGATAGAAGCTTTGGAGAAGAGAATCATCCGTTTTGGTAATCAGGCTCATCCGTTGGCGGTAAGTCTTCAGGGGGATCGTGGGGTCAATTTCGACATCGGTAGGGGTTCTTTCAACCGCCGGCAAGGTTTCAGCCTGTTTGGCGTCCTGGTCATCGATTCGTGGTCCATTGCTGTTAAGGGAAAGGCCTCCTTCGTTGGGTTCCATCTCTGCTGGCTCGCCAGTGCGGGATGTTGCGTGGCCCACGTACATGCTGACGTACTTGGACTCTTCAAAGAAGAAAATGATCAAGATCAGATTGACGGCAAAGAAGATGACACACCACCAGAACATCCATCTCCATCCCTGGCTGTCGACAATGTACCCCGAAGCTACCGGGCCCAGGAAGGCACCGGCGAGTGTGGCAAACCAATACCAAGCATTCATGGCAGCATGGTGATGGACGAAGAAGAGGTCTGCAATGGTTATTTGGACAATGGTCTCGCTGATGGCGCCTCCTATTCCAGAGATGACATTGCTCCCAAACAGGTCGCCAATAGAGTAGGTCTTAGCAAACCAGACGCAAGACGCGAGCTGAAGCGCCGTGCTGAAGATATACAGAGACCGGCGGCCATATTTGTGGACCAGTGGCACGAGCACGATACACCCCAGGGCCAAGCCGGCGTAGTTGACGGCCGCTGCTCCATTGAGGAGGTCGTAGGTAAAATCCAACTCGGTCACGTAAGCGTCCCAGGCTGTGAAACCGATGTCAAGTTGAACAAACGTCATAAAGACGTAGAACAGCACGAGGGCGAAATTCACAGTCTTTCGCCATGACGACCAGTTCAGAGGATCATTAGGATCGGAAGTCGGAATGGGATGGAGTATAATTTGCTGACCGGACCGTTGTACTTTATGAGTCCGTCAGAATCAGCACAGCTCCAAAGAAATCAATCACGGATGGTTCTTACAGTCTTGCAATCTCATGGTACCCGGAGCCCAGAACGAAGGATCTCGTTCGGGCTCGTGAGGTGATGCCTCCGTCGCACTCATGGTGAGACTGTCACAGTGGTTCTTGCCGTCGTGGTCCTCGATGTTTGTCCCGGTCTTGACTGTTGCCGAGAGCAGAGCAAAGGAAGACTTGAAGGCACAAACAGAACAAGAGTTTAACAGATATTCATCTGCGCGGTCGACCAGGACCTTTTATCAACTGAACTCTCCCCTCGATAGACACTCTCTCAGCCGGACCCCCCTTTCAAATGATGGAGAGGCGAAGTCAAAGTCGAAGAGGTGTCGTCGATAGCGTAGAACTTCCTTTTCAAGTCTTGGAGTCCAACACGGACCTGTGGTGGTTGGCGGTTCATTTCGGTCTTCTTGATCGCGCTGAAGTTGATAAGACGCTATTTCGAATCGATTGGCCAATCGGAAGCTTTTGAATCGACCGGCTTGGCATCCACCATTGCGGAATGAGCCACCGCTATCGGCCAATGCACGTGACAAGGCCCAATGTGCGACGACACACTCTCGACTCTTTGGGTCTCTTTTTGACTTGTGGATGCATGTGTCGCGTATGTCGAACCTTGTGGTCGTACAGCTTTTGAGTCTGGCCTGAGACTGGAGACGCGGGACGTGGGCCTTATAAAAGTCATGAAGCCATGTGTCACGGTCTCGCTGTACACACTCTCCCAGGCACAGAGCCAGAAGACGAAATAAACATATTTCCCCAAGGTGAAGTTATCCCGTGCACAAAAAAATGACAGGACAAGTTACACCGAGTATACTGGCGGAGCTGGAAGCCCAAGCACGGAATGATCCTCAACTTCCACGAGCGAACCCTACAGTGGCAACGTGGCAATTGCCGCCTCACCCGACACTGTCTGAGATCCAGTCGGAGAGCTTACCCAAGGTGACCGATTATGCCATCATTGGATCCGGCGTCACAGGATGCAGTGTGGCCAAGACGTTGTTTGAGGCAGCGCCGCCGTCGTCGAGCTCATTCTCGGTGACGGTTCTGGAGGCTCGGACGCTGACGAGCGGTGCCACGGGTCGCAACGGCGGCGTTCTGACCTCGTTCGTACCGGGCGACTACAAGATTCTCAGCGAGCATTTTGGTCATGAGCAAGCGGTCAAGATTGCACGGTACGCCAACAGCACGTTGGAGAAGATGCATGCTCTGGGGAACTCCTCGGACGAGTTTCGACGCATCAGCGAAGTAAGAAGGCTCCAGGACGTCGTCTGCTTCGAAGACAAGGAATCTTTCGAAGGAGCTTTGGAGTCATACCGTCTATACGAGGAGCATGTGCCGGAAGAAAGAGGCAAGATGAGGAAGTTGACTCCTAAAGAGGCTGAAAGGGTTCGTTTTATACGTTCTGACCAACAATGCCGGTCATGCGACTCCTTTGTCTTTTCATGCTAATCGAACGTCTATCGTGGTTTTCAAACAGGAGTACAATGTTCGAGCATCAGCTGGAGCCATCGTCGCTCCTAACGGCGCATTCTGGCCATACCGTCTCATCACCAACATCTGGGCTCAATTGTGCTCTAGCTATCAGTCCCGTCTGTCCATCGAGACCAAAACTCCCGTGACGGAAATCACTTACGACTCCAACAGCGACAAGACGTATCCTTACATTCTACACACACCTCGGGGAGAGATACGAGCGGCAAAAGTCATCCACGCCACCAACGGGTACACAGGTCACCTCTTACCGGAACTCCGAGGCAAGATCTACCCCGTGCGCGGGACCATGTCGACTCAAAAATCGACCCAAGGGTTCGGACGTCACGGCAACGCCTTGTCCTGGAGCATGATCAACAGCGGTAGGTACGACGGCGAGTCCCGTACGATGGAACTCGGGTTGTACTACGGTTGCCAGAACCCTCACACGGGAGACATCTTCGTGGGAGGCGAAAGGGCCAAGGTCGACGAGATGCTCGTGAGTGACGACACCGAGGTCGGCGTGCCGTGCGCGGAAAACATCTCCAACATCCTCCCTCGGTTCTTCACAAAGGGGTGGGAAGAAGGCTCCAAGGCCGAGGTGATCAGGGTTTGGTCCGGTATCATGGGATTCACGGCCGATCGGTTGCCCTTGGTCGGAGCTTTGCCTCTGAGTGTCACCAAGAGAGGTACGAGCGAACAAGGAGGTGAATGGATAGCGGCGGGATTCAACGGTTATGGGATGCCTCTGTGTTGGTCTTCGGGTGAAGCTGTGGCCAAGATGTTGCTTGGGATCGACGTGAGTGACTTCTTGCCGGAGACCTTTTTGGCCTCCAAAGAGAGGTTGGACGATGGTAAACGCATGGCGATCGTGCCGGCCTTACAATTGTTGTTTGGTGGACATCCTTGAGGTTTTGAACTGAGACAGCGAATCCAACCCGCGCGTCACGAAAAAGGATATATAGCTCGCCCAGGGATATTCGAAAGGAGTGCGCCTAGAAGGTGAAAATGAAAAGAAAAAGAGACCGGGGAGCCGTGTGTGAGAATAGGTCAAGACAAGAATTGAAGATGGAGAGGGAAAAAAAAAGTGATTTGACTACATATATAATACAGAGGAGGTTTCATGAATATTTATCTATAGAGGTGGATTCACTCGTACGCTGCAAACCAAGGATTGAAATCGCAAGGCCCTCGGACAATCGAGTTGTGAGTAACCCCCCGTATGGCTATGACTGTCCACTTGCAAGGGTTTTCTCTCCCTCCATCATAAACTCATCATGATCACCACCACCATGACGACTCCCACACGGCTTTACTACACAGAAAGATCCCTTTTGTCAATGTCAACGATGATCTTACTACGTGACACACACATACACAACAGACAAACGCCGATCAACATGACTTTTTTTATGTCAAATACTTTGTCTGGAAAATACTCCACACCGACCTCATCCCACCTCATACTGGGGGTTTGATATAGGACCGGGGGGGGAGGGGGGTTTTTTGGGAGGGGGGTTTTCCCCCCTCTTCTTCTTCTTCACCACCTAACCATCTCACCTAGGTAGGTAGGTATCAAAGCCTTGGAAATGGGATGCCTGAAGTCATCAAGGCGTGAACACCGTAATGTATCATTATTTATATTCATACAAACCAACCAACCAAAATCTTTCTTCCCTTCCGAACTTGCGAGTACAGGGTAAACTCAGTAATACTTGAACAGGAAATACAAACACACTCACAACCTTACCTCATGTGCTGAATTGATACCCTGAGTCGTGGTCGAGCTTTATAGTATTGTAGTCGCACTCCGTACGTCCCATTAGGTACCTGATTCGTCACCACTGGTCTACATACGGAGTACCATGTCCAACGACAAGCCAACAAGACACCAATACCAAAACACAGATACTACTGTACGGACCTGGTTGTATTCCAACTCGAGTTGACGTGTCCTTGAGGACCTTTGGAATTTTCTATACTTGTTCTCAAAAGACTCGAGGCTCGATTTTAAACAAGGACAAAGAGTGACAAAAGGCCCTGTCGGCGGCAACCATGATCGACCACGTACAACCCACCTCCCATTCAGCCGTCCCAAGATAAGTTTTGTCTGTTTTATCGCCCCTGACTTGAAAAAACCCACCGTCAATCCCCACCGGCCCAAGTGCCGTTTTCGAAAGTTTGTACGTTGTATAGATGTACAATAAAGTATAGGTATGTGATATGTATGTGTGTGGATTCCGAATTTGCGAGCCTTTTCCTTTTCCTTTTCCAAAGTCCTTTTTGTTACATTTTTCAAAAACCAAGAAAACGCCAGCTGAGGGGGTGGTGTTGGTGGTGACGATGATGACGAGGATAACATGGTACCGTACCCCCTTTCAGCCATCATATCATGTGTGGTCTGGCCAAGTACCAACAGAAACATCAACGACAAGGGGGGGGGAGGGTGCAACTGATAAACACAACAATGTATTGCCAAAGTACGACGGCAAGGGCATCAGTCGCAATCACCACCCGTTGTTATATTTGGAGTCCTTGGTGTCATCATTGTGTACCAACTCAATCACATCAGAGTCACCGCTCCGAGGGTAGACGTTTGCAGAATGGGTGCCGGATTTGCCCAAGTGGTCTGCACTTCGCAGTGCCGAAGGTCGGGAAATTCGATACGTTCTCGACTCCGAATTGGGGTCGGAGGAGCTGCCGAAGCAAGTCGGGAAGACCTTTCGCAATAACGCTCGGACGGCGGGGAGACATGTGCAGATGATGCTGACAAAAGCTTCGAGGACACTCCAGTATGCGGTAGGGACGTTGTCATCTATACCAAAGAAAAACCCAAAAGTGTCAGTCATTCAAGACACATGTCAACGTCATAAAACATATATACCAAAACAAGCATGACAAGTAAGGAAGGGATCCTGTTGTACTTACATGTGGGATTGGTAGAGTTTGCGAATTGAACAAGAGAAGTCAGTCGGACAATACTGACAATGGTGATACTGTTCAACAATGTTAGCGACACCTTGCGAGTTACACCAGGCTTGTGTGCTCGTTGGTTGCGGACTCACAAAAATCCAATACTAAACATAAAGACAAGATGAACCTTCTTTCTGCGTCCCAATTTGAGATGCAAAAGTTGTGGGATCGGAAGCAAGATGATCCAAATGTCGAAAATGATGTTGACGATTGCGTGAGCCCAAGCAAACGCATTGAGGTTCATGCATTGGCCCTTTGTTTCACCCGTCCAGCTTGTCCAGGCATAAGAGACTGGAATGCATTGGATCGCAATGCCGAGGGCGAAAGTGGGAATGTAAAGAGCGCAGACCGCCATGCTGCCGATGATCAATCTTCTAAAGGTTTGCGCTGGGAAAACCCTGTAGTAAAGGAGCAACAGGGCCATCTTTGTGAAACCAATCACACACATGTAAAAGATTTCGGTCAACCAGGTAAACTAAAGTGCTCGAGGTAGTCAGTGTGCTGCACTCTCTTTTCCCAAACAGTTCCGAGGTACAGGAGATGTCAAGTCTCACCTGAACGATTTGAGTGATTTTGTCGGGTGTGATTGTCCAAATGTCTTTTCCGAAGCCATCGCTACTCATGAAGAACTCTAGAATCGCCATGGGAAGAGCAAGTAGCTGTGTGATGTATCAGCCTTGACCAATCCTCTGTAACGTCTTTGTCAATTACGCACCAGTGATATGACAACGCAGAGATCTGCCCATTGGAGTGTCTCCCATTTGGGGAATCGATCCGCTATACGAAGTATGACACATATAATGGCTATGATTCCGCTGACGGCAGTCACAATGGGCGTGACCGCGGTGTTGTCTCGGATGGGCTGCTTGCATAGAGTCATGGTGGCATTCTTGGCGGCTACAAATTCAATGTGAGCGGGTGGAAGACGATGTTGAGTGATAAGAGGAGCTGCTTACCTAGACTCTCTTTCACGGTGCAACTGGCCAAGGTACATCCCTGCACATTGCCCATCAAGACCGAATCTGCACAAATGCATGCAGAATCTGTCGGGGCACAGGTAGAATTGCCCAAAAATTGTGCAAGACAGTCAGCCTGTGAGGATTTGGGTCAGCCGTTGGTGGTTCACAGGCTATATGGCAATGGGAATTCCAAACTTACGGCACACGATGGCATAGACTGTGACAGACCCAGAGCAACAAGGCTCACGAGAAAGAAGATCAGCCCGCCGGCCCTCATGTTGTCGGCTATCGAGAGGGTGCTTGTCGAAAGAGAAGTCCGATCCGGCGGAAAAACGATCCAGAAACTTCACACCTGGGAAGAGCAACGCCCAAGGGAAAATACTCTGATATACCACTCGTTCGCATGAGATGGAAAAAGGACAACTTCGAACAGGAATTTCCAGCTCCACAGCGTCTTCTCGAAGCGATCAAGAGGTTCATCAGTCTAGCCCATGGGACAGTGCTGCGATCTGCACTTTTGCGTCTAGAAACAAGGTATGTCTCCGACTTCAAGAGGCAAACGAAACCAGCCATGGGGGCAAATGGGTAATGGATTTCGCTCGGCTTTGCCTGCATGCAAATGGTCAAGAAGGCTGGATCCTGCAAAACCCTGCGCTAAGAACCAGAAAGCCCTTTTCCCCTTACGCCAGCCGTTGAGCGTTATGACCCAGGGGATGGTGGAATATTTCGGACCCGGACGGTGGGTACAGCGCCAGCAACAAGCATACCAGGGTCACGTTTGGTTTCAGGGTGACTAATTCGAGTCCCGGCATGTACTATATCCTTGCAAGTCACTAAGGCTGGTGGACAAGGACAAATCACATTTCAGGGCAAGATGGCTTGGTACGAGGGGAAGTTGAAACATACTCTTACCTGTAAGGTGGACTTGGTGACAGAGATGTGAGAACCTCGTACTCCTGCGAGTATTATAACTCACAATAGTGGTGCCATATAGCAACAGATCTCGGATCGGAAAGAATACGAGCTTCATTGACAGCAGCAACTGGGGTGGCCACGCCAGGTGCGTCAGCTGGGAACCGATGCACGTTCCCGTCCCGGGACACATCATGCATGTCGAGCTAACGCCCTGCGGCGCCCACGGAATGTCATTGCTAGCAGTAAAGACCATCCTAACGTCGGTAGGGATTTGCATCCTTGAATCAACGGATCGGAAATTCCGGTTGCTCGGTCGAGTATACGAGTAACACCACTGCTTCTGAGCAAGCTTTAGACGGTGCCACAGTTGATTGGGTACCGGTGGAGCAGGCTTGGGGTATGGCAGGTAGTGGAGGCTGTTCATACGGAGTATATAGGACCGCAATGATGATACGAGAAAACAGAACGGCTCCAGAAAGAGCTAACCTGTTTTCAAACAGCGGCCCACGAGGAACGGCTCAGGGTGATCCTAAATTTGATCCACCGTAGCCACAGCAAGGACTTGGATCACGCTACTAGAGGTAGAACCCAAAATCGAAGCCCCTGATTTCAAGTATTTTCGCTCTAAACCTGGGAATTGGGGATGTGTCGTGCATGTTGATGGCTTTCGTGATCCCAAAGTGTTTGTGATATGTCAAGCTGGCCGCTTCGCCTCGGTTGACTCCATTTTGATCCATCAACCGTGCTTCTGCAAAGCCTCATTCTAACCGACTTCAGACTAGCAAGGGTCTCAAAGCGAGGAGCCAAGAACTTCTCCCTTCTCTCCAATGAGGAGAGACCGAATGCCGTGGGCGAGTCAGTCAACCCACTGGGAGACGTCGGTGGGATTGTCGGTGGGCAAAGTGGGCAGATATCCCTCCAAGATTGCCAGGACCAAATACATTCGGACTGCTCTTCGTTGAACGCTGCGCTGGTGGGGTGGTCCCAGGCTTGCTGCAAATATGCAGTAGAGGGAACTCTCAATATGCTAGAGCACCCTTCGAGGGAGCTGGTGCCACCGCCGGTCACGAGCCATTCAGCCCACATGCAAATGCTGGTATATCAAGGAGGTGACGCCTTTGCTAAGGTTCCCCCTTTTGGACAAGAAGCTCTTGTATCTCTCTTCTCTGCAACTTCATGCAGCTGTGAGCCAAGTTATCTTACCGTATAATACATAACTTTGCCATAGAGCGAGATGTCGTCGGCGCAAGCCTCGCTTAGGTACATCTTTTCCGTCCAAGGCCTCGTCCTGTCAGTGGCAGCCTTTGTGGGCTACTGGATATGCTGGATTGTCTATGCTCGACATTTCCATCCGCTGCGCAACATCCCAGGTCCATGGCTTGCGTCAGTCAGTAGACTCTGGTACGTGCGGCAGGTGGCTCGCGGGGATATGGAGCATACCCAGAGACGCCTGCACGCACGATACGGCCCGCTTCTCCGGATAGCACCCAACGAGGTTGCCTGCGCCTCGCCTGATGAGATCAAGAAAATCTATCGGAACTCGGGCGCACTTAACAAGACCGATTTCTATACCGTCTGGAACAGTCAGAACTTCAGTAAACATCGGGATATGTTCACCACCCTCAACGACAAGGAACATGGTGAGAGAAGGCGTATCTTCAACCATGTGTACTCGCTCTCGAACGTGCTCAAGTCCGAAGCGTACATCGACAAGTGTTCGGAAATGTTCATCAAACGCATAGCGCAAGAGGAAGGCAGTACCAAGCCGTTTGACTTGGGCAAATGGGTGCAGATGTGGGAACCTCTGCGTGGCCCTCCTGAAACATGAAAGCTGACAAGTCACAGGTATGCCTTCGATGTGATTGGAGAATTGTACTTTGGCAACGCATTTGGCTTTCTTGCGACCGGCAAAGATTATGGCGACTGGATCGGATCTCTGGATTTGCTGCTGCCATTCTTGTGCGCCACAGCCGTTGCTCCTTCGTACATTCGACCTCTCATCCTCGCTTCATCACTCGTGGTCCCAGGTTCACTGAAGGCACTCAAAGCCATTGACAACATCGGCGTCTCTGCCAGAAGATGTGTCGCCGAGCGATTCGACAAGACGTCCAAGGACGAAGAATCCCGCCGAACCGATATTCTAGAACAACTGTACGATATTCACGAGGAGAAAGGCGAAAAGGTGGATTTCCAATTGGGAGACATCCAACAGGAGGCTTATGTTGCATTGTTAGTGTACCACATCGTGTGCTCTTGGTTTCGTGATGTGCTGACTAGTCCCTCCAGGTTCGCTGGCTCGGATACCACTGCCATCGGCTTCCGCTCAGTTCTCTACCACCTCATGAAGACCCCCGAGGCTTACAAGCAGCTCCTGGAGGAACTCGACGATGCCGCAGAGAGAGGTGAATTGAGTTCGCCCGTCAAGTACGCGGAGGCCATCAAACTTCCGTATCTCTGCGCTTGCATCAAGGAAGCACTCCGCGTGCATCCCGGCGTCGCCTTGACCATGGCTCGAATCGTCCCCCTCGAGGGGCTGGAACTCTGTGGGACATACATCCCTGCCGGATACCGCGTTGGCATGAATGGAGCCGTCATACACTATGACAAGAGCGTGTTCGGAGACGACGCCGACCAATACCGCCCTGGCAGATGGCTCGAAGGCGACATTTCAAAGATGGACAAGTGCATGCTGCACTTTGGCGCGGGCACTCGCACCTGCATTGGCAAGAACATTTCCATCGCCGAGATCCACAAGCTCATCCCGTACTTGCTGAAAACCTTCCATGTGGAGTTGTGGGAGCCAGAAAAAACATGGAAAACGACAAACTCGTGGTTCAACAAGCAAGAGGGTCTCGAGGTGCGTGTGACGGCTCGGGGGTCTAAGTAGCACACGAGTCGGGCCACGTCAGATCTGGTGAGACCTGTCAAGTTTTCAGATTCAGCAGGAAAATATCCAAAACCCTGTAGTTGGGCCGTGTGTCTGTTATCCACGATACATAGTTAGTCGAAACGTTAACACGAGCTTCAGGTGAGCCGTCTTGCATATACTGGGGCACATGTGTCCTCGTATGCAGCAGGGACAAGGCGATGCATTTCTTCGGAAGACAAGGGTCAATCTGCGGATGTGATGATTGAAGTCGGTGATCCGGAATCTGCGTAACTTTTCCCCGTAATTGGAAAATTAGATCACGTGCGGATATTGTCACGTGGGTTCAATTACCACGAGACTTCTACAGCGTCCAGCATCGAGTAGTCCGTACCTGACTTTGAATCATGGCCATAGCAGTTCTTTAGTTCTGAACGATGTATTCGCACTAGATGCCAAGGTTGGTAATTAGATCAATAGCAAGACTTGCACTAGTAAGGAGTACAATATCCATATGGGCTCTCAGAAATTGCCCTAGAATAGTGGATGGAGATGAGGTCCCTTGGCCCCATGCTGCCCATTTGCCATTTCTCATAAACTCTGCCTCCATGTCTCCGAGGAATCTCGTAAGTCTCAAGCTATATCTCAAGCCAGCAACATTGCCATTCCACTTTGCTAGTGATTCAGCTATGCGGCAATCCATCGCGGATTGGCACTATCACACAGGGACAATAACTCAGAAGCTATCAGAGAAGTTTGACCTTCTGCTCATTCGAGGATTGTGGATGATCATGCCCCAACCAGACCCTGGCTGAAACCTCGAAGCCGACCTCCTGAACCCAAAGTGGCAGGATCAATGTCGTTGGGCATCAACCTTGGATCTCGACCAAACCCAGAGTGCGTCGTGCAGGTGATCATGGCCGTTTGTGGGTCTCGATGCCAACTTAATTGGACATGTACGTTGGGAAGGCGTACTGAAGATTGTAGACGCCGCCTATAGCTTCGTTTGCTGTGATGGCGTTGTCGTGCGTTCAGATCCCAAACTGCGAATTCAGTCCCCGTTTTCAATCTTCACGTCGACATCGGCACTAGCTTCGCCCTTGACCTCTGTCGTAGGCCCTTCCTCTTCTTGCTGCCCAACAAGTACTTTGACTGTCTGTTGCGGATTCGGCATCTCTCCAGCACCTGGCATGACACTGCTCACATTACCATCCTCGTCGACGAATTCGAATCGATATCGAGACAAGTAATGCGGGATTGCGCTCAGCTGCGGACCATACCGTGCAGTGTTGTCGTACAATTCGAACAGTGGAACAGCCAGTAATTTCATGTTCTTCGGCACACTGAGCACTTTGCTGGGCGGCAAATGTATGAAGTACAACTTCTTCAGCTCTTTCGGCCGCGAGACATGGGCGGGAAGGAATGGGTAGAGAAAAGTTTCGTGATTGGGGCGCCACCTGGAAAACACGCACATATCGAAGTTAGCATCAGTGATGACCTCCCATGGCGGTCCCTCCCTGTCTCCAAGGCCGGACAAGACACATGTAGCATAGGGTGCCGTACCATTGTGCGATACAGTCGCCCACGTCCCATTCTGTGTCGCCTTCTTTCGGATTTGCGGGAGCCAGTCGTTCGTTCAATCGCATCTTGAAGCCCTCGATCTCGTCGGCGTCGTGAGGGAGATAGTCACCCGGTCTAGTTAGGACCAAGCCTTTGCGTCAGCTCCGTTCGTCGTTGTCTTCCCAGAGGTTCAAAACTAACAGCTTGAAGAAGGCATTTGCAATCTGCAACATCAGTACCTGCGGGTGGTTGTGCTCATGGCAAACCAATATGCCTTCGCAAGTACGTCTCATGCCATATTTCTCGTAATGTTCCTCCAGCCTCTTCAGCCTTGCTACGACCGATGGATCTTCTTCTGGCTGTGTTTCCTTGGTGCCGAAGGTGTAGTTTGATAAAGGGTACAGCCGGATCGTCTCAGGCTGATTGGCAGTGAATGGGGGAGGAAGGATAGGACTGTAGCACTCGTCAATGGTGAGACCACCTCAAGAGGACGGAGGGCCTATACGGGTAGGACGACTTGAGTGTTGTAGTCGTAAGAGTTGACATCTTCTTTCACTCGGGAGTTGCTTCGCTTGCCAGCGTCGGTTGAGAGTCGAAAATCGCAGGCGGAAGACAATTATTAGAGGTCCAACACAGCACAAACATCTATCGTCACACTGCCACCATGGAATTCAGCTTGCAAGGACACAATGCGGAAATTGGACTGCGTATTCTGCAGAGATGCAGCCATTTAGTTCAATGATTCGGGGAACCGCAACTACATTGACGTTGATGGGGAATAATTTGGGGGCGTCACAATTAAACGAATTAGGGCTTCAACCACCAGATTTACCGATTCTAGTCAGGTGCAATAGATTCTGGTAAATCATATGCAGTAAGTCTGTGGTGACATTCTATCTCTACCTCTACATATGTGATTGACAACAAACGCCATCGCTGTGCTGTTCTAACAATCACAACTTCGACTCTAGGTCTTCGAATTGAGCAATATCCTCCACAGCCAGGGGAGCCTTGCTGGTTTGCATACCAGCCTTCCACTGGAAAGCATCCTCGATTATGACAGGAGTGGGAACCTTCGAAGCAACATCAACAGCGTTGGGAGGTGGTGTCACCGGCTTGATGTTGGAAGCCAATAGAATTTGAGGCATTGCCTCCTTGACTTTTCCAATGACATGATCTTTCTCCGATGACGCGAGGGATGTGCCAATGTATTCCTCGATGGCATTCGTAGCGGCGGCGTCATCGATTGGATCGACCTTTTCAAAGTGCGTGTTCAGCTTGTGTTCATCCAAATCAACACCAAGAGATCCAAGAGCTTGTCCGATTAGTCCTACGAACTGGTCCTTCTTCTCAGAGGCCGAAACTTCAGGTACAGGAGCTGGCTTCTGTGCATTGAGATGGATTGAAAGCTTGGCCCGGGAAGGTGACTCCGGGTCGATATATTGGGCATAAAACTGAATGATGTCGTCCTTGGTGAGCTGTCTGATGGCCGCCACATCGCGTTGGACTTGGTAAAAGTTCAAATACTCGCCGCTAATGTATGCCCAAAGACGATTCGTCTCCATGCTCAGGTTCTTGAGTTTTTCCAGTCTCTTACTGATGAGACTTCGTTTGTGACCCTCAAAGTCTTGCTCAGACATGTCTTGCAGGTCTTGCTTGAACTTCAATAGGAATGCGTTGATGCGCGTTTCAAGGTATTCGGTATCCCGAGCGCTCTGAACCAGCACCCGGTAGCCCATCGACACCGCAGCTGGGCGGATGCCGCTCCATACCACATACCCTAGCTGTTCTTTGGTCCGGAGTTGGTCAAAGGTTGGTTCATCGGTCAATTGCGCAAATAATTGTAGCCTCGCACGAAGCGGAATGTCCATGACGTGGCCAATGTCGAGATAATACTCGATGGCGTTGTTGACGTTTGCCGGATCTCCCAAAGTCTGCTTGTAAACGAAATTGCTTCCTGGTGGAATGACAACGTTCCGTCTTAAATGCCACTGTGAGACTGGTAAAGCCCGAGGCTTCAAGGTCGACTCAACAAGGTTTGCAATCTTCTTGACATCTTCCTTGTACAAGTTACCATGGGCGAAAATCTCAATATGTGCTTGCTGGAGAAGCTCTGGTCCGAAGTTCTTAACGTCTTCAAAGGTGATGTGAGGAAGTTCCGCCGCAAATGCATCGGTCATGAACCCACGGTCAGTCAATAGCCATCTTGTGTATTCGCCTACTTGGCCGTATGGTTGCTGAAGGTACCAGTTTTTGAATCTTCGTTCCATGCGCTCCTTAATGATATCGAAACGATCCTGCTTGAGTTCGATGTCGCGGAGAGTAATCAAGATTTTTTCCAAGAGGACAGCCATCTTGTCGTTGTACCCATGCACACTGATGTCCAGACCAAGTTGATGGGTGGCGATCGCATATCCAAGACCGGAGATTTCAGCATCGTAAGAAAAAGTCTGCAGAGCATCCCTAACCAAGGAATCGAAAATCATCGTCTTGACATAGTTGACCGGATTACTGGCCGTGAGTGCATTTCGCAATCTGATATTGACGTTGGCCTTGGGAACCCAAAACACATCGTCCTTCTTCCACCAAAGTCGAACCAGCTCGTCATTACGTAGAAGTTTGGGTGCTGTCGCTGGCTCCTTGATATCCAATTTCTCAACATCCAGCTTGGTCGGGATGAACTCATTCCTGTGCGGCAAATGCAGCTCCTTGGGCGCTTCAGTCTGAGGGGAAGAGAGGGCTTTTCGAATCTCTGATAGGACATCGGTGGGTATGTGTTCGACCTTGTAATCCGTACCGTACCATCTCTCCTTTTGATCCCATGAGCCGGGGTATTCTTGGGATACCAGCATGAGGCGGAAATTGTCTTCCCGCAAGTACTGCATAGCCTGCACGATGGCCTGGGCATCGAACCTGCGCAATCTGCTTGTACCACTGAGTAACATGTTGCGGGGCAACTGCCTCTGCATCACACTGCTTGTGGCACTGGTGAAGCGGCTAGGCGGAGTTTTCTGTCGAAATCTGAAATCAACTTCGGCCATGTTTTTCATTTCTTCGTACATCCACTCCACAGGGGGGTTGGCTTTCATCATGCCAATGTATTGAAAAACGATTTTCACGATTTCATGATATTTCTTCAGACCCTCCGTCGTCAGGTCAAGGTCCATCTCCAAGAATGCAGAGCCGGGGCAGACGGGATGATGTCCAGCGGACAACGACGACACCAGTCCTTTATCTTTCAGATAAGCGAACAAACTGCCCGGTCCCTCATGGCCCAGCAGATGGCTGATGTACCTGGCCGGTTGGGTGTCGTACATATCTTCTTCGTCCTGGTACGGAAAGCTGATTTCAAGAGATCGTCGTTCCATCACTGGCTTTGCGAGAATCTCCTTTGACAGTTGGTCCTTTGTGAGAATCTCGATTCCATCCCACCTGTTCTGTGGCAAATCTTTGTTCTGAACTTCTGAGAACAATTCAACCACCCAGCGCTCCAGCTCATCCAAGGACTCCCGCCCCAGTACTACCAGCTTCATACGGTTTGCAGAGTAGTGCCTCTCATGAAAGCGAATGAATTCATCTCGAATCTTGACACCTCTCTTCTCCGGTTCATCTCTTAGCGTTGTCAAATTGCCGGTGCCAAAATGGTGGTATGGATGATTAGGGTTCGACAGGGATTTGGCCAGCTGCGACAGTCTCCAAACGTCACTTTGTAAATTCTTCTTGTTTTCTGAATCCACAGCATTCAGTTCTCTGTCCAAAGTATTCTCGAGGAAGAGAGGCTTTAAGAAAAACTGCGCAAAACGGTCCAAAGCGCCATATAATGGTCCCGTTGCGTCCCCGTTCACCGCGGAGTCTTGTCCTTCATGTAGTGCTGCACACTCGAAGAAGTAATTCGTCTGGGTACCGGCCGTGTATGCATTGGAGTAGCCAGCGTGGGAGGAAAGATAGGAGCTATATTCGTTCTCTCCGGGATACTGCCATCTCGGTCAGCTGCCGTTAACCAAATATGTCAGTACGAATGGCCACTCTACCTTTTCTGTGCCCATGAACAGCAGGTGTTCTACAGCATGTGCCATTCCAGGCATGTCTGTTGAATCGCAGAAGTTTCCAACGTCAACATTGAGACTTGCGCTTGCCTTGTCTGTCTGCGCATCGTGAACGAGCAACGCTTCCAGCTTATTGGGAAGCTCTATGACACGATATGATCGGTCGTCAAGGTCCGGCTTCTCCAGAGTGTCCGTTATGCGTTTGACAGGTTCCATGACCGTGGCGTAGGGCCGGGAAGGGCCAATCTGTTTGGAGGGAGGGTTTGACAGAAGCGGTCTTCCGGTCGGTCGCAGAGAATGAGACCACAGTGGGCTCAAGGATCGAATGGAGAGGAGCGAGGAGCACGCAAATCGTGTGGCTAATCTCATGTAGAAGATTTATGAAGGGTTGAAAATAAATGACCCTAGGCGAACAAAGGTGATTGTCTGAGGGTCGAGGCAACTACTCGAAGCACACAAGGAATTATTACCACCCGCCGCTTCTAGCCATGAATCTATCCAAAAGCAGGGCACGTTGATTCCGCACGCGTAGGAATGATGGTCCTCACTTTTGTCGACCGGGGGTCCTTTATTAGTCGCGATTACTCGTACACGTACAAGCGCAGCCTAGTGACTTGGGATGAGGTCAACACTGTCCACGAGACGCCCGGATGTGGCCTAGTTCAGCCTAGTTCAGCCTTATGTTGATGCCGCCCTTTGTTCAGTGTACATTCCTCGATAGCTCAAAGATGATTTCACTCATATGGGAGCCTCCGATGTCAATATCCTGGCTTCAAGGCTTTAAGCAGTCTCATGGGGTATAGAAGCTACAGAGCAAAAGATAGCCAATTTCTGTGATCTTATAGGATACTATTCGACTGCGCTGGTGACAAAAACTGTTCAAGTACCCTGAATTGAACGTTTCACAGCAGGTTGCTATAAATTCGATATGCTTCGTTCTCCAACTGAATGGTATGCGAAAATCATGTTCCGTATTATGAGTCTTATGCGCTTTTTTACTCTATGCCCGGTGTCGTGGAATATTAGTTGATTGTTGATGACCAAGCCATTGCAGGGCCATTGCGACATGCTAGTCTGGAAGACACCATGGCGAAGGAGATATACAACGCTACATTTGAAGCCACATGCAGACCTTCAAATATGTGACAGGGTATTATAGCCTATTTCAAGGAAATAATTTGGCTGAACAGAACTCCCAACAGCAAACCGCCACCCAAGATGGCTCCCACCGCCGTCAGGTAAGGCTCTTCGCCTCTCATCGATCTTTAAACAGAATCTTGCTCATACCAGGGTCGTTGACAGACCGAAGAATTCGTCACCCGCCTTGGACGAACTGTTGTAAACGGATCATCAGGTTGGCTAGACTGGGAGAGCTCGCCATTCCGAATCAAAGTGCTGACCGGATTTGTGGAGCCGTATGACACACCCCGAGAGGCTTGTACCTGCGATCTATGAGATGCGGTTGGCGAAATGGAACTTGTGGTGGCAGATTCCACAGGAAATGACTCGGGGACCATCGCTGCAGCATGCGGGATCGACAACGGTAGGTCGGTAGATTGAGATTGTTTAACTGGAATGTCCAAAGGAACGTGGACGGCATTGGTGCTGAGATCTGGGGTCATGGGGCCGACGAAGAAGGGTTCGAAGGACATGTCGCCTACTTGTCTATTCGTGGAGAATGGCAGCAGACTGACAAACTCATCGAAGAGTGGACTGGGGAATTGAGAGATGCCCGCGACCGTCGTCGCACTTTGAGTTTTGCGCTGGTGATGAGTCGACATGCGTGAATAGTCCAAGCACTCGAGCAACTCGCTCACGTCGTCGTCTTCCAATTGCAGCTCCTGCTCTCGGGGGTCGACAAGGGATGAGTAGCGAACAGATCGTGTGTGGAACTCTTCCAGCCGTGTCTTCATGTATGCGCAACTCCTCCAGTAGAATGCCAGCTCCTTGAGACTCTGCATGCTAGAGTCGAAGGCTTTGGTCGCCTCCGCCACGATGACCGAATCCGGCGAGAGACAAAAGAGAGAGTGTACAGCTGCCGCAACCGTTGCACAATAGCCATAGAACGGGTCATAGTGGGTGGTGAGTGTCTCACAGCATAATGCCTTGACGTCGTCCATTAATCTGGACAGGGCGCTGGCTGCGTTTTGACAGGCGGCAAAAGCGTGCACTAGGAAGCTGAGAGGCGCTCTGTAACCAAGCCCGCTCAATCTCCGCTTGAGCAAAAAGGGGTGGAAAAGTAGACATTGGCAGACATGGAATAGGGCATGTGCAAACACCAGTGGGGCTCCACGGTGTTGGTCAACCATGCCGCCATTGCTGGTGAACTGCTGGAGAATCCTCTCATTCAGCGGCTCGTGGAGACCGAGGTTGGTTTCTAGGTGAAGGAGCGTGGAGTGGAGGGAAGAATACTTGGAGTGAGGATTCCAGGGTGCGTATTGGCCACCCGGGCTTAGGTCCTCCTCTTCATCGAGAGCGTAACGAGCACATTTCCAGAGTGTTGAGGCCATAATGGTGGACAATGCAAATGGGTTGAGAGAGCTTAGGGATGTAGCATGTTCTTCACCATGGATCCTGTCCAGGGTCAGCGTCTGCTGAGCATTTCCCGTTCGAAATGCGACCTCGTCGCAAGGGAGCTGTAGCTTGCAATGTTCATCTGAAATCGTCGCAGGTTGATCACGCCCGCAAGAGATTAGTTTGTCGCAGATGAAGAAAGACCAAAACACTCGTCTCCTCTCTTCCTGTTGGTGGAAAGGTAGTGAATGGTCAGGCTCTACCATGAGCCGAAAGTCTTGAGCCAGGCGGATGGCGAGGCCTACCTTGATCCAGGATCCGTGCGTCCTTCCATCCGTATAATCAATGATGGCGAGAAGAAGGATAGTCTGCACAATGCTGAGTTCACCATCGCTCTGTATCCCGTTCCAAGGCATCACAATAGACTTCCAAGAAAGGTTCGCATAAGCCGCCAGCGCGGCAACCTTGTCGGAGAAATAAGGATCTTCGGTGTACCTGATGGTGCTGGCGAGGAAGGCATATAGGAGATGAGTGGGGATGTCGCCCGAAGAGAGTTTATCTCGAAAGCTTTCTTCATGGAACAGGGAATAAGGTTGATTATGGCAATATCGAAAGTAGACATCACAGGCACCCAGGATGACGTCTAGAGGCGGTAATTTGTTATACTGCGAACTCGGCAAGCCCTGGGAGACCAAAGTGTCCTTGTCCGGGGGCTGGGAGAGAGATTGAGAAGTTGACGAGTGGCTGGAAGAGTTCAGGAATTGGTGATTCGCCTGGAAATGTAGGGACGATGATATTCTGACCAGTATTAGCCACCTGCTCAGCAGAGAGAAAAAGTGGTTCCCGTACACTTTCATTGTTTTGCTCAATTCGGAAAGTTGATATTCAATTGCCAATAAACGAGACTGGATCTCCTGGGGGCGTTAGAAGAGAGTCATTGCTTAGCGGACGTCCTTACTTTGTCAGAGATTGTGGAATGACTCTTTCCATCAGCCTTTTTTCCAGAGGAAGTCATGGGCGAAATTTCATTGTCGGAATAGTCGCAAGGTTGCTCTAGTCGACGACATATGGCACACTCAGGTCGTTCACCTGTGCACCGAGCCTTCTTCCTCCTGGTCTTCTATAAGTAACATGCCATTGAAAGGCCGAAAAGATTCGTCTTACCGGCAATTTTGGCAAGCTTGCCTAATTCGCTTGACAGGGCGGTAGTGGTCATTTTCTGCCATATTATAACATGAGAAATATCGTTCTGAAGCCACAAAGGATGAAGCGCTTGGGAAGTGGGTTTGTGATTTAAGCCACCAAAGACCAAAATGACCGCACGCAGGGTAGACTAAAGCGGTGGTGCCACAAATTTAGACGCCCTGTATCCTGCTTCAGTCTGGTAGAGGGTATGTTCTCGGCACCGAGTTTCGATAGTCAGCAGTCACGAAATCCCCCACAGGGTATCGATAGGATCGATGGCCAGGCCAGAAATTAATAGAGGGGCGATTGGTAGAACAGGCACATGTGAAGCGGCCAAAGAAGCTGTTTCAGGCTTGAGATGAAATCTAACTGTAACGTTGCTAGATGGGTTCGAAAGAGTGCATTGGGGACGGGCTGGCAACCGGGAAGAGGTAGACACAGAAATAGAAGTCGAAGAAAGAGGGTTAGCCTCCTTGGATCACTTATCAGCACCTTGCATTTCCGCTAATCTTGAGGCTGTGGAGGACCTGGCGTAAAACAGCACGGCTTGAGGGGCTCTGTGACCCGACTGTGCATACTCAGAGAAGGTTACTATCCCAGTGGCCTACGGTGGCCGATGATGGAGTCGTGGTCTCCGACAACGATGAATATAAGACATGTTCCCTTCTCTTAGAGTATCGTCACTTTTTGTTGTCGATAGTGCCACACGGCTCGGCAACGGACTTGTGAAGCTTGGATCAAACCTGAGACCATCACCTTTAAATGCGAACGGACCGCAGAATTCCGCTAGCGTTCAACGGCACCGGTCCCAAGCGGACCGTACTGCCGGTTCGGCCGACCCAGGAAAAAAGTTGCCGGGGTCTCAGGATTCTGCAAGCAAAATGAATGCATGCGGCGCATGCTGACTTTTCCTCCAACAAAGAAGTGCTCAACGAGGCTACTGACTCTCTGGGTTTCCTGGGAAGCCGAAGCAAATAAACCGAGCCAGGGACATGATACTGAAGTTCGTCCAAATTTCTGCACGGCATCTCAGTCTAAATTCGTCCCAAACTGACTTGCAAATTCAATATGTTTCTGTATCATCGCCGCATCGACTGTGGGGCGAGCTTGCTGGAGGGCTTCTTTGATCTCCTCAAAGGAAAATGGCAAGTAGGATATTTGTTCGGGGTCTGCTGCTAGTTGCGTCCAGGGACCTTCATGAGCACCACTGTCAGTCATCTCACAGGGAACCACAAGTGTATTGTCTTCATGCTCGAGTTTCCGGAATGCTTTCGCTAGGGTGATCTTCCTGATGGCTTTCCTCAATTGTGCCTCCACAAAACAATCAACATCGTATCCCGAGAGGCCACGATCATAACAGAGGTTGCCCAGAGCTTCAAAGCCTGCTTCGTCAATGGTATGAACAACTCTGGCCATTGCAGCTTTGATAATCGAACGACTGGCATGCTCATTGGGCAGCTCCACGTGTAGCTTCAGTGACAGCCGGCGGCCAAAGCCGTCCATGTCAATGTCGTGCGGCTTGTTCGTTGCGCCCACTACGATGACCTCTTCACGAGAGTAGACTAGATCACTCCACTGATTCTTGAGCTCGTTCTGTAGTAGCCTGTAATGGTGTGACTGAGTTGAGTCGGCATTTGGATTGCACAAGAGCCCGTCACACTCATCAAACATGAGGATTGCAGGTGAATTGGCCCGTACTTCTGCAAAGAGCGCCTTGATGAATTTTTCCGACTCGCCAACGTACTTCGACATGATAGCACTAGCCCGGATGTCGTACAATGCCAAGTTAAATCTGACCGCGAAGCTCTTGATCAGAAGCGTCTTCCCCGTACCCTGGGGTCCAAAGAGCAATATTCCTGTCGTTGAGTAGTGGCGAAGCTTTCTCGTGAGGTGTGGAAAATTCAAGAAGAACGTTGCAAACTCTTCAAGCGCGATCTTGACAGATGCAAGTCCGAAGACCTCGTCCCATCCTAGAACACCTGCATCCTCCTCAAGGTTGATCTTCATGCTTTTTATCTGCTCACGTAGTCGCACTTCTTCTTCCCCAAGGCAACCAGGTTGCTGCTGGGTTATGCCGAAGTCAAGTGGCTTGTCTCTTCGCCTAGAGTGACTAGAGCAGCGGTTCTCTGGACACGCTTGGTTCTTCTCAGTAGCACTTGAAATCTGTGTTTCTGTAATAGACCCTTTCGAATTCAATTTCGCTGACGAAGTCGCCGCCGAAATATGGGCGTCAACTTCTGAAGAATGCGTCTCCTCTATTTCATCCACCGTTGTTCTGTTTGAGTGATCTAACGTCGAGTCATGCCAAGTCCTTCCTGGGTTGGGTTTAGCCACCGCAGATTTGACAATTTCTGTCATGATAACACTTCCATAGTTTGTCAGGCAGGATCCAAGAACGTAGACAAGGTCTTCTGCCCCTTCAAGAGAGGAATGCATGGCACAATCAGTGTGGTTGTAGCATCGTAGGAGGTATTGTCAGGTAGAGGCATTGCTGACGGATGACAAGCAGTGGACATCAGCAAGTAGGGGCTAGATGATCACGAGTGGTCGAGACCAATCGTTCATATCATTCTCCCTTGAACCTGGGGTTCTCGTCCCGCGGAATTCGTCCTTTGGGCCCGCGTACTGTTGGACCGAGACGGACCGTCCGTGACAGCCGATAAAGTCTTGAGAGGACATAGATATGAATATCGAATCATCGTGCCACTGATTTTGAAATAGTCTAGCTGATCAAATTCTGATCCTAGAGGGACAACACCAGGCAAGATTGAAGAGGCCAAGGGATAGGAATACCAGCCTCAGAAAGTTGTTGATGCTCTCCGTACATCATGCGATGAGAAGGACGCCAAGAGCCGTGAATGCTATATAGACTTAATTACTCCGCCTTAGAGATCTCTACGGTGGAACAGAGATCGGAGTTCCTCTCATGAAGACAACGCCAACTTTCATCAAGACAATGCCTCCCAGAGCCTGCATTCAACAGCACAAATGCTACTGAATACTCCCATGACGCTCTCAGAACTTGATGATCGGTTTAATGACCTGTTTACTGTGAGACTTTGTTCACGACTACACAACAACAGGTGTGCCTTACCTTTCCAACTTTCAGATCTGCGATTGCAATGTCAAAATCCCCTATGTCGTAAACCTTGCACATCTTGTCTATTGGGAAGTTGCCTTCTTGCTGCATTTTGACCAGCTTTGGTATGAACTGATAAAGAAGGTCAGCAACTCAGCATGGGGTGGACTTTCAACTTTCGAGACTCTTACCTCTGGCGGCACTGAGTCTCCTTCGATAACGCCCACGTATCGCTTGTTTTCAAGTAAGAACTTCAGAGGGTCGATCTGAACCTTCTTCCCGACTGGAGGGACTCCAACCCCAGCTGCTGTACCGCATGGACCTAGTGCCTCGATGCATTGTTCCATTACCGCGACAACCCCTGTACATTCAATAGCGAAATTGACTCCGCCATCCGTGAGATCCTTGATTGTCTGCACTACGTCGGAAACATCCTTCGGATTGATAACAGTCGTGGCACCGAAGTCCTTTGCCATGTTCAGCTTTTCGGGGACCAAATCTACGGCAATAATATGTTTGGTTCCAAGGTATTTTGCTGCCATCAGAGCGGCCAAGCCGACAGCACCCAGCCCAAAAACCGCCAGGGAATCCTCTTCGCTGGGCTTGAGGACGTTGAGCACAGTACCTGCACCTGTTTGGAATCCGCAGCCGAGTGGTGCAAAGCTTGGAAGAATCTCCCGTTGGGGGCACTTGACCACGCTTCTCTCGGCAACCACCGATATCCTCGAGAAAGAGGAATGGCCAAAATACTGACTTCGGATGGTGGTTCCACCGTTGTAGGTAGCGGCTGGTGTACTTTGGTCCCTGCGAATGGCGTTGTGATTGATCTGGGGGTGGTGATGGCAGAAGGCTGGATGACCGGTGCGGCACTGTCGACACTCTCCACAAACATTGAAAGACAAGAGAACACTGTCACCAACTTTGAGGTCTTTGTTGGTAACTCCTGGTCCAATCGCCAGGACTTCTCCAGCTCCCTCATGGCCAAATATCGCCGGGAAATCGACCATTGGCAAAAGCCCTTGTTGAAGAACTATGTCGGTATGGCAGATCCCAGTGTACTTCATCTTTATGAGAAGCTCATCGTCGCGCATATCGTTCAGAAGGATGGGCGTCATCACAAAATCGGCCTTTGGACGGTCCACCACGAGGGCCTCAGTATGGAGTGGAAAGCGATAGCCATCTCCCAGAACGCTTTGATCCGCTTCATTATACTCATCCATCTTGATCGCTAGCTCAAGTTCTTCACCACGATCCAGACTGTTGTTTTACGCCAAAATTAACACATATGCCTTTGATTATGTATCTGTAAGTGCTCGTGGGTGAAGCATAAGACCCCACAATCAACAACTGCATCGGAAGCGAATACGGAATCCCTTTCCCAGACGGTCGATTAACGGATTCAACGGCTGCTTAGACTAGACTCGGTACTCCTCTTTTCTCCAGAGTCGGTCCGGATATGCCGCTCCTTTTACGTCTGACCACTCACATGCTACTTCAAGACCGAGGGACAAGCCCTATTCTACAAAATCATGCTAAATACTGGATATAACTATTTGTTATCAAACTGGAGTTATGTATGCCATCGCGACTGGCCAGTGTGCCCTTATGCAAGGATGGATGATCCTATATGTGCGTAACGAAGGACCCTTCTTGGAGACTGCTTAGGTGATTTCATTCAATCCACCAGAGTCCTTGCAGTTGGTTTGGTGTCTTCCTGGGGAGAAAGAGCTACAGCTTCGCAAGGATTCGATAACGAACTTGCTTCGACGTCGACTTGAGAATCCCGAACAGTGCGTCGCCAAGGGAGTTTGAACCCGTTGTTTTGCCATGCCACTCCTTCTGGATGCGAATCAAAATTCGACCCAGCCTCCTTACACTTCCTGCGCAGATGCCGTGTTCGGAAGATCCATATGCCATGTGATACGAACATGGACATCTCGATGAGCGCGCATAACGCATATAGCGTTCCAAATAAGGGATCAAAGGTATTTTGCGTTGCTGGAACATACTTAGCATGAGGAAAAGGATGACGCCATCTATGCGGGAAGAGAAAAAGATTATCATACCGAGCGACATCAATGAGAAAAATGCCCCGAACCAGTCGATGGCAAGGAAGAAGAAGTCAATCCCTACCACTCTTCCTCTTCGTTTCATCAGTTCAAATGGGATCGGAATGTATCCTGATATGAGTAGAACAAATGCAACTGAGCCGATCAGAGTCATCGGCCATTCAAGGTGCTTTTCGTAGTATGCCTTCCGGAGTAGCCAAACGAGGAGACCCTGGAGCCCCCCGTCGAGCAGGAGGATCATTGCACAGACCAGGAAGACATTCTTCACTGTCCACTTCCTATTGATTCATTAGCCCACCGCTCTGCCTGGGAAACGCGAACGAAAGAAGTTACCTCGAATAATACATACATTGTCCCCAATTGGCCAGGCAGAAGAGACAGAAGCATTGCGGCTGAATCTGAATCGGAATGTTGAATTTCTGAGAAATAGCATAAGCACCAAAAGGTACACCGCTGGCCGACCACAAAAACATCATGGCTGGTGGCACTCCTTCAGTCGACTTGGTGCGATAACTTTTATATATTTGCGGAAGAAGCTGGATGCACCAGCATATCGTGCCGATAGTCCCAAGCACATTTGCTGCAGCTGGGATGGAAGTTTGGGGAGCCATACAGTAGAACTTCCCATGAGAGAACCCAATGTGTCGAGGGCTGAAACTCAATAAAGCAATGAGGAGACCCCTAATTCACATCAGCGACGACCTATTCCACCGAGTTCAAGGGTTCAAGCGTTCGACTATCAAACCATCTGAACCCTCACAATTTCAGAGTTGAGCTACCCTATTGTCATATGTCTGTCACTTACACGACTCGACAGACCCGTGTACGAGCTCGGCTGGACACACGGGCCGTGTGTCCGGGTTTGATGAACCTCGTTGCTGATCTGCGGAGATCTCTCGTCAAAGACCTCGTTCAAGATTCCCCAACGCGGAACAGATGCAGTCTGAATCCCGCTAAGCGGATGCAACAACAAAGGCGGGTTAACCGTCGGCAAAGAAAAGGGCTTGTGCGAAAGAAGTGAGCGATGTAATTTTCCTTCACTTCAGCTGGTTCTGATGGATGCGATATCATCATGTGCCGAGACTTGCGATGAATCCACGACATCTCCAATCCACTTCGACACCATTCTGATGAATTTCTCAGCACGAGGGCAATCGATGTAAAGCGATTCTGCCACTCTTAATCTATCATCTTGTAGATGACATGTTCACCCGGCTATTTTTCTATTGTGTACACGGGGGATCCCAACCCTCGCTGGCTTACATATGAGAAGGCGACACAGATGCCTCAAATCGCAGAGTGCCACAACTGACAATCCGAATCACAACACTGCTAATGGTTGTATCTCCAGCTCGAGTCGTCTAGTTCCACCAATGGCGATATCGTCCCAGAAAATTTTGGCGACAGAGATAACGTGGTGGCAGCAATCGCGCTGCATGGTGGTCAGCGTGGCAGATAGCAATTCCCAACGAGGCGTTTACGTCGCAGAGCGCTTTTCAACTGTCGTCGTAAATGCTGAGCGCGTCATTGCAGAGATTGAGTCTTGGGGGTTCCTTCAATCTCTCCTTCCGATCTCTCCGGCTCCTCATCAGAAAACTGGCTGCTCTTCCCAGTGTCACAGGCCTCGTTGTACTGCAAGTTCAGATTCACGTTGAGTACATCGCAAATCTTGATGAGAAACGCAATCATCGATGCTGCGATGGAACAGCACGCCATGTTGGTTGAAAGATGTCGTTTATTCTTGCAGGCCAAGGTGTTTGCAAATTTTCACCGAATGCCATCCTTCTTATGAGAGTTCGGACACGAGATTTTGAGCCGCGCTACTACATTATGATGCAAGAACTATCGGTTGTGAATATTGGCAAGTATGTAACCGGACCGTATCAATGGAGCTTTTCTTCTCATATTTTGCGAATCCGGAGGTCGTTCGACATGTAACCGGATCAGGCGGTCCGGTTGACGGTCCCTCCAAATTGGGACGAAAGGACATGTGGTAAAGACATCATCATCACCACAAGCATAAAAGCTCATGTCTCATTGCAATTGACCCCAGGTGTAATGAAGCAATTCCTTTCGCCTTTTTCACCTTTTGCATCAAAGGAGGATTCTGACGAGCAAGTCATAGCCTAATTTTGATCTCCGTCTCAGGAGCCTTAATCTATCTCAATTTGACGCCGGTCACCAATTGTAGTAATGTCGACCCAGGTATGCTACGTTTCTTCCCAGAGTTCTGGTATAAGAGTACTAATGCAGTTAGGTTATGACCAAGCGGGCAACTCAACCTGGCTTCGCCCACCAGAATGAGAAGACGGCCCAATACCGTTTCGAAAAAGAGCTACAGCAGGAAGAGGCGCATAACAAGGGCTGGGCTCAATTTGATTTGAAAGGTAGAAATCACTCTCCTAATCTAAACTCGTGTCATGCACCAGTTTCTAACTCGGGTCGTAGATGTTTTGATCCCACCTTCTGCAGGATTGGGCACTACGAAACGGTACTATCAGAGAAGAACCATGTTCCAGTACTCGATTCTCTTCACTCTTGGTCTGTGGTGTTTCCAGAACCTCCAGTCGAATGCCCTCCGAGCGGCCGCTCTGGGTCTACTCTTTCCTGGTGCAGGTTTGGTTGCGGTGTGCACGATTCCATCACTCGCAGCCTTTGTCGTCACACTTATCGGCATTCCATTGACGCTTTTCGTCTGGTTTGCAATGGGAGGAGTTCTATTCCCGCTGCTGCTTTGGTTCGGCTCTGCTGGTCTTGCTGGAGTACTAGCCGGAGACAAACTCCTCGACAAAGCTGGCCCGATTTGGGGAGTCGTTTGTGTAGGTCTGGTCACTTGGGCCATCTGGAAGAGTGCTCAGATCAATGCTCGCGGCAAGTCAATTCAGCAACGTCGCAACAAATGGTTGCCATCGCAAGTCAAGACTATGCAAGAAAGTGCAGTTTCTGCTCCAGCCCCTGGTAGTCGAGAGGTTGATATCAAGACCCTCCGCTTTTTGCAGCACATGATTGAGCGTGGTCTGACCGGACACGACGACCTCAGTTACCACGACGTAATCGATCAATTCCAGACTGGCGCCGTCCGCTACCAGCTCTATGGTGTCGTCGATTCGATCGCGCTCTACCTAACTCACTATGCCCCCAGCTTTCATGGCTACGCTGCCGAGGCATGCCGCAATAGCATCGAGAAGTCCCTTACCAAGAGGATCATGGGATATTGGAGATGGGAGCGGCTGACCGGGAAGTTCACCACCGACTACGACCCGATCAATTATGACAACATTATGGTCACAGGCTATCTCGGCGTCGCCATTGGTCTCTACGCCTCTGCCACTGGCGATCGGCGCTACGAAGAAAAGGGGTCACTTGACTTCCATATTGCCGACGGTGTCCATTTCAAGCGCAGCTTTGGGGACCTCGCTGACGCCATGTATGACAACATGGCCACGAATGACTATTGTCTCTATCCTTGCGAGCCCAATTGGACCTATTCCTTGTGCAAGTGAGTGCTAGCCCGCCCCAACACGTTTTTGTCATCTGTTATCATCATCCTTCTCCAGACTAACCTTTTGGAAAACCAGTTTGATCGGTATGGCCGGTCTCATCATTTCCTCCCGCCTCTTGGGCAACGACTATGCCGACCGCATAAAGCCTCGTTTCGAAAGAGCGCTCGAGGACGAAATGACTGAACCAGATGGTCGCATTTTGCCCATCCGGTCCGAGCTGACAGGCCTCACCATCCCCGGACTCTCGGGAACTTTGTCCGACTGCATCAACGCCATGAACTTGACCGCGTATTTGCCCCACATTGGTTCTCGTGTGTGGGCTATCATCCGACGCGAACACATTTACTACAACGACAAGGGTCGTCTGGACGTCAAAGATCTCCGGGGCGCCGACAAGCTGGACCCGGGCAATTACAAAAGTGGCGTGGGTGCTCTGCGTGCCTTTGTGGCTGGCTGCGCGGCCGAGTTTGGTGATGAAAAGGTCCGCATCGATGCCCTCGAGCAGCTCGACACCGAATACTTCCCGGTCGAAGCTACTGAGTCCGGTGCCCTCCGCAACAAAGGCCTATCGGCTACATCGCAAGTGGTGGCCCTCATGGCCCGCCTGATGCGCCATCAGGATCTCGCCAACGCGACCCTCCACGGTCCAGAGCCCACGACCATGCGAGGGCCATTGTTGGCGGACTGCAAATTCCCCGATGTGCTTGTGGCGAAGGCGTACAGTCACGACGCGAAAGGGCTAGAGCTCGTCTTGTACAACGGCAAAAAGGCCGGCACCTTCACTCTCGGTCTCGAGCGATTGGCCCCTGGTGGGAAGTACAGTCTAAGCACAGGGCAGAGTGTAACTGCCGACAAAAGTGGAAAAGCATCAGTGGTTGTTCAGATCGATGGAAGGACTCAAATATTCTTGTCGCCAGCAGAGTAGATTTGGCTACCTAGGGAGAACGAAAAGGTTCAATTGCTAGCATATTATGTACATGAATGACGAAAGATACTGGAAACATCACAAAACATGTCTTTTTTCATAACGGAATAGTCAGAATGAGGGTATAAAGCCACCATCTAGTCGGAACTTCCAAGCTAAAGGTAATGAAACAGTCCCGAATGTGCTTCGGCCCCACGAAAGAAATGGTCTCGTGGTCGGAGCCGCTCCGAGTCTTGTTCGGCTCCGATGAAGTCAAGATTGCTTCAGGATAGAGTAGATCCGGGGAGATAAACCAATACAGGTAGAGGGGATTGAACAACCCCAGGAAACGGGGTGTCCCCGCATGGAGACCCCTTTTCGAGGTGTGGAGAGCAGTAGGCACAGAACGTCCTTTCGTACTTGTTGGCCGGCTCCGTGGTCGCAAAGAGTACTTAATGTGAGGATGCCCTCTTGGTGTATATGAGAAAGTTGACAAGGGGACTTTATAGTTACAGTCTTCAAACATACACAGGTCTCTACTTCAACACCTTGGTCAATTCCTTTTCCGCAATTCCTTCTTCGGCACACAGACGGCGTTGAACTCAATCATGAACGGAAGCAAGGCAGATCTTGATCCACAGTGGCTCGAGGTGCGTACAGGGGAAGGACCTCGACAACGAACCAACAGAAACTCACTACTCGATGTCACAGGCCGAGAAACGCTATGGAGGTCGGGTCACTCTACCTCGTGAATCGGTGGAGGAATCTCGAGCACGATTTCACGCCATGTTTGCATTGATTGAGAAGAATCTCCCACCCCCCAGCCCGGCCGTGAAGGCACAGGACGTCGTCATCGCTCCGGGTCAGCGAGTGCGTATCTTCACGCCCGTTGAGGCAGCTAAGGAAAGCACCAACGCCCTGCCGGTTGGGTTTTATCCTCACTGCGGCGGATGGTACGCTGGGTCAGTTGAGATGGAGGACTTTCTGGCACGCGACGTCGCCGAGAACGCCGGCATGATCATCTTCTCCCCCGACTACAGGTTGGCCCCCGAGCATCCTTATCCCGCCGGCCTCAATGACGTTTGCTTCGCGTACGAGTGGATGCACAAGAACGCGGCGGCGTACGGCGGAGACCCCCAGAAGAAGTTCATCATGGGAGGCTCGGCCGGTGGAAACCTCACTGCCGTCCTCGCGGTCAAATACGCGGCCGACGCGGACCTCAGCTGCTCAGGTTTCATTGCTGCTTGTTTCCCGTCGTGCGACCCTTCCGTGCTTCCACCGGAGTATCAAGGGCGCAATGACATTGCTGATTTTCACTCTGCGCCGATGCTGGGTATTGATACGGTCCTTCAAGCCAGAGGTGAGTCATTGTGTGTTTGATGTCTGGTGTCTTTTCTGGCGTCCTCGTTTTCCAAGCTAAATTCTTGGGTCTCTCTCCTTCTACTCCGTACAGAATGGTACAATCCGCCTAAAAAGGATGATCCTCTCTATTCGCCTCTCCTCCATCCCGACATCAAGCACTTGAAGCAAGCATACATTATCGCCACGTCGGTCGATCCCACGTACTACGAGACTTTGTTCTTTTACGAGGAGCTCAAGAAAAACGGTGTCGACGTCGAGCTGGGCCACTATGTGGGATGGCCTCACTATTTCTGGATTGACCCTTCACTGCCAAAATCGAAAGAGTTTATGGAAAAATGGAACTCGAAGCTTCGTGAAATGGTTGCAGCTGCTTGAGAAGAATCTATATCAGGGTTGACATTTTCATAAGCTGTAAATTCTAAACGACATATTGTCGAATTGTAGCTATCTAGGTCTAGTTTTCAACCAACGTATATGTTTGGGCATGTCTTTCTTCAACCCGTCATGTTCTACGGAGTCGAGGGAATAGATTCAGAGCGGCACCATACTCGATATCCTGACGTCGCTCAAGTGACATGTCAGACTCGTCGAGATTCTTCGTGTAGTACTTGATCCCATCACTCGGTGCATTGGGGAAGTCGCTCCCAAAAAGCACATGACCCGGTGGCGCCAACTTGAGCAGCAGAGGCAGCGACAGTGGGTTCGCAGACAGCGCGGTGTCATAATAGAACTTCCTCGCGTCGGCGAGTATTTGCTCGGTCGACTTGGCCAGACTCTTTCCGAAAGGCGTGTACGGCAGCATGCCAGCGGCGCGGTAGATCAGATAAGGTAAGGTGCCTCCGGCGTGGGATAGAATCACTTTGCAATTGGGAAACTTGTTGAGAGAGTCGGCGAGGATCAAGTCCATTCCTGTCCGCCCGGTTTCGTGAGGGTAATCGAACATGGGCAGCGGCAAGTGAGGGTTGACCAAGGCCGTGTCGACCCCGTGCGTGGGATGCACAAACACCACGGCTGCGCGACGGTCAAGCTCGGCCCAGATGGGGAGGAAGTCTTCATGGCCCAGGTAGTGATTGTCGTCGCCGTACCGGGTGAAGACGATGACCCCGTCGGCATGTAATTTGTCCAGGGAGTAGGCGATCTCTTCCATGCACGCCTTTGTGTTCAGCAGTGACGGCAGTGATGCGAAGAATCCGTACTCGGACGGGCTGTCATCACGCAACTTGGCCGCCGCCTCGTTCGATTGTCGAGCCAGGGATGCTTGCGCGACAGGATCACTCTCGATCATTGCGCCGGGTGCCGTCATGGAGAGGATGGTCGTGCGAGTGCCGAGATCACGGTTGATGGCGCGGTCGTCTTCCACTGTCCAACCAGGAACGGTCCATCCTGAAGGGTCACCCCCATGGCGCTCCAATGCTGCAAGACGGCGCGTTAGCTGACTGGCTCTTGTTTGTAGCAACAGCGACGGATGTCGATCGTACCTTGAGTGAAAACCTTTGGGTAGAAGTGATGATGCACGTCGATCTTTGACATGGTGGAACTTTGGTTTGAAGTAGGACTTTGATCTTAAAAGAAATAAGTCTATACCGTCAGGAATAATGATAAACGAAGGACGAGGCGTATATATAGTCATAAACCATCTCAGATGAGCCATTTCTCGTTTGCGAGACGGGATCCTGCTCCCCGACATGAGGATATCTGGGTGACATAGTAGACGTCTTATCGCGCCGGGGAAGTCTTGTTCTGGAAACATGCAACGATGTTCACGCAATACAGGGTCCTTTTTTACGCTCTTCACTGACGAGAGTATCAAGTAAGCAGGCGATGGAGTTGCCCTGAGATGATTGGGTGTTTGATCCCTCAGGGTCGTCGAACGGGGTGTCCCTCCCCGGTTGGGGGGCTTTTTCCGGCCCCCGCCCTCGCCTATCGCCTCGGCAGTGGCATCTCAGTAGACATCCAGTATAAATCTGATATACGCCACTTGCATCAGATCTTTATTGTAGTCTAAACTCCCCGTCTTAAAACTCCACGTCCATCCAGGGTCACGTTTCTCTTTCTAATCACCAGGAATTCCACCCATAACAATGCCCACACAGTCTTCCGCAGCGATCGCGGCAGGGCCGGATAATGCCAGCATGCAGGCGCGGACAAAGCACAAACGCCGCAGGATTCCTCTAGCTTGCGACCCTTGTCGGAAACGGAAGATGAAATGTAATGGCGATCGGCCAGTCTGTTCCAGCTGCCAACGATTGCAGAGAGACAGTGATTGCATCTATGAATCCGGCGTCCTAACAAAAAAGAGGTAGGTACTTTAACCGCCATCATTTGGGGCGAAGTCTGGGGACTTACGACAATGTCATTATAGCTTGAACACTCGTGCTCAAGCCCAGAGGCCTAGGTCCTACCGGTGGGAGGAGCCTGATCCCTCGTCAGCAGGTGAGAATAATTGTGGTCAATTCTATTGTTGATTAGCCGATTACATAGGCTAATTGTAAACTTCTTTCTAGTTCTACAAACAGATCAGACCTTTGCAACGGAGATTGATGCCGTCGAGATATCTCCTAATCGGATATCTACTGGTGAACGCTTAGCAGTTGATGCTTTAAACGCAGTGCCCGATTCACCGACCAACCATCTTTCGTCTGGTTCATCAGCTCTAGCTTTTACCAGAACCGTTGCCAGAACACTCGAGGCACTCCATAAGCCTCCCGATGCATTTCCACTTCATTTCTTGGTCGTCGAAGACACACCTCGGCACCAAGCTCTCGGGCCTGAAGACGCGAGTATAAATGACGACCCTTTTGCACTGCCGACTCGCGCCGCTGCTGACCGCTACGTCAAATGCTTTTTTGAATCGATTCACCCGGTTTTCCCTGTCCTTCATCAACCAGATTTCCATGAAGGTTATCGCAACCTATGGACTGATAACAATGATGGAGGTCCTAGTAACCCCTCGGATCCTATCTTCCTAGCAACTATTTACCTTGTTTTTGCACTAGGATGTCATTTTAGCTCCACAAATCCACAAGAGAAGAGAGTGTCCGTCTCTGATCGATTCTACCAGCGCTCAAGGAAGCTTGTCACTCTGGAGACACTTGACCTTATCCCGTTTCACGGTGTTCAACTACTTCTTCTACATGCTGTCTACCTACAGTCTACATCTTATGCGAGGAGATGCTGGAATGTGGTGGGAACGAGCATTCGAGCTGCACAAAACCTTGGGCTACATCTAGACTCTGATGGATTCCAACGAAGCCAGAAAGAACGAGAGATTCGACGGCGCGTATGGTACACTTGTGTCATTCTCGACAGGTAAGTTGTGCTCTAATATTTTGAGAGTGCTTGCTGAGACAACGATATTCAGACTCGTGGCACTTGTTTTCCACCGTCCCGTGATATTGAATTCCACACCCAAGTGTTCATTGCCCCTGATGATAGACGATGAATACCTTCTCGAAGACGGTGAGGGCAGGCAGCCGAGAGATGCTCCTTCTCGAATGGGACTCTTCATCAACTCGATAAAATTGTTCAACATCTTACCCGATATCCTCACGACGTTTTATTCCAACCACGCCACCGAGTATTATGTACTCAACATAAAGACTTCCGGCTGGTCACAGACATGGTTGACGGATCTCCTACACATGGACAAGAAACTGGACGAGCTCCTCATTAATCTCCCTCCCCACTTACAACGAGACCTAGGGGCTGAGGCCATACAAGCTTTGGGCGACGATTGGGTTGATCTTCAAGTCAACGTATTTTATTCCAGGTATGCCTGATCTCGATACTAAAATTGTTTTTACGAGTGGCTTTGACGGAGTTTGTCAGATTCTTCTACATTCGGGCTCTTTTGCTTCGACCGCTGCTTCTATTCGTCGCTCAGCACGGAAGCAGCCTCAATCTTGGTCAGAAGCGCGAATCGTGCTATCTCGAGCAAGACCTTGTGGTGAAAATCTGCGTGCACTGTGTCTCGACCGCGACCTCACTGGTCAACCTGAAGTATAATTCTCTGAACGACAATTACCCAAGCCCGCCATGGCACAGCATTCACTGTAAGTCAGCTATACGATGCACGGAACCCAACATCAAATAACTGACAGAAAAATCTTTTTGCAGATATATTTGTGGCTGCCATCCTCATAGCCACTGCAAGACTTTGTCCCATCCCTGATCCTTCTTTCGATGATACGAGTCTTAAGTCCGTGTGGTATCGCTGCATTACTATTCTTGAACACCATCGACGACAGTTCGAAGCCGCCGCGACTGTGCTACAAATCCTCAATACCCTCGGGAGATGTATCGATGCCGCAAAGGAGACTCGCCCAAATCCCCACGACCAGCAGAACTATTTAGTTTCCGACCAAGAACTAGCAAAGACACAATTTAACCGGCAATGGAGCGAGCAGGGTCTCGGAGAGGATTTCACCTCCATGAACGACCCAGTTATGACAGCAGAGTTGCCCTTTGAAAATGCGTGGTTCTCGAGTGAGTTGTTGAGTACGGATTGGTTGAACTACGATTTCACTCGAGCCGCTTGGTAGCTGAAATAGAAGGCTGTATCAAGTCACATAAAGATTATTTGTCGTCAGAAATATCTATCAGTGTAATGTCTCCAGTTAGCAAAGTACCGTAGACCCGGGAGTGATCACTATTCAGCATCGACTATTGCCCAAGGATGGAACAAGCCCGTGATGAGCGTATCATGGCTCCACCCTTTAACTCCCCGCGATCTGCATTATCTCCCCGGGATAACTCGGCGCCACCACTCTCTTGCAAAACCACGCAGTAAAGAGCCAACACTTATTCCAAAACCTGATGAGAGGAGATATGCCAGATTTCGGTTACGACGGCTCACCGGCCAGCAACTGAGGACAGATTGACGAGAGAATTGAATGCACGGAAAAATTGCCGCCATCACGAATCAGGTCCGGGCAGGACCCCTGACAAATTCTCCTACGCGGAGCAGAGCACCCGCTTTCCTTTCAAGTACAGGGAAACAAAAACCCCCGGAAGACTTGCTTATAGAAATTTGTCACTTGACAACGAGTCCAACCATTAACCGCGCTGGAGCAAAGATTGCTCTCCATCTCAAGTTCAACGCACGCCGTTGGCGCAGAACAGGCAATCCTTCCCCTCTGTGATACATGGGATAACCTTAAACAGATGATAAGACTAATCCTTGGGATGCCGGCATCACGATGCCTGGATACCGCTTCTGAGCGTGGAAAGTCCACCACGCGCCAATCCAGATAGTGAGACCTCCCCAGATTAGGCTGGAGTAGTTCATCGTCTGTGCGTTGGTGGGCAAGCTATATGGAAAGCAATATATGACACACCACACCAGGAGAAACCCACAAGCCACAAAGTTGAGTATGTAGCCAGGAATGCGACCGAGACGAAACGGGCCGAACTTGACTCCCCGACGGGAGCGAAGTAGGAACGGCAGCAGGGCAGCGAGGTACGAGGAAGCAGACATCAGAACGAAACTGCCCACAAACGCGTTGAAGGCGGTGACGCTGCCGACATAAATGCAACCCATGACCGTCACCATTGCGCAACAGCTGAGTGTAGCTCTGACTGGGACTCCCAAACGTTGATCGACGCGGCCGAAAAACCACTGGAATGGCGTGGCGCCATCCCGTGACAGCGCCCACAGATTACGACCGCATGTGATGTACACTGCCACCACGCAGATAAACGTGGGCAGGAGGAGCAGAGTCAAAAGTCCAATCGTGCCTGCATTGCTGTTGGTTGCCTGGTGGTATATTTCGGCTATTGGAAAGGTCGACGAAAACAACGCATCGTAATCGTTGATGGCGTATAGAATCGCAATCAGGTAAGAGAGTCCACTCACAAACCCGATGGCATATTGCATACCAATCGCCCGGGGAATATTCCGTGAAGGGTTTGGAACCTCCTCGGCCAAATGGCTCGTTGAGTCTGGCGTGCCCATCGCGTATGAGCCGTTCAGCATGCCCGCCACAAAGACGAAGCCATTCGGATAGCCAATATCGGCTGTCCATTTTCCCCAGACGACATTGCTGTTGGCGTGGCCGGGTCGTCCTCCCAAGGACGGCATAATGGCGCACACCAAGACCGTTATCAGCATCCCGAGGACCGTGACGACTATACCGATTTGGTTCAGGAGAGGCATGAATTTGTTGAAGAGACACACGGCGGCACAACAAAGCCATGTGATGAGGATGTAGGCAACGAAGATATGCCAGCTTTTGACCTCCAGACTGGGATGTGTCAAGGCGTACATCTGAACGACAATATTTCCTGTGGGTTTTGTTAGAGATCACCCTTTCAAAGAAATTTCGGTAACACAACTCTTACCGGAGATGGCACTCATCGATGCCGCAGCGAATATCCAAGCGAACAGGTTCCACCATCCCGCGAAAAAGCCAACCACCCGGCCATATTTCCTGCCTGGTGTGATTGAGGCCCAAAGATACGGTCCTGCCGAAGAAGGCATGGCCGAGGCAAGTTCGGCCAAGGACGCTGCTACGATGAAGTAGAAGCAGCTTGCGGCAATGAACTCGTACAAAACTCCCGGAGGGCCCCCATTGTATATTGCCACCAGGATGGATCCTCCCAGTGCCGGCCAGACATTGCCTGTCACAACCCCAGTCCCTGCGAGAGAGAGCAAGTTGAAGTTTCTGGCCAACTCTTGGGCATGTCCGGTCTCTGGCAATATACTAACGTCTTGTTCGGTAGGATCGTGAGGAGAGGGGGCAGGGTTGACCGTGGTTGGGGACTTTTCATACAGGTCATCGCCTTGTAGTCTCTGCTGTTCAGACATCGTGCCAGTGTCAAGAATCCGATGATGATTACAGGTACTCAATGGCTCTTGTCTTTTCAGTACATTACAAGTGTTATTATTCCACAGTCAGACTCGGGTCCTTGAAGGGCGTGCCGCGCGAACCACTTTATAGTGATGCAGCAGACTGACGTTCCCGCCTGCTGCCTTCTGTGCACACCACAAAAGTCGAGACCATTGCCGGGCTCGAGTGTCAGCACATATTTCAGTTTGAGAGATTCGAGACCAGTAGGACTTCATTCAGAATCACAACCCGTCATTCGAGTTCGCGTAGAGCATGATGGATGAGTGGGACTTGTCACCAAGCTAAACCCAAAGGGGAAGGAATATACTAAGGCGAACTTTACGACACCTTTGTTGTTTCCATCCACGATTTATCAAAGTCCTCAGCCAAGTCGCGTATCATTCCATCACCGGTCCTGGGGTTCGACTGAACCCTTGGAGAACCTTTCCAATACTTGATCTTTTGCTAGATCAAGTAACCGTAGCCTATGCCAACCACAGGTCTTGTCCTTATCATCCGGAAACCTCATCAATGTCTTAGTGTCTGGAAGATATGTAGATGGTTCCAATTCTTTCTTATATGAATGGAAATATCACCATTTCACCCTTCACATTTGAACGTTGCAGACTCGTTAAGCACCCTTTCTATTCATACACCGATCCATATTTGCAAACATGCGCTCTTTGACCTGGTACAGCCTTGCTGCCTCGGCAGCGTGCTCTGCCGCCATTGCGGTCCCCACCAGAAACTGGCTTCAAACAAGCATCGAGGCCACCAAAAAACACCACGAAGAGTATAACCTCGAACCCTCTGCCAATTTTGCCTTTGCGGGCATTACGACATTCGCGCAACTACCACAGGCACAGTGCTTGACGGAGACTGGTCCGGTGGACGACATTTTGATCCTGGGTTTCCCATTTGATACGGCGACGTCATACAGAACCGGGGCACGGTTCGGACCAAATGCTGTTCGTCAAGGTTCTCGAGCAGCATCGCTTGCGTATGTTATCATCACACCCCTACTTCGTCCCATACTGGAGGTTTACAGACTAAAAATTCATGTCTCAGTGGACATTACAACTACCGTCAATCCATCAATCCACTCCTCCAAAACATCTCGATAGTGGATTGTGGTGACTTGCCAATTTCACCCTTTGACAACGGGTTGGCTTTCGCTCAGATGGAGGAATGGTACAAGAGAATCTTGTCTCGTGAAGTCAAGGCCACCGAGTCTGGCGTACGATCTACAAAGGTGAGAGTTTCTTTGTTTCTTTATAGCACTTTACACAAATTTGCCTGGGCCAGCCGGATCCTGGATTGGATTTTAGTCTCTCAAAGATCAGTCAGCTAATGAGGGTTATCTCTGTCTAGACTGGTCGTGTGCATCCCCAAATCGTCGCTCTGGGAGGAGACCACAGCGTCTCTCTACCAATCTTGCGTGCCTTGAACACAGTTTATGGCAAAGTATCGGCGATCCACATCGACGCGCATATCGATACTTGGTCACCAAAAGTCTTTGCGGGTGCAGAAGCCGCCAGCAAACAGGCCGAGTTCGCCGACGGAACCCCTTACTACTGGGCCGGCATGGAAGGGTTACTGACCGAGACCAACGTCCACGCGGGCATCCGAAGCAGTTTGGACTCCGAGAGGGACATGGAACTGGACGAGTCATTGGGATTTACCACGATCCCGGCCTCGGATATCCTGAAGAGGGACGGTGTCTGGGGGGTCATCGACAAGATCAGGGCCGCTGTGCCGCATGACGAACCCGTCTACGTCTCGCTCGACGTCGACAGTCTGGACCCGGCGTTCGTCCCCGGCACCGCCGGTCCAGCGTCCGGTGGTTGGACCCCTCGAGAAATCATCCAGATCATCATCGACGGACTAGACGGTCTCAACATCGTCGGGGTCGATGTCGTCGAGGTTCTTCCTGCGTTGGATCAGGCTGAGATTACCGGCATTGCCGCAGCCGAATTCACTATCGAGGTACGTTTGTTCTGGTCTTGACAAATGCATGCTGAATGGAAATATGCTAACTCTTTTCTTCCTTTCCCTACTAGTTGATCACCAGACTTGTAAAGAACAGATTGAAGCTGTAAAGGAATGGTGGTATGTTGGTTGACATGAAACGGCATTGAGGCCCAAGGGATGCCAAGAGACCTCGATTGGCGTAAAGGTCTGGCGGCTTTTCGTAGCAGATAATGCAGACATCATCGTGAGGTAGAGAAACATTACTTCTCAAAGTCTAGTACTATGAAAAGAATACACGTCAGACTCGCCCTTGAACGCCACTGAACTTTGCGCATGTCTTGGGTCTCAATGCATAGCTGTAAGCAACACTGTAGTTACGCTGAAGGGCTTGATGAATGGATCTTACCACACGGTAAAAGATTGAGTGGTCTGTACCATTTTCCACAAGAATGTCTCATGCAGATTTGCAGGTCAATATCACCTACGGGAGAATATATGTATGATAATGAACATCGTAGTGTTCACACTCGCCTGTACAGCTTTATTCAATTCAGGCTTCATGCTTCATGAGCTCTTGAAACATTTTGGGCCAATTTTCTCCAGTCGATGGTCAGCAGACACGCCGACTGCAAAACAAGCAGTGCCCCGCTCCCGCTGATGATACCTGCCCACAGCCCAAAGATGCCGTAATTTCTGCGGAAGCAAAGGAACCACGCGGACGTCAAGCCGACACCATAGTATGCCAAAAAGTTGCAAGCTCCGGATAGATGATTTTTTCCGGCACCTCTCAAAATACCACCAGCACCACCATTGGACAGGTCCAGGACTTGAAAGCCGGCCATCAAGGGGAGAACTTTAGCTGTAAGTTTAATCACACCAGCGTCGTCGGTAAAAATGCGGCCGTAGTGGTTACGCGCGAGCATGATCCCGACAAACTCAATAGCTCCAATGATCAGGGAGAGTAGATAGGGAGTTGCCATGGCTCGTTTCGCCAGCGAGCCTTGACCAGCTCCCAGTAAACCTCCGATACGATGACTGCTAGCAACACTGATGCCAAGTGAAATGGTTGTGAATAATAAATCCGAAGACATCAAGATCTGTGAATGTCAAGTCAGTAACTCGGTGCTTTGGTACAAAGCTGGAAGAAGGGTGTAGCAATGACTGGAGTCTTACACTCTGAGCCCCGATCGCGTCTGGATCAAGTCGAGCCGCCATCATTGCAAGGATTTCGAAACTATACAGAGTATTATTATCTTTGATGTGTGACACAGAAATGGTCAAACTCACCTCCACCATTCGGTTGCAATCGTCAAAATGCCGGTGACGGCGTAGAACAACAGCAGCGATAATTCTCTGGATATTTTTGGGACCGATGAGCTCCACGCGCTCTTGATTGCCGGCATGGTAGAAATGAGGAAGACCAGTGTCAAGACAGTCAGCAGCTGGTAGAGACAAAACCCGCACGGTATCGCCCAAAGATTCAAACTCGACCAGCGAACAAGCACGCCGGTGAACAAGACACCCAAAGCACTAGCTACCGCCGTAGCCCAGCCGACGGCATTACTGGCACCTTGAACTTGGATGAACTTTTTGACACACTCAGCGACGACCTGCAGAACTCCGGCCGGGAGCATGAACAGCATGAATCTTCCCGTGGCTAGAGCAAAATCGCGCTCCTGACCCAACGACACAAATATCGGACCCGAAAACACCCACAATGGTACCACTAGGATTCCGAATATGCCGAGAAGGACAAGTAAGCATTGTTGCAATAAAACCCCGAGGATTTTCGGGTTGCTTGCGGCGGTGTGTGATGTGAAAGCCTGAGCGCACATGGTGTCGAGGGCCGTGGCCCCCCCTATGGCGATCATGGTTCCTGTACATGAGAAGAACATGAACCCGTACGAGGTGACTTTCATCTCGAATGAACCCAGGGTCCCTGCCATGAGGACACTCAGTGCTTGAACCACATTCTGCAACGCAAAGGAAAGGCAGATCGGCAGCGACTGTCTCGTGAGTAGGACCAGATCACCCCAGAAACTGAATTTTTGATCCTTGTACTCGCCAGGAGAGGATAATTCAGACAGCAGTGGTGCCGTCTCGTCGACTTCGGTAGGCGGCATTTTTTGAACCTCTAGCTTGGATACCGAGGGCAAGGTGATGGTTACAATATTGCAGAGGGTTTGCAGCGGACAAAAGTATGGAGGAGCATGTCGGTAGGCCTTTATGGAATTATGATCAGAATACAGTATCTCTGATCGGGTGTCAATCTCGCTGGTTCCACTGGCAGACTCTGGGATCACGGAAAATGGTGCATGGTATGATCAGTATTGCTACATAGCACTCGTGCAGAGAGGCTTTGATGCCCTAGGTCTTGTGGGTCTGTGCACGGTACAAGTGGGTGCATCGGGGCTAAACCCAGAGGGGAAGGAGCATCCTATCTATCCGCTGACTATGTCGACCTCCAGCCGAGTTTTCCTCCCGCTTTTCAATTCACAAAAGGCTTATGGTTGACGACATAACGATCAACTTGAACCAGTACATGTCTCGAAACTGGGACTGCGAACCGCCTCGAATCTTGCACCACCCAAATGCAAAGCAATCTTCCCAGCGATTGGTCCTGTATCAGAACACCCACGTTGGCGACCTCTCCACTTCTCACGTGGACGGTTTCGCACCCTGTCCAAGAATAGCCGAGGGTGTTGGAATAGGCTATATCTGGGTTAGATTCTAGTTCACCCTGTGAGAATCCTTTTTCCTGGGCATTTTTCACATGGGACATGGCGAACACCAGCGCTCGCGTCCCCCAGCGTCCAAGACGATCCCGCAACGGCTGCGAAGAATGTCGCAGGCGGCATTGGAAATGTAACGAAGAGAAACCAATCTGTTCCTACTGCAAGAGCGTTGGGCGCGAATGCATCTATTCCCGAAAGATCTCATGGGGCGGTCGACCGTTCAATAAATCACGTTTTGGGAAATGCTTCGACTCGGCCAGTAGAGTGGTCACCGTCAGCTTCTCCAACAACAGTAAGTGATTATTGAGTTAGGGCATGGTCGCAAAAGATGCGGCGCCGGCTAACTCTGTAAAGACTCACCACCAGCCAAGCGAACCGAGTTTGTCTATACTTGTTCTTCTCCAGAAGCGAGACATGGACAAAGAAATGACAACACCACCAGTCAAAGTCCGAGTTCTTTGAACGCAACCCGTAGCTCTCCAGCTCCGTCCTCGTCGCAATCACCCAGACCTGATGAAGCCGACGTAGGGAGTCGGAATGCGACGAGGGCCACGAAGTCAGCAAGTTCCGATTCATGCCATGACATTGAACAGCCCCTCAGCATAGTGCAGTCACTGCCACAGGAGTCGAAGCCACTGTTTGACTATTTTATCAACAGAATGACAATATCGATATCTTGTCACAAAGGTATTCAAGATGACCTCTGTTCGACCGTTGTCCCTATGGCGCTCCAGGTACCACATCTGCTGTCTGCTGTCCTCGCTTTGGCTTCTGCACATAGGCAATCTTGCGGTCTTGTTCAAGGTGATGGACAATTCGACTTAATGAGAGGCAAGACCTTGAAACAGCTGAGATCTGCCTTGGACATCTTCAAACCTACCGAGAATGATGAAATACTCGCAACCACCCTCATATTATGCATGGCCGAGGTAGTATCGCCCTATTCCGGCACGACTTCCTGGAGATCGCACCTACAGGGTGCTGCCGTATTGTCTGCACGTCAGGGTTCTGGCCAGAGTTCGAGCGCGACATTTCTTAGACGAAAATTTCAAGCACTCCAGGCTATGGCATTGGTATGCGGGACGAAAAGATACGAAGGTCACGTCCAGCCGCCCTCCTTAAGCGAGACAGATGGTCGCATTGATGATCTTGCTGGATATTCCACGAAACTGCTACCAATTTTCCAGAGCATACACGATCTCGGAATGCTGCAACCGGGAGATGGCTCTCTTTTTAGTTGCGACTCTCCTCCTGGATTGCCACACTGGGGCTGTAGCTCACAATTAGAACACCAGTCCCATCTACTATTCGATCGTGTCCGTGAGCTGATGTTGGAACGAGAACAATCCCGATCTTCAGATCTTTCGAGTATCCCCCAGGCCATCCGCCACGACCTTTGGCTGCTGGATGAAGCATACCATCACATGGCCATCCTTCAAATTTTTCAAAGAGGATCACTGTCCGTACCTCACCAATTCTTGGAAGACAGCCGAAGTGCAATTCTAAATTGCCTCGGGCGAATGTCCTATCACTCGACGCCTTGTCCTGGAGTAGCCGTTCTACCTCCGCTGTTTGTCGCGGGTGCCTTGTGCACGAGCACAGCGGACCAGAACCAAGTTCTCAGTCTCTTAAGGACACTCTGGGTGAATTATGGAATGGCGAATGTGCGGTCCTGCCGCAGTATCTTGGAAAGCAGATGGAAGAGACAGGGTCAGACTCTCGGCTCGACAGTCGAATTGACTGGACCAGCGTGGCAAGGTGGGTTACACATTCTTGTTAATTTGGCAAATTCCTTGACTGACTCTGTGTAGATGACGAGCATGACGTCCTGCCCTACTGATCAGTATTTATCATACTCGTATGTGAATAAACAGAATGAGAGATCAGCATAGGGTGACGAGATATGGACACGCACACGATGTTCCAGCTATTCATATCGCCGGAAGCAAAGCTTCAAGGTTTAACAATTCGAGATATTCATTGACATGTTTGTACTACGAGGACAACATATGTATTATATTATGGAAGACGATTTATGCTGCAACGATATTCCAAAGAAAATGAGAACAAGTTTCGTGATGTTACTGTAGCAATTCTACGAGCATCGCGCTCTTGGGTTGCCTTCTGTATTCATTATTGGTGAATAGGATAGCATGAGGTTCTTGTACTCTCTCACTCTACACTACTCTACGTGATACTCTACGACATCTTCTTGGGCCGTTGCTGTCTCGGGGTTCTGGTCGAGAGGCTTCTTGATGTTCAATCTCCATACTCCGTACACGCTTGGACACACCCCGAATGAGGGCGAGCCGAGTATAAACAATCACCCATGTCTCACCAGATTATAAGGGCCAAAAGCGTGGCGACTGAACGCCGATGGTAGACGCCAGCCCTTGCTCGCACCGGTGGAGGCTGGCCATCCTCCTCGCTGCGGTCTTCAAGATTCTCTTCTCCTTTACCACAATCGTAACAGTGGCTTTCTTCGATGTCATAGGAGCTCTCGTCATCTTCCCGACCGTGGAAACTCCCACCATGCAATTCGCTTTCACCGACTTCGTCGTTGTTCGTCAGTTTCCCAATTTGTAGGTCGTCTTCATTTTCACACGCTCTTGTCTTCTCGAGACTTCTCCATAAGGAGAATGGAAAATGCGCTGGTATCGTTTTTCTGAACCCTTTCGCGCAGGATTTCATGCTCATGACCTTGTCATTTTGATGTTTGGGTCCGAATCTAATCTTCAGCCATTTCTTCCAGGTCGTGGGTTCGTAGATCTTTTGAATGTGACACAAAAGCTGCTCAAATGTAGGCACCAAATGCTTCACGAATTTTAGAAAAGAAGGATTTGATTCTGCCCACTGCAGAAAATCATCTTCGAGATCTTCCGAGGCTGACGCTGTTGTGTGTTTGGTAAAGAAACAGAATATTTCAAGGGTATGTATGAATACCAAATTGAATGCTGCGATCTTGATGTCATGAAGGAGAGCGCTTCGGTTGTCCATGTGAATTTCTCCCACTTTAGGCAGGCATAATCGTTGAAAGATATTGAAATAAACCGCAAAAAGTCTTGCAAAAAGTGTTCGTTGTTCGTTGCTAAGGCCACTCGCAGAGATTTCACTCATCATACTCCAAATTAGTTCCCGGCAATCTAGTATTGGGACAACAGAATAGGTGTGTAGCTCTCTTGGTGCTCTAGGATCGCTCACTGCGACCTCCAACAGCCTTTGGTTGTAACCGAAAAACTTCAAGAAACTGGGGTGGATGCTGGTAGCGAGTTCCCAAATACACAGGTTTATGATCCCATTGCGTGTCGGAGAATCACCCATGTTACGAGGTATATTTGGTTTTTCCAGTTCCCATAAGTGAATGAGGTCGTCGGAATGTTCGTCTTCTACCGTTTGAAGAGTACGCCTGCAATCTTCAGGGAGACAGCTTGAAAGTCCAGGATGTTTGCAGAACCACCTCGCAAGCTGGGGAAATTGCTTGCTTGTTAGATGTTTATTATCGTTCAATCTGGAACAAAGGAAAAAGATATGACTTTGGATTGCGCGCTTGAGGTGCTTTCCTATTTCGCAGTGAGGCCCACCCGCGGATAATAGAAGTTCGATTTCTTGGTAGACCGCAGTAAGAGTGACGACCAGATGATATGGATCAGATCCACTCATACTTGGACTCCTGATGGAATCGAATAGCAAAAGCAAGTAGGTACCGGAGAGGGCTCTGAAGTGCGTAACAGCCGTTCTTTCTGACGATGTAAGAAGGTGCCACAGGAACTCTTCGTGAATTAAGTCGCTTGAAAGGACAAAAGGAAGAAGGGTATCAACTGTTTTGCGGTTCGAAAATGGGAGGAAAGCAAACAGATGATTTGTACCAGTTGTTGTTCCTTGAAGGATGTAAATCCGGCTCAATAGCTTCCAGACGGTATGGGCTTTGCGCAACTCCGCCCGCACATCTTGTGGTAATGATGTAGGCAAGGCAAGCTTGTTTGTGTCTTCATATCCTATAGAAGGTCAGGAAAAGATTTTGGTGTGGAGGGTCAAGTGAGAGTACCAGCAATGAAGATATTCTTGAAGTCCATGAATTTTGACCGAATACCGCATGCCCATGTGAAGTTCCCTACGTCGATACCCTGGTTGGAGAGAAACTTCACGCAGTTGTAACAAGGACTTTTTCCCGAGCACTGAGACCTCAGTAATTAGAAAGATTATGAACGGAAGGATCATGTTTAACTTTCCTTTCGCCTCATCCATTTACATAGGAAACATGAACCACCCGAGTCATTGACTTCACACATATTCTTTATATGCTCTTCAGTTCGTTTTTTTTCTTGGCCTTTGGAGGATTGAGTTCAAAAGTCGCACACATGTTTTCAGGGACGGAAAAAGCCGTGTTTCGACGTCTTTTTCGATTGCTTGATTTCGTTTTGACAGGTTGCATAGAGTTGGTAGTAGTAGGCTGCAAGACTTTCAGAGTTGACTGGAATCCTAGTGGCTCAAGTGGTTGGAACATTGCATCTTTGACCAGGTTGTGTTGGAGATTAAGAACAGGACCTCCGGAGTCCATATGATTATTGGTAATCATTGAACCGTTGCTGACGGAATTATCGAAGTTTCCTTGATGCTGGAAATCCGTACTGTGCATCACGTTTGGCATCAGACTGGAGTGTCCAACATCAGATCCGGTTTACCCGTACGCACAGGGAGGGATCCCAATCTATCCACCCTTCGCTAGGAAAACTCTCGTGACGCCTTCAACAACCAGTGAGGAATACACTACTCGTACTCCATACTCGGTTCGGATGTTCTTTCAAAAGAGGAGAAGAGTTTCGGTATCGACGCTATCTGTGTCCCCCATCACATACATTGCACAACAGCAATGGGCCCGGCCAACCTGTATCCAGAATGACATCTCCATCGAGATCCACCCCTACGGACACGCGATTCTCCAGCTCTCTCACACCCATCCTTGCTTTGTTACCCACTCATTGATTGCCAAAGTCGAACTTCGATCCGGTTAGCTTCTCGCTCAGAGTCCAGACTTGATCCATATAAGGTTCGGCTTCCTTGTGCTCGGCCGTCTCTGAGACGTTGCAGTCGTCGAGGTACGCTCCAGACACGGCGGCCAGACTGGGATCGAGCGCGGCACGCAGTTGAGTCGAGCACCCCTGCTGTAGGTTCTTGCGCTCGGGAATTTTAAAGTTAGGGTTCTCGATCATGTACTCCTTGATGGCGCGTTGTCTCATCTCGTCCGTCATGTAGGCTTGTAGATTGGTGGTGATGCTTCCTGGGTTCAGGCTGAAGGCCGAGATACCCCTTGACGCAAGTACCTTGGCCAGGCGCTTCGCGTACAAGACGTTACAGGCTTTGGAGACGGAGTACGCGACCGTGGGTTCGTAGATCTTGCCGTGATCATAGGTCAGATCTTCCAAATGAGGCATGACGAGACTGGCTTTGCGCTGTGATGCCAAGCTGCTGACGACCACGACTCGTGATCGAATTAGGTCGGATTGAAGCAAGAGGTTGCCGAACAGGAAATGACCCAGGTGGTTCGTCACGAATTGTAGTTCCACGCCTTGTTCCGTGGTAGCATAGGGGCAGGCCATGATGGCGGCGTTGAGGATAGCAACATCGATCTTGTCACCGCCCAGAGGAGTCTTGACATTCGCCGCGGCGGCCCTGACTGACGATAGATTCGACAGATCGAGCTGGACGAAGCTCACTTTGACGTTCGGATGGCTAGTGCTGAGCTCGTCAATCAGAGGTTGGATTTTGGATTGTGTCCTCCCAGCCAGGATCAAATGCTTCGGGTTACCGGTCGCAAGACTTTTGGCACTTTCTGCGCCCACACCCCCCGGCGTAGGACCGGTGATTAAGACTTGTTATTATGTCAGCTAGAACATTAGGTCTATGGGGACATGGTTGGGCATACATGTACTCCCGCTGACCTTGTCTTTGAAGTGCTTCACCACCTCGTTGCCCGTCGTAGCCCATCCGAATTTCATGATTACGTCGATCAGTACTTTCGAGTAGAACTTGTGTTTGAGGTAGGAGAGGTTGTGGTGCCTGTGATGAGATCTTTCAACCTTGTCAACAAGTCATATTGTCGCTGTGTGTTATATACTATCAAAGACAATGGCGATAAGTACAAACGATAAAGCATACGGCGAGAATTGAGTTAGTCAAGGCCGGGGATTGTCAGCAGGTTGCATACAGCCCTGCAGCTCAGTAGAATCGACATATAAGCTTTGATTAGGTTAGTATCAAGCGGCGATGAGCACAGACTCTAAGTGTGAGCAGATATGCACGATCTGATGGTCGAGTTCGGAAATCTCCTTTATGTCCGTTCCCCTGCATATTCAAGTTAGACCTTGTCATGTCAGCATGACTGGTGGAGCTTTTGAATCAATCCAAGTCAGGTATGAAGTCTTGTCGTATGGACATGGAGTGGATTGATACCTGTTCCTTCTGGAGACAAGTAGACCACAGCTAGCTCAGTAGTATCATTCTTAGAGAGTGAAGCGTTTGTCTTTGGTGTCACCAAGAACTCATAAAAGTTGTCGATGGCGGAGAAATGTAGTACATAGGCGCTGCTTTAGTTGAGTATGAGGAATGACCTCACAGAGAATCACGCTATTTTAAGACACCTGTAACCAATCTAAATTCACCGGCATTAATTTAAACGACTTGAAATGTGATCGTATCTTCCACACGTTCCAGCGACACAACTGTTTCAATTTAGATGTATTGTCTGTTATTCCGGAGATAGCGGACTTCCGGAGAAACTGATCCGACCTTCAAAGATTCCTCTTGTGCTGGAGATTAAGAGGACGATTTGAACACGGCCTATTGATTTAACCGCTCTCCTCATCTTGAGTAACTTCCAGCTACACATTGAAGGACAAGACCATCTGCCACAAGAGCAAGCTTAGCCTCGGATTTTGCATCCAACTTGGACGGGATTCATGGTTTGGTGCAACCAAGTCTCAGAGCACTCGCATTTTGCATCATGCTTGACGTGGTGTCGAGTCAGAGCAAGGACAGCTTGATCATCATTGACTTTGAAATTGATAGATTTCCAGGACAGGGATAAGACTGACTTGCCAAATTGATCCAATCTGGCACTCATTCTCACCAGCTACACCACCACTCAACCACCTTTTGACCGTCGTCGACATCGAGAATCAACTTCACCTGCATACCCAAAAATGTTATTAGCGAGGTCAACGTTTGAGAAATGTGGAATTCATGGCAATGTGCTATTGAGTCATCAGATTCTATTCATTACCCCATGCTCGACTTCTCATCGAGGTCGGAGGAAGGAAGAAATATAGTCATCATGACTTTGAACCTTTGGCATGGACAGATCGCAAGATAAGGATGAGACTGACTCGTTAACAGCAACTCGATCTGTCCGTCATTCTGACCGCAAATGCTACCACTCCTTCACCTTTTGACCTGAGGGTCCGTCGTGACCGTCGAGAACCGATCTCGCCTCTATGTTGAAAACAAACATCAGCAGGGTCAGCGTTTTTCGACGTGGAATTCATGGCAATGTGCTATTTATTTTTCAGATTTCGCTTTATATTTCATGCTCGACTGGTGGTCGAATTCGGATGGCCGAAGAACAAACATAATCATCATGACTTTGGACTTTGAAACGGACAAATCGCAGGGCATCAGGGTATTCCAGGCTTACCAAGTGTTTTTGACTCAGTCCACCACGTGAGATACATCAGTACTCAATCATTTTGTGGTCGGGGTGTTTCATCGCGCTCTGGGGTCAAGTTATGCTATGTGCAGAGGAAGTCAGTTTGCAGGTCAGGATTCACAATGGATATGGTTCACGATTCTGCGCTGATCAGTCATCAGAACAACCTTCTTTGACAGCATGCTCGATGCCATGCTTTACATTGCAACGAGTCTGGTTCACGACCATTTCATCATGACTTTGAAATTACAGGAGAGGATGTGTTGAGACTTACCGTCAGTTATTCGTCAGCGTGTCCCCAAATTTGTCGAGACAGATCACCGCTGGACCACCTTGAGTTTCGAGGACTAAGATTGCCGCAGAAGAGCACGAACTCCCACCTGAAGAATGTCAGCATGAGAGAAACAAGTAACTGAATCGGATGAAGTCGATGATTCTGTGTCCGCTGAGCACTCAGAAAATCTCATTTCGTGTCATACTCGTTGCCATATGCATGGCGCCGAGTCAAATCGACAATTTGATCATCATGACTCTGAAGGTGCCGGAGAGAGCGCGTGTCACTTACAATTGCCAGCCGGCATCTATGTACCTGCATGCACAGAGAGTCAGAATCAAATCGCACTTTGAAATAGATGAAGCTTCTGGTTGAATGGAGCTAAGTCATCAGTTTAAAATTTTCAAATCATCCTCGATCACTGATCGACTCTAAAGGGAGAAGTTTGCGGTCATCATGACTTGAGCATTTGATGGGTTTCATGAAGGGAGGTATTTGGTTTACCATCTTTGATCTCTCGGTCTGCCACCTACATTGGTGGAACATACTTCCAGTTCAGCCACATTCCATGGCCTGGTGCTCATCATTGGTGTCAAAGATTCACTCAACCTGCATGCAGAGAAATGTCAGTGTTGAGAACAGTATCTGTACAGTATGAAGCTCATGTTCTGCGCACTCAAGTTATCAGACTTTTTTTCAACTCATTCTCGGCATGTCGTCGAGTCTGCAGAACCATATGTTTTGATCATCATGACTTTGGAATTCATCCGTTGCAGGAGGGCAGGACAGGGCATTCTCTGGCTCACCTTCTTCTCATCATTAACCATTGGTGCGTCTAGTCAATCAGGTCCATTCAAAAGGACTCGTGATTGACATTGATGAGTGTTTTGCCTGCGTCCAGAAAAAGTCAGCATGGAGACCACGATTTGGAGGGCGAGAAGTTCAAATTTCTGCGTTGTTGAAGTGCTCAGAAAGTCCGACTTTATATCATGCTCGATATGACATCGAGTCTAGTTCTCAAAACAAATTGCTCATCATTGCATTCGAGATTGATGGATTGCAGGAAGGAAGTATTTCGGAGACTGGCAGACCGACTTGTGTCCCAGATCTTTCAACAACGCCGGCAGACACGCATCTGCCCAGCCAACAATGTCATGGTGGATGGTCCTTGTTGGTGAGGACGATTTGACCTGCATTCAGAGAAAGTCAGCATCGGGATCAGACAAAACTTGTGATGGATGCAATTCATGGCTCTCTATTTGTTGAGTCATCAGACTGACGTTGATTCTAAATCATACCCGACTCGCCGTCGAGTCCGATCGACAGAGTTTCGGTCATCATATGACTATGGTGTATGGCAGGAAGAAAGGTTTGGTCTTACTGTCTTCTCTTTTTAATCTGGTTTTTCTGTTGCTGAACACCGTGGTGTGTTCGAAACCCCTCACCGATGGAGGCGCAGAGTCATGTTGAGAAATGATTGTATGGTTGCAGGGTTTTGTCGATCGGTCTCAAGTCTGCAGGACAAATTTCACCTGCATGCCAAAAAAGAAGGGTCAGCCTGCGGATCAAAGGTCGCGGTGGGTGTAATTGATTGTTGAGTTCTTGAGTCATCAGAAGGTCTTCTGCAGTACATCATACTCGACAAGATGTCGATTCTTCTTGAGGGGTTTATCTTCATCTAACTATGATAGGGTAACAGAGGGGGGAAAGTGTCTGACTTGTCGTTATTCACGCTGTCCTACAGCCTCCACGCACCTTGTCAACCGCTTTCGCCTTCGCGGTGTAGGGCCATTTCGCCTGCGTTGAATGAGATTGTCAGCGTTGAAATCAAAATTCCTTTGGATGGACTTGATGGTTTTGTGCTCGAGTTCGTCAGATCGGCATTTTGTACATCATGCTTGACACAAATTCAAGTCTGAAGAACGCGGAAGGTCATCATGTAACTCGGATACTTTGGAATTACAAAGGGGGAAAACTTTTCTTACTCTTCACGAGATGTGAGCACTTGACCATTGATCTTGAGAATGATTGAGTATTTTGACACGTCCCTTTGTGATCATTGTGTATCTCCTCTTTCTGATGGAATATTGTGGTTATGTCAAAGTGGGAGGTTCGGGAAAGGTGAGAGAAGGACTTCCAAGTTCACTTTTCGAGGTGATGAAAATGCTCTTTCAAGGAAGTCAAGGGAGGATGGTCCCATGACTCTGTAGAGGAGCTACTATCACAGTATCAGTCAGCAAGGTGCAGAGTTTCAAGAAGAATTGATGAAGCTTTGGAGTTCTCACCTGTTTTCACTTTGAATTCTCACAGAGACGAGAGACAGAGGGGTTTCCACTTTGTCTTTGTCACGATGTTTGAACTCTGGGAGTACAGGCACCCTTCTCATCTTTCCAGGAACCATTCCACATGAAAAGACAAGGCTCTCTGGTGGTTGAACAACAAATTCATGAATTTTAAAACAAGTGAGTGAGTAACAAAGAGATGAAAAGGACAGAAGAAGAAATCATCTACGTGTTGTTTGTTTTATTTGCACCAGCCGCATCGAGGGGCCATGGGAGACGACGCGGCTGAAGAACAGCACCTTGAATGGAGGTGCGGCTGATGTTGGGCTATTCACAAACTCCCACTGCCAAACGATACAGTTGTTCTTGCGCTGTGATGGTAGAAGGAGATTTGGCCACAATGCAAAAGCCTCACATGAGGCTGCGGACCAACTACTGCATGTGCATTGAAAGGAAGCATTTTTGGAAGTCATTTTGGAGAGTCTAATTGTATTGCTTTTGCATTTATGGATTGGAATCGTATACGAGTCACAGCGACAGCAAAGTGTTCAAGGGGGCTTCAGCCTTGGTATCATTACCACTAGCACCAAAATGATGAGATTTCGAAACTCGTTGAATTGAGTTACTTACCTGGAGATCGTAACAGTCCATATGCATGCTGTTGAGTACGAAGTTTGGAGTACAAGTCAATAGGGTCAATAGTACGGACGAAGAATTACAGACAGGTATACGGAGTATGAATGATCAAGATTACAGAGTTCTGGAGTAACAAGAGGCAGAACAAGGAAACTCCAAGGATTATTTTTTGTATGTTATCGTTGTAATTACATATTCTAAACTATCTAGTATTTTGGCACTGAATCATCAAGCATCTAAATTACCTCCCTTGTACGGAGTACCGATCATATATCATATCCGCCATTCTCATCTGTGTGAAAGTAAAAATCCCTCCTTGTTTTGTCGAATGATTATTAAAAAGGCATATTTCCGTAAAAAATCTTGACTTGTCTCCCTTTCTGTTCCGTTGATCCATGTACCTCGTTGCCTCGTTCCTACACCGTAAGAGAAATGTTTGGATGGAGCACAACCATCTCCGATGATGTACTCCGTCATGTGAAAAGTGTTCACTCTAGATCAGAGCAGCGACTGCGAGAACCGCTCCCATGAAGATGCCCGTCACTCCCGTGGTGGAGGACTTGAGATTGCTCGCGGCGCCCGTGAATGTTGCTGCCGCCGGAGCGAGGGGAACGACTGTCGAGCTGGCCTTGGCTGACGAACTGGTTGTCCAAACTCCAGAAGTGGACGCTGCGGCTGTTGATTTGGTGGAGGCGCTGGGGACCGAGGTGGTCTTTGAGGAGGTCCAGTCACCCCATGTTTCAGAGCTTGTTGAAGTAGTTGTGGTGACGGTCGACGATGTCCAGTCTCCCCAGACCTCGGACGTTGTGGTTGGTGCAACTGGAGTCGTGGTTGAAGTCCAGTCTCCCCAAACCTCAGAGGTTGTTGTTGCTACAACTGGGGTCGTGGTAGAAGTCCAGTCACCCCAGGTTTGAGAGCTTGATGGAGCAGTGGTGGTGCTCGATGAGGTCCAGTCTCCCCAGACCTCGGACGTCGTGGTTGGCGCCACTGGAGTCGTGGTGGTTGAGGTCCAGTCTCCCCAAACTTGAGATGTTGTCGTTGGTACAACCGGAGTCGTGGTTGAAGTCCAATCTCCCCAAACTTCAGACGTCGTTGTCGGTGCAACAGGAGTCGTCGTGGTGGTCCAATCAACCCAGACTTCGGAAGTCGTTGTCACCACTGGAGTGGTCGTCCAGTCAATCCAGACCTCGGAAGTGGTTGTTGGTGCAACGGGAGTCGTAGTGGTGCTTGTGGTCCAATCGACCCAAACCTCAGACGTCGTTGTTGATGTGGCGGTGGTGGTGGTGGTAGTTGTCCAGTCTGACCACACTTCGGATGTAGTGGAAGAAACTGGGGTCGGCGTCGTGGTCGTCCAGTCGGCCCAGACTTCAGAAGTTGTAGTGGGTGCAACTGGAGTTGTCGTGGTAGAGCTAGGAGTCCAATCACCCCAGACTTGAGACGTCGTCGTTGTTGTTGTGACTGGAGTTGTGGTTGAGGATGTCCAATCGCCCCAGACTTCTGAAGTAGTCGTTGATGCAACCGGTGTTGTTGTTGATGATGATGTCCAGTCACCCCAAACTTCCGAAGTAGTGGAAGATGTCGTCGTCGTGGTTGTCGTGGTTGTCGTCTTCCAATCGCCCCAGACCTCGCTGCGAGTCACATTGGGGAATGGGAGAAAAGGATACGGTCCGTCAGTAGTGGCAGCAGCAGCGGCATCACTGGTCTGAGGTCGAGGTAGAGCATTGACCAAAGGCAGTGACGCTAAGACGGCGGCCACCGATGCCGCCGCCAAGGCGGTGGGTTTGGTAGATGAATGCATGTGTGATATACTCGGTGCACAAAAAGTACAATGCTAGTGTATAGGCTTAGGAGGGATCAAGTTGCACTGAGCAAAAAGAGGTTTGTGCGACGAGAGAGAAGAAGATCAAAGCTCACTTCACTCTTTTGCTATGGCTATGATGAGTGGATGGAAGAATGAAAAGAAAAAATTGCACAGACCGACATGCGACCATGTTATTATATACACATATAACACGTACAAACCACACTGTATCTACGTAGCATTCGTATCCAGCCATCACCTTGCATATGCACTCTTTCACTGGTGAGTTCTACGGAGTACCTGATAGGTAAACCAGCAGAAACAATACGGACAATTTGTTCTGGTTGCCAGCCCTTCACGAAGCTACCCAGCCTCGCGCTAGTCCATTTCGGGTAGTTGTCAACATTGACCGTCCAATCATCATACGCAGCCTCACAATCAGCCGCTAGTTAGTTAACCCCCGCCATTTTTTTTGGTCAGCCTCGCCATCTCTTTTTCTTTTGTTTTCTGTACTCCGCCACCGAGATCCTCCTCGCATGGCTATGTAATCCGTACATGATCGACAATTTTGTCTCTTGTGTGGCTGGGTGACGTTTCCTTTGATGTGGCGAATTTTGATGTACATTCCTCCCGACATGTTTACGCAGTAATCTGTATGGGATGCCCACCTAGACATTTTAGAACATGTTGTATGGGTGATGGAGTCCATCCCCCCATATTTAGATATTGAAGCGCTACGAACTCCATGAAGAACCAAATAATGAACAAACAACACAACGAAAAGAGATACACAATACACAACGCCGTTACACATAACATTACATATTCATACATATACATCATATATCATACATAACACGTCGTCAATCACACTCGTACACGACACCAATCATTAACAGTGCCTACTTTGTACCAGTTTTAAAAATCTACTTTTCGTTTTTGTCTAAATCTCAACCAACTCCAGACCTTGGTACAATCTAGCTTTTTTTTTTCTGTCATCTTTCGGTCCCCAATGTTTGCAAATGATTCCAACAAATGAAAAGTTTCCTTCCAATCAATCTGAATCTCACCCTCACGAGGCAAGCACCAGAGCCAACAGGGCCATCCTTGTGTAAAGTCCGTACCGCATCTGTCTAAAGTATGCCGCACGCTGGTCAAAGTCCACCTCTTCGCTGATCTCTCGGTTGCGAGGGAGAGGGTGCATGACAACCATACTCGACTTGGCATACTTCAAAACACTGTTGTCCACAATCAGACTGTCCTTGAGACGTTCATATTCTTGGAGGCTGGAGAAGCGTTCTTTTTGGACTCTGGTGCAGTAGAGAACGTCGCTCTTCGCCACGATCTCTGGTGTCAGAGTTTCAGATTCGATAGCAAGCTGGCCAGAGGAAACGATCTGCTCCCGGACGTCTTCGGGGAGGGCAAGATCCTTCGGCGCAACCAAGTTGATTCTGACTTCATAGTACTGGAGCAACTTGACCAATGAATGCACAGTCCGGCCGTATTTGAGATCACCGGTAAAAGTGACAGTCAGACCAGTCACCGTGCCAAGCTCCTCTCGAATGGTGAACAAGTCCAGGAATGCCTGTGTCGGGTGTTCTCGGCTACCGTTTCCTCCGTTGATAATTGGGACCGGTGAGAATTTGGCGGCCGTCACCGCGGATTCGTTGTCTGGGTGGCGAAGGACTACCGCGTCACCGTAGCAGCCGAGAGTGCGGATACTGTCTTGCAATGTTTCACCCTTTTGCGTGCTCGAATGATCTGTGTTGATTGCAATGGTTCGACCACCCAATCGTTGCATAGCGGCATCAAAGGACGCCGAAGTACGAGTGCTTGGTTCGTAGAACATTGTGCACAACACCTTGGAAGGCAGGATTGGGAGTATGCCTTGTCTCTGAACACCTAGACGCATTTCCTGGGCCACAGTGAATAAGATGTGAAGCTCTTGTCGAGTGTACTGCTTAACGGACAGCACGTGACGGTTCTTGAAGGGGGACGACGCCAAGAGGGAGAGCAACGATGGTGAGATGGATGATGGAGCTGCAGGTTGGCGGAAGGGTGCCGTCGGTAGAACAGGAGTGTTCGTGTCCTCGAGCACATCGTCCATGTTGCGTGCTCGAGTGATTGGGCGGCTTCGTGTGGTAGTCGAAACCCTCCTGTTGGCTGTGGTTTCGAACAGGGATGGACGGCGATCGATCGGAGTGTCTGCTTGAGCTCGCAAAGTGGGAGATGTCGGACCCACGGCTGGAGTCGTAGGGGCGAGGAGGTGAGAAGACATATCTGCACCTCTTGGGCCATCAAGTGAGAGCTCTCCATCAAGACAAGCTGTCTTCCCCTGAAAGATCACTCTGGAAATTGCACCGCGAAGTGTTTTGCCTACAAAAGGTGACCAGGCAGACCCAGCTTGAAGAACATATTGGCGGTTAATGTCGACTTCTATGGAGGTGTTGTTCTGGTCATGCAATTCGAAGATAGTCTTTGGGTTGTCATGAAGGCGTGTGGTAACATCTTCCATTGTCATTCTTCCCTCGGCAACTGCTGTCAGCAGCAATGGAAGAGCATCAGCCAAGCCCACAGTGGGCACAGCATGGTCGCCTGCGATCTGATAAGGAATACTGCCAACCGAGAACACGTCAATAGTGGACAGATGATCCCACAACGCTTTCTGATCCACAGCCGTTGGCAATGCCGGGCAGTCGGGGTAGTCGGCTTGAGAAAGGAACAGGCTGTAGATTGATACATCACACGTGACCTTGAGACCTTTTTCTTTGGACAGCGCAATCAGACTAATATCGTCTTTGGAGGTCACATTCATGACATGGACTTTCCTGTCATGGAGACTCGCCAGAAGGAGGATAGAAGCCAGATCCGTAGTCTTCGCATCAGTCACAATCGGCTTGTATTCAGGCCAGGTTCCGAAGTGAGCAGTCACAGTCGCGACCTTGTTGATATTTCCAGCGAGATGATTGAATGGAATAAACAATGAACCAACTTCTCCTTTGACGTGTACGATCTGCTCGGAATTAGAGTCCGTTGCTGCAACGGAATAGTTGAAGTCGCAATATGATCCCGCCTCGGCATTTTGCTGAGCAATCTTCAAGGAGCGAACATCGGTTATGGCACTGTCGATGCCTACGGGCATGACCCGAATCATGCTGAATCCAGCTGCTATAGAGGCTTTGGTGACGAGAGCGAAGTCATGCGAACCCTTCCGCGCCACCCCAGGGACAAACGCCGCCACATTGATCAGGCCTGGAAGCACAGCAGTACGATGGCTAGTCTGGAAGTCAATGTTGTGGATGCTAAGATCATAGTGCCTAGCAAGGGCTTCAATAAGGATCTTCGCAATCTTGACATTCGTGATCAATGGAGTCTGATAGTCGACTGCCATACGGCGAGTTCGATAACCCTTGCTCATGTAGTTGGCCGGTCTTCTGAATCGATTGCTTGAGGGCAAGTTGATGTACAAATCGATCTTGTTGTTTGCCAGATGCTGCGTCAGCGAGTACTCGGATTTCTGCTCCTTCTCGTCACTGCCAAGCACTTCAAGGTATTTCACTTTGATGCCATGCTCCTCAAGGAAATCAGCTGTTCCAGAAGTTGCGAAAAGGTTGTAGCCCATGTGGTGTAGCTTGCGAACGGAAGGGAGCATCTCCATCTTATCCTTGAAAGATCCGATAGAGAGAAGAATATTCTTCTCTGGCAGTTTAAAGCCTGTCGAGATAGTTGCTTTGATATAGGCTTCGTAGCGATCACGGCCGAAGCAGGCAACTTCACCAGTGGATGCCATTTCAACACCCAAAACAGGGTCGGCACCAGACAATCGAGAGAATGAAAATTGTGGAGCTTTCACACCGACGTAATCGGCAGGAATGTCAACGGGTGGGTATGGTGTGACGGGTCTGCCCATCATAACCTTTGTGGCCATTTCGATCAAGTCCACTCCCATGACTTTGGAAACAAATGGAAAGGATCTCGACGCTCGGACATTGCATTCGATGACTTTGATCTCGTTGTCCTTCGCAATGAATTGGATATTGAAAGGGCCAGTGACGTTCAAGGCATTGCCAATCTTGCGAGTAGCTTCTTCAATTCGGGCGATTGTTTCAGGCTCAAGATCTTGTGGGGGACAGATCAACGTAGCATCTCCAGAGTGGACACCTGCATTTTCGACATGTTCAGAGATGAAGTGGCCAGTCATGACACCATCTTTGGCCACAGCATCCATCTCGATCTCCTTGGCATTCTCGATGTACTTGGTAATGACAACAGGGTGTTCTCGGGACACATCCACAGCTTGATTAAGATAGCTAGCCAGATCATCCTTGGAATATACTGTGTTCATCGCAGCCCCAGACAACACATAAGACGGGCGTACTAGGACAGGGTATTTCACCTTTGCGCAAAACTCCAGTGCTTCCTCAATGCTAGTCAATTCCTTCCAAGCTGGTTGATCAACATCGATGCGGTCGAGCATTCGAGAGAATTTGTACCGATTTTCTGCAGAGTCAATCATATCTGGCGAGGTTCCAAGAATTTTGATGTTCAGTCTGCTCAATTGCAGGGCAATATTGTTTGGCGCTTGACCACCCATTGATATAACCACTCCATTGGCTGACTCAAGTTGATGAATGTCTAGCACAGTCTCGAGGTTGATGTTCTCAAAGTAAAGCTTGTCAGCCTCGTCGTAATCTGTGGAAACAGTCTCTGGATTATCGTTACACATAATGGTCTTGTATCCTTCTTGTCGAAGGGTTCGAATCGCTCTGACTGAACACCAATCAAATTCCACCGAGGAGCCGATGCGATAGACACCAGATCCTAGAACCATGATGCCATGATCTTCAAATGTAACGTCGCTTGCCATGCCATTGTATGTAAGATAGAGGTAGTTGGTGTAGGTTGGGAATTCTGCTGCAACAGTATCGATCTGTTTGACAACAGGGTGAATGCCGGCTTCCGCTCTCAAAAGCCTAACTGCGAGCTCATTTGAGTTCCAGTAGCGAGCCAACTGTCTGTCCGAGAAACCAAGTTGCTTAGCTTGACGGAACAAAGATGGCGAAATCGTGGACGTGCTGTACTTGGACATTAGTTTTGCAAAATCGCTTAGCCCTTTCAGCCTTGACAAGAACCACTTGTCGATCTTGGTCATTTCCCAGATCTTGTCCACACTGTAGCCAGCATGCATGGCATTGGCGATGGCAAACATTCGCTGATCAGAGGGAGTCTGAAGTTCATCGTCAACAGACATCAAAGGATTGGAAATATCAGAGAAACCAAGATTGTGGAGGTCGACCGATCGAATGGCCTTCTGTATGGCCTCTTCAAACGTTCTGCCAATTGCCATGACCTCACCGACACTCTTCATGGAGGACCCAAGCTGAGTAGAGACTCGTGTGAATTTCTTCAAATCCCATCTGGGGATCTTGACAACCACGTAATCCAGCGACGGTTCGAAGCAGGCACAAGTCTTTTTGGTAACCGAGTTAGAGATCTCGTTGAGTGGTATGTTCAATCCAAGCTTTGCTGCAATAAAAGCCAGAGGATACCCTGTGGCTTTCGAAGCAAGAGCCGAGGATCGAGAAAGTCTAGCATTGACTTCAATGATGCAGTATTCCTTCGAGAAAGGGTTGAGCGCGTATTGAATGTTACATTCTCCAACAACGCCGAGATGTCGGATGACATTGACAGCTGTTGTGCGGAGCATGTTGTAATCTTCATCCGATAGAGTTTGCGAAGGGGCGACGACGATAGAGTCTCCAGTATGGATGCCGAGAGGATCAAAGTTCTCCATGTTGCAAACGGTGATACAATTGTCACGGGCGTCTCGGACAACTTCGTACTCGATTTCCTTCCAACCCTTCATGCTCCGCTCAATGAGAACTTGAGGACTGGCAGCGAAGGCCTTGGTACACAAGTCTCGTAATTGCTCAGTATTGTCAGCAAATCCACTACCGAGACCACCTAGTGCGTAAGCGGCTCGGACAATGACTGGGAAGCCAATGTCTTCAACAACACGCATGGCCTCTTCGAGGCTTGAAGCAGACGCGGACTTGGCACATTTCTCGCCGATAGATTCCATGCTTCTTGCAAACAGCTCACGGTCTTCGGTCGTGATGATAGTGTCGATCGGCGTTCCCAGAACCCGGACTCCGAGACCTTCAAATTCGTCCTTTAGCTGAATACCAACTTGAAGGGCAGTTTGTCCGCCAAAAGTGCAATAGATTCCATCTGGTCGTTCGTGCTTGATGACTTTACGGACGAAATCCGCATTGACCGGAAGAAAGTAGACCTTGTCTGCCAAGCCTTTGGAGGTCTGGATGGTGGCAATATTTGGATTGATGAGAATAGTGTAAATGCCTTCTTGTTTCAGAGCTTTGATTGCCTGACTACCGGAATAGTCGAATTCTCCAGCTTGACCAATACTGAGACCTCCACTGCCGAGAACAAGAACTTTCTTGACCTTGACTCGTGGATGCGCTTTTTCATTTTCCTCAACGGTACCACCGGGAAACGTGACAGGTCGAACCAGAGCCTCGACTGAGGCGACGCTCTTCATGATGGCATCGATGAAGACGTCGAAAAGGAACTCGGTGTCTCGAGGTCCAGGGGTTGATTCCGGGTGGAATTGGACACTGAAGTACGGACGAGAGATGTGACGAATGCCCTCGTTGCTACCGTCGTTTGCATTAACAAACAATTCTTCCCAGCCGTCAGGCAGCGTCATAGAATCGACCGCGAATCCGTGATTCTGAGAAGTGATATAGCAGCGGCCAGACAACAGGTTGGTACATGGAATGTTATGACCACGGTTACCGAATTTCATCTTCAAAGTACTGGCTCCCGCGGCACGGGCAAGGAGCTGATGACCGAGACAGATACCGAAGATTGGTGTTCGTCCTTCAGACATGGCTGCTGAGATATGCTTCACTGTGGTCGACATCATTGCCGGGTCACCAGGACCATTGGAGATAAACAAGCCGTCATAGTCTTTTCCAGCCAATTCTGGGAAATTATAGTCCCATGGCACAACTAGTACTTCAACCCCACGAGCCAAGAGACATCGCAACTGGTTGTACTTGAGACCAACATCTACGACCAGTACACGGACTGGTCTCCCCGAGGGATGTAGCAGCGCCCTGCTCTTTGGAGGAGAGATTACTCGAGGTTTCTTGACAGACACTTCTGCGACCAAGTTTCTTTTGTTCTGATCATGCCATTCTACCGGTTCAACTTCAGCTCGCCAGCTGAGAGGGCCCATCATAACCTCACCACTATGTTGCGAATCTGATTTGATGCCATTGGAGAGCTTTCCCTGCAAGGCTGGAGAAGCATACAACATGCGGCCAAGCATGCTGCCTTCTTCCCGAATGATCTTCGTCAGAGCTCGAGTATCGACGCCGTACATGGCTGGGACACCCTGTTCCTTCAGCCATGCGCCAAGTGACGATGTCGCTAGGTGATGAGAGTAAGCTTCGCCTGCATACGAGGCGACAACGAGTCCACCAATGTGAATCTGGTCGGATTCGAAGTGCTTTGGTAGATTACCAAGCAATTCATCCATAGTTTCTCGAGAAGGGACGCCATAATTGCCGACCAGAGGGAAAGTAATGACTAGGATTTGTCCACGGTAAGAAGGATCTGTCACAGATTCCGGGTATCCGACCATTCCAGTTTGAAAGACCAATTCTCCAGATATGCTTTTGGAAGCACCGAAACTCAGACCTTCGAAGATCTGGCCATCCTGGAGCTCGAGATAAATTTTCGCTTCGTCGTTTTGGGAGGCTCGGGCTGTAGCAATAGGGTTCAAAGAACCCATCCTCTCCCCGTCCAGTCGAGATGTTGCTGAGAGTGGCCTATCGACTAGTGGAAGGCCAACAGAAGCTGCCACGGTAGGGCTCTGTGGTAGGGAAGGGCCACTCGATGAAGGGCGACCGTCCCCGGCCAGGGGTGTCGTTCGCACCATGATGGCAGGGAGTTCTGCAGAGAGTGCAGCAGGATATGGTCACTGGGACATCTGCTGCATATATGTGAGGCAGTCCCCTGGTTGTGTTCAGAATTTGAGACAGGGACAGAAAAATTGACAACTACAAAGATCGAAGTTTCAGTGGTTGACAGGGTCGAGGACTTTTTTCGCTGATGCCAAGATGCAGCCCGCTGAGATCGGCCAATGGATAGCGTGGTGGTGGAGTCAGATCGTGAAGATTAAAATGATGGCGTAGCCGATTGTCTGACGGGCATGATACGACGGTCGTCGCCCGAGGAGTTGCCCTTAATGCAATGGTCAGACACAACCATTTTTCCAACCCGTAGAAATAGTGGCTAGCGCGTGCTTAAATACTGGCTGGTCGAGTCTTTAATGTTTCTAACCGCAATTAGTGTTTGACTAATTTCGAAATTAGACGATTGTGATACTTGTTGTGGGCAATGCAGGTCATGTCGAGGAGCAATGGATGCCTCGATGACAGCAATATAGAGGACCTGTTGTCGGGCAGTGTGGGAGAAGAGAAAATCCTGGGGATGGGATTCTGTCCAGCCAGGCTATTCGCATCCAGTGGTTCCCCCACGCTGCAAGCTGCACGACAATCCGGCTACAAGCTGCATAAGCGTACTCACTATTGTACGGTCTCGCAAATCTTCCAATCACCAACACCATTCAATGCTCTTATCTGCTCACTCCCTCACTGCGCCTGATGTCACTTCTGATCAGATTCCCATCACACAAACCTTCGCATTATGCACATGCAGAGACAGGCGGTGAACTGCATACTTTTGATGTCTGAGGCGACAGTGGGGGGTGGAATGGCCGAATCGAGTGCGATTTTCCGTACCAAGAAATCCCGCGCCCTGTTTACATTGCAATTACATTACCTCGAGTGCCATCCATGACTTCTGTTCACCGACTCGACTTTCTTGCCTTGTTGTCAGTTCAATCCTCTCGTTCTGGGTTGGGTGTTTTGCTTCGTTCATCTGTTCCTGGCGGGGACACTTTACAGCCATTATGGCGTCTTTCCTTCGCTGATTCTTTGCCTGCAATCCGCGTTGTTTACATGATCTTGAAACCAGCCGGCTCCCCGAAGCCTGCCCTCTCCCACCCCAGCCCTGCCTGACTGGCCGACAAAACATGTTCTCTTCGTTATTGCGTCCTGCGCGCAGTCGACAACCTCGCAACCGTTCACCTTTCTCCTCCTCATATGCCCCTACTGCTCGCTCTCCAGACACGTCACGTATCAGCACCTATCGCACCAGAACACAGTCCGAAGAACGAGGACGCAGCAACCTGGCTCAGGACGACGAACACATCTCGGACATTGAAGAAGAGGAGGAGGATGATGATCACGACGACGATAACGAGGATGAGGATCTGTTCGAGGAGGTAGAGGACGAGGATCACATGTTAGATGGCTTCGACGAGGATGAGGCCGCGGATACTGCACCACTGCTCCCCATCTTCTCAGCCGCACACCTTGATGCAATACCTGTATTTTCACTCACTCACGCGATTCGGATATTGGTCACTTCTCGCTGCGACACGGTTCTTAGCTGGGAGCAACTACGATCGCCGCAGGTCTCGCAGTTTCTGCTGAAGCCGGTCGAGCAGGAGATCCGCAAGAACCATCTCAATGCTGCCACCCATTACGCTCTCATGGCAAATTGCCTGCAGTATGGCAAGGAAGCAGCGGTATTCCCTGGGAACAGCGGCACCAACAAAACCCGAGGAATGGTCTGCGAGCTTCTTGCTATCAGGCTGCTCAAGGACTATTCCACTCGCGACTTGATAGATGCTCTGTCTTATGACTTTGATCCTCTGCAAGGTCACCTAGAGGCTATGAGACAAGATGGCGAAGTGAGACGTGAGGCTGCTATCTCGACGAAACATCCCCAGCGTCCAGCCAGAATATCCTGCTTCGAGATCGCCATCCGTGCACAAGCCAAAAAGTTCCTCTCCCATCCCACAGTTGTAAGGCAACTTGAAGCCATCTGGGCTGGCACCATTGTGTTCCATTCGGCCGCCGACAACTTGCACCGAAAACTTCCATTTCAGCGGCAATTCATAAGCTATGGAACCAACGAGGTTGACGGGGGCCCGAAACACAGGTCTCTTAGCTTTAACAAGGCAACACCTCGCCGAGCCGTCACGCTCTATAACCCACGAGATGCCTCACTATTCAAGCTTTCCCGTTTACGAGTTCCGCGTTACAGAAACATCTTGTCCACAATGTCCTTTGCGGTCTTGTTGAGCCTTTTCGTCGCCGTACTGGTTCAACGCTCCTTGGAGATAACCACGCTCGAGGTTATTTTCTGGTTTTGGGCCGCTGGGTATATGCTTGACGAGATTGTGGGCTTCAATGAACAAGGATTCAGTCTATACCTGGCCAGTTTCTGGAACGTCTTCGATCTCGGCATTCTACTGATCTTGTTTGTCCACCTAGCTTTGAGGATATATGGAATCGTCATGCCGGATGTCAAGAAGCACACCGTAGCAAACATGGCCTACGATGTCCTTGCCGCCGACGCAATCCTCTTGTTTCCCCGACTATTTTCGGTCCTCGACCATTACCGATATTTTTCGCCGCTGCTAATAGCCTTCCGCTATATGGCCACTGACCTCGTTGCAGTATCTCTGCTCATTGTCATAAGCTGCAGTGGCTTTTTTGTCGCCTTGACATTATCCTTTGGTGATGACGGAATTGACTCTCCAAGCTCGGTAGCCTATGCTCTTTTGCAAATGCTCATGGGTTTCACTCCAGCAGCCTGGGACAGATGGTCTGGTTACAACGTCCTCGGGAAAACGATCCTGACGTTGTTTCTGTTCATCTGTCATTTCCTTGTGGTTACGATTTTAATCACTGTACTGACAAACTCCTTCATGGCCATTGTGCAGAATGCCAACGAAGAACATCAATTTCTCTTCGCTGTCAATACGATATCACACGTCAAGTCGGATGCATTGTTCTCATATGTAGCGCCAACAAACATCCTTCAGTGGCTGCTGGTTCCTCTCCGATATTGTGTCCCATTTCGGCAATACGTGAAGATCAACCGGACGATGATCAAGCTCACTCACTTCCCCGTCTTGTTCACCATCTTTACGTACGAGAAAACCGTGCTGCAGTCCACAGTATTCGACAGCATCGATCTCGTTGAACGTCGAGGTCGCAAGCGGACTACTGCCAAGTTTAGTCGCCTCCATCGAGCGCCGTCAATTGCGACTTTCCGACAGGACAAGGCTCTGGAAGAAGTCTTCAGGCGACCCTTCGACAGTACGATGCGCGGTGAACGAAATCGTCGAAAAGCAAGCAATGTTGTCAACAGCTGGATGAATAGTATGGGCGATGATGGAGCGGGCCCGCCACAGGAACAGGACAGGCGGATAGTTGACAAACTGGAGGCCAGGGCAAACAGGTCGAGGCTGTTGCCTCCGCTCGCTCGTGCTCGCACATTTTCCCGACGCACCATGTCGGCGATGTCTGATCCCGAAGACTTTGCGACAAACGCAGACCATTTCTCAGGCGATGATAATAACGCCGTCAAGGATCACCCGAATTCATCCCCTATGAATCGGCCCGCCCCTCTCCCGGATGCTGACGATGCTGACGGGGACGACGAATTACCCACGAATGACGAAGGGGACGAAGACGAGACAACGACATTCGACCATCGGTCTCCGAATCCCAAACCACGAGCACTACAGCTCGATGATGAAGTGCAGCATCGTGAGTACTTTTCCAGTAGACCAGTATCGGGCATTGCCACCCCGCAATCAGCCGTACCGTCATCTATACAGCGCACAAGACATCGTGGAACAGGGCCAGGAAGAAACTCTCCAGTGCAACCATTACAGAAACATCGCCCTCGTCAACATTCACGCAAAGTGTCGTCTGCGACCATGATCTTTAAACCGATGAACGATACCAGCACTGAACAGTCATCATCAGCAGGGCACACAATTGCTGTACGCAATCAACCTGATGGACCCCAGCCAGCTTCCGGAGCTCGTACACCAACATCAAAAACCGTATCAAGCGGCACAGGCCAACGATCCCCAAAGCGACCCACGGTAGGGCCTCACCGCATGCGACCTACTCTCCCTACCAAGGATGATCCAGCATTCCGCTCAGCACCAAATCTGTCCCTCTTATTGGAAAGCAAGGCAAGAGCTAATGCCGTACGACGCAGACCGTCGCTAGAGATGGACCTGGTCTCGGACATTGGTGACAATCGGGCCATTGGAGGTGGATACGTCGGTGCTCTTCCGGCGTCATTTGCTGCTCAGATGGAGAAAGGAGCGGCAGAATCTCGCCATCTCCGAGCTCAAAAGCAGGAGCAAGAGAGGTTCACTAAGATCATGATGGCTCGGATGAATAGCCTCGAGGAAGGCTTTAGGGAAGTCATTCACGAAATGCGCGACCACATGAAAAAGGAGGAGAGGAGTAGAAGCCGAGAAAGAGACCCTAGACCAAATACCAGGCAGAAGAGAGTCAAGGGGAAGGAAGCATATCGACCAGCAACAGCGGGAGGGGACAAGGAGAATGTCAGTCCCGACACGGAGCAGATGCAGGAAGAGGTGGACATGAATCACGCCAAGACGAAAGATGAAATCTCAAGAGCCATTGACGTGGGAGGCACGGCGGTCGAGAGGCCAGTGTCTCGCTGACGGCATTTTTAGCATGAATGGATCTTTGTGACTAAGTTAGGGTATGATGTCGGGTGTTTGTACAGTATTTCAAGCGCAGGAGTTGTTTTGTGCATAGCATTTAATATGGCGAAACCTCTGGTCGGCTCGAGCAATATAGAGCCTTTATGTATAGGGTGATGGTTAATGGATAATTGCTAATTGATAATCGATGATCGATGATCGAGGACCGTTTCTTCTTTCATTGACTTGGAGTCGCTCCTCGCAATGGCTATTCTACTCCCACAACCATAGCACGCCAACCGTTCGATCACGTGATTCGACCGAAACGAGGAAGGTGTGACGCAACTCGAAACACTGTGATGCCTTCGAGATGGGACAACGAGACAACTCAACACATCCGATTGAACAGGCAGATTATTGCGACATTCTCACTTGACTCGAAAGGCCTGTGTGCAAGGCTCCATTACACTTCATCACTTTGCGACCAGATTCGGTCTACGCTCAGCATCTACATAGTCTCAGACAACTGCGCCAATTGCCACCAGGACAATGGCATCAGGTTCGGGGCAGTCCAACCAATTGCTATAGTAAGTATCAGATTGATCCGAGGATCGTGGAGAATACTAATCAGTCTTTAGCGCATGTATTGCTCATGGAACAACCATCTTGACTGAACATACATCACCGGGAACCTCATCGTCATCGGCTTCCTCACTTGCTTCAGTCATCCTTCCAAAGATTTCCCACTCCACGCCCGCCAAACTTACCTATACACATGATCGACTCTTCGTACACTACATTGCCGACTCTCCCTCCTCAACTTCCAATGGTTCCGATGAGCAGTTGTCTAGCCATGCAGCGCTCACATATTTGGTGGTTGCGCAGACGGAAATGGGTAGACGAGTTCCATTTGCTTTCCTCCTCGAGTTGAAGAAAAAGTTCCTTTCCCAGTTCAAGCCAGAGTCTACAGACTTCCAATCATTACCTGCATATGGCACAGCAGCATTCAACGGCACACTAAAGGCGATGCTTCAACAGTATAACACTGCTCCTCCGAGTGACGCACTCACGAACGCACGAAAGGAAATCGACAACGTCAAGGATATCATGACAGAAAACATTGAGCGTGTGCTAGAAAGAGGAGAGAGGATAGATTTACTGGTAGACAAGACCGACCGCTTGGGTGGCAGCGCCCGCGATTTCAGGGTGCGAAGCAGGGGCTTGAGACGGCAGATGTGGTGGAAGAATGTGAGGGTGATGGTGCTACTGGTCGTGGTGGTAATTTTCTTGATATACCTCTTTGTTGGCTTTGGATGTGGCTTGCCAGCATGGAGCAAGTGCGTTGGATGATGAGAGGACCAAGGTATTTTGAGCGAGCGAGATATTCTTTTGGGAGACACTGTATAGTATCACTGCGAGTTTAGTAGTTGAGCGAGGCTGCTGCCCTATTGTTCTCGAAACCAGTGTAATTGGCAATCACCTGGGACACGTTATTTACCTCCCTCCCGTAGTACATGATCTATTCTGTAGGCTGTATGTTGTAGAAGACATCGTACTCGTACTCGTATTGAAATTGCCAGCGGTGATACTAGTCCTTCTCGGCACACCTTCCTCTGGGAAATTGAATCTGGTGCCTCGGACTCTGCAACGAATTGACAGCAAGAAAAGACGCACACGTCAATGTCCCCCAGACCTCCTTTTTGTCTGAACTGACGTGCATCAAATGCCACGCAGTACTCGTACTATCAGCCGAGAGAAGGAGGACTCACAGCCCGCAACCAGTTCGGCATATCTGTGCCGAAAACAGTCATCGCTCCACGCCGATGAGGCACTCGACAGTCCCTCAACAAGCAGGTTGAAATGAATCATATAACTGGCCCGGCTCTGATGCACGAGCAACGGCTGGAAACAGGGGTCATGCTCTTCGACCACGAATCAGCTGCACTATACTCTACCCTCCCTTCCCCTCCTCGTCTTATGCCCAATCGCTTTGGAAGAGTCAGATGGGGTAGATGATGGCCCTACAATCAGGCAGACGCACACCTAGACCACCAGAAAGACACTTTGCTTTTGCAAGTATTCTACAGCATCAATTCATGTTACCACTGTGATATTCTCTCTTGATTTCCTTCATTTCGCTGTCCTTTATCTTCAAGGTTCTGTTCATCTCTTCCATCCGATCTCTTTGGTCTTGTCGCTTCCACCGCAATACCAATTGACCAACTCGAGCATTCCAGCCTTCCTGGTCGACAAGGCTTCTCCTCGAGTGATACTCATAATCAATCAGAGTGACAGAATCCCCCAAAATCTTCAGACATACATTTTATCATAGAATTTACAAGTCGTACAGGCGCCTTGAGCGCCTTTGCTCCCCAAGAGAACACCTCATAGTCCAGCAGCATGGCCCACCAAAACGAGGTGTCTACAGGGGTATCTTCCGACCCAGAGCTAGAGAGGGCTATCAATCTATCTCTGCTTGATCAACCCAGAACAAGACCACAAGCCGATGGCATCTTCGACAAATTCTCAAACCCTTCGCCAAGTCTTCTCATGAGCCTCAATAATGAATTTTCCCCCATCGTCGATCCTCTCGGGGATACAGCCATATACATTGGTGTACCCGAACAAGAGCCTGGTCAGAGCGAATCGCAATACCAACGGATCATTAAGCACTTCGATGTTGTACATGTCGTCCACTCCAGCCTCTTATTAGCCATGCCGGAGACCTCGAGGTTTACCCACAACGATCTCCTCGGCCCATCCTCAATACGTTCAGAAAGACGCCTGAGGAAGCTCGGTGTTCTTGACCGTCTAGAGGCGGAGCGTGGTGGACGAAAGTTTAAGTACTACATTGATTTGCGCCCGCCTACAGAGGATGACGCAGCTGTAGAGGCGATCACGAAATTGAATTGTACACGTGGCATTTTGACCTGGCATTTATTGCAGAAGAAGTATGACCTGTCTGAATTACAGGTCTGTGGTCATGATAGTATCCAAGAGGCCGCCTTTTCAGGGGCGACTGCGGAGGCAGCGACAGAACCAGAAACAGAGGCGAACGATACCTCTGCGAATCAAGATCATGAGGGAAATGATATCACGCAGACTGACGAGCCTGGTCCAAAGATTGGTGAAAGCTACACTCGCCTACGGCATTACGCCGCCCTTGAACGTCTGCTTCACGCCATCTGCGATAATGACCCCAAACTCGATTCTGCTCCGAAAGTATGGACTTTCTTCGCTGCGGCACAATGTTTTGGCTGTGCCGAGCACCACCGTATCGCAGGCTGGATTACCACTTGGATCTTCAATTATAACAATGCCAATTTCATACAGAACAATCCTGAGGTGGCTTATCGAATAGGCATGGGCATCAAATCTCCCGATCTTGTCCGAGATTCTTTCTCAATCTTGGTTGGGGAACGGGCTTTGCTCTATGCTGCCGATAAGCTGAAGCAAAACCCAACACCACGGAACTTCGTACGAAGCGTTCATGGGCGAGAATTTGAGGAACTTGACGACGATGAGTCGAGTCGTATCAGTGCCGCAGCATTGGCGCTGATCGAACGAGTCACCAATGATCTTGGCTCGCTATGTCGAGACTTCTCCTGGCTTGAAGGCAGTAGAGAATATGCGAAATTGAACGCAATTGTCGCAGAGACCGTCGAAGAAGAAAATGCTTTGCTAGAAGCCAAATCCTTCCTTGAGGATTATGTCAGAACCGTCTTCATCTGTTGCCTCTGTCTGGAGTACCGCAAGTCTCCAGGGCTGGAGAAGTCAATGACACAAAAGGCTGTGTACAACTCCTGTTCGCCATCTGAACGGATGCTCACCAAGACTTTTTGGGTATTATTGTCGGAAAGTGATCATTTCTGCCACATAGTCATGGGTCCTGAAATGCTTGTTTCCGAGAAGCCTGAAGCCACCCGCTTCAAGAAAGCGTTCGATGCTCTTGGGCTGGACCGACCAATATGCCCTACAGCCAACTTGACTGGTTCTACTCTCCTCGACATGATCGACGCGGTGAACCGATTTTGGCTTCAACGCTCCGACATCACTACCCACAAAGGGAAAGAGGTGGCTCACGGTTCATTTGAGCATGGATTCGGCAAAGGTTTTCCAACCGCTGAAAACTCGTCTTTACAGAATTTTACCTTTGAAAGTCCGAAGTCCGAATCCAGCAACTACGCACATCCAGCTGATCACAATGGGTCACCATCGAAGCGCCGTAAGACCTCAAACTTCTACGAATCCATCGTACCGCCATCCTCCCCCGTCGATGGCGATACTTTTGGCGATTACGCAAGCGGAACTCGGACAGACTGGGTACAGGACAAGGGGCGTGGTCAAACCGGAAGTAGTGGTGGCATACTTCGTGGCATACTGCACGGCATCCCCGATATTGTCTTCAGACCAAAACGAGTCTCCCAGGACGAAGTTACGTCTGATGCCAATCCACTCCGCCAGACTCAATTTACGGGAACAGAATGCGAACCGCCACAGAATTCCGGTCAACCCACACCAGCAACCGCCTTGCGCGTGGTCAATCCCGACCAACCGGACATCTTCCAGTTCGATCTTCAGGATGAACCCACGGGCAGCCGAGCCGCAGGGGGCCGACCGTCGTCCACCACGGCCGTGGCGAGCGTATCGAGGGGTTGGCAACATCATTGGTCCACCGCTGCCCGCCCAGGACGCCTGTTTCCATCCCGCCTGAGCCCCGGCGTCTGCATCGACCGTGGCGACTTGACTCCTTGCGCCGTGGCGTTGTTTGACGAGGTGACCATGAGCCTCGACGGTAGCGAGGTCCAAAATGCCCTGCGCGACAGAGCCCACATGTCCGTCAAACCCAGAGTGATGTTGACCGAGATCCACGAGCAAATCAACAAACTCTCCCATGACAGAATCAGGCCGGCCCACCTGCTGCACCATGGCATCGAGCTCAGCACGAATCTCTTCGACACCCTCGCGTGCCTGGGTCCGAACGAGTTTCGATTCCTCCCGATCTGGTGCCCGGACGGCAACGACGACGGGACGGGAGGAGTCTTCGACGACCGTCCGCTGATGAATGCGGATCCGGCAGTGTCGTTCCCACCCGGTCAGATTTCCAGACGAGGACACGTGGGGGCCGACGACGACTCCGAGGACGGCAGCAGAAGTTCCTTTGAAGACGTCGCGAGCGAGGCCATCAGCACGGTCGGCAAGGCCAGTAGGCACGCGACCGATGGTTCCTACACCGACACGGTCCAGAGTCTAGGTGACGATGTCAATGATGCCGGCGAGTCTGCTGATCCCAATCCAAATTCACTTTCGGGTGTCGGTTTAACCACACGTGCACGAACCCGCGCCGCCTCCGCCGCCACCACCACCACCACTACCTTCACAGCGGTCGAAGGGTTGACACGACAAGTCGCCGCCCTCCTCGATGACGATAATGATGAATACAACAACGATGGTAATATTTACGACATGAATGACGATGACGACGACGATGACGATGGTGTACAACTTGGATCCGATTTCGACGACGACGACGACGACGATGCAGACACCGTCACTGGAGGTTCTGAAACCAATGATCATGACCATGAGCAAGAACAAGAGCAAGATCAAAACGAACGCTCTTTTGAAGAGGCAGGATCAGATTTTGAGATACTCTAGCCACCGACTACAAAAACATACAGTACATTCCGTTTCGATAATCACACCCTCACCAATTTTTTCTTTCTTTCTTTTCTTTGGCCTCGTTGAAGGGAAAAAAACCATCATTTAATGTATAACTTTTGAGCATCCTCCTCCGGGGGTTCTAGAATCAAAAGATTCGATCGTTTATCCAAAGCGATCAGCATCAAGCATCAATCGAGGGTGGCCGGCTTTTTGAAAACTTGCTATATTTATTTATTTTTGAAACTTGTGCTACGGAGTTCAGGCTGAATACTCCCGTATAACTCGGTTATACACGAATACTCGAGTAAACGACAAAGCGTCGTATGATTGTGTTTTTTTTCTCTCGAAAACCATATCCGTCCATACATGAATGACCAATAAAAAAAGACATCAAAATGCCAGCGAGAAGGAGCAAAATCATTTCTTCCCTTCAGCAACAGTCTACAAGTACTGTCTACAAGTGTTCCAGGTAATCACACGAATAATGAAGAACAAAATAAACAAAACCAGTTAAAGCTGCAAGAGACAAATATCGACATGATGTCGTGGTGTCGCTGCAATCCCGTGATCGGAGCTACGAATAATGGTCGTCTATTTGCACAAAATAGTCATGCCTTGCCTTGAAAAGAAATATCATTCAATAGCTAGTCACTATGAGAGTAAACCATGTCTGTCCCCAGTTCAATTTGGTATTTCATCCAGCCCATTTTCGCTCCGGCCCAAGACTAGCAACACAATCTCTGTGATGTGAATCAAAGCCACGTCGGCTCTCCAGACGTCAATGCCATTCTAATCGGTGTGGTCGATAACAGTAAAGGAAAATGAGATCGAGTCGGTCGTGTCGACACCATGGGGTACGAAACGGTCTGGATATCGTTCACGGCTCGGCTATCGGGGTTATCAGGTGTTCACTGATACGGGTGTCAGTCCAAACACGATTAGCAGATGATTTCGATGTCGCTCACAGAAATCTCGTCCATGGCATCATCGGCATTGGCAGCTGCGGGAGCAGCGTTGCCATTGACACCAGCAGTTTCGGCCGGAGCACTGACTGCAGAAGGATTGTTGCCTCCCCAGTAGTCGGTCATTTCAGCGTCAAGTTCTTCGGCAGTCTTGGGCTTGGGTCGAGCACTGCGTGCAGCCCGCTTTCTGGCAGGCTTGCCCGCGCGTCCTTTCGCTCCGTCCTTGGAGTCCTTCTTGACGGCAGTGGCGGATTTGGGCTGTGCTTTTGGATTGGCGCTGGTCTTTGTCAGTGGATCTGACTTGCGCGAACTCTTTGGGTTTGCGTACGCAACACGATCCGCGAGAGACTTTGCTGGCGCAGGAGGAACACTGCTGGCATCCACCACCAATTCGATCTAGTCGAGGTCAGGCTAATCCATGGTAAGATAGTTGAGGTCGTGCTTGCCTTCATTGGTCGCTTGTCAACAAGCATTCCGTTGAGATCCTTGGCTGCCTTGGCTGCAGCATCAGAGGAAAGAAACTGAATGTCGGCTATTCCACGGCTTTGGCCATTTTGGTTGTATTGCAGAGAGACCTTCTTGACTTTGCCAACAGATTTGCTGAAATATTCCTATTGGTCCCAGAGTGATCAGTAACATGTTGACAGAGAAATAGCAATAGCAGGTTCGCAGCCCTCGTCTCCGGTACAAGTAGGTAAAAGATGTGTCGCTAGCCACGTATTATCCCGATACAAATCCTCGTGAGGAGCATCGGCGAGTGCAACAGTATAGCAAAAAGCAGCAGGTCAGAGGTCATGCGAAGGGAAGGCGTCGGCGGTTCCAGTAAGTGGTGGAGAATGTAGTCGCCGTAGATTTGCACGTTGTGATGTCGTATTGAAGACTTGCGGTTTGATCCCACACCAGGGCATAGTTCGTGTAAAAAGCGTCGTGATACTGAACGCCTGCATATGCAGGACGTTTTTGGTATGTTGTGATATGTGGCCTTAGTGAGAGCTTCCAGGTCGGTATGAGAAGATCTAGGCTCCGTTGAATGCAAATGAGCGCTTTCAGAGTGGCGGCTGAGGCTCTGAGTAGTATTCCTGTTGGTGACAGTGGTTGTGGTAAATGATGGAGTTGCAAACGGTTGACCAGATCTGACTGCTTCAAGCTGCGCTACTATAAGAATCGCAAAGGATCATGCAAGCTCGCCGATGCTCCATACGCAAGGTAAACGAGGGAAATCAATAGCATTTCAGCATATCGAACATCCTCAAGGCAGATCTGTAGTCACTGACAGCGCGGTGGCTAGCCGGCTGGGCGATACCGTAAGATCATGGGTACAGAAGAGACAACAATCGACGCGTTGCGAAGCTACTCTGCAAGCGCGAAGTTGAATCATCCTGCCCTGCCTCAAATCATGCCAGCATTTTCAGCGTGGCATAGTGTATTTGGACACATCCTCTCCAACATCGACACCTTTACTTCGCCAGTCTTGTCTTCGAGCGCATATTTCTGTATCTTTCCCCAAAGTTCGCGAAAGAGCGCGGATAGAGCAGATGACGGCGGAGTGGCGAGGAAAAATCCAAAGGTCGAAAGCCTCTTTATCAACATACCTTGATCTGGGCTTCGTTGACGTCGAATGGCTAAAGGAGGTCAGCTTGAGCTTGATGATGACATGAATGACTGAGCGAACATACCAATCCACTGACGACAATTTTGCTTGACTTGTTTTGAGTTGCACCACCTGCGACTGGCTTGATGGCAGTCTTGACTGGCTTCGTCGACTTCTTGACACCACCGACAGGTGCAGTTGCACCGGAAGGCTTTCCGACCTTGCGACGACGAGCTTCACGCTTGGCCTTCTTCTGGCTTTCGATGATGGAATCGAGAGGTTGATCTAGCCGGCCAGACATCTTGAACGTGTAGATGAAGTCTTGAAGGATGTATCGCGTAAAGGAGGATGCGAAAGAAGTAGAATGTTGCGGGTGTCAGAAGCGAGTTCGGTAAGTCAAGGAGAGGGAAGTCAAGGAGAGGGAAGTCAAGAAGAGCTGTGGTTTGCCGAAAGATGGAGGGCCGAATATGGAAGAATTTGCGAAAAAGTAGCTGGATGGTGATGAATAGAGGCGCAGAAGGTGATTGATTGATTGAGTGATTGAAATGAAGACAATAGAATACAGAATGAATAAGTGAAGTTGAGACAGTGATGCAGAATGCAGGCGCGAAAGGACGAAGTGAAGACGGTTTATTTCGGGCGGCAAGAGCAGGTTGAGCAGCGCAAGGGGGGAAAGAGCCACCAGAAGGCTCCAGCCTCTCACCTGTCACGCCATTCCGCTTTCGGATCCCATCAAAATGGCAATACGACAATCACGTGACCATAGAGAATGGCCTCGTTTTCGTATTCCTTGATTGCTAGATCCATGCAACAAACGCGAGATGGAGGCCAGTCTCAGCGTGATCCAAGCGATCCAGAAGAGCTAGCTAGGCGGGTCAATCATCAAAACGTCTTCTCGTTCACGTATACAGAATATGTGTCTCTCATATCATCAAGTCCTTCCCAACGCCTGATCAAAGAGACAACCTGCCACACACATCACAGGCACACGAGTATGATTTCAATACATTCCACTCCGTACGCTGTTTCAACTCTTCAGAGCCTCTAATCGGCCTCGCATTTGTTCTAACTCGGCCTCGCGGTCTTCTTCCTCTTCGGCCGCTGTGTCCACGGAAACTTGAGGAACTTGCTGTTCTGGAGCTCCCAGTTTTCCCTTCAATACCTCGCCGAGGACCTTGTCGACTTCTGTCTCTGCTTCCTCGTCTTCTCCTTCCAGTAGTTCATCGTTCGGTAGTGTATCCCCGACCATCTCCTCAATTATGCCAGCCTTCATAAGTTCCTGACTCAGCTCTTGCATCGTTCCAGTCAACTCAGGTAGCCGGACCAGCGTATTGACGTCCTTCATGATACCGGTACTGGCTTTCAAGCTGCCCTCGATCTTCCGTACCGAGAAGGCTTCATTGACTTGCATCTCCACACTCTGTAATTGTGCTTTACTTGTGTGTAATCTTGCCGCCTGTTTCCGCACCCGGATCAGCTCTCGGGCGAAGATGCGTGCTTCTGCTGCGCCCTGTGTCGCCTGCGAGGGATTCTTCTGCGCCCTTCGGGATGACTGCAATATCAAACTTCTCGTCTTTTGTTCGGTAACTTTGAGATTCGTGATGTCTCGATCTAGGGTTCGAACATTCTTGCGAATGATCTGACTGCATTTTCGTTTCTACATGACCATCAGTATCAGCATGCAAGTGGTTCGAGTGGGACAAAGGTACCTGTTCTTGCGGATCCGGCTTGAAGAAGACAGCCTTGAAGGACTGCATCGCGAAGGAAGCGGAGGTGATATAGGCTCTGTCTATGTGGTGCCTGTTCGTGACAACAAACACCTCGGCGTAGACTATTTACCCATGACGACAACCCAGTCAGGGTCCAGGTGAATGCCTCGTGCGGTACGAGCTAGGGCGTGTTCGGTGAGACCAGATGCGTTGAACCTGGAACGAGTAGATTGATCACAGTCGTCTCCGACCAGAAGCGATGATGATATCGGTACGTTGACTTTTGTAGGGCTGATGGACGTAGATCTGTGCCCACTGGAGAGCGATAATTGGACTGGTCCTTTTCAGGTTGGAGGATGATGGTGTCGAAGACAGTGGGGGCCACAAAAGAGCGTGGTCGTGCAGTATGAGAACAACGGTGGGTGGTAACAATAGAGGGGCCCTGGTTGACGGGGGGAGGCTTAGGTCATAGGCCCATAGCAGGCATACGAGTGCCGCCCAGAGCCACCAGGCCAGGCATAGAGCAACTACCACTTTCTGGCCGATTCGCTACCATTCTGAAGAGCCTCGTCTTTCACACTTTAACTTGTTGCCCACACAAATCGGTGAGGATCTCTGAGCCTGCAAAGTGCTATCGATCTTTCTTCGTCAACAGTCTTTTTGTTCTTTCTCAACTTTTCCATCGTCCACCCACCTCACACATTGCTCGTCTACTGAACCTTTTCCATCGAGACCAACCCCTCCATCGACTCCAAAGTCACCATGTCTACGCAAGCCACTCCTGAAGGTAAGGTTTTTCCCAGTCAACAAGCTCCGATGAAGAATTCGAGTCTTTTTTGCCCTCATCTCTGTGCTCGTAGCCATTATGTGAACTCCAACAGGCTAACACATCTCCGTACAGTTCTATGGGCTCAGCGCTCTTCCTCCAGCGAGCCGGAAAAGAACTACATCTACCTGACCATCGGCGTTCCTGATGTGCCTCCCAAGTCCCTCAAGCTCGATCTCAAGCCAACCTCGCTCACTTTCACTGGAAAGTCAGACACCAAGAAAACCACTTACCACCTGGAGATGCAGTTCTACTCCGAGATCGATGTGGAAAATTCCAAGACGCATCATACCCCAGCCAACATTCAGATGATCCTGAGAAAGAAGGAACTCAAGGAGGAATACTGGCCACGCCTGCTCAAGGACCCAGCCAAGGTCCACTATCTGCGTACGGACTTTGACAAGGTAAGTCGGAAAGCGTTTGCGACACTCGAAATTGCGTCCAGTTCTGACATTGTCTAGTGGGTCGATGAGGACGAGCAGAACGAGGCGCCCGAGGATGACTACATGAACCAATTTGGCGGTGGCCTCGGCGAAGACGGCGGCTTCGGTGGCATTGATTTCTCCAAACTTGGCGGCGGTGGTGGTGACATGCCAGGCATGGAAGGCCTCGGTGCGGGCGAAGAAGGTGGTGATGATGAGGATGAGGACGACGATGACATGCCTGACCTGGAAGAGGACACAGAAGAGGGAGATGCCAAAGGCAAAGGCAAGGGGGCCGCATAAGCTCCAGGGTCATTTGCGAACCTAAAGGCCACCGCCGGCGCGAAAACAACGCGACTCTTCCCCCTCCTCGATGAATACGTGGACATATGCAACTCGCCAACAACCCATTCTTTCTCTCCTTACTTGCTTGGTCTGATTCCACCTGGGGAGAAGGAGGTCTCTACAGTGTTTTCCCCATCGGTGGTACGTGCAAATATTCGACAGTCCTAAGACAATACAGAGACACGAGAACCATGAGAACCTTTTCCCTTGCTGCACGAGAAGAAGTCAGATTCAATGCATCAAGGCTTGCTCGGTTCACACGTCTTGTGACTCTTTTTATTCCATTACCGAACAAGATCTGCTTGATGTGGTGCACGGGGTTCTTGGTGTTTCGGTAGGGACAGAAAGATAGGTTTCCTTTACCTAGGTAGTAGTCTCCCCCCTCAAACTCTGCTGAGCGTATGTCTGCGTGCAAAGGCAAATACAAAAAGAAAATTCAATTGATCGTGGAATGGTTGATTTCTTCAAGAGTTCAAGTTTGTTTTGTACTACGAATCGACTGTTGTTGCTTTTTCCCAATGCCTGATTACCTACGAACTACTACAGTGCTTGAGGTGCAGTGGAAGCTGGAAGTAACCTGCCTCGCCCATACCACATTCTCGCCTCGACTGCTACAGCCTTACAGTACAGCAATGGACTGACATTGTGGTCTTTTCTACCTCTCACCACTTTTGAGATACGACTACTCGTCAAGGCTTACTCTGTTTGACCGCCGCCTGTAACACGATTTCAAAAGTACTTTTGGTGTGTTTGGATTGCTAGAGATGCGGTGAGTCCCCCAGGGTGATAAGTTCTAGCGTCCCTCGCTTACGAAGTACGTGGTAGAATTCGTGTACGGAAGATGCACTGCCCGGGGGGAAACTTGTTGGACTTTTGACCTGATTTGACCTTGACCCGACTTGACTCTGGCCTGACTTGTTAGGACCTGGCTGGGACTTGTTGACTAGACCTTATTGACGCTTTCAAGGCGACCTCTGCTGACTCATACTCGTACCACATTTCTCGTGTGCGATCCCCCTGCAAGTTTTCTTTTTTACAACACCAAAAAAAAAGCCAAATGCACCCTACGGAGGAGTAGGAGAACGGGGTGTTTTACAGTACCTTCCGAGGTACACGCAGTAACTCGTACAAGGAGGATGGCCTCAAGGTGTTCTATTACGCCTTTACGAATACGAGTACGAATACGAATAGGGCTATAATACTACGGTGTACTCAGAACGAAAGTTTCCTCCCGTACGTGGTAGAGAGAAGGACTCATGCTCGTGAGACTGAGAAGATTGAAGAGATTGGCGAAGTGACTTATCAGATGGTTATGAAGAAATGAAATCAGCACATGACAAATCAGCAGCCACGGTGAATGATCAGGGAAGAAGCAGTAATATTTTTGTGCACTATACAAATTCCTAGATGTGCGCTATCACTCCGTTGACTCCTTATATTTGTAGATATCAACACTCCATGTCACATGGTTCGTATCGTTCTTCCAGTGAAATTACTTTGATGTTGATACCAGGTAATCTAGACTGGCCATTGAATGACGGCCTATTGGGTTCTCCGTATAGAGTCACACATGGCATGCGGTGAATACTCTTGACTTCACTCCTTCACTCTCTCACCCAAACAAGAATTCGAACACGCAAAAAAAGAGACATCCTGAAGGACCAGCAAAAACTACATCACAGAATGGCCAGGACATTGGGAGGAGAACCAACACCTCCAAACACATTCAACGGCGCGCTAGTCAATAAGAACGACCACTGCTTCCTGGCTCGACACACCTCCGACAGTCTCTCCAGATCCCACAGCTCTCCGATTGGCGTGCCCCAATGGCCCAGCAGCCACTCGTGCAGATTCATCTTACCTTCGACGCCAAAGCTGATGGGCTGGCTCTCGAAGGCGATGGTGTCTCCTGCGACGGCAGCGAAGTGGTGGTTCCATAGCCACTTGACGGATTGCAGGGATGCCTCGACGCCGACAAAAGTGGATCGTTGTATCGATGCCTGGCGCTCCTCAGGGCCTGCATGCGTGTGCCATGCCGTGAAGCCAGATCGGATGATCAGGATGTCGCCACCCTGGAAATCCACGTTCTGATGCTGGGCCACTTTATCCAGTTCATCCGTGGTGATGGAGAAGGTCGAATTGGCCGCGATTGCTGGTTTGCCAGTCTGCTCGCGCCACCCGTGATAGTCAAGCAGAACTCCTCGCCCGACTATTCCACCTCTCTCGGCCCATCCTGTTAGACAATATGCGTCAATGATTGATCTCACCACCGTCCGAGTAAGACTTAGCCTTACGATGAATACCCAGGCGTCCGTCCTCGAGCTTCTCGTCAATGTCCCGGTGCTTCATCCCATTATAATACAGCCCACAATGTTGGACAGCAATGTGTCGCAGGCCATCCCATTGAGAGCTGCTTTGCGTGTTTAGACTCACCACGTCATCGTGCCCAAAGACCTCGTCAGGTGTGCCCTTCAGTCGTTCCTTGAAGTCGATGATCTGATGTCCAAACGGCTCTCGGCCCACGAGACGTTCTTGAAAGTGGTCTAGTCGGAGATCCAGCTGGATTGAAACGCCTGTCTTGACCTCCTGGACCGCCCGTTTGACAACCTCGGGTGTGAGGTAGTTAAGAGCTGTCCTCTCGTGAGGCCAGGTCGACCGAAAAATGTGCTTCAGACTCACTGCCTAATTCATCGTTCTCCCCCCAGAGACCCCAAGCATTGCCGTGAGGTTGCCCTTCGACCTTGGGCAAGGAGTCGAAATCTACATATGGTGATGGCATGATTGTGATCGTCTGTCGGCTTTGATAGTGCCAATCTGGGGGCATTTCTGCTGCCGAAGCATTAAATATGATTCGTCTTCTGCATGTTCAACACGGACGCTTCCAGTTCGTCGTCGCCGGCAGAAATCCGAGTTCTGCATAGAATTTCACGTGACCGGCGCCGGGATTGTGGGTCATGCAAAAAATGTGGTGGACCTTTTGTAAAACCCCCTCGTCGGTTGCGGCTCAACTCTCACTTTCACAGGTGCCCGAGATCCCATAGTGGAGATGATGTCCGTGTGAGAGGCAAAAAGCTTGCCGTCTTCATCCCAAAGATGCCACGAGGCCAGGACCTGGTTCCGTCAAATTCCATCTCGCAAGATCCAAGTGCAGGACGGGGACCCCGTGGAGTTTGGTTTGGTTTAGCCCACCGGCGCCGGTGCCAGCATCAACTCCAGATGAAGGCAGACTTGCGGAGAAATCTCTTTCTGAATCATCAGGAATACAAAAAAACGAGATCCCCCTGTGCAAAGCCCAATCGCAAGTTCCTACAACATCGTGCTTCTTGATAGAAACTCATTGTCTCTGAATTCTCAGCTGAGAAGGCGCCACTCGCACAGAACTCTCTTCACGACAGTCCTGGTTCATCTTTCCAGTATGGGTTGGTTTTTCAAGAAGCCTGCTGATGCGGCGGGATCTACAACTGTCGCCTTCCTCGTCGGCCTGTTTGTCGCTTTTGGTGGTGTTCTCTTTGGCTATGACATCGGCTACATCAGTGGCATTCTCGCCATGAAGTGAGTTCATCATTTCATCTCCTCGTTTGTCACAATCTGGGCCGTCTAACGAACGTTCCGGCAGGTACTGGAAAACTCATTTTTCCACTGGATATCGAGACGAGTTCGGAGAGCTCAATGTTACGGCAGGCCAGCAATCCTTGATCGTGTCGATTCTGTCCGCGGGAACCTTTGCGGGGGCTCTCCTTAGTTCCCCTATTGCCGATCACATTGGCCGCCGCAAGGCCCTGATGGTCAACAGCTGTGTCTTCATGTTTGGCAATGCCTTGCAAACGGCAGCCACAGCCATTCCGCTGTTCCTCGCGGGACGATTCTTTGCAGGTAAGACAGCTCCGGGAGGCAAAAAAGAGAAAAGCGAATTCAGCCTTTCATCCGCTTACACAAATAACCCTCCAGGCCTGGGAGTTGGTTTGCTCAGTGCGACCATTCCTCTTTACCAAGCCGAGACGTCGCCCAAATGGCTCCGAGGCGCCGTCATTGGATCCTACCAACTCTTCATCACAGTGGGCATGTTCATGGCTGGCATCGTCGACAACGCCACCAAAGACAGGAATGATACGGGATGCTACCGTATCCCTATCGGCGTCCAGTTCATCTACGCACTCATCATCTTTTCCGGCTCCATGTTCCTCCCCGAGACGCCCCGGCAACTTGTCCGCCGCTCCGACTTCGACGGGGCGGCCAAGAGCCTCTCACGTCTGAGGAGGCTCAGCATAGACCATCCCGCCATTGTGGACGAACTGGCTGAGATCAGGGGCAATCACGAATACGAAATGTCGTTGGGCTCCGCGTCGTACCTGACATGTTTCCGCAAACCCCTGCGCAAGAGACTCATCTCTGGAATCTGCCTGCAGGCTCTACAGCAATTGACGGGCGTAAGTTTATGTTCTCTCCCTCTCCCTCTTACCTAGATTTGGGAGAAGGGCCCGACAAATCTAACGGTGGACTTCTGACAGATCAACTTTATTTTCTACTACGGCACGACCTACTTCCAACGCACCGGTATCTCGAACCCTTTCCTCGTGACAGTCATCTGCGATGTGTGCAACATTGTCGGCGTCTTCCCGGGTTTGTATTTGGTGGAGAAATGGGGCCGGAGACCTCTCCTGATCATGGGCGCCCTGGGCATGGCTGCATGCGAGTTCATCGTGGCCGCCATTGGTGTCACAATGCCCGACAGCACAACGGCAAATTCGGTCGTCATCGCCTTTGTCTGCTTCTACATTATCTTTTTCGAGTTGAGGTACGTTACGAGACGAAATCCCGCCGACCTAAATTTCTTTTCCATAGCTAAGAAGCCTTTTTTACTGACCTTTGACCACCAACTTGGATAGCTGGGGTCCCTGCGCCTGGGTCGTCACGGGTGAAATATTCCCACTCAAGACCCGCGCCAAAGCCCTCGGTATGACCTCGTCCAGTAACTGGTTGCTCAACTGGGCACTCGCCTACGCCACCCCTTACATGGTCAACCCGGGCAAGGGCAACGCCAACTTGGGATCCAAGGTCTTTTTTATCTGGGGTGCCCTTTGTGTCCTCTGTGCAGTTTTTGTGCAGTTTTGCATCTACGAAACCAAAGGTGCGATGATGATCCCCACCTGTCTTTCATGTTTGCAATGTTTTCTAGAACGTCGTGGTTCTAACTCGGGTTCATCCTTGCTCACCATCTTTCAGGTCTCTCACTCGAACAAGTCGACGAACTCTACGAAAAGGTGCCTCACGCCTGGCAGTCTGCGGGTTTCGTGCCAACGGTCAGCTTTGCAGATATCCAGCAGCGCAGTCTGTCCATGGCCGGAGAGGAGAAGGAGGGAAAGATCGAGAACGAGGTCGCTGTCTCGGAAGTGTCTTCTTGATCTAGGGGGTAGTTACCGATGCAGATGAGAGTTATCGACCAAAAGGGACATGACTCGAGGGTTTAGTTCTTACGCCTTGCATTGTAAGCTTGCATCTAGAGGACTAGAAATGGCAAGACCATCTGCTCAGATCAACTCTGCTCAGCTTAGGAAGTACGGAGGCATCACTGACTGGTTCGATTTGTGTGTTAAGACACAGGTGTGCGTGTACAGTGTTGCAATGTGTGTATATACGTGTGTGTACAATATACGAGTACGTGCAAAGGAAAAGGAGAGGGAGGTAATTCTCATTATCATCATCGATCCACCAAATCTTTGTATGCTCCTTCAGTTGAAGACCTATTTATGTTGTGTGATAAACCAGTTTCAGTGTCAGTTTCAATACCTAACCAGGTACACAGATCTCCTGTAAACCCTGCACATATTCATAGTTCCAAATTGGAGAGAGGTTCGAACAATGAGGAGGGGCCCGGATCACTGCAAAGATGGAATTTGACAGACATAGGAGCTACTGGCAATTGTCTTCATCATATCCCGGTATAGTTTGTCAATCTCGTGATTCCTCCCCCCCCCCCCCCGGTACCGACAGTTCTGTACGAGATCGAAAAAGGGTTGTTCGCTCTACCGGCGTGGCGGAAACCCGGAGCCGAGACCCCGAGCGTGGCCGAAGACGTACGGCCGAGAAACCACCGAGAAGAAAATCATGGCCGGCAGAAGACGTACAGTCGAGCGTGACGAAGAGCAGAACTATGGCCGCACCTCGACACCTCCAAAGGTCATGCTCTTGACCGTCAGGTACTCGTCGATGCCGAGGGCGCTGCCTTCCCGTCCAAACCCGCTCTGCTTGACGCCCCCGAAGGGTGATGCAGGGTCGCTGATGATGCCTTGAGATAAGGTCAGCGGGAATGAGATGCGCGATACACGATCGAGAAAAGGTGGCCCAAAGAAACCAGAAACACTTACCTGTGTTGATGCCCACCATACCCACTTCCATGGCCTCGGCAACCCGCCAGCAGCGCTGGACGTCCCGGCTGAAGAAGTAGCCCGCCAGGCCGACCTCGCTGGCGTTGGCCATGGCGAGAACTTCCTGTTCCGTTTCAAAGGGGAACAGTGCCGCCACGGGCCCAAAGGTCTCCTCCCTCGCGACGAGCATCTCGGGCGTCGCGTCCAGCAGCACGGTGAGGGGGTAAAAGTGGCCGCCCCGTCCACCCTGCCGGCCGGGATCGGCGTCGGTTGTCATCCTGTGCCCGCCCAGGGCGATCTGCGCGCCCTTGGCTTCTGCATCCCGCACGTGGCTGTCCACCTTGTCCACGGCACGGGCGTGGATCAGCGGGCCGTGGGTCGCAGATGGATCGAACCCGGAACCAAGCTTGTACCGTCTGACGCGCTCGACGAATTTCTTGCCAAACGCCGGGAGGATCCCCCTTTGCACGTAGATGCGGTTCGCGCAGACGCAGGTCTGGCCCGACGAGCGGAACTTGCTCATCAGTGCACCCTCGACCGCCGCATCAAGGTCCGCGTCGTCGAACACGATGAACGGCGAGTTCCCGCCAAGTTCCATGGACAGCTTCTTCAGCGTGTCGGACGATTGCTTCATCAGGAGCTTGCCGACGGCGGTCGAGCCCGTGAAGGAGACCTTCTTGACCTTGGGGTGCGTGCAGAGCGCGTTGCCGACCGCCGGAGTGTTTTCGAGCGTCGTGACGATGTTGAACACGCCCGCCGGGATGCCCGCCCGCCTGGCCAGTTCCGCGAGGGCGAGCGACGACAGGGGCGTCTCGCCCGGGGCCTTGACCACCACGGTGCACCCTGCTGCAATGGCGGGGGCGGCCTTGCGCGTGACCATCGCCGCGGGGAAGTTCCAAGGCGTGATCAGCCCACAGACCCCGATGGGTTCTTTGACGGTCAAGATCCGCTTCCCGCCCACGCTGGCCGGGATGGTGCTACCGTAGATGCGAGGGGCTTCTTCCGCGAACCAGAGGAGGAAGTCGGACGCGTACTTGACCTCCCCTCGAGCGTCTGCCAAGGGTTTTCCGTTCTCCATCGTTATCAGGATGGCAAGGTCTTCGGCATTGTCGAGCATGAGCTGGTGCCACTTTCGTAGCATGTCTGATCGCTGTCGAGCAGTTGTGGCTCGAAAGGTCTTGAATGCATTGGCTGCTGCGTCGATGGCAGCCTCTGTATCTGATACGTCACATTCTGGACATGTACCAACTACAACACCAGTACTTGGATCTGGGATTGGGTCAGTTGGCTTCGGCAAAGAAGGGATCGCTGCATACCTGTGACCTCAAATGTCTTCCCTGATTCGCTAGGCACCCACTGACTGTTGACGAAGGCACGGTCGATAAGAAGACTTTTGTCTTTCAGCTGTGACGCAGGTCAGCTCCATTCGTCAGCCAGCCTGACACCCTTGCACTTATACTTACCGGTGGTATTGTTGGAGCCATGATCCTTAAATCGACGTGTTGAGTTGCACTTGTTATGTTTGTCCACCTTCAGAACGCCTGCATATGTATTCAGCCTGCCTGTTAAATGTCGCGGAAGCCGTTTATGATGACGAGTGGCCAGCAGAGGTTGATTGGAACTGATATCGGCATCAACACAAGCTGTGGAGTGGTTCGGTACCGAGTTTTCGGATGGACCGAATCAGGCGCCGGTGCCGGCAAAACGACAGCGGGTCTTGGCTCGGGGTGGCAAGAATACCACTTCGGAGATGCGTCCAGGCTCGGGCGATTTTTCTGGATAACTGGCCTCACTCATATCGATAGTCCTGAAATCCCATGGGAAGATCGAAATCGAAGACACTTGCATTGCCATTGTTCGGCAGGCCAAAAGAACCAATCGATGTACCATCTAACAGCCAGCTTGAGTCCAGATTGCTCCAGTTCCCTATCCAGTCGCGATAGTTATTGATGTTTGGGTCCTGGTCGGTTTGTGTACCGAGACGCATGTTGTCGCCGCCATGCTGAGAATACACTGCGTCATAGCCAGGGGGATTTTGAACAATGTGTGATCCCTGGTCCCCCTGTGGTCGTGTAAAGAATTGAGGGATACGCCCATCATGATACGTCGAATGCATGTCTTCTCCAGTGACATTCTCTGAGCCTCTGACTTGATTGTTGTGTGGTACGAACTGGTTACTTTGCGGAACTGCCATCAACAACCGGATCACATGATGGAAATTCTGATGAGGATGTGTCTGCAGGAGTTTCGCAACCTCCTTGGCCACGGGTTCCAGGCGGGATTGTTCAATAAGTTCGGGCCTGAGTTTTGACATTTTCAAGGCAAGGACACCTGCTACCAGTTAGTTTCCAACACCTCACTCCTTACCACTCCTTCCATTCGAGACGTACAAGTGAAAGCGATGGTCAGGGCAGTATAAGTAGGGGCCCATTTTAGCTGCCATTTGTATGCTGGGCTTTGTACAAGAAATGACAGTTGACTGAACATGACCCCCATCACGTAAGAAAGTATCTCAGAGGCGACAGAGTCCAAATTAGCTTCACCCAGGGTAACCGAGCTCTCTGTAGAAGAATTTGGCTGAATTTTTCGCAGGCCAGCACAGCAAGTAAATGTTTTCGCGTATTCTCTTGACATGTACAGGCTCGTACGTTGGAAAGATGGTTGAGGATAACCGATATCTAGGTAGGGTGATTAATTCGCTTGTCAACCTTCGAGGGGTTTCTGGTTTATCGTACCTGCAAAAGTCTTGTCCCAGAAGGAACACCATGCATCGAACTTTTGGCTGGTCGAACGGATCTTGGCCATCACAGCGGAAGGGGATTTCTCGGATTCCTCAATTTCCTTCTGCATTTGGGCTAATACCGTTAGCCAACGAGTCTTCTGATGCTAGTAGAAACAAACCTCGCTGGATTACCAGTTCCACAAGAGAGACAATTCTAGAATCTGACGCATTGGCAGCTGGATGTCTTGCAAATGCCCTCAAAGTCTCTGCTGAGATGGCTTCGATTCGAGGACGGCGTGCCGTGCCAGCAGCAATCTCCCATTCAAGGAACGACGCCATCAGCCATGTCCTTGCTTGACGTGCGAGTCGCCTTTCTGTCTTTTGAGTATCAGCCGAATGGGTGCAGGGACTACGCAGGAGTTGCTGCAGGGCAGTTTGGAGGCCCAAGACGAGGGCCATTTGTATGGCATGGCCAATGGTAAACCACGTTCGTTCCGAAAAGGCTGCAATCAAGGTCATCGCTTGGACATCCTCGATCACGGGCACACCAATGAACAAGGTCTCAGCTGCCAGGCGGCGAGCCTCGTTCTGGGTGACTTGTCTCACGTGGTCCGTGATGTTCGCTGCCTCCTTGACTCGAGCCGCGGTGGCCAGGACAACGGCGAAGCAAAATGGCGAACGAACGCGCAGAGAATCAAATGTGTCCAGGAGCGGATCCAACATCGGCAAAAAGGTATTGTTTCCGGTTATGAAGCTGTGCCCACTCTTAGCCATGGCCCTCAAGACGACCAGTGTAGAACTCTCACCTGTTGAATAAATCCCTGGCCAGCGACTCGTCAAGCTCTCCCTCGGAGACAAAATCGCGAGGCTGCGTGACAGACGGGAGTAATGTGGTCTGCTCCAGGTCCCAGCTCTGACCGCCGGAAGGCCGAGGGGTTTCTGGAGTCATGGCATGAATGGCAGTCACCGGAGCATCCAGATCATGCGGAGCCAGTGCGTAGGGATTCTGAGGCTTCCCCGCGCTGGCGTTACCTCTTGTGGCCGCATCTTTGTCAGCCTGGCTGTTGATGGGCGTTTGCACTTGTCCGCCTGAAGGCTGCTCCGTCGGAGCGTCTGAACCGGAGGTCTCCGGGGCAGTCTGTCCGCGAAGCCTCAGGATCTCGGCTTCCAACTCTTGGATTCTGGCAGAGGAAGTCAGCAACCGGTGAGAACATTGGTAGGGAACAGATCAGGCTTCCAACCTCTTCTGCTGTTGCTGGCCCTCGGTACTTTTGTCAAGTGTTGGTTTTTTGGGCCCAACGAGATCGAAGACGCATGCAGTTCCGGCGGTCTGGCACCGCATGCAAGGAGCTTTGCCTTCGCAGCGCATCTTCTGCCGCCGACATGTTCGGCAGGCCTTGAACGTCTTTTTGGCCGGAGTGCGAATTGGTCCCACGAAATTATCCGGGCCTGGCGATTGAGACTGCCCTTCCATTCCGTTTCATGGCATGTCCGGATGAGACTGGCGCAGATACGGCTAGAGGTCAGCGACATACAGGTGATCAAAAGTTTAGTAGAACATCAGTCCTTCCATGCAGACGCTCACAGAAGCCTCGCTGCCCAATCTTTTCAAGGCTATTGAGGCTCTGGAAAAACCGCGACGAATGTGTCATGACTTTGCCGAGAATCGGAAAAACGGATCAATGTTGATTCGGCGCCGGGTGGGTCGTCAGTATTAATCTTTGCGCCGATTGGCCAGTGGTGCGCTACTCCAAGATATTCATGCCTTTGAAGGTGACGCTTCGGAGCCATACATCTTCTAGATACTAACGATTTCTAAAGCCATCGGGAATTTTTCGCTGGAGCAGCTACAGTCCACACTAAAGCGCGACGTCTTGTAAACAAGTTAGGTTCAATAACCGAACTCCTTCCAGAAAAGAAAAGAAAAGGATGGCGAGACACACAAGTTCCTTCAGCACTCGGATATCCCATTGCTTGCCATCCTCGACAAGCCACTCCTTACCTTTACTCTTGAGCCTTGATCTGCACGAAGACTACCCATCATGGCCCTCGACAGCTTGGAACAGCTTAGAAAACACACCACCATCGTCGTGGACAGCGCCGACTTCGACATCCTGCCGCAGTACAAGCCGCAAGATGTGACGACCAACCCTCTACATATCATGACGGCGACCAAACTTCCCAAATTCAACTGGATTCTCGAAAAGGCCGCAAGGTACGGGCTTGAAAAGTCAACGGAAGCTGCTGAGCAGGAGTCCGCCGCCCTGCTGCAGCTGCTGGTGACGTTTGGCGCAGAAATCCTCAAGCGCATCCCCGGACGGACGTCGACCGAAGTCGACGCGATCCATTCGTTCGACAAGGACGCAACGATCCGCGTGGCGCGCGAGATCATCGCCATGTACGAAGAACTCGGCATCTCCAAGGAGCGCGTGCTCATCAAGATCGTCTCGACCTGGGAAGGTCTCCAGGCCGCGAGGGTCCTCGAGCGCGACCACGGCATCCACTGCAACATGACGGCCATCTTCTCCGTGCACCAGGCCACCCTGGCCGCCGAGGCAGGGTGTACCTTGATCTCGCCCTTCGTGGCTCGCACCACGGACTGGTACTACAAGAACCGTCCCCAACGGGACTACACCGGTTGGAAAGGCCCCGGGGTCAAGCTCGTCGACGAAATCTTTAAGAGCTACCACTCCAAGGGATTCAAGACGGAAATCATGGCCGCCAGTCTGCGCACCATGGACGAGATCTCCAAACTCTCGGGACTACAGCTGATGACACTAAACGCCGGTACGCTGGCGGAGCTAAGGAGTGAAGTGGTACCCATGACCAAAAGCCTCGATGCGGATAAAGGTAAGTCAGTAGGAAAGAAGTGTTCGGCCATTCCCTTTGAATCTGTTGCTGGTTCTGTCATCACTGCTAACATATCATTACCTAGTATCCGCCATGGCCAACGGACATCCCAAGGACATCAAGCCCGTCTTCCTCGACAACGAGGAAAAGTTCCGCCTCGCCATGTTCTTGGACCAGCCGGGCACCGATAAGCTCGATGAGGCCATTCGAATCTTCCTGGACGCTGGAAAGGAAACGACGGCACTACTGAGGGCGAAGATGGATTCGTTGGTGAATGCAAGCGCATGAAGTGGCAAAGTGCAAGTGCATTAAACAACCAGAGCACAAGTCGATAGACGGGGTAAATGGGTATATATGTGGCGCATTTGGATAGGCATCATTTTCGTCAGATCGATAATCAAGTACATATTGTCATGACCCCTTGAATCTAGAGTCCCAACCTGCCAATATTGTATTGTACTCCGTAGTCTATCTGAATGTTGGCCAGTGACGGCCTGATTATGCTTACGTCCCAAGTTACACCTCCTACTTCCTCAACTTTCATAACCACCCTCGCCTTCGAGACTCGTCGACTGCAAAGTCCCAATAATAGTGTTTCGAACGATGTCAGGCTACGGGCATTAGTTGAACTGATTGAACTCATGATATAACGAGCTTCATTATTGGCGCAACTGGCTTTGTGTTTGACCAGGCAGTGACCGGCTACGTCCTATGGTTATTCTATTCTACGTTTGGAAATAGCAGGCAAACATTCATAGAGCTATGGACAGCCGCGGCGTGACCTTGACCCACAGCTCTCCTGGACTGCTATTGAACCATTCGAGGGTATCCAGCTCTGCGTTTGGGTCTACCAGCTCGACATGGAACTGGTTGAATATCGACGCAACGGCGATCTGAAGTTCCATGTAGGCGAGATTTCGACCTACGCAGGCTCGGCTGCAACGACTGAATCAGTATCTGAACAACATCGTAATCATCGCAGGTAAGGAAGTAAACTCACCCTCCAGTGCTGAACGGGAGACTGAATTTCTTCAGAGCGGGCAATTGCTTCTCATCAGTCCAGCGTTCAGGCTTGAACTCGAACGGGTCAGGGAACAGGTCAGGGTCATGGTGCACCGACCAAGTCGGAACCGACACGGTGGTGTTGCCCGGAATCTTCTGGCCGGCGATCACGCAGCCCTGGGGAGGTGTGATCCGAGGCAGGCCAATGCCGACGGGAGGACGTTCTCGGAGTGCTTCATCGATACAGTTGCGGAGGTATTGGATATCTTTTACAGCATCATTGCTGCAGACCTGAACACCCGGGGGGAACGCTGAGATTATTTCCTCCTGGAGTTTTTTCTGGGCCGCTTGGTTGCGGGCCAGGTGATACATCAAGCTCGTGAGCGCGCTGCCAATGGTATCGTTGCCTGCATTGAGCTGGGAAAATTTGTTAGGTATCGGGGTGAAACAATGGCATTAGTCGTTGCGACTACGGGACAAAACACGTACCAGGGAGTTGGACTCTGCAATAAGCTCACCGAAAGGCATCACATAGCCACCGGGCTTGCGGTTAGCAGCCATGACCCGCGACCAGATGTCGTGAGGAGCCGTTTCCTCGGGAATCTCTTCGCGTCGGCGGATGCGATAGATGCTCATGTTTGAGAAGTTGGCGCCCATCTTCGCACCGTACGAGCAGTACAGAATGTTCTTTTTCAACCATTTGGCAAGATCCGTACCGAGGTAACCGACATTGTTGGCAAACTTGACTCCTCCAAGGAAGGATGCAATGGCTTCAACCTGGTACTGCTTGCCTTCGGGCGTCTCTGCGGTGCACGTGTCGTTTCCATTCTCGAGGAAGTTGAATGAGTTCCCAAAGACGACGTCGCCAATAGCATCGAATGTGAACATGTGGATCCATGGCGTCGCATTGAAGCCGTTGTCACCGCATTGCGCCTGCAATTTCTCCAACCTATCAAGAAGACTCTGGACTGCTTTGATGACATACCCCTCATACTCGGCGACCCCCTTGGGTGAGAAGCTACTCGCAATCGTCCGCCGCTTCCGCGTGTGCTCTTCGCGAGATCTCGTGTTTCCTGAGCTTCGAAAGGGGCCAGCAATAGCATCGTAGAAGACATCCTTGAGAATGTCGGTAGCGCTGTGCGAATAAATGTCGGAGAATGCTTCTGGAGAGCTGAAGGACACTGTGATTTCGTCGGTGTCAACGTCCACCCAGGAGCTAAAAGCAGCATAAAAAGACGAGACATACAGTGGTTTGGCTCAACTCTGACAATAGGACCGAGACGTTGATGAGCTTCATGAATCGCCATGAACCGCTTCATCTTCCGGTTGTGCCACATCGACCATAATGATGTGATGCCAGAGAGTCCGGCGGAGGGATACTTTCGAAGCCCTTTGGGGTCTAGGAAGTACCTTGTAACAGGAATTCCGACCGCACATAGCACCACGAAAGCAAGTAACGTTGCTAGTAAGGTTAGTAATGAACCAGAATAGTGAAATGATTTGTAGAGTAAACATACGAATGGACAACATGTTGAAACGATCAACGAGCGTGGATTGGCGTAGTTTCCGTGGCTTATCCTCAACCACAACGACTTCACGGTCTCATATGTGAAGATGTCTTTGTCCTTGGGAGCAAACACAGCAGCGCTCTAGATATTCCATCCTTTGTAAGGTCATCTCAGTGGCTTCGGGCACTACATTGGGGAATTGAACTCGACTGCATCACGTCGATTCCGGGGCTCATGATGCTCACAACAAGGTCGGCGCCGGGGACTCCCACTGAACCCAACCAACGCATGCCCGACTAGTCTCGCAGAACGTCTCGGATTGAAGTCACCAAGACTACGGTGTATACTATTGCCTCCGTGGATGTATCATCATGTCCTGTTCCTCGCCCGGCTCCGGTAAAGTCGCGACCGGCGCCGGATGGGAACCGAAGGCTTCTCACTCGGGTGAAGTCACTGTATGCAAAGATGTCACATCTAGACACAGGAGCAAGTGAAGCCAAACTGTAGCTTTACCAGTAGATCATCTCAAGTAGTTGAACTTCTCTGAAGTGAATGAAGAGCTGGATGCTAAGGAAAGATGCTCCTAAAGACGTGAACTGGGAAAACATCCGAGGCAATTCACGCGCCGTGCACGTGACACGAGACAATATGTGTGCGATGCATGAATGTTGTGAGATATTCATATAGGTATATTAGGAGAGATGACGTGTGCTGCGCAGGTGTAAGAAGTACAGCACAGTTCTCACGGGTCACGATTAAGCTATAACTACGTGTCGAGGTGTCCCGCAAGTCGGTACTTATATCACTCAACCACATGGCCAGCTTCACTACGGAAGACCATGAATTAGAATCATCCTCAGCGAGGAGTCTTGGTGGACGACCTACGGCTGGAAAAGAGAAAGGCGAGGCTTGCAGGTTCGAACGCTGAATTAATTTGGATAGAGTCGGGCGAATAAATGATAGGCAAAGAAAGAAGGATGTTGTTCTGCAGACTCACATGATAGCCATCGGGAAGAGTAACAAAATCCACCACAAGAAATGGACAATAGCCTGTACGTCCCCCAAGAAAGGACCCTTGAGGACCCTGTCCGACAAATCTTTAGTGGGGACTCTCGGATAATACCCGTTGCACTGAGGTCGTACTCCGTACTGTAGATGGATTCTTCTTCCGTACACTTTTGTAACGAAGGAGGACTTCTCCGATGGACGACAACTGACAAAGAACCATGTGGCTGTTAGGACTGCTTGTCGGTCTTCTTTTTGCTGTTGCAACAGGCCAGGAGCCAATCTACAGCCCGGGCACAAGACTTACTGTCGACGATGCAAACTACTTTGTTTCGTCTCTAGTTGCGGGGCACCTACCAGATGACTGTGGCCTATGGACAGCCTCGTCAGATCGTCCGGGGGAGTACGTTGCGGCAACCGTCGTAGAGGCGGAAGAAGCCTTGGACTCCAGCGGTCTTCAGGCCATCATTTCGACTTACCTTCAGAACGACGATGTGTTTACTGAAAGGTTTCTGACGTGTATGTAATGCTCCTGTTCTGACCATTGGCGACAAAGGCTGAAGCCAGGCCTTTTCTTCTCCTTATACTTACAAGTCCATATTCACGTTTCTCGGTACTGACATATTACCGGTCCTGGGTAAATAGTGCTCATCATCACTGCAAAGAATGGCACCGTCGTCGAGAACTTTACAGGTCAATCACTCATCAAGTCGCAATGCGTACTTACAGGGTACCTGGGTGATGACACTACCATGCCACCTGGACCATACTTTATCTCGACACACAAACGTACCCTGCATGTTCCGTACCGCTTGTACGTAGACACTCAAAACGCCTTCACAACCGGCGTCGTTCCGTCCACGGATAAGGACGGCTTCACCAACATTCCCGTGGCAGTTGCCGCCAGTTCTTCCACCACGATTGGCGTCCCGTCGCGTCTATACTTTCGAAAAACCGAAGAAAAGCCACTCGCTGGGGTGCGACTCGGCGTCAAAGATATTTATGATCTCAAGGGACTGAAGACCGGGGCGAGTAGCCGGGCCTATTTCGATCTCTATCCCGCTAAGAACAAAACTGCTTCTGCTGTGCAACGCCTGATCGATGCAGGCGCAGTCGTCGTTGGCAAGATGAAGACTTCGCAATTCGCTGCTCCGGAATTCGCGAGCCTGGCCATCGACTCTCAAGCACCTTTCAACGCCCGAGCAGACGGGTACCAGGAACCCGGATCCTCCTCTTCGGGCGGCGGCGCTGGTATGTCGGCGTACGACTGGCTAGATATTGCACTTGGATCAGATACGGGCGGGTCGATTCGTGTTCCAGCCTACGAAAATGGTCTTTATGGCAATCGTCCATCACATGGTTACGCGGACCTTGACCATGTCGTCCCCTTAGGTCCAGAATTTGACACTGCCGGCCTGTTGGCACGGGATCCTAACCTTTGGAGTCAAGCCTCGCGGGTTCTCTATTCTGGTTTGACGGAGAATTACACTACCTACCCAAAGAGAATACAGACATCTGGGCTCTCGAACAGCACAGAGACATCACTATCGCCTGTAGACAAGCAGATCCGCGAATTTGTCCAAACTCTGAGCAGACATCTGTCTGCGGATGTTACACAACTAAACTACACAGAACGCTGGTCAGATACTCGTCCAGCGGGCACCAATGAAGTTCTCTCCACCTATCTAGATACGACTTGGGAAGTCCTCACTGCTCAGCCACAGCTTGAACTGGTGCGAACTCCCTTTTTCGCAGACTACGCCGCCAAATACGATGGACGGCAGCCTTACGTGGATCCTTCACCCCGAGCATCTTGGGACTGGGCGCTCTCGCAGAACCCGAGCGTTGAAGACGCCAGTTTGCGAAAGGCCACGTTCAAGGCATGGTGGAATGAGCAGATCATGCCTACGAACGCAGAATCATGTTCTGACAGTATAGTTCTCTATGTCTCAAAGGACGCCTTGGGAGCGACCGGCCAGCCATCATATCGAGACATTCAGATACCGGGGTTTGGGATTCCGACCGGTTTGATGGGTGGTCTTTTCATCTCCCCAATGTCGGGAGTGCCGGATTTCGTTGTGCCTCTAGGACAAGTCCCGTACAATAGCTCCGTGACCAAGCATGAGGAACAACTCCCAGTGACTATCAACATGATGGCGGCCAAGGGATGTGATTTGATGCTTTTTGACCTGATAGATGAACTCCATCTGTTGGGTATTCTTCCCCGTGTAAAGACTGGGACGTCTATTTATGGCGGACGAACATACCTTTGAGATGTGACGAGGCAAGTATTGCAGAATCTAACCAGCTACCTTCCCACTCGTCATATCCGTGGGCGTCCATAGATTAAGCATAGTTTGCTCTTACTGACTGGAATTAAACCCATGCGATGCCGTAAGTGGCAGCAAGCTCAATTGCGTACTGAAATGTACATTTGATATCACATGGCCCTTTCAAATCTGAGCCAAAGACCCGGTCAGTTCATGCTTCGTACCTGATTATCGGGTAGTAAATTCGGCTTATTATACCTTGTCCAGGGCGAAACACGGATGTTCACGAAAGGTGCTGGATCTCGCACGTGTCTCGGTGGAAGGAGAGATTGTCCAGTTGCTTGTCTCTGCTTACTCCGTTCAACTTGACGCTATCGACTCATTTACAGTCTCGATCAGTCGAGCAAGATTTTTTGTATTGTCTTGCAGATAAGGGCAGCTTTTGTTGGTCTTTTTCCATCTTCAATTCGTGCTGTTGGCTTTGAGCTTTTGAGGAAGTCGACCGGCGTCCTCTATATTTTGGTGCTAGACGGATCCAAGAAGGATCAATGAATAATGGCCCTGACAAGTACTTCATACAGGCCGTATGACAAGTAAGGAAGAGAATCATGCATCTTGGTGTCCCTGGTAAATCAATAGTAGCTGGACGTCACGTGTGTCAAAGATGGATCCTCCGTCCCGCCTTTTGCTCTTCAAAGGGTCTTGAACCCAACCATTTCAAACACCGCGATTGTCATTGCCCACATTTCTCATCCACTTGTTCTATGCGACTCTACCGCCGACTGTTATGATATGTAGGTCAAGACATCTCCAATTTAATCATGTCAGAACACTCGGTAAGTGCGGCCGCGCGGCACACTCCCTCTGGACAGAAGATCATGAATTAATGGGGAGAAATCGCGAGCAGATCGATGGTCCGCCGGCCTCGAAGCGGAGGAGGATCGCCCTTGCATGTACACCATGCCGGCAACGAAAGGTCAAATGCGACGGGCAGAAACCTCTGTGTGGGCAGTGCGAGAATCGCAATTCGGGACCGCGATCATGCAACTACGTGGTAATTGCCAACAGCGAAAAGCGCCAGAGCGAGAAAGAGTCAGTTCGTTGTCCCGTCCAATCCAAGCCAGAAATGGATTATCTTCACCTTCGATATACTTGACAACTGACTCTCTATTTGTCATCACCAGGTATATTGCATCTTTGGAGCGACAACTCGCTGAACACCAACAAAGTATCTCGATTCTGAGAACGCAACAACAGCCACAGGATGCGTCTGGCAGCGCCGCGGATCTCGCTGAGTCGGAACAGGGGCAGCGAATCGACACACCAACCGCCAACTTTTCCATCCGGTCACATACTCATGACGATGCTCAAGACCCAGCCCCTCCCAATTTTGCGGGCTCCCCGACCGAAGCCATCACCATGCCTGACCAGCCATTCACGCAAACCCCAAATACTCACAACCGAATGCGCTCTGTAGCGCCGTCTCAACATTCGACCCTGCACTCAGGACAAACTCATGCTCGAGAGTCCGACCTCTACCACGATCAACGGAGTGTGCAAGGTCACGACTCTGAACAAGGTCATCATGCTTCCAGTCCCGTGGACGCCATGGGCACCGCTATTCGGGGAGGCAGTTTCCGGTGTGACCCTACGGATGAATACTACGGCCAATCCTCGGTGGTTTCGTTGATGAAAGAAGTCTCTCAACACCAGGGATCAGATTCGCAGCCTGCATTTGTGGACGATCGTCTGAGCCGGCCTACTAGAACCAGACAATACGCTCCGTGGAGCCGGTCTACTCTAAACGAGACCGATTTTGCGAGGCTCATGCTTCAGCCCAGGTTCTCTTTGCCTCCACGAAGCATGGCGGAAAAGCTATTGGACATTTACTTTCAAAATGTCCAAATATTTTATCCTCTCGTACACTCGACGAGCTTTCTCAAAGAGGTCGACCGTCTGTGGCAGAGCCACGAGCAGCATCGCGATGATGATGACGACGACACATATCTTCCGGATATTGGATTGGGAGGTCCAAACTGTCAACCCACAGTGTTCTTTTGTGCATTGAATGCAATGTTTGCCTTGGGATGCGAATTCTCCGATCTACCTTCAGACGAAAAAGCAGCGGCGGCACTTGTGTATACCGAACGCATGAAAGATCTGTTGCAAATACCCATACTCGACAGTGGCAATTTGGCGTATGTTCAAGCGTTGCTACTTGCAGGCCAACATTTGCATTGTACGCAATACCCGACGCAGTGTTGGAACGTGGTCGGCCTGGCTTGTCGAATGGCACTAGGGCTGGGCTTGCATTGCGAGAACGGCAACGAGAATGGTGGGATATCATTGGAAACGGAGATTAAGCGCAGAGTATGGTATGGCTGCGTTCAAATGGACATGTATGTGGAGTGGACGATCTCGTGGAAAGCTCGAGAAGCATTAACTAATTAAATCGACATCACAGGCACGTTAGCATGACCCTAGGACGACCACCTACTTTACACAACGTGAATGTGTTGCCTTTGCCGAGACCCATTGACGACGTCTACCTTGTTCCTGGCACTCGATCCTGCGAGCAGCCAGAAGGTCACATGGCCGTCACGGCATTCAACGTTGAGAATTTGAAGCTCGCCAAACTACTCGGGAACATATTGGAGAAAATCTATCACACTGCATCGTCCCAGTCCAGCCCTGGGCCCTGGTTGAACGAAAACCCAGCCCCAAGCGCCGTCCATCGCGACATTAGTGCCATTATGCACATGGATTCGTGTCTCAAGCAGTTTGCCGACAACTTGCCAGAAGCGTTGCGGTGGGACGGCAATGCGAGTATACTATCAGAGGGTGACTCGGTCTTGCAACGACAGCGCAACGTCCTACAAGCCAGGTGAGAACCTCGTCTCCGCGAAAAAGGTCTTTAAGACGTCAATCGTACTAAACATACTCGTAACAGGTTCATACATCTCAAGGTCCTTTTACATCGTCCGAGTTTCAGCGCTCACCGTTTCTGGCTACACCAAAAACGGAGGAGAGGCAACCACCAGGCTTCACAATCCCGACATGAAACAAGCCTGTCACAGACGACGGGATTGGAACTGGTCATAGCAACGCGGGGTCGATGTGCCGTCGCATGTGTCGAAAATGCCTGCGACCTTATATTGTCGATTAGCAATGCCACGGCGATCAATGCCACCGGTGCGTGGTGGTGGAGCTTATTCTGTACGTCCCCCTTCCAAGTTATGCATCACAGTCGGCTCGAGATGTCAACTAACCAATATCTTCGGGTACATGTACAGACATTACCACCGCTGCCATCATTCTGATCCTAGCAGAATCTTGTGAAGAACTTGTGCGAGATTTGGACAGAGACACAATGCGACTGGCGTGGGAACATGGCACCAGGACCTTGGAAAGGATCAGCCATAGTCGATCCGTGGCAGCTGACCATTTGTTGGCTTTGCGAAATTTCCGGAGCCGAGCGTTGGCTGCTCAAGATAGTGAGTGCCTGATACTCTTATTGGCCCTTTGTGAGATATTTTTTCCTGTATGTTTACCAACACATTTTCTCGTTCGTTACACAGAAGTCACCGTCGACGATGATAACGAAGCACGAATCAACTCGATTGCAAACTTTGCAGGAACACAACAACGGCAACAGCAGCACGCCGCTAGCGTCAACAGCAACCAACCAACGAATGGTTCTTTTCTATGGCCACCAGGAGACTATGATCGAGGTTCGCTGGGCCCGGATCAACACCACCAAAACCAAACAGCCATGGGAGTCGACGGTGGTAACGAGGACAATAATTTCGACAACAATGACATGGCCGCCACCACTGCCTCGGCCGCGGGCGGCGCAGGTGGTCAACAACAAGGTTGGTTGTTTGACAACGACGATGATGACAACAGATTCGACGCCGCCAACATGGCATGTCTCCGACCCTTTACCGATTGGGACTTTACTCTGGAAAACATGGTGTGGCCGTCGCCGGACAACAACATGTGGAATTATTCCGATGTCAATACTGTTCCATACCTTTTTTGATGTGGTACATTCATTATGTACAACAGGCTCCCAAGGCACTCTCTCTCTCTCTCTCATACATGCAACATTGTCTCTTGATTCCAGCATGTGGCGTCTGGAAAACATACTGTATAATGTACGCCGTACACGGGTCAATATGGTCCCTCGGATTCCTGCGGGTGACGATTTGCCCTTTGTAGAGCTGGCCCCGATTTGTGTACAGTACTAATAAACAATGTCGACGTTGGTAAATATGATATCCCCTAAAGAACGTCCAGACTTTTTGAGCAGGGTATAATATACAAAGTTGAGAGGTGTGGAAAAAAAGAGCGCGCGCGCACACACACAAACACACAAATGTAATTTATACATTGGCAAATTGTCTTACCCCCTTCTTCTTCTCTCCCACACACTCATGCCAGAAGTAGCCGCCGAACCTTCTTCACCTGATTGTACGGCACGCATACCACGGTCGTACTCGTCACTTCCACTTGCCCGACGCTCTTTGTTCAATATGGCGTCAAATTCCTTTTGTGCCTGTTCACGCGCGAGTTGTCTGTCGGCCTCGGTGTTGGAGAAGGAGAAACCGGCGTCTCCCCCTCCTCCTTCTCGGTCGTTGCGTTGATCAGATGGCCGTTGATAGAATGAGTCGTCAGTGCGAGAAGAAGTGTCCCTCTGCCAATCTGAATGAGGAACCACTGGTTGTTGCTGCTGCTGCTGCTGTTGTGGTTGGCCTTGGAAGCCTTGGTTCGAATTCGACTGGCCTTGCGCATTGGAGTATGTTGATGATCTCTGATTCTCGCGACGGATACGAGCCCAAGAGCCAGGGAATCCTCCTGATGTTGGTCCTGGAGTAGCCATGTCCGGATCATTGCCGGCTGTCGGAGAGGCATCGTCGTCATCAAAAAAGGACGAGCCTGGTGACGAACGGGAACCATTGCTATTCGATTGGGTATATTGTGGTGCGCCGGTCCTGTTGTCCCATCTCGTGGAAGGGTTTGATTGTCTCGAATCACGAGCCCTCATCGATAAATCACCCATTACGCCAGTGTCGGTGGTTCCATCTGTGAATGAGCTGTCACCACTGTATCCGTCACTACCGGAATAGTCGGTTCGATCAGAGGCTCTGTTGTTGTAATATTCTTGCGAGGAGTCCTGGTTGCCGTACTGAGGGCCGTCTTGAGTCTGTGTCTGGGTAGGAGGCAGGTTCTGTCTTTGGTCGGGGCCTCCTCTATAGCGGTTCGCAGATATTCGGTCCAGGCTACCCTTGATCTCCATCATGAGCCCCTTGGTGCGCTCGTCCTTGTACAAGCCGTACATGCCAAAGGTGTCGCCGGCGGCCGCGAACAAAGGTGAGGCGGCAAAGACGGCCAGTGCGGCCCAGACGTTGAACCTCGTAAATTGCCACATGAATTGCGCCTGTCTGCCCGTGGCTATGGCCCAACGTTTGCTCGGGAAGCTCTGGTACTCTTCCATGGGACGGGGACTTCGAAAGGGAAACTTCATCTTGTCGTACGTCCTCCAAGCTATCAGACCTCCCGCGACGCATCCCGACAGGTTCCCCCACAGGCTGTAGATGGTCCTGTTCGTGCTGTAGAACGCCATCGCCTCGGCTTCCGTCTGCGTCAACGGCCGGCCGGCCAGGTTCTCGGTCCCACGGATGAAATCGATGACGGTGATGCCCGATATCTGTGCACGCCTGGGTCCTCCAAAGAGCCATTTTCGTTTGAGGGTCCCTATCGGGATGGATTCGAAGGCGAGGCGGTAGGTGCGAGGTATGCCCTTGAGCTCGTAGCCCAGCTGGAGGGTTTCAGACTCGACCTGGACCAGGTACTTGTTGCGAATTTGCATGATCTCGGCGATTCCCCCACCTGGGGACTCGCCTTGTTGTATGGGTCGAGCACCGGGGCCCATGGCGGAAGGGAGGGAGGATGAAGGAGGGCCTTGGGAGGTCATGGTGGCGGTGGGAGAAGTTGGGTCGATGGCTATCTATGTGCTGACTGGCAAGACAACCAGGCCATGACCTGTAGCAGACTTTGATCTTTAGGAGCAAGAAGCGGGCAAGGAGATACAATCGGTGAGGTAGTGGTGTTGGTAAGAGAAAAGACTGCTGTGTATATTGTCTGCGATGTTTTTGTCGACTCTCAGTGACGTCGCTATTTAGAGAATCAAATTAATTCACCCCACGAAAACCCCGAACACACTTGGAACTCACCACAATCAACCAAAAGACCCAAAGAGACCACAAGAAACCCGTTCACCTTCGTCCTTTGACGACCACAACGCATCCCTCATTCCTTATCTCGCCTTCCACCATCCTCACCACCGACATCTCCTCCCTCCGTGTCTCTTGAAGCGCCCATTTTTATCTGCGCACGCCACCTCGAGCGCCGCATCTCATTAATCGAAGTTTTTTTGACCGGCCTCCCACTACGTTTCTTTCAACATGCCGCCCAAAGGCAAAGTGGCCGACCAGCCCAAGAAAACCAAGGCCAGTGTCGAAGATAAAACATTTGGCATGAAAAATAAAAAGGGTGGCAGTGCGAAGAAACAAATTGCCCAACTCCAGGCACAAGCCAAGTCAAACAAGTCGCCCGAGGAGAAACGAAAAGAAGCAGAAAAGGAACAGAGAAAGAAGGAGAAGGAGGCTGCTGAAGCGGCCAAGGCAGAGGCTGCCGAATTATTCAAGCCCATTCAGGTCCAGAAAGTACCTTTCGGTGTCGACCCGAAGACGGTGCTCTGTCAGTTTTTCAAGCAAGGCCATTGCGACAAGGGAAGGAAATGCAAGTTCAGCCACGATCTCGACGTGGGAAAGAAGGTGGCCAAGAAGGATCTCTACCAAGACACTCGAGAACAAGAGAAAGAGGACAAGGAAAAGGATACCATGGATGATTGGGACGAAGAAAAATTGCGCAAAGTCGTCGTCAGCAAACACGGCAATCCACGCACGACGACGGACAAGGTCTGCAAGTACTTCATCCAGGCGGTGGAGGACGGGAAGTATGGCTGGTTTTGGACTTGCCCCAATGGAGGCGACAAGTGCATGTACAGGCACAGTTTACCACCTGGGTATGAAGACGTCCATTTTCTGCTGGCTAATCATTACTGACAAGGTGAACAGATTTGTACTCAAGACTCGAGAGCAGCGACGTGCCGAGAAGGAACTCATGGACAAGTCTCCATTGAAAACGCTCACCCTAGAAGACTTTTTGGAGTCTGAACGACACAAGCTCACAGGGACTTTGACCCCGGTGACGCCCGAGTCATTCGCCAAATGGAAGAAAGAGCGTATGGACAAGAAAGCCGCCGAAGAGCAAGCACGAAAGGCCAAGGAAGCCACCGGTCGAGCCATGTTCGAAAGTGGGAACTGGAAAGGTTCCGAAGATGAAGACAGCAGTGATGACGACGACGACGATGAGGGTTCATTCAACCTTGAGGCGATGCGTAGAGAGACTGAAAGGATCCGACAGCAAAAGGAAGAAGAACGACTGGCCAGAGCCAACGGTGGGGTGGTTCCTGATGACAACAACGAAGATACAGAAAGTCCAGCGGATGCGTCTGACAGCAACGGTGATACGGGAGACGGCAGTGGAGGACAAGGCTGAGAAAGAGGTGTTTGGGTTATTTTTATATGACACTCTGATACCACGCCCAGCGAACGTTTAGCGAAACACATCACGGAGTACAGGCACAAGACAGACTCGACTTGCGATTAACCCCGGTCCAAAGGAAGCATCCGGGTTTCGCAGAGATCACTTATGAAATTTATGGGAGGAAAAGCGTGTCTACAAAACAAGCTAGAGGCTTCTCTGATACTACATTGACGATTCAATACGATGGATGGGTCGCAGTTGGGGAGAGTAGTTGGTTTTGCCTTGTTGACCTGGGTGAGTTGAGACCGTCTATATAGCTATGGTCGAGATAGATCACTCGTACGAGACAAGGATCACATGAGAACGAGAACAAGACAGACTGACTTGAGGGAAAACACCATTCTTCTATTGCTATAATATGTGATATGATTCAAAAGGCACATGTATCCTTCCATATACTCCGTAGGTCTAGATACTATTGTGTACTTGTTGCGGTTGTCTCCGGCCCGACTCCGTTTCCCCGCAAAGAGAGTCTCAGAGATTCCGTACTTCTGCTCTTTTGAACTTATCCGCTTCTGCTTCCTCCGCCACCAATCGCCTGATTTCGTCAGTTCAGTGACAAGGAACAAGTACGAGACTCGCAGCCCTTCCGCCGGAATGGAAAAGGTCGTGTGCTCATCACTATTACTGCTCGCCTTCGCCCTCTCATATTAGTCGAGAACGCCATTTCTAACGGATCAAGTACTCTCCCTCTCTCTTTCCTATCAACATCATTCCTCTCCCAAAGGACACACAAGCATAGATTTCCCTTGGAACTTTCGCCCTTGACACCACACGCTTCTACGAGTTTGAGCTTCGCAGGCCAAGATACCAATCAATTATTAAAGTCAAAGCGAACGTTATTTGCGCCCCATTAGACAGTTTCGAAAAGCTCGTTCGAGCTCCAGACGGGAACCCGGAAAGAAGATTACAACAAGACTACCTGGTCCGACCGACCTTCCTCGCATCTCCCTCTGTCTGCCACCGACGTCAATACGTCAACCAAACCAAACCAAAAAAAAATGTCATCACAACCTCAGAGCTCTATTCCTGGGTATCGCCCAGCACCATTTCTCACGTGCGTTGACACAAAACTACTTTCTCTGGTTCCTCGACTGACAAACTGACATTGACCAAAAACAGGCGCGGCAAAAAACTAGTCCTCCTTTCCATCTTCTTCGTCCCCGTCGTCAGCTATGCATGGCTCAAGAGGCTCGAAGCCAAATCCAAAGAACAAACGCGACTCCTCGAGGAAGAAGGGAGGCGGAACTGGATACAGGAGAACCAAAGGTTCAATAGAAAAGACCTCAGCGTGGCAGTTGGCAGGAGCGGAGGAGGCGTCTGAATTTCCAACCCCAAACGGGGGTCAAACAATACTCATGATACACCGAGTACCTGTTTCGTCGTATGGGATACAAACAGACGAGCAGTCTCGCCGTCACCCAACGACTCGATTTCATCAAGACAGCGAGGAGAAGGATGTCATGGCCGACGACGAAAGCTCAGATTGTCCCTCGTTTTTTCCCACTCTCCATCCGAAAGGTGTACGGATCTACCCTACAGCGTATACATCGTGTGAAATGAGAACGACACCAAGCACCCGAGGGAACGAACGAATGAAACGGCCCCGTGGACGACACGTCATGCCATGATGAGAAAGACGATGTGATGAATGATCTTTCTTGGAAGATGTAACTCTGAGAAATTTGCGGAACTACCACCACACACCACGACAGGGCATGATGTGACAATGACACGACAAAACTAAATAAAGACTCAAGGGGCGAAAATGTATCATCCCACAGATCTACATCTTGGACACATCCAGCTTGACACCTATGGAAAGAGGACACGCCGCGTTACAAAGGCGTCAGCGTCGCGCGCCATCCTCGTGTATCGCACCCAAATCCATACACCACTCACTCCTCAGTAGTTCGATGGCCCCATCCAGACTTGAGACCTTTTCTCCTCTTCTCTTTCAAGCGAGAAAGAAATGACCCAGCAAATGAACATTAACACGAAAAGACACGAGTACACAGATGACAAGGATCCACACGGACCACGTTGAGTGAGTTACATGCCTGTCTATATACCTAGGTTACCATGTTTCTCCCGTCCTTTAAGACCTTACGCTGCGATGCGTCGCGGTGAGATATATACGAAACCAGACAAATGACATATGCCTTCCCTATCGGGAACATGTACCAAGTAACTTGCCATTTACTTGTACATCATCATTCGGGATGGTTCAGATCTATAATCCAATGACACGATTCACTTATCAAGTTACTCCATATCATGTACCCATCTGGCAAAAAAGAAAAACATTCTCGACGGGTTCATCCTCATTACCATTCTTCATTCCCCTCCCATCGTTCTCCCCCCCCTGTCCACTATCTATATTCCTATGAAAAAAAGAGGGCCAATTCAAAAAAAAGGCCACGCTTTAAAGGATCGTCGAGAATTGAAGCGACGACGACAACCAAACAGTACGATCGCTGTGAACAGACAAAAAGGCAGCTCTTGCGAGCACATGTGGTCTGGTGTCGACGTGACCCAAATCTTTCTCTTTTCCCTTCTGCTTTTCCGTTGGTCCCCGTCAGATGGAAGATCTCCCTTCCCCCCTATCCTTGTCCTCCCTCCACACTACTCCAAATTTAACCACAATATCATATCACGTAGGTTTTGCTTCTGCCATTGATGCATTGCCACACACACCTGCCCTCTGATCTTCAGTCAAACTAGTCTCCATCAACCATTGCATTTTACCATTACACATCTCCAGCCCAAACATCTGTCTCTCTTCCAAGATCTTCCTAAGAATTCACACTCCCAGCCATCGCACTAGGGATACTCTCGTAAGGAGCGGCATATTCCGAATTCATTCTCGGGCTCATGGCTTGGTTGTCATCCCCACCCTTGCGTCCACGACTGGGACTTCTCACTCGCCCGGCAAAGTTACGGATCTTCCCCAACAGGGCTCCCGATCCATTCCCACCGCCACCATTACTCTCGTGGCCAGACCGTCCGCGGCGATGACCTCCTCCTCCTCCACTTCCTGACGGCAGAGCCGCTGAAAGTTGTGCTTCTGAGAAGCTGGTAGGAATTGCCGACATGGGAAGTGGTACGTTGGCTGCCTCGGGTTCGAAAGTTCCCAGATTTGAAACGCTGGGACTCGCGAGTGTCATGGTTGCCGGCTTTGGCGGAGGTGGAGGCGGAGGAGGCGGAGGCGGTGCTGCCAGATGCTGAAGTTCTGGAAGGATCGGTGGTGGTTGCGGAGGCGAACCCATGTACGCTGAGCTATCAGTGGGAGGGGAAGACATTGTAGGCATTTGTGGCTCTCTCGGTGACGTTCGCACACGATCACGAGATGTACCTCGACTCAGCGAAGACGCCCGTGCTTCAGCACCCTTACTGCTTGAGCGACTACCAGCAATGCGATGGTCGTAAGCTGGATGTTTGGGGATCTGGGAGAGGAACTCCAATGACACAGGAGCGCGCGCAGACCCTGGTGAGCTTATGTCTTCGCGTGTGGGCGGGCGGTAGACCTCACTGGTCAAGAGCTCTGTCGCAATAGGTGGCACTGGTATTTTGTTTTCGGGGGTAGATTCGGTCACTTGCATGGCTCTTGGAGTGGAAGGTCGTTGTTGACTGAAGCCTCCGCCGGTGCCGTCCTTTTCGGATGATGGTCGATGCATTTGGGCACTCGTGATCGTTCCATCGTCAGTGTAAGCCCTGACCATTGGAGGCATGTTACCCGTTGACGCAGACTTTCCATGAGCACCAACATGTAGGGGCAAGGGAATGTTAGGTGCTGATGGTCGGCGAGTAAGTGACTGCCTCCGAGCTTCAAGCTGCTTTGCTGCAGACTCTTGTCTGCCCCTATCATTGAGGATTTGTGGCTGACTTGCGGGCCTGGGCTCTTCTTGTGGAGTCCGTAGTGTAGGCAACATGTCCTGGAGATCATCAGGATGGGCGCTACGCTCGTAACCAGTGTCGCTGGGCCGACGATGACGCCGTTGTCTATCGCTACGGCTGGTTTTCCTGCTCAATGATGCTTCGTCTGCTTGTCGACTTCGAGATCTGGCACGTGGCCTGCGACGGTCAGGAGATGGGTCTCGTTTCGCGCTTGTATCACGTTGAGGTTGTCTGCTCGTACTGCGGTGTAACCTGTGTCGATCCCTTGAAACGAGTCTCAAAGCCGAGTCCTTGTCGAAGCGACTTTGCAGGTCCTCTTCCGAAGGGATCATGGGTCTTGGTGACGATGGAGATCGATGTCCGGTTTTCTCTCGTCTCGACGCACTCCGACCCCTGGGGGAGAAAAGCGTAGCGTCCGGACTTGTCTGTCTACTTGGAATACCGCTGCCACCCTTACTCCTTGTAGCGCGCGTTTTGGAACGAGACCTATGTCGATGTTTCGTGCCCTTGGCTGTCGAGTGAGACCCTCGTCGACTTAGCTTCGACATGCTGCCAGGTGTCCCAACTCGATCATAACCAGAAACGTTCGAGCTGTACATGGAATCGAAGCTCTCCACACTGGTGCTATACATTCGCAGATCTTCGGGAGACATTGGCACAGGTGATGAAGGAGACCGTTTAGCAGCAGGAATAGTTCGTCGACCCTCGCCTGCGTCGTTGACTGTAGTGGTTCTACCCCTCCTTCTTTCTGACAAGTCGTCCCTAGATGTCTTGCTAGCACTGCTGTAACCACGTGCTCGTGCGTGCTTTTCGTAAAAGTGTGCTTGATCAAGGCTACTGATAAATTGATCGATACTTTTACCCGTAACAGCTGGGCTTTTTGTAATGTCCCTGTAGCTTTGGCCCGTGGTGGGTGGGCTCGTGAGTCCCGCATTGGTCTCGATCTGCGTGTTGGAATATGTTCCAGTCGTAGCAGGACGACTGATTGGGTCTTGGTAGCTAGTAGGAGGTAGATATTCCTGTTGGGAGTTAACTTGTTGTACTGCCATCGTCTGGATTGAAAGACCCTCTGGTTTTCTGCTTTTAGAATCATTCCTCGGCCGTGATGTGTTTGGATCTCCGCTCTCAGCAGTTTGAAACCGAGCCCTTGATTCAGGAAACCTCATCCCGCTTTGTGGGCCGACAGCTGTTTGAGGGGTTTCCTTCACTGGAGTGGCTGAAGAAGGCTCATATCTTGCAGAAGTAAGCAATGTAAGGGCCTGTTTAGATTTCTGCTGAGGGTCGTTTCCCGCTGGCGTCATTTGATGGTCACCATCATCCTTGGATGCCTCGAGATCAGTAGGCACCGAGACAGACCGTTGAGGTGGGAATTTGGGGCCGTCCACATCGACAGGTGTTTCGCCGATTGAAGCTAATCGGCTAGGTTGAAAGCCACCTGGAGTTGCAGTCTTACTAGACAGAGCACTATTAATGCTACGTATATTGTTTAACCGATATGAACCTAAACCGCCAGGTGACAGAGCAGATCTATCAATTGCGGATTCAGCAATAGGCGTAACAGCTGCGGCAACGGTTGGAGTACGGTCATCAGGCTTGAGACCTGGAAACTTGAATTGGTTATTGGGCTGTGCTCCGAACGAGGTAATGAGCTTCAGTGCTGATGTCTGAGGCGTGATCCTGGTCCCTTGGGCCGCAGCAGTCCGGTATGGAGTGGGTGGGGTGGGCAAAGAGGTCATCATATGTGGCGGAGGCATTGCGACCGGAGTCGGAGCGTCTACCGTCCGTCGTCTCTCCAACATCTTTTGGTAGATGGCAGGATATTCGGCTGGCTCTAGGTTCTGCACTTGTGCAGGCTGCGAGCTATGCTTTTGCTCTATGAGGACTTCCGCAGGCTCTTGAGCAAGCATTTGTGCTTTGGGAGATGTCCATGGGTCGGACGGTTCGACGCCAGTGCAGGAGAAGCATCGAATGGCCAAAGATTGTTGAGAGTTCTCCACCACATGTTCACCCCATCTGCGAACAAGGTAGGACTGCCGTTGCCAGTCTTCAGGGTAGACGAGGCATGTCAAGAGAACAGCGTCCATGTACTGATTTCTCGAAACATACACCTCAATAGCGTCACTTCGGTCGCCAAGAGCGAGCATCAAAGTGGCAGCGGCATGTATGTCCCCGTGGCTAAGCATTTTCTCAATAAAGACCTGAGTAATCTTCTTCGCGGTGACCTGGTTGCTTATGGTTCCCAAGGCCAGCAGCATCCAGTCGAGTTTTGAGTGGAGTTTGGTCGAACCCATGATCTCGGCAAGGTAGTCGGGATCTTCATCCAGCCACCTAGCGAGAAAGATGGCGTTCTGGCTTTCACTTGGATGCCGGCTCAATTCGTCACGAATAAGGTCATGGATATCCTCGTCCCAGCCAAATACACAACTCAGCATCTGTCTTCGAAAATCGCCGGACGTCAAATGACTCTCATCGACCGATCTCGGCGCTCGATATGGTACGTCGTGGAGGCGAGCTCTAGTGAAGGGAAACAGGTCGACTAACGGCCGTTCTTCAGGGCTCATGATAACCTCTTGCCTCAGACGCGATCCCTTTCGGTTTGATCTCGACATGACTGGAGACTGTGGCAGAAGTCCTTGCGCTGAAACTTGGTTGGGCGTAGCCTGAGATTGAATGCCAGTATCGAATGACGTCGTTGTGTAATCGGTTCTCCCGGCTGGCGAGATGATTTCGTTAATATTAGCCTTGATCCCCGATTTCTGTGAGCTGATGGTAGACTGAGGACTTGGGGCGTTGTTACGCTCAAGTCGGGCAGCTTCAGATGCGCGCAACTCTCGACGGGCACGTACAAGAGGAGAAGCAAGTTCTTCTTCACTCTCGGATGTTGTCCAAAGAGGACCTCTGATATCTTCTGCCGGGGGTGTTGGTGGGATTGTGGTGGGCATATGACGGACATTTGCAACCATTTGAGCACGTTCAATATCATATTGTTGCACCGTATAATCCGGACCGAGAGTGAAAAGTGTTCCAGTCGGGCCATGGCATGCTATAGCCTTTACTCCTTCGATTGTCGGAATAGGATCGTAGGTGACATGCTTAGTCCGGACATCCCACGCCCAGGTTTTGCCCTCAGAGTACTGGACAATGCGACCATTCTTGGACCATGAGATCCAATTCCGGCCAGGAAGATACACATCAGAGCGCTTCAAGACACGTATGACACGAGGTGGCTCTGCTGTTGGAGGCTTTGAGACACTCCATACTCTGAGATCTCCATCGGCGGTCTGAGTGGCAAGCATGTCGGACTTCTGTTTCGAAGATGAAGCATGCCAAGTTAAAGTGACAATTGGAGAAGGGCCACGCGACGTCGTCAACGTGTGAAGGATGGTGAAAGACGGCTGCAACGCTGCCAACAGGATGGAGCCATTGTTATACCTAGGGAGTATGTCAGGATGGTACATGAAGCGCGACATCTAGGACCTACCCGATCGCATATGTCTTGCAATCTGATGATGGCGCAATCGCTGTGATGGGATCAAATATAGTGCGAGCCGATATGTGGTCACTAGTAGATGGTTCGAACAAGATTACTTCCCCTTTCGCGTTACCTGAACAATGTAAGCACAAGAGAGCCATCCTTGGCCTGACACGTCAACTCACCAAATGCGATATTTCCATTTCTCATCCAGTGTGCAACCTTGAGGGGCTCATATGATACAAAGCGAGAATATTGCTCGCCCGTGAACAAGTCCCATACTATCGCCGTTTGCCCAACGTCGTAGGTCACAACTAACCTACCAGCCCCGGTCTCGCTGACATTGTCGGCGGAGATGAAATGAATATCTTTGGTATGCTTCTCGAAGCGTCGTTCTAGGGCTAGAGTGTCATGATGCAGACACAACACCACCGGACCTTGGGCGATCAACAAGAGAGATGCGGTCGAAGCACACGGGTCGAATGAAGTTTCATCGGGGGCAGGTCTCGCTTTCGAATTCGACGGAACCGCGACTCCTTTGGCTTTGTTCGACACCGATCGTTGTCGCGAGATGCCTACGCCTGCAGACATAGCCGGTGAAGTTGGCTGGTTCGCGACTGTCCGGGTATCAGCACTGTATAAATTGTACCCGGCACCCTCGAAAGCGTTGTGTGTACCTCTTTGGCTATGCCGCTCCCACGTATGACATGATTCCGACCAAGCTACGCCAATATATCCAGACAGTCGGTTATTTCAATCAGGCCTGGTTCCTCCGTCGTGCGACCAGGAAAGGGTAGCAGCAGAAACTGTTCTTCTTGTGCAAGCGACCGTCACTTTAGATAAAAGCCAATGCCGCCGATGTAGCCGCGGGGCAGGGTCGTTCTGCAGCGACCCAGATAGGAGGCCCAGGAGGTCAATCTGCGGATGCTGTGATCAGATCAGGAGAGAAGCGATATATTGCGCAGGTCTGCATGTACAGGGTCCCCCGGGTCCCGGAGAAATGAGGAGCGTATCTCGTGTACGAAATGAACATATGAAACAAAATCTTTGGATGTGTTGAACGTGCAGAGTATACTCCCGTATGAGTGCAGCCAGATGATCGACCAGACCACCTGATCTCGTCGAGAGGCGCAGCAAAGAAACAGAAAAGCAGTGGTATTAGCAGCAATCAAAAGGTACCAACGACATGATGGAAACACGGCTGCGAAGCTCTACTGGACCGCGGGCAATTGATTGCAGCCCCGCAGCCCCCAGCCTGAGAGCAAGCAATCATGATTGGGATGAACATCTAGCCCGAATGCAAGGTGATCTGATGGAGAAAAGGTCGAGGTGCAAGGAGGTGCAAGGAAAGGTGCAGTTGGTGGAAGATGGACAGGCACAGAAGCTGTTCGGCGCTTACAGTTTGGCGATTGGCTCTCGAGCCTGCACTGTCACACACCAAGCAACCACCACGCCGCCAATCACTTTGTCCAGCACACTCAAGCACCGTTCTTGATACCCTGGTCAACCTTCGTCACTCTGCCGTTGAGAATCGTCGTCTCCATCCAAGCGGACGAGCCCAATGACCTGGCTCGTTGTCATCTGGCCCCTCAGCCGCCCGCCTCACACTATTCGCATCCTCAATCAAATTTCTCTCCCAGCGGCTATACAGCAAAGAGCATTGGAAGGATTATATATCGCTACGCCGACTGTCTCTTGTCTGTTAGTATATGGTAGCATCTCTCCTGAGCGTCGACGATGGCATGACGCGACGAAGGTGAGGTGGTGAGAAGTTTTGGAATGATACGCAGCACAAGCATTACACCGGATCATCACACAATTCTCTGTTGTACTCGGCATGTCAACTGAAGAGGATCTCCGGAGTAGTCGACGCCTGAATGAAAACTTGGGCTTGGGACTCGTCCCTCAACCTTGCAGAATGTACGGAGTAAATGTACTCGCATATTCCAACAGCCTCGATTACTCCGACCCCTACAACAAGTATCTTCAGTTTGTGGCGCCTCACATATCCACTTCCTTCAGTCGATCGGCTGTCCAGGTTTAAGGTATCTCCACAAGGCATCAAAGTCCTACTTTTAGGCTCTCGTGCATTGAGTCTCACAGCTGGCCGCCGTCTAGGCGTAGCGAAAGTCAAGTATGCCGAGAACTTCCAGACGAAATAACTGTCCCGGCTTCTCTAGCGAACGATGTTGGGACCAAAACTCTGAAGATCAGAAAAATTATGACACGCAGTGGTGCCCGCGCACACCGCAACTGACGACAACCGCTCTACACTAGTCGATCTTCCTAGTCCAGGCGATTCTCGCCGAAGTTGAGAAAATCACCTCACATGATAGACAATATGTTTCCCGTCCTTTTGAATCGTGAGTACGAGGCAGGTGAATCGCATGCCCATGACCTCTCGAAATCGACGGAGCATCTCTGTCGATCAAGTGCTGTGTACTGGGCCATCCCGCCTCCGGCCTCGGCGCGAGCCAGTACCAGGGCTCCAAAGGAAAACCAGGTGGTGGAGAAACATAGCGACACAGAGCTCTTCTGCATGGCTGGCAGATCAGCATGCTCTCATCTCAACGGCGGAGAAGAAGTGCTTGCAACCATCATCACGTCTTCTGGAAACCGTGTACACCACAAAGTGTGTTGGGCACGTTTGGGATCCAGCCTCTGTCACATCATCACTTAGCTTGCGAGGCATGGTCCAGGTAAATAGGTAAGGCCATGCCTCGAGCCGATTGACTTTGCGAAGAGGGGAAGCTACTATGGACTACGGAGCCCTTAGCGGGTGACCAACAAGGCTTCCTGCATCTACGCGCCGGCGCTAATCAATAGTCTGAGGGCAGCCAATCGGTACCTGGCCGCCTGGAAAAGCAACCTCAAGCCTCCGTATTTCGACCCTTTCCAGACGAAAAGTCGTTGAAACTTTGACCCATATCAATATCACACACCGGACCTCAACAGCACCATGGATAACGCTTCGGGTCTGGCAGGTGAGTTGGCTAATCTCTTTGCGCACTACCAGTAGCGATGTGACTGTTCATTAGCCCAGTTCATCGCCGACAATCCGTCTGCGGAGTACTCTCTTTCCAAGGTTGCCTAAGGACTCGGATTTGGCTAGAAAACCCGTCAATGGACACTGATCGAATATTGTTAGCTGCCCGAAGCAACGAGAATGAAATACAAAAGCATTTTGCGACCTGTTCCTGCATCAGGTGCAAGGTCCAGGGTCACAAATATTTTTCTCAGCCTAAATGCTGTGCTCCCTCGAAGCATTTCCGCGTTTGTACGAGAATGGAAATTTCGCCCTTTGTCAAGCTTCCTGGTCCATGTATTCCCGCATGGCATCGTGGCACATTCTGCATCTGCGACTGAGCTATGCTCCAATCTTGTTCCCAGCCTTTCCTCGTGCAAGATAAAGTAGGGGATATTGCTTTATCCTTATCCAGTCGAACCAAGTTTACATTTCGACCTGGGGGTAGCCGATTTGGTTGGGCTGATGAAGCGGAACAGCAAACAATGTCAGGCAACGAGACATCTACACATGTGAACCATGCACAGTGACAATCCTGTCAAAGCCCATGGCATTTGTTGGAATGAGCCTTTGACCGTTACACCCGCGAAACACATCCTGGCAGCTCTTGTCATACCTGGAGCGCCGCCAACCACGCAGTTCGAGTTGGCGGTGAACAATTTCGAATCGCACTTGGCGTCGTCAAGTACCACAAGATTCAGCCGTCGGACGACCTTCTGGCTCCGAGAGCATATTTCGACATCAAGACACGAGATCGACAATGTTGCCCCAGTACGGTATGATTTGTCAATTTTCCGGGGTGGTGGTTCGCTCAAGTTTTCCTGAATGGTGACGATGCGGTACGTTAGCTGCTTGATAGTCGCGTGCGTCGAGCCTCTTTCGAACTTGTTTGCTCGAATGGCAGACACGACCGCAGTCGAGAGTGAAGCATGTGCAGGTTGAGAGGTTCAGACAGAGCACGGAATGCCTGGTGAGTATGGCTTCTCAAGCCAAATGCCCCCTGGTCACTTTGGCATGCAATATCCCTCCTCGGGATCATGGATATTGGAGCTCGCCCTGACCTACCTTTCCTAATATGGTCACAATTGTACCGAACGAGACAAAAGCCATGTTCGATCAGCCTTCACCTTGGTAGTGACTGACAGTCGTCACACGAATCATGGTGAGGTTTTATATCATAATTAACACAAATAAACATTCGATGCTCCATAGCAATGGCCACCATTTGTATTATGAAAGTCGACCATTTGTCCCCTCAACGTTTGCAAGGCAAATCATCCAGTGCGTCGGCGTGTGAGAGCCCACGTGCTCTCAAATCGATAGTCATCGTCCCTGGCCAACAGATTGTCACGGGGTGGTTGAGGACTTGTTCGCCCCCTTAACCGACGATGACGATGTTCATGAGCCAAGCAGCAAGACATTGGCATCTAGGGACCGAGTGGCTTGCAGTACCGAACGATGCTCTCGCCCACCCACCACTGCTCCTGATCTCTAGGGTATGCTTGAAGAGGAGCAGTGGTGTTTCAAATCCTAGGTTGCATGTTTTTTGGCTTGAGTTTGGTTGGTGGTCTCTACAATTGAGACCGCTGGTAGGTTTTCTGCATGTGAAGCCTCCGGATGGTAAACAATTTTGTGTGAGGGTAAGAGATCGCGCATGATGCGTTGCTTTTGCATGCCTTTTCACGAGTCTTTTCGGGTCTTGACTACGGCTTTGGACGTGCCACGCGTTTGACGATTCTCTTTTTTTTTTCTCCAAAAGAAAATAATGCATGGTCATGGGCAAGAAACAGAAAACGCATCACACAAATCATGGAGTATGTTTTGCAAGAGAATATCAAGCTGTCTCCGACCCGTGGACTGCGGCCATTAGGCCTACTCCCTGGGTAACAAATCTTGATCGATTCACCATAACTCCGTCACACGAGCGCTGTTCTTTGTTTTAGTGCCCTCGAGTTTCAAGTGACATTTTTCGTGGTTCCAATCTTTTACGCTTGTTCGCATTTCGCGAAAATGGAAATGTCTAACGTGCCAGGAATCTTGTCCAAAGAGATATAGATTTACGAGAGCACGGAATCACTTTCTCGGAATGTCCAGTATCCTCCGCAGTTGAATCTCAAATCGCGACACGATTCAAAACAACGGTTTTGATGCGTTCGTGATGGTTTCGACTCTGAGATGGCGCTGTGAGTGATATGAAAGAAGGAGGAAATTAAAGTTTGGAGAATTGTTAAATACCTACAACAAGTACATAAGCATCCTTCGATGTCGGGTCACGAAAAAGAGAGGTCTTCCGGAAAGGGGAGCGAAGTGTCCATATTAGGAAGTTCATGATGTCATTGTCTTCGGAGGCCTTCTGACGATGAGGAATCGCGGTGAAGTGCTCCTCCGTAACACGTACACTCGTACTCGTCCGTACTACCCGTACTTAATTCGAAAACGGAATATGGACTATTTTTCTCATGATGATCCCCTTGTCTGCAATCAACTCTAGATGTAGACACGATGACAAGTGTCAAAAATGTCAACTTCGACCCCAAAAGGTGAGCGAGGGCCCGACGGCCAGATCGCAGAAACCCAAAAATATACAGAGCGGGAGTAACCGAGATCCCCCTACGACGCGGTCCGTCCGTGGGACGCGCGACCGAAATCGACATTGACCCAAGTCGCGACTTGACTACCACTCTCTACCACAAGTCGCGTTCAGACAAGGCGCAAGCACTGTACGAGCATGTTATGAAAGTGGCTTCAAAGTGCCACTTTTTGAAGAACAGACACAAAACACAAAAGTGAAGGGCGTCCAAGTGCAACTTGTCAGCAATCAAGACAAAAACAATTACTCCGTAATCTTCAAAAGTTCATGAGAAGATGAGTATTTGCATAGGATAAGCGAGCAAGATGGACGAATCAAAGATGT